GAGTTATATATCTTATATTAGGTCTTTAGCCTAATTATTTTCCGAGACTAATAAATAATAGAGTATTATCTATTATTATTAAATAATTAGCTAAGGATACTCCTAAGGCTAAACCCTAATATATTATATTTAATTTTTAGAGATAGGTTAGGGTTAAAGTATTATAAAAATAACTCTTCTATAAAGGCTTTCTTTAATATTTTAAATACTTATTATATCTTAGATATTTATTAGAATTCTTTCTCTCTTTAATTAGACTTCTTTATTATTTTACTATATATAATAGCTAAGATAAGGATATAAATAGTTAAGAATTCTTTAATAAAATAATAATAGAACTTAATATATTAAATAAATTATTATATATTAAATATATATTTAGGACTAAGTTAGTCCTAGATAGTCTTAATATATTTTTTTTCTATCTTTACTTTTATTAATATAATTATAAAGCTAAGAAAGATAACTAAATTAATATAGAAGCGACACTTACTATACTTTATATATAACCCAAATATCCTTAAGTGTCGTAAGACCTCTTAAATATATTCGATATATTCTTTTTTATTCTCTATGAAAATTAGGATATTATTTAAATAAATAATATGAAATTAATCTAAGAGGTCGCTAAGTATTTAATTAATATATATCTAAAATATAGCTAAGGTATTTAAAATAGCTATATTAGGTATAGAAGACTATCTTCTATTTTTTTTTTGGATTTAAATCCTATAATAAGCGTTCTAAAGATCTAATTATATAAAGATCTTAGCGCCTAATAATTAGTCTATAATCTCGCTTATAAGAGATAATAGGTAGCGATTTTTAATAATATTATTATTAAGGCCTTAATAGTCTATATATAGTCTTAATAATCTATCTTTCTTTTTAATAAAGATAATTAGTGTACCTACTAAGCTTTAAGATAATCTAATTTAACCCTTAGTTAGTATATTATTAATACAATTCCTTAATATCTTTGGTTTATTTAAGAAGAATAAATAGATTAATTAATAGGGTAATTAAGTATCTTCCTATAGATTAATAATATAATTTAGATATATAGACTAAGGTAATTTATTTATATCCTTTTTATTAAAGATATTCTTAAAGTCTTGATATAGCTTTGGGATTGTCTCTTCATTATTAATTATTATATAGAAAAAAGGAATTAGCCTATCTTAATCTAATAATTATAGATATATAATAAGAAGAAGAGCTCTAAGTGCTACCTTATTATAGTAAGTAGCGGCTAAGATCCTTAATATCTATATAGGTCCCTTATCTTAATACTTTTATATATATTCCTTATAATTAATATTAGGATTAACTAAGATAAGCTAATTATATCATAGGATTAAACTATATCCTTAGATCTTTATTACTTTATATATAATAATATTTTCTCTAACTATTCTAATATTCTTAATTAATTTAAGGGTAATCTTATATACCCTAAATAATTAGATAATTTATTTATTAATAGCTTAGATAGTCTGCGATATAGCCTTATTATCTAAGAGATATTATTTAGCCTTTTTTTATAAAGCTTATTCCCGCTTTATTATTTATAAAAATAAAGATAGAAATAGCTTAGCTAGCTAAGTTAGTAATTACTTAATAAATAAATATTTTCTTTATATCTTAATTTATTTTAAAAGCTCTTAATATAATTATAATAAGATTTATTAAGGCTATCTATTTTTTAATATATTAATTATAGCTACTTTAAGACTTACTTTTTTCTAATTATATAATCTTATAATATAGCCTAATTCTTTATAGTTAAAATAGGTACTATTCTATATTTTTTATTTCTTAGTAAGATTAATTAGAATAGATTATTATAGTACTTAGTTATAGCTTAGATTTAGGCTAGTTCTTTTTTAGCCTTAAGCTTAGCTATAATAGATATTATTATAGCTAGCGTGGGGGCGTTAAGACTATTTTATATAATGAGAGGGGGTTTCGCGCTTATCCCCTTCCTTATATTAATTTAATAACGCTAATTAATATTTAGGGATATTATTTTTTATAGCTATAAGGTAATTAATATATTTAATAAGATTTAGATTTCGCTAAATATTGAATTACTCTCTTCTTTTTTGAATAAAAGATAATACTAAGTTATATTAGTAAATACATATTTAGATATTATTTATTTTTTTTTATTTAATCCTAACATTAGATTAAATAAATAATATATTTATAGACTAACTTAGTCTTCTTTTATATTATAAGATTAAATTACTTAGATATCGCTTTCTAAAAGTTCTTATATTTATTAATTAGCCTAATAGCTTAGTCCTTTATCTCTTTAAAGTGAGATATATAATAAGAATTTAACTTTATAAAGTTTCTTTATATAATTAGAGTAATAAGCTAATATCTACTAAGTCTAATAAGATTAATATTTAAATTAATTTATATAGATATAGTTAGCCTTAGAGAACTCTTTTAAGAAGAAGACCTAATTTTAATATTTATTATTATTTTTTATTTTATAGATTATTAAATAAAATTAGTCTTAAGACTTCTTAATCTTATATTTATATAAAATAAATAATATCTTTCAGCTAGATTCTAAATCTATAGATTATGATAATTAATAATTATAGAGTTTAAATAATTTATTTAGATAGTCTATTAGCTAGGTTATAATATCTTTACTAAATATTATTAGTAGCTAAGCTAGCTTTAATGAGGTTATACTTATTAAGATTAATACTCTAATAAATAATTTATTAAATATAATATATAATATATTATTAAAGGGAAATAATAATAGTTATATTTTTATAAGCTCTTTAAGATAGTCTTACTCTTATTAAAGCTATTCCTTAACTTTAGCTCTTCGTAGATTATATACCTACTTTTTTATTTACTCTAGCTCTTAGATTTCTTAGTCTATTATAATATCTTAGATTAGCTTAATTAATAATTATTATTATAATATTAGTGTAAGTTCTTTATCTAAGATATTAGCTATATCTATAATAAAAGATTTAAGGTTATTATTAGCTAACCTAATTAAAGGGTCTTCGCTAAGCTTATAGCCTTATAGCCCTCTTATAAGATATTAAGAATAGTAAGAGGTTATAGTAGCTAGGTAAGTTATATTAGGTAAACCCTAATTATTCTTAGGAGCGTTTAGAATTATAAGACTACTAAAGGCGGTAAAGGTCCCCTTTCTGCTATTATTCCTAAGGCATCCCGATGCCTTAGGTAACGGCCATTGTCCGTCCTGAGATAGGTCCTAACAATTTATGTCAACCCTTAAGGTCGACATCCTCAAATCCATATATATACGCACACCTATATATTAAGGAATAACCACATTATTCCTTAATAATTTAGGTCTTAATAATTTATTATTTATTCTATATATTAATTTAATTATATAGTATTTTTCTGTAATTTTATAAAGGCTAAAATTATAGTAAAAGAAACCTATTTCTAATAGTTATTAAAAATTACTTATATTATAACTCTTAGTCCTTAATACCCTTTTTTAATAGCTATTAAAAAAGATAATACCTTAATAAAATAGCCCTCAATAATAATAGCTATTAAAAAACTAGAACTACTTAGTATTAAAAATTACTAATAAATACACAGAAAAACCCCCGGAATCTATAACTTATATATGAATAAGTAAGTCACGTTTTCTACCTATTTATCCTATTTTATAGACCCTAAGGGTAACCCTAAGGGTGACCCTCGGAGGGTCGGATATACAGGTGCCCGACCCTTAGGGTCTCGCTAAGAGGTGGTGCGGGTGGAGGGTCCGGAGGGTCACCCGCGGGTGAGTGCCAGGTCTAACCGCTAGTCCTTGGTATTCCTTTATATCTACCTCACTTACCTAACCAACCCTGGATACCGTTGCGTGGTCTCACAATAGTAGGCGTCAGCATAGACAATTAGTAGCCTATGTAGATAGACTGCTAATGGCGTGATCACCATATATCTATTTGAATGCAAGCCATTACACTCTGGATGCATGAGAAAATTATCCGTATACGTAGACTACATTTTTCTCCACCTACTTTATCTCACCACCCAAGCGACAGTTTGACTAATTTAACAATTGAGAATCTCTGAGACAGGCTGAATGGTCTAGCCTTGTTAGATGAAGTGTTTTATCTAGAGCGTGACCAGACTACGCCAGACTCGTGTTAAGGATAGTTGAAGACTTGTCATGACAGTGACGCGTGTTGGCATGGATCCATCGTTCGAATTTGTTAACTTTCACTGCAAGGAGCAATTATTCAAGAGTAGCCACCTATCTGTTGTGCTTATGAAGTTTACGTACGTCGACCACCAAGGTCGGTATCTTTAGTTTCCGATACACATATCGACACCTCCGCTTCTATTTTTACGTGCATTACAATTGAGATAACCCCCCTCCCCTTTCCTTCCTTTCCATATGAGAGGGAAAATGAAGGGGCGCGTGTAAATAATCAGTAACTTGATATCTGGCATCATATCACATAGGCTCCAGGCTTCTTACGTCCACAAACTTCTATCAATTAATACAGTATCGAAGCATGAAAGATCCGCTCAATCTCCACCACTTAGATCGATTTAAAATAACGATGCCGAATCAGAAAAGTTCAAAGACGACGCTACCGTAGAGTGTACAGAGTATCTGTTCCAGGTATCCATAGGGGTGTGATTGAATCTCAGAACCAGTCAAGCTTCGAGACAAGCGCTACTACCATGAAAACCAAACCCGCAATGATACAATAAGGTTAGTGGGGCCGGATTTAGCGCCACCCCCGCAACTGGCCCATCACCGTCCGGGGTATGAGGTCACGAGTCACGCGTGTACTGCAATGACATTCCCTTCGGCCTTTCCCTGTCCCCATTTTATCTCTTATCCACCACTTCACTCTGTTCCCTCAGTAGTGAGCCTCCAGCCCCCTTGCCATTCGACTTTGACTAATTGTCCAGTGACTCGTTCGCACAAGCTTAATGATCGCGACCACCCGGCCGATGGCATGATTGGCACCCGTGACAACCTGCCTCGGTTTTTTGGCAAGTCGGGTCCGACAGATGCTGACCCCCGCAAGACCAAGAAAGATGGCGGTGGAAAAGGGAACTGGTGAGTATACGGTATCTGGCGCATATAAAAGCTCAAGATATTGACTACCCGCCAGGGGTCGCTCTGGTGATGAAGTGCAGGACTATGATTATGCCTTGGCAAATGCCCGACGTCGTTCAAATAGCAGCACCCAGGGCCTTGCAGAATTTAGAACCAAATTCGAAACTATCGAGCCTGAGCCTGTGTTCGAGGAATCTGTCCGCGGGTATTCTGGGCTGGTGGCGAATGAAATTACAGTCACTAAGGTTGAAAGCACCAGCAGCAATGACAGTGAAAGTGAGCAGAGAGGGGTGAATCCATAAGAACTGATATGCCAAACTTACGCCTCCACGCGGAGTCCAAGAAATTTAAATTGTTGTTTCACTCGCACGATTGCCGGCGTAAACGGAACCGTATTATAAAGACCTCTGCAGGATGACATGAGATACGTTTGATTGGGAGGAAACGAGATTGAGAAAAAAAAGGACTGGATGATGACTAATTCGAATATGTCGTACATAATTCAAGTCATATGTGTCCCCACTAGTCGCACCGTCGCAGACCATGGAAATAAAACAAGGAATCGCTAACTCTCATCAAATTCACGCCAGTCACGCCTTGGCTTTACCAAGGCCAGGCTGTCAGCCAGGGCATCTCCGGACTCAGGAACCGACCCGGATGTTTGAGATCCTATGGAAGATAAGAGATTTTGGAACCAGAAGTCGAGTTTCCCAATCTCGATGTATTCGTGCAGAAGTTCATTTTCTCGCTCTAGGTCGGCAGATAGTCGAGCCTTTTGTTCGGGGCGAAAGCGTGCAAGAAGGATATCGGTCTCATAATCAGCCATGATAGCCTCGGCTGGGGAGAGAGGTATGTAGATTGACTGGATATTGGTCGTGGATTGCTCTGTTGACAATATTAGATGAGTGTACAGATCAAGGATTTTGAACGATGACTTACCGGCTAGGCAGGAGGTAAGTGTAAGTCCAAGGGCTGTGTCACGAGCCGCAAAGACTGAGTGCCCATTTGATTCCTCCGCTGCTTTCCCGCGAGCTGCCCAATTGTCTTTGATCAAGCATCGTCGCCAGATCAGTTTTCGCAGTGCCGTAATGTATGAAGGATCTTGCTGAGCAAAACGACTATGATCAAGTACTCGCAACGCTTGGAAAAACTCCTGCCCTCGGAACTCACTGTCCCAGTCGTCAGATGGTTGAAGAGGACCCATCAACGTCAGCAAGTCAATTGACCCATCCGCGCCGATGATCTTTCTATTGACCAAGGTAGAAAGAGCTTCGCCTAGGACTTCATGGAGAGACGGACGATCATTGACGAGGTGCCCTCCAAAGTAATCCAAAGCAAGCTCTGCCTCGGCCTTGCGATCAATTGCGCCCTCGAGAACGGGTTTGATATAGGAATAGAGGGTGTCTTGGATTTCATCGATCTCGCTGTAATCATCGAGGTGTTTGATGTCCTCCTGCAAGGCGAGATTTGAGTCACCAGAGGATTTCTCGTATGAGGCTAGCTTGCTCAGTTTTGCCAATGAAATCTCAACACGGTGGTTCCACAGCTCCTTCTCACTGCCGAGGGCGAGTTTTTCTAAGCATGACGCAGCGCTGTTGTAGTCATCTTCGCCCGCCACATCATTGATCCAGCTAAGCTTGGAATATGCAGGTGATTTTCGGAGGAATCGAGTCACTGAAGATTGATATTTTCGCATGGAAAGTAATGCGCCCGGGTGGCCCATGGAAATCTGCCGTGCGAAGTACGCGTCTGCCCAGGGCTCACCAAACTTGTCAAAGTATTGAGAAATCCGGTGAACCACGTCCGCCTCGTTGTCTGCTAAGGCACTTGCACCCGCCCGAAGGGTCTCTTGAGCTGGCTGGGTCTTCACTTCGTCTTGAAGTTCAATTATGAGCTCGACCAGGGCCCCCCATATCTCGGAACCGCTCGGCCAGGCTAAGGGCATCTTGAAGATGTCCAATTCCTGCCAACTTGAAAAGTTGCCATTTGCGCTCTTTGACGTGAGCTCGCTCGATTGAGACGCTTGCGTCCGCTAGCTTTTGATCATCTTGCGCACCAAGCCAGCGTGCACGCTCGCGGTGCATCTGGCCGAGGACTCGAAGATGCCGTGCGCTGTTGTCTGCAATCTTCTTCAAAACCCGATCCTCTGGGGCATCTGCGGTCGACGTCTTTTGTTGGCTCCAAGCTCGACAACTGTCGAGCTCCAGATCAAGCAAATGCCCCGCCTCGGTGTACCCCATCTCCCGGGAAGTCCAGAACTCAGGAAGACCCTCGTAACCGTCGGCGAGGACACCGTCCTCGACAAAATCATCACTTAATCCGTACAGGGCGGCGTGCTCATCGCGATAACGGAACGCCGTTTCCATTATTGCAAGAAAAATTTCACTGGCCTCCAGTATCTGCTCCGACAGCTTCCGCGCCTGTTTAGATGAGTTTCCTCTGCGGTGCTTGAGAGTACTCTTGATCCATGGAATGATGTGTTCCATTTGATAGGTATCTCTCAAAAACCATTGTCGTACAGGGTCAATCTCGCTCTGCACTAATTCAGGGCGAGTTTTGAATTTGTCGTTCATAGACTCGATGACATGACCAAGTAAAGGGTTCTCGTTGCTAGCCCTGTGTAGCTCCTCCAGATTCCACATGGCCTTTTGCGCGGACAATTTCTCCGCCGCCCAGAGCAGTTCCCATCTGGCCGAGCGACTCAACGGATTGCTTTTTCGCGATAGCAGTGATGCAAGGTCGTTCATTGCCTTTGCCCGCAGCCGTAAATTTTGTTCAACTGAGATTGCCGTGCTTGGGATAAAGCGTGATTCCGAACGGAGAAGCTCCTGCAAATTTCCAGCGAGGCTTGCTCGATATCGGATGCAGGGAAGTCCAGACCACTGTCATCAATAAGATTCAGCGGATTTCTTGCCATGGTACCGAAGAAGATGGCCTGCTCTAATTTGTCTTTGGCCGTAAGTTGCTGCTCTTCCAGGTCTTTTCCTGATAGATGTTGGGGGATCACATTGACTCGAACAACACCAAAATTTCGAATCATCATCACACAGGTGGCATTCTCATTTTCCGATCGATCTTCCGAACCATATCCCAGGATTTCGTTTTCTTTGCCAGATCGAAGGTGGATGATGTCCTGGAAAGACATAGGGATTTTTTGTGAATCCAGGAGTAGTTGCAAGCTGGGGGTCTCTTCAATGCTAGAAAGAGAAAGGATAATGATTGAATGCTCGATCAGAATGAAAGCAGTATCCTCTGATTTCGAGACCAAGATCTTAGGCTTCGGCTCATCTTGCGTGGTGGATATGCTGCGAATGTCGACCGCATGAGTTGACGTGACACGTGTCTCGCCTCCGGACAAGAATAGTTGTACAACGAACAAAGTCTTAGATTCGAAAAGTTGCGGGGAACCGACGACAAGAAATAGCCGCCAAGACTCTTCAGTGTCTTGGGATCCAGACTCCTCATTGGATTGTTGAACGGAGAAGGCGAAATCCATGATCTTAAGATCCATCTCCCTGGGAAAGTCCACGGTACCATGGGAAATGGCCGCCGAAATCGCGTCTTTCACGTCGAATTTCTTTTTAAGGGCATTTCCATGGTGCCAATGAGTATCCCATATCTCAACCAAGCCCGTCAATGTCGCGATAATAACATCCCGTTGGCCTCGTTGACGAGACCCACCTGCACGAACAGCGGTGACCTCTTTCCTCCAGGAACCGCCTCCAAGCACACTCTTGAGTCCCCCCAGAATTCCACCTCCTCCGGAGCCCACCGTGCTTCGAAGAAAATTCACAAGAACAGAAGGCTTCCCTTGAGAGTCTCGGAGACTGATGTGCGCCACTCGCCCAGAGGAGAATGTTGCGATGATTCCCGAAGGCTCGCAGTTCATGATTTCCGTAGCATATTCACCAGAGAATAGACCCGGTGTGAATCCTTGTATCCCATTCTGTTTTTGCCTTGACAGGCCCAATGATGCAGCGCTTGACACTGTTTCCCAGTAGATAATTTTTCCTGTAGAGGGGACGATCACTAATAGACCGGGGTGCTCGCCTGTGGCTGTGGACAACAGCACACCCAGCGGGACGGCGCCCTTGGGATCTCTGTAAGACTCGGGAATCGATACCGTGAATATTTCTGCAAGTGTCGGTGCTGAGGTAGAAACAGAGTAAGGCCATACAATTGCATGCGAGCTGGTCAGAGCCAATGCGTATTCATGACCAGGGCCAAAGAAGCACCTGAGCGGGTCTAGATGTTTCAAGTCAATCAAAAGTCTTGTCTAGGAGGACTCGTATGGTTTTTACCTGATTGTAAGCCTCGTAACTGATCTGGCAGTGACGGAAATTGGTCTACAGTGTAGTAGTGTGTGCTTGACTTTTCATTGACGGTGTAAGTTGCTATGATCAGGACGTGCACGCAAAGGCCTCCATGCGGCAAGCCAAGAATAAAATCGCACTCACCAAAACGACTGTCCCCTCGGGTTCATTTCTAGATATCTCGCTCGGTTTCGTATTGCGGATCGGTAAATGGCAATCGACACCAAGGGCATCCGCAGTCGCGTCATGCTCGTTGACAAGAATAGGAGCCACGGATTCTTCTTTATCGTCCCGGTTCAGGCTCGTGACATTCGAGTCGCCTACTTGTCGCAAAATCGATCGTTGGCGTTTGGCTTTCGGTGGCTTGACCGAGTCCTCGGAGCTGGTTCTCGGGCGCCTTTTGGGGTTGCGCGACGCTGCCCTGGGAACAAACATTTTTGTTGCCTCAAAACGATCTTTGGAATTGACGCACTGGCCGCAGCCAGGTGTGAAAGAGTGACTCTGGTGGGTCAGAGGTGCCCGAGAGGACAAAGCGGAAATATAGAGATCGAACGATTTGCGCCTCGGGAGAAGAGAGGGAGCAGTAAATAACAAAAGATGCTTGGCCAAAGGCGGTGAGAGTGAGAGCTGTCGGGGTCGGTCAGGGTGGAGGGCAGAAGGTAGAGGGTAGATAGTAGAGTGCGAGCTTGACTTCAATTCTTGAGTTATCCTCGAGTGGCTTCCTTCGAGCCTACGCTGCTTTCAATGTTGTCTGCATTACCTGTCATATATTTGCCAAGCTCAGGTACCCTGTAGGCAAGGTGTCTATCCGTCCATCTCCGAGTATACATCCGAACTTCAACTAAAATACGGAATATCTTCTATCTTGGAATTATTACTATGAAGCTATGCTGAAGACCATTAATTCCAATTTGCAATGATCGAGCATCTTTGCCGGCTTCTCAGCTCGGGTCCAATCTACCGACGCGCGGAACCGGGGCTCACGTGCACGCCCAGCCCCACGCGAACTGGACGTGGACATGCCTTACAATCCCGGGTTGCCGTGAGGATGAGTAGACCTCTGCACTTCTCACGATGCCCATGTGTCATGTCGAGATCATGACGAAGGCCAGGTCTGCCACGTAACTCCGTCGAACATGCTCTCCCTCGTGGATTCAAGGCTCCCCCTGCAGCGACTAGTTGGTTGCTCGAGGACTGGGATGACGAATAGGATAAGAACAACAGTTGTGGCTTCAATATCCCGACGAGAGCTACATACCGCTCTCTTCTTCCCAGGTTGGTCTTTCCCCTCACTTTTATAGCTATCGATGTGCGCTAAATCTCATCTCAAAGGACATGGAGTACAGCAGCTTGGCATGGCCAGTGTCTGGGTTGACCGCTTCCCTCGGACCTCCGCTCGACTGCTGGACGAAATGGATTCTATCCTTGGATTTAAGCTGTCGCGCATCATCTCCGATGGCCCTAACTCCCTTTTGAACCGAACTGAGAATGCTCAACCTGCTATCATGGCTGTCTCCGTTCTCATCCTGAGGATTCTCGAGGATGAGTATGGTTTTGACACTGCTTCCAGAGTCGACGTGACCTTGGGTCACAGTCTGGGTGAATTTACTGCGCTGGTCGCGGCTGGCTATTTAAAATTCGCCGACGCGCTCAAATTAGTCCGCCGCCGAGCTGAGGTGATGGCTCAATGCACTCGACACGCGGTCGCGCAATCGGGCGAAACGTATGGAATGGTAGCGCTCATCTGTGAGCCCGATCACATCGAGAGTTTGCTCAAAACCGTTCATGAATTTCTCGGACTAGCCACCTCCTGCTTCGATGACACCAGCCACGCTTCAGCCCCGATTCAGAGGGTGATGGTGGCGAATATCAATTCTCCTAACCAGATAGTGCTCAGTGGAAGCATTGAAAGAATCAGAAGCCTTCTAGTTCAATTGCGTCAGTTTGGGGGGCATGATCCTCGCGCCGTGAGGTTGAAAAGTGACAGCCCTTTCCACAGTCCTGTAATGGCCCCGGCGGCCCAATACATGAAGAACGCCATCGAAGGCATGGACATAACCTTCCCATCGATTATGCCGTGTATTTCCAACGTGTCGGCGTTGCCGTTTCGGTCCAAGGAGGACCTCAAGACTCTGCTATCCAGGCAGTGCACCGATACAGTACGATGGTGGGATAGCATTCGCTACCTTCATCAGGAACGGGGAGTGAGACGATGGATTGGCATCGGACCTGGAAAAGTGGGCCGAAATTTGGTTGGCAAAGAAGTTGGCCGAGTGGACATCAAAGGAGGTGGCGTGTGGGCTATCTGCAATCCCAGGGAAATGGAGGATACCATCCTTGGCTTGGAACAGACCGAATCCGAAGTCCGAGCCGGCTGATTACTGGAATTTACGCCATATCAGTTTTCCTACATGCAACTGTTCATATCCTTTCATGCGAGCTTCTTTAGGTAAATGGTAGCCGATCGACTCGATTCACAGACGCCTTGGAGACCGGTTGCAATTGATCCTTGAGGGGCTTGTAGAAACCACATATTATTTCTCGGATCTCTTTCAATACTGTCTACCCTGCATTGCCGGTTGTCCATGCCTCGCCAATGCGCCGAACGTCAGCTATGAATCGCGGATTGGATATGGGCTGGCAGCCAGACGCAGAACCTGCTGCCATTCCATGCGTTGAGATATGATCATCTGGTGAATAGAATGGATTCTGCAGAAGTTGAATATACGCGCTTTGCAGGGCTCGAAATGCCTATACTGGGAATTTAGCGACGGCGTTGAGAATGGACAAATGTCAACATACCGGCTTTAGATCCGAATCTCTCAATCCACTGACTGCAGCTCCCGTCGGCTTTCCATGAGCGGCCATGTCCGGGCCGAAAAGGTCCACAATGATCAAAAGCTTCACTCCTGTCGTAGTGAGCCAGCCATAAGCCGCTAATCTCTCGTCAATGGCATGGAGTAGACCCAAATCCTGATCAATGGAGGTTTGTTTGCGTCGGATCTCAAATATGTCAAGGCATGAGTTCAAGAGAAAAGAAAATTCGATCGTCGCGTCCGTATATGGGGGAAATAGAGATATGTGTAGGGGGTTGTCCTTGATCTCACGAATTAGCAATAGACCTATCGCATTTGCTTCACATCTTGCCTCCCCCCCCCACCCCCGCCCCTTTTCTCCTGGGATGATGGAAGCTCACATACAATTTTCCCGATCACTCCGATGCACGCAATTCTTGGACCAGCCATCCTGCGGTGTAAATGAATCGGACTCGTTCCTTTCAGCTCGGAAAGAGGGCGGGTATCGTGTTCCTCTTCTTTTCCCGCAACCTTGATGTGATAATTCGCAGTAAGTTGATCGATCAGGCTTTGGCTGTCTCAGTTCCGACAGTTGAAGAAGAATCAGCTCATTCCGCAGCTGGAGGTAGCAGATTGGCGCAACACTTTCAGTGTCTCCGTGAAGGGTCCAGTCAACGCGTGATTGATGCCTGACTCCACGGGCAGAAATTCCGGGGAGCCAATCATCGCACATACGATTCTTTTTACTATCAGCTCACCGCCTTTACCATACACGGGAAACCATACCGGATTTCGTCCAATCATGAACTTCTAATTGCTTACGTGGTCTTGCCAAAACCGGGTTTGTACCACAGTCGTTCTTACAGTTCCCTCTCAAACCCGGCAAAAGTCCTCCCTAACCTCAAAGAGTCCGCCACCTGTGAAGCTGCCAGGTCTAGGATCACTTACCTCTTCAACAATGCTCCCCCTCGCAAGACCCGCCATGCAGGGCGCCCTGTGCGGTATGACCTCAGGTTCTTGCCCCCCGTTGTCGATGTCTCACTAAACGGAGTAGCAGCGCGTCCTCGGCTGGCCCTCCTCCCTCGTGTCCAGCCCATGGCTTTTCTCTCGACCTCCACCGTGAAATCAGCAACTGCTCTTGAACGCCAATCACCATCGGGTCAAACACTCACTGCGTCCGGCAAAGTCCGGAAGGAGGTCGCCCTACCCAGTCAAGAAAAGAAGGAAGGTGCTATGCAATATGTCTTGTTCGTGCCTCTTCTCACTTTCACTTCCTCCCCGGGCTTTCTGCTAACATTATTGTAGGACAACTCTCGATCAGGTCGCAAACTGGGCTCGGCAGAGCTCATTGTGGCCCATGACTTTCGGTCTCGCTTGCTGCGCCGTCGAGATGATGCACCTTTCCACTCCCCGGTATGATCAGGATCGCCTAGGAATCATTTTTCGTGCCTCGCCCCGACAGTCCGATGTGATGATCGTCGCAGGTACATTGACAAATAAGATGGCACCCGCTCTTCGCCAGGTCTACGATCAGATGCCCGATCCCCGATGGGTTGTCAGCATGGGTAGCTGCGCCAATGGTGGTGGCTACTACCACTACAGCTACTCGGTTGTCCGGGGCTGCGACCGTATTGTACCAGTGGATGTCTACGTTCCTGGATGTGAGTGTTGTCCACATTTGTCATCGAGGTTTGCTAATCATGTAAATGTACAGGCCCGCCTACGTCCGAGGCCTTGATGTACGGCATCTTCCAGCTCCAGAAGAAGATGAGACACACTAGGATTACGCGCATGTGGTACCGGCGTTGAATTAACGGTGGGATGCGCTTCTGTCTTCTACTTCAGTCATTTTACACGATGGACTTGAAGTCCAACCCAATTTAGCCATCGTGGAAATCTTTTGTCTTGTTACGTTGTATATCAGCTTAGGCTTTTGCTCGCGACTTCAAAAACCATTGAACTTAACAAAAGGGTCCGCTGGGTATTCCTCAAGCCTTGTGAATGTAGCATCTGCTTGTGACAAAGAAGACACCGCGAGCCATCGTCGGAATTATTCCCGGCCGGGTTGCATGGTTCCCACCGGCGTGTTCCCCGAGGTTGAGATAATTGATTGTCTCTGTGGCACTGAAGCTTGCGATGAAGCAAGGCTGAAGTGAATGCAGCGTAGACCAAATTCGTGTCATACTACGAGCCCCAGGCCTTGATTGGATTTATTTCAGTGCTGTTGTATCTTGCTGTTCCGTTGTTACCAGTCCCCATTCGCTATGTCCTCGGTATTTTGATGCGAACACTGCGCGGCGATGGAGCTGTTATATTGGCTTGCAAAGAGAGACTTGGACCCGCAGAGACAAATTTCAGCTGAGTACCTTTCTTTACTGACTGAACAAGAGTGCCTGTGGGAGTTCCTCGCTAGCCATGACGCAGGTCGCGCTGCTCCAAAGTAGGGATTTACCGACACGCAGTTGATGGTTGCCGACCTCGAGAGAAGGAGAAATGTTTTGTCGAAAGGTTCTCTCATTCTGCTCCCGGTGCACCTGGGGTATCAGATCAGTTTTAAACACACGGGCATCAATTTGGACTTCTAATTACCAGCATAAAAACGTGAATCCGTTACATGACTCGAAAATTGTGAAAGACTCGAGTGTTGAAGTGCTGAAGTGTTGAAGTATGGAAAAGCCGTGGTCCTATCTTATCGGGACCCGTGATTGGCTTCTGGCCCGTGCAATAATTTTTCTTTTCTCTCCTTCTTCCTGCATCTTCGCATCCCCTCCATAATGGCGAAAAGAAAGGCCGCCCAGGCCTCGCCGACTCTACCTTTGGCATTGTCTACCCCTTGGACTTTCCTTCGGCCCACCGACGACCTCTATAACCTCGTTGCAGACTCTGCAAAACGGATTCTTGACCCGCTTGCTGCCTCCGTCTTCGAGGAGCAATCCGCCCGCCGACAAGCCAACAAGAAGCGCAAGAGATCTGAGATTGGCCTTGATGCGCATCCGTCCCTGCAGCTGAAAAACCTCTACGTGGATGGTTTTACCTCGAACCAAATATGGGAACAGGCGATCAGGATTCTCGACTCCGCTGGCAGTGAAGTCGAGCGCGATGTTGCGTTACTCGCAGAGCATCGCGGGTATATATCTTCAGGCGATGAGGAGCTGTCGGACTCATTGGATGTCTCCGACGCCGAGGGTACCGGGTCCGAAAGTGACGACACCGACAGTATCTTGAACGATTTATCCGAGAACGCAAGCGAAAATGATCTTGACAATGAGATGGACAACAACCTCGATAGCGCAGATCAGGAGGACTCTGAAGCCATAAGTGACATCGACCAAGAAATGAGCGATGATGTCGCTTCAGTGCATTCAACCGAGGAAGACCCTGGTACCTACGTCGAGGATAGGTTCGGGTTGAACGACGGGTTTTTCTCAATCGATGACTTCAACAAACAATCTGAGCAGCTGGAAAGACAAGATGCGAAAGGTGGTGCCGATGACGACGACGATGATGACAGCGATGAGGAAGTGGATTGGCATGCAAATCCGCTCCTTGCCGGATCCGCCATGCCTATTGCCAAACAGAAGAAAGAAGGGCGACCGGATAATGACGATGACATGGATGACAGTAGTGAAGAGGACGGACCGACATTCGGCAATGTCGATGTAAAGGGCGGCTTCGACTCTGATGAGGATGATGAGGATATCTCGCATGCTGGGGATGCAGACGTTTCCGGCTGGATTGATACAAGCGATATCAAATACGCCGATTTCTTCGCGCCACCACCCCGAAAGGCATCTTCAAAGAAGGCGCGCGCACTCCCCAAGACACAACCCGCCAAACCAATCATGGATGAAGATGTGGACCGCGCGATGGCTGATGTCCGGCGTGATCTGTTTGACGAGTCTGATGAAGAGGAGGAGGAGAAGGAGGGTGACGAAGTGAACAATTCGGGCGATGCACAGAGTCAAAGATCTACCCATGAGAAACAGAGAGCCCGAATTGCGGATGAGATACGACGCCTGGAAGCGGCCAACGTCGCCAAGAAAGACTGGACGCTCGCCGGTGAAGCTCGAGCGGTCGAGAGACCTATCAATTCTCTCATTGAAGAGGATCTTGACTTTGAAAGAGTTGGCAAGCCAGTTCCCGTGGCCACGAATGAAACCACAGAGGATATTGAAAAGCTCGTCAAAGCACGCGTTCTTGCCAAGGAGTTTGACGAAGTGATCCGGCGTCGACCAGGCGCTTCTGATGCCCAGGCCCCGCGAAAGAGCCGGTTCGAGTTGGAGGACACCAAGCCTCAGCAGAGTTTGGCCGAAATGTACGAAACCGACCATTTACGCGCTACAGACCCGAGCTACGTCGATTCAAAAGACCGCAAATTGATGCGTGAGCATGCAGAGATCGATAGTCTCTGGAAAGAAATCAGTTCGCAGCTCGATACTCTCTGCAACTGGCACTACAAGCCCAGGGTGCCCCAGGCAAGCATCAACGTTGTTGCCGATGCCCCAACCATCATGATGGAAGAGGCGCGCCCTACGGCTGGCAGCGCGGCCGGTGGACCGTCGGCACTTGCACCCCAGGAGATTTACGCACCCGGTGATGACGGTCGAGTCGCGGGAGAGGTGGTTCTCAAGACTGGCGCCACCATTTCCAAGGACGAGATGACCCGTGAGGACAAGGCTCGGGCTAGACGGCAAAAGAAGAGTCAGAGGAGGACCAATAGCGAGCCTACCCGGCAAACCGGCAAGAGCGCCGAGAAGCAGCAACTCGTATCGGACCTGAAGAAGGGTGGAGTTAAGGTCATCAACAAGGAGGGTCAGGTTACAGATATGAGTGGAGAGCGAGTTGGAGCAGATGCCAAAAACAGCGCTGATGCTTTAAAATTGTGAGGTGCGGCTCGATGAGAGAGATATGTCTCGTTCGCATGAAAAACTGACTAGTCCGTCGCTTGCATAATATATCATATCTGCATTTAGTGTAGTTCGCCCTCGTGCTCCCGAGGTGTCAGATAATTTCTTTAGTTCTTGATGCGCTTGGACCGAATGGTGTAAATAAATATGTTATCTCGGTTATACGTTGTGGCGCTTGGATCATCCCGAATCTCCTCGAACTCGAAGGCCTTTTTGGCCATTCTTATGAAACGGAGATCCGCCCTTCTTCGCCGCTTGAAGCAGAAGTAGCATACCGAATCAGGGCCCAGAAGGCTCTGGAGCGTCGCAATGAGGAGAGGAAATGCGGGCTCAAAGTAGACGCAGTCGGCGGCGAGGATCACATCGGGTTGTGAGGGCAGATGATGCGGAATGGGCTCACCCCAGTTCAGTATTGAAGCAGTCACAGTTGAGTTGAGCTGGTTGAGTTGGATATTATCCTCCATCAGCGAAAACATGGGTTGCTGGTCGGTGATGTAGATTGGCGATGCGGCCTTGCATCCGCGAGCCACTGCCAAGCCAACGAGTCCACCTCCTGCACCAAGTTCCACGCTATAGGACCCATCAGCAATCGACATTTACGATCTCAAGATTTCCAGGGTCTCCAGGCCAGACGCGAGGGCTCAAACGGAATACCGACATAGTTTTACCGGACAAGTCCGATGAGTGATGACCCAACAGATATTTGGCGAGAAAGATTCCGGCAGGCCATAACTGACCGCCGCAGCCATCTTTCAGATCTTCCTTGAGATGGAGCGGATCTTTCAAGAGTCCGTCGAAGGTGAGAGTGGTGGTACTCGCGAGCCTGTTGACTCGCGGCGGAGCCAACGAGTCACTCACGTCGAATAGATCAGGATTCGAGGGACTCACGGGTCTTTCCATGGATGTCTGCACCAAAAAGATGCAATTGTGCGTGTGAGGGGTCAGGGAACTGAAACTGAATTTAATTGGGCGAGTGACAGTGTAACTGCGCCGCCAACACGGTGGGGCTCTTATCGGATCACATGATCCGATCGATGAATGAAAGCCTGAGGCTCTCGAGAGGACTGAGTGAAATCTTATGGAAGAAAAAGTAGAAGTAGAGGCCGAAGTAGCGGTAGACGTCGATAGAGAGTCGGAGTATACTGATATCATGAATCTCAATTATATTGTGATGGAATGGAAATGTCCGTGGTAGGAGAAACGATATGAGTCGCTTCCTCACGCCGAAACGGAATGGCGTAAGAGAAAAAAAGAGCCCCAGTAAGCAACTACAATCTAAGATTGCGCCCGTGCACGCTGTTCAGATCTGAGATCGGCATCCGGTGCATCTTGTGAATCTACGGACCCCCACGGTGTCACGGCCGACCGATCGAGACTACAGAGTACATCTCCCCCAACTTCCTCAGAAAACCATTACTTGAAACTAGGTTACTTGACTTGGCCTTCTAATTCCCACTTTGGCGCACCGCCGCATTCATCATTGCATTTTACCTGCTCTTTCCCTGCTCTTTCCTTGGTGTTTCAGCCATGCGGCCTGACGTCATGCCACACCTCAGCACTCTGATTCATGACGACGTCACTTACATTCCACTCCACCCTACTCCTTCCGAGTTCATAAAGCTTCCTGTTTCCCACTTCCCAACTCCCCTGGATCACCTTGTTCCTCTTTCACCTCCTCACCTCGATAATCTATCAATATCCAAAATGACAACCCTACACTGTGAGTCTGACCCGACATTTGGAAATCGTGCCCATCTAACCACTTTCCTTCCGTAGATCTGCCCCCAGTGAAGCCCTCCGCCATTGCGATGGGTGCTTTCTTCACCCACACAGCTTCCCTAGGTATTCTGGCCCCCGTTTTCGGTGACACATATCACCGCGCGCAGGCGGCCAACTCGAAGGAGGAGTTCATCAAGTCGAAGGAAGCCGCGGGCGCAGCAGCTGCATGGGGCAGCTCTTTGGTCGGCAGTGCGGTGCAGACCTATGGTGTCGCTGCATTGATCAACGCCACCGGTACTCTCAGTTACAAGGGTGCCGCCTACCTCGGAACTCTGATCTTCTTTGCTAGTTCCGCCCCAAGTGTACGATATCCCCCTCCCTCCCCAATTGCTGTTGACTGCTTCGCATGCTAACTATCGTCTGTACAGTTCGTCAGTCAGATCTTTTCCGAGAAGCGACCTCTTGACACTGTTGCCGTCGGAGCCGTTTCTCGAGTCTTCGAGACTGTTGGTCTCAGCTTGTTCCTGACCTGGTGGGGAACTCGCACTCATCCCTTTGATTAAATATAAGTTACCTGATGCTCGAGTTTCCGGGACATCTCTCGTGACATGGAAGACCTGGTTTGTTTCGATTAAGAGCATGGTTTGTTTCGATTAAGAGCAGACAGGTTTCTAGCTATGATCCATGCGCCATGAGATATGGTGACACCTTTGTACCTACAATTTAGTTTTAGTTCTACTTTGTGATTATACATGTACTATACATGGAACCGTTTTTGAATCTTCATTGTGGCGCGCAGAATGCTTCTTCGCCATAATACTACAATACGGATTTCGTCGTGATCGGGTTGCTCGTGCTTCTTCCAGGTAGGCACAAAAGTGCCGCATATCATTGGATCAAATCCACCGAATACTTAATCTTCAAGTAATCCTTGGGATAGCATGTGTACGTGAGTGTGTACTGGTCAGCAATCAAAAATGCCAGGGTAAATGCCCATTTTCCGCATGCCGGCAGCGGCATATGGCGAACATGTACGACGGATGTCCCCGGGTGAAAAAAGCAAGCGAATGTAACAGATATCGCGAAAATCGTAAGAGACTAGACTAGTTGTGAGAGAAAAGGAAAGAGTGATTGGATTTGAGACAGAACTAGCATGGTCCGCTCCACATATATGAAAATGTCTAGAAAACGATATAATCAGACGAAGCTGCGGCAAGGGTACCTATTCAGGAGTGGTCAGTCTATAAAAACACGAAAACGACCCTAAAAAGTGATAGCTTACACTGCAGGGTAGGATTGCTCCTGGCCCATCTCGTACTGAGATGAGGAGCGAGTGGAATTGTTAATGTTACAAGGTGTCGGAGGCAGACCATTCGCTCCCAAAACATCTTGGATGCTCTTCTGGTCCTTCTCAAAGAGGGCGGCGAGGCCCCGTTCTTCACCTTGCTCCTTGACATCAACCAACTGCTTCTCTCCAGCCTCTCCAATCTGAAGAACATCGTCCTTGGGAGCTGCCTGGCTTCCCACCGTGAGAAGGCCCACGGCATCGGCCTGGGTCACGGTGCTGAGCTGCGGGTAGTTTCGTCGAGCGTCGCGCTTCCAGTAAGGGTTGTCGGCGATGTCACCAGCCGGGACCGTGACAGGGTCATCATAAGACAGGGGAGGCAGAGAACCGGGTGTAGGGAGACGAAATTGGGAATTCAGAGGGACACCGGTCGAGCGATTGGGGTCGATGGCGAGAAGGCGACGGATACGCTCCCAGACACCGGTAGATCGGACGGAGTATTTCTGCGACACACCAATGTCAATACCATCCTCGCCATCAAGCCTCAACCAGAAGAACACGTACCTGGGAGATCGAGACGACATTGGATGCCGCCTGGGCGGCTTTCAGGATATCGCGAGCCATTGCTGCAGACTCTGACCTGTACATCTTGGTGAGTCTTGCTCCTTGGGCTTTTCCAAGCATCAAAGGTGGGAGAACGGGTATCAGCAAACGGAGCTGTTGGACTCACCAGAAAAGATCGTTTCAATCCGTCACTGGTGCTGTTGCGACCTTTGAGATCACAATGCGGCACGTCAGGGCCACTTCCGAGGGTGCGACCGGACGCGGAATATAATGTCGCCGATGCCTTCCGAAGTGAGTACATTACTAATGACTTTTGCTCTCCAGATCGGGAAGCCTCTGGATGAGGAACATAACACTGTATGACCTTAGGCATCTTTGATATGCAGAGCTCTCGGGTGTCCGCCGACCCTGACCATCTCATAAACCCTCGCCGGCGAACAAAAATGACATACTGCTACAGATCGCCATATTGCATATGGCCATTATGTTTTGCGCTAAGACTCACGATCACGACAGCTAACGCCATTGCGCGTTCCCGTAGACTCAATTACTTTCCCCGTAGACTCAATTACTTTGCCTGACTACTGTCCGCATCTTGGGTATCTTCCTCAGCAAATCCCTGGGCCACCAGCTTTTGAACAGCATCCACCGTAGCGTCAGGGCCACCGGCTTCTCGAAGCAGCACCTTGCCCTTCTTGTCCACAACGAAGACGCCTCTGGTTGTCCCCTTTGGACTTTTCTTGAGACCAATCGCGCCCGATAAGTGTGGCTTTAGGGTCGCAGAGCAGGGGGTAGGAGAGTTTCTGTTTCGTTTTGAAAGTTGTGTTGGCCTTGGTAGAATCGGCTGAAAGACCGTAGATAGAAAAGCCCGTTGACGTGAGATGATTGTAATTGTCGCGGAACAAGCAAACCTGCTTGGTGCCTGTAGAGAAGTGAGCAATGCGAATCAAGCCTTGACCGTGGTTCGAGACCATTCGGGCTTGAGGAGAGTTGGGCACATACAGCCAGGGGTTGAGGCTTTAGGATATGTAAAAAGAACCACACCAGATGTGCTATCCTCCACAAGCTTCTTCAGAGAGGTTTTTGTGCCATCATTGGTCTCAATCTCGCCACCAAAGCCCTCCAGGTCAAGAATATCATTCACTTGAGGAACAGTTTGCGCTGAGGTCTGGTTCTTTGTATCAGCCACGTTGGGTTTCGGCGCCGGTTTGGACTTTTTGGCAGCCGTTGGGACCGTGACTGAGGCTGAAGCCTGGGACTTGCGCTTTCGAAGTTCGACCATTTTGAGGGGAGGATGTGACGGTAGGAAAGTAAAAGCACTTTATGGCAACTACCCCGGGGGTAGCTCTCCCCGGAAGCTTGAGTGGGAGATGACATAAGCAGACTGGGTCCTTCCTGAAAGTTCCGACCCACGGCCCTTCTTTGGTTCGCCCTGATCCGTGTAGAAAAACTCGATCTGACGTTCCTTAACGATCGCCACCGACACCCACTTTTCTCATCGGCCCCTTGAGAGCCTGACTCATCTGTCTTGTGTTTTCACTTGCCACTTCACATTTGTTCACCTCTAAATTTTTTGACTCTGCACCTTGCTCCCCTAATCTCCCGAGGGTCTTTGCCCAGCGCGCACCATGAAAGTCTTTTCGTCTACCTGCACTTTTGACTACTCGTGGGACGAGGTGTCAACAGCAAACTGGAGGAAATATTGCCCATGGAATGACAAGGCCACCCACGTCGTGGGTGTAGACACACTCTCCCGAACGATCGACCCTCAGACCGGTATTGTGAGTAGCATTTCGAGACTCTATACACTGGACTCTGAACTGACCATTTCAGTTGCGAACTGAGCGACTGATTACTTGCAATCAGTCGGTACCTCAGTGGGTTCTCTCGCTGTTTGGCGGCAGTGCCACCTCCCACGTATACGAAATATCATACGTCGACCCTGCTGTTAAGAAGGTCACCATGTGCTCTACCAACCTGACCTGGTCGAATGTACTCAACGTCCGCGAAACGGTTGTCTACCAGCCATCATCGATTCAGCCCCATACCACCACTGAATTTAGCCAAGAAGCGAAGATCACCGCTTTATGCGGTGGTTGGCAGAAGATCAAGAACAAGGTCGAGGAGGCGAGTGTCGAACGATTCCGGGAAAATGCCTCTCGTGGCCGCGAAGGCTTTGAAACTGTCCTCGAAATGAGCCGTCGAGTTTTCGGGGAACAGCGAGCTCTCGAGAGCCAACAACTGCAGTCATAGTCTTGCACTGTTTCCGCGTCGACATCCCAACATTTCACCTCACTCTACGTTCTTTGCACCGAGCGATTGCATATTCCGGCGTTCCTTCCCAGCATTTCGAAAGCATACGGCGTGATTTGGAGTTCTTGGATTCTATATCCATTTTGCGTTCTCAACCTTGATGTTTTCCTTCATTTTATGCTTTCCATGTCCCTTCACCAAGGGATCCTCTGTGTTATGGATATCACGCCGATTCCTTCGAAATGCGACATGGCCTGAAAAAAGTCTCATGATTTACAGCGAGTGGCTTGTTTGTCTTTTATTGTTCACATCAGCGAATATCTGCCTTTTCATCGCATAGATGCATAGAAGAATCCAAGAAAAACTGTGAATTCTCTACAGCTGGACCAAGGAGACAACGTAAATAGGCCTTAATTGGTCGCCGTGATTAATCTACCCGGGCACGCCATATTGACGGGGTCGTGTAAGTGATACCTTTGGAAATTATCGATCACGTTTGAGGCCATTCCAAGTGTCAATAAGGCATTAAGATGAACCGAGAGTGTAACGAATGCACGTGCACTCCCCCTCCCCTCGGTCCTGTCGTACGGATGGTCTAGCAGGAGTTGTCTTTCCGTATAACAATTGATACATCAGGAGCTTTCCTCCCCTCCCCCCAAACAGAAAATTCCAAACGCCACTCGTAGATCATTATAAATCGTCGCTTCAAGCGTTGTCCTATGTGGAGCGCCAGTACTCATCCCAGTAGACCTCCCAGAACCACTCGACTAACTCCAGACAGTTCATTTTTGACGCCATTCCGGCTGGCATCTTCAAATTCCCGCACTGCACCCGCTACTATGATCTTTCGTAGTCTGGCATCGGCTTTGGAAAACACTTCCCCAAGTGCAACTGAGCAAACCGACGGCGATGATACCAGCGCCGTTATTCGACCATAAGAGTCAATCAGCACATCGCAAAGAGTTGAAAAGGTCTCGAAAAAGTCGGGCTCAAAGGGCAACGAAGGTGTGAGGAGGTAGGTGTATTCTTCTCCAGGGAGAAGATCGGATGATTCAGTGAGTGGGAACGAGATGATCGAAGCCGCTGCAGAAGAGGGCGATGTAATGTTTCCCGCGGCATTTTTCAAGTCAGATGGATCGCTGGTTTGCATTGGCAGCCCAATCTCTGTTGCAGAGCTAGCTCGCCGGGTTTTTGTGCCTGCCTGTGCTGCTCGTTTGAACATCTGGGGTATGCGCGCTCTGGCCAGGCTCGAAGACGAGCTCCCGTCAGGTGGATGGACTTGTTGGAAGGCTTCAAACTCGAGTAGGAGGGCGTTGAGGGCTCTTAAATATTCAAATGGGGTCGAATTCACGTCAAGAATCGGTGGAAGGGATAGGCCCAGGAGAAGGTAATTGACAGCTCGACGAGAAAGCTTCCGAGAATCGAAGTATGGCAGACGACCAATGTCTGCGCGAGAAAAGTGGACCGTATTGAACCAGTAAACACGTCCTTCCAAACTAGAAGATTATCACACTGATTAGTTGCCGCGATGTTACCGATGGTTCGTCCTCATCCAAATGATCAACTTACGCTTTTCTCAGGTAGTCCAAAGTGGAGATTCTTTTCGCAGCCATTTCATGGATCTGCTGGTAGATGGCACCAGCACTCTGAGGCCCGAATGGACCACCTCCGCTCGTCACCGGAGGTATTCCACTGTGAGGATTATCATGGGCCCCAGTCGATTTAGCAGTATCCCTTCGGGTCAGGCTTGGGGCGAACGAGGACGAGATCATTGTGGTCTGCGGGGTGTCTCGTTCAGGAGATCCCCGGCGATATGACAGGTGACGGAAAGAGCCAAGGAGGTTCCCTTGGTGGGAAAAGGGAAGCGAAAAGACTAGGGCGTCGAATGAACAAGAACAGAAAAACCAATAAACCTCAAGAAGCCCGAGAAAGTCAGATTGATGGACTCGAGAGCTAGAGGAGAAAGGTGATTCTCAGGAGATCTGGAGTTCGGAGTTCTCCACATGAGCCCCTCCGATGCCTTGTGGCCAGCATGTAATTTGTTTGTCTCCGCCGCCCCTCCCCTCTTCCACTCGTACGCCCTGCAAATGGAGACTCCTATCGACGAACAAATACCTCTTCCGGGTCAATGGCCTGGAGATCCCCAAGATGATGTTCCCATCTCAGAGGATCGTATTTGGGTAGACGGCTGCTTCGACTTTAGTCACCATGGTCAGAATTCCAAAAAAATCTGTGCTCTGCGGCCCTGACTCAATCTGTGATAGGCCACGCCGGTGCTATGCTCCAGGCTCGTCGACTCGGCAAAGAACTTTACGTCGGAATTCACTCAGACCAAGCCATTTTGGAGAACAAGGGCCCGACGGTCATGTCGCTGGATGAACGGTAAGTCTCTCAACCTTTGATTGCTCCTTTCTTTCCTAGCTCAAGGCCCGGGGCTCATTTCATCAGAGTTGCAGCCGTCGACGCCTGTCGGTGGGCCACTCAGAGTGTCCCACATGCTCCTTACGTGACCTTTTTGCCATGGGTCTCTCACTACGGCTGCAAGTACGTCGTTCACGGCGACGATATCACATCTGACAGCGATGGCAATGATTGCTATCGATACGTCAAAGCCGCAGGCCGCTTCAAAGTGGTGAAAAGAACACCGGGAATCTCTACCACAGACCTGGTTGGGCGCATGCTTCTTTGCACAAAGAACCACTTCGTCAAATCCGTCAAAAACACTTTAGCGGGCGAAGAAGGATCTGGAAGCCCCGACGAACGCAAAAGGTCTGCTGAGGATCTGTTGCAGCGGATCCGAGACTATGCTACTGACGAAAGTGGCCTGCAGCCTGGCCCTCAGGTCTGGACTTGGGCTGGTTCCGGGGCGGCAAAAATTGACCCTGCCGTTGAAGAAGCTGGGTCATTTGACAATTTGGTGACCGGTAAAGGCCCTAGACCCGGACAGCGGATTGTCTACGTTGACGGCGGGTTCGACCTTTTCTCATCTGGTCACATCGAATTTCTCCGGCAAGTCACGGAAATAGAAGAGTCTCTAGGCCGCCAGCGAGGTTGGTATGAGCCTGGCCAAAGAGAGAAGAGAATCAAGGAGTACAATGAAGATTACGCCCCTGCCTATCTCGTGGCCGGGATTCATGACGACGACGTGATCAATCATTGGAAGGGACTCAATTACCCCATAATGAATATCTTCGAGCGTGGCCTTTGCGTCCTTCAGTGTCGCGTACATCTACCCTTTCTCGGCGATATCGTGCGTGTACTAACACATATTAGTATATCCATGCGGTTGTATTCTCAGCTCCTTTCACACCTACCCAGCCATACCTGGAGGCCATGCCCCTAGGCACGCCAGATGTCGTTTATCATGGACCTACAACCTTCATTCCCTTGACCTACGATCCCTACACCGCACCCAAGAAGATGGGAATCTTTCATGAAGTTGAAAAGCACGCTTTCCAGCATGTGAATGCGGGTGAGATTGTTGATCGAATTTTGAAGAGCCGCGAAGCCTACGAAGCCAGGCAACGTGCCAAGCTTCAAAAGGCAGTCGCGGAGGACTTGGTCAAGTCGCAAGAACAGAACTTGGCGTAGACTGATTCTCACTTCCGCTATAAAGCCCATTGCTACGTCAATGGAGTCAAACCGACTGTACATACGATGAACCTCCACAATTGGGGCTTATGATGTCAAGCATAATCTACACCGAGCACCTCGCGTTACTTTGCGCATGAAGCCTTCAGTGCTCAAGTAATCATTCCGTAGCAAGATAATCTAGCAGCAACGTCGCAACTCACTGGCAAGCATGGGGTGAGTCATTTCTTCTCACCACACCTGGCCGACACCAACCGAAATCTGATTAAGGGTATCATACAAGGTAGAGCGGGGAAATTTGCGGGGGAAGGGAAAGGTGGGAGGGACATCTTGAACAAATTGCGAAAGGAAAAGAGATATGAAGAAAAATGGATTGATCTGAATATTTGTACAAAGATATAGACCCGCTATGGGGGGGATGCAGGTGGCATCCGCTGTACGAATCACCATTTCACTGATCCGCCGCGACCAGAACACCCTTCCCCTCCAGCATTTTGGCAAGTTCTCCATTCTGGTGCATAGACATTAAGATATCACAGCCTCCGACGAACTCTTTGTCCAGGTACAGCTGGGGGATAGTCGGCCAATCCGAGTATTCTTTGACGCCTGGACAGAAAGAAAATATTATCAGTATATCAGCAAGGACGGTGAGTATGGAGTGCAAGCAGCTCACCCTGGCGGAGTTCGGGGTCTTCGAGCACATTGAACGCGACAAATTTCTTGGGGTCAACGCCCTGCAGACCCAGAATTTGAATGCTTGCGCGCGAGAACCCGCACTGAGGCGTTTCGGGAGTGCCCTTCATGAAAAGAACGACAGGTGCGGAAGCAACGGCCTTATCAATTGCCGCCTTGGTATCCGCAGACAAGAGGCGCGCATGGAGGACCGAGGGAAGCTTAAAGGCCGGGGAGCGGATGGGACGCAGGAATGGCCGTGAGACCGGGCGGAAAGCCTAGAGAGCGTCAGTGATGCAGAATGAAGGGAAGTGGGATGGCGCACCGAGATTGCAGATCGAAAGAACATGATTTCAGCTCTGGTTGATGTTGAAGGAAAGAGGAGAGGCTTCAAAGGGCTGTTAGTATTATTTCATCGGTCGTTGGTTACATCGGGCCCCACTCTTTGCCTTAACCCCGAACTTCCCTCGTCTCCTCACCTCCGTGACTTCTAATTGCCTTCGACATAAGTAATGAGAAAATGGTAGGCGCATTCTCTGCCAAACAGCATCTGCAGGACAACAAAACTCATATATTATTGGCTGCCTCCGGTATTATAAACTGACAGATACCTTTTATATCATCAAATTACCTTCTAATTTATATTCAGGCTCGGTAGCAACTATCAAGCTGCCCAACATCGCCGAGGCTTTGAGTCGCCATGGGAATGTATCGATTCGGATTATAGTCACCGAATCTGCAGAGAAATTTCTTGCTGGCCAAAGCTCAGAGCAGCCGCTCCTCGACCGCCTGGAACAAATCGACGGGGTTGATGGTATTTATCGCAATGAAGATGAATGGGCTACGCCATGGAAAAGGGAGGAATCCATTTTACATATCGAGGTCAGTCGAGTTCTGCCCTTCTGATAGACTCGAGGTTAACTCACTGGATCATAGCTGCGGAAATGGGCGCATATCTTATTAGTGGCTCCATTATCAGCCAACACTATGGCGAAAATGACCATGGGGATTGCAGACAATCTCTTACTCTCTGTTATCAGAGCTTGGGATACGACGGGCCTTGTCGATGGGGATTTCAAGGCCCAGAAGCCAGTCATCTTCGTGGCGCCGGCAATGAACACGGCCATGTGGAGGCATCCGGTCACTGAGAAACAGTTGAAAATTCTACAAGAGGAGTGGGGATATACAGATCTCAATCCAAAAGGCTGGGTTTCTGTTCTGTCACCTATAGTGAAGTCTCTGGCGTGCGGAGATGTTGGAACCGGCGCCATGATGGATTGGAAGGGACGTCGTTCGCGTCGTCCAAGAGCACTTGAACCTTGCGGCGACTGAGTCTTAATCATGCTTTTGCGTTTTATTTTACATCGTCTCGGACTCTGGTCTGGTGCTATCATACAAACCCAGGTTCTGTGTGGCATACTCGCCGAGGAGACCCATGGTGATGCCGCCACCTGTCAGGAGGCATCCATTCTTGAACCACCACCAGCAATTCTTCACATTCTTCAACTGAACCCTCCAAATCATGAGCCCCAGCGATAGAATAGCACTGCCACAGCTGCCGACGAAGAAGACGGGGCCACAGCCTGCGGCAACCCCTGCGGCCCCGAGGAGGGACACCTGGACCAATGCTAAGCCAGTCAGGACTGCCTTGGTATTATGCTCATGTCGGAGAGCGATTGACTTGATCCCGGCAGCCGCGTCGTCCTTGATGTCCATATGCGCATATATCATGTCGTACAGCACAGTCCACGCCACGCAGCTAGAATACAGAGCCCCTGCGGCCAGAAGGGCATCATGATTGGCCATTAGATCCACTCCCAATGCTGGGAATCCCATAATTGCGCCCCACGAAAAGGCTAGGCCCAAGACGAATTGGGGGTAGTTGGTGACGCGCTTGGCTAATGGATATGCAACCACAATTGGTAGACTCGGAATCCCGTACCAAAGGCACAGGGTAGGGAATTGAAGGAGTATACCGAGTCCGGCCAGCAATTGAGTGCCGGTGAAGAGCACTGCATGTCGCGGCGAAAGGGCCCCCCTGGCAATGGGACGGAATTTTGTTCGTTCAACATGAGGGTCTAGGTTTCTGTCCCATAGATCATTGATGGCGCACCCGCACCTCGCATGATCAACGCACCCGTAAAGAAGAGCCCTGCTGTTCCAAACACTTGCATCGGGTTTATACCGGTGGCCATGGGGGCAGCAAGAAGGGTGGAAAAGAGCGTCGGGAAGAACAAATAGTATGTGCCCGTGGGTTTATCGAGTCGGATCAATTCCGCGTATGGTATCCAGGAACGTGGCAAAGAAGCGATCAAGCCCGTCTGGGGAGGGGTATAATGTGTGACTGGGTTTGTCAATTTTCGGCTCGCTTCCGGATGTATCGCCGTAGAATAGACCTGCGAGCTGCGTACCGGAACTATCTGTGCCGCGCACAAAGGAAGTTGCCGGGAGGGACGACTATGCTGCATCACCGCAGATGGACGGAAGCTAGCGGGCGACAAGGTCCCATGGCGCCGACTGTCGATGTATGTCCTGCAGCATTTGGGTAATCGCGCGCGGGAGAGGCGCGCGGAGTTGGGGAGTAACATGGCGAGACGTGAGCAAGAAAGACTGCGACGAAGAATGTTACTAGCCTGTCAGCAATTGATTCATGGTGCAGGGTCGAGATTAGGGCGATCGAAGGTAGAAGGTTAGGTTCGAGATCAAGAGAAAAAGTGCCAGGGATCGGCCTAAACCAAGTCGGGGATATGCAGGGACCCACCAAGGACGCGCCTAGTTTCTGTCCACTCTTTGCGAACGCGAACATCAAGCATCTCTTCTTTACTCTTTCCTCTGTCCTCTCTACTCTCTCATTCCTCATTTCTGATTCCTCATTCCTCATCTCTTGTTTCTCTACTCTCTACTCTCTGCGCTCTTCCCTTCCTCCTGCTCAAACGCACGTTCCTTTTGTGTCGCGAGTTGCTCCTACCTCGATCCGTGGCGTACTTCCCTTGATCACCAGCCTCGATGAAACCTCTCTTCTGCGAACCTCTTGGTTCAGATCAGTGCTACTCACTTTGAATCTTCCTTTGACCTCGTGGTTCGATCTATCACGTCACCCGGGTTCACCCGTACGATGCTTCAGAAGGAGCGCGCGGCCTTCAAGCCGTACCCTCCCGACATTATTGTCAATCCGACTGTAGACTCGATCCCAAATTTCGAGCATGTGCGGTCAATTTCGTGCGATGACATTGATAGAAATGGACTTGAGCAATTTTCGCATCTCTATGATTACTGGGTCATCAAGACTGGGCGGCCGCTCGTGATTAAAGGATTCCAAGATCTGTTGGACAGAAGGTTATTCTCGTCGGAGTGGCTTCAGAAGAACTACGGAAAGAAGGGTAAGCAGTCTCTCCATCGGCATGAACTCATGAGTTGGTCTGGCCTCCTTCTGACGGGTATTTTGTAGTGGAGAATGTTCGGAACTTGGGCAAGGGAGCTAACGTGTGCTTCAGCATTGGCCATTACTTGAACAAGTTGCCCGCGCTTGCAGGGAAGATTACTACGGCTACCTTCGACAACCCGCAGATCCAAAGGCTGTATCTGAAAGATATTGACTGCCCCGTTGAGTGGCAGAACTCGCTCGAGCAGATGATTGTACCTCAGCTCTTTTACTTGAATGAGTCTCCCAAGTCCTACCTTGGCCCTGGATCCACGTTCACCGGCCAATCTGAATGTCCTCGCACCCAGGAGGGCCATCTTATTGCCAAGGCGGGCGACCTGATGAGCAGCCTTCCGACCGAAATGCGCGCTGAAAACCTGATGTGCTATATTGGCCATGAAGGAACCTACACTCCTGCACACCAGGAGATGTGTGCCAGCCTTGGTCACAATCTGATGGTGGAGGCGTCGGGTGATTCCGTTGAAAATGGACACGCAACACAGCAAGGCTCATCGGTTTGGTTCATGACTGAAACGAAAGATCGCTATGCGGTAGCCGAATATTGGGCATCGATTTTAGGTCATGATATTGACTTGGAGGATCATTTTTCTCAGCTCAGGGCATGGGAACAGGCACCTTTCAGGACCTACCTGGTCGAACAAAAACCCGGTGACCTCGTCCTTGTCCCCCCTTTGGCTGCACATCAAGTGTGGAACCGTGGCACGCGAACAATCAAGGTTGCGTGGAACAGGACAACGGTAGATACGTTGGAATATGCTTTAGGCGAAGCGTTGCCCAAAGCGCGAGTTGTCTGTCGAGACGAACAGTATAAAAACAAGGCAATTGTGTACTTTACCCTCGAAAAAGTACTCAAGTCTGCTACGGCATGCCACCAGGATGGATCATCCCGAAGTTCAAGGTCTGTGGTCGGACTTCAGACGACTTTATAAGCTGTACACCGACATCATGTTGTCGGAGAGCTTTTCGAAATCGCCGCCCCCACAGGATCAAATCGAATTCGCCAAGTTTGACGGCAATGTGACATGCTCATATTGTCGCTGTAATATCTTCAATCGGTTCCTCACGTGTCCATGGTGCAAATCGAATGAAGAAGACGCTTACGACGTCTGTATGGAATGCTACGTCATGGGCCGGAGCTGTGGTTGTATCTCGAAACTTAAATGGGTGGAACAATTCCCTTGGAAGGACCTTGTTGGGCGACACGACGCGTGGCGTCGTCAAATTGTGTCCAACGAGGCGTTCGTCAGCGGTGACGACATCAAAATAGCCAAGTCGCGATTCCCTACGCTCATAGTGGTTCGGGGACGACTAGGCCGGAAACCCATCGCAGAGATCTGCCAGGAGCAATTGCTTTTGCGACCATTCACAGATTTCAGGAACGGCCGGTCACAAGAGGACGATCAGAAGGAAGCGACACCCTCTGATTCCGAAGATCGTGATTATGGGCACACACGAAAGCGCCGAAAAGTCCAGCGTCCCAAACGCAAGGTTGGGCAAACCCGCGGCCTGTGCCACCATTGCCACGAAAGTGAGCCACCATGGAAACTGGCAACTTGTTCAGCGTGCTACACGCAGTATTGCTTTGGTAGCTTATTTCGTGCCTTCAACATCTCGCCGCAGGACGCGTTGGAGAGGCCCCGCTGGGTATGCCCTAAGTGCTTGAAAACCTGCAACTGCTCGGTGTGCCGAATTGACTTTACGATGGTACCATACGAGCCCGTACGCTCATTTGTGGGCCACGATACTAGGAAGGTCGCCGATCCACGCAGCACGGATTCTCTGATCAATATGAAATTGAACAATGCCCACTGGGTCACTATGTTCGGTTCAGATATCGAGCAACGCCTGATCAAAGGTCAAATCGAAGAGAATCTCAAACGCTCAGAGGTTATGAACAGGTCTCAACCCCCGGACCCCCCGCAGCAATCGAGATCGAATGGCAACGGCGCAATGCCATACCGTGACTTTCTGGAACCTCATCATGACGACCCCGACGATACCCCCGTGGACCCTGCGCTTTTCGAGGCTAGTAATAGATTCATGAGCACATTGCAGGATAAAACGGCAAACTGAAGTCGTGCTTGTTTTGTTACCGACTATGTTCGAAAGAACCTGCCAAGGTTCCATCATGAATCCCCTGCAAGAGCCATTTCCTCATAAAATGAAGCTGTACTTAAACCACTGACACAAATAATGAAACAAATTTCCTAGCCACCGGACGTAAAATTAGGCGCCTTTGTACTCGTACTGGAGATCTTTCAGAGCCGAGAGATCAACCGAGAGCATCGTTTCTCGTGCGAGCAATATGACTGCTAGCATGGCTGTATAGAGGATAGTAAGATTATGTGGCACGGAAAAAAAAGCCAGAAAGGGAAGGAAAACACACCTCCGGGAATCAAGTAGAGAACGGGGCGGATCGTATAAGATGAACCCGCCCCGATGAAGAAACAAGCCGTTAGAACCAAGCACACTGCACCATTGACAGGCACCAAAGCAGAACGGAGGCAAGTCGAGCGATCATTCTCAGCCAACAGAGGCTTTTTGCCCTTGCGATCAGGGTAAAGGGGGGGCGTGTCTCATCGTATAGGCCGAGCCCACCAGCGAGAGAATGCTCAAGAAAGACAGAAGAGCCTCGCCGAGAGTCGAGGCAGACAGAATCGAGGGCATAAACATGGTGGTTAAGAGCAATGTAATTCCAGTAAAGATCATCTATACCGTTTCAGCATTCAGTCAAGCAAGATATGAGGATGTGAGTCTACACTGTATTGGGCGTTGCGTGCCTCATTTTGGCTTTGCAACTGCTGGATCACTCGCTCCTGTTCTTCTTCGTCGAGCTCTTCCCGGTCACTCCCCGATTCATCAGGATAGCGAAATGCCTTGCGGAATCGCATATCCATGTTCATGGTGTGGAGAAGAATGTGAACGTGATGTTCAATTGTCCTAAGTGATGGACGGATCTGACGTGGGATCGTTTGCAGTGTTTGTTTCTTTTTCTCCGTGTCCACTTCACAACCATCCGACTTCTATTCTCAACCAACGTCCTGTCTTCAACAATGCTTTCCTCTCGCGCACTTCCCCGGCTCGCTCGCTTTCCGGGCGTGCGTCGTAGCCCTCCTCGCCGTACCATGATTCCAGCCCCGGGCCCGAATGCGGGGCCATTGATGGAGCGACGTGCAGATCGCGAGCTGCCGTCAATTGATAACAGCCGGCGCTGGCTGCGAACTCTTCCAATCTTCGTCGTGGTTGTCGGAGCTGCGATGCTGGGTATCTTCAACTATCAAAAGTCCACCTCAAGCGTGGTCAGCAGCACGCTATACGCACTACGAACGTCGCCGCAGGCCCGCGAGATACTCGGCGATGAAATCTACTTCGCACAGCAAATTCCATGGATCAGCGGTGAAATGAATCAGCTCCATGGTCGCATCGACATTACCTTTTGGGTGAAAGGTACCAAAAGTCAGGGCAAGATGCGGTTTCGAAGCATCCGACCGGATCGTATGAGCTTCGTGAGTCACCCTGAATTGCTTCGTGCTTCGATCGCCGCAACATACAAGCGGTGTTCTGTTGTCGAAGGATATTGACATTGGCTAACGCTTCACAATTTCCCAGTTCCGTACCGAGGAATGGAGCCTACAGACCGAAGATGGCACTGTGGTGCAGTTGCTCGACAAAGACACCGACCCTTTCCGGCAAGAGTGAGCCTTCGGAAGACCAGAAGGTGGAAAATTTGTACAAATAGAAGACCTCGTGCATGGGAATTTGGCGTTTGGGGACCTTCTTTACGATATTCGTTTGTTCATCTCTATTATGAGTGGAACATCAAGTCCTTGGAAGGATGGTTGAGAGAGATGATAATGAAGATCGGGTGTCGAAGAAAAAAAAGGATATCATTTGTTGTATCATATACAAACGCCGCTCAAGTGAAGAATATTGCGCGAATGGTGTAGTAGTACATGCCTCCCCTGGCCGGGCGTTCCCTTGTCAATCACGCCGTTGCGGCCTCAACTGCCGGTGCAACCTGTGGCCACGGCTTCTTGATGGCATCCTGAATTCTCACTGTGCATCCCTTGGGGCCACTGACAGCACCTATAGATTGATGGCGTTAGCAAAAGATCGGAGGAATAGCTTGGAAAGAACATCCTACCGCTCACAACCACAACTCCGGTCTCAGGGTCCACCTTGAGAATCTTCAGATTCTGGACCGTATTCTGTTTATTTCCCATGTTACCTGCCATCTTCTTGCCGGGCAGACACGAGAACCACCACCCTGACCGGGTCCTGAGGAACCAAGAGAACGATGCGTCAAACTGACACCGTGACTACGGTCCTGACCGTGGAATCCGTGACGCTTCATGACACCTGCAAAGCCTTTACCCTTGGTGTTGGACCGAGCATCAATATACTGACCCTCCTGGAACCAATTGGCCTGGATGCTCTCGCCGACGGGAAGGAGACCAGATTCGTCCTTGACGCGAAACTCGAAAACGTGGCGTTTGGGGAGAGTCCGTTGGCAGAAAAGTGACCAAGGAGTGATTTTGTCATGTTGCTGGGGTGCTTCCAGCCCGATCCGACCTGAACGGCGAAGTAGCCGTGTTTTTGACGAGTCTTGTGGGAGACAACCTCCACGCGGTCGAGCTGCAGGACGGTGCATGGGGTGCGCTTGCCAGTTTCAGTATCGTAAATGGCAGTCATGCCCTTCTTAGTAGCAATGGCTCCGGACCGGAGGGGCAGTGAGTTGGCTTTGCGGCGGAGGGCTGCAGTCGTTGTCGACTCGAGGACGGGCAAACCGGGGCCAACATTGAAGCGGCTGGGCTTGACCTCGTTGAGGGATTTGATACCAAATGAGCGCACAGGCACCCGGGAGAGGGTAGATTGAGCAGCCCACAGGGACGAGGAAAGCTGCAGCAGCTTCCCTGGGAGGCGTGGCGACATGATGGGGTTTGGGGGGTTTGGAGTCCGGCGCACTGCGACTAGAAGTTTTTGGCGGCTGGATGAGTCAGCATATCTGGCCCAGCAGAACTCGACGTATGGTAATGTAATGATGGGTAATAAGTTCCAACGTTCACAGTTGAAGATTATCATGTCTCGACTAGGCTTGAATCAATTAGCATACGTTGATTTGCATCAATTCCACTGAGCCTAAGCGTGTTGAACAGCACTGGGAACGATCATGTACATCGATATGTATCCCGTATAGTTGCGTGTAATGCGCGCATTGCTCGTATTGAGAAGATTGTATCAGGTCAGCTCCGAGTCTAACTTTAATTCATTTTGGAATCTTGAATCTGTATAAAAAATTTTGCTAGTCCCGTCATTACCATAGGTACTTCAGAGTGCGTTCTGGCTGTAGAACGCAAGAGATCGCACGCCGAATGAGCAGCTGATCTAGAGCAATGAACCTGGCGAAATCAGCTGCAAAGAGGAAAATCGAAACAGCCTAGCTAAACATGTTTTTAACTAGACATTTCTTGTATCATGATTTTTGATATCATAATTTTCGAATGAAGTCGGCGCACTCCCCTTGAAAATCAGGTCCTGATTCCATGAAGATCCAATGCTAGTCCAGCGCGTGTCAATTCGGGACGCGGCGCCCGAAGATGCCGGGAACGGATCGCCCCGATAAGAATCCTTCACTCTTACTCTCTGTTCCAACATCGATCCTACCGAGTATCCATCGTCGAGATGCCCGTTCGGCTCACACTTCTGTCGTGCTGGCTGCCGCCTGCTGAGCTTCTGACAAAATCTACGCTTCGAGCCGTACATATGCCATCGCCCCGGTCCATTCATCTGAGTCTGGCTCCCCTTCGCAGCCCACCAACATTCAAATCTACCCGGCGATCCTTTATGACAGGGGCACATTATATTGGCCGACCAGCAGCACGATCACGAGCGAGCTTGCGAGCGACCCAAACCCCCAAACAACCGCTGAACCGACGCTACAATTCGGGAACTTCGGGCAGCTCGGCGCAGACAGAGAAAGAGGGCAACTCGTTGTCGCAACGACTTCGGAAACTTTCCCGTGAATACGGCTGGGCCGCGGTCGGTGTATACTTCGCTCTCTCGGCATTGGACTTCCCCTTCTGCTTTGTTGCTGTGCGCCTGTTGGGCGTGGAGCGAATTGGCTACTTTGAGCATGTTGTGGTGCAGTCGGTCAAGGATGCTTTCCACTCGGTGTGGCCCCAGACAGAGTCGAATGCCCAGGGTGAGGGCGAGAGTGAGGATACGCAGGCCAGCCTCGTCATGGCGGACGAGCGGAACCAGGAAAATGCCAGTAGGTGTCTCTGCATGTGTATGCGTAAACATGATCTAATCCGATTATTTAGGTATTTGGACCCAGCTGGCGCTTGCCTATGCCATTCACAAGAGCTTCATTTTCATCCGTGTCCCGTTGACGGCAGCAGTGACACCAAAGATTGTAAAGACTCTACGCCGCTGGGGTTGGGACATTGGCAAGCGAACTCCCAAGAGCCCGTGATCATGAAGGTTGACGTTGTTTGAATAGCATAGCGAAGCCTTTACCGATGTTGGGGAAAATTGTACATTAGCCACATAGATCAAATCCGGCACGATCTGATCTGCCCTCCCCACTCAATCTAGAGATATAATACACTCCCATACACTTCTTAGAGCCAACCCCCAGGGGAAACTACCTAACCCAGCGCCAATTGCGCCAACATGAGACCGGAAAACTTGCGGGTGCACAGGAGCAAGTTTTTTTTGGAAATTGCAACTCGCTGTGAAAAACAAAGAAAAGAAAAGAAAAGATTCGCCCCTTTGCAGCTGGTGCAGCTGGCCCCTGAAAGTAAATCGTAAGCATCAACGGCATAAGCTACTAAAGTCTCGTGGTCTTCGTCTCGGGGAAGAGAACGAAAGAAAGAGACCAAGAAGAGATAATGTAACATAAAAGAAATTGTGATCAAAGAGATTGTCACATATCGATCATATCGTTGAATCTTAACACGCCATTAGCTTTCATCACACCGTTGACGCCGTCAGGCATCCGGTATGCCCAGTCAGCCACACCCATCGTGGACGTGGACAGAGCGGTGCCACGATCAGGCTGCTGACCGGGTTCATCCGATGTGTCTGCCACCAAGACAAGGCCGAGCTCTTTGATGGTCTCCACAAGCGCAGGCACGACGTTCTAGATGAAGGTGATTAATAAAGAAAGGCTGGAAATTTTTCTATTAAATAAACTCACCAGAAGACTCGATCGGCAGATCATGCCCATGAAGTTGTTACTCTGAGCGATCCTTGCAGATTCCTTGATCGACATCGATGCCCGACCACTGCTGTTCACATGTGGGAGGGTATCGACGTTGCGAGCAAGATCCCGGATCTGACCCAGGTCATTGCAAAGAAGAACGGGATCTAAACAAGCGATCAGTGGATGGATCAAGTCATAATGTGGCGCAAGAAACTTACAGTTGGGTTGCTTCCAGTTCAAGGCGGAGCAAATATTGGCGTTATAGGATGTAAATACGACAGACCTCATAAAGTCCGGGTTCTTTTCTCGAGCCACACGGGCATGGTCAAAGACGTCAGTCAGAATTGCATCTGCGAAGGAGTTGACGTCGGCCAACGAATTCATATGAAGAGTGTTCTCTTCAGCACCAGATGGGTAGAGAGCCGAAATGTTCACACTGAGGTCGATAGGAATGTGTTGCAGAACCTCTCTCAAAGACATGAACGATTCGGCCAAAAGTCGATGGGTCTGCGGCATATCGTTGACTGCTTGCGCCTCAAGGAATTCGTGGATCTCCTGTCGGTTGGCTCCTCGCGCTGCACCGATTGTCTGGAATTGGGCATATGATAGTTGGCAGACGGGGATGTCAATGCCATGATAGTTAATCATAAATTGAAGGTAGAGGACTGGCACCCGATCTTGGGTCAGCTGCACGAAGAGTTGGACATAGTCGCCCGACAAGCTGGAGCCGGTAACCAGGCCATTGTGGTCCGAGTCAAGGGCACTCGTTGCTTTCCAATAAGTCGCGAAATGCGTGATTTCTAGCGGATCGCCATGGTATGGCTTGATGACCTGGAAGTTGAAACGCAGTTGGCCAATGGCTCGAAGGCGAGGGTCAAAGAGAGGCAGGCAGCACGTCCCTGTGCTAGATTTTTCAGCACGGAAGATCACAGGCAAAGCCACACTTTTCGCGATCACTTTCGAGCCAAAGGTTGGGAATATCTCAAAGTCCACGGCAAACGTGTCCAGATTATCAACATGGAACGAAATCGTCCGGGAGTCGTCCTGGATTGGCAGTACGATTGTGCGGGAATCAGGTCCGACAACTTCGAAGAAATAGTGAGCCTGGCAGCAGGGTGACGTCCAGCTTGATCGAAAGCGATCGAGCCCAAATTTCCTTGATCAAACAAGAGTTGGACGAAAACCTTCTTGTCAAGGAAGTTGTGGCCGTAGCGTCGCAGAGGGATAATTGGTGGGGGTAGGGAAAGATCCGGTATGCCATCGGCCATGTCCATTTCGATAGAACTACCTCGCCTCGAAGATTCTTCGTCCATCCAGTCCTGTTGCTGAGATTGCATGCCGTTCAAGATATCGAGCGGCCTCTGTGGAGGATGATCATGGGAGGGCTGCGCCCAAAGAAGAAGCATGCACTCCAGATGTCCTTCCCACGCCGCGTAGTACATCGCAGAGAGACCTTTCTCGTCCACGACCTTCGCATCAACGCCCAGCTCGAGAAGTGTTCGCAAACACGGCACGCAGCCTTCACTTGCCGCATGGAAGAGCGGTGTCCATTGATACAATTTGTCTCTTTGGTCAAGATCAGCGCCGTGCTGCTTCAGGAGCAAAAGCAGTTCCGGTGACTGCGATGCTCGAGCCACCATGTGCTGAGGGTAAAGGCCTTCGGCATCAGGTAATAATTTTGCCTTTCGCTCGAGGAGCATCTTCACAATTGGAAGGGATCCATGCTGACAAGCAAGATTTAACGGGATATGGTCTGAGTCTGAGGACGGATCAATGCGCGCATTGCTGCAAAGTACCTGCTCAGCACATGCAAGCTGGCCCTTGACAATGCTGTGAATCAAAGGTGTGAAGTTGTCGTGGTCCATAATGTCGACCGTCTGTGGGCCTACGGTCAAAAGTTCCTTCACCATGGATACCCGGCCGTGCATGCATGCGTAGTGCAGGGGTATCCGACCATAGACATCGGACCGGGAGATGTCCACGGCAGCCGCGAGACCGGCTTGGAAGACAAAGTCACGGCCAGATATAGCTGCTTCATGAAGACAATTCCTTTCATTGATATCATCCTCCGCATGGATGTCAACCAATCCACTTTCAAGTAGAAGGGCTAAGACATCATCTGAAAACCCGTTGATTGCGGTCAGGAATGTTCGCGTCGCTCTATCACGGGCGTCTGAGAAAGAATGTAACCTCGCCACCCATTCACGGAGGGTCTGAAGATTGCCCGCGGAGGCAGACTGCAAGATCTGAAGATCCAACTCGTCCTCCTCAGTGCCGAAACCAGGCGCTGCCGCACGCTCCATGGGCCGCGAGGTATCAAACTGTAGGTTTTCACCTTCTGCCCATGCTTCCAGCTCTAAACGAGCGGTCGTTGCTCGGTCTGAGAGATCACGAAGAACTTCACGGTTGAAGCACGGTTGGACCTCGACCGCTCGATGTAAATAGAGCTCCTTCATCCGTGATTTTGATGTTTTATCCCATTTCTTCAGGATCTTGGACATGGCCGTTTCATTAATTTCCACGAATTGCTGCAGTTTGTTCAAGTCGCCGTCGAATTGCTGGAAGCCTTCAAATAACGAAACAAAGTTCGACGGAGCCTTGGAGTTCGAGCTAGTCCGAGACTGAACCACGCGCTTCTTGTCGACTAGAGTTTTGAGTCGCAGCGAGAACTAGAAGGAGGGTAGTCAGTGAAACAAGTCCATCGCATGGTGCCTCAATAAGGAAACTGACCTCTGACTCCTTCTGGAGATAGAAAGTATTCACTTTCTCAATTTCGCGCTCCTATTCGATCAGGTGTTAGAGCGGCGTGGAGGTTACAAGAGGCCATCTGGACCTTACCAGTCGGAAGAAGAAGACTTCCTTGTTGGCGCGCAGCGCGGCTTGAGGATCCAGGGCATCATCTTGGGCGATTTCTTCCGCGGTCCTCTGAGCAGGGATGTTGGGTGTGGCGCTGAGCTGTTTGATGAGCTGTGCAAGGAGATTAGTTCGGGCGGGTTCGAAAGCCACGGTGAATCAGACAATAGACTCCCACCTTTTTGAGGGCCTTATAATTGACAAAGCTGGCCGCGTATTCGGGAAGGTCAAGCTGCCGGCGCTGAATCTGCTTTCCGAACTTCCTGCACGAGGTTAAATTACATTGGAGACTAAGCTGCAAGAGGTGGCTGCTCACATCTTGGCAGATTCTCAAAGTTGAGCACGTCGGGCTCTCCCGCTATGATCCGGGCACGCTTCGGGGTGAATTGATGGATTTCACGAAAGAGAAAATCGGACACGAGACGCAGGGAAGGGGAGACTTAAGGACCGAGTGACCCGGCACGAGGGGGAGGGGCCGGCCTGCGCAACGAGGTGGGGAATGATGATAGTGGGACAGACGCCGTGTCACCGGAGGTATGGCAGAAAGGCGCAAGTGAGGTTCGGCTCGAATTGCGCATTCCATCAAGCGCGGGGAAATGGTCAGGGAAGGTCGGGATGAAGGTGGATTAGACGATCAGAGTCAAGGTTTAACGATGCCTCGATTCCACGATTCCCCAGGATCAAAGAGATCAGATTGATGCCTCTCAGCTCAGAGAGGAGGAGGAGGAGTGGGGGGAGGGGACCAAAGGGTATACGCCCAAAAGGTACAGATGTACCTTTTAGTCGATTCAATCGAAGACCCCGGCCAACTAGGACAAGGCGTGGGAAGTCGAAGTTCAAGTTAAGCCGGAAGTGGAGAGCTCCCTTACGCCAATCACTGCGAACATCCCGCCCACGTTTCTGGCGATGCTGACTAAGGCCATCTATCCTCGTCCCCACGGTTTAGTGAGGACTCAAGTTGTTGGACCATCCTCGGCTAAGTTACTCCTCCGTCTCCATTTCCTGCTATTTCCTAGCAAGACCGGTCAATCCAAGTCTCTGGTCTCCACAAGCCCTGTCATCTCTACACTCTACTCCATATGCAATCAACATGTACGAAACTCCTAGTCATGTCAAATATCCTATAGAAACGAAACGTAAAAGAAGCAAGGTTCCTCACCCTAGAGTTCATTCCGAGCACGGCGTGCCCAATGTACAAAGATGCGGGCCAATTCAACAGCGGGTATGGGGAGATCAGATGCGAGGGATATGTCAAATCAGATCCAGAAGCGCAGGAAGATCGCAGAAACAAATGATAATAAAAAGGGCAAGGGGAAGAACCCGATGGGCCGATTATGGGAAAAAGGAAAAAAGGAAAACAAAAAGATGTAACAGGGGAGGAAAGAAGTACAAGTCAATAAGCACATGGCGAAGCGAATGTCCATCACGCCGGGAATATGAGACAGAGGGTAATCGGGCCAAACGATCACCAGAGATGAGGCCCAATATAAAAAGAGTGAAATCGGCAGTGGTCATCAAGAGGTACGAAGAGAAAAGAGAGAGAACGAGAGAGATTGAGAGAGTGAGCAGTCCAAGATTGGAAGAGCATTGAAGCTTTTTGGAAATCAAATCATCGGCACCAAGACCGTCTAGAAGTTTTGGGCGATGCCCGCATTCCCTTGCCGCGGGTAGACCCCCGGGTTTTCAATGCGCGTGTTGCGGCGCGCTTGGACATCCCGAATCACTGGCTGGTAGGCATCATCGCCATATGCGCCGTGGCCAGTCATTTCGCCGTAGTACGGGTTCTCGCCGTAATAACCTCCGGACGGGTGCGCAGCAGACATGTGGCTTTCCTCCGACGCTTCGGATTGATTGGCGGCGGAGTAAGCCGAGGACGCGTTGGAAGGACCGCGATGGATATCGCCATTGCGGTTGTTGGCGGCCACGGGGGCGGCACCCAGCACGCCAATGGTTTCAATTTCGCCAGAGTCCGGACGAGCACCGTCCGAATACTGCACGGTGCCTTCACTGGGAGTCGTTTGGTGGTGAAAGGCATCACTGCCATCCGACATGGTCATTCCCATGCCACTGGATAAGTTGGTCGAGGCCTGGCGGCCAGCAGAGGTCGTTCCCCAGCCACGGTAGCCCGACGAGATATTATCCTTGGGGGCCGCACTGCCTCCCATGCCGGGCAGAATGGGGTCATTGTTCGGATTAAATCCATACTCTTCGACTTCCTTTCGGCGCTCTTCCTCGGCGGCCTTCTTGGCCTTGCGCTTGCGCCAGAAGAAAATGGCAGCCAGGACAATCAGCGCCACTGAGACGACGGGAACCACGACGGCGACCGCGATGGTGCCACCAGCGGATAGGCCATGGCTGGACGACGCAGCAGTGGTCGACAATGCGGCCGAGTCGGTAGCAGAAGACGAGCTCGTTGCTGAAGAAACGCCGGTGGTGGGATAGGTGGAGGTTTCGGTAATAGTCGCGTAAACTGTGGTCTGGCCGTTGGTGCTCGCGGAAGTCGTGATGATGTCGACAATTGAGCTGGTGGTCGAAGTAGTGGTTTCAGTCGGCTTGGTAGAGGTTGTGGTCGCAGAAGATGTGGTCTCGCTCGTGGAAGTGCTGGTGCTGGTGCTGGTACTGCTGCTGGTACTGGTACTGGTGCTGGTGCTGGTGCTGGTGCTAGAGCTGGTGCTGGTGGTACTGCTGCTGGTACTGCTCGTGGTAGTGCTAGTAGTACTGGTAGTGCTTGAACTGGTGGAAGTCGCAGAAGGCGTGGATGAAGTTGCTTCAGAGGTGGTTGTCGCGGACTCTGCACTGGAAGTAGTGCCAGTGGTCGGTTCCAATGGGGTTGATTTGACCGTGGCCGCGGTCGTGGCGGCCGCGGCCGCAGCCTGTGAACCAGACATGGCGACTATGGGACTTGCAGTGACAATCGCAGATGTTCAGCTTATGGTCGTGGGGAACAAAGGAGATCCCCGGCCACTTCAGAATCGGACAGACGATCGGACGAAACGGGTTCTCGGGTTCTCCACGGAATGAGGGGGTCGGTGAGTAGATGAATTGGTCGGCGCACGAAGAGAAACAAAGAGGATTGAGGGATGTTGGAGGATCGAAGAACGAGTGACGGATTCGAATCGCGTAAGGAGAGAAGATGAAGATCGAGGTCGGAGGCTCAGGGGGCGGATCAGAGCGCAAACGGCGATTCACGAAATGAGAGGGGACAAAAGGAATTCCAAAGCGATGAGAAGAGAAGAATTCCAGGATCTCACAAAGACACCGAAACTAGTCGGGAGCCATGGGTGAGCCGCCCGTTGTGTGGATGAGAAGAGAAATGAGGGAAACCGGGCAGGAAAAGTGGAGTTTACGATCCCGGCGTGTCGCTGCCTGCGGTCTACAGATCTGCATTATCTTATGCTTGCAGGCTCGTCACAACCCACTTGTCACTCTCTGTTTATGGTTTGGGGGGAACATATCCCTGGATGCGGCCATGCGACTTTGGAACCCTTGCGTTGGCCCGGGCCTTTCAACTTCTCTCCGGTTATCTTGCTCCTTTGAACGGAAACCCATACTTAAGCTCTTCTTCCATTTCCCTCTCCCTTTGCCTCTTATATCTACTTTTAAGTTCTTGCATGATCGCTACTTTCCAATGATTCACGCTGTACTCACTTGCCACCGAACCATACGAGACGGAAGCCGTTTGGCCCCCGTTCCTTGGTTCCCTTGGACGCGGTAGGCAATGGGTCCGACCGTTTTTGGTAGATTGCACACACACACGCACACACACACACACAAATAAATACAACACAAATAAATACAATACAAACACACCTACACCTACACCTCTATACACACACACACACACATATACATACATGCACCGATCTCCTTGTGGTACTTCTTATTCCATTCTAATAAGTCAGGGGCGTCTTGAATGCCCGCGTAATGGCCAACTAGGTGATATCGCGTCTTACGTAGTCCGTCGGGTCTAGTCGTTGTTAGTGGAGTCTTCAGCGCCCATCGCGACGAAAAATTGGCCTGGAACGCCGACGACCCTCTGAGCCCATGGGACCAATTTCAATCTACAAAAGTTCCCACTCATATCAATGAAAATGGCTCGGCCGGATGAATCAGTGCATATATACAGCCTCACGAGCAAAGGCCCGGGGCAGGAAGAAAATCAAATTTCCAAAATGGGGGACAAGGAGAATCCAACCATCATCTATGTACGCCTTGGCTGATATTCCAGAATAGCACTATGAAAAATGAAAAGGATCCGGACAGTGACATATACGGGATCTCCAAAATTGGAGAGCACCGGTCCCGTGAGATAAAATGCAGGTCATCATAGGTTCAAGGACCTCAAAACAACAAAGTCGTGAAAGTGAAAGGCGCCCAGAGATAATTTATCTTGTCATATCCCATTCCGGGCGCAGACTGGACATCAGGTCGTCCTTTGTGCCTACCGTGTCCACAGGTAAACGGCTGACCCGATAGTTACCATTACGAATGTTGTTCATGTGGGTGTTCGAGATGCCGGTCCGGTTGCTGCGGATGCTACCGGCGTCACTGCCTCCGTCGCTGTTCTTGAAACGGGGCGGCGGGGCGAAGTCCAGACTGGTGTATGTGCCAGATTTCCGCAAGGCGTGGCTGAGAATCAAGTTAGAAACAGGTCACAAAAGAAAGCAAGAAAAAAAATCAAACACAGAGAGGGATACTTACGGGCTAGGGATTACAGCAAGCTCGTCAAATGCCGATGCGAGAGGGGTGTGAGCCCGAAGACTTGGACTGAAGGGCATCTTGCCACCTGTCGGGGTACCTGGGCGACCTTCACGCTGATCTCTGAAGTTCTTGCCGGGTGCAAAATCGGCAGCCATCATGATGGAATCATCCTTGAGCAAATGAGGAGTCGGAAGCATCTGAAGCGGTGCAGGAGGAGGTATCGGCTTTCGGGGCCCTCGAGGAGGAGGGACCCGGCCCGACGCCGAGGAGAACGCACGCGGGCCTGGGTTGAAGCCGGCAGAGTTGGTCGCCATGTGACGGGCGGCCCCTTGGAAACGGGGAGGAGCACGAGGCGGGGGGGGGTCATGGCGCGACGGCCAATGGGTTCGGCAAATGGAACAGGAGGGGCTGCATCGTAATAATCACCGGTGGTAGGATCATAGACGTAGCCTCCGTCATGGGCATCGGTAGCACCGTAGTCCTCCATGTACGTGGTCTCTCGCTTGCTGTCATCAAAGTACTCCTTGTAGAAAGAGCGAATTCGGTTGGCACGCTGCTCCGGGTTGTCCGCCGGGTCCTCAGGGGGAAGCGGGCGGACCCCGAGGGTCAACCGGCGAGTGTCAGGGCGGGCATCGTAGACAGATTCCTGATTTGCCGGCTCCTCTGGCAGGTTGAGCGGTTTGTTGTCGTGGCTGGCATCATGCTTGGCATCATCGATACTATGCACATTCACTGATGGAATCATCAGCTCCGACTTGCGCTCGTCTCCATAATCGCTACTAGTGACATCGCTTGCCGGTAGTGAAATCCGCGGGAGCTGCGTCGTGGAGCTTTGCATGTGCTCGCGCTCCTGATGGGATGCTGTAGGCCCCGGTAGTGGGAAGTTGAGGCGATCTTCGTAGTGCATATTCTCATTGCCAGTGCCGCTGTGAGGAGTCTCAATCTCAAAGTGAAGACCATGCTCCGAGATTGGGTTGAAATGTAGCTCTGACGGCGCAGCCCGTTCACTGCTCTTGACGTCGGTGGTCGCACTCCCAATTGCCAAGCCATGCTCATCATGCTCTGAAGGACTTGGGGTCAACCCTGATTCCGATCCGTGGTAGTTCTGGTACGTTGGAGGGGGCGGCTGCGGAACAGAGTCGCTTGGCGAGTTGGGGTATAGTGGAGGGGACGAGCGAGACATGCGTTGAGCATTCCGCAACAGACCGGAACTTGGCTCTTCCGAGGCTCCAAACCGGCTGATCGACCCAGTGAAACTCGATGCATCGTCCCGACCTCTTGGGAAAGATCGAACCGAGCCAGCATCAGTTACCAAGTTAGCCGGGCGATATTTGTCGTCGTCGATGGACCGAGAGAGAGATTGCAGCGAGTCTCGGGAACGGTGCAGGCCCGGGGGTAAGAGGTATGGATGCACGTCCAGAGACAGACCCTTAGTATGAGTGGGTTCCACCATCTGGGGCAGACCGTTGGGCATCTTTTTGCGTCCTCCCGAAGGGTCCACGACATCCATGCCAAAGTCGAGAGATTTGTGTTTGTCGTTGGCATCCTCGCTCAGAAGCTTCTTGACGTGTCGTCGGTGAAGGATAATCAGGATCACAATGGCACAAATAATAGGAACACTGGTGCATTGTTAGCCTCAGATTCTTTCGAGTCCTGTGTAGATCTAATTTTGACGTACCCAGCACCAAGTACGATAGGCAACACCGTAGTCATCGTCATGCTGGTAGCTTTGTCCCCACTCGCGGTTGTCTCCGCTGAGGCAGGAGCTCTTATTACCAAGGATGGCATGTTAGGAATATGAGAGGCGGTAGGCACCAAGAACGGCAATCGGTGCGGAGGCACGACCTCTCTCCGGACGTGAGCATGCCTCATCACCAGGTCGACATGATGGTGAGGCATGGTTTTGGGGAGAGTTTCCGTGGCTGATTTAAAGATTGTAGGAACGGCAAGCGAAGCGACAAAAGAAGGGCGAAAAGGGGGAATTAGACCGTCATGAAAGCCAAGTAGCAAAAGAGTGAACGGGGACGACAAGTCCACCGGAAAGTAAAAGAGTGGCGGCCAAAAGCCAAAGGGAGTGAACGATGGAAGAGAAGAAAAAGAGAAGGGGAGTTCTGGCCCTGCAGATTACAGTGTCGTAGTTGTAACTTGTGTATCTCCCGTATCTACGCTGTATCTCAGCGTATCTGGCGTAACTGTATTGTTTGGGATCTCCGCACTATCCTCCTTTTCCCCGTCCAACCCCCTGAATCGCTTTCCTCGCCCACCTCCTCCTTGTCTTTCCCACGATTCACTCTCTTGTTTTGATTTCTCCATGACTCGCACTCTCCCCAGCTACGACTCACTTCCATTCGAACAGAGACGCAAGCTGCAAGGCTCGGATGAGACCTGTTGATGGGGCCAAGCTTTAGCGTCAGGAACCCACCGCCCACGACCCAATCAGCAAACTGCTGCCCCTGAACCGGAGATGAAGCGGTGCGTTCTACCGTCGTATCCGTACCATTGGTCTGTAAGGGCCACCAGGGGGCTGACTTTACCCACTGAGGTTTAGACTGCTTCTAATTTGACTTGGAATCATCTGCTGTCAATCTTGGGGACTTTTCCTGGACCTTAACTTGAGACGCCGCGACTGTTCCCCATCATTCCGCATTCCGCATTCCATCTACTTCCACGGGGCCTTCTTCTGGAACATCTAGCTTGAACCGTGCACATTCCCTAGTGGATCATTTTCAGAGCTCCATCGTCAGGTTCATTGTCTTTCCCGCGTGATCATTGGGTCCATCATTTGAATGGTCCTTGAGTGAATGCGAATGTGGATGTGGATGTGCACGCTCTCGAGCTCTCAACTCCCATGACATTGGCCAGATACAAAATAGAGTAGAGTCACGCCACCGGTTGAACCTGTTGGCCTCCTCGAGTTCTTTTTGTGTCGCCCAGCTTTTTCGGAGTTACGTAGGCCTGTTGTGATGCTTGAGAAATAGCATCAATGACCGTAATACCTCTGAATTTCAAAGGCAGCTTTATCCTGGTGGACAAGCTACGGACGCAAGTCAACAGTGCTCACCGCCGTTTGAAGTTGATGGTGGGTTCGTGCGATATATATTTCATCTAAGCCGTTAATAGGTGCGACCAGATCACTCCCCCGGGAGAAAAGACGAGTTTCCAAACAATTAAAGGATTAGATGATCATTCAATTTTTCTCATGAGAAAGAAGAATGTAGACCAGTAGTCCGGCTTATAATAAAACCAAGTTCCCTGGCTGCGTCGATAGGAGATGGAAGGTAGGGGTGGTCCGAGAACATCCTCAGTCCAAAAAAGGTTGTACGCCCAAACGAAGATCTCTCCTGCTTGACTAGCTTCAGTGACCATTCCAACCCGAGGAATGGAATGAAGAAGAGGAAGAGGAAGCAGAAGAGCAATATGAAGCCTGCGGCTGCTACGTCCTCAAGTACGTGGATGGTGGGGTCAGATCAAAGCCAAGGTGATGAGCTACGAGGCAGCTTCGTCGCTGACTGTCGCTAATCCTTGTTGACAAAAGGCCTGGAATCAGGGGTGCATTGTCGATGAAAAGTCTAGTGCAGTTTGACTAGTGGTCGCCATCTATGCATGAGTCGATCACTTCCCGCTTCCCGACCTCAACGATCACTAGCCGCCTAGCTTCTTCGTGAAGACGATCGATCATTCTGGGAATATAGGGCCAGACTGTTATCTACGGTCTGTGTCACGGTCATTGCCAAGACTCCAAAAAAGATGTGATTTTACAGAGCCTCGGGACACAATGACGTCAACTCCTTGAATAACCGAGCAAGCCGACAATAACCTCGTTCACTGGCCTGATAAAGCCCCGTCGCTGGAAAATTTTGATCATTAGCGGGGTCCGTTATCAACTTGATATCCCGATGATTCAATGCCGATGAAGGAGTCCGAGCCCGATGATGCCGTTGGCTGCCCGAGAGATTAATCAGTCACATTGATGTGGACGGGTGAGCCTTCGCGAGCATGAGAAATCGTCATTCATTTCCGATCTATGCGGGATAGAAGAAACAAGTCGGCAGAGCCATTGGGCCATGGTCTCATCCGTTCGAAAAGTCGGAGCCCATGCTTAAGTCTGAGATCCACTGGCCGAGTGGTGGAAACATGGGCCCGGGCAACGTGCCGATGCAATCCGCACCTTTATTACTATCAGAGATCTTTCTGGTCAAATTTTGCCGCTCAATGTGGCCAGACGCTAAAATTTAGACTCAAAAGGCCGAGTCCATGCGAAGGTGAAAGGGATGAGATGCCGTAACAATAATTTAATATCTATGGTCCGCCTTCAACCCAATTGTGTATTTCTTTTTGCCCTGCAGAGCCTCTTGTTCTAACGGACGTTGCCCACTCGATATCATGGACTTGGCTTCGCGAGACCTGGAAAAAGGTGAGCTCGACCGCGGAGCAAGCCAAAGTGTTGATAGTAGTCCAACCCTGTCACAATATCACTCGGAAACCTCAGCATCATTTGCTTCTTCCCAAGAAGCAATGGAATATATGTCTCGAATTCAGACAGCGGTATCCCAGCGGGGATCGATATTGGAACGCCATCCAACGGCACTTAGTCGAATTGCAACCCAGCGCAGTCAACATAATGCGACTGTGGGCGCTGGCTTGAACACACATGTATTCCACCAACCTTTACCAGATTTCGGTGCCGGCAAGCCCTACCCTCCTCCCTTACCCGAAAAAGAAGAATATGTGGTGGAGTTTGCAGGACCGGAGGACCCGTTACATCCCCAGAATTGGCCTATGAGGAGGAAGATTGCAATCGCAGTGATGCTCGCGTACACAACATTCAATGCCACGTTCACCAGCAGCATATACTCCTCCGCAATCTCCGTCATATCCCCCAGTTTCATGTATCTTCGGAGGTTGGAACGTTGGGTCTGTCTCTATATGTGTTGGGTTTCGCGGTTGGGCCCTGTCTTTGGGCCCCTTTCTCCGAATTGCGTGGCCGACGCCTGCCGATTTTGATATCAATGTTTGGATTTACCATCTTCCAGTTTGCCGTAGCAACTGCAAAGGATCTTCAAACCATCATGATATGCCGCTTCTTTGGAGGATTCTTTGGGGCATGCCCAGTTGCCGTTGTCGCAGCTGTCTTCTCCGACATGTTCAGCAATCGCATCCGTGGCCTTGCCATCACTGTCTTCGCCATGACCGTGTTCACTGGCCCACTTTTTGCATCGACTGTCGGCGGCTTCATCGTGCAAAGCTCTTTAGGATGGCGATGGACTGAATATCTTACTGGAATCATGGGTGCCTCAGCATTTGTGGCAAACATTTTCTTCCTGCACGAGACATACCCACCTGTGGTTCTCATTCAAAAAGCTACAGAACTTCGCCGTCGCACCAAGAACTGGGGAATCCATGCTAAGCAGGAAGAGATCGAGGTAGACTTCCGGGAACTGCTTTCAAAGAACTTCAGCCGGCCCTTTAAGATCCTCTTCACCGAACCAATTGTGCTATCTCTCAGCATTTACATGGCATTCCTCTACGGCCTACTGTATCTGTTTTTGACCGCGTATCCTATTGTGTTCCAGAAGATCCATGGCATGGAGAAAGGCGTGAGCGGTCTCCCTTACCTGGGTCTTGTCATCGGTGAATTCATCGGGGGGAACTTGCATCATCCTCACCCAACCCTGGTACAACAAAAAGTTGGATGCAAATAATGGTATTCCCATTCCCGAGTGGCGCCTGCCGCCAGCGATTGTCGGTAGTGTGGCCTTTGCAGGCGGCTTATTCTGGTTTGGTTGGTCCGGCTTCACTGCCGATATCCACTGGATTGTGCCAACTCTTTCTGGTGTTCTCATTGGATTCGGTCTGCTGTGCATCTTCATGCAAGCCTTTAACTACATCATTGATTCCTATCTTCTATTGTGAGTGCTTTGATCTTGCCTAGAAACCAACATTGACACAGGATGGCTATTAACAATGTCTCCCTCAGTGCTGCTTCTGCTCTGGCAGCCAATAGCATACTACGTTCCTTGGCCGGTGCAGTGTTTCCCTCTTTTCGCCACTTACATGGTATGTCAAGTCTCTTGATGTCTGGAATAGATTAAATACTGATCTTCCTTGTCTAGTTTGATACTCTAGGTGTCAATTGGGCAAGCACACTGCTCGGATGCGTCGCGGCTCTATTGATCCCCCTTCCCATTCTCTTCTACCTCTATGGTCCCAAACTCCGTGTCAGAAGCAACTTCGCTACAGATTACGTGATGACAGCACAAGCCCACACTCTTGATGAAATCCTTGAGTAGAGGAATAATCTACTTGAGCAATAGTCGTGATGTCGTTGACGAATTCTTTCATGTACATATTCTGAGCGTTCTCTCCAGTCTGATACCCATTGGTTTGCTTCAGCGAACTACCTTCATCTTTATAAAACATCAAAGTGTGAATCATAGCGTCTTACATTTTCAACATTGTTGATTTCAAATGAATGCATTCACTTTTGAAATATGCTCCAGCCACGAGACCGAAGTCTAGGGAATGATTAATATGCATGACATTGGACCTCATTGCTCTTCATCGTTTTCGGTCTTTGTTCTCAAAGGTATCATCAGAGTACAGATCATTCTCGACTGGGAACCCTCCATGATTATTACAGCGCAATTATGGAAATATGAACCGCGCAAATATGCAACACAGACGAAAGGAAAGGGAGGGCAGCGCCGATAGTCGAAATAAGAGGGCGGAAAAATAGACATGAGTCTCTCGGGGGGTGCTCATACAGAATCGAGCGTGCATTCTTGCACGTAGGAAAGGAAGGAAAGAGTAGAACAAGGCGATGTACACGAGGAGAAAGTTGTACAGAGGAGTAACAAGGGCTTTGGCTGACGCCGAATGGAGAAAGAAGTAGTCATGTGCTGCAAAGAGCAAAGGACATAGGAAACTGGAGAGGGGCCGGAGAAGGTGCGTAGCATCAGAGGTTCAAGAACCAGGTGGGTTCTGGCGAAGAATGTCACTTCGCGTCCTCCATCAAGCTTTTAAATGTGAGTAGTCGATAATATATCGCCGAGTGGCTTAGTGCATTTCAGCGAGTGCCGTCGCAACATCGTCGGGTTGATCGAAGATTCGTCGGAAAGGAGGATCAGCAGGGAACACATCTTCTGAATTCGGGTCAACGCCTTCTGCCTTTCGGATAACCTCCTTTAAAGCACGAGTGACAACCCCGGCCCGGACTACCAAGTCCCGAAGTGACTGAGTATCAAAAGGTAGCTTCTGGGTGCGTGGAGCCGACCCCAGTTCAGGTAAGGTCGAGCCATCAGGTCGATTAGATCGAATAATATCGATGACGGATTTCGACTTCGGAGAGCCTCTGGAGAGTTGTCCGAGCGGTGATCCGTACAGCTGACTCTCTGGCTGTGAGCCGCTTTGCCATGGGCCTTCGCTGTCCCCTTCGGTCGCCTGAATGGCGGGGAGGGTAGCTGATTTTGCTGCCGTTGAGCATCGTGCCAGGAAACTTCACTATTTCTCTTGGAGGAAGCATTCAGTCCCTCTTCATCAGAATCATCAAAGCTGAACGTGAGAGATGAAGGGGAGCCTGGGGGAGAGCGCCGGTCTTCTTCGTCATCGATGGTTGCAAGATTGACGATCCCCTCGGCTTCTTTCCACAACTCACTCGAAGGTCCACCTATGAGATCGAATATGCTTGCTTGGTGTCGAAGTCGCTTGAGTTCTTGCACCAGCATGGTCAGTTCTTGCACTTGACCGAATTGACCTCGAAGGCTTGCTTGGCGCTCAAGGATGGCCTTGGGGACCGTCATGATCCGAGGTGTGACAGTGTCCGAGGCTGACGGAACATTCTGACTGATGCTCGACTCCTCCGCGTCAAAGTCGAAATCACTATCCCAATCCTCGCTCACACCTTTGCTGCCAAGGCCCCATGTACCGAACTTGCCGGAAGTCTGGCGTGTGTCGTTGGTGGGAAGTTCTCGTGCAACAGGCACACTTTGACTCCGAAGATGGATTGCGGAAGGTACTTTACGGCAGGCTGCACGGCTCCCTCTGTTGACAGCATTGTTTTTGCCGTGCACCGTTCTCGGACGCGCCTCGGTATCAGAGACATCACCATTCGTTCGAGACTGCTCGGACCAGTCGAAAATGTTTATTTTCTGACTTTGATGTGAATCCTCGACAGGAGAGCAAGGGGGAAATTCAGGGGAAGAAACGTGCGAGCCTTGTCCTGAGAAGGGATTTGATAAAGAAATTGTCAGAGGTGTTTGGGAGAGGTCTTCGACCTCGCCAGGTAACGCCCCAATCATGCTGCGTGTTTCTTCATCTTCCTCTGATAGGACCGGAGCATGCTCATTCATTCGAAAAGGCACCAGGGAAGAGGGAGGAGAGGTTCTGCAAACAGCGGCGGATCATTCTCAAGACGCGACGCAAAGGAGCCACGCGGAAGTAGCTCTTCCAGGGTCATCACTTCCTCGTTCGACAGACGTGTCCCTGCCTTGTCGAACATGGTCTCGATACGCAATCCTTTGAGCCCACTGCCACTCGTCTCACGAGTGCGGACGGAGTCCCAGTAGTCGCTCATCATATCAGTTTCATATTCATCACTTGTTGTGAAGACTCGTGTGACATCGGAGCCAATAACAGTGGAGGACGGATCCGACGCTGTGATCGAGTCTCTTTTGGGCCGACGGCGAAGAGAAGAGTATTGATAGCCATCCGGCCGACATGCATGCTGCCATGTGGACAAGGCAACGGCATCAGAGGTCAGCGGGCGGCGCCCGCGTAAGCCAATATTGTAATCCTGAGATACCGACCGAGGAGCAAAATCGGATGGTGGGAATTCAGAACAGACAGCTGGCCGGCAAAAAACAGCAGGATCGGTGATATTCCTTCGTTGCGGCAGCGGAGGAGAGCGAGGAGAGCCGGGATGCACATGTTCCTGCCTCTCCCGCCTTGAAAGCTCCGAGCGAGAAACTGAGAAAGTCCTTCCCTTGACCCGTTTCAAAGAACCGCCTCGCGGCCGCCCCAGCAATGGGGTGCCAGAGCCCGTTACTGTATTCACAATTATTCTTTTCGGCTCAACATCGTTGTGAGAATAAGAATGTTTGTGAACCGGTTTTTGCATCGGCTGTGCAGGGAGAGGAGCGGTACTCGTCTCGAATGGATCACGGAATAGAACCGGAGAGGTGGGTATGGACGAATCTCTGATAAGAGACGAGTTTTTATTTACGATTGCGGTCGCTAGAATCAATGCTGGAACAGTATTCTGATCGGAGACAATCTGCCGCACACCCTGGGCTCGAGGGGTGCCTGTAGTGGACAGTCTTCGAACCAACTTGTCTGGTAGTCCCCCAGACTTGGGGGTCAAATATGGCTGCCATTCGTGGTCTGCTTCAACTTCAAATTCGCCGGCAGCGAAATTTCCAGAAGGCTGGGAGAAAGGCTCGAAACTGGTAGCCAGAGGAGACTGCAATCGTATGGTCTCCGACCTTTGATAGCTGGTAGCTGGCCTGCGCAGGGCTGTGGTGGGGCGCGGGGAGGTATTGACAAAGAGAGGATGGGCATTCGAATGTTGGGAAGTGGAGCGCTTGACAAGCTTGTTTGAAGATCTACGTGAGCTGGACGGGCGGGAGAAAATCGGACTGGAAGATCCAGTGAAGGAAGGGGTCACAGGGCTGTTGGTTGTCTGGCTTTCAGATTGGAAGGAAACCATCGATAGCCGTCGCAACCAACTTGTAGACGGTCTTCGCCAGTGTGACTCTGATTCTGTAGACGAGTTGGTCTGTTCATCTTCGGGGATTCGCAAGGGAGGGTTGGTCAATGTTTGGCCGCGACGACGAAGCCTGGCGGCCCCAAAAGAGAGGGATGCTCTCCGGAGATCAGAACCCTGGAATTGGCTGGTGCGCGAACCACTTCCATCGGTCCCAGATCCGGTGGAAAGACCCTCCAACCCCGCATGGCCGGGCCGGGACGATACTGACGTCTTCGGCCGTACCTCAAATGTAGGCTGAGTAGGGGCAAGTGAATCGTATGGTAGCGTTTTCCGCCGAAAGATGCTGGACTTGGTTCGTTCAACGCGACCGAGGGCAAGGCCGCTGGTCGCAATGCCTACCGTGCTTAGCGCACACAGCTGAGATCTGTATTAGCCAGGGAACAGCGTGTTGATCATGGCAAAAATCTTACTGTTGATATGTGATCCATCAAAGGACACTGGGAAGAGTGGCAAGCACCCTCCAGCTCAGCTCCGCAGGGTGAGATTTTGTGAGTAACATCCCATTTGGTTCAGGGAAAAGAGAGGGAGTCGACCACGCTTAAGGAAAGAATGGTGGTCAGTAGGTAAGATTTGGCCTGAGAGGGCCGTTGGAGGGAGAGAATGGACGATGACGGAGTGAAGGTCAACAACAACAATCGGGGATTTAACGCTAAGACTTCAGCTCCCGCCCAGGGCAATTAGACACGCTAGGAGCAAATCAATATTCAGTTCCTGCACGAGGTATGCTCGTCCCTTGTTCCCTTTTATTTGTCCTTAATCTGCTTCTTTCTTTTCCTTGGTTTCTAATGTTGATGTTTCGTGCGTTGTCAACGATGTCACGGGTGATATCGTCTCTTTCTCACACTCTTTCTCTCTATGTGTTTACACCTAACAACACCCCGACTTTTCCGACCCTCAGCACTCGACTGGGCCAGTCCAGCCGATAGGAGAGACTGCAGGCCCACCTACGCCCCCCCTTGCGGCTCACATTGCACTGATTTAACACTCGTGTCCAGACCGGAACTAACGTCGCTTCAGGCGTACGGAGAAGTCCGCAAGTGAGTGGCTGTGGGACCTGGGAGAAAAGCAGGAAAAAGCCATGCGATCCAGAATTCCCCACATATCTCGTCTCGGCTGGCTAGAATCGCGTCTTTCGGACAAGCCCATTCCTCCTTGGTGTTAGTCTCACGATCGCAAGGGCCCAGTGCGGCCGATCTGTTTCCACCTGGTTGGACGAACTTGTTCCCTCCCTCATATTAGTCTCCTTTGCGTGCAGCTGCCAAGTTATGAAACACTTCCTGCATTTTCGCTGTCAACCTTTCAACCGGTTATGTTAAACACACCGCCCCCGCCCCCGGTCCGCGGGGTGAGGGGGAAAGCTGTTCAGGTCATATCGGAGCTCCATGCTTCCTCAAGGCCATCGCATCCACTCATTCCATTATTTACCCTTGCTGATCTTCCTTAGACTAGACGTTCGCCGTTCGCCAATTAATTTCCTGCACAGACCAGAGTTCGGAACCGGACCCCTAATAAGATGATTTCGAGACAGGGTTGATGAAAGTCCGATCCATATCGTCATACCATCTCCACTTTGCAAATGAAAGGAAAATCCCCGTGGGCCCAACGTGAATGGTGTCCGGCCTCGGCGGCCGGTTTTGTCCCGCCCGGCCAGTCTGATGGGTCTTCGGTCGATTCTAGCGTACCGGGAAATCTTGGGAGTGCAAGTTTATTTATTTTTTCTTCAAGAAAAAAACCAGATCTTCGAGCTCGTGGTTCCGCTGGACCTGATACCCTGGTCCGATCATTATCGCAGACGTCGAACTCACTGACCCTTTCCCTGGACGATCGGCACGCCCTATCATCTACCTGGGAAGGTCACTACAGTAACAAGCGCCCATGATACATCAGATTGGCAGAATATTGCTATCCGCTGCTTACGAAAACATGGGTTCTTCGAATCTCCAACCCCACTTAAAACTTTCAATCCTTTCCTGACTCTCTTTGTACCTCAATTTGCACTTTCCCGCCTTGGAAAATTTCAAGCATGTCACTACGACCGTCGATGCTTGTGAGAGTGTCTATTTTGGTCTATCGCTCCCGGCCACTAGGGGCGCTAACTAGGGGGCTGTCGACATCCGTTCTGTTCGTCTCGTCTAGTCCATTGCAGACAGGCTTTGCATATTCCCTGCACCATGCCAATTCCCATTCAAGATCATCTAGTGGTACCTTCTTGAGGCCATTTCTCTCTCACTCAGATACAATACGAACTAATAATATTATTACTTGAGATCGAAGTCGTTGTCACAGAACCAACAGTCAGGACCATGATGGGCTAAACCTACACTTGCCAGCGGAGTATAAGTCCATACCCATGAGTATGTCGTTTACTTGCTCGCACGGGTCTATGAGTATCATTACAGTGCATGTGAGCCCACCCAGTCATCGACTTCCTGTCAAACAACATGGGCATTTATTGTTGACTCAAGTTGATGGGCAGCCTGTTCGGCCGATTCAAGAAGCAACCGGAGCGCTCCAAGGTGTCCGCCTTTGGAAAGGAATGTGTTGGAGCTGCAATAGTGGTGCAGAATGCTGATGGAAAGCCACAGTCGATATCACCATAGCTCAGCGTATTCCTTGGCTGCGGCTAAAATGTCTCAGAGGCATCACGGGGAGCGGACTGCAGATTGGCAGTGAAACCTCAGAGTCAAGGCGAGTAAAATTAGTGGAGCTTCGAGTGGATAGTCATGAAAAATCTGAGCATAAACTTCGGACAGGAACGTTCTTTGAGCTCCACTCTCAAACCATAGGGGCACCTCGGACCTTAGGCCTTGATCTAGCAGTCTCGCGGCTGTGTAACGACTGGGTGATCTGATGCTTGTTTTCTGCAAATTTATAATGCAAACGCCCCGTCATTCGAAAGTCGCCTGTGATAAGTCCAGTGCTAAGTCTAGTACACAAGAAACAAACCGATGAGCATTCGAGGTGACCGGATCCAAATCAACATGTAATTTTCACATGAAAATTTCACGGGTGCCATTGCAGCTCGTAATTCATACGTAACATGATCTACATAGACTGGAAATCTGCCAAGTCCACGAACTTTCAAAGAGAGAGGATGAGAAACTTAAATCTTCAGTGTTGAGGTGGAGATGAAGTTGAAGTTGCAGAGCAAGATGACCGGGCCAACGAGTCATGTGACCTTATCGATAACACACCGAAAATGGCCCCTCCGAGGTGTGCGGCCAAAAGTACCCCGGACGGTCGATTATTTCTCGAGGCAGACACCTTATTTCGGCTTGCGCATCTGGAGCAGAGCGAAACATGGAAGCCGAACTTCAGGCGCAGATTCCTGGTCTAGACCGTGTGATCTCAGAATACTCGGTGGTATGTTTCCATTGCGAAGCTGTGATATCTTCGAAGCTCACATCAAACAGGGCTATCTTACCCACGCCTCAAACCTCTATGTCGAAGATGCCAATGGTCCTTCGCCCCTGTCTGAGGCAGCCGAAAATGTGACCGAGCTGCTGGTCTCTGCCTCCGGAGACTTCACCTCTCAGAACCGCGATGCAATTGCTAATCTGGTCGAAAAATTCATAACATCGCTGAGCTCATCGAATGGAATCGATCCAGAGAGGATGCAAATGCCATTCAAGGCCAGGAAGCTTGACCAGGCCATCAATGTCGGTGCGCAACGGAACATGTCTTCTACTCTGGGCTTGACTGGAAACGCCGTGGACCTGGAGTCCGCGAACGCCAGAAAGGTGGAGTCGCGCGTGGACAAGAAGAAGCTTGAAAAGGCGGAGCGCAAGATTCGTGCCAAGCAGGAGAAGAAGCAGATGAAGACAGTTACTTACGAGGCCTCTCGCCTGCTCAACCAGCCAGATGAGACAATGAGCTACGAGGAGTTCTTCATGGCGGTCAACCCTCTGCAGTTGGGATCCGACGCCCAGTCCAAGAGCAAGGATATTAAACTGGACAACATCGATATCACTATCGGAGGTCAGCGTATCCTGACAGATGCTGCGTTGACCCTCGCTTATGGTCGTCGCTATGGTCTTGTGGGTCAGAACGGTATCGGTAAAAGTACCTTGTTGCGGGCTCTTAGTCGCAGAGAAGTTGCCGTACCGCACCACATTTCGATTCTTCATGTCGAGCAGGAGGTATATAGAAGCCTTGGATATGCATCCGGCATTTTCACTGACCATATCTATTAGATCACGGGTGATGATACTCCAGCGCTTCAAGCAGTCTTGGATGCAGATGTGTGGCGAAAGCATCTTCTCGGGGAACAAGATGTGAGTTCAATTGAGCAAGAGGCACTTCGACGCATGCGCTAATCAAAAACTCGCAGAAAATCTCAAAACAGTTGGCTGCTATCGAAGAAGAACGGTCTTCGCTGGCCGATACCTCCAAGGATGCTGCTAGACTTGACCATGAGCGGGAGGGATTGGATATTACCTTGAGCGATATCTATTCCAAGCTCTCCGAAATGGAATCGGACAAGGCTGAATCTCGTGCTGCAAGTATTTTGGCTGGTCTCGGTTTCTCCCAAGAGAGACAGCAATATGCAACCAAGACCTTCTCTGGAGGATGGAGAATGCGTCTTGCATTGGCTCGGGCTCTATTCTGCGAGCCTGATCTCCTTCTTCTTGACGGTAGGTGATCCCTTCTACCTGGGTTCCTGGAGAGATTGGCTAATATCACTCAGAACCGTCTAACATGTTGGACGTTCCATCCATCACATTCTTGGCAAATTACCTCCAGGGTTATCCCAGTACTGTTCTTGTGGTCTCTCACGACCGTGCATTCTTGAACGAAGTGGCTACCGATATCGTCCATCAACACTCCGAGAGGCTGGACTACTATAAGGGAGCTAACTTTGGTAAGTTGTAATAATAACCATTTTGACATATTATCTACTGACACATTGTAGAATCATTCTATGCCACCAAGGAAGAGCGGAGAAAAATGGCCAAGCGCGAGTACGAGAAACAGATGGCGGAGAGAGCCCATCTGCAAGGTTTGTCATTTACCCCTTCCTTGCTTGCTGGCCCCAATCTAACGAGCTCCAAACAGCCTTCATTGATAAGTTCCGATACAATGCGGCCAAGTCTTCGGAAGCCCAATCGAGAATCAAGAAGCTTGAGCGTATGCCGGTACTCGAAGCTCCGGAAAGCGAATATGTTGTACACTTCCAGTTCCCTGAAGTCGAGAAGCTTTCGCCTCCTATCGTGCAAATGACGGAGGTCTCATTTGGCTACACCCCGGACAAACCTCTTCTCAGGGATGTTGACTTGGATGTTCAGCTCGACTCGCGTATTGGTATTGTTGGACCCAATGGTGCCGGTAAAACAACGGTGTTGAAGCTTCTCACCAACCAACTGCAGCCGACGAAGGGTCTAATCTCGGCCCATTCGAGACTGCGCATTGGATTCTTCGCTCAACACCACGTAGATGCTCTGGATATGACCACCAGTGCTGTGAGTTTCATGGCCAAGACCTATCCTGGCAAGAGCGACGAAGAGTACCGCAGACACTTGGGCGCGTAAGTCTTCCCCCATCCCGACAACCATGGGAGACTGCTAATGACTTCACCTATTTAGCTTCGGCATTACTGGTACGACTGGTCTCCAGAAAATGGAGTTCTTGTCTGGAGGTCAAAAGTCCCGTGTGGCATTTGCATGCCTGTCACTGACTAACCCTCACATCTTGGTCCTCGACGAACCTTCTAATCACTTGGATATTGAGGGTATGGACGCTCTATCCGAAGCTTTGCAAAGATTTGAGGGAGGTGTGGTAATGGTTTCTCACGATGTGACGATGCTGCAAAATGTCTGCACCAGTCTCTGGGTTTGCGACAAGGGAACGGTGCACAAGTTTGACGGGGATGTTAAGGCTTACAAGAAGATGATTAGCGCGCAAGCTGACGCAGCGGGCGTTGTGGCGAAGCATTAAGGGTAGCACAATGGAAGATGATGTTCTATAGAACTTCTGTCACCTTCATTAATTGAGCACCTTTGAAGTTTTCATCGAGTGGGTACTGTGCCCCTTCGCATTTTCATTCTATTGTTTCATAGCTTTGAGCAACAAGCCCGAATCATGGGAGCTACACTTCCATGTGGAAATTTTGAGCAAAGAGAATTATAGCCATAGGGGAGAGGGACCGCTACATGATGTCTAAGATCTGAGTTCTCTTTCTCCCTTGATCTCCCGATCCGCTGAAAGGAATCACGATTCATTCCAGACCACTCCAATGTCCATTCTATCAATCTTTTTGAGATTGGCTAGATCTATTTGTCAACATTGAAATTGTGACCAGACACCATAAATAAGGCAGACGCCAAAAAAAAGTGAATGCTTGCCGCAGAGTTGTAGTGGACTTTGGCAGAAGCCGTTCGTCCTTGATCGCCAGATACAGCGAAATTGAAATTCCAACTTCATATCGCTTAGTATCACCACACAGCTTGGCCGTCTCTCACATCAACATTTTTGAATTCGTCGCGAAGCAGACATTGCTTCTATATGGCAATAATCACACGACACAATCTTAATCTTGATTTGGACTTTGAAAGCAAGTCACTTCCATGGAACGTGAGCGTGATGCTGTGCCCACGCCGGGGAAGCAAGTGGTTCAATCCAGCCCGCTTCTGAGACTACCAAATGAAGTAATGAGCCCGCTTTAGTTGAGTGATATTCAAGTATCTAACCTCAGATAACAGATTCTCCAGCACATTGCATCCACCATGTCGACAGACCGGGATGTGAGTCTTCTGAGTCGAGCGTGCAAGGATATGCACAGGCGACTCCTGGCTCCAGAATCCACTATATGGCGGGTCCGATTCGAGGAACGATACGACCTTCCGCGAGGCCGACAAGCGAGGGAGCTGAAGCCTGAATATCAGACTCGTGCCCTCGTACTCCCTAAGAGGTTGGATTTCGGACAACCTGAGAACGGGCAGCAGAATATTTGGCTCGAGGTTGTCCAAACAATGGTTAGGGAGTCGACTACTTTGCCGGTTGAAATTGAGACCTCCAAAACATATCTCAGGGTCCGGGAGGTCTTGACACAAGTGGAATTTTTAAGTAATCCGAAAAGGATTAAACCATCTGACATGTTCTGCGCAGTTCAATTGGTCTGTCCTCTCTTCCAAAACACGAAGAAACAAGCTTATAACCATCTTATTGGTATCAGTGCCTCACACCTCTGTCTCTTGATATGAAAGTGACCCAGGCGTGTGGTCGATCCGGTTATGACATCGGCACTGTGTATTCTTTCCAAGAGGATATCGATGCTCCATTCATCAGGCATGAGACATTGGACCTCAATAAATTGCTGCATATCCGCAGCTTCTGGCAAAACCATCTACTGAACTCGCATGAAAGTACAACTTTCAGTGAGGCATACTCAAGTCTTCCCGAACAACACAAGCCCAAAGCACGGAATATACACGGTACCGACACGTCAAGGATCAGCGCTTCTTGGTTGGGACTTTGGTGCAAGTAAGCTCCCCGAGCTTGATATTCCAGAGGTTTGACTTTACTTCTAAACAGCATGCATTCATCCACTGCCAGATACAATTGAGGAGTTCAGCCGCCGAGAATCTTGTGCAGATCTGGAGGATCATATACATCAAGTTGATGTTATGGTATGACGTCCATCGTCTAATCTCGAGGCAATCGACTAACGTGATGCAGTCCTTGGAAATTGAGCACATCTCACATAAAATATGGCCAGTGATATGCGACAGGTCGATCCCACGTTATGACGCCGCCGAATGCGTCGCCTACCTCCAAGGGTTGCAAAGGATCCATGGCGAAAGCGAGCCTGCAAATCCATTGTTTGGCTTCACCGAGTCTATCTCAACTCCCTACGGCGGATTTGAAGGCTGGACTCGCGTATGCTTTTGCATCTGCGAGAACGTGGATGGAAACGGAGACTCTGTCTTCAACGACGACGACAGCTGGATTCATGGGTACGAAGGTGTGATCCCTCCTGGTGGTGGAGTCATGTTGGGTAGGTGGCTGGACTTGAAGGACACGAGTGGCCGAGGACCATTTCTTTTCTGGGACGTATGACTAGGCATTCAAGCTCTGCCTACAAAGCCCAAGTGCTATTTTAAGGAGAGCCGTGATTTCAGGGCTGGCATAGGCTTCATGACTAAATGAACATCATAGCAAGTAGGTGAATCTTGACAATTATGCGATGATAAAGAAAATAACGAGACGAAGCCAAAACAATTCTTGACTTAATCCAGGACTATTCTTCGATGTCCTTGACCTTCTCCCACTGGCCCTTGAGGTTCTCCTTCCACAAGCTGACCTTGTTGTCCCCACCGCTGACAGCGAGAATGTTGCCGCTGAGGCTCCAGCTAACACGCCAGAGAACAGTGTCAAACTCGAGCGTTTGGCTGGACCACTGACCTGGGTTGGAAGCATCGGAGGTCCAGATGCGAACGGTCTTATCCTGCGAAGCCGATGCAATGTACGACTTGGACAGAATGCTGGGCGACCAAGCCACGTCACGAACCCAGTCGGAATGGCCCTCCAGGGTCTGAGTAAGATTATAGGTTTTCGACTCGGCACTACGAGGGTGAGAGTCAGTTCATGAGAGTTTCCCGTAGCTGTCAACACTAAAACATACTTGTAGTCCCAGATCTTGATCAGGTTGTCGCTGCCACCGGTCACGAAGCGCCTCTGCTGACCAGGTCCGGGGTTGGAGCTAATCAAGCTACCGGCGAAGGCAGCCGGAGCCCAGCTGATCGAGTTCACACCCATGCCGTGCGCGTGGAAGGTCTGGTGGGTCCAGTTGTTATCGCGGAACTCGAGAACACTGACATGGCCATCGGAAGAAGCACAAGCAAGCAGACATCCAGACTCGTGAGGAGCCCAGGATACCATATTGACTGAAGCAGTGTGGAGAGAGAAATCAAAGACCTTGGTCCATGTGCTGCCGCCGGCAGGGAGGTCGCGCTCTGAGGTTGTTCGCGCCAGATCAAAACCTTGCCATCATATGAAGAAGAAGCCAGGATTGTGCCAAATTTGGGATGCGCCTAAGAAACCAATGATAGGGTCAGTCGAAATGCACCACAACACTTTCGAGCAAATATTGTCCCGACTCACCCATGCAACACACCACACAGCGCCTTCATGGCTTTATAAATTGAAACAAAATTAGCGATTCTATTCCTCTCAAAGGGCTACTACCATGGAGGCACGAGACACGCTTACCCCTTCAGGGTCTCCACCAAGCGGTGTGATTCCCCTCAATCTCGAAGATCTTGATGGTTTTATCCGATGAGCAGGTGGCCAACCTGCGGCCATAGTAGTCTAAGCCAGCATCGTGCTGCAATTGAATAAGACTCGTCAGTCCAGTCGCATTGGATGCAGGAAAGCGCAAGAGGTGCCAATTGAAGGCTCCCGCCAGTAGCACCGCGTACGTACAATCATGTCTTCATGGCCGGAGTTCGAAATAACTTGAGCGGCCGCCTGAAAGCAAGTTATTAGCAGAGAAGCAAAGACAACTGGAGAATACATACCATTTTGTAGAAAACCCCGTGGGGAGAGCAGGAACAGGAGCAAGTGACGAGGAGAGCTCGGCCAAGACAACTCACCAAACGCACCAAACAACCTGGCCGCTTTGCTTATCGATATCGTCCTGACTCAGCAGGGTCACGCGCTGGGCACGTGTTTTTGGCCTCGGTCTATCGGTAACCCCACGCTTTGCTCCGCGACTGCTTTGCCTTCCCTGTACATACTTCTGCTCTTTCTCTGCATATAGCTTGTGAAGACGCTTTCATCGCTATTCTGGCCAAATACCATCTGTGGCATATTGACCCTTGAATCTCGGCTCACCATGAGCGATGCACTTTGTGGTCCGTCCAACGCGCTGCAGAACTTCCAGAAGCATACATCTGTCGACCGGACTCTTCAGCAGGATCGGCTGACCTCCAGGCAGCCATCAGCCCAGGTAAGCTGTGGTAAACCTATAGCTCGGACCTCTTCAGGCTGACAATATTATTTACAGGGGTTCCGATCGCAAAGCCCTCGAGATGGCGTATTAGACCCGGAGTTTGCAGCATTTGAAGCCAACCTCAGCGGCCCAGCCCTGCCAGGCCTACAGCATCCTGCTCATTTTGGTAGCCCAGTACAGGCGCACGCTCCCGCCAGTGCAAGTAGTGGCTGGGCCTCAGACTTTCAAAATCTACACATTTCCGGGCCACCAGCACCGCAATTACAGAGATCTAATGTCGCCTCAGGTCACGGAGGGTGGCAGAATGAATTCATGAATCAACAGCAGCCGGCAACTGCTCATCATATGCAAACTCAAACAGCAAAGAATCGCGGTTTTCAGCCTGCCTTTGCTCCCAGCTACCCAATGTATAATGCTCCGATGAATGTCCACCAAGTCCCACAGCAAGCACATGCAGAGCCTTCCACATCTATGCAGCAATTTGATGAGTCTGCCTTTGAGGCGGCGTTTGAGCAGGCTCGCGCCGATATGGAGCTTCAGAGTGCCGAGACGCCGGAAATCCAACAGCTTTTGCATGATGTTAATCCTGCTGAGGCTCACAACCTTGCTCAAGAAGAACTTCGGATTGGATCAGATACTATTACCGAGACCGAGAAGCACGACTTGCAGTCACAAATCCGCGATGCTGACGCTCTCGCTCAGACGGCCGGGCAACTCCTTGACAGCGTCCGCCACGAGCAAAGTGAAAAATTCCAACAAAGCAACTTTCTCGCATTGATGCGCCGAATTCGTGATAGGGAGGTGGAGGTGAATGGAGATGAATTCCGCGAAGTCAGTAGCCCGTAACGGTTTGGCTGTCAAGCGCGACAGAAATACCGGTATCTTTGAGTCGAAACCATGCCGACTCCGGGTCTTGCTAATCTCTGTGCAGACAACGCAATCACTTCATCCGCTCCATCCTGGCGGGCCATACTACCCGGGTCCACCCTATCCTGGGCACTCCGCTGCACCGGCCGACAGCCCGGGTAAGGAGCCCTCCCACCCCATCGACAGGATATAGTGCCTCAAAAATCTGACATTGCTTTTGACGGTCAGAAGATACGTCGCAAATCGGCCAAGACATCCTTGCCGAGGAAGAGTCACCACGCCTTGGGACTAACCCGTACGGGCCCGGGACAGCAATGGACTATACGAAGGCTGGTACCACAGTCGGGGGCTGGTGGATCGAAGGCGCCCAACCTTTTGTTTCCGTGGCGAAGACCAAATCTGATGAATAGACGTGCCAGGGAACATCAATAGGTGAATGGATGGTTAAAAGAGGGAACAATAGAGTCACGTGACACTATTGAGACCCCAAGGAACAATCGATTTTCGATTGAAACAATTCATTCAATGCCCAAAAAGCAACGCAATCAACATGACGGCCGGACTGTGGTTGCTGATGTAAATCCCACGGGTCTCACTACAAATAGTCTGCCCACTGCGGGGCTTTTCTGAGGTCGAAACTATTCACATCCGCCTTCCAATTGCTCCTTCAACCTAGACAAATTGTCCAGTATGCGTCCTCCAACAGACTCGTTGCGTCATCAACTACAAAAGCTCGCCGAAGCACAAATGAACCGCACTTCTTCTACAAACGTCCCTCCTTATCTATCAAGTACCCCTCCCAGAAGCTTCATCATGACTCCCAGTCCTCTGATGATGGATGACTCGAAATGGGAGGACCCCGCTGTACCCATCACCATAAATATTGATTCTTCGATTGATATATTCGGCAACAATAATACTGTTATGCTGCCGTCGCGAGCTGCTCCACCAATAAGCACCACGCCCAGCCCGAGCACAGACTCAGAGAACTTTGGGTCATCTACACCGTCCGCCTCGCAACAGAACCGGGTCGCCAAGTTTGGCAGCATGGCGGCCGTCATCATCGCCGCACTGGAGAAAGCCGGTGGACTGACCGATGACCTGGGGCGCACTCGCCCAATTCACATTAGCATCAACTCGGGCATAAAGATCGACGGCAAAAGCAACACCATCTGCAACAGGTACACACAGCTCCGGAGATCGTTCACCTACTCGTCCTCTGTTGCAGTTGGCGAGAAGCGGCGTGCAGTGTCTGTACGTATCAATCTATCCCTGAGCTACTCGAACATCCACTGACTCACTTCGAAAAAGGAACCACCATCCCCAGCACCGCCATCTAGACGTCGCTGCTAAGCATGTTGGAATGAGATTTGATTTTTTGTGATGAATAGGTTGATGCTTTTGCTTCTACTTCCACTTCCCTGCGTTTTCGCATTTGTCTCTACGAGCCTTCAGTATTTGGTCAAGGAAAGCCTCTGGCGCGGCGATCTATAAGTATCCTGCTTTAGTATTAATCATGCTTGAAAACATCGTAATGCATGGAGAGGACCTCTATGCAAGGTAAATTCAAACAGTGATGTGGGCATGTACACAGGGGTTACTCTAGTTTTGGCTTTCTGCCCGAGGCAAACCAGGCTACGACACTTTGTGATAGTACTGGTAGACAAGCAGCAAGCATCATACTCAGTCATATTCATACATTAACTCAAAGAGAAAACACCATCTCCACGCCCACCCATGAAAACCCTTTGAAAGTGCAAAGAAAAGAGAAGAAACAGGACATGAGATGACCGTTTGATGTGAAGGGTGTCTGAGCACTCGATGGTGTCAACCAACCAGCCAACAAGAATAAGAAACAACGATTCCCAAACAAATATAGACGAGATCACACAACTGATACAGAAGGACCCTGGCAGGTAACCCCCTGACCACCATTTGTTCCCTGCATTGGTACCCACTGTGCCTTTCAAATTCAAGTTTCCTCGTCTGTTGATGGAACCTAAAGACGAAAATCTTTTGCTAAAGCACGAGGGCTGGATGCAGGTAAAGAGTTGAGCCAAAGGACCCTCAAGGGACAGAAGTTATATGTGTGAGGCCATATCAAGACATCATCACAAGAAAAAAAAGTCCTGTTAAGATGCGCAAGTAAATTGAGCGTACCAGGAGGACACAGCTGGGAGATGATTTGTTAGAAATTCAGAATTTGTCACGTAGAAGACCATGACAATCAAATAGTGTATCAGGGTGAATAGACAAGGTTAGGCGAAGCGGCCGACAGGAACATCATGGCGATGGAGGTCTTTTGACCATTCAGGGGCGATTTTGTCTCGTTCATAAAGGAAGCCGCAGTTGTGGCAAAGAGTCTAGAGAACTAAGTCAGACCCTGCTTCATCATTCTGATGATTTCTCAACTTACCCTAGGACCGTCTGGTCCATCTCGGACTGCCCAAACTGCTGTGCCCCATACCATACAGTTGCTGCACCTCCAATTTTGCCGCTCCCTGTAATGATAAGATCAGCAATAGAGTTGCCCAAGGACCATAATTGGCAACATACCATTCGGAGAGTGTACCACCACCGCCGCCGTATCCAGCACCAGAGCTCGTGTCTGGAGTGCCACGTCCACCAGGAGTTCCTCCTCTGCCGGATGGACTGAGACTGCGGAACCGACGCTTTCGCTTATTTCGCTCGCCTCGTCCCAATGGTGTTTCACTGTCAACCTCAAAGTACCCGCTGCTTTGTCGAGAAATCTCTGGTGTGATACCAGCAGTCGAAGAGAATCGGGCAGTTTCTCGACGGAGACGTCTAATCTGTCGCTCGCGATCGCCTTCTCGTCTCTCGATCTCTTCCTTTGACAAAGTTTCAACCTTGGGCTCCCACTCATCACCCAGAGTCTCAGGATCATAACGCCAACCAGCCTCGACTCCATTTGCTGCTTGGTTATCAATCTCATTACCATAGCCATTGATTCCACTCATAAGGCCGCCGCTCTCGCAGACTTCCTTTTTGAGTTTCAAAGCAGCTTCATAGATACCATGAGAAATCGCGCTGACCCATTCACCTCCAAGATGCAGATCTGCGCAGGTGATTTTCGCAAATTCCTCGGCCATGCCGGGAGGATGAAGAAGAGACCATTCAAACTTGTCCGTGTAGAGCTTGTTTTGCAGATTGATATTAAGGCTGATCAGACACCTATACGCATCATCCGGATTCAAGAGACTATCATTGACAAGCGCGTCTTTTGTCGCTGTCGCTGTGACAGCAGCTCCGTTGGGCTTGCTATCTGGGGTCCCGACGGTGGTGACGGCAGGTGTCATGGACGGGTCTCGTGAGGCTTCAATCTGCGGAGCTGCGGTAGAGGCGGGGGCAGGGGCTAGTTGAGTGGCTGAGAACAACGGGTGCAATGCAACACCTGCGAATTCCTCCAACTGTTGCCGGACTTGATTGCTAATCGTCATCGCTGTCGCCTGGGGATTAGGGAGGTCAAGGTCGCGGACAAACCCAATGGCAAATTCTTCTGGAGTAGCGAGAGCTTCGTGGAGATTCCAAAGGAATGTGTCCTTGATTCTGAAGGGTGGTAACGGCTCGGGTCTCCGGTAGGCGGGGAGAGTTGGGTTGATACTGGGATCTAGGACCCCACGGGGCAGAGGGAAGGGCTCTAGAGGTTGATGAGCAGGGACTTCAATGTCGATTCGAATTGGGACAAGTGTCAATGGAAGCTGTGCTTGAATTTGTAGCTGGTCTGCACACCTAGTGAAGCACAAATAACGTCAGCTGCAATTTCAAGACGAGGGAGATGATATGCCACATCACGCAGGTTGTGTGTTGACGAGAAACAAGACTGGGAATAATGAACTTACGCTGGCCGAAGCATTCTTTTGATCATCCATTCACGGAACACTCCTTGCACTTCCACTGGCGCATGCGCTTCTTTGCCCAGCTTCTCGGACAAGGGCACCAAACCACCCGATGATTCCTCGCGTCGCAGGCTCCTCAGACCTGTCGGACGTCGAGGGTTATCACTCTCATCGAAATCCTCATCTTCATAGCCATCTTCAGCATAATTAATAGCTGTGGTACCACGTTTCGTCGTGCGCGGCGTTGGGCCAGTCTGCACTGGGTAAACGGGTGTGAGCAACGCGTTCCCATATTGGCGCACGCGCGGCGGATATGATGTGATGTAACCTCTAAGAGGAGACATGTTGGCGATTTAGCTCGACAGATACATGCCCCTTCGCGGGGAGCTAAGATCGCAAAAGCTGATGATCGACCGTGTTCGGGAAAAGGTTATTCGTGCGAGACGGAGGAGAATTGGCGAAAGCAGAGCACAGAGCCGTGGGGACTGGTAGGAACGTCAAATCACAGGAGTAGGAGACCTGTGCAAGGGCAGAATAAAGCGGATGGAGATTGCTTTCACAGATGGGATTCTTTTGCGCCGTCGCGTTTTGCCTGATCGAGACAGGCCCATTCTCAGGTCACGTGATACTGCCTCAGGCCCGCACTGGCAAGATGAAGCTGCAAGAAACACCGCTTGACTCATTGATTTAAAGATTTCATAGAAAGGGTTGGCCTTAATGATTGTTTCATTCATTTGTATGTCCATCACGGCCTAATGATCTGTTGCTGAGAATGTTCAACTAATTTAGAAAGTATACCATAGGAGGCCAAGAAAGACACCAGACTGCGAAGTACGCCAGCCCTGCTCTGGAAAGGAAAGACACGAAACACGAAACAGACAAGTAAGCGGACTGGAGCTGTCGGAATATGACAAGGTGGGTGAAAGGAGAGACGACAAAGGTCGAGGCAGCATGCCAAGATCTGGGTATAGATACAAATGCAGGAGCAAAACACATTGCGGATTGATCATCGGAGTCCGATAACGCTCTGGAAAGATGTTAGCACCAAGTAGATGGATGGAGAGAATGATATACTTACCATTTCCAGAGTCCAGACCCTCCGAATCCATACTTTGACTTGGCCTTCCACTCCTTCTACGTTGTCCAAGTCAACACCTTCCCACCAGCAACGACGGGCAGGTTTTCTCCAGAAAAGAAGGAGTTTTTGAGCCATGCCGACGGCAGTGTTATTCGAAAGATCGCCTCGAATATCAGTGCGAAGCTTGGCGAGGGCAAGACTGCAGATGACTGCCTTGTTGGGCTCCGGGGCTCGGTGCCCCCACTGGTCTTCGCGATCGAATCCACTAATCGAGATATTAGGATTGGTCCCTACAAAGCAAAAGGGTATCAGACTTACCCAGCGGTCAGCATTTCAATGAGGTGCTGCTCAGTCGAGCCAACTTCTTCGCTCTTACGCAGCCCAGAAAAGATACCATCCTGCTTCAACAACGCGCGGCCAGCAGCGCGTTTGACCTCCAGCATTTCCTCATGACCGATCTCTGGTCGTGGCGGAATGACATAGAAATCAAGGTCTTCGCGAAGGACGATAATTCCGGCGCGATCTTGGAGCATATCCCGCGCAGAATTTTGCATCGCGTCAGGGACTTCCAAATCTGGCGACGTTGATGCCGAAGGAAGCGATGATGGAATAGACTGAGCAACAGAACGGAAGAAATCGAGCATGTATTGAAGCGATGCCGGATCGTACTAGATACTGTTAGATTGGAAGGCCCTTGATGTATAGTGCGGCTATAATGTGATGTTCATTATCACTCACATCAACAGGGTAGATATCCCCTCGTGGAATCCGCCCATATGTCCATCAGGAAGAAGACCGTTCGGGAAGAGGGAGAGCAAAACGAATTCCGGCAATGTCAAGAGCTCGTCGCGGGAGAGTGTAAACCGGGTACCCCTTAAGTATCGAATCAGTGTGGTGTTCCTTTTGGAATATATGGGGAGCTCCTACCGGAGATCGAGAGTGATGTGCTCATCTCCACCGATATCTGAGCATCAAAACGACGTTAATCAGGCGACCAAATGAGAAATTCAGGAGTAGGCACTCATACCGCCGAGTGTATTGATAGGTGGCCCTCCGGTCTGCTGAACCTGGGTGATGATGCTAGAAGCACCTCCCGCAGCAGCCATTACGTAGGTAAATGACTCGAGTGGGCTGTAACCTTCGGTATACGGTGGCGGCGGTTCCCCGTCGTCAGTACTTTTTCCAGGCCTGTCGCTCTTTGGCTCTGAGAAGGAGGCTTTGGTGTCTGCGACAACCGACGACGAAGGGACCGACTCGAGGGGCTCCTCGACTGGTGGTGGCGGCGCGAAAACTGAGAGCGAAGCTGGTCCAGACTCGGAATATTTGGGCTGATTGAGCTCGGTTGAAGGTAAGGCGAAGAAGAGCGAGGAGAAAGGTGGAGGTCCGAAGGAGGAGGTTGAGGCAGACGCTTCGGACGGAGAGTGCGGTGGGGGAGCAGTGTAGTAGTCGTCCTCCACGAGGGAGTCGGCAGGAGAAGGCGCGCGCGCCGTGGTTGTTAGCGAGAGACGAGTATCGTCCGACACGGTGCTAGTGCGAAGAGGTCAGATCCAATCGCGCGATGCGGTTGATCTGATGGAGTTGGGACTAGGTCCAAATGGTCCGTTTGACGGTGAGCGAACGGAGATCACGTCCGTGAATCATTCAAGAGATTCGAACTAAAAGAATAATCCAGCAGTGCAGTAGAGTGATGAATCATCCGACGACAGAGGTTACAGAAACTTGGGTGAAAGCTGGGAGGGGAAAGGAGCGGCGCTTACAAGGCGACGGCGAGCCCATCACCGCCTCGTGTGATCGCAAGTGGCCTACGCTATCACACTTGCATGGCTTTGACTCCGGAGAAATAATTTACTTATGTATGTCACTGATTTTATTCGATAACTACCTCAAGAGGTTTGTGAGATTCTGCGTACCCTTTACTCTTTCGGACGAATACCGTTGTTTCCCGGTCTCGACCAACGCTATCTTGGACCGTTAATAGGGGGTCCACCAAGGAAAACAGAAGAATCAACTGAGGATAATTCTGCCTCAACACCATCAAAAAAATGGTTGGAAACAAAGAATCCAGATACAAAGATGTAAAATTTATACACGTAAGATCTCACCTCCAAAAGGGAAAGAACCACGGTACTTGTGATCCGGGCTCCATTCAATCGTGCCCTGATGGACAGTAGCGGTTGCCTTACCGTAGGATGTCTATGTTACGGAGCCTCTCCTCGTAAGAAGCTACTGGGTCGAGAAACCTGAGTCAACATGATGCATTCGTTGCCTCTTAGGCGACTATTCATGTCTATAATCTTATACCTTGCGGTCCACAAAGCTCTGGATCAGACCCTCCAAAGTAGGGTCATACTCCTTCAGGGTCACTTTGTCGCCCTCTAGAATTGTATTGGCCTGGACAAAGACCTTGCGAGGGACTTTGTTCTTCAGGACAATCTCCCGGACCTGGCTACCCCACCAGCTGTCGACTGAGGTGATCTCGTCGTACATGCCCTTGCCTGCCACGACATCCGCCGTGCTCTTATACACATGCAACTTCTGTAGGTATTTCTCAACGGCTGGTCGTCCGTGGGTCAAAATTTTGGACCGGTCCAGATGGATTTCAAGATCAGAAAGATCCTCCTTAGTATATGAAAGCTTGACAAAGCCATCACCAGCATCCAGGAAAGTACGGAGGATGCTGTATCGGGCCTGCATGTGAGCTTGTCCCCACTTCTGAGTCTTGGGATCCCAGAACTCCAAGGCCACCAGACCGGCGCGGGCCATTGAAAGGTAGGATGCGAAGAGGACATCACCGGCCTCACCAGCCATGTCTTCCGTGCCATTCCCAAAGCCGAAGATCTTCAAAATGCTAAAGTCACAGCCAAGCACCATGGCAACACACTCCGCACGACATTCTTCGTAGGACGAAGCAATGGCGCCAAAAACCGAGCTCCATGTCTGACCGGGCTTATACCAGGTTGAGATGGGCTTGTTCGTCACAGGGCTAATAGGCGGGTTGGAGATATCAAAATTATACTCTCCTTGGGTAGTCTCCTGCAGCAACTTGCCAGTTCCGTGGCCAAGAAGCTCATGGATACCGACCTGAACTTCAAATGCTGGGTCACGGCATCGACGATAAACCTCCTGGTCTTGTTCAGAAATGAAGGGAATGGGCTCATTGGGTGCCTTCGCACTGAGCACATTGCCCAGAGACACGTTCTTAAAGCCAAGATTCTGTCGAATGTCGTCATAATTGGGGAGGTTGATACCAGCCGGGAGGCCAGAGCATGCAAAGCTGAGAACCTCGAGCGAGGTGAAATCCGGGCTGAGGAAAGTGTCCTTCTCGAAGTCCTTACCCCAAGGAAGCTTGGGAATCATGCTTTCCGCGCTGTCGACTAGCGAGCCAAAGGCCCGTGTGCGCTCGAGATTCACCTATAAAAGTTAACGAACGAGTCACAAGAGAAAAAGACGAAGGGGAAAATCTTACAAGAGCAACAAAGCCCTCCCACTCTCCGCGCACACCATGGGGGGTCACGGTAGGTCTCCACGAATCCTAGGTTTGTCTCCAAAGCGGGCTTCTGATCCTTGACCCAGATGCGCTGGCTCTCCTTAAATGCTTCAATAGAGCCAGCACCGAACGAAAGAGCGTATGCATCTAGCATCTTCTTCTGATTATCATTCGCCGCGTGTCGCTCTGCCAGCTTAATGTTATGGGCAATCTTGGACATCTCCTCTTGGTGATCGCCGAAGATAAGGCGCAGCGTCTTCCCTTTCAAGCTGCCTTCCAGCTCGAAAGTCTTGGCCTCACCGAGATCACGATCCCTCACTGGGGGGTTGGTCACACCAGAGGCAATGAGAAGTTCAAAATCACCTGAGGTTGTCTTGCGCAGTCTGGTGTTCTCTAACGCCAGTCCCTTCTTCTCCATCAGGTCACCAACCGCCGTGATGTCCTCTTTGGAGATCGAGGGCGAGTCGGGATAGTAAGTAGTCATGTGGCCACCTGTTGGGTATCCGAGATGCATCAATGATTGTTCACTTGTCTCGTAAATACCACCCCCGGCAGTGCTAGCCTTCTGATAAGCCATCTTCGTCTCCGAAGTGATAGATGACAGAGCTTCCAAGGCAGAGGCGGGAAGCCGGGGAATGAACTTGGAATCACCGAAGCCTTTGTAATTGCCGCAGTTACCCAAGAATTGCGCGCTGTATTCGAGGAAGAAACGGAGGTGCTCGTCGCTGACCTTCGTCTTCTGAGCCAAACTGTTCCAGTCGCCATTGCAGGCGCGGTGAAGGGCGAGGATGAAATCATAGATAGGTTCGGACTCCGGAGAAACTTGGCGCAAGGTGACACGAGTACCCTCAAATGCAGCTCTAATAAATTGTCCTCAGCAGTCAGCTCGCGATGTGAAAGCGGTTGTCTGCGAACGGGCGCCTTGACCACCATACCGGCTCATGTAATGGGCATATTTGCGCAAGTTCTCATCTTTGAGACTATCAAAGTGCGTCTTGATTTCCAGGCGCACGACTGAAGGCGGAGAATCGGCCAAATAATGTTGCTTGACGTTAGCATCCATGGTGGGTGTTCGACGGGAATGAGAGAGGGAGAACTGTTTGGAGGGGCGGCGGAATTGGAAACAAAAGTGGTTGAGGGGTAGCGGAGGCAACGCGGAACTCCGAACAAGCCGCAGACGTGGCGAGATGCGACGCATGGAGTGCATCGAGGGAATGAAGCTATAACACAGGAGAAATTGTGCCGATTGCCCCAATCGTTCAACTGCTCCGTTGCTCCACACTTGGCAGTGCGCACCAATGCTCCTTCGGGGTGGATCGTTTGTTTCCACTTAGCATCTTTCGATGATTTTCAACTCAGTTCTACACGATTATTCACAAATAGATCCTATTGCATTTACTGATGTTGTGCTTGACTTCGTATCTATGTACTTTGTGGCCGCTAGCAAATCGCGTCAGAATGGGTATAGTTACAATCACTGAGAATTTTCATCGAATCAGAAGAATCAAAACGTCAGAGCGATTGTGCTTTCACAACAAGCTCTCGTACTTATCCAATCCCGATCTCTGCGTTCGTGGTTGAGGCTGAGGCGGGGGCTGTGTTTGAAATAGCGATGAATTCGAATTCATGCCCGTGGAAGGAGATCTCATAGCATTGCTCAAGCCCGTCCCACCTGGTGGAGGGGCAATCGAAAATGCGGAATAGTTGGATGTTTGCTGAGTCTGGGGCCGAGACGTTGGTGTCTTCGATGCCAGACCTGTCAGCGATCCCAAAGAGGCATTGGGCTGGACGCCCCAGGTTGGCAAGGATGGTTGCATCGTAGGGACCGATGGGGCTGTGGGAGCGGCTTGTGGTGCAGGCTGGAGGGACGGGAAAGAGCTCAGCTTTTGATCCGGTGTGATAGAACGGAAGCCAAATTGGTTTGAGGCCCCGCCTTGAGATTGTGTTAGACTGTTGTTCGACCATGAAAAGGCCGGTGACATGCTCGGCCGTTTGGTGGCAGGTTCGGGTTCCATGCTACCCCAGACATCTATGTCATTACCATTTGCAGGCGGCGTATTCTTCCCGAGGACGAGACGCTCGAAATTATTCCTAGCGCTGTCCATATCGGGAGAGGTGATAGCTTTCGCCGACTGGGAGTGACTATTGCTACCATTCTGGAAACCACTTGACTCTCCTCCAGAGGAAAGCTCTTGCAGTTTTCTCTTCTGCTCTGTTTCGATCTTAGCAGAAAGAGACTTAATCAATGCCATGAACTCGTCGAATTGGCTAAGATTGAGAAGTGGGCCGAGACTGAAACTCCAAAGGATCGGCAAGACCTCGATGGCAAGGAAATCAGTGTCAGCGATCCTGCCAACCTGGCGGAAGACTTTCAATGCAGCCATCATCACTGATGGCTCTTTTGTTTTGATCGCCTTTAAGGATGGAACAAGTTTCTCCTGGATGATATACTTGTCCAGAATAGAAGGCTTGGCTGTTTTGCTGGGCTTGACTACGCCAACGAGATCATCTTCAATCCCGTCGAAGTCATCAGCAGAGCCACCGCACAGCACGCTGAAAGCCTCGAGACTGCGAACTTTGATGGCAAGGCTACTGGTGCGACTGAAAGTGCTAGCAATGGGGGGGAACACTTCGTTCTTCACAGTGCTAAAGTCGAGAACCGGAAGCACCACAGGGAGGCACTTGATGGCGGCGTCTACCAAGGAGTGCGTTGGGGAGTCCAGTCCAAGACGGATCAAAGGTAAAATATCTAATGGATATTAGCATACCGACAGCAGCCTTATGCAGAGAAGCACTTGCCATCTTTGAACTCCATTCCCGAGCAATTTTCGGCAATCAGTTTCATGTTGTCGAGCACCACCATAAGACCTGCATCCTTCTTCGAGTCGCGTTCTTGAGGCCCTTTACCAGCTGTTCCAAAAACTTCTTTGAGTCGAGGCATGATCTTCTCGGGGAAGATGCGGCGTCCATTGGGGATCCGCAGGAGGATGCCAAAAACATTTTGCAGCAAAAGCGCCAGGAGCTCGCGGTCTTTCATTTCATCCAGAACAGCCACCAGTAGTTTTCTTTCCAACACTGATGCAGGGAAATCGGGAAGAACCCGCTGCAAGCCACGTAAGAATTGAGATTTCTCATTATGATTCTTAGCTGGCAGTGATTCTAAGAAGCGAATCGTAGAGACCAGCACGTTATCAAAATACTGGGACTGTTGAAATTCTCGAGCATTCATCCGCTGCGCAGGTCTTCTTGTGATCAATCTGGGCAAGACGTGAGATAGAACCTCTCGAGGAATTGGATTTGAGCAAAGGAAGTTATTGTCCTGAGAAGGGGTGGTCGATGGGCTACTTATGAGCTTCTTGTAGGTCGACAAGTTTGAGTGGGTCTGCAGAGGGGAGACATGGGGAGAATTATAGAGAGCAATGATGATGAGACCCAGAGAGAAAAGATCAGCAGAGGGTGACACATTGGAGTCCAGAGCGAAATCCGGAGAGGTGTAATCCATGTTTAGCTGAACCGAGGCGGGGAGTCTGGGATCCTGGTAGAGCACCTGGGAGACAGCCAGTGGTGGCAATGATGAACGAGATTCCGAGGAATCAGGAGGTCCTGCAAACCCGAGTCCAGAGATTTTCCAGTCAGATTTGGCATTTATATAGATGGCCTCTGGGTTCAGGTTTCCATGCACAAGTCCCGCGGACTCGTGGAGAAATTCGAGGCCCTTGGCCACCTGGAGCAGCCCCTTTTGAATTTCTAGCTCATCAATCTCAAAGTCTCGTCTCCTCCGTGTTCTATCGGTCTGCTCGGCCATACATCGACTCGACCGAGAACTAGCACCTGCATGTTCCTGATCGCCCTTGTCTAACAGAAGAAGCCCAGAAAGCGAGGCCGTGAGCGGTTCAGTAGCAAACATAAGGCCACCGCTGCGAGTCTCTTCGACCGGCTCCAGCACTTGGAGTATGGAGGGGTGTCTCAGTCGGGCGAGGTTGCTGGCTTCCCGCTTGAGTCGCTCTATTACATCTTCCTGCACTTTCTTGGACCCAGAGCCTGAGCGAGAACTGAGTCCCCCAGGCCGTGGCTCAAGAACCTTGCGATCAAATATAAAAACGGACGCCAATGTTCCTGTGGACTTTTTCTTCGCATCATGGATTTTCCAGGGGCCGGAATATATGGAGGGGTTGGGGGGAGATTTGGTAGTTGGCGGAGATATTGGAGCTGAAAGACTTCAGCGCGGACGAAAACATGATGTAGTTGAATGTGCAGAGGGGGCGCAAGGCGAATGTGATTCGTTTCACAGTGTCGTGAGAGGGGTCTCTCTAGGCATGGCATTCACGGGACTAGAGACTGTGAAGAGATTATCGCGCAAAATCCGGGAGTAATTGCAGAGCCCAATTGGATTTGTAGTGAGTCCAATATCATGTCAGAACACAACGGCTTTTGAAGCCACCGATCCGCGTGAGTCGATAACAGCCTAAACCATGCTCCTATCGGATGAGATCACGTGCATGTGCTTCCTCCTGTCATGTGATCTCCCCGCTTGGCACTTGGCCCGCCAGTGGATGCCTGAGTTTGCAGGGACAGGACTGGCCGTCCAAGCTCCTGCCCAAGATCCGCACTTCCAGGATCACCCGCCTTGTCCGAGTCTTGACAATTAGCCTGCTCCTGCCAGCGGCGAGTCTTACCCGAGTCTGGCTTGAAGGCTTCGACTATAATTCAGGGTCCCAGAAATTTGGCAAACTCCCTCCTAAGCCCCAATGGAGATAGTCCAAAAAAGCGGCGTTTTTGTCAATGTGCTATCATTAGTCATGTACATACTTACTTCGATTCATGCCACTTCCTCTTTCCCTAGGCCTTGAAGTAGATCCGAAGTCGGCGGGTCTCCCAAAGCTACGAGCTGTGATTGGTATGATAAGAGTAGCGGTGGCTGAGTCACGGCATCTGGGGCGGGCGGTGAACATGCATGGCCCTCTTCTAGCCGCGTCGGACTTAGTCCAGGGCTCCGCAGAAATATTGTTCTGCGGAGTCATCTTGGGTTTAATTACCGTCCACCTTCACCTACCTCATCGGTGACAATCTGTCCTCTCCAGCCATGAGATCATTCCAGCAATTGACGCGCAGTAAGGCTCTCGCCGGCTTTGCTACCACTCGGATCCTGCCATCTCGGACATTCGCGTCCACTCAATTATGGCAGCGAAGCTTTAATGCTTCGGCCACCGCGGCTTCGCAGCTTCCTGGTCTGGATGCTTCCAAGTTGACCGTGACCAAGACAAGCACACCGAAAGAGCTTACTCCGAACAAGGACTTGGTCTTCGGCAAGACGTTCACCGGTACAAATGTCCATCTCGATACTACCATGGGCGATTGCTGATCAGGGCTGTTCTCTAGACCACATGCTCACTATTGAGTGGACTGCTGCTGATGGGTGGCACGCTCCCCAGATCATCCCCTACCAGAACCTCAGCCTGGACCCGTCCACCTGCGTGTTCCACTACGCCTTTGAGTGCTTCGAGGGAATGAAGGCATACAAGGATAAAACCGGAGGTATCCGCTTATTCCGCCCCAACAAGAACATGGAACGCCTGAACAAGTCTTCTGCGCGTATTGCTCTGCCCACCTTCGATGGCGAGGCTTTAACCAAGCTGATTGGCGAGTTCGTGAAGCTGGACAACCGCTTCATCCCAGAGTCAGTCGAGTCCTTTGTTGTCATGCTGATCTGACACTAACTATTGCAGTGCTCGTGGTTACTCACTGTACCTGCGCCCTACTATGATTGGTACTCAGAAGACTCTGGGTGTTGGACCTCCGGGCTCCGCCCTTCTGTTCGTCATCGCTAGTCCCGTCGGACCCTACTACCCCACTGGCTTCAAGGCCATCTCTCTAGAGGCCACCGACTACGCCGTCCGTGCCTGGCCTGGTGGTGTCGGTGACAAGAAGCTCGGTGCCAACTATGCCCCTTGCATCCTGCCCCAGCTTGAGGCTGCTTCCCGCGGATTTCAGCAGAACCTGTGGCTCTTCGGCGAGGAAGAGTACGTGACCGAGGTCGGCACAATGAATCTCTTCATCGCACTTAAGGATAAGGAGACCGGACAGAAGGAGCTGATCACTGCGCCTCTTGATGGCACTATTCTTGAGGGCGTTACCAGAGATTCGGTGCTTGCTCTTGCCCGGGAGCGACTTGAGCCTCAGGGCTGGAAGATTTCGGAGCGTAAGATTCGCATGTCCGATGTTGCCAAGGCCGCCGAGGAAGGCCGCATGATCGAGGTCTTCGGAGCCGGTACTGCCGCCATTGTCAGCCCAGTCCGCAACATCAGCTACCAAGGCAAATTGGTTGACTGCGGCCTGAAGGAGAATGAGGAGGCTGGCGAGATTGCTCTCCAGATGAAGAACTGGATCGAAGGTATCCAGTATGGAGACGAGCAGCACCCCTGGAGGTAAGCCACAACTCGAAAAGGACGCCAATTATAAGTACTAATCATCACTCAGTTACACGATTTAAATGGATACCGGTACATCTAATGTGAGAGACACGATTTGTGTCTGACTTGGGTTACATTCTTGTCGACTCTTTGACTCTGTCCCTTATCATGCGTATTCCCGGCATTGTTCATTTTCCAGCATTGACATATCAACATGTGGGGTTTCTCCGTTTCTGGAATGAGAGCCTGTTGTCCGAAATAGCTTCCCGCTATGTCCAAAAGTCTTCTCGTGTCCATTCTTTCGGGTAATCTACTTGCATTTGAATACATCCACGGCAGCTTTGCATTACTAGGATTTATGCTTCTGGGTTTCTATAGGGTAAACTGAAAATGTCATATCCACTCTTGTGCTCCCTTTGTCTCTGGGACAACATGAACCAGAAAGCCCGACAAATGTTTCACTTGCAGAAGCAGTCAGCAATATCTCATGCTAGCCACTCCGGTCTCATGAGTAAAATGCTCATTGGAGCGAATTTTGGCAAGAGGCTCAGATTCATATAAATCCAGCTTGATGAGAAAGACCCGCTCATATCCGCTTCACAGCCATGGCCATCAATGTAGTCGTCTCAGCTCCGTGGTCATGGAGAATCACATTGCGACTCTTATCCCATCTCGTTTCTTGACGGGAAACACTTGTTCTAACAATTCAGCTGATCTACTAGCTAGAAACAGCTTTCTGCAGTAGATAATTAAATGCATTACGAACACTCAAGATGTTCAATTACCGTCGTGGATTTATTAAAGGCTCTTCTACCCGGGCGCCAGTTTTTCGAGCCGCTGAGCCTCAGTCAATGATCACACAATATCTAGCGATCACAGATGGTAGCCATTGGGGATTGCTACCAGCTGAGATCCTTATTCTTCGATTCTCGGGCAAATATCGTGATATAAAGCTAGCTTTCAGAATCCAGAATGGCACATCTATTCACAAGACCAGATGTATTTTCCATAAACCGTAGCACGTCAATAGCCATTGCTCAATTTGGCCCACTCCGTGAAATGGTTAGCTTGGAGTCCATTTCAAGCTCCCTTTCTTCCGATTACGACACATCACCATTAAGTACAGTGGTACCGGTTCGGGCATAGCTTTCAATTTTGATGGCTCTGCCAATAGGATACTGGCCAGCAGCAGAGGAATTTTTCTTCGGGTAACTTCTGGTTTAAACGTTCTCGACTAGGACCTTTCCTAAAACACCTCTCTTCTTCACATCACGTGTCTTAATAGCAGGGAAGTCAGGATTTCGGTGGGACTGGCATCATGATCGAAACATGCAACAGGCAGAAGATCCGCGAGAGAAAGGGCAATGTTTTACGGTTCACTAGACTATCTATTTTTGGTAACATCTTAGGCCTGTGAAGCGTCTCGGTTAGCACAGACAGATCTGGAGTCATTTATGGCTTGGCCAAGATACATACTTCAAGTGAGACCTTGGTGTTCAGAGTGAAAGTTCCACCTCTCTACGAGAAAGATATACGATTAACACCAACGTGAGCTGACGGTCAAGCATCCACGAATGTAGTTCCTTTGAAAGAAGCCTGGCATTGCTGCCTTTGACCCAAAAGATCGAACTTTGGGGTAACGGTCCCCTTCTAGTCTCGTTTAGTTCAACCGAGAATGAGCCACAAATGTCAGCCAGCGTAGTCATCTTCAAAATAGTAACTTGAAGAAACTAGGTCAGATTTCATGCAGACGCTAGGTTGGAGTGTCTTGCCTGATTCTAAAGAATGGAAGCAAGTAGAGGGATTTTTGGCCGACAACCCGCAGATAATTTCTGGGCAGTATCCTCCTGAAGGCCTCTAATTTCGTGAAAATTTGACAGGTCGGGATCCGCAGGGCCCAACTTCGATCAGGCTTCACGTTGATGAAACCATTCATTAAACGATTCAGCCCTGCACAGAGACAAAGATCAAATTGAAGATTTCAACCTGGTTGCAGCGATGATAGTCTACTACGTCTACCCTAAGACATCCTACCTGGACCTGGAATTTGCGGACCTAATCCCCATAGACTGATGCGGAGCGCGATCTGAGATCGTGTCGAAGTAGGAATTTCTGCAACACAAAGCCCCTACAGGGGAATGTGGTTCTGATGGCAAAAATGGCTGTAAATGAAGCTCAAGCCAGGAAAAGGGCTGGACTTGCGGAGGCTGCAGGGGATATAGAACAAATGGCAGTTCGGATGGTCTTGACAGCGGGAGTTCAGCTGGATCATGTCGGGTATACGGAATGAAAGATTTCATGGCGGCATCTCATATTCCAATCGTTCTTGCGGGGCTCCTCACAGCGAAGTATGAATTGAAAAACTCTCAATGCAAAGAACGTGTGTTGAATCCAAAGAGATTCTTGATAGTTCGAAAGTGAGACTCGCAATCGGTACGAGGTAACGCAGATTTCTATGTCATCTTGTTGAGCCGGATGACCTTAACTAGTGGAAAATGGCATACTTGCTCACTGCTATTGGATGTTATTTTGGGTGGCGGATTAAATTAATCTGGGCCGGTCTCAATCATAGAAATCCATGCTAGGTTTACTTCGGTTAAATATAGATGGCGTTTCGGTTAGGCGTTGGTAAAAATAGCAGGTGCCGACTCAGTGTCGAGCACAAGATGATCGATTCGTAGTCAGATTAGCCGGGACCAAATGCCCCGCGGAGCTCGAGCTCGCGCAGTCTATCCCGAGGTTGGAGAATGATTGGATACCATGTGGACCAGCGGCAGCGAAGGTAAACCAATACGAGGTCTTTTTTAAGAACGTTGCAACCGTTCGTCTGCACCTTTAGACTTGCGTGAAGCCATGTAATTCACTTCCTCTGGTCCAGGGCCATCTAGGCTTCATTGATTGAGTCTTATAATAGATATAGCCGTATTTAGACTTTTGGGATGTGAACCTCGGAGAGCTTTCCCAAAATAAATCATCTACTATAGCGTACCATCTGCATTAATAGCCAAGACACGAAGTACCCACCAATGCACCCTAGACCTGCACATCGCTTGGGTCAGAAAGCAGGTCTTGGCCTTGCACAAACACAGTGCTGACGGACATCAGCCACCGAAACCCATGTTTCATTCGGGACCGGGGAAGTCGGCCATGTCAAGAAGAAATCCTTGTCCTCTGTTTTTGCCAATACCTTGGCATCTCGAAGGCGTGGAAGCCATAGACTCAGCTATCGGGGTACAATGGAGGGCGACACCGACAAAGAGGCTTCCAGACTGGGCTAATCCCGGAAGGATACAGAATAGGCGAGTTGCAGCACGTGTGAGCCACGTGGGAACTGGCAGACAAAAGAACAATTATCGAGCAGTCATGTCGCCGAAAAAGCAAGAATGAGATGGGTGCAGATACGTTTCAGGTTCGGTCTGTACGCTCTGGGAGGAGAGAGAGAGAGAGAGAGAGAGAGAGAGACATTTGGAAGGGGAGCGGGGTACGGCAGACACTCTGCATCCGAGATGGGGGCATGCTATGCCGGGATGTTTTCGTCATTTTGTGTTTCATTCGTGTTGACGGTCTAGTGGATCTTAGAAGCGGCTCTCAGCTTAAGTCGCACCAAGCTAGTAGGTAAAGTTCTCGTATTGTGCAAGGTCCATTGGTTCAGGGCTACGTCGCCAAAAGAATCCGGACTCGTGATGGTTTGTCACATGGCTCGAGGTTGATCTGAAGTCTCGGTAGAACGACGAAGTGACATCGCCATTGCTCGTCTTGCATGAGCAACAATCGCCAAATTGCCCTCACAAGGCTCGGAGGTCGCCCTGTTTCTGAACGCCCTGAATGCTGGTCACGCTGGCGGGGGGGGCCTTGTCTTACCACGCGATTGGCGTCCAAAGGGACGTCATCGTCGAATGGGCAGGACAGGAGCTTTTCCCGGATCCGGCTCGTACTCGGTCCATTTCACATTCCCGTGTAACTGGGACGATGGGCATAAGAATACAGGCAGAGTTCGGAGATTGCCGTGTTGATAGCCAGTTGATGGTGATACGGGACCAAAATAGATGGGAGAGGGCTGCGTGTCATCAGGCTCCGAAACTAGGATGGCTGCATTGTCCACCGCCAGGAACGCTTCTTCTAGATGGTAAGTCGAAGGTCAAAAGTGCAATCCCACCCAAGCATCCGGGGTCGAGCATGGCCGCCTACTGGCTACGATCCTTGCAACGGAGGGGATGAACCCCCGGGATCAGGGCTGCAGACTTGCAAACATGGCGGGAGACATGGGCTTCATGAGCGGTGAAGCTTGCAGCACCTGTGAGCGACGGTGTCATGGGGGAATGGCCCTCCTTACTCGAAGGGGAAATACGCAGGCCCACTAAGGCCGTTGTAGCCTTTTCAGCCCTATGTTGGTTTGCACGCCCGAATGGTCTTTGGCGACGCACCAACATGCAGGCGAGGTGCCAGCACGGATGAAATACACCCATCGGCGTAATGGCCCGGGAAGGACCCGATCCACCTACCCAGTTGGGTCCGCGACGGGTTTATCTTTGTCTGTGCCCCTCCCGACTGCATTCGTCTATTTACGCCCAAAGAAGGCGACGGGTAAGCACCTTGGGAACGGCATCCCTGGGGGCTGCAGATTACGCCCAATAAGACATCTCGATCAAGCGCGGACGTGATCCGACGCAGACACACATGACACCTGGACTCGATAGAATTGGACCAGATCAAGGCTAGGCACGAGAAAAGAATAGGGAACGAGCTAACGGAGTCCAAAAGATACCAAGGCCACCTGCTGGTCTAAGCCAAGACCGAAGGTGAAATGATGTCGTTGGGAGGGATATATACGAGCGGCCCAATCACAAGCTTCGTCTTCCAGTCCCAACGTAGTTTAGGAATTCCTAGGCGATTTGGCCCCCGAACTTTGGAAAATATGGGAAATTGATTTTGAGCGATTTCGAGATCCTTCGGATTCTGGAGCGTGCTTCCCCACTTCCTATCTCCATGCACTATACCCTATCCTATAACTTGACTCCATGGGGCTTCGACGCGTGTCTGATCCTCCCGATCAGCACAACCCGCTGGGTCAGATCTTTATCCTTCTAGTCCGTTGCCAAGATGGGGGTTAAAAAAATAATGGAGAATCATATATTCTTTATCGAATATAATAATTCTAGATTAAAGATAAATCAGAAAAATAAAAATAAACAGAAAAATAAAATAAAATAAAACCAGCAGCAACAACGTGGCAGTAAACGGCTCCCCCCCCTTCCTTAACCACACCTCCCCTCCCCCCCTACTCCTCAGCTTCTGCACGCTAGGGAAAAGAACAAAAAAGACCACATTCAGGCCGACAAGGCGAGAATGCGAGTGTCACCACTGTCACCGTTCGGGGGCAACGCACGCCGTTTCATCCCCCTGATCTCATGTCTCGGGCCAGTCAGGAAGAGTAGTCAACGTTGCCCCGGTCCAGATGGCATTTCTTTAACCCATGGCACCTTGGCATGGGACGTACGACGATCTGAGATCCCCGATCCCGCAACTGACCGGCCCACCGGAGTCTTGAAAGGGGCCACGTTTGGGGCGTACCGTATGTGTCTATACCTGACGAGTCCGTGCTAAAGGGTGATACAAACGCCCCAAAAACGTGGTCCAGATTGGTGGTTTGAGCCCACCTCAGTCGCGGCTGAATCGGCCAGATTAATCCCTGTGGAAATAAAATACACATGGCAGTTCGAGTCCACGCACTCTCGCTATCGCTACTCCACTTGGGACATGGGACAGAGGATTGGAAGACTGGGGGACTTGGGGGACTTTGGGGGGGGGCTTAGTCTGCAAGGCCCGTTCAAAGCTGATCGACGGGGATTAGGAGCCCCATCTCCGACCCCCGAGTATATAATCAATCTAAACAATCCCTCACCCAAAAAGCCCCCCCCCCCCCCTCCTCCTCCCTCCCCTTCCTCTGACTTCACTCCACCTTCACACATATCTCTTTTCATTCCGAATCATGCATCGCTCTACTTATGATGCCCGTTCGGGGTCGCGTTCTTCCAGCCATAGCAATAGTAGCGCTTTCAGTCCCAACGCAAACCCTAACGAAGACTGGACCAAGATCTCGGATTTAGCAGAGCGTCGTCGCATCCAGAACCGGATTGCACAGCGTAATTATCGTGAGTATCACCTTCACCATCACTATGATCTGCATGGTGCTTGAAGGCCACGGGGAGGAGTATTTCTAACAGAGTCTACAGGCAAGAAACTAAAGCGCCGCCTGGAAGATCTAGAGAGACGCGCCGCATCGTCCGCATCCCCGGAACAGTCACATGCGGAACCGGTGCCCCCCAAAGCCACAACCAAGACTCGCTCCAAACAGCGATCTAACAAATCCGATGCGAAAGCTCACACGTCGCACACCCTGCAACCAGAGAGACCGGCGTCGTACGATCACTACACACCGGACGAGCGAACCATGTTCGGCCAACAATGTACTCGCCAACTCTCTGCTTCACCACCCCCGGTGTTTTCATATCCACCACTCCAAGGCTACGACACCTATCGACCAACCTACAACCAACTCGCAGTCTATCACACCGTGCCCAGCACGTACAGCGACGTGATGTCTTATCCCGGTGAATACGGCGACTCACTACCATCTATGGTCCCGATGATATCAGGGGCCCCGCTAGGCACCCCTAGGAAACCGGCGTACGACGAGGACATCATCAGCCCATTTAGTATGAGTTACGCCGCGATGGCAGGCATTGATATCTGTCAACAGCAGTCGCCGCCGGAACCTGGTCTTCCGGTACATTACCCTCGCTGAAATCAAAGCAAATCTACACGCAAAAACAAAACAAAAAAAAGAAAGAAAGAAAGAAACGACAGCGGAAGCTAATGATCTCTTGTGTTCTGCTTGCAGATGCCATCGCTTTCCTACGGCTATTCGGATGACCAGCGCGCGGTTTCGACATCCCCCGAGGCGTCGATCTTTACTTTGCCCTTAACGCCCGAGTCACCTCCGTGCTCGCCACGCTCCATGCCGGGGCTGTATGAGTATGATCTGCGGCCGTGAAAGACCCGGGGAGCCAAAGACGCGTATACACCCAGGCCTTGACGGGTAGTGCCGCTCCGCCAAGGCCCGGGCTTCGAGGATAGGGTTTACGTGATGATCGGGGACTTTCTTTGGTCGACAGGTTAATTTTCAATCTGGTTCCCGGACTCTCCACTTTTCTTCTTTTTTCTTTTTCAAATTACTACTCTTATTTTCCTATTTTCCTAGGGATATGTGTGACGAAGCGAAGCATTTAGTCGGCGTCGAGTGTATTGGTACTGGGTGTCATGTATCGGGGAAAGGACCGTTCAGGCAACGAATCCAATTTGATAGAAAGAAATCACTCGCTCTTAAAAAAAATACTTCCAGTCAATAGCCTTTCGATCGAGGGTCCTGATTGGCCTGATTGCACGGGACATTAACTCCGATGGCCCCCAACCAGGATCCCGCGAGCGGACCCCAGCCGAGACCGTCTTTCGAAATGGTCCACTTTCAGGCGTCCCATTTGCAGCCACGGCCCCCAAGAATAGATGCACGACATGCCTAATCGGGAAACCAGTTCAAGACCCCATTTTCCCATTCAGGCCCTCTAGCGATGAAACGCCTGCGACTCTCCTTCTTTTCCTAATGCTACACGGATCGTCCGGTGGAGGTGTGACCCATGTGCTTTACCAAGTCGTCGGGATCATGTTGCAGACAATGTTCATATCGGCCATGACTCCAAAAAAAGAAATACCATCAACAATTATATAAATATAAAGTCAAATTAAAATAAAGAACGAAAAATGAAAAATGAAAATGGAAAAATGGAAAATATAGTATGGTCGGGTACAAGAAAGCCCCAAAACCCGAAACCCGAAACCAACTGATGATGCCATTCCCGGGTGAGTGGTTCCTCCCACATGGGCGCACGGGTTGCATGGGGGGACAACTTGGGTCAAATGCTGCGCCTCCTCATAACCAGAATTGCCGGGATTTCACTAACAAGAGCTGGGTAGCTATCCTTGCACGGGATTGGCAATGTTCTGGTGCCAGAGCCGCCTCACCCATTGATTCCCACGAACAGGGCTAGGTGGTCGGTGCACAAGGGATCCGACAGGTCTAGGGCCTTCCCAAGCCCCGCCCCTCCTCTCTCTCTCTCTCTTTCTCTCTCGTCTACTAGTTTCGGCCGTAGCCAACGGGGTGGGCTGAAAAAAGTCACCCCGACGCCGAAAGGACTCTCCCCCCCTTCCTTCGCGTCCGCCTATTTCCGCACGTGTTTTTTGTATGGCCCCCAAAACCCAGATCCATGCCCACAGGCATCCCCATGCACGTCTTGGGGGGTGCTTTTTCCTTTTTGTGCTTTTTCCATTGTCAGTTAGCGTGCATGCTTGGCGTTTTTGTTATCAGGATTTCGGCTCTTGCTTTGTCACGCTAGAGGTATAGTAGGATGGAGTTGAAACTGTTAAAACCACACTCTCTCTTGATATTGGCTTGATTTCGCGTGAGTCGAGGCGAGTGGAATTTCCTTCTTCTTTCGTTTTCGAATAATTGTAAAGTGAACTGTGGTACAGCTCACGGTGGGGTGTGAACGAGGGATCAACGTGCAGATCAGGAGATAACGTTGAGGGGGGTTTAAAGGTGGCCGGTGTCGCAACAAAGTACCAAGTACAAAGTTGGAACGTCCGGACCCAACAGCTTGGACCCAATTCTTCAGCTATCGAGAACACTAAGAGTAGACCAAAGTTCCCACATGGTTGACAAGAGGCATCGGAGAGGGGCCGAAACGTTTCCCTATCAGATCGAGAATGCACTGAGTCAATTTCGGGTGCCCCACGGGCCAACTGCTGATTCATGTCCTTTTGGGCTCAAGGGCGGGGGTCCCCGATTTATCTGGGCATCGCGGTCTAGTCCATGATGTGATAGCTGTCGAAAGTGAAGCATCTCGATCGAGGTAAGTTTTGTTTTTTTTGGATATTGTGATGGGGGTTTCGCGGACAGATTCCGAGATTTCAAAAATACCACGAAATGACTCACGGTAATACGATCGATGATTTTCCATTTTTCTGCGAGAATCCTGCTCTACGCGCCAGGTGACATGCAACCTTTTGCTCGGCGCCTGATGATTTCGCCGGGATCATTTATTTATTTTTTTTTTATTTTTTTCCTTTATTGAGATTTATTGGGAAATTTGAAAAGAATAAAGTCACGGTCTCCAGAAGTAAATTATCTATGCATTAGAAATCAAAAGGACAGTGAAACCCGGGTGCGTGCCTTTACATCGGCGTCGCCGAATGCACCCCAAGAACTAAAAAAACTCCCGTGGACAACCGATGCATATTTCCAGCTTCCCAACTGGTCGTGGGATTGTTCCATCCTGCAGGCAATTAAATTATCTGGCAATTAGTTGATGAACTCCCCGTATCCAAGGCCGGTCAACTATGAACCTCAGGGGTCTCGCCCAAAATGCGTAAAATGAAGCTACCTTCCTTGGCACATCACTCGGGACATGTCTCTAATTTACTATTGTCCCATTTTTCCCCTCCCCAAATTCCTCAGTGCCTTTACTGGCTGATCTGAAATCCAAGGTCCTCAAATATCGACATCTCCATAATAGGATGAACGACCGACGGAACCTGGGTGCAATAGGTAACTGTGCATTCCGCATTCCAAAACTGACTGCCTACGAGCTGGCCGATACCCTATCTCTTGCGTTCCTGGCTATGCTACGGTTACCATGACGGACATTTTCAACAGGGCCAGAGACAGCATCTGTGGAATATCGGGGGAGGGCCGTGACCTGCTCTCAGAGCCTCTCAGTGACTTCCAGAGTATCACTTCCCGGGTTGTGTCGCGGAGATGGAAAGGGGGGGCTGGACATTTTTCTTGGACGTGTGTTCTGATGGCCAAGGAGAGGGGGTGGCCTGGTGGGATGGACATCTCCAAAAGGGCGTTCGGGAGGGGTGAAACGAATTTATGCAGCCTCGTATCTTGTATCTCGCTTGCCCCGAGGGGGGGGGGGCAGCACTTGAACGGGTCCTTTTTGAGGCCATTGACCACTCTGTCGGCATTGCGCAAGACACGGTTCATGGATTCGCAAGACAGAAGTCTACGAAGCATTGGAGGATTCCGAGCCCTAGTGTCTGGTGGTCACGAATTCTCCAAATTTTTTCTTTTACAGATCTTTTCGACACCTTCCATAGTCTAGAAAGAAAATATGACATCCCATTGAAACAAAGCAAATAATCAAACTCGTCATGGTCATCAATGCCCCCGCGCGATCTCCATATGAGCATGTTGACCTTGCCTGCTGCCGCTGTAAAAGATGCAGGGAAGACCCAGTCCTAGACATTCGAGAAGAAAACCATTGTAAATGTGACAAGCCTTCACTAGATGAATTTCCCTCAACCAATTTCAGCTCCCTGGACACTCATGCGATCCGAGGGGGTCAGGTTTGCCGCCTCTCGCCGCCGCCGACGCATAGGTGCTTTCTTCCGGTTCGCAATCGCCGCCTCTTGAGCTTGCGCCGGGTTCATTTCCATATCGCCGTCTTTGTCACCTTGTTGTTGTGCCGCAAGCTCACCCGGGCCAGCTCGGGCAGCCATTTTTTCGTGAATGTCGGTTTCATCAAGCTCATACATATCCCTAGGTTTCATTCGCAGCCATCTCATGCGCGGGCCGACTCGCGAGGCTTCGGAAACCTTGAACCCGTAGATCTTGGAGTCGTAGATTTTGCCACGTCCGAGTCCCGGACAGAAATTAGAGGTGCGCACGCCGTTAACTTCCAGGGGCTGTTCCTCTGGCGTAGGAGACTCGAAGGGTACTTGAGGAGGTGGGGATCGGTTCGGTTGTGAGGCGTTTCGTGACATGGCGGATGCGAGGGAAGCGTCTAGGCGAGGTCCAATGTCCAGATCGGGGAAAGTCATGAAGAACAGGCAGCCAAAGGTGGTGCCGAAGAAAGCTCCGTCGACAGAATGGAAGCGACTGTTAGGAGGAGTGTAGATGTCCATGCAGCCGGGGCAGAAGAGTTTGACGGTTTCCTGGCCGGGCGTATCAGATCGGCCGACGGGGAGCACCTTACACCCGTTACAATTGACACGAGGGCAGACGCCGAAATGTTGCATCTCATATTTCTCCAGCATTTGTTGAATACCGGGTCGCGAGGTGATGTAGCGCTGGTGAATTAAGCCGTACAGCAACTCCGCAGAGCTCTCAATATCGCTTAAATCGCTGGCCACGCGAGCGTGTCGTCGATCGCCTGCCCGCCGATAATCGACCGGGCGCTCATCGCCCAAGATCTCATCGTCATCGTCATCCTCTTCCTCTTCTTCCTCCTCATCATCCTCAGGTTCCACATCGAGAATCATCTCCAGTGCCTCTTTGTACCTGGGTACCTGCGACTGGAGACCAGTCAAGTTGAAATCATCCTCAATGAAGTCCTCGGAAACCTCCGCGAAGAACTCGTGACCCATCAGCGAGCAAAACGAGGAGATCCATGACTCCGGTGCACCCTCTGACGACGACATATCGAATGAGGCGGACACGGAAGACGAAAGGGTTGATTCAGACAGTTGACTCAGATCCAGCCTGTCGAGGCCGTCGGCCAACGCCGAACCTTGCTCTCTCGACACGTTGCCGAGATTTTAGGTAAAGAGCTGGAGAAGGGTTGCGACGAAACGATCTCGTCACACGAAATAAGAGGGGGTTGGCGGTCCTGAAAGGATCAACGAAGCGTTGGTCTAAGTGGAAGGGAAGATCGGCTTGGTGAAGCTCCTGCGGTCAGAGCAATTGGATGGCGGAACCCAAGCTCATGGATCCGAGGTTGAGGTGGTGTTCAGTGGGGAAGCGCAGTCACACTGTGCGGGAGGGGGGAGGTTGTGCGAAGTCGAGAACTCCGTATCTTTCTCTGGCCCAACAATCATCTTATCAGCCTCTATTCCGGCATTATCGACATGAATCGCTTCACTTACAGGAATATCGAGATCTTCTTGCACACGACTCGGCGAGACCTGTCTTCCCTCTAGACCGTAATCGCTGATCGCACTGTTGACACTAGATTCGGCTCGGTCCACTTTTGGGAACGGTGGTATGCTTGACCTCGTGAGCTAAGTCCAGGGCATCAAGGTCAGTTGAAGAACTGCCGATCGATGAATGATTTGACACGACTCTCAAAGCGAGAAATTTGGCGGGGAAGAAACTGGCTGCGAGTGGAAGGTGGCCGTCACGTGAACGACCCATACAACGACAACTTTGGCCTTCGAAGATAGATAGTTATACTGATCCAACTGCCGCATTATTCATTCGCAGCCGTCTTATATACATTGCTAGAACAGATCGCGAATTACGCGAGAAAACTCCTCCTCACCACCCAAGACTCCAGAAAGACCCTCTCCCGTATTATGGATCTCCCCATCTGTGCCAACGAAGCCATTAATGCCATCGGGACCAGTGGTGCTAGGCATGAAGCCACTGAAAGACCCAACAGCTTCGAAAAGATTCGTGAGCTCATGGCTCATCTGTAAGCCATTCATAGGGCTGTTCCCTAATTCATTGAATCCGTTCGTTTGCCCATACAAAGAGATGTCTTCCATCGGGTGTCCTGCGAGGCCTGCCATGGCCACTGCAGCTGTAGAGTGAGGATCATTCGAATCTGTGCCAAAATTCCGCGCAAAGACACCGAGTTTTTCTCCAAGTTTTCGGAGTCCCTTGATGGTTTTCCACAGTCTCTTCGACACGAAGGACTTGGTGCTAAACCCATTGACCAAGTCCAGTGCCATGTAAAATTCATCTCGAACCTGGCGATTGAAATCAGACGGGGCATGACACACCGCAAGGAAAAGAACAGCCAAGGCAGCGACAAGGAAATAGTTAAAAGTGATCTGTTGTGTGCGGTAGATATCGGACATCTGGTTCAGGCGAGTGAGAACTCGCACCGTGTCCTTGGCTACGTCCACCACTGTCTGTGCATGACCGCAATCTTCGGCGATACTCGCAGCAGAATGAAGCACGGGCCGGTATATGAGAATACGCAGCTGGTTCATACGCAGGTAAAGCAAGATCCTCAGACGCCTCATGCCTCGGCTTGCAGACTCGCCATTCTTGGGGGATTCCACGGGATAAAACTTGAGCTCTTCCGGGATCTGCTTATACCACTGCAGGACTTGATAATCTAGGTAGCCAATTTCCTCTCGTCGAATATCGGTTGTGCCTTCGGAGCCAAGGCCAGAATACCATATTTTTGAACTGATCCGGTTGTATGAGATCATGCATCGCAAATATGGCAATGATGCATCCTGGTGATAAGAAAGATTAGAAGTGTAAATGCACTGTGTAAAGCATGGAGAAATTACCGGCTCAGGCAAGTTAGGATCGATATCCTCGTCCTGGATCACAAAAGGCAAACCAGTGCCTAAGCTCCATCTTCGATCCAAACTATAGACTGTCCAGAAAATGCGACAAATCTCATTCCACTGGTCTTCGAGTGGGAATGATTTCATCAAGGCATCTCGGCGGTGCAACCCCAATTCGAGACACATGCGTGCAGCAAAGCCAATCAGTCGGTAAGCCATAGCATCATCATCAGTATGGAAATGGTAGGTAGCCTAAGTCTCTGTTAGTAACCTACTTCTAGAAGATGTAATGAAAGATTGACATACCACAATAGTAAATAATTGAATGTTCTTGATGTCATGAGGCTCCCACAGCTTCGACTCAATGACAGGCTTGACAGTCAGAAAGAGGCGCTGACCGAGGTCACTTTGACCGCCCCCTTCTACGACCAGCGTAGTTGCGAGAATTAGTTTCAGAAGAACAGAATTATCGTCCGAAAGGCCATCAGCACCGGGAAAAGCGCGCTGTGCAAAACCGGTCCGCGTAGCAGCTTCCATGAACGTGTAGAGCAGGTTAGCTTGGCTGGTGACTGTTGAGATATCCACTATAGGATACATAATGCCAATTTCCTCTTCATATACTTTACAAAGGCGTAAAGCCTCTTCGCGTTGAATACTCCAAATCGGATCCTTGGTAGGATGGATAGTCGGTATGAGCGGGACGAGATGGGAAGGCGGGGAACCCGCTGGGGTGACGTGTGCAGTTGTCAATTCGTCCGGTATTCCATCTTCCGCAATGCCCATACTCTGGAGGCTTGATTTGGCGACATCGAAGTTGAAGGCAGAGCTTGTTGGGCCATGGAAACGTGGATGTCGGGCACGCGTTTTTGAGATGCCACTTGGCACCGGGGTAAAGACTGACTGGGATCCATCGCGAGGGATCTCAAAAGGTGGGGACTCATACGTAGATTTTTGAGCTTGAAGGTCTCTGAAACTGTTGGAAAGACTATTGACTTGATCTTGAAGAGTGGCCAACTGTGAGCTCATGGAACGAAACTCGCTGATTGGACATTAGTATTTTAAAGCAGCCTCGATGGTACTTCTGCAACCTACTCGGAGTCTTTGAAGTTGTTGTTGCAGCAATTCGGAGCATATCGACCTGAGTTGATGGTCAGTTGAAGCTGTCCGATTCCGAGCGGAGGCAAAGCGGGCCATTGCGCATTTCCTCGATAGAGAATAGCGCTAGCATGGAGGTTGATTCACATACATTCCAGGTTCAGATGACCGCATCGCTGACACGGCACTTGTCCGTTGCATTTAATCTTGCGGCGCTTGCATTCGTTGCTAAATAAAGCTCCTCATTAGTCTTGTTCGGAAGCCCTATTATGTTCTTCCGGGCTGAATGATAGGTGGCATGACACTGCAAGGAATGCCGCTCTGCAGCTAACTGCAGATCTGACGAGTGAAAATACCGATACATGGTAGCTGGGGAGGGATCAGGTCATTATCATACCATGCGATAGAGATGTAGCGATTCCGCTTTGTGCGCATTTGCATTCCGTTGGCTTGTTCCGCTTTCCTTTTGGCCGATTCGGCAGTTGAAGTGGCCGACTGATCGCCAGAGCCATGCAGAGGCGGCGTCTTCTCCAACTGAGGTGATTCCGAAGCCATGATGCACGAAATACAAGAGTATTGGGAGAATACACCGCAGGCACCTAGCGGCAATCGAGTGCGGAGAGGTTCCTTGCGGGGTTTGCCGTTTCCCCAGATTTTGAGCTGACTCATCTCATTATTCTGCAGATTCATTGGCCGGCGCGGCTAGACTTCATGATCAGCACGAGATTCGTGAACTATATCTACGAGAATTAGACTAGGGATCATGTATTTCAAGAAAGGAAAAAAAAAGTGTCCGTTGAATTGAAAAGTATTTAAAATGGCGAAAGTCTTATGCTTTCGACAGAATCCATTCTTTGCCAGCCTTCAGCGCATTCAGAATCTGGCTTCGGTGCTGTGGGCTCTTTCGAAGCCAAACGAACCCGGTCACAACACTAGCAAGCACAGAAAGCAGTATAGCCTTGTATATCCGCTGCAAAATAACACCTTTACGAGTTCGCTTTGCAGTCCAGTGACGCCAGACCGGGAATGAGCACCGCAGCCAATAATCAATCTGAGAGAATCTATAAATTTTCAATTAGTGTAAGCACGAAGCCAACACTTATTGCAAACTCACGGGTAAGTCGAAGAGTTCCAACCATCCGCGGTGATGTACCAGCTGGAGCACACCCCACGTCGGAAGACAGTCTTTTGCAGTTGGTCCTGCACTTGCTTGGTCCAAGCCCGCTCCGCCTCCTCTTTGATCTCGTACGAGCTGACTTGGCCCTCCAAAATGGGCTTGATAAATTTCAGCGAGTAGTTGACTGCATTTTCAGTGGCGAATATAACGCTGGTATGGCCAGTGGCAGTGTTCGGTCCGAAGAGCATGAAGAAGTTCGGGAATTGATCCACTGCGATACCCAAGTAGGCCTGAGCACCTCCACGCTCAGTCCAGAGTTCCTCCATATTCTTGTTACCCTTTCCAATAACTTTGAGTGGGTGGAGCCATTGGTTAGTTTCAAATCCATTGCCCAATATGATTACATCCGCTGGGACCTCTCTAATTTTGTCAGAGCCTTCCTTCTGGTTGGGAGGGTAATGCGAGCCCGGGCCCAGCGTCACACTCCTAGTATTTACTTGAGTCAATGGCTGAGTGGTGAGCTTGACTTTGGGTGAGTTCAAGCTGCGGTACCAGGTACCGTCGATGATTCGCCGCTTGCAACCGAGGCTGTAGTTAGGGGTAAGTATCTCGTGGTATTCCTTAGGCGCCATCACACGCATATGCTCCAAAAAGGCCTTCTCAAGCCGTGGCCGTTGTCGACGACCATATGCGCCATCCGTGAACATGGCAAAGAAGTTCTTTTCAAGCATGCAGAATAGGGCGTTGCGTAGGAATCGTGCTAGTCCAGGTATGTGCGCCATCAAACTCGGCGTCCACTTCTCCCATAGCACCAGCAAGTGAGGTGGTAGCAAGTCTGGTTGAACCCACGGCGGAGTGCGCATCAGCTGCGTGATGGAGCGAACGTTAGCCTCTGGTTTGGCTAGCTCAGGGACCACCTGGGCAGCACTGCAACCTGAGCCTACGATGATGACATCTTTGTCCTGCAAGTCAATGTCATTGTTCCAACGAGCCGTGTGCATGATCTCGCCCTGAAAGTCATCAATGCCAGGGATGTCTTTTGGCCAAGTTTTGGGCTCAACCAAGCCTCCGACCCCGCTGACCACAATCTTGGCTCGCACAATTTCCACTTTGGTATACACCATATGCGGGCCTTTCTGAATGGCAAGCTGTTCACGATCATAACTCGAGAGATCACCCGTTCCGGGAACAAGATGAGACAGTGTCACTTCCCATTCTTCATCCTCTTCGACCCACCGGAGTTGTTTCACATCGGTGTTGAACTGGATTTTATCGACAATCTGATACTTCTCGCAGACATCTGCGAGATACTGTGCGATTTCAGGACCAGAAGGGTGGAGTGTCGACCAATTTCTTTTCGGCGCAAAAGAAAAAGAGTAAAATATAGCCGGGCTACAACGAGGGCTGGGTTAGATCTGAGCGACAAGCCAAGCGAATAACACATACATGTCGCAAGCGGCGCCAGGATACCGGTTGATCCACCAGGTACCTCCGATGCCTGACTGGCGCTCGAAGATACGGAACTGATCCGTTCCAAGGACCTCTTTCAAACGACATCCCATAGCCACGCCTGACTCTCCAGCACCAACAATGAGCACAGGGTAGTAGGTATGAGCATCCTTGCCATAAGCATGGCGCTTATGGATGTTTGCGATCGAGGGCATCGCGAGTATTGATTTTTCAGTCTGATAACAATTATCTGCAGTTATCGTAAGCTGAACACCTAGGATGATGGTTTTGACAACTGGACGATACTTTGGACCCAAAAAAAGGATCTAGTACAACAAGGGAATGTCGCCCGAGAACTCTCAGTAGTCCAAGCGAGATATATCCAGCTGGTCTGGTCAAGTAAGAAAGACAAATGAGATAGGATTCGTAAAAGCCGGAGGAAGTCAGATCAAAGGATGCGCCAATTCGAAATCGTTGATGAGGGGGCGCTTGGCAACCTCGGTAAATTGTCTTATGATATGGGCTGCAGTGCTTATGCGCTCATGTTACCGACCGTGAAATGGGTTCATTAATGAGAGAGTGAACCATAAAGTTTGCATGATTCCATATGGTCGAATTCAGTGACTTTAGTTATTTCAAGTGAGAAATTCTCAGGAGGGGAAGCGTCGATTTATGCTCCTGTGGCTCGTATATACAATGAATCCGGGGTGTGGTGAGGTCACCGCAGCCCGTGTTTGCGCTTCCGCGATCTTTTCGGTGTTTGCACCTCCCTCTATCTGCCTGAATGAAGCTTCAGCAATGGTGCTCAGGATGCCGGGTCTCGAGAGTCGCGAGCCTCTCGACTGGTCTACCGCGATCAACTCTCCGCCTGTTCCGAGAGCGCATTGAGCGTAATACGCGCAATCTCTCCGCATCGTCCGTCGATCGCTACCGTTCGCTTGAAACCCTCGAAGACGCCAGCATCGATACCTTTCGCACCCATTATTATGCTCGCGAGAAGCCCGTCCTGTTTCCACGATCGAAATTCAAGGAGTTACCAGCCTTGAAGAACTGGTTTCAGAGCTGCACAGCCCCAGCTGGCGCTCCAGGCCCATCCACAACTCGCCTCAACATCGAATACCTACAGAAGCATGCCGGCGATGCATTTGTACCGCTGGAGCTTACCGAGCAATCTCCGACCGACCGGTCAAGTGACCCGGATTCGCATGCTCATGGCGGGACTGACGCCTTAAGCTTCCGACAGTTTCACGCGCCGCTGACAATGTTTCTGGAATGGATGCGCACGGCAGCTACCTCACCACAATCGAGTCGGTTGTACCTCGCTCAGTGCCAGCTCCTCGATCTACCTCCAGTCCTACGACAAGACTTCCCAATCCCAGATATCGTGGCACAGGCTGGCAAGGGTGATGTGTATGACACGAATGTCTGGATCGGACACCCGCCTACATATACTCCTCTACACCGTGATCCTAATCCGAATCTTTTCGTTCAGCTCGCTGGGCGTAAGGTTGTGAGACTACTTGCTCCAATGGAGGGACAGGCTGTATTTTCTGCTGTTCGGCAGCGACTGGGCAAAAGTGGAGGGAAGGAAGCCGCGGCCTTTCGAGGCGAGGAAATGATGCAAGGACAGGAGCGTGCTTTACTGGATGAGATGGTGTGGGGTACCCCAGCGTCTGCTGATACATATGGCGGAGTGGGATACGAAGTTCATCTTCGGGCCGCAGATGGCCTTTTCATTCCCAAAGGTTGGTGGCATAGCATCAAGGGAGTAGGAGAGGGCGTGACTGCATCGGTAAGTGCTCATCTGCATGATGACAGCGCCAGGTAATGGCTTGCTAACTTCTGGTTCACAGGTCAATTGGTGGTTTCGATGAAGACGCCAAAACTAGATACTATGTCATCTGTAGAATGAGAGAATCCTTTAGAAGTAATGTGTATTGTATGAAAACTTGAGCTTGTGGGTTGGGAAAAAGTGACCGTGTAATTCGGGCAGTTCTAGAAACGTCTCCGCTCCACCGCCTATTTCAACTACTTGCCTCCCCCAGACTTCCACCACGTCTTTATCCTCAGCATGCTCCTCTCACGCACTGCTTTCCGCGCCGCCCTGCTTCACCTGAGCTTCAATCCAGCTTTGATCCGCGCCGCAGCCCCTACCGCCTTCACCCTGACCACACCGGCGTATTTTGGCCAGACACCAAGCTCTCGTCTCCATACCGTCCTGTTTCCTCAGTGCGCGCCACTCAATAAGTTCACCGAATCACAAACTCAAATCCGCACAATGGCTTCAGAGTCGAACTCCACCCCCGAGTCCGCTGCTCAGTCAAAAGGACCCAATGAGTCCCAGCCACAAGAAGCACAACAACCTCAGGAGCGTCTCGCCCTCCCACCCAGCGACTCCTCCGGCCAAAAGCTTGACCTCAGCGAAGGCGGCTCATCTGTTACGCTTGACCACTTGGGCCCCATGGTCGTCAATGTAGACGGCACACTGTCGCGAATCAGCAACTGGGACCAGATGGCCGAAATTGAGCGCAAGAACACTCTTCGCGTCATCAGTAAGCGGAACAAGCAGCGCTTGGACGCTTTGAAGGCTGCGCGGGGCGAAGAGTAGGGTTTACCTTCTAGGAAGGACAGTGTACTAGATATTGTATATAGCATGGAATGGAGTTTACAAGCGTTTGTTTAATATGACTCGTTGGATCCATGATCTTTCTCCACGGTGCAGAGTTGGTAGTGTTTTCTGGTGATCTCATAGATAAATTTCAGACATGATACTATCTATAGCAACTGCCATAAACAAAGGTTGATGCAGAATTTCATCAACAAATTCATCAAATCAGTCGAATAGCTTATTGATATACCTGTGAAGAACGCTCCTGCAGGTGATGTCAGTCATTTGAAAACCTTGGGCTAATACTTCAGTAGCACGATCACAACTTACTTCGGAGGCGATGACACAAAGTCTCTCTCATACTCGTCAATCTCCGCCAAATCACTAAGCAAATCAACCTCTTCGGGCTTCAAGAACTTCGTCCCGTGGAAAAGCTTCCACCCTAGATAAAGAACGGGAAAAATACCAATCATGGTATATGAGAAGAGAAAGGTCGGAACCGACCATTTGCCAGGCAAGAAGACCGTGTAGCCACCGAGCAAAGCCATGATCGTTGTAGAGGCGCAGGCGATATAGGCGATGTAGGGCTGAAACCAACTCTTGTATGGTAAAGAATCCCGTGAGATCCCCTGGACATCGAGTGCTTTCTTGAAACGAATGTAGGTGAATGTGACGACAGAAAAGTTGATGAGTTGAGAGGCAGTGACCTAGCTGGTTTAAGAAATGGTTTGGCGTCACAGTGGCATAAGAGTAGATACGTACGAGATTGACAAACCAGTTGAGTACAACTGAAGCACCATTAGACACCTGCAAGAAGCTAAGTAGGGCAATGAGAAGTACAACAGCCACACAGTAGATAGGTACGCCTTGCTGAGTGCACTTGGTCAAGAACCGAGGTGCCTTTCTTTCCAGCGCAAGGCCGTACAAGCATCGACTGGCACAATAGACATAGCTATTCCCAGCACTGAAAGAAGCTGTGAGAACAACGGCATTGACGACATGAGGTAGAAGAGGAATATGCAGTCGATCCATAGAGATAACATATGGCGAGGCCGCAGCACCTGGCTTATCATTGTCAAAAGCCGAGGCCATTTCCTTGTCATTATAAGGAACCAGAATGCCCACACATAAAATACCAAGAACAAAAAATGCTGTGAGGCGGTAAAAGACACCATTGAATGCCTTTGGTAACACAACACGGGGATTGACAGTCTCTCCAGCAGCCATGGACACATAATCAGGACCCGCGATAGTGAAGCTGGCTGTGATGAGAGCCGATAAAAAGGCGAGGAATTTGCCCGTACCTCCGGTCTTGTAGTATTCTGCAAATGCACCGGGTTCTTTCCAGTACCTGAAGCCGAATCGGTCGCTGAGGGGGTTTCCTCCTAGCATTACAATGAATGTGTAGAAGATCAGGCCAGTGCTGAGGAGCACTTTGCCCAAGGAGAGCCAGAATTCTGCTTCTCCGTACCACTTTACGGCGAAGATGTTGAGTATTCTTCAAGAGTGTCAGTAAAAGTCTCCATTGTGCTGTTCGGAAGTAGAATGACGAACGCATAGAGTACAAGAATAATCACGTTCATTGCGGCTACTGGTATCGCACTGGTCCAATACTTGACAATCAAACTGACAGCGACGATCTCAAAAGGTACTAGAGCGGCCTCGAAGATGAAAAAGTTGTAGCCGGCGGCGACGCCGAGAGCTTCATCAACATAGCGACCAGCAAATCGAATGAACGGGGAGGAGATGGGGAGGTAAGTGACCATTTCCGCCAAACCTGTATAGCATCATAGGTATCAGCCTTTGAATCCAATGTGTTTGGGACTTCTCTGCCGCAAGAGAGATGAAAGCACATCATAAAGGCAGATGACAGATAGACAGGCGCGTTGAGTCATCATAACATCCACGTATGGGCACAGAATGGTATTGGATCTGGACAGATAGGGGAGATGAGTATACATACAGACTGTTATGATCAAAATCACCAAACTCCTAGATAGTGTCAGCTTTCAATCTGAGATCTCAATATTGGTCCAGGTCCTTGATTGTCCGAGTCATCAATTGGGTTATCTAGAATTTCACTGTGGCACGTGTGGCTTATAGTGATTCTCGGTTGATGTTGATTGTTTGACGTTGAAAAGGCTGAACTTTAGAGTTCTCTAACATACCCTAGTGACTTGCTCGAGGTTAAGGAACACGTTGTTTCCCTATTCGCATAGGAAGGTGTATTTTTCTTCGTCCTTATTGTCTCGTCTAGAAAGAGACTGAGTCTGCTTCCCAGCCTTGAAAGCTAATCGAAGTTCCCGGTGCATAGTCGAGACAAACCAAGGACGGACGACCACTTGTCAACAAGACTAGAGATCATTGAACTTACCAGATAGTAAATGCAAGGAACAAGCTTGCTGGACCACTTGTACGCAAGCCAGAACCGATCTGGACATAGAGTGCCGTGCCAATGGTTCCACCGATCCCAATTAGTTGGATATGCCGGGGCTTTAATTTGCGGCGGGTATGGTCGAAAGTTGGCTCCATAGATCCATCATCGATTGAGCCACCATGACTCTCTCGCGGAGTCTGTTCGATTGTCTCGACAAGATCTTTGACCTTCATGTTTTTCGACTCAGCGTCAGGCAGATGGTGGGTAGGACCGGCGCGTCGAACAGTGGCAGCTATTGGTGAGTGTGAGATGATATCCGGCCTTGGATCTGAATGTAACATGTCGGAAAGTTTCATTCACGGTGGAGAAACAAGGGTTGCTGCTGCTGAGTAGGAGAGAGAGATAGAAGATATACGTTCATCGCCGAGTCAGGGGGGCACATGAACGACCAAAAAAATTCTCACCTTGGCGCTACATTACCTTGCTTGGCAGAACAGCCACGCGTGATATTCACTCCAAGCCATTTGGAGGTTCCTGAGATAAGTACCTGTAGCACGAGCCAGGGAGCAGATTAGGAATTCCCTACCATTCAGGCTTGGGCTATGCGACGAGCCCGTCAGATATGCAAGGGGTACAGGTAGGCCCGGCTCAAATGTTCAGTATTGCTCTAGTGAGTTACCGGCGGTGGGGACTATAAAGGTTTCTAGATGTCTGCTAGGGTAAGATAATATTTCGAATCCAGCTTCTGGAGTCATAACGAAGCATGACTATGTAACACATCATGAAATCATCAATGTCATCAACAACATCAAAACCAGACAGAATGATCGACCAGCGAAGAATTTGGCGTTATCCGTGTGCACCCATTAGATCCTGTCACATGGTGCAAAGAACGACCTTTGTCCCAAAACAAATGACGATTTAGATTCACATGAATCAACGTATCGGCATGACGATCAAGCATTACTCTCCATACCACCACCTAGTGGAGCACCTCAATCGGTACCTCACTTGTCATCTTTCGAGCCAGTGCTGGAGGTACTCTCATTCGAAGGCCGTCGCTCAGGCAAGAAAATGTCTTTTCCTAGCCAGGCGGGAGGGAAAAAGGGATCATTGTCTTCAAAATAGAGATGATGGATTAAGTCTTGATCTTCCACGACATCCTGGTTGGGATCAATATAGCCTCGCGGCATAGCTCTTTGTGGGCGAGGTTTGGCCGAGCTGGCCTGCGAACTTGATTGTGCGTTAGAAGACATGCTTTCAGAGTTGAAATGAAATAGCACGAGGGAGTGATCGAGAGTAAAAGAGCGAGACTGAGCCACAGGTTCACAAAGTCCAGAGTCATCTGACGCAGACACATTTGACGCGCCGGGTACTCAGATACATTTGACGTCATGAGGGCTGTACTTCTGAACTTGAGGCCATAGTAAGCCAGAATGATAATGATACCATTATTAGGCCTGTACTGATGGACTTTCACAAAATCGAATCCTTTATGTCATGTTGGACTTCATTGGAGATGCTCCACACTGAGCAATCAGCGAGCCGAGTCCGTCACCAGCCGAAACCCCGCCCCCACGATCACGATCACGATCAGAGTTTCTTTCCATTCTCCAAGTCTCCAACTGCACACCAACAATGACCGCGAACGAGTCTGAGAGCAAGCGCTTCGCGCCCAAGGTGCCGGTTCAGCTGGATCCGCCAAAGGACGATCTCATCTCGCAGGAGGAATTGGCCAAGTGCGACGGTAATCCGACCTCGGCTCATTCCTGGAAACCCCTCTAGAACTGATTCGCATTTGCAGGCACCGACCCTAGCCGTCCGACCCTGGTCGCGATCAAGGGCACTGTCTTCGATGTGACCCGAAATGCTGCCTACGGCTCGTCGGGACAATATCGCGGTATACTTCTGCATGCGAATCTTATGCCGGCACAGCTTCCACTGACATGACTTGAAAACATAGTGTTCGCCGGCAAGGACGCCTCTCGCGCTCTCGCTTGCTCGTCGCTGAAGCCCGAAGACTGTGTGCCCGATTGGTACGATCTTGACGACAAGGAAAAGACCACATTGGATGAATGGTTCACCTTTTTCAGCAAGCGCTACAACATCGTTGGCAAGGTCGAAGGTGCCAAGAACACCTAAACATCGATGAAGAGTATACAGGATTGGGGGGGGGGGACACTGGGTCAATTGCACAAAATATACCCGATGAGGAATGGAATCTATTTACGAGTTCGAAATTTTTGAATCACAATGCTTTTATTCAAATCAAACAAAATGGTGGTATCGGACAGCCAGCTCATGAGATACAGGAAAAAACTTGCCTAGACAATGCTCGAGTATAAGGCATCACCATCACTCTATACACAACAAAACAACTCGCTACCGGCCCTTGCGACCCTTCCGTTGTGCGCGCTTTTTGGCGATAATGCGGTTACGTTTCGCAATCTTGTTCTCCTCCTCATCCTCCTCTTCGTCCTCGGCCTCCTGGCCCTTGCCCTTACCCTTGCCATCACGGGTTTGCGAGTGCTTTCGCTTTGTACCCTTGTTTGCCGCTGCCTCCTCCCGGGCCTCCGCCTCTTCCTTGGCCTTCTTTTCTTCCCGAGCCTTGAGCTTCTCCTTCTCCTTCTCTTGCAATTCTTGACGACGCTTGATCACCTGTGCGTTCTCAATGGCGAATTCGACGATCAGGCGCTTCTTTGAGTCGCGCTCCTCGTTGTCGGGGTTGGCCGGGATCTCAACGGGGTGACAGTTGAGCCAGCGGAGACCCATGAGCGCATGTCGGTGGGTAACATATTCGATGAAGCCGTAACCACGGCTGCGACCACCGCCGCTCTTCTCGGGGACCTTGGTACCCTCTCGAGTCTCGTAGACAATCTTAGCCTGGCGCACAATACCTTGCTTGTTCGCCTTTCTCTCGTAGTCGAGTTCCTTCATGGTCTCTCGGGATCGTTGTTGCTCTTCCTTGGACAGAGGTTGACGCTTTTCGGCCTTGACGTCTGTTGCGAAGCCAACGACGGCCTGACGAGCAAGTTGTTTGAGATCCTTAGAGGTGATGTGACGAGGGATGTTTCGAACGGCGAGACGGGTCAAACTCAGGTGCAGCGCGGGATTCTTCTTGATGACGGCCTCACGCTGCTTGGCGCTCTCCTCGCGCATCTTGATTTCGGAGGGCGACAGCTTCTTGTACAGCGGAGAGTTTGAGGGGATGGTACCCTCGCCGAGCAGGAAGAGACGACGCTTATCTTTGTCACGAACAAGGCGGCGAGAAACGCCCTCTTCTTCGAGCTTTGTAGCCTCACGCTTGTTCACGGCGCGAGCAACTTGGAGAACTCGGCCATCTAGAGTGTACCGTCCGCTAGGGTCGGAGTTTTCGTTTTGCAGAACAGAGTGCTTCATCATGGGGTTGGGGCGCTGCTTGTCTCCGATCGGCATTTCTTGTGTCTTGGGGGCCTCGCGGATACAGGCGATGGCATCTTCGGGCTTCCAGAAGCACACAAATCCAGTGCCTCTGGGTCGTTGAGTCTCATGGTCCACGACAATACGAGCATAGCGCAATGGCCCGAATTGTTTGAAGTGTTCGTAGAGGGCTTCGTCATCGCAGGTGAAGGGAAGGTTGCGAAGGAAGATTGTGCATGCATCGCGGTCATCCGGTCTCTTATCTTCTTCATCCTCCTCTTCCTCGTCTAGATCCTCCAGATCATCCATATCCTCATCCTCGTCGGATTCCTCATCATCAACGTCATCGTCTTCTCCCTCTGATGAGGTCATGTCGTCGGGATCTTCAGTAGAAGCCTCCTTATCTTCTTTGTCTTCCATGTCCACGTCCTTGTCTTCCTTCTCGTCCTCCTTCTCCTCCTTCTCCTGCTGCTTCTCCCAGACCTCCTTGTCGACCGCCCAATCGACAGCCAATTGACGGCCATCGATCTCTTTTCCGTTCACTTCCCGGAGCGCCTTCTCCGCGTTCTTTTTGCCGCGAATAATGACAAAGCCGAAACCAGCGAGCGTATTGTTGCGTTTGGGAAGGGTAGCCCACTTAACCTTTCCATAACTGCGGAAAAGGAGGGCCAGATCATCGGAAGTCTTGATGCTCCACGGCAAGTTGCGAACAATGAGTTTGGGGGGCTGGTTCTCGGCGTTCTGGTCCGCACGTTCCTGCTTCTGCTTGATACCAGCAGCAGAGGGAACACTTTTGCCGAGCTTCTCGTCGATTTCACGTTGGCGCGCTTGGGCGTAGTCGACGCGAATCTGCTTTCCCTCGAACTTCTTTCCGTTCAGCTCCTTCAGGGCGCTCTCGGCGTCCTCAAGATCGGCAAATGTAACGAAACCGTATCCTTTGCACAACTTCGTCTTAGGGTCGATGACAGCAGTGGCGTGCTTGATAACGTAGGACTGAGAGAAGAACTCGGTCAGACTCTCCGTAGTAGCGGAGGTCGGTAGCGATCGAACAAAGAGCGTTCTCTTCGTCTTGGTGGCCGAAGCCTCTTGAGTGTTGGTCTTGGTGATCTCTTCCATTTTGGCGTCTGTATCTTGAGCGGGACTTTCTTCAGAGATCCGCCGTTTCTTGTTTGACTCAACCATTGTAAGAAAAAATCTTCGCAAAGGTTGGACTTGGTATAATCAAAAGTCGAACGAAAGTCGAGAGGCGCAAAAAAATTGGCGGCAGAAAAACGCTGTTGCGGACCCCGGGCGGTGAAACTTGGCTTGGATGGGCTGATAAGGCGCGAGCTTTATCACTCGAACATCGTCAATCGTATCTGCGTTCATCATGGACAATCGATCTGTAGGCGAGTCTGACTCTCGTCCAGAGAACGCCAATGCTGAATCATCAAATCCTGCAACTCCTGGGTCTTCGTCAAATCCACCCAAAGTACAACAACCGAAACCCCAGGCCCTTGCAAATCGACCCGGTCCATCAGCGATCCTTGTGTCCACGCGACAGAAGGGCAATCCAATCTTGAATCATATCAAACTTCTCCCATGGGAATATGCGGACATCCCAGCCGACTATGTTATCGGTACAACGACATGCGCACTTTTCCTCTCCCTAAAGTACCATCGTTTACACCCTGAATACATCTACTCCCGAGTTCGACTCCTCGCCGGCAAATACCAATTACGCATCGTGCTGGTCATGGTCGACATTCCTAATCATGAAGATCCTTTAAAGGAGCTATCCAAGACATCAATCATCAACAACCTTACCTTGTTTCTTTGCTGGTCCGCTCCGGAAGCAGCCCACTACCTCGAACTTTTCAAGTCGTCGGAATACGCACAGCCTACAGCAATTCGCACTCAACAAGCTCAATCTTACAAAGAATCGTTAGTGGAATTTGTGACCGCCCCTAGGACTATCAACAAGTCAGATGCCGCCAGCTTGATCTCCACATTTGGAAGCTTGCAGAATGCAGTGAACGCGCAACCAGAGGTTCTCAGCGCGGTACCTGGTTGGGGTGAAAAGAAGGTCCAGCAGTGGTGCAGTGCTGTCAGAGAGGAATTCAGGGTGGAAACCACAAAGAAAGCTACGGCAGCGAGCTCCGCAAGTCAAAGCAGAACGCCTGTGCCTCGACAACCACAAATTGCAGAAATAGACGAAGACGAAGCAATGCTACGTGCCGTACTGGAGGAAAGCCGCCGGACAGCCGAAGCCTCTGCTCTTAAAGATTCCAAGACTGAGGCAACACCGGAGGAAGGGATGAGCGAGGGCGTCATGGCTGCATTAGCCAAGTTACGAGACACAGGCGGGTGAAGATTGCATATGGACAGTTATGAAGTAATTGATACATGAATGCCACTCGAGGCTTTCTGGAGTATTCGAGGGACATCTTTTGCAGGGCAGGGAACAAGGCAAACCGTCTTTTCATCGGTCACCTGGCTCACGCACTGGGTCTCAAGACGGCACGGGTGCTGTACTCAGCGCCTGTAACACACCTGAAGCGTCCGAGGAACGCAATATGCCCTCGTGATCGCATTCGGGGGTTTAACCATCCGTTTGGCAGAAAGGTGGTGCGAAACGGTTCAAACTCGACATCGCGGACCCATCGAAACTGGTGTGAACACACAAACTACGAGAGCGCCGTGACTCTCTTGACAAAAATAGCTGACCAATGTCAACGAATGATACCAAGCGAAGAGGATCGAAGTATATAGGCTTGCAAGCAGTCGATATCGAGTTCCGGCATAGACTCGGACAAGACGTTTCCCACTTCCCCACTTCCAAAGTGGGACACCCTTGCCAGACCCCTCAAAGGCCTGGGCAATAAAAGGTGGACAGCCGGGCTACAGACCATTTGAGGAGGAATTGCTTTACAAAAGTGCCTTATACCCATATCCGCGTTCTCATAATCTAAATTCCCTCTTCTATTTGACAAGATGTCCCCGCACTTTAGCAGCCCTGTTTCTCACGAGGAGATCCCCATTCTTATTGTAGGAGGTGGACCTTCCGGTCTCCTCCTTGCCCATTTACTTGCACAGTTAAATGGTACAGTAGGAGTCTAATCAAAACCAAGTATAAACAGCAGCTCACATCTCATAGTCCGATCTCTGATCATCGAGCGCTATCCTTCAAGACTGGCGGCCCCCAAAGCACATGCGCTTTCTCCCAGGTCTCTTGAAATATGCCGACAGGCCGATCTTGACGTGAATGAGATTCGCAAGATCGGGAGTCCTCGCAGCGATGCCTATTGGGTGAACTTCGTGACCAGTCTTGCTGGGAAACAGGTCGGCCGTCTACCCTATGAGCGAATGGATAAGGAGGTGTTGAATGACACTCCCACAGTAAGACATATGGCATCTCTTGAAGATGGCTATACTGACTATGAAAAGATGATTCACAATATTCCTCAGCCGGCTTTCGAAGCATTCGTTGCTGAAAAGTTGGCTAAGAGCGATCTTGTCGAGATACGCAAGAATCACTCATTCACGAGCTTGGAGCAGGCAAGCTACCAGATTCGTAAAGCGAACGGGGCATGCTAACTCCATATTCAAGGGTGGCGGCTTTGTTGTAACGACTGTTGAGGACCGCGGGGCTCAAAGAGAGTACAAGATCAGATCTCGCCATGTGGTCGCTTGTGATGGGGCCAAAAGTGCTGTTCGAAAATTCCTCGGGGTCACTTGTGAGGGAGAAGAACCTTGTGAGCACTGTGTGAAATAATTATAAAAGGAACTAACGTGTTATATTAGGTGAAACCATGATGACGATTCACTTTAACGCTGACCTGAAGCCTGTGATCGGAGATCGGGTCGGCATGTTGCATTGGGTTATGGATCCCTTGGTGTCTGGGTTCATTATCGGTTATGATTTGTCTGGAAACCAGGTCTTGATTTGCAACTTTGACGTGAGACTTCACACATTTTCAATTGAAGAAGATCACTGACCGTATTTATGGCAGTCCAAGAAGCACCCAGTGGACTCATGGACCGAGGAGCACTGTCGTTGCGTTATAGATGCGGCTCTCGGGATGAAGACTTCTTACGATGTGCTCAGCTATCGACCATGGATCTTAAGTCGAAAGGTGGCCCAATCCTATCGAGTTAACCGGGTCTTTCTGTAAGTGGAACCCCCGAATGGAGCCTTGAAATCCGTCTTCTGATCCTGTATAACTAGGGCTGGTGATGCCGCGCACTCTTTCCCACCCACTGGCGGCCTTGGCCTGAACTCGGGACTTGGCGACGTTCACAATCTTGCATATAAGCTCACCGCGGTTCATCAAGGATGGGGCGGCGAAAGACTACTGGACACTTATCAGTCCGAACGCCGTCAAGTCGCACTTGTGAACTCCAACCAAAGTGTAAAGAACGGAAAGCAGATCTTTGGCTTGTTGAAAGTCCTTGGCATGACAGATCTAGATGTCGAAGTCTGCAGACAGAACCTGTACCACAATATTCAAGATGCTGATGCAATGGTTGAAATTAACAAAGGTATTGAAGACCAGCGCGAGCATTTCGACAATCTCGGTCTACACATCGGATATGTCTACGGCGACAACGAAATTCCCACGAACGTGTCTCGTTATCAAGCTTCTTGTGTCCCTGGAGCCCGGCTTCCTCATACTTGGATCAAGTTTTGTTCCGAGGTAAAGCATTTACCTGCCGTCGATAACTCCTACGTGCATGAGCTATCGGAAAATGAGCTCTCTGAGAAGCAATTTTCCACATTGGATCTATGCGGTCTGGACACTTTGACTCTTCTTGTTGACACGACTAATGCTTCTCATTTCAAATGGGTCATTGAGGGTATCATCAAAGAGCTACCTCGGGAAGTTGCAAGTATCTTACCTATGAAGCTTATTATTCATGGAGCCGATTTTGTCCTTCAGGCTGGACCGGAAGCGCAGAAGTGGGCCGAGTTGATGGAATTGAGGAAACAGGCCATTCTCGTCCGTCCAGATCAGCATATCTTGGCGTGTCTTCCAAGTAACAGCGGACCCACGCAGCTCTTGAAGTGTTTGGTAGGACACTTTGGGTGGTAGGAAGTTATGTATAGAGCATTGGGATTCAGACTACCCAAAGTCCATGGTAATGAGCTAGATATTGTGATGGGGAATTGTTGAATACATAGGTTGGTGGTGTATTGCATGCTTCAGCATTTTGGTGTGTATAAGTAATTTCTCCTCAGTAAGAAGGCAAAATAGACACACTCCCTCTTCTAAGCTAAATCTATGTCTTCTCCTTCCCTATAGTGCTACCACCTGCCGTGGACCTGTTCGCGGAAAAATGGGCAGACGGGACCCTTACGAAGTCCCCTGTTCGATAAGTAGAATCTTACTGCTTGGATATTGATTCAACCATCATTCTTTTATGATGTGGGCCCCTCAGAAAATTCGAATGATGCGTCAGTTCTGACCCATTTTCGGCTGGGACTCAGCGCTTTCCCATTTCCCCATATTCCCATATTCCCACTTTCCCACTTCCCCGCATTGAAGGTCAAGAAGCCGATCTCAAGGCATTAAATACTTGCATCAATACCCTACACCTAGTGCATCTTTATAGCCTTTTGCATCCCAATTATAAGATACGATACATCTATTTCAGCATGACTTCATTCCCTCTAGCCGGCCTTGCCCTGAAAGACGCCGGACTTCTTCTCGCCAATCCCTACCTCCCCATGGAAGCTGGTGTGGCCTACGCCGAAGATGGCATGTGCCATATTGCCGCATCGACCTACATGAAAGGCAGCACCGGTGCAATGATAGACTGGTGGTTTGGCTGGATCCACAACACAGAGCAGTACAAGATCTGGCATCCACGCGACCATGTATTCTCTGACTGGGAGGGACCCCGCGAGAACAACAGCACATACATTGGTGGTCACCATCTCGTTCATGAATATATCGGGGATGAGCTACAGAAGCTGAAAATTTCATTCAAAGATCCAGGCGAATACTTTGGTTCTCATTGGAAAGACGCTTTCAAAGAGGCCGGGTACTCCACGGCAGTGTGTGGGCGATGTGGCATGTGGGATGACGAGATGGGCAATGTAGTTTATGTTGGGCACTTGATCCACTTGATCAAGGATGAACCTGATGGTGTACGAATGCGCTCTCGCTTTTGGCTGGGGGATGTCGATGGAGTTACAGACCCAGAAATTAGGAAGGCCAATGTGCCGGAGAAGTTTGCAATGGGTTTGATGAAGCATGCTACTGAAGAGATGGCTATCTTGGCTACAGTTCTGCCGGACTTATATGCAAAGTACTCAAAGGACTCAGGAGAGAAAGTGTGATTGGGTCTAGGGAGCTTTATCTTAAATGTAGATTTCGGGAAATCAAGTTCGTTTTAGCAGTAACCTATGGCTACCTCTTCCGTAGTGCCAACTACTCACGTCGCTGGATCTTGACGCTCACGGGCGAGTGTTGCTAGACGTCCTATGATGTCCTCCATCTGAGCTGAGATGCCCCATTTCGATGCAACCGTTCTCAGAATGATTTGCAGAGAATTGATCTCTTCCAACAGATTGATAGATACCACAGTATGACTTCCATCTTGGGTCAGCTCTTGTAAAAGATCTTCCCTGCTTGCATTCTGGAATGAAGAATCTTGATCCCCATTTTCAGTCAGCCGACGAGACCAAACATCTACCCAGTTGTATTGTGCAGGGATTCTGATCACGCTTTGACTTAACAGACAGATAGTAACCATGACCATCGCAGATGTAAACACAGCAGTGGGAATATGCATCGTGTAAGCTTGGCTAAGGGGAAGGTCGTTCAAGAGACGGGTGATTGCTGTTGCATGTAGAGCAGCGCGGAAGCAATCTGCTTGTCGAGTCCAGTGGGTCAGATCAAGAGGATCAGCACTGCCTTTGGCGTGGATTCCACCAAGCATCTGAGGTAACTGGTATCGATTGCAGAGCCATCGATAGACTGAGATCGAAGGTGCCGTCATTTCAATAAAGACACAATGCCACCTGATGACGATCTGCAGATAGTGGATACTCGGAGATGGTGAAAGCAATGCAATGTTACCCTCAAAGATGTTGAGCAAGGCTCGGATGATTTGTTGTTTAGAAATAGCGCCAAAGACTTCTCCTCGAGCTTCGTGAAGATCAGAAATCAGAGCCTGAAGTCCCTCAATAATGACAGAGATTGAGAATTGCGATAGCTGCAATGGCATTGAAGTATACCCAGAGGAGAATACACGAGCGAATGCCTTGGATATGGGTATTCGGGCTGACATCGACCGTGTCATTTCAGATATCCATTCGTCGGCGGTTTCCGCAGCGAAGACAGCCTCCGAATAGGTGGTCTCGAGACTATTAATCAGGTGCCGTGCACTAGCTGGGGAGCCAGATGCTTGTGATATCAAGCCATCAAGAACATAGTGACCCAAAATTGCTCGACGTTGAACTTCCGTAGCGGCCCAGCTTCGCCAAGCTGCGTTTTTTTCCGCATCTGGTGACTCAAGACTCGGCATCCTTTCAGACACAACATCGGGAACAGTGTACATGCCCGATGTTCTTGCCCAATAAAACCCCAGTCCATGAAAAACCGATGCAGTTGTTCGGATATCGACATTGCTTGATAATAATGCGTAGGTCTGGCCAAGGAGGGCGGTCAAGACGAGTTGAATTCCATCGCAAGCATCCCACATTCCTCTGATCTCAATCAAGGTTTGCCAGGATGTAGCAACTGCCGTGTGTCCCAATCTCCAAAGCATTTCGCCTTTCTCCACGGCGCCTGGTTCGCAAACAAAAAGTGTCCCCAAGGCGGCCATATTGAGTAGCAATGGTGGTATAGATCTTTGGAGTGAAAAGGTTTGCTCATGGATGACCGGAAAACTTGGAGATACTCTTTTGAAAAATTCTTGGAGAGAAGCATCCAAAAAAGCGGACGTGAATCTAGAGTGATGAACATCTGAGTTCAGCTTCCTGGACAAGTCGTCAATCAATTTGTAGATCTGGTCCAATGCCATGTTTCCAGGGCCCTGAGCCGTTGTGCAACTCGTGTTTCAAGGCCTCTAGAGACAGGAAATTGCAGATTGTCCGTTGTATTTGAACTTCCAGGGATATCGACTAGTGGGAGTGGAACAATAGAAGCTCCATTGATATCGGACATAAGCCATTCAAGTAGGTTGTCGGATTCGAAGAAATTGGGAGGCTTGGCGAAGGTAGGCTGTCCAAAGGAATTGCTCTGAGGTAAGGCGGGTACTCCAGCAGAAGAACTGTCTGGTGCTAGATCTTGACATTGATCACGATAAGGCCGGCTATTCTCCAGTGTAGTGGACCGGTCTTGGGTTTCATTTTCATGAAGTCTCCTGTGTCTTCCCAGCACATCCTGGCGCCCGAAACATCTGCCACAATGATTGCATTTGAATGGCTTCAAATTAGTGTCTATTGCTAGATTAGTATGGAGAGGAATGCAATATACTATCATGAGGCGTACGGGTTCTTTGATGTCTCTGGGTGTTATTAGTGGGCTTTCAACAGAACGCTTCAAGGCAAAACGTACGTGAAGATGTTCCAACTTGGTATATCGCTTATCACACTGTCGACAAACAAACCTTCTTGACGCTGCGGATTCCTCTGCTTGCCGATTTGCCAATGAGCTCATACTGAAACGCGTACATCGAAGAATCCTGGCTTTGAACTGTGGCGGGTGAAGTGGGGAAGATGTGGGGATTTGCAAGCCGAATTCGTGCTGAGCGAATGGACATTTCCGGGTTGAAAGATGCGCAATCTGAGTTTTTTTTTCTGTAGAATCTTTTTGAAAACAAGCTCACAGGTACTCTGATAGTATTCATGAGCTTGGGGATTTAATTCTAGAAATTATGGTACCTCATCTCATTGGACCACAGCGGGGTGTCTTTCCATAGTAGAAAAGGGCAGCGACAAGGAATAGAAAGGCGACCCTATCGGTTTTCTTTGACCATGACTATGTGTTCCCCGACTATTGTAGCTTTTCCACATGCCAGCCTTAAGAGAACCATATTATTCAATAACTATATGCCCGATTCAAATTCCTACGACAAACTTGTGATCTGTACATTACTGAAACTGCCACTGCCATAGCTTCCGTACAGACCTGCGGCGCCACGTAGCAAACCATCATTTGTGACAGTAAAGGTAGTCTGAGCACCTCCGCTGTCAGTCAGAATAGCCACGAGGGTAGTGGCATTCACGGAAAGAGATAGGTGATATTGTTGGTTGGCTTTGACACCTCCAGAGACAGGCTCCGAGTGCAGTGTAGTCGTTGCTGTGTCACCCACTTGATACAGAGTAAGGTCGCCACGGTTACTGTCAATGGCAGCTGTATACCTACTCAGTTTATTGGGAGCAGTGTTTGAGTTAGATGCCCTGACTAGAACCCCCACGACACCGGATGTGCTCGTGACAAGAACATCTGCACTGATTTCATAATCTTTCCATCCAGACGACCCAGTAAGAACGATAGTTGCTGGATCAGTAACGGGTGCAAACTCATACTGATCCCCGGAGATGGACCACAGAGCGTCGAATTCAATCCATCCAGCGTTGCCGGCGGCTGAGAAATTGGAGTTATATGGTAATATTCCAATTGGTGCTGCACCGGTGCTCTCCTCACATTGTTCACCCTGGGCTTGTGTGTTCGTTCGAATACAAAATGCTTCCATTTGACAATGGTAGCAAGTTAGGACTGTAGTTTGTCCCGCAACTCCCACCACCCGGGACATACCAAGGGGCTGAAGCCCACCACCAATCTCCCTTCCCGTAATTGTTATTGATATGGACAACATGCTGATTCTCGGAAGTGAAAGGTGGGTCAGTCGCGGGGGCAAATACATCAAACCATCGCTGTGCCCGACTAGAGACGATCAACTGCTTTCCAACAGGATCCCAGATCGAGTACGGACTCCCTGATGATTGAACACTGTCCGGCGTAGATACAAAGGATCCGTTGTTGCTAGGGTTCCAGGAGACACCATCTGTGGAGGTTTTTCCATTGACAGAGCAAGGATGACCTGGGTAGTATCTTGAATCACACCACTCGTAGCTCATAAAATACTCGCCATTGTCCATCTTGGCGACTGTAGCCATTCCAGGTCGGGATGTCTGTTCATCTCCAACAACGTCCTGGACGACATCCCCCCAGGTGTCACCCCCGTCTTCCGAGACGACATGGACAAGCATCTGAGAGTGATTCTCATAATCTCGCTCATCCGAGAAGACTGCAACAAGGCGGTCCTGGTTATCCAGGAACAAGAATGGCTCCCAAATACCGCCAGAAACATTGGCCCCGTAAGGCTGGGCATAGCCAGTTTGCCATACGCCTATAGGGTCCCAAGACTTTCCATAATCTGTCGACCGCCATGAAAAAAAATCGGTAACATTTTGATCGTGCAAATTTCCCACCAAGAGGAGAGTACCCTCGGGATAATTGCCCAGTTGCTGAGGGAATTCGAAGAAAAACGGCTGATAGAAGAAGGTATTCGGAACGCCATCGGGGGCGGATACAGTCGTTAATGTGTCCCATGTTGTACCTAAGTCGTTGCTCTCTTGGATAATGAAGTTACTCGCTGTCCCGTTGGAGTACCAGTGTTCCCAGGTGGCGAGCAGTTTGCCATTTGCATCGCCTGCATGCTCGAGTTGGATTACACGTGCATATGCAGCGTCCTCATTGGTATACTGAGGATGCCAGAGTGAATCAGAGGTTGCTACCGTAGACTCTGCATATAGTGCTGCCAGTGAGACAAGAGCGCGTGTGGTGACCTTGCTAAGCTTGACCATGGCTTCAATACTAGAGAGTGAGAAAACATGTTTGTCCGTTGGAGAGTCACTTCGCTATTTATCAATCTCCGAGAGCTCGATTGAGGTGGCTCACAGTGTTAGGCATTCCACCTCATCCCTCCTCCCTACGTGCTGTAAGATCGACAAGTTTAAAGCTATGTAGGTAAGCGATGTTGCATTGTGAGAACATAGTTCTTTAAATATCCTTTTCCCCATCTGGGAAATGATTGCCTTATGTTTGGGCGCTATGCAGCTCTGGAGGCCTAAAGAACGGTTAATCTCCTCATAGCATTGTCGCGGAATTCCGACTAGTCGCTGCAGGGCTTTCCGAGTCACTCCATGACGTCGAGGTCTCGAGGTGCCCGATGGGTGGCCGAATGGGGGCAGTGTATAGTGGGGCGCCAGATGTCAAACAAGAATCAAATCAAGGGATTGAGATGCATTTTTTCAAGGCCATCATCGATAACCGTCCATCCCTTAGTTGCGGGTTCGAGGAAGATGTTCGATGCAGTCCGCAGAAGCTCGGCTAGTGAGCCGGTGCTGCTGGAAAACCCAACTGATCCTACACTGTCTCAGATGGTAGACCATACATGGTCAGCCTGACTATGAGTCAAGCCTGTGAAGCAGACAGGCACAGGCTGAAGGGAAAGACAAGGTGGGGTTCCTATATCTACTGGGCTCACCTGACTCCAACAGTAATAGAGATAGCAAAATTGGAGATAGAAATGAGAACCTATCTTATATTCTATAGAATCGCTCTCATAAAAGCGGCAGCAATCCGACATCATGTCTAAGAGCATATAATGCACAGGGCTTAAGTAGACAATTTGGAAGGCATCCATTGGGTATTATGGTCTGAGTCTCTAATCACGCTGAGAATATGGATGAAAGCAGCAGAAAGCACAACCCGAGCGTCCAACTCAGGTCAAGAGACATCCATGACACAAGAAAAGAACAAAAAGCAAAAGATAAAACCCAGGAAACGCATGGATATAGGACCTGGAAGCGAGACACAAGGGCACGAGGACGAAAGTCAGACAGATCTGAGTCAAGCACTTCATTTTTCATCAGTCGCAGGTCACCCTAACCTAACTAGCAGCCGCTAAAGGGGGAGGATGTGAAGACATTGCCCGAAGAGCAGGCGGGGAAAACATAGAACAAAAAGACGTCACGGCATGCCAGTGGATACGGGTCATGAAGTGGATTCGTGAATAAAAAGGAAAACGGAGTCGAAACAAAGCCCGCCATCTAGGTAGGCTTGTCACAACCAATACGGCCCAAAAGAGCCTTGCGGTCACTCTGGTCGAAAGGAACACGACCGCGGCCCCGGGCACGCATAGAACCGGCTCCATTGGACCGGCGGCGGCCCAGGCTAGGGGCGGCATCGTTCACAGTGGGGGTAGCACTAACGCTTTCCTTAGCGGCCAGCCGTACGGAACCGTTAGTTGCTTCTTCGTCGTTGATTTCGACTTCGTCCTCCTCGTCGCTGCGGGAGTCATCGGCCGCGCCGGTGCAGATCACCCCGTATGCGACGCGGACAATCATGGTGAACCAGACGATAGAGAGCACCTGCAGCGACATCAGGAAGGCCAAGAAGATCCACTTGATGGTAGCGTTCATGCAGATTGGGTTCTCAAGGCTTTGGAATGGCGCAAACATATATGCAAGCGCATTGGGGTAGCCATTGGTGCTGGTCATCTTGCCGTCAGTGTAACAGCCGTAAGGCGTTTTGGCGGGAATATTCTTGTGGATGGACCAGGTGAGTACGTTATAGAGGATATGCCGTGTGACGAACCAGGTCGACATGAAAATACCAAAGGCAACGTTGCAGGCGTTCTGGAACTTCAAGTACTTGAGAATCTTGGCTGACTGTCAAAAAAAGTTTAGCATGGTAAGCCCTCTCATCCCGTTTAGACGTGAAGAGACAAACATACAGGAAGTAAGAAGTCGACAATGTCCATCAAACACAGGACCACGTTGGATACATTGTAGAATCCGTAGATATAAGCGGAGCTCAGAAGAGTGCAGGTGATAAAGTGGTGAGACAGCATCTGGTAGTGGTCCTTCCTCCGCTCCTCCGCGTGGATGACGAAGATCTGCTGAATGAGGAATGAAAGTTCCACGAGAAGATACCACTTCATAAGGCCAGAAAGCGGGCGAGCAGGCCACTGGTCCCAGATGGCGTCCAAATCGAACCAGTACTGAGAGTTCTTCCACAAGTACTATATAGCGCACGGAGCAAGTCAGCAGCGCCCATTCCTCATACTGTTCCGCGGCAAGCACGTACCAATCCCACACCCCAGATGAATCCATAGTAAAGAGCTTGCGAGCCCTGCTCTGCAAGGCGGACCGCGCCCTTTCGCTTGAGGCCAGCCCGGCGAGCCAATGGCTGGAGAATCCATTCAATTGCAATTGCGCGAATCGCGATCAGGGCCAGGACGGCGCTGACAACAAAGTAGACATCATTCCAGCCCTGGACATATGAGTTCGTGGCAGCGTCGTAATAGGAAAGTTCGAAGAAAGGTTGCGTATGGGGACGGAGGAGGGGGTAGAGGTTGTGAAGAGCCAGTAACATGGCCAGAATGGTCAGCGAGATTCCTGCGGCGCAGGGTCATAAATTAGCGGAGTGAAAGTAGCTTTGGCTGCCGGAACCACCTGGGAGGCGCTGCGCGGGTAAGAGTGCCTTGAGCGCCGTGATACCCTGGGTAGATGACAGCCTGGTGTTGGTTGATAGCTTACCGATCTGGTTGACGAGCACCCATTCGCGGAACGTGGTCTGCTTGGCCGGCCGTGTGCTGGGAACATAAAGCTCCGGCGACTGCACGGACGCAGTCTCTTTAGCCATGGCGAGATAGTTGGCGAAAGAGAAAGGACTTCAAGTTGAGGGGAGGAAGGCGGAGCGGAGAGGATCGCCGAGGAAGAAATGGCGAGGGTTGAGTCTCGGCACTAATTAACCTAAGGAGCGGGATGGGTCTAGAAACCTCATGAGCGGAGCCGCCGCGCGGACACCTTGTCAATAGCTTGAGTGCTTAATCCCTCCTCTTCTCAATGCTTTAACAGAAGACCAAAGTCTTCCCAACAAGGTATTGCCCGAAAAAATGTGGTAGCGAATCCCAAGTGCAGCGAAGCGAGTGAGGGGGTGGAACCGGTGAGCTCGTTTCTCGTTTCAAAGTCGTTTAACCCAGGATGATCGACACTCCCACACCGCCTCATGACTGTGGCAAGCTGAAATTATCTAGAATGTGTGGAAGGGCTAGAATTTACAGGGTCCAAGCTAGGCCCCAAGGAGGCTCGTGTACTATTGCTATACATTCGGTTGGTTGTTGACATCTATACAAATGCGTCACTCCAAACCTTCCGTCACCCCGCGCACAAACTCATTGGCATTCATTCCCAACTGCGCCAAATCAACACCACCCTGGCCTGCCATCGCCCGCGACACAGCTCGGGCTACTTCTTCTTCGTCCCAGATATTATTAATCACTGTCAAATTCTCCTTTCCGGGTTCGGCGAGTGCGCTTCGGTTCGGGTTCTCTGCCGCAGCCACGGTCTGCCAGTATGCATCGTCGCGAGCCTTCAGAGATCTGTCTCGGACGACAGCATTGCGAGCCACACTCGAGGCGTGAAGTTTGGTGTTGGCGCTCGTGATCTGCGTGAGGGCGGCAGAGACCGCATTGTCAAGCTGGTCTACGGGAGACGGTGGCTTGAAGAAAAATCGGTTTGTAGCCGAGAGGTAAATAATGAGCGCGCATGATACATCGCAGAGCACGAATGTCAGCGGCCGCAACAAGGTTATAAGATAGTAGAGGCCAGAGGGGGGTCGCTGGCCAGCCCGCACAGCGGGGGATGCCGACTGAAGCGCATCATACGTAGCCACAATCCAAAGATCAAGAGCAGCCAGCGCCAGGCCGGCTATGGTGAACTTGGTCCGCCAGCGGGCAGCTTCCCGGCCCGCAATAGGCGCGGAGGTAGCCACCCCCAGGATCAGTAGATGCACCAAATGAGGCAGCAGCACGTGGAAAGGCAGGTAATAGATCAAATATGAGTTGAGATTATCAAGAGAGCAGAATTGGCACGAGATCAAGGCGTCGGGTCCAAATGTAAGGTACACTTTGCGTGCACCAATGGAGGTGAGCTTCTCGCGGAGCAAGTTGTCGGCGTCGGACAAGATCCCATCGGGCCGGAGCCTTGTGAGCCGGTGGAAGATCACATCGGTTGGTGTATTAATGCGCGATCGGGTCAAGTTGAAAATGTTGGGTCCGGGGGCATGGGGGGTTGAAAGGTAGGCTGAGGACGAGGAAGAACACGATGCTTGCGAACAAAATATTCAGGGATCGACTGGCAGCGGCAGAGAGGGCACACGCAGGTGGGCGACTCGCGATGGACACTCGAAGGCCGCGGTAGGCATTGATCAGGCGAGGGAGAAGAATGGGGCCGAAGAAAATGAGGAGCGACTTGACGCTGCTGGCGGTTAGGGTGCGATGCACAGAATGCGAAGATTCACTTACGTTCCCCAAGAAATTTCAAGTCCAGCCATATCTGCAGCTAGCAGAGGGCTATTCCTACCTCATCAAAATCGGCCAGATCGAACGTGAAATCACGGAGTGGAGGGGAAGGAATTGGAGGTCGTCAACACGTATCATCAACGCGCCGGGGCCAAAAGCGGTGCGCGGAGACTCGGCGGCGATATTGTAACCGCCCTCCGGAGATGCCATTGTTTACCTCTTTTCTTGACAGGTTCCCAGGCATTTCTGTCCTTTTTTGAGAGCTCATGGTTTTCATTCTCCCATAATGTGCTTCTAGATGACTTTGACTGCCTCTGGTGTGATCAGTTACGGCCGCATGTCTAGAATCAGTCATTTTATGTTCTTGGACTGGCTGTACTTCCAGCCTAACGTCGATATTTACCAAGCCCTTACTCATCCATATTGACCTCTCTAGAAACCAAATATCTCATCTTCGAATTAGACAATGTACCCTGGTCTTTGCTACTTGACGTATGCCATGCTAGTTTGATCATGAACATGGATCTCATTGAAAACGAAACTGGCGCCTGCTAATTAATACGACAGAGACTGTAAAACAGATGCAAGCGATCCATCCATATCGCTCGAGGGACCTCAGCCCCAAAAATACCATGTGCCAAAGCTCCTAACGAAATGCCAACGCCTGAACCATCTCCTACCCGCGAACTAAACCTGATTGCCGTACATTGCCGGGTGGTGCGTCAAATCAGGAATTGTCACCCCAGCAGTGTCTCGAGAATACCTTGACGAAGCGTCGTCATTTGCCGGGTGACCCGGCATCAGATGGTTGTTGTCAGTGGTGTTGTTGCTCCTGAGCGGACTCGAGATTTTCAGAGGGAAACGCGACAACCGGTTGGTCATGCGTTTGAAAGCGGGCTGCGGTGAATAGCTTGGGAGGCCCTCTTCACGCTTCATGCTGAGCTGGAATGACCGACGACTGCTGCTGGTCCGGCTGATGGATCGACTGAGAACCTTCTGCGGAGCCACGGCACCATATGCTCGGACTTGGCGAGCGCTGACGCCCTGGCTGCGGTCGGTAAAGATGAATGTCTGAATACTGGATCAGTCTCTATCGACTTGCCGGAGGATGAACGACTTACCGACAACATGTTGATCACGCTCATGACCATGGCAAGGATACCCGCCGAGATAATGATACGCCAGAACGCCAGTCCCAGATGCTTCTGTGTCATTACCTCAATATTCAGGTTACCCAGCATGGCTACCCCCAAGATCATCATGATATCGGCAAGTGCGAAGAAGCCCGAATCTTCGCCGAACAAGGGCCAGTTGCGGTTGAAATAGCCCTGGAGGATGGGCAACTCGGAAATGATGAGGAAGACTATATGCTGTCAGCTCTCGCCCCAGAGTCCTGTCAAGACAGCACCCACTGCTAATAAGCGCAACCACAGCATGAGTAACAGCTTGAAAAAAGAAGAATCCATTCTGCATGTTGATTTTGACTAGCATCACAATGCAGGCGGCGATCATGTCGAGAAAGACGACGATGTTGAGGGCGCGGATGGCGTTGAGAATCACATATCCTGGACCAGCCAGAGATTCCTTGAGATTCCCCATCATGACTGCTAGTAGTCTCTAGCTTTTCACAAAGAGATATAGCCAAAAAGCGGATAAGATGGAAAGTAAACTTGGAAGCAGCGTGAATTAAATGGATGGGAAGGAAGCAACCGACCAGCAGAAAGCTTGAACGTCCCAGCCAAATTAGAGAAAAGAAGTGAACAAAACAAACGAGGTCAACTCGAGGATATTATGGAAAGAAAAATCTTTCAAAGTCAGAGAAGATAAAAAAAAAGAAAAAGAGGCCAGGCGGCTAAGGATATGCTCCGTTCACAACGGTTCACGGCGCGTCGACAATGGGCGACTATTGGAGCCTCCTAGAATAGCTTCTGAAACAATCATCAGGCCGATGAATGACAGCACAAAGGGACCTAATTAGAGTCCCCTCAGCAGCGGGCTTTCTTCAGGCAATAGACGTTTCACAATAAGATGGACGGCAGCGATTGGCATAGTTTAAGCGCAAAGATCTTAAAATTGAGTCAGTGGCCCGATTCACTAGGCTCAATCCAGACAAGGCCACACTGCATTCTCGATCACGCTTCACCACCGGAGAATGAGTGGCTGACAGGCACCGATGGTGGTTCGCGGTGAAACCGACCCCGTCCCTAGGCGCTTGCTTGTTGCGGAGATATCCACCTCACTCTTGGACCTGACACCTGACACTCTATCCCAAGGGAACAAATGGTTCAATGAGACCTTCAAGTACGTTCGATGAGTCTTACGATGAGTCTTACCTTGATGCATATCCAGATCTATTCGGGGTCTCCAGACACCGAGCACGGACCGAGGCCAGACACCAGTGCCGCTGTCAACGCGCCCGGCAAATCATATGTGTGGCGGTATTGACGAAGAACCACGACGTGAATAGCATCTCGTCTTCCAGATCGGGATAAGCATGGAAGTTGAAAGAATGTAAGTCCTTACCACCCGGCCCGCTGATTCGCGGACCTCTGTGAGGCCTTTTCGGGGCGCCGGCGATGAGAGGCCCCGCCCCCGCCGACTTTTTTTCCCTTTTCAACTATCGCGTCTCCTGAAAGCCTCTTCTCTTTTCCGCCGACATTGCAACATGACCCGGGGTAATCAGCGTGATACTGATCGGGCCAAGGCCCAGAAGAAGCTTGCTGCCGGCGTTCGTTCTCCCCCATCGCCGACCCCTACTTCAAGGCTGACTCCCCAATAGAAGAACAAGAACACCATGTCGGGCACCGAGTATCAGAAGGCCAAGGAGGATGCCGCCGCTATCATGCGCGAGAAGCAGCGCAAGGGTATGTTTCGCGATTCCAGCCATTGAGATTCCGGGAAGACACAACTCTGACCTGCTCCTACAGCCGACGAGAAAAGGCAAGCCGAAGCAGGAGCGAAAAAGAAATAATCTCAATGCGCCCATCCCTATATACTACGCCCTCCCATGGTCCGATACTCCTGATCTGATGCGGACGGAAACATACATGCACATACCTCGGGCTATACGATTGTCATTGGTGACGAACATTTTTTGCATGGTTCAACGAGGCAACGGTATACGGTCTATATAGAGGTCTAGACAATACGTACCGGCCGGCTCCCTTTTAGCGTTACTTTGTGCCGGTGTCCAGCGAGGCGTTTCGACTCCCAAGGCGTTTGTTCCCCATTCCAAATACCCATACAATCCCCATCGTGAGAACAAGCATACCATTCAAGATAGAAAACTTGTTGAAACCAATAGTGTGATCAAGATCAAGTCGAACTAATGTACATTACTTTGTCCGTAGGATGCCCAGTAACTCTTTGCTTTGGCTAATCGAGTCTTCCAGGGCCAATTGGACGCGCCAGGCTGACTTACAGGGTATTCCGGTTTAGGACCATCTTTCTCCTGGCGAAGAACATCATCGACTACCGTCTCCATATCAAAGTGGCGGACAGTTTGATCAACAAAGGTCCATAAGCTTTCCCCTTCCCAACCAACATCCCGCGCAAATCGAAGAGCCCGTCTCGCATTTTCTGCTCGGATTTGCTGCTGAGGAACTTGTTCGAGAAGATATTTTTCAAAGGCCCAGCCTGATATATCCCGCGGGTGAGCAAGACACCAATCGAGCGTCGGATTGATCAATATCCTGGCCAATTCGACAGTCCAGCTTGCGCGATCTTTGACATCTGTAGGAATGTGCGCAAGAAGAAGATGGAGTTGACGCATATAATTGAATGCATAGTAGTTCTTGGGATGCAGTTCTCCAGCACGAAGAACAATATCGAGCTCCGCCCGCGCGAGTTTCAGCAAGTCTTGCGTGTTGTATGTTCGGATTTGGGATAGTTGGCCCAGCACCCATAATCGATGCGACCACAGCGTCGGAGATTTGGTATGTCTATGTAGTGGCGAGCATTGATAGGACGTCATGAGCGTCAACTCCGTCTCCAGCATACGTATCGTCAAAAGTACTTGGTCCGAGACCCTCAAGCAATGCGACACGGCTGCCAGCAGCCGGCGTTTTCGCCAATTACATGCGGTCAGATGCTCACAGTCAAAGAGCAGCATGATCTCGGTGATCACTAAATCAGACGAACTCGTTGAATCGGTCTCCTTTTCCAAGTGCTCGACTTGGAAGTCATCGTCGGACATGGGCAATAAACGTTTCATGAAAAGCTGTCGTGCGATCGTAAATGCTTGGACCAGGCCTTTCTTAGTAATCCCAATCGAACATCCATCTTGGAGGACTGAAGAGCCTAGACCTGAAGGAATGATCTCGATCTCGAGCACCTGATTATCTCGAGATGAGAAGACAGCGGCGAGGTCCTGGAACGCATTTTCCGGGGTAGTCATGGAAGGATACGAGCTATCACAGCAATGCGACTGATATAGCGAGGTTCTTGGTTTGCATGACCCTTGAATCTGGGTTGTTGGCGGCTCTAAAGATCGGAGGAAGTGCGCGTGTGGAAGAGCATGTAAAGGCGGAGACGCACATCCGCGGCTCGCTGCGACTTCCACTCTTCCAGATTGCCTGAACGTCATTTCGCCATCAACCTGCGAAGATCGGCGACGACAGGTGCTTCTCTGAAACACCAAACAGGCAGGTGTGTCCTTTGCGAAGCTTATCATATAGCTTCTGGCTCTCCTTAGCCGCCGCCGCCTCCATCAACCACCTCTGGCCACCTGGCCAACCCCCGCCATCATGTTGTCGCTTGTCCTCACCGTCCTCTTCGTGCACATCGCAATTTACCTGGTGAACACAATCGGCGCAACGACAATCGATGCATTGGTACGTTGACTGGCATTCTCTCCTTTGGAATCGGGAGTTGGATCGCAGAACTCGATCTCACGTTGTGGAATAGCCTCAGCTAATGGGCGAGCTCTCTATTAGTTATGGCACCTCTATCTGAAACTACCGACATCAACCTCTCGAAATGCCCGCGAACAGCAGGAAAAAAAGCGTGAAGCTATGCAGCTAAAACGCGAGATGAACAACACGTCCTCACAAGACGAGTTCGCGAAATGGGCCAAGCTCCGTCGCCGACACGACAAGGCCATGGAGGAACATGAGAGCATGAGTACGTACCAACCTGACTTCCTGATTACACGAACTACCAACTAACGCAACATTTGTCCTCCAATAGACAAACTCGTCTCAGCCCAGAAAACCTCCTTCGACTGGAGCGTCAAGACAGCCCGATGGCTCAGCACGAACGGCCTGAAAATCTTCCTCCAATTCTGGTACTCGAAGACCCCCGTGTTCGCTCTTCCCGCCGGCTGGTTCCCGTACTACGTTGAATGGATACTCTCTTTCCCGCGGGCACCGCTGGGCTCAGTGAGCATTCAAGTCTGGAGCAACGTGTGCGCGACAACGATTGGAGTTATGGCCGAGGTTTTGGGAGCGATGCTCGTGCAGGCTCTGGGACAGCAAAAGAATGCCGTACCGGCGAATGGAGATGGTAAAAAGACGCAGTGATGAAAGACATGTTATGTCCCAGGGCTGGTGTACAATATCATAGGCATGGAACGGTTTAGGTCTACGGTTCAATGAGTATAGCATAGCCATTTGGATTCAATCTCAACCAATATTTTTTTTCTGTGTATCACAACGAATCATAGACTATCTGCAAAGTAAATAAAGGGTAGAATGTTCATCAGATAAAAAAATCGTTTCTCGTCAAGAACCCCCTTGGGGGTTCTCAGTGCTTGACTCTATGATTGGTATATCATCACGCGAACAAAAGCTCATGGCAGCGAAGAGGGTAAATGGAAGTTCAAGATCGAAGAGTCCGGCCCCTTCGACAGGGCATCTGCGACAGCAAGGTCACCGCTTTGCCATAAGCTACAGACTCGGAAAAAAAAAAGATCAAAGAACTCCTCGCCTCAAGAATGAGCCCCATTGAGTTACCTCATTCTAGCGAATGAGGGCAATCGCATGACTATCGAACCTCGACGAAAGGCAACCCGATACAAGGAGAACCGAAGTCCTCCTTCCCCTCTCCAACCCCAAACACACACCCCATTGTGACCGGCTAACCGTCGGATGGTGCGCAGGGCCGGGAGGGAGTAGGGCAGTAAGCCGCTATCGAATTGCTTCTATGGCGGCGCGTTTCCGCATTGCCTGGCTTGGACAACTTTGGCGAACCAAAGCGCAGGGTGTCCGGGGACTTTTCTCCCAAAGCAAGGTGAGGAAAGAAGCAAGCTTCTTTGTGTGTGAGCTTTGAATGCGATTCTTTGAGCGAGGAGTTGAAAAGAGGAACGGTGGGCGGAAATTTTGAGATTTTTTATTTGTCGGGAATGGTCATGTGACTGGACTAGGTCGAGTTGGGGAAGATGGGTCATGTGATTTGAAATACGCGCGGTTAATCGAAGTTCGCGGGTGGAACTCGGTTAATTTTGGAGCGCAATTTGCTTAGTTTGATGGGTTTGGAGCTGGGAAGATCTTTACGGACTTCAGATTACAGGGTCACAGTAGAGCAAGATGAGGTGAGGCTGAATTCAGGTCGCCGTATTGCCAATTCAATTCTTTCAATAATATGACTTCTCAAGCTGTTATTTGCAAACAACGCCAACGAAGGATTACTAGATGACAGATTTCTTTATCATGGAGTCGACAGTATCAACGACACTCTTCTCCAGGTCAATGTACTCCCACTTACCCTCCTTGGTACCGTCGGCGAGGATTCGCAGACTCACGCGCATATCCCAACCTGTTGGATGGACTCCGGGAGGTAATATCTGGGACGGATTACCCTCGGGGACCCGATCAGCAAGAGCAGGAAAGTTTTTGCGGATGCTGTTGGCCACCAGTTGGGGTGTTATTAGACCAGAGATGAGGAGAATCCGCTGGTTTGCCGCGGAAGGGTTTTCCAGCGCATCTACATGACTCCGCGCCACATCTCGAACATCCACCTAGATTGAAGCAAGCAAATGATTAGCTTTTCTCTGTTTGCAGCGTGCATCTTGCCAGATGGCATGGCTGTGAGACCCAACGGACGACTCACGAAATGGTAGAAAGGGAAGGTTACTCCCTCAATCTGCTTGTGAGTTCCATCAATGAAGCTCGCTATGGCAAATTGATTGGTCTGATTGATAGATTTGGGACCAGAGATTGGGTGAATCATAGGACCAATGATAATGTCCGGACATATCACGGCCAGGTCAAAGAAGGGAGTATTCTCCTTCATGAATGTCCACGCAACAGCCTCGGCTCTTTTCTTGGACACGTTATATCCCAAAACGGTATCATTTCTGTCAATTGCTTGCTCGGCCGTCACCTGTACATGGTCAGATCAATTGAATAGAATGATAAAGCAGGTGCAGCAATACTAACCGGGTTCCAATCCTTTTCCGTGTACGGCTTGCCCTCCTTGGACATGTCCTCGAAGGAGTTAAGCACGGCTACGGCACTTCCCAATAGAACGAAACGCTTCAACGCGGATCCACCATGCCGATGGGCGGCTCTCAAGATCTCAGTGGTTCTTGTAACGTGAGCTGCAACTCATGCTAGATCATTTTCGGACAGTCATCTTACCCCTTTTCTGCGGGCTCGATCATTTCTTTCTGGATATCAGACACTTGAAACTTCAAAGGAGATGCCGTATGGATCACATATTTGAAAGGCGTCTTTGGGTTCTCAAAGAGATGGTCGAAAGGTTTGGCGGTTGTGAAATCAGCGACGATTGCAAAATTCACCTTGTTCTTCCAAGATGGATGTGTTCTAATGACATCTTCCGCTTTCTCTTGCGAGCGCACCGTTGCAGTCACGGTGTACCCACGCTACTGGTTATTTAGCCAGCTGCTATTCGGAAAACATTAAATGACATTTGCCCACATTTATCAGGATGGCCAGGATATGAGAGGCGACAAAGCCATTGGCGCCCGTCAGCAAGACGTGCGGGCTCTTCTCGGCACTGGACATTGCGAGTGGCAGATAGATGGAGGTTAATCAGTACGTTTTCACTGAAGCATAGTCCCTGATAGATTCAAGATGAAATTATGACCCCGAAATATGACAATGAAATCATCGGGAGGATCTTAGCTTTTAACGCATTGCAAGTGACGCTTTCGTTTTCTCGGAGACAACGGAGGCGTTCTGGCCTGCGGAAGTGTGGCGGGGGTTGATCGATTATGCCGACGTGATATCATCCCACCTCAGCTTTGGATATTTTTGGTTACGCCATCCATGCAACATGTCATCCAATTATACTTATCAATCTCCAATATGCTACTGGAATCACCGATCAACAGACCCCGCATTTTCGTGCGATAGAATGCGATAGGGTGTAAAATGAACATTTCCGAAAACTGTAAACAATTGGAGCTACGCGGAAAAAGTAAAGCTGGGTTAAAAGTCCCGACGCAGTTGATCCGCCGGCGGTAGCACCCCTCCTTCTTCCAGTGCTCGGAAGGTTTCTTCCAGCTCCTCCCATGTATCTGCATACCCTGTCCATCCCAGCTTACGAGCTTTGCTCATACTTGCCACGCAGCTCCAGTCCCGGCCCATGGTCAGCACAAGGAAATCCCAGGTTGCTTTGTTCCAGGCCTGTTGGTCAAGATGGTACTTATCTCTCAGGCCAGCCCAGGCTTGATTTACGTCAGCTCGACGTGCCCACTTCTCAACATCCACTTGAAGAAAGAGTTTGGGGGGGAGTCTTCACTAAATCATCTGACGAAATACCCAGGGACGATGCGCTCGCCTGAAGAGGCGGCCTATTTTGCATTGGGATCGTCAACGACTCGTAGCTCTGGTACCCCTTGGTATTCGGCACGCCACCATTAGGGAACATCGGATCCGGAATCTTGCATCCGAATCGAGCAGCCAGACGAGGCCACAGATTCTGAAATGATTCCGTGTCGCCGTTCATCACGTTGAAGATGTTATTGCCCGCGCCGGGGGCCCTCGCGGCCCAGAGGCAGAATTTGGCGTGTAGGTTTGCCGATGTCCAGCAATTGAATGTGAAGTAATTGGCCTTACTACCTGGGAATGGTAGCTCAGATCCTGGCAAAGCTTTGCTCACGGCGCAGTAGAGCCCAATGGAGGTGGCTTCGTTCATGAAGTTTCCCCGCGCATACCCGAGCACGTCCTCGGGCAGCGTGACAATCCATTCCCAGCCGCCTTTGGCCGCGGCTTCAATCAGTACCCTCTGTTGCTCGTAGTAGAAGATCGGAGGCAAATTGGCGCCTTCTATGTTCTCCAGCAAAGGATCGTCTTCCAGGAAAGGCTGTTTGGCCTGTCCAAAGTGAACGCCGTACTGCTTGAAGCCACAGGTGAGGATAAAGCGCTTGAGCTTTTTGTCGGCTCCAGTTACTTTGATGGCTTGAATGAAGTTGCTCAGGAGCTTCACGTTCACGCGCAACAGCTCTGTCTGGTCCTGAGGGACTAGATACGCACAGAAGTAGATCACATCTGCGGAAACTCCATTAAGGTCGCGTGCCATGTCCTCTACAGAGCTCTGAAGGTCCATGGTAACATGCTGGACCTTCGGGTGCTGGTTACCAGGATTGCGTCGAGAGAATGAGAAGACTTTTTGATAGGAGCTATCTTTAATCAGGTGGTGAATGATAGCGCCCCCGGTCATACCTGTTCATAGATTCAGTTTCACGCATACAATTGACAAAGAAGCGAAGATACCGGTGGCGCCCATAACTAAAGCAGAAGACATTGTCAATTAAATTGAACGATTCTGAGATTTGGCACTGCCAGACTACCTAGGTAGTGGGCTGTCCTTTATAGGCTGTTGTCGATGTAATACGTCAGCGCTGTATCTCACCCTAATCAGGAGGACAGCACAGTTTTGACGTAACTATTATATTGAATAACATTCTCCCGAGATCCCCCATCCGTTCAGTCATTGGCCATTTGCAGTCCAGTGATGGTCTTCGGAAGGCAACTGAAGCACGGGCATTCCTTAGAGAACCATGGTCCATGGATGCGCAACTTGCACAATTTCAACCTTAGTCTGCCATTTGAACGACATCCGACGCTCCATCCCTACCCTCGTACAAGTCGGTCGACCAGATCGACCCTGTCAATGTGGCATTTGAGGGAAAAGAGCTAATTAGAGAGAAAGGGAATGCTATGCCCCTCTCTTCGCAACGAACTTAAATAGATGGAGATGAGATGTGAGTCCAGTTTGCTATCAAGATTATGCTCCTAGTTGCGTGAGATTATGAAACAACGGTTATCAATAATATATGAAGATCGAGGAGTGGGAAATTATATGCAAGCCAGAAAAGAAGACCGGACTATATCCCAACTTGGTAAGCCCTAGACGGTGTTGGAATTTAACATTTGAGGCACTTGAATGCTTCTATATTACCCTCGTTCACCTACATGACTCAGGAAGTCCAACAATGAAAAAAGAAAAACATACAACAGCAGGGATTCGCTGGTGGTCACCCACCCAACTACTAACCTGCCGGCGTGTGGCTTAAGTACGGCTGAGCGGACGGGAAGCCCTGTTCTCCACACCCTATGGTCGTATGTGCTTGGAGTTTCACTGGAGTAAAATACATTCTCTTAACATTACTGAAAGTAACTGATTGACGGCTGCTTTAGCGTGGCTGGACCAAGGGTGAGAAGGGTGAGTGCGCAATAGACAGGGTGAGAAGCTAGGTGAGACTGGGTGATTTCACCTCCGTCGCGCGATCACCGCATTGACCCTCTCCCATCGGACTCACAGTGTTACTGGTTAACCTCGGTCTGGCTGAAACTTGGGTCTCTTGGCACATGCATTTCCCGTCGAATCCCATCCCAGGCTTCGCCAAGTCAACGCCAAGGCTGACTTCGCTGTCACCTTGGGCCAAAGTAGTTTGCTTGGTGTCCAGGCCACCAACATGATATGGACACGAATCAACATCCTGGACTTAACCGGCTTAACTAAATTCCGCGGATTGAAAATTCCACACTATCTCCACGCAAGGTCCACATTCACAAATAGTCCACCACGCAATATGAACCTTCCATCTAGTTATCCCATTAGCATTTCTTGTCAGTTATCTAGATCATTTGATGGCTTGCCTTTTGGATGACTGTCGAATATTGCCTCGTATATCTTATGTTTTACCATGTTCCCACTGGGGGTTGGGGGTCAGGCCTAGGCTCTGGTTCAGGAGTATCTCCAGGGTTGATTTCCTTTGGTTTGAACCTGTCTAAATTGATGCTGTTGGCCACCCGGTGAGAGTGTAGCCAAGGTTTGGATCGAAGATCGGTCGCTTCTTTCAGGCGGGCTTGATCACACCAGGTGGGAATCGATTCAGAGGAAGGCATGGTTTCGTCACTTGTATCTGAGAAGGCTACTTGTAAGTGATTATATTTTAGAATGCAAGAATGCCTTTGCAACCGACTTTGCAGAAGCGAAGGAGTTGTAAAATGGTTGAGACTATCGGAACACAACCTTGGACACCGTTAGAATTCGTTGCAGCGTATTTATACCCCGGTTAAGTGCTCCCCAGGAAATGTTTTTAGTAGGGTTGATTATTTAAATCGGGTAATTCCGGAAATTCTTTTGGCTTGCCACGTCTTCATTCATCATTCAACGAGTATTGAAGGCCATAGCAACACCAAGTATAATGCTTTTCAGACACTTGCATATGAGCCATTTAATCATGACTCATATCGCCGGAAGTTAACTCATCCTGCACCTCTTCGCCAAATCACGGATGGGCTGTGTAGGGGTGGAAAACCACAATCATTGGGTTTGGACATTGTGGTGCATAGAAAGTTCGAGCGACGATGTAATGATACATGACCAAGCGCTGACACATATTCAAATGGTCAGCACTAGTGAATAACCGTTACCATCTTCTCTACACACTAGTATTGTGTGGGAGCTGTGCTCATGGCCTCTCCGGCGTTACTTTTAGTGATCACTACACACCCTCTCCCTCATAACAAGTTGGCGCTTGGCCCGATCATTTGGTGGGGTGTGAAATCCCCTCTTCCGAATATCAAAACTTTTATGACCTTGATAAGACATTCCTGTCCACAAACTCAACTAAAGGGCGGGCCAGTACCGATTCATAGTCATATAAAATTTTCAGGCCCCCCTGAAGCCAAGGATCTGCTATATTCGACCGACATGCCCACAAATATGGAACCACCAAGGAGTCAATTTGTATCCTTTGGATATATTGACCCGCTCTTTTATACTCAGAGGAACGACCATATTACATCTATGATGATGTTCCAGAAGGCACAGACCGAGGAAATCTGAGAACATATTATGGCCCAAGCCAGCATGTTGAGAATTTGCGGTATTCTGACGAGTCTTTCGATATCGACCAGCAGGGATTCATGTTCAAGAAGCACAAAGAGCCAAATGGAATCGATTGGAATAAAGAGAACGACATCTTGAACAAATATATTCCAAGCATTCAAGGCATGGTCGCGGATATCTTAGGTGATGCCGTTCACTGCTGCAAAATTTTTGATTGGCGAGTAAGGAAGGCCTGTGAAATCTCATCATCGACCACCTGGGCATTTTTCTGATCACACCTCTATCTAGTTGAGAAGTTCTACATCTCGCTTACTGACGGAACCAGACCCAACAACTGTCCCAAATCCTCATATGACAAAATTTGCTCCAGCCTTTCATGTCCATGTCGGTAAGTGGCTTCAGCTGTGACGTTATCATTCGATTATGCCTTTCGTCACTGACTTAGAGGAACAACGAAGACCAAACCCCAATTGGAGTACTGAACAGAATGGGTCAGATATTTGGACAAGAGACTGATGATCTGATCGCGAGATACCGTGTACGGGTGATTAAGTGAGTACACGTTGAGGACACAAAGGACATTGGCTAAAGAGGCTGACTTTTCTTTAGTGTTTGGCGTCCCCTAGTTGGAACAGTGGAAGACTGCCCGCTAGCATTGTGTGATGCGCGCTCGGCCACTATAGATGACTTGGTCAGTATCTCTCAAATTGATAAGGGTTTCGTACGCCATAGCTTCATGGCAAAGTACAACAAGGATTTCCGCTTCTGTTACCTTGGGAACATGCGAAACGATGAAGTTTGTATCTTTAAAGTTTTTGACTCGAAAGATGGTGTTGCTCAGAGTGAGAATTCTTTGTCTCTATGTAGTTCTAATACTAATGAGCGCACAAATAGGAGTTCCTCACAGTTCATTCAATACGAAGGCCCATTCATCTTCAACGAAGCCACGAGAGAGTATTGAAGTTAGGCTGATTTTTTCTTTCGGCGTTGGATTAAGCTATATTGGCTTCATGTTCATAAACTCGAAAAATAATACAATTGAGACATTTTCATTCCCTTCGTATGGTATGCCAGATAGTTATCAGTCTGCAAAGGCTTAAATTCGAAAGGCCATCGTGAGGTCTTTGCTAATGTAAGGATGGGGGTGATTGGGTAAAGAAGTCGAGATAGAAGGGAACAGAAGTGATTGGATTATGGCCAAAACTGATTCTTCAAGGAATCAGGAGAGGCTCGATAGTGATCTACTCTTTTATCCCACTTTAGGCCGCTTATATCATATAATACGTAGTCACACCCCTAGCCCTTTCTTTTTAATAGGCAAATCGTGACCTTTACGTCTACCCTAGACCATAAGCTTTCTTAAATATTCTTGTATTATCGTAAAGCCCCTTCTTTAGGCTACCTGAAGCCACGTTTATATTTTCTATTAGCCTTATATTCATTAAGCAATTAACTATTGTAGTGGGAGAATTGGTGACATAATGAGCCTATGTGTGGCCTCAGGCATGATTTAATGTCTGCAGTGCATAGTACATCTCCAGACACACTTGGAGGGAAAAAAGTCATCTACCCAAATTCATTCAGGATTCACCCAATTTCTTCTATCCATGATGCAGCATTAAGATTATCCCGCACGGCCGCAACAGGGCATCAGTACGGCCTCACCCAGCATCCTCTACACCAGACAGGCAGTGTGTGTGTGTGTGTGTGTTGTCCAGTCTGCATCGCCAGACAGCCATCGAGCCGTTCCCATTTCACTATTGAAATTCTAGAATTTTTAGTAGCGCGTAGGAATATTCTAGTAAAACCGCTCCCATAAGGGACTGCCTACTATAAAAAAAGAGGACGCTAACGGATTGTTCGCTACCTTTGACGCTACGTCGCACACGGATATAGGACACACTGCTCAATGTGATTTATCTTCTGTTCATTAGCTATTTACGTGAGATACTACCATTTTCTAATTTCTTTCAAGCACCCTATGGTCGGCACATGTGTTCAGATATGTGCTACAGACATCTACAGATGTCAAATCCAAAAAAGATTTTGGCACAACTTGCAACGTTGTCTTCATTTCAAACCTGGTCGGCAGGAGAGACTTAGAGAACAAGATATAATGCATTGATTATATGGACATCATCAGATACGTTTTTAAAACATATCACCATTCGGAAGGAGCGGTTGCTCTTGAGACCCTCACCACGTCAAGGGCAGAGCGTATGATTATTTCCGTATGCCAGGGAAATGAATCGGAGCCCTGGAAGAGAATAATGTGACTGGCTGGGGCACGAATGGTCTCTCTTTTTTGTATGGATGCTTTGGATATGTTCTATCAGAGGCTCTCATGCATAATCAAAAGAGTGTAGTATTCCCCTCCATATATCGTTCGTAGGCTCATGTGCGATCCCTTGGATTCTACAAGCTAAGTTAGCTAGGCACACGATGTCGTAGAAAGGACTCATGTATACCACCAAGGACGATCCCACAATGGTCACTCGATCCCCTCTAGTAGAATTTACGTTCCCCATAATCACCCCAGTATTATTAAGCACCGATCCAATGCTCACATTCCCCTGATCCACTAGACTGCACTACGCCACCAACAACTCCATTAGCGAGTAGTTCACCATCGGTAAGCGGATAAATTAAGAAAGGAAAGATTAATCATACCTGCTTCAACCGCTTCCCCTTCCCCTCCTGAGTAGCAGCATTTTCCTCCCTCCTCTCCTGCAAAGGAATAACACCCAACAACTCCTTCGCAAACGCGGTAGCAGTAGCAGCCGAATACGCCTGCCAACGCTTACTCTTATGCGAATCGGCATAATCACAAATTCCCCTCACAACCAAGCAAGGAAAATGATCCATTAGCCCGGCAGCCTCCATCTCAAAACACAGCACGCCCTCTAGCTGACGTGCAATGCTATCTCTCGTCACGGCATCACGCATAACCCGGTTTCCCGACGCAATTAGTCCATAATGTACCCGTGGATCGGCAAGATCCCGCTGCGACCGGGGAATAAGACGACCACTGTCGCACATAGATTGACATTCATCTAAGCTGTCCCCGATATGCGGATATAAGGGGTCAAAGAGGAAATCATGTTGCAGACCGGGAGACGCAAAAGCTGGGAATCGCGCTTGAATTTTGGCCAAATGCGCAGGTACAGCCGACTGACCGAGGATATGGTCGGATTCGAGGGTCGCTAGCGCGGCTAATAGTTCCGCGGGAGGTTTATTCAGACATCCTGTGCGGTGGAATCGACCATTTGTTATGGTCTTGCCGTAGTCGTACTGGATTACGCCGCCTGTTGTGCCGGTGGGTTTGCTGACTACTATATCACCTAGACGGATATCAGTCGTGCTGGGGTGGGGGACGCCGCCGCCGATGCCAACAACTAAGCTGTAGCGGAGAGCTGAGAAGGTAGTGGTAATATGAGAGGCGACGATGGCAGCGGAGGTGGTGCCGTAGACGCCGGAGGGGAGGCAGGCGATGACAATATTGTGGCCATAGATGGAGCCGAGGGTGTAGATGTTGGGATCGTTGGCCTTGGCGGGGAGTTGGGGTGCAGCTCGTCGAGGGCTGCTTTGGCGGTGGCCATCTCCAAGGATAGGGCGCAGATCCAGCCGATGGTGTAGTCGGAGTGGGTGAGGGCCATGTTATTGATATGAAGATAGGTGATGGTGGTGGTTGCGATGGAGGAGGGTGAGATGATGAGGGGATAAATTCATGAACTAAGAGAGTGGTCAAATACTACTATAATAAAAACCAAGTAGAAATATCTTCTCGTTGTTGATACATTGAGACCTGAAAAATCGCATGTACATAGTATATGGTGTTTTGGGGTGGCCAGGGTGGCGGGGAATTACTCTGATCAACATTCAACGCCATTAGCGCTTCATATAACTAGTCCATACAGAATCTGGTCAATCCGTCACTATCACTACGGAGTACTTGGTACATAGATATGGCGTATCGATAGTACAGGCCAGAACGTGATCCGGTATGAACATGTAATATGTAGGGGGACGTACTTATGTCCCCACTACAATATGTACCATGCCCAATTTAGGCACTAACCCTTGAAGTGCTGGTATGCTCCGTCTGTACTACATCGAATTTTATGCAAGCGCTGCCCCGTGACACTAAGTCAGTAGGGCCCGTGTTCTGCGCAGTCCCAGCCCCCTTCAGACCATACCACCTTTTTCGGTCGCAATCACATTCAACCTTGATCCTCTCGTCAACAAGGCACAATGCATTTAGACAAGTGGGTCACTCTTTTCCCAGTTATTCAGGATATTTGCAACATCTCGGGAATCCCAGGTGTGTCGCTGGGCGTCGTGGAGAACAATGAATTCTACACCGCTTCATTCGGTTATGCCGACATCGCGAGCAAAACTCCCTGCGATAGCGACACGACTTATGTCTTAGGATCACTCAGTAAGGGCGTTACCGCTGCTCTAGTCTCTTCACTTCACGATGATGGCACGATTCCCTCGTGGGATACTCCACTGGAGTCCCTATTGCCGGAGTTCCATCGCGAGGACATATACGGCGAAATTACCTTGATCGATTTGCTCACACACCGAACTGGCCTTGCAGCTCTCGACTCTCTCTGGCTGGCTTCAAACAATGACCCTTACCTGCCTAGATCAGAGGCTATTCCGCTACTTAACCACGCGCCGGGTATCCAGCCATTTCGAACCAGATTCATTTACAATAACTTCGGCTACGAGATACTCGGTCAGGTGATCGAAAAGGTTACCGGCGCGTCATTTGCGGAGGTCCTTCGACGTCGGCTTCTAGACCCGCTTAAAATGCGCCACACATACTATACTGGGGAGACTCGTGAACACGAAGCTAAGCCCTATGCTGCGCTAGAGAATCGGTCCATGGTCTCTGTTCCACCGCCGCTATATGGGAAAGATGTGTTGATGGGCCCAGCAGGGGGTATACGAAGCTCTGTCAACGATCTATTAATCCTCTATAAAGCCTTTATGAGTGCTGAGCGTGGCTTGGCCAATCTCACAAAGCCTGTAATTCGGGATATTCAACAGCTATGGAGAGGACATCAAAACATACCCTTCCCGTCCCTCAGAGAACACTCCTACGGCTTCGGCTGGGCCCGGGCCCAATTGCCCGCTCAGCTCTCCCGGGGGCCTGATCCACTCAGGCCTATTGTTGGAGTAGGAGTACCATCGCAGCTAGCACTATTTCACGGAGGCGCCATCACCGGATATAACACTTATACTGTATTACTCCCTGAAATTGAAAGCGCGGCTGTTGTGCTCACCAATTCCCAATCTTTGAATGGCGGGGTTGAGTTGATTGGTGAGCTTCTTGTCGAAATGCTCCTAAACAACTCCCACAATGCCGCCGACTATCGCAGTTTAGCAAAACTATTGGCCGATGCTACATTACAACAAGAAATGGACATCAATAAGAGCCTTGTCGCAGGCCGGACCGCCAAGAAGCCTTCCAAGCCTCTCGATGCCTACATCGGAAAATATGTCAACGCGGCTGGCAATTTTGTCATTCAAATAGGATACACCAAGGACAAGAAAAGTCTGCAGGTCTCATACATGGGCCGGAATGCGGATGCATTTAGACTTGTTCCATACCAGAAAGACAGCTTCTATTGGATCTTAACGCATGATGAGTCTGCAACGCTTGCGCGAGAGTTCATTTTTCCAGCAGAATACCACATTATCAAGTTTGGGTCTCAGCATGGTGGCCCGAATGTCTCTTGTCTTTGGTGGAAGCATGATGCTGACTTGCCAGCACCTGGGGAGTTGTTCGTGAAGACAACAAAGGGCGATTATGAATACGCCAGAGAAGAATTGTGAGAGTCCGATGTCTATTTTCTATAATAGAACTGTTCCTCTGGGATTGAACCGTCATATTTCAGGTAACGGACAACTTCTCGTGGTGTAAAAACTTCGCCATCTGGCAGGGCAGATTCAAGTGCACTTTTCATAAAATAACAGACTTTGTTCATTTCCGGCGTTTTCCCTGGGATACCCTTACCAAACGACGTTCTTCCAGATGAAAGTGCTACCATGTGATCATAAATGGCGCTTTCATCTAGGTTGACATCAGGTGGTACATAGACTGCGTACTGATCCCAAAGCTTTTCTTTTGCGTTTCGTAAAGAAGCAACGCAGATATGACTGTTCGTAGTCTTTTCTGTAGCAGCCTGCATTCTGCTGAGATGATACTGTGCCCGTAATTTGGCCTCTTCAATCCAACTGTCCGGTCTCGTGATAGCCATTTTCAAGAGGTCCCTAATACAATGGGTTAATTTACAGCCTCGACAGGATCAATCTCAACTTAACATACTTAGCTTCTTCAATATTTCCCCTACTTTCTTGGACCAGAGACATGATGTAATAGCAATCAAGAGTAGGACTTCCCCAAGGACCAAAATACGCAGAGCAGGTCGCCAAAACAGCATTTATCATCTCATAAGCCTTTTCAGTGTCTCCCGCTTGAAGATATATCGTAGCCCAATAGAATTTAAACTTGAGCAAGGAAACATAGACAGTCTTCAAAAACTCTGGGGGCCAGCTTTGAATCTCACGGTCAGTGATGATCAATTTCTTGGCTTCATCAAAGATCCCAAGCGCCGCTAGACAGAGACATTTGTTTGTCAAGGTATCTGCGTTAATCTTAACTGACCCGCAGCCAATCCGGTTGCGAATGGCAATGGCAAAATCCGAGTATGCAATGGCGTCCTCGTAGAAGCCGTAATTTGAGAGGGCCCAGGCGAGATTGCTCCATGCATTGGCATAGTTTTGCACATCTATTTCAGTGGCTTCGCTGGGAACTAGCGTATTCATATGACACTGGCGAAGCAGCAGCGCCTTATTCATCAAGCGAAAACACTCGGAACGCGTAGATATACCGCTTTCAAGCCGAATACATGCCCCAAGGGTAAATATATGACCTTGCTGGTGAAGGAATTGCCCATCCAGCTTTTCACATATCTCTCCTGCGGAATCGCTGGCTAAGATTCCATCCGAGAGCATGTTGCGTTCCCAAAAATAGTTTGCGACATCTCCAAGGATTTCAGCAAATTCGATTGATGCGGATACTTCCCCCTCCGACTCTTCATAAACCTTGCGCAGGTTCATTATATGGGGGCTCCATATCTCCCACACATTCCACTGGTCATTCTGGGGAAACTGGATTGAGGATTGACGTGGAAAGACCCTACGCAGAAGCGCAAAGGTAACCATGAAGATTTCCTGAATTTTCCCATCCTCTGCATCGAGGCGATGCAGGATGCAGCGCTGTAAGACTCGGTGGATTGCAAGGTAGCTTCTTCCAGATTCCTGCCACTTGGAAATGAGCTGCCGACGAGATAAGCTGCTCATCATAGCCAGAATCCTGTCTTCAGAATTAGATTTTGTGACTATATTCTCTGATAGAGGTACAAACCTTGTCCGTGGAATGCTGGATAGAAATGCTAGATTTGGCTCAGGATGGTGTCCATAAAATATATCCTGGGGTATGCAGTCCGAATGCAACATGCAGAGAACTTGTAACACCTTGAGGGTCTGTTCATTCAGCTCTCTTAGTGCAATATCCCACATGAGGCCAAGAGCCTTCGGATATCCAAACGTAGTATCTGGCTTGGCTCCAAATATATCAGCAGTCTCTCGACGGCTTCTAAGCATCTCTAATGTTTGCCTCACAGATACACCGGACTCTGTCATGTATCCTGCGACATGAGCAATTGCAATCGGTAGACCCCCCTAACTCGTGACAGAGTAATGCGGCATCGTCATCAGCCGTAGGTGTGTCCTTTTGACTGTTTCTATCTTCGTCTAGATAGCTCAGAAGCGAGCTCCGACTATCTAGAGGACCAAATGGGTTTAAGAAGATCTTGTATGTTGTCTGAGATCCTAGAGAAGCGTTTTGGGAGGTCAAGAGAACCGAGCCGTGTTTTGACCGGGGACGATATGCGATCAAGCTCTCCAAAGATTCGACGTTGTCGAAAATCAAAAGCCATTTCCTGTCTTGGCCTGTCAGAAGTAAGCCAAATTAGGGGCCTTTGCGAGGGCGAATATATAACATACCAGTGTTTTGGAACCAATTCCGGACCGAACTTACTACTGCACCATCACCAGTATTTGGTGGTCGATCCAACTTAAGAATGTCGGCAATAGAAATCATATCTCTAGTCATCACGGGCTCAGTTTCAGAATGAACCCAAAAAACGAAGTCGTAGCATCCTCGGCACTGGTAGGCATATTGCAAAGCAACTTGTGTTTTTCCAACACCTCCAATTCCATGTATAAGACATGAGCTTTGGCGGTTCTCGGAGGTGGATAGTGCTTGCGTGCACAATTTGGTGTGGAGGTCCGATAGCTCGCTCTGCCGCCCGTAGAACTTCGGGTTTTGCCATAGGGGTATATTGTCAGCTTTCTCAGGCTGTTGAATGGCGGCTGAGTATGTGATATAGTTAGTCATTTTAGAACACCATAAGTGGGCAGCGTATATCCTATGGAGTTTTTTTTTACCTTCGACTGGTTTCGCTGAGTAATTATGATAAATATTGTTCTGTCGGCCTATTCCAATTGTGAGGTTCTTCAACGATATCGACTTGATGAAGGAAGAATTCACCAATCACCGTGCTACTATGCACGCTCCCTGTTATCGCGCCACTATTGTCTCTAGATGACCCTAGGTAAGTGTCGCCCAATGAGACTGTGGCTTCTGGCTCACACCCAACCTCTGTGAACATTTTGATGATTTCACAAGAAGCTAGATTCAGGGAAGGTGATGGAGAAGTTCGTATTTTCTCAGAGACAAATCTGTAACTAACGATTCCACTAAGCATAGTTTGAAGAATCTACCCCTATTCTCCGAGTTCGGATATAACATTTATACTCTGGTCACCTTGGTTGGATCGATTTCCAAAGCGCAAAGAATTCTACCCCGCTTTCATTTCCCAGGGTCATAGCACGAAAAAGGTGCTGGTCTTAGGAGAACGTGGTCCAGAATAATTGGCGGCCGTGCTCGAAGGGGCGGTTTGCCTCACATACGCCATGTGTTATTTGTAGGGACGTCATTCGACGGCCCAAAAATAGCAAAATGGACCCATATTGCATTCCTAAAAAGTGTTGAGGCTGACGCACAACTGAAAGCAAAAAGCTACAAGAGGCCTTGGGCCAGTAGCCAATGGTAAAGCAAGGTAAAATCATCTGTCTAGGATCTTGGCGTGATAACTACCGTGTATCGGAACTTCTATAAGCCCCCTAACCATCCTGTCTTTAACGTAACAACCATCAATTCTGATCATTCCGTTAATTCCAATCGAGATTCATAGTAGTGTACCATAGGTATTTGACCTCAGGTACTTAACGCGCTAACCGCTATTTTAGACCGCCTACTATATGAATTTATTGAACCTTGTCGAGCTGAGAGGTGATATTTTACCACAAAGAACTGGCTGATTAGACTTCGGCAGAACCCTCACCCGCTCTCACCCCGTTCTCACCCATATCACCCACACCTAAGATCAAATCCAACGCCATTTTAGAGCTCAGGGCGTATTGAAAATTGACCGCGTACTATAATGTGCTTATATGCGGCCAGTAGTTGGGTGGGTGTCGCCCGGGTGAGAAATGGGTGAGCGCCGCTTTAGCGTCGCGTGACCGGGGGTGAGAAGGGTGAGTGCGCAATAGATAGGGTGAGAATTGGGATGAGAACTGGGTGAGAATCCTTCGGGCCGCCACGCTGACCGCACAGACCGCCGAGCTGAGATATAGCGACTTATCATTGGGTATGCTAATAGGTCTCAAACATTTCTCTCTTGGTATCTGCACACAGCCACGCTAAAGCTCTGTCTGTTGGTGACAACTTCATAGCTCGCGCGTTATTACACTAGACTCTACTTACGATTATTGCTTAAGACTAATATTTTGGCCCCCTTTTAAGGAAGACCTAATCCTAGGTAAAGTACGACGCCCAATAGAGCAAAGTCGCCCCCAGTCTACCCTTATAGTGTAACTATATCTGTAGAAGTTGCTAAGATTTTACTAGTAATATCTCTATGTATAAATGGTATCCTTTATATCTGCTCCTAAGTCGCCTTCAGAAGAATAGATTTGTTTAAAGAGATGAGAAAGCGCTTTCTACACTAATTATTACTTAGTCCGCCTAGCGTGGTCGATACCCCCTCGTCTGTCGAGACCGTGTAGTCGCAGTCGCTACCGAAGTCAGATATACCGTCTGCGTCCTTTAATCCTTGCCCGAGCCGTTCCAAACGTCTCGTTACTTCTACATTCTAAGATCATTGCGAGTGACAGTCTTGGGCTACCATTTACCACAGCGCGGACGAACCACCCATTAGCACTGCACATTTCTCATAGAGGGCATCAAAAAGTACGCTCTCTGGCTTCTCGAAGCCTCGAAGCTTAAAGGCAATATTCGCACAGGCGAAGTTTGGGAGACGATTCCTGATTGGAAGATATAAGACGCCATTATAAACTAAGCCGTGGAATGGCGCTGAAATCCTTAGCTCAAGAGTACGATATTGATCAGGTGTAACAGGGAACATCTTCAATAAGACTTAAGGTGTTATATAACTACGTTTCTTATCACAAAAGTCCACTCTGAACCTCAAATCTAACTACACCGTCAATGAACAGCTCAAGACCGGAGATCTAGAAATTGGGCCCAAATATTTGACATTCGAAGGACCTTTGAATGCCCTTGAGGGATATAGTAACTTTGAAGCGATCTTCGCAGTGCTAGCATTGTCTGCAAATCAATTCCGACGCTTGCGGAATGATAAGATTTCGACGGTTGTTAATGCATTGCAAGGAACGCAAACACCTATGACCGACGGAAAGACTTGGCCTCCATTGCTCTTATCGTAAGACTCAGCTTAATAGTTTCAAGTACTGTATAAGTGTGCCAATCGGAAGTTTTTTCTTTTTTTTGAATTGTGGTTCTATGTGGATCAAAAAGTGTTACAAAACCGACGTCAATTGATCCAAGAAGACTTTTGCTCGGAAGCCAGTAGTCCACTTGCCCTTTCAAGCACGCTATTTAAGGGCTCTTGAAACGTAGCTCGCATGTAATTCGGAAAATTTCTCTCGGCATACCTCATTACCTAGTATCCATTAGGCTTTGTTCATTTACCCGCGGCGACTGTGCCTATACCACCCAAGAGTCCCGAGTTGCTTAGGCTCTCCCGATGAAAGCATATGAAGGAGTCCACGCTTCTCCAGGGCCTGACAGTATGCTCTTTTCGAAGAGAAGTCCTCTGTCGGGTACTTTTGATCCAAGTCACAGTTGCGATTATTCGCTTCCCTAGTGTTGGGTATTTCGGTATTGGTTGCTTCGCTATTGCGACAGAGAACTAAAGCGCACCAGTATCTGAGCGTGCTCCGTAACCAATAAATCACGCAACCTATGGCCATGCGCCATCGGGGGACAAAGACTACTTTGGCGTTGCTCTCTTTCCCTTTGGTTTCTTTAGGGAGGATTATCTCTGTGTATGCGGCCAATTGAGCAATCGTGAGATACTTATTGTGCCAACATTTATGTATGATATCGTTAATAAGAGGGTCACTATCTAGCTTCGGAAACTCCATGTTCTGTAACAATTCCACGACCTTAGGTCTATGCTCCTTAGGATCATCGGTGAGAAGTCGATCGCCATAGACCTCATAGCCGTAGTTTGTTAAGTAATATAAGGAACCGAGGGCAAACTGCTCTGTCCGAGGACTCAGGAAGCCGGAAGTTCCACGCCGTCGTTGTTCGGGCTTGTTACTATTAAGGATTCTTCTACATAGGGCTATGCAAGCTTCAAAGTCGGTCCCGATTTCCGCTGTACAGTCAAAATCAGATAATTTCAATCGATTGCGATCAAGCAAGATATTCTCGGGTCGCAGGTTGCTATAAGCGAGGTTGAGCGATTCGAGGAAAGCGACAGCTTGAGTAAGGTTATTCATCTATTTCTTTCGTAGGGGAAGAGGTTCCAGCATGTCCACTTGGGTGACAATCGCATTTTGCTGATCTCGAATATGATTGTTTTGCATTCTAGAACAAAAGGATATATCTTATGACGCAGTTAGTTAGATAACCCTGCCAAAGGTTAATAGGGCTCGCACCTCGCATATACTCAAGAAAAATCCCGTTGTCTGCATAGTAGAAGCACTGCACTACAGAAGGGAAGGATGTGTGTTGCGAAAAGATCTTATAAATCTTGAGTTCTTTCCGAAACTGTTCCCCTTCAAATTCCCCGGGTTTTGGTACCTTGACCACGATGCGAGGGTGGACCTCGTAGACGAATGAGATGCCTCCTTTCCAGATCCAGTGCACATCAGGAAACTGGCGTTGAATACTCATTTCAAGAAGAAGATATAAGAAAGAACATTCTGAATAACAGCTGCAGGAAAGAATTATGCTATATTGAGGAAGGAGGTGAGCGAAGAAAAAGGGAAGCCAGGGGTAGGTTATAAAGAATCTACGTGTTCAGGGTAGAAGGCCTGTCGGTTAGGTAAGGAAGGATGTCTGGACTGGAGTCTGATATTGAAAGAAGCAAGACTGATCCTTGCTAAGTCTAAGTTATCTGGAAACCCCCTCGATTTAAGTACGAATCGGGTCCGAGACTTGCTTATTACCCTGCGTTCACCGCTAGTCCTTGGTATTCCTTTGCAAATAGCTCGAAGTATTAATAAAGGCGGCGCTAGTATTTATCATACGATTAATGTACTTTCTTTCGTAATATCTTAAATATCCAGTCAAAAAATTTTTTATGAATCGCTTAATCTTCTAGCAGAAGATAGTCTACGTAGTCTTAGTTCGATTAAATATAATATCTATTTCTATATTAGTGCCTAACCGCAAAGACTTTATTTTATTAAGGGTAAACTCACTTCTGTTAGTACCGTTCGACCACAGCGATTCCTATTAGCGTTCTAGGCTTAAAATTTAGAGGGAGCTATCTAAGGCTACGGAAGTATTTTAATCTAACTTAAGTCTCCTCGCAAAGGATAGGATCGGTCCAGTATTAGTGGTCATTGACTTAAGCCTGGGGTATAGATATCGGCGCTATAAGGAGAAATCGGAGACAAAGGCTAGGATCTAGATAGGGTTTTGATTCTGTGATAGGAGACTTAGGAATTGTCAATCGAGATAGCGGAGATAGGATAAAGAGAAGGCTATTAAAAGACCCCCCAGGGGAGGGGACAGACGAAGTATCTTATAGCCGCTCGACCTAGCTAAGCAAAAGGAGGGGGCCCTAGGTTTAGATACAGAGGGGAGCCATTTTCGGCGTCGGTTTAGTCGTCAGTAGAAACGTAGGGAACAATCGTCAGTCAACCGTCAATTACAGAATAAGAGGTGGATGACTAATAGTCCTAGTTAGGTGCAGAATAGCGGGCGGTCAAGCGGCGGCTCGCTTTCCAAAGTTTACGGGTGGAAGAGGCCGTTTCTGGCGCCAGAGGTTGTCATTTTCGGCGTCGATTTCACAGGTCCCTATATTCTAGTTGTAATTCGAGAACTAGTGAAAGAGTGTAGGCAGTGGCACCAGTTTCGAGACGAAATGAACTATCTCGAGTCCAAATGTATATTCTCTTGTAGAGTTCTTTTCATCTATAGAATTGGAACGTAACATAATGCATAGGAAGGCTATGTGACAGAAAAATACTTGACAATCAAATTTTGGACACCGATTACGCCTTGGTCTTGGTAGCCTTCTTAGCCTTCTTCTTGGTCTTGGTGGCCGCAGGTGACTCAGCAGCAGCCTCCTTCTTGGGCGTCTCTTGATCGACCTTCTTGCCCTTCTTGGTCTTGGGGGTATCTTCGGTGGGAGCAGGGGCCTCAACAGCCTTCACGAGCTTTTCGGCTGGGGTCTCGGCTGGGGTCTCGGAAGCCTCAATGGTCTTGGGCTCCTGGACAGGGACTTCATCCACGCTCTTGAGCTGGGGCAACTCGATCTCGTAACCGAGAGCCTTGAGCTTGTCAGCCTTAGCCTGGCGCTTGCGCTGCTCCTGCTCAATGCGCTTGGTCCACTGCTCACGGCTCTTGCCTTTCTCGAGTCTCTTCTTCTCGATGCGGTTCCACGGAGTGCGCTTGAAGCGACGGTTGGCACCCTTCCAGACATCGGGGTGAAGCGACTCCGTTGGAACGTACTTGCACTTCAGGATGTGGCTGTACATCAGGTAGTTGTCCATGGTCTCGGCGACAATCTTAGCAACAGTAGCGGAGGCGAACTCGATGAAGGCGTAATGCTTTGAGCGACCAGTCAACCGGTTGCGAGAGAGACGAAGACGAGTGATCTCGCCGAACTGAGAGAAGTAGGCGCGCATCTGGTGCTCGTAGAAACCGTGGGGAATGCGTCTGAAAGACAATGTTAGTATCTGGACTTGGAGATTGCCATGCAGGTGAGAACTTACCCCACGTAGACGGTACCGGGCTCCTCCGGAGCATCGCCCTTCTGTTGCTTCGCGATCTTCTTCTGTGCCTTCTTGGTATCGGGAATCTTAGGGACCGGCTTGTCGGGGTTGTAGCCCTCGTCACCAGACTCGTCTTCATCACCGCTGCTCTCGAAGCCCTTGATAAGGGCAGCAGTCTGATCATCCTCGGCATCGTCGATCTCTTCCTCACTTTCAGAAGGCATAGACAGGATATCTTCCTCGTCTTCTTCCTCGGACTCGACTGGGGCCTCAACCTTCTTGGCCTTGGGAGCGGCCTTCTTAGCGGCCGGAGAGGGAGCGGTCTCTTCCTTCTTGGACTTCTTGTTCGAGGCCTTCTTGGGAGCGGGAGCGACAGGCTCATCATTCTCCTCGTCGCTGAGGAAGTCGGAAGCGCGCTTGCGAGGCTTGACTTGACGAGCAGACTCGCCATTGGTCTTGGATGCGGCCTTGGTCTTGGAGTCCTTTGCGGTGCTATTCTCCTTCTTCTTCAAAATTGACTTGGGGGCATCGCTCTTAGTGGCCTCGGCGGCTTTGGCCTCGACCTTCTTGGTCTTTTTGGCAGGCGGGTCGCTAACGACAGGCGCTGTTGAATCATGGTTAATTAAGATGAAAAGCTTCGGGTGCACTCATAGACGGTCCACATACCCTTGCGCTTCTTTTCTCTCTTATCAGGGGCCATTTTGGACTTGAATTGTGGTAATTGAAGTCTGGAGATCGAACGATCCTGCTGCGGGAAACTTTTTTTTTCTTGCTGGTTTGCGGAAGGCGGTGAATCCCCACAGAGCCCTTGGCAGGTCATGGACAACATTTCCTTTTAAATCTTGCAGAACTATTTGGGTGGCGGCCATGGGGAAGTCTAAACGTGCTCAAGACCTGACGCATGAGGAGATCTGGGATGATTCTGCCTTGGTGCGATCGTGGGACGACGCGGTTGAGGAATATCAGGTACGTTCAGCCACTCATGCCTCACGTGACCGTTATCTGACTGTCCATCGCAGCTCTACCACAGCATTCAAGCAAAGGGTGAAAATGTTGACGATGTCCTGAGACGGGCAGAAGAAGAAGGTATCCCTGACGAGGATCCACCCTTTGCTGCAGCAGAGGATGTTGTAGACGATGTTTCTATGGAGGCCGAGACCGAGGACGGAGCAGGCACAGGCGCCATATCGCAGGTTTGCATCACAAATAGATGAACGTGGATCCTACTGACAATTCCCAGACCCCAAAAACCATCCCTCAGGCAGCACAACAGCCTGTTGAGACGGCTTCGACTCCTGCAGCCACCCAAGGCCCAACTGGTGCCCTGCCAATGCCTGAGGCAATTCTATCCCAAGGTATGGGTTCTTTTAAATTTGATCGTTCATGACAAGAGAACTAAATTAGATCACAGTTCAGGACGAGAACTTGAAACGCCTCATGATGTCCTGGTATTATGCAGGCTATTACACTGGTCTTTATGAAGGCCAACAACAAGCCAATCAAGGAAAGAGCTGATTGGGCGTCGATGATACCAACAATAATACATGGCATTAACTTGGAAACCCCATGTATGGCTGAATCTTTCGAATCGTTTGGCATTTTGCTTCAATACCATGCCGCTGAGCCAGAGAGCCTATTCCTGCATTCTAGTCCTCAACTACAACCACAGATATTTACATAGCTCAGGGAAGCGAAGAAATCATACTTGAAATATAGGCAGTCAACTCACTGAGAACTATCTAGGAGTTTCCTCAATTCAAGTTTCGTTCGCCATCCACAATTTAAAAGAAAGTACAAGAATATGAAGTCGTCCATCTTCCAATGTATCTAGTTTCCTCGCACCGACAAATAACCCGGCTTGAATTATCTGGTGAAAGCATCTAGACAATTTACAAAGCACCACCAGTACCGCCGAGGAGGCCACCGACGATGGGAATCTTACCCGAAGCATTGGGCTGGGAAGTAGGGTGGTGAGTGTGGGTAGCGGTGGGGGTAACAAAGTCGCCAGAGCTGGGCTTCTTCTGTGTACGAGTAGGCTGGTCATTCGTGGCATCAGCTTCCTCGTCACCAGCAGCCGAGTCATTGTCATTGTCGTGCTTGGCTGCTTGAATGGCAGCCTCGGCGGCCTGCTCAGCCTTGTGGTCCTCGTTCTCCTTGTCATTGGTGTCCTTCTTGTCACCCAGACCCTCCAGTGATTGCGTGGCAGTCTGTGAGCGTGTCAGTGGATGTTGCATGGGTGTACCGGTCATCTGGGGAAGACTTACCTTTAGGCCAGCGAACGCATTTTCAAGGGTAAGAGCCTGAGTGGAATCGCGCTTGGTAGGCAGGGATAGAGCGATAGCAGCGAGGACCATGAAGATGGTTAGCGAGAAGATGCTGAAGCGAGCCATGATGAATTGGGTTTGTTGAGCAAAGAGATTGAGAGAAGGTAAGTATATTCAAACTTCGAGGACGCAAATGATTGACGACGGCGATAGAGACTAAATGAGTGTTGTGTACAGCCAGGTTAAACAAAACGAGAAAAAGGGATGTCGGAGCGAGGTGAGGAATTATGCTGTCTTTATACTAGCACCCCTTGTTACTGGCACAGGGCGAGAATGATGGACGAAGGGCAACAGGGCGCTGGGCCTACATTTCCAGGGACGTGTTGATCATTTCCTACGCGTTCACAGACGCGCTCAATATTCAAATCAGGTTTTCTTCTGTTGTTCGTTGTCTGGTGGCTGGATTGTGTATCTCATCTCATATGAAGATGTGGTCTTGGCCATGTACGCGCAGCTTCGAATGTCCCGAGTCGACAAGGATGTTCCGTATTCTATGCAAGGGACATAATGTTCCAGTCGGAGTCAACACCGAGAATGGAGATTTCCAAACACAAGTTTCGAAGTGCCTGGCCGTGAAGGCTACACATGCCAGACAAGCACGTTCTGGGTTGCAATTCCCGCATATTCTTGTCTCGGGTGATTGGGCATGTGTCTCCCCGGTATCTTGATACAGGACTTGGATCATTCAGTGTTTAAGAGTGTGCAATCAAAGATGAACGGAAGCTTTGAAGTACAAATTAATTTGAAACTCAACCATCATGCACAGGTCAGACCAGTGCACGAGATCAATTATGTCCTCCAATTACGTCCTCATTGTACAAATCTACATACCACATCCTTCAAGGAAGACGCCACGGGCTTTGGATAGCTATCATAAGGTATATGTTGTAGAAGAATGTATCTCCCTACTTTGACACGAACAACTCCATATACAGAGGAGCAGACGCAACACGAGGGAGTCAACAGAAAGATCGTATCCAACTATTGAGGGTTCGTTTTGGGCACGAATTTTGACCTCGAATATCATGGAATATGACGAACAAGACTTCGAATGTGCCGTACGGAAGGGGTAAAGTGGGGGCGATGCTATACAAGGGTTGATAGAACCGGCGAGGAGTTCAAATCAAGTGGGTTAGTCAATGGCTTCGCAGTCATGAGGGCTCCCAGGTCAGTGGCCGTGGGACTGAACAGACAACATCACATCTGTGATCCCATGGCCAGTGACTTGATAAATTCTCAAGACAGCGACAACGTGAGTCGCACACCTGTCATAGGACGGGGAACGCGTCCCATCCCAGTGTTGTGTCAAGAATGAATCAGATGCTTCTCTCAAAGCTTGATTCACGTGTTTCAATTCCGAAGAGAGAAAAAATTCCCTATTCCTAGGGAGTGTGTGCTCAAAAGCGAACCCGTTCACCTCGTGTCAAGTCAGGTGGCGGGATTAGAACGAGCATTCATCGCTCTGGGTCTCGCTTTAAATTTGCCAGGGGAATAGATGTCCTCTTGCAAGGGTATGGAGACCGTGTGTAAGTAAGTTGAAGAAGAGAAAGGAGGGAAAAGCGTGGGCGGATGAAAACTTGGCCCACAATCAATTGCTTATGTCATCTCATCACGTGCAAGGCTCTAAGCGGGACAGACGTTATTCCTTTTCTTGCCCGATCTCTCAGGCGGATAGTTATGAATGTGAATTTCCGCAGGGCATGCCTTAAAACACTCCCTTCCTCCTGGCTTCACTTGAAGGCTTTTTGGATCGAATTTACTGCGTACCCAGGTGCTCTGTTCTTAAAAACAGTCTGTACTGCATTACAGATTCAATCCATTGATTGCTGATATCATAGCTATGCCTTCGTGGGGCATTTCTGCCTCACAGACAAAGAATTACTCGCTTCGTCAGGATGGCACTATGGACAATGGACTGTGAGGGTGATTTGCCACCAAGTCTGCCCTTTTAGCTCAGTCGTAGAGCGCGCCACTCGTATGGTCCCCAGGGATCACTTGCGCCATGGTGAGGTCCACGGTTCAATCCCGTGAAGGGGCATTCCTTTTTTTGAACTTCCGTCGAAATAGTCCAATGTAACCATCACGAAGCCACATATTCCTGAGCTTCTCCAATTCTCCCCCTACTATGCCCCAAAGAGGGGGAGCACTTTGGCTTTGCGTTCCCAATTTAAGGAGTCTTTGTGGTTCTGCTCGCCTCGCGGTCCCACCTTTCTACCAACAACATATCTCGTTCAAGCTCTCACTATGACTGCTTTCTTATTTTCGGTCAGTTTCTAGCCCCATATGCTCTTATCCCGAAATCATATCAAGCTAGGCTCTCGTTCGCTTGAGGGGAAAGAGCATGTGCAGGTGAAACAGAAACAACTTGTAACAGAGCTCAAAAGACAAAGCATCTTAGTTGGCAGGCACGATTGATCTTACGAATTTGTTTAACTTGGCCTCGGACTTGAGGAAGCATGATCAGTTCGTTGTCAGCAAAAGAAAATTCAGTGTACTGTGAGAGTCAAGGTCCGGCCCGGCGTAGACATATCGGGGCACTACCTGCCATAACATGCTCCTGAAGGTCAAGATTAATTACTCTTTCCACTGTCACCACTTTGGCATGCAGAAGAAAACCTTGTCTTCTTCGACAGGCTTCTCTAATCTGGCAATTTAGATTTCTGGAAACTTCTCTGTGGAAGGAATGCTGATGTTGGAAGGAATGCTGAGTAACCGTCTTTGACAGTTAGCTGGTATCTCGCTGTCACTAGTCGACGCAATTCTGCTGCAGCCACATCTGATTACACTAGGACTTAATTTTCATCAGGCTTTTCAACTCAATTCTCACATAATTACGTGCTCTGTGGTATGCAGATGAAAGTCGCTAAATGCATTGGAAGAACGCCGCTGAAGCGTCTTGGACAAATGACCTCGGGGCTATCTCTCGGCTTTGACTTCATAGCCACTATATATCCGACCGCATGGCTGACTGCATGTAGATCGAAACGCTCAAAGATATTTGCATCTATCAAGAGACGCCTGAAAGATGGGTGCCTTGAAATCATCGATTCTAGAAGGCCGCACCTAAGCTTGATGTCATGATTTTGAAATGCCAGATAACTGAGGACATATACCTGAAATTCCACTAGTCTTTAACAATACGAGTCATCTTGTGTGCACTCCATGATGAACCCGAGTGCTTCCGGTAACGAATCGATGGAAGATTTTGATAAAGCCTTGTTGGGCAAGAGCGAGAACCGACTTTGTGTCGGCACGCAAACCAGAAATCTCTAGCTCAGAGTGAGTCAACGGGTGAACACGACAAATCACATTCATCAATGAACAAGTAACGAGAGTCATTTCCATCCGAGAATCATGCGCGATCTACACAGTGGTGCCTTAGGCATCAGTCCCGCCCAAGAGCCGTCGCATCCGCAAAATATCGCGGAAGAAACTCCCACATCCTTAGATACTCCAAAATGGGACGCAAATTGCACAGGTCCTTGGTTCAATTGTTATTTTTTGCGCTTGCGTTATTCTTCATTCTATATCTGAACCGCCCCGGCTCCAAAGACAGATCATTCTCATGGAATAAAGTCCGCTACAAGACCGCCGCCAGCACTCTCCCCGAAGCCCGGGGTATTTGCCCCAATCTATCCGGGTCCAAAAAGCCTGCTCTCGTCGTGTCACACGTGGCAGGAGATGGAGATCCGGCTTGGGCCGATGAGCTATCTAAACGGTACCATCTCTGCGTGTACAACGTCGATAAGGCACTTGACAAGACCTCAAAGTATCTGCAAGTGCCTATGAACCGTGGTCATGAGGCAATCACTTATCTCACATTCATTATCGATAATTACGCTGATATCCCTGCATCGGGTGCTGTATTCGTGCATGGATCGCGTTTTGCATGGCACAACGACTCGCCGGACTACGACAATGCAGCTCTGCTTGGAACGCTCGACTTTGAGCGCGCACTGCAACCCACAGGGTACCACAATCTTCGATGTGATTGGAGTACCAGTACATGCTTGCCTTCTGCGCCTGCGCAGGGGAGTCTAGAGATGCGACTTCAGTCTGCCGTAGCGCCATGGAGTGATCGAGCAGCGTCCGATATTGCGCTACCGAAAGCCCTGGCGGCTATTTTCGGCGGTAATTTGGATGAGTATCAGGCCGTACATCGAGAAGTGGCATTGCATCTTCATCTTGGACGGACGGATACAGTTCGCTCGCAGTGTTGTGCACAATTTGTCGTTTCTCGGGAGCGCGTATGGCAGCATTCGCGGGATGAGTATGTTGCGTTGAGACAGTGGCTTCTTGATGGAGCTGATGGGCGGATAAATCCGCGGTCTCGAAATGAAAAAGTCGCACCGAGGGATGATCGGGTTGCGGGACGGGTTCTGTCGTATTTGTGGCATATTCTGTTTGCTAAGCCGAATGCTGATGGTGGTCTTGATCTTGAACAACTTAATAAGGATGCTTGTCCGAGTGCGAAGGAGTGCTACTGTCGTCTCTATGGGAGGTGCAATCTCCAATGTCCTAATGCTGGGAGTTGTTGGGGACAATATCAAGTACCTCCGTATTTCAAGCTACCTGATGACTGGGCGAAGACGCATCCTTGATTATTTTTTTCTTCGTGAATCTATGTTCTAATTTGTATCTAACAGGTTTTGGGAAAGACTGAACATTTGTCATGGGATATATTTGATTCAAATCATCATCATGTTATACTATATACAATTACCGAAGCATCAATAAAACACCTTTAGAATCGGGCAAGAACGCGCTCCTGGGCATCAGCAATGGCGAATTCACTGCTGTGCTTCTTGCTCATCACCGACTTGGCCTGCTCGGCAGTGAAGCCGCGAGCCTCAACAGCCGGGTTGTAACCAAGGCCAGTGATCTTGGCAACCTCCTCGGAAGGCACTGCGACAGAAACCTTGCCATCGGGGCGTTTGTACACCGTGACGACAACAGCACCACCCAAACCGAGGTTGTGCTGGAGGGCAGCGTTGGTACCTTCAACCAAGCGGTTGTTCGCCCAGCCACGCAGGTGCCAGACCAGCTCAGCACACTGGGCTATGCCAGTTGCACCAAGAGGGTGGCCCTTGGAGATGAGACCACCAGAGGGGTTAATGACCATTTTGCCCCCATACGTAATGTCGCCGCGACGAACCATCTCGTGGGCCTTGCCGGGCTCACATAGCTCAAGGGCGTCGATAGTAATCATCTCGTTGGCTGAGAAGCAATCGTGCAATTCGCAGACCTTGATGTCACCAACTTTCACGCCAGCTTCAGCCATGGCGGTGCGGGCAGCATGGCGCGACATGGCGAAACCCATCAGATCAATCGAGCTCTTGTTGAAGACTGCCTCGGAATCGGTAGCAAGGGTTTGACCAGCGATCAGGATAGCCTGGTCCTTCAGGTGGGGACGAGCATCAAGGAACTCCTGGGAGACAATGACGGCGGCGGCACCCCCGTCGGAGGTCGGGCAGCACTGGAGCTTGGTAAGAGGCTCATGGATCATAGGTGCCTTCATAATCTGCTCAAGGGTGTATTCCTGCTGGAACTGGGAGTAGGGGTTGCGCTTGGAGTGTTCGTGGTTGATACGAGCGATCTCGGCGAAGTCCTCATTCTTAGCACCGTACCTATCGATTCTCTTGTTAGTATGTCAAGTTTTCCTTCAAAGCACTCGGAACTATACTCACTTCTCCATATATTCCCGACCGGCGTTTCCAAACATTTGAGCAGCACCTGGGGCGTTTGTGATTCCGCGGGTCTCGGCCATCATCATTCCAAAAAGACCGGTGGGGTTGGCGCGATCGTTATACATGGATTGCAAGCTACCGGGATTCATCTTCTCGAATCCAACAACAAGAACACAGTCAGCGGCACCGTGGGCAACCATGGTGCGACCCATAGCCAGACCAGTCGAGCCAGTTGAGCAGTTGTTGTTCACATTGTAAATAGGAATGTTGGTCAGACCGAATTGATAGAATACGCGTTGGCCGCAAGTGCTGTCGCCGTAAACGTAGCAGGCAACACCCTGGTCGACATCGTCGTAGTTGATCTTAGCATCAAGCATGGCCTTGATACCCGCCTCGTAGCCGAGCTCATTGTAGTCAACCTTGCCGCGCGGCTTGATGAACTTGGTCATGCCCACGCCGAGGACGTAGGCATTGCTAACTTGCTTCTTGACCATTGTGGCGGATGAGATGTGGAACCGTGAATGGAAGAGGTAAGTTCGCAAGGAAGCAGCCAAATGACCCTATATAGGGAGGAGATGGTGTCACGAGTGGGGAAGATCCCCCAGTGTGAATTGCGGGGAGCGACCGAGGTCCCGAGGTTGGCCCGAGGGGCTGTTGCACAAATCTCCGGTGCATAAACTCCGGAGATCTTCTTTTGATAGCCTATATGAGTTCTCTGAATTCTATTCTTCAAACTTAAAAACTTGCGAGTATTGACGACGTGTGTTTTTGCCGAAATTCGTGTTTAGAATGTCTATCACGTGGATTTATTCCATGATCTCCCTACTGCGCACTCACCCTTCTCAAGCTCGCTTACGCGACGCCAAAGCCGCGCTCGTTCATTTCTCACCCGGGCGGCTCCAATCTAAGCACTGACTGCATATGAATCAAGTTCTCTGCACGTACCAATTCACAATGCGGTCTTAGCATCGAAACGTTCCTCGAAGCTAAGGCCGGCTGAGAATATACAAGCGGTCTGCCAGACTACTTTAACTAACCAATGACTAGATCATGTCTTGAGCATTAGTATCTCTGAATTGCTTTCCTGTATCTGCACGATGATCCCCTATAATAACGATGACATATAAAGCTAGCAAATTGACGCTACGGAAATTGCTCGGCACCAACGCGCACCCCAAATGTTTTCTATCACTTGGCTTTTTCCTGTACTTGAACTCTGCCAGTCGCATGGTTTTTCTGTACTCCACGCATGGTGGACAAGAGCGATGGTGCATAGCCGCCATAACGGATAATCGAAAATGTACTAGCAGAATTTCATTGATGTTTTCGATCAGGCCATTAGATTAAGTTATGATAGATTGCAATAAACCTTGACTGTCTCGAGAATCTAAGAATCAATTTCTTTATTGGGAGTTGACTATGTGGTAAATGAGTTCTTAACACAACTTGTACTTGCAAATAGCCATCGAGGCGCAAGGTACAAGGATTTGTGAACATGGAGAGCAGAATACAATAAAATAAATCCTACATTACTATTGCTGCGTATCGTAGACTTATGAGCCTGTTACCTAGCAATTGCTAGGACTCCTTTATTCTGTGACGCTTCCTTTAATATATGCAGCGGTTCTGCTTGGCCCTTGGCCGGTGCCTCTGGTAGGGCTCCCTAGTGAAAGTCGATCAATAGATTTAATCTAACGATTGGGCCATGACTGCGTTTCCATCTCAATAGAACAAGGTCAAGTAAATCGTGATACAAAAACGGTTGCATAGCTTGTAGCAACCTATCTTACACGCAACTCCTGTACGCTGCCATCGTTAGGGACTTTCCATATCTGTCTGCTAATAATCCATCATTCAGTCCCTATTACATGCATAATGTAAGGATGGCTGAACATCCGATTCAGACATTATGGTCGGAATTGAAGTTTTAATTTATACTGAGGGGGCTCGTTTCTTGGTTGTGTTGTTGACCAACAAGAGCTCACTTGGAAGCGATTTAGCCAATCATTTGCGAATCTAGTGGTGATTACAGCTGGTAAAAAGTGAATTATCCATCACACAGCTCTTGAATGCGCTTGACAGCCTTCTTTGATAAGCTTTCAGACGCAAAAGCGCAAAAGATACGTGACGTCGTTACTTGGACATCTACTTCGTCCCACAACAATTCCCCATCTCATCGAGATCAGATTGGGCTTCACAAGGAGGATATCGCAAAGATTGCCTAGCAGAACCAGTGTGATTTCTCGAGGTCAGCCACCTATATCGAGCAGTGGTTTGACGCTTCCAAACATTCGTGTATTCGAAAACAGCCTCAGCACAGTACGCTTGCTACAGCTAGCCGTCTGTGCCATCTGCTGCACAGATAGCTCCTCACTTTGGATCATGTCGTGGATGAGCCCGTGCTTTGAAGGGGCTGGCTTGGGCGCCATCCTGTCGTGGCAACTCGTATCTAATCAAAGTCTGCACGTACCAATGGACGATAGTACTTAATTTTGAGGATTCAGATATGAGGTGTAGTGGATGAAAGGATAATGTGCTGCCCACTGTTCTGATCACCCTCTGGAAGGAATAATGCAGACTCCTGCCAGGAAAAGTCCCCGAAAGTCTCAAACTTATTGGTATCGCTCCTGGCATTTTGGAATTATAAAAATCGCAAGGTGTCTCGGGACACCAAGTTCGAGACGGACTTTTATCTTGCAGCGGTTCCATGGATCCGCCAACTGCTTATCGACGCTAGCTCCTTGTCTCCACTACATCGATTCTGTCTTCGGCTTTGCTTTTGAATATTTTGTCGACCACTTGATAGAGATATACTCACTCGGTTCTTTGACATGATAGGGCAAGGTTACTATACGCATCATGCTTCTGCCGTATCAGGCTTCCCTTTTCAAATGCCGCCGCTTGTATCACGGCACTCAAAGTCAGGCTTGCTGAGTGAATCTTAGTCCGGGCTCAGAATCGATTAGCTGCTCATTAGAAATCATCTGATGTATGCGTTGAGATCGTCCGAGTCCCAGACAGTTGGCTTTGACACTTGGGCCATGGTACATTTTGTGCTGCATCTCATGACGTCATGACAACGAGATCAATTTCGTCTTGTTGCCTCTGCTTGGGTAGAATGCCTGATCTTTTGTGGGATGTGATCTGGGGCAGAGAAAGTAGCGCAGAAGTATACTGCATGGAAATCTTACGGGAGATCATGAGGCCCGGAATGATTTCAAGAAAGGTGTGGGAACGTTGTATCTATCCAACCATTCACCGAACAGACCCATCAGAACGATCATCCATTATAGATGAAACCAACTAGGAGCATCAGGCCAGTCGGTTCCAAATTTGAAATCGCTTTGAACGAGGAACAATTACCTAATGGATCCCCAGCGCTATTCCAACAGGTGCCAATGAAGTTTCTCCAGGATATTGGCGCTATTGGCGCTCAGAGTATTGACGCCCTGCAGCATGGTCCAAACCATGGCCAAGTTCAATTTGAAATCAGAAGCACTAACGCTCTGGCTGTTGGCGCCCTTCACTGCGTACCTAACTACGTGAAGAAGATATGTTCTTCTTGAAATGCTGAACCCGCTTTTGTCGCTCTGCTAGGCTTTGCTTGCATCTTGCATTCAGCTAAGAAGAGTTCGTCCAAAATCCAATGTCTCTGGATCATCCTTGGTGGAGAGTCAGGTTTTATGCGCAGCTTGAGACTCTTAGGAGCCCATAGATTGCATCAAGGAGTTTGGAAAACTTGTAATACAAGCCCTGTACAACCATAAAGTGACGGCGAGTTGATCAGATCGCGCTTATGTAATGTACTCTGATCTGATCAGACTGAGGGCGTACTCAAGTCTGCTCGGTGAGCATGAAGCGGGGAGCTTGGAGCCATAAAAAGTAGAGAAGATCTGCCGGTACGTACAGTCGGTAGACTATAACTCACTTGACGGGGATCAAGAGAAGGAAAACCGGCTGATGGTACGACCGGGTTGCTACCCCCCGCAACATTGCGCAATATGAGCAGGCTCGTCATGATGTACGAATAGGTTGGCTCTCGGAAATGCTCCAAGAGCCAGTAGAAAGGAAATACCAAAGTACCCAAGACACGAATATCAGCTTCCCCATACTCATCCAATCCAAGGACGTTCACGACGACGTCACTGGATTCGGCCCTAAACCGCATTGAGGTGTGGGCAAAGCTCGGCCCACATGTCGATTTACTGCACTTCTTGTCAACTCTTTGAACAGCTTCATGGCTTGATTGGACCCGGCCACTCTATACGGGATCCAGGGTCGGCTTTTGGTGAGTTGGTCTCTGCGCTGCAGCTTGGTGGGTCAAGAGTGGCCCTTCGGCAGCAGCGCGGCAATGCAGCAACGCTAATCGGTCGCTTCAGCCAGAATTTCCGATCTTCCTCCATTGTGACGGGACAACCTCTCTGGAGAATTACAACTCGACTGTTCAAAATAGGGGACCTTTGATTAGTGTCGCCTGACCCTTTTGAATCGCCTTGGACGCGTGTTCGCCGTCTGATCGTTGTCGCGGGGTTCGCCCTACCGTGCCGACTTTGCCCGTCTCAACCGAGTCGCTCTCTCCCCAAACCTCTGCGATCGATCAAGAACCTACTTTTGCCGGACAAAGATCATCGGTATTGCTTCCAGTTCCACTGGGAACCATCTGGGATAGCTTGACTTGAGCGAATGGACAATTGTGGGACGCCGAACGGTCGACTCTAATCATTGAGAGGCCGCTTTGCGTTCCATAGGGTTCCCAGCCTGCCAGTCACCAATCTTAACACCAAACGACACAATCAGTGCCAATTGTGGTTGCTCGGATGGAACAATCTCAGGCATGACTCTTGACAAACGATCTGAACATGCACCCTTCTCCACGACAACCAAACCCGCCCCCAATACCATGCCGTCCTCTAATACCTGGACCATGGACGAATCGACTCGCAATAAGCTGCTCAAAAAATACCAAACTCAGGTAGCCTCCGGGTCGTCTACAATCTGTGCCACTCTGGCAGTGGTAGGTTTGAGTCCTTTGATTGCAACTCCGGCTGCACTTTGTGGAGAACACTAATTTGAGACCGATCTACTACAGACTCCCCTAGAGAATGTTAAGACCCGCATGCAAACGTGAGTCGCTTCATCTATAAGAGCATGTAAATCTCATGCTAATGACCTGCTTCCTTTAGTCATGATTTCCGCTCTATCCCCGAGGTTGTGCGCTACATTTGGCGTAATGAAGGCCCTCGTGGATTCGTGGCTGGTGAGTTTCTTACTGCATTTTGAGATGCGGTCTTCTCCATGGCAATTCGACCGGATGAGTGAGTGGACATGGTGTGTTAACCACTCTATACCTCAGGTTGTCTCCCACCGCTGGTCAGCGTCACCGCAGTCCGAGTCATGAACTTCACGGCCTACAACTGGACCAAGGACAAGCTCGATTGCATGTTCAAAAAATTCACAGGAGTTTCTCCCCTCGAGGAGTATAACAAGCCTGGCAGCACCCCCACAATTTCAGGATTATCCATGTTTATTACGGCAGGCTTGGCCGCTGGCCTGGTCTCTTCCCCACTCGCATGTATGATTCTCCTCTTATACATGATCCTTTCACCTTTGCAGTGAACTTACATGGAACAGGTCCATTTGAACTCGCCAAAAATGTGGTCCAAACTTCGGTTCTCATGCAGAATCGTGCTCAGGCTGCTCCTGATGCTGTCCGCAACCCATCTCTCCGCAATGAGCCTCGTCTTAGTACCGTACAGGCTATTCGACAGATTGTCGCCCGCCACGGATTCCGTGGTCTGTACACCGGGTTCGGTCTGCATGCGTTACGTGATAGCATCGGAACCGGCCTCTACTTCAGCATCTACGAGACAATTAAACAGGTTGTTGTCAGACAACTCGGCGAGAGCCAGTCTCCTTTCGGACCCCCCGCAGTTGCCGGCGCCATCTGCAGCACTCTGCCTTGGTTCTGCGTATGTACTACAATCTCCCAATATCATACAACTCTGGAAACTGACCCATCCCAGACCTATCCCCTCGACACTCGCAAGACCCGCGCCCAAAGCGTCCTTCTGGGTAAGGCCCAGGAGATCGCTTCAGCCTCCAAGGCAGTGGCCGGTTCCAGCATGTATAAAGGACTTTCCATCGTCGTCCTTCGCACCGGAATCAATAACATGATTCTGTTGAGCATTTATGAGTACATCAAGTACCAGATTAACAACCTCCCTTAGGGCATCTGCTGTCTCCTGCATACGATATCTGTCATTAGTCCATCTTTGAGTTGACCCTCCACGTACATACTGGGCTATACATGGACTAGCTTCATATTTATCAGAAAATAGGAAAATCAAGTCATATTTCCCCCCAATGTTCAAATCGTAAGCCGGAGTCTAAGCTAAGTGCAGATGCGGGTTGATGCCTCAGGCGGACTCACGTCATTCCCGTTGCCCGGTGGGGGTTTACTTGGGTCAACAAAGCTCGGAGCCTCGTTTTCTCTTGCCAGGCTGTACTCCTTCTCGAAATCATGGCATCGTGAGTGCCTTCCCCACGCATAGCCACGCTTCAGATGTACTTGACTGACACGTTCCCGCTCTTCGCGACTACAGCAATATCTTACAGCTCCCATTCCGACGTTCCCACACCGTCTCGCTATCGGATGCGATCACGCAGTACATATCCTCCAAATATGACCAGCGCCCGGACATGTTCGCAGACGATCTAATGATCATCGACCGTCTCCGCACCGAGGCTGTGAGTGTCCAGGAACCGCACGTCAGCGGTATCAGTCGACTCGTCACGTACGCGGCACAGCTGAAATGGTTAGGAGGAAAGTTTCCAATCGATGTGCGCGGTCCCGAATTTCCAGTTTATCGAACATCAAAACTGACGGTCCGATCATAGGTGGGGGTCGACTTTTCGTGGTATCCAGCTTTGGGATTCAATACTACCAGACCTGGTAAGTGTTGCGCCTCGAGTCAGATCGGGCAGATACGCACGTGTGGAACAGTGCTAACGTTGTCGACTACAGTATCGCAGAATAATTTGCGATTCGAGCTGGCGAATATTCTTTTCAATCTTGCAGCGCTGTACTCGCAACTTGCATATGCGCTGAATCGAACTACGGCAGATGGACTCAAGCAGGCTTGCAATTATTCCTGCCAAGCCGCTGGTGTACTGAATCATCTCCGAACCGATATCATCCCCGACCTGCGTTCTTCACCACCGGAAGACATGGACGAGATGACTTTACAGAGTCTGGAGCTGCTACTGCTTGCGCAGGACAAGAGTGCTTTTGGCAGAAAGCTGTGAAGGATGGACTCAAAGATGCCTCGATTGCACGCCTTGCTGCGAAAGTCTCCGATTTCTACGGTGACACGGGGGACTTGGCTGTCAAGTCTGATGCGATAAGCACGGAATGGATCCACCACATGAATGCAAAGCACCACCACTTTGCAGCTGCAGCCCAATATCGGCAGTCATTGGACTGCTTGGAAAAGCGGAAGTACGGCGAGGAGGTGGCAAGATTACGCGACAGCCTGAATTGCGTCAATGAAGGCCTCAAGGAGTCACGATGGATCAACCGGACAGTCCTAGGTGACCTGAATGGGCTTAAGGGCCGTGTTGCAGATGACTTGAAGCGCGCCGAGAAGGACAACGATGTGATTTACCTCAGTCCCGTGCCGCCCAAGTCTGAACTCAAAAGTATTGACCGTGCGAGTATGGTTGCTTCCAAAGCACCTTCTCAGGTCACTGATGCCATTTCCATGCTCGGTGACAATGGGCCATTAGGACAGCCGCTATTTGCAAAGCTGGTTCCGTATGCCGTGCACATCGCGGCTAGCATCTATTCGGACCGTCGAGACCGATTGGTCAATGAATCACTCATTGGCGAATTGGAGTCGATGACGGATAGGCTACGTGATCTGCTTTCATCGCTGAATTTGCCTGGATCCCTGCAAGCTCTCGAGAAGCCGTTGGGTCTCCCACCAACCCTGGTCTCCCATGCCGAGGAAATGCGCCAACAAGATGGTCTGAATCGTCTTCGGCGATCTGTCGAAGACACTGCGACGGTCAAATCCAATGATCGATCCGTATATAATGAAGGTGTTGAGCTCCTAGCTGCTGAAAAGGCCGAGGATAATGCTGCCCGTCGCAAATATGGCACCGAACGTTGGAATCGCGCGACATCCGAGGCTGCTGCTCCAAAGATCTATAACTCGTCCATCGAGATCAATGGCTACTTTACGTCTGCGCAAAGCAGTGACGATCTGGTCGAGCGTAAGCTTCGAGACTCGGAATCTGTGTTCCGTGTCTTGACGGGTTCAAATCGCGATCTCGAGTCCTATGTCCCGAGCAGCCGCAGGGCAACAATACCCCAGGAGGTGGAGCGGGAGATCATTAAGCTGCGCAGCTGTCTTAGTGAAGTCAGCCGGATGGAGAATCGGCGACGACGACGAGTTCAGGCGTGGAAGGACAAGGCTCGCGCCGATGACATTCACCCTGCTCTTCTCAAAGCGACCGCCCGGCTCGAGCGAGAGTTCCCCATGCAGGCCATCCAAGCAAGCCAATTCGAAGATCTGTTCGAGGAACAACTGCGACTGTACGATGTCGATCGCGACATGCTGGCCCAAGAGCGCAGAGACCAGGAGCAGCTCTCAGATGAGATTCGCGAAGCCAACCGTGCTTTCACACGGGCATACACCGGGGATGCATCGACGAAGGAACGAGAGATGGCCCTTCAAGAGCTGGAGAACGGATACCTGAAATACAAGGAGATCATTTCCAACCTGGAGGTTGGACGCAAGTTCTATAATGATCTAGCCAAAATCGTTGGTCGCTTCCGCGACGATGCAAAGGCATTCGTGCATCAGCGACGGATGGAGGCCAGCCAACTCGAAGCGTAAGTTTCATGTGGCACCGCCGATCAGGGAAATAACAAGCTAACGATGATCGCAGGGAGATTTCGAACGTCACCGCTATGGCATCACTGCACCTTAACCAGCCTCATCTTCGCCAGCCCTCTTACCAGCCGTCTCACCAGCCCACTCGTGCACACCAGTCTCCATCCGCGTTCGCATCGGCAACCGCCCCGCCCTCGCAGCCCCCGTCGCAGCCTCCACCGCCAGTTCAGGCCCATCGAGCATCAGATACGGCGGCTCCTCTTACCGCGCCCCAACCAATGCGAGCAGCGGTCGCACCCCCGTCGGTCCCCACCCCCGGCATCTGGAGCCCAGAGATGGGCATTCGTTTTGGATCAGCCGGAGCACCCCCAGGTGCGACGGCGCCTGCAGGAACAACTCCAGGTGGCCAGCCCGGTCGTGCACAGACGGGACCCTGGGACCCTAACCAGGGCATCCGATTCGCGTAAGAAAGGTCTTTGACCAACCTCTAATTCATAGCATCTTCATTGTACATAAACTCTCTACCATCGCAGAAGCCTACATCAATACATATAGAGACAATGGCTATCTTGAAAGCAACGAGCATGTCGCATTTAAAAAAAAAAGGAATAATCGATGACATATGACAAATTTCAAAAAAAAAAAAATTAGTCAGTCTGGTTCCAAGAATAGCTTACGCGAAGTTGCGTGTACCTTTCCACCACGGGCCCAAGTGTAAAGCGCCGCCACATCGCTTTTCAAGGAAACCCCGCGCAGAAAACCAGCCTCCCTCTCGGTTCAATCAAGGTGGAAAAGCAAGGTCGGCATACCCTGTAAGACATTCACCAAGGAAATTAGTAGAGTAGGAATGGACCATCAAGGGTCCTCGGCGACCAGGCCCACCGCTCCCGGATTGAGACGATCGCGAACGTTGTAGCCAGACTATGATGTATGTACGCGCAATATGCCCACAGTCCCTCATATTGAGTAGTGATGACCCGTGGTGCGCCACTGGAGAAAGAAATTTTTTTAATTCCCTCGCACTGCCTCATTTCCCGGAGCAATGGTCCGAGGGCCTTGTGCCTGGAGACTTGAGGTATCCTTGAGGCTATTTTAGCCGGCGTAGCATTCCTGGCGGATAGACCGGACCAGGAAGAATAAGAAAATTTAGGGACCCAAGTCAATGTTGAATATGGTAGCTGTTGAACAGTCGTTAGTGTCGGGCACAGGCTGGACCGTACGGATCGACGCATATAACTTGTTAAAAGTCCCAAGATGACCCACTAGATGATGTGATCTGAAACTGGGCAGAACTGTTTCCGCACTAGGGTGAAGGTGGTAGTCTCGGGCTCTGATCTCCGATGGATCCGACTCTTACCTTGATCTCCCCAGTCTTTCCAGTCTCACTATCTCGTTGCCTTGGGCTTTCTCTCGTTTTCGTTCTACTGCGAGATGTCGATTGCGTCCGACTCTCAATAACTTTGTGACCCTTCGCCTCCCCCGGACACAGGGCGACAAATCTCATTTCCACCATGAGATCTGCGTCATGGCTTGCCGCCGGGCTGTTCGGTGCCTTCAGCCTCATTCGCGCTGTCAATGCTGAGGACCTCTTCGAAGCTCACGCCCTAGGTACATGTGCGAACGACAGCATCGTATCAATCAATCGATTCGATGTCACTTACACCCCAAGTAACAACAACATCGTCCTCGGCTTCACCGGATCCTTCTCCGACTCCGCCTCGACTAATGTCCTGATTGATATTGACGTCTTGATTTACGGATACAATGCAATCTCATTGACGATGGACCCGTGTGCATCTCCGAAGATCAGTTTTCTCTGCCCCATGCAGTCCGCGTCTCTCAATATCCAACAGACCTCTTTATCACTCGACAGCGATGCACTAAAATCCATACCGAGTCAGTAACTTGACATCAGTCTCGGTCTTTTTTTTTTTTCAGGATCATAATGGCTGACGTTCATCATTTTTATTTTTAGAAATTGCTTACACCATTCCCGACATTGATGCCGTGGTGCGCCTCAAACTCAAAGACGCCTCGACCAACGCTTCCATTACCTGTATCGAAACGCGCGTCTACAATGGCAAAACCGTCAACCAAGAGGCCGTAGCTTGGGTCCTCGCCGTGATCACCGGCCTAGGCATGGTCGCCACCATGGTGGTTTCGATACTCGGATACTCCAACATTGCCACCCACATGGCGTTCAGAACTCTACTCTTCTTGGGATGGATGCAGAGCATGGCCATGTGGGGAATGACTTCGGTGACACAGCCACCAATCGTGCAATCGTGGACTCAAATGTTTCAGTGGTCAATGGGTATCATTCGCGTTGGGTTCTTGCAAATCATCTGCACCTGGTTTTTGCGCGCAACAGGAGGTACTGCGCAGCAGATTCTCAACGAGGTCGCTGCTGACGAAGTCTCGGTCGTTCCCTTGAAGCGATCCTTGGATTCTCTCACCCGTCGATCCTCTCTCACTACATCCACAGGATCCGAAGTTACTGTGCGTGGCATCGAGCGCATGGCTTATCGGGCAAACATCGCATCGACCAACATCTTCATGACCGGCTATCTATTTTTCTACTTCATCGCAATCGTTGTAATTATTGCCGTCAGCTTCCTCGGTCTCATCCTGCCGCGCCTTATGAAGAACACCCAGAATCCGAAATGGGATCGCGCCGTCAGCGCCACAGCTAATTGGAAGGACTACTTGCGAGGAGCTCTCTACCGCTTGGCGTGGATTGGATATCCGCAGATGTGCGTTCTCTGCATGTGGGAGCTGTATCACCACGATTCTGCCGCCGAAATCGTCTTGGCCATCTGCATGTGGCTCGTCATGAGCGCCATTCTTGGTTTCGCAACCTTCAGGGTGTGGCAGCGTGCTCGCGTTGCTCGAGCCTTGAAGCAAAACCCCGCCTACTCTCTTTACTCCGACCCGGCATGCCTCACCAAATGGGGATTCATCTACACCAACTTCAAAGCCACCAGCTACTACTTCATTTTCCTCTCCTTGCGTACATCATCATCAAGGGTATGGTCATCGCTTTTGGCCAAGGCGCCCCTCTCGCCCAAAGTATTGTGCTTCTAATCGTCGAAGCCCTGTTTATGATCGCAACCTGCGTTCTCCGACCTTATATGGACCGACCCGCTAACGGATTGTGTATCACCGTTTCTGTTCTCAACTTCATCAACTCTATTTTCATACTTGTCTTCACCGATGTCTTCGACCAACCGACCCTGATGACCGGCATCATGGGCGTTCTATTCGCTCTCTACAACGCGGTCTTTATGCTAGCATTACTGATCTTCCTCCTGATCGGCTTCTTCTACTGCATTGTCCTTCGCGAGCCTCGCGCGAAGTACCAACCCCTCGCCGACAATCGCGACTCTTTCCGCATGTCAGAGAATCGCTTGACGACCGAACTTCTCCCATTAGAGAAAACTGCTCAAAGCGACCTAAACACCGAAAACTCCTCTCGCGATGAAATCATCGAAACACCACCTCCAACCCATCCACATGGCGAGCTCCGACCACCTCGCTCACCTTTCGCCGACCCCGTGGAGCCAACACTGCCTTTAATACCAAGCAGTTCTAGCGCTTCCGTGCGATCCAGACAATCCACAAGATCTGGGCGGTCTGAGACGGTGGGCGCAAATGCCAAATTCGCTCCAAACCGGTTCGAAAATGATCACACTGCTTGATTGTGGTTGATTATGCATTCCTGGTGCCCGGGTTTGGATTCTGATCTTATTTAATAAGGCGCTATTGTTGGGCTTTCTTTTCCATTCAAATATGGCGCTTTCCTGTTCTCTCCCTCCTTCAAGGGATCTTTGGTTTGTATATAGTTGATAGATGTTGGATATTTTGACATATGATTCAAGATATATGATCCAAAGGCTTGGCAACATAAAGGTTTGAAGTCTATCAACATACGCTGTGCTTTGTTCCTGTGCCTGCCAGGCCACCATGGCAAATCACAAGCGGGGTTTGTTCGTTGCTATAATTAAAAATTAAACATTATTGTATATTGTGTGCCCACATTGCGGACCGACTCGCTGTAATCTTGCATGAATGCTTGCCCTCGATTTTTGCTGACATGAGCATATCTGGCACCAGCTCCACTCGACACTTACAGACCATTCTCACGTTCCTCCAGGGTTGTTTTCGTCTCCACAATTCGTCGTACCAAATATGTATTTGATGATCGTTCATCATTGTGCATTATGCGTAGCGTTGCTCACACCAATCCGACCAACGTAATCTATAGCCTCAAGACGCCTTGGCCTTGGCCAGCTGTTTCTGCATCATCTCTTCGATCTCGGACTGTTCGGCCTCAGACCTATCGTCTTTCTTCACACCATAGGCGAGAAATTTCCAAGCGCTGCGCATGAGGCAGTAAAGCCAGAAAAGATTGAGACTTTGAAGCGAAGCCAGCAAGGCAAAAGTAATCGCCTGAGAAATCCAGCACTTGTATTGCTGTGTCTCCCAGTTCAGCTCGTAAGGACCGACAGTCTTGAACTCAGTCAATATAGACCATAGAACACCCAGGTTCAAATAATGACGCAGATAAATCCACGAGCCCACCGAAAGGGCATAGAAGGGGATGATCAGGTCCGAATCAATATAGTGAAATGACTTGGACACCTGTAGTCGGATCAGCATAATGCCACAGCGTTTGAACCTCAAACCCCAGCAAACGCAGACTTACAGCAAGGAAGAAATCACTGATATCATGGGTAATGTAAATTGCAATACCCATATATGTGAAATGAAATCTATAGCTCAAAGCAATAAGACTCAAAGTCACGATATGATGAGCAACAAGCTCCTTGAAATCCTTCCTCCTCTTCTCCTGCCCCAACAGCATAACAATAGCCTGCTGCGCCCAATAAGCCGCCTCAAACAAGTAATAAAACTTGAAAGCCGCCTCGTGCGTCCTGTGAGGGAACCCCTCATACATCGCACTCGTCTTAAAATACCAGACGGGACTCCGCGACATAACATAAAGCCCAGCAGGCCCCGTCATCCCAAAGTAAATCGCCGTATACATCTGTTCCATGAACCTCAACTGCTTGCCACGGGATTTGATCCCCGCGATCCTGGCCAAAGGCCGCAGCAGTTCCTGCATGATGAATTCACGAGTAAAAGAGAGCACGATCGTATAAAACGACACAAACGCAATATCCCAAAGACCCTTTCCATACTGAGGGGATCCGAGATTGCCATCCTCAGGCAATTTGTAAGATAGGAAAATGAAATGGTGAATCACATTCGACTCACACGGGTTGATAGCGTACAGAGACAAAATAGCCAAGACCAGAACCAGCGGAACAAGCCAAGTATGTTCCGTGACTTGATTCTTAAATCCGCGCAGAAACGACCGGCGCGATCGTCGACGTGCACTATCCGAAGATTGGCGCGTGTGACCGCGTGCATGGTCGGATCGAGCATCTTTAGTCTCTTTGATCTCTTGTGGACCTGGACCTCTGGCGCGCACCCCGGCTGGCCGGGCTGAGGCTATGTTGGTGGGCATGTTTCAGATCCCGTGCGTGTTCTGGTATAGTCCGGTAGAGGGCAGATCCAAGGTTGGATTCGGAATGGAAAAAGTATGCGGTTGACCGCCTCAGATCCCCCTTTTCATAATATGACGACTTGGCGCTGTTCCTCTCGTGTTGATCCGATTCTTACCCGTTTTGGATTAGACATATGGGGCTGACAGCGAATCAGGTGTGATTTTGGGGGGGATTCGGGTTCCGGGGCTGCCGCGTATTCGTTTAGTCGTTAGTTGTTGGGAGATATTGAGATTTGTCTTCGTATAACGTATTCCACGGCAAACCCTCTATCACGGTAAAACCCGCCATCCGTGACCATATTAGTAATTGCGATAAAATATAATTTTACATATCCTGAAACCACTTCCTTTGAGGGCTTATAATCTATAAGGCTCTACTAAGATTACTACATAATCTCCTAGGCTCTTATAGTGGGATACTATCGTAGATACTACTTTCATATACCAAGCGATAGAATCCCTATATTTCTTGGTGAAGCGGCTTAATTTTGGATGATTTACTACAAAGTTAATATGTTTTGCTTGAAATGGATAATTATGGCTTAAGGCAACAGTTTCAGGTGAAATAGTCAATTGTTTTAAAGATACGAAATGTTTATAATTCTTCGTATTTACTATAGTATTTGGAGGGTGGTGGATTTACCGTGGAGTTAGACAGATCTGGTAGTTGAAGCTGAATGATGAATCTTGATAATGGAAGAATTTTTGAAACCTGGTTGGCGATATCTGGGCATGAGGGTTTTTCTTTACATGCTTTTCTCCTTTGTCCTTTTGACCTTGGGCCTCGCAACTGATGATTAAAAAGGTATGCTTGGCAGGAGGTCCTGTATCAGCGATCTTAGAATACGAGTAAAAGCTCAGATGTCATTGACTGGACGATTTATGATGTAGTTCGGAAGTACGAATTGTTCTAACTAAATCGCTGGCTACCCCCTGCTCGAAGAACAAAAAAAGTGATTGGGCTCTGGCACCAACTATTGATCTCAATTCAACAAACTATAGATGCTCACCAGACCCAATGATGACAAATTGAGTCAGTTCTGTTTCAAATGCTACAGCATTTGTTCCAACGCGTAGGTCACCCTTGCCAAGGGTGGATCTCAAGCAACACGAGGATCATCTAGGCTCAGCTGAAATGTCCTCCTGAGCTTACATTTCTAATTTTCTCATGATAGAAGTATGTGAGGCTTCACCTAACTAACACCCTTTCTAGTTTCCTTCTGAATAATGTAGAGATCAGACGCAGCATCTTCATATCAACGACTACTTTCAAACCTGACTAGGTTTATTCCCCTGCCTGGCTGTATGCTAGCCGCGACCTACTGTTCCCCGCACATGAGCGCTAGTAGTAGCCAGTAGAGGAGGGACAGAAGAAGGATATATTCTTGATGGCAGCTCCGTAAATTGAGAAGACCTTGCGAGAAAAGCGGTTCGAATAATGTGTAATTGAAGCGTCGGTAAAACGAGAGGTTTGGTTTTAAAAAGACCATTGCCAGTTCTCACGGGCACCGTTCAGTGAATAACTCATCGAGGTGTCTGAGTTAAAGCTCGGAGATCTTCCTAATTTGGGCGGTTAAACAATGTCGGGCTCATGAAATATATTCTGTGAGGTTTGGTTGGTACGAGAGCTTTTCGATCGATCTTTTATTATACGTGAAATTTTAATTACCGTCAGAGTACAACAAAGCCCGGCTGTTGGCTCAGGCATCCCTAGATGCAACATTTGCTGTGCCTGACCAAACCTAGTCAAGTAAACCTGCTTGTGTTCCTATCAGGGAAAGTCACATGACCATTCAGCCCCTTTTCCCCAACATCACGTGAGCCCCCAGTCAACCAGCATCCTTATAAGCTGGACCTGCACATATCATTCATCTTGAATCTATCGAGGTTTCAAGATAGTAAAATGGCCGCGCATCCCTACTACCCAATTGACCTCGAGATTGTGGGGTACCTGGCCAATGAGTGGGACACCTTGACCCTTGTCTCACTATTCGCTTCAGGATGCACCGTCATTTTTCTGGCAACCTACCTTCTTGTAATGAAGATTCACCCGAAGGTATCAAACGGTGATCTATGGACCATCATGTGGTTTGTCTTGTGTAATTCTCCCCGATCAACTTTTGAATACCAATATTAACAAGCAAACAGGCGGCTGCATCCATCTTTTCTTCGAAGGATATTTCGCCTACAATTTCAGACGCATGCCAAGCATGCAAGACCTATTCGGTCAGCTGTGGAAGGAATATTCTTTGTCTGACTCGCGGTACCAAACCCAGGACGCCTTCGTGTTGTGCATGGAGACCATCACAGCTGCTTTCTGGGGTCCTTTGTCTTTCGTTGCCGCAGGCATGATCATGACTAGCCATCCTCTGCGGTATCCGCTGCAGGCTATCATTTCGCTTGGCCAGCTCTATGGTGATGTCCTCTACTATGCGACTTGTCTCTTTGACAATTACATCCTTGGACTTGAGTATTCGAGACCCGAGGCTGCCATTTTCTGGGGATACTTTGTATTCTGCAACGCTTTCTGGATTGTGATCCCTCTCTGTGAGTAACGATACAACTTCGATTTGATGATTTGCTAATTCTTCTTAGATTTGATCTATACCAGCTTGTGCGCAAGCAAGAAGGCATTCACTGCTCTGGCAGTGTTTGAGGGTAACGGGTCAATGAAGGCTATCAATGGAAAGGCTTCCAAGAACGAATAGAGGCCATGAAGGAATGTTGTGAATGGACATAATTATCCGTGACCCTGAGACTCTCCATCTACAGTTTAGAGTTTCGTGGGTTCTAGACCTCATCATTTTCCAAATTCAATATGAGCTTCCGCACAAACTTTCCGACCTGACCAATGTGCTCTCCCAACCAGTTCTGAAAGCCATAGTCTCTTGTGTTATCACTTTCAAAGCTATGCATTCCACATTCTCCATGCGGACCAAAGCGCATGAATTTTTGATCTTGAGAATACGCTTCCCATGGCTTCTGGCCATGCGCAAAAGCCGTCCAGATACGAGCAGCTTCTAGCGAAACCTTTTGAGTCTCCGGTGGACAGTTCGGTAACTCGTTCAGATGCATGAGCATCGCACAAAGACCATGATATGAGTACCCGTACGTGGGGCCCGGAAAAGGCGAAGGTTCCTCCCAGTGGTAATAGTAAACATTATCTCTCCACGTATCGGAATTTATCGATGCATTGGCGATTCCAAGATGAGAATAATTGAACAACGTATTCCCAACCAAAAGCCTGAAAGCCTTGCGAAAACTTTCCTCAGACTGCGTTTCACGACTGAATCCGAACATGGAATACAGCTGTTGAGCATCCTGCGATGAAAATGCAACATCAACCAATTGATGGAAACGTTCTTGCGGCAGACGCTTAAGCAGACCATCGAAGATAATTGCCTCGACGTTGGTATCTCCGAGAATGAACTCCTTGCATCGAGTATTGGCAACATTGTCATCGTAGGTCCAACCTTCTGGCAGGAGCTTGCCATCGGCAACAGGGCCCATAGCGGCCGGCGTAGAATTTTGTAGAATCTCCGCCGTGCTCAACGAGCGAAGTTGCTTCAATCGCTTAGACGCAGTTGATGCTGTTACTCCAGTTTTTTGACAGAGTCGGCTCCACTCCTTCTCATAGGGCTCCATTGACAATGGGCCCAGAATAGGCGCAGTACCAGACATCATGATGGCACGATCAAACAAGGCGTGTTGGGCAAGTAGGTGGAGGTGAATGCTTATACTACCAGCACTCACACCAAAGACAGTGATGTTTGACGGATCGCCTCCGAAATCTTGGATGTGCTGGTTCACCCATTCCAAGGCATTACGTTGGTCGATGAGCCCGTAGTTTCCAACTGGATGTGTCTTGGAACCGCCGTGTCCCTCTTCGGCTAGATCTTGGGAGGCAGCAAAGCCCAATGCACCGAGTCGATAGTTGATCGAAACCAAGATGACAGGTGTCCCGCACTTACGAGCATGCGCGACGATTGCCTGCGGGCGATAGCGCGCGACAGAGTTGGCACCAAAGGCGAACCCACCTCTGATGAATGGCTGGTCAGTATCACGTTCCTTTAACAAATCGGGTTAGGCATACCCATGAATCCAAACCATAACTGGTAATGGCCGAGAGCCCTTCAAAGACTCCACGGGAACAGCGATATTGAGATTGAGGCACTTGAACTCATCGTCACCGGGAAGGGGATCATTTGTTCCTCCCGACACAAGAACCATTCCATTTCCCTGGCTGCATCGATATCCCAGCTTGGTAGCGTCGAATGACTTACCAAGCGAGTGTGTAGTCTCACTATGGGTCCATCGCTTGGTTACAGTAGCAAAAGGGATTCCACGAAAGAGCGCGATGTTATTCTCACTGTCCAAAGCTCCAGTCAATTCTGCACCGAGAGAGGGCGCGTGAATTGATATCGTTTTAGGGCCAGCCATTGTGAGGCTCAGAAATGCTTTTCAGGTTAAAATGCGAACCTGAAGTGTCCATGACAATGAGGATCCCCGGGGTATTATAAGTCGCTGGGTAAACAAAACGGTGGAGCTTGCGGGGTGATCCCGGCCTTTGAGTTGAGTGCTTATCCGCGGCTAAGCTTTTCTACTGGGCCGGCTTGCCATTTCATGACCCAGAGTTCTGGGGTTGGAATGCATTTGACTGAAAGTAGTTTAAATAGTGATCATAATACCTGCTCCAATGCTATGAATGTCTTCTTATGTTCTACCAGCTCCCATTGCATTCGAGCATGGGTTACGGACCCAGTGAATAACATACACGAAGGATGAACTGTTTCCCCCAGGGCAAATCGAACACGCATCTGCGGGGTCTTAGCTAGAGGAAAGCCGAAGTTTATCCCGACAACAGCTCAATCTGAAGCTAAGGACGCGTGGCGTAGACAAAAGGGATCTAGATCAATTTCCGGGGCCCCAGACAACGTGCAAGTCGGCAAGTCCGAATCCCCACATTGATGCATCAAATGCGGGGGGCAGCATCTGCCGCCTTTTATAGAATAGCCCAAAGCTTGCCTCGGCTGGCATATTAAGATGAGTGCGTATCTCGTCTCCGGCTAAGCGTTTTTACTGTAGCTGAAATACACTTTTCGACCAGCTCAACATTTCTCCAGATCTTCACCTGGTCATGCCCCTCACGGGGGACGCGTCTATAAGACCGTGGGCCTTTCTGTATTCTCCCAGACTCCCCAGATTCCTTTATTTCCCCACGGGGTACTAGTTGAATAAATCTTCTTTTTCCTTTGCCAGACCTTCACCCCCATATATTGTCTCACATTGAACATGACAGGAACCTCAAAGGCTGGCTCAGAGGCCATTGAGATGGAGAATGCTCCCACTCAGCCTGTTTTCCTGGCAGAGAAGCTTCAAGATGGTGACGAGGCATTGGAAATCCTTCAAAGTCAATATGTCGAGTATAGTCCAGAAGAAGAAAGGAAGTTGAGATGGAAGATTGATCTTCGATTGGTGTCTGTCATGTTGGTTGTCAATGGAATACAGTTCGTCGACAAATTGGTACGCTGTCAAAAACGAAGTCGCAACCTGAGTGACTTCAGAGCTAACGCGCCAGTAGACTATCGGATATGCTGCGACTTATGGTCTCGTCACCGAGGCGCACCTGGTCGGACAGGAGTATAGCCTGCTGGTGACGATGTTCTATCTTGGTTACCTGGTGAGTTACTCCAAGTTTCCCTTTACTCACTCCGTATGGCTTTCCCCTATCCGACCTGACATTGTATACAGATCGCGCAATACCCGACCAGCTATCTTATGCAAAGATTCCCTACCGGTCGATATCTGACAGTCAACTTTGTTCTGGGGTAAGATAAGATTAATTTTATTGAAAGGATTGCTCTAATGTTTTCAAAGGAGTTGTACTGGCTGCTACTGGAAGTGCCACCACTTTCCCTTCGTTGGCCGCCGCTCGATTCTTCCTCGGCGTCTTTGAGTCGTGCTTGAACCCTGGATTCGTGCTAATCTCTTCATCCTGGTGGAAACGTGAGGAACAGGCAGCTCGTATTGGTCTTTGGTATAGTGCAAACGGCCTGGCGTCGTTGCCTGCTGGCGTTTTGTTCTGGGCTATCGCACATATTGATGTATGCGATCAATCTCAAGATGTTTCTGATTGTCCAGGCTAATCGGCTTTCAGGTCGACGGCATGTTCCCATACCAGTGGATGTTCATCATCTTTGGTCTCCTGACCGTCCTAGTTGGTGCTAGTCTTTGGTGGATTCTTCCCGACACTCCGATGAAGTGCAGGTGGCTCAACGATCGTGAGCGTGTTATTGCCGTCCAGCGCCTCAAGGACAATCGCACCGGAGTCAAAAACAACCACCACAAGAAAGAGCAAGTTGTCGAAGCTCTCACCGATTATCGTGTATGGATGTTGCTGTTCGCCGTCTTCTGTCACAACATGACAAATAGTCTGCAGACCAACTTCACCGGAATCATCATCAAGGGTTTTGGTTACAGCACATACCAATCCGTTCTATTGCAGATCCCCGTAGGAGCAATCACGGCCGTGGCAATGATCCTTTGTGGCTTCTTCCTCTCCTCAAAATGGGGCCAAGGAAAGCATATATTTACCATCATCTGCTGCTACTTCCCCGGGATCATCGCATGTGGAATCCTATACGGAGTCCCCGTGAGAGCAACTACACTGAGCGCCCACCTTGCAGCTATCTTCCTCATCCCGATCGTTGCCACCGCTGGTGGATCAATGTATTCCTTGCTGGCAGCCAACATCGCCGGATACACCAAGAAGACAGTGACCGGAACATTGTTCTTCTCAGCCTACTGTGTGGCCAATATCATCTCACCACAGACTTTCCTAGCCTCACAAGCCCCTCTCTACACAACTGGAGTCTTCGTGACCCTAGCCGCCTTCATTGTCAACATCATCCTCTTCTCGGGCCTATACGTCGTCTACTCGCGCGACAACGCAGCCCGCAAACGCGAAATGGAAGAAACCGGACAATTGGATGAAGCCAGCGATCTCGCCAACGCATTTTCTGATCTCACAGACCGACAAAATTGCATGCTGATCTACAAAATCTAAGACAAGGGACACATAAATCAATATCGAGCCGAGTATATGAAATCCAATTTTCAGGAATTCTCATCATTCAATAATTGCTCACAGCTAAAGCATCTTGCACTATCATGATTGGTATATGACTTGTAGCTCATATTTAGGCTCTGATGGCGGATCTTCCGCCTTTTTCGTATTGGGACAATTGCGGCCCAGGAAATAACTTAGCCTGGTCTCTCGCCATGCTTGCCGAAACAGGAAGTTCAAAGTGTTTCTTAATTCCGATATACTCGTTCGGGTCCTGCCCGTAGGGAGTATTGAGAATATTTACCGTCGGTCGCCCGTGGACAGGTTGGGTAAGCAGGTTCAATGACCGGGCTGAATCACATTAGTTTTATGACAAATGTAGAATGCTAGAATGACGCGAGAAAGTACCTTTGCTAGCGTGTCCAAGGATCAAAACAGGTTGACCCTGCTGATCACCGTCTTCTCTTGGCTCTCCTTTGTACGAAGATCCCATCTTCGTTTTGAGGGTGGTGGTATCGATTCTTGAGTAGGTTTCTCGGCGCCGCTGAATCGACCCCTTGATGCGATTCCGGCGCCCCAACGAAGACGTATCCCATAGCCTTCGCAGGTGAGGCCTCGCTCGGTGCATTTCCGGCACCCTGGCTGGGTTTCGTCGCATTGAATTCGTTTCCTCTTGCATGTCCAGCAGCCTTTATGAGAACGGTGACGAGAAGCAGCATCCTTGTGTTTGTTATTCGTGGGAGCCATTATGAACGAGCGAAGAGGTCAAAAAGAAAAGAAAATATAGTGTTTCTCGCTCTAGTCGCGCGCAGAGTTATATGCGAAAAAAGACAAGTATAGCACCATCGGCTCTACGAGCTCTGATTGGCCGAACAATGTTCTCAGCCTGAATTAATAGCGCATTCTAAACCGTTACAGGGTAGAGCTGTCCGGCGCAGCTTCCAACGTTCTTGTAGCTATTTGGCCTCGCCAATTCCCTCGCGTAGCCATCACGGTGATATACAAAAAAGAGTCGGTTCAAGTCTTGTCGGGCTTTTTGCCCCGAGCACTCGGCAGCTCTCGCCTCTACGTTTCGGGCAGGTACAAGCAAGCGCTATCCGCCCACGGTTCCACATGGCATGGCATTTTGCAAAACCGGGGAATCGAGTTCGATTATTCTATCTGCCCTGGAGAAAACACGATTTGGTTACAACTTTATATGGTGTAAAGCGTGATGCCCTAGATAGGGCGAGCTGTTCGGCCACGCCAGCCTCTCACATTACAGCGATGGCCCCGAGAGTCGCCACTTCGGGAATCCGGGGCACCGTGGATGCACCTGTGTTTGTCATGGATTCGGGTAACGGTAAGATAATAGCGGGTCTGGAAAAGGCAGCCGTGTCGTGACAAGATCCATCAGACTAGTCGATCGCGTTGGCAGATGATTTCATGCACGAGAACTCACCTTCTGAACTCCGCATCTACCTCCCGGAAGAGGAAGTTTCCGCCTAACATCGGGTGTTGGTGGAGATGAGGCCGGTGGCAGATCACTAGCAATGAGTAACTGTGTTTCGTCCAAGATAATTCGGTTCTTCTCATGTGGGCCAGTCCCGGTATCCACGAGTAGCTTACCACACAATGCCGTGGGGAACCCCGGAAAAATCGCAAAAAGCCCCGGAACTAGATGGGGCTCGAGTATTTCCAATTCCATTGATAGAAGCTCGTCTGCGCTCTTTAGTCTTGGCTCAAAGTGCGATACACCTTCCAGTGCTGCAAAGTCCGGAAATGAACCCATTCGAAACCTGACATCGATCATAATTGCACCAAAAAAATTACAAGTTATGGACGTGGAAACAGATGACACGTTGAAACCGACCGATCAGAATGTCCAAGATGCTCACGACCTCGCTGCCTTTGGGCACGACCAGACTCTGGCGCGAAAGTTCAACATTTGGAGCATGCTAGCCATGGCCTTTTGTGTTTTGGGAACTTGGTCAACCTTTGCTCAAGATTTATCCGACGGTCTCATCAATGGCGGTCCCGTCTCGATTCTCTGGGGTCTCTGCCTCGTCTTATTCTGCAATATGTGTGTGGCCGTCTCACTAGGGGAGATTTGTAGCAGCATGCCGACGGCCCTGGGCCAAGCGTATTGGATTTACCGACTGTGGAATTCGCGTTGGGGACGTTTCACCTCATACATGTGTGCCTGGATCAACGTGTTTGGATGGTGGACTCTGGCCGCGTCACAGATTGCCTTCATGACCAATTTCTTGCTGGGCATGAAAGTCATGTTCGCTCCGAATTGGACTGGGGCATCGACTGGATGGCTCGAGTTCGTTGTCTACATTGGAAGTGTGTTCGTTCTGACACTGATCAATGTCGTTGGATGTCGCAAAGAGGCATTCCTGCCCTGGTTGAACAACTTCGTGGGCGTGTTCTTCTTCGGCTTGTTCTTCGTGTTTTCTCTGGCTCTCCTCATTTCCGTTGGAACCAAGTCAGGGCTTCAATTCCAGCCTGCTTCCTTCGCCTTCGGCAAGTGGATCAACCAGACAGGTTGGCCGGATGGTGTCGTCTGGTTCATCGGGCTGGTACAAGCAGCCTATGGACTCACGGCCTTTGACGCGGTCATTCACATGGTAGAAGAGATTCCTGCTCCACGGAAGAATGCCCCCAAGGTCATCTACATGGCCGTCATCACTGGAGCAATCAGCGGCTTCATTCTGATGCTCGTATGTCTCTTCTGCATCCAAAATGTGAACAGCGTCATCAACTCGCCCACCGGTCTACCATTCATGACCCTCTGTCAAGAAACCGTCGGACAAAATGGCGCCGCTGTTCTCATGGCTCTATTTATCTTTAACGGACTCGGCCAGAGCATCAGTATCCTTACCACCGCATCCCGACTCACCTGGGGCTTTGCCCGTGACGGCGGTTTACCATTCAGCCGATACTTATCCGAAGTCAGCCCATACTGGAAAGCACCTGTGCGCGCTCTCTGGTTTCAGGGCTTCATCATCGCCTTGGTCGGGATCCTATTCCTCTTCGCTCAAACAGTCCTGAACGCCATTCTGAGCGTGAGTACCATCGCACTGACCATTTCATACGGCTTACCCATTATCACCGTGATCATGGTCGGGCGCGATAAGCTTCCTGTGGGAGGAGAATTCCATCTTGGAAAAATTGGCACACCTGCGAACTGGGTCTCTGTGATTTATTGCATGATCACGACAGTTTTCTTCTTCTTCCCGAGTTATCCTAATCCTTCGGGCGGTGATATGAACTATGCCATTGCTGTCTTTGGCGTGATGCTTGTTATTGCGTTGGGATTCTGGGGTCTCCAGGGCAAGAGGACTTATTTGAATACCGAGGAAGCCGCCATGGCTCAGGTTATCTTGGCTCAGGAAGAGATGGCAAATGATCCTGCGGTTCCTCCTGAGCCTAAGAAGGAGGATAAATGAAAGATGAAGGGCGAGAGAGAAGGTGGGGGGAAGACGTTTGTTCTAAGGGACCATTGGAAGTTTGACATTGAATGAGACGTAGAGACAAATTGGGGATCAAGTGGTTTTGTATATAGACACATTAAGTACATAAAAGCCTAGACTGGAATTGAATGGGCTTCGGACATGCAACTTAGCGTTTGATTTTTGGAATACATATTTCTTTTCAATCTTGATACCGAGCAGCCTAGGAGTAGAATTGGGAGTACCGGACTCTGTCATAGCACAATGGATGCGCATGGCAGGATTTTTCATGAATTTCTAGTGAACAACAAATTTTGATATCTGATATGTGAATATACTATTCTGTACGAGTAACTAAACCACAAGTTCGCTCAAAGCTTAGACTTCATATTCATATGGACAGCCTTGATAGCGGAGTATGCATCCAAGCCGGCCTCGCCTAATTCCCGACCAATACCGCTCTGCTTGACACCACCAAAAGGAATGCGCCAATCACTATCGTTGCTAGAGTTGATCCACACCATACCCGCCTGAATCTGCTTCGCAACGCGATGCGCGCGAGTCAAATTGGTGGTGAACAAAGCACTTCCAAGACCATACATCGTATCATTAGCCATCTGCACCGCATCTTCTTCCTTCTTGAAGCGCGCAATGCAGACGAAAGGACCAAAGACCTCTTCCTGGTAAATGCGCATGTTGGGGGTAACATCCGTGAAGACGGTAGGCTCGAAGAAGAAACCCTTTCCCTCACCAGCCTGGAAGGGCTTACCACCAACGGCAAGCGTAGCCTTCTCAGACTTGCCCACATCAACGTAGGACATGATTCGCTCATACTGGGACTTAGTAACCTGAGGACCTTGGAAGGTCTTCTCGTCAAAGGGATCGCCGACGATAGAGACCTTCTTAATCTGCTTCTTAAAGGCATCGACGAATTTATCGTAAATCTCATCCTGAACCAAGATACGCGAGGTAGCGGTACAGACCTGACCCTGATTATACATGATACCGATGTGAGCCCACTCCACGGCAAGGTCGAGCTCGGCGTCATTGAAGACGATCAGGGGACTCTTGCCGCCGGTCTCCAGGGTAATGTTCTTCAGGTTATTGCTCGCCATCTTCATGATATGTTTAGCGGTCGCGGTACTCCCAGTGAAGGCGATCTTGTCGACGTCCATGTGAGAGGCGAGGGCGGCGCCAGCGACGGTGCCGTGGCCGTTCACAATGTTCACAACGCCTGGGGGGAAGCCAGCTTCCACGATCAGGTTCGCGAGGAATAGGATGGAGAGGGGGGTCTGTTCGGCGGGCTTGAGGACGACGGTGTTACCGCAGGCTAGGGCGGGGCCGAGCTTCCATGCGGCCATGGAGAGAGGGAAGTTCCATCTTAGAGCTCTGTTAGCTTTGCGGTTTTCATGTATAGGATGCCTTCGCAATACTCACGGAATGATCTGTCCGCAGACACCCACAGGCTCGCGCACGGTGTAGGCGAACTTGTCCGGGGTGGTACTGATGACCTGACCGAAGATTTTATCGGCATATCCGCTGTAGTAGCGGATAGTCTCGGCAGTCTCAGTCAAGTCATCGTCGCGGGAAACAGTATAAGGCTTTCCGTTGTCGCAGGTCTCAATGGTAGCCAGAGTCTCCCGGTTATCCTCGATAAGCTGAGCAAGTTTGTTCATCATCTTGCCACGGTCGGTTCCCGGCAGGTCGCGCCAGCTAGGGTGGTTAAGGGCAGCGCGCGCAGCCTTGACGGCGGTGTCGACATCCTGCTCGGAAGCAGCATGAACGGATGTGATTTCCTTCTCTGTCCTTCAAGGAAGTTCAGTGACTAAGATTGACTTGAAGCTGTGATGGATTGTTGAACATACGCAGGGTTGATACTGGCAATCTTCTCGCCGTTGGACGACTTCACCCATTGATTGTTGATGAAGAGGCCGGTAGGCTGCATCCATACGCGGCCATTCGGCGCCGTCAACTGAACTGATAATGAAGACATTCTATGTTGAGCAATGTGTTTAGCAAGGTGTTGCTAGCTGAGGAAATAGCAGGCGGTAAGTACATCTGGGAAGCTCTTTAAGCACTCCGATAAGAAGGGATTCGGCACGACATTCCAAAAGAAGCAGGCCGATGACACGGCGTCTGGAGTAAACCCATGGACCCACCCTGACAGATCGGGTCGAGGCTCCAGAATCACACTAAGCTTCTTTTGGTAGGTCCAACCAATTCAACAGCTGAACCGATAACAAGATACGACGAGATAGCGACGAGAATCATGAATTGTGCTGCCGAACAGCGTCTAAACCTGTCGAGATAGCGTCTCTGGCCTGCCTGTATATCTTGGCAGGTCGCGCATATAAGCGCCATCTCTATAGCCATCTATAGCCTTCTATAACCATCTGCGACCTTGAATAAGCACAAAAGGGGCAACAGCCTCCGTCACGTGGGTTCCCCGCGAAAAGATAAGCTTGAACTGACGCTTGGCATCTCTGCAGACCAGGGTCACGATAGGGACAGCCATAGGTCTGTAGGGTCTAGCTTCCCCGAAGCGAGAAGTTTGGGGTATAATCTATAGACTCTGGCAGGGTACAGATAAAACTAGGAAGGCGATTGGCTCAAACCTCCGCTATTAAACAATTACGCAACAAATATTATGGCATGAGAATGCGGAGAGAAGGAACCAAGTAGCAGAACCGTAAGCTCGGACGAGCTTCTCCAGGCTTTCGCCCAACTAAGGTATGGGGATGAGAGCCTGGTGAAAGTGGACTCGGGAAGAGTCGTGCAAGGCGAATTTCTTCTGAGCCAGACATCCCGACTACCTGATTAGGAAGGTACATGCGTATTTTATCTCTGTTAAAAGGATGCGGAATTGAAGTATATAAGCCCTGGCCCGCTGGAAGTTATTCAGATCGTTAACTCTTTCCAATTTCATCCTACACCATGGCTTCTGCTCCTGATACTACATCCATCCCGGGTTATACAATCTTCCGGGAGGGAGACTATGACAGTGTTGCTGCAACTGCCATGCTCCCGCAGGGAACTCCGCACCCGCTTGGTACGTGCCATGGCTATTTTCTCTTTATCTCCGTGCCACCACTAACTTGACCAAAAAAAGACCAGCTTTCCATTTTGGAAATCCCAGAGGCTGCCGCTCTCATTCGCCAACATGCTAGCCCCAAGACCATCAAGTTTAACTGCCTTACTCTGCGGGAGCCCCGCAAGGCCGAATACCAGGCCTTCAAGGCCGGTCAGATCCCCGCGCCTGACCGCCGCGCCTTTGCCATCATCATTGAGATCGAGACCAAGAAGGTCGCCGAGGTCATCGTCAATTTGAAGTCCAAGAAGGTTGAGGAGTGGAAGGAGGTCTCCTCGGTTATGCCCACCCTCACTCTTGAGGATCTGGATGTCATGGAGCGCGTTGCTCGTGCTGATCCCCGTGTTATCCGTGCCTGCAAGGAAATCGGCATCACTGATATGAGCAAGGTCTTCCTTGATGCCTGGGCGATTGGCATTGACGAGCGCTGGGGCTACGAGCGCCGTCTCCAGCAGGGTCTCGCCTACTACCGTAACTCGGAGTTCGACAACCAGTACGCCCACCCTCTCGACTTCAGTGTCGTGGCCGATACCGAGACCGAGGAGGTTCTCAGCGTCGATGTTCGCTATGTCAACGGCGAGCGCACAGCCGTGCCTCTTCAGGAGCACAACTACATGCCCGATTTCATCGGCGACGGCTACATCCACGACCGCCTGAAGCCCATTGATATCACCCAGCCCGAAGGTGTTTCCTTCAAGGTCCGCGGTAACGAGCTGCAGTGGGCCAACTACAAGATGCACATCGGCTTCAACTACCGTGAGGGGATTGTCATCTCGGATGTCCGCACCCACGATATGTACGAGGACCGCGAGCGCACCCTCTTCAACCGTATCTCTGTCGTCGAGATGGTCGTCCCCTACGGCTGCCCCGAGAAGCCTCACCACAAGAAGCACGCCTTTGATGTCGGCGAGTACGGTACCGGTCTGATGACCAACTCCCTGAAGCTGGGTTGTGACTGCAAGGGTGCCATTCACTACATGGACGGTATCATGACCACCAGCAAGGGTGAAGCCGCCGTGATCAAAAACGCCATCTGCATCCACGAGGAGGACAATGGCCTTTTGTACAAGCACACCGACTACCGCGATGGCACGGTCATCTCCGCTCGTGACCGCAAGCTTATCATCTCTCAAATCATCACTGCCGCGAACTACGAGTACGGCTTCTACCACACATTCACTCTCGACGGCACCTACAAGCTCGAGATGAAGCTCACCGGCATGCTGAACACCTACTGCATGCACCCTACCGAGACCGCCGCTCCCTTCGGCACTGAAGTGGCCCCCTCGATCAACGCCCACAACCACCAGCACATCTTCTCCCTGCGTATCGACCCCGAGATCGACGGCACCAACAATACAGTCATCCAATCTGACGCAGTCTCCTCGGATGCCCCCGTCGGCTCCCCAGAAAACCCTTACGGCAACGCCTTCCTCAGCAAAAAGACCCCCCTCCGCACCTCCCTTGAAGGCGCCGCCGACTACTGCTACGAGACCCAGCGCTCATGGGATATTGTTAACCCCAACCGCATGAACAAGGTGGCCAAGAAGCCCGTCGGCTACAAAATCCTCAACAACAACTGCCCACCTCTCCTCGCCAAGCCCGGCAGCACCGTCTACAAGCGCGCCGGCTTCGCCCGTAAGCCTCTCTGGGTGACCCCTTACAAGGACTACGAACTCTTCCCGGCCGGCGACTACGTCTGCCAATCCACCGGCGAAGAAAACCACCCGTACAACAGCACAATCGTCGACTGGGCCAACCGCAACGAGAACATCGAGAACACCGATATCGTCTGCTACCTGCAGTTCGGCTTGACACATTTCCCCCGTACGGAGGATTTCCCCTATTATGCCCGCGGAGCCAGTCAGCATCATGTTGCGTGCGTCGAACTTCTTTGAGAAGAACCCTGGTCTTTGGGTCCCTCCTTCTGCTATCTGTGTTGATACGCAGTCAACAAATGCCTTCTCGACTTCTTGCTGCGCTTCTAAGGTGCCGGCTAGTAATGGATCGAGATTGTAAATTACCATCTTCATTGATGGTAAGAAAATGTTGATATGAATGGTACCTGGGATGAACATTGTAAATAAGCCTGATTTTTCTTTTTGTTTATGGTCATGATTAGAAAGAACATATTTTGCATGATATTGATCTATTTTCCGATCTGGTAGAATTCATTACACTCCGAGAGTAATTGAGTCTTCATTGATTACACATTTAAAAGAGTGTTGATCTCGAATAGTATTGGAATAATTGAATGTGTCCAATATTCGAGCAGCTTTCTCCCTTCCTTTATGCCGCTCACTAGTCTCATGTGATCACGATATCAAGACCACTCCATGAGTACATAGTTTCGAAAGAAAGACATTCCACTTAAAGAAAAAAAAACGCCTTGGGTATCTCGCCAAAACAAAACCATACCGAATTCCATACCCATAACCAACTTTCCATCCCAAGATAATATACACAAGCCAAACCAGTGAAACCCCCACCCACAAGCACCTCAAATTCATAATCCATTCAAAGTCTTCTCTTCTCCAACTCCGACGCCGACTGCAACCCCACCAAGATCCCCTTCATCAACGCCACTTAAGAAGAAATCCAGCTCACTGGGTCCACCCTGCGAATTCTCATTCTCCGCAAGCTGCTCCAGCAGACTCAAAAATGGATCCTTCTCCGTCGACCCCGTCTCACTAGCTGTGTGAGACCCAGAAGCCTGAGACTGTGCACCCGGTGTCAAGGCAGTTCCGGTTCCATTTAGATTGTTCGGGTTGTTGTCGAAAGGGGAATGTCGCGTATTGCGGGTTTGAAGGGGTTGTCGGGACAATGTTGAGAGATGGGTCCGTTAGGAAGGACGGGGGTGAGAGGCCAAATGCGCTTGGGGAAAAGGCATTGGGGAGGGAGATGTGAGCGTTTTCTTGAAGCTCGGTTTGAGGGAAGATAGTCGAGAGGGAAGTGGCGGGTTGTGGGGTGGTATTATTTGGAGCGTGAAAGTGGAGGGCTGGGGAGGTCGGTGCTTGGAGATGTTTGAATTGGTGGTGAGAGGGGCGACGTTCGGGGTCGGGTTGAGAGGGGAGAGATGGACGGGACTCGAAGAAACCGGGAGATTGGTAGGGCGGTCCCATTGGACGTTGGTAGTAGTGGTCTTGTCGGTCTGTGAAGTTGGTGCTATTGTCGATGTTAGGATATTTTTCAAAGGGAATGTAGGGTGGCATTGGAGATTTACCTTGATACCAAGTCATCCCCTGTGTCAATCAGACGGACGTGTGCTCCATCTATGGCCAGCCCGGGATAACGATCTAAAAAGTCTTCGAGATGGAAGACTGGTGAAAACCGCATCGGACTACTGGCAAGGTTACGTACCAGCTCGGCGTGGCATGTATAGATGGATTGAAGCAGCTCACGTTGATGCTGCACACCTGCCCAGGCATTGCGCAACCAGACCAGCTGGTGCATCTCGCGAGTCAGGAACTCAGCGCTGGACGAGAACACTTCGCCTTCCCGGCCTTTGTAATGCACTCCATGGACGTGTACGGTACCAGCTGTACACACACAGTAGCCGACAAATGCAGGCCACTCAACGAGAGGAGAGTTTCTGCCCAGCTCCACAAGTTCTGCAATCGCATTCGAGTGTGAGAAACATAGGTTGGTCGCTTCGATCTGCCACGACTGGTGCTGGCCCGTACCTCGCAGCTCCACGAGGTCAATGGGCAAAAATGGACGATAGATCAAGCAGTGCACAAGATGATAGATCAATTTGCTGAGAAGTAATGTCGTACTCTCCGGGTGACCAAATAAGACTTCAATTGACGCAAAGACGTCCTGCGTCCCCGCTGCCCAAATGTCCAGTTCTTGTCGTATTTTCGAGAGATTCGAAAGTGCATGCCAGGGGAAATGTGAATCACCTTTGACACCACCGGCAGCCAAGTACCGGTTAGTGACACCAAGTATACGGGTGATATCAATGAGCAAGGATGCCGCGCTGGGCGCCTTACGCCGAGAGTCTGCAGAGTATTGAATATTGGGTCCCACGTGAAACAGCTCACCATCCACGCTGAGACCTGCCGCATGTGGCGACCAAGATGGCAAGCGCAAAACAATCGAATGGTCGGAGATGAGACACGGCCGACGGGAGCCACAAGTGATGAAGCGATCCATCAGATAGACGGACCACAATAATCGGCGTCTCATCTCGCGCTCGGCGGGCAACATGTTAATCTTGCTTGATACTTCCCGAAGCAGATCTAATGCCACCACCATAGCCACGCAGTTTGCTGGCTAATGTTAGCGTGAAAAGTGAAAGGTGGAACTCGGGGCTTCAGCCTTACAAAATACCATGTAAGCTTTCTTTCCCAGTCCATAAGCAAAGTAAGCCTGTGACAGTAGCAGGAGTGTTTGCAAGCCCTCTACAGTCGGGTTGTCGACATCAACCATCTGTCGCGCCTGTAAAGCAGCATCTAACCCCATACGTAATGGCTGATCTGGCTGACCGACCGAATAAGTGTACCTAACGGATATGAGCGTTCCCTCTCACGGGTCAGTCACTGACGAAGAACCTACCTGACCACCATGGCGTAAATGGCCATAGACAAATGCGCAGGCAGTTGGTTCATTTGATACCGCTGCCTCGTGCTCTGCTCATCAAGTATGAAAAATGGCTTGCCATGTAATCGCGCAAAATACGCATCAAGCAAGACATCCGACAAGATCCCATTCTGCTTCGGCGACGGCTGCGACAAAACCGATGGGGGCGCATGAATAGTAGGCCTAGCAAAGGTCTCTATGTTTTGTGACACGGGATTCGACAGCGTCGGTCGCGAGTCTGAAGGACTGTACTGATTGAACGAAGCATCTATAGTGTTGCGACGGGGTTGACTGCTGAGCGGGGGATCGTCGAGAGTCGGCTCCGGGGACGTGGGCGAGATAGGATTCTTCTCATCCTGGAGTCTTTTCTCCAGCCCGTCGACGCGCTTGAGTAGCGCTTCCAGCACGTCTGTCTTGGGGCCGCGTTTTTTGGGGACCGCATCTGTGGGGAAGGTTAGGCGTGACCGGGCAGATGTGAACGGGGGCGGAACTCACCGTAGACGCAGGGAGATTGAAAGACCTTGCAAGCTTCGCAGCTGGGCCGGAGGCGGTTGCATTTGATCTGGAAGGTTCAGCCGGGGGTGCAGTAGGTCGGATTGAGATGCAACCGACCTTTCTCTTGCGACAGGACTTGCAGTTCATAGCCTCGCGGTGTTCGACCGTCGCGCGGCGAGGCGTGAGACGGTCGATGCTGACCTGCGGACGAGACATCGCGTAACTAGGGGGGGAGACATGAACGATAGAAACAGAGACAATGTGACAGACGTGAAAGACATGAAAGACATGGCAGACGCGAAAGGAGGGAAATAAAGAGGAGCCGAGCCTCTAGTCTCGAAATGGGGATGTGGAGGGAAATGCGGAGAAGTGCCACCGGAGTTTTCTCTTACTGGTTCCTTGGCTTTCCTTAATACTATGTGACTCTTCAAACCTTTGCTTAGTTTTCAATGTTCTCTGGTCAATTTGCACTTTTTATGCTCTAGTGATGTTTCCAGTCAAATTGGACCATGGACGTTAGATTTCGTCAAAGTGCCCAAATGCGCACCGAACACCCTTAAATCTCTCCCTCGGCCCGACCCACGGGGCCTTTTCCACTTTGCCTCGACCTCCGCTTTAGTCTGTTCAAGTTGTCGTAGTTCCACGATGAATGCTGAGACATCCCTGTATCTGAGTCGCCCCGTGACGGAGCCCATCATTTGCCGCATGGGCGTCCACTTGAGCCGTTTCCTGCAGAGTCTGGAACCCCGCGCTCGGCAGCCCCGACCTAACATCCACATCAGGATGCGATGAAACTTGGAGAGATGAAAAAGGGAACACCTTAGCGCTGGTGGAGAGCTATTTCGTTTGAGACATTTGTTCCTCCTTTTCCCACATACAAATCAAACGCCTAATGAGACACCGAGGATACATCATATTGATGCCGTCCATCAGATAATCAAGGTCTCTCAGGGTATCGCCTTAGTCTGTATCTACTACCTTCACCTGCCATGCACCAAGTATCCTGCATGGGACTGCCTCGATCGCCTACCGAAACTACTCTTTTGGATACGGACATTTCCAGGCTCAGCCCCGATCCATTTCTTCAAAATGCCACATTCGAACCTTCTAAGTGACCTGCAGACACCGCTCCACCCCCCCACAAATAGCCCAAACTCTCCGGTTCTGCAGAAGCCCCCAGCTACTATACAAGCATTTATCCAACCGAGGTCCGGTACCAAACCAGATGCAGCTCGCCACAGACCCAGCGACCTGAACACCCTCCAGAAGACGCCTCCCACCCTGGGCTCTCTTGGCAAAAGTCATCATCCCGACGAAGCCGGGGAATCCTGAAACAGTGGAACCACAACCCCAAAGCCAATTATGCAGCCACTAAAGTAGGGCTTACCCCGGAAGCACACCACTCTTGACATAAGCTGCCATATCCCTTGCCCTGCTTGTCTCCATCTCCTCAAGTCCCTCGATAACCCCACCACGATCCTTCACCGGCCGTTCCTGACTCACCTTAAATCGGCCCTCTATCCGCGTAATGTCAATTCTGATCCCAACAATATTCTTCTTCAGAGTCTCGATGTACGCCACCGGTGCATCATCAATCTTCCACGGCATCGTCATAGCCCTATTTCCATGTGCATGTGCATGTGCATGTCCATTTCCCTTTCCATACCCCATAACACCCTCTTCACCCAAAACCGCCAGATCCGATAACTGTTGATGCAGATATGCCCCCGTCGACGCGTCCTTGGAATGATATATTGTCGCCCGGCCGTAGACTTGAACAGCGGCGTAATTCCACGTTGGTGCAACCTTCCCAGTAGCAGGTTTCGATTCGATGTAAAAGTTCGGTGAGATGTAGTGATCCGTTGGACTTGTGAAAATGATCAAGACTTCCTCCGGCAGGATGGATCCCGTAGTGGAGGGGTCAGAGGAAATAGCTTCGAGGAGGGCTTTTGTTTGGGGGTTTGCGCGGGCGATGTGGCCTCGGAGGATGCCGAGAAATGGGGTAGAGCTGTGGGGTTCTTCTCCATTGGATACATTGCAGCTTGACTGGGTAGTTTCTGAGTCTAGGACCCATGGAATATGGCTGCATTGAAGTGTTGGGAAATTGTCCGATGGGAGGGAGGTCGTTATAATGCCGAGGGGGTGGGCTCGGATGAATGCGTGGAGGGTTGGGAGGTCCCGGACGGCGTGGTCCGGTCGGAGGTGCATTATTTTCGTTTATTGACTGCTTTGAATGGCAAGGATGTCAAAGGTAGAACTGGGCAGGTAGAGACAGGAACGAGGGGCCATGAGGGGTGGAACCCCGGTTTCCGGCGATAGCTTATCAGCTGGACTGGGGAAACCGGCTATACATCGGGATACTGGATCGAATCTAGGCACTGGCACAGGCACAGGTACAGAAGTAAGTCGGATCGGAGATGGTGAATAAGGGAGTCATGGAACACCACTACCTCTCGAGAAGGAGATGCAGAAGAAGGTCGTCATTTGATTTGGGTCGTCTTGACTATCGCTGAACCTCTGACCTCTCGAGGCTCAAGAATAGTCCGCGGCGAATGGAATTCTGAGCCAGCATGATAACCGAGTAGCTCAATATGACAGCGGCTTGAATCGGAGGTGAGTCGCTCTTGTTGTTCTTGCTCTTTTCCTTCCTGTACATTCTCCCTTTACTTCAGTCATCTCGCCAAACACGGGTATGATTTGTATATGCCAAGGACAAGTGCGTATCTAAATGCGTCTGCATTCAACTCAAGAATACAGTGACACAAACCTGAATCCTATCCAACTCCCAAGAAATCGATGCTAACATCTATTGCGTCCAATGAGTAACCAAATCCCGAAAAGCTCCACTCGTTACATCCAAAGTCCCAAGTCAACCAAAACTAAAAGCTAGAGGCTAAAACAAGGGCCGCCCGGATGCCATGCGCACGAAATCAAATGGCACGTTCTGACCAACCAGTAACCTGAGCGTTTCCACCGTCGTCCAAGCGCTGACATCCTCGAATCCATACGCCGTCCAACCAGCACTGGTAGCTACGCCTAGCGGGTCCCCCTTTCGAGGACCGCTGGTGAGATCAAGGTAGACTTTACCTCGAGTCGAGGGAGGTGACGGACGGCCATTAGCACGGTAGTGTCTAAGAAGAGGTTGAACAAGAAGGGATTTCTCGGGAGGAAGGGCCGAGACGATGACGAAAGGCTGCTCGACTAGCTTGACGGATTGAATCGACGTAAATGGTTCCAGACCGGCCGCGAGGGGACCACTTGCTTTGAAGCCGACTGTGTAGATTGCACCGACGCCGAGACTGCGTAGGGCGAAAACCGCGGCCGATGCATCGTTTTCTGATCCGGCTAGGATAATCGCGGCTCGGCCGTGGTACGCTGATGGCACGTACTCTCGTGTCAAAGTCGCGCGGATGCCTTTCCATGCGGCGTTTTCGCCGATGAAGCGCGCGCCTGTGGTTCCGTCTCCGGGGGCCCTGGCGATGGTGTCCACGAGGCCGATGGCGCGTGCCGCATCGCTGATAGAGGGGATGTATGAAGTGGAACTTGAAATCGGGGGATTGACTGAAGCACCGCCGAATTGTGGTTGCATCAAGACCGATTCCATTGATCCTTTCGGCCCACGGTCGATGGACGTGAAGGTATGTGGCAAACCCAGCTCATTGAGGCACTTCTCCATGAACATGGAATGAGGCGTCGATCTGAATGAACCGATAGCGTGCAAATCGCGCTTTGGAAGCTGGCCCATGATATGCAATGCTTCGTTGATTTCTGCGGCAGTCAATTGACCGGGAGCGGCAATCATGGGCAAGAGAGGGTGGGTGATGGGAGAGAAGACGGTATTCAGGGCACGCGAGAGCTGGCCCATCTGGCCCATGTTGACAGCCGAGAGCAAAGGACCAGGACCGCGACTCTTGATCGTCATGCGGAAATACTCCAGCTCATAGTTCTCCTCGATCGTTGAGACCATAGCGATCATCTTCACGATATCCGCGTACTTGGCGCTCTCATCAAAGATGCGCTGCGCGTCCGGCGAAGTCCATTTCCACGTCCCTGAGAAATCATGGAACGCCGACATGATGATGCTATGTCCTTTGACTTCCGCCAAACGCCGCCTGATATCTTCCGGAAGCCACAGCTCCACATCAATGTACTCAACACCCCACTGGATAGCCCGTCGCAAGTATTTATAGAACAAATTCGGATCCTCCATTGGAAACTTGCCATTCTCTTTCGTGCACCTCGTCGTGAAAATAATGGGTAGCTCAGTATGCTGTCTCAAAAGCATCAATTGCTGACCCACATACTTCAAACTAGGCACCGAACCAGCCGGCGCCCCATCCGTCGCAGGGTCAACGAGTAAATCCACACGGATTTCAACCGCATCGGAGCCCACCGATAAGATATCCAAGTTTGGCAGGGCAGCGTGAACATCGGGGAATGTGGTAGAAATGAAATTCGTCCTATTCTTCGTGCGCAGATCCTCATGCGGTCTCGTCTGGCCGAGGATGAGAGACAGGAACCTGGTGAGATCGCGCCGTAAGAACGGACTGCGAGAGTACAGAAACTCGTAGTCGCAGGATTCGGTGAGAGTGTCATCGGGTGCAGACCCATCTTCCACGCAATGGGTGTTGATCAAGATCAAAGCCGACCTGTCGGTTCCTTCTAAACTCCGCGGCAAGTCTGTTGACAGAACCCCGGCCACGACTGCCTCGCTGGCTTTTGTCAATGTCGAAAGAGCGGTTTCGGTGGTCCATGGTTTGCCGAGTACTTCTGCGACCATGTGCACAATGTGATCTTGACCGGCGCAAAATACGATGACGATTGTTCCCGATGGAGTATTGGCTGGTGGCAAAACAGGAGGAGCGACATGATTCTGAGGCGACGAAGATGTTGTAGATGAGAGGATGGAAGCGATGTTCAAGGCGGAGGGATTGGTATTAGAAGTGGTTAGTGGAACATGGTTGAGTGTCGCCGCTGAGACGGCGGAGGTCTCGTCCAGACGCGGCGTCGCCACGGGCGGCAGGGCAGTAGGCATCATCGCATAGCAAATGTTTTCATAGTTGAGAAGACGGGAGTGCAACCGAGTCGGAAAGAGAATGAAGGGTCACGCGAGACTCAAGCGTGAAGACGAAGACGAAGACGAAGACGAAGACTTTGTCCCCCACGCTGCGCAACAAAACGGTAAATATCGGGGATCTCGGAGCTGAGAAGTGGGAATCGTATATCACAGAAGGTAGTATCCGCGCATTTGCCGGGCTTTGACCGAGCTAACAAGTACAGGGGGGCAAATTCAGGCGCAGAGAGCCGGGAGCCAGGGTAAGTGAATTGAGATCAATTTCTCCGGACGCACAGGCGAATAGGATTGAGAGGGGCGACGCGACATGAGTAGGCCGCCTCGAGGTGCGGACAGGGCCAGGAAATGGGTGCACTAAGTGCACTTGAGGCACATTTGAAGCGCAGGGGGATCCGGGGAGGCGCGGGGATGGTCCAGACGGCGTTGGGTTTCTCCGCCAATCATGGTCCGTGTCTATCGGAAGTAGATCGACTGAGTTCCGTGGGGGCAGACGAGTGCTCTGGAAGTTGAGGATCATGGGAAATTTCATGGCAACAAAATGAGGTCGGCAGGAAATCAACCTCAGGCCGACCCAGGTAGAGTCACGATCCATCGTGGAAGAACCGCATAGCCCGCGTAGCCTTGCAAGGTCATCTCGCACATGGCCATCACGGCATAATCCACGTTCTGATACGGGGAAAAATCTCCGGCAACAACAAAATCACGGCTTAACAGAGCCAATGGCCTGGTCCAGAGTTATCCACACAAGATAGGTATACCCGTGGGCGGAACGGGATACAACTGGGCCTTGAAGCCAAGGCACTCACAGAGGAGCAGGGCCAAGGCTACTGATACGACGGGAAGAGCCCTGGAACAGACGAACCAATTGGAACATAAAACAAACCATGTCCTAGGGACATAGTCTGAGGTAGCACCGGGCTTTCGAGGGGGTGGTCCGACAGCTGATGGTACTACATCCATATCCATCTTTACCGGCCAAGTACATTGATCATGAACATGCGATTTACATCTTTCATACACTCTGCCAAGACTCGCCATCAGTTGACATAGGTCACATTTCAACATCGGAACACAGACACAAATGGAAGGAAATTTCGCCCATTGTATTGGGAATCAGAACCGAAAGGAAAATACCAGCCGGTCTAAGGGGGTATTGAGGCTTAACGACAAGAATCAAACGAGGAGCAGGAGGATCAGATCTTGGAGGGGGAAGAGAGAATTCACAACAATGTATGGGGGACAATGGTAACGACATATCAGTCTACATGGCGCTTTTTGCTTTGTTCACTTCAACGGGTATTAATCCGGAGGTATGACTATGTACGGGATAGGCCCACGAGCAACGACCAACGATCATCGTTCGAGATCGGAGATCATGAGATGTTTACCAGGATGATGGCTGGTATCAGCACAGGTTTTCCGAACATGTAGCAGACATATCGGTCGAGAACAGAGGGTTGAGGTAAGTAGGAGGTATCTTACAATGGTGGTCCGGATTACGGCCACCATTAGAGCACGAGGTCATCAACGATGACAAGTTGCCAGTAGGTCTGTCCAAATGGTGTGACACAGGCGGTAGGAAACACCACGACACATGTTCGAAGGTAGCAGATTGGGGGCAAGGGGGGAACGGCAAAAAAGCTCAGTCCGGCCAGCGGTCTGTCTTTTTCAGGCTGCAACTGCCTATCTCAAGTGGAGACGGCCGGCATCATCCATGCATCACCAACGAGGCGGACAACCATGAGATGGTCCGCAACCGTCTGGAATGACCAGCCCCAGCCGGAGCAGGGATAAGTGTTTCAAAAGGTGAGTCAGACAAATTGTCGACATGGATGCAGGAAGGGCCTGCGTGGCCAGTGGATTAGGAGAGCTATCCGGACGGTCGATCGAAAAATCACACCAATTAACTCGGCGGGGAGGACGGGGAGATCGCCAGCCCGTTCAGCAGTTTAGGTAGTGGCTTCCTGCGGGCAGTGGCCGTCTTGGATACCCGTGGAGCCCCGTGAATCATGCGAGGCTCTGTCATCAGACTGGTATCGAGTTTCGCCGGCGCTAGAGTTGCATGTTAGAAGGGAATTAGGTGGGGCAAGAAAGTGGTTGGCACTCACCTCTGGTAGCCACCCGAGTGTAGTCGGCAGAAAGGCTCTGCTGGCTCCGACTAGTGGGGGTGAAGAAGGCAGCGCTGGCAGTCCGCCATAGATGGTTCGAGGTATCTGACAAGAAGTCGGTTGTCGAACGGCCAGAGAAGATGGAAGTGCGACCTCGGTTGCGCTTCGAAAGAACAATCTCGTCGAACAATGCCATCTTCGAGTCCTTGGCCTTGGGGCTAGTTCGCTCTCGCTCACTAATGAATTCGTTGAAGCCCTGGGTCTGTTGCAGGACGGCAATGTAGTCGGCATGCTCGCTGGGAAGACTCTTCATGAAGGCTTCCATGTTGAAAACATAGTACATCCCGGCCTTCCTCTTGTCGCTACTGGCAGGCACAAGATACTTCTTGTAGGTATAGAATAAGCTAGCGAAGCACCTCACAAAGGCTGCACGAATCTGATCAGGGTGGAACGCCGCGTCACACACAAGACAGACTTGAGAAGCACATCGGTTGTGGACAGTCAATTTGCAGGCTTGGCATTTATACATGCCCTCCTCTGCTCGGTCATCACAGATGGCGCAGACCAACTTGTCGTCCCATGTCTGGGTTTGGAAATAATGGCCTTCCACCCAGCAGGTTCCCTCGGCATTGCTGACATGCTGCATACTAGACGGCGGGACAATAGTCGACGCGGCGATGGTGGATTGAGCATAGACAGACGGGGCATAGGTTGAACCTTGACTGTAGTCTGTGTTCAGAGTGGTGACTGAAAGGTTGGAGGCATGTCCGAGGAACGGCGCACTGGGGCGGCGAGTCATTCCAAGAGAGGAGCTTCTTCTCGATGCAGCATCGAAGTGACCGGAGCGCTTCTCACGCAGTGAAGCCTGCAAAGCCATACCGGAGTCATTACGGGACGAAGGCGTAGGCGGCGGCGGGGGGAAATGGCCCGAGGGGGGGGAGGAGCTCTCACGAGGAGAAGGGGGAGAGGCACCGGCCTTGGTCGTTGAGCTAGTTCCCGGTCGATCAGATCCTTTAGAAGAGTATCCGCGAGATGTAGACCCGTGTTCCTGGCGGGCATGAAGGAAAGCATTAAAGATTGGTGGTTGATAAGCACCTGGAACCACGGCGGTTGAACCGAATGCGCTTGAGTTGAGACCCACATATTTGGCCAGGTTGGTTGGCGGGGCTTTGGAGGTATATGATGCTGGCGTTTCTGTCAAGAACGTGTCGCATGGGTAAGTCTCAACCGCATATGCTGGAGGTCCTGTTGGAACCCTACAGCGGCCATGATGTGGAGCGGCCATCTGTAAGAGCGATAGGAGCTTTCGGCGTTGGTGACGGGGAAGGGAGGTAGGTTGGACGGTGCTTTCAATCATGTCATTGTCCAGATCCACCAAGACAAAGTCGTCGGTTGGTAATTCGACCTTCTCATAACGACGCTCGATACCCACAATGTACGGACACGGGGCTTCGATGGCCTGGACTAAACGAGCAGGAAGCACTGGAATCAAGACACCTGCCCACTCGATCGGGAACAACAGATCGACCAAGGCCCGGGTCGCGAGATAGAGCATGGAGGTGTGAGAGGACAAGAAGATTATGCGGGACTCGGTCAAAGCATACTCGAACAAAATCATGATGTTGGGGATGGAAAGAGTTCGGAAAAGGGCATATAGATCGGTGTTACGAGACCCAGGGAGCTCATTGGAAGCTTCCTGCCGCGCGAAGAGGCGCAAATCTCTGATTGCGAGCTCGACTTGAGTCTTCGAGGAAACAGGGCAGAATGCCTCCGTGCAAAGGTTCATGACATATCGCTCGAGCGGCTGCCAAACACCCATTCGCGGTGAGCTTGGCGGGATTCGCCGAACACTACCCTCGGTCATGGGAACAACAACCGCCTTGAGCCATTCCTTCCAGAAGGTAGTCATGTTGGCCTCACGGCCGAGGAGGACCGTAGGCACGGGGAATCCAGAATCCAGTATCACCATCTGTCAGTCCCTCGATCTTCGAGGCTGCGCCGTGTCGTACAGGTCGCAGCAGATCGGTCATCAGCCCAATCTTCTCTTCGACGGCACTAATCTCGTCCTCGAGCTGCTCCCGGGACTCGGAGCCTGATGGCACGTTTGGCAGCTGCGCAAGGAGCTGCGAGAGCTTGGCACGCTCCTGTGCAAGCCTCTCGCCGAGACTAGCCGCCAGCTCACGCTCCTCATCGGTCATGTTGTCCCTCCGCCATTCCTCACAACGTTTCTCAAGCTCATCTGCGGCCAATGCGTTGAGAGGGATCCAGATAATCAAGCAAATCGCATGGAGCTTGGAACCGTTGTCCGTGGTCATGGCAAAGCCGTGCCATGTAGAGCGCGGCCGCTCGTCAGAGGACACAATATTGATATCATTTGGGAACGCGAACATCGGGACATAATCCGGAAATCTGCCACGCTGCTTGGTATCGTCTGCCATGTCTCGGGTGGGGTATCGGTCAAGTAGAACAGGTTCAAAACGGCGCTTCAACGGATGCATGGCGGGGGAGATTTCGAGGGGTTGCGGAACCGGAATCACAGAGTTGTAATTGCTGAGTCTTCTAGAAGTTCGCACCGAAGCTGCGAAATGAGATTGAATGTTAGCGGTGTATTCTCTCGCGCAAGCGAGAGTTATGGGCCACCAGCTGTTACTCACCTTGGCGAGCAATCGAGGGTTGCCTCTTCATACTGCTCATATCCCGAAATGCCATATGCCGACGAACACTGCCAATGCCGGATCTGAGCAAACCGGACCCTCCAGGGGACGGCGAATCCTCCGCAACGATCTTCTGTGTCCGGACACGAGATCGCGGGCGGGAGTTTGGGGTGATAGCGCCGGCACTCAAACTCAAATCAGTCAAGAATGTGTCCCGCTCATTCGCAAATTTGAACAATGCTGAGTCGAAATCGAATTCTCCGTCAAACATCGCCGAGGCCCGTAAGGGTGACGACGCACCCTTGACCGTCACGCTACTCCGATTACTGCTGGTACCATTGGTCTGCCCTGAATCTTTTGAGAGAGTCGACAATCGTTGGTTGGAGCTGCGGCGGGTAGGGCCCGTGTATAATGTCGAGGGAGGCCGGGAGGCATCCTCCGGGTTGTATTCTTCTTCGGCGTCGGCATCTTCTTGAATGGCATCGGCGAGCGCGGGGCCCGTCGAAGCGGCACTGTTGATGCGATAGTCGTCGCCCAGTCGTCGATAGGTTTCCAAGACCTCTGATCCGTCCACGCCTGCTATCCAGAAGTAGTCGGCAAGAGGGGCACCCTCCAGGGAGCTCGTAGCACTGGTCGAAGGCATCGGGGGCACAGTCGCAATCAACCAATTTACCCGGACTGGTCAATCTCTACCGTTGTCACCACATCAATCGCCGCATTCAAAGGTGGAGGAGGTTGCGCAGAGTAGGGGGACAGGGGAGGAGGAGGGGTTTAGGAGTGAAGATCAATTTTGGGGTGGGTTTGATGCCGTATGTACGTACAGTGACGGAGGAAAAAAAAGGGGAGAGGAACTTCAATTGAAAACACACAATGAAAAAAATCACCGATTTACGTGTTCCTTTACAATGCCAGTCTAAGCTTGAATTCAAATTGCTTTTTCATTTGCAGAGGCGGATGGTTGCGTAGGCCACGGTGTAATGCGATTACTAGTTGGTAAGGTGCCGACTTTAGTGCTGCACTGGCCATCTTGTCTCTGCGCACGCACAGGTGTTCCCCACTGTTCGTTTGGAATATACTGGACATGATAGGAAACCCGAATCATATTTCTAGCCTTTTGTTATTTCCAACCTTGGGCGCAAGGAATTTAAAACTGCCCGATTTGATGGACAATCACCCCGTTGCGGCCTGCAGCCTCAATGCAGCCCACATGCACCATAACTGGACGATTTCAAAGACAGACTTCCGCTTGAGACGCCCTCTTTACCTGATTGGGAGCTTCCCTTGGTTTGTGTGGGCTTTTTAACTGCTTTTTGTAGACTCCGCGGATCCCTCTAAATACAGAATCTCCCCTTCCCCCCGAATGCAAGCTCCGTGAGGTCCCCACCGTGCACCACAAAAGCGTTGAACAAGTGAACAATCCAATTTGGCAGAAAGATTGGTTCGGTGGAGAGAATCGCCGACCGATGTTCGGTTCACGGGGAGTTCTTGCAATCCAACCATTGGGGTGCCTGCTATGGGGATACCAGTGTTGGGCCTGGGGCCGACTGCCCGAGGCCCATGGTTGAGTCCATCAAGCCAAGCACAGTGTCCATGATGATCTTTTCACGATGATATCCTCTTGGAATGTTATAGGGGCAGACTGCCATAGACATTCGTGAGACATGGCGTTGCTAGGGTCGCTGATCACTTTGTGTTCCTATTGTAGAATTTCGTCCTAGGTTATTTTTGTCTCCTGGAACCTACCTACGGGGCTTAGCATGTAACCGTCCCTCTCAGGAATACCCCCTAAAGGAAAAGTGTCGGGGTTTGGCCGATACCTAGCTTATCTGAAATCGTTTACCAGACTATGATCCGCGATCGGCATGGGCATTCCTAAGGTCTCGATCCATGGATATGAAGAACCTTCGTGATATCCATCTTAATCTACCCTCACGGATGTTACACGGTCGATGTCGGAGCTCAAGTCAGGAGGATGTGGAGGCACGGCCTGTGCCTCTGGGGCACCCCATGCCGAATGTGACGCAAGTGGAGCACTGGGGGGCGCGAAATATTTTCAGGAACATGCTCTGTACTGTGCACACTACTCACTGTGACTGAGAACCCTAAGGCCACAACCGCCCACTCGGCCTCTTACTCTACCTATGCAGAACATTCTATCGTAGTCCGGCAACTGGCACCCGGGACGCCCGCCACGGTCACACCAACCTCGATTGGGGGCTTGCAGAACCTTACGCGCTGGGTCTCGGGTGTCTATGCATTGATAGCCCTTTTTGACCGTCCACACAAAGACTACAGGTTATGCTGACCTGCATTCTTCGGCCTCGAGACGGCCTTCTCAAAGAAGCGGTGGAGGTTTTTTGCATCCAGACCTCGTGCTATGTATCCAGCCCGGCCCTTGAGCCATAGGCGGTTCTCGGTGCCCGGGCTAGACAAAAACAGCTGAGAACGAAAAGACTAGGTCAATGGATCCCGGTGTTTATCAGTAAGGGCGGATGGGTCTAGACTCTTCCACCGCCAGCCTCGATCACTTACTGGGCGATTCGAGTGCGGCTACTGTATACATACCCAAGTGACTCGTGACTCGTGACTCCATGTTCTGATCTGCGGCTGACATCGCACAGTCATAGTGAAAAAAGAAAAATAGAATAACACAGAAACAAATCAAATGTCGGACCCAATCCGTATCTTGGAATCTAGAGCATGCGAGATAGCAGCCGGCACTCCGAGTTCCACGCCTTAGTGCGTATTTGTCGTGTAAAACCGATTGACATGCGCACGAGCGGCATGGCTAAGCCGCCGGCCGCTCCCCATTCCTCAGCGCCAGCGGCGCCGGGATCCAAAGTGCGGCTCGGCAGATAGCCGACTACCAAGGATGGGAAAACACCACCGTTAGGCAGTTCAAAAAATAGAATTTTATACGGCAGTGATGCTCTCTGGTCATATGAGTTCAATTATGTACTTTGGACTATCGGTCGACTAGCGGCAGAAATCCTGCGGGATGGCTTGCTTGTATCCTGTAGCGACTCGGTTGGCATGCCAGTTGCACAGCGGGGGACCCAACAGGCTCACACCGTGTTTCAAGTGCGTTTCCGGCTCATCAGGTTGCCCGTTGTGAGAAAGCCCTTGTCGCCCATTGCACCGCGCCATTCAATGGACAATTGGCCCAGGATGGCGCGGCCGTCTCGTTTGAGATCTTTTTGCAGGGCTTCGAGGCCATCCTGTCGACCTTCTTCCTGTTCCACTAGGAATGCCACCTGTAATACGTCACGCGGGTTTAGAGTCGGTGGGGCGGATTCGTTTTCGCTCGTGTCCCAATTCAGGGATCGCGATTTGAACGGCGCCCTGGGATTCAACCTTGTTTGCTATTGAAACGTCATGTAAGCTTTATTTTCTCGTCTAGGGTTTCGTGATGGGTGTCCTCGTTACGAGTAGGGAACACAGAATGCTTAGGCTTAGGCTTACCTTGACCACGACCGCGCCATCTCCCACATTTTCCAACTGCGCCTCCAGGGCAAAGCGGAGCAAACGTGTTTTCCCATAAGGACCCAATGACTTGTTATCCACCTCCAACGGCGGAAGCTCGGACGCCTTGGTCCGAACGCTAAGACAAGGCTGCGCGACAAATTGATACAGCTTGCGGAAAGTCCGGACTCGATTGCTTGCTGCCTGGGAATCCTGCCCAAGTCTGGTCTCCGAATAGCTGACGCTAACAGCTAGAATATGGTTTCCTTCCTCCTTGAGATCGTACCTAACGATCTTTTGTAAAGACTCGCCAATTTGAAGCCCGTCTGTTTGGGCCGCGTCACCAGCGGGGTCGAGCTCCAGAGTTGCGACGGACGATGGCGTTTGCATTTCGGCCACAATACGTACCGATGTCACGGCCCGTCCCGTTTCATTACTGGCAACTTCATTGTTTGCACTGAGTGTGCATGCGAAGGTTTCTCCGACGTAGACTGATCCGAATGCGGGGGGAAGGGTGAGCTACTGCCAGTCAGCGGGCGTTCTAGCAGGAAAGTTGTTTGGCGTGATAGCTAGTGATTGGGCTGCTCACATTAGGAGTGAGTATAAATTGAGGGTCGGCTTCTTCGGATGGGTGACTTAATGATGCCTTAGGGGAAATCTTCGTGTTGGCCGTAGGGAGTGGGGATTGATATGACAGTGAAGGTCGCGAGAGGCTGCGAGGCGTTAGGAATTCGTTGATTTGTAAGTTCTGTCCGAGAGGACTTCATACCGTAGGACTAGAGTTTGAAAACATGGTAAGCTTCATTAACATGCTACACTGGGGGGTTTGTTGAACTCAAAACCTTTGAGAGAGACCGCATGGGGTTCTTTGGGGGTGTCGGCACTCGACAAGGCTCGCGGACGTGCCATCATTGCGAGATAGATTCAGAGAGACTTCGCGAGAAAAGAAATTGACACCCTGCAGTCGCTTTGGGCATTGTAGCTTCTTAACAAGTCACCTTGACGATTGTGAGGGAAACAGACGTCTCACATCAACCTGATAGCGATAGCGAAGCTTCCCCGCCAAACAGCGCAAACCCACCAAACATGCCAAACGCTCAGGCGTCCACAGTATAAACTCACAGCTATGCGTGGACATAGCTAGAAGGCTCTCGAATTTTGGTAAAACTTGGGCGTGACTTGCTGCCTGATACGTATCCCTATAAGTCTCTATGTCACGCCTTACTGGCATGATATTCAACCCTTGACACGTTCAGAGACCCTCAGATTCCCCGTCAGGCGCTGCTCTCAGATCTAGAGATCCTTCACCAAGTGCTGAATCTAAATTTATCATACATACTTCTTTCTTTTTCGCCAGGAACATGTCAACCATCAACATAATAACAGGCAGCTGTCTCTGCCAGGAAGTTCGATACGAGGTGACCGGACCCGCCACAGTGACACTACTTTGTCACTGTAACAACTGCCGCAAAATGACAGGATCCACTTACATGGCAAATGCGATCTATAGAAAAGACGTGAGTTCTTCCGAAAAGCCCTCAACCGTCCAAATTCCTGAAGCTAACATCTCAGTAGCAATTGCGTATCATATGTGGAGAAGATGTTCTTAAAGTCTACAGAGACAACAACACGGAATCAGGAAACACCGTCACCCGTCAATTCTGCTCCAACTGCAGCTCATCGTTGTTTGCCATGAGTGGCTCGGACCCGGCCGATGCTGACACAGTCGCCATTACTTCCGGGACGATGGATTTGGGGCCTTCGAAGGAAGAGTGGGCACCTCAAGTAGAAGTGTATTGCAAAAACCGGGAAGGAGTGGATTGCTCCTGTTGAAGGAACGCTTAGGAGTGAAAGTATGGAAGTTTTTGCTCCGGTTGGAGGGGAATAAGCGTGCATCTATGGACAATATTTGGATAAATGCTCAAGCAAGGCCTTCAGATACATTGAACAGTATGACCTCGATCACTACACAATTGATATAGCTGGCTTTGATATCAAAAACGGTTGAGAATGGACAACAACCATGTGTCTGCCTATTATAACGGTGCGGTAAGCAATGGGCTTTAAATTTGTACCATTTTTCTTTTTCAATAGTTGTACATGTCGTCGATGATTTGGATTTGATTCCACCAAACTCAGCAGAAAAAGCTTCCAAGTGTTTCCTACAACCTGAGCTCTACCTTGGGCCCAAGGGGTCATAGAGGTTGGGAAACACCGCGGGTGGAGATGGAGAACGCGAAAGCAGGGCAAGTTGAAAAGTGAAAAGCCAAGGTGTCAAGGCAAGACCGACCTGATAAGCTGTATATAAAACTTCGTTTCCAGTTATTCTTTGAAGAATTCACAGAGGGCCTAGTACCAGAAGTAGGCTCGAAAACCCGAAGAACCCTTTCGAGGAGGGGGGGCAGAGTCAAGTCCGAGGTTTCCTATGGGATATCCACCTTTGCCCCCTCAAATATTTCTACAATATATTGTCTACCATCCTTTTGCTTCTTTTCACTTTGTCCCTCGACTATAATTGACTGTAGATTTTGAGTATACCTCCCATGGTCTGGTGGAGCCTTTGGGGGACAGCTCTGCCGATTGACGTAAAAGAACTTGTCGACCCGGGAACGCTCTTTCCACTCTAGTCGACTGTCTTTCATAAAAGGGAAAGTCGAAAATCTTCTCTTGTCAAGACATTTTCCTTGGGAGATCATTTGGTGTCCCCTGCTCTACCAAAGCCCACGTGTGACGTCACATACCACGGTTCTCCCGCTCTTCTGAGCGTTTGATCCAAAGAAAACAGCTGCCAATCTTTCATTCCACCTATTCACTCTGCTCTCTTATTCCTTTGAAAAAATCTTGGGATTTTGAATCCGACGTTGAGGCTTCGTCATGAAGACTTCAATCGTCGCGCCGCGCCGTCGTGCTTCAAGAGCTTCGCCTCTTGGGAGTACGAGCTCGCAGAAGTCCCGAGTCACCAAAAGGTCAAGTGCCCAATCATCTCCTATGAAAGAACCACGCAGGAGAAGGCCCACCACGCAGAGAGCCCTGGCCCCTGACGCCGAGGCCGTCAACCCGACGAACGATGCTCCCGGTAATGCCAAGAGACCGCAAGCCCAGAGCTATCAGATTGATGGTATATCCAAAGAGCGTCGAGCGCGCAGGTGGCGCAATCACCCCCCTCAGGCTTACTTGGAGCGATTGGAACGAATTCGCCGGACAAAGTTTGCACATCACTCGACCCGAACTTTAGTGGTCTTTGTTAGCTAACTCTTTTACCTAGAATGATTGTCGTACAACACTCTGTCGGTGGTACTCGTGAGTGCCCAGAGATCTCCTTTGACGTGGTCGGCTCAACTGGCAACATTTATGGGGTTGTCATCAGGAAGGAGCCAGTCTGCGACTGTCCCGATGGGTTGAAGGGCAATCAGTGCAAGCACATCTGCTACAGTGAGTCTCCAGCAAGCTTCGTCCTCCTGTGCAATGGCGGACCAAATATTGTTATTCATTGTTTTCTTACTGGTTGCCCATTCAGTGCTTTTTCATGCCCTCAAAGCGCCTTCCCACCTCCAGTATCAACTCGCCTTCCTGTCTTCGGTAAGTGGCAAGGCTGCATTCGTTTTGCGGCTCAGAAATGATTGACTAATGCAATTCAAAAGGAACTCCGTGAAATGCTCGAGGGGTCTCCCCTCAGTCAGGTGGACGCTACCAGCACCGAAGACACTGACGGCAAGCGCAAGCCTTTGGAAGGTGATTGTCCTATTTGCTTTATGGAATTTGAACCCGATGAACAAACAGTCTGGTGCAAAGCTGCATGCGGAAACAACATGCACAAGACATGCTTCGAACAATGGGCGGCAGCGTCGCGCGACAAGGGTGTTCGCTGCGTTTACTGGTAAGTTTGAGCACACACACACCCAAACTTACTCCCTTCGATTCCACAGAATTAATATTGTGGTATTCCAGTCGCCCCCGTGGGAGTACGTAGGCAAAGAGATCGACATCAAAACACTTAGGGCCTCTACCGATTGCGTGCATGAAGGCTATGTCAACGTGGCAGAACAATTTGGCTTGTCTCGAGAACGCGGTACGGAACCATCCTTGTAGCTAAGCCCCCTATGTTCAATGGGCTTCATGGTTGCAATGACTAATGCTTATTGTGATGAACAGACTTTTCCGTCTACTCGCCTTTCTCAACTGCCCGATGGCGGTCCTCCTCGTCGCGGCGTGGTGCCTCTGAATGGTAGCATAACAATAATCGCCGTTTATGATTTCTTTACACACCAGCCATGATTGCTACGGGGTTTTATGGCGTTTTTGATGTCGGGGCTGAGGGAGTCTTCCGGGCCGGAGATACTTGGTATTCGCTTGACAGGATGGCATTGAGATACCCAATATGACTATCTTCAATCATTACGAGAACTATTATCTCATATTTTCGTAGCTCTTTCTCTAGGCCAATATGTAACGTAATTACTGTCAAAGAAGCCTTTCGGCTTGAACTGGCAGCACAAGCTCATAGAAACGATTAATGACATTGTAAAGAATGCTAAGTGTAGGGTATCATAGCAAAGACCATCAACAGACTTGAAACCAATGCGCCACATGAAAAACAATCACGCTAAAGATAATGCCAATTCAAACATCCTTCCAAAGCCTCTTCCCTCGCTGAACGACGGCCATACTGACGCCTTCCTCGCCTGTCATCCAGGACGGCATTCGCTCGGGGTCAATGACGCCCAGCTCAGCCAGCTTGCGAATTCCACCAATAACATCCGACCCGGTGAAAGTTAGCGAAACCGCAGGCAAAGTAGTGCTGTTTCCATTATTCTCATCGTCCAAGGTAGGCTGATCCAGAAGTCGAATGTCAAGACGATTCAACGGTGCTGGTGCCAATGACCCACCCGCTGTTCCAAAGCGACCCTGCACAGCCAATTGCCGCTTCTTAGAGGTCGGTGACAATGTACTCGGGTGGGTATCTGTCGACTTGCGTTTCGTCGACTCATGTGCCTGCTCGGTACCAACTACATTCTCTTTAACTTCGACAATGGCCTCTCCACTGCGCATATGCTCTTCCGCAGAAACTGAATTCGAGGGACGCGGATCCAACGGACTCCCTTCAAGAGCCGAGTCGGCAAAGATGCTGAATGCTCCATTCGCAGAAGTTGATCTGCCCGGGCCTCGAAGTGCAAGGAGGGTGGGGAGGTTCTTTGCAGCTAATGATGTTGGTTTTAGAGTATACCGCTCCTGCGGCCGAGAGAGTGCTTTGGGAATCGCATCGCGTACAAGGCGCTGTAGACTTCGAGGGTCCGTTGCCACAGAACTGGTGGTTGGACCGGCTTGCTTGGGGCCTATTGCTGTGATGGAGGTGTAGATGAAGGGACAACTGTCCGGGAAAGCGACGTAGATGACACGCGAGGAGTCGGCGAAGACCTCGGGTGCTTGACGAGGTGATTGGTATGGTGAGTCAATTATGAAGATGCGAAGGATTGTAAGAGGGAGAGTTGATGAGCGGGCTAGGTGGTAGTGTGCTTTCACCAGAGGGGCGATTTCGTACTGGAGAGCTTTCACGAAGCTTGCGGCTTGCATGCGAGGGACATTGTGTGACCAATCTTCGGCTGTGTCTTTCTCATTTGGCTTTTTCCTTGCATCGATGCGAGTGAGCTCGAGGGCGGTCCATCGTAAACTAGCTGGGTGGTCGTCCATGTATCGAAGGTCCGCCATTGCGAGCTGTCGCAATGTGATGCCATTCCGCCAATCACCCTCGAGTATGCGCTCGAGTACTTCACGCTTTCCACCCTTTCGATCTTGCAGGTCTTGGTATGTATTGCGAACTTCTTCAACTGTTTCAGCGGCGGGGTACGGCAGGGTGTCTTCGTCGTCGCCGCCATTCTCTTCATCAGATTGTAAGAATGGCGGGGAAGATGTGATATTTCGATCGTCAAGCCATATTAAGGCGAGCTCCAGTAGTGCTTGCCGCGACAGCTTGCCAAGAGTCTTTGCGAGAGAGGGTGTTGTTGAGGGGATGCGCAGGTTGTTTGGGAGACTGGCTGTTGTTGGCGCGCGGACCGATTTGGAGCGCGCCATGACCGGCATCTGGGGCTTTCAGTCAAGAAATGCGCAATCGTGTTAATCAGTGGTATTGCATCATTGTGTCATACCTGTCGCATTGTTTTTCTACCATTTGAATTTCACGCGTAAGGCATTAACAATGTCACGTGTTGATAAGCATGCAGTCTTGTCACGTGCGCTCCTCCTCTCGAGTTCCGAACCGAGTTCATTCGTTCTCATTCATTCCTTCCATTGATACTTATGTCAATATGACACTGACAGATGCTTCATGCTTTATCTCGAAACTACACAAGTTCACCAACAGCCTAGATAGCATTCAATACCCACATTTGGCAAACTATGGCGAGCCGCACTAGTGAACTGTCACTCGTGCGCCCGTGCTTCCGGTGCATGGCATCTAGTAATCCCACCTCAAAGCGGACCATGACTATAGCCTGATCCTCCACATTCCCGCATGCTACAACCTCATCGTTGTTCCCATCAGAATGCTTAATAATTGTCCGGAGAATTTATTCGGAAATTTCGGGAGAAGCAGGGAAATTCAGGGTGCCAAGGGATGACTCGGCAATGAGTTAACCCCGATTCGGCTGTGTCCTGTTACGCTTACAAATGCGGGCTTTGGGAATCTGCCAAGTATAGTTGCAGCAGGCGCCGAGTTCGCCGTAGTAAAATAACAACGGAACCGCGCTTATCGCTGAAATTACGACCATGCAAGTATAATGCCGCCATATTTAGACTCCAATTTTGCGAGAGAGGGCGAAGCATCAGATTGCACCTTAGTGTGTGAGAATTGCCATCGTGCCCTTACCCGTGAACCCGATTTGGAGGGACAATCTGGAGTGGGTCGAAGTGGGTTGCCTCCGATCTTCGGCCAGCCGGAAATTGACCCTCGCGGTAAATGGAGTCGGCTGCGCTACTCTGAGGTCTTCATAGAATTGTGACATGGAAATTGCTCAGCAGAATACAAGAAGATAGTCTTTGATAAGAATAGGGAAATAGAGATTCAGAATCGGATCAGAATGCAGAATATCGACAGATCGGACAAGGATCAACCCCGGGGAGGATCATAGGAAGCAGATTAATCAGCGCCCCTCGCCCTCCCCCACTTGCAAACCGCTTCAGACTCAGGGAAAAACCCACTTGGTGGCCCCGGTCTTCACCACCGTCACCCTCCTCACTTCTCCATCTACCCATCACCGTGTTTCGATTCCATATCGACATTACAATCAACTTGAGACACATCACCCATCCCGCCCGACTCACCCGGGCATCGAGATCTACTTCGTGACGACTTTTTAAGCCGCTTCCGGCGCGCCCGAACCACGTCGAATCGCTCATTGAGAACGCGAAACCCGCAAGTGTCCGCGCGACACACATACGCGAATCCGAATCATCAAATCTCAAGTCAACCGAGTTGACCCGTCGTTATCATGGCCGGCTACAGTGGGCGTCGTGCACCGAACTTTTCCCAGTATCTCGATGATCTGAACACCATCCCCTCGCCCTACGACCAGGCTCTGCAGCAACAGCAGCAGCAGCAGGACACTATCAACTTTGACGAGGAGTTGGCTGTCTTTACCAATGCTGAATTCTTCGATTTCGATAAGTTCGCCAACTTGGACCTGCCTACTTTCGATGGCTTGGAGGACAAGAACACTCAGGTTGTGTCTGAGCAGCAAACACAAAACGAGGATATGAAGTTCATGGACTTCTTGAATAGTAAGTGAGGGGTACTTTGAATTTTATATTGGTCGCGTTGCTGGTTGTGGTGTTCAATACTGCACGAGTTTCCCCTGCATCATACCATCCCGATTGGCCTTGTCCACGGTCCATGCGCGCAAGGGTCCATGCCGCATGGTTTTGTGTAGGACAGTCTGTGGCTCTCTGTCTCTTTGGTTGCCTGATCATCCACTTTCTATGATTGTGGACACTTCGCGTGTCTTGGCTCGATGTCGTCTTTTGGACGCTCATAGAGCCTACAATCGGCCGTGCACTTAAAGGATCGGACTTTGACTAGGAACTCTTGGAGTGCTGCATGCAATGGAGATGTGGCGCACTCAGAGCTTTCTTTTCATACGATCTATGTGCTGCAAGTGATTCTAGCATGATGTGCGCCCCGTCCTTCATTGCGCCATTTCACGTCAATACAGACGGTGGCCTTGCTATGGCAGGACTCGTGCAGCCCATACCAGCTCACACAACACGTGCTGCGACGATGTACATGCGATTGTTGTGAACATGATGCTAACTGAAATCCAGCCGATGGCTTGGCCACTATCACCGACTTCCAGAACGACCTCAATGTCAACTCCCAGTCCATGCCTGTTCAGAACACATCCTACCAAAATATCCCATCCGTGCCTCAGATTGCCCCTCAAACTGCCATGACTCCGGCTGCGCCCTTGACTACCCACCAAAATGTGGCTCCCGCTCCCGCTCCCGCTCCCGCTCCCGCTCTCGTTCCCGCTCCCAACATGTCCGCTGCTACCTCTGGTGCCGCCGCCGGCCCCAAGCGCAAGCACACTCAGAAGTCCACCCAGGCTAGCGCTGAAGAGGCTGCACGCAACATTGCCGAAGAGGACAAACGCCGACGCAACACCGCCGCCAGCGCTCGTTTCCGCGTCAAGAAGAAGATGCGCGAGCAGGCTCTTGAGAAGACCCTCAAGGAAACCACTGACAAGAATGACGCTCTTGAGGCCCGCGTCTCCCAGCTCGAGCTTGAGAATCACTGGCTTCGCGGTTTGATCATGGAGAAGAACGGCAACGAGGAGCGCGACGAGCAGGCCGAGAAGGCCATCTCTGACATGTTCAAGGCATTCATGGCGTCCCGAAAGACCGAGTCAAGTCCTTTCGCGTCCAAGCTCGGCGTTGGCACTAGTGCATAAGCACTGCCATAAAGAAGTAAAAAAAAAATAACAGACAAGAGCACAAAGAGAGCCTCAACGCTGTCTGGCTTACTACACTACACACCCTCCCCTGCTGTCCATGACTGCCAGTCTTCTTCTTGTTAATAATGTTTTGAGCGATCTTGTTTTACTTTTACAGCAGCCAGAGCTACTTTGGTAGTGTCTGCGGATATGGGGATGGTCTTAGGCCTTGTGATGATGATGATTATAGTGCAGTTTTGAATAGACACACTTCTCTATACACAGCAATCGCCAAGTCGTAGGTTTCAGTGAGGAAACTCCCACGTATTTGAACCCACCAAGCGTTGATATCAACATCTCCAAAGGCTGTGAATATGTCACAGCTCCGCTGTATTGCAAAGGAATGAATACCACTTACAGCAGCCTCATGTGTGCGATTGATCCAAAGTTGCCGCTTATCATGCCATACTGCGCCTCTTGCAGGAGATCAACGAGAATTTCCAGTGTCAAAAGTTTGCTCCATAGCCGTATACACTATGCGCAAGCGAAACCACGACAATATAGCGAATGGAGCCTTACTTTGGGATTTGAAACAGTTCGATACTTGAATGATCAAAGAGGTGGCATATGACAATCACCTGGAGGGGTTCAAGTGATAGCTTTCAGGACTAAGCCTACATTTACCTCCTAGCAACAACCACAACACCCCGAACAACTTCACTCCTCGCCCACCAGCCAAACACAATCCCAGCCGCACGGAACTTACCCATCTTCATACCGAATGGCTGAGCCTCTTTGACCCTCCGACTGAGCCATCCCGAGATTCCGGGAAACACCTGCCTCGAAACATCCCTAATAGAAATTTCAGAAATATCATACCCCGCATTCTCTAACATGCATAGATAATCTACCTCGGTGATAAAATTACTAAACGGCGACCCCGTGAGCCAACAGACAAGTCGCAGAACAAGCCGTTCTTGCCAAGATGCGCCCTCTGACAGAACGAGATCAAAAGCCATGAAGGAGGCGTGTAGAGTATCATGCGCATATTGAAGAAGAGGGAGACGTGATGGTCGGAAGTGATACATTGTATCGAGAGCCAGGACCCATGTAGAAGTATCATCATCCTTCGAGGAAGCAGCAACGTTGCTCACAGAGTCCCGTAGCTCTGCAGACCAAGTTGAGGGATTGGAAGCATCGGCGCGGAAGACCTCTGCAGATGTTCGAGTCAAGGGTTTCTCAAAATCATGACGGGCATCACGGACTCGGCATTGTGCGAGTTCGGCTTGTGCGGGCTCAAGAGTAATTCCGATGTAAGTATCGATCAGCGGTGAATCATCCCGGCGAGATTCTTGACCAGAACGCTGTCGAACGGCAGTGGTAAGTTCGGACTGGGGTTTGTTTGAAGAGCCCTTTCTGAGACTAAGTAGGTGGAGGGACTGATCACCGCATCCGCATCCCACGTCTAGGACTCTGATAGACGGGCTTTTGTCTTTTAACAGGCCTGCTGCCAGAACCTGGTCTAGCAGAGCTTGGCAGGCCTGTGGGAATTCAGATGTTGACTGAACTGTGTGAGTGTATATCAGGTATGTTTTTTCTTAGGGAGACTTACCTCCCAATATCCCATGTTCATCCACATAGTCTGCAGTGGTAGCTGCACATTGAGCACCGCGTGGTCCAGCCCATACACGTCATTGCGGCCGCCCCCTAGAACCCGTTTGAGAAACCCTAACATCCCGAGGTCCTCTTGCGAAAGGGTTTCACACAACTTATATTCACGCGCGTGTTGTGATTTGGGCAATAGATCTAAAGCGGGTTGCAATAGAATTGTTCGAATTTGGCTGCGCGGAGGTTGTCGGGACAAGCTCCCGTGCCAAGCCTGATCTGCTATAAACAGCCAAATTGAACTATTCGTCAAGAACGGAAAACTTGTTCTTATGCTGAAACAAACATCGCGATACATGATTGAGCAGAAGGAGTACTATAAAGCCCTCTCGTTCTTTATATGTGAACGATACCATTTATCGAGCTCAAGATCGTGCTCATCACCCTGCAATGCATCATGCTTGTGGAGGCGGGACTGAGCCTCTTTACTTCCTCCTTGTATGTCCAAATTCTGATCCACGACCTCCACGGTGACGATAAACAGAATAAATGAAGCAACGATGGAAAATTCAAAGAGTGTTTGACTATTGTGAAACCGCCAGTCATGCCATCGTCAAATGTAGAACAAAATTGATTTAACGCATCGACCGTATAGTAATCTACGATTCAAAACATATTTCATTGAGCTGGTGGACTAAGACACGCTTTCTTGAAATCAGAATGCTGGCAAGAGTATAAAAGTCACAAGGCTCGCCATTTCGAAAACGACATTGTCGTCCAGTCTTCATTTCCACGCTGGCGCAGCTGCTTATTGACACCGAGCTGTAGATCGCATCCTCCCAAATATCTAGTGACTCCACATTCGGGCCCTTCAAAGATCCACGGGGCCCTTTCGGCGATAGTTGTGATGCCGTGGGTCGCTTAATTCACCGTAAATTCACTCAAGCAAGGCCCAGAATGATGCCTACCCATGAAAGGCGGGCCATCAGATATTTTTGTCATGATAAATTTGCGCTTAATCAAATAAAAAGTCTACTTTGACGGAGAGAGCGTGTTTGGTTCGAGTTATATAGTTGTCACCAGAAGACCATCAAATCTTGAGAGAAGACATCCAAATGCGATTGAAGGGCCTCAGTCTCTAATCTACTCAACTTGGATGGGTTCTTTTAATTCCAATTATATATCTCGGGCCAATGGATGATCGATCATACTGAATGAAATGAAAAGACCATCAGGAAATAGTTGTCTTCTACTCATCTCAAGCGTGGGGTAGAGATTAGGTTATGAAGGACTACTCTGCTCCTCCCCCGGGCTCAGTGAGAGCATTGTTCGTGATTTAATGGAATCTAGATTCAAGCAAATTTTGAGTGAGCACCGGCTTATCTCTTGCTCCTATGGTATCAGACCTGGGGTTAGGTAGCACATGGTGCTTACGAGGCAGAAGGCCCATATTTTGTACTTGGGAATCCGCTCTGGAGACCTACGGACAACCTTACAGCTTTGGTAATTTTACGCTTTGCTGTTCCAAACCCCATGGACACATTGGCGTGAGATAGATGGTAACTGGTGAACAACTTTTGACCTTCAGTTCTCCATGGGAGTTTAAGGTAGCAAGTCTCCGCATTCGTGCAACGCTTATACAACGGTCCATTCAGTCGAAAGCCACTAGCTACGACAGTGGAGCATAATTCCAGCCGGTTGGCTCATTTTTCCCTGGTTTACAGGTAGTGATGCCTTGCGTCACCATGGCACAAGGATCGAGTCGCTTGAAGCAGGCCGCGATAACGCTAAACTCGACTTTCAATGGTGTATACAGCCGAGCCACGGACACTTGCCGGGGGGTGTCACACTACCTTGACAAAATACAGGTTGTGCACCCAATCTCCCACCAAGATTTCCATGTGGAGAAAGCTCAATGGATGCTACCTTCTTAAATTAGGCGTGATATTTTCCCCAAAATAATGATATGGAATTGAAGGTTAATTGGGCACAGTCCTTCATAGGCTACAAGCACAATTGATCTCAAATGAAATCTCATGGAATTTAGCTCCAGCCTCCCATCTTTGAACATGGAATGGCCGCGTGTGATTATTCTCCTGGCCTTTGGTGAGATAAATTGAGTTTCCTTTCTTCTTCACTCCAGATCACCATGACTACCGGCTATATGCGAAAATAGCTCTAACATAGTCTCAGGGTCTGTTACCGTCAGTCATGTCCAGGCAAAGCCGTTAAATGTGTCTGTCATTGTGATTTCCCCAAGTGCTTCTCCCACTCGTGGAGTCCAATGTGCGTCATGGCTCCCGTCGAGACCGGTAAATACTTCCATTCTTCTTAATCCGATGTATGCTGAAGATCATGCTTTACTGACTTCGATCCTACATGATAGTGCCCCACAGGTGAACAGTGCTGCAATTATTCTTGCGCAAATACCAAGTCGAGCACAACAAACTGCGGAAACTGTGGTGTTACTGTATGCTTGGTATTTAAACATTGCAATTTCAATTGTTGTGTCTAACGTTTGAATTCAGTGTATTGGGCAAATTCCCAGCTGCTGCTCAGGAAATTGCGTTGATCTTGGTACAAGTCTCACTAGTTGTGGTGGTTGTGGTGCTGCACCGGTTTGTTGAATACTCAGAATTCTGGTATTCCATCGGAATAAACTACTGATTTGTCTTCAATCAGTGCACCGGAGCTTCCCCTGCTTGCTGCTCTGGCACTTGCACTGATCTGTCTTCCTCGCTTACCCACTGCGGAGCCTGCGGCGCGTCCTCTGTCGGTCTATACTCTCCCTCGTACCTTCTTAATACTTTTCTAACCTGCACATAGTGTACTGGTCTTGACCCAGCTTGTTGCTCAGGGACATGTTACGATCTGGCCATCAGTCTCACTAAATGTGGATCATGCACTGATGCACCAGTGAGTCGAATATACAGTTAGCTCTGATCAAAGATGAGCCGGAATTGACTAGAATCTGTATAGTGTTCCGGAATATTGCCTGCTTGTTGTAATAAGACCTGCGCCGATTTGACCAGAAGTATCAACAACTGCGGTCTTTGCGGTATAGCGGTAAGCTCTCTTGGCTCTGAAGTTGAGTCTCTCTCGCGAGATCTAACTATTGAAAGTGTACGGGGACGGCCCCAGCTTGTTGTTCGGGAATATGTGCAGACCTGGACAGCAATATCCTTCATTGTGGCGCCTGTAGCGCGACACCATGCGTGGGCATCTCACCCGCATGCTGTAGTGGAGAGTGTACCGATGTCGCAACAGATTTGAACCACTGTGGTACTTGTAATAGAACAGTAAGCTAAGCCCACCATCCCACTTGACCATCATGGAAGCTATTCAACTGACAGGATTACCTGTAACAGTGTGCTGGAATACAACCAGCATGTTGCCTCGGGACTTGTACCGACCTGGGCTCAGATCTGAATCACTGTGGAGCCTGTCTTGCACTGCCATGTCTGGGTGTTAATCCAGCATGTTGCTCTTCTTCGTGTGTTGATCTGGCGTCCAGCAGTACAAATTGCGGATCCTGTGGTGACGCTGTGTGTCTTACCCCTGCTCTTGTAATTTCTGGATACTGATATTTTAAATTATCTAGTGCAAAGGAGCGGCATCTACTTGCTGTTCTGGAAAGTGTACGGACGTCTCTTCGAACGTCAATCACTGTGGTGGCTGTTCCGATCTCCCTTGCCCGGGGTCACGGCCAGCTTGCTGTAATTCAACTTGCACAGATTTGTCCGCAAGCACAATCCATTGCGGTGCCTGTGATACCGCATGCAAAGTTTTGGCCCCTGTATGCTGTAATGGAACTTGCGCAGATCTTGCTTCAAGCACTACACATTGTGGAAACTGTTTGTCTTCGCCCTGTACTGGCGTGAATTCGGCGTGCTGTACTGGAATATGTACCGATCTTAGTACCGACATATTCCACTGCGGATCTTGCACAGCTAATGCCTGTCTCGGAATGACACCCGCGTGCTGCCACGGAACATGTACCGATCTATCGTCCGATATCAATCATTGTGGCAATTGCTCCAAACCTACTTGCACAGGTGTCCGACCAGCCTGTTGTCTGGGAACATGCACAGATCTGGCTTCTGATTCGAACCATTGCGGAGGCTGCCTTGCAACTCCTTGTCTCGGAGTCTCACCTGCGTGCTGTAACTCAACTTGTGTGGATTTATCGTCAAATTTGGCTCATTGCGGATCTTGCACGACTCCTACTTGTACCGGTGTCAATCCAGCTTGTTGTTCAGGAACTTGCACGGATCTTAGCTCCAGCGTGAATCATTGCGGCTCCTGTCTTGTTTTACCATGCTCGGGCCTGAAGCCGGCCTGCTGTGATGGAACATGTGCTGATCTCAGCAGCAGTATCACTCGTTGTGGTGTGTGCAGTAATCCCACTTGCACCGGAATAACGCCAGCCTGCTGCGGCGGAGTCTGTGCGGACTTGTCAACAAGCACAGCTCATTGTGGACGATGCTTCACTTCTGTAAGATCTCTTCTTACCTACCGTTCTTTCCAACTTTCACTGAGATCTTATAGTGCCCTCCTGGGCTAGGCGGAGGCGGCTGTGTTGCCGGGGTTTGTGTGCAATGTCTAGCAACTACAACATTCTGCGCATCAGCTGGAATCTGTGTAAGTCAACCCTGATTCTTGCTCTCATTTGATCTTAACGAGCTGGTAGTGTACGGCCGGCACGACGTGTATCTCGGGTGGACCGCTTCCTGGTTGCTGCTTAGGTACGAACGTCTGTCCGCCTGCGTCAAACCCCAATGGCCCTAATATCTGCGTAAGTAATCTTCCAATCAATCTTGTCCCCAGAGCCATTTTATGGCACGGCCGCTGAGGTTCTCGATTTAGTGTCCCATGCCATGCAGCCCCCTGGCTCTTCCAACCTGTGTGGGCTTCTGATTGATGGCGATTGAGCGCCAACCAAACAGATATTCAATAGGCAAATCGGTGGTTCAGATACTTGATGGGTTCCGATTTCAATGCGGACAAATTGATGTTATTTGTTTATCTCTTGACTCTGGCGATATCACACTCGCCCGTGTGACGCTGCTTGGCCCAATAACCAGCGGATCTGTGAGATTGACTTGTCAGAGGCAGTCAAAGAGTGTTACGAATCGATACTTCGGCTGACCGTGAGAACCATTCGCAATTTGACAGGAAAGGCAGGTATATAATGAGAAAGCTTCCAAGTTTGATCCAACTGTGATGTAGACTGAGCCAATATTTTCTGCCCCACTTGGAAGTATAAGATGCTTCCACATGCCAACTAAATGAGGGGTGATCTGAGACTTGATATCCATATCTTTATTATTCAAAAGCACTCCAGTCTATCACACCAAGGTTCCCATCGAAAAATCGCGCTGCGATGCCTCAGACGCTAGAACACCCACAGACAGGCCAGACAGCATACACGTCTTCTCGAGAAACAACAAAGAGATGCAACAAAAACCCCGCTCGATGGGTTTCAAGAGCTTCACTAAATCCTGGATCTACCATTACTCGGCACTGTCCCATGGTACCGAAACACCAAGATCAGCAGCGACCCGCATCGCAGACACAATGCATCCCTCGAGCAGAACCATTCCGTCCCAGCACCACCCGCCTGCTAGGTAGACCCCGTCGTCGCCACTACGCCAAGAATCTGGGGAGACCTTGCGCTGGCCGCGATCTTGAAAGATCGAGTTGATGAGCATGCGACTCCGTGGATTGCGGAGGACGCGGGTGAAATTGGCTGAGCGGATTATTTTTGACTTGTCGACAGGGAAGAGGGGGTTTGTAGTGACAAGGATGGAATTAGGCTGTTCGTGTACTGCTTCGGTAATGGAGTCGTTAGAGAAGAAATGGATGCGTTGTGCTTGGGAGCAGAGATTGGGCTTTTGGTTTTTAAGGGATGGCGACGATGTCGCCCGCAGCATTGGGATGATGCTTGTTTCGTCGGTGTGGGCGACGGTTTCGACTGTTGTTGTTGGGATAGCGGAGAGTTGAGAAGCCAATGGAGCGAACAGCGATGCTGCTACATCGGGGGAGACGGCTAAAACGACCAGATCAAAGTGTTCCGATGTTGTCTGTCCATCTGCTGTGGAGTATGTGATCTGGACGCCTTCTTTTTGAGGGTTGACTTGAGTCAAGTTAACGCCGAGGCGTACGTCTACGCCCTGTAGAAGCTTCTGTTGAACAGACTGAACACCGGAGGTGACGACAAAATGTTGCTGGCGGTGGGTCTGTCGCTTGTATGCCAGGACATCGGAAGCGGGAAAGCACAGGAGCTCATGATGTGAGCAGGTGCACACGCTTGAGATGAGAGGGAGCAGATAATTGACCACGTAGGTCTGTGGAAGCCTGATACGGCGCAGATAGTGATCTAGAGTCTCACTAGGGGCTCCAGTCTTCTGATCCTCTTCATAAGGCGCGATGAAAAAGCAACAGAAAGTGAACCAGACATAGCAGACCACAGCATACACGGCCTCAACAAGCCAATGAATCAAGTCCACTGTCCGCGGCACCGGTGGCAACTGGTGAAAATTAGATGCATAAACCATCTGTGGCCCCGGAATGCAAGATGTCGTCACAGAGGCCTGGGATTTTGGCAATTTCGTGAAGCTGAAGAGGAATGGCTGTGCATGGTAGTTGACGGCCAGGTAGTCATACATGCGAATCAGATTCTGGTAGAAACCACCCGCAAATGCACGCATGGGCACATCAGCCCAAATGGCTGGGGCTTTCTCATCCTTGGATGGAACTGAGATCGACTCCGCGCTCAAGGAGATTTGGTCGCGCTGGACTATGCATCAGCCCATCCATAAAAAAGCAAAGGCATTCCCGAATGCCCCAACGAGGGAATGTTTTTCTCTCTCAGGAACCCAGGTGCAGGTCTCGGCTTACCTTTTCGAGCAGTGTGACTTGATAGCGCTTCTCATGGTCCTGGTGTAACAAATGTGCCGTGGTCAAGCCCGCCATACCCGTTCCCACCACAGCGACCGACCTTGGTCGACGATGCTGAGTCTTTTCCATGATCGCGTCGCTGATTTTCAAAAGACGTCAATCAGCTCGCCGGTATTTACGGAACAGCACTAAGCCAGGCGCGGGGCAGAGATTGAACCGTGAGGCGGTATGCGCAAAAACCGGGTAGCGGGTACGCGAGAATCCCCTGGCGGTTGGGGCAAACACATGGTTCAGAGTACTTGGCATCCCGATCGATCACGATCGGCGACTTTTGTGGCCTCACTACCTCACCGCACAGATTGATTTTGCCGTTCGCCGCCTCTCGGCCAATACAGCTCATGAACTTGATGTCGAGCATCACTACATGAGTTTCGACCGTATTGATCCCGCCCAAGCTTCGATGATTGCCTTGATTAGTCATCTAGTCAACATCCCGGCTAGTGTACTGTAGTGTCTTGTTTTCGTATCCAAGCCCAAAGTTAAAAAAAGGTTGAAGCAAGACTTGACTTGACCCTGCCCACTTTTTATGGGCCTATGACTGAATTCTCTGTAGATAGCTTGTCCCCCTGAACTTCGCTTCCCATGCGATTCAAATGAGGGTCATAATCCTGCAGCCGAGGTTCACAGAGTGTGTGTCAGCATCTTGTTTGCCACGTCGCCAATCAGCAACGGACAGACTAAGCAATGACAATTGTACAGCAGTAAGCATCAATAGGGTTCTCTGTGATTGTACCTGAAGAATGATTGAGGACAGCAACGGAGGTGATGGTGATGATGGAAAGGGTCACGGTGGTCTACACGGTCATCGTGGTCAGTGGGCTCGTGGTGGTCCAAGGTGCCATTGACGAAGATAGGGCCATACTGATTGACGCATTGTTACGTGTTGAGTGAGAGATGGATCTAGTTGAGTCAGACGTCATGATGTTTTGTTGCCTTCAGGACCTATCCACTTCTTCAGTACAGGTATTGTATTCTTGAAAGAATTATCTGGATAATCCCCTTTTGGTAGTATGTATGATACATAGACCCGTTCATGTTAATGCAATAACCCTAGAGCTTAAGTGTCACTAACCACCAGAATGGTGAACTGTTACCAAAACCTCTGTGGTCATTTTGATGTTCTCCTCCTTCCTAAGGAGGTCAGGATCCAAGATTGCCGTCTGGCTTCCGTTATCATGAACACTTGTATGCCCAATGTCTGTGTGTGTCCCGCCTGCGAATTATCGAAGATTTTGCCAGGTGGTCCCGATGGATATGATATCATGTCGTAGTTGTTATCCACTGCGCTCGGGAAGATCTTGACCAGAAGAGGCTTCAGAGCGGGAATCGATGCTGCCGTAATAGCAAGTCCGTCCTCGACTGCAGCCCACCAAAGTAACGGCGCGAGTTCCCCTGAAACAAATATCTTGTTAGCCGAAGTGCTGGACAACAGGAATTCATCTCAACCCACAAGTCAAGTCGGCCTTGGCGGACAGAGCTACAAGATAAGTTGTCTTGACGATGGAAGCTGCACCAGCACTACCAAACCGCACTCGTCAGTATTTGTCGCGCTTCTGGTAATTGCAACTTCAGACCAGGAACTTACAACACTCCAAGGCTCATAGCAAAGGCTACGCCAACCTTCTCCTTCTTTCTCATTTGCAGTTTCCAGACAATCGTCCATGGCAAAAGCGCGAGAACAAAGTCCTGCGCGCCAGAGTATGCTACGACGCAGATCTCAACGTTAGCTACCGCAATTCTGTACCAAAAGGGCGATGCAAAAAGCAGACTCCTTACCTCCGACAAACAAAGAAAAGTGGGTGAAGACACTGTCAGGCCAGCATTCGGATGGGATCGCCGGGTTCCACAAATGTCGAGGATCTTTGCATTGAACAAAAACGAACAAGGCCGCGAGGACGTTCACCACGTTCATGGTGACAATCACAAACCAAAGCAATGCTATCATCCACCTTTGCACCACAATCCGCAGCAGGGTCACCGCAAAAGAAGTCTTGCCCAGGGTGCACGCCATGATGGCCAAGGATTCGCCGATGTCGCAAAGCAGTGCGACATTGATCAGATTCTCAGGATCTTGCTCCACGACAACGAGGTGTCTACCCAAGCCTATTGTGGAAGCGACATGACACACAGCTGCATATGCCACGAGGCAGCACTATCGAAACATAGGAGGTCAACTTGACACCGACCGACACACGATGATGGCTGGAGATTGAGAACTCACAATAGCAATGATGATAATAAAGTCATCCCAGCCAAAAACACGCCTGATAGCCACTCTCACATACAATCTCATCAAAACGATTACCAGCGGAACAATGGCCATTGTCCACATCACGCCCTGTACTGACGGAGCTCGGCTCTCATCAAGATAGGACTGTGAGATCTCGGTCCCCATTCTGAACGGTGTCTCAATATCAGAGCCTCATAAACTCACCCCTCAATGCCAATTGGACCCTGGAAAATCGGGCGCCTCAACAGGTTTACATCACAATTATGGGGTTTCTGAAGAGATTTAAGATCGTTTGACTGTCAAACCGGGGGCGCCTTCGAGGCTAACGAGATTTAGAAAGTTATGACAGGGGGGGGCGTCCATTGACCAGACGGCACAGTCATACCGGCAGCTACACCTCCAATAGACGCGTATTGGCGGAGTTCAGGATTCGAAAGGAATGGCGGGTCATCATCGCACCTATCACACCAAGGGGCGATAATTGACATCGTGCAGGCATCGCTTCCATCGCAGTGTACTTTTGTCATTATGGATCTGTCTATTGATACTGTAGAGAGGTTCAAAAGGTTCCAGGCATTGCGAATCAAAGCATTCTACCCATTTGGATTAGCATTGACCAATTTCGGGTACAAGGCCCTGATACGGTCGCACGATGTAATCCTGGAAAGCCACGTTCATCGGAACTAGGAAAGAATCAGCATTAAGCGGTATCTACGGACGCTAGGGCGGCGCCGCTGTTAAAGTGGAGATTTCACGAGCCACTCATCAAACAAGAGTAACTTGATCGAGCCATTCATCGGGGCCATACCACTTTTGTATCCACATACCGCTCCCCCGGAGTTGGTCAGTGAGAACTAGGATGTTAGCCGAAACGCCCGGCGTGATTTCAAGACCTCTTGCGCGGGGACCTTCCGTTTCTAAGAGAACTGACCACTGGACTAATTTGGATTTCAGTACATCCGAGCCCTAAGTCAACTAGCGCAACGCTCTTCGCAGCGGCCGCCGTTGAATATAACTTTGCGCTTCAGACACCTCCGACTGCCATTTCTCAGCTGTCAAGAGTGTTCCCTGCATTTCCTGCATCGGTGTGTCAGACAGCACGGGACAATGGCATTTCTAACCTCGCTTCCTTCTGACCTGTGGGTCCAAAGCTTTGTCGCCTGTGGCTTACTGCTCCTGACGAAGCTTGTCTGGGATCATTTGCTGTCACCTCTGAGAAGCATTCCGGGCCCGCTGCTGGCCAAGAGTACTAATATCTGGCGTGCCTATCACACACATCAAGGATGTGTTGATCGCAAGCATGTGGAGCTGCATCGCAAGTATGGGTCTGCTGTTCGGATCGGACCCAACTGCGTGAGCATTTCGGACCCCAGTTTGATCCGCACTATTTACTCCACGCGCAACCCATGGAAGAAAGTAATGTGATAGCTCACTTTTTTTTGAATGACTCGCAGTAGTCCAGAGGCACTTTGAATGATATGGCTGACGTCCGATTCAATGTAGAGTGATATGTACCGACCGAACGATGTCTTGATCGAGGGTCACCGATTGTCCAATCTCTTCAACACCCAAGATGATGAATGGCACGACCAGAATATTCGTCCTATCCGGGGTCTCTGGAGCATGACAAAGGTCTTGGAATATGAACCTCTCATCGACGAGACCTTGAACAAGTTCGTGTCAAAGCTTGCGGCTAAATTTGTGGACGGCGCAAATGCTGGAACTGTCTGTCCCGCAGATGAGTGGATTGGATTCTGTACGTTTACGCTTTAGTGCGATGTTTGAACAACGTTTCCTAACCCTCTGCAAGTTGCTTGGGATGTCACTGCCAACTTCAGCTTCGGGCGCCACTATGGATTCATTGATCAGGAGAAGGATGTTGACAACCTCATTACCGACTCGACCGATGGTTTGATCTACTTCGCACCAGTAAGCGGACCCTCTCCGTCTCCCTTTATACGAATACAAATAACACCGTAGAAAACCAACCAGGTCTCCCAAATTCCATGGATTGACCACCTCCTTGACAAGAACCCCATCAAGCGAATCGGCCCCAAGCCAACCCTAACCGGAGTCCTCTACGCCTTCAAAGTCGCCGCTGAATACCAAGCTCAACTTGCCTCGAAGACCATCACCGCCGGCAGCGTCGACCACACCCTTGACAAATACGTTCAGCTGAAAGAGACCCACCCGGACATGGTCAACGACCAACAAATTGTAAACTGGCTGATGCTCAGTATCCTTGCTGGTGGCGACACAAGTTCCGCAACCATGCGCGCCATCGTCTACTACCTCGCCAAGTCTCCTTCAGCCACAGCAAAGCTCGTTGCCGAGCTCAAGGAAGCTACTCTCGCCACCCCTGCCCCCTGGAAGTCAATCCGAGACCTGACCTACCTAGACGCCGTCATCCGCGAAGCAATGCGGGTTAACCCCGGCATCGCTATGATCTTCGAGCGTGTTGTTCCGGAAGGCGGGTTCACCCTTCCTGACGGACGGTATATCCCAGCTGGAACTAAGGTTGGTATCAATCCCGCTGTGACAAACCGTGACTATGAAGTCTTCGGAGACGACGCGGACAACTTCAACCCAGATCGCTGGCTGCAAGGCAAGAATGAGAGCGACGAGCACTTCGAGTCTCGTTCAAGACGCATGAAAGATACAGTTGACTTCGTCTTTGGTGGTGGTGGCCGGATTTGCATGGGTCGGTACCTGGCTGTGCTGGAGATCAAGAAGTTGATTGCTACTTTGTACAACTTGTTCGATGTGAGTAAATGATTTGAGAAAGGAAACTGAGGCCGGGCTAACTAGTGCCAGATTCAATTGGTGGATCCCAAACATGAGTGGACTTATAGGAATGCCTGGTTCGTGTACCAGTATGATATGCCTATGATCATCCGTCGTCGATAGATTCGGCTGTGTACTGCGAGAGGATGCACATGAATGATTGAAGAGTAGTAATTATGGGTAGGCTAGCTTGAATACACGGCTCAATTTTGCAGATTCACGAATGCACTGAAATGAACGAAGCGAAAAGAGAGAGAAATCGAACATACCGCAGAGGGTATCAAACTGCCATCCGAAAGAGAAAAAAAAGCGAAAAACGCCCTCGCGTGGAAAAGAGAAAAAAAAAAACACCTAGCCAGAGCACGATAACCCCAATTTCCTGATATCCATGCGTCAATTCATTAGAAAGTTTACTGTCGTGGTTTGACCCCGGATTAGAGGTCTTGCGTAACATCATCTGCCTTAGGCTATCACCTTCTCTAAGAGGGTGACAGGGCCATTTGTCGTTTCAAATTAAATTTCTTTGGGTTCTTCGTGTAGACCCTCTTCAGGCCTTACCGTGGCCTTGTCGTCCGTTCGCTCAACTCGGCCTTCTTCGGACTCATCGCCAGTAATTTCGCCCCATCCGGAGCTTCGTCGACTGACACGGCCCGAGGTCATGGCAAGGGGGCTACCCACACCGGTGATGCTAGCTGCTGTGCTATCGTTTCGGCTATGGGAAGGCGCACCGCTGCGAATACTCGCTCCGTCGCCTGTGGCAGGGGTCACCTTCGCTGGGTAGAAGCTGCCCCGCTCGCCTGTGGCGGTAATGGGTGCTGCGCCGGAGGTCGAATAGACACTGATACGCTCGGCGCTGGCAAGGCCGACCAGACTTGGGCGATTCAAAACACCTTGCGCATTGAACGTGGATGAGTTGGACGGCTCTACCACGTTACCACTGAGGACACTAAGCGGCAAGCTCTCTCGGCTGCCACCGAAGACGGATGATGGTGCGAGCGCGCGGACAGAGGCATTGGTGTCCAGGGAGTTTCGGCGGCGGCGCTTGGACGAGCTAGCCAATGTGAGGATAGATGCATTGTCGGTTAGAACGTTGTTCGCGGTCGCCGTGTTGTAGGTTTGGCTGTGGGTGATCAGGTGCCCGGGCACAGCCGTCGCGGGCGATGAGGAGGTAGGGAATTGGTGCGAGAATTGAACCTGCTGGGTTCCAGAACTTTGTGCTGAGTTTCCGTGTGCGTGTCCTTGTTGCGTGCTCTGCGCGGGGTACAGTTGGGTAGAGGGTGCGGCCGATTGCACGGTAGTCAAGGTGGTGGTCAGGGAACGAACAGATGGTGCAGGTGATGAGAAAGTGCTGCCTTCGCCTCCCCATTGGTGCTTAATGCTCCTCCGCCTGTCGCCAATGTTCCCGCCTTGGAGTAACCGGCCTCCGAGATCGCGGTGTCACCGTTTGTAGAGATAGTGGGGGCATTCGACTTGGCGCTGGTCGCGGGGACCGGATGCTCATAGCTAGAGTAAGCGAAGGAGGGATCGCTTCGCGAGCGAGACGCGTGATCCTCGCCAACTTCTGGGTAGGAATCGCTTGGGTTGGGGTTTCCTGCCTGACGATTGACGGTTCCCGACAACGGGTAGGGGTTGTTGCCCCCGTTCTTCTTGATTTTAGCAGCAGCGTGTCGCTTGTGAGACCAACGACCCGAGCCAGAGTCGGAGGAGCTTTTCAGGCTGGCTAGGCGCTTCATCCAGCTCGAGAAGGGGTGGCGGCGACCGTTGCGGTCTATTGTATACCAGATGATTAGTTGTTTTCTGATAAACAGTTGTGCCAGGTGAAATTACCATGTGCCCGCGCAGGCCCTTCAGCTGTAGCCATCTTGGATGCAAATAGTCTCGCCAGGATCGACTCCAGGTGTCAGGAGTAACTAAACAGGAAGCTCATCGACGCGCGCCGAGGCAAATGGGATCCGTGCGGGTCGACTGTTTATCCGAGTCATGTGCCACCCTTGATGTCAAACCGCCTTCACTTCACTTTTTTCATTCCATCACGATACTTGTCTGATTATGATCTATCTTTCTTGAGAGTTGGGGGTTTTGGCAATAATGACCGCGTGGCAATGTTCCTGCCGTGTCCGGAATCCCGTCCTTGCCGCAATAGATATGACTTGAATATCCACCACTTTATAGCTCCTTTCTGCCATGTCTTCTGGCGCAGGAATCCGCCAACTGCCACCTGATGTTGTCGCTAAAATCAAATCATCGACTTCTATCACTCATTTGAATGGAGTGATCATAGAGCTAGCCAAGAACTCCTTGGATGCAAGTGCGCATACGGTACTCGTCTCCGTCGACTTCAAGCGCGGCAGCTGCATAGTTGAAGATGACGGTGAAGGTATCCGACCGGACGAATTTGGGTCCACTGGTGGGCTTGGAAAGGCGCATCGTATGTGACACTTGTTCTGCGCATCAAGAGTCGTGCTCACAAGTCTCACAGATTCGTCAAGATTCCCGAAGGGAGATTCATATGGACACCGAGGCCTATTCTTGGCTTCCCTAGCTTCCTTGTCCCTATTGACCGTGACATCTTGCCATGAACAGCATCAGAGTACAAATTCGGTTATCTTTCACCATTCCAAGCCGGTGGCGCGGTTGCTTCCTGCACCAGCACATCAAAGCTTTCGGGCTGGCGAACATGGCACGAGTGTCGCCGTGAATGATCTCTTCGGCAACATGCCAGTGCGAACCAAGAGTCGAGCCTTAGCTCTTCAAAGGCCGGATGAGATGGAGAAGGAGTGGGAGAACCTCAGATATTCCTTAGTCTCTCTGATGTTGGCCAATTCGCAGCTCTCAAAGCTTGTTATTACCGACGTGACACGAGACAAAAGAGTATCCATTCGCTTCATCTCTCATACCGGAAGTTCTCCAGACATTTCTGAATCCACAACAGACCTTGGGCGCATTGGGTCTATCCTAGCACAATCTGGAATGATCAGTTCCAGAGACATGACCTCTTGGCACGTTCTATCAGCTACCATCCCCAGTCTTACGATTCGGGCTGCCATTTCTACCGTGCCCAGCCCTTCCAAGAAACTTCAATTCATTTCTTTGGGTAATCACCCGGTTTTTCCACGAAGCAACTCGAACATATTATACAATGAAGTCAACCGATTGATGTCTTTGTCGGACTTTGGAACCGCCAACACCAGCTCCGATGTCACGCCTTCAATATGTCCATCGCCACTCGTAGACGGCACTCGTGGCCTAGAAAGTGCGAGTGGTAGAAGCTGGGCTAAGCCAATCAACAAATGGCCAATGTTCTACATACGGGTCGATTCCCGAAACATCCAAGACTTGCCTGGTGATGAGCTATCACCGGACTCTGAAATATCTATACAGCGTATCACGGATGTTCTTGGCGCCATGATCATAGAGTTTTTGAAACAGCAACGGATGCGACCCCGTCCCACAAAGCGGCAATCCAAGGGATCTGATCGAACCACGTCAACCAAAGCCTCTGGCCAAAGAGGTGACCGATTTCATGCGAAATTGGGGGCAGTATCAAGTGCAGAAGAGGCTTTCGGCAGCCAAATTAAGCTTCCATCTTTTCAAAGATCCCAAGCTTTAATTTCGGGTCGGAATCTCAACAATTGGTCCAGGGTCAAGACCGCGAAAGAATGCTCGAATCGTGCATCTCCGGGTGGACATTGGAGTGAGAACAGTGTTTCTGGGGGCAGAGGGCGGGCCGAAGGGCAGAATCAATCAATGCCAGACCTTACCCAGACCGTCACGGACCGCAGGCAAAACGATTCGGCTTCTTCGGTCCATTGCAATCGAGCATTCATGCAACCACCGTCATTAAGGACAAGCGCACATTCTGTTATTGACGATAATGAAGGCAGCACACGCGCACCTCAAGACCAGCTTATCCCCTGGTTTGATCCGCAAACTCGGAAATCACACCTCATCAACTCGCGCACAGGACAGACTTTAAAGCCCAAGCAGGCGCCATCTGGTTTTTCATCATGGCCCGGAAGCCCAACTGCCAACCAGCCGCAACTTGAACGCGAGCAGCAGCCAGGTTCTTTGTATGACACTTCTCCGGGTCAGTGGTTTGAGGGCTTACTACGATCATGGCAGAATCCAGTGTTCACTCGATCCGAAAAGCCACTGGCAACTCTCGGGACTCCATCTATCCCTCACCACTGTATCCAAGATATTGGGCCTCTGGATGCTTCTCATCTTGCCAACTTTAGAGGCAAGATAAAGCGTGACAGCCTGGCAACCGCCTCCATCATCGCCCAAGTGGACCATAAATTTATTCTTGTGAAGATGCACTCAGATTCTGCGCAGCACCCTGGCTACGACCCGGACGGCATGCTAGTCTTAATTGATCAACATGCAGCGGATGAGCGTTGCCGAGTTGAGCGTTTGTTTGAGGAAATGTTCATCTCAGCAAACTCTTCCACAACAGCAACTCAAGTCCGAGTGGTTGAGATAGATCCCATATCGTTCAGTGTTTCATCTACTGAAAGTTTTCTTTTTCAAAAATACTTGGGTTTCTTCCGAACATGGGGTATTCACTTCAACATAGATGCGAAGCCAGCTTCTACGGCGACTGTTTCTGTTCATTTCCTCCCAGTTCTCATCGCCGAGCGCTGTCGATCTGAACCTAATTTGATACTTGACTTAATGCGCCGTGAGATCTGGGCATGTGAGGAAGATGATCAGAGGCCACTGGGGTCGAACAGATTGTCCAGGACGCATTTCGCCGATATACCACCCAACGAGCCGAGTTGTGTTCATCCATGGGTACACCAAATGAGCGGCTGCCCTCAGAGCATTCTGGATCTTCTCAACTCCCGCGCCTGTCGCACGGCGATCATGTTCAATGATTCGTTGGACATCAAGGAATGCGAGGTGTTAGTCTCACGACTGGCCAAATGCGCTTTTCCGTTTCAATGCGCCCACGGGCGACCGTCCATGATCCCGATTCTGGATCTACGCCCACGCACAGCACTATCTACCACACCGCCTAGTGAAGACATCCCGATGTACGATGATGATGATTATTATGATGATGATGATAAGGATAAGGAGGGACTAAATTTCATAGAGGCGTTCAGCAAACGCTATGCCAAGTAACATGTTAGCCTGGATGCCTAAATTAGGTTTGCTTGTAAAGAAGATGATGAGAAACCAATTCAACCTTCAACACTCTTCACTCCCACGTCTTTGTTCCAATTCCAATATCCAATTCACTTGGCTTGAACTGGTCGAAGCAATACCTTCTTCATTTCTCACTGTTACTCTAGCAATCATGCAACTTGACGGGCGAATCTGACCCAACGCATACCGAGATTGACATATCACATCGTTCATCAGCGAACAAGGAATATCCCCCCCAAAAGTACCCAATACGCCCATGTAATTTCCATTCTCGAAACACACCAGAATACGAATACATACAAAGCCCACAAGACACGCGAAAGTACACTCCGAAAAGCGTTAAAATCCCGGTCCGCCACTCAACGCCCTACAAGCCCCAGACCCGCATGAACTAGCATCAACACCAGATCCTACCACCAATCACGCCTAGTGCTACTGGATTATGATCAGTCCTAGAGGATCGCCTTGCAGCTCTAGGCATACGTGTTTTCTGCGTTCCATGCGATCTACGGATCGTCGATGTGACAGCGGACATGTCATACCCGGAAACAGTGTTCCAGGGTACCGGTCTGACGTATCCCTTGTATTGGATGCTTATAATGGTGGTGACAAGTCTAGATGTGTAACACGGGCCATATAGAGTGGATGGAGGGGCTCTGTGCAGGAGTTAGTCTAATTTGGGAATATAAATTGAAGATGTATCATTTCGTCCCCGAGGGCGGGGTTAAGCTGTTTACCAGTCATAATTGTCAAATGAGTTTAGTTTCTAATAAATGGGAAACGGCGCATGAACTTAGTCTAGACAGAAGGTTCAGAGCGTTATCTCGGCTGGGTGAATGGGTTCTTTCTCGGCAAGTAGACCAGCCTGTTCATTGTCTCGATGCGAAGTTCGGCCCAGAAAGAGCGTTCGAAAGATCGGGAGACGCCAGATCCTGACCGGTTGCCTTCTTTCTGGACACATGCACTTACAACACCCATAGGGTTTTCAATATTAAGTATCCAGATTCCGCTGCCTTGTCGATTCCTATGTTCGTAAGAGTGTCCGAGAATACGACCACAGATCGTAGTACAAGCAGCCTCGGTCGCTGCCATGCTTAACTGACACATCTTACCCAGAAACAGCGGAGCAGACATATGGCCCTCGCATGGTTTTGGGGGAAGGGTAACACATGTTGGCAAGGAGCGAAAGAAGTTGTTTGATCCCAATTTCGCTATTCTTCGGTCCGTGAGAATAGTAGCACTACGTAGTCTCGCAGCTTTTGACATCTCCTGGTCGATTTGTCAGACCATCAGCATTTCGTGGTCCGTAATGTTCAGGTCTTGTGCGTCAATGAAGACCCACGGGTTTACGACATCACATATTGTGCTTTTGGTGTCTTTTTCTTGGATGTCCTCGACAATGAGTGTGTCTGTTCAGTGCTTAATTCCAGTTTCAGGCGATGCGAGTGATCATTATGAGGCTGCAATAGTCAGGATCTCTAATCAAGCTTGTTCCTTGCTATGGACAAAATTGCAGGAACTACAGACCCATTTTGACCCAGTCCGAGATCGAACATATCCAGAGATCTTAGAAGATGAAAGGTGAGCCTTAGCCGTAGGCCCATCTCCACTCTGTTCAGCCCTAAATAAGGACATCTTCGTGGTAGTCGCAGCGCCTCTTTACCTGCCCGATCATTGAGAAGCCTTTACACGTCTCTATTGAGCAGTGGTGTTTTGTCATTTGCTTTGGGCCTGATTTGGGTTATTTTAGTTGACCGTCTCACCAAAAAGTGCTCCTCTTCCCTTTTGGCACACATTCTCTAAAGTCCCATACCTCAGAGGCCGCTGTGAGATCCGATGACAAGCTATGAGTTGGCCCCTTATTATATTACTCATTATTTTTAAGACTACTCTAAAATTGTTCTATCTCATTTGTTTTCGGGTTGCCGTCATGCTCGAAGAAATGCTGATCTTGTTCTAGCCTGGTACCTTTCGGTTCCATGGTTCTCATGTTTTCACCAAGAACTGAACTATGGCACACACTTCCTCGTCTATATCGGTTTGATTCACTAGACCTCTTTCCACCCCATACACTATCTCTTTCAGGCATAGTAACTTGAAGCATGCCTATATTATCTCCCTCTTTTGCTCTTCTGTCTTTCTCTTCTTTCCTTCATCACCCTTCAACTCCCTTATCTCTAGGGCACTACCAACATGACACTACGCCGACAGCAGAAACCTCACTGGCTTTGGCACCATAAGCGCCGCGAAGCCCAACTTTGCATAATTCTCAAATCTCTACAAGAGTCTACTGAGGACCAGATCACTTCCAGGAGGGCACAGCACAGCGGCATGCAACTAAACCCTCTCGATTTCGAGACTGGCGATACCGCGCCCTCCATAACGCTTTTTTTCGCTCCTCGGGACGACAACCACCTCCTCATCAGGAAGACTCTGTCCCAGCTACAGAAGAACAACTTTTTCCGCTGCTCCCTCGGCACTGGCACCAAGTACCAAGACAAATCCCAGCGTCAGCTCAATAATATGCTTCGAAGCGCGCTCGTCGAAACCTTCAAGGACTACCACAGCATCGCAAACCGATCTCGCAACGTCGTCGCGGATCTGCATCGCTACGAGTACGAAGTATGCTAATTTACCGCGAAGACGAAAGAATCTAACACAGGCAGGGATGACGGGTCTTTCAATAGCGCCATTTGCCACAATGGCAAGCAAGCCAATCTCCGAGTAGTGACTTCTCACGAGCTTCGTTCTGAAAACCATCGAATGCGTCGTAACCACCAAGTCCTCACTATCTCTATCAACGAGCATCCTGGTGCTCTTCCTTCAATCACTGAAATTCAATTTCTGGTCATCCAGATCCGACAAGCTATGCGCGCCGAGCGAAAGCTGGGTTTTTTCAAAAACCCATACACCAGAAACAGTCAGCCTAGAATGACCAAATACGAGTTCCCAGTGAGTTTCTCGATTAAATCTACATAGGCCATTAACTAACGACCCCGCAGACTCTGGTCACCATTATCTACCGCGGAGGCTACGTCCGAGTCATTCACGGCTATATGGATGGCACGCTCAGAATCCAATATACAGAGCCGAGACAAGTTACCGTCAACAACTTTGAGTCAATGATGGAGAAACTTCTCCAATGGAGTCTCCCCGAGATACAAGGCGATCCCACAAAAGTCGTCACGCTCCCAACGATCCAGGAGGAGGAGGAAGACTCTACAGAGCAAGACATTCAGCTCCCAAGAATAACGCGATTGACAAGACAAGAGATGAACCAGCTCAATACCTTCTTGCAACGCTGCCTCAAGTCACAATCCAATTTTACTCATGCCTGTCTCTACCAACCATTCTCGCGCAACACTAACCACAATAACGTCCGCTCCAAGTACTTTTTCAGCAAGTGCGCATACAATTCCTGCATGTTGCAACGCCCCATCGCATGCAAAAGAAATATCTGCAAAACACCACATTCTCCCAAACCAAAGCCCAATTCAAATTTTCGGGTCTTGAGTCCTGATGATCATTTATTGACTCCGTTCGTTTAAAGAGACGCTCGATTACTTGAACTCTTTTTTCCCCTCATGTTTGTTTCATATTCGTCGCTCATGTTGACGCTTATATCTATGAGGCATTCGTGACACCCATGGATTGAGCGAGGGGATGCAGACCTAGTTGTGCGGGTTGTGCACGACACCCCGGTGAGACTTGTACCTTTTCGTGGTGCCGGGGATAAGTAGCCAGTCGTCACTGGGTGAAACTAAACAAGTCAATCGGTGTATATGCTACTACAAAATCCGAAATTATAGACAAAAAGATGGAGATAAAACTTGGGTTTAAATTGGAATTTGGACAGGATTTCGACAGGATTTAGATTTACGTCTTACTTAGAGTGGATGTGGATTTACAGTTACGAATAGAACCTCCAAGTTGAAGTTTGAGGAAAGCATTTTCTGCATTGACAGGTTTTGAATATATCACTTGTACAGAAGCCTCGAGGCCTTTTTCTTCGAAAAGAAAGGATAAACTTGAAGTAAAAGCCCTTTTTTATCCACCGAAGAAACCCATAAAGAACAAGAGGAAACGAAAAGAAGGCCCTGTGGTACTCCATGTCCAGCCCGGACCCAAATTCCCGTCGCTTTTCTGATGCCAGTCCTTGGACGATAAAACAAAAAAGACACGAGCGCCGCCCGATAAGAACAAATGGATATTCACAGAACATTGGAGGTAAAAGAATCAGATATGCAGCCAGCATACATAAAGATGGCAGGAATAGATGGAGTAAGAGCCCAAGAACGCAAAGTAAATAGCGCAGGTCATTAGTCGTAAATGTAAGGGGGTATTGAATAGAAATGGTTGTTTAGCCGTGGGTCGCGACGGACTTCGGCTTTGATGGGTAGGTCCATGAGAGGAAATCAAATTTGTCCTTGGCATTTTCGAGGATGGTGGAGTTGTTGGACTCGGAATGAGGCTGTGCGGCCGCCTGTGCCGCAGCTTGCGCTTGCAGGTTTGTGCCGCTGCGAGAGCCCTCGCGGGGTTCTAGGACTAGGGATCGGCGGTAGAAGGTTTGAGCTGTGGTCTCGCCATTTGACCGGACACGCACAAGTTCGTTCTGCATCCAAGTCTGCAGCTCAGGAACCTCGGTCAAGCGGTAAGGAATCTGGAAGCGCTGGAGTTCGCTTATGATGCGAGCTGTCTTCATGTGCTTGTCAAAGTTGATCACGGCCATCTCGCCATCGTCAGTGGGGAGAGTTCGAAGAGACTGATTGCCGTGGTCGACAAAGGTCAGATCAGTGAGGTAGGTACCGACAAATGGAAGACACGGAGGAACATGGTTCTGCAGACGCTTGCGCAGCTCCGCGTAGTTCCGAGATACATCCACGATGGTACGGAGATATTCCAGGGAGTTCTTGGTTTTCTGGGACACAATATCCCATGTTCGCTTCAGACGGGAGATCATTGATAAGTTCAAAGAGCAGATGATAGCCATGAGGGAGTCATAGTTGTTGAGCTCAAGGCACTTGTTTGCAATCTTGACCCAGTGCTTAATAGTGGCCGCGCGCTTCTTCGGCTCCTCCAGGTAGAGAATAGAGTCGGCGACCAAGTGAGCCAAATCTGTCGAGAGAGTCGACATAGCGCGAACGTTGACGGCCAGAGAGCCCGATTTGCGCATCCATTCAGTGTCGAGGAGTTCCTCAGGAAGAATGGAACAGAAAATACGGGACTCCTTGATAGTCAACTGACGAGCCAACTCCAGTGGGTCGAAGTCAAGGATGGTGATCGCGGCATCACCGGTCTTCCACTGCTTCAACAAGTTGGCTTCCTTCTTTCCAAGGATAGGAGCAGGAAGAGGAGTATCGGGGTGAATGTATTGAGCAATGGCAGTATTGGTCTTGCCCATGGAAGAGACCAGGCGAGGCACGACCGGTCCGTGAACGGCCGAGACTTTCTCAGCAAGATCTAAAAGACGCTTACCAGCGGTAGGTAGCTCGGAGGCAAGACGAGTCTTGGCGAAATTTACGACGAAGTCCAGGGCATCGTTGTCCCGGTCGTGGCGCCAGTGAGACTCAAGCCAGCCTTTGAAGATATTGTAAACACGCAGGCGGACTGGTCCGGCAGCATGTGGGGTATCTCCAATGTACTCGAAGCGTTCGGCCAACGCCTCGGCAAACTCCAAGGGTGTCGCAAACAGACGGAATGTGAGGTAGAAGGTGGAAACAAACAACGCATCAGGAGTGGATTGGTGGGCGGTGAGCTTCTCGATCAAAGCACGAAGACTACCACCCATCACCTGGCCCTCCTTGTAGATCAATTCGTGTGCGTAAGTCTTCTCCAAGAGGTGAGCCTCGGTCTCCTCATTCTCCTCGGCCAGGGTCGAGTAGCTCACACTCTCCTTTAGCGACGGCTGGTTAAAGCTGCTGCTAATGTCAGGAGAGGTGGCTCGTGTGGAGGTACGAGAGACACCGCTCATTTCAGAGTCGCGGAGGTGGCTGTTGTAAGTGAAGCTGCTACCCGTGCTTGTGACACCCCGGCTGAAGGTCTCGCTCACGTCTGACTTGGGGTGGCTCTCACGGTAACCGCTCTCGTATGAAGAGAAGGACATATTTTCGAGATGGGTGGGAAGAATGGCAGAGTTTGGGAGTGAAGAGAGCGCGGAGTGGTTGGCCGAGGAGTTAATGTGCGATTGGAAAGTTGATGGTGTGGTAGCGTCGGTGAGGGCCGGGGTCGAAGGGGAGTAGGTCGAGTTTGGAATCTGAAGAGGCGGAGGGGGTAGACGAAGGGAGATCTCTTGAGGTTTTCTCTTCACGGGGAGTGTCGTCTGGCTCCTGTGAGTCCGCACTACCAGGCAGCTCCTGGTATCCGGTCTCAACCGGGTCGAGCTCGATATCGCCGATCTGCTCAAGTACTAGGCGGGCTTTAGCAAGACAGATGCCAGCGGCTCGCACACAGTCGGTGGCAGCGTCGACCAGGCGCTTGCCCTCGTCGGGCATGAAGATCAGGTCGTCCTCCTGGCCACTGGCCGGACGGAAGACATCGCGTGCGGCGTGAACAAGGTCCGACAGCTTTTCACACATGGCCTCGCGTGCTTCCTCCAGGAAGATAGTGCGCTGGCCGTCGTGCTCGTAAACAGTCTCAACGACGTTCAGCAGGGCGCGACAGGATTCAACAGCCTGCTGAGTAGTAACGACCAATTCGGTAGAAGAGCGAGATTGCATGTGAAGGCCGATGAAAGATCCAAGCACACCGAGGAAGGCGTCATAAGAAGTGCCCAGGCGTTCTGAGGCCAAGTTCTGCGAACGAACGGCGGAGGAAGGTCCGGAGTAGGAAATCCTGTGAGACACAGACATGCGTTTCGTTGCTACTGAGATCGGCCGAGGGGTGTGGTCAAGCATCTCGGTCCGTACCGATGCGCGACTCTGATCCATGCGGCTGCAGTTCAACAGGCGGGATTCGATTCGCTCGTCGGGAACATCGGCGATGTTAAAGGTCTCTGATGCCGGGGTTGGGGGCATGTCGTACTGGCTACGGCTATCATTCGCGCCTTGCAGCTCAGCAATAGTTCTCGTCAGCCCAACCTCCTCATTCCAAATGTCCAGAAACCGAACTCCACGTGTCACGATTTTAAAAGCCTTCAGCAGCATCTCATCCAAGATGGCCTCGACCTCATCCTCGTTGGGAGTTCCATTAGCAACATCCTGGAACTTCTTAGCAGTCTTAACAAGCGACGAAAGATCAGAAAGCAAAGCCTTGCGAATCCTGCGGAGTCCGTCGTACTTCCGAACCAAAGTTGATTCTCGAGTCAAACACTCGGATTTCTCCTATCAAAGGGTCAGACACGGCTCTAATTATCTTTCCATCCGTCCAAAACACTTACCAGAAGAAACCGAACGCCAGCAATCGGACCTCTCATCAGATCTTGGTTCCCAAAATCCTTCAGCGATGACCCGCATCCTCCTCGAATGATATCCCAGAAGTCAGTCAAGGCCTTCAGTAAAGGACGCATCGGCAATTGGTCATAAGCTTCACAATAGTTCGTCGGCAACCAACCGCGGTTCCCAGACTCTAACAAGGTACCATCGGCCCAGCCATTGGTGTGAACGGAGTGAACCAGAATAATATCTCCCTGCTCTTAGGGGGAGAGTGACCGTCGATGGCGAGACATTACCGGCCGGATGAAAAGGATAGAATGCGCGAAGGTAATTGTGGAAGACGGCCCTTGGTGGCTCTTGCGGTTCTGGTTGTTCTTGTTGTCCTTGTTCCATATTGTGTGCTGTCGTTCCCAAAGGCGTCATGGGCGGAGTCATCTCAGACTGGCTGAGACTAGAATGGAAAGGACCCGGGACGAGCCTCGAGTCGTCAGAAGTCGTGTTGAAGTCGGCTAAATTTGAATTCGACTTGACGATCTTTAACGGGGGTATGTTCGGCTTCATTGATCCCATCTCTTATCGAACTGTGATCGCAATGCTCTTTCCCGATAGCCAGTATGGTCACGGACCGAGGCGTTCATGCGTAGGAAGAAGCAGCTGACATCCTTCGGTTCCAATCTAGCAGACGGGTGGCGAGTCGTCAAGGATTGAAGGGAGGGGCTAAGAATTGGATCGCCAGATGGCTGGGGATGATCCTGGACAAGGTCAATTGCTGGTCTCTCAAGGGCTGAACGAGTGAGAGCCCTATAGGGATCCAAGGTGTTTGTTCCAAATAGAGTGGAATGTCAATTGCAGGGAAGGGAGTGTATAAGGAATGCTGGGGGGGCAGGATCATGGAGCGGAGACACACACACCTCCAATAAACAATTAATCAAACTATAAACAGCAACAAACTTCACAAGAGAGCCCGGAACATCCAAAAGCCCCAGCCGAGTATGACAAGTCGCAATCGATAAACAGATCGAGTGTCAGTGCGTGGTTGGGAAGTAACACTCTATGAAGGGGAAAGTCTTGGAGCCCTTGGAAAGCCCTAGGCCTATTGAAGATCGCAGCAAGGACGGTAGACCTGCGGACCTGTGCAATAGCGGATGACGAAAGTGGAATCCCTGGGGTTTCGGGTCCTCACACGCAAGGAGAAAAGGGATGAATGAATGTTCTATTGCCCGAATACTAATGGAAAACCCAAAGATCGGGGTTGTTCAAGAGGGGTCAGAAAAGAGGGACTGGAAACCAAAAGAAAAAGGAGGGCGAGAGCCTGGGAATAAGAGCTGGAGTCGAGGATCCAGTTGATTCTTCTGGGACTCGATCGGGACGATCCATGTGGACTCCACTTGCATACGGATGGTATCTTCGTATCGTACCTGATTTCTGGTATTTGGTATCTGCTGTTTTACCGTACTTTCATACGGGTAAAATTACTGTCGAGCCTTATACTTTATCCATCTGTACATCCGAGGGCAATAGTACCAGCATTTGGGCCCCCCTCTTTTGACCTTGGTTTTTTTTTTCTTCAAATTATTTTTGCTTTTCCTCTTACGTTATTTTTTTTTTTTGGTGAAAAAACCCCCCCCCCTCCCCCCAAATCTTTATTCTCAGTTTTCTATCTCAAGGTTAACAAAAAGTAATGCCATGGTATTAGCTATGGCCCCATCTCTAGAAATAGCCATTCTTTGGTAGCGGTCTACACTAGTATCCCTAGGACCCGCGCGTAAAGAATAGCTATGATTTCATAGCCACCTAATCTACCGAACGCTTCCCGTTCCAGGCTCTCCTCAAAAAAGTCGTTTTTAATTTGTTCAAAAATCCACAAAGTTAAGCCGCACCACCTATCAAACCACCGGACGCAAATAAATCCTGTGGGGTTAACCCGTCCCTGTCTCGAAATGCACTGACCGTGTGCGCCTCCATACCAAGACTCGATCAGTCACTCGGTGGCGACGCTCCTTTCACGTTGCTTGTCAAGTATCCTCCGGGGATCGACGGCGCAGCGTCCGGGCCCAAAGTGACAGCAGCCATGAAAGTTTCTTTTCCCCTCAGCAATCAAGCACTCGAGCTAGGTACTTTTGTAGAAAGAACAAGCCGTGCTGCTCTCGTGATGCCTATTTGCCTGGAATTTTTGATTGCCATCGCTACCTTCGCCGAGAGCGCAAACGCGACTAGACTATTAAGCCCTGCTCCAACAAATACACCAAAATCGACAACGTGATCATTAGCCTTGCCCCTCTTTCTTTGTTTCCCCCTCCCGCGTGGGGCGGTGGTGGATATCGAGATATGAACCGATGAAAGCCAAAGGCAGGTTCGCGTTGGCAGCTCCACAAACGCGCCGCCCTAGATTGGAGCTACCGCAGCGTTCCAACGTCACGGCCCATTGCAGACAGCCCGAGACGGGCGTCTCCAGCAGGGGCATAGTTTTTCGAGGTGCAGCGGCTGGGCATGCAACGAGAAAATCTTGACGTGGACCCGCCATTGTCTCAAGACCCTTCTCAGGATCAAGTTGCTTAGCTAGGAAGTAGTTTGGAGCGAAGCCAACTCGAGTCAGCGTACTTTTGTATCGGCTGCATTGGCGTTGGGGCGAAAACCTGGTCCCCGATTGCATCTGTGGCGATAACATTAAAATTTTTAATCACTTTCAAGGGAAAGGAATAAAAATAATCAATTGATGCCACCTTTAGTTCAGTTCACAAACTGAACAGAGCGTGGGGAGCTATGATCACATCGCATAGCGAACAGATGGGGGAAAAACCGACCGGGCTATAATTGAGTCGAAAGCTCTGAAAATTATGAAATTTCGGGGGGCGATCATTGGGTCTAACGGTCTAGACTCCGGTAACTTAGTGACTCGGTAAGCAAAGCGGAATCTTAATACAACGCGATACAAAATCTACGATCATTCTTGCCCCCAGCTTCAAGCTGCACGGACTCGGTGACTCTGCAGTTGCCAGTCCGCAATGCAATTTTCAGACGCAGGCCTCACCTCACGGTTGAACATCACATGTGCTATGGAAAGAACGGCGCTGTCAGAACGAGCTCAAGAGGAAAATAATACTCCGACGCAGCTCGGAGGGTCCAATAGGCTCGCGTGCTGTGACTGAGCTGCAAGCCTCTCCACAATATCACAGTGGCTCCCACGATGGCACACATAGCTTCTCCCCATCACTGATACGCGATCAGCGGTCGTAGGCTTGAAAGAGGGAGAAGCTCCGCCGCCGGCACGGCATTGAACCGTGGAACGCATGCGGGCGAAGCCATGCTTGGACCAGATGTCGTGCTGTTGTCCCTTTTCAATGGGGCTCCCTTTTCCGGTTTTCACTTGCCACCGTTTGTCTATTCGTGCTACAGCACAATCGGTGACATGCAATTAATCCAGATTCGTCTTATACCGACAAGGGCGTTTGTTCGGGTTCACTTCGCGATAATCTAGTGCTGACTGGCAAGTTTGCTCATCTATCGAGGCTGCATTGCGCCGCCCATTATGGGTAGAAACACACGAGACTAGTGCCCAAGCAGTGGGGCGGGAATAATGTCCCTTTTTTTGATATGCAGGTACTTCTCGTGACGAGTAAGACAGGTTGAGCTACGGGCTTGCTGTCATCACGTTTGGGAGGGGGGTCGCGGAAGTTCGTCGTCGCTTCATTCCGCCGAGCTTGGGCTTCAGGCTACACATGGTACATGGACGCGTCGAGACCGTCAAGGTCTGACGGAAAATGTACAGTAGGATTACAAACTGATTAGTTTGGATATCTCAGACCCATTATCTCATTTACCGAGGAGAAGCAGTTGAACAGAATTGATCTCTACCCGAAAAGGGTTTCGTCTCGACGTTCAGTAGTTCCGGGTGCCTGACTGATTCGCGGGGTATAGCGATACATGTTTCTTTCCCGGAAGGAAGTTCCACTGCCGGCCTCTTGGCTTTTCCGGTAGGGAATATTTGAGCTGACCTCGGTCGCATGCAAAATATCTGAGTCGTCGGTCTGAATTTCAAGCCAGGATCGAGATGAAGGCAATCACCCGAGGATCTACGTGGAACGTGACTAATAAAATAGGTGTTTTCTCCCGAAAAGACTCAAATGTTAAGAAACTGACGTATCCACAAGTCTCTATTGGCTGTACCTGACATCAAATGGTGAACAGTTCTCTAGAGTCCGGCCTCGGTGTCCAACGACGTATGTGAGGGTTAGACGGTTCGCGTAGAATATCGAGCGGAATACAGTCTCGTGGAATCAAGATCGTGTGAGATACTAAGGTCTCCGACAGCAATACACAACCTGTACTACCAGGCTCCTCATATGCAAAGCTGGAGTCCTCTGCAAGCAACAAGAAAGATTTCTTGGATCGAACGTCCAAATGTGATGTCGTTTGTGAGCTCGGCGTCATACACCGCTAACTTGGATCCCAACATGCTGACACCAGAACCCACCACCGTGGCTTGCAATCTCTGTGATGCATGATATGCATCATTTCCAAGTTTTTTCAAACATGCAGACTCATGCCGTGCAACCTTGTGGCTTTTGATCGATGACCGAGGATCGTAGAGGCCGGAATGACGAGCTCATACACGCTGTACCTGCATCCGAAACTGAACTTGGAACAGGTGGCCCGACCCTCATCGAAATCGATGTGTTGACTCGTGTGTGACGACGATGATGCATCTAACCAGCCAATATATGTCACGTTAGCGAAAGAGATCCATGAATTGACATCGACACTGAGTACCTTCCTTTTTTCTTTTGCGCGTATTACTGACAGCCGCTCTTGATACTGACTCGGCGAAGATCCAGCTACGCCACTGCAATTCACTGTTTTACAAACCCGCGTTTTCGTGCGTCTAAGGAGTATATTCCCTTCGAAGTCCCAGTGCTGCCATGGCTATGTGTAGTATGTGCTATACGTCAGATCGTACATAACCTCGGATCCTTGGATCATCATTCCTCCCACCACAAGCCAAGCTTGTTACATCAGGCTATGATGTGAACAGATACGGAAGAGGAGAAGGGATTGGAAATAATACCCACCCGGGATTTTCCTTAAGGTAAGTCTACAAATCGAACCCAAATGTCGGACATCTATTCTCTCGCAACTCCAGCCCTGGAACAAAGAGTGGATCGCTGAGGAAAAGTCATGGTGGCGTCAGTCGAGGCGAGTGAGCCCTACATCCAGGGAAAGAGGAGTCTAAACCCGCAAAGATACCTAGAATTCATGGATCACCACGCCTCAAAGGGTAGATCGTCTCATGCTTGGATCCAATTCCGAGAAAGTCAAAGCATGTGGTGGATCTTGATAGTCGCCCCGGGTAAGTGGTCCACGGAACCACTAGAGTGCCACACACAATTGATTGCGTATAGTGACAAGCGCGTTCAGATACCGGTATTAGATATTCCATTACCTCGGTCTCGGACGTTTCCAAAAAAAAAAAATACCGAGAAAACACGCAAACGGCGCATGAAATGGAGTCCGGAAAGCCAAGAACCCGTGGACCTCAGAAGGCTGCGCGACTCCACTGATCAAAACTCCACAATAACTCAGATATATCTCAGAAATGGTGTAATGGTGGGCTATCGCAGGATTCGGAAAGGAATCCGTGAGAGGCAACACGAATCCACTCCTAAATGAACTTCTGCTGCGCCCACGCGGACATTGGCCCATTTGATCCCACACGAACGGTTCAGCCGGCACGAAGGAAGCGCGACGCATAATCTCCCGGTCCCTGTCCATGACCGCGGCGCCACTAGGCAAGGTACGATCAAATGAAGGACCGTCGCCCATGGCGGCTGTTTTTACCATACTTTTCACTAGCTACCCGCGGGACCTGTCGTCGGATGCCGTCCGGGGCAGCGCCACGAGGCAACGTCCAGAGGAGGTTCTTTGTTTCGTGAGATCTTTATTCTCCCCAGTGGCGATGGAGTCAGTCTCACACATTTGGAATAAGATCGGCGAGCTTCACGGGCTATGGGCTAGCGGATGGGACTTTCCGGTGTATCCAGCGACTGGGTTATCGGGATTTGTAGATGCCGAGGCAGTCAAAGAGGGGGTCTAGAGCTTTACTCTGTGGGTGCAGGTCAGCAGAATAGATTTTCGATGGTGCTACTGTACGATGCGATCATCGGTTCACAAAGAAGCGGCGGCTAGTCGATCAGAGGGCCCATATTGGTAAATGAGCTTTTTCCGATCAACAGGCCATTGAATTCAGAGAGACCAGTCACCATGTCCAAGCTTGCAATGGAAAAGCCGTTGCATGGTGAAGAGAGCCTTGGCTTATTGATTCACAATCGATAGTGCCAACGTCGCTGGCATTGCGGAGGGAGCCGCTGCGCCCCCTAAATGAGGAGCCGAGAATTGGGCCCAGAACGTCTGGAAGGATTCGAGGATCGCCCTTTTCTCATAGGACCTCCACCAGGGTCTCTCCTAGTCAAAACCTTCTCCTCGTAAAAGGTCCTCCGCGGCTGCCTTGGCTCCGAGCACGTGTTCAGCGTCGTATGCGGACCGAATGCCTTTTCCCTGTCGCCCCTGAGTCGAAAGGCACAGGGTGGGGAGAGACTAGAAAACACTAGCCTATCCGAGAACTCCGTAGTATCAAGAAACGATAGTCGCGTAGCCTCCCAGGGAACAAAGAGACGTGGAAATGAGAATAATCCCTCAAACTAGTCTGGCCCGTTGAATGAGCTGCTGTCATATGCAAGAAGTGAGGCGAATTGGGGGGTTTGGCTTCACGCAGAGAATCGATAGTTTAACTCCCACCCTTTCCGCGTCTTGGACTTTGGGACGGGATGAAGGCCGGGACATGATAGGTCTCCGTTCTTATCACTCGCGGCGTTGGAAGTTTACTCCGCGGACGGGAAGAGTGATCAGCGGCTCGTGTCTAGCACAACGTGACGAAATGGAAGACCTTGGTGATTTGGGTCTCCTAACGGTCATTGAATCCACCAGATCCCATAATTCAGTCAAGTCGGGGATCATGGGGAACTGTGCCATCTCCGCCCAACTCGGGTGAACACCTTTGTTTACGCCGGAAACAATACAATACGCGGTGTTCACTCGGCCCTAACGACTTTACCCACGGTTCAAGTGGCACGAGCTGAGAGCTCTCCACGCTCGATCAAACCTCCACCTTTGCCTCACGATGATAACCCAGAGCTACCTCGTCGATCAGTGGCAAATTAGCTGGTGCCTGCATCAGTGGATATGAGGCGAACACTTAATCTACAGCTGCGTACTTTCGCCACAAACTCGGCAGGTGGAAATCCATGCACCCAGAAACAAGAAAAGAGAGCAAAGACGAACGCATCAAGCCGCGACCCTTTCACTTGGCTCTGTCGATCGAGCAACCACTCACACCGAATCATAAGTGAGCGCCATCAACCTCGAACCAGGAGTTCGCTTGCGTGGGGGCCACGGTATCGACGATCAAACAGATGCGCACCAGTGACGAGAAACACACAGCGGGGCTTCAAGAGCTGCCCCCCCCCCCCTATGACGATGCCAGAATGTGCGCAACCCTCCACTCGAGACTGAAGATCTCCTCCCACACAGGTACTCGGGCCATTTTGCGGACAAAAAGAGCGACAGTAAGATGACGCTCAGCGGAGCGCAGTTCACTTCACTTCACCAGAAGTGAAAAACTACTGTAGGGGCAATATGCAGGAACATCACGTCAGACAAAAATCCCCGAATACCATTTCAAGGCTTGAATTCCGTTCCTGAGGAATAGCGGGCTCCGAGGCGGGCATCAACAGCCCATCAGCATGCCTTGGCCCCCTCCACGAGCATGAGCAGCATTCCCCATCAGGGGTTTCGCCGAGCGATCTATCCTTTCCCGGGCGCATGAACCTGCAATTCCTATCACGAGATACCATTGACAACCACTCTCCGCGCAGGGAAACCAATAGCGAAAGGGTGTTCCGGGACTTGCGCATCCTCCGTGGTTCCTGCAGCGTGCGCAGGCACGAGGGCAATACGCAAGTAACAATCACAAGTCTACAGTATACCGCGCATAGGTCGATTCGCCTGTCACTTTTCGCGCAGAATCGTGTCCACAATCCAAGAGCCCCTCTTCAGTTCTTGGGTAGAAAAGAAGTGGGAATGGGCTTGTCTCCGGTCGCGGTCCCGGGTTTTTTTTTTCCCCCTTCTTCTTACCATACACGGGCCCTGCGTATTGGGTCCGGCTATGCAGCAAACGAACACCTGTAGATGGACCAACACATCGGGAAGCCTTAGATGAGGATGGGCGCGATAATGGTTTCCATGGAAGGTCTAGAAAATAATAGCGTGCGCCGGCGCAATCTAGCTGTGACACTCGGGACGGCAAACGTCCTGACGGGAGATCTAGTGGCTTTTTTTCCCCCCCCAGGAATCAGTACTCCTTGCCAATCGCAGTGATGGTGTGATGTTGGCCTTGATTACGACGGGTCTGATGGGTCCCAGTTAGGAAGGTGGGTGAGACTTTGTCTGATTGACAGGGGCCGTCTCTGCTGGATATCAGCCCGTCTAGGTGCACGGGGTTTGCAGAAGTGTTTTTGTTGGCCCCGAAGGTCCTCGTGTTCGTGTTGGGTTTTCTTGGTTGTTGTTTTGATTTCCTGGGCTCTGTGTGTGGATTCTTAAACGTACGGTACGTGGTAGACTGTATCCGCAACCTACCGTGTGGACCCAGGGTCGGGGCGCATGTTTGTAGGGCAATTTAGATTCTATCGGAACTATACCGAAGCGAGCTTCGATAGTTGGCGATAAAGAACCAAACGGTCGAATGGATGACATTGATAATTGCTTCAGTCCTTTCAAGCAGCTGATCTTACGACAGAGTCTGGTACAGGCGCTGAGCTTCGTCAAAACTGCGATGCAAGTGCCCTATCTTATTCACTTTGTGAGGCGAGGCCAGCTTTGATGGTAGAAAGTACAGGGATGGTGTCTAAAAATTCACGTCCGCCGTGGGTATAGACGTGGGACACTGTAGATGCATGGGTAATTGAATTGCATAGCTCAGTCGGTGTTTGCGCTTGGGTTGGAGCAGGTGGCCTGTCGCGAAGATATATTTCCCAAAGTGTAGTTGGCCTTGTACTACCGCAGCCTTGCAATCTTGCAACCCTGTGACTTTCAACCCTACATATTCACATTTCTATTCAGGTGCAGGACTTTCCAATATATTCTATTATTCTATATCCAGATCTAAATGCAGCTTTTCATTTGAACCGAAGGCATTTCGTGGGTAGCAGTAGCTGACAAGCAATCTCGATTCTCAATCGAGTAAATAATCCCATCTGACATTATATATTATACACTCGATTGTATTACAACATAGACAGTTGGTCTTCTCTGTGACAACACACAACTGAAATTGACTAGTCAATAATTACGCTGACCCATTTGATTCATGACATCGCCGTTGCAGTGGACCGAACACCACCGACCATCCCTTGCATAAACTCGGATGCGACAAAACCGATATATCATAAGCCACTTCAACTATATAGCAACCAGGACAGATCACAATCTTGTCCCCGACTTAATAGACATGAAACTTCTCCACAGCAGACTACGGAAGTAAAAGAGGTCCTGTACCATGGAACAACATGCCCAAAGCTACAGTCTCGTCCTAGCTAGGAGTCTGAATACCATCCTTGTTCCAGGCGCGTGCCTGGATTCTTCACGCTGAGATGACCCCTCATCCTAGGGACCCCCTGGAATAGGCTGTTCAAATAATCAACACCCTTATCTCCCCTTTCGTTGTTGAAGACTGGCGCCCAAATAAGAATTACTCGGACCCCCACACATTACACGCAATACTGACTTCCGATCACCATCTAAACGAATACTGAATCTTGACTGGTAAATATACCTGATTTTCTGGTAAGGACACAAGCCACTTGGAAACCCAACACCAACCCGTTACAAATCAATGACATTGAACAATAGTCCCAAACGACAAAATGAAGCTGACAGCCATTTTCGCCGCAATCTCGCTCGCCTCCGCCGTCGCAGCGGCCCCGGTGCAGAATACACCTCGGAACCTGATCCCCGGCCTCCCGACCCCCATGTATGTGATCGAGAAGATGTATCCAAGCTCTGGGATCCCAAGGCTTGCGGGTAAGCTGGAGAAAGAGTTCCACCTCTGTATGTTCATGCTTGAGACACGGGAGATTGGCCACGACTGACGCTCTTAGAATTGAAACCATGATCAACACCCAAAGGCGTTGAGAGATGAAGCGAGACGCATCAGTACAGGGAGCTGAAAATGAGTCCTGCGGCTAGACTAGACTGCTGAGCAAAGTACCGCGGATTTTGCGGATTTGAATACCCTTCTTCTTCAATAGAGTAATGAGATGAATCACCATACAAAGAATCTCTGATGCCGAAAACCCAGAATAGGTTCACAGAAAGGACAAAACTTGAATGATTCAGTAAATACCACTATGCTCTGAGTGCTAGAACATCCCCTCCATATCTAAATCCAAGAATTCCGGATTCCCAACTGCCATATCCGCAGCATTGAGCACATCATCGATGTCATCCATGCCTGTCCCTGTACCCAACCCCATATCTTGTCCGAGACCCTGTCCCATATCATGCCCAACAACACCAGTATCGATACCCGCCGCCGCCGCAGCAGTGGCATCATCAAGCATCTGGTTGATATTATCGGTCTCATCGTCGACACCAACGCCGGCGGTAGGTTCAAGATCCATGCGATCTTGGCCTTCGACACCGAGGTGCATGTTATGAATGATATTGCTGACGTCGATGTTGGACACTTGCGTTGGGGGCGTTGATAAAGAGACCGACGCGGCGCCAGAGGCGGACGACGACCTGTGCGCGCAGGGGATCTTTCTCGGAGATTTTAGGCACGGTATCGTGTTGCAGGGCAAGTGCATCGCGGAGGGTGAGGACCGGGCAGCGGGGGAGAGCTTCCTTGCTCGAATCAACTGGGTGGCAGGTGTTCTGGTCCACGGCGAAAGACTCAGCCATAGGTGCGCAGATCATAGTCGCCGCGATATCGAGTGCAAGATCACCGCTTCCTGCTTCTGTTTGCTGCTTGACTTCGTCGAGGATTGCGGTTAATATGCGCGCCGAACCGAGGATGCGAATCCCCGCGAGAAGCTGACGGTGGGTGTAGGACTGGGGTGCGAGAGTGATCTCGGAACTTGCGCTCCAGAGGACGAGTGATTGGAGGGTGTTGCGGATACTTCCTGGGAGGCCGCCTGCTGTTTGGGCGGCCCAGTTGTCGAGTTCGGATCGGTGGCAGCTGCCGACTCGGCGGAAGGAAAGGTAGGGTTCAAGGGAGTCGAGGATGGGTTTGATGTCGGTGCGGGATTGGTGCCGTGTTCGGACGTCTTTGAGCTGTTCTTCTAAGGGACGGGCGGTGATATTCAGGACTGTTTGGTGGATGGCTTGCGCTTCGCCGGAGATGGAGTTAGGCTTGACAAGAGAGAGAAGGGTTTGTAGTGGGATTGTAGGATCGATCTCGGATTCCCAGATATGATTGCCGAGCCAGGTCAATGCGACGACTAGGGATGGTAGTAGAAAGGGTTCGAGAAGGTCTAAGAGTGTCAGTCAAGTGCCTATGGCGAGTAGACGTGTGAATCTAACTCACATTCGAAACCGCCCTTCAACGTCTCAAAGTCCAGTTTTCCAGATTCGCATGCGCCTAGGCTCTGGTCGAAAAGCGTCGCAACTAGCATATAGAATTCCTGGGGACTACAAGCAGACATGGTTTCTTCACTGATACCCTCAGCAATGAACAAAGCCGCAATCCAGCCACCTATATCCTTGTTCTGCTTCTCGCTCAGCTCCGTCAGTTTCAAGCTGCAGGAGCCCCTGTCCAGTAGTTTCAGCACAAATGAGTCATTGCTCGAGATTCCCATATCGGACGGACTCAAGTCATAGCGATACTTGAATACCAGAACTAGAAGCAAAATGCTTCCGAATTCATCATAAACTGGCTGGTTCTCGCTCTGATCATCATCCCATCGCCAAGAGTCCAAGAGGGCACAGAGAGGTTGAAGGATTTGCTTGGTAGTTCGGAAAAGAAGCATGACATCCAGTGCTTGGGGGCGCCGTGAAAGGGAATTGCAGATGTTCTTTAGAGTCATGGTCTCTTTTTGGTTGCACAGGTTGAACATGACCTCAGTAATGGCTCCGACAATAGCACCGGCATTGCCCTCCATGGACTCAATTTCACCGACCAATTGATCCGCCCGTTCGAGGTTAGAGCTGATTTGTGAGACAAGGTCATCCTTGTGGTAAGGACCGCCAACCGGTAAGGTTTGCATGGGGTTCTCGCCCAGAAGACGTTCGATGCTGGTCTCGGTGATGAGTCTGTGGGACGCGCAGGCAAACAGAAATTCCTGACGAGCATCCGATAGAACGCTACTGCCTTGCATAGAGAACATCTGAGAAAAGGAAGGGAAGGCATTCGGATCCAGTCGGCTGAGCGCTTGTGTAATACACATCTCAATACTGATGGGCACCATCGAAGCTGCAGTCATGGCCGCAAAGAATGCTGGAAGTTTGTTGACAAGGAAGGACCGGAATAAGAACATAGTCCGACTGGACTCAGTGCGATAGACGCCATTGGACAGCACGTCGAAGGACGCCGTGATTATATCTGCGACAAGGGCTTCTTGGTGGCCCTATAGACTGTTAGACGAGGAATACGGAGAGGGAATCTCACGACGTGTAAGCTAAAGCCTATAGGCGAGATCAAACTTACCTCGTAGCGATTGGTGAGGTAGTTAATGAGGATATTGTCATCAACCAACGGGCGACCAACAAGCTGACCGAATGAGCATATTTCTTGATGAAGAAGAGCAAGATCTCTTACCACGGAGTTTAGATACACATAGAGACCAGCTCTAGTGTTGATGACAGGACCGTCCATAACCGACGCCTCAAACTGGAGAGCGTTGACATTCATACCGTCGATGGCAGAATGCTCCATCGATTTAGAAGATTGCTCTCCAAAGAGATTGAAATCTTTCTGAATCGTATCCAACCGATGCCGCAATGGCAGAGATACATCGACGCACAGGGGCAGATAGCTAGATAACGCCTGACCCAACTTTGTTTTCAAATCTGGCGATACCTATCAACAAATGTGTAGACTTAACCAAATGACACAAAGCTTACCTTGACGGTCATGACTGGACAACATCTCCAGACCCTTCGTCGTCCCAGACAGCGCGGCAAGAAGAATACCGAGCGACTCAAACAAAGAGACAGCATCCGACGAGCTCATCAACCCTCCCCCCCTGCTCCCCATTCAAACTATCATGATGCCATGCAACAACAGCCACAATCCACTCAACAGTAGCTGCATAAAGGTCCGCCGCCTCAGCAACAGACCGAGGAATACTCCCAGTACTCACAGCCATCATGACATCTTGGATGACCTTAATGTCTGTCATAAGCGTACTCGCCCTCCTTTTAACGCTCAGGCCCCGGATAGAAGAATGCTTCAATAGCGCAACGAGCGCCGCGGCGCTCTTAACCCGCCCACTCTTGCATAGACTGTCAACATAGACAGGTAACAGTGGGTCCCAGGCAATCACGGAGCTTGCACGCGCCTCCAAGAGCAGATCAAGGAGTTCATCCTCTTTGACTGGGGATCGAGCCAGCATCAGCTTGGTTAGGCCTTTGAATTCGTCGACATCTACTCGATGCGCTAGGCATCGGTGGAGGAAGGTCTTCCATTGTTCCGAGGATGCTGTGTCGGGCAGCATCATGGCTGCTTAGGGCATAACAGAGCAGAATATAATGTTGGTCCGGATATATAAAAAGATTATTCAATCATTAGGTGATGGCCGGCGGGTTTCGGCGCCAGTGACTGCGATCAAATCCCAATTGGGTCGAGGGATGGCGTCTGTTTGGTGTTGGTCACGGGATTTAGATCACGTGGGCTATCGGCCGGACATTAAATGGCTGTCACCATAAGGAGTTAGAGGCTGCTGGAGTATGAAACGAATTGGAGAATCATTTGTAGCAATCACGACGGGCTAAAAAAAACATATATGTCAACTGGATGAAGTCCCGAGGTCACCAAAAAAAAATGAAGCTAAAGATTCGACTCTATGCATAAGTGGGCCCCAAGGTCCTGCAGGACTCGCAGTGGCATCTTAGTCTATCTTGAAAAAGTCGAATACCTCAATTGTGACCTCAATTGTACTCAAGTTGATTTACTAGAAAAGGAGTTTTTTTTTTTTTGGAATAATTCATTCAATTTCGTTATCATCATGACGACCCCAACGTAATGATGCTCATCAAAAGGGAATATCATCATCGAATGCAAAGGGAATCCAGCGCCTCTATAACCGCTCAACAAAAAAGCTATTAACAAAGAAAATGCCAAGGCTACTCCATGGGAGACAGCAAAGAAATCAGTCAACTTTTTCGGATGACTGATGATTTACCACCAGTCACCGTGGTGCTTCATGGCCTCAGCGACCTTGGTGAAGCCAGCAATGTTGGAGCCAGCAACGAGGGAAGGCAAAACACCCTCAGCAGGGGTGAGGTACTCCTGAGCGGTGCTGAGACCGTTCTTGAAGCAGTCCTCCATGATGCCCTTGAGGCGGCTGTCAACCTCCTCAGCAGTCCAGGAGACGCGAGCAGAGTTCTGAGCCATCTCCAGACCGGAAACAGCGACACCACCGGCGTTGGCGGCCTTGCCGGGAGCGTACCAGATGGCATTGGCACCGTTAGCCTCACGGTGGGCCTCGAAGACATCGATAGCCTCCTGGGTGCAGCCCATGTTGGAGCCCTCGGCGATGAACTTGCAGCCCGCAGCAATCAGAGCCTTGGCCTCGTCGCCGGAAACCTCGTTCTGGGTAGCGGAGGGAGAGCAACGTCGACACGGCCGACAATGTTGGTCCAGGGGCGGGCACCGGGAATGTACTTGAACTTGGAGCTGAAAGCAGTGACAGTAGCGAGCTCGGAGATCTGCTTACGCTCGACCTTGATGGCGGCGATAGCGTTGATCTCCTCGGGGGTGAAAGAGCCCTCCTCACCGTTGAGGATGAGGGCACCCTGAGAGTCGGACAGAGAAACAACGGAGCCACCGAGCTCGATGACCTTGAGGGCAGCGTACTGAGCGACGTTGCCGGAGCCAGAGACGGCGACGCGCTTGCCAGCGAAGGACTCCTTGCCACCGGAGGCATACTTAATCATGTGCTCGACGTAGTAGACGACACCGTAGCCGGTGGCCTCGGGACGGATGAGAGAGCCACCCCAGCTGCCGCCCTTACCGGTGAGAACACCCTCCCACTGGTTACGGATCTTCTTGTACTGGCCGAAGAGGAAGCCGATTTCACGGCCGGTAACACCGATGTCACCGGCGGGAACGTCAGTGTCCTGACCGATGTGCTTGCACAGCTCGGTCATGAAGGCAACACAGAAGCGGCGAATCTCGTTATCGGTCTTGCCCTTGGGGTCGAAGTCGGAGCCACCCTTACCACCACCCATGTTAAGGCCGGTCAGGGCATTCTTGAAGATCTGCTCGAAGCCGAGGAACTTCAGGATGGACAGGTTGACGGAAGGGTGGAAACGGAGACCACCCTTGAAGGGGCCGAGGGCGGAGTTGAACTGAACACGGAAACCACGGTTGATTTGGACCTTTTTTAAGTTGTCAGCGGCGAATTCTCAAAAAAAAAATTTCTTGTGACGGGCAATTTAGCATACCTCACCCTTGTCATCCTCCCAGACAACGCGGAACTGAACAACGCGCTCGGGGACGGAGACAACCTGGAGGGCCTTGCGGTACTCAGGCTTCTTCTGGAACAGAGTGGAGTTCTCAAGAGTAGAGGCAAGCTCTGGAATATGATTAGCTGGGACACTTGCCGAGGAACCACTTGCCGAGACCGGGAAAACGATTAAGTCGGAAGAGACCCGAGAAGGGCACGGAACACGGAGTGTTCCGTGAATGTCACTTAGGACATTTCGGAAAGGGTAGAGGGGCACGAGGGCACGAGGGGCAAGAGGGGGCAATAGAGTGGTAACGGCAGTAGTGGTGGTAATCGAAAGACATACCCTTGTAGGCCTGCTCGAACTCGGGCTCGGAGGGAAGGTTAGACATTTTTTGTAGATGTTGACTCTGCTGCAGGTATTAAGGGTATAAAGGTATGTATTAATCAAGAATGCTGGGCAGACTTGAGAAGCAGAGGATGGGTTGGGAAAGAAGAAAATCTAGGGGAGAGTCGGATAGTTATATAAGAGGGCGGGGAGGATGCCGGAGTCGGACGAGAGAGCCCGGACAACGTGGACGGGGAAAAAAGGGAACAGAAGATCACGTCCCAAAGGTCTCAAGGGTACGTAGGGACGGTAGCACAGGGTGAAGGGCCAATGTTTGGAAACATGAAACCCAATGGTTTCCGTGGGAAGAGAGTCCGAAGTTTGGGGCCCACACGGTAAATTTTACTTATCCTTTAAGGTCAGAGATTGCTTATCTAGTGGCGGCACCCGACTTTACTTTCTTCACCCTTCACCCGGGCAATCACAGTAAGCAAGAGACTGACAGGAGATTTGCCGCTCTCGGATCCTGCATCCTGCTCGTTCCGTCTTAATTTCGTTCCTGCCCAGGAGTCGTTGACCCATCGGATCGGTCCTCTCCGATGCCTGTACTGTACAGCATGGAGCTAATGTAACCTAGAGTTGAGTGCATAGCATAACGTAGGCGAGGTTATGCCTCATACACGATGCATCAACATAAAATCTCTTCCTGTTCCCTCTGAAGCATCGATCGTTCCTTGCTGAATAAATTCATAGAGGAACCCGCCACCAGCTTCCTGCTTCGGCAATGGCTTCGGGAAAATGGGAAAGTGATCACGTGCCATGCCGCAAACGGTACCAGGCTAGTCCGAAGTAGGCAAGGCCCCACCACCTTATCTGATCGCTGAGATTCATTTTTCAATCCGTTTGACTCACAGGAATGCTCTACACTGGTCAACATCTTTATCAGTCTCTTCCCCTCCATCCACCCCCAATTCCATGCACGGCCGAACATCCGTTTCTCCCCAAAAGGTACACCGGTTCTTCACTCCCGGCACATCAGTATCTCCCCCGACGCGGGGCTTTTGGGAAAGATGGCGGGGGGGGGGCGAGGGGTTGATTTCGGGGTTATACAGTCCGGAGAAACAATGCGTACATAGCTTTCTACATAATATCATATTGTTGCTTCTACCAATTACCGCATGATATCGCTGTCTGAACCTTAGTACCAGATCTAACTCCTGATTCAAGCAAGCCACGGCTTCCTACCTAATGGAACCAATATGATTCAAAACTACTCTCACGGGCTCTGCCCACGAGTTCAGCCACGGCCCTGTCGTCTGGTGCCAAGCTCTAGCCCAACTCTATTTGCTGGAGTGGCCCGATCGTCGGCAACGGCCCAGTGCATGGAGCATATGTACTCCGTACCCTGGGGAAACACGCCATTAGCCCATCATGAACTCCCTGATGATTGGTGGCAGCGGCATCCAATCTTTCCGTCCGCGAGCCACCGATCTGCCTCATCATGCGCTTTGAATGTTTCCATTTAGCCGTTTTACCCCCATCAATGGGAGCCGGAACAAGGACCGAAATTCAGACGATAGGCTTTTAGTGACTTTCTTCGACGTACGAAGAGTCGGAAATGCTCAGTGGGCATTATGTACTGCTTGTATTCCATTATCTGATGCTTGAGATCGTTTTGCGGGAGCGAGTCACTTCACCGGTGTGTGCATGTGTCAACTTACATTCCACAACGCTTTTAGACACATACATCCGAAAAACGGAGGTATGCATCGTGTTTCTAATCTGAGTTTTAGCCTAAAACAATGCTAGCATGGTGGGGCTCTTTACATGGTAGAATTCAAATTCCCCCGAAGTACATCCGACACGTTTAAGCTTCGAGCTCTTGCTGGATGAAACAGCTAGTGCCTAGGATCTTTTAGTCTGTGCATTGTGCATGCATTGGCATGGGGAACCATCTTATCAATCTTCGAGTCGGCGATTCGTGCTGGCCTGCAAGATGTGGGGTGAGTTTACTCAATATAGAGTGATCGTCGCGTAGCCTAGAATGAATGGTAGTCTCTGTGTGAGGCACATGCACATGCACAGTCTTGTCAATTGATGTCAGTAGAGACTTGATCTCAAGCAATAAGATCACTTGCTTTTATCTCGTTTGGAATTCCTTCAATTAGACCTCACTGTCACAGGCCAGTACGGGAAAATTCGTGTGCTATTCAGAAAAGCTCTAAACTAAGAAAAGAAAGAGAACAACTACGAAACAATTTCCCCCCTCATGTCCCCTTCGGGACTAGCTCACCACACGTGACCTTTCCTCGACCTATGTGTCACACTCATTATTAAGTCCCATCAAACTTGACTAAGATCTGGGACTTCTGTACGATGAATGCCGGAGTCGGCCCCAAAATGAAATTTCCTTATTTGTATGAATGACACCTTACCTCACAAATCGCATGTGTATACCCAGATCTTCATAGCTCAATACTTGAGCAAGAGCGTTGCAGCCACACACCACACCGCAAAGACCGCACAGACTGCATCAGTCGCTCACGGAAACATTCACATCCAAACCCCACAACCACGAATCAGCCAACTCCAGCGCCCGCACCATCTATGTACCCCAGACCCAGCACAATTCTTAATGAATAATCAAATATAAATGTTCAAAAATAGTAAAAATCAACAAAATTCCATTGCATACAGTGCACACCCATCCCGCTATAATCCCGCCAAGCCACAGTGGCTAGCCAGTGGCCGTGCCAAGTCCCCTGAGGGTATCGGCGGTCTCCGCGACCCTGAACCCCCAACCTCGCCATCCGGTAGGAACAACAGCATTTGCAGTTTTCCTATCAGGTCAAACCCTGCAAGAGGGTCCGACCGACTGGCATGACACATCGCTTTACTCGAGATCTGCACATCTCGCTCTCGCTCCAGCTACTACTACTACTTTACGGCCGAGATTGTCAACTAGTTGTTTTCCCCTCCTTGAGTCAGGTAGCGCGGGCTTGGTAGATTGCATCTTGCCGGATCGAGTGAATTATCACTGGGATCCTGCCAAGGGAGTATCTGACTTTCACTGGGAAATGAACTGGATCGAGGTTAGCCGAGGCAGGAAATGTAAATCCGATCGGTGTGGAGCGATCTGTCTGTTCGCAATACATGCACGCGACTCCGCTAAGCGAGGACAGTGCAGTGACTTTGCAGTGCAGTGCGAGGAGTTGATGATAGCGGTGACGGGAGTTGACAGATCACATTTGACGGGTGAGAGGATGAGCGCTGATAGGTAATTAAATAATTGGCAATAATGCCAGGTGGGGATGCCGAATGCTCTTAGCGAGGAGTTTCAGCGGTAAGGTTCACGCGGTAGTGGTAGAAAGTGGTACCCGATGCTTGTCATGATCGTTTATGACTGCCGTGGTTGTGGTGGCGTGACGGGATTCAAAGATCAACATGGATCGGCGAATACTAGATCTACCCATGTGGTCCCTGGTGGGCTTGGTAGTTTCGAGTCTTATAACCATGTGGCTGACGTGGAAAACGAAGGCTGATAGCTGTGTAGCGGTATGCGTTGTCATCTTGAGGTATGTTCCACTTAGCACGAGGGTCTAATTTAGAGAGCGACCGGTGAAATTCTCATGATATTGGCCATTGGGCAGCAACACAGCAGAGCGTGACCTTTTGCCGCTAGTGAAAGAATGATCTAAGAGTAGCGCAGGGACCAGGTCCAAGTACATTAGCTCGTTGATCAGTGCAGCTAATTCGCGCCATTCTGGTTTTACCACTCAGGTGCTGACATTCAAGACATGCAAGTGCCGAAGACTAGATTTATACTGGGGCCCATTTGAACGCTATACGGGATACTTAATGGACATTGCAGAAACAGGATTAGACCATGCGCTTCTGGCGCCAAGTGATCTGCCCCCCCAAAACTCCAAATAGTTCTCTTGCATATCCTGGAACATGGGCCGCAGAATCTGTGCAGAGCGTATCGCCATCGTGAACTCTGTTTTCTATGATGGAAACTCGACGCAACGCGTGCAGTAGCGCCGGAACGACGTACTGTTTTTGGTAGAACATCGATCTAAGGGCGATCGGTCGGAGGCTGAGCTGAACCGTGACTGCTGCACCATATCGGAGTTAGAAATGCACGTCTTGCTTGACTGCGATGGCAACAATCGCAAAGTGCCAAATACTCCCCCCCCCCGGGGATCTATCTGTCATATCGAAATAGGAGCAGATCTGACTCGGAATTCTCCGGGCGAGGAGAATCCAAGACTTGTAGAGAGAGAGAGAGAGAGAGAGAGTCAATAAGGCGAAATTGCCCGGGATTAGAGAGGGCAAGGGTCCACGACATTGTTCCATCCGAAGCGCGATGTCAACCCCTGATGGTATTTCGTGCAGGTGACGGACCCACCACATCTCGACCTCGACTCTGGAAAAGGGGAAGCCTAGAGTGTCAAAAGGTAATCACTGACCGAGGCTATACGATGCCGCGATCAGCTCTGTCACTTTCTCACTTGGGAGACACCGTGATTGGGCCGAAGCTTATGGGCTCCGCCAAAGGGGAAAAGATTCACCTCGCCATAGCTCGATGGGTGGCCCCTGCTTGGCGCCTGGGCTTTAGTGAGATCTTCGAGATCGTGTGCGAATGACGCCACTGTCTGTCGGAATCCCTGGGATCTTCCCATGTTGAGGAGTGCTGAATGGCGGGTCTTCCAAGGGGGTGAGATGCGGCTGGCTTTGATTGGGGGCTTGCGCACCTCATCCTGATCAAAGCTGTGGAGGATCGACCGTTCCCAAGGCTCGATCACCTGCGGTCGAGTTCGGGTCCTTTCGGTGCGCCACGCGCGATCGCAAACCAAGCTATCGGCTCTTGAGGAAATGGGCGACGCGCGCTCCAGGGTCGTCCATTGTCGCCTCTCCTCTCCCTTTTCGGATTCAGGGGGTTGACGTGCAGGCAGAGTGGCAAGGGCGAACCTACGTTCGATGGCTAGATTTCCAATGATCTGCCACAGGGTAGGGCACAATCAATTCTTCTCCTGTCTTGGATATGCTCTTGTTAAGCCGAGTAGTGCACATGGTCAATATATGAGAGTGGAGATATTTGATGAGTCGTCTTCAGGGTATCGTCACACAATAAAGGTGTCCCCTCGTGGACAACAGATTCCAATCATGGCCAGACACCTTGCAGCAACTGTCCTGGCTCGGGCTTAGATTGACGCATCGTCTTCCCGAAAACAAGTAGAACCCGGCTCAAGGGCAGCCCCTTTTTAACTAACCCTGATCCCGGCAAGATGCTGAGGGGAAAATTTAATTCAAATAAAACTAGAATAAAAATGGAGTCACTCGGTAGCTTCACTAGGATTTGGAAGGAACAAAAAGGGCTTAGAAAGGAGGAGTGGGTGGGTAGGATAGTTATTCAAATCGACGCCGTCTTGAACTGGCGGGCCAATAGGATGGATAAAGTGGCCAGCGAGATCTCTTGCTAATATAATCAAATATGCAGAGTCACTTCCAAGAACACAGCCTTACTAATTAGGTGTACCTAGGTATAGGGAAATCAATGCCTGGGTGCTGATTAGCCGAATCACTGGGCTGGCACAGAGAGTATGGCGGTTTTTGTTCCCCCTTCCGGAGGACGGGTCTATTTTTGACGCAGGCCGACCTATGGCAACCATAGAACAAGAATTACGCACGACTTCAAAGAAATTCCTGTCTAGATCGATCCAAGTCCCCACCAGTGACCCGTGGGCAAGCAGATCTGAAGGATGGGCCTGGTACCAGTGATTGGCCTGACCGGATAGACCCGTTCTGATGGATCCGATTCAAAACCAAAAATACTCCGTATACTTGGAATCCACTCTCCGCACGATTTCTTTTCCCCTTCCTCTTTTTCTATGAACGTTCCAGAATAGAGTTTCGATTTTCTTTTGACATCATTTCATCTCTCCTTCCTTTCGTTCAAAGATTGGGACCTTCGCCTTTTTTTTTTTTTCTCCTGACCATGTATGTCCGCCGTTCTTTTTCATAATCCCCGCTTGCCTGTGTTTCTACCTTACCCTACCTATACCTCCCATTACCTCCTTGGCCCCCGCGAAAAGAAGGTTGTCATGAGTGGCTGGTCTCCTTAGATGGCCCTCTCCTGATATCCCTGATAGCCCATGTCCATGAACGAGCCCCAATCTGGCCGAGGACTCGGGGCCATCAGAGACCTGTTTCGCTCTACACCCACGCCTTCCCCTACCTTCCCTTCCTCTCGGCGCAGAGTGTCAGTCCTCGTGCGCCGGGGTAGGGGTCTTTTCTCGAAGTATCAATTCCCCCACGTCCTCTGATTTTGTGCATTTGTTGCTTGGGCTGCCAGACGACTGTTGGGGAAAGCGGATCCAACCCCGCCTAATAACACCCCAGCAGAAACGAGGCGCAGCCAGCGAACCCGGTGGCAATGGAAGTGAATGTCAGACTAAGACCATCCAACGAACAGACAACCAGTAGAGCCCTCTAAACGACCGTCTTCGTCACCGATCCGCATGAACTCACAGCAATTCGATCCGGCCGCCATGATCGGCTTGGCCGGTGCCTCGCCCGGAAGAACAGAGGACAATTTCGACATCTTCGAATGGTATCCGCTCTATCAGAGCTGCCAGCGATACTTCTTGGACCACGCACAACACAGCGTTCCCGTACAGGCACTTTCCGCATTCTTGAACATCCGATTACCCTTTCAGCGACAACCCAACCCGACCTTCAACTCGAACCCAGTCTCCAGTCCATCATCGTCATCCTCCGGCCCAACACCAGCTGGAGCACCGTTTGTCTCATTGATTCCTTATATCCGTCGACTAGTCGCAACAGGAATGGATTTTCCAGGGGTTCTGCACGGCTTTTTTGGAGATGACTGGGGCACCGGCGTGGGACCATTGCATGAGCAGGAACGTCGCAACTACCTCTTTGCCGCCAAGGGCGGAGGCTGGGCAGATGCGAAGAAAGAATACGACATGTCCCCACTGGAAACGATCCCATTCCTACGCCCGCTTCAAGGACCCTTGGATGCCGAGATCGAAGCTGCCGAGCGAAGCTGGAGCGAATGGCTCGCCATGGAAGACTGGATGGTCGGACCGCGGGCACCAGATCATCTCCACGACTCGTCTTCGCAGAATTCGCGACCTCGAAGCACACGCGGGTGAAAAATCACCCTTATCTTCTCTTCTATGACATCTTCATCATTCCCATTTTTACTTCTTATTCTGGACATCCACAGCGAGTGGCATCTACTGGGTCTTCCATCCCCATTGGTCTGTCTAGCGATCGTGTTTTTCTATTTCCAGCAGTCCCGGGCACATGTCCTATACAACATTGCACGAGGAATTTCATTATGGCCCCGAGCCGGAAATTGGCGAGCGTTACCCGCTACTGCCCAACGGGTATCAGCAATACAGAGGGAACTAATTGCGCCGCTCCCAAAATTAGATTTTCGATGGATACATACTACCTATGCTCTCAAGCCTTTGCAGAAAACAGAGCCAAAAAAAAGCAGAATAAAAAGCCTACCTGCGCATGCATTTATCTCCGTGCTCAACGACATAAGAAATCTCAAGGGGCTCGGAAAAGGCGGCTCCAAGCGGCAGTGGCAATGAAGCTTCGCTAGCGGGCCGAAAGGGGGGTCACGAGAGCCAAATCCAGTATCCCGGCTGTAAATCCGGCCCCCAGATATATCAGACTCGGTTATACGAATAACCAGGGGAATCTGACCATGTTTTCTGGTGTAAAAGCAAACGAATTCTTTAGGCATGTATCCGCGGACGTCATTTCGGCCGGGGGAGGCGACTAGATCGGCTCCGGGGTGGAGGCAGAGGGGCATCTTTTGAAAATCACTGCCACTGTCAGCAAGAGAACCATTCTAATTACTAGATCAGACAGGAGCGTTGAGCCCAAGAGGGGAATGTGGAAATCGGTGATTCGCAGGTTTCTTTTTTTTTCTTTTTCCTTTTTTGAACTCTCGTCCTCAACCCCACTAGTTTGCGGTTTTCCACTGTGGACACCCCCAGATCCAATCCCAGCCTCGACCGCAGATGTCCGTCCCCTGGAAGAGGTGGAGCTCTCGTGTTATTTGCCTTCGTTACAGACCTATCGGTGGTTCAGTGGCTCTGGGTCACGGAACCTACGATTCGTGCCAGCATCGCCCAATCTCTGGTCCGTGTAACGGAGTTGACCCTGAATTGTGCGACCTGACCCCCTTGGCGGGGATCCGAATACTATCCACGACGGAGAAGAGCGCCTCGGTACCTACTAGATTCGGTAGGACGCTACTTGAGGGATGGGGCAAAAGCAATGCAGGAACCCAGACCCCAAAAATCATGTAGGGCTCTAGCATAGTCACTAGGCCCAGATCATCTAGACATGGACACAGAGTGCATAACACCCCGCCAATCGGGGCTGATTAAGAAATAAGGCGTCAGAAAAAAAAAAAAGGGATTGCATTCAAAGTCCATGCCGCGCATCTTCTGTGGCGTGGCTGAAATGGGGCCCTGGCGGGCTCGTAGCTCGTCTTAGCATGGCGCTAACCCCTGCACAGCACAATTGAGTTACGCGGAAACCCATGCCAATTGGACCTTGGAGTCAGAAAAATCTCCGATCTCGTTACAAGATGCGTACGAAATCCTTTCGTTACATACGGGGCTCAAGGATTCTGGCTACGGTTGATGGGGACCGCTCGGAATCCTATTTCCCTAAATCATTCCCTTGTCTATGAAAGCACCTTTCGCCTCCTGAATGGTCGGAGATGAGCCAAATTTCCAGCAGTCTTGCTCCTATCTCCGACACGGCATTCTTCCTCTTTAGTCTTCTGAAACATGAACGCAAGCCGAGTACCAGATTTCGACCCTTCCTTCAAACTTGCGACCGTCTATCAGTGGAACTCGTGACTTGCAGTCCTAGTTCGCCACTCAATCGCCAGCGCACGGTCGTGCAGCGGTGTCCTCTCCATCGATAGAAGTATAGATCGTGAGCCCTTTCTGTCAAACAATATCACTGTGATCTCGATCCCAGCCCCCTCCGCGGATCTACGGTCTTTCTTTCATGGTACGCCGTTTGCCGGCAAAACAAGAGACAATACAGACTGTTTTCACCCCCTCAGTGGATCGTGAAATCGTGGACCGCACTCCTCACGGAACACGGCTGGAATCTTGGGTCAAGTCTCCATCAACTCCATTCAATCACCGTCTGTCACAGTCCTGGACTTGGTTCGGGAATCGACAATAGCCCTAGGTGGGTTTTTTGCTTGGCTTTTGTCGCCAGCAGGGTTCCGCAGGGACTGTATTTGGTGACGTGCGGTGGCGGGTGCCTTTAGGGGATTAATTTACGGTGCCAGAAAGATTGGGTGGGTTGGTGGGGGTTTGTTCGGGACATGCGTTGAACACTTCCTATTTAGGTAGTAGTCACTGCTTGGTATAGTGTGAGGTGATGGACATTCTACTTTTGCCGAGGTAAAGAGAATGCTGAAGAATCTGTCGAGCTATACACCGGGAAATGCTAGTCACACATCAAATATTTGAGATGGTGAGTCAAGGAGAGACCCCATATACTTAATTCCTTGGCAAGATAGCCAGCGGTCCTGAGGCTTGCTTCATTGCTCTCGAATGCACGAGAGAGCCGAAAACAAGGGCGCCATGAGCACAGTTGTCAATGATCTGGTCATTGACTTGACTGGAACATTGACGGTTCTGTATCTCCTGTAGAAACTCGGGGCATTGCCAGCAGGAAACAGCATCATTAGCATGGGCGCACTTCTTGAAAGGAGATCCAGTCAACTGCCAGGAGTGCTTCTGAGATAGTCGACGGAAGTCCATTTGATGGCTGCCACCGTGTCTCTTAGACATAATCTCTACGCTCTGCATGGATGCAGCCAAGAAATCATTACCCTTTGGTAGTCTGTTGCAGGCTGAGGAAATGTCGAGAGCTCGATCACCAACGATTGCCTCCCCCATACCGGAACAGAACAGACAGTTGACTTCACCCAGGAGAGACAACCAAGTCAATCCGCCTTTTTCCAGGGCTTCCTTCTTGAGCTCAGATCGAGTCGAGTCCATCACGATGTCCATAAACTCGTACCCATATATAGTGGATCGCTTGGGCTTTTGCGGGGACAATCTGGACATGTTGACTGAAAATTTCATTATCAGTTGGGCAATTGTAAGCGTGTGGCTTCCTGAACCCTCAATGACCATGTCGCCTTTGTCCTGCAGAGCCTTCAGCGAATTCAGGGAACCATCGGATAGGCAATTGGCCACTGGCATAATTGACAGTAAGGATTCCTCTTCCATGGAATGCACATAGACCAACAGCATATGGTGCAAGACGGAGAGCAATGGCACCAGCCAAGCTCGCTTCGCGCCAACATCATACACAATGACTTGCTCAAAGACGCTGCTTCGCAGACACTTCAGGTACATCGCGGACGGATCGAACCGTAGTCGATTAGACATTCGTTCGAATGAACCTCCGGCTGGAAGGCCTATCTGTACAGGTGAAGCTGTTTGAAACGTCGCTTGTAGATTTGCCCCTTTCCAGTTCCAAGTGATGGGTTTGTTGCGGGCAGCAGACCAGGTTACTTCAGGAGCCAAGCGATCTGTTCCGAGAAGGATGTGCGCCTTAGAGCACCAGCCTAGTAACGCTTTCTTTGACTGCAAGTAGTCGAGAGACTTGGTCTGTAGCCAGTCATGCCTGGTTGCTTCGAGATCAGCGACTTTTAGTTGAAAGTCGTCTTCAGCGATCTCCAAATGCCAAAGTATCATTCCGTCTTCGGTCTCGCAGATTGGTATGAGTGCCGTTGAATAGCCCATCAGGATGGTTCCAGACTCGACCGATAGTGGGTATTCTACAGCCGAAAGGCCCAGCAGGTTCTTGAAATCAAGCACCAAACCGCGACAGGGCTTTTCCTGATCAATGTCTCGCTGTATACCAATCACTGCCGAGTCAAAGAGGCCATACCAGCAATTGTTGATTTCGGAAGCGCTTGGAACAGGAAGCAATTCGTCGAGCATTACCATTTCGCCATGCAGTTCGGATGTCGAAATACATACCAGACCTGGTGACGGAGCTCTGATCACGCGACATATGAGTAGCATAGCTTCTGGGATCTCTGGGGTGCAGCTAGTTGTCTCTAAAGACACTAAGAGTGACTTCGAATCAAGCATTTTCTCTTCAAGATTCATTGGCGAGACCTTGAGCCTCATGTATCCATCGACTGTAGAAGAACAAATTTAGTACTGCCCGAAGATGCACTCCCAGCAACTTACTATACTGCCCATGATGTGATATTGCATGAACGAGTCCTTGTAGGACCCTCAAGCCCATTTCTCCATAGAATCTCTCAATCAAATGGCCGAGAGCGTCGAACTCCACGGTATACTCTGTCCTGATCAACGCGCCAAAGTCGAATAACCAAGTACTTTTGTCCTGGATAGCACTCATCGTAGTTGGAGGGTACCATAGAAATGTTTGTCGTAGATATCTTGCCTCGAATGTGTTGGAATTCATTCCCATTGCTTCGAAATTCTTGACAAAATGCGTGCCACTCTGCGGCGGTTGTCTGATTAACGCTTCTGCTAGTGGGCCGATCGAAGCCCCTGCTTGCAAGAGTAATTCGATGGTATCAAGGTTTTCCGAGTCAAATGCAAGTGCCATAGCATCCCCGAATTCTCCAATCAAGAGAGGAAGCGAAGCATCTGCTCCTCTGGAAAGCAAAAGACCGACGTGATCCAATCTCTCCCTAGCAAGAGCATTGGCAAGGGCACTGCCATATCTTCCGGACGTCAATTGTAGATTGATATTGGCACCTTTGTCGAGCATGTACTTCACCATAGACCCCGATCGCGCGGCACATGCTGCAGCGAGAGCACTTCCATGTTCCCCAGATGTCAATTGCAGATCAATATCTGCACCTGCTTCCATAAGAATATCTATAACATCTGTGTTTCCCGGTGACACACTTAGACAGGCCGCAGCCAGAGCACTGCCATATATTCCAGAAGACAACTGTGCATTAACGTGTGCTCCTTTCTTAAGTAGAAACTCTACTGCAGAAACTTGCCCCGCTGAACATGCCGCAGCCAGAGCGCTACCATATCTTCCAGACTTCAGTTGTAGCTTGATGTCTGCTCCTCTCTGGAGTAGAAGCTTCACGTTTGACAACCGTCCTGCTGCACATGCTGCAGCGAGGGCACTGCCGAATTCCCCAGATAACAGTTGCATATCAACATCTGCACCTGCCTCCAGTAGAAATTCGATGAAATTTTTTGTCATCTTTGGAGACCAATCTGCACATGCCGCAGCCAGAGCACTGCCATGCGGCATATCTTCCAGACTTCAATTGTAGGTTGATGTCTCCTCCTCTCCGAAGCAGAAGCTTCACGTTTGACAACCGTCCTGCTGCACATGCCGCAGCGAGAGCACTACCATATTCTCCTGATGTCAATTGCATATCAATATCTGCTCCTGCCTCCAGTAAGATTTCCACCGTTGTTGTAGTTCCTGGTGACCAAAGCGCACATGCCAGAGCAAGAGGACTACCGAAGCTGCCAACCCTTAGTCGTAGGCTCACGTTAGAGCGGCCATCAGCGAGAAGCCAAGGGGCTTCGGAATCTCCATAGTCAACTGCCCGAGCGAGAAGAGTACTGATTATGTAGCGTTCTTCCTCATTTGCAACCACGCCTGCATCAAGCAAAAGCTTCACCGTCTTGAAGTCCCCTTTCAAGGCAGCGAAAGAAAGTGGACTTTGACCGTCCGACGAGAAGTGCTTCATAAAAGCACCGTCATCCTTCGGTACCTTTGCTGGCATTATGTTTCCTTCACTAATCCACGGAGAAAGCGGAGCTTCTTCTGCGATGATACTGCGCCCATAACCGCCACTGGAAGACGATAGCGGTGCTTTCCCGGTTACCCAAGATTCATCCCAGGCCGGAGCCTCATAGACTGGAGCCTCCCAGGCCGGAACGTTCGATGAAATATGCTGTTTTTTGAGTGATTGAGAATCGACTTCCAAGCTAGAGGATACTGCATCCTCATCCTGAGGCACTCGCTTTTTGCCTGATCTGACTGAATCTGAGTCCATGACGAGATATACAATGACTTCAATGGGACAGAGAATATAAGAACACCACTGGACTCGTGTGTAATTAAACAAAATTTTCGGTCCATTTCTTATATCTCAGGGGCGGGCTCGCCTCTCTTTAGCCCCCGTGCCTCAGCCTTATTCAGGCTGGGGCACAGCGCCAAGTTGGCACCCAATGGGAGAAAATCATGCAGCCCAACAATTTCGCAGAATCTTATTGGGGATGAGTTTCAGATCTAGACGCAGAATTGGCGCTGGATGAAACACATTTGTGTAAAGCAGTGAGCCGCTATGCAGTACTCCTCAGTCTCAACCCGGTGTCATAGCCTACTTCCCACATGGTCTTGATTCACCACTCTTTGTGTTATACAATATCTACATATTCAGTCGATCCCCTTCAGAAGTGTCGAAATGAATACATGGAATTAAAACACACTACGTGCAACTATGTGCAATAAATTAACCTCCCAAAGAAGCCGAATTGTAGTCTCCAAACACCGACGCTAATATGCAAAAAAGAGACCACCCAAGAATGCAGCAAAATGTATCAATCAGACCATGATCTGAAAGATAAGATCCGTCAAAAAATGTGGGGTATCCCGGGGCCATCAAAGAGAACAAGTATGACGACTGTGTTGATATGTGCATGACAGAAGTCAAAAAAAGAGTTATAAGATCATGGTGTCATCATTTCGGCGACTCAGCTGGCGAATCTTTATGCTGCGAAGACTCCGAATATGAGCCTGTATCCGAATTCGATCTGGAAGTCATGTTCCCGAAGCTTCGGTACTGCGGGGTCGGAGTTTGACATGTCTCACCAGGCATAGGAAGATCGGGCATGAGGTCTGGATTGAAGACGAGACTCCGGCGGCGGGAGAGGACGCCGCCCGTTGATGGGTTGTCCTTTTCACGACAGACGGCGCGAACATGGCTGCTGTGGCGGCGGCGGCGGCGACGGTGACGGTGACGACGGAGGTACTCATTTGGCACTGGATCGACTTGTTTCTTGGCAGCGGGGACGAGATTGAGATAAAGAGGGAAAATCGCACCGGCGGAGAAAACGGCAACCAGGACGCAGTATGACCATGGGGTACCGTGGGAGAGGTAGGCGGCGTATTCGGCGAAGGGGAAGTATGTGCCGCCGCTGATGGCGACCGTGAGGAGAGCTGCGGCAGTTTTGGTGTGTTGGGCGGTTCCACGCAGGGATATGGCGAAAATTATACTGAAGACGCCGCTTTCGAAGAGGTAGACCATCATTGCCATGACAATTGCAGCCGTGCCGGTAGTCTTCATGCAGAGGACGGAGAAGACGATCATGCCGATGTAGGAGACCATCAGAATCCAGCGAGGTTTGAGGAACCACTGCGCGAAGGCGGCGATGAATCGGCCAACGGCAAATACGGTGTGGCCGATTGTTAGAATGTCGAACGGCTGGAGTGAAGTTGGTGCATTTACACTCTGGACAAATCGTTCGAGACTGACCGAAAGCACTTCTTGTCCGCCCACGTAGAAGAACTGTGACCAGATACCAAGACCAAGGGTCAGCCAGACAACAGGAATTCCAAGTACCTTGGTCATGTTATCTTCTCTACGACGATTGGCTAATTCTTCCAGGTCTTCATCGGAGGCTTCGGGAATTGGCAAGTACCAGAAGACGACTGCTAAGAGCACGTCGAAGAGGGCGATGCCAAGATATGTCCACTGCACGTCCACCAACGAGGCGACGTCTGTGACATTTTTGAAAAGAATTTTCTTTGCAAGTAGAGGTGATACGACACTCCCGATGGCTTGTACACCTTGAGAGATGTTGAGTCGAATTTCGGAGTTCTCAAGAGGCCCACAGAGAGCGATGAACGGATTACCCGCCGTCTCGAGAACAGCAAGGCCGAAACCCACGATAAAGTTCGAAACTGTGAATGCGGCAGTGGACGTGAGGACAGCAGAGGGCCAGAATACTAGAGCTCCACAGGCGTAGATGCATAGTCCAGTGATAAAAGTGGATTTAAATCCCCAGATCTTTAACACGGGCCTACCAACAAGCAGAGGACCAACCACGTAGCCACCATAATAGGCTCCATGGAGACCCAATGAATGCCATGAGTCAAGTTTGACAATCGTCTGGAATTGTGTGTTGAGACTATCAAGGAAGCCATATGCGAAGCCCCAGAGGAAGAATAGAAGAGAAGTCAATGCAATGGGCGCAATGGACTCTTTGTTGTTCAGCTTGAGCATACTTTCCGGTTTCTTCATGTTGACAAAGTCGAAGAACCTGACTTCGGCAGGATAGCTGGATGTAGCAGTGGTATAGGCCTCGGGATCGGAAGGGCCTGACTGCGGATAGCTCAAAAAATCTATCATACTGATAGGTGCATTCGATTCTTGCTGCTGGGTTGTGCTTTCACCCCCAGCCTGAGAAGGTTTGCTTCCATTGCTGTCTGCTGGGGATGAAGAGGCAGATGGGCCACCAGGAATGGCAGTCGCTGGAGGCAAAGCGACCGGGCTATCACCTGTTGCATAGTTGTTCGGTGGGCTGGTCTGAGTGCCGTTGGTGTCTCTGATCAACTTGGGCACAAGGCGAGCGACTAGAGGTTTGAGACTTGGGACGCATCCACAGATGATGGAGATGTTGACTTCAACAACTGACCACATAAATGACAGCGATGCGTACCAGCTGAAATCCGCAGTCCCGATGTTTTGAATGTGAATCGTCTTGAGAGCCAATGAGCGAGAGGTCGCGGCCCGTTGGAGGAAAGCGATTCGAATCACATCGACGACAGCCACGAAGAAACCGAAGCTGAACGTGATAACAAGAATCCATTTCTGCTTATAGGGGAGACGCATTTGCGTCAGGATTGGTATCGGGAGAAAGAGGATTGCCAAGTCGGTAATGATGTTGACCGGGGACGAGGAGAGGTAGAGCGTGACGATGTCGATGCATTTCGCCGAGGCAGGGACCGTTGAATCAAATGCCGCTGAGACAGGATGACATTGAAAGACATTGATCATGGTCAAGGCAAAGCCTGCCGCATTGACCACAAACAAGGTGACATAATTGGCCCATTGAAAGACCTTTTGATTGCGCGTCAAGGTCAAGTAGAAGACTAGGATGGAGGTCTTGACGGCCATCAATGCCGGGTTCTAAGCTGATCAGTATGCGACAAAAGAAAGCCCAGGCAAAGACTCACGTAGAGCACGGTGAAGGCATAGTTGGCCTTGTTAAGGCCGTTCTCGTTCTCGGGCAGGATGTCTTGCGCATGGAGACCGAGTCCATATTTAGTCGCGTAAAAGAGCGAGAACGAAAAGCCGAAATCAATGACCTGGGAGTGTATTAGCAATTGATCCGAATGGTAATGGACCTGGCAGTCGCAATTGTAGTCATTTTGGGGCGCGTCGCGCCGTCCAATTCTGATCACATGCAGGGACCAGGGTCAAAAAGACCCTACATACCCAGGCGACCAGCATCAACCAGTCGTGTAACCCTACTTTGCGGACGACAAATATGCGCGAGACGAACCGCAAGGCGACGAAGACACTGGCGATGACGAAGAAGGTAATTGAGACCCCGAGCGTGGCCGGTTGACGAGTCTGCATCGTGACCGGGCGCACCGCCGCGGCGAGCAGCTCGGTTCGTAGGTCTTGCGTGTCGTGATGAGAAAACAATGGGAAGGGCAGGTCACTGCATCACGGAGGGGGAGTCGTGCGTGGGTCGCAAAGCTCCATGGTCTTGTGTGCTTTGCGGGGAGAAAGAGAACCGTTGAGCTACCGAATCCGGGGAAACGGTCGGGCTTTCGAGGTCATAGAGATCAAGTGAGGTAAAGGTGACCTTGACTGGGTCGACACGGAGATTGAGGCCAGAAACCGAATGAGGATCGTGCGGGAAGGACCATGAGGCGAGTTCGTATGGAGATGGTCCTGATCGTGTGTGTCATTGGCCCCCGCGATCGGAAAAGACCGTTTTCGCTGAACTCTGGGTCTCCATTCACCGCTATTGTTCCCCTCTTGTTTTGATTCGTATTGTGAGGGAGTCCATGTTTGTGTCCGGTCTACTCCCTTTACCACTACCCCTTATCTTCCCTCACCTAACCCTATTCTACCCCTCGAAGCCCGAGTTGAAAATTCTCACGATATCCACTCGGGCCACCTCGGACGCCGACTCGGACGCCAATGACGACGGGGCCCCATACGAAGGCTGGCGCCACCTCCTCATCGGTCCACTAAATTGACTCTTCTCCTAAGACCAGGAATCGGGACTCGACTCTGAACAACAGAGATGCTTTCAGGTCGTTGAAACTTCGGTGGCTTCCTAGAAGTTCCGTCACCCGAACTGCGCGAAATCTAGGAAGGTTTACGTAGCTCCGAAGGAAACGGTGGCTCTATCGCTCTGGATTGAGATGACCGTCTCCTAGCGACCGGGGAAGCGAACAGACTAGGTAATTTAAATTTCCCCCTTCCTGGTTTCGTGAGAAGCTCTAGACGACCGACGAATTCCCTAATTACAAGTACCCATGAACTAGCTAGGACGACCACCGTAATAGCTTGAAGATCTGCCACTTGAATCTAAAATTCTGCGGAAATTGTAGTCCAATCCAACCCACACTTAACCCGAATACCGTCCAATGTTTCTCGATTAGCCTACTTTGTACCCCAAAGCTCTGGGATCTGCGATCTGACATCTCCACATATAATCTGATCATGCAGGCTATGAGCTTGGCATGTTAGCTTGGGCACCTCACACCCAATGATATTATGATGAGGCTCCTGGTGAAACTACCCCCTGAATTGCTCCTTATCAATCAGTCCATCTGCCCCTTTTCCCATGCGAATCCATAAATTTACCCCCACGGCCGATGAATTGACTCCGAGAAACACTTGGTGATGGACTACACCGTGCAGCGTTACAGGTGCCAACCCGCTAGCTGCTTGGCATCAGCCCTCATTCGAGTATGCACTTGCGATTCCCCTCTTGCTCGCCCGATCGGCCTGCAATAAATTCCGTTCCTGATCCGAACTCTGCGGTCTCTATGTTTTATAGAGACATAGCTCTTGAGACTTTTTCTGCTGATCGACGTGCCCGGGCTCCCGTCGGTGTACGAATGCTAAACGCAGCCAATGCCTGTGTGCGATAGGCCTGATGGTTGCCTCGCTTATTCCTGAAGAACTAGCTGCAGGAGCGTCTCCGCTTTCAAGCCAAATTGGATGATCACCTGTGAATCTGGGCATTTGCTATCCTCGGTTGATTGGAGGCATATAAGCCATGCTATGCTCCAATTCAATTTACTACAGGCGAAGGTGGTCTGTATTGAAATGGATTAGCGCCCTACAATTCTGCTTTAGACTTCTATACAAGGTCCCACCAGTGCCAACCAAGCAAGATGAAGCAGGCTATTGTATTCGCAACATTTGCCCCTTTGGCTTTCCTGACTGGTGTACAAGCCAAATCGGCTGATGGCTGGATAGCTACAATCTGGGATGATTTCAAGGAGGCTGTGGACTGTGGTAGCTGCCAGGTAAACTTCAGGACTGAGAAATTATCAATCTCGGCTAATGCTTTCATCGAAAATAAGGCTCTCCTTGGTGGCCTCAAGCTAGTTGCTGATTTTGGAGAACCCTTTTTGGAGGAGGTTCTAACCGGAGTTTGCGATATCAGTGGTGTAAGCCTTCTCCTATAATTACACGTTCGAGAGCTAATCTAGTAACCAGGCCGAAGACTCTGACGTGTGCTCCGGTATCATTGCAAATGAAAGCCCTGCAGTATACTACTCTCTCAAGAACCTGAAGTTGGGCTCTCACACAGCCAAAACATTTTGTGCCAGTCTAGTCGGGCTTTGTGACTTCCCAGCTGTTCGACCATACAAACTCCCCTTTCCTTCAGCAAAACCACCGATAAGTCGACCGCCACCAAGCGGAAAGCCCCCGATCAAAGTGGTCCACTTCAGCGACACCCACGTCGACCTATCCTACGAGACCGGCTCCAACTTCGACTGCACGAAACCCATTTGCTGCCGAGCCTACACTGAGCAGGACGCTCCCGGAAATACTTCATCACCCTGCGGATCCTGGGGTAACTCCAAATGCGATCCACCGCACCGCCTCCAACAAAGCATGATGGACGCCATCACGTCCCTCAATCCATCTTTCTCAATCTACACAGGCGACGTAGTCGCCCACGACGTGTGGCTAGTCGACAAAAGCGAAGCCCTCTCCGACTTCAACGCAACATTCAGCACCATAGAATCAAATCTAGGCCTTGTCTACGCCGCCCTGGGAAACCATGACACCGCGCCCCTGAACCTCTTCCCCTCAACCAACACCCCAAGCACATACAACCCGCAGTGGGCCTACGACGCCCTTACTACCCACTGGCTAACCCTGACCGACAACAACCAAGCCATATCCACTGCAAAGAAATACGGCTCCTACTCAGCGACTCACAAAAACACCAAACTGCGCATAATCTCCTATAACAGCATCTTCTACTACAAGTATAACTTCTTCTCCTACGAAGAACCAATGCTCTTCGACCCGGACAACCAGCTCGCCTGGCTGATCTCTGAACTCTCCGCCGCCGAAGCCGCCTCCGAGCGCGTCTGGCTGATCTCACACATTCCAAGTGGAAATGTCGACCATTTCCGCGACCACTCACACTATTTCGACCAGATAGTGCAGCGATACGAGGCTACCATCGCGGGATTATTCTTCGGGCATACACATACGGACGAATTCCAGATATCGTATTCTGATTATGAGCACCGGAGCTGGGATAATGCTGTTGCGATGGGGTACGTTGCACCTTCGATGACACCTACGTCGGGACCGCCTTCATTCAGAGTCTATGAGATCGATCCTGTCACCTTTGGTGTGTTGGATTATACGCAGTATATCGCGAATATCACTGGTCTTGAGGGTGAGCCGGAGTGGGTTCCTTATTACTCTGCGAAGAAGGATTATGGGGGCAGGCTTGATGTGTCGGTATCTGGGGAGGAGGAACTGACCCCTGCGTTCTGGCATAATTTTACCGTGGCGATGGAGAAAGATGAGGGGTTGTTTGAGAAGTTTTGGGCGAGGAGGACGCGTGGGTTTGAGGTTCCGGCTTGCAAAGGGGACTGTGTGAGTGAAGAGATATGTGCCTGAGAGGCGCAGATGCGCAATTTAGTTGTGTGGAGAGAACGCCTGGGTTTAGTTTTGGGAAGAGGGAGAGAGGAAGGATTTGCTGGGGAAGAGGTTTCAGCCTGAGTGTAATCATGCAGGGATGGCGCCGTTGTTGGCGAAGATTGCGCATCGGGCTAGTTTGGCTAGGGAGATGGAGCTTTGATTACGGTGTCTATTGAATTGACTTATAGGGCAATTGAATCAAGTAAAATAGTTACTTCTCCATTATTAGATATTCATCTGAACATCATTTTACGTGCTCAAATTGGATAGGTAGAGTCTGTATCAGTGGACAACAGCGCTTGTCTGTCGATCATCGCGACGAGATTATCATCCATCATGAATTCTCCAAGTTCCATCCCGAATGGGGAGAGACTGAAGTCACCGGCTGGCAGTGACCCACGCTCCAGCATATGAGCAAACGTAGGTGTCGGGTGGTCGGTTTCTGATAGTATCAGTCGGCCATTCTCTCTCACAGAGGAAACGAAAATAAGCTTACCTGGATCGATTAGAACCTGGTTGAATTGTTCCAGATAATACCGACATCTGTCAACCAGACGGTTTCCATTATCAAGTTTTGAGAGCGCTGTCGCAGCGCGGCTGGGATACTGGGAGGCTTTCTTGGCTTGTGTTGTCATTGGAGAGGCGCTGAGACTGGCGTCGCGGTAGATCCAGACAGCGCCAATTATGACCAAGGCTGCGTTGAAGGCTGGGTCATGTTTTTGTTAGCTTTTCGGCATCCAGTAGTATCAGAGAGACTCACTATAGTACAAGGAGAACCACCATGCCCCAAGCAAGCTCTGCTTCCTTTCAGGCTCGGTGATAATCTTATGAACAATATCGATGATCTCCATTGCGGAGTCGGTGCATATCTTCATGCTATTCATGCCAATCTGCTGGAGGAGTTTCAGCTCCTGCGAATCACGATCAGGAGACCTGCTAGCAGCGATGAATTTGACTAGGACTGGTCTGTGAAGTAAGACGCGGAGATTTAAGTATCGAAGGGTCAAAATCACACGAAACTTCCAAGAGAAGTATTGCGGGTCAGAGGACAACTGCTGTAGAGGGATTTCGTCGAGGCCTGCTGTTGAGACAAGCTGTAGACTTTGAGGTAGTGATCGTTCCCACGAGAACAGGTGCTGTTCCATAGTGAAAATGTGGGACATGGTCTCGCTGACAGGCAGTGGGGAGTCACAGCCGATATTTTGGCCGTACAGTAGATCGAGAACGTTCCATAGCTGCTTGTATAGCGTTCTAGACGGAGTTGTCAGTACAGATAAAGGGTGAGGTAAGGCTGACTTACACGGTCGAATTGAAGAATTCGACACTTAGTGACGAGGTTTCATCATCTACGATTGTAGATGACTTCTCAAAATCGCGCTTTATGGGAAGCTCAAGTTTTACGTAGTTGTCAGGTATGGTGGCCGGTCTCCCAAAGGTCATGCTCAGGGTTCTACAAAAGGTTAGTAATTGATTACCGCTTTCTGCCCCCTGTGGCTTCTTACCGGTCTAATACTACACATCCATACCAAGTGCGCTTTCTCGTCTCTTGTTCAAGGGGCGAGAATGACTTGGAAGCGGTCTTGGACTGTAGACCAAGCTGTAGGGCAGCCTTTACAGCCAGCCCATGAACCGTCCATGCTTGAACGGACTTTTGTGTGCCCTGAAGGTATTGCCCCATGAGTAGTAGGAATTGAACTAAAAGGTGAGCATCAACCAGTGTGCAGCCAAAGTCCGAGCGAGCGTCTTACCAACTTCCAAAGTTGTGCCTCTAAGAATCTCACTCCCACACAAGCCCAGACCCCGCTGATAGAAAACGTCTGATTCCGCAATTCGTGTGTCTGCTTTAGCTCCACCAGGGACTGCTGTAATGGAAGACATGGCCAGGACCATATTCAACAGGCCAAGCCACGTTTTTCGGACTTTCGTGAAGTTTTCTCGGGCCATCTCATGGTATGTTTCCAAAAAAACTGGCGGGTCAATATAGGGAAACAATAATCCAGTGTTGGAGAAGTATCTCTGAACCAGAGCCAATGTCTCAGACTGAGGAGGCAAAGCAAAGATGTTGACCTGGCCCCGCTTGTCTAGGCCAGCTTTCCGCGATGGAGAAGGCGGCCGCGACGCACTCACCAAGCCACCTTCCGCAGCACCAGGCGATAAAAGATATCCTTGCTGCCCCACAGCGCGTGAGAGATGTCTCAAAAAAGCAATATTGGACGAGGGGCCTTTGTCAGAGTTAGCAAGTTCCCCGAAAGGACAGGGCGACTGAGTATACCGAAGAATCCCGAATCTTGTTCATCAGCAAACGTGACAGCCCCCATCGCATCCACTTCATCTTCTGTTCCAACCAAAACAGGTACTGATGCCCTCCGATCTTCGTTCCTCCCACCTACACCACCCACATTCTCCCTCGCAACTAACCCATCAACATCTCCTCGAACCGCCACCAACGATTCCTCAAGCTTCTTCACCCGCTCTTCAAGCCCATACAGATAATCCTTCTGCACAATCAAGTTATTCGCCGTTACCGGCGGTGTATAGATACACTCGAATCCCAGATCGATACAAAGCGAACATCGAGGACGGGAGCCATCGCAGCGGGACTTGCGCGTGCGGCATGCATCGCAGGCTACGGCAACGCGGCGCCGTTTGGACGCTGGCTGTGCATTCTCGTTCTCGGGTGAGTGTGACGGGGCCATCACCAGCTCTGTGTCTGGTAGAGTCCGGGGTTGACGCGGATACACTATTTCGTTGTGGTCGGGGGACGGCCGGGAACAAACGCCATAGTCGGGTATGTGTCGGATAGAGCGGAAGTGCGGGGAAAGTTCCCCGCATGTTGAGCAATGCCTAAATTTTGAAGCTTGTACGGTGAAGATGCAAGCGACTTTCGTCCCGAAAGATGGCCCCGCAAGAGCTAGAAGTTATTTGCAGGGGATGCATGGCTTTCCATGGTGCGCAAGGAACATGCCTCTGTACTAGAATTCCTCTGCCATTTCTTGGCTTTCCCTTTCCGTGGTAGTGCTCACCTCTTGCCACTTTTTTCTCATACAGGTTAAAACTGTTATGACCACTCTAAGAGCTCAGTAATCGAAACGTGAACCAAGAAGGCTGCTATGCAATCATTATGCTCTTACACCACATTAAGACGCACATTAGGCTCACGTGACTGAGCCGGTCACCTTACGTAAGCCTGTTAGGCCTCAGTGCCTTGAGGCCCTCACATATCTATCCAAGATCAGCCAGGAATTCATTTTTGTATACCTAACATGCCGAAAATTACCCTTATAACCAGCAAAGTGCCTTGATAGATTTTTAACATGTGCTTCAACTACTTTGGCCGCGTTACACTATGACTTACTGGGCAATTTGGTAGGCGGTAAAGCCTTGCCTCGGGCGGTGTGATGGGTGGGTCCCGAGGGGTGCTAGGACTTTTGCTTTGTCACTGTAAATCCCACATTTTCCAACTTTTCCACCAACCATTTCCACCAACCATTTCCACCAACCCGAGCGCTCTTCAATATGCCAGATCCACAGCCCCAGTTCAGTCCTGCGTGTCCGATACAGGGTGACCAAGAAACAAAGGTCGGTCTCCACTATTATTCTGCCGGCGTTTTGTAAATAACAAATGTATTCAGTTTGTATTAATACCCTTTATTTCTGGCTAACGCAGGAATTGAAGAAAGTGATTTCGTCACGTAGAGTAATTTCGTAAGGCGGTATGTAAACGTCTGAAAAAGGCGGTGATAAAACCGACCTTTGTTTCTTGGTCACCCTGTACCCTACATCCTCCAGCCCGCAGAGCGAGTAGAGCAGCTCAAAGCTTTTCTGCAAACTGATTTTGGCAAAGCCCAGCAAGTGAATGTTGAAGCTCTCATTCGCCTATATGGGAGTGGCGAGCTCGGACCACGCCAACGAAGCGATCCCCCAGTCTACCTTGTTGAGGGACGACGAGTCGAGAGGGACCCATGGAAAGACAAGTCGGTACCTAGGAACGCGATGAGATGGTGTGAGGTATGTTATTCAATATCCACCGACCCATTGGCTATCTGGGATACTGGTTCATACTAATGATATTTCTAGACATCACAATATCAGCAAATGATCCAGCAACATGAACTTCACGCAAATATCATATAACCCTATATGGTATCATCAATCGTCTCAGGCTAATCATATGTCATGTATTTTTCACTATTAGCCGCAGCAAATGGTCCAGTCTGTGTCGGAAATCTTTTCCTTATTCGAATACCTTTCATATGCACCAAGTATCTCCCACTTTGCCCACATCATGCGGCATGGGAAAGTACCACCACGTCAGCCACAGCGGAATCACCAAAAGAACCAATCAGAAATGCACCACACAAATGGAAGAAAGGAACCAAGCGCTTTCAATCCTGACTCTACGTAATCTGCACCTTAGCCATATGGTTGGCCTGAATCGGACGTGGCATGACATGACATGAAATCGAATGAGAGCAGACCGCTTAACGCCCGCTAACCCCACTCTCTGCGCTGCATTGTGACGCCTTGCTGGTACTTTTAGAGCCATGCAGAAGAAGGCACAGTGGTTTCCGCATGATGCATTCAGCTGCATTAGAGTCAGAGATGCAGATGCAAGGCCGGTAGACACGCTTAGGAATGTGACATGCGTTCTCTTTTTCTCCTCCAAACAGGAGAAAATGAATTCTATGCATCAAAGCAACGGTTTACTATCGAATGTTAGAATGGACAGTTACGAGAACTACAAACAACAACGTATGAGCAATATGAATGGAAGCGAATGTGTTGAATATCCATTCTGCAGGATCGCAGTGGTATCAAAATCGTAAAATCGTGCTGGCTCGCTAAATAGAGACCAAGGCTAGAGACCAGTCCAGCCCCGTCTGTATGTGCAGTAAAGAATGCCAACTGTCTTACAAAGACATCTTTTCGAGAAATGTTCACCCTCCACCGTCAATATGGAGTCAGGGTTATTTAAAAAAAAAAAAGGGGGCCCAACCAAAGTGGGAACGAAGTGTAAATCAAGGACCGAAAGGAAGGGTGTGTCATCACGCCTTGACACAGTACTGGTATCCAAGCCAGAGATTTGAGCATGAGCTGTCCAAACCGGGGTTGAGGCTTTGAAGCGTAGATGCGCTGATGCCGAAGAGAGTGTTGACAAAGTCGCAGAACTCACCACCTGTGATGGTGGTGTATTGTGTGCAAGATGTGGTGGCGTATGGGTAGATTGGTGTAGCTGCTGACGAGGCCGTGGGTTGCGATGGGGCGGCGCTCGGTGTCACGGTGGAGGTGGCACTGGAAGTGGCAGCCGGGGTGGGGATAGCGGCCGTAGTAGGCACGGCAGCCTGGGTTGGAATGACAGGAGTGGTGGTAGCGACGACGGTGGGAGCGGCCTCGGGGGTAGTGGTGGACTCCGAGGCAGCGGTGGAGATGCTGGTGCTGGTGCTGGTGCTGGTGCTAGAGCTAACGCTGGCGCTAGAGCTGGTTTCAGAGGAAGATTGACCACCACTCCAATTGCTACCAGTCAAATCGGCGATGGTGCTCTCCGAACACTTGCTAGTTCCAGTAGACCAGCCCAGAAGACGGTTGGCGACATCAGAAACGTAGCAGCCAGTAGCAATGCCGGCGCCTAGGTTACCATTGGAGGCAATGGAACCAGAGTTGTAGCAGCGAGCAGCCTTGTAGTAGTTGGTAGCGTCACCGGTACCGCCATACTGCTCAATGCACTGCTTCAGACCAGCGCCCGCAGAAGTACCAGAGGCACCATCCAGGATCATCTGGTGGATCTCCGACTGGGGGCAGGGCGTGGTAGGAGTTCCGTCATTGCAAGTGCCAGTTCCATCGTGGCTCTGCATGAGACCAGGGTTGTTCACACCATAGTTGGTGGTCTTGACACGAACGCAACCGTTGCTCTCCTGCATAACAATCGCCAGGATGAAGCGAGAGTCCAGACCGCTCGATTCGGCGATGGAGGCGATGGCACTCTTGATATTATCGGTCTCCTCGTCGGTGTTGTTGTCCACATCAAATTGAGCACAGCTCTCCATGATGGTTGCACGGTTGCTCTCGAACATGTCGTCGAAGCTAGAAATCCATTCCTCCAAGGCGGGCCAGCCGTCCGACACCAAACCGTCACCACCGAATACCGCAGAGTACAAGTCGGTGCTGCGTCCATTGAGAGAATGAGTGATAGTCTCCTTTGACTTGATAGAGTGAGTGTAAGGCACTGGAGCCCCGAAAATGAGGGGGAGACTGCCAGCAGCCAGAATCTATAGACATATTCCGGTTAGCGACATAATTCCATTGTTCAAAGGGTTCCCAGGGACCCATCGGCATAGATGCATTGACATACGAGTGGAAGGGTGAACATTTTGCTGTGAAAAGAGTGCCCAGCACGAAAAAAGAGAGTGAAAGAGAAGACTTGCTTACTGGAGAACAAAAAGAAGGAACGGACGATCCCTGCGGTATATAAGTCGACTCCAAAGCCCCAAAGCTCAGTGTGGAGACTTCGGGCCATTCCACAGGAACCAGGAACACAGTTTTCAGAGGACCGCGTAACGGTCCAATAACCAGCCATTCGATACCTTGCGTTGCAGAGGCTGAAACACCCTACTCTAGGGGCAGAGTCCACTCTGAAGAACGGCAGCCTTGGAAGTGCCCCCCCCGGAGGGCACAAGATGGGCGGGGGTCGCTAGTTTCAGGTGGATCCGGTGAGGGATCACTAGGGAATTGGGATGCTGATTTGACTATAGCAAGCGGACTCCGCGGCCTTGCATACAATGGACCCATATTTGAAGGTGATTGGGTCGGTGTCGTGATCCTCGGTCCGCCATCAGCTTGGAGGAGCACACCAATCGCCTCTTTCGGGGGCCCTTTTGGGGGCCTTCGCCGTGGAGGTTAGATTTTTTTTCTCAGGTTACATGTGAGTGTGATAGCAAATTAATTTTCGGGATCCCACAATGTGTAGCGAAGTCGCGACGCAGAACCAGTGTTTGATTGCCTGGCTTTTTTTTTTTTTGTTTAGGGGGGGATACGAGGTGTACGGCGGCGTGGGTCTACCCCTGAAGCCCTTACGGGTCAAGTGTTCAACATCAAATCAACATCAAGGGCTGAGCACTTCGAACCAGCGACTGGATGTGACATGACACAGAGTCACCAGAGGCCGTATACACTCCTGCCATCTCGAGGTGGCTTGGTACCTATTTGTGTACCTGCACTCGACATCCTCGAGACATCGCCTCACACTAGTGTCCTCCTTCGGCCCGCAGTAGGCGCACAGAGCAAGCGGCGGAGCATCTTGCCCGGCCTCAGAATTGGCGCTCAGATACGCGCGGATCCTTGGGACCAACCTCGGGTAAGAATTCGGGGATAACGTGTGAGACCCATGCTGTCCCCGTCAAACAGTGGGGCGAATGAGGAGACATGGAACAGCTCGCAGACGCCATCTACGTTTACCGGTGAGATCAATCACACAGATTTCCTAGGCTGTCACTATCTAGCCCTAGGGGATCGGCTAGGATCATCCAGAGATCAACAGGAGTTAGAATTTTTCAATCAGACACCAGCGCTTCCACGTCCATTTCCTCGGACCGATAGAATCCCAAAGCATCTAACATGGGTCGATCGTCGAATCGATACAGATACACCTTCTCGCCGTGCGCGAAATGCTGAAACTTGTACCACGAGGGGATGCAAAAGGTATCACCGGCCTCCCACTCGTATTTCGCGTCCCCGATGATCGAATGCCCATTCCCAGACACGACGTGATAAACAGAAGAGGTCGTCTCCCGCCGGGATGGCGCAGATGAACCTGCGGAAATGCGCTCGGCGCAACCGCCCAGAACTCGACTCACTGTATAGATCAGCTGCACTGTTCGTACTAAATATGCAAGAAAAAAAATAACAAAGGAAAAGAGAATGATTACCTTCACGACCATCTGGTTTGAGATACCGTTGCGTTGCCCAATCGCCGGACGAACTATCCAAACGGGCCTTCATCTCCGCCCAGGGGAATACCAGTGGCGAAGTGGTACTATCAACGTCCTCGGCTGGATATCGTGGCTGATTAAAATGTTCGACGAAATGAACAGGAAAATGTCGGAAATTGGGCAAATCCAGCCCGTCGAGCCAGACCATTGGGCCTGATCCGTCTTTGCCGTGGTCGTGGTAGTTCCACGTCGGGGTGAGAATTACATCTCCACGCTGCATCTTGATGCGCCGACCGTGAACGGCTGTGAAGCCGCCTTGGCCTTCGATGATGAAGCGCATGGCGAACGCCGTGTGTCGGTGTGCACGGGCGGTCTCGTTCGGCATGACAAGCTGCAGGCCTGCATACAATGTGTCGGTCGTATACGGCGCATCTAAATAGAAATAGATCAGTAGGTCTCTCGGTACGATCGAAGTATAGACTCACCACGGGCAGGATTGATTAACATCAGGACACGACGCTCGGCTTGCTCCGCTGAGACGAGATTCCCGGCGCGCTCGAGATTCGGTCGGATAGATTTGTATTTCCATACATAGGGGATAGTAGTCGGACTCGGAGCCGGCGGGTTCAGTTTTGCCATCTGCTTCCACAGAGGAAGAGTCTTGCTTGCTTCTAGATCAGCAAGAAGCTTCTCCTCCGAATCGGTGGTGGTGATCTGTGCTGTCGATGACATTTTGAAAATCCAGGTGGTGATTGACAACGTTGGTATTTCACAACTCAAGCAAAAAGGTTTGGAGATCCGTTTCCTATCGACCGTAAATTCGTCCAAGTTATATTCTAACAAAGTCGTCATGTAGACACCTTCATTTCCCAGGACGGGGATACACGGGAGGCATCCCCGGTCACGTTTCTAGATCGCGGGAAAGCATGGCATTATAAGCTAGCAGTGACATTATCTCACATCAAAGCACAAACAGCTTTATTTTTTTTGCGTTGGTCTCGCCGGGATACCGAAGATGGCAATTCAAAGTGAAGCTCACGATGAGGCTGCTCCAGGTAGCTCACTCAAAGTAAGTCAGACAGCAGAGTTTCCAAAGACTCAAAACTCAAGCAACACAGAACCCAACTTATCCAAGCAACTGTCTCACCTTCCTGAACCCACCAACCCCGACCCCAGCCCAGGTACCCCAGGTTCGCCTCAAGATTATAGTGGTTGGCGCCGGACTAGGAGGCCTCGCGACAGCAATAGCCCTCGCCAGCTCCGGACACACCGTCACAATCTATGAACAAGCACCCGAACTTGGCGAAGTGAGTATCTCACCCCTTCATATCCTACCTCAACCCCCCAAACTCACAGACCATAGGTCGGCGCCGGAATTCAAATTCCTTCAAACTCAACACGCCTCCTAAGCAGACTCGGCCTGGACCCGTACCTTGAGAAATACATCACAGAGCCCGAGACAATCTCATTCCGACGATGGGAGTCCGGACATGTGATTGGTCTCACGCGGCTGATCCCTAATTTCCGCGAGACGTTCCGGGCGCCGTACTACGTGATTCACCGCGCTAATTTCCACACGGCGCTGCATCGGCGGGCACTGGATCTTGGGGTGACTGTCAAGCTTGCAGCCAGAGTCACTGAGTTTAATGTTGCTAAGACTGGGATTTTGCTTGAGAGCGGATATTTTGCAGAGGCGGATCTTATTGTAGCTGCTGATGGTAGGGGACTCCTTCAAGTGTTTGACAATTTACTAACTTTTGCAGGTGTCAAGTCTGTCGCAAGGAGATTGGTTGATGATGGGCCTGCATTTAAGCAGACTGGATTCGCAGCCTATCGTGCAACAGTTGATGTCGCACGTATCAAGGCAGATCCGGAGATTTCTTGGCTTTTGGAACGCCCGAATTTGAATATCTGGTGTGTATGGAAACATTCGTCTATCAATCATCTTCGTTAACGCTGAGCAGGATCGGTGATCAGAGACACGTCATGACATACACAATTGGAGCAGGTAAATCATTTAACATGGTTCTTTCGCATCCCGATGACACAGACCCTTCGACCTGGGATCAAACAACAGCGCTGAGCGATATGAAGCGTGAGTTTGAAGGATGGGACACAAAGTATGAAATACCTAGGAATATGTATGAATCTTAACTGACTTGACCAGGCTTCAAAAGATTATCGGCATGATTGACAAGACCATCAAATGGCCGCTTGTTAGTGGTACACCTTTGGCGCGGTGGACTATGGGCCGAATCGTGATCCTCGGTGATGCGGCACACGCTATGTTACCATATATGTCTCAGGGTGAGTGACCGAATTAGCTTTTCACTTCATGTGGTATTGTGAAGGTAGATTGCTAATCGACAAGCAGGCGCAGCAATGGCCGTAGAAGACGGCGTCGGTCTTGCCCGCTCTCTATCAAAAATCAAAAACACCCAAGATATAACGCGTGCGCTCCACATATTTGAGAAAGTCCGCATGGACAGAGCAGGGAAGATGCAAGAAGCGAGTCTTTTGAATGGCAAGTTATGGCACTTTGCTGATGGGCCACTTCAACAAGCTCGTGATAAGGCTATGGGTCCAGAGACGCGGGGTGAGCCTTTTAGTAATAGTCCAAATCAGTGGAGTGATCCGGCGACGCAGATGTGGGCTTATCATTATGATGCGGAGGTGGAAATTGATCGTGCTTGGGAGAAGGATGCGCGGAGGAGTTGTTTATAGATTGTCACTTTGATGTTTCAACTATTCAGAAATTAAATGAGATACTCATGCGCTGCATGGGCTACTATAAATCTACTTGAGATCTCAAAAGTCTTGGTTTTTACCAGCTCTAGCGCAGATGTCAAATTGGTAGCGAAATTGACATGGACAAAATGACTAAACAAAGATGCATCCTCGAACTATATCCAAATAGAATCAACGAGTGAATGCTCCCGGAAAACGACTCGATATTTTGGTCGGAAACCCCGACTCTCTTCGCCCGGAAGCGACCCGGACACCACCCGATCTACCCCCGGCCAGTACACCCAAAGATCCAAATAGCACATAAACCCCTCAACAACTCAAATAGTGTCTCCCCCAAGCTATCGAACATACATTTTTTTCAACTTTTATGTTTTTTTACAACTCATTCAACAAATAGATAACATGTCCCTCCCTTGGAAACGCCTCATCCGCTTCATCGCAACAGACGGGCGAACGCTGCGGGGCGAACCAATCCTGCCGACACCAACGACAGACTTAGGCTTCATTACAGAAAAAGACAAGCTACAAGCCATGGTAATTGAAGGAGAGGATGTCTTCGACACTACAGGAAAGACCCGCGTCACGGATGAGATTGTGACCGTGCAGACGATCCTGGGGCCGTTGACACAGCATGAGGTCCCTATACTACGATGTGTCGGGTTGAATTATGCAAAGCATAGTGAGTGTGGAAACAATCTCCTCACAAATTCACACCTTCATACGCAGACGATGCATGATTGAAGTGCAATTTCAAAACCACCCGAAATTGAATCACTAACAATGTATATCCTGAATCTAGTCAAAGAAGCTGGCCGAACACCACCCCCTTCCCATCCATATTCTTCAAACCCAACACCACAGTCCACGACCACGGCAAACCAGTCGAAATCCCCAAACTCGCCCAAGATGAACAAGCTGACTACGAGGGCGAACTAGTAAGATCCCAACTCACGCTCGACTCTCATTGCCCCTCAGACAACGAACTAAGTAATACTCAAGTGTTTGATCATCGGCGAGCCGGCCAAAAACGTCCCCATCGCTTCCGCTCTCTCCCACGTCGCAGCTTACACAGTCGGTAACGACATATCCTCTCGTAAACTCCAACGCGACCCCGCCCTGGCAGGCCGCGTTCCGCAATGGGGATTCTCGAAGGGGTTCGATACCTACGCACCATTGGGACCGTGTCTCGTTGCAGCCAGCGAGATTGTGGATCCAAGTACGTTGTCTTTGAAAACGGTTGTTGATGGGGAGGTTCGACAGGAGGAAAGCGTGAGTGATTTGTTGTTTGATTGTGCGTATTTGGTTTCCTATCTTTCGCAAGGGACGACTCTGCAAAGAGGGTGTGTTATTATGACGGGAACCCCTGGTGGTGAGTTTTTTTTTTCCTTCCTGGTTTTTATATTTTGGGCATGAATGGTGGCTAATGTGGACAGGTGTTGGTGCTGGACTTGAACCGCCGAAGTATCTTGTGCCGGGGACTCAGATGGATGTGTCGATTTCGGGCATTGGGACTCTGAGAAATGGTGTTGTTTTCGAGTGAATGTGTCGAGTTGATGGTTTGCGCCCTCTGTCTCGAAGATCTAGAGAGGGTCTTTCTGTTTCCAAATACATGATACACTGGCCAACATGATTATGGCGTACTCTTTTAAAGGTCGGCTATTTAGTGACAATCGACCTATTTCAAGCCAATTCACCAAGCTTCTTCATTTCTGCTCAGTACATTTGCTGAATACAATCCACCGAAAATCTATGACCTCCTTGAGTACTCCGCGCGTCCAACTATCAAACTTGGAACGGCCCGGTCTTTAAATGCTATCACGGAGCCTTTTGGTCTCACGCCAAACGGTCTCGTTGCAGCGCCCACTAATCGTAAATCTTATTTGATGTATATCCTTGCAGGTGAAGAGAGTGTCAGGTATTTCCATCTTTAGCCAATCTGCGAGACCGCTCATGTCCACAGATATCGCGACATTTTCCGAGCTTTTATCGCTGCATGCCTCGTCGGGCAGAGCAATATCATGCCAAGGTAAATAGGCAGATAACGAGACCATGACTCCGAGAGCATAGAGGTCATGTTCTAGACTGACCAATTGAGAAAGCCTTTTCCAGTATTTTTCTTGAAAGGAGAAGACTGGCGCAAGACCGGTCGTATGATTCCCGCCGGGGAAGCCCAACCGTTGACAGTCTTTGATCATTAATGTATCTTTGCTGGGGTGCCTGCTGCGGCCACCGTTAGGAGCTACGCCCGCGGCACCTTCAGGCTTCTAAGTCGCGTAGGCAGTGTTGACCGTGCGTACCTGAAGCAGGCCATTAGAAACCGATCTAAGACCCGAAAGCGATAGCGCGCAAGTCTACATTCAGAGTAGACAGAGCGTGCAAGACTTACACGATTTACGTAGACTGTAAAGCGTTTCAGAGGTTTCATCCTTCAAGCAGTCCAATTATCAGCTCCGCAAAGCCCAAACTCCAAAGTTGACGAAAGAAGCCTAATCCAAGAATCGATGGCTCTCCGCATGGACCTGGTCCAGCACAGCCATATGTTTAAGGGGTAGTCTCAAGGCTCAAAATGCATCCTAGGCAGACACATGAGCCGAGGAATGTCGATCCACACAAGCCGTCGCTGGGGAAAACCAGCCACGACCCGATGATTGGTTCGGACACCTTTGTATGTCTCGCCCCTTTTCATCGTGCTATTTCCAGCTATGTCTTACATGTCTCATAGCCACAGGAAGAAAAGTTTACGCAATGGAGACAAGATGGGATAGTGTGTGGTCAAAAAGGGACTTGATTCAACGTGTAGACTGGAGCTAGTCATAATCAGTCCACTCGCCGAGCACGGCATCATTCTTTTTCTCAATTTCACATAAGCATGGTCTTCGTAAGAAATCATCACACTCCCCCTGCGTACAGCAACGAGACATGCTCAGACAGTCTTGACACGCTCATTGCGCAATACATTGGAACGATAAAGGGGGAGGCGGAACTTTTGGTGGGTAGCATCTCGCAAGTAGTATTGTCACAAGTCTCAGAGAAGAAGTAGATTCTATAAACAGGAAAAGGATCATAAAGGATAAAAGAACGCAACCCACTGGGCGCGCAGTGTAAAAAAAAAAGGGTGTTTGTAGAGACTGAGAGAAACAAAGAAGAGGGCCCGAGAGAAGAGCAATCGGGAAAGAAGTGTAGAACATAAAAATCGTCATCGAGACCGTAAAAAAGTGAGACTTGTCCAATCTGCCGGAGATGGTGCCCTAATTTTTCATAAAATCAAAGAAAATCACACTCCAACGCGCACGCTCGACGTGGCTAAAGAGTTTAGTTGATGTACCAGGTGGCGCCAGAGAGACGGCCCTCAGACAGAGAGGCGAAGGCCTCGAAGAAGGCGCGGGAAAGGTCGACGGAGCCATCGCCGCAACCCATGCACTTGTCGACGACCGTACCAGTCTTAGTAACACCATTGTACTCGATGGTGACAGTCTTGCCGCAGTCGCTGTCGGTCATGATGCCGACGGGCAGGGCGAGAACGAGCTCGGTCTCGCCATCATTGGTGGTGCCGCAGGAGCTGGGGTTGGACGAGGAAGTGGCAGTGTCGTAGTAGGTCATCTGGCCAGTGCAAGGCGAGCCCTCGGAGCAGGAACCGGAGTAGCCGGAGCTCGAGGTGGAGGCGGTGAACTCGGTAGTAGTGGAGCTAGTAGCAGCGGGAGCGGCCTCAGTGGTGGGAGCAGCGAGAGCGGCCTCAATGGGGGTGGGAGCAGCAAGAGCGGCCTCAGTGGTGGTGGGAGCAGCAAGAGCGGCCTCAGTGGTGGTGGGAGCAGCGCTGGTAGTGGTCTCAACGGGGGCAGGAGCCTGGGTGGTCTGCTCAGTGGGAGCGGGGGCGACAGTTGAGGTCGAGGTGCTGGAGGTGGAGGTAGAGGGAAGTCTCCGCCTCGACAGGCTGTTCCTCGACCTGAGCGGCCTGGGCGGCGACAGTGGTGGGAACAGCAGCAACGGCGGGAACAGTGGTGGTCACAGGGACGACAGTGGGAGTAGCAGTGGCAGCGTCAAACTGGCCAGGGTAAAGAGTGGTGGTGACATCAATGGTAGTCCAGACGATGTCAGTGACAGTCTCCCACACAACGGCGCGCTTGTTAACGGGAGCAGCGAGACCGAAGGCAGAGAAGAGAGCGCCAGCGAGGGCGAGGGTCTTAGTAATGGGAGCCATTGCGTGAGATATTTTTATTTTCTTCAAGGGAGAGTGATGGTATGGAATAAGTGAATCACTGCACAGCAGGATAAGAAATCGAAAGCACTCAAAAAGGAGCGTGAGTGTGCAGACGAAGTGGGAGGGACCGTTGGTGAGAAAGAAGGGGAAGTGGAGGAAGAATGGTTGATTAAATACGAGGGACGCGCAAAACCCTCACTCGGTACAGACCCACCAACCTTCCACGAACCCATGGTCACCCAAGAGCCATGGGTGTCCACTGCACCCACTCGGTCATGGTCGTGAAAATACCTACCTGATTCAATTGTACTTGCTACCTCACTTTCTACTTGTCGCATTCTCTGCAAACGAGTGTCCCTGGTCTCGGAAGGCCCGGAATCCCCCAAGGCGCTGATTGGGACCACAAAGTTGCGCCAACGCGAATGGCGCAGGGGCACATCTGTGCCACAACAACTCCGCGGCTGAAGCAGCCGATCCAATCGTTGGAAGTTGGAGAAGGCTCCACCGGCCAAAATTGGGTACCTGGCAGAAGGCCGAAGCCTATTCTTTCTTGATGCCAGATCCGGCCATGTCGCATTGAGCCTTGAGCCTGTCGCCTCGCGCCCGCGATGATGCGCAGAGAAAGCGAATGGAAGCCGGCTGCCTTGGAAAGCCAAGGCCACGCCCTACCCTGGACTGGTCAGAGGCTTGCAGTCGGCCTTTGTGTGCCGGGGCGGGTCACTGTGGGGAGATGCGATTGGCGAGATGAGCCCTGCACAACTATGAGATCTTAGACTGGTTCGTCTAACGGGCCTGAGATGACAGGCACCCCTGTTCGCCTAATGACGTGCCCCGAGCGGAATACTTCTCCCTCACCCGACCGCGTTTTTTTATTCCCGGTGGGTCCCTGGCGCCTGGTGGCGATCATCTTCAATGTCCTGGACTGCCCGGTCTTTAGTCTCTCAAGACTCCGGGTTCCTTCTTTGAGCTACTAATGATGGCAGTAATCTCGATAATGCGACCTTGTACGAAATCTTCAATCCACCATGGGGACAGGGGCTCTATGTGACAGGCTCGGATCGCGGGCGAAGATGAAACAATCACAAATCTCCGCCCAAGTTCTAGACCGAACCGGCCCTTCGCAAACAAATCACAACCCCTCATCGTTTTTGTTCCTCCCACTCACTGCTACTCCGCCCAGCCAAATTTCTGTAGAGTCCGGAGTACGGAGTACAAACTTGGTCAACCGGGAGCTGCTTGACTCAAATTCTACCTGCGAGAGTCCAGCTTGCTGCTGCGAGACATAACGTAATTGGGGGAAGCTGGAACAAGTGTCCCGGACTTTGAGCTTGACCATTTTTAATTTAAATTTCTTCTTTTTATCGGCGAGGAAGACATCATTTACCGATCAAACGGCACGATCAAAAATGTGAAATGTATGCGTGGCGTGCCGACGATGCGATCGTTTCAGCTGTCATCACATACCCCCAAATCCTAGCTCGGCGGCTAGACCGACCATTCAAAGTCCTTTCGAAGCAACATACCGTTCGCAACCTCGAAACAGGTTTAAGACCTCGAATCCAATTCTGTCTTACTTGACATGTGAAAATCGAAATGGCCACCCCCGAAACCGTCTCATGATTCAACGCCATTTTCAAGGAAATCACACGAAAATCGAGTGATGCAGCGACGCAACGGAAAAGGGCACCTGGAGCAAAAAACCTAGAATCATGGCATCAAAGTCAAACCTCCAATGTGGTGGCGAAAAAGAAATGAGCTCGGTAGCGGTCCGATTGCAACAGGTACGGGATACCTTCAAACGGCGGGGAGGTGGGCTGTTCGTTGGCTCATAGTCCTCGGGGGAGTTCGTTGACCGTTCGAACACAATCAATGGTTCGAGGAGGGTCAAATAAGCCGCCCCACTTTTATGTTCTTCCATTCTTCCAATCCTTCTATTCAAGGTTTTAATCAGATGTGTCAGCGCCGGATATAGAAGGTGGGGGTGCTTGAACCGTGGATTGCGAAAGTTCGTTGGAGATGTCGGAGGGGTTCGGATGGAACACTTAGTGATGAGCGCATTCTACAATTGCTGATGAGTTGATATGGTGATGAGGTCGACGAGTGTCGGTAGAGTGGGTTTTTTCAGCCCAAAGAATGGGTTTTTACGCTGAGGCATTGCCGTCACGGGAAACGGCCTACAAGAAAACAGAAGTACCAAATAACGATATTCATTCTATCAATTCTATCAAAAAAGCAACGGAAAAAACTCAATGCAAAAACTCAATGCAGAAAAGAAAAGCAAGAAAAAAAAAGCAAAATTCATGCAATAACCTCAATATCAAAGCGAAAATTGACCGAACTTCCAGACATTGAAGGCCAGGTATAAATCTGTTTGATGCGTCTAGTCCCACGATCAAACGCACCTAGTACAAGATACCCAACCACCTTACCGATTCTCGTCCCCAACAGAGCATCATAGCGTGGCGTGCCAACCTTCCAGGCTCGCGGTACCCAATGTGGCCACTTTGGACCATGAGCCTCGGTATAGAGTTGATGCTGGACGAAGTCAAGAGTTTCTTCATTAACCACGTTTCTCACAAAAACATACCTCAACCTATCGATCGCATGATGTCTGGTGTAGATAGCCTGCGTGATCTGGGAGATTTGCGGCGCAGGGCTGCCCTTTTGTCTCTTGATGGTGTTGAGGGCAATCGCTCCTTCTCCGGCAAATCCATCCCACACGCAGGTGGAATTGCCATTTGAGCAGGCGTAGAAGCGAGATACGTTACCTGGAATAGGAACGTCCACTCTGTGGGGATCTAGATCACCCAAGGTTGTCGTGTCACTTTCGCGAAGCGAGTATCCCATCTCTGCGAGCTGCGGCCAGGTTAGTGTTGATTTGGAGATATGACAGTTGTGTTCTTGAGGATCGTCTATCCAGCGGCGGATTTGTGCTCCGCGTTCTTGAAACTCACTGAGTTGGACCGTTGTTGGTAGAGCATTTGGAGTGATGTCCTCAATAAGGGCACGTTCTTTAGTTGAAGAGCTCCCTTCAAATGAAATTCTCTCTATGGTCTCTGTGGCTGGAGTCTCGTCTGCGACGATTGAGTTATCTTCTGATGGAAGAGGGACCATCATAGGATTAAGCTCAATGGAGCTTCGCTCGCTGTCTGGGCCACTGAGGCAGCAGCAACAGTTTAAACCGTGAATAAGTGTGCCGGCAAACTCGCTCAGACGACGAGCCATGATGGAAATAGTCTAGAGTATGTGGTTTGCGATTGTTGCTCCAAAGTCCCGAATGCTGGTGATTTTGATGTTTGATGAGCCCAAATTGAGTTAGGTTTTCAGGGCTTTAAGTATACCTCATGGCTTGTGGAATTTCTGGACTCTCTTTGTTGAGTATTCGAGGTTTGGTCATGATCTCCGAACAAAGAGAATATTGAGCTCTAGGACTATTCAAGACAAAGTCGTATACTTGTAAGACTGATTGGGCCCGGGCTTGTAACAGAGGTTGAGAACCTACAATTTTGTAATGAGACCTTCGGAGACATTTGTGATGAAAGAAGGCTCGACACATTCAAGGCTCTATTGTGAGCAATATTAGCCTTTAGATACACTTCACCGAGTGCTTATTCTTTTACTGGGACTGGGACAAGTGCTACATGGGTACAGTAGTTTTCGAATTCAGTTTGACCTCACACTCTTTAGACTTGATTCCCGGAAAATAAATCCCAATAATGCGAATTCTGTTTGGATAAAATTTGAAGCGCTTGAATCTAGACCGCTTATTTCAATAGTCTATGTATCCCACAATACGTCTTTGGTACTATGAGCGATGTATTTTACACGAAACTCGCATACATACGCTACCTCCGTACCTCTCTCCCCTCTCCTCTCCCTTTGTGACAATCATAAACTTCCTGCACAGCGGCTTCCCGGTTATCGTTATTAGTCCAGGCAACATGGTTCCAAGACTCTCGCCTTCAAAGCTTGTTCTCATCCATGATATGATAGAGAGCGAATCCTTCACCGCGTCTGAAATGGCCGAACAGGCTGAATACAGCAAGCAGACCATCATCAGTATCCGCAATAACTTGCGACAACTTGGAAGCATCTACGCACCCCAAACCCGACTAGGTCGGAAACGAAGTGTGACACCTTTGATGAATGAAGCCCTCTGTGATCATCTCTCTGAGAAACCCGGCCTCGACCTCGAAGAGATGGTTGTATTCCTATAGGATGTGTTTCAGGCCATGGTTACACCCCCAGCTTTAGAAGAGCCCTTGTCGCAAAGGGTTGATCCAGAGAGACTGCACGGAAACGTGCTAGGGATCAAAATGCTGAACAATTCCAACGCCTTCAGTAGATCCCCTTATACGCGATGATAGCGGCCTCGAGTTCTGTTATACATATCGTAGATGAAAATAACCGTCAGCCAGAGTGGCGAGCTAACCGCAAGGATTGTAATGAATAACAATTCCTTCTCGGCAGTTGGGTGAATTATTCCATCTTTAAGAACTTCGGCTCGCTGCCGATAGAATAGTTCTCGTTCTTCTTTCATCCACACTTTGACTTTGTTTAATCGAGTATATCCCAATTCCTGCGACTTGATGAACCTTTGATGTATCCTGCCAAGTTTCTCAGACTGATGTTTGGACCGCATAGCGATGTCTCGCTCCTTCCTTTGTTGTTTCCTGACAAGAGCACTTTCATAATCAATCTTCTGCTTTCGACGACCTTCTTCTGTTGCCTTGCGCTTTACGCGCCGATGAAGCACCTCTTTTTGTTCGAAATCATGGTCGCGCAAGACCCGGTCACGAAAAGATAGCAGTGATTCTTCATTAAGCGGAACCATGACTATTAATGGTCCCTTCATTTCCATATATGTTTTGCAAATATGATAATAAGGAGACCAAGCAACCTTTAATGGAGCTATTAGCAGATTATCAGGATATATATATCAATACCAAAGCACACCTGATATATTCCACGATCCGAGGCAGCCCCCCTAATGGCGAATTCGAGCATGTCACTCAGTCTCTCTTTAACGTTTTCAAGATCGTGCAATCTCGCATCATTTCGGATGTTATGATGCGCCATAGCATTCCTGATATCCTTTGATTTTCGCAACAAGCGGCGGAACTTTTTTCGTTCGTCTTCACTCATCATTTTGGAGAGGCATCCATTGGGCTCCTTCAAATGAAGACGAATAATGTCAATGATAGCCGGCAGATCAGCTGCCTGATGATACGAATATCCTTTTGTATTCAAATTCTTTTCATCGATCAGCTCGCAAAGAATGTAGCCCAGGAATTCAAGCTCGTCGGTCCAAGTCATCAACCGTGCTTGAATTTCAAAGTAGGTCACTGGGCATACTGACATCTTGATAGGCAAATTATTGCACAGCGGGATCCTCCTGAATTCGAAGCTTGTCTTTATAGAAGTTCAGATGGGTAGATAGAGTTAGTGCCATTCTAGGCAACTTGCTCGTCATGACTTTTGGTGTGGTGTCCATCTTGATGACGTCAACGATTGTGAGGGAGGTTGAATGAGAACTGGCCATACCTCTCGATACAAGATGGGTATAGGAATAGCAACCAAGTTCATTTTCTAGTAGATATATAAAGCTACGGTGATATCAAGTTCGCTGATCATCCTACCCGACACCATAAACTCCTTTTTTGTAATTTACGACGACTTGACGAGGATACGTGGGTAAACCTGGTCTAGCGGCAAGATATTCTAAAGCAGACAGGTGACCTTAGACAGGATTAGCGTATTGCAGATTTATTTCCGGAAATTAGTTCTAAAGAGTAAGAGGTCAAATTGAATTCGAATATTACTGTATAGAAGGTAAAAATCTGTGTAATGGACGCTCAGAATGACTGCTTGCGACCCTAGTTACGTTGAGATTATTGTTCGAAAAATACCACCCAACCCCATTCCTACGCCAAACAACTCTGATCCTTCATCCTTCAACCTGCAATTTCCCCTTATCAGTCCCCAGATCCAGCAACTTCTTAGTAGGCCGGCTTTCGGCCCGATTCGAACGATCTTTCAACAACCCCAGAATCGTGTCCTTGAAGTTCTCTCCTAAATCTTCCCACACAAACTCCGGATTCAGTGCCTTGATGAAAACGCGCATCGCACTGACAGAAACATTCATTATCTTGCAGACTTCTTCAGCAGAAAGCTCACTCTGCATCGTGTTGATGAAGGTGGACTGCAGTGACGATTTGAACTGTGCGAATTGATCTTCTGCCTTTGTTTTCCTCAAAGCCGTTGTGTCTGAGCCTGATTTCTCGTTTGAATTAACAGCTGCGAGGGATGCGGACTTTTCTCCCGTCAGAATTTCGTGAATGAAATCCTTATCGAGAGGCTCAATCGAGTGACCATACTGTCCTTTCTTGCCAACTTGCCAAGGAACACGGCGTGTTTCTGCATCGCCCAGGACTTGCCTGGTGAGTTCTAGATTTCTTGTCTTGGTAGTTTCGTCGATGTTATCTCCGAAATCTGCGTTCAGAAGATCATTGTACACTTTTACGTTCTGAACTTTCAAGGATGCAGGCTTGACGCGCCAGAGGGAAGCGATGCTGGCGTGTTTGTCCACAACCTTCTCGCAGAAATGCTTCACATTAGCCCAGTCACTGCTTTTGCACGCTTCTGACACCTTGGTCTTGAGTTTGCTAAATGTAGCTGAGCGTGTAGTGTAGATGTTGGCGGCAATCATGTCATCGTGAGTGCGTCGCTCACCCCCATGGGCGAGATGTTTGAGATATCTGATCATGTCGTGGTAACCCCGACTCTGCTTCTCTAATTGATGTGGAAGTTTCTCCAGCAGACGGGCTGCCGCGGCTGCGGTATTAATATCGTTTATTGTAAGCATTCCCATGAAAGCGGTGATGATGGTGCGAGAATGTTCAAGCTGAATGTTTCGAAGCTTGCAGAACTTGATCATCTCATCTGCACGACTTGATTTGACTGCAGTAAGGTTTTCGTTCTTGGTAACAACCCGGACAATAGCCTTGTCAAGGAGTTTCTCCAAATTTTCATAGAATTGCTGGAGAGGCCAGCCGGTGTAAGGATACAAGGCGACGACGGTTTCGTACCAGATCCACTCAATGCCTGTTCTTGGAAGCTCGTATTGCGGATTCAGACCAAACAGCTGCCAGACCATGCTAAGAGGACGCACTCCTGAGCCTGCGATTGTCAAAAGGTTACCAAAGAGTCCTCGCATCAATCTTGTGACTGTGTCCTCGGCTTCCTCTGACACAACTGGCGTAGTCGTCCTCATCGCCGCAAGCTTCCCCATGGCGGCCATCAACAACGCGCTCATGAGATGACCGGTCTCTGGGCTGCTAGACTGGATGTCATGCTCTCTGGAAGCTACTGCTTGGCTAAGAGTGGATCTCATGATGATCCTTAAGGCGGCAATATGTTGCTCGTTGCACTTCTCCATCCATCTCACGGTGTAAGGGCTTTTGAGGTTCACAAATTCATCCCAGCAGACCCAGGCTAACATCGATCCTGTTCCTGATCCTTGGCTCAGGTATGGCAACGCCAAAATTGGGTGCGATGGTCCGACTTGGCTTTGAAGTGGACCGTTATGGTGGGTCTGAGACTGCTCTATGATGATTCCTGCGTCAAATCCTTCGAGATGTAGAATTCTTGAGTCAAGATCGCAGCATGGACTATAACGGAAGGTTAGCGCTGGGCCCTTTTGTAACCGGGCGGCTTTTCAGAAGACAGAAAATCTTCGGGAAGCAGGATTCACTCACCTAGCATCGATGGCTTGGCTGTTCAGATTGCGTAGCAGCTTGTGATAGGATGTTGTCTCGATATTCAATAGCATGACACCCATATCACCTGCATGTGTCTCAAGGTACCCCGCCAGTGTATTGAAAGTCATGGACTTCACAGCATCGACATTACCCTGAATTTGTGTTTGACGAACGAGTCTCTTGAGATCGTGGGTTCGCTTCGAAGTTGTTTGAGACGATATCATGTTGGCCAAGCTTGAGATCAGTGGCTCGAGAGCCACTTGTATCTCTTTGGTTATCTTTCTCAGTTTTCCAAACATATCAGTCTTCTTTCTCACTGATTCTGGATTGGCTGCGTTGTGCTCTTGGGTCAGGAATTTAGTGTAGCTGTTCCTCAACGGAGCCGTCATTTTGCTGATCTTTGTCGAGAGTGCAGACACTAAGGCCTTGGAAAGTTCCTGTAGATCTTTTTGATTCAAGAGCATCTGTAGCTGGGGAATCGCTGCTTTTATGTCCTCTTCCAGCTCATGAATTTGGTCGAACGAAAGGTCGTCGAATACCTTCTCAAGATGTTTGGGCTGGACGAAATGCCCTGAAGTGGGCAATATAATCGGGGTTGCATGGCCAAGGTTTGCAATGCGCTCAATCCTCGGATCCAGTAAATATTTGACATCGACAGTCTCGACAATGGACGTCACATCTGTGCCAAATTCTATTCGCGACGTATTCATGTGCGCCCGATTAGCAAGGCCGCGGTAGAAGTAATACTTCTCGGCGATTTGAACCAGAACCAAGGACTGTGGTCCTGCGAGTGCTGTCACCGCATTGATGTTCGTTGAATTCAACAACGCCAGGATTTCTTCCGTATTTCCGGGTTGGTTTTCTGGCCTGAGCTGCACGATGAACAATGCGTTGATTCTGTACACACTTGCGAGGTTGCGGGCATTATCAGTCATCCGGTCGTCGACGATAACTACAGCACTCTTAAGTTCCTTGTAGTAATTTCGGATAGCAAGTTCGTCGGTGAAGGGAATGTTAATTGGGCATGTTCCTGTGGCCAGTAACACTGGGCCTTGCAGTTGGGAACCAAAAATGCATGGCAAAACCACGGCAGATGGCTCAGATTTCGAAGCAAGCCTTTTGTCGGGCACCTCGAACTCTATTCCGGTCCCGAAGCGTATGATCTGTGTATCCTTCAGATCGATGAAGGTAGGAAGAGTAGAGGAATCGGAAATGAAAAGCGCGTTCTCTTTGGTCATCCAGTCCAGGGTAGTTGAGTTCAAGCTTGTTCCCTCGTCGGGGGAGTCTCTCAACATAGTGACATCTTTAGATTCATTAGCTTTACAATGTAAATTGGTGCGGATTTCGCAACACCTACTTCGGCGAGTGACTGAAGGAGCAGAGATGGTAAAGTCAGCGCGCTGAATTGCTTCCGGAAAGCAAGCGCTTATCAACTTATTACTGTGACACATCATGCCACAATCTGTAGTTGCCTTTGGCAAAATGGAACAGATAAGGGAGTCTCCATCTCTTTTTATCACCAGCGGGCAACAGATGGTCGCGTTTCCAATTGTCGCTGCATCCAAGGGAACCGGAATGATGTAAAGAACCTGTAAAGCACGATTAATCCGTGTCAACGCAATAAGAATATTTGACTGACCTTCTCAACATGATCAGCAACAAGCAACGCAGGGTTTGTCCCCAGAAACCTTGTTATGAGGGTAGATTGATAGCCAGAGATGAAGACGCAGATGTCTTTCTCTGTGAGGGTGTCTTTGTTGATCTTGACATAATCGAGAAGATCCTGTCCGTTGAGAATGTCACCACTATGAGAAATTCCGGGGAAAGTGTTTCTCGCAAGCCAGCAACAAGCGTTGCATAACGCATCAGCGAAGCAGAAATCGTAGTAGGTGGGAGTTCGTTCGGAGACTGCTAAGATTGTAATTTGGTCTGAGACTATGGGGATCTTGAATGTAGAGGCTGGTGCTTGCATGATCTGAAAGTCCTCGAAAACGCCTGCTGATGTTTAGTGCTCACTCTTGGTCCGAGTTTTGACGGAGTGAAACGAGAGAAGACATACCTAGGTGAGACTTGAAGCCAGCCATTCGCCTTAAAAGGGTCTCGCCCATCTCACCCAGATCGACTGCATTGAAAAAGTAGTCTTCCGGGTAGGAAGAAATATCGATTTCTTCAATACCATTGTCTGTTCGACAAAGAAGCAGACGCTCAGGACTGAAAGGGTGTGCAGAGCCGACTGGAAGCTCCTCTAGGATCTCACGAACGCGAGCCTTGGACGATGCGAGCGGATCGAAGAAGGTTTTCCTGACTTTTTCCATTTTGGCTAGTCGCAAGTTGCGGTCTTGAAACTGAACATTCAATAGAAGACCTCGTCGCCGAATTATGGCGCTCTTTTGTACTTGTTCCTTTTCATAAGGCTCTGCGCATGAGTCACGGCGGCGACTGGAATAGGTAAGAACGATCAACTAGTCGCCTTTTAGTGTAAAAGCAATGTTAAGACACATTGTATTGTAAGATTCACCACTACGTCGAGTCAGTAGCATATTTCCACGAATTACGCAGGTTTCAACGAACTCCTTTCTGACTTGGCATCTAACCCCGCCCTGAGCACCAGAGTGAGGCTGAAAATAGGCCTGCCTAGGCAATCAATTTCCCATTTCAACGTCGCATCACCATAGCTCGGGGATGCCACAAATTCTTTTGGTTCTTCGCGCACATTCTGGCTAGATCAACGATGTCTACTTGCACGAGATTCCCGAAGGTAAAGACCTGTTTTTCACGTTTCAAAGTTCCGAGTGATACAGTACTCCAAAAAAAAAAAAAAGTCACAAACCTCTTGCTGGAGACCGAATATGGTGCCCGCTATATCTTATGAGCGAACGATTACTCAATTTCGCTTTGTGACCGAATCGGCTAAACGTTTCGCGTGTCGCCAGACTCACCGTCTCGCTCATCCTAGTCAGCCTCTGGGACAAACTCTCCCTTCAGTTTGGCTCGAGCCTGATACCGCTTCAGCGCAACCGAGTCAGGGTTACAACAGAACTTCTATCAAGACCAGCAGGGCTCTGGCGAAGTACTACGTTGTATGGGCAAGCCAAGCAGACGCGCACTGACTAAATTGTACGGTAAATCTACACCCAGGAAGACTCGAGGGAACGTCAAGGTCATTAAATTAACCAACATGAAAAGAGAAACCAGTCCACGCCATAACCATCGCAAGAGAAAAAGAAAGTAAAACCATCAAACTCATGATATAGATACAGAAATCACACGTGTGCGAGTCCAAAGCAAATAAACATCAAGATCGTCAAGGAAAGAGCTTAGCCCTGGCACATGAGACAAGCTTCCTTGTTCTCGATACTGCACTCAAGGACAGCCTGCGAGAAGATATCGCCCTTGGGGCCATCATCATCGGCGGCATCCTCAGTCGTCTCGCCGACTTCGAGGACGGGTGCGGCGACGATGGGCTCGGCGACGGTAGATACGACGTTGGCAACGGCAGCCTCAGCGCCGTTAGCGCGGGGCACAGCGGAGTACGAAGAGCTGGCGCCGCCAACGGTACGCTTCTTGTAGGAGGGGTTGGTGCGAGCGACGTTGGTGTCCTCAACCTTGAGAGCCTCCTGGTCGACGGTAAACTGAATGGGCGCAGAAGCGGCCATGGTACGGAGGTAGTACATGCCGGTCTTGAGACCCATCTTCCAACCAGCGAAGTGCATCGAGGTAATCTTGCCCATGGTGGGCTCCTTCATATGAATGTTCAGGGATTGGGACTGGTCAATGAAGGCACCACGGTCAGCGGCCATCTGAAGGATGGTGCGCTGAGAAATTTCCCAGACGGTCTTGTAGAGGGCCTTGATGTCGGCGGGGATGTTGGGGATGTTCTGGACGGAACCACCGTCGGCGATGATGCGGTTCTTCATATTGTCGGACCAGAGGCCTAGGTCGACGAGGTCCTTCAGGAGCCAAGGGTTGACGACCTGGAACTCACCGGCCAGGACACGGCGGGAGTAGATGTTCGAGGTGTAGGGCTCGAAGCATTCGTTGAAGCCAAGAATCTGACTGGTGGAGGCGGTGGGCATAGGGGCGACCAGCAGACTGTTGCGAACACCGGTCTCGGCGATCTTGGCCTTCAGGGAAGCCCAATCCCAGAGATCGGTGGGGGTGCGGTCCCACATGTCGTACTGCAGGATACCCTGGGAGACGGGGGAGCCAGGGTAGGTCTCATAGGTGCCGTGGATCTTGGCCAGATCGGAGGAGGCGGTCAGAGCACCGTGGTAGATGGTCTCAAAGATCTGGATGTTGAGCTGCTTGGCCTCAGGAGAGTCGAAGGGCAGACGCAGAGCCAGGAAGGCATCAGCAAGACCATTGACACCAAGAGCGATGGGACGGTGACGGAAGTTGCTCTTCTTGGCTTCGGGAACGGGATAGTAGTTGATATCAATGATCTTGTTCAGGTTGCGAACGAGAACCTGAACAACCTCGTGCAGCTTGCCAAAGTCGTACTCGCCGCGAGCAGCGTCAACGAAAGTGGGAAGAGCAAGGGAGGCCAAGTTGCAGACAGCAACCTCGTCAGGAGCACTGTATTCGATAATTTCAGTGCACAGGTTGGAGCTGCGGATAGTGCCCAGGTTCTTCTGGTTGCTCTTGCGGTTGCAGGCATCCTTGTACAGCATGAAGGGGTTACCGGTCTCGGTCTGAGCCTCGAGAATGGCATACCACAGCTTCTGAGCCTTGATGGTCTTGCGGCCACGGCCCTCCTTCTCGTACTTCTCGTACAGAGCGTCGAACTCGTCACCGTAGACATCGGCCAGGCCGGGAGCCTCGTTGGGGCAGAAGAGGGTCCATTCACCATTGGCCTCAACACGCTTCATGAACAGATCGGGGGTCCAGAGAGCATAGAAGAGGTCACGGGCACGAACTTCCTCCTTACCGTGATTTTTCCGGAGATCGAGGAACTCGAAAACATCCGCGTGCCAGGGCTCGAGGTAGATGGCGAAAGCACCGGGACGCTTATTACCACCCTGGTCAACGTAGCGGGCAGTGTTGTTGTACACACGCAGAAGGGGCACAATACCGTTGGATGTACCATTTGTTCCACCGATGTAGGAACCAGTAGCACGGATACGGTGAACGTTGAGACCAATGCCACCAGCAGTCTTGGAGATCATAGCACAGGTCTTCAGAGTGTCATAAATACCCTCGATGCTGTCGGCGCTCATATCAACCAGGAAGCAAGAGGCCAGCTGAGGCTGAGGGGTACCAGCGTTGAAGAGAGTGGGAGAAGCGTGAGTGAAGAACTTCTGGGACATCAAGTGATAGGTCTCAATGGCCTTCTCAATATCGTCACCGTGGATACCAACGGAGACACGCATCAGCAGGTGCTGAGGACGCTCGGCTACCTGGCCGTTGATACGGAGGAGATATGATCGCTCCAGAGTCTTGAAGCCAAAGAAGTTGTAGTTGAAGTCACGATCGTAGACGATAGCCGAGTTAAGCTCGTCCGCGTGTTTCATGACAATCTCATAGATATGTTTAGAGATCATAGGAGCGGGTTTGTTGTTCTTAGGGTTGACATAGTGGTAGAGGTCTGAGATGACCATGGAGAACTGCTTCTTGGTCTGCTTGTGGAGGTTGGAAACGGCGATACGAGCTGCCAGGATGGCGTAGTCGGGGTGTGTCACGGTCATGTACGCGGCAGTCTCAGCAGCCTTTTGGAGGACAATAAAAGTTAGCATAAGAGTCAACGAGGTGGTAGAAAACCACATACCAGGTTATCAAGCTCGATAGTGCCAACACCCTGGTAGACACCAGAGATGACTTTTTGGGTGATGGCAGCTGCATCGACGTGATCGGGGTCAAGTCCGTAACACAGCCTCGAGACACGAGCAGTGATCTTATCGAACTGAACGCGTTCTTTGCGTCCATCTAGGTGATTCCCATGTCAGTGATTGATCCTGACGTCGGTGGCAAGGCCTAGGAGCTTCCTTTCGTATACAAAAAGCGTCCTACCCGCGGCAAAGGCCACAAAGTTGCAGGCAGAACAGATGCAGCTTACCTCGTTTGTAGACGAACATCTTGATTGTGTATTTTGGAGGATGAAAGGAAGAACGATTAGAACAATAAGGGGGTATTAAGAACGTGAGATAGAGAGAATTGTGAGTGGGAGAAGGAGGGGGGATTGTCAAAAGGGAGGTGAGGGAGTAGCGGACGAGGGAAGGAAGAAAGAAGAGAACGGAGGGGCGTGGATATTTGATGTCGCCCGGGCAAACGCGTTTTTACTCGCGAATTTTCGTGTTTGGCCTAATTTGGTTTCCTTTGGTTACCGTGCTGAGTAATATTGAATCGCGACAGTCACGTGAAGACGCGACAAGGTGGATCATCGAAGCCATGCGCGGCTTCGGCCCTGCTATGTCCGGCGGAGAATGCCATTCCGGGCTCGAACGACTCTAAATTACTGTAGTAGCAGTCTCTAGCCTGAGTTTCCGTAGTAACTCGGTACATTAAAACCAGTGACCCTGGCATCACTGCAATGGGCATGTCCGTGCAGCTCTCCTTGCGGCTCACAGACTGCCACCAGATCTACATTAAAAGGGGCCGAAAAGGTTTGTCCGATTCAGAGTACGCCAAGCAACTGGATTTGCTCTAAGAATAACAAGCGGTGTGGGTTATGGATACAATAGCAGGCAAGCAAATTCATCGCAGTTCGAACCGAGACGAACCGAATCAGCAGAGAACCATAACACAAAGCATATCCAAGCTAATTATTTATGAACAGATCGAAAGTCATTTTGCAAGAAAGGTGATCGGCAAAATCGACTCAAAGCCAAGCGGCAATGCCGGCGAATACGGCAGCCCCGAGGAGCGTAGTTCCCGATAGCTGGCGGTCAGACACGGCGGCACCGGTGTGAAGAGCAGTAGAGGCCGAAGAGCTACGAGAAGCTCCAGAGCCAGTGCTAGAGCCAGATCCGGAGCCAGAGCTAGAGCTAGAGCCAGACTCAGACTCAGAGCCACTACCGGAGCCGGAGCCAGAGGTCGAGCCAGTAGCCTTGGAGCCAGAGGTCGAGACGGCGGTAGCGAAGCCAGAGCTAGAAGCAGTAGCGCTGCTAGCAGTGACGGAGGGGATATCTACCATTAAAAGTAAGTCAAGCGTGCAATTTCGAAATCAGGAACAGGTGGTGGGGAGATTCTTACCAACTTCGTGGCCGGCCGCGGTGCAGACGTTGGCGAAGTACTTCAGGGCCGCCTCGGCGCCGCTGCCGCACGAGTTGCAGATGGCAGTCTCAGTTTTCTTTGCATCAGTACCACAAATGGTGGCCAGATCAGCTGGGTTGTTGGTGTCACTGGAGAGATTTGTCAATTGTTGTTCGGGGACTGCCGAGTGTTGTTTATGGACATGGAGATGCGACCCCATAACAGACAGGACACAGGCCGGCGTTTGGTGGGCGGAGACGATGCTACCGAGAGCCACGAAGGCGAGAGCGAGAGAAGACTTGTTGAAGAACATTGTGAGAAAAGTGAAAGGAGCAGATTGAAGTTCGAGTTCGAGTTCGGGTCGGAGTTCGATTTAGACAAGATCGCGCAGCGAATCTGGTGAAGCTGGATAGTAGTTGATAGTTGAAGTAAGGACAGTGAGAGTGAAAAGAGTGGCAGCGACAAAAACGAGCGATCGCAAGTAGAAGACGACAAAGGGTGACGAAGGGGAACAAAAGCGGACCTCGAAGTGGAAGGCGCCCAGGAGTAGGGAACGGGTCTTAGCATGCAGTTTCAGTCCCTGGTAATCGGCGCGTTTTGCACCCTGTAAGATAGGGACTCCACTCACTTTTACTATGGGACATGCACTACCAAGTCCTTGTATGACACTAGTAATGGACGTGACAATTTCCCCACGATAGCGCTGGTCCCTGATCGGGGATAGCGTCAGGGACCCCTGTCCAAGCTCGTATTACAGCCTATCGACGTTCTTTATCGGATGGCTACTTCTAGCAATTACTGGCCAATTGATGCCGATGAATGTGACCTGTGATCTCAATCATTGTATCAAAAGATGGATTATGTTCATGCTACCAGTGTTGTTGTCATATTTCTAGTTTTCCCCGATCCAGAAGAGGATAAGGTAGAGAGTTTCCAAGACTCAAGCGGTCTAATTTTAGTCCGAAGAACCTCTACTCATCTCAAGGTTTGCGCGAACTATCTCATGTCCGTGGAACACTGGAAATTATTTGTGTCATGACGAAGTGATTCCGGGAAACCATAGATACAAGGGGTCTTGTATGACCGACAAACAATTGGTGCATAGCCCGTTTAGATGCACAGAATCTCGGCGGCATAAGAGACGGCTTCAAGGGGCCGCCACAATTCATTCACTGATTCATTTTTGATAGGTTTCTTGGCGTCTTTATGAAGCCTTGTTCGAAGCATCTTCCGCGATAGTTCTATAGATCCACTGACTATGAGAGCAGTTACACAAGGTATAAAAAACAGTATTGCCGACTTCGAGAATTTACCATATACCTTGGAGCAATCCGTATTCTAATACGCAAAGTTTAGATGAGAATTTCTTATTACCGATTGAACTTGACCTGTATTGTCTTTCTATAAATCGCCTTTGCGCCACAAATGCCCAAAATCTAGCAGGCAAGCAAATCTACAACTTCTCCCAAGCAGGATCATATATACTGGAAATAACCTCCTGCGCCTCCAATCTGTTATCCACAATCTCTCTCCCATTTACCAGATCATTCTCCCTCGCCCTCCTATCCGCCTCCTCCTCATCCCTCGCGATCCCCGCCTTAACATGCCTCTTAATTAACCTTTTTCTCGCGACCTCAAAATCCACATCCACAAACCACAGCTCATCCATCAACTTCGCCGCCTGACTCCATGGTTCCTTGTCGAGACTCAGATAATTCCCCTCAAAGAAGATAACCCTACTCGTCGCCGGGATGGGGATGTCGTCATCACGGGATCCTTTACCGCATGGTCAAAGCTAGGCGCGTAGATACTGTCCACTTTTGTTGTGAGAGGTTCTCTTAAAGACTGCACAAGAGCTAGGAACTTGTCGCCGTCGAATGTGAAGGCTGCACCACGGCGAGCGGCGGCGTAGACGGGGTCTGGCATTGCGGCGAGCTGGGCGCGCGTTAGGTGGTAGCCGTCCATTGGGAGAGAGGTGGCAATGGGAACGGCGTTGGGGTTCTCGGCGCTATAGAGGACATTGATTCGGTTGGCGACCATGCGGGCGAGTTCGGTTTTGCCGGAGCCTGGGATTCCGCTAATGGCGATCATGAGGCGGGCGTCAGGTGGGGTGGAGAGGAATTTGGCTGAAGGGGTTAGCCTTCGAGTTCCGCCGGGGTGGGTTGACTTGGTGGGATTGCATGGATCGCATGGATTGCGCAGTTGTTGGTTCAAGCTGGGGAGCGAAAGTAGGGTACTTACCCCAGGTCTTCTTGACCAGGCGTTCGACCTGTTCGTCCATAATTGGGGGTAAATTTGTGTGATAAATTTTGGCGTTTGGCTCGCGATGTCCGTCGAGGAGGGAATAATGACTCTGGATGGTGGGAAGTTGGCGGAGTGGGCGTTTTTGTCGCGTGCCCTAGTGGTACAAGAGTCCGGAGCAAGTCCTTTTATTTATTTCCGCAAAGAAGGTATGCAATTGACGCAATGACCGGAAAGAAGGGGCAAGCAGATTAATTGTGAGAGGACAAGATCGTTGTGTCGAGTCGGGGGTTCGTCTGTTCAAAATGCGCGATAACGAATCGGCGGGGCACGTTATGACTGATTTCCGGTGGGGACTTCATTGCTCCGAGGTCTACGTCACAAAGCCCCGGTCTTCGGCCCGTCAAGTTGAAGCTTGTAGAATGCCACGTCGGGAATGTGGTGATTCAAGGCTTTGATGATATTTAGATAACAGGGATAAGAATACAATTCCGCTCAACGCCTGTTAGACAGACTCGCGTATGGACTGGACCGTAAATCATTAAGTGATCATACTACTCCGTACGAGATTGAGATACTACAGGATCAAGAATAAGCGCTGGTTGTTCGATGTTCTCAAAGGATTCAAAATTTGCGAGTACATCATCAGATATAAACCTGGAATACAATCTCGGAAGGTGAGATGGAAGTCACCCCATCAGCCCATGCAAATGAGATGGACGCTGCAACCCGTGCAGCCCCAGCCAACTAGCTGATAGAAATCAAATATATGGGCCATAAAGATGGAAGAAAAAGTGCCCTTCCTATGTAGTACCGTGGTACGAAACCAGCCTTTGAACACCAGATAAAACATGTCTCAGAAAATGTTAATTCAAACACCACCATGGTATGAGAAAGAGAAAATCACTCGGCGCGATTTGTATCATTATCCTCGGCACTGGCACTTAAGCCACGGCCCATGGTGCGCGACAGGCCAGCGCCAGCCCACCAGTCATCAGGAATATCCTCACGGCGGGCAAGTCGGTCCAGAATGGCCTGCATCTGCTGGAGATCCGAGTCGCCCGAGTCTGAGAAAGAGAAGGAGATCGTGGGAATGGGAGGATGATTACTCATTGTCGAGGAAGTACCCGGCGAGCGGCGAAGTGAGAGCCGGGGTCCCGGTCCTATCATCCGGTGGTAGTTGACGGGGGTATCCTCATCATCCGAAGAGTAGTCACAAGGGTTTAGGTGATCAGGATAGGAATCGAGGGCAAGACGGATAGCGCGAGAGAATGGCTGTGTCTGCGAAGTGGTACCTAGAGAGCGGGAAGATGGGTTGCGTCGAGGGTTCGTCGTGGCGGCGGACGTAGATGAGAAGGAAGTGTCGGCGGAGGGCAGAGTTGTATCTGGAGTGATAGTCGAGAGTAAGGTTTCCCACGCGTCGTCGCTGTCGCGCTCTACACTAGGGCTGAGGCTGCGCTGGCGGTCACCTAGGCCATCAATGGCACTTTCACGGTGAGGCCGATCACGACCGCTGCCAGTGCGATAGTCTCGGAGCAAAACGGAAGGTATATAAGGTGGAGGGTCATGATTGCGACGTCTCAGGCGGGAAGACCGGGGGATGAGGGGGAGCGGAGACACGGTCGCCCACCCGCCAGGATGTCTGTTGGGGAATAGATCCCATTGTGTGATAGCCAGCCGCAGGAGCAAAGTTTGGCGTCAATGATGAATGATTCCACCCACCCGGAGGAGGGGTATCAGAGTCACGAATGGGAAGTTGGTGATTGGAATCGGTAGGACTTAGGATGCGGCTCAACGGATCTGGTCGGCGGTTGCCCCCCCAGGCGCATGCTACTGCGATTCAAAGCTTCGCGCCGACTCGAGTCAAGGTCCAATCCGTCTTCGCTGACACCCAGGTTCAATACAGGAGAGCGCACACTGAGCTGAGGCTCAGCAATGCCGCGTGAGATCTCATCGATGATATGAGAATGGAGAGATGACAGGACATTGCTGCGCGCGCGGGCGGAGCTGTGGCGTGACGGGCGACGCTGGGTGGGTTGACGCCGGATCGCGGATCGCGCAGCGGCGGAGGCGTCCTTCTCCCGGGCAGATTTAATATTCTCGGCCTCGGTGGGTTCGCGCCACATCCTGCGTTCTAAGTGAGTCGCGACGATGAGGTGGCGCGCATGCAGCGAACTGGGACAGAGTCACTTACGGAATACCCATTTTTGAAAGATAGAACTAAAAGAACGGAAGGGAATCGAGAAGGATGGATAAGGTAAGTTCACTCGACCCCAATGAGAGTGTTAGTGGGGATGGGGAAAGATGGAGCCAGATCGGAAGGGGAACGGAGACTGCGTTTATTTGGCTTCTGGAAGGCAAACACCCCGGAGTTGTTGCCTGAGGCTCAATTGAAAAGGCTGGTCAGAAAGTCACGTGTGGCGGTGATCGGTGTTCTCCAATGAGGAGCTACAATTATAAGCTGCACACTACATTCTGACTAGGACGACCCATCTTGGTCTATTTGCACGGGATGATTGAGCTAGGATTGAGTCGCGTCTCGAGTCTCCTTCAACAGAGCTCATTGACATGGAAGGCTATTCACATTGCAGGCACTAACGGTAAAGGCTCGATCAGTGCCTATCTCTCCCACCTACTGTCAAACGAAGGTGTTCGATGCGGCCGCTTCACCTCCCCACACCTAATCGACCGATGGGACTGTATTACAGTTGGCGAACGGGTGGTTCAAGAATCGTTGTTCCGACAAATCGAAGACCAAGTGAAGCTCCGAGACCAAAGGTTAGGCATTGGCGCATCCGAGTTCGAGCTCTTGACCGCGACGGCATTCGAAATCTTCAACCATGAAAAGGTCGAAGTTGGTGTCATTGAAGTAGGAATGGGTGGTCGTCTAGATGCGACGAATATATTGAGCGATGTTCTGGTCTCCGTCATCGCCAAGATTGGAATGGACCACCAAGCATTCTCGGATCTACAATTGAGGAAATAGCTCGGGAAAAAGCGGGGATATTGAAGCCTGGAGTGCCTTGCGTGGTGGACAATACAAATGAAGCAGCCGTACTGGGGGGCATTGTCAACCCGGATCCAAGAACTCGGTATCGACGCGACCTTCGTCTCCCCAGACAAAGCAGAAGAGCAGCTCCCGCCGCTGGCACAGCTGTTCCGAAAACTGGACCTTGAACCTCACCAGAAGGAAAATATGTGTAGTGCGGTTGCCGCACTTCGAATTGCTCTCTCCAACATTCGCCCTGAGGCCGATGCATACTCCTTACTTCCTCATTTGAGAGATGTCAAGTGGCCCGGTCGCTTGGAACTTATTTCTCTTCAGCCTCTTGTACTTCGCGAACAGCAAGTGCTGCTTGATGGTGCTCATAACCCACAATCGGCCGATGTCTTGGGCCGATACGTTGACCGCAAACTGCGCGCAGAAGCCGAGGGTGGGGTGACCTGGGTGATTGCAGCGTCGAGTGGGAAAGACCTTGCTGGTGTCTTCCGCTCGATAATTCGACCAGGAGACAGTGTTGCAACAGCGGAGTTCGGCTCTGTGGATGGAATGCCTTGGGTAAAGCCGACCAACGCTACTGAACTCGCATCAGTTATACAGGCCATCCCGAGATCGGGCAGGTGAAGAGCTTTGAAGGAGATTTGCTGCCTGCGCTTGAGTGGGCCAGCGCAATCTCTCAAGGCCGACCGCTTGTCATTGCCGGCAGCCTGTACCTGGTTTCTGATGTGCACCGTTTGCTCCGTGATTCGCGCCAATGATACCCTTGGATGTAATAGCGCAAATAGACGAGAATTTGGATGTTAATGATAATAAAGGATACATTTTCGAATGCTCCGGAATTGAGCAGGAAGAAGAAGAAAAAATGTGGAAAGAAGGAAAGCGCATACACGTAAAAGCGGCTCCGTAGGGCTGATCGGCGTCGAGCACAGCCGCTGCATGATGCGGCGAGCGGGTTGTGGAGAAGGGAAAGTTCAAAACAACCCATCACGAACATCCTCCTCGCGCCCCCGTCGCTACGACGATTTCACCCAGGCCCTTTTTTTGCTCTTGAACTCATTTTGCTGTTGGCGCGTCGACACATCAGCAAATCTCAGCTAGGCAGAGTTGAATTCTCATCGATGTGCGCTTGGTGAGACCATCAGCCACCCCATCACTTGCATACAGACGAATACCTATCGTGACGTTTGCAGAACCATGGGGATTTGAACACAGCTGAATTAACCATCCAAATCATCTCAGATCTGGCGGATATGATCACTACGACCGTTGTCATCGGCTCCTGCCTCCGTGCCTACCTTCGCCCCCACACCCATCACTTTGAAACCAGACCCCGGGACCGGCAATCGGATTGAAAACAAACTGGATCATCCAGAGGCCTCTCGACCATTCATGATGATATCTCGCTCTGGTGATGTGAGTGAGGGGCAGCGCCCCCTCACCCCCTCCAGGACGCCCGGCACGCCAATGAAGCCGCGATTGGCTCGAGTGCAAACAAGCCCAGCCAAGCGCGAGGAGAAGATCAAAGACGATAAAGTGATTAAGTCATCCGCGAAGGATGTTGCGGAGCTGAAAGATTATGTACGAATGGATTCTCCTGGCAAATCCTAGATAGTTGCTGACTGGAATACCAGCAACTCGGCGATTGTTTGGGGAAAGGTGCATTTGGATCGGTCTATCGGGCGCTGAATTGGAATACCGGAGAGACTGTTGCCGTGAAGCAGATCAAGCTGACGGATCTTCCCAAGAGCGAGCTGCGTGTTATTATGGTACTGTTGTCGCTGAATCGTGCCTTTGGAGCTCAACTGATTTGTGGCGTCTCAGCTGGAAATTGACCTCCTAAAAAACCTCGATGTAAGACATTGCCTTTGACACTTGCTGCGTTTGGACTAACCAAGATACAGCACCCGAACATTGTCAAGTACCAGGGATTTGTGAAGTCTGTTGAAACTCTGAACATCATCCTTGAGTATGGGCCCCTTGAATTGTGCGCAGTAGGGCGAAAAGACTAATATCAGTGCAGGTACTGTGAGAATGGCTCACTACATTCGATCGCAAAGAATTTTGGCCGATTTCCAGAGAACCTGGTCGGGTTGTACATGTCTCAAGTTCTTCATGGCCTTCTGTATCTCCATGAACAAGGTGTTATCCATCGAGATATCAAGGGTGCCAACATTTTGACTACGAAGGAGGGATTGGTGAAATTGGCTGATTTCGGCGTGGCGAGTCGGACGACTGGCTTGAGCGAATCGAGCGTCGTCGGTACTCCCTACTGGATGGCCCCCGAGGTCATTGAACTTTCAGGCGCAACTACCGCTTCCGATATCTGGAGTTTGGGATGCACGGTCATTGAGTTGCTGGAGGGAAAGCCACCCTACCATAATCTCCAACCCATGCCAGCGTTGTTCCGCATTGTCAACGATGACCACCCTCCACTTCCACAGGGGGCCTCGCCGGCTGTGAAAGATTTTCTGATGCAATGCTTCCAGAAGGATCCTAACCTTCGTGTCTCTGCGAGAAAATTGCTTAAACACCCTTGGATTGTCAATGCGCGCCGGACCGATTCCGTCATCCCCAAAAAATCCACAGAGTACGAGGAGGCTGTTAAGAGCGTTCAAGAGTGGAATGAGGCTTTGCGATCACCTAATGCGGGGACCTCTAGGAGAACAAGCAAATTTGACCCAAGCACGGCTTCCCTCCCTGGTGGTCGGAATACCTCGCTGGTAGATACCTTGCCCTCTCCCACCTCAATGAAGACGGCTGATCGGTTTCGATCGCCCGAATCTGCTGAAGATGACAATTGGGACAATGACTTTGCCACTGCGATATCTCCAAGCGCTCTTCAACTGCCTCACCTGCGGCCGCATGACAATTTTGGTGGTATGCTGTCATCAGAACGCCTAAAGGCCTTTGCATCGCTTGATGGGACCATGATGAGACCAGATGATAGCTTTGATGAGTTCGAAGATGCTCTAGAGAACGACTCACTGCAGACAATACGGCCGCTGCCCTCCAGGTCATCAGCTGTCGAGCCAACAAAATCTCAAAGTCCAACTCGACGCCAATCCGGCAGACCCCAAGCATCTGCTCTGCAGAATGTTCCTGTTTTAACCCAAAATCCCGTACCCCCATCGCGTCGAGCTCGTCCTGCTGTTCTTTACAAGGAAAATTCTGTCGAGGACTATACGGATTTGATCGCAGCAAACGAAGATGTCTTGGATTGGAAACTTGGTCCCATTCAGGAACCGGATGAAGACCCTGACTCTCCTACTCACGGGGGATACAATGCAATTGACGACGGTAGAAGTGGGCAACATCCCCAGTTGCGCAAACAGCTTTCTGTGAAGCGGGACCGACCTACAATTGAAATTCACAAATTCGCAGAGAACGAGAACGACGAGGACTTCTCGGATATCATTGGGGCTGATCAAGTCGCTCTGGACAAGCCGGAGAGCGAAAATGGCTCTGACAATAGCACCCTGATGCTGAACTCCAAGTTATCTAATAATTCATGGCTCGGAGACCAGGATGATGACGACGACCCCTTCGCGCAGTTAGAAGAGGGCTTTGATGAAATGGATCTGGAAGCTAATATAGCGCGTGACAAGTATGCACGTCTACGTAACCAAGTTGAGAGCTTAGTAGGCTCTTTGAAAACATCCCAAGACGAGGATGTCCTGGCAGAGATCTCTGAGCAGCTTCTCACTATCTTCTGTGATCTTCCAGAGACGAAGAATATAATCATGAGTGCTCATGGAATGCTGCCTATTTTGGAGATTCTGGACACGTCCCGACACCGGGATATTGTCTTCTGCTTGCTCAGAGTCGTCAACGCTATCATCTACGAGGACTACGAAATTCAGGAGAATTTGTGCTTCGTTGGTGGTATTCCCATTGTTAACGAGTTTGCTTCGAAGAAGTACCCTCGTGAGATTCGACTTGAAGCTGCTGCCTTTGTGCAGCAGATGTATCAAACTTCGACTCTGACACTGCAGATGTTCGTCAGTGCTGGTGGCCTGAATGTTTTGGTCGAATTCCTTGAAGACGATTACGAGGACGAACGCGATCTCGTTTTGATTGGTGTAAACGGCATTTGGAGTGTGTTTGAGCTGCAGGGCTCAACCCCGAAGAATGATTTCTGTCGAATTTTGTCGCGTAACTCTGTTCTTGATCCTCTATCTCTTGTTCTCAGTCGTGTTCTGGATGAAGACGCCGAGGTAGCAGAAGTCATCGAGGGGCGCATTGCGAATATTTTCTTCATATTCTCGCAGGCCGAGAATCATGTAAAGGAAATGGTGGCTGAGCGAACAGTCTTGCACCGTAAGTACAACCTGAGCTCTTTCAGTAATTTCAATTTGCTAATTTTTTTCCCAGGTGTTTTAAAAGAGTTGCGACGAATGTCACCTATCCACCAGATTACCATGCTCAAGTTCATCAAGAATCTTTCCATGCTTTCGACCACTCTAGACTCGCTGCAGAATTCCAACGCCATCGATGTGCTAACCGATCTGCTACGGTCGACAATGAAACGGGTTCACTTTCGCGAGGTCTCGAACCAAATTCTCAACACTATTTACAACATGTGCCGTTTGAACAAGTCCCGACAAGAAGACGCCGCACTCAATGGTATTGTACCATTGCTGCAGAAGATTGTCAATACAGAGCGACCTTTGAAAGAGTTTGCCCTCCCCATTCTCTGTGATATGGCACAGTCTGGAAAGGTTGGCCGTCGAGAGTTATGGCGGGATAAGGGACTTGCCTTTTACATCTCTCTTCTTGCAGATCCCTACTGGCAGGTGACTGCTCTGGATGCTATCTTCACTTGGCTCCAAGAAGAGACTGCTAAGGTCGAGGAGCACCTCCTGGACAATCGCCAAGACAAGATGTCTTTCACTGATGCCATCGTGCGATGCTTGACATTGTCGAAAGCGAACTCATTTGAGAACTTACTCGAGCCTCTGCAAAAGCTTCTTCGATTGAGTCCCCCGGTGGCATCCACACTTGCGCGTCCGGATCTGTTTACCAGACTCGGTCAAAAACTCCACCACAATAAAGCTGCCGTTCGATTGAACCTTCTGCGTATCATTTCGAGCATTTGCGATTCCAGCGAGCAGCAAGGCGGTCTGCTCGCCACTTATGGCATCTTGGACGCCATCAGAGAACTTGAAAACGACCCAGCCATTCTAGTCAGAGACATGGCCGGAAAGCTGATTCGATCAAGTGACCTGAGTGAGTCCTACGGCCTCAAGCGCAGACCTACAAGCCGGAGGAAGAGCACCTCTACGACCCCGCCCAATCCTTTCTCCGGCTCAACTCCCTCAACCCCATCCTCGAACCGCACAAGCCAATCTAGAGCATTCCTCGAAGGCCAAGCCACACCCCGGCATCCACGAAACGCCCTCAGCGGCTCATCTCTGGCCTTACGACCTGGTAGCCGGGACGGCGCTCCTTTCATCTCTGAACCCTGCCATGAACGGCTTAACCGGCAGTGCGGTGCCACGAACGCGTCTCTCACGGGGCATATCCTCCAACCGACTCTCGCATGTCGAGTTACTGGACGACGATGGGAAAGCACCCAACTCACTCAGTCGTCGACCCTCAGTTATTCCACGGCGGCGAAAACCTACCATTGCTGATTCCGATTGGACATGAGGGACTCATTCTTTTTCTGTCACACTATGATATCTTTTCCTTTGTTCTCTCTTTATCATGGCGTTGTGAACTCCTGGTGGCAAGGGGTATTGGTTTTATTTCTTTGTCAAAAGGTCTTTCTCCTTTTTTTCTCTCCCCTCGCTATGATGGGCACTGGATGTCGCACACAGGGAGACTACATAAACTTCTGAATGAGACATAATTACTTGCATACTTTTGATCATCTCCGGGGCTTCAGTGGCATGCAAATTTGGTGTCTGAAGGAATCGCTCTTCCGCATACAACATTAGATTGAATTCCCTTACGACGCGCTCGTTCCGACCTATATCTTTTGTTCTTGGGGGCGAAAGTACAACGCCACGACAGGTCTTTGTTACCAAATATCAAATAATTGTAGGATCCTGTCGAGGCTAGTGAACTCAATGTTGTACCATGTTTCTCATAATTGAGCTTCCTTGAGTTCTCACGTATGATGATTTCCTGAGGTTTTTAATAAGTGACGACTCAGTCTCCTTCAACCCAGATTGCCATTTCGGCGCTATACATCATCTACAGTCAATCGTTCTTCCCTTTTTCTTGCGGCAGATACAAGTGCAATCATAAGGCTGACCCTAATCAAACTCATTCTCAACCAAGAGGGAGGAAATAATCTCGGGGGAGTCCACATCAAACCCAGCATCCGAGAATTTCTTCATGATAGCGGCGTTACCCTGGACTGCAGCTGAAACGAGGGCCTTGTGGTGTCCCTCATTGCCCGGTCGAAGTTTGATCTTGAAGTGTGACAGCACAAGCTCAAAGGCATCCTCGCCTCGATCCACAGCATCTTCAAGGATGTCTTCAACTTCTTCATCTACCTCCTCATCCACTTCTTCGTCGCCTTGAGGAAAGTACTGCTCGAGTAAGCACTTGAACACGTCGAGGGTTTCGAAAGAGTGCAAAGCATCATGATTGAAGGCAACATCAAGGTCGTCATCCGGTGGCAGCCTGGAGCCTATCTGAAGCAGAAGCACTGTAATTTTGGAAAGCTCCTCTGTGCGAGGTACGGGGCACTCCATGACTTCTTCCAAGGGATGTGAGCGCTGGCTATTTGGGTCTGCTCCATAATCCAGCAACAGCTTCACCATCCCAACTCGACCTCCTCTAATGGCTGCGCAAAGGGGCTGATGTAGCTCTTGATCTGGAGTCCGCTGGGAAAGGCAGCCACCTTCCTTTAGATGTTTCATCAGGTCTTCCAAGCCTGCTGCTGCTGCTCCAAGCACGAGATGTCTGTATTCATCCCGGCGGCCCCTTCGAATTGCTTCATCCACATCAATTCGCTCCAACAGGAGCTTGGCAAAATCAGGAGAGTGAGGCGCGACCAAATTAAAGAGTTGAAATGCGCCGATACCCGATGGCAAGAGACTCGGTTCTTCTTTGAGGAGGAACTCAGCGACCGCTGTATTGCCACTATGAATTGCACTCTGAAGCGGGTTCGGGACGTAATCGGTCAATTTGAGATCTGGCTTTGCCTTCATGAACATTTGAAAGAGGTCAAAATCCAGCGACGCCGCACAGGAAGCTGCCGAGTCACCTTGAGGGCCAAGCTCATGAGGATTACACCCTCTTTCAAGGAGGAGCTTGACAACCGGAATGTGCTTGTTCAGCGTAGCCAAGAATAGAGGCTGGCCGATTATGCTATCGTCGTCCGCGATGACATTGTATCGATATATATCGGTGAATTCAAGATCGACTCCATTATCGGCGAGCACTCTAACCACTTCTTCGTGGCCGTTTTCTGCTGCCGCAGTCAACGGATTCCCAAAACAGGTACTCATCTTGTGGAATCCGGTCCGTGGATTAGGATCAACGCCAAATTCGAGAAAGACTTTGACCACATTCGCATGGCCGTTCTGCGCAGCCAACATGATAGGCTTCCATGACTTTTGACTGGAGTTCGGTGGCACGCCGGCCTTCAACAATCTCCTTACGCAAGCTTCCTTTCCATGCTGTGCGGCCCAAGCAAGTGGTGGGACGCCACCGAGTTTTCTTAAATTTGGTAGAGCTCCCCGATAAAGCCGAGGGTTTAATAAAGCATAGAAAGTCCGATTCGTTTGGCAGAACCAATTGACCTCGTTCTCATCGAGATATCGACTTACCCCCCAGTATCAGCTCGGGGGGAATATCGAGAAGACTCGGCATGGTTGGAAGAGTGATGCAGAGGCGGAAGAACAAGCGTCAAATAAGGCCGACGTCTGAAGATGCGGCCCCACTCTTGTCAAGATCGTATCTCCGCTGCCTATGAGCGGCTCGAAATTAAAACCTCGTTCTTCTTAGCCTTCACAAGACTCGAGCAGTCTTGTAATTGTTAGGCGATACTTGGAACAGTCATTATGCTTGTATACTTGGCATTGGCCAGCTAACTGTCGGCCTCAATAGCTCCGCTTATAGCTTTCCCCGTTTTCTCTTCCATTTCCTGCAGGTTTCCTCTCTCTTCCCTTTTTTCTACGATCTTCCAAACGACTTTCCAGCTACCGTGGCTCCATTCTTATCAATATGGACATTATGCGCTCATCATGCCCTGGGGCTGTTTACAAACAACCACAGTAGAAAACTCGCCGTAAACTCTGATATAGATTATCTGGTCTCCTTCTGTCTCCCAAACGGCTCTTTAGGATTCCAGCCAGTCATCAAGTGGCTGTGTATAGAAATCCGATCTCTTCATATAGTCGCTTATTACGAAGTCAGGAATGGGTATTACTACACTGGCGATCTGCTTCACAAATTGAGGCTACGTTATGTCGTCCACAGGTGGTAATGACGTCCAAATAGCCAGCGGATCGGAAGTCTGGTTCGGAGGTTGATGATCCGCCTTGCCTTTCTCTACGAGCTCCGTGAATGTGGGTACCACTCTGGGCAATGCCCCTCTCTAGTTCGCACGGTCAGTTGGGCGCTTATTTCCGCCTATCCTGTAGAAAGGCATTAGGTTACGATAAAGAGAATGATGGCGTGGAACTAAATAGAAAAGTTCTTGGATGGGTTGATTGAGTAGATAACGGTCCTTATACCTGCAAAGAGAGGAAGAGAGCCTTGAATTTACTTTGGAGCAAAGAGGAGGCCTAGTGCCGTTATCTAATCTGATGATCAGCTTGCCCTCGTGAGCAGTCGAATACCTCTCTTAATCCCCTGACTTGGACAAATATGGAAATTGATTGCTATCAAAGATCATCTCCAAGAATTCACAGGCACCTTAGTCTCTAAAATTTTCACCGTAGAACACAGGTGGTGCCTATCTGTCCGTGAGCTCCCCGATGACGCCACTCCCCGATCTGCCGCACTTCGCACTTCACACTCCACCACCTCTCAACTCCTGCAGCTGCCCTTCCTCCGCTCCCCTTCTATGTGACCAAGATCTACCATCTATAACAGGGCAATGCCATCTTCACGCACAATCACTTTATTTCTCCACACTCCGGCGCCCGGAGTTGCCTCACCATCGCTGCACACGTGCCCCTTCCGCTCATCCTCCATCCAGCATGGCACAGCCCACAGGCGACCCCAACCACGACCACAGCACAAAGCCCGCTTTGATCTAAGGTCACAGCCATCCATCGCATCATTCTCCTCCACGACAGCCCGATATCGGGACCAAAACTACTATGAAATCCTCGACCTCCCTCCAACCGCCACAGCAGTAGAGATAAAGAAGTACGCCACACCAACCTCCCTCTACTCCCGTGCCCCTCTCATATCCCCCCCCTACATTACAAACAACCCAAGCATCCAACCTGACACACGCTAGAAAATTCTACGCCCTCTCCCTCCGCCACCACCCGGACCGCAACCGCAACGATCCCGACGCCTCGCAACGCTTCGCCCGGATCTCAGCAGCCTACAACACCCTCGGCAACGCCAACAAACGCGCAATCTACGACCGTGACCACGGCCTACACATCCAACACACCCCCCCCAACAGGGAGCCACAGCAGCCACAGCGCAAACCTCCACAAAGGCTACGCCGGCTCACGACCACCCTCCGGCCTATCCAAACGCCGCGGCACATTCCACGGCCCACCACCCAGTTTCTACGAGCAAGGCGGATACGGCAGTACAGGCCGAACGGAAACCGGATCATGGACAGCCGGTGCGGACTTTGCGAATGCCGCGTCTACCAGAGGCGGGAGTTCGAAAAAGGAGAGATCCGGAGCACTACGAGGGATTCATTGATCGGAATCCCTTGGGACATTTTAATGCGAGGGGACATTTTAGAACGCAGAAGGCGGAGGATCTGAGGAGAAGGGATCGGTATGTTCGGGCGAAACAGGCGAGTTTGAAGGAGGACGGGGCACGGGATACGAGTTCGAAGGGGGAGATCAGAGTTCTTAGATTGGTTACAGTGAGTGGGATACTGATTATTACGGGATTACTTGGGGGCTTTGTGCAGAGGGTCATGCCTACGGGGCCGGCTGTGACGCCGCAGGATCAGGCCAAGGCCAAGGCCAAGGCTAAGGCTGCTGCTGTTTCAGCGGAGCAGACGAGGAGGAGGGATGCCCAGCCTCAAACTATGTCGGGGTGAATAGATCTGGCTTTGAACCTTCCGGTTTGCAATAAGCGTTAAGCCGAGGATCCTCTTCGATTCTCTAGCTTGGTTTTATACCTCTTGGACAGCTACGAAATACACGCATAAGAAAAATCGCATCTAAAATACAACTACTGTATATGAACCACATCCCGTCAAACAAAGGAAAAGCTTGAGATTTGATATACAAGATGTGTACTCTAGCACAGGATCTACGATACACACAAGGTTATGGGGAAATCGAAATAGATAAGCCTTCGTGGTGCATCATCTCGCCCAAACAGGTTCGATGTAGCGACGAAGAATTATTTATTTGCACAGGAAGTCTGGAAAGACGCTTAAGCCTCGAAAGTGAAGCTGGCGCCAACCTTGTGAGCAGCCTGGTTCAGGTTCTGGGTATCGAAGGAGGCGCCGAGGCCGAGAGTGACACCGGGGCGGAGAAGGACGTTGTAGGCCAGAGCGGCGATACCACGGTCGTTGATCTTGGCCTGTAGAGGTTGTCAGCAAATTGTCATTTGAGAAGAAATCAAGTGGAGGGACGCACCTTGGCGAAGGAAGAGGGGTCCAGGCGGTACTTGGAGGCGACCTCGAGACCGACAGCGTTGCCGGAGGTGGAGTCCCAGGAAGCCTTGGCACCGGCCTCAACCTGAGCGTTCACGCGGTGGTAGTAGCTAGCGGAGAACAGAGACAGGTTGTTGCTGGCGGTGATGGCAGCGGAGTACTGGGGAACGCTGTAGCCGACGGCAGCGGAGTACTTGGTGATGGCGGCCTTGGTGACATCGTAACCACCCTCAGCACCGACGAGGAAGCCCTCGTGGCCGAGAACGGCGTCAAGGTTGGCGGTGGGGCCGTTCAGGAGGTCGAAGAAGGCGCGAGCGTGCAGGTTGGGCTGCTTGAAGTAGAGGTTAAGCTTGGCGCCCTTGGACTGCTTAGCGGGCTGGTACTGAGTGAGGATCTCAGCCTTGAGGCCCTTAGCAATGTTGTTGTCAAGCTCGAGCTTGGTGTCAAGGGCGTTGGCGGTGGTCCAAGCCTGGGTCAGGGTAAGGCCTGGCCGGGGACGAATGATTAGCTTGACTGTGTGCCTGGAGGAATTGGAAAAAGCAAAAAAAGTCACCCGGCGCGATGCGAACCCACCACATGAGTAAAGGAACGTCATGGGTTGGGGTTTGACAGCGCCGGGATCGGGTGGTTTGCGCCGGAGGGGACCCTTACCGGTAGGAGCATCGACGTACTTGGCCTCAAGCTGTGGACGGAGCTAGATTAGCTACTGCTCTTCTGTGTCTCGTGATCGAATCCGAGGAGAGAAAAGAAAAAACTCACCTGGCCAGCAATGGGTCCCTCGTGAGCGGACTTGCCCTTAACGGTGAAGGTAACACCGTTGGGGGCCTTGGACTTGACCTCGAGGTTGGCTGGAGAATTTCGGTTAACGGGATGTGGTTCTCGCGTGGGAGCTCGGGGCAAACAAACCAGCCGCGGCGTGGTAGAAGTCCTTGTTCAGGAGCTATGGAACCGAGGGGGGATTAGCTGTCAATTCCTCGGCAAAGGTATATCAGCAGATTCGTACATCGTTGGTCGCCTTGGCGATGTCGGAGAAGGCAGCGGGAGCAGACATGATGGATGAGTTGTGGATGAGGGTGAGTGAAGGAGAAGAAGAAGTGCGATGATGTTGGGGGAGGGTGGGAATAGTTGGAAGGGGGCTCCAGTCCACGGGCCGCTGGGCGTCCGTTCATTGGTTCTCCGTCGGTTGCCGGGAAAGGCCGCCGATGGCTGGCAGAACCCAAGGCGGTCAGTGGTCCTGAGAGGATTTGATTGATCTGGGTGTCTGTGTGGTATGACTACAGTACACAGTGTATATCTAGTTCATCGCTTATTGGAAGGAAAAGACTGAGTGAGTGAGTGAGGGTATATACACTCTTCTATCTATCGCTAGACCCTAATTCAATCTCCTGTTCATAGCCTCGACAAAGTCGATTTACTCGACGTGCTGGTACTTTTGGTTGTGGTAGGCAATCGATCTACATTCAGGGTTAGTAACATCCCGCGTCGAAACGCCAAGTGAAACTTACCTTCCACTGGGGTCGGTCTGCTTGGACCAGGTAGGTGTCCAGCGCTCGACGGTCCCGGCACAGTAAGGGGGAAGTGCTCGTCGAACATAGTGCGGTACCAGTAACTAGTTGAATGTTAGTATCAAGCAATTGAACGAGCACAGAATGGGAAAGACATACGCCTCCTTGGTATCGGGGATATCGGAGCCCCACTCGGGCTTGGGGTTCTTCATCATCTCATCAGTAACGTGAGCCTCGGCGGCATCCTTCAGGCCGTCGATCCAGCTGTAACCGACACCGTCAGAGAATTGCTCCTTCTGGCGCCAAAGGATCTTCTCGGGCAGGTAAGGAGCGACATCGGGCTCGTCGGAGGTGTCAAAGGCCTTGCGAAGAATGTATTTCTCAATGTGTTCGGAGTCGATCATCTTGTCCTTGGGGTCGATAGCCATGGAGGTCTCGAGGAACTCCTTGTCCAGGAAAGGAACACGAGCCTCAAGACCCCAGGCGGATGTAGACTTGTTGGCACGCAGGCAGTCAGCCAAGTGCAGGTTCTTGACACGACGGACAGTCTCCTTGTGGAACTCCTCACGGTTGGGAGCAGCGTGGAAGTACAAGTAGCCACCAAAGATCTCGTCACTGCCCTCACCAGACAGAACCATCTTGACACCCATAGCCTTGATCTTGCGGGAGAGCAGGTACATAGGGGTAGAGGCACGGATGGTGGTGACATCGTAGGTCTCGAGGTGGTAGACAACGTCGGAAAGAGCGTTCAGACCGTCCTCGACAGTGAAGGTGAAAGCGTGGTGCTTGGTGCCTAGGAACTTGGCGACCTCCATGGCAGCGGCAGTATCAGGAGCGCCGGGCAGACCGATGGAGAAGGAGTGCAGCTGCTGGAAGAAGGGGAGGGAAGCCAGCTCGCTGTTGTCGTCAATACCGACGAGGTCCTCGGAGGAGGCGTTAGTCTTCTTAGCAAGCTCTTGCATGCGCAAAGTCTCGCGCTGGGCGATAGCAGCCACCAGACTAGAGTCCAGACCACCGGACAGGAGGACACCGTAGGGCACCTCAGCCATCAGACGCTTGCGAACAGACTTCTCCAGGGTAGTGCGGAGAACCTTGAGGTCGACCGGGGTGGAGGGGACGTTGGTGGGGTCCCACCACTTGGGCTCGAAGTAGCGGGTGAGCTTGTCGGTCTTTGAGTCATAGACGTGACCGGGAGGGAAAGCAATGATGTCGTCGCAAACTGGGTGCAGACACTTAAGCTCGGAGGCGAAGTACACAGCACCGGGCGTGGTGGAGGAGCGGCCAAGGTAGAAAGAGGTGATACCAATGGGGTCACGGGCAGCAATCACGCGGTCCTGCTTCTTGTCCCAGAGGACCCAGGAGAACATGCCATCGAGGTACTTGGGGGCATCAAGGCCGTGCTCCATATACTGAACTAACGTCAGCAATTGCCTTTGTTGGGAGATATGACTAGACGATTGATGTACTTACCAAAGGGATGATAACCTCGCAATCGGAGTGTGTCTTGAAGTTGTACTTGGTGTGCAGGTTCTTGCGGAGGATGCGGTGGTTGTAGATCTCGCCGTTGACAGCGAGGGCGAGGGTCTCGTCATCGTTGACGAGGGGCTGGGCGCCGGAGTCTGAGAAAGATCAGATGTTAGAACATGGGATTGTGGCTCAATTGATTTTCGGGGTAGAACATACCGACACCGACGATGCTCAGACGCTCGTGCGTGAGGACTGCGGGATACCATGGTTAGACGCAAGTTGACGTCTTTAGCATAAAGATACTCACTAGTCTGGTCGCCAATGAAGTTACCGCCTGTTAAGGAACGTTATATTAACCCTTTGAGCTCTCAATGTATGTAGCACTTCCAGTCTGTGACTCACTCCAATCGGGACCGCGGTGACGCACACTATCGAGGGGCAGGTTAGCAATAATTCACACGATTGGACTATGCAGTCGCGCAGGGAGCTATAGAATGGGGAGAGACTCACGCCTTGGCCATGCGCAAAGCCGTGGGCTTGAACTTTTGCACATCGGGGTGACTATGGGGAACCCGCAATCAGTATGACTCCAAGTACCGCGCATCGTGGGGGACGATGGCGGGGGCGAATAGATAGGGCAGAGGATGCAACGCACTGGTGACACGCGAAGATTCCACACATTATGGGCAGTTGAACTCTCAGTGATGGATGATAGAGTCAATTGACGGGGGAGGTGTTAAAGGAAGAGGAATTGACTAAGCTCGGGTTTCTATGGAGAGAATCCGGCAATGGCGATTTTTTTCGTTTCCCTCCCGGCGGGGCGAGGGCGATGTCGGACTGAGTCACCGATAAGATAACGTTCCATCCTTGGCAAGGATCGCAATTATCCTGGGTCAAGAAGCTATAATTCTTTATAATTGAATAGGGTATGATGATAGATCAATCATGCAGGAAGGCTGCATGGTAAAACGCCAATCCATTTTGCTAAGAAACGCCGCGCTGGGTGCTAAGTAAAGCAATGATGCTCCCTTCGCCGAGGAAATGCCAAGTAAAGTCTTCCTCACACCGGGTTCCCATGCGAAAAACCAAATAAAAATCCTGGGAAATGCTGTGATTACCGTCGCCTACATGGGCGGGTTGTCCTTAACGACCTGCTTGACGCGACGTTCATATGCTGGGCGATCCTTCTTGAAGAGGTTGTAGGCCTCGGCCTGTGCCGGCGAATCGGGGTTCGGGTCATTTAGCAAGTCCTGGATACCCAGCAAGAGCTGCTTGATGGTAATGGCGGGGCGCCATGCTTCCTCCTCGTTGAGGATAGAGAGGCAAACGGTGCCGGAGGGATAAACATTGGGGTGGAACAGCGGAGGCGTGAATTTGCCTGTAGAGGTGCGTGGGGTCAGCGCAATCCGTAGGGATGATGTCTTAGGCTGGAGCCACGATATACGCGATCGCGTATATGAAGAGCCAGTGGTGATCGATGTAGATACGTACATTTCGGAGGCTTGGTCGGGTATTCTGGAAGCGCAAAAGATTGCCTGCATCAGTATTAAGATCGCCCCGGAGAATGCGCGATGCTACTCACCATCGGGGAAAATCACGTCCAATTTGAAGATACCTCCCTCCCACAGAGTATCCTTCTTGCCGGGGATCGCACACTCCCAGCGCTTGAGATCCAGAGTGCCCTGCGGAGTCTTCCTGGGGCTTTGCGACAAAGCCAAAGGGGTGGTCGCGACGCCACTGCTTACTGTGAAATCCACGATGGTCAGCACATTCCTGAGATTAAAATCGCGGCTCAAGTCCTATAGCGCATGGGGTATCACATACCGCTCCTCTTGGAGGCGATTGAGGCAAAGCGACATCTTGAAGGTTGGCGATGGATGAAAGTGGGTCCAGGCCAGAAAGTGATAAATCTTTGCTGTAATGTCGCCGCGGTCGAAACGATGGGAAAGTGAGGTTCTTAAAGAGGTGGGAAAGGAAGGAAATGCTCGAAAGATTGATGAAGGACTGGTCAACACCCTCAACTGCATGGAATCAATTCGCCCCGCCAGTTGGCTTAGTAAGCTGTTTGTATGTCCCAATCGGGTCCACAGCTGTAGTTTCCTTCAGTCAGTCACGATCAGCTTTCCACGGGATGTTTGGTTGACTAGCTTGATACACTTGTCTTCGATTGAAACAAAGAAACTGTGAAACTGCCATTACATTACTAGAGCATGAATACAAAAGAAAGAAATCACCCAAATTCGAGTCATAGAGCATTTTAAGTCTCCTTTCTCAAGGGCCCGTATGGCATTCACGGATCTGTTCACTCCTTATTTCCTCGTATAAGATACAATGCCAACCCAAGGGTCTTCATAAGTATATCCGATCATACATAGCTACTAATTTTTCCTCTTGCAATTTAATGCAATCGCAGACATATGAACATTTACATCAGAATCTCACACCAACCACGTGGATTAGGAAAAGGATTAGAAGCCACAGCAGTTACCACAATGTGTCACAGCGTTACCTGGTACCATATCCTCTGCGGTCATGTGGACAATGCAATATCAGCCTTAATATATTGCGATGATGCCATCTATGCAGGTACAGACTGTTTACCGCGTACGCATAATATCGACTTCCCCATCATTGGTATATGCGGAGTATGCATCGCTAAAGAAAAACGTGAACACGAGGCTAGATTTAGACTGAGAACTTGTGCAAGAGGGAAGCCTGTACCTCTGGCAGTGACAAAGGCCAGAGAAGCTACTACAACGGATACAAACCTCGCGAGCCAGGAATCAATCGCAAGGTATGATGACTGGAACTGTGAAGATGTTCCTTATGCAGATGAGCTCTACGGGCCAGGTATCACCCATGCCAACGAGATGGTCGAGCGATGGCTCAATAATTCTGTATCGCCTATTCCCTTCTCTTCAGGCTCAATGTCCTCCTATGATGACTCACCTCAGCCTACGCCTAGGACCCAACGCTCTTACATTCCGGTTCCTAGAAGAATGATCAGATCCAGGACCCAGCCCAGGACCGGGATTCCAATTCCAATACAAATGCTTCGGGCGACTACACGGGAAGACGCCTGGCCATCGAGAACAATGGAGATGCGGTTGTTTGACCGGGATACGTTTTGAGGGTTGAAGGTTCGTTTTCAAAATTTAGCTAAAAGGGCTTAGTTTTAAAGGCTGTTACACAGCTGGTATATTTCGAATTGTGCATCTACGTGTTTTGTATTGTGCCAAGCTTGATAGAAATAGCATCAATCCACATAGATTCCATCTTCGAACTTCTGACGCTCAAAGAACCGAGCCTGTATGGCATTGCCATTGAATATCCGTCCTTCTAAAGCATTCACAGCCTGTTTCATATTAGTACAAGCCGGAGATATTTCAAGGAGAAACATACTCTTAAAGCCGATAATGGACTAGTAAACTTGACAAAGACAGGAACAGGACTTCCTACGTCGCGTGCAATGTAAACTCGCTCCACGCTCCCATACTATAGCACAATTAGCGCTAACCCTTCTCCGGGCGGAGACAAGAGCACTTACCTTTTCATTACACTCCTCCCCGATCTCCTGCATCAAGCCACCGCCCTCCGCAGCATGCAATTCACTCTCGAGATCCATTCCATCCAACATCCCTTTGAGAATAATAACCTCACTCATAGGCCCAAATTTTCCTGTATCATCACCACCTTTCTTCTTGCCGCCGATGATCGTGCCCCGTCCAGCGGGCGTCACGAATCCTCCGCCTTCAGAGTCCGGTCTCTTCTTACGCTTCTCAGCCTTGACTTGCAAAGGCTTGACGATGCCAGAGCCAGTAGCACCGAGCCCAGAGCCCTTGGTCCAGCCATATTTTGAGAGGAGACGCTCTGCGAAGCCCTTCTGGCCTGGTCGTAAGAGCGGGCTGCGTCTTCGCCCGATTCGGTTTCAGGTTCATTCTCGGTTGCTTGTTCTCCGGCGAGAACTTGTTCTAGTTCGGCTTCAGAGGCGGGAATATCTTCTGGGGCTGGTGGGAGTGTATAGCGCACGGGTGCGCGGGATATGGTTGCGGAGGCGGGTTGGAAGGCGTTTAGAGGGCGGGATGGAGGTGGAGCGGGAGGTTCTTCTGTGGGCGGTGGAGGCTGAGTCTGGTCGTAATCATTCTGCTGCTGGCTCATGCGTGCGCGACGAGCAAAGGCATCTTCTCCAAATGGGTCGTCAGGGACAGACGGTGGAGGCGGAGGTGTAGTGTCGTTGATATTCGGGGGAGGCGCAAAGCTGCTCGGAGGAGCGAATTGCCCTGTTGGGATATTAGCATAATTCCTTCCATTGTAAAAACAATGAGCGTACGGTTGACTGGTCGATCGTAGTCGTCGCTGTCCGAATCCCTGCTCAGGGAGCGTTTCATCCGATGCGCATATAGCCTGTCCTTCCAGTCACGAACTTCCAAGATCTTCTCGTCGCTATGTCGATATTGTTCGTAGTTGTTCGGTCTCGATGGATCATAAATATCACCCCAGTCTTGCATGATTGCCTGCGGCTCGCGGTTCTTCTTGCGCTTCTTTCTCCCACCGCGCGGCCGCTTGTCGCCCTGATAATACCCAAAGTCATCATCTTCTGTGCCCGCCCAGTCCGCTAAGGAAGTCTTCACGGGTGCGGCAGAGTTGGAGGCCTGACCTGCGCCAGCTAGCACAGCCTTGGGCAGTGTAGGTTTGGGCTTGGGTTTCTGGTTCGCGAACTGTGGTCTTTTGGTGGGTTGGAATCGGAGCGAAGCTATCAGGTGGAGAGAAGGTGAGTCTATCATGTCTGAGAGTTTCGAAGAAATTCAAAAGTACCAGCGTTAACTTGCTGCTTCTTTGCAGCCGCATCGTCAGGTTGCACGTCTGTCTCGGAGCTTTGTTTGAAGACAACGGGTGCGCGGGAAATCGTCCCAGGCGCGGATTCAGCGGAGGGATCGAGTAGATTTGCATATAGCGACATCATGGCCCCCTTGGGCGGGCCTGACTCGGGAGCCATAATTGTTGTTGGAGCTATGCGAAGGTGCAGAGGTTGAGATCCATTGATGTCTGCGATAAAGAGGGTGTTTGCCACGTTTGCATCGATACCACTAGGTATCCGACAGGACAGTCCCAGGATATCTTTGAACCAACTTGAGTCCCTTATATCTTTAGCATAGCCATTCATCTACAGCATCATTGTAAAACTGTAAGCTGCGCTACTGCCTCACTCTCCGCGGCTTAGTCGGCGCTGCTGTTGCCATTCCAGCACGCGACAATGGGGATTTCCGATCTAGTTGAAAAACGCGTCCTTACTTCCATGTAACCATGTAGGATATTCGCAGTCCACAGATTTGAATTGTTGGAGTGACTGTCAACCTAGGAAAACAATGGTAGAAATTTGAAAGCTTATTCGCTTCTTACAGGATGTTCTATTTTCATGTCTATCCTTGTTTACAGCTTGAGCTGTTCACGCACAGCAGACTTAAACTAATACAGCGACATCAATTAGCAAAAGTACCTTCCCAAGAGCCCGCGGGAACAGTATAAACATACCGGAATGATTTGAGCCTTCTCCATATCCCACACACCGTTAGAAACATAGACATCCTTCTCCAGCAAGGCGCGAACCTCAGCCTCGCTCTCCGCAAGGGCGAGCAACATGCTACCCTTAAAAGAAGGAGTCTCGCCATCAGCCGGATGAGCCTCGAGCATGGCACCTATCCCGGGCTTGTATTAGCTTGCAAGTCCTATCGACGTCGGCCATAATATACAGCCAGCAACGCAAGCTGATCTCAGCCAATTCGAGCATGGAAAACAAAAAGCAAATAAGAGGACATACCGCCAGCAACGATGAAACCAGACTCAACGTTAGGCTTGATACCAGCAAGGTGGGCACTGCATCACATTTGTCAATTGTCCCTCCATTGGGGTCTCAATACATCATGCGGGGAGCAAGTAAACTCACAGCCGAACCTCGAGACGCTTGGCCTGCATGCCCGGCTTGTCGGGGAGGATGCAGAGGAACTCTTTCTTTGTGGGAGCGGAAGACATCGTGCGAATGTATGATGATTTGGGTGTGAGGATGGAAGAGGTGGTTGGTAGACTTGGAGAGAATCTGGAGGGGGAGCGGAAGAACGACTGCCGAGCGTGGGGGAAAGCGGGGACGATCCGCTGCACAGCGTGGGTTAGCATTGGGAAAGTTGCGGCTGAAGGCGGCTTTTTTTTGCTTGAGGATTGGGTTGATTGGGAGGAAAGGCTGCGCTGAATTGTTATGGGCCAATGGCTGTGGGAGGGTAGAGAGCCAAGGGGGTCGGCGATTGTTCCGAGGCTTGTGTAGCCGGGTCCGGATGTAGTGGATTGTCAGGGAAATCGGCAAGTAGTCAAAATGAGAATTGTTTAAATTATATACACGTAGTTAAGCCACAATTTTGTTCCACTTCCGCGCAGCTCTATATCCAGCTCTTCGTACAGTGGATGCTAAAGACCATCCATTGGAAGGTTGTGTAGAACCCAGAAAGATAAAAGATGATTGATCCGGTCAGGAAAATTGGGAAAGAAAGGAAAATGATCACGACATGACAGTAACGGTCCGGTTTTCGGTCCCTGAGAGGAGTTTGCAAGAAAGAAGAAAAGAAAAGGCGCGTTGCATCGATCGCGGCAAATCACTCAAAGACTCCTTCTCCCAAAAGAGAAGGAAATATGACCACAGGATAAGAACAAGTTCAGTACATGAGGTCTTGGACACGGAGGAACTCTATAGACCTGCTTTCTGCCAAGCAATATTTTCCCCAATAGCGCCAGGTAACAAATACACGCACACTCCCTGAGAACGCGACACGAAGATTGGATTATGGAAATCATTAGGCTTTCCGCCGACCATCCCTCCAGAAAGCGAGGTGTGGATCGGATCACAGATGGAATATCGAAACACCGTTAAACACACTGTGCTGCTCCGGTGAGAAATAATTGATGGGGACGCGGCGGGGAAGATCCCGAGTCAACCGCTTCCCGGCGAAAGAAGTGCAGGCTATGCCATCTAGTACGCCTTGCGGTCTCCCAGGTTGCCGGGCTTCTCGTCCGTGTCGATGTGCCAGACCACGTAGTTGGGCAGACCAACCACCTGGTAGCCAGCGCGCTTGGCCATCTTGGCGAAGCCTTCAGTCTCGGCCTGGTTTTCGAAAGCGTAGGAAGGGAAGTTGATACCTGTCAGGCTAGTTAGAATGCATTGGTCAAGAACATCGGAGTCTCCCTTACCGGAGCGGTGGACATCGGCCTTGACGAGAATGTTAACGCCACCGATGCCGTCAAGCTCAACCTCCTCATCCTTGTTCTTGCGCCAGTCTCCCATGCTAACCAGGTATGTGCGGCCGGTGTCGTACTCCTTGTAGCCCTCGGCCAAAATGACGTTAGGGTCAAGGGTCTGCTTCAAGCGCATCGCCTTGTCGGATTCGATCCACGAGTTATAATCGACTATTGGAAACGTGAGACGAGCGAAGGAAACGAATACACGGGTAATGACTTACAGCGACCTTCAATATCACGGCCATCGCGATAACGGTGGAACCAAATGTCTGCATCGGAGATATTAGCCCGACCATCCACAGCCCCCTTTAGAGAAAAAAATTTCACTCACTGGGCACCAAAATATCCTTGTCGTGGGCCATGAAATCCTCCAAGATGCGTTCGGGGCAGTCCACAATATCGACATCGCGCCAATAGACCCAGGAGTGGTCGGCCTTGAGAGCGGAGTAGAGTAGGTAGTTGCGGGCACGACCAATAGCTTTGCGACGAGGGCCCTGAGCAGCAAACGAGTGTCGCTCCTCAACGGTCATCTCGACATCGGCGCCGAAGTCCTTGCGAACAACGGTAGCGCTGCGGAAGCGAATTTTCTCATCGGCGTGGTTCTGGATACGATCCAGCTCGGACGCCAGGTTGGCCAGAGTGTCATCCTTACAATCGCCAACCAGAAAGGCGAGATCAATCAGCTCGTGCGGGTAAGTCAACTTATAAAGGAGGTCGAAGTATTTCTCGAGGTAGGGGGCGGCGTCGCGAAGGGGGGGTGAGGATAAGTACACGCTCGCGGTTGGACACTGCCTGGATGGAAGACTTGATAGGGTTCAGGTTGACCTCGGTGATAGAGGTGCTGTTCACTTCGTAGGGTGCGTGGTGGTTGAAGAGGACGGGGGTTTGTGAGTGGGCATTCCACTCAACCATCTCGTTCAGGGACATCTCCATCGGTGACTTGCTCGAGCCATAACAGTAGAAACTAGATCATCGAGATTAGTACACGCCGCAGGAATCACAGACCGGGCAAGGACACGATGTACATACTTTTGCATCTCCGACGCGGACTTGCTGACGCCGCGCCATAGCAGGATAACCAGACCCGTCACGGCAATGGTGACGAGGAATCGCGTCCTGGTCAGTAGAACCAGGACTGCCCGCCACGGTGGTAACCGGGCTCTGGCGGACTTCCAGGTAACTCCGCCCTTTGGCAACAACATGATGGATAAATATGGGTGTTGGAACTCAGGAGCCTTGCAAAACGGCGATCCCGGGGTCTCGATCGCAGGCCCGTTGAAAACCCCTTACCGACCGAACGAATGAGGCCTGAGAGGACGAAAGACCACAGTCGTGGACGTGGAGCGATGGGGTGAATGAAAGTAGAGGTAGGGAGGAGGAAAAGAGGAGGACGGGATCGACGGGGGATTTGCCAAGCGGGAACGGCTAAAACCACAACGCTGAGACAAGACACATAATTCGGATTGTAGAGGATTACACTGTATTTGGTGTCTATTTAGCCTTGTTCATCTCTATCTCTATCTTGGAATTGTCTAGATACTTGAATCCGTCACAACTCTACGAGATGCCGGTCTTCATCCCCGAGGACTTTTTGACAGCACGGAGACACCCTGAAAGTTTTTCTATAGCAGCGACTCGTGTGACGCCTGATCAGCCATCTACGAGATCAAAAGACATAAGCATCTTTGGCCGTTTCAGATTCAATGTATTCATATCTAGTTGGTTGTCGTTGTCCACGAAGCACGCGCATCTGTGGTCTTGCCCCTGAGTGTTCTTTTTTTTTTGGCCTGACATTGCGTGTTCCCGACGTACGGCAACGGCAACGACTCAATTTCCTCATTTCAACCGGGCGTGGCGTTAGTAGGCCACGCGATGGTGGGTAGAGGATAGCAGAGGTGAGAGGAGAATAACAAAGAAGAAGATATGAATGCATTGTCTAGATTTTATTTCGAAGACGTCAAGGCTTAATCTTCGTTAGACCAAATGTAAGAGTTAGTACAGCGTGGCCTCGATCGGGTCCATTCCGTCTTAGGTCAAAGGTGCTCTACCCGCTCCTAGCACAAGATACGTAATTCTTGGGTACTTTCCTATATTCACAACATTCTCTTGACCTATTTAAAACCACCTAGAGACTATTGAATGTTCTGCCAAGAGCCATGGCGGATTTTGTGCAGATTTCGTCTGCCTGCGACTTCTCCACACAGGGCTCCACTTTTCAGCTCTGGACTTTGTAAGGTCTCACGCCATACAAGGATTGCCAACATCTTTTCAGAGATACCGTCTGACTCGTTAGACAAGGAATTGAACCCCAAAAGGGCCGATTAGCTTACGAGATTCTACGGTAGACAAGTATGCTTGTAAAAAGATCATTAATTGACGGTCGTGACTATAGACAATGAGAAATTCGAACCAAGTGACAAAAGGGAAGAAACTGTGCAAGAGAAAAAGAAAAAACTGAGCATATCATATATCCATATCGCGAACAACTCCACAGGATTCACAAAGCAAATGAAGGAAACCAAGAAGTAAGTGAAGAACAAAAGCCACCCTTCTTTGTAGAGAGCTGAAGGAAAAATAGACGAAAGAAGCGAACCAACGAAAGCACAACACCAAGCCAAACAGTGACCACGTCACCCAAGAAAAGAGGAAATATTGTTACAATGCAGACGCTAAGGGAGTAACAGGCAGGCGAGGTCAGACGGAGGTTTTCAGGGTCAAGGTTTGTAAAGATGCAGGGGGGCAAGAAGGTAAATCGCCGCCGTCTGCAAGGGGGCCACCTATAGCGGGGCAGAAGAGAAGAGTCATATCACATCAGAAATAAATATCGGCATGCATCATGAGTCTCCGATCACGGCGAGGGAATCAGAGACTGGCGGCGCGAAGCCGGGAAAGTGAACGAGGACTGCGATGTCGGGAAAGCAGGGGAGGAAGGACCAGTCACCGGTGGCGTTGTAGTCAAGTATGAGCTGCTGAAGGTCTGTGAGGTGGCGCTGTGCAGGGGTTCGTGGTGGATTGGTGTTTGAGGGCCCATTGTGGCATTGATCTCATCGCAGAAGACTCGCATGCCGGGGAGGGCTTTCTTCTGGCGCTTGTGTTCGGGCACATCGATCAAAGGGCGGGGACTGCCAATCTCGGCCTTGGGGGAACGGAACATTTGCTCGTAGGACTTGAGTTGGAACTCGAGGGCACGGTTGCGGTCGGCCAGGAGCTCGTTCTCGGCTTTTGCGGCGCGGAGCTGCGACTGTGCGGTTTGGTTCTGTTGCTGGAGGGATGTCACCAGTTGCTGCAGCTGCATGCACCGGACTTGGGGTTGCAGCTTCTCTGAAAGCTGGGGAGTAACTTGCTCCTGGCGGATAAGGTGCATGATGATAGCCAGCATGAAGTCGATCAAGTAGACGGCGCCTTGCACGATGTGCTCCTTGGATTGAGGCAGACTCTTGGATGGGTTCCAGCCGGCACGTTCTAGGAAGAAGTCATGAATCCGGGCGTCAAGCTCGCGGTGGAGCTGGCTCAGGTTCTTGCGGCGGTTGCCCTCGGCGATGCGGTGCTTCTCGCGCTGGTCATCGGGGTCGCCGCTGTCAGTGCTGCTCTTACGCTTACGGCCACAAAGTTGTTGTAGAGGAGCCTTGCGGTTGATATTTTGAGGAGCAATCAGGGCCATGATCTCAGGCTGGGATAGATCGGTAGGCCAGTCAGAGGAGACAGCCTTCTGGGCTGCGAAGGACTCTTGCCAGGAGCTTTCGGCGGAGTTAGCTGGCGAGGGAGGACCAACAATCTGCTCGCCACCGGACCAGGAAGACTTGAACTGGAAAGCGTCGTTGGGACCCGGTGTAGTAGGGCCGAAGGCCTCCTTTGCGTGGAAGGGACTGAAGGGACCTCGTGGTAACGGCTCCATACGAGGCAGAGGAGGAAGACGACGGTCCTCGCCCAGGCCAGACCCGATGTCGGAGGTGGAGGATTTCAAAGAGCTGAGTCAATGCCGTTAGTCGAATTATCGTCTTGTATAATAGCATTCTTTACTCACGGAAGCGAGCAGCGTCGCTGGATGTCATCAGTCATGTTGGCCATTTGCTCATTCATTGTAAGATGTTGTCGAGAATCAAAGCGCGAACTATATGTGCAGGAACAAGAGATGTTGATGAATCGATCTCAAGATACTATGTACGGGACAGAACACTCGGTTGTTCTTCAAAATGGTACGTAGTCGAAGTAGACGGCTAGTGATGAACACAATGGCGATGTTCATGCGCAACACACAGTAGGAACCAAAAGGGAGGGGGTCGTATAGATATGAACAAAGAAAGCGAGGGGAATAAACTCCACGAGGCGAAGACAATGAGTGAGACACTTCTGATCGAGAACAGACGGGGCTGGGTGCATGTTTATATGTCGATGACGAGGGGGGGCCAGGGTACTTTTGGAAATATCCAAGATTGTGTCCCTGAAGGCCCGAGACCAGGTTACCTCTCTCTCCCTCTGTCTCTCTCCCGACCCAAGAGAGGGGAACGAACGATCATGGCCGATCATGGACTCGGCGGAAGACCGGGATGTCATACAGAGATATTGTGCATGATGCATGGCGTAGGGACCCACGGCGACGGGGAAGCGACCCTGGACCTCCCGGGTGGGCTCTGGACCGTCTAGCTTAGCCACTTTGGGAGGAAGTGGCAGAGCATGAACAGAATGATCTATGGCGAACGCTATCGCAGGGTATCTGTCACATCATGCACGGACGAGTTCCTCGTCGCAGCCCATAAGATCGACCAGTAAGTGTGGTGCGATCGCGCCCGAGCAGCAGGTTCAGTGCGAGGATCCGCAGTCCATGATTTGTTGTCCGCCATGCTGGTGTCAAGATCGACACGGGGGAAGTATATTACGTCGTGGAAAGAGGCTATGGGCTATTAGAGGCACTGCCCTTGCATCAATAGTCTGCCATTCTCTCTAGTTCCCCATGTTTACCTGGACCGTTTACTATTCCATCTAATAATCCTCCGATGTGACTGTTCACAGAGGCAATCCCCGGTGCTCTGGTCTCTATACACGAGTCTCCATCGTGGGACACAGGTTTCTCGACCCTGGGGAAAAGAGTTCAATCGGCTGGGTTCGCCCAGGAGCTGTCGTGCATACGGTCAAATCTCGGTTATTTCCCGCTACACTGACTTGATGCATCATGAAACGCTCGCTGTAGCATCTCAGGTATCTGGCGGTAGCTCAAGTCGCCTCCAATCTCGATTGCATGCGTCGATATTCAGGAGAACCTTCTATGACTGTCGTAGGAACCATCAAGGGGGTTCGTTTGCACGGTCGATCCCCCTCGAGGATGCTCCAGGATAATTCAATTCCTCGGTCATGCAAAGGAAATCAAGCAAGGATCACGTCTCAACTTGCGACAAGCGAGGAGGTTGCCAATCGATAGGCGAACTATAGAAGGTTCTTGGCCATGAAACCACGGCACCGCCTTTTCCATGAAACGGACAATATCAACTATTGACATTGAGGTGTCATGATGATCACGACAAATCATTACGAGGGTCCATTGCTTCCAAATTAATCTCAACAGGATGTCATTCCAGGGTAGGCAAATCACGAGCAGCAAGCAGCCCGAGGCGATAGAGATCGCTCGGGGACAACCACCGAGCTGGGTCGGCGTCCCAGCGACCAGGATACGTTTCCTGTCAGTCGCCGAATCAGGAGGATGGCGTTGATTTGGAATGGGTGAAAAACGATAGATTGACACACGGACGTTAATATCCGTAGCCTCTGGGCGAGTCAGAGCGAGTCTACCATAGCCCGTAGCCCACCACAGCCTCGCTGGGGTCAAGCCCTAATAGTTGCACGTTCCCCGGCGCTGATGGGACTAAGATCCACTGCACGATCTCAGCAAATTATCGATGTGCGTACACGCTCTAGCATCCCGTGCGTGGTCGCTACGAGCTCGATGTGGGTCTCGGGGTCTCTTGCGATCAGAGCTGTCATATTTCATCCCGTCTGGACCCAGCTTTCGCACAAGTTCCCACGTTCTCGCACACTCCCAATTATAATGATATGACCACGGTGTGGTTGAATGTCCCTTCTAGCCTGGGCTGGGAAAGTGTGAAAAGGGGCTGTCGGGCAGTGTTGGCAGGACGACAAGTGTATAGGTCCTCGTTCTCCCCTATTCCCCGCCACTCACCCCATCGACACTCACGACCTCATGCTGCATCAATTTGTAACAAGTACCCGCATGCGACCCGGGATCTCTCAGGGACCCGCGGATTTGCCTAAGAGGAGTTTGCAGCCCGCACGCAGCGGCTGCTGCTGCATGAGCACATGAGGGGAAAACAACCAGGCACGAACCATTCGAGCTCACAAACTCAGTCCTTCCGGCTCTTCCCCGGACCCATCAGGCCTAAATGGCTTTCGAATAATCACGTCCCTCTGCCATTTTGAGTGACGTGCATTGACCTTACTCTATGATGAAGCACTTCCGGAAATCCGACAGGTACAGCACAGGCAATTTTTGAGTTCACGGATCCACGATCAGAAGTCTGAACCCGATCTTCGGGTTGAGGGCTACAAGAAAGCCACTGTATCTACTCTGGCAGATCAACAGATGCAATGTGCTATTTTCAGATAGTTACGCCGGACGCTGTAGGTCGGGATTCGATTCCCATGTCTTTCCACTTCATATAGCATGCGGCCGTGTGGCTCCAGGTGCAAGGGCCAGGCTTGATCAGTGACGCCTCCACGGTGTCAGGCCAGGTACTCTCCGCAGCTGGTGACGAATCATGACCGGCTGTTGGCTCTCCTCGCGCCAAGTTATTCTCAATAGTGGCCAGTAGTAACTTCAGCCGTGACCCGCTTGACCTGTCAAGTTTCAACCGTCGCAATATGACATTGCGGCTCGTATATGGAGTGCAATATGGGTACACCGTGAGTTTCATAATGCTTGTGCTACATGATCGGGTCACCCATCTCGATCTTTAGTTGAGATCTTAAGATCTCGGTTAAAACTTGCTCGTGATCTTCATTCTCCACATATTGGGGCCTAGATCCGCCAAATATGCGTTCAATGGGACCGGTTCATGCATCTCACTTCCCGATGCAAGATCCATGTTCCCTACAGTACTGTACTACTTGGAACCGCCACCCATCATACTTCCACTACCGCAGACTACTGTACCCCACCCTGCTCCTCTCTCATCCACACCCCACTGCGCAGTGGACACACAATGAAAAATCAATTGGCTGAGTCTCGATGAAATTCTTCAGTTTCAGATTGATCTTCCTAAGAGTGAGCTTTCTAGTCTCCATATCGTTCATCTCCTCTTTTTTAGTAGTCCACCTTGAGCTACTGTACGTGCAGTCGTTCCCATCGGGGAAATCACTTTCGCCACCAGCATCCCGGTCAAATGGCGTGTATGAAATCACTCGTGCTTGATTCAGTGGGACGCATGAATCTATCGGGGATGTGTACACTATGGAGTCTTGTATGGGCTACCGAGGACGTCGTTTTTGCCATGAGGCTATGATCATATGATCACCAGCCGAATCAAGCTTGCCACTATCGAACATGATATTCTGGGAGACGCACAGATAATTGCACTCCATACATGATATAATGAGAGGAGCGCCGCAAGGGCCAGGAAACCATAGGAGTCATCAATTTAGCAAGCAGATCCACAAGATTCTGACATTTGCCTAGAGTAAAGCACTCATCAAAGTATAAAATTTCTCAGATCTGGCTCATTTCCTTTCAGAAAACACACAATGTGCCTATGGCCCCTTCGAAACCCAGCACCTCCTCGACAAAATAGCCCAATTCTTACCTCCCCGAGTGGCCACCACCTGCAAGGACCACAGGTACCATACATCTCTAGTCGCGCCAAGGCGCATAATCGGGTATATTGAGGAACTCAAGTCGGCCGCATCTGACATGTCGCGCCAACCCACTTCCCCGAGCCCGTGGAGCTCCTCCTCGATCGTAGTCCTCGTACGACTTGCGAAAACTTGACGCTCGAACTCAGGCACGAGTCTCCATTACCTGGATCTTAGGTTGCCTCCGATGCAAGGCGAACGTATCTCATGGTGGGTCGGGCTGCCTGCCTACACTTCCATTCAGGTACCCTTTGCAGATGCATTGGGACCTTTCCATCATTGATCATTGATCATGACACCTTCAAGAGGAACGAGGGAAAAAGTACGCGGGACCACGCCAACGTACACTCTTTGCCACCTGCTTCATCTTTCCTCGAGAAGCCACTTCATCTACTCAGCTCCACCATTTGTGACCTCTATCTCAAGACCTCTACGTGCCTGCACTTAGGTGCGTGGAGGCGTATCGAGCTCGAGGGGCACCCTTGTTTGCAGAGTGTCTGGCCAGAGTCCATAATCTCGAAGCCGATTGATACTGGACATTCCCCCTCCCCCCATGAAAGAGGCATCTTTCGACTCGCCGTCCCCAAGATCAGAGACACTAACAGGGAGCTTATAATCCTCCCGGTCTTCCTGTCCAATCAATCCAACCTCGGTGCTATTTGGGGTCCAGCGTTGACAGCGCCATGTCCATCAAAAGTTTATTTTTGCCGATCAGAAGGTGCCGAGGTGGCTCGATACTTTGAAAAAAAAAATGGACAATGCCAGCTCACTAGGAACACGCTCATAAAGAATCAGATTGAATGTCGAGCCCTGAACCAACATCCCCACTTTCCCAGACCAGCCTCCGACCATCAAAGATTCAACCTCGACCCAGCGGGCCCCATCTAAATCATCACCAACTACAGAACCCTAATCACACGAACGCCCCCGCCCAGGTCCATCGCATTGATCGCTCATTACTGTGTACCTACATCCGCACTGTCGTGCAGCCACGATCCAGATGTACGTCCTTGTAGGGAAGGGACAAAACTACCGGCACAACGTATCCTCCAAGCCCCTGCCCATCATTATAATTTCCAATCTAAAGACATAAAAACAATATTTCTGGTTCTCCCATTCTAGATAAGATGACAATTGAATATGACTGCTAAGTTAAACACCCGTCCGCCCCGTTCCTTAACATTCATCCGTAACCCCTCTCTCTCCCAGCCACCCATCAGCACCACTGACGATCCCTTCGATCCATTTCTAGATTTTCCCTCTCAATCCCACCAAGAACACTTCAATGTAATTGGGCTCAACCCCACCTAAACCTACTGATTCCCAACCCCGTCAAACCTGGAGTCCCAATTCCACTCCTGGCCACACCCTAACACCACCGCCATCCCGATTCTGGGTTAGTATGTCCCATCACCGTAGCCCGGGAACACGCCTGGAGCCGCGATCCTACTCAATGCTCCAAGTGGCTCAGGGCCTGGATGGTCCATTTGATCCTCGAATCGGATTAGGCGTCCCGAACCGCTCGGTGTGATCTATCCACTTCCACAGTCGAGAGAATGCGTGTCACAGTCGAGGCTCACAGGGCGGGGCAAATTGGGAAGTTCGACGTCCTTGTTTGAGATTGAGTTTGGTTTTGGGGTTCTCGGGTTTGGCGATGATAGTTTGCTTTCTGCTCGGCAATTATGATCTACTTCCCTATCTTGGACGAGATCTTCGTTTCATCTCGGATGGAATCGAAGAAATCGAAGCACTTGTTCGGTGGGTACTTTCGCGTAGTGTTAGGCTGGGAGGGGGCGGGGGGGTTTTGGTCTACAAAACGGCGAAGTGGATTGATTCTTTTTTATTGTTGTCGTCATCGATATCCTTTTTTTCTCTCTTCTTCCTCTAGAGTACTTTTGTACCTCGGGCACCTCGGGGTCCAGTATATTGCTTAGCGGTTAGTCTTGATGCGAGTAGGTGCAGATTCGGATAACCCTGGAAAGCCCTGGAAATATTGGTCCTCGGCTCGGAGGATTGCCTCATCTGAAAAATGTCTGCTTTTGGAGGGGTGCTTGTGATCGGCGCCTTTCGTGGTCTTAGTTTGATGATGCTGTAGGGTTCTTTTGGTCCGTAGATCAGTGTTGAGGCGGTGAACCTGATCTGGGATTTGGATATGCTAGCGAATAGTGCTTTTGTCTTTTCATGATATCAAACTTGGTATTGAGGGGTGGTTTGATTTTCATTTGTGCGTCATATCTCCGGGTTTTGTTGTGTTCTTGGCGAATATGGATTTTGCGTCCATTTGTCCGGTTTAGACAGGTAGGATATGCTTAACGCTCAGTTGGTCAGGAGCCCATGTTTGAACACTTTGGAATGATATCAGAATATTCGCCATATGTGACTATCTAGAAACTGGACAATATTTGAAGTTTGAAGAGACCGAGGATATTAGCAAAACCTCTAGAATAGCGCCTTGAATCATGATATCATTGATCGCCAGTGTTGGAAGAAATGTTTCAAGGTTGGCTCGTTCGGCTTGGAGCACTCGAACACTTGGGTCCCTCCAATATACTCAATGTTGTTTTTGAATGTCCGTTCTAAGGATCGTTGGTCCCCAATGGGCACTTGACAGACGTTGATCGAACAAAAGCCCAACGTAGTAGTTCTACATAGAACCCAATACACAATTGATTACATCTCAGTAGACTATAGCCATGCTCGCTTGGGCAGTGAATTCTACTGTGCGCAGTGTCCATATCTAGTGTGTGAAATATATTTCGCATCACCAGTGGTCATTATGTAGCCAAGAAGAATCACGTAGTCATCACATTGATTTCGAAATATATCACACAACACTGACGAAGTCACAACATTCTTCCCACACACGAGACAGGGCGACGAATGCACATGCACGGCGAAATCAGTATCTACTTGTCAATGCCGAACCCGAAGCTGACTCACGATCGCAAGTTTCAATCTCATCACAGAGCACAGGCGCATCCAAGGAGGCCGGGCATGCTGGCTTAAAGCCGTAGACAGGCATGGTCTACGTGAGGCCTTGCATACTTGAATACTTTACAACTTACAGAAACCTCGACGAAATGCCTACAAGGAGATGCCAGAGTTCAGGGAATGGACGGGTTACAAATAGCAACCTAATAAATTAGAACACGGTCGCGCTCCAGTAAAAACATATCGAGACAATAAGCACAAGGCGGGGGGTAATAAACAAAAGTAAAACTCCTTTCCGATGAACGGCGATGGTGTTTGTCTCCCGAGGACAGAATCCATATTGTGAATTTTCCTCACAAAGACGGAATTATTATCATAAGAACAGCAGTGTAAAACGAAATGGAACCCGTTGCTTGGTGGAACTTCTGCATCTACAATTTCTCTCTCTCAGAGAACAATAAAACTCTGCGCACTCCGATTCACGTCATCTTTTCTTCGACTCGCTTACAGGAACTGAGCGAAGGCGAGGAAGAAGGCGGCAACGCCAGTGGCGGGAATGGCCAGGGAAGAGGCAGCGCCGGAGGAGGTGGCGGTGGTACCGCTGCTGGAGGTGCTGGAGGTGGTGCCAGACTTGCCGTTGGAGGTGGTAGGGTCAGGGGTGGTGGCCTTGCAGTTGTAGGTACCACGGATGACACCGTCGCTCTGCATCTTCTTGAAGGTGGTGCAGGCGAAGGTACCGTTGGTGGACTGAACGTTGAAGCCACCGTCAACCTCCTGGAGGGCACCCATGTTCAAGCTATGGAAAGTACGTTAGCAAATACACCCAGTGGAATTGGAAACCTGGACGGTAGATGGGGTGCTTACGTATCGAAGGTGCCGCTGAAGTCAATAGCTCCAGTGACGGTCTCGAGCTCGGGCAGATCAATGTCGGCGAGCTTGTCGTTACGGCTAACAACGAAGCCACCCTTGACGGTCTTGAGAACGGGCATGCTGATGTTGGTCAGGGCGGAGTTGTCGTTGAAGGTCAAGTCGGCAGTGGTGGTCAGGTTGGGGGCAGAGAAAGACTTGAACTCAGTACCCCAGAAGCCGAGCTGGCCCTTGAGCTTCTCCAGAGAGGGCATGGAGACGGAGCTGATGTTACGGAAGGTCATGTTGTAGGCACTGGCGAGGTTGGGGAACTCAATCTCGAGCTTGTTCCAGTTACCAGCGAAGTTAACCAGGTCGGTGGCGTTCTTCAGGTTGTTGATGTTGATGGTTCTCAAGTTGGTGTTATCGGTGATCTGGAACTTGCCAACGGTCTCGAGGGAAATACCGTTCAGGCTGGTGAGACCAGTGTTGGTGATGACAACATCACCAGCGTCGGTGACACCAGAGGGGAAGGTCAAAGACTGGAGAGCGGGAAGAGCCTCCCAGTTGATCGCACCAACGCTGGTGAGTTCAGCGAAGCTCAGCTCGGTGAGAAGAGTGGCCTCATTCAAGGTGAAGCTGTCGGTGATGGTCACGAGCGAGGGGGCGATGATGCTGGTGAGGGCAGTGCAGTTGCTGCCGGTCAGGGAACCGGAGATCTTCTGGATACCGTTCAGGGTAAGGGTACCAGAGAAGCTGGACTTGATTTTAATATCACCGTCGACAGTGGTGCAGCTGTTGAGGGCATCGGCATCGGACTGGCTGGAGACAGTAGTATCACCGCAGGCTGAGGAGCCAAATGTCAGACCAATGTCCATGTTCAGTTCCAATGTCTACTCACAGTCGGAGGCGAAGGCCAGCTGGGTAGCTGCCAACGCGGGCAGGAGGTACTTGACGAAGGACATGGCGATTCTTCTGCGCGACCGTGTTAGTATGTGATAACAATATCAGGGCAGTAGCAACAACAAGATTCAACATACCGTATAGAATTAAAGGATGTAGGAACGAATGTCGAGAAGAAGGGGAAAGGCTTCAGCGAAAGAGAAGCGGAGATAGGGTAGGAAGACTCAAAGAGAAAGAACGAATGGACAGGTTTGGGGGGAGGAAAGAGGAAGGAATAAGAAGTTCGGGGGTCGAGAAAGGAGGCGCTGGTGGAGTCCGGCGTTTTTTTCTTGTTTCCGCGCTGTTACCATACGCAATGAACAACATCGTACCGAATGCGGGAGTGGGTAGGAGCGTACCTGGGGGGTACCTGGGGGCACCCAGGCGTACCTAATACACAGTATCAGTAATTTTAGTATCATCGGTTTCAACGCAATCCTGATTTCCGCCCGTTTTAGTGCTTCTCTAGCGCTGTTTCCGTAACACTTCGCCAATGACCGAATCGCCCGTGCGGTGCCCCCTTTCTCCATCAGTGTCTCCTCATGTGGATCCGACAATGGACTCATGTCCTATACACGTGTGCTGTCGGTTTCCATGGTTTCTGCGCTTTGGTCTACACCTACCCTGCGATGTGTAATGTGGGATGTGATGCAATTGAGGTATATAAGACAGACCTGTCATGCTGTCTCCAGATCAAACTGTTTCGCTTGCCCCACCCCAGGTGTCACGGCCGCAGCCAGGCCCCGGCATTGGAGCAGCAGTACTTTGGTGCCTTGCCACCGTGCATAGATTGTTGCACAGCAGTAATACCATCTTGCCTAATGCGGTACTTGCCACATCAACAAAAACAAGTCCACCGCAGTACTGCAATTACCTACATAGCTGCATAGAGGGCTTTGAGCCGATAAAGTTGGCGTCCAAGTACGCGTAGAGTGACCCTCGGTAAGTATCGCGGTGATTTTGTATATCTCGATGGGTCTGCTCTATTGATCAAGCTCCATAACGCTATCCATAACGCTATCCATAACGCTATCTATCGCCTGTCGTCATCATCTCAAAAATCGGCCCCTTTATTATCGTGATAATCGGGTATGATGAGTTCATCGATCCGGAATACAGGCTATATTACAGTCCCCTATCGCCCCTGTCCACCCTATTGATCCCAGAGCAGAGACCATCGGCTAGACCTTGCGCTTGGATGGCCGATCTAAATTTGCAGGTATTCAAGCCTCCACGGACCCGCCAGCCCCCTGCCGCTATCGTCGACGGCCCCGGTATGTCTGACCTCTGATTGGCACGCAGGAATGAATCGCCCTGGATTAATGTCCATCCTCGCTGCGTGCCGACATGCCCATTTTCTATCTGAAATCAACTCGCCCCTGTGCCGACTTGATGACCCGAGAGGGACTTGTCGAAAATTCCATGACACCGCCCCCCCCCCACCCCTGCACATGGGCAATACTAGTCGGTGGCAAAATGCGATCGCTGAGACGCAGGTGTTTGTTATGACCCGACCATTCTTATTTGCACCGCCAGGATGCGCTACCCAGGCCGATAGCTCGGCGTCGGTCTTACGGTCTCGTTGTGCTTCGAAGGGAGAGCCTAATCCAAAAGCCCCTGCAAGAAATTAATTGAGCACCTATCCGTCGGAGCTCCTGTCACTTTAAGTGGTCATGATGATCGCCAGTCTAGAGCTTTGCCGTCCCAGATCGGCGCCGTCTTCATGTTACAGGTCTTCAGGACTGATCGCGATTCTGGGCCAACTTGGGACTCAATGGCTGGTCTTGACAGTTGGAAACCTGCTGTCGAACACTCGCCATCGGCCAATTTTACTCAAACGTCAATTGAGACCAGCAATGAACGATGAAGGTCATGGTCACATCGCGCATTTCAAATTGGTTATTACGGTACCGTGTATTGACCGTTCGTACCAGTAAACATGTTTCAGATCGCACGGAAGCAACAACCTCTCCGCCTGGAGGCCTCGGGCCTGCTGCTCATCACTCCACTGTAGACTCCACTGACCGTCGCTTATGCTGTTGAAGAGTTTTTAGCCTGGTGTAGAGACCGCGTCGACAACGAACAGTCACGAGCGCGACTGGACCGTTTTGAAGCTGGTGTAAAAATGATCTGTGCATCTCACGCCACTATGGATACCGCGCGGCCTCGAAACCCAGTCAAGCCTAGTTCCGTACTGTCTGTTCAATTGTGATCATGGCATTTTCACTCACATTCCACGTACGCCTAGATGTTTCTTTGCTCGTGGAATGCATGGCAGACAAAGGAGGGGGGGGGGGGATTCTACTTTGAACACAAAAAGGGGAGGCTGGCTACATTCTCAAAAAAACGAGACTCCCACCCATGCTTTCTTGGGGTATCCTGGACAAGTTGAGAATGAATGGAGCATCTCCGTACTATTCGCCCCGTTTTGACTAGACCTGGGGTTGGGTGCGAGCTTCTTCTACTCCTTGGTACGAAACCGCCGAACTTCCTCGGTCAGAAACTTACCATTCTTTGCATTTCGAATTGGCTCAATCTTTGCGGGATCTACCCAACCCAACTTCGCCAGTCTCACATAGCATCCCAATCCTGGTTGGCAATTCCACCTTTCAATTTGCGTCCGTTGATCTCAACCCCACTCTAGAGATTTTTTTTTTCCTGGTCGGGAACTAGTTTTGAGCGCTACGCTGATTTGCCAGGCATCGTATGCCGCTGACGCAAGCTGATAGACTAGTGCCAAGGCTGGAACGACGCTTTCTTTTTTGGGCAAGTTACGTTACAGCCAGCTAGAATTTGGATGTTGACCACTGGCACAGAGTTTCACTCCCTGAATGAAGTAACAAAGAGCTCGTACGACCGACCGTGGTTCTTGTTGATATCTTGCCCGGTTTCTCGAGATGCATCCTTGGATCGGTGGGCCGAGCGGAGAAGATTGGCTCCAATCGCGAGAGCTGTCTGCATACACTCTATGCTGCATTCCATGGATGCAGATTAACAGTTATCTGCCAATGAACTTGTTTTGATACACGATCCAGATCTGGGTAGCGAATGTTTGTGGGTTGCTTAAAATAGTTGTAGTTACGAAATGCTAATTCAGACCACCATTCTTGGTCAACGAGGAAGCCTGTTCTCAAGCCCAGTCGGTCTCGGCCGTTGAAAATTCAAAATCTTTGGGGCTCTCAGGTCTCCCGCAAGATAGTAAAGCGACTTAACTTCTATCATACCTGAACTTTAAAAGTGTCATAGTCATAGCGCATTCTATGCACATTTACACGCTCATTGTCCACAGCAGACATCTCACGCACCAAAAAAATTATCATAAGCCAGCCCACCCCGTGTGTATCGCACATTAAGTGTCTCCTGGTAATCCAGACGCGTGGCCCAGATACCAGCTTCCACGAACTTTGCAATTGCCTGTGATCTGGGGAAGACTAGTGCACACGAGGCCCTAAGGAAGTGCCAACTCACACGACGTCTCAACATCCTGACCCACTCTGTTCGGCTCGACCCTAGAGAAACTTGAACCGTAATAGCCTTTTAAAAAACATACAAAGCCATTGAGTATTTTATTTTAAGGAAGTGAGTTGCCGAAGCGCCTCAAGACCTGGTTCGAATGACCAGAATATCCGATAATCATGACTGTAAGAAGACTCCTAACGTAGCAGACAATATATAAAGAGATTGTATGTATTTGATGGAACTACATTTAGGTTGATGAAATATTGGAAAGTACCTAAGTAAAAGGAGTTCAATGAGAGGTGATCTGGTTTGATGAGAGATTCGGTGCGTGCTTTCCATGAGGGTGCTGATCAGGATACTGAGACTGGTTTCGTCTTGACCTCGAACATAGAAAACTCCACATCAAAAGTTTACAGCATTGCAAGCTTACGCCCGACCATGACCATCAAGCTTGGAAGACAGCAAATTTGGGAGACCTAGTCGATGTGATCATGCCTCTGCTCTGCATGAGGTACAATGGAACAAAGTCTTGCAGACGCAGCCGTGGGAAGCAGGACCCTTTTCTTTGTTTGCTTAGCGTTTTCTGCTGACCAGTAAAGTTAGGTCACCCATTTGTTGCGATCTTTGTAGTGAAATTACATGCAAAGCTGTACTTTCGTCCATTCGCATGATCCTTGTTAGTGGCGCGTTCAAAAATGACGCCAAGATTTCAACTCAGAAGGCTCTCTATAGTAAGGTGGCTATTTAGCCTTCCCTATAACACATTAAGGTGTGAGAATGAAACGAAGTAGTCGATTGTCCTTCCCCGAAGGAGGAAATCTTAGTCTAGATACTATATATCCTACTGCTTATATTATATAGTGCTCGTATGGGCGGCGTAGTCCCTGACTAAGGTCGTGCGTGTAGAGGACGGACTAATAATCCCGTAGGCCGTGGGCTTGAGGCATTCTTAGTGGCTGTGAAACCCCAGAGGGGTGATCGACTTCCCACGTGGTGCACAAACCCTATGCCAAGGTGGTGAATACAGAATATACTCAAATACCCAAGCTCATTGGTAGTAAAGAAAATAAAGCAAGGTCACTTTGCCAAAGAGGTAATCCTGAGCAACCGAAAGTAGCATTTGGTGAGAAAGAATCGAAGGAATAGTGATTGACAATGTCGGGACCCTCATATTAGAAACCCAAACCGATCATCATCCAAGGAAATTAGGCTAGATTCTACGACGATCGCCAAGTCCTCCTTCGAAGGCGGCCCGGTGATGGCAAACCAATTACCCAATTGGGAAATAGCCCCCAAACCCCCTGAAGCGAAAGTGCACTCTTGAGCCATCGGTCAGTCCCACAGGCGGGGCAGAACACCTTCAGCTTCCTGAAATCTAACCCAAATTGGAGAGTGCTGAAGAGCAACTTACTGAGTTGGAAATTGGATGCGAATACGACCATAGTATTGATCTTGGATATAAATCGAACATCATCGTTGTCTGGTGCCTTGTAGAGACTACAGTCGTTCTTTCTCCCACACTTCACATATAATTTTGGGGCATTGGCCTCTGTATATATTGTTCTCTGTGCAAACGTAAGATCATGCGTGATCTTTTGCAGTGGACCGCTGTAGCGGGCCTTGTAACCCTGGCTTCAGCGGTGGCTGTTTCATCACCTCTTAAAGGGCACGTACTTGACTTCCAACATAACCAAAAAGTGATTAACATTCGATGTAGGGAGATTCGACAACGATACACTTGCACGGGACCCACCGCCTCTTCTCCCAGCTCCTACTGGCTTCTGGAACAAGACCACACTGGTTGGGCCCGTGGCTACGCCCCTGAAGTGACATCAAACCCAAATTCCCCGTGTGGCGCAACGCGCAAGATTATTCCGCCTCTGCCAATGGATCCGGTGACCAGACTAGCAGCATTCAGAATGCGATCAATGATGATGGATCTGGGGGCAGTCGTGAAGGTCAGGGTGTGACCAAGTTCCCCGCTGAGGTGTTTCTCCCCAGAGGAACGTACCAGCTGGGCAGCTCTTTGAATCTCCGCGTCGGAACTGTGATCACTGGTAACCCGTTGAACCCGCCGGTGCTCAAGGCGTCCGCGGACTTTAGCGATGGTACCTTAATCAATGGGTATGACAGTGGTAACGGGGCGCCAGAGACGAGCTTCATGACTCTCATGCGCAATGTAGTGATCGATACAACGGCCCTTAGTGCGGACACGCAGATCACCGCTTTGCAATGAGGAGTCGCTCAGGGATCTGGCTTAACCAATGTCAAAATTAACATGCCCACCAGCTCTACTGGACACATCGGTATCGACATCAACCAAGGCTCCACAACACCGATGTGCACATCACTGGTGGCGCCATTGGAATCAGGAATTCAAACCAGCAGGTCAACTTCAAGAACATCTACTTCAAAGAATGCACGACTGCATTTGATGCCTTGGGGGGTCATACGGCTCTTCTCCAGGGCGCGACATTCGACACAGTTGGTCTCGGCATCGACAGGAGCAGCAACGGTCTTGGAAGTATGGTGCTGCTAGATTCTGACTCTACGAATTCGGGCACTGTGGTGAAGCTTTATGACTCCTCCAATGACAGCGGTAACCGCAACAGCCAATTGCTCATTCAAAATCTTGTTCACGATACTGAAAACTCCATCGTCGTGGACAAACGAGAAGCCTGCGGCTGTCGAAAAAATTGATACTTGGACATGGGCAATGTGACACCGGGCCAGTATGAGACTGGTACGGAATTCTCCACTAGTCGACCCGACGAGCTCCTTTCCAATGGCAAGTACTTCACTCGCAGTCAGCCTACCTACGCCGAGTATGCCTCAGACCAGGTGGTCAATGTCAAAGCCGTTGATGGCTACACCATTCAGGGCGACGAATCCACAGACGACGTTGAGTCGCTTAACGCTAATCTTGCGGGAAATGCTGCAAACTGCAAGATTACCTACTTCCCATACGGCGTGTACACCGTCAAAGACACGCTGAAGATCCCCGTCGGCTCACACATTGCCGGTGAAGCTTGGGCCGTGATTTCCGGGGCTGGTGACGCATTTAAAGATGCTTCAAACCCCAAGCCGGTTGTCCAAGTGGGTCAGCCTGATGATTTTGGGGTCATTGAAATTCAAGACATGAGGTTTAGCGTCGGAGAGATTCTTCCCGGCGCAACTATTCTCGAGATCAACGCAGCTGGAACGAGCCCTGGAGATGTCGCGTTGTGGAATGCGTTAGTCACAGTAGGCGGAACTGCAGAGACCAGCATCAAAGATGTCTGCGACCGACAGGACACATCTCAATGCATGGCAGCCTACATGATGATGCATTTGACAGCTTCATCATCAGCCTATATCGAGAATTTCTGGGGCTGGACAGCAGACCACAACTTGGACGGAGGATCAGCATACACTGTCATTTCTACCGGACGCGGTGTTCTGGTCGGAGCTACTAAGGGCACCTGGTTAACAGGTACCGGATCCGAGCACAACTGGCTATACAACTACAACTTCCACTCGGAGCAAAATGTCTACGCCGGTATGCTGCAGACCGAAAGCCCTTACATGCAAGGTAGCGGTGCTACTCAAACTGCTCCAGCGCCTTGAAGTGTCGCACGTCCTTGGCAACCAATCTTGGTGGTAAGGACGTGCTTCTCTATAACAGTGCTGCGTGGGCGTTCTTTGACGGCAAATGAACGGGCAACTATAACGTTCAATGTGATGGGAATTGCCAGACTAATATGATGCGGGTTGCCAACAGTCCGGAGAATTTGGTTTGGTATTCTGTCAGCACGCGGAAGACGGATGTGATGATTCTTGATGGCGAGTCAAATCCGACAGAGTATAATCACCCTGGCGGATGGGAGGCGATCATTCAGGCCTACAGACAATTTTCATCGTGATAGAAAGGAGAGAACAGAATTGGGAAGCTCTGGTTGGATTGAGGAGAGTGTTTAGGTTCTAGATAATATCGCCATAAATTAATTTCATTCAATGCACAGTCACCCATGTATCCTGTCAATAAGAGTTATCCATACACTTGGCCTAATAGTTTCATTATTGAGATACTCCCCGTTTGAAAGCCCTATTCTGCTGCTGCATGATCTCGTCTAGCACGACTATGCCTCTTAGTTACGTATAAGCATGCCGCACCCAGGCATTTCGGCCTTTAAGGTGCCCTTCAGAGTAGAAGAGTAACTTGCTCAAAGATTGTGAACATTGAAGTATACAGTTCTGGTTACTCGATTCTCACTTGCCTCGATCCGCCTTCCCAGGGCAAATGTGGACCTCTTTAGTTGTTTCTGATCGATATTGACGATGAATGTCACAAACCAATTAGCGCTCATCATTCGGCTAGAGCCTATCTTCTAGATCAACAAAAAAAAGGTATTTTCAAGAGAAATAAGCCCTCATTGGGGCTATGCTCGGCCATATACACAGAAGTAGTCGTAAAGGAAGACAGCTCATGTCCTTAGAGATCCCATATCATGTTGATCGCGGGCAAATTGAAGGTTTTAGAGAAGACCCGAGAAGGTAGATTCATAGCTTTGAAGCAGCTGAGGCGTACTATAGTTATATACGATGTTATCAACTCCAGGATCGTTGGAGTAGATGTTGAAGAGAGCGGGAGGATAAGAATTAGAAAATAGCTAGGCCCGCTTTGAAGAAGCTTAGACAGTAGTTACGCCATTTATTGAAGCCTTGATACATGAAGACTAGATAGGGAATATCCACAAATTCAATGTAGTCCGTTTTGCTTGATGCACTGGTCGCTCAGAACGAATGTCGATGGCCTTCCCCACTATGGAGCCTCACGATTGGTTATCGTAGGGCTTGGCATGCGTCAATTAGAAATCCGGGGTCTCGACTTGACCGTCAGCTTTGACTGTGACAACAACCTGAACACCGAGAGTCTCCGATTTTCCATTGAATAAGATCGGGTTTTCCTGCCAGGAGTAGAAGCATGTCACTTCGGCGGTCAGCGCGGTTGGGCTCCATCCCAAGCATCAAGGCACAACTACCAGCCACGGTTAAGGTGACTCGAGTACCGACTAATGGCATCACCAAGCCTCGCAAAGCCTCTACAGTCAAGAAAGCAGCATCAAGAGCCTCCACAGATCCACAATCCAACACAGAGAGTTCATACTGGTCTCCAGAGCCTCCGACTGGGCTCTCGACCAACGGTTTCGATAACCAAGCATTTAATAACGACACGAACAGCAGACCTCGCACACCACCACCACTGGACCGACCAGTGGATCCTCACCGAACAAATGCGACCCTTTTGACCCCCCCACGGCTCATTAGTAACAGCCTATCCCTCCAGACTAGAAGATGCCTCGCCCTCAAAGACAGGAATGCCGCCCCCGCTGGCTACAACGGGGACACTACTTGAACAAGCCACCGCCCACCTGATCGCCACAGACCCTCGCCTGAAGTCAGTCATAGAGCAGCATCCATGCTCGTTATTCTCGCCTGCGGGTCTAGCGGAGCAAATCGACCCATTCAATAGCTTGGTCAGCAGTATCATCGGGCAACAAGTCTCCGGCGCAGCGGCGAAGTCAATTCGCAATAAATTCCTAGCGCTGTTCAATATCGATGATCCGGCCGGGATCGCTCACTCACGGTTCCCCTTGCCAGCGGAGGTTGCCAATGTTGATCTCCCAACGCTAAGGACGGCGGGGTTGAGTCAGCGTAAAGCGGAATACATACAGGGACTGGCAGAGAAATTTGCGAGTGGGGAGCTGAGTGCAAGGATGCTGGCGAAGGCTAGCGATGAGGAGCTTTTGGAGAAGCTTATTGCTGTTCGGGGGCTGGGGAAGTGGTCTGTTGAAATGTTTGCTATGTTTGCGCTGAAGCGGACTGATGTCTTTTCTACGGGAGATCTTGGAGTGCAGTGAGTGCTTCCAAATCTTGATCATTGACCGATGCGCGGACTGACACGTATATAGACGTGGGTGTGCGGCATTTGTTGGTCGAGATGTGACCAAGTTGAAAGGGAAAGGAGGTGGTAAGTTCAAGTACATGGCGGAGAAGGATATGTTAGAATTGGCGGCCAAATTCTCGCCGTATAGGTGTGTGACTATCCCCTGCCTGTTGCACTGGTTTATCATTAACAGCTGATACACAGGAGCCTCTTCATGTGGTACATGTGGAGGATCGAGGATGTTGACATCGCCGTCTTGGGTGGCTGATAGACTTGAAGATTTGATGGCCGTATACCATGTGTATAGTTACAAACATGAGAACTTGCTCCATAGAATGAAAGTATATAAGAGATGTGCGCGTAATTAGCAACTGGATACTTCGAGCATCACTCACACTTGATCTCTTGAATCGAGTTAGGCGTGTGAGTACGTTATGGCCCATCGGGCAGAGCGAACATTAGCGTGAGTCACGCAGTCATAACGGCATAGGAAATCGGTTATTCAGACGAAATCAACCGCGAGAAAGATTGCGACAGATATTTTCAGGTAAACGAAGAAATCGATTTGTACAGTATCAGTACACTTCACTTGAATTAACCAGACATCCCCGAACAACGGCAGAATCGTCGCCCAAAAAACCGTCTATATCATGCAAACAACCATGTCCATGTCCATGTCGCCCTTAATCCCGGCTTTTCGAATTCAATTGGAGTAGGGGTAAAAGTCGAACGTGGAGGAGTTTACTTGCGGACGACGAGGTTGTCGAGGTCGACACGCTCCTTGTTCTCCTTTTCAATCTCGCGGATGATGGGGCTGAGGTACTCAACGTCCTAGAGGGGGCGAGGATTAGTATATGGTTCGTAGTGAAGGTAATTACTACCGGGCGTGCATGTCCCCAAGTGACAAATCCTTGCAACGGGATTGGCCAATTCGAAGATGATGCGGGGAGGGCGGATTTTGGACAGGAGGATCAGGAGAAACTCACCTCGGAAACCTTGGTCTGCTCAGCAGCGGGGAGGAGGGTGTGGGAGATAGAGCACTGCAATTGACGACTTGTTAGATTTGTGGCGGACAAATGGTTGGGAAGGGGGTCGGGCGAACCTGGAATGCGCGGCGGATACGGAAGACACGGTCGTAGGCCTCCTTGGCGGGAAGACGCTTGATAGCCTTCTGAACGACCTCGGACTCCTCGGGGATCAAGTCATCGAACCTAGAAAGAGATTAGCAACTGGGTCATGATCTGATTACCCGCGGGCGATATCCGAGGGACCGGGAGCGGATGCGACACGCCAGCATCGTTGACCCATCAAAGGCGATAGTAATGGATTGTCGCGTGCGCAGGAGCCTCGATCCCTTCTTCAATTGTCTGCGGCAAGAGACTAATGGCGTGGAGAGAGGGCGATAATTACTTGAGTCCAAGTTTCCTGTAGCCGGCGGCGTCGGTGTACCAGTTGGCCAGCGGGGTCATGGCCCGCTTGAGCCAAGGGCGCTTAACGATGTAGTTGGTGATGGAAGGGGCAGACATTTTGAATCCCGGATATCCAGAAAAGCGGAGGATTGGGAAAGTGAAAAGGGCGGTCCGGCTGAACACGAGATGACCCGATGTTGCGAGGGTTGTGCAAAACGGAGCTTGCGGCACTAGTCCAGATGCGGTAATACCCAGCCCGGTATTTCGGGTGTCAACACGTGACACTCACGATGCTTGCCTGAGGCCGCGGGGAGGAATGCCAATCGGTAACTCCACCGCGCACCACTCAATTCCACATGTCATAATACTCGTCCGCTCCTTGGCTTGACCTTCTCCCTGCCTCTTGCTCGATTAGATGATGGGGCTGCCTGAATCCTAAAGCGTTGCCAGATCCCCGTTGCGACAGGGGAGCTTTGCCTATCACCCCTCACCCAGTTCGTGCAGCAAGGTACCAGTCGCATCACCGGTTCGGTAACCATCGGCTCCAAAACTCTCCTCGCACGAATCCCCCTCTATCTTCCCGTCACAGCTTTTCCTCTATTTCACAACATCGTTACACTTGACCACGGCTCTCCAGCAATCGTATAATCTTTTTGAACAGGATACTGGAGATCGATCGAGCACCCGATATGCTTGGGTTCGGGAGCTCTCGGTGATCAAGACGGACAGACAAGCGCGAGCGCCTGCCCATCCACAATGCACTCCGACAGTGAAGACAGCACTGCAGCTGTCAGCAATCAAAGCGAACATGTAGCTTCGTCCATTCCCCACGTGCCCGCCAGTGGTGCGTCACCTACTTCCGATTTTGTCACTCGCCTGGAGAAGCTCTCGACCAAAGTTCCCGATATGTGGATCGCGCCTGTCTGCGGCGCCTTTGCAGGTGTCGCTTCCGGAATCGTGACCTGCCCCCTCGATGTCATCAAAACCAAGCTGCAAGCCCAAGGTGGATTTGCCCGACGTGTGGCGCAGTCCGGCGAGACGAAAGCTTTATATCGGGGTATGATAGGAACTGGAAAGATGATCATTAGGGAAGATGGTCTGCGCGGTTTATATCAAGGGCTTGGGCCAATGCTCATGGGGTACCTCCCCACCTGGGCGGTTTACCTGGCGGTGTATGACAAGTCTCGAGAATACTTCTACGAAGAAACAGGTCGGTAGTCTCGCTATCGGACATACTCTGATTATTTTACTGACTTCTCAAAGGCAGCTGGTGGTTATCGCGAGGCTATGCTTCAGTCACAGCCGGAGCCTGCTCAACGATCGTGACGAATCCCATCTGGGTAATCAAAACACGGCTCATGTCGCAAAGTTTGAAACAGAACAACGAAGGCGCGAGGGCACCGTGGCAATATTCAGGCACACTAGATGCCGCCCGCAAGATGTACCGGATTGAGGGCTTCCGCTCATTCTATTCAGGCTTAACACCCGCTCTTTTGGGATTGAGTCATGTCGCCATCCAGTTCCCACTCTACGAATATTTGAAGATGGCCTTCACCGGATATAGTATCGGAGAACACCCGAACACCGGCAGCTCCCACTGGATTGGGATTTCATGCGCCACATTCCTGAGCAAAATCTGTGCCAGCACCATCACTTACCCCCACGAGGTTCTTCGCACACGACTGCAGACCCAGCAGCGTACCGCACCCGCCCCTTCATCAGAAGAAATTGCTTTCCGCGGTGGATTGCATCACCCACATGACCGCGGTCAGCCCCGGGTTTTCTCATCCTCCGACGGGATGCGCCTTCGTCCTCGATATGCAGGAATGCTTCGCACGTGTCAGACAATTCTCAGAGAAGAAGGGTGGACAGCCTTCTACTCCGGGATCGGCACCAACCTGTTCCGGGCCGTCCCGGCTGCTATGACGACCATGCTCACCTATGAGTACCTACGAAAGGTTATGCACAACCTTCAGCATGAAGGCGTGATAAAGCGGGACATGGAAGGGGATGGTGCCGATGCTGGAAGCACGATATGATGAAGGCTCATCGAATGGACTCAGAAAGACGTCTCCATCCCCCCTCCCACCGTCGACCTCCCTGCACCTCGAAGTGCCTCTCTCATCTCCCCCATTCAGCCTTGTATAGAATCTGGAAATGACCATCTTCCAGTTGGTGGCTCTTTTCAGCGAGTGAGCGTTAAGGCTCTTTGCATCCAAATCTGTCAGTCGAGAATTCTCGGCATAGATTGCAGTTTTATCCGGAGGCTCTTGCATGTGAACCCCCCAAACCATACCTTGCTCACATGTCAGAGATTCTAGCATTTCCTCCGTGCGTTATCTCTGTTACTTGAAGCGCTTGTTTTCATCCGAGGTCATTATCATCTTTCCATATGGTTACTTGCATGCCAGTTTCTGTACATATGCACCAACACCAGGTGTATGGCACCTTGATTTTCTTTCCCAATATTAACTATTCTCACATCCCTGGTCGTTTGCATCATCAATCGTATTAATTTAAAGAGTAAGAGGGACATATTCGTGAACTATAGCCCAAGTATCACTATCCTGCTCACGTTTATTCCAAGAAAATCGCAAAAACACCTGATCCGAACTCGGATTCCACTTTGGCGAGATCTGCCGCGGTCGTTCCACGCGGAAACCCATCTCTCGGCCTGAACATATTGATAGGCCCCATGCGCGCTTCTTCAGGAATGATCTCTGATGTCGGCGCCATCTCCAACTCAACAGGCATAGACTCCAGACTCGTAGAATACTTAAAGTCCAACTTGAGGAAATCCGCCAAGTCAAGCTTAGGCAGATGATACGCCCCCGGGCTATGATAGTTCGAATGAGAAGTAATCTCACTTGTAGGTGACTCGGGGGTGGAATGGCGGCTTGTGGTTATGGCCATTCCGTATTGTTCCTCTAGCGCCATTACTCGCTCGCTGAATGAAATGGCGGATTTTGTCTTGTAGAAACCTTGAACCAGAGGTGCGCGACGGAGGAGGGCCAGTGCTTTCCGGCGGATTCGGGGTTCGCGGCATCGAAGACAGGTGAACCAGAGGGGGTTGACAACGCTCATTTCGAATGTAAAGGGTGGTTGAGTACCATCTGGTCGGGCAGTTGCGGTGAAGGCGAGGGCGGATTCGTCGACTATGGTCTGGAAGTTGGGTATATATTCGTCGGTGATGGTTTGGGAGGTCGTGAGGGTCGTGCAGAGGATTATGTATATGACTTCGTGGTGCGCGAAGAGGAGAGAGCCTATGCCAATTTGTTGGGAGGATAGCGGTACAGAGCGTAGAGCAGTCATCAGCTTGGTAAATGATTTGTGCCAGCTTTTCAGCTTGGCTAGGAATTTTGCTTGTTGGGTTCTGAAGTCCTGGGGTATCTTTGAGGCGCCGTGCTCTCGTGTGTACTCCACGGTGGCAATTTGGAATATTTGCACATCTGCGCTTAAAAGTACAAGAGCCTCTCGGGCAGATCTGAGCGAGTCGAAATGTTGTGCGGAGTCATATTCGGTGTTTGATAATAGGATACTCAAGGGACCCTTCGTAAGAGGGAGGCCGAAAGATCCCAGACGAATCAAGATTGGGACGATTGTATTGTCGAGCCAGGCGGCTTCCATCACAGGCACTGTGCCAGTCGCGATCTGAGCACGGAAATTCAAGACAAGTTGCACGCCTTGATTATAGAGCTGCAAGCCCTCTTCCACGCCTCCTTGGAGGGCCTCAATGGAAATGAATAGAATACAAGTGATTAGACCAACAAAGATGTCAAGACGACCACTTTCAATTCGCTGGCGAATTGTAGAGACCGAGCGCGAGTACCAGCTCAACGCATCTTGGTGGTTCTGATTGAGGGAAAAGGCATTGGAAGGGCGTAAATAACCCCGGCGAATAGAGAAGAGCTCTGGACATGGCTCGGGACTCTCGAAGAGTGCACTAATGGAGATGATGGCATCCCACACAGCAGGCTCATTGCGACAAACTTTGGGCACGATAGTGTTCCAGAAATCACCATCTAGTCCACCGCCGATCGAGGATGCGGCATTCTGGAAATAGTAGGCAAAGGAGCGCCTTTCTCGCCACACTGTGTTCGGAGATAATGAAAGAGGTTTGTCAATTATTAAGAATGTCCCCTCATAATCGCACTTGCGACCGGTGGTGGTGCACCTGGCACATTGTGGCTTTTCTTCTCCGCATTTGACTCTCCTTATCCTAGAAGACGCTTAGTATGGGTACCCGTCCGATACGATTGAAAGTAGAATTGACCTACTTGCATGTTTTGCACCCCTCTCTTGATTTTGAGTGCCCTGACCTCAAGCGGCCTTTGCCAGGGGACATATTGAGCTCACTTAGACCTGGGTACTCGGTCAGGGAAGCAAATGTAGCTCGTGAGCAACTCGTGATTGCTGGTGGAGACCATGTTGTCGGTCACGTGAGTGATCGACCACAATTTTCTTCGCTTCGGTTTTCCCTTCTTCTTCCACACAACTCCCTCATTCACAAACCACCCGAGGAATCTGATGCATGATTCCCAGATGTTTTGTCAATGATCATACACCCATATCACTCGATATTCTATGCTCTTTGTCATTTGCGTGGTTCTGAGCGCCATGATCTTGACGTTGAAACCAGCGACACCTAGCTGTCAAAATACTAACCGAAGCATTCAATCATACCCACGCGGTTTGTGGCCGCAGAATATGAACTGACATCAGTTGCTGCGACACTAGTGATGTCAATCATAGAACCATGGACATCTACGCGTCCTCCGGCGTGTCTTTCCTTCACCAGATTCACCTCATTCTTCAAATGATGATCTTTCTTATGAATATTGAACCAGGTTGTCACACACTTGGACTCCTGGGTATGATCATTCAATACACTGAAAATTCTGATTGATGATGAAGTGAATCTTTTTTGTGGTACCTTTGCACTCTCCCCATTCGAAGATTATCATCGCTCTAGAATCAAATCAAGAAAACTTTCAAGCCTCAACGTGCTCTGAACTTAAGTAGATTTACTAGGTGCAAAGTAGTATTGGTATCTTAACATGCGACTGTGATGCAAGGTCAATGAACTTGCCGAGTCCTTATCAACCTGACGTTCCCCGTTTACCCGCATCGGCCTGACTCTCCTCAATAGCCTGTTGAATCCATGCAGGTGACGAATCCTTCCTCTCTTGTCGTGACAATCGCTGTGAAATGGGCTCTGTGGGCGACTTGTCCTGCGCCTCGCGCCTTGCCGTGCGGATAGAGCTGAAACAGTAAGTGCAGAGAACGACGGCCATTGTAAACGCTGCGATTGGCGCATTGATAGACTAGGATGCAATTAGCCAATTACTACCCATTGACAAGAAAAGAGACCATGACTTGAACATCCACAAATTAAAGGCTGTAGCCGTGGTCGTCAGGAAGGATCCACGTACCCCTGCGGACCGCCCCAGAGTCTTGGGATTAGGTGTATTCTTTTGCGTCATTCTTTGGTCGGCAGTGAAATACCACAGGAGCCAGAATTGAGGACGGGACTCGCGTTGGCAAGTCGCATTCATACAAGTTCGAGATTTTCCGCAATCAGCCAGCGACTCTGGAGAACTTTGGCATGTGGCCCAACGCTCTTGCAGATCATGCACCAGTTGATAGTATCATGAGCTATCAGGTGAGAAATGACTTGAACAGGTATCCGCGATAAATTGATATATAGCTCAAAAGACGGCCAATATCGACTTTGCGGGCTTTGCGGGTTGAGTGACGAAGAAACGCCAAGAAAGACGTTGGGGCCAGACTCTGGGGTGTTTGTCATCATATCAAACTAGCCTATGGAACTATTCAGACTACACATTTAACATGACGCGAATGTCGTGAAATATTGATCGAGATTCGTCGATGGGCGACTGCATCGTACTCCCCGGTAATTAATGTCGATGCTTTGAGTATTCGCTTCGATTAGACAGCCTCGGCACCAATTATATAGCAATGGAGACGGTCGCAGGCCACACGGAAGACATCCCCCGAAACGCGATGCATGGCTAATCAACATGCAATCGACCAGGCTTGACTCTGGTCCGAATTGCTTCCGGAACACCAAAAGAAGTCCGGTCAAATGATCGGAGATCGTGCGGACAGCGATGACCTTGGAGTCCGCTATAGACACCGATTTGGCTTATCTCCGAGCGGCCTCGGACGAAAATTACGAGTTCGGGCTCAGTATAACGCGAGACATTTGACGAAGATTCTGGCAGGGTCCTACAGATGAAAAGGGAGCGTAAAGAAATACTGTAAAACGTGGGAAAGCTGGCGTCCATCATTGCTGTGAACGTCATCTCCACCATTGGATATCATTGGCACACAATTGGCCCGCGGACATGCATCGGGAAACAAGATGTTCAGCAGAGTCCACCGCGGACAATGCCAATAGAGCCCCTGGACGCCTTTGCCACCCTAGCCCCCCATTATTGATATCATCGGACTCACAGTCCATCCATAAAACGCAAGGAGGACAATTAGGTCCCCGATTCTAATGGAAAGTAGACGTAAAGACAGCGAAAGAATGATGAGTCAGCTCCGATGGCCGGCGGTTCCGAGGTCGCAGATCCCGAATCGGGGTTAGCGTCATTTTTACTAAGAATCAGATTATTTAGCAATGAATTATCGCCTCCTCTCCCCCATATCAGATCTATTTTCGCCATCTCCCACTATTCCACTTCGTCACTTCCCCCATCACCAGTGATACCAAATCCATCACACAACACACAATATCAACACGATGTTCAAGCGTCTCGTCACTGTCGCCCCTCGCGTCGGCGCTATCGCGCCTCGCTCCTTCGCTCTCTCTCCGGCCTCCAGTCCGTCCAGACCGCAGGCCGTGCCCCGGCCCCTGCTCCCGTCCAGCGTCGCTCATATCACGAGAAGGTGCTCGACCACTACAACAACCCCCGAAACGTCGGCTCCTTCAAGAAGGGTGACCAGGACGTTGGCACCGGCCTCGTTGGAGCCCCCGCCTGTGGCGACGTCATGAAGCTTCAGATCCGTGTGAACAAGGACACCGGCAAGATTGATGACGTTGTCTTCAAAACTTTCGGCTGCGGCAGTGCCATCGCTTCCTCCAGCTACCTGACCGAGCTGGTCCGCGGCATGTCCCTCGAGGAGGCTGGTAAGATCAAGAACACTGATGTGGCTAAGGAGCTCTGCCTTCCTCCTGTCAAGCGTATGTTTATTACTATTTTTTATCCTTAACTGAATCAGCTGGCTAACATGTACACAGTGCACTGCTCTATGCTCGCCGAGGATGCCATCAAGTCCGCCATCTCGGACTACTACACCAAGAACCCCAACGCCCGCTCAACCGATCTCTCCGGGACGGGTGCTTCAATTCCCGATGTCAAGATTGAGTCTGGTAGCCCTGCCGCCTCCCTCTAAAAAAAATAAAAATTCAAATTGCCAGTAACCTGGGTTGAAAAGACACCCCAGTGACAAATTTCATTTACGAGCAGTAATACTCCAGACGTTTTTCACTCAGCGTGATTGAGTTGATTTTGCAGAGCTTTGGCTAGGGTTGAGCCATTTCTCAAACAAATTTCAGACGTTTGTTTGTTGTACAGAGTTTCCTTTTTTCTTCCTCTTTCTTATTTTGTTCGCGAGGACTTTTTTTTTTCTTTTTCTGTGACGGCGTCTCGGTTGTTATTCTCGATCGAGGACTACTCTACTTACTCAAAAACGCCGTGATAGTTTCTAATGAAACCATGAAACCAGAATTGTTTCTCACTTCGTAGCAACCACCTAATTGTGAACCGGCAAGAGGATGTGACCGATCAAACAATGATCTATATCTTCGCTATCTATCTATGAATCTATCAGTATAAGACGACACAACTCTCCCAGAACTGGGCATCAGTCAGGATCATGAAAAAAAAGAGAATCTTAGGGTGATCCAACACGTGTACAAGGGATAATCAGATGAAAGAAAACGCCTCCGCTGATGCACAGATAGAAGACAATCCGTGCCCAAACCAAAACCAGGGATATATACATAAAGTAAAAGAGGAGAATTGCGCCTAAAGTTAGGCTCTCAGACACTAGTCATCATGCCAAGGCGGCTCTTTAATGAAAGCACGGTCTCGTACACAGTTAATTTCACCTCGACGCGCAGGAACCCAGCCCAGGCGGAGATGAACCGGAAGAAATTGAAGAGAACACCGCCGGATTCGCGGATCGACTCCATTTGCTCTTCAAAGACCGAGCGCATGGCGTACCGTGCTAGAATGAGGAAGGTGCGCATGGGGCCTTGGCGGGTTTGTAGATTTTCATCGAGACTGCGGGCTTTCAGGGCGTTAGGTCCTGTTGAGAGGTGTTTGAGCACAGATGTGACTTGTGACTTACTGAGATCGTTTGTCTTGAGGATCAGTAGAATGATTCTGGGTACTTGACCCAGCATCTCGACTAGTTGCTGGAGCATACCCTCTCCCAGAGCGCCGGAGATCTCCTTCTTCTCCTCTGCCGTACGTATGGAGGCGACGTTCTTCTTCTTGAGAACGCTGTAATCCCGACCCGTGATGGCACTGGCAAACAGCGGGAACTGCTCGTCTGTGATACCGGCTACCTTGTGAGCGTACTCGCGCATGCGCGGGATGTCAGCGTCGATGACAGCCAGCCAGAGCTTGGCGTAATTACGGCGTAGGTCGCGCGGGATATTGCGGTACAGGCCGTGGTCGTACAGAATGATGTCGAAATTCGGGTGGCGACGAGTGTTATTCAAACGAATGGCGATGTTTCCTCCGTGAGGATCGCAGTGCAAAGGAGCGTCGTCACCGAAGATCATCTCGTTGAAGATGTGGGCGAAGGCTGCAGAGACCTCGTCACGGTCAATGTGGTTTGCGTCCAAAAAGGCGAGGTCGTCGGGACGGGCGCCTGAGATGTACTCCATGACTAGGATGCGCTTTTGAGACCACATTACCTCGGGGATGATCAGGGGAAGGTCAGGATGCTTCTTGAAGTATTCACTGGCTTTGGTGGCGTTCTGTGCCTCGCAGCGGAAATCCAGTTCAATGGGTAAGGATAGATCCATCTCTCGAGACAACCACTCAAGATCATACTCCGGGAAGAACTTCTTCAGCATAGAGAAAGTAAAGCGAGTCAAGGCCAGATCCAGAGGGACCCATTCAGCGAGCGCCGGGTGCTGGACCTTGACTGCGACCTTCTGACCAGTTTCGCGCAACGTTGCGATGTGCACCTGTGCCAGAGAAGCAGCACCAGTGGGGATTGGATCGAAATAACTGAAGAGTTCGTCGATAGTGTGACCAGTGTCTTTTTGGAACATCTCGCCAATTGATTCGATCGACGAAACGGGGCATTTGTCCTGTAGCGGGATGAAAGTTGTGGTCCATTCGATAAGGAGCAGATATCCCATGCTGCTCAGATGCTGGCCCAGCTTGATGAATATCGATCCGTTGGTTTCCAGAACGCGCAGAGTGCGCTCCGCACAACGCTTGTGGCAAGCCTTGATCAGAGCCTCACGTTCTTCAGGGAGGAAGCTTCTTTGTTGAGAGTGACACGGTAACTACGGAACAAAATTGTGTCAGCAAGTTCGCACCCTGCATATGCAGTATACAGGAGGGCTTGTGAGTCCCAACTTGACTTACTCGTTAATGCAGACAGCCAAGGTGCCAACCACGCGACCACTTCTCGCCGCCGCGCGGTATGCATGCATGTACTGATCGGAAAAGACCAGTGCGCCCAAACCAAGTGCACCAAAGACAGCCAAATACTTGATCGCCCTTCGCTGACCCTGACTCGAGCCCGAGTCCTTTGACTTGTTCTCCGAGACCTTCTCCGCATTTAACTCGCCCTGTGCTGGGCTCGAATACCAACGGCCCGTGGACAGCGCCAGACGCGCAACATGGCGACTCCTTGAAGATGTGATAATTTCGCGAGAAGGCGACGAACGCAGCGAGGGCTTCGCAATGGAGTGGAACGAAGCGGTGATCGAAGGCGGTTTACCGATAATTGCGGCGGGACTGACGAATGCCCGTAGCGGCAGACGACACAGCGCGCTCATTTCGACAGGATATCGATATGAACAAGGAGCGCAGAATCTGAAGTCGAGTGCAGGGGCGCCTGAATCATTCCATGTTCGATTGCAGGCTTTGCTTGTTGATCGGGGAGATTTTTTAGCGGTTCTCGCCACCAATCGGGTGACCCGATCTCGGGTTGTATGAGCTGCACGTGATTCCGATCTATAGCAACAGACGTCATCGGGGCAATTCTTTAGTTGATCGGGAAATGGTATATTGGTGCGGTAGACTATGTGAAGGCGTGAATCATGCTGGAAAAGAGGGAAGTTGATGTCTATTACATAGAACCGAGTTTTCAGGAGCTGAAACCGCGATACGACTACTTATTGTGTGTATCATAGCACCTGGATTTGCCACTCCGTCCTTTACAATCCGCCCATCTTGCCATCTCCCGAGAGTCATATCTACGGCTGTTATAGCATGTTTGGCATTAAAGCGGAGAGGCATGTTCCGGGACCGATTAAAAGATCACCTTCTCCCACGCGTGCATATCCTAGCGCTGGGACAACAGGGAGCGTCGGTCAATGTACGGCCCTGATCAGTATGTTACAAGACAGGAAATTCAAAGGTCATGGAATAGCTCCAATTAAATAAGGCCGCATTAAATAAGGCCGCATACAAACGGAACTCTCGAGTCCGATGAAGAAAAGAAGATCGAGCCCCAGCAAAGACAAAAAGGGCTCTTTCGACCACTGGTGCTGAAACGAGCCTCAACGTGCGATCCCTCAGGCAAGATTTCCAAGTGGAAGCAACCTCTAAGGCGCAGTATCAAGGGGAAAACAGTGATGAAATTCAAATCTGGCATATTTGATTCTAACCTAGCAATACACGAGGTATTTCCTGATTCCTAGAGGGCTCAGATCCTCACTGTGCATTGTCTCGTCGGCCCTTCTCTCTTTGCAAAATATACTCATTCTACCACCTTCATAATATTCTGGACTTGTCAGATACCGGAGCTAGTTTACTTACGTGAGCATCAGGGCCGAGAACACTGATTTGTAGGGAAACAACTGATGGGAACCATTCATAACTGATGATATCGGAGAAATTGAGAAGCTTGTTTGTCGTATGGCTTCGCAGTGATGAATGAATCCATGGCACCAGTCTGAGTATGTGAGGGTGTACCGTCGACCGGAAAATGGGAACGAGCTTACGAACCGATCAGGCTCATAGTGCGGCTTGGATAGAACCAATGTAGGGTCTCGGAGACCTCTGGGATGGCATTTTCTGATCAGTCAAGCAATGACCGAGTAGAACTCACAGTGGCATGCGCTTCACGAGGCATTTCAGACATAGCATGGTTGTAGGAATTTGAGCGTATAGAGCGGTCCAAGAGCGTGGAAGATTGGAGGGACTCGTAGAGTAAGATCTTCTGTCATGGCCCTACTCTAACATTTTGAAGCGCAAGATGACGTGGCGTCCTAAACATACGAAAGAGCCGATCGCGCGAGCTGCACATTCGATTGCTTCCAAACAGAAAATTACCGTCTTAGGGCGCTTTTACTGTTAGGGGCGCATTCGGGCCCATGAGGGCTTGTGTTGCGCTCGACTGCGGCTTCACTGGCTCGGTCCTGTAAAATTCGAGATTCATAGTCATTAGATGTTACATGTATGGACCTCTTCCTAGCTCTTGCTTTTGATCAACACTGAGGTATTCAACGGTATATTGACAAGAGCTCTGTTAATAGCATATTCCAGACGACTCAAAAGTGTTATCAAGAGATCTTCTGCAAAATAATGAATCACTTAGAAAACCCTGTGCAAGTTTCAACGACTCCACATATCCAGCAGAGCAATTTACTTTGTAGCTGGAGCATGAGCGTAATATAATTGTCTATCGGGCAACCAAGACCTTTCCCCTCAGACCTATCGAGGTGATTTAAAAGGATATCTTTGGTTATTCAAGCAAAGATCATTCTGCGAAGATCTCGAAAGAAATTCCTAAGATGTCAACAAGAGCGAAGAAAAATGCGCGGAGGTCCTTTAGATCATCCTCCTGGTCGAGCTGTACAAACTTCAGCTCGTGCCACCGTTACTTCAAACCCCATCACACCACTCAGTAATGTTAATGTTACATTTCAGGATATATATTCAAGTCACTATTTAGCCTTACTATGAGCTTGAAACACCCTGGAAAGGAAATAAAAGTAAGTGAAAGGGTAAAAATTAGACGCTGTACTGCATGACCAAACGCCTTATCTTATCGTACCGAAAATCTTTCCCCGAGTCCTTCCATCGAACACCTCCCCTCTTCTTCCACTCCACTCCACTCCACACCGCACCATGGCAGCTCAGACAACAGAAAAGCTGCAGGAGCTTGATCGTGCGTACTAATTCTGCTCATGTCGAATACTAAAACTGATGATCCACCAGTGAACGGTCAGAACGGTGCCAAAGCCGAGGCCCCGGCGGCCGAACAGGCCCCCAATGAAGGCGAGGATGACTCGGATGACGACCAGGAAGAGGGTGAAGGTGGTCCAGATGCTGGGGCTGCCGGAGGTGAGTGATGGTGTCGTGTGCTCTGCGCGCACGACCCCGCTTTTTAGCCCTGCCCGCACGAGGGGCAATGAAAACCAGGTCGCTAATATGATCGTACGGTAGCCGCCAAGAAAAAGAAGAAGCGCAAGTCCAAGAAGAAGAAGAAGGGCGGCGCCAAGGTCCAGAGCTCTCCGCCCGAGTTCCGGTCTCCAACCTCTTTCCCAACAACCAATATCCCGAGGGCGAGATCTGCGAATACGTCGGCGAGAACGCCTACCGCACCACCAACGAGGAAAAGCGCTACCTTGATCGCATGAACAATGACTTCTTGCAAGAATACCGCCAGGGCGCCGAGGTTCACCGTCAAGTCCGCCAGTATGCGCAGAAGAACATCAAGCCTGGCCAGACTCTGACTGAGATTGCGGAGGGCATTGAGGACTCTGTGCGTGCTCTGACAGGGCACTCGGGTCTGGAGGAAGGCGATAACCTCAAGGGTGGCATGGGCTTCCCTTGCGGTCTCAGCATCAACCACTGCGCTGCACACTACACACCCAACGCGGGCAACAAGATGGTCCTGAACCAGGGAGATGTGATGAAGGTTGATTTCGGTGCGCAGCTCAATGGTCGCATTGTTGACAGTGCGTTCACTATGACATTTGACCCGGTCTACGACCCGTTGCTGGAAGCCGTTAAGGATGCAACGAACACCGGTATCCGGGTCAGTTTGCCCCTCCCCATAATCAGACAGACGGGCAATACTGATTTATCTACAGGAAGCTGGTATTGATGTCCGTATGAGCGACATTGGTGCCGCCATCCAAGAAGCCATGGAGAGCTACGAAATTGAGCTCAACGGGACCATGTATCCCGTCAAGTGTATTCGCAACCTGAACGGTCACAACATTGAACAGCATGTTATTCACGGTGGAAAGAGTGTGCCTATCGTTAAGGGCAGCGACCAGACTAAGATGGAGGAAGGCGAGGTTTTCGCCATTGAGACTTTCGGCAGTACCGGAAAAGGTTACGTCCGGGAAGACGTAAGTACATACATTCTTGGAAGAAGTGAACAAGTACTAACTCTTGTAGATGGAATGCTCTCACTACGCCCTCGCAGCCGATGCGCCCAACGTTCCCCTCCGCCTGTCATCGGCCAAGAACTTGCTTAACGTAATTCACAAGAATTTCGGCACACTGCCTTTCTGCAGACGTTATCTTGACAGACTGGGCCAAGAGAAGTACTTGCTCGGCGTATGTTGACTCCTGAAATCCACCAAAGGTATATGCTGACTAGTATATAGCTGAACAACCTTGTCTCGGCTGGAATTGTCCAGGATTATCCCCCGCTCTGCGATATCAAGGGCTCCCTACACTGCACAATTTGAACATGTAAGATTCTTCGCCCATTGATAGTGACGCGCCGTGTCTAACCTTGTTTGCAGACCATCGTGCTCCGTCCTAACGTGAAGGAGGTCATCAGTCGTGGAGATGATTACTAGGATGTGATAGAGTGTACGCAGACCAAGGCCACGATCAAATCAAAGGCAATGATCAAGGCCAAATTAATAAGAAGAAACGTAAGGTAAAGTCAAGCGTAGATCATGCCAAGTGTATCGAACCATCCAACCACGCAACTTGGCCGTGTCGCCCCACGTGGAGCCCGTGTTCCGCCTTTTTCCCCAGTCCGCAGTCCGCAGTTCACTCTTTCCTCACGACACTCCCTCTTTACTCCCAACATGTCTTCGACAGTGGAAACTGCGTCGCCGCACCTCCGAGTGTCCGCCGCAAAGGCAAAGAAGTCGCTCCAGAAACCTCGCAACGCATTCCGCCACCGGAGACCTCCTCCGTGGACGACCACTTCTTCTGGACATACACTGAAGAACCGCACCGCTCACGACGACAGGCAATTATCAAGGCTCATCCAGAGGTATGCTCCAGTTTCGACCTAGCTTTGGCCCCATGTGAAGCTCCTGGTTCGGCCAGTCCGGGCGTACCTGGCACATGCCCGGTTCCTGGTTCCTGGTTCCTTGGTCCCAACAATTCACCGACATCCCTAGTTGCTGACACCCGATCTTGCTCAAGGTCACGAAGCTCTGCGGCCCTACAACTGTCACAAAATGGGTTGTCCTCGGCGTTGTCTCCCTACAAATCACCTGCGCATACCTCCTCCGTAACACTCCAATCCTCGACTGGAAGTTCCTGGCTACAGCATACGTGATCGGAGCCACCTCCAACCAGAACCTGTTCCTGGCTATCCACGAGATTTCACACAACTTGGCATTCCGCTCGCCATTGGCAAATCGCCTACTGGCTATCTTTGCCAATCTCCCCATTGGATTGCCGTACAGCGCTGCGTTCAGAGTATGTCTGCCTAAACCCGAAGGGTGTACTTACACCTCGCAAATTTGAATTCTATGCCAATTGTTCGAAGTTGAATACTAACACTAAAAATTCTAGCCCTACCATCTGACGCACCACAAGTCCCTCGGCGTAACAGGCCTGGACACCGATCTTCCTACCGCACTGGAAGCCTTCTTCCTAAACTCCCTCCTAGGAAAGACTTTCTTCTGCACCTTCCAGATCCTATTCTACGCCGTGCGACCGATGTTCATCTACAGCCCACCGTTCACCTTGATCCACCTTCTCAATCTCTTCGTACAACTAAGCTTCGACTACGCCTTTTTCCGCTTCGCCGGTTCCTGGCAACCAATCTACTACCTAATAGCCAGCTCCTTCTTGGCAGGCTCCCTCCACCCCTGCGCAGGCCACTTCATCGCCGAGCACTACTTCTTCTCGAACGTCAAGAACGGCGGTACAGAGTCCCTCTGTGAGCTCAAGAACCTAAAGACCAAGCCCGCTTCCAAAACCGAAGCCCCACATCCCCTTGCGGACCTGGCCCCGCCCGAGACCTATTCTTACTATGGCCCGCTGAACATCCTGACATATAACGTGGGTTTGCACAATGAACACCATGATTTCCCTGCTATCCCCTGGACCAGATTGCACAAGTTGCATTCTATCGCTAGCGAGTTCTACGAGCCGCTGCCTTGTCATAGGAGTTGGGTGTGGGTTATTTACACCTTTATTCTGGATAGCAACGTCGGACCTTGGTGCCGTGTCAAGCGTGCGCAGGTGGGCGTGTTGTCGGCGGTGGAAGCACAGGTCAGAACGAATACAATGGCCGTGGAGGCGAAGGAATCTCAGCTGCGTCGGCGGGTCCGGCCGGTGAGCAAGGTGATGGTTGGAAAGAAAGTGAGATCCAGTTTTAGCTGGGATCTTCGCACTTGTGATCATGGACTGGTGTTTTTTTCACGGCGTACATATCGGCTGGGAATCAAAATTGATTTACTCTTGGAGTTTGGGTCTAATGATCTCCACATACGTAAAGGTCAGGTTACAACAGATTTGGGGGGCTTTATCAAATGAGGCAGTGTTGATATTTTAAAAATTTGACCTACATGACAACAAAGTCAGTTGCAAGAGTATGCATTATCTTGCGGGCTTGATCATCGTTTATCACACAAAGAGAAGCGAGACGTGAAGTCCGTTCATCGTAACTTGATATTAGACAAGACAGGAAAAGAAAAGGATAGGTGGAGGCAGAGACGCTTTCGATTGAATCGACACAATCGAAAGCCGACATCACAATGGAATAAAGAGAATATGGATACCCGGTGAGAGTACGATAAAGAAAAGACAGAAGAAAAAGGCTGATGCTGGAAAAACAAAACGGCAGATTCTTCAGAAAGAAGAAAAGGAGATGGGAAACTCAGCGGGGCATCGCGACGTGATCAGAGGAGCAATAAAAAGCCAGAATACCTCCATAACTAATCAAAGACTAGAAGAAGAAATAGGCGATCAAGAAGCTGAGCAGGCACAGCCCCGCGACCATCTGCACAGGTACACCAGACTCGGCAGGAGCGTGCTGCTGCGTCATAGTAGCAGGGCGGCCGGTGCCTCGCCACCGGTCTTCCGCTGCCGCAAGCCCTGATCTGCCAGTCGGTCCTTGAGTCGTTGAATTTGTGCATTCGCATCGGCAAGCTGTGCCTTCAGTTCGTCGCTTGAGGGCATGGCGCCGATTACGGCAGCCTTGGCATTTGCGAACGCGCCGACGGGCTCGCTAGGCCCGGGGGACTCGGACTCGGACTTGGTCTTCTCGGAGAAATCGGGGGAGGGATGGGCGATGCTTGCTCGGCAGGGATTTTTTTTGCCTGGGGCTGGAGTCTCAAAGTTCCCGCCGGGGGATGTGTAGGTCGGGGGTTCCCCTTCCAGGACCTGGACAAGCCTTGTCAGTTGATGCCTATGGGCTTCCCACGGGTACGAACCGAGTCATTTGCGCCGAGCTTAGAGGAGTCAGCAGCAAGGTTGGCATCAGAACGGAGCCAGTTCACTCGGATCTTCTTCTCAATGACCGCGGACTTAGAAGTTTTCTCGAACTGTGATTAGCTATTAGCTGGCGTGACATGGCTTGTGGTTGTGGCAAGATGGCGTACGATGGCGGTGACGTTTGAGAACTCCATATCGCGACCGACCGCAACGGACTGAACCAGGAACTTGTCCTTGCACTTTGCGTCCGCTGGGGGCTCCTCCTTCATAGCTTGCAGAAGCACTGCAACAGTCTCGTCAGCTCAATCCTGCGATTGATAACAGTCTGGTGACAATTCGAACCTTGGACTTCGACAGTCTTGCCGGGCTCGACACGGCCGGAGTTGGGACGGACACAGTAGCTAGGTACAAAGTCAGATTGCGAGCTTGCAGCGGAGTCGCATTGTCTGTTGCGGGTATCACGTACTGCTTCGGGGCGGTAGTCTTAACCTGAATATCAAAACAGAGCCCAGTTAGTCGCGATGATGCCCAACTAACACGGAGGCGGGAGTGTAAACGAACCTTGAAGACAACCGCTTCCTGGCCTGGGTTGCGCAGATGGAGGACCTGGCAAATTTCCTGGTTGAAGGGGCCTGTTCATCTCCACAATCAGCCTGTTGCGCCTCTGATTGCTAGCTTCCGGTCCTGTAGACCCGTATCGGCGGACTTACGCTTGAAGCCCAGCTCGGGCGGGTCAACTTCGACGGACATGGTTATCGTGGATGATGCTGATCAGAGGGGAAATAGGAGACGAGCGTTAGAAATGGAAGTATTGCGACGAACACGCGCTGGCGACGGAGAAATACGAGGGGAGGTTTATCGAGTCAAGGGAGCTGGCGCCTCAGGAGTGGGTTATTGTCCACTTTGGGGATATGCTGACTCAGCAAGCCCGTGACCTGCTTGGTTCTAGATCTCCTCTCCTTCAAAAGATCGACGATGGACTTTCTCTTGTGTCAATTGTGCAGTGAGTTGTTTGGCCATCCAAACCTGGCTGGTTGTGACCTCGGTGACTGTAGGGTCATCCTCGGGCTGTGAACATGCGCCTGTTGCTGCATGTGACGTTATCCGTAGTGGGGTTCTCCGTCCGATGAGAGTGATCTATGATGAGGGGTTGCTTCTTTGCTACGTTGTGGAAGAGCCAAAAGACATCTAGGGCAACAACGGCCTTTTGATATGTGATCGGCACCATCGAAGAGTCTACTGCCAGGGGTGTGAGGCATTGAATGCCAGACCACGCACCTTCCGTTGGCGTTCTTTTTCTCGGCATATGCCGGCGGGAAGTTTAATTGACCTGCGATGTCAGTGGCTTGGAATCACTGGCCGTGTGACATAACTCGAGAAAAGGTACTCGAGAATGTCCTACATACAGTATCTGGGTCTTATTATCCAATATGAAGATCAAATCGTCGTTTTCCGAAGTTCGGTCGAGCAAAATAACATGGGATTCGGCAAATGGGCTGCAAGATAGGAAACATTGTCAACTACGTTGGCATAGGGGTTAAATAGAATCACTGCTGAACAACCACCAGGATTTGGATGTAGTTCTTCTGCGCACATTTGGGGGTTCGTTGCTCAACATTATGCAATGTTCATACCCGGTGCTAGCTTCTGGTAGGCGATTTACATGCTGTGCTGGGCTAATGACACACACATGTGGACTATCTCATACCTAGACAGAGAGGCTCTCACCTACTAAGGTTATATTGCCCTCATGAAATCAACAGGGAATGTGTCAGCACTTCTATGCAAGACCTATTATTAGTCGGTAAGCAGGATGACTTTTGCTCTTCAAGACTGCACATCTTCTGGCGTTGGACATTTCAAATTACTTAGCTCTAATCATCTTTGGAGAAACCATCCAAGATTACAACTTAAGGCGCCGTTAATTATTATCTTATCACTGCCAGTTTGTGCAATGCGGTAAATCGACTTTACTGTACACGAGGGAGATTTGTATGGGGCGGCCCACACCACTATCGCTCGCCGCCTTCTAGATACGTCACCCGCAAGCTCATCTCCCACCTACACCAAACCACCTGCTCCATTCCTCTCAGTACCTGAAAGTTTCGGCAGGAAACCTAGAGGCGGACTGTTTTCCGATTAAAATCCGCTCGTACAACATTTCCCTTCCCTTCGCTTTGCTCAGACGTAAGCATCCTCTTACCGTCACCATGGCATCCGACCTGGATCAGCTCATTGAGATGGGCTTCGACAAGGAGCGAGCTCAGCTGGCAGTCACGAGAACCGGTGGCTGTAAGTCACTCATCGTGGGAGATTCCCCGGGGCCCTTTAAGCTAACAAAGCACTCAGTACAGGGCGCATTGGAATGGCTCGAGAACAACCAGGACAAATCGCTGGAGGAGATCAAGGCACAAGCGGAGAAGGATGGGGATGAAGAGGGTCCGGCCCTCCAGCCTGGCGAAGAGCCTCGTAGCTTAGTCTGCAATGACTGTGGCAAGAAGTTCCGTTCCACCGCTCAGGCCGAGTTCCACGCTTCCAAGTCTCAGCATGTGGACTTCTCAGAATCCACTGAGGAGCTCGCACCATTAAGCGAGGACCAAAAGAAAGAGCGCCTCAATGAGCTGCGAGAGAAGCTTGCGGCAAAGAGGGCGATGCAATCCGACCAGGACAAGGTGGATCAGAAGCGCAATGAGGTATGTACACCATTGCCCAGAAGTGTGGGAAGCTCTAACTGACGAGCGATCCAGGAAATTCGACGGAAGAGCACCAAGGAGAACCAGGACGCGAAGGAGCAGCTTCAGCGGAAAGAAGCGTTGAAGGAAGCCGCCGCCAAGAAGAAGGAGAAGCAGGACGAGATCGAGGCCCGCAAGCGCATCAAAGCCAAGATCGAAGCGGACAAGGAGGACCGTCGCCGTAAGGCTGAGCGGGAACGCGCAGAGCGTGCAGGCCAGGCCCCTCCCTCGGAGCCTGCTGCGGCTCCAGCTCCTACATCGTCGGGTCCAGTTGCGTCCAAGCCTGCCTCCGCCTATACTGAGGCTCGCTTGAGGTTCCAGACTCCCCAAGGAAACATTATGAAGACTTTGCCCGTCACGACAACTCTATTTGAGGTTGCTGCTGCTCTCAAAGAAGATGGCGTGGAAGTTCAAAGCTTCGTCCAGAACTTCCCAAGGAAGGTATATGATGCTGAATTCTTTGGAGAGACCTTGAAGGAGCTTGGACTTGTGCCCAGCGCAAGCCTTGTCGTTCAATGATTTTGGCAGCGCAGCTCCACTGAGTACCTTCGGGTGCACATTGCTTCACAGAGAACGAAATACGACATAGCTCTTCAGGGGCATAGCGAATGACAATGTCTTGAGACATGAAAATTTCCGGATCAACCTCCATTAGACACTGTAAACGCTGATTGTAACCCGAAGGCTACCTCAGACATGAGGCTCTGCACTTGTTTGGGTGCCTGCTTATCATTTCGTTATCACCGTCTTATCAACACGTGATGTCGTGATCGCCCGCGTCGTTTGGACGCGCCGGACACGCTCTCGTCAACGTCAAGCCAACAACACAGCCCACTTGCAATATGCCAGCGTGAGATAAACCTATCAAATGTTAAATCTACTTCACCGAGCGGATAAGCTGACTTCCTCAGTGTGGGCGACCAACACCGGGGCGGACCCGCATCCGTCGGGATGCCCAACGCTCCAGGTGCCGTCACGAATCCCTTCGAAGAACCTGAGCGCCGGATCAGCGAATATACCGCTCAAGAAATCGCCACACTGCAAGCTCGCCTCGACAAAAAGTTGGGACCCGAGTACATCTCTTCTCGACCCGGTGCCGCAGGGCAGAAAGTACACTATCTCTCCGCGGACAAATGCATCAACCTTGCAAACGAAGTATTTGGGTTTAATGGCTGGTCCAGCTCAATCCAGAAGATTGACATCGACTTTGTGCGTCACTGTAGACCAATTTAGAATGGAGGGTTTGTGCTGATATCTTTTGGCAAGATCGAGGAAAATCAAAACACGGGCAAAATAAGCTTAGGGTTGTCCGTTATCGTGAGAGTTACATTGCGAGACGGGACATTCCATGAGGTAAGCTTGACGGTGTGGTTCATGATGGTATTGGCTGATCACTCTAGGACATTGGCTACGGTCATATTGAAAACTGCAAGGGAAAAGCCGCGGCGTTTGAGAAATCTAAGAAAGAAGGGACAACGGATGCCTTGAAACGTACCCTGCGCAATTTTGGAAATGTACTGGGCAACTGCGTCTACGACAAAGACTACCTGACCAAAGTTACAAAGGTCAAAGCAGGGCCTGGAAAATGGGACGTCGACGAGCTTCACCGACACCCTGACTTTGCTCCGAGAAAGCTCCCTCCACCCAAACGAATGGCAGAAGATGATGATCTACCTCCACCGCGTCCACTTGAACAAGCTAAGAGCAGTGTTCCTGAGATCAAAGCCGCCTTCGACGGCGACGGGGAGTTCGGAAGTAAGTGTTGCATATCATTCGTCGTGAATAATTCAGCTAAGCCAGCCCAGGCGATCTTTTCGATGAAGCCGATTTTGTGGTAGGGAATTCAGGAAACCCGGACGAGATATCATTAGAGCCAGAAACGTCACGGCAACCACCTACCCCAATGAATCGACCTATTCCACCGAGGGGGCCTCCTGGAGGCCGATTCGACACTAATGCAGTGACGCCTTCGAAGCCAGAACGCTGGAATGGGCCGAATGCTGCCTCCAGACAATCGTTACCTCAAAATGCACTCCCTTCAGCTATCCCTGGTCCGTCACGACCGATGGCTGCGCCTGGGCTGCCCAATAATAACCCCAATATTACATCGGCTGTGGCTCCCCAATCAAATACCGTCCCAAACTCCAACGCTCACAATCCAAAAGGTCCGCAACAAATTAAGAGAGAACCTCTTCAAGCTCCTAACCAAGACGCAAACCAACCTCCAGGCTCCCAATCAGTCGGGTTCTTCTCCGCTCGAGCAGCCGACATGCTCCGTGATAACCCCAATGCCGGCCCAATACAGGGTAGTCAATTTGATCCACACGCAGAGAGCCCGTCTATCCGGAAGACCGCCGGTGTCGATCACACCAAGAGCGTCCCAATTTCCAGGCCAATGCTCGCCGGCGGCTCAGGCTCACCTGCGCCGAACAACTCACGCGATTTCGTGAACCCAGCAACCGACCTGCAACGACGAGTCGGTGCCCCCCGGTGCCGCTGCCAGCCCTCTTTCGCGAGGTCCATCCGTCTCGTCTTACCGCCCCTTGACTCGTCCCAATGTGCAGAGTCCCGGGCCGCCGAATCGAGGAGGCAGTGTCCCTCCGCCAAATCTGAACGGGAAGCGTCCTCCATTGAACGATGTCACAAATGCTACAACTTCAACTGGCGTGAACCCGGCTCCTCCTCCTGGTCCTAATGAACCCAAGCGACCTCGCATGTCCGACGGTTCACCCGGGTTGGGACCGCCACAGGCAAAGTAAATGCTACAATGGCTTTTTGTTTCCTGAGATGGGCTGAGCTGTTACTTCTTTATTAGCGGGTATATTATCATCATGTGAGCTTTTCATGATCTTTGTTCAAGGGGTCAATCATATTCATAAGTTAGCCATGTCGAGAGACCACGGCAGCGATCTAGTTTCTGGGGACAATGATATTGCAAGAAATTATCTGAGTTAATTCATGGTTCGCACCACCTTCGCCTACTTCGCGGTGTTGAGCAGACCTCATGAATTTTGTATGTGGTAAGAAATCCATTCACAGCGTGGGACTAGATCTTGAAATTAGATCTCAGAACTCGCTTCCATAATTCCGATCTTTTTTCGACTGAAGCGTGATCTTCTCCCAGCTTGATGTTGACACGATCAACAGACTGACAACAAAGAGAGGTTCAATAGCATAAATCACATTTAAAAGCACGATATTCGACCGATGTACATTCGGAAAAAGAGCAGAGAAAAGAGCAAAAGATGAATTCTAATGAGCACCCACTTGCTGTCCAGGTAGGACTCTTCGGTTGTCGGTCCCAGGTGGGCTACTGTTGTGCTTCCGACAAGACAGCGGCCAGCCGTGAATCAATCGGAGCCGAAGAAGACCAGGTGAGAGATCTTTACTCCGGAAAGTGGTCACAGTAAAATGTTGGTGATCTTCAAGCATGATGGATCAAATTCAATTTTTCATGATGTGTTATGTGATAGGGAAAGTCTACTGTACGGCGTAGCTTATAGATCGAGTTCTAGAATCTTAAATGGATTCCATGTACTTTTGTCCCCGAAAGTACCTTTGATTTTGCCGCCGGGATCTCGTACCCGACTGTTAAGAGGAAGAGTGCTTGATAAATCCATTCATGTCGCCGCTGTCATTCTCCACGAGATATATAAGGCTCAGCCTTTTTTTTCCGCTGTCGACCCATTATAGGCCCACGATGACAAGCAGGGCGGAGTGACGTCCAACAGGGATGAATCAAGGCAGCAACCCTCCTAATTGTATGTCAGATTAGGGCACGCTATTCCGAAAATCATTTTAATGGTTCCGCGCGAAACCATCAATATCATTTTGGGAATAGCGTACTCTCCAGCTGTAGGCAACCCTGGACTGTGGTAGCGAGGATAAAATTGACTACGTCAGATTCCGCAGTTTCACGAACGTGGCCGCAGTTCGCCGGATCGACGCTTCTAGAATGTGATGCGCTGGTTTCTAATGCCAAAAGGACAGACTGTCCGAACAGTTACTTTTTTTAACGGGCCTTGCAGTCACAATTGCCTCTGTTCCATAGATACTGCCACTATTAGTATTCATAGTAGGAGTATGGCTTTCTGAGTAATTCTTGCTTTACTTCCGCCGGAGATAAATCCCAACTAGCCCAGTGTCACTGATTAGGATTTTTTCTGGATACTGAGAAACGAAAATAAGCTACCCGGTTATAAGAGCATCAAGACAAGTCCGGATACATGGAGTGGCTAGTACATAGAGCTCAAGATTAATCCAAGCCAAGCAGGAACACACATCGACCACTTTCAATCTTCCTTGTCATTTTCCTGTCTGTTTGACTCTCATTCTCGCTGAAGGAACGTGTCAGCTCCACTTGAATTGACAAAACCCAGGTAAGTTGATCAAGATCGATCTATGAAACAGGCCAGCAGGGTGTGGTGCCAGGCACCACACCCCTGTAAGATAATTCCTGTTTCTCGATTGGATAGTCTGAGGATCCTGGGCTAGTCTCGTCCGCTTCCTTTTTTTCCCCTGCCTTTTCCAAAAAAGCCCATGCTACAGCCAAGCGGACTTGGACCAATAATGCTGATATTTTGTCGCGGCTCCGCCCTGCAGTCGCGTCCTGGGGCATGAATCCAGACTAGAGTTGCTGATATCTCCCCAGGAAGGATCTACACTGCCATACACAAGCACGAGAGATGCGCTTTGGCCTTCAGCTCGAGTCTCATCGGCCGATCAAGACTGAGTCTCGGCGTGTGCTTCTCGAGCAGCTTGCGGAATGCGTGCGCTTACCCTGATCCCAGGCGTTCTCGGGTCAGTAGCTTGATACGGCGGCAAAAGAAGATATTTTGTTATTTGGTAGAAGCTTATGATTGAATGGAACGGCTTGTCTCATAGAAACCTGATGCTGAGTGCTGCTGCAACTCACAACCACGATCGAGCCTTTCCAATGGAGCTAGACGGGAGTTGGTGCCGGAGGGAGCCGCGAGTCTTAGTGAGAATCAGTGAGACTCAATCGAGCCAAGCCAATTCAAACCGCTACACCAGTGTGGCCTCGCGCTTGTCAGTGTACACTTTTACCTGTCTAGCCCTTTTTTTTTTCTTGGCTTTTTATGGGGGTTTGGCCCGGTTGTTTAGAGTTCCAAGGTTCTTGCTAGGTCGAACGGCTGCGAGATCATGGTGTGATGCCCGCCCTGGAATCAAATGGACCGATACCGGGGACGAGCTCAGGAAAACTAGCAAGTGGATTTATTCCCGGAATTCAGAGACTAATACCAAATTTATTTTCAGTTAATTGACAGGCCAGAAAACAGAACAGATTCGCCGAAAGGGCTTCTCTATTTAATGGCGGGTGGTCTCTGGTGTTTTTCTTTCCTACGAGAATTCCCACCACTTCAATCTTTGCAAACAGTTCTCGAGTTGCCTAGGCGTCCTTCATTCTTTTTCTCAAGAATGCCATTCACCGTAGCGAATGGCATCACCGGCTTTTTATTCATTGTTCTGGTGCTTCTGGCCGTGACAATTATCTTGTTGATTATCCTAAGACCACGCCCTAGACCGGAGGAAGTGAGTATACTCGGTCACTCTTACGATCTGGCTGTTGCCTGATAGTTCTAATGCCACCTATCTACTAGCCGATTCGCATCCCCCCGTGGGAAAGCCGTACTTCTCATCTACCCCCGATCACTTCTATACCGACACAACGGAAACCCTTTACCTACCATGGTAAGATGAAACCTGCTCCTCTCCAAAATCGTTGCTTACTTTACTAGACGACTAGACTAATTGACTGGTGGAATCGGAAAGGCTTATTTGATGGATCAGACTTGACCAGATGATGACGGGCTAAGTTTGGCAGTAGACATGCCTCTTCCTATCAGTGGTTATACAGCCTATATTCTTCGAGTTTGGGTTAATTTTGCATCTTTGGGATGCACACCTATGTACTATAAGAGGGCACCAAAGGAGTGAGCTTTGCTACTGTGATACGGAAAAGGAATGAATATCAAGGCATCGGCTGGCGCTTCTCCCTTTGTGTAGTGGACCACTAGGATCTGACTTTGAATGTAAATGGGGCCTTGATCCAGTACGGGCATTCGAAATCTGGGTAGTGGAGAATTCGTGCGTGTGGATAATGCTAGACCAGATTAGATGAAGAATACAGACCAACGCCATGCTTCGCCCGACAGATTGAAAGCGTTCCCCGGGGGGCGGGGAAGGGGACCGTGCTGAGTCATTCTTCACCATGGTGATAATGTCGGTGACGGCGTACCCACTCGAGGCACAATCCCATAGGCTAGTTTCTTTGCAATCTCGGAAGAATTTTCCTATATTTGCTGACCTGGAACCCTCACGCATCACAGAGACCACCGGGAGACTCATCTGAGGGACCCCCGGGGGCTTGAGCATGTTGGTGCACGCGCAGGCCCCATGCACTGAAAAGAGGGCTCCAATCTAGTCGTACAGGGGAGGGGACACACGTGTCTACCTTGACATATTATCAAGGGCCAGCTTCGGGTAACGCTAATGTTTTTCGTTCAAGTTGGAGCTAAATCTTTAACCCTCCGTCTTTTGAATGATATCGCAGGGTAGCGGCGGAAGATCGTCATGCCTAGACATCTCATTCCCCAGCAAGTGATTTAATACAATAACCGACAACTTGAGAAAGATCGTGGAAGTATACGGCTCTAGAAATGTCAGAGAACATGTATGACAGAAAGAGAAGAGCCGAGCCGATTCTTGACTAGCGCGGTTCCTGCATTTCCACTCCGAGAGATTGCATTTTGCAGCACCATAAAGCTAAAGATAGCTCGATTTTTTCCCTTAGTATGATCCTAGTTCTTAGGGAGAACGCAGCAGCTTCTCTGCCCTTGGACTGATTAACGTGTCAGTAACCTGTAAGAAATGATGAACAAGTGGAGTTGTTACGAAAGCCGACTGAATGGTATATGATAATGGACCCACCGATGGGGCTCCCGACGCGGACTCGGGATTTCCCAATCGCTTCCCCTGGTCACTCTGGTCACTGGAAAGGGCTCCTGCATCGATTATGCTCTTGCATGGATCTTCCAGCCACATACTTCATGTCGGAGGTTTAAATTCAGGGCTCGAGGTTAGTTCGAGTCAATAAAGAGGGCATCTGAGGTGCGAAACTAACAGTCTAAATGTACATGGACACCTACTGGGCGAGCATTCTTTGGGCACGTTGGCCTTGTGATCTTGTTTGAAGACAACAAGAGAGCTCGAGGGCTATCTGGAGGATCTGACATATTTACCGGATCAGTCGGTCGTAGGTTTGCCAGACCAATTATGACAAGGACGAGTCACTATTTAGTTGGGAACAATTGGGTTGGGAATTAGCCTTGACATCAGACGGTCAACTGTACACTGACAGAGAAAGTTTATTTGGGCAAGGGTGCTGTCCGAATACGCATATGCAGGAAGAATTACGCAGTGTACTGCGAGGCTGTTGGAAGTGCAATGCATGGGCGGCTCGGGAACGAATAGTGCATATGGCCCTGAAAAGTGCCAAGGTACTGGATAAGGTGCACCTGGGTGACGCCACTTAATTTGCAATAGCGTGCCACGCCCCACAGCTCTATCGACGTGTACTTATGGCACGAACTCAGGGCGGTGATAGCTCATCCATTCATTTACAGATGCCGTTCAGTGATCATTTTGATGTGTCACTGTATGTGTAGTCAAGTATGGATTCAAGTTGTAGTATGAAATGTTCTACGTATTATAAACACTGGCTTCACTAATACCCAGGGACTCTTATCGTCCGAGCGGATGTGACCCATGATTTACCCCTGCATGAGCAATGTTTCCATAGGATCCAAGCCGTGCGAAAGTGAAAAATGCAAAGCAGGTCTACTAGTAGTCCTGGAGCTAGCTGCATTTCCTTCACATCATTAGGGTACTTTGTCTCTAACTGTAACGGGGAATCTATTTTAAACTTCAGATTCGCAATTTGGGTTCCCAGGTCCACAGGCCCGGGCCCCCGGGGAGGGGCAGATGCGGAGATAAAGCGGGCCGAATCCGCATGCGAATTTCATGCCTCAATCCGATCGTTGACAGAACTCACCAACAATGTCTCAAACGCGAATCATTGATGAGCTGGTACGTGTGCGAGCTTCAGGGGGGGTTTGATCCCGTACGAGCTGCGAAAGAGCTACGAAGTGCAATAAAATAACTTGGTTTCGTGTTTCATTTCATTGAAGGCGGAAAAAATACGCAGGAAAATGGCAGATTCGCAGCAACAAATGTGCAAGCGACATGCGAAAGAAGAGCAGATAGAATGATGAAAAGAAACCTAAGAATACACCAAAATACAAAGGGAGATGTTGGGGACAGAGAACGGATGAAAAAAGGGTGATCCTCGACGCCTTCAATCTCATAGGTGTCAATGGCAAGCTTTGGCAGAGCATCTTTGAATCCGACGTTGCAAGATGGCTCTCAATTGAGTCGTGACAACTGACTTGTTTTAGTGTCACAGAGCCAAGTTTCAGTGGTCGCGTCTCTTGCTAGAAGGGTTGTATGGCTCGAGACCCTTGGGCTTGGGCTTGGCTCCTAAACCAGTCTGGCCTTCGACGCGCGGGGCGGTAGGTTGAGCGGAGCTAGCGGTGGGAGCGAAGTTGACGGTAGATGCTTTTCGGTTCTCAAGCAAGGCGATTCGGTCGAGATCATCCTGTCTCTGGGACCACACACTCACAGGGCCCGGGGCAGGTCCGATGACCCGAGGCAGAGCGTACGGTAGGTTTAGATTATTCAAGCGCATGGTGGTATTAGCTTGCTGCTGGAACTGAGCTGCTGTCTGGCTCGATGTGTTAAGCGGCTCGAGAGCCTGGACTTCGGGTCTCGGACTAGCCTGATTAGATGTGCCAGTGGGAGTGAACCAGGAGGATCTGGTATTGGCAACGATGCTACCAACAGAATCATTCTGATCTTTAGGCAGGGGAGGCAGGGACATCCGATTGAGATCACTTTCTTGCTGAGATTCCACGCTAACGGGCTCCAGATTGGAGCCAAGAACCCGAGGACGGGCACTGGGCAAGGCTGAATCATTCGAGAATGTAGTGGTAGGAATTAGTTGAGCCTGAGGTGCTTCAAGCTGGGGACGAGGCGCAGCAGGCCTAGATGCAGTGCGTGGAACCTTTTCTTTGGTATCCCACGTCTGTGGGCGTTCCCAGACAGAATGGTGACGAGCCGAATATTGCGGCTCCAGGGAAGCACGTACGCCGATCACCCTCGACTTTGAATCTTCAATTTCATGATGTGTGAGTCGTGGCTCTGCCCATCGAGAGTGACGCAGGGTACCAACAAACTTAGGGCCATCGGCAGGCGAAGGGACGGCAGGCGTAGGGACGGCAGCGAGCGTAGGTATAGCGGCAGGCGCACATGTGGGAGACTCCGAAACACGCAATCTCTCAAAACCAGGATTGAAATCAGCTCGCTTTACTTTCTTGGGTGACAAGCGCGAAGGCGAAGGAATATCATGAGCCTTACTTTTCTTGGATTCCCCGGAGGAGGGAGTACCATCTGGGGATCGATAGCTGCTAAAGAGAGGTTGATTAAGAGACTGGGATGTGAGTGAGGAGTGAGTATCGCGGACGGCGATCTTGTTATCTTGTCCCGTGTGAGTCACAACTGAGAAAGGGCTGGCTTGAAACGAGACATCCTCTGTTGTAGGTACACCGGAGGTCGAGAGAAAGAAAGGATCATCCGCGACTGGAATGACTCTAATATCAGAACGGAAAAGGCTGCTTTCAAACGTGAGCGTCGCAGGAGGACTGTTGTCAGGAAGATGGGAACCGCCCAGGATACTTTCAAGCGCAGAATTGCCACGAGAGCGATTGAAGTCAAGAGCTTCAGCCCTGATCGCAGCTCCAACCTCGGCAGGCGTCTGATCTGGCCTGGCTGGAGTGACAGAAGTCGACCAGTCAAGAAGCGGAGATTCGCCAAAGTCCAGGCCCGTCAATTCGGAATAAACAGAATTGAGGACTCGTTCTTGGCCCAGCGTAGGCATTTGGACCTCATCTTCAAAATCCAGCAAAAGATTGTCCCGTGGGGGCAAAGTGGACATGGACCGAGTCATGTCATTTTGAAGTGGCCGACGAGAGGTCGGTACCAACTTTCGCCGCTGGGGCAGAGGATGTGTAGATTGGCGAGAAATGCCAAGCACTGACACGTCGCTGATATTTGAGTCCGAAGCGAGGTTTCCTGCAACTCCACTCAGAGCCGAAGGATGAACAAACTCAGAACTAGACTGAGAAATAGGCTGAGAGGCAGGTTGAAGTGCAGGCTCATGAGGATCAGGTTGGGTCAACACTGGAGGACTCCGAGTGCGCAGTGAAACAGACTGAGAAAGGCGCGAAGCTGACCGACGCGGCGTCCAAATGACACGAGGGGAGCGAGAAGCTGACCGGGTGGGCTGAGAGGTAGACTGGACTGGCTCAGATGGTGTCTGAGTGCCAGGAGGTGGAGATGCTAGGTGGCGATGCTGTCGAAGATTGTCCAGAAAAACCTGCGGACTTGAGATATTGTCTGCCCAATTTCCTATCTGTCTGCAAGACAGGGTGTCAGGCCGGCCTCGCACAGCTCCAACTTGATTTCCACGAGAGGCGTGGCCGCGGCCGCGTGCTTTGAGGGAGCCACTTTCTTGAGAAGGCGATTGGGATAAGCTATCGTAGCTCTTCGCAATTTGTCCTTTGCCCGACGTAATTACTTTGGCCGGAGGATACTGGGAACGAGAGTGGCTCACCACGGGCATCGTACTGGCCCTGGTGGTGATAGGGTTGAAGTGACGGTGAGACTGAGCAACTTGAGCTCCGGCTCTTGATTTCCTACGAGCACGCTTTGCAGATGCGGTACGCGTGGATTCATTGTGAAAGCTTCGAGCTTCCGCCAGACGAGCATTGAGAGAGGCACGATGTGATTGGCCGCCGCCGATGTCTGCGAGCTGTTCGTGGCTTGACTCTTGGGCCGCAACAATCTTTCCCACTTCTAGATCAAAGATATTAGTTGATATCATCGCGAGAGCATAGTATGTCAATGACATACTTGCCCAAGCCGCTAGTGCGGTCCGGTTTTGGCTGGCTTTTCTGTAAGCTTCCGTACCGGGGATATTGGACCCTCGAGTAGCTTCAAGAACTTGGTGCTGGACATGATGTATGTTTTTGGGGTCATCTTCGGTGGAAAGCCGTTCACGGCGAGCCGTGCCCAGGTCATCCTATGCGAGAATACGCTTAGCAAGACGACGACTGACACAAGGAGGATTGACAATGTGACGAACCATTTGAAGTCGCATCAGACGCTCCTGTTTGGCCGCTTCGGCCGAGCTGTTAGACTGGTCATGAGCAGAGCCCTCCTGTAGATGCTCATATTTAGCATAGCGACTGTCAGATGCAACGCGCAGAGTAAGGGGAGACTTACCATTTTGGACACTCCAGAGCGTTCATCAATGGAACTAACAGAGCCCTGCCCGGGACTGCCAGGTGACCCATTGGCGTCCTAGAGAGGAGCATGGTTAGATTGGCGAGAGACAAGAATCAAGGGCGCGTGTCTGTCATGATAACATACCGGCTGGCGGCTACGCCGGCGGTTTTGCTTTTGTGTCCCTGGGCTGACCCCTCTAGAACAGACCTGTGCTTGAGAAGGTGGAAAGAACATTCTGCAGGGGAGAATCAGCGTGAGACAAGTTTCAGGAGGGAAGCCGAGGTTCAAGAATGGCCCTGAAAACCGGTAGTTGAATTGTCAGGGCACGAATGATCTCACTTTCCAGAGAGCGTCACCCGGGAGGCCGGCGTTCATGCACAATAGCAGAAGGGTGGGGACGAGTAAAGAGGCCTTGCCGATGGAAAATGGAGAAACTTGGGAAGAAGGAAAGGTGGAGGGAGAGAGACGAGAAAGCAAAGTGACGATAGGGACTGAATGTAGCCGCGGATCGCGGGCGTGGAGCATGAGAATAGTGACAGCGAAAAGCCAAGGAAATATGACCTTGTAATTGTTGGACAAGCTCTTTCATTTGCCAGAGGCAATTTTACCGGTCAGGAGGGACAGATTACCGGTGCATTGATTGAGATCACAGCGCTTCCACACTAGCAACAGGTTAGATAGGTCCACATCTCCGCGGCAGTATCAAATCATAAACCATTGAAATGATATCCTTGATGTATTTTGATTTTATGAGGGTGTAATCATGCTTTGGAATCATCTATTGCAATGGCTGCCACCAGTTCGATTGACATTGTCTCTATCAATAGGATCATCCGAAGTGAGTGAAACCAATATGACATGGTGCTTCAAAATATGAGTTCCCGTTGGTGTAAGTGTCCAATAGGAAGACGCCCAAAGGTTCCTGGGCCTAGTGATGAGTGCGCCTAGCGATCAACGCCCGAATTGGGGATTGTTTGAGATTGATGCAATTGATAGTAGTACTTCCTTAAGCACTTGTTGCTATATATACAAGGGTATTGTTCCCATCGATGGTAGCTTGAGTCTATGATAAAGGTGGGACATTGATTGTGTGCACTCAAGACGCTCCACAAGAACCACCCTCGCCGTCGCCTGTCATAGTATTAGCATAATTGCTTTTGCGTAGTGGTAAGGTACCTGAAAAGCCCAAAGCAAATGGCGGACTTACTTCGAATGATCTTTGCAACGGCTTGCACCACACTCACACCCATGACAACAAATCCGAATCCAACACATAGATATGCGGGAATCTTTTCTTTTCGAGTAACGCTGCTAAGTTTGATCCAACAGAGTGGTGGGAAGATGTATGCCAGAGCTGCAGCACTAGTTGCACCGATCAATTCAAACACGCTGCCAAGGTCACATGTCACCAATGCCAGCACCATTGAAGTCAAAACCAGAGTAGTTGTGAATATCAAATGCCGGTTAGGGTTGAATGGTTCATCTGGGAAGTAATAAGTTGTCATAACTGATCGACAGACGAATGCTTCCAGTGGAAGCGTAGTGAGCATGTTCAAGCCAAAACATCTGTTGCATGTTAGCGTTGGTGTGTTCCAAAAGATGACAGCGATTGCTTACAGTCGGGCAATGTTGACCAGGATATTGTCAGCCGGAAAATTATTGAGAACGTTCCCTTGCGTCTTCGATCCAAAGGACAAGAACCCCGCGAGGCCCATCGCTAGGCACATGCACAAGGAGACTATGGTGGAATAGTGTGTGACCCTGGCAAAGCGATCCATTGTGGGTTTCTTCAAGGATCCATAGATCAAGAGACTATTGTGGTCTTGAAAGACATTAGTTTCGATCGCCACGACATACATGGACAGGAAACATACGGCAAACAAAGGCTGCGTCATATTAGCGAAGTGCGCAAGCAACCACAAACGAACATCACTCACCAAAGGAAATCACACCAACGGCCTGGAAAAAGCCCGAGTTCACGATAAGAATACTCTTGTACTCCCCCTCGATTCACCTGGCACCCGGAAGCCTTGGGTAATGACCGTGACGACAATAACGATCATGCTGACTAGCGCGAGGGCAGATGCTTTCGCTAGCTGAGGAGTTGTTAGTAAAAATCGCGGGGAAAAAAAGAGACGAGTAGCTCACCTTGGCAATGTCCCGATACAGCGAAAGCGGATATGAGACGCAGAGGACAAATAAAACAATCACAGCTCGACGGTCTGTCAGCAGCCACAAGAAAGACATGCTGCGCAGCGAGGGAAAGAGGGCGGCAAAAACGTGCGGTATCGTGTCACCCACGATGATACAGAACGCGACCATACCCCCAAACGCAAACGCCCATTGAGCAATTGATATAGCAATAAGTCCACTTCTTCCAAAACAGTGTTGCATGGTAGCTTGGAAGGAGTCCGCTCCGCTGAGCTTCGAGTTGATTACAATCAGACGGATAGTCCAATCCACCGTCACGGTCAGCGCTGTCAAGAGCAGAATACCCATTGTCAACCCCGCCTGGCGAAGCGCATATGGCTGACCGATGATACCGGCGCCAATAATGCTATTAGCCATATTCATGAATGCCATTTTCATCCCGCTTCGAGGCCGCGCGTTTTCAAGGTGATCTTCGGGGAAGAAGTCGTCTGAAGTCGCTAAGGTCACACTGGGAGCTTCAATATTTGTCAGTAGAGGCACTGATTGGCTCCCATAATGATTGCTAGACTCCAAATGCTCATTCAGCTCATAATCTTCTTCGTCGAGCCATCGCCCGTCATCGGGGCTGTGGGCGCGGCCATTTGAGATCTGATCGTCTTCATCCTCTGGAAACTCCTCAACAAATCGAACCCGATTGGTAGTCCTGGGAGTACGGCGTTGTCCGTCGGAATTCGGCTGTGATATCGAGGACTGGTGCTTGGGTCGGGGGCGGTTGGCGGGATCTGGAGAACCGGCTGGATCAGAACGGACGCTAAGGCCTTCCTGCTCTTGATTGTTCGCTAAGAGCAAGAAACTCGCTTGATGATCATTATGACCAGTTTGAGAAGTCAGAGAATCATGTTCTCCCTCCTCCAGGGGCATGGTTGACCGTGTGAAGTCAGGAATGAAGGTGGTTGATTGAGGCCACTTTCATTTAAATCCACGTGATCTTTATCGTTATCTTGATGGGTATCGATAAGGCGGCTGCAGTCTTTATTGATCAGTGGCTCCACTTCCTGTCACTCGTGCATTTCAACGCGTTCAAGTGGATCCTAAATAGATTAACGTTAGATTCCCTGACATAGTCGAGGGCACCTGGATATATATATTTGGCTTTCCTTCTGCGTGGACGGTGGAGATCTAGATCACGGATGAACCCAGTGAAAATTAGTACAATGCAGAGGGAGTATACAGACTGAAGATCAATTAACATGGTGGAGATAGCGAGTGCAGGTGAGAAGAAATTATGTGGTTCAATATTGTGAGGCTCAGAAGATTTTCAAGCTGCATTGTCTGTGAATTGGTAATGAATTCCCAATCGAGTTTAACAATGCAAGTCGACGTCATGGGGATACCTCGGCTTCAGGTTGAGCCTCAGGCGTCAAAGACCTAACTCAATGAACATTGATTAATATCGCACTTCGCTCACACTCGACTTGACGGTTCTCTCCGGGACTGGATTATGCTTGACACATAAGTTGAAAGCTGCCAACACCGGAGTGAGAACCAACTTGTGACCAACTGACGGCAGAATGAGCCGGACAATCGACTTAGGTCAATGCCTCCTCTATGCGAGCGATTCACTTCTACAGCTTCAATTCTCCGCGGTTGCGCATTTCATCCATCCAAGCAACAGAGAATCCATTGAACTACCCATTGATGCTTTCCAATGGCTCGATCAAGCTTCAATCTGGATTACCGAAGCTCCAGAGCTAGAAATCCGGCTCTCTCTTAGCGTGCATACATGGTTGAAGCTTGCAAGTTCTCCGCTCCTCTGCAGCTTGTCAGACATGCTCTGTAACTCTAAGGTACCGCATACATATGTATATGGACGTCTTTCACTTACGCTCATGCCACCTCAGATTTGGTCCGATCTAGGGTTTGCCATCGTGCTCAAGGGGTATGGCGATGATCAGATCACGTTTGGTCTTTGTCGCATTCCTACAACTTCCAATCTCACAAAAGGACGGGCCTTGCCCAGTGTGCTCCGCAACCCTCCTGATGCCCATGTTCCACCCGGTGTGCCGACTATCTCCTTGGCTGCGATCAATATATACGCGGAGTACCAATATCCACAAGGGGAACAAAATACTCACAAACCGATGCATTTTCACATTGGACACATGAGCCAACCTCAATGGCTCTTCTCTTCTGCAGAATGCTACTACCCGACGCACCTAAAAAACTCTGAAATGGTCGCCTTTTCATCGTCTCCTCACAAGCCTGGAACATTCTCTTTCAGGGACAGCACTCTCCTTCCAGATCTTGGGATGGGGTTGCCGTCATTGCAGCACAACTCAACTGACAACTCATTCGGAGCCATGCTACGACTCATTGACTTTGGTCTTCGCAAATTGATCGTTTCGTCCGGAGCAAGAGATCGCCAAATCAGGGTCAATGATAACGATTCCCTTCTGAGCTTATCTGACCTGGCTCCTGCAATTTTCAACCCGAGATATCGCGAGGTGAGCTTGAACCTCTATCACATGGGTGATTCCTTCATCTCATCTCCATATGCAGGCAGTATATCAAAGAGCAGCATCGATCCCTATCATCTCCAAGTCTGTGGCATCTATGCTTGCAAGTAGCAGAAGCACCACAATCCAGCCCAAACTTTCATACCTGCTTCAGCAATCAAATTATTCCAACGAAGAACACGCTCTAACAGAGCCGCATATAGCGAGTCTGAGATTGGCCCTCCACTCATCTTTATGGCGTATCGCCCAGCAAAAGATTTGCAAACGCAAAGAAACTCCAAAAAACCAGCCGCTATTTGCTCCGGAGCCTCCCTTACCACAAATTTACCCAGACGTTACTCCAGGCTTGGCACATTTCGGAGAATTTATATTGTTTCACAGTGATCCCCTTGACTTGGACAATCCCAGTCTCAACAATAATGGACAAGACCAAATGGAGCATTTCCTCGAAGACGAAAACCTACCTTTGAAGACCCCCAGCGAATCATCTTTTGAGACCCTCAACGAGTCCACACCAGCAACCCAGAACGACAACACCGAATGGTTCGAGCCTTGCTTTTCAGAACACAGAGATACCGACATGCTTCTTTTTGATCATAGTTTTTGAAACCTGCTAGTGTATTTGATGGCGCGTATTAGTACTGCACACATAATAACCAAAACGCACTGGCAGTCTAGATAACTCTAATTATATTTCATGTTTACCCGAGTAATGATACTGATTGTTATTCATCATCTGCATGCCACGATAAGCTCTCCAAGGTGATGCTGTGACCTTGAAAGAGGCTTGAAAACGACGGTCTCATCAGTAGGATGTAGAAACAGGAAATTGGATTGAAACAATCGACTTTGAAAGTCTTCACATCTTGAGATCTTCGTCTTAATTTACGGCTAAATCTTGGAAGGAACAAATGCAAGATAAAGAAAGCGAATTGAAATGAGGAAACGTGCAATGCGGCAAAATATATTCCAAGATAAGACAACAGGCAGCTGTAAATTGGAACATGATGAAAACCACTGAGCACGCAACATGCAAGCTTTTACAATTCTGAGATACCCTGTAGTGATTGAGTGGACCGAGCCTGAACAGGCATCGCATCACCGACGTGGTGTCGGTTTAGGACACGAAAGGGTAAGAGGAGAAGCCTCAAAATGTCTCCTCGAGGGGTAATCTCCATGTAATCCCGACACCTCCCAAGCTGGAAGATTACTCAAGCCCGAAAGCCCGGAGTCAAAGGCTTGACTGGCGAAAGCAGGATCATAGAAACTGGCATGATCCCAAACAATCGAATTCCAAATTGAACTGCAGTGTCCACGAGCAGGCTAGGATGAAGGTCAACGACCATATCCAAACGCAAGAAAAGTACTGGCCGAGGACAGAACAGCCGAACTTACCGGCGGGTAGGTTCCGATCGCGATAATCCTTTAGCATAGAAAAGGACCTGACAATGGAGCTTCAATTTATGTTATAGCATGATCTCCGTGCATCATTGTTGAGACTGCAGTCCAAGACCGAACATCTTAATGGAGTTGTTCCAAGCACTATATAGTCTGTCAGTGTTGATCTCTTCGCAGGCGAATTGAAGACTTACGCTTCGCAGACTTCCTCAACGGAGATACCCTTGACCTGAGCTATAACGTGTGCAACACGAGCAATAGCGACAGGCTCATTGCGACCCTTCACCATCATGCCCTTCTGCCATTTCTCCTTCTTGACGGACTTGGGCAGCTCAGGAGCACCTTCGAGGAACTTCGCTGAAGCATGTGACGGCCGGATCTCACACTACAACACGGAGTCAACTGGGAGATACACAAAGCGCGGATAGGGATATAGGACATACCCATGGGCCGTCAGTCTCGATTTGAAGCCGTTCCAAGGGGATCGCCTTCACGACGTCTAGGTTCTCTTGGGTCTTCATGCTGCAGCCGTTAATACCGATATCAAGACCCAGGGCAACGAGGCGCTCCATCTCTTCCATCGTTCCAGTAAAACTGTGGACGAGGCCGCCTTTGGGGAGCCTATCAAGTCTTGAGGCTATTAAGCGTTCAAAGTCATCACTGGCCGCACGGGAATGGAGGAAGAGAGGCATCTGAATCTCAATGGCCAGGTCCAGCTGTGCCTCGAAATACTTCAATTGCGGCTCCTTGGCGCTGTGGAAAAGGCGGTCATAATCAAGGCCGATTTCGCCAAACGCAACAGCAAGACCGGCATCCTTTGCCTCGGTGGCGATTTTGCGGAGCTCTTCCATCATCTTTGATGAGCCTTCTGGGTACTCATCGAAAAGTTTAGCCTGGCAGGGGTGTACCCCTACTGTAGCGTAACAGAAGCCAGCTGCAGGAAATTTGTTAGCGACCTAACAACGTCAAGTTACAAAGGAAAATTTACGATATTTCCGCGCTATTTTGATGGCTTCCTCGGATTCGACAAGGTCGGACCCAGTGACCATGAACTTCTCACAGCCAACATCCTTGGCACGTTGAATGACGTCGTCAAGGTCAGCTTCGTGAGCTTGCTTTCCATGGTATGTTCCAGCGAACATGGGGTCGCTCAGGTTGATGCCGATCTAACATATCAAAACTGTTAGAGGTTGAGACACGCGAATCGGTGGTAAAACATACATCGACGTATCGCAGTGGCTTGGAAGAATCACCCATTTTTGCGGGGGCTTTTCTATTTGTAAGTGAAGAAAAGTTCCTTGTAGTGCTGCAGCCCAAACAAGAACGCAAAGGACGAACAAAAGTGTTGTCTCGTGTAATTTCTGAGGAAGCGATTAGTGAGATATTCCGTAAGCCCCGTGGCAGAGTACCAAGAATCGGGAATGAGCTGAAGGGTAAATTTAAGGACCGCTATACCCTCTACCTACCTGATCGGCTCAATTTATCCCAAGTCAAGAATCTCGACACAGAAGATGTATCTTCGATCGCCTTCTTGATGATCGAATTCTGAAAATCACCGACAGTCTTCAGGACAGAGCCTCGCACGGAGTAAATGTGCATGAGAAAAACGCAGTGCTAAGCAGATCTGCAGTGTTGTCAGAGAAGTATGACTCCACACATGCAGGGTTGTATACGCGACAAACTTTTCATGTTGACTCAGGAACTGAAGTTGTCAGCCGCACTCCGCGGACCTGTGGCTGTGCGGCATTACTAAGTAGTCCGCGGGTCCCTGAGTGAGCTCGCGCTTTGTGCCAGGTCAGACCGCCCGGCCTCCCATGAGGTGCATGGCTTCACCATCTACCAGGAATATATATACTCACCCACTTCTCAAACATTCTTCATCCTGTTCTCAGAACCTACATGTATTTCAACGATTAACCAGTATCTATCAAACGATTTGGATATCGAAATGTACCCAATTTTTTCCGAATTACCAAAATCTAGGGTTTCACCCGCGTTCCTTGATCATCAACTCGATTCTGCGGGGCATTGATAAGCCAAAATCGGCTTCAATGGCTTGATCAATAGGGCTATATAGGACCATCAATACTTCTTTGAAGCGTTTCTAGTCAACCTTCCTACAGCTACTATATGATATGCTTGTTAATTGTCCGAGAAATTCGCGCTTTAGAAATGCCCAGGCTGTGTTGGGCGGATTCTTGGATTCAGATCATGAGTCTATTGTAATTGGCGAAGGGTGAATAGAGGGTTTGTCCGGAAGGCGCAATGATGGGCTTCAATTCGTGGGCTCATTTCTAAGTTCTTGTTGGTGCGAAGTGGAACACTGTCAATTGGTTGACAACAGACTGATGATAAGGCCGTATGGGACTCTATGACCGCGAAGTTTTCGAAATTTTAGACCTCTGTGAGGCTAGCTTACTCAAAGATCCATGGCTTGCGAAGGTTACGTCTTGAGCCGTACGAATGGCGTGAAGATGGACGGTCTACTACACGCTACTGTTAGCGTTCCATGCAATGGCGAGTTCTCAGAGTGACATAAGGATTGAACAGGGAGTTGACCGCACGCGCCCCTATAATCGAACCAATAGGGCACGTTCAGCTTCAGCTTACCTATCCATGTAAGAGCAAAATGGTGGCCCGCGTAGATTTTATTCTGAGAGATTTTTCCCCCATTTTTCCCTAAATATTGCGCTACCCTCATAGTTCGCTACATTTTTTTCACAAATTTTATTTTCTTACACAAAGTCGCCCAGTCACTATATTACGTGAGTGCATATGCGACTACCATCTCAGCATGTTTATGCTTATAAGCTATGTCCAGCAAAGCACCATGACTGTTGAAGACCGCCTTCGTGGCATCATCAGACCATTCCAGCTCATCTGGTTATCTATCCAATGTGATTCCTCCCTTCTTCCATGCCTACACCTGTACCAACATACTGTTTTACAAAATAGTGCATTTCAGCGCTTTTAAAGACGCTTTACGCAAAGATGGTCTTGCCTCACTCACACATCCTCGTGAAACTCGAGATGCTGCTATAGCGGAACTCTTTGTCACACATTGTAAGTTTCCTTTTTTCGAGCTAAACCCCACATACTAAGTCTTCTATATAGCCAATGGCTTTATAGCTTATGAAAATACCACCGTTGTCCCCTCCCTTGTCCGCTCCGCTCAAGGCAGGATTCTCGAACTCGGCCCCGGACCAGGCAACCAAATTCAACGCTTCGATCCATCCTTTGTAGACTTCATCTACGCCGTTGATCCTAATCCCTACTACAGAGACGCAATTGCCGCAAAGCTCAAGAAGCTTGATCTACAAGATAGATACAAGCTTTTGGCGTGTGGCGTTGAGGACAGTGACATTCTGGCGATGGAAGGAATTACGGATGGAAGTATGGATACTGTGCTAAGTATTCAGGTATTGTGCTCAGTGAGAGATTTGAAAAGTGTGATGAGGGCGGTGTGGAAGTTGTTGAAACCCGGAGGGAGCTTTATATTCTGGGAGCACGAAAAGAACAAGGATACTGCTACGGCTATCACGCAAGGTGTGTGTTGGATATCCTGATGGGTATGTTACTTTGACAGCTTTGTGGAGGGGCTAATATGACAATAGCTTGCTTGAATCCTGCTTGGAGCGCACTCGTTGGGTGCTGCTTGAATCGGAATATCAAGACAAATATTCTTGCTGCTGGGGAGTGGGAGAACCCGGGTGATATTGAGGTGGCCGATGACCCCTATAGTTGCTTGCCAAGGATTTGGGGTGTGCTGAAGAAGAAAGCTTGATTGGAAAAGGTTTTCTGTTCCTTCGTCTTTCTCATGGCTCGCATGAGATACAGATGCAAGTTTAGTGCATTATTGATGTGTGCCCGGGCAAGAAGTCAATGGTACCAATATGTGAGGTCTACCATCATGATTTAGTTGGTTCCATGTATCCTTCCAAAGCATAGCTAAGACGATGTCGCACTACTTATAGGTATATCTCTGAGTAATTTTGATTACTTTTTGGAAAAAAATGTTACCGCCGCCAATTTTCTAGACCCTTTCATATTCCCGGTCCAGTATTCACTATTCGAGGATCTAGTAACGGGGTGAATCTACATGATAGAGAACGAATGAACGAAGGCTTGAGTAAGGGTTTCCGATGGCTGCCATACAGCTAACGGTCAATACACAGCGTCCAGGAGTTCTTGGATATAATCACATTTGCAGGGGCTCATAAATCCCGACGACTTGGTGTTCGCCATGCAACGGTGCGACGGAATTGAAAAGGATGCCATGATCACCTCTTATGTAATCTGGCCCTGGGACGCGACGCGACCAGAGCAGTCATAAACCCGGAGAGAACTCCGCATTCGGTCGGTGATACCCCGAGCCTGGTGGTCAATGTCTTGCATCCCACATTGCCGATGAAACTCCAAGGAAAGTGAATGCCGAGCTCCTCGAAGGAAGACTTTCGGATGTTTGCTGTTGAGAAAGTCTGGTCGGAAACGTGTCAGAAGCGGTTCAACGAGTCTCGAAGTGGCCGAGAACAACGTGTCCCGTTGCAATGATAAGGGAAGAGATGGGAGTATCGGTCTCTAGAGATATATTCAAGTGCCCCCAAGATACATCCATTGCGACGAAAGGTGAAGGCAAGTCCGGGGTAAGTCCGGGGACATTGCCGCAGTGGACCCACGTTGGCCATACGGAGATCGACCGCGATCACATCTTTCTTGGAGCAAGAGGTCCTTGCTGAGTATTTAGTGGTCTCTGGCTAGACAAAATTCCCTCCTTCCCGAATTCTCTCATCGTCCGTCGCCAACAACGCCTGCGTTGCATTTCCTTGACTCAAGACTGGAAGCGTTATCAGTACGATTCAAAATACCTCGATTGTGGAGGAACAAAGGCTCGACCAAATGTCAGACCAGAAGCTTCTGTCCACGAAGCACATCGCAGAACACAACAGTCCCGAAGACTGCTGGATTGTGGTCGACAACCTGGTGTGGGACGTGACGGACTTTTTGGAGGAACATCCCGGTGGATCTACAAGTACGCATCTTCCAGTGGAATCTCACTATACGAAATTCACTTGATTGATGGAATCAACAGTCATCTTGAAGTATGCAGGTCGAGACGCAACAGAAGCCTATTCAGAAGTCCACGCGCCCGGCGTATTAAAGAACAACTTGAGCGCCGACAAACTCAAAGGCGTCCTTGATGAGTCTACAATTGGTGAAGAATGGATTAAGCCTCCACCAGACCAGAACCCACAAGTGCTCTTGGATAACGAGAAGCCACCGCTGGAAACATTGATCAACTCGCATGATTTTGAGATTGTCGCGTCAAAGACGGCGAATAGCAAAACATGGGCGTTCTACTCGAGCGCGGCGACAGATTTGATCACACGAGATGCTAATAAGTCGTGCTTTGACCGGATATGGTTCCGTCCGCGGGTGTTGAGAAACGTTCGCGAGGTCAACGTTCGTACGAAGATTTTGGGAGGCGATTACAAGCTGCCACTTTTCGTCAGTCCGGCGGCAATGGCAAAACTGATTCATTCCGATGGAGAGTGTGCTATAGCGAGGGCTTGTGAAAATAAAGGCATTATGCAGGGTGTAGGTATTTTTCGGACTGAGGGTTCCAAGGACCCATTGTACTGATGCTTCGTCAGATTTCCAATAATTCATCCTATACCATGGACGAATTGACGACAGCCGCCCCTTCTACCAGCTTCTTCTTCCAGTTGTACGTCAATCGCGACCGCGAAAAATCCGCTGCTCTATTACGTCAATGTTCAGCCAACCCCAACATCAAAGCCATTTTCGTGACCGTCGATGCTGCTTGGCCCGGCAAACGCGAAGCCGACGAACGCGTCAAGGCTGACGAGAGCCTGTCGGTCCCCATGTCGCCCTCGAAGGCGCAGAACGACAAGAAAGGAGGCGGCCTTGGGCGAGTCATGGCCGGCTTCATCGATCCCGGCCTGACTTGGGAAGATCTCAAGTGGGTGCGACAACACACTCACAAGCCGGTATGTCTCAAAGGTGTGATGTCTGCCGACGACGCCATGCTGGCCATGAAAGCCGGCCTAGACGGAATCCTACTCAGCAATCACGGCGGCCGAAACCTCGATACCAGCCCGCCGTCAATCATCACCCTCCTTGAGATCCATCGACGATACCCAGAGGTATTCGAGAAGATGGAAGTCTACGTGGACAGCGGTATCCGCCGCGGTACCGACATCCTTAAGGCCGTATGCCTGGGCGCAACAGCCGTGGGTATGGGACGAAGCATGTTATTCGCGACAAACTACGGCCAAGAAGGAGTGGAGCATTTGATTGATAGTAAGTGAAGATCAGCGTGTGGCGCGATAGACTATGCGAATCTAATTGGTTCCCACTAGTCATGCGAGATGAATTAGAAACGGCGATGCGAAACATCGGCATCACATCCCTGGACCAGGCCTCTCCTGAGTTTGTGCACACGGGAGATATAGATCATCTTGTTCCGGCATCCCGCTCGCACCCATACGCTCGGACCATAGCTAAAGGGCGAGGAGCCAAGCTTTGAGATGGGATCAGCTGAACAGGAAAGTACGGAGGTGCGATTGGCAAATCTGAGCGACTGGTCTTGAGAGTAGAGTATATATTTTGGGAAACACACACATTGCATGGCTTCCCCAATCAAGTGCACTGCTCTCAATCTAGGGATAGCTTCACCCAGGGGGATAATCTCTGGAGGATTGCTTGGAATCCCGCCAAGACGGTAGTTGCCCTTGCAATTTTGTTGCCCCTAGCCCATGGCAGAATGAGGATAGCTGCGCCACCGTAGCGTCCAGGATCTGGGATCACGACATCGGAATCCGAGGCATCCGTGAGGACCGCGAAGATATGCAGAGTCTCACCGAGATACTGCAATAGTGAATAAGACGGAGAGGTCCTCTGATGAGAAGAAACAGGTCGCTTTGTTAGGTAAGTGTTAAGGTATTTGTACATCAGTAGGAAAAGTATCAAGCACGGCGAGTCACTAGCGACACGTGTGTCTCACCGCTTGAAAGTCAGGCGATCTTGACGGTTGGGGTGATCACGAATGGCTGACGCGGATTCTACAGTAGGGCGGGGAAGAAGGCCCGTTTCTGAAGGCTTCGTAGCCAGTTGCAGGGCGGTGATTGGGGATCAGGGCCACTTCCGGAGGGAAGGAAGGCTCTCCGGGTTTCCCTAGTGGAGCCATTGCTGCATCGTGCAGCGAGCGGGAAAAGAATACCCAATAATAGGCGTGGAGGGTGGGGATCCGCGATAGAGTGGAAAGGATGCGCGCGGAGTGGAAAGTAGGAGAAGTACCCGGTACATCGAGTCACCTGGTCACCTTGAGTGGGTACCCAGTGTACCCCGTAGACACCCTCCCGAGGATCAGGTATCCGGTACTTTTTTACGTCGTAGATCTCATTACACCGGAACTGTTGAATCGGGGGATGTTGTACTTTCTCCCTATATAAAGCATGTTAAACCTTGGGTTCCCCTCTTTCATCTCGGTCTCTGCCTTGGTTCAGCTGCTCTCGAGTCTTCACCGATACTACCCCTGTGTAGAAGACGTCAACACTTCACCCTCCGTGGATCCACGCTATCGGAAAACGGGTCCAGACCGCCAAGAGGTGGGTTTCATAGCTCTCCCCAACGATTTCCCCGGCTCTCTTACTCACAGCTATAAAGGAGCCTGTTGTTGTCCTTTCTCCTTTTCCGTCCATTCTGAGATTTTTCTGATTCTGACCACTGGACTTCCTCCCGGTCCTTCCTATCTCTCCCGGAACTTCCTATAACTACTTGTGCTTCACCCTACCCCGGCCTATCTAGGCAGCTCTATACAAACTTACATTACTTTCACAATGGCTGCGCCTCGTCATACATCCCTGCGCGCTCTGCGCCAGCTTTCTCAGCAACCCATCGCCGCCCCTGCTCGTCGTGGTCTTCACATCACTGGCGTTCAGTCTGCTCAGCCCGCCAACCCTGCCGACAAGGCCTCTCTCTATGCCGCTCGCAGCCTTCCGGACCTCAAAACGGAATGCCAAAGACGCTCTCTCCGTGCTGCTGGCAGCAAGTCCGAGGTTCGTATCTTGTCCATCTGTCTGACGTCATGGTCAGCCATCTAACCAATTCACAGCTGATCGAGCGCCTCTCCAACCACGATGTCCTCCAGTCTCGTGCATTCAGCATTGCCATGCGCCGCATCAACAGCAATGCCTTCGCAGAGTAAGTGATCAAATTCTATCAACCCACATGAATTCATATGGCCAACCATATGCACCTCCTCTTCAGACCCTAACTAATCCTTGCAAACAGTCAATCCACTCGCCAATTCAACACATCCCGCTCCTCCAAAGCAGTTGGTGACTCCTCCACAGTCGATCTCAGTCTACATGCCCATCATGTCCGACATGGAAACCCGCACATCCCGCCTGGCTCAAATCCCGGTCCTTTCCGATCTCTACTCGCACCACGAGTCCACCTCCCCCTCCGCCCCACCCATGAAGCCCCAGATCTACACAGTCTCCGGTGCCGGCGTCGTCGCTGCCTCTCCAATGAGCGAAGTTGTCGACAATCACTCCGTTGACATCGACCCATTCTCACTTACTGAGGCTGTGGATCGCTCGCGCGTTGGCGAGGAGGTTCAGCGCCGGACTAACGGCAAACATACCGAGACGGGCATCATCAAGGAGCTGTGGACTGGGTTTTTGGATGATGTTCTCGGGCCCAAGGAGGTCGCGCGTAAGTAGGGGGGTTTTGATACCTTGACTGTGTGTGTCCTTAACGGCCTTTGATGACTTTTTTTTTTTGTGCGAGGCACCTCTTTGTCGTTAAGAGGGTCTGTTCAACTAGCGCTTGTGTAATTTTCTTCTTTATCACTTCCTTCTTATCTATTTACTATCGCACGAGGGTTGCCACAAATGAGCTCCAACGTGACCTCTAAACATAGGAAATTTCTAGTATCCAAATGGAAATACTCTTCCGATGCCGAGCTTTCTCATATCCCTTCGACAACGTTTTTTTACTCTGTGATTAGCCCATCAACGTTCGCGCCATCTGCCAAATTTCATGTTACCGAGGTACACCACGCTAGCCTCCGAAACGATCTACGCAATTAAAGATCTACAAAATACCCGACACCTCTAGGTTATACTCTATGTCAACCCGAGCTACCGGTCCCGAGGTCATGAGACTCGGGATGATCTGTCTTCAGACTATCCAATTAGCTCGGTTTACTGCTACCAGCGGATGAATTCGGTTAGGCGAGTATGGCGTGACGTAGGGTCCGGCCAGTCTTGTGTCTCCGGACTCAGGGATGTGGTCCCAGGTATGTCATAGGGCGGGTTTTTATTTACGCTCCTCCGAGATTGTGGAATCAGAAGGGGGTGGTGCGATCCGCTTCTTCAATGATTAGAGGAAATTTGTTGGGAAAGGATGTCGATTGCCTCGGTATGTATTTACTTGAAAAGAACAGATACTTGCAGATTTACAACGTTCAACTCATTCCCCAGGTGACGGTGAATACTGGGCGTGATTCATAGATAGACACTATAATTAGCGTGGCGCTGAACCGGACAAACCACCCCCGTTGCAATTCGGACAACTGATGGATGGAAAAATGTTGAGTGTTCTCTTTCATCCCAGGGCGAACAAGATTTTTCTGAAAGCGATGGGTGCGGGTGTGATTCTTCCAATGGATGGTGACTCTATCACCCTAGCGCTTCAGGTCTGAGGTGACATTCCGGTCTCTCCCGATCCGGCAAATAGACCTAAAGGCTGTGTGACCAGCCTCTATATGTCTTTAGGCTCTATGAGTCTTCTTCCAGACCGTTGCAAGTCTGGTGTTCGGTGGGGTATATCTACTGTGGTCTGACTATGTAACCTGCAGCATCGATATGCACTCGGTGTCTGGTCCGGGGTTTCTGTCCTACAATGCAGCCTCAGGTAGCCTATGCAGATCATCTGCGTCGACGTTCTGACATGTCTTGTGAGCCGCACTTCCCCTGTATGAGAAAAGTATTGTCTTCGATGTCGTTGAGAATATTAACAGTGTATCCACAAACGCTGGAGCTCGATCCATGCGCGTATCCGCAGACCAGACTAGCACCATACCTGGGCGAAGAACAACACCCTCAATCGATGAGATAGTCACCAAGACACGCCATTGAAGAAGAGTGACATTAGGTCTGGATTGTTGCTAGGCTAGAACCTGTCAAACTGATCTAGGGATGTGGTCTAGACCCCCTGTCCTGGCCTAGACGGGCACCCGTGGATGGGGCACCGAGTTATCTGTATTACCCAACTTTGATAGTTCAATACTAGCTACTCCATTCTGATGCATTGTGGCTACGTTTTTGACAATATCCATTGACTATCATCATTGATGATCTACGGTGCCCAGCTGGTCAGTGGAGTTATGCGTGCGTAATCTGATCAATCGTATGTTTCAGGCGGCGGGTGCGCCCCATAATGATGGCAAAAAAAAAAAACCTCGGCGCAGGATCTCCCTAGGCAGCAGAACTGCACCGGTCGCATGAAGCTATTATTGGAACTTCCGACCAGCTCCAAGATCAGCGTTCGGAATCGGGGTTGTAAACACAGATCGTCGCACAGGATCTGCATCTAGCCAGTTTGCAACGGGGAGCGAGGCCCATAGCCACGCAATGAATTGGGGCAAGTAGGCCACACGACTGGTCTAATTTCAGCCCAATGAAGCATCCAAGTGCTGATGATCTGTTCAAGCGAGTCTAGACCTCTGCTCATGCAGGAATGACCAGTTCAAGGAAATGGTGGAAGTTGGAACTGAACCCCTGAAGAAGCCGTGGACTCGTGCGCAAGGATGAACGTTAACGTGAACACTTGTACCACCCTCCAGACTCGAGCTCAGAACTATCATGATCTAGGAAATCAGTCAGACTAGGTCTCCACCGTAGATGCAATCTTAAACTCCTTTCTTTAGGCCTTTTGTAGCCCGGGATTCCAAGTTTTACTAGAAACCCAAGAAAGTAACGATGTCTAGTGCCAGGCTAGCTCCGACCGAACAGACGATCACAGCTTGAACGGTCCTTAGGGACCCACTACACCAACCCATTCAGGGCGATAGCGGACTTGTCAGGGGAGTATTTGCCTCCTGCACAGGTGCACTGGCTCGGTGGTTCAGTGGTCCACTGGTTCTGGGGAGATCCAACTGGCCTCCCCCTCACATTTGCAATTCGACCTTCACTTCACTTCCAAACCTCGTCATTCTCGTCGTTCCTTTTCTTTGCTGTATTTATTACTTGTTGTCTTGCTTTTCAGCCGTCTGTATATTGCGTGATTCTCGATTCGATCTTCTGGACCGAGCTCGCGAATTTTCCGCCGATCATCACCAAGCTAGCTCGCCCATCAGCCATTACACGACACTCCGCAGCTTGAGGGATTCCTCACCGAAGCTGCTATCTGTTGATCCGATGTCGTTCGAGTTCCTGCGCCTTTAGATTCTTCTCGAGATCATGCGTTTTTCACCATGTCTGCTCGTCGCCGGCCTTTCGACCGGCGTGCACGCCTTCTACCCGTGGGAATTGAAAGTGGAAACTGGTGTATTGCGCCGCTTCATGCCATGGACTCTGCTTCCTTCAGCCGAGGATGATATCTCCGTCAAGAAGCCACTGACCTTCGACATCAAGAAAGCCTCCGTTCGTCGCGACACCTACTCAATCGTCGAAGCCAATATACCGACTTTACCGCACAGTGCGCCACTAGACCAAGATGGATTGGACTATTCTTACTTCGCCGTAGTGCAAGTTGGTTCACAAAAGGAGGAAATGTGGCTCGCCTTGGATACCGGTTCCCCTAGCAGTTGGGTTTTCGGCACTAGCTGCACGGACAGCATCTGTACGAGTCATCATACATGGAATAAGTCTGAGTCGAGCAGCTACATCTCGAACAGCTCCTCCTACAGCATCGGTTACGGAAGCGGAAACGTATCGATGGATCTGGGGCAGGACATATGGTCCGTTGCGGATATGGATGTGACATTCACTTTCGGATCGGCATGGTCGGTGGCTAAGTCATTTGCAAACTACCCCATTGACGGCATTTTGGGCTTGGGGCGATCGCATGTCGATGGCTGGACTATTCCTTCCTTCATGGACGTTGTTGCCTCGAAGGCTTTGCTTAGCTCCAACGTTGTCGGCTTTAGTTTGTCGCGTGCTGCGGACGATGTGAAGGACGGCGAGGTCAATTTTGGTACTATTGATAATGCCAAGTTTGATGGTAATATCAGCTACACTGCGACCAATCAAAACCGCTGGACCATTCCCCTCGATGATGTTTACGTGAACGGCCAAGCCGTCAACTTCAGCGGAAAGTCCGCCACCATCGACACTGGCACCACCTATATTCTGATCCCCCCGGCTGACGCAGCTTCTCTCTTCGCCCTTATCCCCGGTTCCTCGAAGTCGGATGAGAACTATATCATTCCTTGTAACACGAAGGCCACTCTGGAGTTTGAATTCTCTGGTATAAAGTACTCTATTGAGCCGGAGGATTACATCGGCGCGTCCAGCACCGGTGGTTGTGTTTCAACCATTGTTGGCCACCAATCTGCTGGAGCAGACACTTGGCTTGTCGGAGACGTTTTCTTGAAGAATGTTTACACTGTCTTCGACTTCGATAACGTACGGATCGGCTTTGGAGGACGACTGGTCAATTCCACGTCTGTAAATGGCACCTTGTCTTCCACTAGCACCACCGAAACCAATTCCACTGCCGCGGCCACCGAAAGCTCTACGAATGCTGCTGCTGTGTCAGGCTCGACTTCCACGACGGCTGTTGCCACTGGCTCGGCGTCCCATCTCTCTCTCGGCCTGGGCTCTTCGCTGCTCATGACCGTTGCATCTATACTCTTCCTATAAGCATAACGCGTCCTCATCTCAATCATCGATTTCTCGCCATTTGCTATTGCAGCCTCTGCCATCCTCGATCTTCAACATTTCATTGCACATTGTCCACAGTTCATACCGGCGTTTTTTGTTCATACCCTTGAGTCTGGCGCATACGTTCCGAGACCATCTCGTCCCACTCACCGACATTCGTTCCATGTGGGTGATACCCATTGCACATACCGCCCGAACATCTCCGGCGAGATAATACCTTCGTTTCTTGCACTTAGAGCTGCAGCCTCTTTGCACACATTACAAACACTTCATATGCCTTAGAACGGCCCACCATGTCACCATGTACAATTAGAACAAGATTTCCTTGAGAGAAACAAAGCACACGTGTAGTCAATGACTTCTATCTACTGCAATTCAAGACCATCACAGAACCTTCTCGGGACAACGAGTAAGACTTTGGACCCGACTCTGTACAATCATTAGCATACAGATTCTCAACACTCCAAGTAGGCAAAGAAAACTTACCAACTTCTCTTTGTCAAAATCCTCCCCCGTAATACTCAACTCCTAAATCCACAACCTGCCCACAAACGCAAACTTCGCACCAAGTGCAAGCATCTTAATAACATCACTCGCCCCTCTCACCCCCGAATCAGCCATAATATAGATCTTCTCCCCAACGACCTCAACAATCTCCTCCAGAGCATCAAGTCTAGCAACAGCCCCACCAATCTGCCCTCCAGCAAGACTACTCACCACAATACCGTCCACTCCCAGGTCAACACTATTCTCATATCCTTCACACTCCGAAACCCCTAATCGCAAACGGCCGCTCGCCCGAAAACCTTTTCCATTGCTCAATCAGCCACGGGCATATCTCCCACAATCACGCCCGTCCATGCCAGACAGAATCAATCCATTCCGTACTCGCCGCCAAAATATCCTTGTGCGGATCAATGCCATCCCCCGCACGGCGTTTCCGGCAAACAGGATCCGTCAGACCCAATTCAGCACCAAAACCACAATAGAAAGCGTGAATCTAGGTCGCAACATCGTCATGTCTCTAGCCAAGTTGCCATGTACCCGTCTTTAGAATCAAAGTGTCGAAGCCCGCGTTCCATGCCCGATTCCACAACGACAACGTTAGTTCGTCGTCGTGGGGCATGTAAAGTTGACAGCGGACTCGTTTGCCTCGGCGACTTTTTCAATTGATGTATTTCCTGCCGTGGAGAGGCAGTAGCGCAGATTGAGTTCTCCGGCGACTTGCGAAACGGCTGCTTCGCCGGCTGGGTGATTGATCTTGTTGATTCCAATCGGGGCGAAGCCTATGAGGGCAGAGAAAAGTTGACCGAATATTTCGGTGCCGGTGTCACGGTTGATCGTGTCGACTAGACGGCTGGGGATGATGCGGTGTCGATAGAAGGATTGTCTGTTTGTGAGGTGGGTGTTTGACATTCCGGCGTTGGAGGATGCATAGTACCAGCCTCCTTCGGGAGAGCTTTTCTTTGGCTTATTCTTCATGCTTTGGGGGGCTTGGCTGTTGTTAATTCGTTGAAAGGAAACATTTCGAGGAGATTAATATATAGAATACTGGTGTTAAAGAGTGGTGTTTGGCCTTGATTGACCCTTTTGGAAGTCCTCGCGCTGGTACAGGCCCCGTTGCGGAGTATTTTTGGACTTAATATTCGGGTTGGTGGGATCACTCATGATTGCAAATGGCTTGAATTGTTTGGATTGGGACTTTATGAGCTGAAGATTGTTCGGGAGAAATTCTTTTGTGTCTTGATTGACTTCATATAGATGCTCTTGGAAGTATCTGACCAATGATCTCGAGCCAGATCTTGTTTGAGAGCTTCACGGTTGAGGAACCCTGACTGCAAATGGACATACACACAAGCGTATATATATATATATATATATAAAAGCATATATTTATTTCTCTACACAGGCCAAGCTTCCGCCGCACAGGGGTTAAGCCGTGGTGGTCTGCCGGTACGCCGATTCGGGTTGACTGATTTCCGACATCTGCGGCTGGCATTCTACTAAATCACAGCGAACTTCCAGACCATAGAGCAAATGGATCAGACATTATCCGCATTTAAATCTCAATTAAATAAAAATTCTGTCACACCTTATTACCAACGAGAACTATACAACCCGAAATGTTCGGCACTTTGGCCCCGAGAATCTCCGGATTGCCGAGCGCTAACCCGATTAGGAGCGACTGTGGGCATCTCTCGGCTTCGTCGTCATAGCTATCTTCATTCTTCCATCTACACCCTAGCATATACGCAAAATGTTTAGTCTCGCAGGAACAAGGACTGCGATTGTCCGCTCAAAGAAGCTCTCGGCGGTTGTGCTGCCTGTACGCGCTGTCGCCGCCACGCAATTGCCCAGCTCGCATCCTCGGGACTTCCACTCCACGCCAACAAATGCCGCGTTCAGACCTACCTGGATGCCGATGCGCGTCAAGACGGCTTGGATTGATGCTTTGACGGCCAGTCGGGAAGCCGCAAAGGCTGCGAAGGATGGTGAGCCCGAGGCACCGAGAGTGAAGCCGGATTTGACGCCGAAGAAGACGTCCGACAGCTTTTACAGTGCTGTATGTATTCTCAAAAAGTTCAAACATTAAGATTCTTTCGTTAAGACGCTTGATACAGGTATTGCCTTTGGGTCAAGATAAGTGGCTCTTGGACCACTACCTCAATTCTAGCGGTCACATCCGACTTGGCTCTTTGTTGATGGACCTCGATGCTCTTGCGGGTATTGTTGCGTACCGCCACACTGGTGATGGCGTCAGTACTGTGACTGCTGCTGTTGATCGTATCACTATTGAGCATCCGCTAATGGAGATAAGCGATCTTGAGCTTACTGGTCGGGTATCCTATGCGACGGGACGATCCAGTATGGAGATTTCATGCCAGGTGTCTAAGGCTCGGGCAGAGGGTGAACCTGCGAAGCCTGAAGACGTTCTGATAACCTGTGCTTTCACAATGGTGTCGCTAGACCCGGTTACTAAGAAGTAAGTGTTCATAGTCGGTACTATGTACCTCATACTAATCGTTAATAGGCCCGTTCCTGTGGCACCCCTGATCATCGAGACGGAAGAGGAGAAAGAGTTCTTCAGGAAAGGCGAAGAGAATTCCAAAGCCAAAAAGGCTCTCCGCACTCGCAGTCTCCTTGAGACGTCTCCTGACGCCGAGGAAAGCGACCTAATCCACGCAATGTGGACAAAAGAGATGTCCTATCCGAGTGAGCAACCCATCCTGCAGAATCCACACCAACGTATACCTAACAACTGCAGACCCCCAAGTCCCCGCTACCCGCCCCAACAACCAAGTCTACATGAGCGACACCGTTCTCAAATCCGCCATGATTATGCAACCCCAATACCGCAACCGCCACAACTTCATGATCTTCGGTGGTTTCCTCCTGAAACAAACCTTTGAGCTAGCCTTCTGCTGCGCTGCCTCCTTCGCGCACGCTCGGCCCAACTTCCTCGCTCTTGACCCCTCAACTTTCGAGAACCCCGTACCTGTCGGCAGCGTGCTCTATCTGCGCGCCACGATAGCGTACACTGAGCCTGAGGAGCGTGAAGACGGGGGTAAGTTCACCCGTGTGCAGGTGCGCGTCGATTCCAAGGTTCGGGACGTGGAGCATGGAACGAAGAAGTCGACTGGTATGTTCAACTATACTTTCTTGGTTGAGGGGGATGTCAACGTCATGCCGAAGAGTTACGGGGAGTTTATGCTCTGGACGGATGCGAGGAGGAGGGCGAGGAACGCGGCTGCGATTGATCCTGGGCATAAGAGTAGTGCATTGCGGAGTATCCAGGACAGTGTTACTGAGTAGATGTACGTATGCTAGGGGTCTAGTATCACTAATAGAATGTTTCAGTACGGTTTGTTCATTGAATAATAGTATCGGGGCTCAGCTCTTTTCGGAGTCTTACGATGTACAATCTCGTAAGACATTATCCTTGATAAATATTGCGAGAAGAATCAACTTTCTACCCCAGTCGACACTTGTTGCAAAAAGAACAGGGGACTCTAAAGTCTGGAATACAAATTTGACAGTCATGTTTTGTTGCCGTGTAGAGCTATGAAAAGTGTTATTTTGATCCACGAAGTCAGTATGGCGTTCATGTTCCTGTAATGTGGTAAATTGAGTGATTTGGCCAGACTTGGGCTAATACACTCATGCGCACTCCGCGGCAAGTTCCATTGTAAGAACCTCCTAGGGAGCAGTAATACCGAGCGAGGTGAAATCAAAATCACCCTTCATGGTGGTTTTATATCTGTGGCAGATAGCAGCCACAAGCGAATTCATTTCTGCCATTGCACGACTTCAAAGTATCAATAAGAAAGTGACCGAAAACATGATCAGGTCTGGAATCGAAGGCACATGACCCATTGCATTCTGATGCACGTCCTAACTTCGCTAGAGAAAGGCCAGAACCATCTTTTCATCTCTGATAAATTATTAATACAGCGCTCCGGATTGAACTTTGATAGATATCTCAAAACCTCGGCATTGCCATACAGGAAGTAAGGAGACATGGAAACAATTATCTCTGCTGGAACAAGATATCTATCAATCATCTTCGACACAGGGAGTGGTTGTGGCTCAGTTTCTGACAATAGAGTGTGCAGCCGTACCGTATCTTTGATCATTGCATCAACGTTAGGTCAATTTGGTACTTGCTTCCTGTCGCTGGAGGTCTTTCGCTAATCAGGCTTTCTTCAGCTACATTTTGAATTCACTCAATGAGAGTTGCTTCTTGAAATTCCTTATGCCCCGGTCGTGGAAGGGACCAGTAAGGTATAGCTGATTGTATCAATGCCAGCCAGAAGATGATCAGCACACTCTGACACAATGTGCATATCGTCAACACCCTCTCCCTTGTTAGACTTATGGTGATTCCGCACCTTGGCTATTAGAAAGCTCAAGCCCTAAAATACGGTGAAAAATCAATTAGAAAGGAATAAAAAAAGACCAAAGTGGCTCAGCCTCAGAGGCTTAAAAGGACATTTTCCGCAGTGTCATGATTGTGGGTCTTCAACAGTTCCAATATCCTTAAAGAATTCGGCAAAAGATACGAGAATCACCATCCGGAGTCCCAGCACGCCGGCGAGTGCGTCCACGAGCCTCTCTGACAATATAGAGGCTTGGTCCGCGTCTCTCAATCCTAGGAAGAGGACGCTCAGTAACTATAGGAAGTTTCGTCACTCCATGAATAGAGACGTCGTCGCAAAGGGTATCCGATAGCGTGCTCCAACTGGTCCTATGTTCCTCTTGTATAGAGGGATCGCGGCCATGTCCATGATCTTGGCTACACAGACATGGATGGCCGTGGTGTCGATGGCTCTCGTAATGGCCCTCACGGCCATTGCTATGTGGGGGTTGGCTCTGGCTTCGAGTCGTCCGGTTTGACCGATTTCGAGATCGAACGAGTTGAATTGACTCGCTGCGATCTTCAACGCTCCGAGGTGGATGGATCTCAGTTTGGCTTTCCCTGGTTCTATCGTGGCCATGGCTTGAGCGACTCCGCTTCATACCTTTTGCTTCGCGGGCCAACAAAGCAACGGCACGATTTATTGAGACTGGACCAGTGTAATGAAGACTATATTCGAAGGTCGGATTTCCTTGTTCCCAGACTTCAATGCGAGGTGTGCTTCGCGCGGGAGAGGAGGATGGTGATGGCGATCGCGCATCTTTGTGGTCAGGAAACCTCCTGGAAGTAGCTTAGCATGAACGTGAAACCAGCACATCGGCGCTGCTCACCATCGTTCTGACATCTTTGTCATGAGGGACTCTTTCTGGATGACCAGAATTGATCTCGCCTAACGCGCAGTTGTGAGGGAAGGGAAATTACGAAATACATTGGGACCGTACGGCGTGGAAGATGCGATGTGGAAGGTACGGTGGACAGAAGAACTTCCTGAACATGAATCGAAACCATCCGAGCAATGTGCAGAGATCAGCTTACGAGAAAGTGGGACATATGTCAGGGACGGTCAAGATAGCAATGCCAGTATGTGGATTCTAAAAGGCCATGAAATGTTCATTATGAAGTGCGAAATCCAGGTGAAAAGGTTTCTTCATGTCGCTGTCCCTCCGGCCTCCAATGAGGCCCAATGTGCTTCCTTTTGCAAGTTTAAGGCTCTAAGCCGGGCAGGACACGGCCCAGAAGTAAATGAAGATGAAGTTTCTCTGCTGTATGCTCAGTTCCAATGACCTCGACCATGAAGCTTGCGATGTTGGGGGTTATGTCCGCATCCTCGCTCTCCGGCTTCCCACCCCGCATAAGATATAAGAAATACATAATGTACAGATAAGAGTAGTCAGGACCGCGTATAGTTTCTCGATTCGGTTTTTTTCGAATGTTTTGGAGCGACGAAGTAATAAGTAGAATACCATATATACAACGCCTCAGTCGCCCTGACGTACCACGTGTATTTATAAAATGGCCAACGGGAATGCCAAAGAATCCCAAGGGAAAAATATGTGTATAAACAAAATGAAGACGCAAGACGCAAGACGCGAGACGCAAAACCCAACCCCCACCGTGATCCGACTCCACCGATGACAATAAAAGAAAGCGACTCCGCTTGGAGGATGATAGTTCCTCCCGGGTAATGCAACCAGGTATAAGATACCCAAATCCTAGGAAACTTAGAACTCCCTTCCGGTCAAATGGCAAAAATGATTTCGTGTAACTTCGTGATATCCTTGGACTGTCCTTCGCTTTGCTGAGGAGGAAGGCGGGATAGTTCAGTCGATGATGACAGTAGTAATTCTGCTGCGGTGCAGAAGAGTGTGAGGTGAGTTGATGGTGTGAGAGATGAAGGAAGGTGAGTGTGCATAATTGGAGAAAGGTGCACAGAGTGAATATGTAAATCTGGGGAAGCACCAAGACGTGTAATGTTTGGCTTGGCTCCATTGGCGTTCATGCTTGAGCAGAGCCGACAAAGCTGGCAAGAAAACAGGCCTTAGAAGCCCTTGACGAACATAGTTCATCATTGCTCACTGGGAACCTCATCGATAGTATTCGAGGTCAAAGATCCCGAATTCGACTGCGCCTGACCAGCCGCACTAGCACTGGAACCAGACCTATCTCTCGGTTCGGGCGGCGCTTCCTCTTTCATGCAAGCATTCTCCAAGATGTTCGTCCACTTTCCACTTGTCCCTGCATGACTATGCTTCAAATGCTGGCGGAAGTGATCCGCACGGAAAAACTTCTTTGCGTTATTGCATTCGCCGAATTTATGCACGCTAGTCAAATGTTCAAATCGACGGTCCCAATCGGGACGTGGAAAATTCGTGAATTCTTCACCACAGTACCCGCATGTGTCGTGAGAGGGTCCGGCGGGAGTTTGGCAGGACGATGAGACGGAGCCGTGAAAGGCGGCTTGGAAGCTTCGAAGGGCGGCGCAAGACCAGGAATGGCGACGGAGATGGAGGGAGTTTTGGTGGCGCTCAGCTTCGTTTTTGTTTTTGAATCGGTTGCTGCAGTATTGGCACGCGTATTGCTTTTCCATCTCATGGGCCCTGAAATGGGGTTAGCAGGTGTTCAAAGGAACTGCGCGAGGGGAAATTCTTACCGGAGATCGTCTGGATTGTCGAATTTCTTGGGCTTTTTGGGACAACAATCGCAGATGTATAGACCACTGATCTTCAGAGGGGCCTTGGGAATGCTGAGGATGGGTGCCATGGGCACTTTGCCCGTAGAGTCTGTGAGAGGGGGCTCGAGGGAGTGGGTGCCCCGGGGGATGGTCACGAGTGCTACTGGGGAGCTAGGATTTAAGATGGACTTTTCGTGATAGGTGTCGAGGTCGGAATTGGGAGATAGTCCCCCGGGAGAGGGTCGGTCGTATGGCGAGAGGCTGGTCATGCTGCTTCCTCCGATGGACAGCGCAGACGAGTAAGAACCGGAAGTCCGAATACTCAGGGAGGATGCAGCGGAAAGAGTCCTTTGGCTAGTTGGATAGCCGCTGTTGTTTACCGACAACGTATTCGTGAATGGATGCCCACTCGTCCTGCGTTGAGAAAGATCGCCATTGCTCGTGGCCAGGTGAAGGGTATTTCTATCGTCGCTGATAGGCTCCCGGGGAGGCGACGATGCTCGTCGCTTCATGCCCTGCTTGGAGCCCTCTGGATACGGAGGAGTAGGCTCACGGAGTACGAACTGTCGCGGCGGCGCGGGGTCATCTGGGGCAAATTCACCTTCAATGTCCGAGAATACGGCCTGATCATAACTTCCCCGATTTGATCGGCTGGGCAGGCTGACGCTGTCTTCTCGGGAAGGTGTCGTTCCTCGATATCGCCGTCGCCCAATATCCCGCATGTATGTAGAGTCATAGTCCATTGCCGATGAAGGAGCAGTACTCTCGACACTTGGGCTGCGACCGCCTTCAAGATACTCCTTCCAGCTCATCTTACTCATAGGAGATACGCCTCCAGCCGATTGAGGGCTGTTGTACCACTTCACATCGAGAGTTGAGCCTTCCGATGGCCCCGGCGAGGGCAAATTGCTAGATGTACGCGACGGAACAGTAAGTGCTGGAATGGACCCTCGGTGGTCAATGGAGCCCCGGTGATCTGATCCATGCCCGAGGGATCCATGTGGCGAAAGCGAGTTGCCAATTTTCGAAAGAAGATGCTGATCATAAGCGTTTGACGAGTCCTTCACACTTCGCAATGAGAAGTCTCGCTCGCCCTTGAGAATCGGGCCTGTTGAGCTGACAGCTATAGAACTTGGGAATCCGTCATCTGTTGGAGGAGGCGGCTCAATCTTAATCTGCGCCTCAGGACTGCGTGTGATTGGCACTCCACCGTGCCTTCCTTCCAGTTCATCTACCGCCATAGGATCGCTTCTAGGTACCGCATCGGGCCTTCGATGGCCACCAAATAAACTCGAATTCGGATTGATTGGGGGAAGTGCATTTATCGATCGTCCAGGATTTCCATGCACCCAGCCAGCGTCATAACCGTTCTCCAAATCGCGGATCCTCGAGGGCGGAGGAAGTGGCGGGGGCGCAGTATTCATGGCGGGACGGGACGGTATAGGTAGCGGACCGTGAGAAGAGAATGGCAAATCGGGCATCATGTGAGAAGATCTATTGTCGTGGCGGTGGAGATCCTTGGATTCAAAAATGGTTGGCGAAGGGTCAAGTCGAAGGTCCATTCTAGAACGCATTCGATGGGGCGCTGCGCGTGGACATAAGGCGAGAGCTGAAGCTGAGACGGCAAAACCAAAAGTCGCAAAAAAAAAAGGGCACCAGCAGATCGAATCAAGATCCTCACGCAGCAATACCCAAACCAGTTGAGTGTAAAGGATCGGTCGTGGAACTCCGATTCCTAAGCAGACTAACCACTGATAGAAGGTCCAGCTTCTAAAGCAAATCCAAAGTGGCGAGAGCTGTCAAGAATAGTTTCTCATGCAGTCTGGGAACTAGTTGCAAGTCAGACTGGTGGAACGGGGCTGATAATGCGCGCGCAAGGAATAGGGCTGAGATTCGGAGAAACACACCTCGGGACCCTTGGGCGATTCGCCTCATGGGATAAAACGTTTGCAATAAGTGACACACAGCCTCAGTCTGTGTTCCATAGGCCCAGTCAATGGCAGTGCACGAGATCGGATTCACACATGCTCTTTTGTTTCTTTTTGGTTTTTTTGTTTTCCGACTTAGTACATAACCGTGCTCGGTCGAAAGGCAATGCGACTCGTGAGTATAAAGGTCTAGCGCGGACACCCCGCCACCAGCTGAACAATTGGTATGTTCAGGGCTGGGCTTAGTAGGAATGGTACAGCTGGGGAATTAAAAGCCCCCTGAAAAAACCCCCCCCAAGTCTCCGGCACTAGTCAGGTCAAGGAAAGGAGGAATTGAGAAGGGGAGATCGGGCAGTTAGAAGGGCTTGGGCAATGATGGCGGTGCAACCAGTTGATTGGATCCAAAAGGCTCGAGCGGACTTAAGATGGAAAGGGAGACGATCTCGGTGATCTCATCCTCACCGAACTGATGACCGAAGAAAGGGGGAAGAGTCGGGAAGCAGCGTAGGAGTAGTGGGCACAATAAGGAACTTGGAACCTACAAAGAGGCAAAAGAGGGTCGAAACATGAAAGCCGATGGGTCTTCATGCGGACTTAACCTGCCTAGGGCCTGACGTGGGCGCGAAGAGAGGCAACTTTGGTAAAGGCGCAGTGGTACGGGTATATGTATGTAAGCCACTTACAGACTTACATACCAGTACGAGCGTTGGCGGGTGGAGACCTTTGGAATAGGATCATCAGATCTCGATTACTGTCGTACCCGCGTGGGTGGTCGCCACGTTGGAAATGACACACTACGTCTTCCCCCCTGGTAAATAGGGCACAGGGCTGGGATTAAACTCTGCCTTCCCCCCGTCAGCCTTAAGGAGTACGCGGGCGTCCCGTAATTTTGACTAGGGTTCTCCAGGCACGATACCCAACCAACCGTACGCTTCGGACTATGCTGGCCCATCCGTGGTTCAGCTATTTAGGGCCATTGGTCTTCCAGACACTGGCATGATCGAAGCTAGAGGACGTTCTGGGCTTGGACCCCTTTCTCCCCATCCCTACGACATCTTATGGACCTTATGTTCAACCCGGGGTGATCTCATAGCTTCGTGAATGGTACCCAAGACAATAATCCCGGGGGAAATGATATAGATGACCCTTGACTCTAGCACATAGTAAACTTGACGCCAGAGTGGGGTGTCACTTTTGGAAGTTTCGTATATTGGACGCCTCGCGATGATCGGGCGTCCCTTGTATGTGGAGGGGGGGGGGGAGGGGCGGTTGATTTACTTGCATGTTGCATCATTTGCCAGGATGAGAGGTAGGGTGTCGCATGCAAAGCGCTTCTTCTGGGTACCGAGAAATACGATAGAACATCGCTAGTAGCGGGATCGAGACACTTCTCCTCATGAGAACCATGGTAAGCGTGGCCACTTAGGCTGTCCAAGATCGGGCCAACACAATGGACAACAAGTCGATGACCAGGCTGCGGATGAGCAAAATTACAGCAAGTAAAAGTAATGCACCGTAGAGTCTTGGTAGCCTTGGCAGTAGGCTTATATCTGCTAGGATTGTCGCTACGAGAATCCTGACCGTTCTCGGTTCGGTCATGAGCGGAGTCACGGAATCCTCACTTTGACATTGTCTCTGGATTCTGTAACTTTTGCAAAAGCCAGAGAGAACATTCCTTCCATGAGTCGGACAATGCTGAGTCGTGGGAGCCGACCCACTGATTTACTAGCGCACTCCACTTTGGGCCCATGCATGCATGCACTGCCACACTGCTGTCCGCTGTCATTTAGCGTTGGAAAGAGCATGGGGGGGCAAGGAGAATGAAAACTTGCATCACAAGTATTTGGTGATCCCTAGGCCTCGATCATATCGTCAGACCTTTAATAATACCGGATGGTAGCGCGCATTACAAAGCGCGAACAGCAGATCGACCTTCACGTTGGACGTTAACGAGAGGTGCTGACTCATTCCCTTGTGCTCCACACCTGTCGCAACTTGAGGGTCATGGATCAATTTTTCCCAATCTCTGTTTCCTATTTATCCCTGGTTCGTCATTCGCTACACAGCACCCCAATTTTCTTTTTGAAAGGGGGAGCTCGGCAAGAGTAGATTGGTTTTGCTTACAGCAATAGTCTACACCTCTTATTTCAGGGGCTACCCTATTCAGTCGGTGGGGCCCCCTTCTTATTATAAGGCCGTAGGGCCGCCTAGGTAAGCCCTATGGTCATTCTGCGTGACTATTGAACGTCCACTACCAGACACTCTCGGTACATGAAGGTCCAAATGTAGGAACGCCTGATACCCTTCAAGACATTGACTCAGTTGCCCTTGAAAAGATGCGGTCGTACGAGGCAGGATGGCGACAATACGTATACTCTTGGCATTATTCCTATTATCACTGGTCCCCCTCGAGCTGTGGCTTGCGGTTTCCCCGGGAAGCTCCAAGTCTATTAGTTACAATAAACTTTTCCCGCATTCTATGGATCATGGTCAATTCCTAGTTGCTCTGTAATTTAGTACATATCGGGACTGTACATGCATTGGAATCTACGCGATCCAAGATCGGTGTTCTGCACGGCATCAGACACTTGACTATCTGGCTTGGCACGGTCAGCGTGGATGCAGTCAGACAAGGCTGTGCTAGGCGTCAGCCTTATTTAGAAGGCTGCAATTCTCAGAGCGCGTGCGCGTCAATGCCTCGGTGAATGTGACCATTTCACTGAGTCAGGTCCAGGAGACGTCGGGAGCTGATGGCGATTCATTGTGCCTGTCTTCGCTCCAAGTTACCCGCAAATTAGAAGCACTGGGGGGGCCAGACCCCTTGCAGCCGAGCAAATCGGCTTCATTGTACCGCCCAAGGCCCCACAGCGGTGAGAACCGCTTAGCTAGGACTTTCGTCAGCTTTCACACCGAGATTTGAATTTTCTGGAACTTTCTCTTTCCGGTAAGTATTTACGAGGCTCGGATGAAAGAGGAGATGATTGGCCGGGAAGCTACGTATTCGGTGTAGCCAAAACCACGTAGTTTGAGAGTGCTTGGTTCATTCCACTCGGAAGTGCGCGGTGTCCAAGATCCAATCCCTCAAAGTGCGGAGTGACGGTCGTTCGTGGGTAGCTCCAGAGCATTGGGTTGATCCACATCAGGTAATTGGCGTAGTTGATCATATCGATAATGGGGATTGGCTGTTACGCTTTTACAGTCCTGTACTTGACTTTTGTGGGCGCTTCCCAGACCGTGAATAAAATTGTAGTGTTCATGGAGTTCACTCTGCAAGGTTCACACATGTCATGCCTGAGGCATTAGTAGTCACCTGGCCTGACAAAGCCCTTACCCTAACAGACTTTTTGAGTTTAGCAGGGCCGAGGCTCCAACTTCGTTCTAGTTGCAGGTTGCTGAAGTTAGATCTTCTTGTTGATAGTCGACGATACTAAAGCTTCCATGACGTCTCCTATGCAGGCAGACCCTGTCTTTGTGAGCGCCATGGCTATGAACCAGATTCCCGGCCATAATATTTACATTGGAGGGTGAGTCTACCGCCGTGCATCTTGCTATCTGATGGCTTTGCCTCGTTTGAAGTGGGCCTGGTGCTGAACCATGTCGCCTTGTCTTCTGTATCGCTGACCGTCATCCCCACTCTGTAGCATCTTTTGCCTCAAGAATAAAGCGGCCCTTGACCGGGCTAATATCACTCATGTGGTGTCTGTCTTGAGACTGGCTCCATCTGAAAATCTGTTCTCAGACTTCCAGCAGCACAGAATTGATATTGATGATGTTGAAGATGAAGACCTTCTCGAACATCTTCCAGCCGCGGTCAGGTTTATTCGATCCGGCCTAGACGCGGGCGGCAGCGTCCTAGTGCATTGGTAAGTTTACCCTGCTTCGCGCCTCCTGCATTTCCCCTCTCTCTCTTCTCGGCCGTCTCTGCTTCTCGGCACTTTCTCTGTCGTTTCGCGGCTTGCCTCCTACGTCATCACGTGCTGTGTCCATTGGGATCTGCACGGGGCGGAAGCATACTTCCTTCAACACAGCCCATTGGATCGTCCCTGTGTCCCTTTGCTTCTATTGCGTTCCATGTGTCGACACGGACAGGGGCAAATGGCTAGCCTTTTGCGGCAGTGCAATAACTGACGACGATCTAGTGCAATGGGAAAGTCCCGATCCGCAACTGTCTGCATTGCCTACTTGCTCCACCAGCAGCGCAGTGGGCTCACACCAGAGTCCGCTCTAGAGCTGATCCGCCAATCGCGGCCGCTCTGTGAGCCCAATGATGGCTTTATGGAGCAGCTCAACCTTTATTATGAGATGGGCTGCCCTGATGAGGTCGCAGATCACCCGGTGTACCAGCGCTGGCTGTACCGGCGCGAGGTGGAGGAAAGTGTGGCGTGTGGGCGTGCCCCGGAACTCAAGTCAGTGCGATTTGAAGACGAGCAGCCCCAGCGGCCTCAAGAACCTACCGCTCAAGTTGTGGAGCTTAAGTGTCGCAAGTGCCGGTTCGTATTCCCTTCCCGATGCGGCAAAGTCTGAGAGGCTAATTCCGACCAAGGCGTGGGATCGCGGATTCCAAGTACATTATTTCCCATGATCAGGAGAAGAAAGAGAGCAACAAGTACCGATCCAACCAGGAATGTGCTCATGTGTTTTTACATCCTATGAAGTGGATGCGTCCCAGCTTATTCCCAGAGGCCGGCCCTAATGACTACGAGGGTGATGCTCCCTTGACTGGCCGCTTGGCCTGCCCCAACACTTCCTGTGGTGCCAACATTGGCAAGTTCGCATGGCAAGGTTTGCAGTGTAATTGCGGTCAGTGGGTGGTCCCGGCCATTGGCCTTGCCAAAGCTCGAGTGGACATCGCCAATAAGGCTCCCATTCGCGGAGCAGGAAATCTTCCTCCGCCCGCACTAGGCATTCGTATGCCTCCAGGGATGCGGACTCCTGGAGCGAGTGACGGTACTGGGCGCGGGAATCTGTAAGATGTGAGATATGACACGTGAGATGATTTCTACGATCTACAATATCCTATGGCATGCATGCATGGTACTTTTTTCGAGCGATAAAATTTCTCAATTGAAAGGAAATACCCATCCACTCTTCTATTTTGCGCACCCTTTACTCGAGCATGCTATACAGAATACATTTTATTAGCCAGATGATCGACGAGGCTCCACAGGCCAATGACGAATCTTATTGACTGTGCTCTGAAGCCACCTCGCAGCCCTGCAGACGTTGTCCGCGGGCTATCATCCTTTGGGACAGGCCATGTTCCGGCCACTTGCGTCAGTGGAGGCGAGAAGCTCGCTCAGTATCACCTTACGTGAAATCCGTTCTATGCCAGGTCCACGGTGGGTATACTCATTTTAGCAGGGACAACAGTGAGGCTCTATCTCCGCCGCAGCTCCGTGACTACCATTATTTGAACAATCATTGGAGCTGTTTCAGACCAAGCAAGTGGCTGTCTGAAAAGGTTCTCATGCGCATTCACATGTTCAGCTCCTTTTTGTCTTTAGGTAAAGCTACGGAGGCTTCTAGAGCGAGACTACCCGAATAGAGAACACACTAGCGGCTCTTGCAGGTTCTTATTCGCGAACCATGTTTCTATAGTGAGCAGTCACATCTACAAGGAAGTCCATGGTGTCAGCCATCTACACATCAAGATTTCACGTCTCTCCAACCATATGCAAGTTATCAGTTTTTGCTGTGGAATAGATCCATTCCCAGTTCTAGCCTCACACTAGCTTGCCATGAGGAGAGCCCCACGATCGTGAAGCACGACGGGCAACTCCGCCCAGCCAATCGCACACCCTCGCCCACCGCGATGAGGCCAAGAGCTGGCAATCCCAAGTCTCTGAAACCCAGTTAGTCGCGCGCCAGACCAAACAACTTGAAGATCACGGTGCAACATGACTCCACACAATCTGTCAGTTCGTTTCACACAGACCAGCACAAAAACGCCAATGACGCCAGAAAACCTCGGTAATTAATTCCCCCTTGTGGATGGAGACAATTTTCCAAGGTTGGGAACAGAGAAGGAGGCTGTGCAAAAGCGGGTCTTCTTCCTATGCCTCCCGATTGGCGTTTCTTGCTGCGCTGCGTGTATTCGTAATACTTGTCATATACCCGTTCCGCTTGATTATTACTTACACCGTGCCAAACCCGTCCACAGGGGCCCTTTACCTGGATTTCATGGCTGGAAGCTTAATTCTCAATTGAATGAATAATTCAATTGTCCGGTAATTGACATGATTTACAGCCCTAGTGTCAGTCCTACGACCCATGAATCGCATGATCCTTGGGAACCCCAGGTCGATTGGCTCAAGGCCAGGAATGAAGCCGCTACATGCCCATTGGCGAGCAGATCCTAGTGGGGGTGGGGCAGTGCACTGCCTTGCAGGGGAGCTCTCAGCTTTATGGTGGAGTCCTACATACTTCCAGCCTACAATGAACGAGGTCAACGCTGATATCATAGCTTCTTTTGCAACCCTCGCTTAGTGAGGCTAGTGCTTAAACTTCTGGCCCCTGGATCTCCTTATCCGGCTAGGGTTAATGTGATCGCCTTGCATGAATCGGTGACGCTTTGCAAACTTAGGCTGTTTTGGGAGGGGGGAGGGGTCGGATCTGATAATTAAGCTGCGCTATGAAGTGATCCTGCGCAGCTAGCTGTTCACATGTTGGTGGAGCTTTTTTTGAGCCCAGCAAAATTGGATGTCAATCACGTCTGGTCAGAGTTATTCAAGAGAACTGCAGAGCTAAGCTATCTGGCTCCATGTTGACATCGCCAAACTGAAATACATCCGAGTCGCCCTTACTACATGTGACACAGCAGCCATCTATGGCCAAGGAGTGGCTGATACACTTGTCTGACTGCGCTATCGGGTACGCTAAAGCTCGTAGGGCTAGGCTAATAATCATTCCTGGATTGGGGGAGCCTGCTAGGCACCTCTCGGCGCGAGATACCCAATCTGCACGCGGGGCTCATCGACGCATCTGCATACGCCTCTAGATCAGGGTCTAGATTGAGGCATTGCTAGGCAACTGGATCACTGTATAACATATCTCAAATCATGGGGTTGATCATTGATCTGTGAGAGGAGCTATTATTAGTTGATACTTGCTCGAATACGAACACGACTGACATCTCCGGAATAAGACGGCCCTGGATTGCGCAATCTAGAGCTACAGCGGTATAGACTTCTTGACGCAACTCTAATTTTGTAGCACTAGGCAGCGCCCGGGCAGGAACTACCCGTGTTAGATCGCATCATGTAAACTCCGCCCCCATCAGAGCGTCACGAGATCCCTAGGGCCATCCAACTAAACGCCCAGCTCAGGCGCACAACTTTGCCCGGCTCGCAGAGTATCATTGGCACCGCCGAGAAACAATCTAAAGCAGTTGGAATCGAGCATAACACTGCGTTAGCCCGCTAAGGCTGATGGGGGCTAGATTCTAGAAGAGGGGTTCGCTCTAGTGCTTATGTCTAATGTACCCCACTACAAGCTCATGCAACACGTAGAGGCGGACTTGACTGAACGGGTGGTCACACTATGTCATCAGTGAGATATGTTGCTCAATGAATTTGCTAGAAATGGCAAGGGTCGGGTCAGGCGGACAGGCGGATGTAGAAGGCCTTGCAGATAGTTTGCATTTGACGATTTACATGATGAGGTGCCAGATGAGTGATATCCGATGAGCAAAAAGAGATTCTAAGCCCGGCGGAAGACCGCGAATATCCTTCCTGCAGGATTGCGAACCCTGTTTGTTTCATGTATACAGATACATCGGATCTGGAATTGGGCCTTTTGCGTATGAGGATGTTGGAGTAAGGCTCATGGTAAGGCACACTGCTGTAACGGTGGCTCAAGCTTTGCTGATTGCATCCACACTGTAACAATAAGGTTCTGCTTATGTCTTGCGGAGCGCCCATATGCGAGAATGATTCGCAGTGTTGTGGGATGGATTGCTTTGCGTGACCAGAAAGGACTCACGTTTTCCCGAAGCTCGCAACTCGTCTTTATGACACCGGTGATTGAGGGCCATTTTTTGAGGGTGAAGCACAGTCTGAGAAGGGGTGTGACGTCTCTACGAGGCTCATTACTGCAAGCGTGGCTTGAGTCAAGTAGTGTTGAGGGTCACATTCCTCGCAGCAGCATCAAGACATTGCTGGTTAGGCTGAGTCTAACGATGATGAGTTCACGAATTGTGACTTAGAGGTCACGTTTCGGGACCGAGGGGGAATAAAGCAGGGTTCTTCATTCTTTCCTGGTTCCTTTTGGCCAATTCAATATTTCGCAATCGATCAATGCGCATCTGATAGAAGTTCCTGGGACGTTGTTAGAAAAGTTTCGAGCACATAGTATGACGAAAACTTGCTTGTGAAGAGCAAATACTCTCTGAGAATCATCCACCTTAGACTCTCCAGCTTTCCGAATCGAATTAATCTGTGAAGCATTAGCCAACTCTATAGCACCCTTACTCACTTCTATGTCCAGTGACTACCTTTTCATCTCTATCTTTTTCATCCTCTTCGGAGTTACCATCTTTCTCTTTTTCCTCTGACTTGTCTTTCTCTTTATCATCTTTCTTCTCCTTACTATCCTTAGCAGCTCGCTCCTTCTTGCGTTTTTGCTTTTCCTCATATTCCTTTTTGACCTTTTCGATCTCTTTAGTCATCTCTTCTTCCTTGCGACGCGCTGCTTCTGCTTCTGCGTTAATAATAGGCGAGCAGAAATGCCGGTCTTGTAAGTGTGCTGGGCACACGTAGAAAAAGTCCTGTCTTGAATCAGCCATTGGATACATAAACTTGGATTGAAATGATTCAGACGAGCATAAATAGACGGCTCGATTGGCTAGCAAAATCATACCTTGTTATCTGGTGTGATCAACACGCTGGTTGACGGCTTGTAGCATATCAAACATGCTTTTGAAGAGGTGTCTGCGACCCGGCGCAGATGGTAGACATTCGTCAGCAGCGACATTTCCACAGCGTGAACAGCTTTGATATGTTGTCAATATGTTCACGGCACAAAAGACACGGTGACTGGCTCGGCAATGAAGGCAGATTCAGGAGGGGCTCAATATGAGGTTCTCGCGGCGATGGCTGTCATGTGACCCATGTCGAGAAGCGAAGTGTTTTACACAATATAAAACTTCCAAGAACATTGGCATGTCTGACATGGACTTCGGATGTTTGTACACTTATGTGCAGGCTACCCTATTCTTTAACTTAAAATGAATTTGTGTTCAATGAGAAACGAACGCCTATCCATGCATTTGTCCACTGAGGCCAACCCCGATGGGAATCTAGCGGCGAGCTAGTGACCATCGCCTTTGACGACGCCGAATTAATACACAACAATGAATACTAAGCAAAACAAAACCATCATACATCATGATTATCACTCCTCGTCGACACCAGCCGCCTCCTTGGCCAGTCTGAGATCTTTGCCCACAACACCGATCTCCCGCAGGTACGGCTTGAAGGAGGTCAACAAATCGCGGAGGCTACTTTTGAGAGCATCCAGAACAAGGTCCACCTCCGGCACCCGGCGGGCTACCGCTTGAGCCTCGGGATCTTTAGATGATGGGAAGTTGACGTCTGTCCAGTGTGCGTCGAGGCCGCCTTGGTGCACAAATGCCTCTAGGGTAATAATGGTTTGCGTGAAAAGACGGATCACATAAGGCACATCGGCCTGGACTTTACCATACTGATCTTCTGCCAGACTGGCGATCAGAAGGCGAGCCAACGAGTCTACAGCATCAATGATTGGACTCAGAGATGAATCTGGAGAGCCGAGAACAATGCTTGACGCCCGCTGGGCGTAGGTTTGTCGGAAGAGTTGGCCGACGGGGGAGCGGAGAATCTGGACGATGGCAGGGTTGACGTTTTCCGGTTTGAATGTTGAAGAGGACCCTCCCGTGAGCAACTTCAAGTCTTCCCCGGTGGCAATGAGCCTTTGTTTACGCTCGGGGCTGAGCATTGCCGACGAGGCCTGGTCGATAACCTGGCGAGCGCGAGCCCGTGCCATGGGGGTCCAGTCTGCGGACTGTCCATATGATTTGGCCGTTGAGCTGAAAGCTTCGCCGAATTGCTGCTGGCGCGAGCTAGCTTTTGGTGACGCCGCAAAGACATTCTCAGTCTTCGGCGCATCTGTCAAACGTGGCAGAGTTTGGAGAACGGGCTGAGGAGCATCGGCTGGAACTGCGGGCTTAGCACCAGGAGCAGGAGCCTTGAATGTTTCAATTCGAGTATTAACACCCTTGATCACATCCGTCATACAGGCCAACATCTGTGACCAGGTAGAGCCACCCTCTCGGTCAATTTCATTGAAGATGGCCTTGCGGCGCTCTGGCAAGCGCTGGCTGATGAGTCCAAGTTCCCAGAAAGCAAAGGTCTTCACGGCGATCTTCTTAGCCTTCAATCCAGTGATCAAGCTGCCGTTAGGGTCCTTGGCTTCCGAGGTCAGTGGCTGTCCACGCTTCAGTGGTTCCTTGCCGATGAAGATGGAGAAGAACAGATTAGCCGCCTGCCAGCACAGGACAAGTAGAGAGCCAGAGGAAATAGAGCGGGCAATCAGGAAAATGAAACCGGGAGGAAGAAGCGAAGCAGGTTCCGCGGACGATCTTGGGATGTTCCAGAAGAGCTTGGCGAAGTACAAAGACCAGCTCCACGCGGTCTGTCGAAGCATGAATTGGTATACGAGGGGAGTAACAACAGCGACCCACATGGTTCGTGTGAGACCATCAATGAGTGTCTGGGGTAGCAGGGCCTGAATGTGTTTCGATGTGGCAGGGATGGGGTGTGTCCGCACATCAGGCGCATCAGAAGCTCGCTTCACGGTAGGGATTGGAACTCGATCGTAATCATTGGCGAGATGGATCACAGCCTGCCAGCATGCCAAGAGTATGTGGAATGTATGGATGTAGATTGGGCGCTCGTTGAGTGATGGTCGCTCGTGCAGCCTGAAGTCTTCATTAGCGCTTGCTCTGGAGGTCGCCTTGATTTCTGTCAACGTACTTGCCCCGTTTCACCATCTCCAAAGCCGCCTCGGCAGAGGATGACCATAAGTAGATTTCGGTGAACCACCAAGCTGAGAAAAGATACCACCCGAAAGTCTGCGCAACTTGGAGGGGGAAAAGATATCTGAAGGTCGCGATCGAGGATGTCGTCGTTCGCGAGCCAAGGTGAAGTTGGCCAACGCGCAGTACGAAGACAGCGAGGGATGAAACGAAGAGTAAGACCGCGCGGATTCCAGCTCCACCGATGGGGAACCATGACCAGAACACTGCAAAAGGCATCTATGTCAGTGCCTGAAGCTCAGAAGCGGATTGGAAAGCTTTCGCAGCGCCGCAAAACTCACAGGATGATTTGTCGCCGATTGCAATTGCGACGACATATGAGACTAGTAGGGATAAAGCTGATGCATGAACAAATCGACGGTGCAATGCCGATGTCAGGATGCGCCTATAAGGCCGACTTTGAGGGGCGGCCATCGTGCTAGCTGGAGTGGGATGGCTCTGAAAGAGAGAATGTGAACAGTCTTAGAGCATGATCAGATTGACCATCCCAGGAGTTTTGAGACCTGCTGATGGTAGTCGTCGGTTCAGCGACGGGTTGGCGGGAGTCAAAGACGAGTGGGAGCTGGTCGCGCAGTGCCGTTGGGAGCAGTAGCAAGCTGAGTCCATGATGGAATATTTTGAGGCATCAAAACACACCAGCCACAAGTCAGGTGATATCGTGGCTTGAGCAGGTGGCACCTGAGGCCAACCCTATTATAGACTAGGGTGGATACGTCATGTGAGTCGCAGTCCTCGGGAGGCAGCAAGGTGCTTGTCTCGTGCCTTGTGCATATCTCCTCATTACTCTACGTTTGTTCTTCAGCGTTGCCCACTATGTCCTATGACCGCTTGAGCTCCCTGGAGGCTCAGTCCGGCTTCCGCCGCGAAGAAGACTCAGTATACCGCGATGATCCTGGCTTCGACCATCTCGCGGAATCGCTCTCTGATCAGTTGTTCACACTGACCTCCAATATCTCTCGCTTGTCAAACCAGATTGCACTCCTGGGAACAAAGCGAGATACTGAACGAGTGCGGGAAAGGGTCCACAATCTCTTGGAGGAGACTCGAACCGGGTTCAAGGATGTGGGAGAGGGCCTGAAGAAGATCCAGACTTGGGAGGACGTGAACGTATGTACATGCCTGCACTTACATATAATTTGATTAAATTTGACTTATCTCGACACAGCCATCGCAAAAATGGACTCAACAAAAGCTGTCATCCGAATTCAAAGCAAGCCTGGACGAGTTCCAGACCGTCCAGCGGCGTGCCTTAGAGAAACAGCGTGCGTCCGCAGTTGCCGCGCGAACCGCCATGGAAGACACAGAACCCGGAGTTGCCGATAGTGAGGGTCACTTGCAGCAGCAACAATTGGAGGAGCAGTCTCGCCTGGCTAACCAGGGCGAGGTTGACTTCCAGGAATCTCTGATCATCGAGCGAGAGACAGAGATCCGCAACATCGAACAGAGCGTTGGCGAATTGAACGAACTATTCCGCGACGTCGCACATATTGTTCATGAGCAGGGTGGCCAGCTCGATATCATCAGCGAGAACGTCCAGAACGTCACTCAGGACACCCGTGGGGCAAACACTGAGTTGCGCAGTGCCAGCCGATATCAGAAGAACGCACGCAATAAGGCATGCTGCTTGCTTGTCATTCTTGCTGTTATTCTGACGATTATTATTCTTGCTGTTGTTCTCGGATAGACCTGGTTTTATCACCGTTTTTCTGTTATGATTTCATCCTGGCGGTCGATTATCTCTCTTATGTCTTCGCACGATATCCCCGATGCATGATGCACTCATGGTTTGCCCTGACCATTTTCTCTTGTTTTCATAGTTTCTACAAGTTTTGACTCTGACGTATATTGAATGGAGAACATGGCTTCCTCTAGGTCTTGTGTTGTGCAATATCGTACACATGGTTATACATGAATTATACAGTTGATGCTTCAGGATCAGACCGCATCACAGGCCGACGAACTTGTTGAATCTCATTCTCCAGCCTTCATAAGAGTTCAGCTTTGGCCGAACATCCAAGTAGAAGCTCAATTTCCCAGGGCCGGCATTGCCTGCCAAGCCGCCCGAATTCCCAGCTCCGGTCTTGCCCTGGTAGAAGTCGATCACATATTCAACACGCTCTCCCCCGCAGCGCTCAACGACCCAGTCATGTCGGTCGAAAGGCAGCTGATAGCCGAGCCATCCGTTGATTCGCGCACGGGGACTCAAGAATTGCGGATCAACTCCAAGGCCCCGGAATGAGTACAGCTTAGGTCCTCCACATTTCTTGCTTCCTGGGTCAGATGAAGGGGCTTTATTTTCCCAGTCGACAATCTGTTGCCATGCGCGTTCGTTGACCGCGTTGTGAATGGGAATGATAGATGCGACAGATGTCGCAAGTTCAGAAGCGGATGATGTGGACCCCGGGGTGTTGCCTTTGCGCATCAAAGCTTCGAAGAATTGTTTCTCGGACGGATAGATCCAGTTGCCAGAGGCTTCATCATGGCCAGTCTCGGCTTCGGCGTTGGATGGACATCCATGTGAGGCAGCATATGGTGAAGGCGCAGTGGCTGAGTCTTTATTAGATTCGGGGCAGGCTTTCGCACCCACTTCCCCGGCTCGAGGTATTGTGCTGACTTCGCGGTCTGTAGATAGCGGGCGTTGATGTTTGACCGGGCCATGTGTTGATTCGGCGGTGCCGGAGGGAACGGAGGGAGGGTGTGGTGAATCTTTGTGCTGCTGCAACCAGATCTCGCGTGTCTTGTGATCAACGGGACATGAAGCCGCAGGTGGCTCTGCGAAGGGAGTACTGGCACCGGCACCCATTGTAAATCGTGGTTTGTGAGGAAGATTGACGATCGCGAAGTAAGCTGGCGATCGCCAAATAATTTTGCCCTCACCGCCCGCCATCGTATAAACGCTCAATTCGGAAGTTCACCGCCCCTCCTGATTGCATTGAGGTCCCCTATTTTGATTGCAAACCTCCCTATACCTTCAATTTGAAGCAAGCATGGCCTCTCAAGCGAACCAGTCCGTCTACCGGGCTACCACTACTGCCCCGGTCAACATTGCCGTCATCAAGTAAGTTGCGCCTTTGCCCCCTCTTAATCGACCCAACAATGAAACTGTTTTGCTAACAGCGTTGTTTCCAGGTACTGGGGAAAGCGTGATACCACTCTGAACCTGCCTACCAACTCATCTCTCTCGGTCACTCTCTCCCAGAAATCTCTCCGCACCCTGACCACCGCCTCTTGCTCCGCCAAGTACCCCTCTGAGGATACCCTGACCCTGAACGGCAAGCCCCAGGAGATCCAGTCCTCCAAGCGCACTCTCGCTTGTCTTTCCAACCTGCGTGCTCTGCGCAAGTCAATTGAAGATGCCGACGCCTCGCTGCCCAAGCTCTCTGCTCTTCCCCTCCGCATCGTCTCCGAGAACAACTTCCCCACCGCCGCTGGTCTTGCCAGCTCCGCCGCTGGCTTCGCTGCCTCGTTCGGGCTGTCGCCAACCTCTATGAACTCCCTCAATCTCCTCGCGAGCTTAGCCGCATTGCGCGCCAGGGATCTGGCTCTGCCTGTCGCTCCCTGATGGGCGGTTATGTCGCTTGGCGCACCGGTGAGCTCGCTGACGGCAGCGACAGTCTCGCTGAGGAGGTCGCCCCCGCTTCTCACTGGCCTGAGATGCGCGCCCTGGTCTTGGTTGTGAGTGCCGAGAAGAAGGATGTTCCTAGCACCGAGGGTATGCAGACTACTGTACACACTTCAGACCTCTTTGCCACGCGCGCCGAGGCTGTTGTTCCCCATCGCATGGATGCCATCGAGGCTGCTATCCGCGATAAAGACTTCCCCAAGTTTGCTGAGATTACTATGCGTGACTCCAACACCTTCCACGCCACCTGCCTTGACTCTTGGCCCCCTATTTTTTATATGAACGATGTCTCCCGTGCCGCTGTTCGCCTGGTGCACGACATCAACCGCGCTGTCGGCCGGACCGTCGCCGCTTACACCTTCGATGCCGGCCCGAACGCCGTCATCTATTATGAGGACAAGGACTCTGAGCTGGTCGCTGGTACCGTCAAGGCTATCCTTGGGGCTAACACTATTGGCTGGGAGGGCGCCTTCTACGAGAGATTGGCCAATGTCACCGCCCCTGGCGTTGCTCTTGAGAACATTGACTCTCGTGTTCTGGATGTTCTCAAGGATGGTGTCAGCCGTGTCATTTTGACCGGTGTTGGTGAGGGTCCCATTACTGTGGAGGACCACCTTGTGACTGAGACTGGCGAGATTGTTTCCCAGTAAAAGGATCTGATATGAGATTTACGATACAGCGACCTTGCTAAGACAGCTTGGAAGATACCCCATTTCCTTTTGCAGAGCCCATATCTGGTCCATGTCGAAAGATGATGTCTCTTTCCATCTATGTTTTTCACTCCGCTTTCTAGAACATAATTCGCAATACAAATACCAGTTTCTTGATATGAGAATCTTAATTGGGTTTCAACGGCAAGTAACAATCCGACGGATTAAGATGAAGGATGTAGCCCGACATTTCTGTGTATCTCTTAACAAATTCTTATGGAGGAAGCCTATGTTTGACATACTACACAATCATTGCAGCGCTTGAACCCACGGCTAGGCGCTGTAGGTGTCAGAGAAGTTTTTTCGGCTGTATTCCACTGACATAACAGCCTAAGAACCCACATGAGTATTCATAGACAACTCTCATTAGTCACACGTATCTTAGAGTAGTCGAATGCCCCCCATGGCATGTGTATTTTGTTGTGAAGACGGCAGACTGCTAATTTCGAAGACTAGAACGGTCATAATGTTTGTGTTGGGGAGATGCACTGTCTGAAGAAGTATTGAATAATCTAGTGTAAGAGATCATCTTGGGAAGGAAAAGTGAAAAAGAATTATTCAACCCAAGAACTAGTTGACGGTGGGGATGCTGCTAAATAGGCTTGTTAAGATGTTCTCCTGTCATAAGAACGGGAAATTCTCAGAGAGGCAAAAACTGATATATATCCCTCGGCGTTTCGAATGATCAAGAAATGATTCTCCTAAAGCCTCATAAGGATGAGTCAGTATTCTGAGACTCAAATTTCTCAAGCTCCCAGCAATATTTACAAGTCAATGTCTGCTGTATCAATTCACGGAGACACGAAAGAGAAGTACATGAGGTAATGCCCGTCAGAACTACTCCTCTTTTGTGAAATTGAACATCTCCATTCATACATAAGAACGTCTCATGGTGTTCTTTCAGAATTCAGTCGAGTTTCCTGTGGAATGAAAAATGAGAGATCAAGAGCTGTGCCGAGTTCCTCGGAGGCTCAAACTATATCATTTTGAAAGTGGAATATCGCAACTGCCTACTTAAGTTGGCATTTACCATGCACATGCGCAGTGACTAAATGACAAATTAAGTCAAGCACATCTGCATACGCTGGGTCAAGAGGCTACAGGAGAGACTCCAGAAATCTGCCAAAATCAAACAGAAGGCCCTGCATTGGGTGGCCAAAAACAGTAATTACAATAAATAGAACAAAGTCATAGTGAACGAACAAGGGAAGGCTTCATATAGCTTGGTGAAGACACACGTGCATCTTAATCTTTACAAAACCAAAATCGAAAAGACGCACATTTCCAAATTAGCATCGTCGATCATTTAATGGCCTTAGATGAAAGAGGCCACCAATCCACAGCAAGCGCCAGCCAAAGGCAGGAAGCCTCGAAGCTGATTCAGAGTAGTCCACGTCATCACTGACTCGATAGTGTCTTCTTCAAAAGCCTCAGAAGTGACCGAAGCCTTCCGGATCAACGCATCATTTGTGCTCGACATGAAAATGACAGTAAATGGGATGATTCCCACGGTTAATATCGCCGCAGTGGAAAAGAGCGCCGTGCGGCTTATGGGCGTCTGCCGAAACAGTGGGCTTCCCGGTCGGACGCACCAAGCGAGATAGCCGAAAGAGAGGGTAACTGCAGCCGCGATCGGGGGGGTTTTGGGTCTTTCCGAGCTCATACAGCCCACGCCATTGCTTGGCGATCGTACTTGAAGGGATATTGCCCTCACAATAGGATTTGACGAGGGCTGGGGTGGATATACTGCTTAGCCCACTAATGTTTCCTGTCCAGGTGTAAACAGACCGATTGATTAGCATGTGTCTTGACTCTTCCGCTATTTTTTGGATTGAGGTGTGGTCTGCAGTGAATATCTTCGTAGCCGACAGAAAAGAAAAGAAAAGAAGAAGCAACGAAGTGGGCTTACCTGCTAGCCATGCTGCGCCGGTCAAACCAATAGCTTGCGCCAGTCGAAATCCGAGTGGGTATGAGGCCATCGTGTATGAAATTGGGAAGGAGAATACTCAACGGTATGTTGAAACAATGATAGGCTTGAGCAATGGGGATCTTGCAGGGAAGGGACAGTCTATTAAGCATGAGGCAACGGAGTGTCGGGCGCTATACATGCCGACTCGCAGTTTGGACACTCTTTGATGCCGGGAAGTGGGCCCACTATAGGCCTACTATGCGCCCGGAAGCTTAGGTCGGGCTTTATCGGCTTTTGGCTTTTGGCTTTTGGCCGGGCTTTGTGCAGACACCGCATTTGGAAATAAGCTGGCCCCCATTCAGATATAAAGTCTTCTTATAGCTGCAAAGAGTACCCCTAGTCTTTTCAAAAGAACTTCTTCAACAATCACAGATCGAAAGCAAAATGGCTTCTTCACGACTTCCGGGGCAATTGTTCCAGTCTAAGCCGTTTATAGCATGTGCTGTAGCGGTTGCTAGTGTAGGAGCTTACTACAGCACTCGGTCCTCTCTCCTACCTACAGGACATGCCGAGTCTACAACGACCCCGAAGGTCTTTGGCGGCTTTGGGTTCACCACATTGCGCCTACAAGATGTTAAACAGGTGAATCACAACACCAAGCGCCTGGTGTTTAAATATCCCGATGAAAATGCCACAAGCGGTTTAACCTTGACGTGTATGTTCCATTGATGGCGTGAAAGAAGATATATACTGATGAAATTTTAGCGGCGCTTCTCACAATCTCTTGGCCCAAGGGAAGCTGGTTCCCTGTGCCCCGCCCGTATACTCCCATCAGCGACCTAAGTAAGATTAGGGTCTACTCGCATACTCGAACAATTCCACTAACGAATTGAAACAGATCAACACGGCTCTCTCGAATTGATGGTGAAACACTACCCAAATGGCAAAGTCAGCACCCATTTGCACTCGCTGGTCCCGGGTGACACCCTTACGTTCCTCACAGCCTTGAAAGGCTTCGCATGGACGCCCAACAAGTTCTCTCAAGTCCACCTCATCGCAGGCGGAGCTGGTATCACACCAATCTACCAGCTCATTCAGGGCATCCTCAACAACCCGAACGATAAAACGAAAATCAATCTCGTGTTCGGTGTCAACACAGAAAAGGATTTGCTCTTGAGGGAAGAATTGGAACAATATAAGCAGCGCTTCCCCGACCGCTTTGACTATACCTACACTGTTAGTCACCCGACGGAGACGGATTCCTCTTTGCCCAGGGGATATGTCAATGAGGAGCTGCTGCGGAATGTCATGAAGGGGTCGAACGAGAACTCCCATGTCTTCGTGTGTGGTCCTCCTGCGATGGAAGCTTCTTTGGTTGGATCGCGTCGGACTGAAGGCGTTCTTGGCCGTTTGGGGTTCAAAAGGGACCAAATATATAAATTTTAGACCTTTACATACATCATGCTATGAGACACACATTGTATTTTTAGAGAATCACTACCCTTAACATGATTCATTCCTACGTACTTCACTGCTACTTGACACTAGGCAAATTTTAACTGAAAGCGATCTTGATTTATCTGCATCGAAGCCTCCGTTCGAAAGGCGAGGAAGCTCCGTTTTAGTCAATTGCGTTTTCTTTGCTCCTGGGAGTCGCAAAACACATATACTTAGAACATAACGATGCTTCACAGCCAACTGGGTCTGGCATTTGAACAAAGCCTTGTCCAGTTTTCAACAAATGGAATAATTGTTCAAGGCAGCTTCATAAACAGCTTCTTCAACTTGGGGTAGTTAGGAGTGCCCAGACCGGTGGCGGGGTCCCATCTAGAATCATTGTTAACATTTCTTGTGTGCCAAGAGTTTCCTTCCAAGTTATAATTTCTTACCCCTCAATTGCAGCGAATCCATTAGTACCACATCCGGCGTTGGTGCCGTTGGTGATATCGTTGAGGACCTCTGGGTTAGCGTAGAGAACAGGGTTGACAAAGCCAACAGGTGACTTGCCTACGGCAAGACGCTCCTCGTTGATCTACAGGATTTCGTTAGACCAAACATTTCTCACAATGGAAATATTGCACATACCAAGTTCAGAACCGAGGCAAACAACGGCGAGGCCAGACTAGATCCATACCAGTGATAGTCATCACCATTAAGATAAGCACGGAACTGGGCACCATTAGCCGCAACATCGGGATACGCACGGCCAATGCGATTGTAAAGCCCCTTTGTGGTGTTGACATCCACACTGAACTCGGAGTAGTAGGGGTAGGATAGATCAGCCTTTTCAAAGTACTTCTTGACGGCCTCCTTCTGGTAGGAGGGCTGGGGGAAGTAGTTAGAGAAGCCACCAGCAGTGCTGAAGTTGGTGGCGGTGCCACCAAGGTTAACGTGCATGACACTCTCGGGATCTCTGACTGTTTGGTCTGCGTAGATCATGGTGCCTCCGACGGAGGTCACGTACGGGCAGTTGGACGGATACTGGGGGTTGAAGATCTTGGAGTCGGGGCCCAGGCAGCCGTTCGCCTGGCCATCGCCGGCGAACGAGGCAACGCCATAATCACCAGAGGCGAATAGGATGGAGTGGCCCTGCAGACCGAGCTTCATGAATTCATTGCATTGGCGCTTGGTGTAGGCGATGGGGAGATCAGCTTCGGCTTGGCCGTAGGAAGCGCTGATAACATTGGTAGGCTTGTACACGCCGCACATGAGCTTTCCCTTGTAGCCACCAGGACGAGTATCCGGGTAGACTGGATCAATACTGGGATCATCACCCTTCTCCCCGTAGGCTTCATACGTGCAGTAGGAGCCGTCAAGAGCATCAAGGAAGGTGTTGAAAAGGTTAGTGGTGGCAACTTCCGCTGGCTCGTAAAGTTGATCATCAACCTGGTACAGGGTAACGGTCTGAGGGTGAATCAAAGCAAAACTAAATCCGTTAGCAGAGGAATCAAGAATTGGAAACTCTTGGGATCACCACACTTACGCCATATCAATATCAATGTCAGATTCACCCGTATTCAACGAGCTATCAGCAGGTACAGAAAAGTTCGCTCCATCAATCATTGCCGGAATGGGGTATGCCCTGGGAACCCAAGGAGCGTACTCCTTGTAAAATAGGTCAATGTCCGACTTGGCGAAGTAATCTCCCTGCTCGTAGAGACCAAGCGAGTTGCCCTTTCTGGCCTTAGTAGCATCGGGGATATCATACAAGGCCTTGATGCAGGTAGGGGTCATGTTATAGCCACAGAGCTGCAGGTCCTTGGAAAGTGACAATGCCTTGGCAGGGACCTGGTAGTGGCTGTCAGAAGTCGACACAGCCTTCGCATTTGGCTTAGAGTGAGCCAGGTTGGAAGCTCGCTTGGTGTGGCTACGCTTCTTAACAACGGGGCTCAGTTTGACACCTGGTGTGATATAGTCGACGTGACCCTGAATGTGCTCCGGGACATGATAGCTATAGCATGGTCAGACTTGTGCCTTTGCCTCTTTCAATGTCACAAAGTCTTACCTATCACACCCAATCTTCATGCTGCCCGTGCTCACATGCTCGTGCTCATAAAACTCGGTCTTGAACAACTTCTCGGCCTCGTGTGCGTAGGCATCAAATGCCAGCCAGCCCTTGTTGTCGGTGTGAACAATGCGAGCCTTGTCAATTCCAGCAGCATGAAGCCACTGGCGCACCTCATCCACGGCTTCAGCAGAAGGGGCAAACAGATTGTGCACCTCTTCAGCAGACCAGTACTGTCCATACCGGGCAGAGGACGGGCTCGACCTGAAGCGAAGGTTAGTAGGAGACCTTACCCTGCGATTGACAGTGTTGGATTACATACACCTCCATCAGCAACTCATCACCCTTCTCCAAGTTGTTCTGTGTCAATCCAATACGGACAGGCAGCACCGCATCACTCTCAACACGAGCACCCTTGATCCAGTCATAAGCATGCTTGTCTCGCTTCTCATGCAAGACATGTTTAATAGGAGCCGGGATGGCCCCCGTCACTGCCACAATGGCCAGCGCAACACAAACCTGACGCACCAACATCTCTGGGTCGCTTTGGATTGTCTACTACCATCACCGACAGGGGGCCTAGGGGCCCTTCAAATACAAAATGCCACCCCACAGGACCGACATCAACACAATCTCCAGACCACCGATAAAAGTCCCCACCTTAGAAAGGCGGGCAGGACAATTAATTTCCATGATGCATGGTGATTGGGCGTACTCACTGCATGGGAGATGAGACATCAACAACCGAGCATCACGCGTGGCGTGAGAGCTAAGCATCCTCCAGCGGGGCATTGTACTAAATTACGCCACTGAGGTCGCGCGCGCGGCGGACTAGCGGGTTGACGATGTGGATTCCGTTGACCCAGGTCTGCTAATTGTCTTATCACCCCGCTCCGACTGGATGATCTAGTTGATCCCGAATGGTGTACCTCGCGTATTCCGGCGCGGTTGTTATCTTCAGGGGAAGGACCTGCTTTAGGGTCACGGGCCTATGCAAGGCGGACTCCGACGGGCGAGCCCTTTGGGAACCTAGGACAACATTGGGGATTCCGGCTTTCCAACGGCTTTGGCTGGGTTGGAAATTGCTTGGCTTACTTCGTTTGGGCTCGCGATGTTACGATTGCTTAGTCGGACGGAATGTGGGATCTTGAAGACCTTGGGACTTGAGCAAGTCACGACTGATGATCTTGGGAGCCTCTTACTTAATTTGGAAGGGTCTTTTAATGTTGGTTAACTTTGATCGCGGTCTGCATCGCTTTCCCCAGACAGCCACGAGGAGTTTCAAGGGTCCCTGGTCCTGACAAAAGACTACTTACTATGCATTAGCCCGGAAAGATAGGATCACAACATGCAACATCTTGAATATTTGAATTCTTTTTATCAGCTTAAACAAGCAGAGACGATTTGCTCATCTCCTTGACGACAGGTACTGCTTTGGGAGTGCCGCCCGTCACAATGCCTGAGACTCTCCGCAAGAACGCGCGCACCACCGGAGAGCGGGGGCGGAGGCTCGATCGGGTTTCCATCCTCATCCTCATGATTCTTGTTCTCCACCTGCGGTACCTCAAACACGTCGTCTCGGCAATCAGCACACATTTTCAAGACATCCTCCAACGCCTTCTCAACGGCTGCTGCACGCTCCCGCATACCACGACGGAGCAGTGCATCCACAAGAGCCGAGGCCTCCCCCACAGCCGAGTTGACACGCTCAATGAGTCGTCGGATACTGTTGACCAGGTATTCTTCTTCGTACACAGTACCCTTTCTTCCCTTGGCACGCTTGCGCTCTTCACGTCGTCGGGTGCGAGACGTCTGCCGAGATGCTCCTGTTTTGCCCGTATACCGGGTGAACATTGTACGACCGGCTAGGGTAGTAGCTTCAGTGGGAGCAAGTGAGACATTGTCAGGGATATCGACACCACCCTCGCCGCCGGTTGGGTCACCTCCGTAGAAAGCAAGAGGGTCGGCAGCGCGAAGCACGCGGAGTTCGCTGACTCGGGGAACCTGGGCATTGAGCTGGTTCTTGCAGTCGGCGAGCAGATCGGTCATGGAGCCCATGGCCTCGGCCAGCCCGGTGTCTACTATTTCCTTAACAAGGTCCTTCTTGCCATTCAGCGTCAAAAGGCGGGCGGCGTCGGCGAACTTAGAGCCGCGGCACAGGAGCCGGGCAGCGGTGACAACGTCATTGAGGTGCTCGGCGTAAATAGTTGCTGCTCCAACGTAGTCGCGTGCTTCATCTTCCAGGTTCGTGGCTACATCGTTGATGTGATTAGTGAGAGCCTCTGGTGACAGATCGGCCATCATCGCGCAGTAGAGCGATTCGCGCCACATGTGAGCTACATGGTAGCATTGGTAAGCCTGATCGTAACGTCCGAGTGATTCATAAGCTGGGTACTATGTTAGCTAGAATGTTTCTTTTATGGGAATGAATTCTTGACCCACCGATTGCGGCATCCTTGTGTTTCGAGTCCCCTTGAAGGTACTCGGCATACAGTTGAGTGATCTCTCTCTGTTCCTCTGGGTTGTACTTGTAGAGTTCAAGAGCCTCTTTGTACAGGACATGGCGAACAACGTAAGCGCGGATCTCTTCGTGAGCATTGATGGCAAACAAGTGTTGCAGAGCCTTGGCGAATCGAGAAAGATGATTGTCAATTTCAAACTGGCGCCGAATCTCAGGAAGCGTCTGCAGCTTTCGAAGGAATGGAAGGTACTCTCTAGGATCCTGTAAAAAAGTGAGAAAAAGGCACGTACTTTTGGAAGCTACTACTTACCATCTGCGCTTGTTGAGCAACCAAGAGAGTCAGCTCGAGGTCATACAATCCCAAGGCATGGGAGTAGAGCTGGCGAGCATCTGTCAAAAAGCACATGTGCTCAACAGCATCATCTGCCTGCTCGGGATTTTGCACTATATCCTGCACGTTAGCGTCCATACCAGATTGGATCATGAGAAAACCAAAAACATACCTCGGAGGTGAGCAACCAGGCGTAGACCGGCTTCCAGGTCAGGCGGGGATTTGCACACATGTGCAGTCACCAGGTTCTGCAGATTAGTGTCCACACGATCCTCAAGCACTTCAAGGAATGCATCACAAATGGAGTTGACTTTGTTGACTCTGCTGGATTGCTTCATCAGACCTGTTGACGATTGGCTATCGGGTTGAGCAGCAACCGCGGATTCAGTCTTGGATATCCTTAAGGTGTCCTTATACAAAGTCTGTGAAACATCTTCCTCCTTCAAGCGTGAGAGGAAATCGTCGATAAACTCAATCTTCTTGACCTGATCAACGAAGAGCTGAACGCTCTCCATAAATTGCTTGGGGGCGTAGTCGTGGAGAATATTCATATCCACCATCTGGCTACGACATGCCAGGAATGCGGCCCGATAGTTCTTCTGGTCGATGAAAGTGCGAATTCCAGCCAAGATCAGGGCACGAGGGTAGATGGTTTCGATGTTTCCTCGGGGTGCCTGCAGAACAACAGCAAAGATAGAAGGAATGACCGAGACCAGCTTCGACCCACGCTCGATGCTTCTGCAGCGCTCATCGGTTTCTGGGGTATCTTCTGGAACCTCCATGTCGTTCACGTGGTTCAGATGAATGAATTTCAACAAGTGTTGCGATGTAGTGTAGATCAGGGTGGGCCGAAGTCACCAGGAAGGACGTGCAGTTCTTCGCCAGTACTCGATTGTTGGCGTACAAGGTACCGGTCCTCGTCATAGAGATCAATACGCGCTCTTCCTCGCTGATTGATACAGCACGAGCCCAATTTGTGTCAACTATAGGGCCTTCCAGCCAAGGAGCAATGTTGACTTGTTCTCCCTCAATAATACCGATGCTCGAGTAACTGACAGGACGTCCATGCTGAGAGGCATGTGCAAACCACAAAGATTGGTGTCCGATACCGGCAAAGATAAAGGAGATTTGCTCTGGCTCTACTGACTGATAAACGACTCGAGATTCTCTGGTCTCCAGAGTGGTCCGCTCAATGTGGTCAGTATTGGGACCACTATCCTTGAGCACGTACACTTCCGTTTCGCCAACAAACGCAATTTGCCTGGGCCGCATAGCCGGGGCATCAGACAGAGGATAGCTGGATTCAAGAATTGGCATAGGGACCGGACGGCTCTTTAGGGACCACAGGAAAACGGAGAAGCTCTTCTCCGTGAGAACAGCAATACGAGCGCCCGACTTGCTGAAGGCAACATCGATGATGTTGGAGTCGAGAGGCAAGTCATTGTGAGCCATTGGAGGCGGGACACCGGCCATTCGAAGGGGCGTGAGCTTCAAGATCTTCCCATCAATTACTGCAGCGGCTCCAACATCTTCCGGAATCACAGTGGAGCCATGATGGATGTCAAAAACGTAATCAATATCCAGAATGGAGCTTCTAGATCCAATAGCCATGCGGAGAGATTTCTCTTGGTGCCAGTCAAAGGAAAATGGGTGCTTAGCATCAGATCCGGCCACTATGGGGACCTCCTGTTTGAGATAATAGTGGTAATTACCCATAGTCCAGAGCTGAATACGGTCCTTGAACCGAATAGCGAGCACGGTTGAATCGACGTTCCATGACAGCTGGATCTGCGATGCCCATGATTGCCGTTCCTCTTCTGTCAGACGGAGGGTGAATTGGCCATGACGAAGACCATTTCTTTCAAAGAACACAACATCGATCCGGTCATCCAACCGCTGAATTCCAGCGATGAGGCTCCCATTTGGACGCCAGCTAAGAGCACTCTCGAGTCCATCCACAGGTTCGCTAACGCTGTCAATAGTGCCCTCTCGTGAGTAAACTCGAATGGTGCGACGAGCTCCTTCCTCGACGCTGTTCACGGCAACATAAGCGCCGTCGCCGCGCCAGGTGATAGTGGTACTAAAATCGTCGTTGCTGCTCAGTTTTCCTTCATCCACATGCTCTGGCACGGTGGGGTCACGCATCGCTTTAGCTCTTTTGCCCTGGAATTGGGTCTCTTTCTTACCCCAGCCAACAGACACATGCTGGGAAGCTTTCAAGTCTGCCTCGGTGAAGGTGATCTCGGCCACATTCTCGAACTCCCGAGTCATGTACAGAAGCGTCCGAGCTCTCGTCATGATAGCCAGAAGCTCCTCATCCGGGGACCATGAAGCAGCGGTGATTCCAACATCCACAGAGCCCAAGATTTCAATTTTGTCCTCGCCGGGGAGGGGTTCTTCGCGCACAATGATGATATCACCGCCCTCCAGCACCAGACAGGCTGAAAGGTTATCGGCAAAGTAATGCAAAGAAAGTACACGGTCACACATTAGGTCTGGCAAGGGGCTTGGCGCATCCCAGGATGCGAGGCACTCAAATACATCCGTGCTCAATGGCTCCGCGGAAGTCACCTCAGGGCGCTTCCTGCGCAGCTCAATGACTGCATTCTGCTCTGACGGGCCAAAGGCGCAAATAATCGAGTCAGAAGAAGTGTCCCAAGCTGTAGCAGTCAAAGGAAGTTGGCCTTCAACTTGCGTCTCCTGAAGACGCACGCTCTTGAGGTTGCGCATATTCGGTGGTGGGTATCACTTTTTTTTCTACCAAGTCCCTTGTTTCTACCCCGCCATGGGATGGCAGGACCGGAGAGATCTTGGAGCGAAGAACTGAAAGAGCTCACGATCAGAGAGATCAGATCTCTGAGGGATGAAACGTGATAAGCGTGGAGCTGGTGGATTGTTGCTCACAGCGAGCTGTCTATCAACGCCAAACCAAAGATTTTTGATTTTCCACATCCGCTCAGCCAATGACTTCATCCATATTTCAACGTCCCTTGAATCTACGATTTACAAACTCTACGCAACGGCAATTGACTGGTTCGTGCAGTAAATGAAAAGCCAATGTTATTCTCTAACTTTGTACATAATATCCAACAGCTTCGACGTCTGGTTTAAAGATTTCCGTCGCGAAATAGTTCATGCTGCCCTTGGGTGACGAAGGCGTGTGAGACCGTTTACTTGGTCTTATAGGTTTGCCAGACTGGAAAGAAGGGTCGTTAGATTCACGTAAGCCCAAGACCCAGAAGGTTAGGAGCTTACCAGCAATTGCGAAAGGAGCACCGAAGCCAGTGACTAGATGAATCTTGTGTCAGTCCTGAGAGTCTATACTCGGACAACGGCGGTTGACAAACCCATGAAGGCCCAGTAGCGCCAGAAGAAGTGCTTGGTCAGAGGGTTGAAGGGGATGTTGGTGCGAGGACCCTCAGCGTAGTGGTAGGGGCTGCCCAGCTGGGCGCGGCTGGTGGAGAAACCACGACGGGCAACAGTGGCCAGACGGGCGCGAGCGGCGGCGGAGGCGTACATCTTCGTAGAGTCAATGAGATTGCCGCGACTGCAGTTGTCTCAATTGCGATTCAGAGCACCTACCGTGGAGGTAATGTGAGAGGAGAGCGGACGATCGGAAATGGACGGAGTCAGTGTGAACATCGCAAGGTGCGGAATGGGACGATCCATGTCACGGGACTCAGCATCCCGTGACCTGCCAGATATAGGTTAGCGTCATCCGCTGTTTATCTCCCACCGCCTTCCGTATCTGGCTCCTTCATTTTTCATCGAAAAAAAGTGCCAGTTCTCTATCGTCAACTCAACTTCTGTGGTTCCCTGTCAATTTTGACCACTGGAGATGGACGAGCTCTTTGACGTCTTTGAGGATACGCCTCAGGCGCCCAAGCCCTCGGGTAGCGCGCCGAAGCGTGCCAAGAAGGACAAGAGCAAGAAGCGTCAAGCCAACGGCGATGTCAAGATCCCTGATGAACAACCAGTGGTTGAGGAGACTCCGGCTGAGGCGCCTGATGTTGAAATGGAAGATACTCAAGAGAGTCCTTCCGTGACTGCGCCGCCGGAAACGAAGCGCCCTCGTCTTGATCAAATTCCCGACGCCGTTGTTGCCGATACATTCGAGACCGAGCAAGAACGCGAAATCGCAACCACTGCCGGCTTGGGAGGCACAGAAGATTCAACACACATGGTGGTATCCCACCAAGTCCGTCACCAAGTCGCAATTCCCCCGAACTACCCGTACATCCCGATTTCGCAACATCAGCCGCCAGCAGACCCCGCGAAGGTTTATTCTTTCACTCTCGATCCTTTCCAGCAAGTCGCGGTTTACTCGATACAGCGTGAGGAGAGCGTCCTGGTATCAGCGCATACTAGTGCCGGAAAAACAGTGGTTGCCGAATATGCAATTGCGCAAAGTTTGAAGAACAATCAGCGTGTGATATACACCAGTCCAATCAAAGCACTGAGCAACCAGAAATACCGAGAATTTGCGGCAGAGTTTGGTGATGTCGGTTTGATGACTGGCGATGTGACTATCAACCCAACCGCTACCTGTCTGGTCATGACTACAGAGATTCTGCGATCCATGTTGTATCGCGGTTCCGAGATTATGCGTGAAGTTCAATGGGTCATTTTCGATGAGATTCACTACATGCGTGACCAGAACCGTGGTGTTGTTTGGGAAGAGACCATCATTCTTCTCCCGGATAAGGTCCGCTACGTTTTCTTGTCTGCCACCATCCCCAACGCTATGCAATTCGCCGAATGGGTCACCAAGATGCATAATCAGCCCGTTCACGTTGTGTACACCGACTACCGTCCCACCCCCTCCAGCATTACTTCTTCCCCACTGGTGCCGAGGGTATCCATCTTGTCGTGGATGAGAAGGGAGTGTTCCGTGAAGAGAATTTCCAGAAAGCAATGGGTTCTATTGCGGACAAGAAGGGCGAGGATGTTGCTAACCCCAATGCAAAGCAGAAGGGCCGAGGCAAGGACAAGAAGATCGCTAAGGGTGGCAACCAGGGTCCATCCGACATTTTCAAGATCGTGCGGATGATTATGCTTAAAAAGTACAACCCGGTCATTGTTTTCAGCTTCAGCAAACGAGAGTGTGAAAACGGCGCCCTTCAATTATCGAGGCTTGCATTCAACGATGATTCTGAGAAAGAGATGGTGTCCAAGGTATTCGACAGCGCCATTGCAATGCTCTCGCCGGAAGATCGGGCACTACCTCAGATCCAGCACATTTTGCCTCTTCTTCGGAGAGGTGTTGGTGTTCACCATTCAGGGTTGCTACCTATTCTCAAGGAAACTATCGAGATTCTCTTCCAGGAGGGTCTCATCAAGGTCCTGTTCGCCACTGAGACTTTCTCTATCGGTCTCAACATGCCTGCCAAGACTGTCGTTTTCACTAGTGTCAGGAAATTCGACGGAACTAGCCAACGTTGGGTCACCCCGTCCGAATTCATTCAGATGTCTGGTCGTGCTGGACGTCGTGGTCTCGATGAGCGTGGTATTGTCATCATGATGGTCGGTGAGGAGATGGACCCTGTGGTTGCTAAGACGATCGTGCGTGGTGAACAAGATCACCTTAACTCTGCTTTCCACTTGGGTTACAACATGATTCTCAATTTGATGCGTGTGGAAGGAATCTCACCTGAGTTTATGCTGGAAAGATGTTTCAAGCAGTTCCAGAACACCGGCAACGTTTCCGGCTTAGAGAAGGAGCTCCATGAACTTGAAGAGCAAAAGGCCAATATGGCCATCGAAGATGAAGGGACCATCCGTGAATATTACGATCTGCGCAAGCAGTTGGATGGATTCGCTGAGGACGTTCAGGCCGTCATTAGTCACCCCAACTACGCACTTCCCTTCTTCCAGGCTGGCCGTCTGGTCCAGGTCAAGGATAAAGACCAAGACTTTGGCTGGGGCGCCGTTGTGAAGTACACCAAGAGACAGCCCCCCAAGAATTCCACTGAAGAGATTCCACCAAGCAAGGAATACATTGTGGATGTCCTGCTAAAGATTGCCGATGGGCCCTCCGTGGGAACAAAGACGTTCCAAGATCTTCCCCCGGGTGTGCGACCGGCCAAGGAGGGTGAGAAGTTCCGTATGGAAGTGGTTCCCGTTGCAATTGGCTGTATACATGCTATCGCGCATTTGCGCATCTTCCTTCCCAAAGATTTAACTTCAGTTGACTCGCGCAATGGCGTGAAGAGAGCTTTGGATGAAGTAGCCAAGCGATTCCCCGATGGCTATGCCCTTCTAGACCCCATTGAAAACATGGGCATCAAGGACGAATCCTTCAAGAAGCTGCTACGGGTAAGTAGTAAGCCTGTGTTCTACAGGAAGTGAGCTAATATGTGCCACAGAAAATCGAGGTTCTGGAGTCCCGTTTGCTTAGCAACCCCTTGCACAGCTCGCCACGCTTGCCGGAGCTGTATGAGCAATACGCCGAAAAGGTCAACCTTGGAACCAAGATCAAAGAGATAAAGAAGAAGATAACCGATGCCATGTCTATCATCCAGCTCGATGAGCTGAAGTGCCGCAAACGTGTGCTTCGCCGATTTGGATTCATCAACGAGGCAGAGGTGGTGCAGCTTAAGGCTCGTGTTGCTTGTGAGATTAGCACTGGTGACGAACTTATGCTTGCTGAGCTCCTGTTCAACGGTTTCTTCAACAACCTTACTCCTGAGCAGTGTGCGGCCGTCATTAGCTGCTTTGTCTTTGAGGAAAAAGTCAAGGAAGCTCCGGCCTTGTCCAAAGACGAGCTTGCGAAGCCTCTTAAGGAGATCCAAGCACAGGCCCGCATCATCGCCAAGGTGTCACAGGAGTCCAAGATGGCTGTCAATGAAGATGAATACGTCCAGAGCTTCCACTGGGAATTGATGGAAGTTATCTACGAGTGGGCCAATGGCAAGGGCTTTGCTGATATCTGGTAAGCATCCACCTCTTTCTCTATGAGTTGCGCACCACTAACTTGAAGATCAGCAAAATGACCGATGTCTATGAGGGTAGCTTGATCCGTGTGTTCCGCCGGCTGGAAGAGTGCCTTCGACAGATGGCACAGGCTGCCAAGGTGATGGGCAGTGAGGACCTGGAGAGCAAGTTCGAGGAGGCGCTCACGAAGGTGCGCCGCGACATTGTGGCAGCCCAATCTTTGTACCTGTAGATACGATATCCCCTGCTAGTTTTCACGGAGTCAAAAAGAGATTCAATAACAATCTCATGGTCATGCCGAGCTTCCTCTTCCTTTCCTACTGATAGGTCCAATGTATGTCACCTGAACGCAGAGGCTTGAGCGGGTATCACCGGCAGGAAAAGAACGCTTTGTGTAGTATCCTAGTAAGATGTCTGGACACAAATCCCTTATAAGAGGAATATTAGTACGTATTAATATCTGAAGATGAAAAAAATACTAGGGATAAAAAGAATGGATAAAGAGATTTCGAAAGGGTTCTAGATGAAACTTCTTAGCTCGGTACATCTACCTACAACTTCATTAATTCTGCAGCCACCACTTGACACGTAATGCTCCCGATTGGTAAAATTGTAGGTAGTAAGCAAACTGAATGATCTGGCGAAGTCGATAGCTCATTTATAAACATTCTCTGCCTCGTATTGCAGGGAGACGTGGCCTGCAACCTCGAGAAGTCACCTTAAACCTGCGCAGTCGGACTGTGTTGCCGCCCGCAACGCCTTTCTTTTCTCCACCGCTTCTCTTCTCTCCTCTCCTCCCCACCTCACCCTGTGTTGGGCACCTTCATTTCCCGAGCCTTTCCTGTTGTGCTCGTCATCTATTCAGCTCAGCATAATCATATTGCCATCCGGCTGTCATCATGAACAGCTTGGTGGCCACGCCTCCTCTCCCTCCTCACTTCTACGAGAACCCTCGATTTTCTCCTTCCCGCATAAGTACGGTATCCCCTTGTCAATCATGTGGATTTTAAGAGCTTGGAAGTAGCTTTGAGGACAATTTTACTGACTGAAAACCCCCCCAGTGTCCACGCCTTCATCATCCTATACCAGCCGAAAGCGGAAAGCCGACGACGAGGGCAATGATCACGATGGACGCATGTCCGCCTCTCCTACCAACTCGCCTGCTTTCACTCCTCGCCAACTCCCTTCCTTCCGAAATATTAAGCGGTCTCGACCCAACGTCTCGGGCAGGCCTCTCTCCCTGCCCCGCCTCCTAGAAACTTTGGACACCGATGCCTTACGAACAGTGGTGCGAACCATGTGCGAGCGCCACCCTCAGCTCGCCGACGAGGTGGCCCAAACCTCTCCAAGACCCAGTGTCTCGTCTACGCTGCAGGTGCTTAGAAATTACCAGGCAGCACTTCAGTCGTCATTCCCCCTGGGTGGCAACACGGCGTCCGACTATGCGTACAATCGAGTCCGGCAGCCACTCACGAACCTTCTTGAAGCCCTGAGCGACTTCACACCCAACTTCCTCCCTCCCAACGAGTCTCAGCCTTCGGTTTCACTGAGCTACCTCGACGGGGCGACTGATATCATTCACGCCTTGCCACGATGGAGCACACCACAGAACAATATCGAGCGGGACTCGGCTTATGACGAAATCGGCAAGGCTTGGGTCCTGGTGATTCGAGAGGCAGCCAAGCGTGGCGGAGGCATTCAGCTGCAGTACGGTGGCTGGGACCAAAAGCTGGCTAAGCACAACCAAACGTCGGGCGGCAAGCTTCAGGGTGCCGTCAACGAGATCGGCTCAAGCCTGGGATGGATTAACGGCCCAGATTCACCTTCTCACGGCCCAGGTGGCAATGAGTTTGGCTCTATACGTGATCAGCTCCTGTCCGGGACCTACGGCCTCGGAACGCCGGTCAAGGTTGGACCCTGGTGAAGGGTGACGCAAATCAGCAACCTCTTTTTCCAATAAGCGACATGACGATCCAACGCAAAACCTCGCATCACAACCACACGCGCACCCCATGTCACATCCACAACATTTTTCCCGGCTTCGCCTCGTGCCTGACGGTCTCGTTCACGTCCCCGACCGCACAATTTACTGACGTATGCCACGATCATGATACCTCCTGCATGACCTTGAGAGAAACTACCTGGTCTCAGATTGGCGTTTATAGTATGCAAAGGCGAATAACCCGACATTTTTCTTTCTTCCTTCTCTTCTACTGCTCAGGTTCTTTTGGAAGCTGAACTGTGTCCTTGCCTTGCCTTGACTTTCCTGACTTCCTGAATTTCCTGACTTCCCAATTCCCATTGCACTCTCCAGCCGAATACTTCTTTTCCTCTCATTCGTATGTGCTTCTTCCTCTTATCTTGTACCCAGTTTTGCCCCGCGGCTTGATCCTGGTTGGTCTCTCGCTCCACATTTTCCTTATTTTGACTTGCTTTATCTCATCGCAACCTCGGATGGCAAACTTCGTTTTTCCTAACCTTTTCGGCGCTTCCGGGAGTCTTGTATATCCTTTCGCTTGTGATTCTGTTTCTCTTGATCTATTTGCGCAGCTGTGCAGTTCTTGGTATATCCGATGCTGTCATGATATAGTTCAGTCAGGAGAGAGACCTTCGTCGGGCACCCCTTCGATACTCATATGCATCCATCTCCCCCCCCCCCCACAGATCATCAATCGGCTCCCTGCTACTATGAAGCTAGCTTTTAGAATCCATTTGCACCGAGAGAAGAATATAGGCCTCAGATCGTATTTTAGGCTGAATCGTAGAAAGCCCTCCCCTCTCCCACCACCAACCTAGTCATTTAATAAAAGGTCCAAAAGGATGGAAATGACCGACAAATTCAGGCCAAGCCTGAACGGGGTTCCTAGTCTCCAGGGCTCTCTTCAACTCATATTAATGCTCTTCAACTCATATTAATGCCCGTTTAACAACTCGCAATAACCATGATGCATCCTCCCATCCACCCTGTGCACCAGGCTTCTCGACTTCAGCAATCGACTCCCCGTCCGTTTGCGAAAGACTATCCGCCTCATCCCCTACCGAAACTAGCGACAAATTATCATGCTGTAGCTCGTCATTTTCGCGCGAGTAAGGCTCCTCAAAGGTAACCGTAGTGGTTGTCGCTGCAGCCCCAATCCTCGTCGTGGTCGGGACAACAGGAGCAGGTAACTCGTCAACACCAAACAGCGTCCACTCAACCAAGCGATCAATCCAAGTTCCTAGGCCAAACCCACGCTCACGCGTAAGCCGCTGCAAATCAGCCTCGTCGATGTCATCCAGTGTTCCATCCGAGAAATCATCTTCATCCTCCGAACCTCTTTCTCCGTCCCAGTACTCTGACTCTTCATCTGAGATCCCTCTTTCCCGCTGCAATGCAGCTATCTCGGCACGAATCCCCTCATCCACGAAATCAGGCTCCATTCCACCTCGTCCGCGCACCTCGGGGCTAACAGTTCCCGTCCCAGGAATGGAAACTCGAGCCGACGAAAGCGGCAGAGATGTCATAGCCAGTCCAGCCCGACTACCCCGTCTACTTCCGCCACGGGAGCGAGAGTTTCGGCGCGACAAAGCAGGTGTAGAAGCACCGGACCTCGACTTAGCAGATGAGCTGGATTTAGTCCGGTGATGGTGACGAGGCGAGTCGGTCTCGTATGGCATTGAAACGAGACTTGTTGAGCTCTCGCGCTTGGAAAGCCAGCTTTGGCCCTTTTCCTCGCGGGTCGACGAGGCGAGTGCGATTCCTGCGCGGAGCATCCATTCTGCATCTGACTTGGATGTCTGGCTTTCGCTGAATGGGCGTGTGTGGGACGTGCCGTTGCGTTTCTTTATTTGATGGTGAAGTGGGAGAGCTTCATTCTTGCTGTGCAGGTTTGAATCACTAAGTATGCCGGAGCGGGTCGAGCTCTTGCTTCGAGTGTGGCGCGTGCGGGAATTGCTGCGTGAGTGGGAGAGAATGGGTGGAGTGCTGGGCACTGAGACGCTGGACAGGTATGACGTTCGAAGACTCTCTGTTTCGTCGCGTGGAGAGAAGTAGTCTGCTGGTTCCAGGTCGTCTATGGGAAAGCGCGGAGTGAGTGGAGCGAGGGAGATGTGGTGGAGGTTGGGGTAGGAGCGGCGGGAGCGAAAGCCACCCGAGTTGTTGAACTGAGAAACGGGTGAGCTGGGTTTCATTATGACAATGTGGTATTCTGTTAGTATACTTACATCCATGGTGGCCTGGGTTGAAGAGAAGCTTAGAGGAAAAGAAGGAGGAGAACCGTGGAAATGCGGAGTTGCCGCACGTGTTGGCATGTGAAAGTGACCGTGCGCGTGTTCGGTCGACTTCTTGCTCAAAGTCTTGTCTAGCTGGAGAAAAAACAAAAAGGACTGTGGTTGCTTATTTATCTTTTCCGACTACTCTGTTCAATCCGGACTTGGTGGCCTGGTTTGGGATGGGTGGCAAAGTTTCGATCTATACATCAGAGCTCATATATGACATGACCGAGGATCATGCAACGCCACAAAATGTATCCGGAGAGCTATACGTGGAGGACATAACCCCATGCATTTACCAATGTTTGACCATTCAGCCGTATGGCCATGATCGACGTTCGGAGCATATGGTTTTGTCAATTTGTTTCTGGCACCTACGTCACCAGCATCGAGCGCTACTCACCTTTCCACAAATCTACGAGTACCTACATTTACCTAGGCATGACGAAACATAGTTCAGACTCTTCAATTGAACATGAATGCTAAATCGTATATACAAATGCTAATATATACCCAGCACTTCCATTTGATCCCTGATATATTCAAACACGGGAGTCATGGAAATCCAGGACATCAGCTCCCTTGGCTCTCAAGTCCTCCAGCACGTTATACTCCATAATCCACTTCATACGCTCTCCCAAAGCAACCGGACTGAACTTGTCAGTCATCTGATCCGGTGCGTCCGAGCTAGCAAGCTTTCCAGCCTCGTAGCTAGTCTGTGTAACACGATCGGTCCTAGGCTTGCGCAAATCTTGATAGAACTTGAAAGCTCCTTCCAGATCCTCTCCCTTCCAATGACGCAGGATAGTCGCAAGTGCAATGCCCGACTCGATAGCCATACAAGTTCCTTGGCCTGTAACACAAGTTAGTAAAGCTTCTGTTGATATTGTAGCGGAGGACTTACCCTGGTGCGGAAGAGTGGAGTGAGCAGAGTCACCCAGCAGGATGATACCGGCATCCTTGTGGCCCATCTCATACCACTTATCAATTGGATCGCGCACGTAAAGAGCTTGCTTGAGCATCTTGCCGTCAGGTGATGCCTTACGCAAACCCTTGATAATATCCTGCACCTGCGGGCACCAGTCGCGAACATGCTCTTGCAGGCTCTCGATATCTGATCGAGACATCCAGCTCTCCGAATCCCAGGCCTCAAGCGGCTCAGTCATGAATCCAATGACGGCAGCTCGATCACTGTTAGTCTCCTTGTTTCCGATAGGTAGAATCAAGACATGTCGCTTAGGGCCACGGAAGTTGACAGTCTTCCGCAGTAGCTGGGCAGTCTCCTCCGGGAGGTCCTTGTAGTCGACAAAGCCCCGGTACACGACCTGGCCCGAGTAGTTGGGCGAGTCACCTAGACCCATATCCCGACGCACATTGGACTTGATGCCGTCGCATCCAATGACGATGTCGGCCTCTGCGGTACTGCCATCTTGAAAGTGCAAAATGTACGGTGCACCGGGAGAGTTGCGGTCGATTGAGGTCAAGTGCTTGCCGAGGTTGAGGGACGATTGGGGTACACGCTCCTTGAGAGAGTCCAAGAGGTCTGCACGGTGCAGCAGACGAGCAGGCGGCTTTGAGAATTCTTCAATGTGGCCCAGATATTCACCAGACTTATAGCTGTGATACTCCATGTAGCAGGGCAGCTTGCGGGACGAACGGCGTGTCATGCTCTCCTGCAGACCGAAGGCGTCCAAGACACGATTGGCATTGGAGGTAATGTTAACACCAGCGCCGACTTCACCAAACTGCGGTGCCTGCTCGTAAAGCTGGACATTCTTCAGCCCCGCATATAAGGCTGCGTTAAGAAAAGACATGCCGCCGAGGCCGCCGCCAACGATGGCGATGCGCTTATCTTCGAATCCCATGTTGTATACTGATTGGAAATGTACGTGTAAATAAAATCAAGAAGAACAGGTATGTTCAAGGTGCTCGTGTTATGTATCAGGTTATCGGCTTCTCCCGCCTGGACGTTGACCTTTCCGATCAACGTCTGGCTGGAGGTGACTTTCGGAGCGTGGGGAGTGTGGGGAGTGTGGGGTTGTTCTCTTCTTTGAGAACTCTTCCGAGTATGGACCTGCGGATATCCCGAGCGATCGCGGACGAAGAAGTGAACTATCTGTGCCTATAGCGCCCCCCACCTGGCGGTGAGCGCTATAGGCACAGATACAACTGCAGTGGATGGAGACCCACGTTATTCTGATGCTCATACTCTTCATTTTCTTGTGTTTCGTCATTGGAATATTTTGTCAACTTGCCTTGTCGAACTCCATCAATGCAAACTAATCGGATGCTGCATGTATGCGCAATAGACATCATCTATACAATCTAGCCTATGAATGCACCCCTAGAATTAGACTTGAACCGGAAGCTCCTTGCACACAATTATGGTCTGCTTCAGCCCAAGAATGTGACGGTAGCCTCTCCACCATAGGGATCGGAAGCCCCGCCATGTAAGTGGCGTTGACGCATCCGAAAGCTCCACCGGCATCGGATGGATGTCTCTTATTCAGCAGACGACCCGGAAGCGCCTCTGTCGGCACAAGAAATACGATTATCTAAGCACTCAAAGTGTCATTGGCATTTTTGGTCGAGTGGATTTCGTTCCGATAGCCTCAAGTCATCAATGCCGAACTTGCCGAAATTGAATGCAGTTAGATAGATTCATTACAATCATCAAGCTCGTCATTGGTAACTTCAAGGATGTTTCTATATAATGTCCCTTGCGTTGGAACATGCTTTTTTTGATGGTGAACAATTACATTTTGAAAGTTATGTATCCCCGCCTCAGTCAGTCCCGGAATATGTTTTGGAAATCGGAGTATGGAAATCGGAGTACTAGACTCCCTAGGCTCCTGGCCTTTACTCCACAATTTTGCCCTTGTTGACAACGAATCCTTCCAGAGCCGAGATAGCCGCCCACAAGCGGTTTTCGGCTTCGGGAATACCAGGGAGCGGTCGCTGTAGAAGACCTCGTCGCTGACCTCCTCGGGATGGCGGGGCAGGCAGTGCATGAACTTCCAGTTTTCCTTAGCACCGCCGCGAGTGGCCAAATCGGAAGTAATCTGGAATCCTTCGAAAGCCTTCATGCGCTTCTTAGCCTCCTCCTCCTGGCCCATGGACACCCAGGTATCGGTGACCAAAATATCGGCATCCTTGACCGCCTCTTCGGGAATGTTGGTCTGAGTGAGCTTGCCCGGAGTAGGCACACCCTCCCCGGCCCTCTTGATAACATTGAGCATATCTGCGGGGATCTCGTAGCCCTTGGGTGTAGCAACAGACATATCGACACCCATCTTGGTAGCACCGATAGCCAGATCGAAAAGAACGTTGTTGGCGTCGCCAACCCAGGCGATCTTGAGACCCTCCAGTCCCAAGCTGGAGACCTTATGCGCCTTGGGTGTGAAGGACTCGTAGATAGTGACGAAGTCGGCGATAATTTGGAGGGGGTGGTAAGAGTCGCACAGCGCATTGATGACGGGAACGGAAGAATCCTTGGCCAGATCAGCCACGTCGGAGTGCTTTGCGACACGCGCGACAATGCAGGAGACCATTGACGAGATGACGACGGAGGTATCGTAGACGGATTCGTTCACGCCAAGTTGAATGTCGTCCTTGCCCAGGAACATGGGGTGACCACCCATTTGAACGGTGGCGGCTTCTGTGGAAACACGAGTACGGGTGCTTCGCTTGTTGAACATCATGGCGACGGTCTTGCCGGAGAGCGAGCCGATAAGGCTTGTCGGAATAGCTCCGGACTTGATGGCTTGCTTGTGTGAAGAGGCATTGCGAACCAGGGTGGCAAACTCAGCGGGGGTCAGGTCAGCGATAGACAGGAGGTGACGGGGAGGAGACGAGGGAGTTGTCTGAGAGGCAAATCGTCGGAGTCCATTAGCCTGGAGAGTTCGAGGCAGGGTAGAGGTGGAGCTGGCCAATTGAGTTACGTTTTGGGCGCCATAACGGGCGGCAGCTTTGAGACCGCTAGCCATGATGGACTTTGGGGGTTATGGGAATGTACAGAGTGACAGTGCAGGTGCAATTGGGGAGGAGGAAAGGAATTTGGGGAGACCGGGCATATAAAGACAGAGTGGGCGCAATGACTCAACTCTAAAGCCCGGAGATAGTGGGACTGCCTTTTTGCCTTGTTGCCTTACTGCCAGGTGTTTGGGGTGTCGATCTCCACACCCCCCCATTATCTTGCTTATCGTCATCGTCATCGAGGGATTCCATCTCCTCTCCTCCACATTTCTGCTTTGTGTCTTACGAAGATAACTATTCACTGCTTGAACTCTTATCACATCAATCTGGCCATCATGGTGGACGAGGCGAGCCGGCCCTTGCTAGATGGCCAGGCCAGATCCTCTTTCGAGGCAGCCGGTCGTCCTGACCAACCTCGCCGATCATTTGAACTGTCGTCCGAGTCGACCCCTCTCTTACATCGTCGCGACGACGATATCAATTCATATGGAACAGAGCGGAGGCTGTCACAGTCGTCTGCTGCATCATACTTGGAGGACGGGTCCCCTAGAAAGGGAAGCCCGGTGCGATGGCCCACCGTTATCTCGCTTGCCTTGTTAACTACTGCCATCTTGGCAATTTTGATTTTTGCTTTTGCTGCACCGGCCGTGGTGAAAGAATATGCTCAACAAGCTGCTTTATTTAAACCGACCAAGCTATCTATAGATTCAACGACATCCGAAGGTGTTCGCGCTCGAGTGCAAGGCGAGTTTGTCATGGACGCAAGTCGCGTGAAGAGCAAGTCGATGCGCAACTTTGGTCGTGTGGCCACGTGGATTGCCAGAGAGGTTGAGACTGGGGAGTCCGATGTGGACGTTTATCTCCCTGAGTACGGAAATGTCCTTCTTGGTAACGCCACATTGCCATCCATCAAAGTTAATATTCGCAATGGCCATCACAACCACGTCGACGTCTTGGCAGATCTCAAAGCTGGCGATATTAAGGGAATACATGCAGTCGCTGTAGATTGGATGGAAGGGAGGCTAGGTCGCCTCAGCATCAAGGGAAGAGCAACAATACACCTCAAATCAGGCTTAATCGGCCTAGGAACCCAGATTATTACAGACACTATCACATTTGAAGGTGAGTTTACCCGTACTGACAGCCCAGACCACAAACTCACTTGCTCATAGAGAAAGACTTCCCTGCCTCACCAAAGATTGACGTCGTGAAGCTCAATGTTCGTGATGACAAGGGTGGAGCCATGGTAGTTGATGTCGTTGTGGCTGCGTTGATCGACTCTCCTATTGCTTTGACAATTCCCTCCCTTGGATTCGAGATCATGGTGCCTAATTGCTCCCCTGGTGATCCTTACATCATGGTCGCCGATGCGACAACCTCAGAAATTCAGGTACACCCTGGTGAAGCCACCGGTGTCAACGTTCGGGGACTTATTGAAAATCTCCCCAACGAACTCACTGCTACTTGCCCCGATGAGGAGGGCTCTCCTTTGGACTTCCTGGTTTCGAGTTATATGCGTGGCGACAAGACCACAGTCTTCATCCGTGGCGCAGATGCGCCTTCCGTTAACACACCTGGGTGGATTGTAGATTTCTTACGCAGCGTCACTGTTCCTCTGGAATTTACAGGAGGTGCATTTGATGATCTGATCAAGAATTTTACCATGTCCGACATGAAATTCTCCCTTCCCGACCCGTTCGCAGAACCGGGAGCCCCTGACTCGCAGCTTACCGTGTCTGGCCTGGTGAAGGTTCTCATCAACCTGCCGGAACAAATGAATTTCCACGTTGATGTTCCCAAAGTCCGCGCCCTAGCAAACGTCTTCTACGAGGGCGAACAGCTTGGAAATTTGAACATGGAAAAATGGCAAGACGCCAACTCGACCCTTGTGGTAGATCAGGACGGCTCTTCAGCGCTGCTGGTGGAATCACCAATCAAGGATTTACCACTGGAGGTCACAGACAGCAATTTGCTGGCACAGCTCGTCCAGGAAATGCTTTGGGGCTCCGGGTCTGTGGTGTTGCACGTCGCTGCCACTGTAGACACGAAGGTCTCTACTGGTCTTGGACGATTCGCTGTGCGGGGCATTCCCGCCGATGGGGATGTCCCTGTAAACAGTATGTTCTCAATGATCTGATAAGCTAGATAGTATAAATTGAGCCAAATTGTTCCTTGATTGACATTATCATAGCTCCTGGAACGTCGATTGATCATCTTCATCCTCGAGTCGCATCGATTGAACTAAAGAACACCACTGAAACCTCACTCTACGTCTCCACTCAACTGAACTTTACGAATCCGACTGACTACTCTGCAACGATTCCATTCGTGGATATCCTGATGCTATACAATGGAACAGCTCTTGCTCATATTGTGGCTCGCAATATCGCAATTATTCCTGGGAACAACACCCACGTCCCCATCGATTTCTCATGGAGCCCACTAGAAACTGGCGGTATCGATGGGAAAGAAGCTGGTAGAGCCTTCATGTCCTCTGTTGCCTCAGATCTAAACACATCAGTGACCCTCAAGACATACGAAGGAACATTTCCTTCCCTACCACATCTTGGCAAAGGGCTTTCTGCCGTGCCATTTGACGTTCCTGTGCCCCGCCAATCTACCCCAGGATCACCAGGAGATGGGGATGGAGATGACCACGGCGGCTCAAAGTTCATACAGGAATCAACGGTACGGGTCCCGCATTGAGACTAGAGATTGCCTTTACTGACCCAACACCTTACTCCAGATCCACATCTGGACTTCAACCGCCGAGTTCACTCTCTTTTCACCCATGGCCGACATGAGCATCCAAATCACATCACTCAACGCAACCGCTCTCTATGACGAAGATGAACCTATTGGCAGAATCAGCTATGACTTGCCTTTTGAGGTCCCGCCCGGTGTTTCGCACACACCACGCATGCCGGTTGATCTGGTGCTAGATGGAATTGGATATGATGCCTTGCGCAAGGCTCTTGGTCATTCATTACTGGTTGATGCGGTGGCTACAGTTGGATTCAAACTCGAAAATTATGAAGATGTTGTTAGCTACAATGGGTCCGGGATCGGAGCCAAGGTAAGATTTTAGACTGTATAAATCAGGCGCGGCTAAACCTAGATTTGGCTCAAAATGTTTATGAAAAGGTACTGGTTGGCGTTTGGGACATCAACTTGGGTATACGGAAGATGAAATACGAACAGATTGCTTTTAATGAAATTCTCTTGGTCCAGGTAGATCTGAGCACGCTCCTAGCCTTTTGATGCTAAGATTTGATTGTGGGTCTATACTAATTCTGTTGTGTACTAGCCCCGAGTCAGCCAAGGTAAAACCCGTAGTGGAGTATCGGCTCAAGGTAGACTCTCCCATGATGAAGTAAACAAGGGCCCTCAGAGATATTACTCACCGCCACAGTGCTCTGGCTCGTTTGTGTATGTATTGAACAGGCTTGCTATCGACACTTGTACCCACCCTGCTTACACAGCCCCGGCTTCAAGGTGGGCGATCAATACTGGTGAGCTAATTGAAAATCGAAAAACAGTACTCTGGCAGTGCTTCTTCCCGTGCTTTTACCAGAGTGAGCTTAGCTCTATTCAAAGAGAGGAGAGACTCAGATCCGTCCCGCGGAGCCAACGGAAACGCCAGCCGAGAATCTCATAGTGATGTTCATTTGCAGATGATCTTTGCCCCTACCGTGATCTTTTGTAGTCCAGATTCCTGGGGAGATAGCTCCCGAAATCTTAAGATTGGAAGAAGATTAGCAGTGTGATTATAGACAACAGCTCGTCAGATAATGAATTGGAGCTTCACAATCGCTTGAGCTCTCACATGCTTGCCCTGTCAATGAGTACGGTCCACATGTTTTTGCCGAAGAAACGTCTCTAGAAGATAGACACACAGCCGCTTGGATTGCAATATGTCGCAATATAGTAGACGGTTCCCAAGCGGGACCTGCAAAATACCTACGGTTCAATGGGTACATGAAGTACGGCTTTGCTATCTGGGAAGGGTAGTTGTCCAAATTAAGCCCCATTTCCTTAGCCTCAAGGACACTGCACTTTCAAGCAGGGTGTTTAGTTATTGGGGATGATGATGCGAATCTAGCTGCTATCTGTGCCTATGGCGGTGGGGGGCGCTATAGGCACAGATTTTAACAACTCTAAATTACTAGAGTGAACACTCATTGGGCTCCGCTGATTTTATGTGTGACTAATCCGAGTAGCTGACCGACCGGGGAGCTTGAGCCTGAGTCCGGGCTGACAACTGCGTGTGGCTTCTCGGTGAGACTTATTCCGAGTGTCCTCACGAGAGCGGCGGCTGTTCAGATAGCGAGACCAAATCTCACCTGTGTCGATTGTGCACTAAGGAGTATCAATCCAGATACTGGTCGACGTGCATGCGATTCTTTGAGTGCATGAGATGCCAAATGATTGCTAGCAGTCAGAAGACTTTTAGACTACTTTATTATCTAGAGCTGCAATCAAGCCTTTTTTGACATATCAAGATACCGAGAGTGTTGAGATTGGATGTTATACATCTTATTGAGGAACCTGACCTCCTATTAAGAGAAGCATTTCGAACAAAAATCACAAGCTTGAAGCAATGCGCAGCAAATAAACCAAATCATATTGGGTATGGATGTTTTTGAATTGATTGATGGAATGTTGTTTAACCAGGGGGCAGGGTGCTGGCATCGACAACGTCGGCGGCATCCTTCTCAATCTCCTCAGTGGGCTCGGACAGAGGGGAACGGGGCAGAGCCATGAGACCGGTACGGGTGGACTCGAGGATACCAAAGGGACCGATCAGCTTGAGGAAGGAGTCGATACGGCTGGGCTTAGCGGAGCTATTTGACAGTTAGCTATGACTCACGAGTAGATCATACTAGACATGGGTACTTACACCTCGACAATGCAGTTGTTGGTGCTGATATCCAGAATCTTACCGCCGAACTGGTGAGTCAGGCGGGTGATAGCATCCAAATGCTCGTGCTTGTGACGCAAGGCCTGGCTGGGAGGCAGGTTGCGAGGGTGATATTCAACTGCTTGAATCTCATGAGCATGGTGCTCACCCTGATTCTCGGGGTAGTGATCTCGCGGTGATGCTGGAGCAATTCCTCAAAGAACTCGGGACCCAGGATGGAGACTTTGGCAAGTAGAAGCTCGCGCTGGACCAGAGCAGACTCGGTGTAGTCCAGCACAGCCCAGACGGGAACAAGGTCATCCAGCTGACGACGAGCCTGCTCGACGACACCGTCCTGGCCCTGCAGCACAATGGTCATACGGGAGAGATCATCAACCTCAGTGTTGCAAACGACCAGACTGTCAATGTTGAAGCCACGGGCGGCTAAAATTCCGGACACGCGGGAGAGCACACCAGGCTCGTTCTGAACCAGACAGTTCAGGATGTGGCGCTTGGGAGGGTTGGTTGGTGGCACCGGGGTCTCGTACAAGATAGACGAGACAGCAGTGGGAGCATCCCACTGGGAAGAGGTGTCGGCAACCGGCAGGGTCAGAGGTGAGCGGCGGTGCAATGCCTTGTAAGCCAGAGCAGAGGTCGAGCTAGAGGAGGAGCGGATGCTCTCAAATCGGGGAAGCGCCGCAACAGTGCGAGACCGAGCGACGGCTGCTGTCGGAGACAGCAACGAAGCCCTCGCAGACAGCGTCAATGGGCGCCTGAAAGCCATAATGAGATCAGGACGAGGGTTGTGCGATGAATCACTCCAGGTTCTCCGGATTCTTTTTGCTCTTCCGACCTCGGCCAAGCTGACTCACCGCCCACTAGCCAAATCTGGCCTAGTGTCTAAATCCTAACACGTGATCCCGGGGTTTTCGATGATTGGGAATATCAATTCGAGTTTCGCTGATAAAGACAGCTGCTTGCGAGACGGCGTTCTTGTCCTGTTAACCCTTGTCGCCCAATTCATCCGGCTTCATTGGTTTTACCGCAACTTTGGGATCCTCATCCGATCGCGCTAGGCTCGATTTTCGACAAAACTCCTTCCCGTCAAATTGGACCCTTTCTCTCCTCGCGCATTCGATCATTCACTCTCCCTACCAACTTTCACCAAACCTTTGCCACTATGGCCGATGACGACCGTCGTGTCAAGCGCTCACGCTTCGATCAGACTGAGCCTGAGCCCCGGCGATCCCGTTTCGATCGCCGGTCGCGATCTCCGTCTGGTCGTCAATCGGAATCCACTCGCACTCGCAGCCCACTGAGCCGTGAACCGCGTAGCCCTGCAGGCAATGAGTCGGGAAAGGATTCCCCTGCTGATCCGGCTGCAGCAGCTGGTATGTTTCGCGCTTTGCGCGCATTGCGTCCATATTGACCATCATTGATCGCTGACCCTCTGTCTTTCTTTGTCTACAGCGGCGGCTGCGGCTAAGATCAATGCTCAGTTGCAAGCCAAAAAAAGGCATTCAGCATGTCGATGTACCTCCCATCATGTCGGTAAGTATAACATGAAACTATTCCTGCGCGCTCAACATAACTCGAGCTAATGTATCTTGGATCTCAAGACCGCAAGCCCTGGATTGCCATCAGACTCGCCCTCGAACCAGAATGGCTCTGACAAGCCCAATCACGAAGTCTACGTCGCCGACGGGGACTACATAAAAGACATCGAGATCAATGACTTGCGCAATCGCTACACCCTCACTAAGGGCTCCACTCAGAAGATGGTAAATTACTCCGATGTTGCTGATTTTCCAGAGATGCTGAGCTGCATGGCGTTCTCATGTGTGGCTGTGACTCCAAGTTCCCTTTTCTTCTGTTCACATGAATCTTGTATTGTCGGACGAAGCTTACACGAGACCCACTTAACTCTAGCATCTCACCTCCCCTCTGTTGCATCTGCTGACCTCGGCTGCGTGATTTCTAGATTAAAGACGAAACTGGCGCCGGTATGCCTTTCATTGCGTTTGTTCTAATTGAAGAGGAGCTCATTGCTTACTCCACTGCCAGATGTCACGACCCGAGGAAACTATTACCCGGACAAGAACATGGCCACGGCTGCGGTAAGTGAAAATCTTTCCATCGACATGAGCAATAACTAAGAATGATAGAAACCTCCTCTTTACCTTCACGTAACCAGCACCAGCAAGGAAGGTCTCGACAAGGCTATCCAGATTATCGACGATATGATGAAGAAAGAGCTCCCCAACTTGGTTGACGAACGACGCTTCCGTCGTCCCCAACGGGAAGAAGTCGAGAGGGACGAATATGGTCGCGTATGAAAGAGCACTTCAACATAACCCGAGACTTGCTAACTTGCCACAGCGTAAATGGCCAGATGAGCGTATTCCCATCGACCTTGAACCCATTCCGGGATTTAACCTGCGTGCCCAGGTTGTCGGCCAGGGTGGTCAGTATGTGAAGCATATTCAATCCACAACCGGCTGCCGTGTTCAAATCAAGGGCAGGAACTCTGGGTTTATCGAGAATTCCACTGGTCGTGAGAGCGACGAGCCCATGTACCTGCACGTTGCGTAAGTCACTTTACTTTTGGTAGCCGCGAACCCATCTGACATTCCTCTAGTGGCCCTGATCCTGCTCAAGTTGAGCGAGCCAAGGAACTTTGCGAAGATCTCATTAAGAATGTCACTATCGCTTATGAGGAGCACAGGGACAACCCCCCCTCAGCGCGGTTATGGTGGAAATTATGGTGACCGCGGTGGACGTGGCGGTGGTGACCGTTACCAGGGTGGCGGTGGCAGAGGAGGATACGGAGGAGGCTACGACCGTCGTGACAACCGCAGTCGTCAATCTCCCGGCCCTTCGGCTAGTCCTACCTCCCAGACCGCCCCTGCAGCTGGCAATGCTACCGATTATGCTGCCCAGTATGCTCAATACTATGGAGCTGACCCTTACGCTGCCTATGGTGGTTACGAAAACTACGTCGCCTATTACAACTACTACCAGCAGTATGCCGCCGCTCAGCAGCAACAGCAACAACAGTCCCAAAGCCCTGCTCCTCCCCCTCCCGCGGGTGAAGCACCCCCTCCGCCTCCCCCAGGCTCTGGATCTCCACCCCCTCCCCCGGTACTGGACCTCCTGGTGCCGGTGCGGGTAGCTACAGCATAGTACGTCCTCCAATTCACCCTAAACTGAAAGTTGCTCATTTCGTCATTCCAGCCTCCCCCCTCCCAGCGGTCCTCCTCCGCCCGGTTATTAGGCTGATCACTGAGAAAATGCCACACTGCCTCCGGAGATTTTGTCTTGATATAATTCGGCAGTTTGAAGAGAGCCTTATCTAATTTTGCCAGGCTTTCAAAATGGGGAGAATACAATTGGTTTGGTAATTGTCGTGAATTCGATGTGATTGTGCTACCTACCTACATAGGCGTCAAAAGGATATTTATACATGAGTATTTTTTTTGGTAATCTGGTCGCAGTGCCCTCCTTTGGACCAGATGGTCTCTTGACGTGTACCTCGACGCACTCATCCCTTGATATGACCAGAGATGAATATTGATGGTCACTGAGGTATGTATGCATCGCATCGCATCTCGTCTCTGTCCAGGAGCGCCGATTGCAGATTGCCGTCGGGCATGAAACAATGCAAATTCTAGTACAATTGATGTCCCTGTAGACCAGGACTCAAACAAGCCTAAATTTTATGACATCCAGCAAAGGCAAAGACAATCTATGATGCCTTGGTCGATGTTTACAGTAAATAGCCTTTCGGAAACCGCATTATGATGTTCAATTCTAAGCTTATTTATCATAATTATCTCACTGCGACTGAGTAGCCCACTGCTTGCTAGTGACAAGTAAAGTGACCAGGTTCTCATCTTTGACAAACTGCTCTCTGTACTCCGAAAGAATACTAGTCGCTGGCATACAAATGAAAATAGAAAGGACACATAGCACTAGAAAGATTCATATCCCTCATTAAATTGAAGACCCATCTTCGCCTTTCTCTTCGCCAAAGCTCCATGTCCCTCTTTGCAAAAGTCACAAGCAAAATCACAAGGGGTTGAAGCCAGGCCTCTACCCGCCTGGGCCTGCGACGAAGGAGGCCTCTGGGAACCCATCTCCTCCAGCTCATAATCACCAAAGAGATCCTTGATCAGATCATGCCGGCACTGAGTCACAGTCTCACAGTATCTTATAACCTTCTGGAAGCTTTCCATCCTAGCCGCTTGGTTTTTGAGCAGACCGTCAACGACTTGCTTCTGCACGCCGCGATTGCGCACATTCTCTGTATCTCGACTGAGCCGGTCATAGATACGGTCTCGTTCTTCGTAATTGTAGTAGACGAGCGAGGCAGCTGCTCGACTGTCACGGCCTGCGCGACCTGATTCTTGTACAAAGCCTTCAAAGCTGCGGGGTGGTGTCCAGTGTACCACGAATCGAACGTGGGAATTATCGATTCCCATACCAAAAGCATTTGTTGCGACGATTATGGAGAATACGGGTGGTGGTTTCCCGTCGTTGCGGGTAACGGGTTGTGGTGAGGTCCACATTGCTTGAATGCGGGTTCGGTCTTGTGGTGCCAGGCCAGCATGATATGCTACCGCGGAGATAGTGCTGTTTCTGGACAATTCACTGGCGATTTGTTCTGCGGCTGCGCGTAGTCCGACGTAAACTATGCCAGATATTGGAGGGAGTTTGGCGGCTGCTTCTGCGCCGATTCGGGCTTCTCTGCGGGATTTGATGGCTTTTAGCCATTTCATAAAATTTTCGATTTGGCTTGCGGGCCCATCATTCTCGCTCTCGCTCCATGGCTCTAGATAACGGACTTCGTAGTGGATGTTGGGGCGCGCGGAGGGGGTATTGAAAAGTCTGAGCTTGGTGGTGTCTAGACCGAGTATGTTAATGATATCTAAGCGTACTCGTGGCGTGGCTGTGGCTGTGAGGGCAGTGATAGGAACTGGTGGATTGGTCAGATTCTTCTTGAACCACCCAAGCTCTTGGTACGCTGGGCGAAAGTCATGGCCCCATTCACTGATACAGTGGGCTTCATCGATAGCAAGACGGGTCAGTTGCCCCTGCCGATGAACTGTCTGCAAATTGCGACGAAAGCTGTCCATCTGGCAGAGTTCTGGGGTAACGTAGAGGAGGCGTGTGCGGGGATGCCCAGAGAGCATGTCATCCATGATCAGGCGGCGCTCTGCCATCGGGGTATTGGAGTTTATGGTAGAAACTGGGACGCCAATTGCTTGAAGAGCATTGACTTGGTCCATCTATTGCTAGGTCAGTAGAACAGTCTTGGGAATCCATAATAAACACTTACCATGAGCGCAAGAAGAGGACAAATCACTATTGTCACTACCCAAAAGTAAGGAGATTGTTCTCGGTATAGTTTGAAGTAAAGCACACGAAATACTCACAACCGGTACTGATGACTGCGGGCAATTGAAAACACAAGCTTTTACCAAAAGACGTCGAAGCTTGGATAAATACATCATGTCCCTCCACAGCCGCGGTAATGACTTCTCGTTGAAGCGGCCTGGCGTCCAGATTAGTGAATGGAGCCGCGTCTTGAAGGGGTCACCAACCTGAAAGTTTTTTTGCGAAAAACACGGTGCAGGTAGAAGTCCAGGTCTACCCTGGGTCGAGGCAACCCACCCACACTAGTCATCTGGGATCATCACACAGACGTCAGCTGAAACCGTTGATGATTGAACTTCGAGCAGTCGTGGATCGCGTCGGGCCCGATCAACACGTGGTCACGTGATGCTACCACTTTTGCCTATTTGGGGTGGCATACTTCAGCCCAGTCTTCGAGGTCTTCAATACCGGCATCACTTTTACGTTCGTGGTTGAAATCTTGATTGCGCTGGTTTGGATCACAAAGTATCTATGTTGGGATTCGGTCAGCTACATTCGGAGTCCTAAAATTATACATATATATTCTGGGAAGACGTCCACCCCACGAATGGGGCGACGATTGATACGAGACTGCGACATCGGGACGGAAACATTGACAGTTGAAAATCATACACTGTCAATAACCGTCATTATTAGAATGCATCGTAATACCGAGACACGGGCACCCCTAGCCTCGCATCCGAAATAAGCACTTGGGCTTGCAAAATTCAAGCTCATCTGCTTTCAAGTTGTTGCTATTGCTCTTTGAGAAGATGTCTACTTGAACCAACCCACCTTCCATAATGTAGATGGTTCTCCATGGGTAGATAGTTTTCAAATTCGTTGATAATAGTGTAAAGCGTTGTGGTTGATTGTCAGACATGTTGATATGCAATGAAAGGCCATCAAAGCGTGAAGGTTGGTCCAGGTGCCTCCGGTCTTTAGTAAATAAGCCTGATTGTGAGTAAAGTTCTTTCAACTATCAAGAAACTCTGTGTACGCCCTGTAATTTATGCACATTGTCGTATGGAGCTAAGTCAGACCCTTTTCGGGTCCACAAAAATACATAAAAGAGAGACTAATTGTCAAAGCAAGCGCGAACAACCGGACAAAAGACTCAGTCATACCTACTACCGCAGTTCAAAATGACATTCATATAAATGGCACCCAGCCCTTACCGGTAAGTTGATCATCAAATTGCATATTCAAAGCATCATAGGAAAGCCTAGTACACTAAAGCTGCCATATATGACTCGCTTCTCCAAATTTCTTATGCAGGTGAGCCCTCGTAGGATTCCCCTACCACTATACCCCCAAGTGACCAACCCAGCACCCAAATCCTGCAGCCTCTACGTGGGATTCTGCAAAGAGAACACCGAAAGTGATGTTTCGGGCACCCACTGGCTTTTGATACTCGATCCTCTAGGTCGTTCAAATGGCACATGGTGGCATACCCTTCCAACCCACGACAACGACTACGAGCTCCGAAAGGAAAACACTAAGAATCTTGACCACTCTTCTATCGTGTTGAAGCAGTGGGTCGCTGATATTCCTGTTTGCGAGCTCGGTCACGTTCAGTACATGATGATGCATGATGTTCCAATGCAACATAGCCAGCGCTGGGTGGTTGCGGTGCTGGTTGCGCTCGAGCGTAAGTTTTTGGTTCCCCCTGGTACTAGTTCGCAATTTATGAAGCAGATTCAGTGTCATCATGGTCGTGCTGTTGGGGGATATGAGAGGTCGCATCTTGGTTTTGGGCACATCGTTATTGGATTCAGGGCCTGATCCATTATCCAGTTGTTGATTCGAACTTGATCCATCTAGGACATTGTTCTTTTGTTGATTCGCTTATTGAGATCTAGGTTGTTAAGAATCTGCTAGGGCTTACTTGGTTAAACATGATTTCTATATTCAAATAGATCAGTGTTCTGACAGGTTTCAAATTCTTTTTAAAGATCTCTATGAGCTATCCTCATTATACTGGAACACAGCGTGGAACAAGATATCAGTAATGTTGATTCGGTATATGTCTACAAGTATGTACAGGTAAAAAAGCAAAAATCATCCCCAGGTTATTTTACATGAGGCGAGTGTTTCGCCAATTGTTTATCGAGCTCCTCCTTAACAGCATACACATCGTTGGCCATGCGCTGATGAGGTCGCCAAATCTTCTCAAGCTGAAGCCAAGCCTCCAAAACCTCCCTAGGCCCGCAGGTTGTGCCAAATGCCCGCAGAATGGCAATAACCATCCTGCGTCCGATGAAAACTCCGTTTCGAGGCCTGCGCCATGGTCGCGTGGACCCTCGTGCTCACGATATCTATCGATCCAAGCTGATTCGTTTTCCCCTTCGGCGATCACCTCATCGAGATCATCAGTAAGCTTTGTCTCCTCGTCGTCTTCCTTTGTTGAAAGAGACTTTTGAATCAGACTTGGCGTGGAGGGAGCAGGGCCCGGTGCAAGATCTAAGTCATCTGGCCAGCGAGATGAGAAGAATCCATTGGTGTCGTGTGGCTCTTGAGGCCTCTCGAGGGGGTTTTCATTGTTGCTTGGAAGAAATCCATCGGCCGCATTAAACATTTTGGTGTTCTCTGGATTCACAGCTTCCGGTGAAGAATCTGTCTTGTCCAATTGCACAGATGCAAAGAATCCACCAGGATCGTCGTCCTGCATAAAGCCAGGGGTTTTCTTTGCACCAGATGACGGCAAGGGGACGTAGAGACCATTGGGATCTTCGGTTGGAAGACTCGGTTGAAGATCAGTGATCATAGAACTCAACGGATTTTCCCAGACCATGTCCGGGGACCGGTTGCCGTCATGGAGATCGTCGAGTCTTGATTTCGAATCACGCAGAGCCCGGAGATATGCACTCCAGATCAATCGGAGCCGTTCGGCGGACCAGGACTTCTTGTGTTTGCCATGGATGCCAAATCCTTCGAAAAGCAGCATATAGATGATGTGGCGAGGGGGAACGGTATAGGTACTTTCCATGTCGCGGAGGACAGTCATGAACATATCGAGCTGGCCGGAATGACGAGAGAAGTACCGAAGGAAGATATAAAAAGTTCGAGTATCTGGTGTCATGGGCACAGAGTCCTGGAGCGCTCGATGGTATGCTGGAAGTTTGTTCTTAAGGGCGTGTGATTTCTTCAAGAGACGACCCATCTTTCGCGTGCTTCCACGGTAAATGGAAAACTGGCTCGAGAGAGCGGGGTCTTTTTGCGCATCAGAGTCGGGGGCCGAAGGCTCAGGGCCTTTTGCCGCTCGTTGTGCCTCGAGCATGCGTGCGTAGATTTGCTCTGCGGTATTGAAATCGCCGGCTCGCAGGTAAGATACACAGACACAATTCAAGGCGACCGTGTCGACGATCTGTCCGGACTTGACAAACTCCTCGAATGTTGCAGTAATGCCATCAACGTTCTTCTGGAGCCCGTAGGAGAAGATCTTGGCGACTGCACCATAGCGGTCAAACTCGAGGCCGCGTTCTCTCATGTGCGCCTCCAGACCAGCAGCAACAGTATACTGACCAGATTTGATGGCACAATCGATCAAGATGCTGAAGACCACACCGTCCGCTTCAACTCCGGCCACGTGCTCCATCCTCTGCCAAAGACCAATCGCTCGAACCAGATCTCGTCTCAGCACCAAGCCGCTGCCATTACCCCGGGCAGCAAAATAGATCGCAGAAGTCCATAAAGACAGCGACATGGGAAGATCGGCTTTGTTCATGTCATCCACCAAGGCCAAATAGCGGCGGGCGTCGCCCCATCGCCGGTTAGGGGGGTTTGAAAACCGGCGCAAAAGATGTCCTCGCCAGTGTTTGGGAAGTTTCGCCACTCCCGGTGAAGGTATTTCCCTGTATAAGTTAAACAATTCTAGCATCGGCACCTCTTTCTCGAACTTCATTGCTTCCACAAGACGCGCTACCGATCGACTTTCAATCCTGTCGCGCTTGATAAGCTCCTTTCTTTCGCCTGCGGCTTTGGCAGCACAATGTATACAGCCTCTTCCCAGTTGTGCTCCTTGCCCAGAGACTTTTTCAAAAAATGAGCCGTCTCCATATGGTCCTTTTCGTCGTATGAAAGCGAGAGTTCTTGGTCTGGTGATAGATTCGATATTTCTTCTTCAGGCGAGATGCGTAGACTCTCCATATCAAGTGTTTCCTGCATTTCAAGTGGTTTGTGTTGATTCGGTTTTGATATTGTGACGGGGACGAGATTCTCTTTTCCGAGACGTCCATATAATGCATCCTCCCCTGGATCGGACAGTGAACTGTCCTCGTAGTCTCCAAGCCTCATCCTCGTGGGCAGTTTCGCGCGATTGTGCTCATGAGAATCATCCACAGGCTTCTGCGCCAAGCCTGTGCTGAGCCATAACCGAGATCGCGATGCCTGCACCGACGTTCGCGAATATTCCACGCGCCTTCCAGCAGGCATTTGCCCACAACCTGCCAAATTTTTGCCACGCAATCTTCGCAAATGAGTCTCGGGCGGTCTCAAGGATATGGTAGATATACTTCGGCCTCGTGGAGAGTGGTCATGACAGAAACCGGCAAGGACCAAGGAGCCGACAAAAATGTCTGCTATTGACGCGACGGAAGGACGGGGACGGGAAGAGAGTTTTTCGGACTGATGCATGATAGAGAGGTCTCGAACGGGGCATTGGAGACCGAGAAGAGAGCTCGAGCGTCTCTTTGGGGGGATCTCGCAGGCTCGGCGAGCTGGGGGACCTAATGAGCTGAGGCATGAGAGAGCAGACATCGTGGCATTGAATCAGCCATGCATGTCCAAGAAATGAGTAGGCCAATACCAGTTGGATGTCCTGACTGTTTCTCGGCCTCAGAAACAGACAAGACGAGTAGTTCGTGAAGATAGAGAAGATGGGGAAGCTGGAGTGTTTTTCTGATGAACGAGCGGACTCTGTCTTTGCGGCGGGCCCGCTTCGACCAATCGGAGCCGCGCATATTGCCAATCCCATCTTTTTCGCTCCCGCGACTTCGCATCCTTGGCCGATTATCTCCCTGCGCTTTGCTTTCAATTGTCTAGCATCGTCGACCATCGCCAATTACGAGGTTTAAATACACATAGCCACCGGGCTGTGTCAAAGCCGTCATGGGCAAAATCAACCTTACGGCCCTACGGGTGCGCCAGACCGCGATCAACCAGTTCGCCAGCGGAAAGATCAGCCAGCTGCCACAATGGGTCCAGGTGGTGGGCGAAATTCCTCCTTCGGAAACACTCATCCGTACCCCTGCTCCTCAGCATGAGTTGGTCCGCCAGCGATTGAGAACGCTTCCCGGATCCTCGAAGCCGCAGGTCGTCTTCGAAGTCCTGGAGAAGACCCGCAAGGCCAAGAAGGCCAGTCGACTATTCAAGCCCGTCCCACTGAAATATGAAGAGGATCAACTACGACAAGAATTTTTCCGCGATCACCCCTGGGAGCTTGCCCGGCCTCGCGTGATTCTCGAAAGTACCGGCAAAGACTTTGAAAATTACGACTGGAGCCGCCTTCAGCAACCTGGAAAGCGATTGGATGGTGAAAGGTGTGTCACTATTTTTCTCATATTATGGTCATGTCTGGCACAGGCGTCTCTTTCCAAGCGATACTAACGAGTGCCATCTTACAGTGTTGTCCAGCGTCAGCTTTGGCTCTTGAACAACGTGCCCGATATCACCAAGACCGCCGCCTATGATATTGCTCGCCGAGAATTTTACAAGCTTCGTTTGAAGGAGGATATCGAGCGACGAGTTGCTGCCGAGGAAGCCGAGGCCACCGGTGCCCAATTCGGCCCATCATACTTAGAGATCGGTATGGAATTGGAGAATCAGCAATACGAGAAGTGGAAGGCGTGGGCCAAAACAGAGGCACAGGTATTTGACCAGCGAAATGCCGCACTCTCTGGTGCTCCGGACATGGGGGAGACAGAGCCAGAGCCGGACGCGTTCGGCGCCGAGGCTGACCTATTGGCTCCGGCTCAGGCGAAGCCCTAAAGAAATAGCCTGAATCTTTCGTGGGGGCTTCGATCCTCTTATTATTGATGGTCATGTACATTATTTGATTTGTTCTGCTGGATGTATTCCCATAGCCATTTTCTCATGATAGCAATAAGCTACATTTACTTTTGCATCAGTGATCACATCTGTGGATTTGGTACCCATACCTTTGCACTTTCTAAATGAAGAACCAGCGTCGCAGTCGGTCCATTTCTAAATTCTCCCATATTCCTATCGGATATAGACTATGGCTTTGATACTACTAGCCTTGAAAACAAATCAGCTTAGAGAGCTGCGCGGTCGCAACATATTTGATGGTCCTCAGATGCGAGCTATCTGCTTGTAACATATGATCGAGAGCCTAGCTCAAACTTGAATTGAACATGCTTCTATCAGCAACCACCCGATACAGAAGCTAGGCCATGTCATAACGGGGGAGATCCGAAAACCGTTGATCGCGGAGGTGCGTTGGCCTACCCGCATCGTCCAATCAACGCCCTTCCAGTCTTTCCAACCTTCGACGTCCTTCATTCCACAAATCTCCAATCTTGACTGCGATTGCTTCTGTTTATTCTTCTTCTTGTTCGCCCTGCCCGAACTCCTGCTCTCCTCGGGATATCCGTGCTTGAGCATCGTTGCGCCGTCTGCTCCGCTCGCCGTACGCCGTTCGCCCATCGAGTGCCCCGGTGCTGGGTTGGACTTCTACAACGCATCCCGGTCTTTTGATCACCGATAGTCTGACACCGACTTCGAACCCCTTCTGCGTCGCGTCTCGATCACTATTTTCCCGATTCTGGGGTAGTGCAGCATCCCTCGGGCATACGGCCCAGTCGATGATGTTTGGCTCCTTTGCGCATACCGTCCTCGCCCGGTAAAGTGCCGTCTTCGTGGAGGACTCTGACGGCTTACTCTTTGTGTGCGAAGCCAGAAAGCACCCGCTTCGGCTTGCTACTGATCGTTAATATACTGGCGATTACCGACCATGCTCGCTGCAATGAATCGGCCAGAAGACACAGTCCGGGGATTGCGTCCCTACCGCACCGAGGGTGATGAAGATGAAGGAAGGAAAGGTTCGACCGACTCTTTGGTGCCGCCTCCATTGCCATACAGCGAGGGCTCCCCATCGCCAAATGAAGACGAAGGGTCAAGACCAGGCACGGCCATGGGCGACACCATGGGCAACAAGCAAGCGCCTGGGCAGAAGATGTTGACGCACGAAGAGACTATCGAACTTGCGAAGAATGCGGTAGAAAGTGGCATCCAGGATACCATACGCTCTCTGGCAGGGAGTGAGGTTGTCACGGATGTGGTCAAACCAAAGTTGACCATCGACCTGGGTCATTCCCATATTGTGCGCATACCGGAACCGGTGGTAGATATAATCAAAGATGAGGTGGAAAGGTATGTAGTGCATCAAAGTGCAGCGGGAAACACGTTTGAACACGATTGACACCTTGATTCAAAAGGTTATCCTTGTCCAACAACCATCTTTTCCACATTCCCTACCGCTTTGCTGAATGCTCCCACCTGCGATATCTCAATATCAGAGCCAACAATTTTCGGGAATTTCCAAAGGGCGTATGTACCATCAGTGCCCCTCGTTCTGGCCCTCTGAACGATGCTAATGTTGGACAGGTATACAAATTGCCTCTACTGGAGATTCTCGATCTAAGTCGGAACAAGATCAACGCACTACCGGACGAGATTAACAAGCTGAGATCGTTGCGGGTGCTATCAATCATGCAGAATCGTCTCGATGACTTGCCAACGGGGCTGTCTGAAATGAACAAGCTACAGATTCTCAAAATTGCAGGAAATCCCCTTCGGTACCCTCTGCGTCGCGTGCTGGAGGCTTCAGAAGCTGAAATAACGTCATCTGGGATGACTGACAATGAAAAAGAAGTCGCTGTTACCGCGGAGCTAAAGCGGTTTCTCAGAACTCGACAACAAGCGGCGTCCACACCAGATCCCGATAGTTCTGAAGCGTACGTCCGCTGGCTTATTCTTCCCGTCTCTATTATAAGAATCAATGCTTAACAATCAAAATAGTGATTTGGTCGTCGATGCTCCCAAGCCTGCTCCCCCGAAACGCAAACTTAGCAGCAGATTCCCCGTTATTCCAAACTCTGGCGACGCCTCGACATCTTCCTCTCGCTCTCCGTCGTTGTCGCGACCTTCGCCTTTAGTTCCTGCGAAGTCTCACTATCGCATGGCCTCCGGGCAACAGGGCACCGGTAGCTACCATATGGGAGCACTCCAGCGACCAGGAATTAACCCCCATGCCGTTAATGAGCGGAATCGGAGTAACAGCGAGGGGATCATTCAGGCCTCCGTCGCCGCCCGCAACAAGCGCATGGGTGTTATCACCCGGAAAAATACCGATCTGAGACACTTTAGACGAAACTCGCCCATATCGTAACAGCCACTTGCGCGGTCTCAGCTATGGCTCTGTTCTTCGAACACGAAAGGTAGCCCCTACTCCTGCAGCAACTGGCGGTAGCAGCTCGTCAAGTCCCAGCAGTCCACGCGAGCGTCGGCGCTTGCGAGAAGGCTGGGTCAACCGAATGTCTAGTCTTCCTGAACACAAAGGCGAGCGAGGCTCGGATGAACCAATCATTGAGAGTGCTAAGGGCATCTTGTTTGCGATCTTCCAAGTTCACTCCCACATTTCCACGCTGATGAATGTTGTCAAGCGTGATGACACCAGACGCCATAGCTTGGAGTTTGTGTTTGAAAACGCCTCTTATCATGTGGATCAGCTAAATGATGTTCTTGAAAATGCCGAAACTTCCATGCCGGAAGATACAGATACTACGCGGGCAATCACTGAGGCTGTGAAGCGAGAATGCGAGACATGCGTCTCAGCCTACAGCCATGTTATCACGCAGTTACGCCACAACACTGCTAAAATTGTGACCAATGGTGATTCACGTTACGTCCGATCGCTGATGCTTGCAATGTTTGGCAGCTTGGTAGAGCTGCGAAATGCCTGTGCAAGCTTGAATGTTCCGCTACGGACAGCCAAGAAACGACACTCGCCACTCAAGCAATTGATGCCGGCGCCTACACGGAGGACCCCATCCGCCCCTCCTGGGCCACCTCCCTCCACAGAGCGACTGCAGCGATCCTTGGTCACTCCCACACGTGAAACAAATGGGCCGACTCGACGCTTACGAAGCGACACCACAATCCGACATCCCCAAATTCCTATGGCTGGCCCGTTGCCGATTACCAGCCAATCTGCTGTTGGCTCTCCTGCCACGCCATCCTTTAACTTTTCGCGCAGTCGATCAAGCAGCCGATCCAACATGATGAATCCCTCTCTACCTTCTTCGCTAGCCACACCTCGTTCTGGAGAGGCGTTCCCTCTTATCCCTACAACTGGGCCTCGCATCAATCCGTTGACCGGGTTGGACGAAATTGAAGAGGATCGCATCTTTGAAAAGATCTTCTACCAACTCACATCAGCATACACGGCTGCTCTCCAAGCTCTTCCACTGGCTCGACGGCAATTTATTCGTTGCCTTGAAGCGGCTGAACAGCAACGTGAGACTGCAGGAATCCAATTGCTCTGGAATAACCTGATTCGTCGATGTCGATACTGTCTGGAAGTTTCAGAGACACTCGGTCTTCGCTTATCAAGCATGAAGGTCCGAGAACCAGGCGGGGGCCTTCGTAACCAGCGCGAGTTCTGGCAGCTTTGTAAAGGCTTCATGCAATCGTTTGTGGATCTAGTCACCGATATGCGAGAAGTGCGCAGCATGCAGCTACTCCCTCAGGACATCATCATCATCCTGCGTCCCGTTCAAAAGGCCAGCCGCGAAGCAGGCCGTCTTATCGAAGCTTCTCCGTGGTCCTATCTCGCCGACATCTCACATGGACCGAGCACTCTTTACGGCCCTCCACTGCAACCCCCGCATACCCAACATCAAACATCGGTCTCCACATCCGCACTTACATCCCACCCGAACCCATATGGGCTCGCTGTTGGTGTGCCTCCTCACTCTGTGACTGTCCCTGCCACCCCGCTGAGCGCAGCACTTGGCCCTGCAGCACAGGCAACTGTCCCTTCCACACCGGCGAGTGCGTACAGCGACAAATTCTTCGAGGGCGACGTCTTCCAGCGCGCGGACTCGCTTCTCTCGATGGGACATCAAGCGCCGCATTTCCGACGTTAACTGATTGATGATAATCATTACGAATAGCAAGAGTTGTTTGCATTTGACCCGCATCTGATGATCATGATCTGAAAACATACCCTTACATACCGTCATGGACAGGCTGCGATCCCGCAGCTGCGTATCTTTCAGTCGCTGACAGATACTACCGCTTGTACTTTTGAATCCTACTTTTGAATCCTATTAGCGGAAACATCAATGCTATCTTTACTTTCGGAGTACCAATGAGGATGTCACATTGTACACGGGTTTCTAAACTGTACGTCTGTTCGACCCAACCATCGTAAATATGCTTCGCACGGATCAATCAAGGAAGCAACATCAAAGTAAGCACTCGAATCAGTTCAGACTGTCCATCGCCGATAGAAATCAGGTGCAATACCAATTACCAGAATTTGTTCCCCATCATCGTTCGTCCCACGAGCCGTTTGCGTCTCGATATCATCCCTCAAACGCGTAGTTCCACCTCTCACTAACACCGCCTCCCTATCATCCCCAACACCCGCTCGCCGACAAAGAAATCTTTTCTCATTCCCCCTTTCCCACCGTGTGGTTCATTTGCTTACTGTGAGGGCTTTTTAGTAGAGATTCACTGATGGGAAGTTGCGAGGTAGGGTGATGCCGAGGGTGCCTAGGCTCCAAATGTTGTAGATTTGAGTAGAGGCTTTGGTGTGGGTTGGTTGCGACTAAACGCGGTTGCTAGGGCGGTGGTCAATGAGGGGAGCCAGGTTAAGATCTTGGACTGAGAGGATGGGGTAGTTTGGAATGTTTGATTGTGGGTTGCTTCTTTTTCGATGCTAAAGATGTGTCGGACGTGAGAGGGCATCTGGGTACGTAGATGGCGTAGACACACATTGTGGCTAATACCTCATCAGTAGTCGGGTTGATTCTTGCCTCCAAGATGGTTTACGGTATACTTCAAGTGAGAGTTGTCGTTACATGTTCTTGTTCTGAACCGAACTTACAGCTACTGCTCACAACAACATCTCCATTGTGGTCGGGAATCTGAGCTTAATGCGAGCGTGGAGTTCATTCTAGATAGTATAGAGTCTGAATTTGCCCTGAAGTCCTAGAGTAGACGGGACAAAATTCATTGTTCGATGGATCCCTCAACAATTTGTCTTGCTTGCCACGCACGTTTCCCGAGGACTGGGGCTATCCTCAATATTCATTATGAATCATGTTGACTCGCGATAACTTGTACTTGACAAACTCTGAGCTCATCAAATGCAGTCATGCATACCTGTCACGCTATTGGATCCTGGACGTAGCACGTCTGATGCGCTTTGGCCAATCCGTAACTTGTAGATCATCACGGAAGTAGCTTGTCAAAATAGTTGGAGTATCGTGTTCCAGACTAGTATAAAGATGCTTCCGACAGCAAGGTCAGAACCAAAGAATGGTGAAATTTGGCGGTCTATCAAGTATCGTTCAGGAGTGTTTGACTCTAGAAGCTGCGCGATATTGGCTTCATGGCTGGGAGAAATTCAACTCATGCTATGAAGTAAGTCCGTCTCATGACATCCGATACACCTTCGAGTCACCCACATAAGCTATGACGAACAATACTCTCTGAACCCAGACTAAATTGGAAGAATTTCTGGTTTTCCCATCCATTGATGTGCAGCTTGTCGACATCATCCGATGCTTATTTTGTTCCCTGCGCGAAAATTCATAATCCAACAAGGATCAAAATTGCAGCTAACATATACAGTCACAAATGCACAGAATGCACTTTTCCACCTGATATCGACCCTTCGTTACATCCCATCCACGTTCCTCACCGCTCAAACAGGTGAATACAATTGCCTTGATTATCCCACCTTGCCACCCACAACCACATCCCGCACATAAGCAAACATCTCCCTCTCCTTCGTCGCAAACACACTATGCCCAGCCCCACGAAAGAGATGATACGATACACCCCTTTCCGCGCCCCACGTCCCAACTGAATCACCTTCAGTCCTCCCAGGCCCAGGCGCAGGATCATCAGCAAAGAACACATCATTCGGCTTCTTCGAGAACCCCTGTCCGCCACGCCAAGTCATGTTCTGAATTGAGAGCTCAGTGCCGATATGATTGATCAGCATATCTAGTTCGCCATTGTAAATATGCAGCGAGATGTTATGTTTCGTGACCAAGTTCGGCAGAAAGTGATACGCGGGTGGAACGGCTGATGGGGCTGCAAGAAGTATACCCAAAATCGTTGAGTTACAAGCTGCGTAGGTATCGCTATCTTTGACGTGTAATGCCGCTTGAACATCCGATCGACTGAAGTATTTCACCATGAGCTGGAGAGTGTCGATTGTACTGCAGTTGTGAGATATATCGTACATGTCAAAGCAGGGGATTCCAGCTCCAGTTTCCATCGGCGAGGCTGTATCCATGTAATCCATTGCGGTGGAGAACGTGGCGCAGGGCCCGTAGCAAGTTGAATTTAGAATAGAGTTTGTGACTTCGGCGGGTGTGATGGGGTCTGTATTGCACGTTGCGTCTACTGTGTCGGTCATGTCGCGTTTCCTGAGACGGTAGTTGAAGTATTCTGGATTTCCGGGAATGTGAATTTTGCCTTTTGGTGGGTAGATTGATGCTTCTTTGAGGACGGCGTCGAAGCCACATGTTTTATCTGCGCTGGAGAAGGCCGACAAGACTCCCTGTGGGATATTGAGACGAGTCGATTGAGATTCCATGTATGTGCCGATTGCCACAGATGACATTGCAGCTGCGTTGCCCCACGATCCGTCGCCCAGGGACATGGATTCGATGTTCAGCGGGAGGGAGTGCTTGCCCTCGAGCAGCGCGGATGCAAAGTATGGAATATAAATGCCGGCCCAGGATTCGCCCATGAGATGCACTTTTTTGGATTTGAGGTGTGGGAAGTGGTCGAAGAATGTATGGAGCCATTGTGCAAAGTCTGCTGTCACGGCGTCGTTGTCTCGTACTGGGTATGGATAGCTAGAGGTCGAAAAGCCTGTGCCGACAGGCTGATCCACGTAAAGGACATGGGCTAGTCGGGTCCATGAGTATGGGTTGCGTATTAGGTGTGTTGAATTTCCGGCGAAGGAGATAGGCCCGTTTCCTCCTGTCAGACCTATCAAGGATGAACAACCGGGTCCACCGTTGAACCAGACTTGTGGGGTTAGAGCTGAAATGTAAATTATGTGTACAAAACTTACTGATTAGTTTGTCATCATAGGCTGGGTCCTCCGCCCCAAATAGCCAGAAGAAGATGTCGTTACCAGTCTTTGCTCCCAGCACGGGCAATCGACCGGCCCAGCTGGTCGGCAGCGCAGGGCCATCGGGTAACGAGCGTACTTTAAATTCCGAAGACTTGGAGGTGAATTCAAATTGACTAAAGACAAAACTTGGTAGTGACAGGACGACTTGAACAAAGTAGATAATGCCTGCGAGATTCATGGTAGGTTTGGCTGCACTCCAGGGCAACTCAATCGCCAGCGATATCGAAGATCGAGCACAGATCGGATAGGACCCTTTCGAGATGAACTGATCGTGATACTCAGTGAAGGAATGAAAGGTTTCTTTTATGAGAAAGTAAGATGTTTGCCATGATTAAAGCCTTCTAGATCTCCTATTGAGGGTTTCCGTACTCGGTTCTCAATAGAACAGTCAACCACTGAAGACGAGACAGGGCCACATGTTGAGGCGCATAGCGGTTTGACGTGCGGCTACATGGGATCAGTCTGAGTAGAATGGAGATCTGGCTAATTTGACATCGCTTGTGAGTGTGGACTATGTTTGTCTTGGGTCTTGCATGAGAACATGATGTGTTGGCCTTGGAGATCAGGCATTAATGATGCCCTATTTGTCGGGCCACTACTGGGCCCTAATCCGGACGCATTCAATGCCCAAAACATCCAAAGCCTCTAAAGATTGCTCCCTCATCCCCACGTATGCCAATTCAGTCCAACCTGAATCGGAGATCTAGAGGTCCAGAGATTCACGGAATTCACGATCGACCCTCGACCCTCAGATCCCGGCCCATCACCAACTTGACCGCGTCCGACCACTCCCCAAGTCGGGCGAATCTCTCACGTGGCCAATGCGTCTCAAAGTGAGGCGTGCGGGTCACTAGGGCCAGGTCCTTTTTTGACCAGATCTTCTGGACCGAAAAGGGGGTTCAAATCTGGCACGATCTGATCGGAATGATAGATTTCAGGGGGTTGACCTGGGGGATCGGTTGTGCTGTGTTCGGGTAGCAGCAGAGGAATGTGTGCTGCTTGCGTCCACCCGAATCCGTGAGGTTGAAAACGTTATACCAGCAGAAGTAGTGTATATCAATCCCGGTCGCTTTCTCAATCGTCGCTTGTCTTGGGTCCTTTTTTTCGCTTTTTCCTTCTGCTGATTTGCTGGTGATACCTTCCAAGGGGAGCAACATTGCTGCATACAGGCTAGATTTGCGCATTTGCACGTCTCTGTTGATGCCTCGCCCGACCGTGATTGAGAAGACATTGAGAGCATAACTACGAGGAGGCAATCCTGCAAATCGACGAATCTGCGAATTGGCAAAATCCGCAAATCTCGTTGCTCCACAACAATTGACAGCTCACTTGCATCACTTGGACGACGACGCGGATTGGCTGCCTGCCTGAGGCAAACAGGGGGCGCGATCAAAGCAGTTGGGAAAATCAGAGACTTTGTACGTTCGAGTCGGGGATGGCTTGACCGCCATCTCCTCAAGATCCCAAATATCACTAACGTCGGCGCAGTGTGAGATTCACCATGGATCTCCAGGGCACCAAAGAGGCCCGCACGCAGGACGAGGGTGACGGTCCGCTGGACCGCTCCAAGGAGTACCACAAAGAACGCCGCGATTCTCACGGCCATGAATCTTCCGCCAATGTACACCCTCTTCGTCGTCGCCAGGCGCCGTTTGCCTATCCTCCAGGAACTCGTCCGACCGCCTCAAGCGCCAGGAGAGATCCCTCGCCTTCCCCGGAAGCTATCTGCATTCCCCAGACTTTGGGGCTTAGCTCGCGAGACCAACGACTTCTATGCAAGGCCAAACGCCATCCTCCCGTCACAAAGAAAACGCTCAGTGAACTCGACCTGCCCTGTATCATGAGTAATATCAACCTTCGCATGGATGCCAACTTCGACCGCGACCTACATTTCAAGCCCGACTTGGACGGTGAGAAGGGGAAGCGCAAGCGCAAAGAAGCTGCCGATTATTGGGACTCGATGGCGTTGGAGATTGCAATTTATGCGTTCATGGCCGCGCAACCCGAAGGTCAGGGCGAAAGTCCTCGAGAAAATTCTCAGCGTACATTTGATCCTCGTCTACCCGCCATGTTCGAAACGCTGCAAGAGGTCATCAAAACTCTTGTTCCGGAGCGTGATCACCCAAGCGTGATGCAAAACCTCGAAGTGCCTCTGCTTATGCAGCAGATTCGCAAGGGTGTCCTCGACATGGTGGCGCTGGCAACTTGGATGGCAGCACTGCTCAAAACACATTGCGCTCCGATGCGCGATGAATGGGCGGATCGAATGGTCGAGCAGATCACCGAGGGATCGCAGTCGCAAGAGCCGAAGGAAATTGTCAACGGGTTACAAACGTTATTCGCCATTCTCGAGGCGATGAAATTGGTACGCGACTCCACCGTCTCCACTTCTTGGACCGCATACTAACCATCCTCATCTATAGGACGTCGCTAACCACCAAATCCGCACATTCCGAGTTCTTCTCATCGAAGACACAGTTCCATTTCTTCAAGAGTATTTCGAAGGCAAAATCAGCCGCGGCAGCTTCCGCGTCGAGTCTGCCCAGCAATGGTACATCGCATCACGAAATAAAGCAATCGAAGAAGACGCCACCAAAAGCCCAACCTCCCCACAGGAAGACAACATGAAACCTTTGGAATATCTCTTCCGTGGGTTAACCGACCAGCTCCTCCAATTCGCTCCACCCACCGACTTCCCCGGGACGTTCCTGTTCGACTCCGATCGCCTCTGGCTACTTCGTTCAACCATCCAAAACCTAATTAACCTCGATATTGCCTGGTACATCTTCGAGTCCTACGTCCACACTCAAAAACGCTACCTCTCCGCCCGCGACGAGACCTACTCCACTTTCCGCTCCCGGATCTGGTCCTTGATGGAAGACGGCATGGAGCTCGACAGCCGAGCCGGCGACGCCGAGAAAGATCTGGACGTCCGCGGCGGCGCCCGCTGGCTTCAGAACATGCGCTGCATTGCTCTTGAAATCGCCCGCTTTGCCTGCGCAGCCTGCTGTCTTGACGACGTGGTCGCCGACGAGGTGATTTCTCCCATCGAAGCCGCACTCGTATGGCACCTATCCAACGAGTCCGACCTCTTCCGCTACTTCCAGAACGCCATGCGCGACAAGGTCCTGACCGCTACTCTGGCATCCGTGCAAAAGTACCTGCCTCTCTCCCCGCTAGCTATCTGTGAGTCTCAACGCACCATGCCTCAGCCTACGACGGGCCCCAGGGCGACGGCTACAGTGCAACCACTATCACCACAGCAATACGATATTGAGCGCATAGGTATGCGTCTCGCACATATCGGTGTCTTGCACTGGCGCGTATGGGCTCCATTGCTCTATCTCCGCGATGAACTCGCGGAGCAGGAGCAGGAGACGGGGCCTGCCGTGTTCGTATAGTGCCCTCTCTTTTTTCGACCATTATAGTTTAAATTCCTGTCAGCCTTTCAGCGCATGCATTTTTGAATACGGCAAGGTGTTTTTTTGGGTGGTTTTTTTTTCTTTCTACTTCAGACCGGCGTTGGGCAAGAAACAACATTGAGCAAGGGATTGTCTTTTGGCCTTTGGGATATAGACGGCGTTTTCACTTTTACAATGGTTGTGTTTCGGCTGGTACTAGCAACTAAGCGCCAGGACATGTACACCAAATCAATGTCAGATCACATTTCTCTCCAAACCTCCAGAAATCCCCGTAGACTCCAAATGCACGTCAACCTCGAACCGTTGAATCCGCACGCAGCCACGGGTCCGTGCCCGGATCGGCGCGATCGGCGATCTGCACGCGGTAAGCCGAGAATGGGAATCACCAAAAGATTCTCCCCTGAGCTTGGACTCAGGATCCAGACCCAATTCCATCCTCCGGATCAGGGAAAAAGGACACCATGCATCTAACCCGGGTCCTCCGAAGCCATCCATTACCGTGGCTCACAGGGCTGAGATCAGTCCAACTCCAACGCGTCGCGCGCGCGACGGGGATCCAATCCTCGGGAACAAATGGCGCGCTCATTGAGCGAATTCAGAACACGCTCACGCCATACCAACTCAAACCAACAGAGGATACACCAAATGGGGCTAGGCCGGGTGAAACCCCCATGAGCATCCTCAGTATCGACATGGGAATTCAGAACCTCGCATTCGCTCATCTAAACCTCCCACGCTCCGACCAAGAAAGAAAACCAAAACTCACAGCATGGCGCCGACTCGCCATGTCTGAGATCTCGAGTCTGGAATTACATTCGACTTTAGTGCAAGCGTTGACTGTCACCTCGAGACCAGAGGACAATCTCTCAAAACCCAAGCCAAAGCCCAAGCTAAAAGCACAAACGACCGAAATCCCAGTGGAACCAATAGCCAAGAAGAGTAAAGATAAAGAATCATTTTGTCCTGCGCTTTATGCCCAAAACGCCTACTCTCTAATCAACACCCTCTTACATACTTACAACCCAACTCATATCCTGATTGAGCGCCAACGATTCCGCTCGGCTGGTGGTAGCGCGGTACAAGAATGGACCATTCGCGTCGGTGTATTCGAGGGTATGCTCTACGCCGTCTTACACGCGTTACGTGAAGAGCGCGGCTCAGCGGTCCAGGTCCATGGGGTCGAGCCGAAGCGCGTAGTGAAGTACTGGATTGATAAGGAGCGAGGGGGAGAGAAGATGAGTGCTCGGGAGGTGAAGAAGGCGAAGATTGAGATTGTTGGGGGTTGGTTAGAGGATGGCAGGGTTGAGATTGAGGAGGATGTTCAGGGTCTGGTGAGGGCTTATTTGGGGAAATCGCGAGAGGGTAAGAGTGAGGTGGGCAAGTTGGATGATTTGGCGGATTGTTTGTTGCAGGGGGTGACTTGGTTGGAGTGGGAGGAGATGAGAGCGAGGTTGGCGAAGGATGGGTTTGGCGGGCTTGGATAATTGGAAATGGTGATTGAAGTGGAGGTTACTATTCATGCTGTGACTGTTCATGATACCACTGTATATTATTGTTGATTATTACGTGCTCGATCTTACAGCATTTGCAACTAGCTATATCCATTGGGAGAATGTCTTGTTCGGATGTTCTCCATTCATGTAAACAATTTCGGCAACTACTTCCGTGTTGAGAGACCTCTCGAGACACGTTGGTCCGATCTACACGATCAACATGATCCACAGGCCCCGCCGAGCGGAGTCATAGTTCAGGTAGTTTTAAATCTACATCTACGTTGGTAGAGGTGATTGAAGAAGAAGATACAACTGAAAATGCATATTTTGTACAAAAAAAGCACAGCCATACCACTATCCGCAACAGCGCCGTCACAAGTCCGACAATACGAGTAACAATCCTAGGCATAAGAGGGATTTTCCAATGGACATGAAACCTCAACATCTCATTGAGAAGAAAGAACAAAAAAAGAGCGATAGGAGGTCCGAGAAAGAAGATGTTTTGTTTTGTTATTGTTACCCCGCTCGCGGGAGACGGGATCAAGCAGAGTCATTGCTCATCTCAGGCGCACCCTAAAGCAAAGAAAGGAAGAAAATAACAGGTCTAAGTTAAATTCAGAAAAACAGGGGAAACTAGAAGCGAAGGGGTCCAGCACCACTCAGGCAGAACAGCGCCAGCGCAGGCAAGAAATAAAAAAAAGAATAATCTCGAACGCTCTCAGATCATCAGGCCTCGACGCTTACAGGAAGCGGCGGTGGAAAGAAGGGCGAAAGGCGCCAGGAGTGCCGGAGGGAGTCGGGACAGCGCTGGGGATGGTGAAGCTGGCCGAGCTGGAGGGAATAATGGAGCTGGTGGCGAAGCGCGAGGCGCTGCTAGAGTGGGGGATGGGCAAGGTGCCGTTGCCGAAGGGGGCGCTAGGGGTGGCGCTAGGGATGGGCGCCGCGGAAGAGGTCTCCGTGTCGGCATCGCTAGAGCTGCTGACCTGCACATTGTTGGCGCCAGTGGGGACGGAGGTGACACCGTTGTTCTGGGGGTTGTCAGTGAATGGGGCTGGGAGGGTGATCCAGGTTGAGGGGGATTTACGACAGTAATGGTCTCAGTGGCAGTCACGGTGACGGTGGAAGCAGGGCCACAGGTCTGACCGCTGGCACCAGTCACCACGCTGGTGGGAGCCTCGACGAGAGTGGCAGTCACAGTGGCAGTGGAGTGGCGGGTGATAGTCGTCTCGCCCTCATCACCAGAGCCCTGCTGGGAGTGGCCATCGGCGGCGGGAGTCTCGGTCTATTCAGGTATGTCAGTGGAGATCATGGTTGCAGATGCAGGATAGTGGATACATACAGCCCAAACAGTGTGCTCGTTCGTAGCGGTGTAGTGAATCGTGGTGGTCACGACGTTGGTGGAAGTGCCGGTGCCCAGAGTATAGGTCACGGTCACATCGGAAGTAGCGGAGCCAGCAGAGCCCGAGCTTGCGGCACCAGTGCCGAGAGGAATGGGAACAGAGGTGCTCGAGCTGGCCGGGATGGGAGCAACACTGCTGGAGGCAACAGGAACCGGAGCAGCGGAGGAGGAGGGGCCAACCGTGCTGTAGATGGTGGGCAGGTCACTGCCGGGGCCGTGGCGATGGAACTGACGCTGGCGCAGATGATGCTCAGCCTGAGCAGAGGTGGCCAGCGCGGCGACAAGAGCCACGGAGAAGTTGAAGTGCATTTTGCAGAGATGGACAGTCGATGTCAGTGTTCTTGGAAAAAGAGCGTGATACTGCGAAATCAATTCGCTAGTAAAAGAACGAGTGTTAATGAGAGATCTCTAAAAGAAAGAAATGAGAAATGCACAGCAGTCTCGTAAAGGGGAGGGAAAGAGATGAAAAAGTCGAAGAGTAGGCAGACACGGGGGGTTTTTTTTAATTAAGGCCAACCCACTCTCGCCGACCACTTCAATCTCAAGTTACGGTAATACCGGGGAGTGGAGCGGCCAGCCATTGCCCATGTCTGTATAGAATCTAGAGTACTGATCTGTGATATGACAGGCGCACGCCGAACCGGAAAAACCAAATCATTTCGCTACACGGGGCCCACCGTCTCAGGAACTGACCAGGCATTGGTGGACACCAGCACAGAGTGGAACCAGCCTTTAATCTCACGGTGGCCGGTGCCATGCGCATGGGCGAATTGAAGGTGGAGATGGCCCTGATGAGGTGGCACAACTTTTGGTCTCTTCCCCCCCCTTTATCCCGATAAGAGACTTCCATCCGTTGAGTTCAGTACATCTGCCTAAGTCAGTAACCGGGTCACACAGAGGTCGAACGAGATTCTCTGCTCGTTTGGTCCCGAAGATATTGACTGATTATTTTCACTACATTTTCTCAGGGGAGCAAGAAACTAGACAAGATTCGCAATGTCTTCTACATACCGTACTGTGATCTGAAAAAGAGTGAAGTATCCGACAAAGGTAGACGATCTAGGAAGCCGAAGTCCGTGTCTCCCGGAGGTGTGGTGTTTCATCCCGTGTAATTATACCGAGGGGGGGGGTTTACCGTACCAGCTTCAGAGCCCGGCATTTGGCCCAGCATCAGCATCCATCTAGAACCATGTTTCACATAGAAAATCCCACACCTCCCGCCTCACGGTCCCACCCGCTGGTGCATAGAGTGTTTCTCTGCCGCGACCTGTTGATGATGATAGACACCTGCATTCTGGGCTCGCACTGACTCAAGTAAAATGACCGACCCAGGGATTTGATCTCGGGATAGCTACCGGGAATCGTCCATGTCGCCCGCTCCGCCCGTGCGTTGGGCAGTGGGGAGTACAGCACGATGGCATCCCTGCCCCATCCCAAAACTCTGGATTCTTAATGCTCAAATCTGGATCAGTACCCCGAAATTCAGGACGGGTCAGATATGGCACGGGGCCGAGCGTCTTGTCGATATTGTTTTGCCGCCCATGGCCTGCGTCCAGGTTGATCGACTAGACTCCTGCGACGAGGTAAAATCTCCTTCCTCGTTGATCGCATGTCTTTGTATCATTGCGATGCATGATGACTATTATTCACAGCATAATGGAGTAAGCACGAGCATACATGCCCGGTACGGTTTCGTCATTGGGGATACTTCGCTAGGGTCCGACACGGAGAAGCTTTCGAACCTGAAACACCAACGTGCGCTCTTGCGACAAGGGGGCTCCCACTATCCTGCGATACACCCCGCTAGATTGAAGCGAAGTCTCTGCTTGGCCGGATACGGAATGTCTTGGGTTCTCGTCACATAAGGTTCGTGTAGGTTTAGGATCGGGGATGTCTCGATCGCGAGGGGGTTGGGTCTTTCCGGACTCGCGTCTAACAACAATGCCTCGCGAACTGCTCCAGGGTGCGACGGGTTGGTTTCAGTGTGCTCGCTTGTAGCTATTAGCGTCGATCCCTTGGGATCGCTGGGTGCGGGTTCATCCGGAGTCCTCTACGCGCAGAGTTGTCGTCGATACTTCTGGAGAGGTGTAAATCTCAATGAAAACATTCTGAGCGCACTCGCTCTTGTAGGAACAAGACAAGTTAGGGAGTCGGCATGCAATGCGTTCCCTCTGCGCAGAACTTACTGGAAATTCAAGTCGCCCTGGAAGAAAATGATTTGGAGGAGTCAAAGTCGATCATCCCCTTTCATACAGAATTGTCCAATACGAAGGCGTCTGGCCCCGCTCGGTATACTTACCCAAATGTGTGCGAAGTATGCCTTGTTGCTGTCCAGACAGTATCCATTGACAGCTTGGGTGATATTGGTGACAGTGCCCACACAGGTCGCGATGACCGGATACTGAAAAATGGCAAGCCATCGTTTCTATAGACTGTTAGTCTTATCAGTTCGACTTGCTGGGGTTATTCGGTGTCCCTTGGACGCGGTGGGCACTAACTCTGAACCAGTTCAGTCCATCCACAGGCCCATCATCAGTCTTCTTCTGTGGCACTTCAAAAGCTGCAAAATACTGAGTCTTTGCGTTGCATATGGCTGAGCTTGGACTTCGACAAAGGAGAATATTATATTATGTATGGCTTCGTGGTACCATGTTCGGCTATCTAGATGTCAGCCACAGCGCCTATTCTACAAATTGTGAGTTTGAAGGAGTGGCACTTGCTTCAAGCATTGCCGAGCATCCTTCGTTGTACAAGTGTTGATTCATTCAAAAACGGGCTCGGCTCACGAGCTAGATGTAGCCCACTGCGTTACTGGCCATTTGGAGACCAGGCCCGGGCCCGGACTGATACGGAACTGTGAGCCAGGCTTGGATCGCAGAAGCTAAGAAGTGTCAGGCTTGAAAGAAGCTCAGAACCACATAGCAGTGCTAAATTATTAAAGAGCGGGAATAATGTTTTCTGACTAGGATTGGTCCAGTACGTTACTCGAGAGAGCTGACGACAGCTGTCACCTCTGCCTGAGAGAAGCTGTGCTGAATTGCACCGCGATATCTGGCATTTGCAATGAAAAGTCTGGCTCAATGAGTCATTCAGGCTTGGACCCTCACTTTGTTGTCTCAAACACATCCCCCAATGTCACAATAGCGAGCGTTGACCTATCCAGGAACTTCTCTTCGTCCGCGGCAATCTTAGCCGCAGCTTCAGGAGCATAGACCTTAGCCAGGAAGGCGTCATAAGCAGTTTTGTCCTCAAAAGTAAGCTCGGCATAGGCGTCGAAATCGAAGTCTGACTGTAGGCCGACAATCACTCTGGCTGGTGTGCTGGCATTGCGTGGGGTCGTCAAGCTTTCGGCCGAAGAATCAATGGTGCTGCGAGCAATGTAGCTACGCTTGTGGGAAAGTGGAAAGTCGTCACCGGAGATATATTTTAGAAGGTCAATGTGCGCTTCGTAGAGTTGCTTGAAAACGGAGGGGGAGATGCCTGGTTTGCGGTAGGCATGGATGAGGACTTTGATCGTCATTGTGAGGAGAAGACAACTGTATGTTAGATATCTCGGGATATGCAGTATTCTTTGACTGATTTGTGGTACAAAGAGATGCGGGTGAAGTAAAGCAAAGGTCTCCGCCCCTCAGTCGCGAGCTTGTCAGGGTCTCACGTGGGGGCCGAAAGGCTAATGGCCCTACCAGCTGCCATGCGCTCTTACAATTGAGGTCTGAGATTCAGAAAATCACTGAAGCCGACACACTCGAAGACATGTTCATGGCCATATATAAAGCTGAATGACGCAATGGCATGTTGATTCGATGTAACGGCAAGGTTTAGGCTGACTTTATAGATGGGGAGCTCGCCTCCATCGCCCCGATTGACAAGAACAAGAAAGTACTTCAGTGATAGGAGTTTGCGGCACGTGTCTATTAAAAGGATGCGTTTTAAGTCAGTGTCGTACATGCTATGGAATCCTTTGGCCATAAATTTAGCTGCAACACATCTTGTATGATTCATATGTCACTGGAGATGATCCTCGAAACATTGGAAATTATTCACATGTTGAAATCTGTCAAGCTTTCTATACGCACTGATAGTTGGCTAGGTCCCACGTTCCTCTACTATATCCTCGAGTGGCTAATAAAATCAAGATATTCCGCGTCTTCCGCTGCCTGCATCTGAAATTGCCGCCACGCAGCATTCTGACTTTCTCCCACATTGATTGGTGATGGTTGCATCACTCTGTCTTTCCCATTTAGACCTCCATTCAGAAAGAATTCGTGACAAATTTGCCATATTGATATCGTGGCTACTTCCGGATTCTCATCGCTATCATTGCGTGGACTTGTTTTGGAATCGTAGCCATGCCACCGTGTATGTGCAGTGACTGGACAATATCCTTTTAAGCATTTTCGCTGGTGTTCCGGGAAAACACTGGTCCTAGCATTGGCACACCAGGAACGGTGATCCCGACGGCAATCTCAATGACCGGAAGTATCGCTTTGTTCGCTGTACAGAGGGTATAATCCCTGGGGTTGCATTGAAGCAGGTGGATGATGCGGGCAAGATTGATTGCAGAGATGCTCATGCTTTGTTAGCAAAGCATCAAGTAATTCCACAAAGAGCCACCTACCAAATACTCAGAGCAAATGTGGCCATAAGAGCAACTTTCTTTTAAACACTCATGTTTAGTCCCCAGATTACAGGGAATGGGAATGGCGCAACAGGTCTTTGATCAGGTTCAGAGCCAAGCTGAAGCCAGCTGTGGCCAGCTCAGCAGCTCCTTCACTGCCACACGGTCCTTGAATAGGCTCATTCCAGTTCACTGAGATAGGAATGCATAGTCTCACTATGACTCTGATGGTCGAGGTAAAGAAGAGGCATACAACGCCCATGTCCCCGTAAGCGTAAATTTGAACCAACCTAGTAGTGAAGCTTTGAACATAGAGCTCGAGGGTCCCTAATCGGAAACAAGCAAAATCGCCCAGAAGAACTGAGAGGCAAAAAGACCTGTACGCTGAAGGTAGTATAGACTCTGATGCGACAGCTTGGTCGAGGATACCTTCATCTCAAGTGTTCTTCCAGATGAAGAAGTATGAGATACATGATGTCCAGATCCACCGTCGACAATTCCTTTGTAAGACTGAGCTTTGATTAACAACCACACGGAGGTAGGGCTTACCGATGATGAGACAAACTCTATACCCAAACATCATGAACAAGGATACAATGCAAAGAGCATCGTGAAGCTGGAGCCCTCGCCGTATCATAGCTACAGACTATACCCGAAGGCCCATTGCGGTGATTGCTATGAAGTTCAGGACCGCAAGAAAAAGAATTAAATTCTACCAATCTGCTTCTTATCAAGCGCAACCATAGCGAGCGATGAATGACCAGCAACGGTAACAACTTACGTTGAGGAAATCAGCATAACGGGAACCTTGTTAGTCCAAAATGAAATATTGTTCTGCAATGCACCACCTGCAGCCACAAATCTGGCCACAGCATCATCATAGATATGATGTCTTCAGGTGATGTGATGGGACCAACGTTGGTGGGAAAGTACAAGATCCGACCAGGTCGAAATTACCCACCTGGCCCCCTCGTCGTCAGATGATAGTGTAATACAGCAAGTCCTACGCAAAGGTGACATTCATGTAACTATTAGCAAGTAATCAGCATTTCGATCCCTGAAAAGGACAAAGAACCAGCATTAGTGGGCTGTGCTGGTCAAACTGGCGATGGTGTAGAGTGGCTTCTGATGCTCATTGAGCGCAATCACTCTGTTACACGTGCAGGATTAAGCCTTCGCCAAGTAACAAGGTAAAGCTCGGGTCAGTAATCTCTTCAAGTCTCTACAAAGTATACCACTCTCACTCAATTGTCTCAAAGTTACCCTGAAAACTTACAATTTTCTCACGGTAATCGACGCTCACTGACATGTATATACGATCTCGCTAAAGGATCCAGCTCTCTAAGCCGTCGCAGTGGAGTTTCTTTTGTCCTACTATCTGTGTTGCGCGAGTGGAGGCCGCTAATGGTGGCTGGCCTGGAACTTCAGTTTGATAAGAAATCGATTTATCATGATGTGGACGATCCAATAGACTTATTGAATCGGCCCATGAAGACCGTGGCGAGTCTTTAAAGGCTAGCTCATGCATCAACAGTCTAAAAGGGCCCCCATGCATCTTGTGGCGGGTTGATCAGTGGAATGGCTCCGTTGGCATGGGGCGGCGCGGTAATGCTGAATTGAGCTACGAAGATCAGTCGAACAGAAAGAAAATAAGTTCCATCTTGGGAAGCATTTTGTTGCCCAGAATCTCATTGGAATGGCTCTATGACCGACACCTGACGTCTCCCCGCATTTCCACTTCTCGTACTATGCGCTGACGTGTGACGCCCCAGACCAGGGACCTGCGGCAGCTTGAGATAAAGAGGCATTTATTTCTTTGGGCGCCTGTAAGTCCTTTGTTCAGGCCATCTGCCTTGGATTCTGACCGAGATTCGAAAGGAGCCAGTGACGAAGTTACTATAGACCTTGCCCCGCATTGTCCCGGCTGTTCCACACACTCTTAACATCGAGTGATTCTTGTAGTGAGACTGGAGGTGTCACTCATGCAATGTGATGGTCTAATCAAGCATTGCGCGCTCCATGGGTGCGACTTTATTATCAGAGTGGGTTCAACCCCGGTTAAACGCGGAGAAATGGGAATGCGGGAGAAAGCCCCCACTTGCCCCATGTAACAAACCAAGGTATAATTGAGTAATATGATCTCAATGGTGCTTTTTAAACCGGAGATCCGGGCCCGCAAGGGCTTTCTAACTTTTTTCTCTGGTCATGGGGTTGCATGTCTCGTGGGAATGCCAACGTGCCGCGATTTACATAGCTGGGGTTTTGCTCTTCAGGGCAATCTTCAACCTTGAAATCCCCAGGTTCCAAAATTCCAATGGCCATCCATAATCGCTCTCCCAGGTACGCCCACAACTTACAATACTTGAAGTTCACTTCATTGGTGGAGGATTGACCAGGCAAAGCTGACAATTGAACACTGCACAGTTCACCGACCCCAGACAGAATATTCCTCGAAGCATGCGACATTTACTTCCGCCATTGTCATAACAAGCCGTACGGCTTTTTTAATTCGGACCTTTTCCATCACAAGGCCACGAAGAACCAAGTCCCTCTGTACCTTCGGCTAGCCCTGATCGCCACCGCGACCCGCTACTCGTCCCGATCGCAATGGAAAGAACGGAAACAGAGCACGATCGACGAGTATGCTCGCTGCGCTTGGGAGCAAATCACGACTTCTCCAGATGCACTGGGCGAACATGATGATGTGGCTGTCATTCAGGCTTTGGCGCTGCTTGCAGTGATTGATGCGACTGGTGAGAAATTCCAAGAAAGGGGTGAGATGAGTTGTGCTGATTCCTTGAGCAGCCGGTCGACGTCGAGGCGCGTGGGTGAAGATTGGAATGGCAGTGCGTATCAGTCAGGATTTGAGAATGATGCAAGAGCCCAGCTCCAGGCTCTGTGAGATGGAAAGGGAAGAACGTCGGAATCTCTTCTGGTCTTTGTATCTCCTGGACCGCTTCGTATGTTGCTCATTTCAAAGACCACCCGCTATTCAGGATTCAGATTGTCTTCTGAATTTGCCGACATATCATGGTTCAGGAAAATGGACAGATTCCATTACACTGAGCGGCTTGTTGGATGAGAAGGTTCGAAATTCGACCTTCAAACCAGGCATGTTTGGTATCAGTATCGGTCTCGCTGCCGTTCTCGGGCGAACGATCAAGTGCATGATGAACAATGAACCTAACCAAGACGTACCATGGCATCCTGTTTCAGAGTACGGCTCGATCTATACCGATCTCGAGTTTCTGAAGGAGCTCGCCGTCAAAAATGGTCCTGTTCTCGCCGAGCCCGGTCAGCCTCGGTCTCAAAATGACATGTCAGATGGGGATCGTGAGCAGATTGCACACATGGTTCTCTCGCACACCTTATACCATCTCTCCCACTGCATCCTCGGTCATCCATTCCTTCTGGGTATGAAACTGCAGTCATCGGCGCATTCCGAAATTCCCTCCGCCTGGTTGGACGAAACACGCAGCACTTGCTTAAAACATGCTGGATCCCTGGTGACAGTTCTTGTTGAAGCCAAAGCGGCCGGATACATGCCGGTACCTTCTGTTTACAGCTACTGCATTCTGGTCGCGAGTACAATTCACGCATTGCATGTCCACAGTGATGACCTCTCTACCAGCCGGAGCTCAGCAGAGTACTTAAGAACGTCACTCTATTACTTGGGTGAAATATCCGAACTATGGAGCAATGCTCAGATGATGGTAATGATCACCCTTTCCCTCTCCCCTTGGATCTCTATACTAATGACTCTCAGGCCAACGCATTAAAGGCCTTCGCTTTCCAATGTGCACGATATAGAGACATCCTTCTCCGCAACAATCCACGAGTTGAAGAACTTACCGAGACCGAAATGACAATTCTCAAATCAGTGGTGGATTATTGGACAATGATGGACCCACAGAACCCCGTCTTCGATTTGATACCATCGGATTCGGACAGCTTCTCGGAAATCTTCGAAAAAGGTCATGGCTACTTGACTCCTCCTTCTCCTGCGCTGGCCGATGGGGTGACACTCGGAGTCAGTATGCCTGATTTCATCATACATAAGGGGTATTCCGCAAATGTTGACCCTGATATTCTGGTTCGCGTTCCGCTTTCGGCGATGTCGCCTATTGCTTCTGATGATGGGAAGGAGCCGGGATGGGATTGGGAGACTGAGTTGAATGCCTTTCATGAATGATCAATCAGCACAGGACCATGTATTCAGTCACCCAATAATAGGAGCTTAGAAGACTGATTTGATTATCGGATTCCGTGTCGAAATCGTCACAGGCATCCATACCGCCAATGATCTGACACTTTCGTAGCCTGGTTAGATGGTTTAGGATTAGGTGGATGGACAATGCTATTGGCAATGGTCCATGACGTTCGGCTGCCTGATCAACTAAATCGCAAGTCTGTGACGGAATCATGTCCGTTATGAAAGCATTGAAAACCCACACGTCCATCTTCAACGCACCGCGAGTCGCGCCTGGCTTTGGCATAGGGTAATCATGTTGTCTATCCATGTAGGCAACTGGCATTGATGGTATCGATATCAGCTTTGAAATTCGCACATAAACCGTGCACCGCGCTCACGAAGATTTCGACGAGGAACAAGTTGATCTTCGAGGGATCTGTCGGCGATCTTGAATAGGAACACGTCCATTACGCGTTTCTTGATTCAATGGATTCCAGCGTAATCACGCCGTACTAACATCTATTTGAAATTCGTTAGTTGGAGAGCATGCATATCTGACTTTGTTCAAGATCAGATCGACTCTCACTTACCTTGAACAAATCAACCTTGAAAGCAAGACGCTCGGTCTGAAGATCGCGTACGAACATCATTGTCGATAGCCCAGTTGATAGGGGGTGATCGGCAAAACGGGTAATTAGACGCGGAGCTAATGCACAATCAGTTGGGGCCGCGTGCTAAATTGTTGCACGCTTACGAGTAGTCTTGCCCGACGATTCCCAAGCTTCGTACCAGAGATTCTCCTGTCGAAGCTAACCGGGGGTGGGCGGGACCCAAACGAACGATCGAGGCGTTCCGCGAGGGCGCTTTGACGCCATGGCGTACACGACGCTATGGCGAAGGCTGTCCTCTCACCAGCTCAACGTCGCCATTCAGACCTTCTCGCTGATCTGCATCTTCTTTGAGGGCTATGACCAAGGTGTCATGGGTGGCGTTAATGCCTCGCCTACATACGTCGCCCTGGTCGGCCTAGGCACACACAATGGGACGGTGACGAACGCAACGCGTGAGGGGGGCATTGTCAGTGTGTACTATTTGGGAGCCATTGTCGGCTGCTTTGTTGGTGGATGGCTTGCCGATCGAGTTGGCCGTATCAATGGCCTACTCGCTGGGTCTTTGTTTGCACTGGTGGGAGGAGCCCTGCAATCAGCCGCGCAGAATGCCAAGTTTATGATCTGCGCTAGAATAGTGACGGGCATCGGCACCGGTGGTGAGCATCCCTGCTAGCGCCTCTTTGGTCGAGGCTACCGGCCCCATTCATGACCCTCTACTGACTCGCGCTGCAGCTTTGACCGGTATCACCCCTGTTTTGGTTTCTGAGACCTCCGCTGCCAACCATCGGGGCGGCTTTCTCGGTTATGTGTTTATTGCAAATTGTAAGAACCTGATCTTGGCTTCTGACACTGGAAGCGGCGAATTTGACTGGTCACAGATCTAGGCATTGCTCTTGCATATTGGCTTGCATTTGGTCTCTCATTCGTCCACGATGGGTACTCGGGTGTACGGTGGCGGTTCCCGCTGTCTTTCCAGTGTTTCCCAGCGCTATTTTTGGTCTTTTTTATCAAGATGCTGCCAGACAGCCCTCGGTATCTAGCTTCGGTGGGTCGAAAGGAAGAAGCACGCGATCTCCTGATCCGGTTACGTAAAGATCGATCGAGTCCGGAGGAGATCGATCGGGAGTATTTAGAGATCTCGGCCTCTGCACAGGCCAAGAAACCTAGTACGCCACTCGAATTTGTAAAGATTCTATTGGGCAGAAGCGGACGACCTGGCACGAACCTGGGCCGTCGAGCATGGTTGTGCATGTGGCTCCAAATCATGGCTTCATGGACGGGTATCACGGTAAGACCAGATGCAATCTCCACCTACAAGGGAATACACTGAGTATGATCACTATAGGCTGTCACTGCTTACGCTCCGGTTCTTCTTGAGGAAGCCGGCTACAGTGAGGTAAAACAAAATGCCTTAGCAGGAGCTATAAACACCATTGGAATCCTTGGTACGATCATCAGCGCTCAGATTATAGATCGTCTCGGCCGTCGAGCTTGCTTAATGGGTGGAGCCGCTGTTTTGTTCGCGGTAAACCTGATTGTGAGTCTGCGCATCTGGCTCAACTCTTTCTCCAATGCTGATCTTTTCCTAGGCTGGTGCATTGTATGAAGTCTCGCTTTACCATGAGCTCGACAAGGCCGCTCAATATGCACCTGGCGCGATTACGATGCTATTCCTCTTCAATCTCGCGTAGGTTGCCACTCTGCTGCTGAGTTCTTGGATTTGGCTGACATCTGGCGTTTAGTTATGCAGCCACTTGGGGCACCGCCGCCTTTTTGGTGCCCACGGAGATTTTTCCGAGTGACTTGAGAGCCCAGGGCAATGGATTCGGTATCACTGGCTGGGCCATTGGTGTAGGAATGACTACTCTTGTCAACCCCATCATGTTTGGTGGCATCAGGGTCTGTGCTCCATATCGCATATATCTCACTTGGAAGCTAACACCAACTCAGAGTCGCACCTATTTCCTCTTTGCTGGGTTGAATTTGCTCTGGATTCCTATTATCTTTTTCTGTAAGCGTAATCCCAGACAAGCACTATCTGACCTGAGCTAATCCAGACCATGCAGTCTACCCTGAAACCCAAAATCGTTCCCTCGAATCCATCGACGCCCTATTCTCTACTCCCAGCCCCTTCAACTGGCGAATGGAGCAAGCTTATAAACTCCATGGGGACGTTTTAGCAACCCATGGATTCATCGAATGCAAATATCCGCAGGCCGATAACTCCGAACACTCCCCAGGTACCGAAATAGGGCCGGACAAGATGGTCACTGTCGCTGTCGCTGTCTGAATTCGAACATGTGCCTCTGCTTCATGATACACAGCGTTATCATACTACTCACTGCCTGTCCTACGAGCATGAGCAGAGCAATCATCATGTACGACTTGTATCTATTGATGACCATAGATTAATAATGACACCCAGTTGATCCATATAGAACGACTTATGAGACTTGAACCACCCCATTACGTGCCGAAAACCCGCGATCGCCGATTCGCGGAGATCAATGAGACGCTGCTGACTCAGCCACGCGGGCTTCAACTTTACTTTCCTGGCTTTTGACACCTTCATGATACGGGAGAATCGCTGATCGAGCATTGATTGACTCGCTCTCAAAGCTGTGTGCATGATTTTCGCGTTCCTCCGTTTTCCCATTCAACCACAGTGCGCGCCGAACACCAGCCAGATCCGCGGCCCCCACGGCCCCCCCATTGCAACATTTCCCTGACCCCGGACCGCAATTTGTGGCGCCGGCTAAGAGTCGATTTTCGAAACAGCGACCCGTGTTGATATGAATGTTGAATGAATGTCGCAAAAACCACGAAAGCTCCAGCGCGTCTCCAAGGCCTGTAAGCAGCTTCCCCGGCGTGAGCCGTGAACCCTGCTCCACTTTGCATTTCGGCGGATCCTCGGATGTGAGACGGTAAAACTGACCGCATTGCCGTTTAGGCGACTTCTGCAATAGGCGTAGTATCAAATGCAGTGCGAGCGAAGATGCGCTAGGTCGCTGTCAAAATTGCGTCGACTTTGACGTCGCATGCACATTTGATCGCCCGGCTAAACGACGCGGTGTCAAGGCTGGCACGAAAGTCGCTGCCAGGAATGGGCCAATTGCGAAGCCGGTGATAGACTCGCCGACGGCTCGGACTCCCGTTGAAAGGGGACCAGGTTCTTCTGCTTCCAGGAGCTCTATGCATCCCGAGTCGTCTTCTCTGCCGTTTGTGACAGGGGATCCTTGGATCTCTTTTAACCAAGGCTGGTCAACGGCAGAAGGCTACGATGATGATGGTGCATTGCGCAATTCTTGGAAAGCGTTTGCTATTGCCAGTGACCAGCAGATCAGGAATCTTGTTCAGGTCTATTTTGAGATCGTCTATCCAATGTAGGGATTCGACCTATTCCACTCACTTGACACATCTACTGACCATGTGAGTTTAGCTTTCCCCTCTTCCACAAACCATCCTTCATAGAAAGCATCAATAACCGGGAGCACCTTCACAATCAAGGCCTTTTTGCCTCGACCATGGCAGTTTGCTCCTTGGTATCAGGCCGTGCACGCGATGGCGCACTATACTCTACTCGGTGGTGCCGAGAGGAACTTCTGGAGCCTCCTTCAGAGGCTTTTTATGCCGCAGCCAAAGATTCATTACCTAGAGATCTTGCGGCTGCAAAGGGAATGAATTTTATGCGTGCATGTGCCATTCTTGCAATCGCCAGCATTCAGAACGGCCAGATCAAGAATATGCAGAAATACTCTGGCATGTACCACACTCTAACAACCATGGAGGGGCTCCATGATGAAAAGCTCTGGCCAAAGGGCATCAGTCCTATCGAGGTTGAGGAGAGGCGGAGATTGGTAGGTTCCCAATCCTTCCACTAAGAATTGTGCCCGGCTGACTGAGTCAAAGTTTTGGTCAATTTACACCCTTGACATCTACTCAACCATCGTATGGGGAGGTGTGATCCGCTATCGGGAGGCAAATTCCCTTGTGCGTTATCCTACGGAGGTCGACGACCACTACATCACCGCGCAAGGCTATACCATGCAACCAGTATCACCCGGATCGAGCTCAATCAGCGAGAGCCCCGCCTCCGTCGTGTCGAGACAATCTTTGTGCTGGATGCAAGGATGGAATTTCACAACGGACCTTTACCGCATATTGGAGCATGTGGTCGATGGCACAAGGCGGAGATCCTCCCCGACCAACGGAACACAAGAAGTTTGGTCACTATTTAGCCCAGCTTCCATGTCGGAGCCTGCGGTTATGGAGCGTGTCCTGAGTATGTACTCTGCGCTACCATCTCAATTTCGCGAAACGCCGCCAACGACTGGTGACATGGCGAAAGATCTTTTTGGGTTCCAGTCTGCCAATATCCAGGCCACTCTACAACTACTGAGAATGGTGCTTTTGTCCGCCGGGGAAGTTGGAGTTGACAGGAAATGTGACGTCGCTGGCGAGTTGCTCAGTGTATTCTCAAATGTGCCAGTGGAGTATTTGAAAGCCATTAGTTCACCATTGGTAAGTTTTCGAGCTTTCTTCTCCCTTTATTTCTAACCTAACTCTTCCAAAACCCAGCTTCACCATCTGGGTGGAATTGGATACATCCTCGGCTCGGTCATGGAAGGCAGTCTATCAGACGCATCATACCTTCGCATCCGAACATTACTGTAAGTTCTTAAGCATCAAAGACAAGCCCTCATACTCACGATGACCGCCAGCCTCGAAATGGCCGACCTTCTCCACCGTCTTGAATGCGGCCTCCACCGCGCATCAGGCGCAAGTGAACGCCTTCGATCCCAAGTCGATCGAATCGACGGCTACATGCGCACATCACGACTTCTGAACTTTACGACAGCCCCACCTCCTCCCAATGGCCATGCTATGCACGTGCATGTCAAGCCTGAGCCTCTTTACCCACCACCTACGTACGCTCACAGTGCCCCGGCACCGACCGTCGGCACGACAGCGGGAATGCATGACCAGATGCTGCAGTTCCAGTTACCGCCGGAGCTACTGAGTGACTGGCCGTGGCCACTCGATAATTCCAATTCTGAGGGCTTTCTACCATTAGCGTTTGAATGAAAGATCATGGGCAGTGTGTCAACATTTTGGGACCGTTCTCAGCCTTATTTCATTGGGGGTTTAAAAAGATGGTCTTTCTAATTGGTGATTTTCGAGAACTATTTCTCTCTAGATCTAATGATTCCATATAATGTATCGCTGCTCAATGTTACGAATCTTATTTTGAAAAACGGGTGGAACCATGCATTAGCCTGAGCAAACGTCTACTCCTTCACTGACCTTTGATAGGACCCATCCATATCACACAGAACAGAGAGCTCATACTCTACATACGAGGACGAATCTATCTGGTAAGCGACATCCGCATATCCATCTTGTCCAAAATAGCCTCACATTCACGTCTCCTGTCTTTTCGAAACACAGAGCTCATGGCTGAAGTGAACTTCCGCACCCCAATCTGTATGTCTAGAGACAAAAATCATCTCACCAGCCGCCGCAAATGATCTTCAATTCAGATCCGTGAGATTTGCCGATGTAAGAATTATGCAGTTGAACTTGAAGTCGGTTGTAGGGACCGGATAGCTCGTAGACTACCCGACCTGATTGGGTCCGAACCAGATCTGGAGTGGGTCTTCGCGGCATCTTGCGAGGTCGAAAAGTTCCCCCATTCCATCTCCAACTCCGACTTGCATTCAACTCTCAATTCCTCAATATGTCGTCCCGTCCCGCCTGGCGTGCGCTGCACCACAGTGCTAAGCGCCGTGCCTTCCAGCCCGCTACTCCCTACCGCTGCTTCTCCTGCACTCGCCAAACTCAGAACCAGTCCAAGTCCGAGCAGGACCGCATGACACACTTCGGCTTCACCAATGTGCCTGAATCCGAGAAGGAGTCGCGAGGTAAGACCCTCATTCACCCAAAACTACTTTTCTACAAACAGATTGGAACCGCAGACTAACGGATATTCCCCCAGTCGGCGCCGTCTTCAGCTCCGTCGCATCCTCCTACGACAGGATGAACGACCTCATGTCCCTCGGAATCCACCGTCTGTGGAAAGACCACTTTGTGCGCTCCCTCAACCCGGGCACCCCTCTCCCTGCCGGCCCGCACCGCAAAGGATGGAACATCCTCGACATTGCCGGCGGGACCGGCGACATCGCATTCCGCATGCTCGACCACGCGACCAACATCAACCACGACGTCGAAACCCGCGTGACAATCTCCGACATCAATGCTGACATGTTGGCCGAGGGCCGCAAGCGCTCAGTCGATACTCCCTACTACAACACGCCGCGACTTGACTTCGTCGAGGCCAACGCCGAGCATATGCCTCATATCCCGGATGCGTCGGTGGATCTGTATACTGTTGTGTTTGGTATTCGCAATTTCACGGATAAGCAGGCTGCGCTGAACGAGGCGTACCGTGTGCTGAAGCCCGGTGGTGTTTTTGCCTGCATGGAGTTCAGCAAGGTGGATAACCCTGTCTTTGATGCCATTTACAAGCAGTGGAATTTCGGTGCGATTCCCATGATTGGTCAGCTTGTTGCTGGGGATCGGGAAAGTTATCAGTATCTGGTTGAGAGTATTGAGCGGTTCCCGAGTCAGGAGGAGTTCCGGGCTATGATTCAGAAGGCTGGGTTTATGATCCCTGGAAAGGGATATGAGAACTTGACTGGCGGCATTGCTGCTATTCACAAGGGTATCAAGCCTATTGTGAAGGTTTAAAGTCCCAATGTTGAGAAGTGCGTGTCTGGGCCCAGAGGATTGGAAAAGGAGCAGAGGGCCAATGTATAATAGCATTTTACATCGTTTGTATTATCTAAAATTGTTAGAAGGCATTGCAGCTTATATATGAGAAATACAGTGCCTCTGTGGAGGAGAGTATTTATGTGCAGATCGTGAAGCAACAAGTACAAGTAATTCCGAAAAATAAATCCAGGGTAAAGCAGGCGTAACATCATTAACCATGCACGAGAGAATGTAGATGGTATGCAATAGGATTATTTCACCCCATTAAATCTTCCACCTCCATTACACCAATGCAACTGTCAGGGTCTGCAGGGTCCTTCAAAAAGGCAATGACCGATACCAAGTCGACCCTGGTTCGGGATGTGGACACAAGACGCCGCAACTCAGCGAGCGAGATAGAGTGAGGGACTGGTAGCCAATTAAATTTATTGACAGATAAGCAGCCGGTACCTTTTGCTACTGCATCAGAAACTCGCATGTCCACATCAGCATGTTTCGAGAGCAGAGAGCGTATTCGGCGTGGAGGAACAATCTCGGATGGGGATAAGAATACCCATGACTTGGCATTAGGGTGCTGAATCGCTGTGAGAAGGAGATCGAGTAATCGCAAGTCGCTACAGTTTTGTGATGGAGATGTCGAGGCAATGGGAATCTGATCAAGAGGAACAAGCATGTCCATTGGGACCCGCCGTTGCTCCGGAGGTGGTTGCAATGTGAAGGGAGGAATTGATGAGTTGTCATTGAGATCTTCCCATGGCAGAGAAATGGACGAGGAGGGTGAGTCAGATGTTGTGGAAACACCACTTGATGGTGTAGTGGATGGTGTCCCTGCAGCTGCGGCACCGATGGCACCACCAGGATGATGGCTTTTGAATACATCGGCGGGGCCTTTTCCTGGCGCCGTGTGTAGCATCCGCGCTGTAGCGATGGCTAGAGCGTCACCTAGGCATAGCGCGACAGTTGTGGATGAGGTCGGGGCACTAACACCCAGCGAGGCTTCCTCTTCTTCGTGAATAGGAGCTGGGAGTAGTACTCCCACCCCGGAAGGAGCACGGCAGGACAGTAAAGGGCACGCCTCAGGTTGCATGTGCGATGTCAGAGCGATAATCGGGACGGAAACAGGAATATACGGAAGCAGGGTGAGAAGCTCAGGAGAGCGACCAGAGAACGAGATGAGGAGCATAGTGTCATTCTGCACAATTCTTATTAGGATCTGAACGACCAAAATCCGCTTGGGGAAAATGCCTTGGCTATATCTGCAGATTGCGATATAGACCATATGGGCTGCAGGGAATGCAAACTCACCGGTCTCACCAATCCCAAATCTCCATGCAAAGCTTCAGTCGGATGCAGGAACGCACTGTAGATACCCAGACTATTCATAGTCGCCTCAATCTTGCGACCGATCTTCCCACTCTTTCCCACGCCGCAGATCACCAACTTGCCTGCGTCGCGCACACTGCGCGCAATCAACTCCACCGCTCGAGCAAGGTCCTGCTGCGCCCGCGCATCTGTCTGGTAGAGACGTTCAAGATGCGCGAGGGCAGCGCGCTCGGTGGACATCACATGAATGGCAGTGACAACTGAGGACACGTCTGTCATCGTGCAAGGCGGGGGAATCGAAGGATCGGGAGGCGTAAGAGGCCATGCAGGCACCAGGACGGGATTGGAATCCATGGAGGGCAAAGAGATGGAGTCAATGGCATCATGAAGCATGACGGCTGGGGGGGATCTGTGCAATATAACGAGATCCTCCCAGGTGTCACTTTGAGATCGGAAATTGTGGAGGGCCAAGATCAAATTCAGTCGATAACGTGAGATTACAGGCGGCATCGGGGCGATCGGACCGGAGAACTTGGTGGCTATGGGGTTTCCAGGGTGAAGAGCTTCCAGGCTTAGGATGACAAACATTGTATTCCGGTATCACGAATCATTTCCGATCTCAATTTCCCAGATGGTGCCATCGCATTCGCCGATGGTGAATCATCGCGATGGGAGAGGGGCCGATCTGTGCCGTATCGGGTTAAACCGACACTCTGGGGATGCGCGTCGGAGATACACAGTATCTCCTCCTCGACGTTCCAGGGTCGAAAACAACGGTCTAGAAAGATCTATTCGCCCGCATTTATTGGATATATCACGGTCTGAACAGCATTATGTACATGCATTGGTCCAGAGCCAAGGTCGCAGAACACGACCAGTGCTGGCTATAGCTAAGATAGGAAAAAGCAGATTGGATTCAGAAATCCAGCCGGATGCAGAATCACTCCATAAACTCCAAAATATCATAAATCATCGCTTTCTCGTACATATACCGTGGCTTGGCTACCATGCATAATCACGCTGTGGGCTGTGATGCAAATGAGAAGTGGTAGTCTGCAAAGGGCCTCCCGGGGGGGGAAGCAGCGGAAGAAACACCCATGGCGAGGCAGGACGAGGGCAAAGGGGGTATCGTACCAGGGTCATGCTCCCTCGTGGGTTCTTGATGATTGCAGAAGCAGTACTTATTCTAAGCCCGAGTCACAAATCACCCTGACGCTGAAGCGCCGTCATCTTCATAAAGATGGTGCTGCTCGATATAGTGAATCACTGGCACAGGGATCAGATAGCGCACACTCATCTCACGCCGGAGGAAAAGTCGAATCTTAGTGCTGCTGACGTCGTTTTGGATGAGTTGTTGAATGACGTGGATGTTATCCTTCCAAGGCTGCAGGCTGGCCAAAGCCTCATCAATATCGGTACCACTACGCTCCACAATGAAAGACTGCGTCGATTAGCAAGCTATAATCGATTCCAGGGGTTATGCGGGAACATACGCCGTATTTGCCGAGAATGTGGTCCAAATCCTTCTGACTCCAGACCCCGGGGTGGACATGGTATGGATCAGATCCGCGCCCGCAAGAAGCGCAATGCGAACCGGCTTCCGTGTTCCATCTCCGGCCTCGACGCCGCCACGAACGGTGTTAATTTCATAGTCAAAGTGGTCCAGGACGAGCGCAGTCGGCTGATAATTCTTCTGTGTAGGCTCCCACGTATCCACCATCAGCCAGTCGGAGGTTTGGTCCACTGCTAATTGACACATTGCGACACTATTGATGTGATAATTAGCATCCTGCAATCGACGGAGAACGCAGAACGAAGAAAACCCTACCGGTGGTCTGCGCTGGCCAAACCGGCCTTGCGATAGGCATCCGACACCGGAGACAGATAGCCTCCGAGGAGTTCGAACTCAGTGCTGAATCTGACGTAGTCGGCGGCCATCTCAAACATGCGCAGATGGAGATAGGTGATCGGAGAGAAGGAACCACACGCGACCAGCAGAAGCGGCGTCTTCTCCGGGTCGGTCATCTTTCGCTTGAGGCGATGTTCGGGGAAGACGTATTCGTCCATCAGGTCTAGGAGGAACTTGGACGGGGGCTTGATGAACGTCGTCACTTTGCCCTCCAACCATTTCTATCGCCATTTCGAGGGCGAAGGGTGATGATATCGATGAAGGCGGGAGAGTGCGGGAAAGACGCTTTAGGACGGAGCAACCGGCGGGAGGGGGCCGACTTGGGGAAGTGGGGGAAGTGAAGAAAAAGTTGTCGCCCCTTGGGAGGCGATTAATATAGGGAGGCGGAACGAAAGTCGGACTGTCAATGTGAAGTGGGATAACTTCCTAGTCAAGATAGAATCTTTCTACTATGTTGCGGGCTGCTGAATAAGAGTCCGGTGAGTCAAACCAGGTTCGTCGGCGCCGTTCCGGTGCGATATCCGCCCCCTCATTTCGTGATGGGGGCTCTCTCCGAGTCTAGCTCTATGATGCCTATTTTGATATACATACCAGGGTATATTGATTCACTTCATTTAAATCTCTTTGATTCGGGGTGACTACTCTATTTTCTGAGCTTTAATCACTGGGTTTTACCTCAATACTAGTTTGTTGATCAGCCAGACACCATCGTCATACCTAGTGGTCATTTCATCGTACAAACATAAAAAGATTGAAGAGTTGCTAGGCTAGAAATACCAAGCACTTTCTGACAAGTCTCAGGCCCTGATCCGTGCCCAACAGGCGAGATGGCAATTTGGGTTCTGGGTCTGGGGTGTTGGACTGTCTTATATCATCAAATGTTGCACTTCCGCCCTCCGACTCAAGTCGTCACAAACCATCCACGTCAATCCTCCTTCCTACCTCCACCCATCAACCTAATCCACCCACAACATTCACTTTCCTCGACCGTATTAATATAGCCTTTGACGGCCCTCCGGACAGCTTGCCGGATTCCCACATTCCCTGACCTGTTCACGCCCGACTTCAGCCCTGGACCAGGTGTTGCGGATGGCGGGTTGAAACAGTGTCCTCGTCTTCCTACCTCCAAGATCCCGATCCCGGTAACTTATGGCCAGGCAAAGGCCCTCCACCAGCCGACAGGACCCTCTCGAGGATTATTCCATCGCCCCAGCAGGAGCTGCCACCTCCTCTGCTCTGAGGTACTTGCCCGTTTCTTCAACGCCCAACCTCCATACCCCGTGCACCGTATGGTGACTCCGCCCAGCTCGCTACGAGTCCACTTGCAAGACCGTTGTGGAAGACCCTGAATCCCCCCTCTTCCTTCATCGTTTGTTCGATCGGGTCCCATCTGGCTACTACGGGGTGTGGGGGAACCCGTGTCTCCACGTTACCCCCGGCGTTTGCCTGCATGATTCCTTAGCTTTGTCGGATCAGCCCTCTCATCTTTCACGATCGTCTACCCTCAAACCCTCATTCACGCACACTCTACAATCCCCCCATCAAAGCCAATTAATTTCTGATGTTATCCAGAACCACTCGCTCCTCCGCGAGACTTGCCACAGACCCGCCTCCCGTCGTTGACGCCGGCTCCCCTTCACACCCGGCCGCTGGTTCGGCTGCTTCCCGGAAACGAAAAGCCTCATCACGCCGGGATCGACAATCGGACGCCCCGAATCAGCCGACCGCCTCATCTCCTCCCCGGAGATCGAAAAGACAGCGCACCTCCGCGCCTCACGCCGCTCCGCCCGCTGGCCCAACCGCTTCCCTCACCGCTCCTCGACGAGCTGCTCGGGGTCATAACGCCATGTCACAACCGGGGTGAGTATTCGAAGGAGATTTTCTTCATCTTTGGAAGACTGACGTGAAGCTTTACTACATAGACCGTCTTCTCGACCCTCGGAGGAATCGAAGTCAACGACATCTCCGCCGCCTTCGAGACGGCGATCTAGCCGGAATGGTGAGCTTTATCCAGAAGTCAATTTAAATTTCTTAAAATGCTGATGATGGATCCCTTCAGATCGACTTGCAGCAACGCAATCACCCCCTCCTCGTCGCCAGAAGAAGCGTACCACGAAGACAAATGCCGATGTATTCATGCGAGATGCGGAGGAGGAGCTAGAAGATGAAGATGTCAAGGCAGAAGAAGAGGGGTCCCCTACAGGTGATAGCAACGATGATACCAACCCGTCAGCCTTTGACGAGGAAGACTTGGACCCGTTCCATAGCAGTCTTTTTGGAGGCCGAGGCCCCATGGCACTCCAAAGTACACTCCGTGCACTCAGTGGTATGATGTCGGGCATGTCCTCGCGACTCCGCGATATTCTCAGTAATCTTCGAGCAAAGGATGACCCTTCGCTCCAGTTGATTGCTCTCCAAGAGCTATCAGACCTTCTGCTTGTCTCGAATGAGGACAATCTCTCTGGCCAATTCTCTCCTGACCCGTATGTCAAGGAATTGGTCGCCTTGATGCAGCCGAACCAATTTGGTGAAGAGAACCCGGAAATAATGCTGCTCGCATGTCGCTCCTTGGCTAATTTGATGGAGGCCCTTCGTGGCTCCGTGGCCAACGTTGTGTACGGCGGTGCGGTTCCAATTTTGTGCCAAAAGCTTTTGGATATTCAGTTCATTGATCTTGCGGAACAAGCCCTAAGCGTATGTTCTGCTTTTGCCCCACTGGCTGTTCATTTTCATGTATAGTGTGCTGACAACTTTTTACAGACCTTGGCAAAAATCTCCGTGGACTTCCCAGCTTCCATCGTACGCGAAGGTGGCTTGACAGCATGCTTAACGTACCTCGATTTCTTCCCCACGAGTACGCAACGCACAGCTGTAACAACCGCTGCCAATTGTTGCCGCAATCTGCCCCATGATTCGTTCCCAGTCGTGCGGGACGTCATGCCCACTCTTCTCAATGTCCTTTCCAGTAATGACCCTAAGGTAGTGGAGCAAGGGTGTCTTTGCGTCTCTCGTATTGTGGAGAGCTTCAAGTATCGCCCTGAGAATCTGGAGGCGCTCATTGAGCCCGCCATGCTCAGGGCCGTTCTTCGTCTGCTCTTGCCGGGCACAACCAATCTCATCGGACCACACATCCACACCCAGTTCCTTCGAGTGCTGGCGATAGTATCCAAGGCCAGTCCTCGACTGTCGATTGAGTTGCTCAAGATGGATGTTGTGGACACCCTCTACCACATTTTGACTGGCATCTCGCCGCCGGAGGACACAGATAGCACGGCTGTGAAGATGGACAGCGTCTTGGTCATGCAGGCTTTGATTCACCGGCCCCGTGAGCAGGTTTTCGAGACTCTCAATGTCATCTGCGAGCTTCTTCCTGGGGTGCCAAGCCGTGAGGCCTCCCGAACGGACAGTATGCTGAGCTCATATTTTGATAACAGCATGTCAATTGGCTTGAAGGCTTCGTCCAAGTCCAAGGAGGGTACTGAAGAAAGACATGCCTTGCTGGAAAATTGTCGTCCTGAACTCAAGCGTTTCGCAATGATCTTGTTCCCAACTTTGACGGATGCATATTCGAGCACGGTCAACCTGAGCGTTCGCCAAAAGGTCTTGATTGCTCAACTGAAGATGTTGCACATACTCGAGCCGACTCTGATTGAGGCTGCCCTGCAAACAGTTCCTTATGCATCCTTCCTTGCTGCCATTCTTTCGCAGAAGGATCACCCTTCGCTTGTATCCCTCGCGTTGAGATGCTCTGAACTGCTATTTCAGCGTCTTGAGAATGTGTACCAACAGCAGTTTCACCGCGAAGGTGTGATCTCTGAAATTATCAAGTTATCAGAGGCCCCCCCCTATCCGCAGACAAAGACGGCTCAGCAGATCCACAAATAACAGGCAATGCTTCTACTGAGAATGCTCGTGATGAAGCCAGAAACGAAACACAAAAAGAAGACAAGGGCGCCGAAGACGAGGATGAGGATGGCGATGACTATGACGGTCAAGACGACGAAGTTGATGAAGAGAATGAAGACGACTCGGATTCGGATAATTCCCTCCTTGACGGTCGGCTGTCAGTCGCCAAAATGGAGAATGCTCTTAACGACATGGTGATTCGAGATGCCCAGGCTTTTTCTCAAGATCTACGAAGCAGGCCAAGGTGCCGCTGTGCGTACCGAAGCTATTCGGATCTTGGAAGAGCTTAAATCCCTTGCTGGTAGAATTCGGGATTGTTACTCTACCCCTTCTGCCGGTGACGGTCTTTCGCTTTTCAAGGACCTGGTGTCCTATTTTGACGGAGACGCGCTCAAGAGCATCACTAGCTCAGAATTGCTCAACTCCGGCATTATCCAGGTGCTTTTAGACGTGTTAGGCGATCTCAACTCTCCGAATATTCGTCAAGCCCGTGCTGCCTTCCTCCAAGCCTTCATGGGTACAACAATCTCAGAAAAGGCACAAAGCCAGAGCACTGCTACCACCCCCCTTCAGCGTTATCATTCGGAAGCTGCAAGATTTGCTCAGCCGGACTGAGCATTTCGAAGTTCTCACCGTTAGTCACAATTCGTTGGAGAACACCCGCACCAACGCCTCGTATATGCTTGGGAAGCAACTCCGACTGAAGCTAGTCGCTGAAGAAGGAACTGAGGTTCCTCGAGCTTACCGAAACATCATGGTCTCAATCCATGCCATTGCCACATTCAAGGCGCTTGATGACTTCCTCCAGCCGCGAATCGCCATGTCTGAGCGCCCTCGTCAGGCTCGCGATAGGGATACAATTCTTTCGCAAATAGCGAACGCGGCTCGTCTGCGCGATCAGCTAACCTCGGGTGGCCCACCCCGCCCCCCTGCTGGATTCCATGGTCGTTTGACTGGCGCCGGCGGCAATGGAAATGACTCTCCCGATGACGAGCAGCCCTCGCACCACACCCGATCTAATCCCTTGTTAGACCATGAAGATGCGCATGACGACGAGCCCCTAGAATGCGCTGACGAAAGACAACTCAGCGACGAAGAAGGTGAAGATGTCGATGAAGATGAGGATGAGGAACTGAACGCTATTGTGGATGATCTCGATGATGACCTCGACGATGAGCCTGTTCATGACCCTACCGCTGTGAATTTGGAAGTTGGTTCCTCAGGCAAAGTCACGGCGCGCAAGGAAGACGGCACCCGCGTCGGCACGCCATCTCAATCCACGCCAGCATCCAAGCCCTCCTCGTCCGCCCCAAGCACCACATCCAATCCAGCCCACAGTTCTCTCGCCACTGCGGGACGCCCCTTCTCTTCGTATGCCGCTGCGATGGCTTCGATACCTCAGGACTGGCATATTGAGTTCCACGTGGATGGCAAGCCAGTCCCTGCTGACACTACAGTCTACCGTGCAGTGTATCACAACCGTGAGCACATAGACGAGGTCAGCGCTAAGAATGTCTGGTCTGCCGTCCATACAGTCACGTTTAAGCGTGTCCCTGGTCCCCCGCCTCCAGAGCCATCAACTCTTATCAATGCTGGAGAAGATGTTTCTTCCAAGGAAGTCAGTATGGAAATGCCCAGCAGCCTCAACAAGGATTCCACGACAGCTTCCATTCTCCGTTTGCTTCGCGTCATGCATGAAATGAACGCAACGATCGATGATATCTTGACTGATGCTCGTGATACTGCCAACATTACTCCCGAGCCTTTGGCTCAATTTATCAACACAAAGCTCACCGCCAAGGTGAATCGTCAACTTGAAGAGCCATTGATCGTGGCAAGTATGTGTCTGCCTACCTGGAGCGAAGATCTGGCTCGCTTGTTCTCCTTCCTCTTCCCCTTTGAGACAAGACACCTGTTTCTGCAGTCGACCGCATTTGGCTATTCTCGCGCCATGATGAGATGGCACAACTCGCAGAGCACAGAGGACAGCCGCCGTGATATGCGCCGGGATGACCGGCCGTTCCTAAGCCGACTCCAGAGACAGAAAGTGCGCATCTCGCGTGCTCGCATCCTGGATTCTGCCATGAAAGTCATGGAGCTTTATGGGTCTTCTCCGAGTGTCCTGGAAGTTGAATATTTCGAGGAAGTTGGAACGGGTCTGGGGCCTACCCTTGAATTCTATTCGACTGTCTCACGCGAATTCTCGAAGAAGAAACTCAAGATCTGGAGGGAGACGGATGGCACATCCTCAGTCGCAGAATATGCATTTGGCAAGCGCGGCCTGTTCCCAGCCCCCATGAGTGAGGAGCAAGCATCTTCAGAGGCTGGCAAGAAGCAGCTGAATCTTTTCAAAATCCTTGGAAAGTTTGTGGCTCGCTCCATGCTCGACTCAAGAATCATTGATATCTCATTTAATCCAGCCTTCTTCCGCATCGCCGATACGTTGTCTTCCGTGGCTCCCTCCTTGGGCACTGTGAAAGCAGTGGACGAAGACCTCGCGAAGTCTCTTGTCATGCTCAAGCGATTCGTCAAGGCCAAGCAAAGCATTGAGGAAGACAAGACCATCTCGGCCCACGAAAAGTCGCGCGCGATTCAGAACATCATCGTGGACGGCGCTCGCGTAGAAGACCTAAGCCTGGACTTCACGTTGCCTGGATACCCAGCGATCGAACTGATTCCTGATGGGGCCAATGTTCCACTCACTATTGACAACGTTGATCAATATATCGAGCGAGTCATCGAGACGACTCTAGGCAGCGGCGTTCGCCGTCAAGTCGATGCTTTCAGAACCGGTTTCTCACAGGTCTTCCCTTACTCTGCCCTTCGCGCCTTCACACCCAATGAACTAGTTATGCTCTTCGGACAGGCCGAGGAAGACTGGTCTATCGAGACTCTCACCGACTCGATCAAGGCCGATCATGGATTCAACATGGACAGCAAGAGCGTCCGAAACTTGCTCCAAACCATGAGTGAGCTAGACAACCAGCAAAGACGAGACTTCCTTCAGTTCGTCACAGGTAGCCCGAAACTTCCAATAGGTGGTAAGTCATTCTTTGCTGTGTCCATTTTTATTGTAGTTGCTGATGTGTACCTCAGGCTTCAAAAGCCTCACTCCGATCTTCACAGTTGTGTGCCGCCCCAGCGAACCTCCCTACACACCGGACGACTATCTCCCTAGTGTCATGACTTGCGTGAACTACCTCAAGCTGCCCGACTATAGCAGCCTCGAATTCCTGAAGGAAAGACTCTCAGTCGCCATCAAGGAAGGACAAGGGGCCTTCCACCTGTCATAGACACCGGAGCAGTTTCTTTCTGCCCATTCTTTCCCTCTACTTGCCTGACACGGCATGCCATCCGCTCGGTGGTTGACGACATTGGTACTATTCGAATGGATGAGCCTTGCCTGCTAATTTATTTCATCCCTGTCATTGAGACGGGACCTCATTAACGATGCTATGATGTGACTCGTGACTTGCTGCCTTGAGTCGATGCCCCTTCTCAAGCTTTTTCGGTCAGGCTTTTCTTTCTTTACATTTTCATGCCATCTGGGCTGAGAGGCGTCAAGGTGCATTATTTTCGCCTCTCACGATACTGATATTAGATAGCAATGAATTGCCTTTCCTTCGTGGTTTTAATTGTCCTGCAGCGGGTGTAGTCACTTGTCCTAGACTTTGACCATTACAAGATAGAATGTAGAACGTTGCAACTTGAGATTTGCTGTAGAAAAATGTCTAATCTAAGTGTATCCAGTCTTAAATCCTCTATCCATACGTCTATCATCTAAAAAATTAGTCTATTGGTAGATATTCAAAGAAAAAACACCAAGGAGCAAATTAAGTCTTGTAAATGGAAACCATGGACTGCAGTAACACGTTAGTCAAGTTCAACAGTCCCCCCCAAGCTTCGAAAGGTTGACTCACATCCGCAAACTTAGGCTCAACGAACAGCGCCTTGGCCTCCGAAACCATGACAACTCCCTCTCCATCCTCCCTCAACAACTTGTCGTCCTGATGGATGGTGCTTCCATCAACCGCCAACGGCAAATAACTCATTCTCCCCTCCACCCAAGCCTTGCGTCCCTCAACCTTGACCGTCTCAGCCCTAAGCACGTAAATCCTATCCGGCAGCGCGGGTTTCCGGAAATCCACGGTTAAATTGGCAGTCATGCCAAGTCCACTAGGAAACGCAGCCGACACACATCTAGCAAAGACCTCGTCGAAAAGCACAGACAAAAGACCACCATGCACAAATCCCGGATGGCCGCACAGATCACGACCGATATGGAAGACTGAAATGACTTTGCTAGTCCGCGAATTTCCCGTTTCGGACTTCTGAGACGAAATCCATGTATAAGGCGCAATAGACAATTTTCCAGGCCCGGCCAGACTTCCACCGACGAAATGGTGCTGTCGAATCGCAGGCGGGATGGCGAGATGAGGCCGGGACTCTTTGTAGGATTTGTGTGATTCGCGAAGCCTTTGGACGAGAGGAATCTGAGAGATCACTGTATCGAGGTTCGATTCATGCGTCGATGCAGGCGCTGGTGCGTGTGCTCGGGATTTGAGTGCTTCGACGGGGACCTGTGTCTGGCTTTGTGGAAGCGCCTGTTCATGAACCACGGCCGATCGCGATGGACCGTGTTGATGAAGATGTGCAATTGAGCCAACGGGCGAGAAGCTCTTCGCGAGCGATGTCGCTGGGCGCGAAAGCCGCATGGTCCGAGACAGAGACATTTGCAGTTTTCAAGATGTATACAGAGGACTTCTTCGGTTTCGAAGACGGCCGTGTCAGTATAAATGGTACAATGCCGATGTCGCCCAACTGACTGTGAACCTCCGACGACCTAGCGCAAAAGAAAATCTCCTAGCGGGATCTATGAGAATGAAACTGAGTAATTGATTGCTCTTCTCCCGGAATGCAGGCGAGACTTCCACTTGTTTTGAATACGCTAAGCCTAATTAGCATTAGCCCCTTGAAACTCAGTTTTAGCCGATTAAATACCCTTTTTTTCCCGTTCTCTACGCCCTTTTGAGTATTGAATTCGTAAATCTTAATACTAGTTTATGCTAATATATTATAGAGATAGCTCTATAATAAGGAATCATCTAGGATCTATAGTCTCTTGGCTAAGGCCGTACGTGTAGAGAACGGACTACATTCTTCCGATAGGCCATTCGAGGTATTTCTAGTGTCTGTGGGACCACAGATCTCGGATCTGTCTACCATGTAATGATGGTACTGCTGAGAAGTGTATGGGCTGAAAAAAGGGGGCGTTGTAAGTGTTCTGATACATGGAAAACTGGACCCCTATAGTGTCTGCACGGGCTCGTCGCAATTGATACGAGCTCTCGGAATACTTGGCGATCAGGGCCTTCCTTTCATCCGGTTCTCAAATTTTTTTCCGTCGGGCGTCATAGTGGGGCTGCAAAAGCCGGCATTCGGCGGGTCTTTCGGCAGTCGCCCGAGCCGGAGATCGGCATGCCGAATGATTAGATGCGGTCTGGATCTATAGATGGTACTTTTGGTGGCTTGGACTGCAGGGATTCCGATGGAAGTGTCTTATGTAGCTTGAGTGATGGTTGCTTGCGCTGGTACTATTGACTGGAATCTATAATTTTGACTAGGACTATACAGATGGCAATAGATTCATAAGACCATGACAAAGACACTCCGGGAGTGACCAGAGTGAATCAAAAAGTATTATCGCCTTCTTAGAAGCCCAAGGGGTCGAGATTACCCAAGAAGGCGTTGTTACCCTCGCCACGAAGCAGAGCCTCGATATCGATTCTTCCGGCAGTGAGATACTTCTCGCTGACACCAATGTTCACCCGCTCGGCAAGTTGGCTTTTCAGCTCGGCGCGTAGACCGGCGAGCTCACCTTTGGTGATCTCGCTATTCTGCCTGTCTCGCCTTTGTCGACCACCACCGCGGCCACGGCCCTTGCCCTCAGACTCATCGAAATTGTCGCTATCGTACTCAACACCAAGATCCTCAGCCGCAGCACGGAGCCAGTTGTCCTCTGATGAGACCTTCTCCTTGGCGATGTTGGCATCGGTGATCTTCTGAGCAAGATTGATACGTGTACGGACACGGGAAATGACCCGACGGTCGATCTCAAGAGACTCGAGAGGTAGTCTCTTTTGTGGACCATCGTCCTTGTTTCGCTTGGCGTGGATCTTGGCGGCTAGACGGGCGACACTGACGACCTCATCGGGGGAACAAATAATGACACTCTTGCCCGAAGCACCGGCACGGGCAGTACGACCGGATCGGTGAACGTAGGCGTCTGCGGCGCGAGGCGCATGGTAGTGGATGACGAAATCGATTCCCTTGATATCAAGACCACGGGCTGCAACATCCGTGGCAACTAGGATCGAGCTCGGGTCCGCGACAGGTGATGAGAAGCGCTCGACTGAGCGGAGTCGGGCCTTCTGAGCCATAGAGGAGTGGAGACCAAGTGCCGGGAGTTGGAGGGTTTGTAGCAGCTGTGTAATGCGCCGCACGGCGGCAATTGAGTTGGTGAAGACAAGAGTGCGGTGCTTCGGGTGATACAGAAGCAGCGAGTAGAGATAGAGATCCTGTGGGGTTGTTATTAGGATCGACTTCGAAAATCGCTGATGGGTATCTTACCTTTTCCATAGCAGGACATTCCACAATCCCCTCCTTGAGGCCCTCGGCCATTTGCTTTCCTTGGTTGACATCGATAAACCTGGGCTTCTCCTCTCTAAAGTTGAGCTTCTTGAGAAGATACTCCATAGACTGCTTCTGGTCCATCATATCCCCTCCTGACCATCGTCCCTTGCCTGCGAGCTTCGTCTGCAACTCACGGTTAAAGGTAGCCGAGAAAACGAGCGTTTGCCGGACATTGGGCTCTTCTTTTTCCTTCTCCGCCTCCTCGTCCATATCAGGGAAATCGCCCTGCTCTTTTCGATCCAAAGCACCAAGAATCTCTTCAACCTCTTTGAAGTGACCCTCGCTAAGCAGCCGATCGGCTTCATCAATGACGAGGAAACGGATGCCTTGCATCTTACGAATCAATCCTGTTCCAGTGCTCAAAATCTCCCACACACGGCCGGGTGTGCCAACGACGATATCGGCATTAGCGAGTTGCCTTTGCTGCTTCTGAATGGATAGACCACCGGTCAAAAGGGCAATGCGCGCGTCGGTGTTTGGTGAGTTCGCAACTAATTCTCCAATGTGCTTTGATAATTGAACAGCCAACTCTCTGGTTGGGGACAAAATAAGAGCCAATGGGGGTCTCTTGGACTTCTCGCCTTGGTCGATCGTCTTTTCGTGCTTGTCCAGGTAGTGTTCGAGAATAGGAATGGAAAAAGCCAGTGTTTTACCGGAACCAGTCGAGGCCTTCCCAATCACGTCATGGCCCTCCATGATAACAGGAATAGAGGCTTTCTGGATGGCAGACGGCATAGAGAACTTCATTTTGGATAGACCGGTCAAGATCTCAGGCGACAGATTGAGCTTGTCCCATTCGGATACATCGACGCCGTCATCCTCCTCGGCCTGCTCCAGAAGTGTCGCGAAGGAGAGACTGGATTTCAGATTAGGATCTTGTGCGGGTTCGGCCTCTTTTACCTTGGTCTCTTGAGCCTTTTGTTCTTTCTTTTCCTTCTTCTTGGCGTCTCTTTTCTCCTTGAGCTTCTTTTTCTTGTCGTCCTGTTTGGTACTTTTCTTCAAAACACCGACTGGCTGTTCCTTGTCGGTGGCGGGTGTAGGCGTCTCCTCGATTTTGTCGGTCTCATCAACCTCTGTATCGCTGATCCCACCCCATTCTTCACCATCATCGTCCTCGGAAGGTGGCTTCACAATTGAATTCTTCGGTTTGCCAGCCTTGGCCTAAATGCAAGTCAGTAAATTGCCATGTATCGGAGAGGAAGAATATGGTTCTTACCTTGAAAAGCACCTGTCCATGTCCATTTGATCGAATGACATCGACACCGTCAATTTCCTCCAGGCCGAAGAAACCAGTTGCGTCCTCCATGCGATCAGGCATAGCAACTTCCTTCCAGTTTAAGTCCTCCAGGCCAACAACGCCCTCGTCGTCCGAGGTCGTGGCAACCTTGGCGCCCTTCTTGCGCTTCTTGGACTCATCGGCCAAAGCCTTTGTGTCGCGTCCACGTTTCTGACCCATTTTGACTCGTTCCGAGGTATCAAGTGGGCGTGTTTGGCTAGCACAGAAAAAAAGCTGCTCGGGGAAGTCGCAAAGAAAAAAGGCGGCAGAAAAAGTCCGCCCGCAAATCTTATCAATTCGCTCCCCACGTTGAACAATCCCGCGATTGAAAATCCTCCGAACAACATTTTGGGGGCCTCAATTCGACATGGGAAAGTCTTCCAAGGACAAACGCGATGCATACTACCGGCTCGCGAAAGAACAGAATTGGCGAGCTCGGTCCGCCTTCAAATTGATTCAGATCGACGAACAATTCGATCTCTTCGAGCATGAGAATCCCGAAAAAGTCACAAGAGTCGTGGACCTGTGCGCTGCGCCTGGAAGCTGGAGTCAAGTACTTAGTCGCGTCCTGATCAAGGGCGAGAGTTTCGGCCGACGGACCTGGATCGACAAAAAGCAACGAGACAAACAGGCCCTGCAGGACGGCGAGACTCCCAGCGAAGCTCCCACTCAAATCGGAGAAAGCCACCCAGACGCAGAACTAAAGCCACGCGAGAATGTCAAAATCGTTTCAATTGACTTACAACCCATGGCCCCGCTCGAAGGCATAACCACCCTCAAAGCCGATATCACACACCCTTCCACCATTCCTCTTCTTTTGCGCGCATTGGATCCGGAGGCCTACGAACCGTCAACATCAGATTCTACATCACAACCTCCCGCCGAGCTCCGACAATCACATCCCGTCGATCTCGTCATTTCAGATGGTGCTCCGGATGTAACAGGTCTGCACGATCTGGACATCTATATCCAGTCGCAATTACTCTTTGCGGCGCTTAACCTCGCCATGGGCGTTCTCCGCCCTGGCGGCAAGTTCGTGGCCAAAATATTCCGCGGCCGTGATGTTGATCTTCTCTATGCACAGTTGCGCACTGTTTTCGAGCGCGTCAGTGTTGCTAAACCCCGAAGCAGCCGTGCTAGCAGTCTAGAGGCTTTCATTGTCTGCGAGGGATTCATTCCTCCGACAAGGGAGGAAGGATTAGTAGGCATGGCGGCTTTGAAGAATCCTCTATTCGGAGGTGCTGCGGTCCCGAAACCTGTTTCAGAGGATGGAAATGTAGGTGTTGAAGTACAGGACGAGTTGGATGAAGACTCCCGCGCCAGAGCAGCAGTGACGCGGACCACCAACGCGATTGGAACCCACACTACGGAAATTCGACATATTCAACCCGTCCCGAGTGGTCAACCACCGGCGCCGAAGCTTGCCAACAAGTTCGCGGAAGAGAACCGGTGGATCCCTTCGTTCATCGCTTGTGGTGATCTCTCTTCGTGGGACTCTGATGCTTCTTATACTCTTCCTCCGGGCCATGTTAGTCTTGATCCGGTGCAACCACCTACTGCCCCGCCGTATCGGAGGGCTCTGGAATTGCGGAAGGAGAAGGGAGGTGCATATGGAAAGACCAAGCTTGTCCCATTGACTAAGGCTTGATTGGCGTACCATTCATTACCTTGATGTATAGACGACACGATTATGAAATATGGTATGGCGTTTGCGTTGAGACTATGAGATGAGAGTCTGGTTCTGAAATAAATACCCAGCCATTATATGTTCAGTATGACCATGACGAACGTATCTAAAAATTCAAAGTGACTGCGAGAAGTGAGTATTCCTGAGAAATTAATATTCTTGTAATATTTGAACAAATCTCCAATGTATTCTGAAGTCTATGAAGCAGGCTGTGCAACGGGCGGAGTCAAAATGGTCTAAAAGCTGGGGAATCGACAAAATAAGAAAATGACAATCGTCAGGTTCATGACATGCCACTGTTTCCAACAGACTAGTACACCTCGAGAACGTAACGCTCCTCATCCTTGAGCTTCTCAATCTCCTTGCGAGTGTCGACCTTTTTGCCGTTGGCCTTGGCCTCGGCGGCGATAGCCTCCTCGAGGACGGCGGTGACGTCGGGAACGGGCCAAGTGGGACCGCAGAGGTAGAAGGCACCCTCCTCGCGGATGTAAGCCTGCATGATCTCAGGAAGAGACTGACGCATGCGGTCCTGGATGTAAATCTTCTCGGGCTGGTCACGAGAGAAAGCACGGCCAAGAAGGGTGATGACACCGGCCTCCTGGTAGGCTTCCCATTCCTCTCCGTAACAGTACTCCTCGCGCTGGTGGCGTGATCCCATGTACAAAAGAACAGAACCGATCTCCTTGCCCTGGGCCTTCTCCAGAGCCCGGTGCTGCACGAAGGCACGGAAGGGGGCCAGACCAGTTCCGAGACCAGCCATGATGAGGGGCTGGGTGGACTTCGGGGGCAACTTCATCACACTGGACTTGACGCTGACAGTGACGGGAGAGCCGACCTGGAGACTGTTCAGGTAGCGAGTTGCCAGACCGAAGCGGTCGGTGCCGTTGGGGGCGGTCCAGTTGACAGCGACGATCATCAAGGCAACGGTGTTGGGGGTGACCTTCTGGCACGAGGCGATGGAGTACTCGCGGCGTTTCAGAGGACCAATGATGCGGACAATCTCGTGGAAGTCAGGGTGGGCAGATGGATACTCGAGCAGAATGTCGGCGAAGGTGACAGTGTCGACCTCGGAACGACGCTTGAACTCGGTTGCACCTTCAGGGCCACCCAGAGTGCGCAGGTCGGTCTTCTCCTTCTCGTCAGTGGCGTACTCAGCAAGAGCCTCGTAGAAGCGCTTGGGGGGGCGACCGAAGATGTCGACATTCTGGATCAGAGCCTGGTAGACGGTGCGGTTCTCCAGAACAGCAGGATCCTCGCGGCTGGGAACCTCAACGATAGAATCGGGGTTGAGGCCGTAGAAGGCAATGAAGTCGGAGACTTCCTTGGGGTCATTCTCAGCGTGGATACCCAGAGCCTCACCGATGTCGTAGGTGAGACCGGAGTCACCGAGGTCGAACTCGATGTGGAAGATGTTACGGTCGTAGGTAACGGGAGTGAGGCGACGATTCTCCTTGACGTGGACAGTGAATGTCTTGGTCGCCAGATCAGGGCGGAGAGCGCTCTTAGTGCCATAGGCCTCCTTGAAGGCCAGGCCACGGGCAGCAGTCTCCCAGTCCTTGAGGAGGGTCAGGGGCTCAGTCTCGTTTTTGTCGAAGGAAGCAAAGCTGTTGGCAGTAATGTCCTTGGGGAGCTGGACAGCCTCGCTGGCGCCCTCGGGCTCCTTCCAGGCCTCGGGGATCTCGATCTGGCGCAGGAACTTCTCAAGATCCTTGATCACGTTCTCCAGAGCCTCAGCACTGCCAACAATGGCGGACAGCTTCTTGGCGGCAAGGCCTTCCTGAGTGGGCAAAGCAACACGAAGGAAGGAAGCCTGAAGAATGAGCGTTTCCAGAGAAGAGTCATCGTTGGCGGAAGCGTCAACAACGAAAAGAGAGATACCACGCTGGGCGACGGCCTGGCGGAAGGCGGCGGGCAGCTTCTTCTCCAGATCTTCGTCCTTGACGCCGGGGGCGCTAACAATGACCTTGGCATTGTCCTTGACGGAAGCCAGAACATCAACGTCATTGAGAAGAGCAATGTTGCCCACGTAAGAAACATCAGCAGCAGCAATAGCGTAAGGAGCATCCAGGATCTTGGCACTCTTGCGAATGTCAACACGGATGGCACCGCCTTGGACAAGGTTGTCATGAACCTTGCTGGTGGTGACGTTGCTGGCCGAGTCAGCGGCGAGGGCCTGGCTGAGAATACGAGCAGCATCCTCGGAGGCGGAGTTGTCAACGTCCCAGAAAGTGTATTCCTGGACAGCAGCAGGATCGAGCAACTGCAGAGGAGCAGTCTCATTGGTGGCGCTTCCACTGGGGAGAATGGGCTTATTGAAGATACGCTGGAAGGCAGCAGCAGTGCTGACCAGGTCCCAGGTCTGCGAGCGAGGGTACTTGATCTCGACAGCAGCCGGAGTCTGATCACGGTCGGTGGCGAAGGTCAAGGCGGCAAGGACATCCTCGTAGAGAGCAGAGTGAACACCCTCTTCCTGGACAGCCTGTTCATTGGCCACCTGGCCCAGAATGCCAACGGTCTTGGTGGTCTTGGGGAGGACGCGGAGGAACTCCTCCTCGACGAAGGGGCGGTAAACCCGGACGTTGACAACACCAATGTGAACACCATCCTTAGCCAAAGAGCGGGCAACCTGGGTAGCCAGAGTGGCCTCGACGGTACCGAAAACAACGAGGACGGAAATGGGCTCAGCATGGCCGTGGTACTCGAAAGCACCATAGTCGGTTCCGAGCTCGCCGTTCAGAGTCTTGAGCAGCTCGAGGACCTTGCCCTGTGCATCGAGATGGCGGTTGCGAGCGTCATCAATGGTCTTGCGAACATTCTCATATGTGTTGTTCAGGCCATCCTTGCCAAGAACATCAATGACACGGGTGGTCTCACGACCAACACGGACGCCATCATAGATGTGAATTGAAGGCAGAAGGGACGACAACAAAGTAGTGAAAAGAGCCATGTGCTGAGCCTCATGGGCAGAGCCACTGGAGACCAGACCGAGACCAAGATCCTCAGCCAGGGAGAGAGCCGAAGCATAATCCGAAACCAGACCTTCCTCACCGGCATAGTCGACCGCAGCGACGTGAGCCGCCACTGGGCTGGCTACGGAGTAGAGCAGAGAAAGCTGCTCCAGAGCGGACCGCATGTAAGGAAGGGTAGCAGAGGATGCGACGATACCCTGAGGAACATGGCGCTTCTTCAGGTCGAAATCTTGGGAGAAGAGATATCCAAGAGCCATATTTCCGGCACCCTGGCGGGTCTCGAGAGACTGGATAACGGGAGACTCGCCATTGGCGTTAGTCTCCTTTCGTTCGGACCATGCTTGCAGAGCAGCATCGAGATCGAAGGTCTCCGGTGAGTACGAAAAGATCTTGTCACTCAACAGATACGCCACCTGCTGGATCAGTGTCTGGGCGGTAGTATAAGTCGGGCCGGACAAGGACGACAAAGCCGGATTCGGTGCGCTCATAGTGAAATATGAACTTGTCTGGATATCGCGCACACAGCACAAATATCTCTCAAGAACGACAAGAAGTGAATCACCAGAAACGAGGGAAATGTGGAGAGAGAGAGGGGATAATCGCCGGAAACCCGCCTGCTATAGAAAAATCCCCAGGCATTTTACCAAATCGGGCTTAGTGGCGAAGCACGCAATCACGCAATTGCAACTTTTCTTATCGATAAGCTGGGCGGTGGCTGAACGACATGTCCGCGTCTGGCCAGCTGACTAATCGATCTATGCTGCATAACTATGTCATGTGATGCGGAGCATAAGAGACGACACCGAGCCTCGGTCTGGAGCCCCACTGCAATTGCGGAGAAGCAGCTCGCGAATCGCTCTTTTAAGTGTGAACAATTCAGCCCAACTCCACCCTTTTTTTCACTACCCTAGATTTGACACCGAATCTATTATATATTGCACAACAATCCACCATGGCGGAAAACTCTTTGAATCCCGTACCTTTCTCTGAACCGCCATACTTGCGCGGGCTCCCAAATCCATACATCACGCCCGCTCACCTTCGCTTCCAGAAAGCATGCCGCAAATTTGCCTGGGAAAATTTGATTCATCATGCGATGGAATGGGAGAAAGCTGGGACTGTCCCCGACCATGTTTTCCATACCTTCTGCAAGGCCAACATGCTTTTGCCTAATATGCCCGCCCCCCTTCCCGTGGACTGGCTCAAGCGGTTGGGGATCAATGATATCTTGGGAGTCAAGGTTGAAGATTGGGACTATACCTATACAGGAATTTATTGCGACGAGGTCAGTATTCATGTGAAGACTTGCATTTCGCAAATCCAAATTACTGATTCAGGCTGTTCACACTAGATGGGACGGTCAGGTTTGAGTGGTCCTGGTGGCTCATTGAATGCTGGTTTCGCCTTCGGCATTCCACCCATTGTCAAGTTCGGGAGCAAGGAGTTACAGGAGCGATTCCTCCCGGATCTTCTGACAGGCAAGAAACGCGCCTGTATTGCAATTACGGAGCCCGAGGCCGGTAGTGACGTGGCGAATATCACCACAACCGCTGTTAAGAGCGCAGACGGCAAACACTATATTATCAATGGAACGAAGAAATGGTCGGTCAAATTTCAACCATACTTTAGAATACACTGACCAGTCTCTAGGATTACAAACGGCATCTGGTCTGACTACGCGACCATGGCAGTCCGGACTGGCGGAAAGGGAGCCTCAGGTCTCTCCGTGCTAGTCGTACCTTTAAAGAACCAGACTGGTGTCTCGATGCGTCGAATGAAAGTTTCGGGCCAAATCACCGGTGGAACGACCTATATCGAGCTGGACGATGTCAAGGTACCCGTGTCGAACATCGTTGGCAAAGAAGGCGATGGCATGCGCATCATCATGACCAACTTCAATCACGAGCGACTAGTCATTGCCGTCGGCGTTACCCGGTCGGCTCGTGTCGCTCTCTCGGCGGCATTCTCCTACTGCCTCAAGCGTGAAGCATTTGGAAAGACACTTATGGAACAGCCTGTCGTGCGTCACCGGCTCGCTAAGGCTGGTGCAGAGCTCGAGACCATGTGGGCCTGGATTGAGCAGATTCTCTACCAGTTAAGTCATATGACCAAAGAAGAAGGCGATCGTCAGCTTGGTGGGTTGACTGCTCTGGCGAAGGCCAAGTCGGCGATGGTCCTCAATGAGTGTGCTCAGGTTGCTGTCCTGCTGTTTGGAGGCAATGGCTTCACTCAGACTGGTCAGGGTGAGCTTGTTGAAGGTAAATACTTCATCATACGCACACGTGCCATTCTGTATGCTAATGTTTCTACCTCTTTCAGCAATTCTCCGGGATGTCCCTGGTGCTCGCATTCCGGGAGGCTCAGAAGATGTCTTACTCGACTTGTCTGTGCGTCAGTTGGTCAAGATTTACCAATCACAGGAGAAGAAGCTCACTCAGAGCTCGAAGATCTGATTACACTAAAATCCAGACATAGCTTGCATGTTCCGTAATACTAAGCCATCAGCATCTGAATGACCTCCGAAGACTTTTCAACCTTGGGTCTTCGCAAACCTGTTTGAAAACTTGACTCTATTTGTTGAACCCCGCTAGAAGTGCCAAGTTGGTATCAAATATCTTCTTCATTGTTTGGCACGGCTTTAAGATAATACTACAGTACAATTTCTGGTCTCATGTGAACTACCAAACTTCTTCTGGGTATCCTTAGATGGCTTGATAATTAAAAATTCAAATTGAATCAAGAAAGATATTGACACCTGCAAACTTATCTGACCCTCGATACCACTGCGCCTCTCCAGAGTTTTCTCAGTCTTTCAGAGAAACAACCACTTTCTTGGCAGACACTCCAGCCTTATGGTAATCTAGGGCATCCTGGATCCTTTCCAACCCATTTCCTGTCACAACTGGCTCTGGAGACGCCAAAAACCTACCGTCCTGCAGAGCCTGAGGCAAATAACCCTCATAAACAGCTTTTCCGATCCCATTTTCGATGAGAGAGGTCGCAAAGATAAAGTTGTAGTTGACGCCCATGGTTTTGGATTTACACCAATAGACCAAGCTGCGAGTCAGAAACATGAACATGGTTTGCAACATTGGGAAATGAGCGGGAACCTTGTCAGGAACCGGGTAGGCAGCTAAGGACGCAAATTTCTTCCCGTCGCACCGAGCCAGGATATCCAAGCATCGCTCTGTTCCACTAGAAGCGATGCAAATAGCACCAGCCGCCTTTTTTCCCTGGAAAGCTTTAACGATCTCATTCACGACCGTCTTGCTCTTGTAGTTGAAAATCTGAGCCGCACCTAGCTTCTTCAAGTAGTCGAAATTATGTGGTGAAGCCGTCGCGTAGACTTCATATCCAGCACTCACAGCGAGCTGGATAGCACTGCAACCCACACTGGTTGAGCCGCCCCAGACTAGCAAGGTCTCGCCCTTGTCCTTGGAACTGGCGGAAGGGAGTTGGAGTCCAAGCTGATCTGTCTGGAAGAGGCCACAAGCGGCGGTCGAGACGGCTAGCGGAAGCACACATGCATCTTCATAAGACATTGAATCTGGGATCGGCGATGTCATGTGGTCCAGTAGCACCACATAGAGCTGGAACGCTCCCTCGGCATCGGTATTGCGCTTTTCGTCCTTTCCCACAGCTTGACCGATCACGCGGTTACCGACTTTGAATCGTGTCACTTGCGATCCAACCTCGACTACTACGCCCGCGACATCGGATCCAAGGATGCAAGGGTATTTGATCCATTTGTACATCAGAGAAGTTCCGAGGTCTTGCAGTCTCCAGTCGACAGGATTGATGGCTGTGGCGTAGTTGCGGACCACAATCTGACCTTCGCGTGGGCTGGTGTACGGTGCTGATTCCACTTGAAGGGGACGGGCCTTGTTGCCCGTCAACCAGGCAGCATGGTTGTTGGACATGGTGGGTCTATGAATGGAGGTAATACAGGTCCACGGTGCCTTTTTAAAGAGTCAATCAACGGAGAATTGAGGATTGAGACTTGAATGGTATGGGGTGAGTATAGTTATTTGAGTAAGAAGTATTTTTGACTAGACTTATGTCCCGACCTGGTCCTCCTTTTATCCTGCCATCAGCCCGGCGTTCGGAATTAAGAGAAACAACCCGTGGACTACCATGTATCCATGCATCCATACTATTGTCCGAACCGGGGCTTAGCGCAGTCGACAAAGTGGGGCAAAGTGGGGCAAAGTGAATCCGAGTCCGGGTTAGCGTGAACCGTAAGCATGCGCCTCTCTTTATCGCCTCTCAACTGCTCAGATTCAACCCTTCTAGCAGCAGTCATACGCAAAATGGAGAACAAGAGAATGCGTAAGATTCAGCCCCATAGAAAGTCGAGACAGGGTTGTGGCAACTGTAAGCTTCGCAAGGTGAAAGTAAGCCATTCTCTTGCAATTTCCTGGTTCCGGAGCCCTGACTTCGCTGAAGTGTGATGAGAAGACCCCAGCTTGCAAGCGATGCATCGCCTACGGAGTGACGTGCAGCTATAATCGGACGGTTTCCGTCCTCCGAGCCCCGATGGAGAGTATCATGACCATCTCTTTACCTCCGGAGGTATCCTACCAGCAGCATCCGAGCGATCAAATTCTTGCCAAGTTCAAAGAGCGAACTGCGCCCACTGTCAGTATCGGCAAGCGACTAGCAATCTATCAGAATGAAGTCACAAAGCTGGCACCCTGTGTAAGCTAGAATCGTCTGCGGTCAAGTTCGGACCCTGCTAAGCCAGATGCTTCTTTAGCACCCGTTCTTGATGCATGCGATCGCCACCCTGACCCTGATGCACGACCGTCACCTGATAATGGCTGATACGCCAATTTATAACTCAAAACTTACTCCAGCCGAATCTTATCAGTGGTACCGAGCCGCATCGTCGTTCAATGACCGCTTGTCGTCATTGCAGCGGTGCCGCGCAGGGGAAAGCATACCTGCCTCCACGCAGCTTGCTTTACTTAGCACAGCAGCTATTCTCTGGGCTATATCCTTCTATTATACTGCTGCTAGATCACCAGAAGAGGCGTGGCCGCTCAAGTCTCCGTCCTCATCAGATCTCAATTGGCTACGCATGAACAACGGCAAAGAACAAATATGGAAAGTGACTCAATCGTATCCCCCAGACCCCATGTCCATGGCCTTGGCTTCCATCCAGACTCATGAGATGCTCCCGGCTCCCAACTTGAACATTGATGCTCTCTTGGGCAACCTCCCGCCGGCGTTTATTCGTCTCTTCAACCTCGACGATCGCGACCTTCGACTGGGTATCTCTGAGGACCCATACTACACCATTGGAGTGCAACTTGGTCAAGTAGCTTATAAAGAATGTCCCCTTCACGTGAGTGTCCTGGGCTTTATCTCTTTCATTAGCGGCATGTCTCCTCTGGTCAGGGGACTACTGGAAGCGAAGGATCCACGCTTGCTGTTGGCGCTGGCTCTTTGGTATGCTAAGCTGTACCACATTGGAATTTGGTGGATGTCCCGGCGGCTACTTCTAGAGGGTCAAGCCATCTGCACATATCTAGAGCGTTTCTACCCCCATGATTTCGACATTCAGACCCTTTTGGAATCTTCTCGGATTACTTTTCGCACTGAGGGATTCTAGTGAGTCATATGTGCACATGGTGCCTGGGTGTGGTATACTAGAGTTGATAGCGCTTATTGTCATGTTACCAGGGCGCCTTTATATGCAGTTCGAAGTTACTTCAGTCAAATGCACGCGTGCCTATGTGGAACTAAACAGCGCTGGAGCTGTTCACATGAGCTAAACTCTTGTGCTGGGACCCGTAAAGTTTCATTGCGTGTGAATGATCTTCTAGCTATTTTAGTTGGCAGACTCGGTAATAGTCGCGCTTGGGGATCTGGCTTAGCTGTATTGGACAAGGAAGAGACAATCGAGCTTGGCAACTTTAAAGCTAAAAGCCGTCACATTTAAGAGTTAAATTGAATCCATGGGGAATCACAACGTCGTATCTCTTTACCTAATATATTCCGAAAAATTTACATGGTTTGACCAAAGGTCCCGAGCCATATGCTGTCTGCGCCCTGGTTCCGATCGCGCTTACATGGCAGCCTATTCAAGGCTGTGTGAACTAAATAGAGGATCACTTGAGGTATCAAGTCGACTCAATATGGACTGAAGAGGATCTTAAAGATCGCTTTCTGCCGTCTCTCGAAACATTTGAGAAAGAAATACCATGGCTTCACATAATCATAATTTCGGACCAAGTAAATATTCCTCAAAAGTAGATATCGCGGAACTTGAAAAGGGGAATTTTTTTTTTAATTTTCTTTCGTATATTGAAATAGCACGATTAAAGCATCAATCACAGCTCCGTTTCAGTCAAGTGTAGATCAAAAGGAGTGGTTAAGCTTTCCATAGGCCAAGCAGACTTCCTGTTTCGGGTTAGCCCGGAGTTATGACGAAGAGCCCACCCGTCGCATCCCCAAAGTTCATCTCACAATACGCCGCATCAATACCCTGAAAGCAAAATGGCTAACGTCGCACTGATCGGATCGACGGGCATGGTGGTAAGCTCTCACTTGACCCCCTCATCGTGCCCTTACAACGAAAGCATAAACAAAGACTCCATCCCGGCTAAACATGATGACCTTCCCACATGATAGGGCTCCCACATCCTTACCAGCCTCCTCTCCAATAAGGCTGTGAACCGTGTGGACACAATCTCCCGTCGAACCCCGGGAGCAGCCACGGCTGCTCCCCAGGCCAAGCTCACGACCTTTGTCTCGGACGACACCTCGACATGGGCCGCGCAGCTCTCTACCCTGACGCCCACACCCGAGATCTTCATGTCCTCCTTCGGCACGACCCGCGCAAATGCAGGCGGCTTTGAAAACCAGTACAAGATCGAGCACGGGCTGAATATTGAGCTTGCACGGGCTGCGCACGACGCCGGCTCTAAAGTTTGCGTTTTGATCTCAGCGTCAGGTGCAAACAAGGCTTCCAATATTCCGTATTCGCGCATGAAGGGTGAGATTGAGGAGGATGTGAAAGCGCTTGGCTTTGAGCGGACTGTGATCCTGCGCCCTGGGTTGATCGCGGGGACTCGGGAGGAGAGTCGTCCCTTGGAGGCTGGCATTCGATTTATTGCGGGATGGGCAGGAAAGCTTCATTCAAGCTTGAAAGATGGATGGGCTCAGGAAGCTGATGTAATTGGCAAGGCGGCTGTTATTGCTGGGTTGAAGGCCTTGGAAGGGGATGTTCCCGCGGGTAGTGAGAAGGTGTGGACTATTGAGGGGAAGAGCATCATTGCTCTTGCCAAAGAGTCCTGACAATGAAGCAATTGATCGGTACTTGTAAGGTTTGTACAGTGTTTCCCCCCATGCCCATGGGTACTTCCAGATGTCTTTGCCGGTTACTTTGGTGGCTCGACTGGCTTTTGGGGAATGAAGTAATGGCGCATAATTATGGCAGGGGCAAGAGAACACATCAAAACAAAACAAAACAAAACAATACTGAAATTGAACAGCGTTATTGACACCACAAGAATTGCTCTTTATCGTTCTCTCTTCATCTTTACTCATCCTGAGACAGACCCACCATCTCCAATGAATCCTTCCATAGTCTAGCTTCCTCATCCGCGTTATAAGTATGGCTGGTAGCCTTCGGAGAATATGGACTATCATCCTTCTCATCAAGCTCAGCCACCGAACAATCACTCAGATACAGCCCTCCCTTGCCCTCCAATTCCTTTGAAACAGCAGCCCAAACAGTAGTAGACGCGCCTTGCATGGGACTTTTCAGATTTCTGAGCAGCTCTGGGTTCCGCAACATCCCCTGGATCACTTCATCAGGCATATGCTGGCCCAATGCCGTTGCAATGACACCGGGATGAAGACTGAGCGCATGCAGACCCAAGGATCCGTACCGACGTTCAATCTCATTGGCCATGTAGACATTCGCCAACTTGGACTGAGTATAAGCGCTATTAGGGTCGTAATTGCCCTGTTGAAAGTGGTAGTTGTCAGAAGCATTTAGACCGTGGGGTCGATGTCCTGAAGAAGCCACCATGACAACTCGCGACTGGAAGTCTGCAGTGGAGGCGGCCAAGAGTGCGGACTTAAGGAGCTGGAAGAACAGGAAATGGGCCAGATGATTGGTGGCAAACTGCAGTTCGTGGCCACTTTCAGTGAGTCGTAGATTCTGGATAGCCATGATGCCGGCATTTGCGATGAGAATGTTGATCTTGCTTGTCTTTTCCAGTATGGCCTTGGCAGCGAGCCGCACGCTTTTCAAGGATGCATTGTCCATTTGCACAAGCTCCATTCGGCTGGGCACGAAGATGTCTCCAAGTACTTCCTTGGCTTTGTTCAAGTCCCGGACAGTCAAGTAGAGGGTGGCTCCGGTAGCGCCGAGGGCTCGGACTGTCTCGATGCCAATGCCGGAGGAGACACCAGTGATGACGACGACCTTTCCTGTGAGTTTGCCTTCCATGCCTTCATCCGTGATAATTTGCATAGCTGTTGGGCGGGCGTCCTCAGGGCCCTTGGGATCGGCATGAACTTGAGTGTAGGAAGGCATATCGTATAGCTTGAGATATTGATCGTTTTAAGCAGGCTAATGTGATTGTTCCTTCTTCTATCCTCGAGCAGACAACGATCTTTATATACGTTCTCCCACGACCTAGAGTTGAAATATACAGGATCCACTCGAGCTGACGCTTCTAGCCAAATGCGGAGAGATTCACTGAATGGGTTTCAGGCCGTAAACTCCGAACGACTTCTCGCCCCCACGGCTGACGCTTTCTACCGCTTACGGTTTAGCTTGATCCCCGTTCCGAAGCCTTATTATGACAAATCTCATCCTTTGCGACTGGGAGGGAGGTTCTGTCCGCTTAGATTCTTTTTGAGTAGATGAACATGCCTACTTCTATGGTATTCCAACATCAGCTGGCCACTAGCATCGTTGACGTGGATGACAAAAAAAGGCGGAAGACGATCCAGAATCGGCTAAACCAGAGAGCCCGCCGTAAGTCTTTGTCTCCGCAAAAGGCGGCTCTCTTGTTGCTCAGATTTAAGTGAGAAAGGTGAGCAGGGCTTCGTCTACGAGCAAAATGCCAGTTACAAGACAGCCATCCATACCGTGTACATCGATGGCGGCTCAGCAACGAGCTCGAGCCCACCAATACCAACTTGAACGCTCTACATATCGTCCGACATTCCACAAAGGCCTCCGAGGCATCAAGTTTGTCAAGTTTCCTGCCTGACTCGGAGGTAGATCCGCCGTCGGCTGCAGCCCTACTGGTCCTCCCGACGGCACCGGGGCAACACTCTCCCAGTTCGCCGCTATCAGCCGACTATTTACTCCACCTCATCCAATATAACGTCTTTCGAGGCCTGTACAGCAATAAACTGACACTAGGTCGGTCCGCGGTCTCTTGGACTCGAGATAGCCCACCTGCTAGATTGGACGAGCTGTATCATTCGTACTCTGTTGTTCTCCCCATTGGCCCGGGTATCCCTCATGATCTTGACCCCACCCATCGCAGATGAGCATTTTGCATTCGATATGGTTCAATCTACTTCCCTTCCAGGCCATGCGGGAGAATCTGATTCGATGGCAATCTTCATTCAACCACGATGAGTTCATTGCTGATCTGATCGGCGATACAAGTACTGACCTACTCGATGTCCTCGGCTCTCAGTCTATTTGTTGCGGTACTGAGCCGGAGGTCAGAGGTCTCGTTATTTCTGGGGATGATGATGAAGTCACAGCCTATCGGAATGGACTTATTGTCTGGGGCGAGCCTCACCTTGTTGATAGCTGGGAGGCCACGCCAGGATTTCTGAGGAAGTGGGCCTGGGCTGTGCTAGGGTGTGAAGACTTGATCGAGTCGACTAATCGGTGGAGAGCAATCAGAGGGGAAGAGCCGTTGCAGTTCTCTTCTGTCATCTGTAACTCGACCGAAAAAATAGTTTGAAATTGGCTGGCACATCTCAATTCCGGTTCAACGCCTTTTTCTGTTACAAAAAGCTTCACATAGAATGAAACGAGGTAGACTCAGTGAACACTTTACTGGACATATACTGACGAAGAAAGACCCATATTCTGCGTGTTGCAAAACATCTTTTGCTCTAAATATGATCATCATAATCATACACATGCTAGCAGCACAGATCAAAAATCAAAATGTCACAAAATGAAGGTAAAACCCCCCCCCCCGTCTGACTTCACCGGTACGATACATGAGTCCCGTCCTCTTTGACATGAATACTCCTCCTCTTATTTGGCGATCCCCTCGAGCTAGCCACTCCTCGATCCTCATTCTTCTCCGGGCCCCCTTGTTGGGGACCCTTCCAAGCATGAACATCCTTATTAGCAGGACTCATGTTCAGTGTTCCCTTCTCACCCTTCGACTTCGCCTCCTGTTCTGTCGCCTCGAGCTCGCTCTCCGGCGCAGTGTTGTTTGGATCAAATGCGGCACCGTGCTGAGCAATCTCATCGTCCGTGCCGGACTTGCTGACTTCTGAGCGTTGGGGGTTCAGCGATTCCCGATTCCAGGGATTGGCTTGGGTGGCAGTTTGCTTTTGAAACTTGGGTATGGCGCTGAAAGTGCGGATTGGTCCTGCAGAGGCGGAAGGTGTCCAGAGACTCGGCTTGGGAGCAACATGTTGAGCTGTTCGAGCTGCCTGTTGGCCGCTGGAGATTACGCTTTTCCACATTGTAGACTGGGTTGTGGGTGAGTTGAGGGTTGTGGGTTGTGGGTGAGTTGTGGGTTGGTGGTAGTGTAAGGATGGGTGTATCGTTGTAGATAGATATATGGAGTGAGTGTGCAATGAATGGAGACAAATGTGGCAATCAATTTAAAGTGTTGGAGAAGGTTGGAATGGCACAATCAAGGGTTTTACGAAAGAAACTGGCTTGCAAATGTTGTGGAGTGCCTTGTTCTATTCGAGTTCGAAAAAGGTTGCGAGATATCATATTGACGTCACATCCTACCGCTAACCGATTTCGGAACAAAGCTTCCCGTGGCGATCTACGGACGAACGTCACCATATGGAAACATTGGAAACATGCTAGAACGTGCGATGAATATGATCCCCATGCGACAATTGAGCCCAGAGTGAAATTCTCTTTCTTGAAAATATCTGCTGCCACGTCAAAAGGCGCAGTACGGCGCACGCCGGGTCCTAATCTCAACAATGAGATGCCTATCTTGATCAATTAATCGCATTTCCATGCACAACATTCCACTGATCAGCATGTAAATTGTTAGCTCTCTACTGTAAGCTGCTGCATCGTGAGTATCAGCTGAATACGCATGAAAGGCGGATAGGCTCATTCGCTCTTTCGGGAGAAGGCAGGCGTGCAGGTTGATCAGTAATGTGCCAGATCGTGTCAATTGATTATTTATTTATTGGTCAATCTATGGCTCGGACTAGACCTCGGAACGATACAGCGTATCACTTGTAACTGATTTCAATTTTGCCAAGCGAACGCTCAATCGATTCCAGGCTCTAGAACGGCGAGGTGGCGTATGTCGTGAAAGCTGAACAACATTAAAACAGGCACGAAGGGGTCAGCAGGCTGAGAATGACACGGAATGTCACTTCCGGTGCATTCTCATAGTAAAAAGTGTGCATAGATAGACATCCTCGTGGTGAAGATACAAGGTCCTGGCGATATGCAGACGCGAGTGCTCGCGTCGAGAAGGACCCAATCGACACAATGACCTATGAGGCTTGGCCATAATCGGCATGGGCGCCGATTCTATGCACCGGTGGCATCCGCACATCGTGGGTGGAGAAATGTTCTGCTAGCTGCACATGACCGACATCCTAGTCGGGAAGTGTCATTGGGCGCTGCACTCGGCTGCAGGTGAGAAATCCTCCCCTCAATTAGCCAATCTGGGCACGCTAACCTTGCTTGTAGGCGGTCGCTCGCTGCTCGTTGATTCCCAAAGCTCACAGAACCTGCCACGATTTGTCACCTCGCCATAGACAAGCGCGTGGAGGGTGCGGGAGCCTCCGTTCACTTTAAGATCACGGGATCAGAAGGGCCCAGCAGAGTGGGAGCGTGTATGCGGGCGCGAGAATCCAATTTCAACGTTGTAGTAGGGATTGCCCATGTTGCTTGCCCGCGAAATCAGTCTGCGATGACACTGACTCGGTCTTCTATGGCGCCGCAAGTACCTTCGGCAATTTCGCTTGTTGGGCAGGAACCATACCCACGCTTTTTCCATATTTTTGAGTCTGATCCTTGTCAGGAAGGGGTAGGGGTCTCCCAAGAAAGGCAGAGGCTATGTTGTTTTTTACCGGCCGTAATACAGGTCCAGAGGCAAAAAGGCAGGGGCCCTTGGGATGCTGATTCGAGAGTTTTGAGGCTGCTGTGTCCAGGTCGCTCCTCGAAATTGATCAGACGCGTCCGAGGTGACGCCCTCATGAGGCTGTTCGGAGTCGGTCTAGGGATTTTGGCTGCCAACTGACATCTCACCATCGCTCATCTTCCCCAAAAGAAGACAACATACGTAACAGAAGCGGCAGCCTCTGAGGATCGTGCACAATATCGATGAATTCCCGGGTTGAGTGGATCAGTGGAATGGATTGCAGATGGCACTCTTCGAATGCAGCCACTTCAATCTCGAAATGGGAAAGACAAGCCGAACTGCAAGAATTCTCATTTTCAGGAATGTAATCCTGGACTGTTCGAGTAGTGCCCATCCGCGGAGTCTCAGAAACATTGCGCATTTCAGCCCGCGGTCTTTACCGGCTAGCCCTCGCTACCAGGAATCAGCAGCATTGAGCCAGAAGCAACGTGCCACGTCAGTCTCCGAGCTTTGGTACATCTGCATGTGTTCAGCGGAATGTGGAAGGTGTGACGGTTCGTGTCTGCGACGAGCGCCGCACGGCATCCAGGTCCTATCATTTTCGCCCCAATGAGCAGAAGGATGACGATGAACCACATATATGAGCGGGGATTGATGCAGGATCCCTCATCTGCAGGCTTGAATGATCAGCTGAACGGAAATGGACGTATCTTGTCCGACTGCCAAATGGTTTAATGGGTCGACCGAGAATAAACCCAATTCCGTGGCCCGTGTCCCTGAGTGCAGGTAGTACCAATGATAGAGCCTCAGTGACTCGAATGTTGCCACCCGATTGACATATCATTGGCTCTCATTGACGGAGCGGAAGGATACGGCAGGGTGTGGGACGAGGATCAAGGCTCAATCCTAATATCCTTGCAGATTAAGGCTCGGCGAAGCCCCATTGGAAGACATGGGCACTAGATCGGATGGTAACATGCTTCTCGAATGAACGGCAATGTCTATATTTGCCCAATTTAGTAGGGCGTAATAGCAAAGACATGTGTGGCACCAATGTGAGAGTGCATGCGTATGCAATCACACAGGCGGCGACGCCGAATGGAAATATCCATGGACAAATTGAGGACACTCGGGTCGAAATTTTGTGTCAAAGCCCATGATACTTGAAGCAGTGAGCCAATCATTTGGAAAGTCTGGCAGAAAGAAGGTGGAGAGGTACACCATCCCATCGAGGTGGAGTCACAGGGGACGATGCAGAGGTGCCATCACATTCGGAAGCAACGATAGCTTTCCTTTTTGCTCGGAAACAAGGTCATCCCCGACCAAAGGAGGTCTGATGTTTGCATATGAATGACAGCTGGCAGGGACCTGAGAAACTCAATCATGCAGGATCGTCGATGCAGTACGCAACAGAATCACAGGAATCCGACTCCATGCGAACGACATGCACATGTAGATGGAGAGGGGTAATAGGCGACTGCATATTTGCAGTAGTCGAGACTTGGAGCTGGACGGCGGCAGCCATAGATTGAGGGATTTTTCAACTCGTGGTGCATCATCATAGGGAAGGGAATCGCCACAGTAGAAAGTTGCATGCACCCTTGAAGCAACGGTTCATCCATGGTGACTCTTTGCGAGATACCTTGGGCATCTAACAGTCTCCACTGCCCGGAGAACTGCTGACAGCCAACCGGATCAAGCTCAATCGAGTTGCAAGGTGAAATTCGATGAATGAGAATCGCGGACGATAAGCCGTGCGCCGGCCGGCGAGCGTCGATCACCAAGAGGTCGACAAAGACTTGGGAGACCCAGACAAGAGCATGTAAACCCCGACCGAAACATAAATAAGGCCTTCCAGGACCCCTTGAAGGTCCGTGGAGTTGACAATCATCACCGGGATTCAAAATCAAAGACGTCAATCTTGGAAACCAGCGAATTATATCCATAGAACAGCTCAGAAGAAGAACACTTTGAGACCTGCTTTACTCCATCGGACCTCTTTCGAAAAGGCCTTTGACTAAAATTCTCCAAGGTCAGCCTATCAAAATTGTCAATCGAGTTTGGACAGGTTAGACAGAGCCTATCAACCAGCCAAATTCAACCTGAAACAAAACCCTGGTCAGATAGCAAGTGGGTTTGATCTCAGCTTGGTACCAAATGGAGCTGACTTATCCGATAGACATGTGCTTTTACAACCAGAAGCGATTCTCCTGTGGAGACTGGAGCTGGACCAACTTCGCCCACCGATGCAATTACGAGTACCGCACCGGCGAAACATGCGGCATGAAACTCGTTAACATGACCGAGACCGATAGTAGCAAATGCCGTCTCTGCGAGAAGATCGAAACCAAATTCCGGCGGCGAAGCGCCGAAGTCGACCGTCTCGAACGCTGGAAACGGGAGGGTGCCACTTTGGTGGCCTCGATGGATCGGTCCCACAAGCTCATAATGGACTTGGACAAAGAAATATTTGTCCTGCAACGGGAGCGTGAGACCCGAAGGAACACGCTCGTGAGATAACACGATGTCGTCGTTTGTCAAAATTGGATTATTTTTTTTATTGAGCGAACAGCGATTTGTATTCCAAGGTTGTTTAGCCCTGGCGTGTTTTTGGTTTGCTTGACTCGTTTCTCTCCTGTTATCGAATGGTGTATCTTTCAAGACGTTCCATGTTTCATCACATACAGCAAGATTGTTTGTGTCATCAAGTCTGAATCGAGTTTCTGCAACATGACGGGCATCGTCGCTCCCAATAGCGTGAAGAATGTGAACCAAGCCTTACTGGTTAAGGTACTGCAATTGAATATTTTTCATAGGCTATCATCGTCCCATAATATATTGAAGGAGACTAGTCATCTCATAAGCGCCGTGTTCTTTTGGATGAGCGGTTCGCTGAGACGTTGGGAGTCTCATGGAAAAGATGGTCTTTTGCTGCAGAGGCCCGATGAAAACCACTGCAGCCTGGATAGAATGACATGGTACCCATTCGATTATGAGCAACGAGCAAGGTCCCAATCGCGTTTGGGAGAAGAGTTACTCCAGGAGGATAGTGAAACCCCTCATTCCCCAGGTCACGTGTATTAGATCTATAACGCTTAGTCAGCATGCCCTGGTCCAACGAAGGGTTCCCACGATATAACATGCTTCAGTTGAACAGAGAAGTAATGAGTCAAGTACCTAGGGAAGTTCCTAGAGTGTAAGAGGATTCAATTTGGGCCTACGAGCCATCAGAATTTTCCTTCTATCTGGGCAATCGGCAACCGACAGCGCACAAACAGCAACGAGGAAACATCCTCATCATACTATGGTTCGTCTCCACTGAAGACGTACAGGCTTGTTGAGGCCTCCTTCTCCGCAGCAATCAAGATATTCGAGGTGAACGATCAGTTGACAGGTGACTTGGGGTTAGGGAACGGGTTGGCGACCTGGGGCATATATAGCGCCCGGCGTGATGCGGAATTGGAATAATTTCTCTGTTGAATTGCCAAATTGACCTCCAAGCCTTAGGCCGACAGCTACGTGGACCGGCATGTTGGTCTCTGCTACAACCAACACCGTCACTCGCGGACAACGAGGCGAATAGAATAAGACCTAATGGCTGAAGATATGCCACGTCATGAGAAAGCAGCTGCAATGCAGTCATTAGAAGGAGCCACCTGACCGGGCCAATGCCTTGTCGAGAAAGTCACTGAAGTTGAGCATCAGTCAGGTAACACCTCTGAAAAAAGACACGTATGGATATGAACTGCGGAATTGATTTTCAAGTATTTGAAAACAACGGGCAAAGGTATTAATCTATTTAATCTCACCAGCCTCGGGCTCATCATCAACCTTGGCCAGCCCTTGTTCCCGCAGAAGCGCATCGATCTCATCAGCGGTCCACAGGTGATGGTAGATCTTTCCGTCGTCGGTCTTACCCACTGTCGCGAACTCGACTGGTAAAGGAACAGCTGATCAGTACTTTGGGGTCCTAAAAATCGACAAGAAAGCCAAGATCGTATCGGGTTGTGAAACTCACTCTTCTCACTGCTGAGCTTCGTCGAGTCCATAGTCTTGCTCAGGACCTTCACCGCCATGGCGCAGGCCTCCTGCAAAGTCTGGTCCTCCTTGTAGTCCTGCTTAAGGAGACTCTGCGCACTGGCATTGTTCGCACCAACACTTGTCGCCTTCCATCCGCCATAATTTCCACTCGGGTTGCTCTGATACAGCTGGAACTGACGAAGGTGATCCCATCCAGCATAGATGAACGACACACCGAACGGACGGAGACCTCCGTGCTGAGTATATCCTTGCTTCAAGTCGCACAGTCGGCGCACAAGTTGCTCGCAGGGAATGTCTTCATTGTAGGTGAGGAGGTAGCGTTGGGCGTTCTGACGGGCGTAGTTGATCAGGATGTTGGCATCGGCGTTCATGCCGGCCACTGCGCAGATCATGTTACTGTAAATCATTAGCTCAAAGCTCTAAAGAAGAGACTATGATTATTTCGTTGAAAAGAAAAAGATTTGCCGACGCACTCGTTGATTGTGTAGAGCTTCTCAGCCGATGTGTCCTGCTCAAGCAGCTTGCTGGTGACCTTCCTCTCGGCGGCGAGAACAATTCCATCCTTGGCTAGGATACCAAGAGCGGTGCCTGCGTGGGAGATGGCTTCAAGCGCATATTCGACCTGATACAGTCGACCCTCTGGGGAGAAGATGGTGGTCTACCGAAGAGCGTCATAGGTTAGCTGGAGCTGCCCCCACCGCCAAAGCATGAATCAACTCACCCGTGAATCGTAACGCCGAGACATGTTGCAGAATAGAAGTAGTGAAGCAACAATTGAAAAGAATAGAGAATGTGGGAGATTGAGGAGGTAGGAGAGGTCGGAGTTAGAGATGAGCTCGAAGTTCCAGGCAACTCGCCCTGGCGCGTCCTCTGTCATCCGCCAAGCTCGGACCACTTCACCACACCAAAGCTTCCGCTCTTTCGTTCTTTCAGCTTTGAGCCCAGGCTCTGCTAATTTGATCATCCTATAGCCTCTCTTCGGAAATGCTCAAATCAACATACACAGCTCCACCTCCGTTGCCGCCGGGGTGGTCGGAGCATCGAGCGCCTTCAGGTTGGTTTTGCGCCTGATCGGACTGATAGGACCTTGCTAATGGTGAATACACAGGTCATTTGTACTATTATAATGCTGCCACAAAGCAGTCAACATATACTCGACCAAAGGAGCAGCCTTCTCAACCCGCACCGCCCGCTCCAGACCCTGCACAAAGTCTCCCCTACTACGCGCCCGAAACACTACCACCTTTTCCTCTACGCCCTATGGACCGGCAGGCTTCACACCTGGTGCGGGGCAATTCGGCCAACAGCAACATGGACAGGGTCGTGGTGGGTTCCGCGGAGGAAGAGGCCACCATGATCGAGAGCGACGGGAGCCACCGGACAGACCAAAGTCGAAGCATCCCATTCCCGATTGCGCGCCATGGGTCCTTGTGAAAACCAAGCTTGGGAGGCGATTCGTTCACAACATCGAGACCAACGAGAGCTTCTGGAAGTTTCCGCAGGAGGTTTTGAAAGGCGTGACCGAGTATGATCGTCTTGAGCGCGAAAGAAAGAACGGAAGGAGCGAGGCGAAGAAGTCGAGGAGCCAGCCAAAATGGTCGCAGCTGCCCAGCCGGTGTCGCCATTGCCTCAAAAACACGTCGCTCAGAAGGAACCAAGTGCTGGCCCTGAAGCAGGAAATGCTGAAGACAGCGACGAGTACGAAGAAGTCGAAGTTACCGACAGCGAGGGCGAGGATGCAGAAGGTCAACCATTTAAGCGTCCTCGTACCGAAAGCCCAGGTGCGCATGACAAGCCAGTCGAATTCACAGAGGAAGATATGGAATACCAACTCGCCGCAATGGGCGAAGATTATGGCCTGGAGCCGGGCGAATATGGCGAGCCTGGAGAAGAAGACTGGGAAGAGGGCGCGGAAGGGCTCCAGTTGACCGACGCTGATGCCGAAGCGCTTTTCCGCGACTTGCTGGACGACTTCAATATTAATCCTTTCACGACATGGGAGACCGTCATCGAAGAAGGTCGCATCTTTGAGGACACCAGGTACACAGCGCCTTCGAACATGAAGCACCGAAGAGAAATCTTCTCAAACTGGAGCCGAGACCGCATCAAGGATGTTCAAGAGCGCAAGGCGAAGCAGGAAAAGCAGGACCCTCGCATCAAATACTTAGCTTTCCTCCAGGAGTACGCAACACCAAAACTATACTGGCCCGAATTCAAACGCAAATACCGAAAAGAGGGAGAGATGAAGGACACGAAGCTTTCAGACAAGGATCGGGAGAAGTTCTACCGTGACTATATTTCGAAGCTCAAACTTTCTGAAAGTACTCGCAAGTCGGATCTTTCGATTCTGCTCAAATCAGTTCCTTTGCATGCTTTGAATCGTTCTTCGAACCTAGAGGCTCTTCCGGTCCAGATTATCACAGATATCCGATATATTACACTTCCAGCCAAGATTCGCGACCCGTTAATCGAGGCGTACATATCTACCTTGCCCCCACCGCCGGAGGAGCAGTTGACTGCGGAGCAACATGAAGAGATCGACCGGAAGCGGAGGGAGAGAGAGAAGCGTGAAAAGGCCCTTGAGGACCGAGAGAAACGCGTGGAGGAAGAGAAGCGGAGGCAGCGAGGTGATGTGATTCGTGGCAAGCACCTTCTCAGGGAAGGCGAGGCCGAGATTGCAGAAGCTATGAAGGTCCGCAAAGATGGATTGCGGAGCTACATGGATGTTGATGAGACACCAGCCGGCGAGCAAGAAGATTCTGGTAAATAAAAGACCAAAAAGGAATCCAATAAAGTCAAAACCGTAATACACACAACAGGAAGCTGTAGATACCATAGAGAGTATTGAAAAAGGCCTTTCATTCGTTGAGGGTATCATTGTAGATTAAGGGTAGCTCTAGTCCCTTTCTGGAGGAATAGCAAGCAGTTTCGCTTCTCGTGATTATTTGAATCGCCAATCATCCCACTCCTCGTCGTCGTCCTCGTCACTGTCACTCTCAGCCGCCCGTTGATCCTCCGAAACCATAGGGACATCACGAGTCTGGTCCTTGGAACGTTTTTGTCGCAGCTCTTCTCTCATATGCTTCAGCCTTCGAACGCGCTCCTCAAGTTGGTCCATCTCATCGAACTCTTCCTCCATAAAGCGTGCGGCGTCCTCCCGCTCTCCTTCTAACTCGGCTTCGCGCGTTCGACCAGCGGACGCCTTCTCTGTTTTCTGTTGTTCCGCAAGCTCCTCGTTGCTTACAGGCGCTGCGGAAATAGTGGCTTCAGCTACGACAGCAGCAGGGGCATGTGAAGTTCGTGTTGGCGCGACGACTTCGCGTTCAAAGGCTGCCCATTCGTCTTCGTCGACAGTACCAGAAGATTCTTGCGGTGGCGGTGGCGCTGTTTGTTGCGCGGATGATGAAGCGGTCTGTTGTTTCTCAGCGAGCGGTTCTTCGACATTTGTTTCTTCGACGGGCTCCAAAACGTCCTCCTCAGCTGTCCCTTCAGCTCTAGGCTCAGCGCCTTGTGCACTCGCAGCCGCCTGAACAGTCTCGAGATCTGTGGACCGCAGCTTTTTGCGCATCACGCCTTCTCCATTATCGACCTTGCGCTTTTTGCTGACTCGGTTTCCTGTGGTATTCGGCGACGCGCCCTTGCGCGAGGCTAGTTCATTCCGGAGGAGCGATCGGACGTCCGCCATCGTTGCGAGACAGTTAAAGACGTGTGCGTTGAGGGACAGACAGTCAATCGGCCAGGGTAGGATGGGTTGAGATTGCAGCTACTTTCAGGTTGATTTAATATTTGCAAAGCGGATTTTACTCAGCAAGTGGGGAACGGACGAAGCTGGAGAAGCTCATCGCAATCCCAGGGCGTGGCTGGTGAGTCACGTGTTGATATTACCTAATCACGCAAGCCACTGACACATCTTCCTCTCCTGATCTTGGTCATTCGAAATTCCATCTTCCTCCATCAACCTGAGTGTCATCGCTGTCGCGTATCTGCTAGATCGGCGATCGCGATATCCATTTTGGCGATAATTTCCCGCCATTTTCCAATTCAAAGCGATTACAACATCGCACGCGACCCCGCAGAACGAAAAGTAGCGACGAACGCGCAGCAAGGGATCGCAGAACCTGTCAAAACACGTCTCAGCGCATATTTGCCACAACTCGACTGTGCCAGTCCTCTCTGTGTTTTTGGGAAAACAGCTTTGGTGACCAAGTAATACCGTGGACCAGGACGCGGCGCTGTTTTAGCGTCTTGCTTTTTCTCTTGTGTATTACTCTTAGCCCCTTTGTGCTCGTAGAGAGAGAAGACTGCGATCGCTGGCGTCTTTCATCGTCCTGTAGTACAACCTCCTACCTTTGCCATGGCCGGTAAGCATTCGTACACCACACTCTCAGGCGCCACCTGGAGCCCTCCCACCAAGAGACAACCTTCGCTTGGGCCCGGCTCCAGCGCTGGTGACCACTCAGCAAGCACAATATGCTAACAGCTACCCCAGACGAACCAAGACGCTCCGGTCGCGCGACAAAGGGCCAGCACAAGAACCTCGAGCTGCCCGATACACCCGCGAAAAAAGGCAAAGGCAAGAGCCTTAAAGACAAGGGCAGCAAAGCCTCCGCCGAACCTACCCCCGGACCCAGCGAAGGCGAAGATGAAGAAATTATCCGATGCATCTGCGGCGAATACGAAGAGGAGGAAGATGTCGAGCGTGACATGATTTGCTGTGACAATTGCCTGGCATGGCAACACAACGACTGCATGGGCCTTACATTTGCCAAGGGTTCAGAACCGGACAAATACTTCTGCGAGCAATGCAAACCTGAGAACCACAGAGAGCTGTTGGAAAAGATAGAGAAGGGCGAAAAGCCCTGGCAACAGCTTGCTGAACGTCGGCGCCAGGAAGCTGAGGAGAAAAAGTCCAAGAAGAAGAAGGGTAAAAAGGGCAGCAGCCGCAAGAGTCAAGGCAAGGCAGATTCCGGAACTCCAGCTCGAGCTGGAACCTCTGCGACGCCTGGTCCTGGCCAGTCTCCTGCTCCTGCCCCATCCGCATCAGTTGAGCCTGAAAAGAATGGCCACGACTCCCGCCGGTCGAGCACTAACAAGCGCAAGCTTGAGGAACAACCTGAGACGGATATGGTGCGTATCTATTCTTTGTACTCTTTTTATTTGCAGAACCATCAAGCTAACTCGATTTTACAGGGACCGCAAGTCAAGCAGCAAAGAGTTTCTCCACAATCTCCGGCGGCAGCTTCGAAGGTCAAGACAGAGCCTTCAACTTATACGTCTGCAGCAATTGGTACTGTGGAAGACCTGGTGATCCCGGCTCGTAAGAGCGCAGCCACGGCTCTCATCAAACTATTCGTAGAACAGGTCATTGCGGCTCAGAAGAAGGGCTCTTATTCATTGCCCGGTGGACAAAATGCAGAGAGTGCTGCACGGCAACTCGGTCTCGCCATCGAGGATGCCATGTACAACCATTTCTGTGGACGGGCAGGCGAGCCTACCGAACCATATAAGTTGCAATTACGAACAATACTGTTCAACGTAAAGAAGAATCCTTCTCTACGGGACCGTTTGCTCGTAGGCAGTCTCTCGCCCGATCACCTATCTAGGATGAAGCCGGAGGAGATGGCGAGCGAGGAGTTGCAACAAAAGGACGCAGAGATTAAACGAGAGTCTGAAAGGCAGCACATCATTATCCAGGAGCAGGGTCCCCGCATTCGACGCACACATAAGGGCGAGGAATTGATTGAAGATGACGTTCAAAATGCTGCAACAGAATCTGTCTTCTCGACTGTACCTCGCCGGAGCACTGCTGAGGGTGCCGATGGCAGCCCAGCAAACCAGAGTCCAACCACGCCAAAGATTCATCAGCCCAAAGGCAGAGGACAAGGCCGAGGACACTCACCCTCTGGAGAGCACCATGATCACGTCTTCCCTGAAGTAGCCACCGACATTCGCGAGCCAGTCCCCCATGGCAGGAGGATTCAAGCAGATGCCGAGATCGACCAACTGCTTCGTGATGATGAGCCTGAGTCTCCTCCATACTCACCCAAGGACTTCTCCGACGATGGCGTTGTCTGGCGTGGCAAGCTCGCCATGATTCCTGTCTCTGAGTTCGTATCTACTGCTAAACATGTTGGAGGTGCAGATCTGAGTGGCCGGATCCCATGGAGTCAACTTGCACCGTCGACACTGCTGATTGACGGGCGAATTGATATCCAGCTCGCTAGCAACTACCTCTGCGGCCTGCGCTTCAGTGCTTCCACTGATGTGTCTGTGATTGCCGTAAGCAGCCCTCATGACCCCTCCGAGCGTGCTGGCTTCGACAAGCTTTTCGAATACTTCTCCGGTCGCAAGCGCTACGGTGTTATCGGGAAGCATCCTTTACAGGCTGTGAAAGACACTTATATTGTCCCCATTGAAGCCGGCACCACCAACAAGCCTGAATTCATTGAGCTTCTGGAAAACAACTCGCTCGAGGGTCCTATCAATGAGCGCACCCTACTCATCGTCTTTGTTGTTAAGACCGGCGACTCGAACCCTCCCTCTGTTCAACCGCCCTCTCACCAACCCAGCCTGGAGCCCGCCGCTTCTGCCAGTCCTTTGACAGCCGTTGGTGCTACCCTCAACCCCATCAATTCTCGACTCCCGGTCATGCGCCTGCCGCTCAAGTCGCGCCTACCCCTCCATCCAATACCGGCTTTGGACAGCAACCAAGCCAAATCTCAGGTTTCCAACAGCCCGCCGTAACGGGCATGGCCGCCGCAGTGCAGGTGCTTGGTGCGCAAGTCAGCGCACCTGCTATCCAACAACTCCTCAAGACGGCGCCAAACGTGGACATGGCACAATTGACCGTCGTCCGCGACATTCTAAATCGCCAGCCCGCTGCAGCAGGCAATTACGACACGCTCATGCAGGCACTCTTTGAGACCCAGGCGAACGGCCACGTCCCGGAGCTGAATGCCTAATGCCATTTTGATGATATCTGGACACTATTTTGTACTGTACAGTTTACTTGAGTCGTTGCCCTTTTAGTTATTTCTTAGTGGGTTGTTTGCTGCATTTGCAGTCCGGTGTTCGGGATACTAAAATCCCCGGGATGATATTTTCCAGCTTTTATGATAGTGGAATACCTATAGCCAGTGCTGCTGGTTTAACCGCAAAAATGGATCTGCTTTGTAGTGTTACAATTTATATTCTTGTAGTGCTCCTGACTTTTCATTGTAACGTGGTACTACCAGCCCTGGAGTAGATCCAGACGAGGTGGGAATTCCATCAAGATAACCCTCATGTCTAGAGGGATCTATAATTTGATTTCACTCAAGCCAAGCGGATTGAAAAGATGGTTCAATGTCACGATATTGTGGTATTCAACAAGAAACATGGATATATCGAGCGCATGGCGGGTAACCACCTATCGTCAACAAGCATCATCCCCGTACCGCACGTAGTGAACGCCTGCGCTATGCAAAAGACCTAAACTGAGAGTAGAAAGAAATCGGGACTCATTACCATCTTCCACCACCCCGTCGACGATAGCCTCCACCGCCGCCGCCGCCGCCACCACCACCATAGCGAGGGCCACGTCCTCCAGATCGGCCACCTGCACTATAGGGATCATCGTCCTCATGGTGTTGGCGTACTGGCGGTGCGCGACCCTTCAGCTCGACAGCGAGCTTCTTGGCGGTCTTGCGCATATCCGAGTATCCCATGTGCATTTTTCCGAAGAAGTGATCTGCCAAACGTCGATCATTGTCGAGTCGACTCAAGTAGGCACCGCAGACATCGCAAACTTGCAACTTCTGGTGGCCAGACGGGCCAGAGGTATCTTGGAGGTTCTTTAGGTCACGCTCGCAGGTCTCTTTTTGGTGTTTGGCGGTGCGGACCTTGTGCATTTCAGTCAAGGCCATTGCGACGGAACCCGTCTCGCCGAGGACGGAGACTTCGAGAAGGCCGCCGTTGATGGTGTTAGTGAGGTCGGCAATTTGTTTGAGCTATATTAGACATCAGTGATTATGAAGTAAAACATGCGGAGTGGATCCCTGGACATACCAGAGCATTGGTTTGCCGGATCTCGTCTGGCGTCTTCTCCAGCCGGCGTTGTGCAGTCTCGATGCGGCGGTCACAGTCGTCAATGTACTTTTGTATATCGCGCATGTAGTCGAATTCGAAGCCCCATTTCGCCTTCTCTGCTGAAGACGCCGTCTCGTACTCCGTCTTCAACCCTTCACTGTGCACCTTCGGGCAAGGTCCGAGGTCCTGCTTCGTATTGGTGAAGAGGTCGTGCGGGCAGGTTCCGACGAGGTAGGAGCGGCAGACTTTCGGGTCTGTGATTTGGAGCTGGGAATTGCGACCCTGAGCGCCGGTGCCAGTGAGCTGGTCAGCTATCGGTGAAATCGTAGTTAGCTTCAGTCCGGGGAATCGGGGTAGGTTGTATATTGCGTAGAAGAACAGGAAAGAACATACCTCCCATGAGCTGCTCGAGCAGCTTTCTCTGTTCCGCCGCCATGTTCAATGCCTATGTATCCAAGTAGGAAGGATAGCAACAATGGCACACGAAAATGCGGGGGGGTTTGGAGGTGAACGGCGAAGTCCTGGAGGTTTTTTGATGCTGGCGCTAAGGAAGGCGGTGAAGCGCGACGATCCACGGACCAGATGTGCTGTTTCAAGTTGAACACCCGCCTATTCGATATTGTGTCTAATGTTAAAGGCTTTCGGTGCTTTCAAAGGGTCTTTCCCGGTGACGCAGTGTGCCTTTTAGTTCAAAAAATCACAATCCCTTGTTGACATACTCCCCGCCTCGATTGTTCATCGCATGGACCAGCGCAGATCAAGCTCCGGCATGAAGTGATGACGACCTTGTCACTCCTCTCGATCTGGTTGACGCTTGCTGTCACGCTATGGGGCTCAAATGTGTTGGCATTGTCGGACTACCATGAACAGCTATTCCTCCAACCACTTCCTCAGTCCTCCCTTCTAGCCTCGTTCAATTTCCGGGGTAATACTTCACAGCAATCATTCGACAATCAGCATTTCCGATACTTCCCCCGAGCATTGGGACAAATCATACAACATGCACATACAAAAGAGCTTCATCTTCGCTTTAGCACTGGGCGATGGGACGCTGAAAGCTGGGGTCCTAGGCCATGGAATGGCAGCAAAGAAGGAGGTACTGGTGTTGAACTTTGGGCATGGATCGATGCTGCAGACGATGAAGAGTATGTCCTTGTGTCATTTGTTCTTCGCGTTACAGAAGGGTATATGGGTTGCTAACTGTTCCAGGGCGTTCGCGAGATGGATTACACTGACACAGTCTCTATCGGGTCTTTTCTGCGCCTCCTTGAACTTTGTCGATTCCACCCGAACCACACGACCAGTTGTGTCTTTTGAGCCTACTGGCGATCATCCAAGCGCCGACAGTCTTCATCTTCTTCACGGCATCCTTCCCGGAGAGGTAGTATGCACGGAGAATTTGACACCATTCTTGAAGCTCCTTCCGTGCAAGGGCAAGGCTGGAATCTCTAGTCTCTTCGATGGCCACAAACTCTTCGACGCCGCATGGCAGAGTATGTCTGTGGATATGCGGCCTATCTGCCCTTCTGGTGGCGAGTGTCTCGTCCAAATTGAGCAGACCGTGGATATGGTTTTGGACATTGAACGGTCTAAACGACCTCGAGCCAACCCCATTCCCAGACCCGTTCCTAATGAACAGCTTATCTGCGACACCTCCAAGCAGTATAATTCAGAAGATACTTGCTACCCTCTGGAAAAGGGAACCGAAACGAGTTGGAGCCTCACAGAGGTATTCGGGCGCTCCTTACAAGGCGTGTGCCCTCTTGCTGAGACTTACAGCGAGCCATCTGTTTGTCTTCGGGTTCCTCATGAGCGAAGTGTGTTTACTTCCGAAGGCGCCTTGGAAATTAAGCAGGACGATGGTTACGCACGCTGCTTTAACCTGGACCGCGAGCAACCATTTGACCTTGCCGTTCACGAGCAGCAAATCAACACAAAAGTCCCTCTTGGGGAGCCAGTTCTCCATGCTGAGCGAACCATCGTTGGCCACGGTCAAGAGCGTGGTGGCATGCGCATCATCTTCGGCAACCCATCCGAAACGACAGCCGTTGATTTCATCTACTTTGAATCACTTCCGTGGTTCCTTCGGCCATATATCCATACACTACAGGCTACAATTACCGGCCGCGATGGTGTACGCCAAGAGATCCCTGCCTCCGACCTCGTTACCGAGACCTTCTTCCGACCCGCCATTGATCGGGAACGCGGATCACAGCTGGAATTGGCCTTATCAGTACCTGCCGCTTCAACAGTGACCTTAACCTATGACTTTGAAAAGGCCATTTTACGGTATACTGAGTATCCACCAGATGCCAATCGTGGATTCAACGTCGCGCCTGCGGTCATCCGCATTTTGAACTCGCCAGATAGTGGTCCGGTCTATATTCGTTCCACAAGCCTCTTGCTTCCCCTGCCTACTCCTGATTTCAGTATGCCATACAACGTGATTATCCTGACGAGTACAGTCATTGCGCTTGGGTTCGGCACAGTGTTCAATTTGCTGGTACGGCGCATTGTGTCCTTGGACGAAGCTGCTGCTCTTTGGGGCCCATACGCTCAAAGGTCGCATCTTGAGCAAAATAGTGATGCTACGAGACCTTGTCCGGCCGAAAGCAACAAAGATTGAGTAAGGCAAATAAACTACTATTCCTCTTCTGTATTTTTTGCTCTTTGACATGTTCATTGTGTGCGTAATTTAAAATATAAACTCCGTACTGCCCAGACACCATCCATAATTCGTACATCGCATAACGTTAACAATAGCAAAGCGCCTCCTTAATTCGTGTTCCCAGCGCTGTGTAAATCGTATCAGCAATCCTGAATCAACGTTCTGAGGAAACACTATCCACTCACCCGAAGAAACTCTTCGTCGTTTCCCAACCAGGCCAGGTCTCCGAGCCACCAGGTTTACGGCCTGCGAAGCTATGGTCCTCAGACTCACAAGTGGGCTCGCCACTTTCAGTGGTGCGCTTCACACCTTCTGCCAGCCCAGCCCGGTCGTTGAATTTACACTCCGCGCGAGTTTTCTGGTCCCGCAGACCGAGGAAGTTTCCGATTGTGTCCTGTGGGTTCTGGGCCTGGACAAGATGTTAATTTGGGATCTCCTTGCCACCGGCGAATGTTGTAATACACACAGAGACATGACCATTGCCTTCGTTGACAGGCTCATCCGCCGAGCCTCCCTTATGGAATATCTTGTCGCCCCACCGAACACTGTTATTCGCAGGAGTGGGTACAGCGCTGGAGCCGCCTGAGACGGCGGAGGAGTGAGATGATGATTCAGGCATATTGGTTCTTCAAATGGGGCGGTAGATGGTGAAAGGGATTAGATGCAATGCAAGGGCCGCAGGTTTATATACTTGGAGCAGGTGGACTAATGATGACGTTGTTTCGCGGGGTTTCTTTTCACAAGACGATGGACAAATTCGATGATAGACAAGATAATCGAAACCATGTTGGCTCAAAGGCCGCGCGATCTTGGACAAGGCGAACTTTATTACCTCATGGGCCAACTTCCTGATACTTTCGGCGCAAGATGAAGTCATTATGAGCTTCGGGCGCGAGGTCGCCCTGCAAATGGTTGGCCTGCGCTACAAGCTGATTAAGCGATGCAATTCAAGTCAGTGACTTGCCCTCAAATCGGGATTCTCAAGAGAAGTCTGGCGAACCGAGCACAACATGCATTATGCAGGTAATCCACCTTCTCAACGTCATAGCATCAGATTCGGCATCTTGAATCAAGATAAGACGATAGCGACAGGCGAGCAACTCCACAGTTCTACTCGTACATATGATATGAAACAAGCACGAAGTCGAGCCCTGGTATGACTAGTGCATTTTGCACTTTCTTCTCACGAGCCAAACCATGCACCTTGAGCGGCCTGGTACCTGTAGACAACCGTGCAAAATGCCAGTGAGAACTCTCGGACTAGATCTCCCCAATGTCAACCTGCAGGCTGTGAATCCTCATCAATCCCACAAGGGATCGTAACGATCTTGACGATACAGCGTTTGCCTCGTGGATGAACAGTGACCTACAAAGAGCTACCAGATTGTCGATGAAAGATCCTGGCAACGCCTAAAACCACAAGGGCATCCTTCGATTCGCGTTTCCTCGGGCCCTTCCAGCTTAGTGATGTTACAGGAAGGAATTCCAATTCAGCGCCCAAGAATTGTCTATTAATGCTTGGTACTGTGCTCCTTCACTGATACTTGCCCTGCTTTAGGTTTGAACCATAGCATCGGTGGTCTAAATACGAAATATGTCGAGATAACCTTGCATTTGAGTAGGAACGTCTCGTGGCTATATATCAAAGAAGGCATTCCTCCTAGAGTGTATACCAGTGACATGACATACATTATAGGTTATGCACCTCAATAGGTCTGGAAAACCTTCTGTCAGACACACATTTCATTCAGCCAACCAAAGTACATACATCAGATGAGTTTCTTAAGATAGACAGATGAAAATTTGATATCAGAAAGTTATCCAAGAGCGACACGGAAGTTTCAATTTGCACTAAAGCACACCAGCTGCGTTCAGATTCTGGGTTATGCGGTCTTCAGCCTGTACTTCCTCCTTCTTCCGCAAAGTTCCTGGTCTCACAGAATAAATAAAAGCTATCTCAGCGGACAGACTCATGAGGATTGTAAAGCTCAGAACGACACTTAGTAAATGAATTAAAAGTAAGATTTGGGAATAACTGACAATGCAATGAAACTGAAAGCTTCAGCGGTGTACTTCCGGCTACAGACCGTTTCTCCATTCCAACGAATAACACGGCAGCTCATTTGATTGAAATCAAGGGCCAGAAATACGGCCGCTGTGAGCCATCTATGACACAAATAGTATACAAAGATCGTGGTGATGTCTCGGCTGTACTTACAAGTAGGAAAGAGCTCCGTCAATGGCGATCAGAGGAAGAACATGCCATCGATGGCGTCGCGACATGCAGCTCATACCAATTGCGAAAGGGATGATCACCACGGTCAAAGCAGCCTGAGCCATTGTTAGAAGATGATATTTACAATGATCGGATACAGACAATAGTCAGAGAATAGATGACCGTGACGGTCTTTGTGTCTCGAACAGCCCAGGCTGTGATTCCAAGGACAATAATTGCGCTGATTAACTGAAGGAAGCGGGCGATCCAGGTGACGAGTCCTGTCGGATGACTGTAAAAACTTTCCATTTTGAGCAATTGAAGATTAGTTGAAACTATCAGTTATAAAGAGGAATCATCTGATTATATTGTGCCCTATCGATTTACCCCGTAATGTAGTCTGAAAAGTCTATGATTTCATCACGGGTGGACAACCAAACTTCAAGAAGCCAAAGTGGATGGGATTGGTTATTGATGCCCCATGGGGAAAGAACATATGATTCCGGAATCTGAGATCCAATCATAATGTCGGGGTGGATCCACAAAGCAACAGTTCATTATCCCAAAAGACAGAGACTCCACTAGAAATTGGTTGGTACCTCTGGGTCTGTAGTAACTCTTGGATGAGGGTATTTCTCCCCTGAGGTACCCGTTTGTGAGTACGAATTGGAGGCAGTAAATCAACGGCGAAGGAAAAGATGTAGAATGCAACTATGAGAGCAGCAACTTTATTTCGTCAGCAATTCCTTGCAACCTCGCTCGAGCCAAAAGACTTACCCCATTCCAGAACAGCGGCTGCGTTCTTTGAATGTGCAGCTTTGGACTTCATGCAAATCCCAAATCCAATGGCTATACCGATTTCAAGAACAACGAATAGAGCTTTTATGTAAAAGCTGACCAACAATATGGGTGTGTGCGATCGATAGAACCGACCAATCCATATGTACTCAAGGCAGACTAGGATTGCGTTTACCACATAGCTCACTCTGCAAATCGGTCAGACAACAGATCGTCACGTTGTTGAAAGATCATCACATGAACATGATCACGAATCCGTAATGTGATGATCGTGATACTTGACGTCAAATATAGCCAGTAGCAAAAGTCCAAGAGCACCAGTGAAAGAAAATAGGATGGACCCAATTGCGTAAGACTTGTCAAATTTCCCTTTGTTGGGAGCGAGTTGACCTGAATGCCGTAGCCAGCGCTCTGAAAGGAGAGCTAAGTCGAGGAAAACGCCTGTAACTGCACAGCCTGCAATAAACAGAGGCTTTAGCCCTTCGGCACCGATATGTGAGATGTATCTGGAAATCACATCAATTCAGCTGAAACAGTCTGGGGGCAAGTTCAGCTTCACGCACGTAATTGCCAATCCGTCAGTCATCGTGGAATATATAGGCTTTCCCTCTGCCGCCCAACTGGAAAGCATGGCTACTAACATAGCTAGAAGGATATGAGTACATGGCGTCCAAATATCAGCGAGGCTCATACCTAGCCACATGCAGCCTGAGCAAACAGGAAACAACCAAAACGATAGAATCCACATGTTTTCCTCGAAATTCTACAAACGTGAGTATTGGGGAGTCTGAGTGGTGTCAGAGAGCACAAGCTTCTGAGTTATGGAAATTTCTCATTCCTAATTCAGACTAGTTGAGACCCAATGAGTGTATTACGCCAGTACTTTCCCAGGCACGAGCAAGTCTCATATTTTCCGGACTTCAAATCCGCGAAGTAGGGACCGTTCGCTGCAACTAGTATAGTACCTCGAGGAACCGGGTGGGGTGACGTCACGACATCTACCAATTGACTTTTCACTGTCAGAAACGATGGTAACTTGATGCTCGCTTAGTAGAATACTTCAAGATCTGACAGGTTGAAAATGCAGTGTATCTCTAATTCCAATCTTAAAATGTAATGCTCCAACAACATTGGTCAATGCGCACCCCGGGACCATCATGTTTGTCCTTGGGCATGGTTGCGATCGTGGCAGAACACCTTATATCCAGGCCATAGCTGTAAGAGTAGCGCTCCTACCATCATAAGCCCAGCAAACACCTGAGCCCGCAGGAAATTAGCTGTGTCAAGATTGACAAGTGCCCCGGCAATGGGTGTTCCTGCAAGGGCACCAAACGAAGAGATACCCCACATCATACCCAACCGGGTACCCATACAATTCACATTAGGACAAAAGACAGGATGCGCAACAATAGAAGTCGGCGCTGTCACAAGAACCCCGCTCAGAATACCCCAATAGCAAGCCCAAACAATGAAGCCCGCGGTCTCCCTTGCGGCAATCCAGGCAAACATGGCGATTGCCGAGGCCATAACGCATGTCATGAGGATAGCGATTGGCTTGACATAGGCAACGAGTAGATAGGGTACAACACGACCAAATACAGAAGATCCGTTGACAATAGCTACCATGTAAAATGAAAAACTTGTCGTTGTGTGTACCACAGTCCTTGCGTAAGAAGCGACGTAGAATATGGGCACGTAGTATGCAAGCATAACGAGCGTGAGCGAGACAGAGAAGAACATAAACGATGGTTCACGAAAGGCTTGCCAGTCAACCAAGCTTCGTGCACGCATCCTAGGAACTGGTCGGCAACACAATATGACGCATGCGATGATTGCCATGAGCAGACTGACGAAGCCAATACAGCGAACGGCCCATGAAAATCCGATTCTAGGCTGTAACTGGCGAAACATCACTGGGAAGATGACCGCTCCAACACTTGATCCAATGGACGCAATGCCAATTGCAATTGGGCGTCTCGTTGTAAAGCTTGTCGAGATCACGGCTAACGCTGGAATGTAGGAAATTCCACCGCCGATGCCGACGCAGAAGCCTTGGGCAAGAAGAACCTATGCTCATAGTAAGGAAAATCTCCTGAATAAAGGGGGTTTCCGATGAGACTGACTTGGTAGTACTCTCGGGCAAGACTGGTCATCATTAATCCAAAGACCGTCAAGAAAGAACCGGATATCATTAGCGGGCGTAGATGTCCCGAGTCCACCAACGGACCAGAAACAATTCCAACCATTGGAATTAGCGTTGCTTGAATACTTCCGATCCAAGATATTGTTGATGGAGACAAGTCCGAGAGGAGTTCTGTTTTGTAGTATTCCTGGAATGCGCCAAAGGTAGTGAGTATTCCCCTATGATCGCTCATTAACTGGCAATTCACAATAGAAGAGTAATCCAATCTGAAGTTTTTCGCTCACCAGGAGTTGACAAACACGCAAAACCCTGCAAGAACGCCGAGCCAAGCTTGCAAGCCGCCATTTGAGATCGGCTTGACGTGAACATCGCTTAATTCGGAGGTTCTTTGATGCGTGACTGAAGGCTGTTCATCTTCACAGCAAGAATTCTTCTCAGCCATAGCTGCATCTATAGAGATTGCGAGATACCGGCCAACATGGCCTCAGGGTTCCATGACTAGATGTAGCTTGGGTTTTTACCCCGGCCTCCAAAATGTGGAGTCAATGCCCCATGGGGTTTCCATTAGTCACGCGAATGAGGTGCTCGTTTGCGGGCTGTTCGGTAGTCAATAGCCGAGCTCTACCGATCATTTGGGCATTTTCTGATCTCGGCTGCGGTGATCTCCGATATATTTGGCACATGTTGTGTAAGAAGGCGTTTTGAACGGTGCTTTGGGGTAATCTCCCATGGCCATCGGCCCGATGGTGTCAAGCCCCCAGGTCCGCCACATTATTTTACCAGCATGATATGTTTTTCAAAGATCATGTTCAACCATTACTATGACTGATTCACTCATCTAGCCCATATGCGATTTCTATTGCACTAATGCATTTAGAACTTCGAAGCCTTGCACGTGTTTGAAGCCCCAAAGCCTTGAGGGGCAACTAGCTATCGAGGTATCCCACCTTCAGACGGGAAATTATCTGAAGATATCTAATTTGCTGCTTTTACACTGCGACGATTGCTTCCGGCTATTACGTAGAAGTCTAGTCTATGTTCTCTTCGACATCTCCCTCAGTGAACACCTCTTTGATTGACCATTTTGCTCTTCTCTGGGTAATGTTAATAGGATAAAAATACACTTACTTGACGAGAAAATACTCATATCTAAGATAATAACTGAGGAGAAAATTGGAAGCAACGTAACTACCTACATATCGTCAAAAAGTCCGAAGCGAGATAAGAACTCATATTGTAGCCTGACGCGCAAGGCAGCAAGGCATCAAACCGTGCGTCGAGGTCTCCCCACCTTACATCGCCCCGCGCTTTCTACTCTGTGACACTTCACTCTAATCCTCCCCTTCATTCTTCCGGCCCTTCCTACGAGGGTGCTTGAGGAAGCGGAAGATCCCCGCCTTTCATTCTGTGTATTGCGCCCGTCCGTCCCAGACGACTCCACCTGAGCTTCCGGGTGTACGACCCGCTTCGGCGTTCTCTTTGACCTCCCAACTTCACCGCAACCATGTTCGCCAACAAGCGACTGGGCAAGGTATGTCATTCGGGACAATATGTCTCGGGACATTTAAGATCATTATGCTTTCTCGCTCAGACTCGCTGACATATTCGTGGTATGTAGGAGCTCACCAAGGTACGACCTGCCCACATGCTTGGCTTACGAGGCGGTGTCTTCGTATGCCGAATTCTCAGACAGTATTTCCTGTCATGCTGGCGGAATGCTTTTCGCGTAGCAAATGGATCTAATATACCACGTTACTAGATGAAAGACCACACTCCCCCGGGAATCACTATCGCCAAGTCAGATAACCTGGAGGAATGGCAGATGGATATCAAAGTCCTTGATGACAACCCTCTGTATAAGGACCAGACATATCGATTGAAGTTTACCTTCAATAACAAATATCCCATAGGTAGGACCCCATGTCTTCATCACTGTCGAATTCTCATACTGATACCAGCAGAACCCCCGGAAGTCCAATTCATCGAACTGCCCGCTTCCTCTGATACACCCCGACCAATCCCGATGCATCCACACATCTACAGCAACGGCATCATATGCCTTGACCTTCTCAGCTCTTCTGGCTGGTCTCCTGTGCAGACTTGCGAAAGCGTTTGCATGAGTATCCAGAGCATGTTGACGGCCAACTCGCGCAACGAGCGACCTCCCGGTGACAGTGAATTTGTCGCTTACAATCGTCGCCGAATTCGAGATATCCCTTTCGTCTACGAGGACGACAACGTCTGAAGGGTTGAGAAATATCATTTCTCAGAAACGAAGCGGTAGGTTATAACTCTGGGAGCCCTATGTCAATCCAGTAATGGTTATAGTGGCTGGCCTACTGGCACTTGTCCAGAATTTGATTTTTGGGTTTCTGCATGGGCTCTGGCGCCGGTTTCTCGTTCACAATCGGGCTGGATATGCATGGGTGTCGATGGGCGTTGAGGCGTTTAAGAGCAACATCCTACCCGTGCAATGCAATTCAGCAGTCTTGGTGACGAATCATTGGTGAATGCTTCCAGTTCCAATGAGCACTAGATGCTAAATAATACTTCTTTGCCATATCTCATCAACTAGACCAGAAGAAGACTTTTAGATATTTGATTTTGTCATGGTGTAGACATCTCTTTCCTAAATTAGTTGTAGAAGTGATCCTTGGGATATCGCTTGCATCGCGAGCATTTTAGCTTTGGCAAGTCACACTAGAGATTTAAATGTCACGGCACGTCCTAGATGGCGAATTAATTCAGTCAAGAACAGACATCCTCTACTTTAACTTTGATGCTCAGATACGTATAGCCGCGCCGCCTTTGACTGTGAATGGGAGAAGGCTTCGGTTTTTTGCAGCCCAATCTTCAATAAAGCTAGCATCCTCAAGTATGCTTTGCCCCAACAGGAAGGCCACTGAAAGTTGTTCAAGTATTAATTATCATGCATCAAAATTCACAGCTCGACACTTTATTCAACGGGTCTACTGTTGACCATTAGGGACATCTGAACTGCGTGCATGCGCAAGAGTTTGTTCCGAGCATTATTATATCAATTTCAAACTACGAAAGGGATAGAGAACACATGTCTCAGAAGAATCGGATGTTCACTATACACAGGGCTTTAAGAGGCAAAGTAGACGAGACAAAGGGCAACGACAGGACATGAAAGAACAACGCCATGAGAAGAAAACATGGAGAATTTAGTACACCCGAAGATCAGAGTCGAGATCTAGGGTTATCACATAAAGGGATCGTGGTACTCACTCCCCTGATTGTGAACCACGAATATGGCGGCAGCCGTCTATAAAGTGGCCATTTCGAGGCTTTCTTCATTTTTTTTTTTATTTTTTATTATTGCGTTGTGAAGGCGCTTTTACCGGTCAACCTCACCGAACACCAGATCCATGGTACCTGAAGAAAAAAAAATTAGCAACGTCAGATGTTGCATAGAGCGAAGATACTCACCAATGATAGCGACGGCGTCGGCGAGAAGGTGACCACGAGAAATCTGGTCGAAACCACCCAAGTGGGCGAAACCAGGAGCACGAATCTTGCAGCGGTAAGGACGCTCGCTGCCGTCACTGACCAGGTACACACCCATCTCACCCTTAGGGGCTTCAATGGCGGAATAGGTCTCACCGGGAGGAACGGAGTAACCCTTGGTGAAGAGAAGGAAGTGGTGAATAAGAGCCTCCATGTTCTCCTTCATGGCGGCACGGGGGGGGGGGAGATCTTGTAGTCCTCAACGCGGACAGGGCCGGCGGGCATCTTGTTCAAACACTGGTGAATAATGCGGAGAGATTGGCGGAACTCCTCCATACGGCAGAGATAACGATCGTAGCAGTCACCGTTGACACCAACGGGAACGTCGAACTCGACCTGGTCGTAGGCGTCATAGGGCTGCGACTTACGGATATCCCAAGGAACACCAGAGCCACGGAGCATAACACCAGTGAAACTCATGCCGAGGGCATCTGTGGCATTAACCACACCAACACCCTGGGTACGGGCCTTCCAGATACGGTTATCTGTGAGCAACTCCTCGGTCTCGTCGATGCGGTCACCGAACTGGGTGGCCCACTGGTAGATGTCGTCAAGGAGACCAATGGGGATGTCCTGGGAGACACCACCGGGGCGGACGTAGGCCGCGTGGAGACGGGCACCGGAAACACGCTCATAGAACTCCTATAGAATGAACAATAATTAGCACACTTTCCAATTTTCAATTTGCGCACCCTCTTCAAGGATCCATGGAGTTCTCAGGTGACTCACCATGAGCTTCTCTCGCTCCTCGAACCCCCACAGGAAGGGAGTCAGAGCACCAACATCCATGGCGTGTGAGAGAACAGACATGAGGTGATTCAAAATACGAGTTATCTCGCCGAACATGGTGCGGATCCACTTAGCACGCTCAGGGATCTCGACATTCAACAGCTTCTCGACGGCCAGCGCGAAGCACTGTTCGTTGGTCATCATGGAGACGTAGTCCAGACGATCGAAGTAAGGCAGGGCCTGCATATAGGTCTTGTACTCGATCAACTTCTCAGTACCACGGTGAAGCAGACCGACGTGGGGATCGGCGCGAACGATCTCCTCGCCGTTGAGTTCCAGAATCAGACGAAGCACACCGTGAGCAGCCGGATGCTGGGGACCGAAGTTGACTGTGTAGTGACGGATCTTGCGGTCAATGCCCTCGGCCTCAGATTCCAGGGCAGCGGCCTCTTGAGCATCGGTGGTGGCAGGCTTGTTAGCCAGGTGGCTGAATGTCGGGTCGGTCGGGATCAATCGGGTGGCCTGGTAGCTGGCGGCTTCGGCATTGCTGCGGGGGACGGTGGTAGTTATGGAACGGGAGCGAGGCACGGATGTGTTGAAGAGGCCGGAGGGGCGGAGACAGAGCCTTTTGGGCGCATTGCCCGCCAGGCGAGCGAAGGAGGCGGCCATGGAGACTGGTGAGAGGGGAGTTCCAAGAATAAGGAAAGGGAATAGAGCCTCAGTCCAGGCGCATTCAATTGGAGCAAAGCGGGTGGGCTCTCGGCGGGAAAGGAAGCCTGGTTTGAAGTCGAAGGTGAGGTCGCGCTCCATTTTGGCAGGAGTCACGTGTTTGAGCTGCCGGGTCGCCAGGTCATCAGTGGTCTTATGATTGGCTGGTACAGCCATCTATAACGCGCTCATTGATGTGACGCTATTCTGTATTTGGCTTAGCTTATGCACAATCTGCAAACAATACGTGCACTACTGGGTCACAGAATAGAGGACACTCTTCTGCCTTAGGCGTCCAGAAAATACTTCGAGAAATTATTCTTATCGCCGATCCTCTCCAACCTTCAATTTTTCCAAGTTCTACCTCCAGTCACTCCACCATGGCACCTCTTGTTCCGTCGCAGGAGGAGCTGCAGCGTCGCCGTGTATGTCCATACGATTTGCTCCAGAATGTCCTCGCTAACGAGTCGCAGATCATTGGCATCAACGCAGAAACTGTCACCAACATCCCCTCCACAGACTTCCCCGGTCACTGGCCCGGAGAGTCGCACTCATGGGCGCTCGACACCTTTAAGAAGGTATGTATTCACGCAAAGCAAACATTGCCCTATAATGTGCGCCCCATCCTTACGGTTCGCAACAGAACTTCAAGGTCGAGTTCCATCGCAATGACCCGTACGAAGCCTCTTTCTCGCTGATCGGCCTCGACGCCTCCGTCGCCAATGCATTCCGCCGTATTCTCATGGCTGAGATTCCGACTCTTGCCATTGAGTATGTCTTCGTTCACAATAACACCTCCGTCATCCAAGATGAGGTTCTTGCCCAGCGCCTGGGTCTGATCCCCCTCAAAGGCTCTGTAGAGGGTATCAACTGGATGCACTGGTTCCGCAAGCCATCCGATGATGAGGAGGGTACCGCCGAAGGGCCCAGTGACTACAACACCATTGTTCTGCACCTCGATGTCGAGTGCACGAAGAACCCCAACGCCGACGACGATGAGCAGGACCCGCGCAAGCTGTACAACCATGCCCACGTCTATGCTAAAGATATCTCCTTCCATCCCGTCGGTCGTCAGGAGCAATTCTTCGTTGGCGACGCTGCTATTCGCCCCGTGAACCCCGACATTCTCGTCGCCAAGATGCGTCCCGGTCAGAAGATCGAGATGGAAATGCATTGTGTCAAGGGTATCGGTGCCGACCATGCCAAGTTCTCGCCCGTTGCGACCGCCTCTTACCGTCTCCTTCCCGATATTAAGATTGAGCGTCCCATCATCGGCGAGGATGCGAAGAAGTTTGCCAAGTGCTTCCCCAAGGGTGTCATTGGTCTTGAGCCTGTCACTTCCGAGGAGGCCTCGCGTAGCGGAAGCGGATACGAGGGCCACGCTGGTGAGCAGAAGGCTGTGGTCAAGGATGCTTTCAATGATACTGTCAGCCGTGAGTGCTTGCGTCACGAGGAGTTCCAGGGCAAGGTCAAGCTGGGCCGCGTGCGGGACCATTTCATCTTCAACATCGAGAGCACTGGCCAATTCGAGAGCGATATTCTGTTCCTGGAGGCTGTCAAGGTAATGAAGCTTAAGTGCAACCGGTGGAAGCGTGGTCTGCATGATTTCATGGCGTAAAGCCGTGGATTATCGCCGCTGCTAGTACCTCACATAATGCATTGACTGGCGTTGGGATGTTTTTGAGCTTCATTTACGCTGTATATTTATGAAAAGTTCGGTCAAAAGTTGGCTCAAGAGGCCGGAGTCGGGATATTATACTTGTTGTTAGAGCAAAGAAGGCCGGCAGCTATCCTTGAAACACTTGAAAAGATAAATGAAGCAAAGTATCATTCAATTCGTATCAACGTAAATTTTTGGGGCGTCCTCAATTGTTGAAGATCACCTTGTACCGGAAATCAATGGTGTAGGCCGGGTCGCTGACAGCAACCTCTTCGCCATCTTCCACAAGTTCATGCAGCTTCAGCTTCAGGTTCGGTCTAGTGTGCTCCTCCAGCTGAGGTGGGAAACGCTGGTAAAGGGTCCTCTCCTCGGTGCGGAGACTGGGCTTCTTCAGCTGCGCTTCAGCCCTTTCTCCAAGGCTCTCAATGAATTCGCCCAGGGTTAAGTTCGGGTCCGCATTCAGCTTGCGAGCAAGGTTTCCACACACGGGACAGTCAGGCTTCTTCTCAGCTTCAAACGTGTAGGTGTACACGCCCTCTTCACCGGCATACATCATGTAGTTCTCGAGATAAGGGTTGCAGGAGGTAGCAATCTTCAACACCTCTGAAGTTGTAGAGGCCGCTATTATGGCGTTGGTAGACGCGATTGCTGGAATGATGTTTTTCACGACACCTTGGGTCATCTGGAAGGTCACTCCATGTATGTCGAACTGCTTGCTCCGCTCCAGAGCGGCATTGTACACCCATGAGATGTGCTCCATATCGTCACTGTCAAAAGCTTCGTCCTTGCGCTTCTCCTGCCATGCGATCTGGTGAGCCCATTCAATGCAATGCTGAGGTTGGCGAGGGATGGTAGCAATGGTGCACAGCGGCACTGCGGGTCGAGGAGCGTGCATGTCCAGCTGACACTCAATGCATGAGGAGAGGGTGGGCAAAATCACACGAGCTTGTCCCTTGAATCCTATTTGACGGTCAATCTCAAGATGTATGAGAGTCAAAAGTCTGGCTGGGAGATACCTTCAGTTCCGCCATCGATCAAAGGCTTCAAACTCTCTGGATCTTCCATGTCTACCATCCCAACCAGAGTAGAGTTAATCCACCGGCGAGCCTCGATGCTGTCGAGTCCGCAGATGACGATCTTGAATTGCATATAATAGTCCTCATCCTTGTCCTGGATCTTCCCGACATAGGGCGTAATTTTGACACCTTTCACTCGCTTTTCCACAAAGGCAGCAGCGACTTCCGCTTTGGGCTTGCCAATATCAGCTTGGCGGAACAAAAATTGTCGGTTGAGATTTGAGATGTCAATAGTGTCTGCCCAAATGTGTTAGTCACGCCCTTCAACAGGAAGTGGGACGAAGACATACCCATGTCAATGACATGGATATCTTTGAAGCCGGACAGGGCCAAGTTCTTCAAGATCTCGCAGCCTAGGCCACCAGCTCCACTATCCCATTTTAGTTCTTGATTCTTAGCTTTAGAATACCCAGAATCGTTTGACAAACATTACACTGATTTTCACGTTAGCCCGAATTGAGGAGTACCAGACGAGCAGACCTACAGAATTTTGGATGACTCTAGCGTACTGACGGTTTCTTGTCCTGGAACCCAGTCTTCATCGCAGTAGGGACCGGCTTTTGTCAGAACTTTATGAAGGTGCTTCCTGGTTGATGTGAGTGAAAAACGAAACACGCGACCTAGATTGCATCAAACATACCATCTGTGCTGCTGTGAGTTTGCGTCAGTAGAAATCATTTTGCAAAGGTCCGGCACTTCCAGCACGTCGAAGTGTGTGAAATGCTCTAGAGGTCAACGTGGAGTAATCACCACTTCCGAGATGAACTGGAATCGGTGGCACCTCGCCAAGACAACTCTTGTCTTTAATTTTAGCAGGTAAGTCCTGCTTGTATTCTCGCAAGAAGTCGTGAAATCCGAGTCGATGCTGAAATGGCGGGGATGAAGGTCAACATGCGGCTGTTGCGGCGTTTCGCGGGCGGAACACACGTGACGAGTCCATACAAGCTCCGCAAGACTTCTGGAAAAGTAAATTACTGCTTTGCATCACCATTTTGGTCATGGAGGGCCTCTTGACTGCGGTGAAAACCGTGAAGCGGGATAATGATTCCCCCTTGGTCGCCTCTGAGTCGCTAGATTTCCATGATGATCGATCAAAAAGGCCCGCACTTAAGTTTGACCATGATATATCAGCGGCGGAAGTCATGAATGCACTCAAGTCCCACCCTTCTCAGGAAGAGGTCGCGGCGACTTTGTCTGCACTGGATCCATTCAATGCATCTAGAAAGATTCAAAATATCGATATTCGAGTTCCGAGTCCAACAACAGCCCAGATCCTTCAGCTGTTAGTCAACACCACTGTGCTGGACCATTGGGCATCACTGAATTCAAAAGAGAAGCGACCGAAAGATATAAAGACCCGTGCTGCCTTGTTAAGATGTCTGAGCAGTGTTGCTGGTATTGGCTCTCTCATAGCCCAGCTCCGTTCGTCAATCGCAACCGCCCGAACCACGGCCAAGCAGGCGGAAGGATCGAATAGCTCCATCGTCATTCGAGATCTGCTCTCTGTCATTGCAGCTCTTTTAGAGCCAACAGATTTTCTGTACCGTCTCTACGTAGACACTTCATCTCTCTATGGAAATCAGACTCGACAGCAAGTTGCATGGAAAGAGCTTGTCGGACTTGCAGCTGCTGGGAAAATTCTCTCAACGGCCGCGGAAGCTCTCGCTGTTTCCAAGGATGTTGAAGCCCCATCATCAATCACCTGGATCGGTGATGGTCCTCAGTATGCCTCATGGCTGGGCAAAAACATTGCACACGTGGTTTCGAAGCTCAACGCAGATAATGTCGGAGATTGGAGCTCCGCTGCTTTCCTCATGGGAAGAGCTCTGAGCTTGGGGTATTCTGGTATGTCCCCTCCCCTTTTTCAGCAATAATTTGACATCTGACACACTTGTAGATCAGTTAGTTCGAGAGATTTACTCGAATCTACTTGTTGATCATACGGCCGCAGTGCAATTTGGTCTCCTGCTTGATAGTCTCAGACAGCCAGAGCAAATATCCACGATTGAAGCTGTTTTCCGCGATATTCAAAAAGTTTACTTTTCCGATGACCTCACTGGCACATCTAATTCACCTGTCAGGTCTGATGATATCATTGCAGGCGTGTCCGCACTTTGTTGGGCGATTCTGGGTGGCCGTCCCTTCTTGCAGAGCCAAATCTCGGAATGGCTTTCCAAAAGCCAAGGAGGCTCAATTCAGACGATCGGTTTACGTCGAGCTCTTTTGGCCACATACACTGATCGAAATGGTGAGTTTCCAGAAGAAGATTTGTCCACAATCGAACGGGATTGAAGCTGATCGTCCACAAGATGAGCTCGGCTCTTTGCTCTTGCGCAGTCTAGAGCAATTTGGGGACAAATTTTCTATTAAACATCTTCCAACCATCACACAAAACGGTATGTGACCAAGCAGACTCGGTTGACAACTCCACGGCTAATAGTCATAGCAAATGCCCAAACCATTCTTCTGGCAGCAGGCCGCCTGAAACGCCTCGATTCAACCCAATTGAACAGCGCAGGACGGACAGCAGCCTTCCTCAATGCAGTCTCCAATCGGATCGCAGCATCTTCTACTCGAGCCCGGCTTCTGGGCATGATTGTTGGCAATGGAATGTCAGAACTTATTGAAGAGCCCGGCAAAGCGATGAAGTTCGACCTTGAAGAAATGCAGAGCGAAGAAGCACTGTTTTATTTGAGTCTCGTCAAAGTTTACGATGAGCTTGGGACGGCCGAGTCTATCAAATCATTGCAGTCAAAGCGACCGAAAGCTCCACAACCTACTCAAGAAGCTCGATCGAGCCAATCCAAGAAGTCAAACGCACGGTCTAGCCGTCCACAAACGAGCAAGATTGTCGCCATCGAGGAAATTGAGGATAGCGGCGATGAAACAGAAGAAGACTTGGATCTCATTCCATATGAGAAACCGGACGATGACGCATCGGATGATGATGAGGATCCTACTCTTGTCCAACGAAATAAGCCAACAGCGCCTGTGTAAGTTATCTTCTGGTCAAGCTGCGCGAACGCCCTTCTAACATCCAGACAGGTACATCCGTGACTTGATCACATATCTTCGAGACACTGAGAACGTGGAGCGTTATCAACTGGCCATAACAAGTGCTCCTTCTCTAATCCGACGAAAGATAGGATTCGGTACTGAGCTTGCAGAGCAAGTTGAAGAATTGGCTCTCACCGTTGTGGGCCTTCAAAATGATAACAATCACCCGCAGTTCCACGAGTCTCGTCTCCAGAGCATGATTGCACTGATCGTCTCGCAGCCCCTGAAGATGGGCCGCTGGTTTACATCGATGTTCTTTGATGGTGACATCTCTCAAGCTCAGCGTTCCGCTGTCCTTACAGCCTTGGGCTTAAGTGCTCGTGAAATTGCTGGGAATGGTGAGGCTGATGCTAAAGCATTGGGTCTACCAGATTTGAAGGATACATCTTTTCCATCCAAGCGACTTTCTACTGCAATGGAGGCGATGTTCCTTGGTTCTACCGGTGCCAACGATTCACCTATTGCAACACTGACTAGAGAGCTGTCGCGCACATCACTCCAGCCATTGGCAGCTGATGCGGCGGATTCGCTTACTGGTCCCAACGCTCTGAAAGTTCGCACTTTCTCATCACGCATGGAAGTCGAGAAGAAGCGTAAACAGCGTGAAGATGAAAGGCAAAAGTCCACGATCAAGGATCTGTACAAAGTGCTTGCAGAAGGATTCTACTACCCGCTGCAAGGCCGGTTCGAGATCATGATGCTGCAGTTCTCCTCGTATGTCTCGACTCCCTCAGTCCCTAAGTATGCACTTGCTGACCAAATTCAAGATCATCTGCACCTTCCTACAACCCTTTCTTCGTTCCGCACATTCTCACTCTCTTCCTCCAGACACTCTCTCTCACTCTCTCGACGTCTGGGCCCCATACGCCTTACCTACCTGCTCTCACTCAAGCCACACTTTCCTTACTACTGTCGCTGCATACACGCGAAGTATCAAGTGAACCAACTGTCACAGCGGCATTGTTAAATCTCTTCCTGGCACTGGTCGACTTGAACATTTCCTCAGGCTCAAATGGCGAAGAGCGACTCGTCACAGAGCATGCGAATCAAGTCATTGAGCTGCGCGAGTGGGCATCGGGTGTCTTTGACCGGACGTCAGCCGGAAAAGCAAACGCAGGTGCCTCCAAAGATCCGCAAGATCAAGTGCGCACTCTAGCTGCTGGAGTGATGGTGCGGCTCGGGGAGGTGATTGAACGGTACCAGGGTCGGTTGATGGGAATCAATTCCGGCTTCAAATATTAGATCATGAAGTCTTGTAATTTAGATAAGCGATGATTTACGACGAGATAAGAGATGCAATGCATTTTCAAATGGTATCATGACATGCTGTATGAAGTAAACGCTAGACCCACGTAAAAAAAACTTACTCAGCCTTGGAAAAACTACGCTTCTCAATAGCAACGTCCATCATACGGTCGCCACTAATGACGCCCGTTGTACAAATGATGATTCGTCTGCGGGGAGCCTCCTGGGCAGCAATAAAACGCAGCGCAGCAATCTCTGTAAAAGTAATACCGCCAAGGAAGAAGACATACACCGTCTTTGTAGCGGCATTTCCACTGAGGGTCTGACGGGCCCGGACAGCCTTATCATCGCCTTTTTGAACAAGGCTGAAAGTGGAGCCGCGAGCGCTTTTGACGACATCCTCAAATCCAAGCCATCCAGGAGAAGCAGTACTAGCGTTGTTCACTGACGTGGCAGGGGACCCGCCCTTGATTAGAGAGAGGATATAGGGTTTTTGTAGCACGCATTGGACTAGCCGTACGCTGAGTGGAGCGAATCCACTGTAGACGTAAGAGATGTCGTTAGGGTCTTTTTCGCTGACTTCCTCGATAACCAGGCGTAGGTTCTTCCGCAGGTATCCGTAGTTGGTCTTGGTCCCGGCTTGGGCGCCGGATGTGGGGAGGAGCATGGTGGTGGCAGAGGATCGGGGTTGAAGGAGTTCCATCTTTTCCAAGGCCCAGAATGTTAGAAGGTGTTGGTGGCCGTACGCCTGGACGACTTGGCGCTTGAAGTTCTCCAGGTCGCGGGGCGGAGTCCACCGGACATGCAGGACTCAAGACAAAGCAGACGAAGGATGCTTTTCAGCGGGACGTCTCGTGCGATCAGTTCCTCGATCGTTTCGTGTTGATAAGTGGGATCAGCGCCAGCAGCATTGTTCTGCTGGACTTCCAATACTTTGCGGAAGGTCTCGGAACGGGTGAGTCTCATGATCTCCTCTGCGAGGTTCGTGTGAATGCGAAGACTCTGATGTTCTAGCTGATAGGTCGGTAACTTGTTGACGAAGTCTCGAAGCTCATTTGTGGTCTTGGCTGAATGCCGGGTCTCGTATTCATTTTCCAAGCGACGAGCCACCTTGTTAAGAATGTCACCCACAATGGCAAAATTCGTATCTCGGAGTTGGTTGAATAATGTGTCAGACGCATCCAGCTGGATCTTTCTTTTCAGTGCTTGTTTGGACTGCTGGGGTGTCTTCGATGACTCTTGGGACTGCGGCGCAGGAGCCTGTCCTACAATGCTGGTGTCGACATCGGCCTGGTTATTCCTAATGCCGACATACTCGTCGATCAGACCTTCGTAAGTTAGCTGCGTCAGCAGCGGAGTTCCAAAATCAACATCACGGTCGATTATGATGAGACTTTCTGTGTCTGCACTCGGAAGCAAGCCTCGAGCGAACGGGTCTGAGAGGCCAGAGCTCTCTTCAGCATCGAGTTCTTTTCGCATGCGTAGCAAAAGATCAGCTAGGCGACGTGCATTGTCGCCCTTTCCGATGATGCGAGGAAAGTAGCCATGCTTCTGCTGGATCCCCATCAGGGCTTTTGCCGAATGGAATATGCATCCTGGGTCCTTGTTCTAAGCGGTGTCAATATAGCTCCAGCTGCTACAAGGGGGTAAACCCACCAGGTACAAATCACTGAAAGCATCATCCAACTCTAATGACAATATGTCCTGTTCTAAGGGCAAGAAGTAGAGTGGGAGCTCGGCAAGGTTGATATCTCCGATGATGCCGGCCTCTTCCAGCACGGCATTGCTCACCAGTGTTCGCCGGGGAGCGAAAATGATGGTAATTTCATGTTCAACATTTCCATTATTCCGTAGACGTTTGACCTGTTCTATGTGACGTGAATGTCAGCTCACTCTGATAGCCATCAAAACAAACGGTGACGGGAATGAAAGCCAATATATGAGCTTGGATGATGTAGGGATCCTATCTCATGCTGGGTTACATAGAGTTGAGAGACGTCTGCGCAATCCACTGGTGTCCCAAGGGCGATGCCCGAGTCTACGATAGGCAGCAAAATGCTGAGAGGCGAAACAGAGACATGACCTACCAGCCACCGTGCGCACATGCTGCGCCTTCTCGCCACGAACGAGGAAGACGACATTGCGCTGGGACGAGTCGATGTTTGCATTTTCCAGCAAAAACACGCGATCTACGCCATATTCTTGGAGAACCGAGAACTTGACGAACAAGCCGACCGGACCAGCCAGCTCCTGACTGATGACGAGGTTCTTCTTGCCCCTGGCCTACACACGGCATTAGATGAGGCGATTGGGACATAACATTGGTACTCACGCCTTCGAGCAGGGCAAGCAGGTCTTTGCGGGCCTTGTCACGACAGTGGTCTGCATCTCCCAAGGGCGCCATCATGCCCAATGAGAAAAAGAGGAGAAGAAGGTGGCAGTGACGGGCAGACGAAGACGCCAAAAATAACTTGAGGTCAACTTGACCCGCTTCGGGTTTAGTGTGGCTGAGTAAAAATCAGTACGATGGCCGTATGAGTATCGTCACACCATTGCCACCGCAGTTTCTGAAGTATGTGTAACTCTGGTCATTTGCATACCGTTGTAAACATCGGTCTCGAATACCTAAAGCTCCCCTGAGCGCATAGAATTCATCCGAAACATCTTTCTCTCTACACTCCCCCTCCGCCATTGATTTCGCCTTTCCCGTGTCTCTCACAATTCCTCACAGCGAACGCTCTGTTTGACATCTCCCTCACAATTAACATGGGTCGTTTTGGAATCAAAAAATCTGATGGCGACGAGGAGGACAGTAACCGCCGGGGCCTGTTCGGCTCGCGCAAAAAGGAGAAGAGTCCTTCGTCTCCAGCAAACGCCTACGCAAACCCCTATGCCCAGCCGATTCGTACGGATCCCTATACCAGAGCCAAGCAGGGTATCGGTGCTGCTCCCATCACTCCAGTCGAGCTTGGCGGCATGGGCCCCCCCGCCCCCGCAGGAGGACCCCACGCAATCCCCTCCGACAATAAGTACTCCGGCTACACTCCCAATCGTTACGGCAACCAGGGCGGGTATGGGAGTGACCGCTTTGGCGGCGCAAGCCCGGGCGCTGGCGTCGGGCAGGCATCCCGTTTTGGTGCTGGTGGCTATGGAGGATTAGGCAACATCGATCCCAACGACCCCAATGCTGCGGACGCCGATCGTAATGAGCTTTTTGGCGGTTCCAAAGACCGCAAGCAATCCGGTACTCCTGGTGGTGGCCCCCCGCCACCTTACAGCGAGGGAGGCCAGCCCAGCTACGGTGGCGGCAGCAACGACTATAGCATGCAGACCTTCCAGGAACGACAGCTCACAGCGGAGGAAGAAGAGGAAGAGAGCATCAATGCAACCAAGCAGGAAATCCGATTCATCAAGCAGGGTGATGTTGCTTCGACACGGAATGCCCTTCGCATTGCAGCACAGGCAGAGGAAACTGGTCGCTCCACACTGGCTCGTCTGGGTGCGCAGGGTGAAGACGTCCACAGTGCTGAGAAGAGCTTGGACATGGCCACCGTCGAGGGACGCATTGCTCAGGAGAAGGCGCGGGAGTTGAAGACCCTCAACAAGAGCATGTTCGCCGTGCACGTGGCCAACCCGTTCACCAGTGCGTCGCGCCGACGAGAGCGTGATGAGCGAATCCTCAATACCCACCGAGACGAGCGTGATCTTCGCGACGGAACCCGGGCGGAAGCACACCAAACCAGTGCTCGTATGGAGAGAGTTTTCCGAGACATTGACCGAGATGCTGCCAAGCAAGGCAAGGGTAAGAAGGCCAGCGTGACCGAGCGCGCCAAATATCAATTCGAGGCCGACAGCGAGGACGAGGCGATGGAGGACGAGATCGAACAGAACTTGGATCTCCTGGGTGGTGCCGCTGGTCGGCTCAACGGTCTCGCCAAGGCCACCGGACGGGAGCTCGACGAGCAGAACAGACATCTGGAGCGCATCACAGGCAAGGTCAGTATCAGATGTCTCAGTTGTTTCGAGACTATGCTAACTTTATCTACAGAGCGACTTCGTCGACGACCAAATTGCCATGAACCGGGCGAAGCTAGATCGGATTCGCTAAGGCCTTTATGGGTGGAGGGATATGCCTGGTGCTATGCCGCTCCATCATCATCAATTTGTATGAGTCGTTCTTTCATCCATAATCATCCCCGGCGTTGGGCTGCCCTTTTTGCTTTCTGCATGCCGTCTCTTGTTGGCAAACCTTTTGAACAGGCAATTTAGACTACCGATTTAGTATCATAATTGCATTCCATTCTCACAGCTGTCCTCCCGTTGATGTAGTAAAACATTCATAGATAAGCGGCTATCATCTGATCGCCATACGACTTGCTAGTTTCTGAATGCACCTCCACTCAAGCTCGATTCCCCGTATGTGGGGAGAGTGGGGATGGGATGTACCTGCACCTCGAATACTCCCACCCAAACTATACACCAGATGCAAAGTATACCTCGCACTCGAAACAAAAGAGGCTAGGAAAGGTGTCCCAAAGGACCAATTACGCACAGCATAAAGAAACACGGCATACAAGTATTTTTCAATGAAACAGCCAACGCCCTCCTCAGAGATTCCTAAACCGGCTCTAGGAATGGAAATCCAAGTGCTCTGCAACGACTCAAAGAAAGAACCATCCACAGCAGATTCATGATCCTAGTAGCCGGAGGCTTCGAAGCGAACCCACAACCCCACGCCAATACCCCAGACCAGTCTAGGACGCCGCGCACGTCTACGGAACATCGGATCGCAGCGCCGACGGACGACGCATTGCGCAGCGCGACGTCAATGCAAAGAGGGCGGGCAGTTGCTCTGGGTGTCATAGTGGGGGTGGGACGTGGACTCAGCGTCGGGGCCTAGGGACTCGGTTGTATTGAAGAAGTTTCACTAAGTCCGGGTGGCCCGCTCGACTTCATGGAAAATGTGAGTGGAGAGAGGCTAAAAAGTTTGATATGCGGAATTATACGTGGGTGATTGTTGGGCGGGGGATACGGAGTCGGCTTGGGGCTGTTGTGGTATAGGTTTGGGATGGGAAGACGATACCCAAGGTGCGAGGAAAAAGACCTGGGAGGATTACGAGGCTTTTGAGGGGAATAATTTTGAGGAACTGGCTGTGAGACAAGGATTGGGACACGGTGAGGAAGTCCAATAGGGCTGTGAAGGGTGGGAAGTGGGATTTGTGTGTGAAGATTGATAAAGCGCCATTTTTGGCTGTGATGGTACCTTGCGGTATTTCTTTCTACGTTCGGTGGCTTGGCTGTGCACCCTGAGACGGCGGCTGTGTGTTCTGAAACTACCAAGGGTGAGGTTCCGGGGTTGTACTGCGCCGAGGAGATGCTTGGTGGTATCTTCTATGATTACTATCTCGATGGGGACTGGTTGACTTTCGGTACTGTGTTTGAATGTCGAGCTAGACAAGCTGCTACTGCTGGTGTTGAGGTGAGAGCAGCTCAACTGTAAAGACATTCGTTGAAGTGCTTCTTTAGGAGCATAGGAGGAAGTGATAAAAAGGTAGTAATTCACAACAGCGCTGAATTGCGGATTAGACAATATCTTTTGAGAACTATAGCGACAGTAGAGCGGTCACACTGGCAGGCAGTTCAAGCCATTACACCAGGCCCGCTGCGGATAAAATCGAAACGCTTTCGCACCAATGCCACGGGTATCACATCAACACCATTCCCAAATTGCACGATGCCTGCAACTGTTGAAACACAGCAGACCCGGTGGAAACAGAGGGCAAACCTCGAAACCAAGACAAAAAACCAGCCGGAAAGAAGAGGAATAAAGGGCGTCCGATCGAGTATCAGAAAGGAAGAGAAAAGGCAAAGTTATAAATCTTGACCAAGCAGAGATACATGCAAGGCAGAGATGAATTAGAGGAGAGACAAACAGCTTCCCGCAAAGGGGGAAATGAGAAAAAAGGAGAGCAAGAAGAAAGAAAAGGGGGGTTTCCAGAGAACAGAAAGCATCGCATCATCACAAGCCCATTGGTATCGAGAAAAGCACAAAGTGACTCCCAGGTCTAGCGAAAGAATAAGATATGAAAACGAAATCAACCAGGAACGCAAAACCAGCCGGTACCTCTATGGTCATAATGTGGGAATAAGTGAGAAGAAAAGAAAAAAAAACGCATCAGGAAGGCTTTTCCTGCCCTGCTTGTGCCGAACCCATTGGATCCCACAGACTGTCCGAAGTGGAAAGTGGATCCCCAGGTGAGATGAAGGGCGGTAGAGATGAGAAAACAAGGAACATGACAGAATCCATGTTGTTGTACAAGGAATGGCCAGAGCAATGTCGTCCAACACAGTTGGCTGGCTCAACTCGGCAGGACGGGTCTGTGGGTGGGTAGATCGGGCTCGTCAGACACAAAGCGGGAGGAGAAGAGAGCTCGAGGGGGGGAGCGAGAAAAGAAAATGATCGTTTCAAGATCGAATTTACTCGTCATCGTCGGGCGAGTCTCCTTCCTTCTCGCCCTTGTGCACCTTCTTGTGACGGCGCAAGTTGGAAACCACGGAGAAGTGTCGCCCGCAACCTTCAACATCGCATGCGAATGCTAATAATTCTGTCAGTCAGAGGTCTGGTGTATTCCTCGGGGTAATTTTGAACTCACGCTTCTCGCCAGTGTGGCTGTACATGTGTGTTTGCAGAGATGAAGGACGAGTGAACCGCTTGTCGCAGACCTTGCACTTGTGCTTCTTCTGGGTGTTGGAGGGCATTTTCGAGCTGAATTGACTCATCATTGACTGGGGACCCGCCGGGTGCGCTACCAGCCAGAAGGCTGGCTGGTCTAGGAAGAGTCCGCGATTCATAGGACTCGGAGGTTGTGGAGCTGTAGTCGGTCACGGAGGAGTCAACAGAGCCCACGGAGGCACTGTAATAGGGATAGTTGCCGCCGGAGGAGATGGATGAGGCAGAGCTGTGCGCCGAAGGGAAACCATAGGAATCCGCAGAGCCTCGCGTGCCCCGAGGGCCGTAAATGTTGCGAGGAGTCATGTCCTGGCTGAGTGCCACCATTCCGCGGCTGGCGTCGAGCGCGTCGCCAAAGGTAGGAGTAGGGGCGGGTGCTGAAGAACCCACACGAGCATCTCTGTTACAATTCCTCTCATTAGAAGCAAGCCACCATCATCTGAGCATAGAGAGTACATACGAATGCGAAATGCGACGAGCGTCTTGAGGCTGGGACGGGTGAATCGGGGCGTAGCTAATTGGCGCATAGCTGGCTGGGGAGAAGCTGCTCATAGGTGGCGCAGTGGTGTAGGTCGGAGGCTGCTCGAAGCCAGTCCGCGGTACTTCGTGTTGCATTCCCATTACCTCGGGGCCGTAGCCAGTTGTGTAGCTGTTGCTGGGCACGAGTGAAGGTGCGGAGACAGGGATGCTGGGATAGGACATAGACATGGCGGCGGCGCGACTGACCTCCTCCTTGGGGTTGATCGGGAGGCTAATGCTGTTGCCCATGGAAGTCGCGTAGACGGGAGGAGTCGAGTGCGAAGTAGTGTGTGCGGCCCAGGGATCTGTGAATTGCGGTGGATTGTGGTGATAGACATTGTCGAAACCCATGCCGCCATAAGGGCGGTTTTGATTTTCCATTACCATCGTCATGGAGTCGGGGGCGCAAAGCGCAAAGTCGCGAGGAGATCCCACGCAAGTATGGAAGATCTGGTTGATGGCCCTCGTGTGAGCGAGAGGAAAGAGTTGATCGGCTTGTGTTGCGGGGGAGGAAAGGGTAATGGAGGTAGAGAGGTAGTAGAAAAGAGAAAGTGATAAGCCTCGAAGATCCAATAAATTTAATTCCAAGTGAAGAGAGAGAGGTCTGGGGAAGGGGATCGGCGAAGCTTAAGAAGGGACAAACACTATACTGAGGCACGATACTCCAGCGGCACGTCGTCAGTGGCACTGGAGACGGTGCAGATCGCTGGAAACAATACTGTAACGTTACCCTCTTTTTTTCGGGGTGGATTTTAATTTTGTTTTTATTATTTATTATTTCTATTTTTTTTTTTTTTCAAACTCCATTTCTCTTATTTCTCTTGTGCAGGATTGGAGCCATTGCTTAGTGCGAAAAGTGGTCCTCTCAACGGGAACCAGTTCCTCGGACCCCCTCTGACTTTTGGCTTTTTCCCTTGTTGCCTCGATCTATACCCGTCGAGGCTCTGATGAAGACTTGGGAATAAAAATATGAAAGATTCACCGTGACATGCTGTACGGCCCAAGAATGGAAGATCTGAAGAATCAAAAATTAGACGCGCTGCAAAATATGTGCCCAGCCACCAAAAATAAGTAACTGAGCAACTGGGCAAGTAGACTCCGTGATCGGGGAATGGCAAAGTGCCAAAAAGGCAATGCTGGCAAGGGAAAATCATGGGACCCCAAAAAGTCGATGGTGACCTCAGGGGAGGAAAATGAAGAAGAAGCGGGCAAGCGTAGCGGGCCAAAAAGTAAAGGGGAGGAAGAGAGACGGTAGGGGAATGTTCAGCTCCGGCACAGAGCCTAGCCGATTACTGCTCAGCCGTGCCGTGTCTGAGGCGCGCTATTCCTAACATGGCTTTGATGGCAAGAGACGAAAGGGACGCCAAGAAATAAACTCAAGATGCAGCGACCAAGGTTCGCTTTGAGGGTGTGTTTCAAGGTAGTGGGGAGAAAGGCGATCCCATACGTCAAAAGGGTATACCCGATGCCTACGGTAGTTAGATAGGGAGTTGCCACGCCTCCCTTTTTCTCCGATTCTTGTGAATAGGCCCTTTAGTAGTATTCACCTTTCCCTTCCCGGTAGTATTCCCACTATGGATCTGTCCCAACATCACAAGGATGGGATAAAAAAAAACAAAAGGAGTTGGGGGTTGACACTCATGGCCCAAGCAAACCCAAATGTGGTGAGGGGCCCACGGGGACAACCTCGGGTCCCTCATTATTGGCACACCGCAGGACCCTCCCGGGGGGCAAAAAGAGAAATCATAATAAAAGAGGTGACGATTCACACGCAGGGCTTTCAGCCATGTATGTGGGCGTGGAAATCAGTGGAAACCAGAGCAAAATAGAGGGGGCCTTTGACACGGGCCAAAGGTGGTTAGCGTGGGAGGACCTTACTTCAGATGTAAAGCCTCGATCAGAATTTATCGAATCAATAGACTCGAGCATTATTGATGCCTGCATTCTCCTCTCGACGGGAATTTGATCGGGTCTCCAAAAATGTGCTGACGTTGTCGTTCACAGGTGCATAGCTCTCGCGACCACTGTTTCACTCTCCTCTATGGATGAATAGACGTCCACACGTCGGACTTGCTCCGTCTATCCCCAACTAGAGAGAGCTAAACGGCGACGAAATATTTCCTCTTTCGTACTCCCATAGATGAAATCAAAAAGCGTGTGGAATGTCGGGGGTGGGTTTATTCCCGTTCCTTTTACCTTTTTTTTTTTGAATGCTGCAGGACGGCTCGGGACCCAGCCTGAACTATCTGCCGCCATGCGACCTGTATCACTGAGCGACTCATTCCTCGTATTTGGTATTTTGGCCAGCACGCATAGAGGCCAATGCCGACGTCAGAGAGCGGACCAACACATCCCGCCATGGAGACAGTAGCGGCGCGACTCCTGTAAAGACCGCGGTAGATGCGACCGGACCTACCTCGGACACATCACACAAGTCTCCCTAGCTCAGTGGAGTGACCCGTGGCGATGGAATCGAAGCCAAGATCCCCGAGATGGTGCAAATTCCCCGAGATGTTCGTGTGCGCTAAGCTTCCTGCACTGCGATCACAAGGCTCCGATCCGAAATAGAGGAAGCGAGGGAGGCTGAAGAAAGATACAGTAGTCCTTTTCCCCTCTTTTTTTTGTCTCTTTTGTGATATTAACTTTCGAACCATACTCTAATGATTACCGGGTCGCCGGGATGGCTGTTCCCACGAACTAGGGACTAAGAACTAGGGACTAGGCACTCACGATTCGGAACTAACACTGGAGGAACTACTCTCAAGTTAATGTGTCATCCTCTGAATTGACCACCAGACAGCCACCGCCACCGTGGAGAGCTATCGGAAATCACGCGTGATGGCTAAACCAGGGTCACATCCAAGAACTTGAGACCAACTACACCTCGAGCCGGCACTAGGGACTTGACCACATTGGCCTTCTCCGCATTCTGAACCAACCAGGGCCATGCCAGTAACGTCCCATGGTCAGCCTAGAGTTTTCAGGTTTTCCAGATCTTCCAGATCTTCCAGAGAAACGAACCCAAGCTGCGAACCGTATCTCGAACCGCCAAATGCGGAAAATCAAGGCGTTTCCACGGATCGACGAAGCGTGCCTCGAAGCCGCCCGTGGGTCAGCGACTACCGGACGCCCTCGAGCTTGAATTGGAGTAGCCGAAATACACTTCATTGTAGTCTACTCCAATTACCCGGATATCCATTTTGGGATATGGGATCTAGGGTATTCCGGATGTATCCAAGAGCCATCGTGGTTCCAAACCTGGAAAGCGGGTTCCTCAAAAAAGCTCATCTCGGTGTTTTTTTCCTGATCGCGTACTAGGGGGCAGCAGGCCTCCACATTAGATTTGCTAATCCGAGCAACGACCTTCAGCGTTGAGGCAGTGTAGTTTAACCCAGGCCGGACAACGCTGGTGCTATTCAGGTGCAGATGGAGTCGTGGGAAATTCGATACTCGCTCTCCATTATGCCCCCATGCCCATGTGCGAACGGAGCAAAACAAGCACTACGCTTGGCTCCATGCCGCGTCTGACCCACTCGCCTCCGGTCTTGATACTATGGCATCATTGCATCAAGGACTCGACGACCAAGCTGCACTGTGCAGAAGGGTGTCCAACAGTGCGTTTTGGACCATTTGAGACTATTTGCGACCCAGAATCAACTATCAGCTTGCCATGATAGACTATTGACTATCGACTATCGAGCCGATCAACGATGTACCCACCAGTGGCGGTAGCTCGCATTGCTTTACAGTTTACGGAAGCGGAGTGTGCCGGATCAGAGGCAGATCGAACACCACAAAGTGTATCTGCAGCCCACGACAGAAAACGGAGGTCCAAGCTTATAACACGGGACGAGTGGAGCATTTTGTGAAGGAGGCAACACGCCGTCGACTCCGCTGACCGCTTTGCACTACTCTTCTTTGGGCCCAGCGGCGTCTGTGACACGGCTCAATCCTTGGGGCGTTTGGGTCTTGAACCAAGACCATGGCCAAGGCCCAAGGACCAGAACCATGGCCATGGCCATGACGCATGTTGAACACTTATCATGGATTCTCCAAGATGGGCAAGTCTCCCCTTCCCCTCTCACCCCCTGGCCCAACGTGGCGTCCCATTCGGCCAACCCTCAATGTTTCCCGAAGATGGCGCTGAAAATTGGGCGGGAGAGAGGAGGGGGGGGGGTTAATTTTAAAGGGGCGGTCAACAGGCGCACAGAGGCTGCGAGTCGGATGAATACACTTTACACACCTGCGGGACACCCCCCGGACTACCAGTATCGACCTGTGTCCTGTATGTGATCAAATTCAGACGAGTTCGGAGTCCGTCTATGTACAACCCTCTCTGGGAGTCGATCACACGTTGGCGACATGGACGATCCAAAAAGGATCACCAGGAACCAGCCCTAGCAAGCAACGCATCCGCACCGGCTGTCATCTGCACGGGGCTCCGATCTTGGCGGTGTCCACACGGCAGATCGTCAGCGAGATTGTCCTCTAAATTCAAGGTTGACTTGGTCTCGGAATCTACAGAGCCTACATGACCTGTGTCATTTCCGCGTCTCATCGTGCAGACATTGATGTTTAGAGCCTATTCGTCAGTACAAGTGGAAATTCGGAAAATATCTCCTGGGATTCGGAATCTGGTCTTTCCCAATGGCAAACCCACCATTACCTCCTCTTTTCTATACATAGAACAGTTTCCTCAAGACCCATTCAGGAGGACCAGATTTTTGCCATCGCCGCATCACGTCTCAAGAGCTACGGATAATCTGGATAAATGCGCAAGACCCCCACGGAAACCCAGGATCTGAGGGACGCCCGAGAGGTATGATTGGGTACTCCCGATACCGGACCATTGGGGGCGCCCTCCGTATCGTTTACTGTACTGTCGTCTGGGGCCCACGTCCCGTGCAGACTTTGCTCCCAGGAAATTTTCACATCGAGTCTAGTCCACTCCACTTTGCACTTTCCAAGACGGCAGATAGTCGATAGCCGAGCTTGGGCACCGGGATCGGCCAATATTACCAAATTGGGTTGGCGGGCCCCTCCAAGAAGCTGACGCGTGCTTTGTCCCGTGCAGTGTCTTGCCCTGAATCGAGGGAAATGATGGAAGGGTTCCTGTGACCCGGGAGCGCATCAGGTTGGGTTGAGAGGGAATCAGTCGACGGATCCGGTTCCATTGATCTCGTCAATACCAGAAAGTGCCATCCTCGGGGTGAACTATCAAAACGAAGAAACTCTGTACAGAATGACGTGATGCGCGAATGATCCCCGCAAAGCCCGTTGGCCTGGTCCCCTAAGGGTTTAGTGCAGGAGGTCATGATCCCTGCGTGCGATCCTGGCCCGACTCCACCACGCTAACGACACTGCCACCCTCAGGGTCAACGCTAGACGACCTGAAACGCACCGGTCGGTGGATCGGAACAGCTCCTGGGAACTCTTGTCTCCAACCGTTCGAGATCTTGACCGGCGACTTCTAACCCTCCTGAGAATTGTTCAGCTCTTGACCTCCCCCAGCTGGTGCTGGTCCCCTTCTGCCAAATTCCTGACCCAAGTGCCCGATCGACTAGCTGACTAGTCGCCGGGACTCGATTCCCTAACCCCCCCCCTTCCTTCCTTCCCCTTCCCATTACGTACGGAGTCAAAGTGACCCGAACCGGTCTACCCACGGAGAACTTCGGGGCTGGCATTTTAGGTCATGTTCGCACAACTACACACGATTGACGCATTCCGGACTCCTTCTTCCGTTCTGGTGGCTTGCTTTGGCATCCCCCACCACCAAACCTTGCGGACCCCCCAGTGATTCCCAAGTTACGGTGTGCGCTGTTCATTCCCACATCCGCGTTAACCACTCGATTATCTTCTGTACACTTGCAGGAGCTCCAGCCTCTGGTCTCTTTTGGATCAGGCTTCCTCCCCCCCCCCTGCTCAAGGACGCACTTGCAGCTAGTGGAGTGTAATCTATGGCTTGGCTTATGTCACAGGCTGCCGGGAGGGGGCAGAGCCCTGAGCACTGGAGATTGTACTGTAGAATGTCTTGACATTGGAAACCCGCCAGGGTGATCCACCCCTCGCTGTCGTAGATGGGGCTGCAGGGTCTCTCCTTACCCGAAAAGAAAACCCTTGGCATCATGTTTTTGGGGTCATCTGTCGCTAATATCCGCTCACGTCTACTGTCCACGATCCGCGATCCACTAACCAAACTCTCCAAACTCCAAACTCCAAAATCCATTGTACCGGAAGTTGGCCTACCGAACCATGATCCCTATTCCTCATTCACGATTGGGTCATGCGTGCTGTCCCCAAGCTTCTCACATGAATCCGCGGCATCTCGCATAGAGAGCTTGACAGGTACACCCGTCTACGCAACCTGACGTCCACGTAAACACTTGTGTTGCCCCCACCCCCCACGAGTACCATCAACACATCAAGTCTAGAAAAAGTTGCACCCGGCCCAAACAGAAAAAAAAGCACCCGCACAGTGTCTCTATAGTGGAGCCCGCACCTCGGCGTCCATTTCCTGCATGTGCCACCGTGCCACCAACGCCTCCACGATCTCCGGATCTATGGAATTCTCCATGATCCACGGTCCTTGCAGCCCACGAAGGGCTCCATTGCTCTCTTCTGGAAGCCACTATCTCAGCCGTGTGCCGACGCCACCCCAAAACTATAACCAAGAGGGGAATTAAAGCAGAAAGAGAAAATTCCGAATACATCCATATCTAACCCTTAAAGAAAAAAAAAACAGGGGGAAAAAAAGGGGGAAAAAAAAAAAGGAAATTTAAACTCTAAACTATCATCTCCAGCGCCGCCCGAACGGGATGTACAGTAGACCCTGAATAAAGGGGGTCCCGGTGGTGGATGGTGGTGGAGGGGGAAAGCATGGAAGGGACCCAGTAGGGAGTCAAGTAAACGGGGTCTCCCCTTATCTCAGGGTCTGTGTGTACAGTATATTGTTTTTGCCTCACTCTCACTCCGATGGTCTACGCAGCTTGGGTCAAATCATGTTGTAGGGTGTACAGTATGAAACTGATACCGGAGTACTCATCTCCCATTCCCCGGTTCAGCAACGGCATAAGGGAGAAGGATCCTGTTCGAATAGTCTCAGGGGGAGGCTGTGTAGTTCATGTACATACTATGATCCCGTTGTACGGGATCTAGAATCTTAAAAACCCTCTCATGAAGAGCTCCTATACTCCATTTAGCCCATCTAGTAACTCAAATGAAGTACTATGTACTGTGATCACCACACAACTATACTACCTTACTATATGCAGAGGCCAGGACTGCTGCTAGTTTTTGCTTCCCTCCGCAATCTCATCGAAAAGCCTTAGAGTCGGATTAATTAAACCTGCAAAGCACAGACACAGACTAAACGCACGTCTGCCAATGTGTGAGTAAGGGTAAAAGAAAAAATATAGAAAATTAGTTAATACATCAATTAAGAAAAACGCCTATCTAGGAAAATCAAAAACTAAATAAATAAAGAATAAAATCAGTAAACCAGTAAAGTAGAAATGCAATAATTTAAAAAAAAAGAAAAGAAAAGGGTACCATCATTCAACAACTATTGGTCGGAACTCGTCGTGGGTTGAAATTTTTCGCGCATCAATTCCCCACAATTAAAGAAGGCGCGCCTGACATCCTATGGAGCCCTGCAGTCAGAGAGCTGACGCGGCCACATCCTTGGCCAAGCGTCACGGCAAGCTTAGGCATTTAACGCCTTGGCACACTTCCCTGGATGAACGCTTCTCCTGGAGATTACGTCCTTCACCCTGTGCTATTTTTGAGCGAGTGGCAAAACATGGAGCATTGGGAATAGGGGAGGCACCCCGGGGGGGTGTGGCAAGGTCACTTCCATCTTGTGAGGTCCTGTGATTTTTTTTTGATTTTTTGTTAACAATTTGGGTGGTCTTTGGGAGGTTAATTGCCAACCAGGTTTGTTCCTAGGGATTGTCCTTGTCAAGTTGTAGTGTATGGTGTGACTTCGGTCACTGGGTTCCAATGTTCCATTGGGTTTTCCATAATCCCAGGCTCGAATCTGCAAATCCCTCGACTTTTCTCGTGGCCCGGAGAGGAAGAAGATAGTCGTGATTGACATGATTGTCGATGAAGCAGCGATCGTTGCCCAATCGTCACCCTGTCACTATGAGCTTTGGCTATGGTTCTATGGTTCTATGGTTCTATGGTTTCCGGGGGCCCTGAAGGATCAGGAACGGTCGCGATCGTCTATGGATCAGGTACATAAAGTATATCGTGTCATGTCGATTGCAGGGCGTTCAATCTGTTTGATGCGACTGAATTAATCGCTTGGAATCAGATAAGGTTGTTTCTTAATTTCCATCTGACGCGGTGCAATATATCTCTGGCAGGAGATATTATTTGTATAGGGCTAGGATGTTCCAAAAAATACCTATCCACCAACATGCCTGAAGAAAACAATCCATCTGTTCACATCGAATGGTTGTTTGAGCGCCAGTACAGTCGGTACCAATCACAGGACTAGTCTCGTCGCCATCACCTAGGAATTTTCAAAATATATCGGCCGTCGTCGCTTGAAAAGGCTACAACAAATGCAGCCACCAGATGGTGCGACAACCACCGGCCCCATGGAGGTCCCCCGTAACGGTGCCCCGTATCATGTCGACGCCCTCCCCAAGAGCTAAAATCTGACGTGTTTCAGCCCCCCCTCAGGACACTCGGATTCCCGGGATCGCTCTCAAAAGTGTCAGCTTCCAAACGACAACCTGGTACATATAGAAGGCAAAAGCACCAATTGACCGGCCTACGAAGTAAAAGATTTTTGAAACCTTAGAATTAGCATTCCCTAGTGACTTTTGAAACTTGATATACAGTCCACCACGCCAAACGTCCTCATCCCTGCATGAAAAGAAAGCGAAAACGAAAGCAACCCCGGGAAGATAGTCATGCATGAGAAGAAACAGATCGGCGAAATACAGGGTCGTCCTTAGACGATAATAGACAACTCCGGACGGTCCAGGCCATCCTCCTCCAGGCTTGGGTAGTATGGGACCATCGCATCGGCTCCTTGCACGTAGGCATCGTTGTATAGGCGCCAATAAGGCGTCCGCACCTTGCGAGCGGGGTGGAATAAGCCCGCCCATACGTAGTTCATGACGACACCGGTACCAACGGACATGCGGATTGCGTCGATGGCTTCAATGATCCGGTCGATGACGTGGGGGCTAGTTTCGAAGATATTGGGGAAGATGAGGTTGAGGAGATGGAGCATGGCGTCTTCGCAGCCGAGACCGACGACGCCAAGCGCAATGTGCTTGACGACACTGGCAGCGGTCTGTCGGTGGACTTGGTCGCGATCGATGAGCGCATCCTCGAGCAGAGGGGTGACGGCGTAGACGTAGTCCTTGGCCATCTCGCCGATGTATTCGAACAAGAAGGACATGGCCTTGAGGACACCGTTTTGCACGTTAAGCTCGGGCACACGATATTCGTTCATCAAAGCCGGAAGAACGGTGAAGGGAGCGCAAGTCTCGGCGACGATACCGATCGCAACGGCTGTGCAAACACGAGACTGACGCTCCTGCACACGGAGGTTGTTGAGAAGGGTAGCTAGGACATCTTGGGGACCGATTGCCTTGGCGATGAAGCCGAAAGTGTTGTTGGCGGCTCGTCGAATACCCTTCTTGTGGGCCTTCAGCATATCGAGTAACTCGAAGCAGATACGCATCCATTCACGAGCGTTGACGGATTCGGGACCACGGTCGGCAATACGACCGACCAGGTCAATGGTATTTTCCTGCACCTTCTCGTGACGGTTTCGCAGAATGGGAGTAAGCCGAGGCAAGAGGTCACGGATAGGGGGCTGCATCTGGTTGATACCGACCACGGTGACGATGGATCGCAGAGCACCTAAGATTGAACCCAGCACCTCGGGGTACTCTTCACCCAAGTATTCGTAGAGCACGATACCAAGCTTGCCCATGAGGGCGTCTTCACCGCACTGCTTCATCACCATCGCAATACGTGAAATAAGATCTGCAGCCTGTTGTCTAACCGTCGCAGACTTGTTGTTCAACCGCCAAAGGATTGTACTGACAATCTGTGGAAGGTATGGCTTGCAGCGCGTGCTCAAAGCATTGACGACAGTGCCGAAGCCGTTCAGAATAATGATGTCTTCAATACTTTGCTCTTGGAATGCGTAGAGAACACCGTCAATAAGTCTCTCCTCTAGCCGCTCAGAGATATCTGCCGCTCCCAAAGAAGCGATCAATTTCTCGACAGTCTCAACAGTCATCTTGCGGTAAGGTTCACTCTCGTCTTTCAAGTTGTTCACAACCCGCTCAAGAATCTCGCCAACTCCGACCTTTTGGCCTAGATCGACAGTTGTGTCCACCACTTGTCGGTAGTTTCGTCGATCGAGAGCCATACGCCTAACCCAGAAACTCTTAAAGAAGTCTGTCAAAACGTGCTCCTTGAGGTAACCGGCGGTAACACCATCTGTGCTAGAGCACTGTGATACGACCTTTAGAACCACCTTCTTCATCTCCTCATCGGGAGATGAGAATTCGCGGAGAAGGATCTCCATGATCTGGCTGGTGTAGTAATTGGCATATTCCTCATCCATGAGAGGAATGATGTAGCCGACAGCCTTCAAGAACGCGGCAAGACCTTTGCCACGCTGCTTGCGGGCGCCAGTCCACAGAGGATTGAGGATCTCATCGAAGCTTTCGATACCGTAAGGGTTGGCGGCTTCGGCCAAAGCGGCCACAGCCAAAGCGGTGACGGTTCTAACCTTAGCCTGCTCATCGCTGAGATTGTCCGAAATGCAATCAACAAGGCCCTTGAGATGCGGAAGAATGGCACAACCCATCAGGATAGGAATTTGCTGAACAATCTTGACACCGGTGTGTCGAGCCTGCCATGACTTCTTGCTGCGACACACAGCACGAAGGAAGGGAAGAAGAGCTGGAATGCCAAGGGCAGAAGCGACAACAGCGAAAGCTCGGGCGGTAGTGTTTCGTACGTATTCGTCGACATGATCGATATCAGGTCGCATGGTACTGATCATAGTGGCGAGACCAGCAGCCTTGGAAAGGTTGGAGATAATTTCCCGACCTTCGACGCGGGCATAATAGTCTTGGTCGATAAGCAGTGGCTCAATGACGACCAAAATTTTATGGACATACGGACGGACCAAGTCGTCCAACTTGTAGAGCACTCGATCAATGACCTTGACTAACAAGTGACGCTCTTGATCCTCCAAAGACTTCTCCATGAGCAAAGGAAGAATTTGGTTGAAAAGAGGACCAGCTCCAAAGTTCCGCGCATTGTCGGTGAGCTGTCGCAAAGCTGTCTTTCGCATAGGTGGTGTACCGTTCTTGACCTTGAGCAGCAATCGCATGATCTTGCGCTCCTTCATCTCCTCAACAGTCATTGAACTCTCCTCACCAGCTTCCATAAGCTTTCCGAAGTAGGCCATATCCTCTGGCTTGAAGAATTGCAGCTCGCCAACACCAGGAATATCGGTCGGAAGCTCTTTGCCCATTGAGCGGATGCTCTCAGGCTCTTGCATCATGAAGCCTCCAACTTGACCCGCACCAGTCATAGGCACCGGTGTAGCCATCATCTTTCTGGCGGGGTTCCGAATTGGAGCATAGCCCGGAGGAGGATCAAGAATCTTGTAGCCCTCGGTAGGCAGCATCATGTCGAGTTCTTCATCGGACCAGGGGGCATTCCGGCCACTCAAGTCGGTTCCAAAGCTTGTGGGGACCATAGCCGCACCACCTTGTGATGGGTGCATAGGAGTGGCAAGCCCATCATGGCCGACAGGGGTTGCTGATGTGAGTGACGGTGCTTGGTCCCATCTCGAGCGGCGCTTGGTGCCCTCATCTCCTGGGGCAGGTGTCTCGTCCCATCGGGACCTCTTGGTCTTCGCCTCGACCTGCTCGCTTTCTGCTCCAGGAGCAGCTTCAGAAGAAACGTCCCAGCGCTTTTTACGTTTTCTGCCGGCGGAATCATCAGCGGTCGAGTCGGCCTGGCCGTCTTCCTTGGCGGTTTCCTCCATCTTCAGAGTAGCCTGGTGGTCAGAGACATCCTCGCCCCGCTCGCGTTTCTCAGCGATCAGCTTCTGGACGCGTTCTTCTTCTTTCTGAATTTCGCGCAGAGCCATGACCTCTCGGTAGGTCTGGCCATTTGAAGCCGCGTCGGCATCGGCGTTGGCAGCAAAGGGGTCGGCGCGCGTCGGAGTCAGACCACCGCGTTCAAATCGTCGCTTCTGATAATCGGTCTCACGATCAGCGATGCGCGCGGCCTTCTCGCGACCCAGGAGGATGTCCTCCTCCTCGACGCCATTTCCCTGTGCCATCTCATCGATTTGACTTCGGGTTGCGGTATACTGACCAACCAAGCTGTGGCCGCCGTTCGCATCTTCCATTTCTTCATCGTCGCCATTTACAGCGATGGAGGTATCATAGCCGCTGAACCTGTCCGCCCCTTCCCGTTCGTACAAAGTGGTATCAAAGGAGTCGGTAAGAGAGGCCTTGGTCGAATTGTCAGTGCGTTGACCGGATGGATCAAAGGTCCTAGAACCTTTCTTGCCAGAGGCAGCAGCATTGCGCTCCGCCTGGAGGCGCCGAACGGCTTCAATATCGGCTGTAGAGGTTGTTAGTACTGGGTCGCAGTGGGGAATACGTGAAGACCTACCGTCGGACATTGTGAAGCAGAGTCAGGTCAAATATGAGGGTTTGTATCGCGACGAATGGCTGGCAGCAGCTACATTCGAGTAAAGTACCGTTGGAACGGCAGCATCGATGGTGGGTAGCTCTTGCTGATGATCCGCGATGGAGTGGAAAATGCACGTCGCCAGCAAAGTCGCGCTAGTTGATGACTAAGAGATAACGACCACGTGACACCACAGCACGGAGATCACTTGTGAGTGTTCTGACATGTGATTTTCACTGCTTGGTCAGTCACTTGACACAGAAACTATCAAGAAGCTGGTATGAGAAATAGGGCTCAGGACTCGGTCCATGTTCCTGCGCATGGAATCATGATGCTTGAGCGGGGAACCCAGGATGCCTTACACGACGTTCGTGGCGCCTCGCGGGCGCTTAGAGACTATTTATGTCACACGTGAAGTGTATCAGCAGAGTGGCCTTAATTGAATTGCTATTTTGATATTCTGGAAAAGGTTATTTAATCCGGCATTCTATTGATAATGTGACCATGAAGAATGGATGTCCTCGTGGTCAACCTTATTTATCATTGCCTGCGCGTGCAGCATTCTAAAACGCTAGATTGCTCGTAAGATGTTGGCCATCTACAACTCCAAGCCTAGCATTGGAATGTGCCATGTGGTTCATATCCTCCAAGGCTGATTTAACACTGCCTCACTTAGATAGACAAACAAAGCTTTAGAGATTGTCCCGAATCCTTCCTGAGCTAATTTATTGTTAGACTTTCGTAGGTAACACTTTGTCGGCGGCTAGCATTAGACTGGGTCGGAGATGTAACATTTCATGGGCGAAGCAGTGTGGTAACATCGAACTTGGCTTCACATTGGCTGTTTTCCATGAGCTAAGAAATCCTTGTTGTAACGGCTAATCTCCGCCTCGCTAAGCTCTGATTTTGAGCCGGGAACCAACAAAGAGACCAACTTTCAGTGCCTATAGTTTGCTAGCTCCGAGATGTCGCCCCAGTTTGCCGGTGCATAGGAAGCTCGCCCCAAGGTTGGTACGTCTAGAGAGATTCTCGAACCATAGTTCGTCTTCGTAAGGTAGACTTATAGATTGATGCTCCCAGTCTCACGGTGATTGAGATAACACTTCTGTTGGCTCACAATCAAGCCTTGTGTGCTATTTCGAGGTGATATTCCCACCTGAAAATATATCTCCACAGTTGTTAGTCCGAATTTGAAAATCATCTGAGCTCTGAAGGTTTCACTTATTTGTGGAGGAGGCCCCTACGTGTTTCTCATTTTGTGCTTGGGACCCTCTAACTTGGACTTCTCCTTCTCAACACTTCTATTACTACGAGTCAGTCTTCCGAAAAAGCATCACCACTCGATTAAAGGAAGAGACTTTCCACCTGGGCATAATCATGCACAGCATTTTATTCGTTGCACTCGTCTTGGCCACGAGCCTGACTGGAGTCTCTGCCCTCCCTGGCCCTCTACGACTTGCCAATGCGTTTTCTCTTATCTCCAACGAGCTCAGAAACACTAGCCTTGGGAACTGCACCTTGGCGAATGCAAACCTCCCGTTGAGCTACACCAAGATCGTGCTCCCTGATCCGTCATCGCATCTGACTCTTAAGTACATTGCCGTGGGTCGCGGAACTCAAAACTACTCTTGCCCATCTACGGATAAATTTTTCCGAGACAAGGCTGCTCCCACAGCAATAGGTGCAGCAGCCACTCTTTTCGATACTTCCTGTGTTGCTTCCACCTCAATGACTCTGCTTCATGAGCTTCCTGCGGTTGCTGCCCGCACTCCTCTAGGATCTCTATCTTTTATGGCGGAGATGGTGAGCAGTACGACAAATTCTTCTGACCTTATCATTGGTGAACATTATTTCGATGCCGCTGGCGAGCCTTTCTTCACCTTGAAACTTGGTGGGGATGATGACTGGATGGTTGGCGAGAAGAATGCATCGGTCTCAGCTCCAGCAAGGGTGTATGGCCCCAAGCCTGAGAGCAAAGATGTTGCTTGGCTGCGACTTGTGCGCAAGAAGGGGAAAGGTATCCAAGTGAGTATCTTGTGGACTAACATAACCACAATAAGATATTTGCTGACCGAATACGAGGAGGTTTATCGAGTTGTGACTTTTGGAGGAAGTGCCCCGTCGACCTGTGCTGGCTTGGACGATACTGTCATCGTAGAGTACGCTGCTGAGTACTGGTTTTATGGATGATCCGACCAGCTGGGCAGTAATGCCTTAATCAGAAGCTTCTTTGACTTCCAAAGAGCATATTAGAGTGGCTCCATACATGTTCTGATATGTCGACTGTCTATAGTCTTGGATTAAGAATAATCTGGCTTTCATCACTATGACTAAATCATGACCTCTGAGTATCGACTTAGAGAACAATTTTTACCATATAACGATCAAACAATGTTGATAGTTGAGATTCTCATGCGTGCTTTGAATATTTAAAGTGATATACAAGCTTACAAGCCCCGACGCTGAAGCCACTAGCTCCCAGGTAGTTCAAAGCAACACCATGGCGTGGCGATTTATCAAGTCTCAAAAGCTGTACCATTTTGAAAGCTCACTAGACTCCCAGTCCATCAGTACCCAGTCAAGTTGACTCAAGTCAACCTCGGACGGGAGATTTCCAAGTCGGTCCGGCCCAGCTCCTGCAAACTCGTTCGACCCTTCACCAAATGACAAGCCGTGACCATCGGATTCCATAGGCATTGGTATGGGCATGGAAAAATCATCGATACTCACGGAGTCATGGAATTTGGCGTTATCATCACTTGTACCTTGGGAAATTCCAGATTTTTCGGCCATACCATCCTGCACGTAAGAGACGATTCTCGGGGGAACTGGGAAATTACCTGACTCCTTGAATCTTGCCTGGTACATATCCCAAGCCGGAAGAACCAGTCTGGTGAATATTTTGAAAAGTGGGCTGGTTATGGGTTGAGAGAAATCAAATCGAGCCTCGAAATTATCACTCATCACTTCCCAGGCCTTTTCAGCCTGGTTGTGAGTAGGCCTCCTTTTAAGATCCTGCAGCAGGTGGATATAAGCTGGAAGGGGGAAATAAAAAGACATGTGCCAGGTGTATCTTCTAGTAAGAGGCGAAGTCATGATCTTAGTGTCACTCTCGAGCATCTCCACTGCATAGAAGACGGCAAAGTCACGCTGCCTTTCGGTTTGCTCCAAGGACGAGCCCAAGATTCTTGAATAGTGTTCCACAAGCCGGCATTTTGCAATGAAATTTCGCGTTGTCCAGATAGTCATGTAGTGAAGTGGATTTTCTGCATTACAGAACTTGAGGTATTTCTCCTCGATCATGCTTTCCAAACCATTCAATTCACTATGTTCAGGACTGAGGCGTTGCTGGGCATCGCTGACGCCAGAGGCAAAGTTCGGACTGTGAGAATCGAGATGAAACTTGGCATGGCGAACGAACTCGCAAAGCTCGCTACGGACGACAACGAAAAGCGCCTCGCTTGTTGTGTTCATGACAAGTGGGGCTCTTTTCATCTCTGATCGAAGGTCGGCATCGTTCACGTTGAGGGGGGGTTTGCAATCCCAGGTAGGAGCAAGTGCAGCGTTTCTGTAATCGGCTAATTCACCGATGCGAGTGTCGAAGATTTTGAATGACCACCAGAGTCGCCTGGCCATTTCAGCTTCAATAGGGTTATACTTCATACAAGCTGCTTCGCTATGAATCCTCATGCGGTATGCGATTCGCATGGCTATGCCAAGCATAGATGACATAGAGCGAGGATCTGTGCTGCGTCCGATGGACACAAGGAAAAGGTAAAACGCGGTCAGGCATTCGCGATCACCGGTTCGCAAATACCCACAATTCAGCAGCGCTTGTTGACAACCGAATTGGTATTTTGTCAGAAGCTCTTCCCTAGATGATTCAAAAGCATCATTACATTCACCGGCTGTGAGACTCATGATCGCAATGGAGTATATGGCGAACAAGAGTGCCTCAAAAGTGGAGCTGATACCAGACAAGTTGCTGGCTGCTTGAATCAGGCGACTCTGCAGACTAGGTGTATGGGTGACTTTGAGCAAAGGGTCGACATTGTCCAGGTAAGTTTGCCAAAGCCGAAATAATTGAACGGGCTCGGGGTGAAGAGTAGAAAGTTCAACTGCTTTCTTGCGCGAACCAAACAGTAGAAGATTGTCCTGATCAGCAAAAAGTTGATCCCATGCCCTCTTCAATCCATTCTGGGTCACTTCGTCATGTGAGGATTCGCTATCATTGGCATGTTGTGGGGACTGTCTTGTTCATTAGTAAAATATTTTTTGGGAGTTGAACAGGAAATCATCATACGCCTTGTGATGTCATAGCATACCACAAATCCCTGGGATGGTCAACAACGTGTAGATACTTACGCATAGAAAAAAAAGATCATGCATACATGGGTTCAGGTGGCTCTTGAGGCTTTTCAGATGTCGCCAAAGATGGAGGGCCTTGGCTCATCGAGTTTGGTTGCCCATCGTCTGTGGCATGACCACTTGCTACTCTGGAAGTCTGACTGATCCCAGAGCTGTCTTGATGGAGTGGATCGAATGGAACCTTGTTCCGGCAGAGTAAATCCTCATACTTGCGGATCCGTTCTAGAAGCTCCCGCTCGGGAAACCGGCGCTTTCGCTGCTGTGGATTCAGCGCTGCTGGGATACACTCTGCCTTGAACTTCAGGCAGTTTGCACAAGGAAACTTCCGATCGCATTTGACTTTGCGCTGCTGACAGAGCACGCAGGCAAGTGGACGTCGAGAATTTGAAGGTCGGAAGGATGCTGAGGGTGGGGCAGATCGTGGGCTAAACTTAGAACCGGGAGACAGACTTGACATACTGTCTACAGCTGAGGGCCATTTACAACAACTTGCTGCACTTCCTCTGATCACGAATCCCGTGTCGTATGCAAAAGAAGCCCTGAAGCCGGGGTTGCAGTTCGGGAAATCCTAAGACCCGAGAGGTGAGGCGTGGTCGCATCATGTGACATTCGGGGACATCTAATGCCCGAGGACGCACCCATTTCTGACAGCGACTGAAATAAGTATAAAAAGCGCTTATTTTCAGTTTTTGGTTGGGTTGAATTCATATCACCTGTCCAAAACTTCATCTGTCGAAGAGATCTCATTTCGATAGCAAGTCGATTGATCAAATTGGCGGCTACCTTCTTGCATCTATACACCTGCTGAACCCGTCCATACCATGTCTTCTCCACCAAGAATTGCGATTGTCGGTGGCGGTCCCGGTGGACTAACTGTTGGCCTCCTGCTCCATCAAAATGGGATCAAGTCTACTATATATGAGCTCCGTCAAAAGCTCACCGACGAAGAACTCGCCAAGCCTTCCGGTATGCTTGACCTCCATGACGAATCAGGTCTTGCTGCCCTCAGAGAGTGTGGGCTATACAATCGATTCCTCCAGCTCACTGGCGAGTGCTCAGAGGCACAAAAGGTCTCTGATAAAGATGGGAATATTATACATGAGGACGACGGAGAGCTGAGTGAACGGCCTGAAATTTCCCGTCATTCTCTCATGAAGCTCTTGAGTTCGCATGTACCAGCCGAAAACATCAAATATGGCCACAAGCTCTTCTCAGCCACAGGTATAACCACGCAGAATGGCACCGAGACACAACTAGACTTTGGTCCCAATGGCAAAGAGCGATTCGATTTAGTAATCGGAGCCGATGGTGCTTGGTCTCAGGTTCGCAACATGCTATCAGACATCAAACCTCAATACGCTGGAATACAGTGTATTGCCACCACATTCGGCATATTTCGACAAAATTTCCACATCTGGCAGACTTTGTTGGGCGAGGCAGCTTCTCCGCGCTTGGCTTCCGACACGGCGTCATGTCTCAGCGCGGGTCACAAGACTCAGCTCGCATCTACATCTTCCTGACAACTGCAGATGAGCACCTCTCAACCTCAGCAGGAATGGAGGATCAGCCTGCTTCAGCTGCAAAGGAATCTCTTCTGAACAATAACGAACTCCTTGGACAATTTGGTCCTAAGATCAAGGAGCTGGTTACTGTTGCATGCGACGAAGAGACAAATGACAATCCGGGGTCTGTGGTGGATATCAAGCCGATGTACACACTGCCAATTGATGTTTCATGGAATCACAACCCAAACGCAACATTAGTCGGAGATGCTGCGCACTTAATGTGTCCCTGGGCTGGTGAAGGAGTCAACCTCGCAATGTGGGATTCACTCTTGCTATCTCATGCCATCATCAAGGCTCACAATGCATCAATGGACAGACAAATCTCATTCCAATCTGCGCTGGATCCATTGATGAAGGATTTCGAGGATGAGATGTTCGTGCGCTCAAAGGAAAAGGCGGAGGAGACTTATAACAACGGCCAGATGATGTTTGGAGAGGATGGAGCCACGGCATTCAGGGATTTCTTCCAAGCAATATATGGTCATTTGAAGGGAGAGGAAAGGTAGTCGTGTTGAAAAATTCTCAAAACTGCATCATCTGCTTGTCTTGAGAGAAAGCGCTCTCTTTGGCATTTGGATAGATGCTATGGAAGATCGCATATTTTCCACCGCGAAAAGTTTCCACCTTGTTGTAGAAGTTCAGAAGCATTCGTAAGAGTGAAATGATGAGCTGATACCAAACAAATAACGCTTACGGCGAAGGGGCAGCCACGAAAGTCGTTGACCTAGGGCTTTGACATCATTGCTCTAAATAAATACGCGATTCTACGAATCGTCTTCTCGACCTTCTATTTGAGATTCGGCTTTACAAAAGGCGCCAGACGCATCCTTATGCTGTCGCAGAGTCACTGAAGTCACAGCAGCAGGTTCTCCAGGTGCAAGCGTTGTTTGATACTGGTAACGCCTTCAAAGACATGACAAGAAGATCAGTATTCCCCACTCGCAAGACGCATGTAGCGCCGCGGGTTGACTCGCTACTGTTCTCTGCAGGACTGAAAATAAAAGCTCGAGTGTTAGACACCCAGCTGCCAAATGAAGCAGGCTGCTGGTATGACACGGATTTGTGGCTTTCCTAACCAGCCTCTCTGGCCAAGATCGGGTTCAGCAGAGACTTAGATGTTCAGCTCAAATTCCGGGTCTATATCTCTATACATAGAATCTGTCAATGGCAGCCGGTCCCACGTCCAGTGATCCGATCAAGTTGAATTTAAGCCTCAGGCCACAAGTGGGGCCCAAGGCACAATGCGCAGTGCATGCATAGGCCCGGCGCTCCACACCAGCGAGGCCTCAGCTATAGCTGGTCGGACAGTTGGCAAAGATGACTCACAGACAAGGATAGCGCAGAGTTTTTGGCGAATTAAGCTCAGCTTGGCAATTCAGAATTTAGCTAACGTGGTGCTTGGACCGATGCACGGAGAATTTGGTAGCTGTCAGTGGATTTTGCTAATTTTGTGCGTACAGAATCAAAATAGATCTGATCCGTGCCTGGCCTTTTTTTTTCAGAGCCAATGAAAGATGGATGGTCCAGGCAGACCTCTAGTCGGAGGCACCGAGATTTGCATTCGTCAGTCACTGGTCAGTTCAAATGTCTGTAGCCATTCATCGTTTGGCTGGATTTTGCCACCTGCATCCTGCCCGGTAGAACGGTGAACAGAATCTGCCTTGTAATTGTGACCACGCCACGGAGACAAGGATAGTGGAAGTGTGCAAAGTCACTGTCAAAGAGAGAAACAAAGACGGGGGCCATGTCGATGTGGCTGTGGCTGTGGAGATCACGTGCAAGGGCCTTGAACACGCCTCAGGGTCGCGTCCTCATCCTCAGCTCTACGTCCATCCAATTCCATCCAATCCTAACTTTCGCATCTGTCGCATGATGATTGCCGATTGCCTCTAATACTATCGAAATTCATCAGACCCACTTGAACCCCTTCAATCCACACCCAGCCAAGTACCCTTCGCATACCGCAACGCATCCCCCCACAGAAATGGCCACCGACTACAGCAAAAAGACCAATGCCGATCTGGTCGAGATCTTGAAGGCTCGATCCCTCCCCCACACTGGAAAGAAGGCCGACTTGGTCGCCCGACTCCAGCAAGATGATGAGAAGAACTCATCAACTCCCACTGCCAAGACCGACGCGGCAGAGGACGTGATCGATTGGGATGACGATGTTCCCGCGGAGAAGCCATCGACTGAGGCAGGTGCCAAAGCCATTGCTGCTGGCGGCAAGGGCCCAGTCGCCAACCCCGTTGCTGTGCCCAACCAGAAACTCGATATCGATCCTGCTACCACCGAGGAGCTCAAGGTGGAATCAACCGGCGCCGTCGCCGAGACTGGCGAGAACCCCGCAGCTGCGATTGAAGTCGAGCAGAAGCCGGCCGTCGATTATACCAAGGGTCTCCCCACCACTGATCTTGAGGCGGAGCTGGCGAAGCGCAAAGCTCGTGCTGCCAAGTTCGGCATTGTCGAGGATGAGGCAACTGCTGTGAAGGAGGCGGAGAAGCAGTTGGAGCGCGCAAAGCGATTCGGCACCGGCGCTGCCGAGTCCACCGCCGCTGTTGGTGTCAAGGGTCTTGACGAAGCCCTACCGGAGAAGTCCCGCAAGAGAGGCCGTACTGAGCAGGGTGGACGTGGAGGCAAGCGACGTGACCAGGGCCGCGACCACAACCGAGGCAACCAAGGCAACGCGGGCCGCCAGGGCAACCAGAACCGAAATGCCGGGAACAAGGGTAGAAATGGCGGTGGAAGCAAGGCGCCGAGTGGACAGCCGAGTAGCTTCAGTGAGCAAGATATCGCTGCGATGGAAGCTCGCAAAAAGCGTTTCGCAACCGCCGCATAGATGCGGAGTTTTGCTCTTGATGTACACCATATGACATGGAATTTCTACTTTTTACGTATCGGGATCTTTACGGGCGTTCGTGCTGAGATGGTATCTGGGTCAATCAGTCAAGTCGAATTCATTCACACCGTTGATTCGGCGATCATGTCCATTAGTAGCGGAATTGTGCTACGAATCGTGTCATCGAAACAGCGAGTACTTATCAGTAGGAGTACTTGATAGAAGCATAGTGAGAGACTCAACGCGAGGCTCGTAGACCCCGCGCGCGCAGTCAGCTGAAAGGTGCATTAGCCTCTGGTTCCTGCAGCGTAGATGCTGACCAGTGTAGTTTCCAAACGGGACCTCCGATTGCCCCTCCAGATCGGCACAGCAAGATCGACGAACTCATTAAGACCGGAGGAGTCCCGTGTATTGCCGTGGGTGTCAACGAGTAGGAGAAGCGCCGCCGACAGTCTACTGGTGTGCTCGGGACCCTTCTCTCGAAACAGTTACCGCCAGTCTCCACAGGGTACAGGACCCCTGCAGCGAATGGAAGCTCCTCAGTCGCTTTTTTTAGATGGTGGCTGATGGCACTAGGAAGTCGAGAAGCGGCAGCGACGTCAATGAGAGCGCAGAAGGGCGTTGTTGCTGGGTCAGTGTGGAGCCAGGCGAGTACCTGTGCCCCGTCCAACCCCACTGTAGCAGTCCCGAACCGGGTCCAAGTATAGACTAGGGACGAGTCACTGACTTGAATAGGCATCTCACTGGTTGCATCTCGAGATGAAATGACTGCGCTTTTGGGAATGAGGCAGAACCCTACTATGTCTATGTTTGGAGCCAATTTTGGGGCCATGTTGGGGCCATTTCGTGCGGTACCCTTGGTTGAAAGGTTCGGGACGGGCCTTTGTACCAGACTCTGGATAACGGCTTGAATGTCTTAGGTGAGACCTGTCATGTTGTAGTTTCACCTGGACTCCTTAAGCCTACCTCGTACAAAGTACCCATCACATAGTCACAGAGTACGCCTACGTTTGGTCGTTATAGGGCAGAGATCGTCGAGCGTCACGTTACAATGAGCGATGAAGAATCTGCAGTACTGCGCACGACCCCTGGCACGTTGGGAAATTCTCCGAGCCCGTCGATTGTGACGAATATAGACGTGAAAAAGCAAAATGCACTTTGGGGCGGATCGACAGTGCAGTCAGATCGCGTTCGGCGTCCCCGATCGATGAGTTGTCAACGAGGCGACACACACGCGGTGTCCTCTGCGCTCTCCGCTCCCGACGCCCACCCTCTGATGCGGCATCTATAGGTACGGAGAGACTGACCTGGACGCTCAGCTACAATCCACAGCTGGTCCATGTTTGCACGGTGTTCTCAGGATTCGTGGGATTGAAGCCCATCCAAAAAAGGGAAGACGCGGGAAGTGCCTCACGCCACGGCTGCAGCCTGTCATGTTGTGTTCAATCAACTCCGTGGATAGCCATCCGATGCCCAGAACACCGGGGTTCAAGGTTTCACCGGGGACAGACTCGCGGTGGACCGGCTTCGATTCCCCAAGCGGGCTTCCGTGCGCGAGAGAAAGAAACGTGATAGGATTGACTCTGAGCGTAGGGCTTTCTGGGGCCGTTGGCACAATCCCGTTGTGGTTTTCAATCTAGGCGCCTCCGTCTTGACTCGTCACAAGTAGTCACAATCCGTACATCCAATGGCTGCCTCCGGCTCCGGCTTCTCTCATTATCAGGACCACCGTCAATCGCACAAACCTATGATGCTCCTTAGTCGTGTTTGATATGCGTAGAGAGGCTTTCTTCGTAATCCCCCCCCCCCCACAATGAGAGGGGAAACCCCGAGTCAGCAAATACAAAAACTCCGTGTCTCGGTTGACTACGCGAGATCCCTGACCATTTCCTTTTCTTTCTGATCCTGATATTTTGCCTTTCACCGCCAGGTGACTATTTTTTGTTCGCATCATTTTTAGACGTTGGGCTCGTATGGAGCTACCTCTGACGTGGCCGAGGCTAGTTGGTAATCTTGAGATTCGGTGCGCCACTGCTCCAGACTGTGGCGAAGCAGCTGCAGCTTGGCCGATCAGCCAGAGTGGGTGACATTTCAACATTTATCTACCTGACACCAGCTGTTATTCTTGCTCTACTCATTCTGCATAATGACTCATTAATCTTCATTAATCATATCGTTTGATAGTTGGCGTTGAATGCCTTGAGATACCCTTATCGCGAACTCGTTACCCACTTCATTACTATTAATTATTGCGTCCTGGAGACCACAGCCCACAAAAGAAGTAATGAGATTTATGATGTGAGTTGGTCTTAGCAATTTGCTTCACAGTTTGCACTGATGGACTTGGCTGTCTAGTGCCTTTCCTTTGATACCTCTTCGTACGCTATGATTACACTTGGAACGCACATGTACACACTCGACTCTTCGTCCCAACATTGGAGTCGAAGACTTCCTACGTCGCACCATGTCTTTGTACAATGACGGTGGCCTTCAAATGCCACAAAACGATCCCTTCTCGGATTTTTCAGAAGTATCACAACCAGGGACCGCCAACCCTGGTGGCGCCTATGCGCCTCGAGTTCCACGGTCACAAATTGCAAGACCAGTCAATTATACGTCTCAAAGAAGCCGCGCATCATCAGTCTCAGTTGCAGATGAGATTGGTCCAATGGTGGCACCGGTTTCTCGGCCTGCTAGCCGATCAAGTCGCCGGTCATCGATGCTGCCACGCCCAAGTACTGCTGGTTCATTACCTTCAGTATCTCCGGCACCGTCTGCATCCCCACAAATCCACACACGGTCTGTTCCATCATCACTTTCTACCGCTGAAATTACCAGTCTACCTCCTTTGCCACCAACATATCACGCGCCACCTCCCGTCAAACGACCCCGCAATGTGCTACGCCGGAGGGCTGCAACAATAGGGAAAAATGCGGACCCAACTCAATCACGGAAACTTAGCCTTGTCATTCCACCGTCAGAATCAGATGATATGAAAGACCCTCGATGGCCTACCTTTGGGGATGCGGACTCAGCCGGTCCGGCAGTGTCTTCGGCCGGCTCCAAAGAATCGGAAACATCGACAATCGGGCCAGCAGAACTAGCAAGCCTTCGTACCATTATCGACACAAAAAATCTTCCTCCGCCGGTTACACCATTCTTTCCCTCTGCGAGCACTCCGTCAACTCGCTATTCGGAATCACCGGGGGTATGGAGTCGTGGCTCAACGCCTACCTCGCTTTCTTCATATTCCCCTGGGATCACGCATCCAAGCAAGATTGGCCGGCTGAGACAACCTAGTCCTTCCCATACCCGAATCCCTATTTTTACTCCTCCAACTGCCTATCCAAGTCCACTGAGCGCTTCGAGTGACAGGTCAGATGCAAAATTACCAAGATCAGCGATTCCTCAAAGATCTCTTGGCCCGAGCCCAAGCCCCGGTGCCGGTACCAATGCGAGCACTCAGAGCAAGCTCAGTGCCCGGTCTATTCCAACAAAGATTCAGGCAACTCCTCCAATTCCGCCAGTAAGAAAGTCATCCGTGAATTTCAGTCCGTCAAAAAAATCCGAGATCGATGTTGAACAGGCCAGGAGAGAAGTGGAGGAGGCAGAGCGAGAACTCTTCAGTTCTCATACAACCCCTGCCTCCTTGACAACTGATGCAATTCTGCCAAAGACCCCGCCTCGACCGAGCAGAGATGGGACACATCAATTGGATTTAGAGACTTCTCCTGTGATTCGCAGCAATCTGCCATATCTGAATTCCACGGGCCACAAAAGGCGAGAGTCTGCAGAGAGAGCCCTAGCCTCTGGCAGGCCTAGTCCAATGCCAAATCCATCAGCCGCCACCTCCATGGATTCCGTACGCTCCAAGGACTTATCGCGAATTGCTTCGCGGGAAGCAGACTCTCCTGTGTTATCTCGCAAATCACCCAAAACACTGGCCAAGGAGCCTCCAAAGGACAAGACAGATTCAAAGAAGACTGCCGCGCCGAAGCGTTTCGGGATTTTCCCAAAGAAGTCCAAGCCAGACATGGATGAAGTCTCCGTCGACCCAACTCGACCTGCCCGCAAAGGTCCGGCCGCAGGAACCGGTCACGAAGGATACGGCAAATATGGCCAACGCGGAAGAAAGTCAAGTGCTGGCAGTAGTGGCACTCGTACCAGATCAACCAGTACAACTCGAAGTGGACCACAATCTGTTGCTAGTAGCAAGGGAAGCATGTCGAGTCGACCGGATCTTGGTCTTGACGATTTTCTCTTAAGTCGCTTGGAACCCGTCTATATTAGTGGCGGGGGATTCGACGGCGCGACTCTTTCACGCAGCCAGAGCGAGCTGAGCATGAGCAGTCTCAGCGTGACATCTTCCAACCCCCCACAGCAGACAGCGCTTACATCTTCTACCTTTCAATCGACTGAGTCATTGGCAACATCGACTGGTACATTCGGTGAAAAGACACCTAGCGAGTCAAGCACTACTTTGGCACTTAGTCGAACTAAGAGCCCCGAAAAGAAGGTTGTTGTCTCTGAGCGCCGTCACGCCCCCATATCACGCATGCCAGTCCCCAAAGGCAAGAAGAGCGAGCTATTAACCAATCACGAAGCTGCTGCAACTAAGACATCTCTCACTGGCCCTTACTTAGGTTCTGCGTCTACGCAGAAGCCAGAACCAACCCTGACTGAAAGGTCCAATCGTTCTGCCAAGTCTCAAGAGTCCACAACACAGCAAGAGCAGTCCCCCAAGAAGGGAAAGCCATCTCGATGGAATTTATTCCAACGAAATCGCACCTGTCAGCCCAACAATCCGACTCAAACTCCCACGCCGGTCTCCCACGCCGGCCAACTTCATGCTGCGATCGCTCCTGTTCTCAACAACCGGTCTGTTCCACACTATGCATTTGTTGATACAGATTCAGACGAGCTCGACGACATACTCAACAGAGTGGAAGCCTCTCCGCCAACAGAAGAAGAGGAAGTTCTTGTTTTGCCGGCTGTGCCGGCTGGCCTGAACATCAAGAAAAGGCACACGTCCATCTTGCTCCCATCGCCACCTAAGCTACATGGCGAGTTTGAGAAAGAAGATCGTCCTTCCCCACGTACCGCGATGTTCAACCGCAACCTGATGGGCCCAGAGCCGGAGAGTAGCCCTGAAGACCGTCGTCCAAGACGGTTAGCATCCGTGGGTCGAATTCCTCCTGTGGTCTCGAGACGTGATCGCCAGCACAAACCTCCCATGCACTCATTCTCTCGGCCGTTCAGCGTAGCTGAATCCCCGTCACTCGTGGCCCCTACATGGGAAGGATCCAGCGAACACCCGATCTCCACCGTGTCGCCTGGCAACCCGACTAGCCAGTCAATGGATTGGGGATTTGGCCCCAGTCAAGCCTTCAAAAGTCCCGAAAGGGCTGCTTTGGACTTGCTGTCTGGTCCGTACTCGGGAAATGAATTTCTTCAATTCTCTCCCCGCAACGGGTCTCAGTCGTCCAGCAGCTCGGGAGCCTTGGCGGCAATTACAGCAGTTGTTCCGCCTCTTCATACCGCACCCACTGAAGATGAGGTCTGGAACGAGTTTGATGATCTTATCGACCACGTTCTCTCTCCAGAGGAGCCAAAGTCTGAAGAGGCAGCTGTTCCGGAAGAGGAAGGGAAGTTCGAGCTTGCCAATATGGCACACAAGGCTCTGCAGGATGAGTTAAATAGCAAAGTTCCCCGAACGGCGATTTCCAACCCCAACGAAACCTCGATCCGTGACAGTGGTGAATCCGTTCGTCTTCGACGTTCTCGGATTGTCTCGGCTCTGCACTCGCCTCTCGTCCCCTCGACTCAGCCGTCTTATAGTGATCTCATCTCCAGTTATGGGCATTTCAGCGACGAGAACCTGAATAGCCCTTCTATTATTGTGAAAGCTCCCTTGGATCAGATTCGTGAGCAACAGTCTGAATTCCTTCAATCTCTGGCTACGGTGCCGACTCCAACCAAGTTAAAATCATCTGATCACCGGAAATCCATCCCATGTTCCGCGGAGCGTGATTGGGATGCTGTGACTCATACAAACATGCGATCTGCTTCCCTGATGACTAGCCGCTGGTTGTCCTTTGGACGAGTTCTATTCAGTCCAGCTCACAACCACGTAAAAAGTGGGACGCATGGGCGAATTCTTGTGATCGACGGGCTCGGTAACGATGATTGGTCTTTCTATTGCTCATTAACCTATCCCGATGCCGAGATATACAGCTTGAGTGGTAGACCAGTCTCCACTGCGCTTCCACATCCCGCAGCATGGCAACCTCCCACGAACCATCACACAGTTTACCACGCCGGGCTGCACAAACCACTGCCTTTCCCAAAGGACTACTTCACCGTTGCCGTCTTGCGTTTCCCCGTCGCAAGTGCCGAGCATGTCCAAAGGAATATCATCCAGGAATGCAAGCGCGTCCTTCGCACCGGAGGCTACCTAGAGATGAGCATTTTAGACCGCGACATGGTGAATATGGGAGCGCGCGCACGCAAAGCCGTTCGGCGCCTCAAAGAACAGACCTACCTCTCCAACTCAGCCATTAGCCTCAAGCCAACCAGTGACCTCGTTCAGCGCCTCGTCGGCAATGAAGGCTTCGACAATCTCCGCCGATGCATGGTCCGCATCCCCGTAGCAGGAATGGTTATCCGATCATCCAACTCAACAACCTCCTCCTCCAATCGCTCCCTCTCCGCAACTGGCACCACCGCCTCAACGGGCTTCTCAGCTCCCGCCATCTCCGTCACAACGACAGGAAGCCAAAGCACAAACCCAACCTCGAAATCCTCGCCTCTAGAAGAACATCTATCCTTAGGCGACCTTCTCTCCGACCCTTCCCCATCCGCTGCAAATGACGAGTCGATTGCTAAGATCGTCGCTCGTGTCGGCCGCTGGTGGTATACGAAATGCTACGAAAATCCCGTCCTCCCAGATACCGGCGACAACGATCGTAGCATGTGGAATGATCGCAAGGTGTTGCGCGAGTGCCAGAAACGGGGCAGTGGGTTCCGCATGCTGATCGCCTATGCGCAGAAGCCTAGCGAGCCTAAGCGACGCACTGCTAGTGTCTGATACTGGGATCACTTGATATGATTTCCTTGATGATGTCCATGATGCTTCTTTGCATGCTTTCGATACATGCCCCATTTTTTTTTTTATTTTTTATTTTTTATTTTTTATTTTTTTGGTTTTGTTTCTTTTGTTGAGACTTGTTCCTGGGAGCGCATTTGGAGAGGCATTCTATGTGTTTCAGAACTGCATTGACCTCGCGGTCTCTATTGCGAATAATATATCATGGTTACGGAGGAGGGCTTGGCAGCCTGCATGATGATACGATTCTAATGATTATTGAGCGGAAAATTGTTGATTCTCTCTGGATGTTCGTGTCTTCTTTTTCTTTAATTTCCATCACATAAGCCGGACTTTGATATGGAATAATGTTGCATTCTTTCGATTTGCCAAATGACCTCAAGAAAACGTACCATTGTTGCCAGACTACCAGTAATGCACCTCAAGCTCAAAGGCTTCTTGGAGAGGGACAAATCCCCACGTAAATAATTCAAAATAAAACGCATCCTTGAATGTCCCCATGTCACACGAGAGTGAGCTGTGTTCTCTTGGTCCAGAATTTCTTTACTCCAATTGCTGTATTTCGCCCATGCGTTTGGCTTCACTCGGTACTTCACACAGTACTTAGCCAAATCTTCATCTGATACATTGATGACTGGATGGCATTTGGTCATTCCCTAGCGCTGTCGCACTGTTTCCTTCATCTCATTCTCTTAGTGTTGACAAGTCATTGTGATCTTCGGATAGACATTGAAATGCTGGTGCCTACTAACAGGGGTCTGATAGGGTTTCGAGATTGGAAAAAGAATAGTCATTTGGTCCTACCAAGTGGCGATGTAACGAGCGATTCGCAGTGGCCAAGTCACTCATAATAATAATCTTGGTCAATAGAATCGAGATCGAGATTTCAAGGACATTCGCAGCCGATGAAGTAATCGAAGAAATCAATACTAGACAAGACAGAACATTGGCATACGTCAAGGCATTCCAGATCCGCCTTGGAAGGCTGTGAATCCCCACTCCAAGCAAACTGCGCCACACGAACCAAACTCCACGGTTGACCATGGACTGGCTTCGCTATTTAAGTCCGGTTGCCCCTGATCCCGTCCCTTCGTGACTCTTTCTCAACTCCGACAATTCTTATAAATGTCTTATCAATATCCTCCTCCGAATCGTGAGTGACCTCATCGCAAATTGCGGGGCTTGTGCTGATATGACTACAGAGCCGCCTTACGGCGCATACGGACAACCTCCCCACGGTGCACCGACTGGTCCTCCTCAGGGCTATCAACAGCCTCCCTATCCTCAACAGCAATACGGAGCCCCTCAAGGTGCTCCTCCGCAGGCCAATATCCGCCTCAACAAGGTTACGGCCACCCTCCCCCGCAGCAGGGCGCATCCTACGGTGCTCACTCCCCGCAACCCCCAGCTGGTTACCACGCTCCCTCTCCACAACCCCCTTATGGCGCGCCTCCCAATCAGGCCCCCTACGGCCATCCTCCGCAAGGATATGGCGCCCCTCCAAACCAGCCTCCCTCCGGCGGTCCCGGCTACGGCGCACCCTACGGCGCGCCCCCAATGGGCCAACCTCCAATGGGACAACCCCAAGGTGGCATGCCTCCGTACATGGGAGCACCCTCAGTGCCATCACTAGGCTATATTCCCGGTCAAACTGCACCAGGTGACTTCCGCCCTCAAGCCGATGCACTCCGCAAAGCAATGAAGGGCTTCGGCACCGACGAAAAGGCCCTCATCCAGATTCTCGCACCCCTCGACCCGCTCCAGATGGCCGCCGTGCGCGCCACCTACTCCTCCCATATTGGCCGCGATCTCTACAAAGATGTCAAGTCCGAGTGCGGCGGCTACTTCCGCGACGGTCTCCTTGCCGTGATCGAGGGTCCATTGATGCACGACACAGCCTGCGCGCGCGAAGCTATCGACGGGATCGGCACCAAGGAATGGCTCATGAACGACATCCTCCTCGGCCGATCCAACGCTGACCTTAACGCGATCAAGACCGCCTACGAGCGTACCTACCGCCGCCAGTTGTCCAAAGACGTTGAAGGCGATTTGTCATTCAAGACCGCTAGCCTCTTCGCGACTGTTCTGCGTGCCCAGCGCCACGATGAGTCCATCCCGCCTAATCCGCACGCGATGGAGAACGAGGCGCGCATCCTGCACGAGGCTACCTCGGCTCGCATGGTGAACAATGTCACCGAGGTGTGTGCGATCTTTGCGCGCTCCTCGGATAATGAGATCCGCGCCATTGACCAGGCCTTCCATGCGCGTTATCACGCTTCCCTCGAGAAGCACATTGAAAAGGAGTTCGCTGGCCACATGGAAGATGCTTTGCTGCATATGTACCGCACAGCCAAGGACCCTGCTATGCGCGATGCCATTCTACTCGACGAATGCATGTCGGGCATGGGAACCAAGGACGAGCGCCTGGTCGTGCGTGTTGTCAGAGTCCACTGGAACAGGAACCACAAGGAGCAGGTTAAGCGCGCTTATCACCACAAGTATGGAAAGCACTTGATTGAGCGTGTACGCGGCGAGACTACGGGCGATTATCAGCGTTTGATGGTTGCTTTGCTTGAATAGGGCTTTGAATTCTTTTTTTTTTTCCTTTATTTTACGATTTTTCCCGTACACATGGAGGCATGACTCTATGCTTTACGTTTTGGCATGTATTTTATCAGATACCAACTTATGACCACTCTGCGCATGAGATGGAAAATATCACGACTGTCACCTATCCTAGTTCAATTGTAGATTAGACATGAGTACTTGCAAAATTGATTCAGACGATAGATATAATTAAAGCAAATCAAAGCAAACATTGAACATTGAACCTCGATACATGCATTCATGGATTCATCAGTCATAAATCATATCATGCAAAAATAAGTACAAAAACGCCATGGTAAAAGAGCCCAGCATAAAGTACGTATCGACTATGCGATCTCCCCGATGGCAGCCACATGCGCTCCAGGAAAGAGTCCTGTACGACCAGCATAGCATCCCCAGAACCAGTCATCGTTGATGTTCTCCACTTCCTTGATATCAGCGCCTCGTGGGAAGAACAGCTCATCTTGGACCTCTTCATCGGGGTAATAAGACCATAAGGCAAGGACGACTAGTCCAACACCTCCATCTGGCGGGAAGCGTCGGAAGGATGGAGCGTGTTGTGAGGTAGGAGTTCCGGGTTGATTTCCAGTATCCACGCCAGTATTGCTATTTGGGGAGGAATGGGGCCCACGTAGACGAGAAGCCTTTTTTCGTCGCTCTTGGCCTTCTTTCCAGGTCCAGTCACCGGTACCGATCATCGGAGACGCGATCGGACCGGCAGCTGGAGATGAAGAAGGCGAGTGGTTGACATGCTCGTCTTTCAGGGCATGGCCTCCGACAAGGTCACGGACGATCACGCGTCGTTGACCATCGTCGCTGTCTTCGAAGCCGACAACGATTAGTCGATGTCCAGACAGACAGCGGCGCCAGCCGTTGTGGCCGTTTTCTTTGCTGATCTTGGATGTTGCGACGAGCTTCAGGTAGCAGTTGGTGCAGACATCGTAATCGCCGTCGTTACATTGCAGGCAATGGAAACGGGTCACAGATGCAGGGATTGGATATGTGCAGATGTCGCACTTGGTGGAAAAGGAGAGGATTTTGTAACTCTCGTTGCCAAGAGAGACGGGTGTATTGGTAAGGGTATCACCCGGGGTGGTCGGGGCAGACGGAGCAGGGGACGACCGGCCATGCGCCGAATGGGTAACAATGGATGGGTGCAGCACCGTCCTTGGTTAACACAGCGATTGCAGAAGCCCCAGTCACCTTCGTTGCACTGTCCGCATTTCCAGAAACAATCATTGGCTGACGACTGGCAGATTGCACAAAAGAAACCCGTTTCCACACGACGTGCCGGATTGTCAGTCGTCATTTGTCTGGCTTCACTCGTGGTGACTCGGGCCGTCTCGGGGGGTCTTGCGTATTTGATTGAAATGAGTATATGCCCGCTCTCGTGTGACTGCGTTGATCGGGGATTTGAAGATGCAAGAATTTGATTAAATGTTTTCTGTGCAGATGCACGGAAGCCCTCCCATGAAGGACAGCCTTTGCCTGAACGATAGCATCGTAAGCAAAGATGGTAGTTCCCATCTTTACACTTCAGGCATCTCATGTGTAAGTCGTATTGAATATTCATCTTTCCACAAATATCGCAGGAGATAGCTGGCTCTGCATATTGGAGAATTTGGGAGGCAGGGGCATTTGATCGCGAAGAGGATGGGCGGTTCCGCCGTTCAGATCTGGGAGGGACAAGTGGTGATGATACAGTCGGGACAGCACTTTCAGCAGGTATGGAGCTGTGAGTGACCGTCGGTAAAGACATCAAGTTCGGTGAGATGGTAGTTGATTGACTCATAATATGTCTGGAGGATCCCCGTTCTCTGCCTGCCCCCATCCAAACATCTGAGATGTTGGGGTTCGACTCAGTTGCTCGTCTAGGTCGATTTGACGATGACGAGGCTCTTGCTCGTCCATTTTGAGAGCTCCGAGACCGCTCTGCCGTCATGTCGCTGGATGATCGCGCAGCAGGTCGAATCGCGTCCTCCGAGGTAGACCCTTGATTTACTCGCACAGGTGATGTCCGACGTGGCCCACTAGCTTGCTCCGAGTTCCGTCGTCGATGTTGCAGCGGGGTTGCCGTAGTGGAGTCTAATAAATGTGGCCTCGAGATAGGTGGACGTCGATCGTTATTATCGCTGTTTGTTGTGCTTGTCTCAGTAGGTCGCTGGGCTGACTGAGATCGCAAGTGTCCCCGCGCGGAACGCTCAGGAGATTGTCTGTGTCTTTGCTCTTGCCGAGGGTGTGGTTGGCGCATGTGCCTGCGGCGGTACGCCTCCGCTATGCGCTCAGTGAGCTCCTCCTCCTGGGTCGGGTCGACATTATCCAAATCAATATCATCTAGTAGCCCTTCCTCGATGATCTGTTGCAAGATCTCTTCCTCAATGCTCTGTGTTTCCGACATGCTAAGTAGTGACCGCAAGCTTGACTGATGCTCGACACGTCTGCTTCGCTCTGAAGCATCCTCGCGCCGCCGTTGCGAGCGGGCATCATCCGCATGTCTCTCGGGGTTACTGCTTCTTTCGCGAGTCCGCTCTGGTTGCGCAGCCCGTCGAGACTCCCGTCTTCCCTGTGCCCGGTTCTCACGCAGACTTAGCTCCCGGACTTCCTCCAACACCCGCCTATCCTCCTCGTCATCCTCGCTATCCTCATCAGGTTGAGGTAGGGGTGTAACGGAATCCCCAGGTTTGTATCGTTGCGCAATCTCATCCTTCTCCTCAGCCGATCTGTCCCGGTCTGGATGGGCCCTTAGAACCATATCTAGCAAGGTTGTGACCGTAGCATTTGGACGGGTTTCGCGCACTTCAGCACGGCATGACGGACAGGTGAAACGAGGACCGGAGCTTGAATGCCGCCTGCGCGATCCTTGTGCTGAAAACCATTCCTTCAGGCAGGAGCCGCAAAATGTGTGTAGGCAGTCAAGAAGCGTCAGAGGCTGGTAGAGAAGCTCGGTACAGATCTAAGTCCAAGTAGAATGGCGATTAGCGAGGGTTCAACGTAAGGGATGGAATGGAAGGGTTCTGGAATCGGGCAATTTGGCGATTTGGCGCACATACCGAGCATCCCAGCTCTTTTTCCAGGCCAGCCAACCCAGTACCTTGGACTTCAGACATGGGAAGGTTCCAAAAGGTTGAGTGAACCGAAAGGTAAACAAGTTGTAGATCCAAGGAACGAAGGTGGGAACCAAGGCTCGCGAAGTTGGAAGTGGGAGGATTTGGCTCCACCGATCTTATCGTGATCCCGCCTTCTCCTTCACGATCAGTTTACCTTTGGAACGACTTTCGCATTCCTCGGGATTCGTGCACGATTTGGGCTGCTGTGCCATCGCCCTACTGGAAATAGTAGTTCAACAGGTTCTTCCACTCGCTTAGCCAACGTGATCGCTGACTACATGTGACCCATGGCAATTCTTTAAGGATTGTTCGGATTCCTCTGTTTGAATGGCTATTTCCTAGACTCGTCCCTGGACTCGAGGTCGAGCAACGGCGTCGCCATTTTTTCACCGCGGGTTTTGAATTGTCACGAGGATGGGTTATTGTTTTCTGAAGCTTTGAAGAACATAGATCACTGATATCCCGGAATCGCTGGTGATCGATAATGTTGGATCGGGAGATACAAAGGAAGAGAGCTTGCTGCTCTGTGAGCAATGAGATTATCGGGTTTAGCCCTGAAGCATCCTGTATCTACATATCGCCAATATCTATTCCACGATCTATTAGTCTGATCGAAACGAGTGCCGGCTTCATGGCTTCTTGTGGACCTCAACACCGGGCCAGGAGGCGACCGGGCATTTAATTACTCCAGCTCCATTCCCCAGATCATTCAATATCCAGCTGCAAACCTTGGGAGGGTCGCAGAAATCGCTTTCATTCCCGCTGAAAAATTTTTAAGGATTTGCTATTCGGGGCCTCGTTGTACTTGAAAGTCTTCCTCACACTGCGACTTGAACGGCCACAAACATGGGCTGACGCTGCGAATGACCATCAAAATCTGTCGTGCACCGCAACTGTGAAGTCCATCAGTGTCTACACGATGGTCCTGAAGCGTAGGCTCCTTGGCCGCTCGGGGGCACATAGACACTGCCGGGTTTTATTACTTCGTCGGAACTTGAGATTTCCATCTTCAAGAATAATGCACCGCGTCGGGGAGGTTTACCTAGAGAAAAATACAAAAATGGTTAGAAATGTGAACCAGTGTTGAATGAAGACAGACGGAGAACGTTGGTACGTGAGCTCCTTGCTTGGAGACTGAACCTCTTGGTACTCCTCTGGGCACCATACCATCCATAATTCCCCCTCGGCTCGCTTTCCCGTCCATGAAGGTCCATGAAGTCCATGTGTCAAGTTTCAATCTTTTCAAACGGACACAGTACGAGCCACCTCCTCTCGAGGGCACTATGCCGACACAGCCTATAACAACGCCTATTATTACCCTACGCCCGAGTAACAGACTCGCTCAATGCAGTTGGTGCGGATCCGTGGTGGCGGCAATGCAAGACAAGCCCGTTAGTGCCTTCATAGCAACTCTCGGGCCCAGTTGCAGTAGAAGAAACAGTGGTACATCGAAGTGACCATGAAGATACTTCACCTGAGCATCGACCCCTGGCCAGGTTGGCGCGGGGAACATTAGACTCTCGACTCGCTTGCCACTGGGGCGAGGAGCCAGGGCCCCAAAGATAAAGTTTTCATCGAGCTTCGTATACTGAGGGTGGCGGCTACGACCGAGCATTCCATGCCACTCAACAAACCCCAAACACAGCGGTGAGGAAAGTGTTTTTTTTTTGGTGCAGGCGAACAATTGACTTTCGAGCTCAAGGCCGCGGCCATGGCCCTGGACGATGCTGAAGCTCGATCCCTCCGGAAATACCGCAAGCCAACGTCTTTCACTGGGTATCATATGAGTTCCAGGAGGATTATCCTGTGCTGCTGCTACCCTTGGGGCTCTAAGAGAATACAGAATATCTTTCAGCGCGGACATCCCGGCGCACGATGCAGGCATGAAACGAATAAGACTTGCCAACGCAGGGGGAGGAGGAAATTAGCTACAAGAATCCCAACAAAATTGAAAAAAGCCTATGGTCTAATCGTTGGCGAGGGTGGCTGAGAATAGATCCAAAGTACAGACCAGAAGCTCGAGGAGGGGGCAAAGGAAGGGGGGGGGGGCCTTCAACATGAGTTGTGAATGAGCCAACAAGGGAGTTCCTTTCCTTTCCGTTAACTTGGTGGACGGTGTATGGATATTTGGCTGACGCTAAAGGGCTGCAAAGCCTGAGAATCGCGGGGGTTGGTTTCCCCGACCTTCGGAACTTACCTGGGAAGGTGAAGTGGTAGGGCGAGATGCACCCCGCAATTCGTAAGAAGGGGGCGCAGGGTGCATATGCAATTCATTTATTTCCGCGATATTGCAGCAATTCACGAAAATCAGTGAAGTCGAAGACGTATACGGTATACTTGGGGCCGATAAGAGTCTCGGCATCCACCTTGAGACATCATGTGGAGTTGACAAACATAGCCTGCGCTTTGAGACCTCTAGCGTCGAGCACTGCCCTCAACACTCGAGAACCCCACCTTTGCTCCACCTGGAAAGCAGGGTACCTGTACGGGTAGGAGATTCAGGGCCGAGGAATTGCATGACAATCACCTTTCCATACTCCTTGCGTAGATCTTCCCCTCACTTTTTTACTAACTAAGAAACCTTCCACATGGGCAAGAATAGAACCTAACGGAGAATAAAAGCCAACCTGAGAAATTTTCCAGCCTGATCAGCCAACAGCTTACCCCAAACATGACATTGCCACCGTTCCAGTAATAATAGATACATTCATTGGAGACCACCTCGGGTCCAATAAAGAGCAGGAAGCTCAGCACAGCTCCTTTAGTTACGCCGTGGCACCGCCGCCAACACGCCCGTCGTAAGCATGATTCGCTCCGAGTTTGCTATCAAAAGTACAGGTCCAGAGCATGCTCCTTAGTGGACTCTGACCCGTATATAGCGCTACAACGGCGTACGCCCCTCCCGCTATGGCTGTTTCGAAATTCTCGGAGGTAAACCCGAGCATGACAAACAGGATAACGATCGAAGAGACATCCCGCCACTCGACCTCCTGACAAGTCGCAGCACTGCCAAACCAGATCCGTTGTCATTTGGAAGGAAAATGGCACTTCCTCGGTAGAGACATTGGCCGCCCAAGTATGATATCCGACGCTTATAGCGGTAGACTCACCAGCAAGCTGACGAACCGTGCTCCTGAAGATTGAATGACCTGGCGCGGCAACCCAATGATCGGCCAGGCCCAGACGGGATCTACTTTGATTCCGCTCAGGGCACCCCTTTTCCCCCCGGAAGGTACAGTACCTACCATAAGATGGCGGAACCAGTATCCTGAAATATAGATATACGCCGAAAGGAACGCCTTAGTTAATTTCCCGCCATCGAAAGGAAAATGGGTCCCGCAGCGGACATCGGGGCGGACCTGCAATCGAACATCCCCCACACACCCAAATGTACTTAGAAACGCCCCTCCCCTTCGAAGACAAATGAAGGCATGCACTGACCTCGCGCTATGCAAAGCAATTGTCAATTCGCCGCACTAATGCACTGTTCATGTACGGAGGGCAAGGCCCAAGGCTATAGGCTATTAGTAGCTTGGAGGGCCCCACTATCCAACCGCCAACCGTCGAGTCGTGGCGCCAGCTTCCAACGCACTGACAATCGCGCGCAAGTCTCAGGCTGCGGTCGAAAAATGTCTGCAGTGGCGCCATTGGCTTGCTTCGTATGCCATGCATAAGCGTGCAAGCCGAAGTATATGTTACTTATTTCGTCTCAGGTTGTTTACAAAGCCTGGGACTGAGAGCGCGCATGGGAGCCGAGACGCGTCGGGGGTTCTATGGTGTATATTGTAATTTCGCACAGACTGGGATTCTTAATGGGTTTGGTCGTCCGAGCGCTGAAGTTGGACCAGGATGGGAAGTCGACCTTAGTACTGTGCGTATGAGGCCATGGTCCATGTACTTGATGTAATAGGTGATTATCCCGCGTCAACGTGTTCGGATTATGAGATCCCTGCAGGTCATTGCTTAGGTCATGTGCTTGATTAAATGCACATCAGGCGCCTGGGGCTTTGCTTGCGTGATGCGATATGCGACATGCGAGATACTGCAGTCGTTCTGGCATGGCTGCGATGGGAAGGCGAGTACCCTGGCGTTGTCAGATAAATATGACTAACGACACTTTCGGCATCGGTGCACTTGAAGATTATCAAGCAGAACCAAGGCAACTTATGATAGAGAGATTCTCACTTGGTTGTAGGGTGCTGCTGATTTCTGCAATGGTTGGGCTTTGGTCACCTTGTCGATATGTAGCACACCGACATTTCGTTATAGCTCTCAGACCAGGATGACCAAGATAAGGTCGGACCGAACCTAGCAAATCGAGGTCTCCTATTTGCAGGCTCTCCCCGTTATCGAGGGAACTAATGACCCCGCAACTTAGAACAGGGAGCCTCACGCAGTCGGCGCGTTTCCAGATCAGATCATCTACGGCGGGGTTTGCATCACATCCCAGCCCATATGGCTTTGTTTTGGGAGTGCTGACGCAAACGTGAGGACCCACGCGGGGTAGTTGAAGTTGGAGATAGAAGTATCGTCGTCCTCTCTCTCCCGTCTAGACTTTTGCCAATTGATCGAAGCTCTCGGCAGACCTGTGGGGGACGCCTAGACTATCACCGAGTCAAGGCCGCACAATGCCGTATCGTAGCACTGGAAGTGAAGCTCGCTCCAAGATGCCCAGCACACAGAGGTATAGAAACTTTAAAAAAAAAAAAACCTTTGCTCGGCAAGCTAGCTACCGAACAAAGCTGGGATTCCAGGTTCAGCCACATAAAAGCCCGTGCAGGCGGGGCCGTATAACAGAGCAAGGGCATCAGAGCCGGTGAGAGAAAGGGGATTGAGAAAGGCCTGAATGACGCTTTGAGGAACTCGGTCGCGAGCGGTGCAGGATAGGCTTGAACCTGACTTGACACACGCGATGAAAATCCCGTGCATTATCAACATGTCGATCAGAGTAAATTTGAGTAAGCGCTCCGGTGTGTCAGAATACCTTGGAGGCTAAAATCTAGGGCTGAACCTTCGGATACAAGCTGCCATTCCAAGCAGACATGGCGTGCAAAGGTGGCAGCTTCGGGTCCGGGCGCTTGGGCGACTCGACCGGTGGTTTCACGACAACTGATTCATGGCGGGATAAATGATGTGATTCGGTGATTCTATGATCGGGATCATGCAGGCCAGTGTTCTCAAGACTCACGTCCTCCATGCGATCTCGGCGACAGCATTCGGGACCGGGTCCTAGGATCGGACGAAAAGTGTACGGGAAGACATTGTTGGTCTACAGGACACCGGGGGGAGGGGAGACTGGCCAACGAGCATTATCGCTGGTGTGGCTTTGCTGCGACTACAGTTTCGAAAACCTTCTTTTGGGGCTTGCAGCAGGGTAGATCAGATCACTGTGACCCTTATCAGTGCAGTAGGGCGTACAAACTACCATGGACTGGTTTCAGTGGGCCTGGAAATTGCGGGAGAGAGAGAGAGAGAGAGCCACAGTGCGGCCCCCTCCATCTCTACTCCGTGGGGGTGGAGTGGGAAGGAATCGCTGGGGTGATCCACGGGCACGAACACGCCTGCAGGTTGTCAGACGAACGTGTGCAGAGTCTCGACCGCGATGGAGACACGGTTCTTATCTCAGGGATAGTTCGGGGCCGGCTTCGCCAATCTAAGGTCTAGCGCGTTCAAAGGTCTGATACAGCCACGGGGTAACTGCCACTCCCAACAGAACGAGTGGCGATAGAAGGTGAAAACTCTGTAGAAGGTCCGGGCGCATCGCAAGTCGGCAATTTCTGGATTTGTGAATGACAATTCCGATGCCACTGTCAATTTCAAATTGTAATTTCGATTTCAAGTCAATTGCTTCTTGGTGCAGAAAAGGAGATTGCTGGCGTGGCGTAGTGAGACATGCGCGTCTCTCATACTCAACGTTTGGCCCGGTATCGCGAAACGCGGATTAGAGTTGTCCGGGACGATATGGACGAAAACTACGCACGGTGGAACTCAGCCCCCGGTAGCAAGAGCCGTGTTTCACGCTTCGATATCGATAAGATCCACCTGGGCCGCAAAGGACGACTCCATTATCCCCTTGAGGTGTCTTTCATAAGCGACTCAGGAAGTGCGAACCCCAAGTCAGATAGACTAGCAACCAAGGAACGGCATCAAGGAAACCGTTAGAGACGTCAAGGGAGGCTGACTGATAATGAAGATCCGATCCTAGTACACAAGCAAATAGTGTCTGCACGTAGGACTGGGATATGCGCTTGGAAGGCCCAGACCGTCGCCAAGGGGGGAGCAAACCAAGGCAGTGCGCGACTCACGGGCCCGTCAACTGCATCCTGACGTCATACACTGCCGTACTCCCTAGACGTTGAACGCGTGGTAATAACAGTCTGCGTGGTTTCAGCGGAATGGAAGGATAAGAATGCTGTGTCTCTTTGGTAGAGCGTTTGATCTATGATCGTAGATCCAAATCGTCGTCTCTGGTGGTCTCAATTGTTCTCGAGGGTCGCCAAAGACGATGAGATTCGGCCCCATCCGCTCCGGGTTTTGCGGCACAACAGAAAGTGGAGACCTTGGAGTGCAGCTTCGTCGATCCACTTAGATATCCTGCACTACAGTATGCATGACACGGAGAAATTTCATATCCCCAGTTATATTTTTGTGTCCCCGTCTGTGATCGACCGTTTCTCCTATCTATTCCGGCTTCCGAAGTGGTGGGTTATTCAAAGGAATTTGATGTCACGTCTCACGGCACATCCCAGATTCCAAGATTCCAGATTCCAGATTGAGATGTTGAATCTATCAGGTGAGGTAACTCCTTGCATTCTGCGGTAGTCTTGACCCCATAAAAAAAAAAGTAAATGAAAGAAAGTAAAAAGTCAAATGGCTACTTTTTAGAGTACGGACCAATTGCTGGTTTGGGTTGGTTCTCGCTTGTTCAATTCCCGTGGTCGAGAGCAGCGAAGTAATTTCTCTGGGACGTAGTCAAGGGGAAAACCGAGAGGTGCGCAATCCAACCCACATTCGAGCCTACGGTGACGGGCCATGGGCTAAAGCAATCCTGGGGTGGGTAATGCTTCCACGATGCGTGTCTCTCTTCGGTCCACAGAAATCCGGAGAAGGGTGTATTCAACCGTCGGTCCAATGGTCTGGGAGGATTGGACTTATCCAGACACTCGGACCCCTCGCGGCGGAAGATGAGAAGCGTTGAAGGAGATCTGTGTCTCGAGTGGTTTATATGTACCACGCTCACCGATGCTTGTCGCGCCCATTGTCGCAACCAACCCCCCCAACTCGTGGACCGGATAAGGGATTAGAAGGGATGATGGGATGATGTAGATGTAGGACAATTGAATATACGTCAGTCCAGAAACAGGGAACACAACCGGGAGAGTGGATATCGATTAGCGCCAGGTTAGGCCGTGTGTAGAAGGGGGAGGGTAATCGATGATCGATGATGTACTACGCCAATGGAGATCGCCCTGAACCCTCGTGCGAATGAAGCCACATGTTACGGACACTTCGGAAGATAGAGCCATGAGGGGGGGGTGTGTACATGTTCAGAAAGTGTGTATGGTTTAGATAGAGATATTGGGGTTCATAGAAAAGAGGGGAATGGTCCCCCAAAAGATAAAAGGGAAAAAGAAAAAAAAAAAAAAACCGAAACCCCGATACCTTGGAAGTGACTTCCTATTGTCGAGACCCACACGGCGTGCCCCCAAACCATGCTATACGGGACGCACGGTGGTAGTATCGAGCGGAGTCGATGCCGCCTAGCGACTTTCCCAGTGGGCGCTTGCGAACCGTCTTTATTTATCTAGAGTCCACTTTTTTCTTCCAGGGAGAGAGAAGAGAAGCTATAATTCCTGCTTTTATCTCCGGCCGTTTCCAGAGCCGATTCCTTTTTACCCCCTTCGCCCCCCCTTGGATTCATTGGGATAATCTGGTCACTCTGGGTTTGCTTGAAATTCTTATCGCTGCATCTCAACGGTCATAGCGGGGAATGGCTTTCTAACTTTGCCTCCCATTACGACTTTCCGGGTACGTCTGAGGTACAGTGAGGTGATCATTGATCACCCAATCCCGGCTACATCGGACCTCTTTTTCACCCTTGACCTTCTCTGCCTCTTTCTACACTCTGTACATTCTTCGCCTTTTCTTCCTTTTGATTTTTCTTTTTTTTTTTACACTTTCAATTCTCGCGCTTTTAAACTATCCTTGCGCCATCAGCCCACCGCGTGAATAGTATCGCCACCAAACCCCACCCGAATTTTTATCTTCTTGATACTCAACGGTAATTGATAAGCTCTCTGTCCCTCTTGCCTCTTGCCATTTGCCTCGTCCAACTGTCATATTTTCTTTTTGACCGGTCCTCTACACTGTCTCCGGTGTTACCCTTAATGGGACTCTTGTGATACCGATACCATTCACTTTTGGCTGGTCCGCGCTTTCCTCTCTCCGTCTCTCCTGTTACGCCTGTACCTCTGAATCACTTCCCACCCCCCCTCCTCCGACCTTATGATCACGATTCTATCCAATGCGTAGTCATTCCTCTGCACCTTCCTTGTCCTTGTCTGGTCTACCCTCGCCACTCATCGGAAGCTTCAGGGCCAAAACTGACACCTCGTCCAGGACTCGTGTGTCAATCTTGAAACTTTTGCACATTTCACTTCATTGCGTCCCCTTCTTGTGTTGAGACACACAAGTCGGCCGGATGCCATACACTGCGCCGTTGAAGTCGTTGCTCTCCGCGCAACACGTTGAATACTCTGATCCCTCTTCACAATCTCACTCTGAACGGCCTGGCTTGGTTCGTTCCGCCTCTGCGCGTCTACAGAGCTCTCGTTCCTATTCTTCTACCTCGTACGTTCGTCGACACCGACGGAGCCCGTCGATCAGTAAATCGACAGTGTCTTCCTCGTCGGACCCCACCTCCCGGACGTCACCGGTTATTGACCCTCATGCCAGTCTCCGTCAGTCACCCCCACCAGTAAGCAATGCTACGATTCCTGTCGGGGCGGTGATCTCGCCGCCCGAATCCGCTCCGAACTCAAGTGACGAGGAGTCGCCTTACCGTGAGGGTATCAAGCTGGAAGAGCTCGAGGCTGCCGTCCGATCCATCGGTCAAAGGAGGGAAAGCTCACCAGAGAGAGATAATATGGGCCCCGCCGAATCCATGAGCACCGAGGCTCCGTCCTCAAGTTCGTCGACGATAACACTTGACTCGGATCCAAAGCCCAATCACCTCCGCCTGTCCAATTCTGCAAGAAAAATCTCCCACTCACGATCTTCGACCGACACGGCCATTGATCTGAAGCGTGAAGAAGCTCTGACGAGTTCGCCTGATGACAGCGATGTGGAAACGTCAAAGAAACCCCTTATGGTCCGGAAGAAGTCGGGTGAGTTGGTCCGTCCGGCCCTCCGTCCCGCATCGGCCCGGCGACGACCGTCCAGCATGCCGGGAACCCCGGTCTATGCCAAGGCCGTGCACTTTGATTCGCAGCTGGAACACATCCGTCACTTCCTGCAGCTTGATCGACCTTTAGCGGTCAGCGCCGAGACCTCCCCAGTGGAGACCCACGACGCCGATCACGAGTTCCCATTCGGTAAATACGACAACAAGCCGTCATGGGAATGGGAGCTTCGGCTATCCAACGCCCCCAAGGAAATTTCCACTTCATCTAATCTTCCAGTCCAGCTGGAACGTGTGTACTTGTCCGCTGATAAGAAGGTTTTGCTTGGTACTGTGGCCGTAGCTAACTTGGCTTTCCACAAACACGTGGCTGCTCGCTTCACGCTTGATTACTGGAGAACAACATCCGAGGTCGGCGCGGTGTACTGTCATGATGTTCGTCGAAAGCATGCCCAAGATGGGTATGACCGTTTTTCATTCGAAATCAAGTTGGACGATCAGGCAAACCTGGAGAGCAAGACCATGTTCATCTGTATTCGCTACAATGTGAACGGTCAGGAGTTCTGGGATAACAATCACGGAATGAACTACCAGATTGATTTCATTAAGACACCCAGGGTCGCCTCCACCAAGCCATCAGGAGGAGCTCGCCCTGCTCTTCCCCGCAGCCGAACCTTTGCCACTTCCCACTCGACTCGACCTCGCTCGGTACCTCCATCCTTGGATGATTCGTCTTTTGACGACTTCGCGAATGTGGGCAAGAACCTTGGCTTCTCCAATCCTTTCGGGAGTACCAAGGGATCTCCGTTAAACCGGCCGTCGGCGGATGACATTGACACGATCGGACCGCCAAAACGGCGTGAAACCCAGAATCCACAAGGATTCAGCAATCGATACGATTTCGGAGCATCCTTGACCGCCGCCATGAAGACGAAGACTCCTCTGGATCGGACCACACTGACTGCTCGGGCACGCTCTGAACGAACCCCTGAGACAAAGTCAGTTGCGGAGCCTGTTCCAACCAAAGCTACTGCTGTGAGCGAAAAAGCTCGGAAGGAGGATCTGAAACCTTCCTCACTGGTTTCTAGCAAACCGTGTCTCGAGTCCTCGGTGTACAAAGAGTTGGTGGACAAGTATTGCTTCGTAAGTTTCTAGACCCCTACACTCCGCGATAATCACCACTAACCGACTCGTAGTACGGTTCCCCGAAGTCGAATGAAGAGGCGCAGGGCCCCGTCGTGAACGTGAACGGTGAGGAGCCCCCGAAGCAACATCCTTCGGGCGCTCCTTCACCCCCCTCTGTCCCCTGGGTCTCCGGCTCCTCTGGAAGCACCAACCGAAGTATCCCGTGAACCCCGCCCGTCGACCTTGTCTCCGGCCCAGGCATCAAGCCCGCGAGTGTCTCCGCGCCTGTCCCCCCGTACGTCCCCGCGGACCTCGCCCTCGCCGATGCCTCTTCGGTACCCATACCACCAGTCGTTGCAGAACGGATTTATGAAAGACTCTCATTCATCCCCCGTCATCAGAGGGTGAGTCACAGAAAGACGCTTGACCGCCACCGGAGGCCGGCTATCAAAAAAGCCCGCTCTCTGTTTTTGCATCGCGTTGACAATCTATGTTAAAAGGGGATTCGAATTTTCCTTCATGAATATGGGTTCAGACTCGGTTTCCATTCCATACTTTGCTGAAAGTGCATATGCGCCCTGCGTCGGTGTCCTGTGATTTTCACTCTTCCGGGCTGATCTATCACTCGACCCCCTTTCCCTTAACCCTCCGCCCTCTCCCTCTCCCTCTTATGATGACCGAACGTGGATTGCGTACCTGGAGCAGATCGAATGCGCAGACAAGCGGAGTTTTTGCGATGCATAATAAACCGCGAGACTCCGACTTGCCGGATCATTTGAATGTCTCGGGTACGCACCTTGACTCGTGTCGGGAGACATTATCGACGCGAGTTTCCAACGATGTGGTCATCCTCACGTTTTTCTCACCTTTGTTTTCACCACGCATAATGACGATACGAATTTTTTGTGACCTTTTTCTGCTTTCTTCTGTCTTCTTGTTTCTTCCTTTCAAGCAACGCAAACCAGACCATTCGACGGACGAGGCTTTTTCTATTCTTCTCTGCTTAGCAGATTTCCATTTTCACCAAAAAGTTATCTAGTTCGCCCGTCTCCGCTCTTGCATTGTGTTTGTCGGCTTGTTCTTTGTTCACTGCTTTGCATGGTACAGTGAAAAGATGGTGTTTCCGGAGTTTTTCATTCTTTCTTTTGATAGCCCAGTACTTTAGGGGGCATTTGACAGGCAGCGCGCTCGCAACGGACTGGCATGAGTTATGATACGCCAGTCGAAGTAACCATGAGATCAAGGAACACGAATGGACGCAATTGAACTCAAAAAACTATCCAGCCTTTGTAGACGATTGTACGGTATGCATCAGCAGTTTCATTGGTTTTCAGACCTGAGACAGCTTCTACCGGCTGAATCATCGCGCATAGTTTGATGTGTGCAACATTCCGACACTCGTATACCTGGGGTTCAACCCGATCACGTGAACACCAGTGGCAACGGGTGTTTATCTCATCTCACGTGACCCGCCCGTCTTTCGATCCGCTCCGAAATGCGGGCAACTTTCCATGCCACGCCAGACACGCTCGAAATCTGCCCTTCATAACGTCCATTTTCCTCCCTCGCCTCCGCCCAATCACCGCCGCATTGCAGAATGCGATCAATCCTAGCTTAAGTAATCCATCCACCGCAACCCCGAAATCACGCGTAGTCATCAACGTATTTAAGTCCTACCCGTTTCCCCCACTCACTGAGCCCTTCCCCTTTTTTTTCCCTTCCAACCTCTTCCGCCAACCCCTCGACGCGTTTGATTATCCGTCCACTTCACACTTTTCCCATCAACTCTTCATCAACTTCATCTCGAATTCCATCTCTGCCAATATGTCTGGACGTAAGTGATTCTGCTCTTGTTTATTTTGGCTCTATTTCCCGCGTATCGGCCCGCGGTCGCTGTTTGGGTGATGCGATGCTACTGTGTTGGCGATGCCCCTGGGAAACACGTGATCTGGTGATCCCGCGTCTATGCCTCAGGCGTCCATGCATCCACGCCTTTCCCAACAAGGGAACGCCACACTGCTGCTATCGCCTCTAACACGACCTCGCTGTCGCCGTCGCTGTCACAGTTCTTCTTCATTGATACCATTCGAACACGCATCACTAACACCTCACAGGTGGAAAGGGCGGCAAGGGTCTCGGCAAGGGCGGCGCCAAGCGCCACCGCAAGATCTTGCGTGACAACATCCAGGGTATCACCAAGCCCGCTATCCGCCGTCTCGCTCGCCGTGGTGGTGTCAAGCGTATCTCTGCCATGATCTATGAGGAGACCCGTGGTGTCCTCAAAACCTTCTTGGAGTCTGTTATCCGTGACGCCGTCACCTACACTGAGCACGCCAAGCGCAAGACCGTCACCTCCCTCGACGTTGTCTACGCTCTCAAGCGCCAGGGCCGTACCCTGTACGGTTTCGGTGGCTAAATGTCTTGTGGACTATGCTGCTGGGAATTCTTTCTTCGGGAGATATCCGCCTTTAACGCGCTACGGTGTGATGGTTTAGTTTCTTTTGCAATGGGGTTTCCTCTTTCTTTAAATGGCTTGGTTTCCGGGTTCCCGGTGGGGTTTTGGGAGGATTAAGGAATTGATTTCTCTTTCACAATATCTATAATGGTATCGGATTTGGCTTTATATCGATAATTTTCTTTCCTCGAGTACGACGATTCTCTGGATGAACGTAAAACGATAACTGCATCGGTAATGCAGTGAGCTATAATTATATAGACACGGAGTAATCATGAGAGAGATCGTGTTGTGATCTCCTCAGCCTCTGTGTGCTTCATGGGCCCATCCTGCACGGGCCACATGATCGGCATGATGTAATCGATCTCTCCGCATACCAGAGTAAGCCGAGGCCTTCGGAGACGGCTCCTTCACGTTCATAAACCCTGCTTTTTTTCGTTGTCACTCGATCTTCCAAATCCACCGCCTGTTCCCTGTGTTATGAACCTTGCTTTATCGAGGGGCTTGGCTACTCTATAGCCCGCACAGAATCTCACCGTGGTGCCCAACAAACATCTGATCCGACATCCACGTCTGCCCCCACAGCAGGGTGTATCTCTTCATCGAAAGCCGTCATGGCAGAATACAAACTCACATATGAGTCTCAACTGGTATATCTCACATCTTCATTCACTCCCTCGCTCCACTGACAATTTCCTGCAAAGGACGCTTTTCACCCTTCCTACCGCTGGGAAGCTCGCGACCCGAATGAAGACTGGAAATCCACCGCCCTCCGTGGACCAGGCCTACCTGTCCTAGGTAACGCAGTCGCCGGAGCTGTAGGCTCGGCTATATCCAACGTCGTCGTCTACCCACTCAGCGTGATCGTTGCCCGCCTTCAAACCCAGAACAACCAAGAGAAATCCAAGGAAGAGTCAGACGACGATGAAGAATACGCGGGCATCCTCGATGCCGCAAAAAAAAATTTACTTGGAGCAGGGACTCGCCGGCTTCTACCCTGGTATCGCGCAAGATACATGCAAATCAGTCACAGACTCGTTCCTCTTCTTCCTTGCGTATACAATCGTCCGACAGCGAAGGATAGTAGCCCGTGTCGGAGCTGCCCAAGCAGCGAAAAATAAGAATATTGTGCTTCCGATTCTCGACGAGTTGGCGGTTGGAGTTGTGGCGGGTGCTTTCTCCAAGCTATTTACGACGCCGCTGTCAAATATCGTTACTCGCAAGCAGACCGCTGCGAAAAAAGGTGGAAAAGGAGGCGATGCAACAACTGCGGATATTGCGGCTCAAATTCGCAAGGAAAAGGGTCTTGGTGGTTTCTGGTCGGGCTATTCGGCTTCCTTGATTTTGACCCTCAACCCTTCCCTCACGTTCTTTTGAACGAGGTCTTGAAATACTCCCTTCTGCCGCGCTCCAAGCGTGAGAAACCTTCGCCTGCAGTGACATTCTTTTTAGCGGCCCTGAGCAAATCGGTTGCGTCCTCGATTACCTATCCATTCTCATTAGCCAAGACCAGGGCACAGGCTATGGGCAATGCGCCGAAGCCCACAAGCTCAGAATCCAAGAGTCTCTCGGCTGCTCTCACCCCAAAGATCTTCGCCGCTGTCAGCGAGATCTACCGCGCTGAAGGTGTCCCAGGTCTATACTCAGGTCTGCGCGGCGAGGTCCTCAAAGGCTTCTTCTCCCATGGATTTACTATGCTTGCCAAGGACGCCGTGTATGCATCTATCGTCAAGACATACTATATCCTTCTGATTATGCTCCGTCGGTACCCGTCCCCTGATGAGCTGCTCCAAAGTGCCCGTGAACAAGCGGAGGAATACAGTGAAGTTGCACGAGAAGGTGCCCGTGATATGGTCGAGCGGGCACGCGAAGGCACTGAGGACATTTTGAATAATCACTCGGGCGGCGTATCTGCAGATATTACCGCTAATGCTGCTCCTGCTGCTCATGCGGCCGCAGATGCTGGCCATGGGGTAGATGCCTCCTCTGGGCTGAAAGTACCGCCTATTACTGATGAAATTAATGAGACGGCCGAGCTGGTAGGTGATTACGTTGAGGAAGAGGCTGCTGAGTGGAAGACTTTCTATCATTGGTTTTGGGATAAGGAGAAGGGGTATCACAAGGGTGAATAAGTTGGTTCTCTGGCAAGTGAGCAGGACTCGATTTCTTTCTTTCTTAAGCGTTTGTTGTATAAGTAACAAGCATTTTTCGACCAATTGTTACCACTGTTTGGTGTCAAGATGAATATCATATTCATTTAGTCCAGCCTTTTTATTAGTTGAAGTGTAGGTGACTACATCATAGGTAATTCCCAAGTAGACATTCACTCCTTCTTCCTCTGAGCAATCTGCACCTCCTGCGCAACAAAAGCAGCGCGTAGCTCCTTACCCGCCTCCCAAAGCACCCAAAGTGGAATCCAAACCCAAAGCGTATTGAAGAAGAAAAGGTACAACCAAAGATAAACGGGGTCATGCGTGACAAGCTGCGAACTTCCAGTCAGCCACTCCGGAGCAAAGGTCATGAAGCCCCCATAAAGCTCCGCCGTCGCCAAAGCAGTCGCAACAAACCAAAGCGTAGACTTCGCCGACCCTCTCGCCTTGGCACTGATTTTCTCATTTGTCGACCTGCACAACAAATAACAAATGTATACCGCTGCAGGCCCGCCCAGGAAAACAGTCAAAAGCTCCAAGGAAACGACGGTCACGTCAGCGACGGCCCAGCGGCGGTCTGCCTTGGCGTATTCTTGCCATAGCCGCGAGCTGGGGTTGCTGCCGTAGGCCGGACCGTAGATACGGTTTGGTTGGTTGAGGAAGAAGGGCTCTTTGCTGTGGATGTTGGCGATCGTGGTGTAGGAGAAGAAGCATTCGTAGAGGAAGGAGCCTTCAATAAAGAGGTGGGTTAAGGCGTCATAGGCGTGCCAGAAGAAGAGAATGCGGTTGCGCGTTTGAGTTGAGGGGATAAGGGCTTTTGAGAGGAGGTAGGCGATTGGCATGAAGGAGAGGGAGAAGGCGAGGCAGAGGATTGTGGGGACGTCTAGGGTGAAGGACGCGGAAGACATGGTTGCAGATGGGCGGGAGTGGTGGATGATGGTGGTTTAGAGAGTCGCGCGAGATCGCAGAAGCTGGGGGGGTGCTTGCCTTCGCCTGGCTAGGAAGGTACTTTTATGTTGCTCATGCACTTGGGGGTTTGATGGGTGTAGAAGTGCAAAATCAGGGGAGCTTCACTTTAGTGGAGCTGGGATCGGCCGTGCTGCCTCAGGCAGGTGTGAAAGACAATCCACACTTCGAGTGTTGGTGACTCGACTTTTGGGGTTCTTTGTCGCTTTGAAAATTAGTATGCCTTCTCGGGTATCTTAAATCATAGTGCTACTAGGGGGTTAGGGGTTCATCCAAATAGCTCTGTGTACCAGGCAAGAACGCAAGACTGCCTGGCTGTGGGGGTGAAGGATTCTGAACTATAACAATCTCGACTATCAGAATAGACACCATTACAAATATGTCCGTCATGAGCTATACATATAGAAGATGGAAATCAACGTACATGTCCATGGTCAATGATCGGATTCTGGCTTTTCTCTCAGCGACAGCAATCTTACTTGTCTTGCGGGGATCTTGAAAGCTTCATCTACCAAGTGAGTATCTCTAGGGGTACCTACAGCTATTGCATTCACTCAAAAATAAACCGCACTTGAAGATTAGGCGAAGCCCCACTTTCAACATCTGCTCTGGTACGAATGGGGTCCCCTCTTGATCCAACGATCCCTTGGCTTCACGTCCATCATCTACTCTGTCTTTTTTCCCTTCCTCCACCTTCCCCTCTCTCCTCGCCCCATATGAAATCTCCGGTCGGATCGGTCCTCATCACCGGCTGCAGTGATGGAGGTATTGGCTCTGGCCTGGCCCTCGTCTTCCACGAACGAGGCTACCATGTCTTCGCCACAGTCCGCGACCCAGAGAAAGCGAGTGCTCTCAAAAACCTTCCTAACGTCACTTTGTTGACCTTGGAAGTGACCAATCTGAGTGATATCCTGGCAGCAAGGCACGCTGTTTCTGTGCAGACAGGCGGTACACTCTCCTACTTAATCAACAACGCTGGACGCAATCATTTCATGCCTCTCCTGGACGAGGACATTGACGCTGCAAAGGAAATATTCAATATTAATGTCTGGGGTCCGTTGGCCATGACTCAGGCATTTGCGCCGCTTCTCATCAAGTCTCGTGGTACCCTTGTGAATATCACTTCGATCGCCGGCCATGGAGCAATTCCGACTTTGGGTAAGCCCCGAAATTGACTCGACATCATACCGAAATTTTTGACTCAAAGTCTAGGCTCATACGGTGCCTCCAAGCGCTGCCAGGAACATATGGCAGATGTACTTCGTCTTGAACTCTCTCCCTTTGGCGTCAAGGTTCTATCCGTTGTGACTGGTGCCATCACAACAAATTGTCTAACTTACTTCCAAGACTGGGCCCTTCCCCGAGACTCACCATACATTGAAATCGAAGAATTCTTTTCCAAGTTTGTGCATGATACCAACGGAATACCTCGTACACCTCTCGAAAGCTACGCCACCGATGTCGTGGACAGTATTTTGGGTGGCATGACAGGCCGAATTTGGGTGGGTGAGAGAGCCGAGAAGATGAAAAATGCTTCTTTTGGGGGTGAATTGGCTGTTTTGAGGGTACGTTGCGTTGTCTCCATTATTATGCTGTACTTCAACTTATCGGTCAATAGGATCAGCGCCTTATGAAGGGATTTGGTTTGGATCGGCTCTTGAAGTAGATCTGCTTTGGTGGGAAGCGACTGAAGCCTATTAATCTTCCATCCGAGCGTATGATGATCCTGCATTTCGAACCAAATCTGATAATATCTAATGATACTAAGTATTCCTGACGAATACCTGACCTTCGATTCTCCCATGACTCTTGTGGTCTTATTGACTACACTACAGCTGCTCCAGGATTTCTCCCCTTGTCCGCATGAAGTTTGCATAGATTTTTGACAATATGTAACAACCTCTTTGCTTGATGACCCACCATTGTCTTTCGGGATTATTAATAGTGTGAGAGACTGGTCAAAGGTGATATCCACAATATTTGGACAAATTGTCTGAAATAATCCCTCAATCACGTTCAGAACGGCTTAGAGCAAGTCCCGAGAAAGCAATGTGATGTTCTCCGATCGACGTCCGGAGATTGCAAGAGACAGGAATCACGTAGCTCGCGTTCAAGATTGTCATTGAGAAAATTAAACGTCCTGACAAATGTAATGTTCTCAAAGATTTCTTTCCTCGAGGTCACCCTTCTGCTGACATAGCCCCCAGATCATCCCAACAGCCTGCCTATAAGGTGCATGGTAATCACAGCCAAAGCCGTTGCCTCCAGCATATAGATGTTTGTAAGCATCATCGGCATTGGCACTGACATTTCCAAGTGTCACTGTGAATCTAGCACAATTTTGTGGATTGAGGGTAAACATGATCACTTCCAGCGCGCTGTAGATACCTTTTGTTGTTCCAGTCGATCTTCGACGCCTTTCGGTTTCTTTCTTTGTGCTTACTGAGTTTGTCTTGCATCGCTGGTGCGAAATAATTGACCTTGTTCGACTTGAGTTTCCGTAAGACTTAATCGGATTGGGCTTCAATTATGAAACAGGAGATTGACCATTTTGTGATAATTTGTTTCCAAGAGATGACAAGGGCCATGTCTATTACAATTCACTTTGGAACGTGCACTTGAGACCACATGCATGCCTGGGCTGTATTTTATCTAAGAATTTGGTCTCTGTATTTCGCATCTCCCTCGTTCTTTTCCTTCCGCCTATCTCTTTTTCCACCATGCTACTATCATTTCATACGCACACATCTCTGGGGCTGCTCTGAGTCTATCTCTCCGATAGCGGACATATTGCATTGAGGATCATGGTTATAGCAGGCTCCAGTAATCAACGCGAATCCTAAACAATCTGTTACGGCCTCTTTCTAATGAATATTTGGGATTGGATGCGGTGCCGGACATATCTAAATATGTCTGTATTGTTTGGAGATAGTCCTTGAGGTGGCCACGACATACTGTTTTACGTACCACTTGCACTATCGCATTTTGGCTCTTGCCGATTCCAAACAAAATTCCAAAATGTATCTAGAACAATGCTCTGGAGAAGCAATTGGAAACACGAGATTGAAAGAAAGATTTGTAAAATTAAAAAAAAAAAAAATCTAAAAAGAAACTCTCCCTTGGGGAATCGAACCCCGGTCTCCCGCGCTTATCGGTGTTAATGACAAGCGGAAATCATGACCACTAGACCAAGGAAGATGAAATAGCCGAGTTACTGCTCGACCACTTGGGTGGTTGATGAAATTTCTGGCCAAATCATGCGATATAACCCAAACGATTTGAGATTAACGGCCACTCCTGTTTATACTCCATGAACCTGAGTCTCTTAATACGCATCCTCATGTGCAGCAATTTGTGACTCAATGACTGCAAATATTGAGAATCTTGGATTGGCATTTGATGTGACAGTCTCAACTACTTTATCTTAGCAGAAATCTTGCTTTAGACAAAGACGCTGATGTCATGGGACCAAGTCCCGATTATCGCTCTAGAGCCCGAGATCTCTTGACCGCATCAGGTCCCAAAGTCATTCTTCTGTCGTTGCACCCACCGAATAGGAGTGCGACGACATGATCGTAACTTCCGTTGGGCCTATGGTTGAAGTCCTTGATTCTTCAAGGGAAAGACTTGTATTCTGCATCTACAGGGTAACCCCACATGCATACCAAATGGATGTATATATTCCAGTGCACTTCTCCATGATCACTCCTCCGCATCATTTTTCGATCCATCTCAATCACCCCGCCCTATTGCTACGTCCACCCGGGTCATCTTCAGCCCCCCCAGTGATTACCTGGTCACCCGGGCGATCTATGGGGCATCCACACGTGCAAAGCTAACAAAAGCGTCAGCCACAGGGCGTTGATTTATAATGCTGGTACCTGCCAGGCGTTGTTCAAACCCCTGCTTATATTCCGATCAGAACTACCTGGTTCAAGTCACAACTTGATTGCGCGATGGAGGCTATATAAAAAAATCTGCGAATCTTCATTCCTCAAACCCGTTATATTCTATACCCTATACAAAATCTCGGAGCATGTCTCACGTCCGGCACCACCGAAGACACCACACATGGCCTCACTGCGGCTCTGAATTGTGTATGCGCGTGCCACGTAGCCTGGAAATACGTGGGTTCAAGTCTGCGAATGTGCCACCAGGCCACTTACCATGGTCATTTCAAGAAGCGACCATAGTACCTCTTATCGCAGAGGAGGTACCGAACGATGACGCCGAGATGGCTGGAATTGTTCGAGCGCCACGGACCCATCGAATTTGGTCCTTGCCTCTGGGAAGAGCTCGAGACAAGAGTATTCCCGTCTCTGCCTCGGCAGCTGAAGCCCGGAAGTCTGTTCATCGCAGTGTTTTGCGCCGACTGATTCGCCGCCCGCCTCTAGACAAAACTAGATCGCTGCTCGTAATGCCAACTACCATGACTGCTAGAGATCAAGCGACAATCACTGGGTGGATGCCGCCTCGGCTAGCGGTACGACCGGTCGTGGTGTCTGGAGTCCGCCCTGATATGTCTACGTTTGACGGCGCTCGCCTTGTGGCAGACAGGAGGCATCGGAGGTGTCATTCGGAGCAGCCACGCTCCTGGAGAAGACCAAGTGCGGGATTATGGACTCTACAGGAGGAGCGAGAGAGTGTGCATGGTGGTGGTAGTTGATTTCGGTGTATAGTTATTTGTATGTCAAACGGTGATTCGCATTGCATCTCGGGGATGACCCCGGCAGGAACCACAGCCCTCCTAGAGATAGTTCGCTATTGGAAAATAAAAGAAGTGAAATTGAACATCCGTTTCTCCAGGTACCGAAGAAATCTACATCAGGGAAATTTCCTTATCATGATCTGGACTCCCTCATCTTTTCACGATCTTAGGATGGAATGCCCGGTCGGTCACGCCCGTGATACGCTAGCCAACATGACCAAGATGCTATCGTGACCCGTGAGTCGATACCAACTTGCGAAACCCGGACATACTTATTTCAGGGGACTCAGATTGTCGATGTGGAGACCAACTAAAGGGTAGCGTTGATATAGCTTCTCGAGAGTGCAGCTCATTTTCAGACTACCTTGGATTCCAATGCATAGCTTCCCTTCACTTACGTCTCACAGACAGAACAATGCCGTAAGCCCGTAAACAGGCATCAAAAGGCAGAAAGGTGATGACTGCTTTGCCTATAATTCAGTCTAAAACTTATCCTGGATCTCTTCCTCGGTTTCAACGTGTCTTTCAACAGTCTGTCTAGGGATACCGTACAGGAACCCGCCTAGGTCATCTTCTAAAAATGACCATTTTGTGCTAGAACAATCAATTGGAAGAGATGTTCATAACTCGGGTGATAAGTCTAGCCATGTTGACCACAACAGTCTTGCTAACTGGTTTGACAGACGGGGCAAAGGATTTGCCCGATGTCTCAGGCCAGATACCCCACCCTTTCTTGTTGACGTTGGCTCCAGTACTCTTCGGCACCGTCTATCCGCGGCTGCCCTATCATCTTGCCTCGAATTCGCAAGACGGCGCCAAATTTGACTCATTTAGTCTAGCGTAAGTGGGTTGCCCGAGGACCATTTGAGCCCGGTCTTCAAGGGCCCCACCGCTGCATCTCGCTCAAGGTGAGCCTCGGAGTGACCGTGCCAATATCACCCTGGCCCTCAGCCGAGTATCTTGGCTGGTGCTTCTCTGTGAGGGGCTCAATAATCCCGACCACTACGCGTGCCAGGATCCTCGCTCACGACATTCTCGAAGGCCGCTAGAAGGCCTGTGTCTCAGCTGGCCCCGCGCTGATTTGCATGGAGATAACGAGTCCTTGTAGGGCTGTCCCTCGGGGTATTTCGCCCGGGCAATGATGTCTTCTCCATCTCGTATTGGCCCGCACCACGACCCACTCGATGGATGAAGTCACGATCTTCTGCGGTATTCTGGTTGCCTAACTCCATGAGAGCGGGGAGTCAACCTTTGTCGGCGGGAGGAACACAACAGAGGCGGACTGGCCTTGTGTGGAACACCGTATATGCAGTCCCCTTGTCACAGATGAAGCCGACGTGTCCAGATAAGGCAACGAGCGGTGTATACAGACGGCCCTGCCGAGTGCGGATGGAGGCTCTAAGGCAGACACCAACGCTGACTGGCCCATTCGGCAGCCGGGCGACTTGACCCCGTCGTTTTTCACCGACACGGTGCCCGCTTCATCCCTGTCGGTGGACCCCGTGGGTGGGCTCCTGCGTCCCCGTTCGAGTGTGGTTGGCTGCCCTACAGGGCCAGGATAACCATAGGTGTCGAACTGAACTTGGATTTCCCTCTCCTCCCCGCGCGACCATGCCAATATAAATAAGATGGTCGCTGGGCCCGATCGCCTCAGTTCATTATTTTTACCGAGAATCTTCGATTCATCAAGCAGTTCAAGTGATGCACTCGCAGTCTTATCAAAGCGGATACTACCCCAAGAGATCATCCTCGCAAACATCGTCCACCTCCACGTCATCGCGGAGTAGCCAGCACTCAAACGAAAAGAAACACTCTCGTCACTCTTCCAACCCACTGACATCGAAATTGTTCCGGACGAAATCCATATCTTCCAATCCTATCGAGATTCCCATGACCGACCTTCGTCAGTGCTCTTCAAGCATGTCTCAGCCTCGCGACATCCCCAAAAGCACCCCTGGCTACTTTGACCAGCACTATCGCTCCAATAGCTCAGTCGATATGTCCCTCGAGAGTACACCTCGATCTCCCAAAATGGAGTACACCAGCAAGCGTGCGTCAATTTCGACACGCAAGACCAGCGACGACTATCGTCGCCTCAGCGGGACCATCAACCACTGCGGTCGGCACTCGAATGATTGGCTTTTCGGTGGCTTCAGTGTGAGGGAGACTGTTGCTAATGGCCTCGAGAAGCTGCGTCACAACGACAAGGAGGGCTGAAGCATGTCTCGTCCAATTTGATGACCTTGTTTGATCGCCGTCTGTGCTATTACCCTTACAAACGACCATGAACAGACCATGCTGCATGTCAAGTTGAGCCAATCTTATCTCCAGAATAGCAGATGGTCATCCCCGGGCTGCATCAGGATCGACCTTCGATTCGCTTGAAGGCAATGTTGGTTCTTGCCCCCGTTCGGATCATCCCCGATGTGTGGACCATTAGCGAATGTCTGCGCACTGGGGATGCACCGATACTCCCAGCGGCGATCCTTGATGACCGCTCTGCAAGAAATTACCAGGCTTGTATCGAAGTTCAATTGGAAATATCCTGGCTTCTTTTCCTTTTACTGTTCATTGAGTGATCCAATGTCGACGACGCTCTCATGTTTGTAATTTTCGTTAGGCATGTGCTGGTCCATAGCTTTCCAAATCTAACAAGCTGGTACTCGATTCTCAAAACAAGTGCCCAAATCCGATATTGAGTCATACTACATCTTGCGCACTATCTAATCGTGCGCAATATGCTTGCGCGTAGAGTATTTCAAACGGGCCGATCGGCTCTACTTCCGATTATCGGCACTTCTCCGACTACCGCAACTTCATCACTTATCACGGTCTCACATCACTCATATAAAGAGCTTGAACCTAGCTATAAGCGAATTTTTTCCAGGCATTAGAACTATGAACTTTGGCATTCAGTTTTTTGGCATCTGCTCAAGTCTTACCCGACCTACTCATCTGCTCAGCATCTTCCCAGCTATCTCGACCCGGATTGTATATCACCAACAACAGACCGCGGCGCCAAGACTCGAGGATCAGAAAATATTACCAAATGACATTTCCAAGTCCAGTGGTAGCGGTCTTGTATCAGGCTCTCCCGCCGCCCATGTATGGGGGTGTCAGCAAGCCGCCTAAGCCTGGTGGTATGCTTACACCACAAACAGCCCGATTATGCATAGTCCACTAACGCAGCGCGTACAGGATATCGTGACTCTGGCTCCGATGTTGCATATGCATTGAAAAATGCGGGTATCACCGTGCTGACGCCGGTAGAATCTCCAGACCCGGCCAACCAGGACCATTGGTGTTTTCCCGACACCGAGAAAGGCATTCTTGAAGCCCTGCAGAAAGGCGCAACACACCTCTGGGCCAATACAGTCCTCTTTGCAGACCACCCTATTCAAACGTCCGCCAAGTTAACCCCGTTTGAATCTTGTCTTAAAGTCGTTGGCCAGCCGCCGTTGTGTGCGGATCGATTTGACGACAAGTCATTCGTGAATGATGAACTACGGCGATACGGTGGTCTGACACTGCCTAGATCATGGACAGTGGATGATCCACGATTGAAGAAGGATGGTATTCAGCAAACATTGGATAACCTTCTTGCCACAATCAAAGGGAGCGATTACCCAATCGTTGCGAAACCTGTCCGTGGACGAGGTAGCCACGGCGTCAAGATTTGCCGAGATTCAACTGAATTGAACGAGCACGTCACTCAATTGCTCGAAGAGTCGCCACGTGTCTTGTTAGAAGAATACCTCGCTGGGGAAGAAGGTACTATTACAATCATGCCGCCGTCTCCACAGCCGTCTTCACAGCCGGCTCCAGGTATCCAAGGGTCAAGAGTAGAATGGTCAGAACGCCATGCAAGCCACTGGGCTTTGCCGCCTGTGACTCGATTCAACCATGTTGATGGCATCGCTCCTTATAGTGGCAAAGTGGCTGTCACGATTAACTCGCGAGCTGTGTCCGCCGCAGAGGTTGAGGCCGACCCGGCCTATTTGGAAATCATGAAGGAGTGTGAACAGGTCGCAAGCTTGCTACAGACAACAGCGCCCCTGAGAATTGACATTCGAAGGTTTGGTCCGAATCTCAAGTTTGCTTTGTTCGACATTAACATGAAGCCGGTATGACCCCTGCCATATGCCCTAAAGGAAAAAAGAACGGAAAAGAATGAAACGAAAAACCGGATCTTTGTTTTCTCTACTAACGCGATGCAGAATATTACCGGCCCTGGTCGCCCTGGCCGGGACGATCAAATAAGCCTGATGGGTCTCGCAGCCGGAAGCATGGGCTGGGACTACCCGAAATTTCTACAATATGTGCTTGAATCGGCGCAGACCCTGGGCCAACTTCGTAGTTTCTCAAGTCAATTACTGCGCTGATCGGCGGTATAAAAGCCCCAGTGAACCCCTTGGAAAACGAGAAAGAAAATGGACATTCCAAATCGAGATGTGACTTGCTGCGGCTTTTTTTTTTTCCCACCAAAATAGACATTAATGGTCCTCGTACTCCCGTCACAATCAGCCTTAGATCTTGGCAAAAATGCCTAGTTGATATGACAGGTCAGTGTCTTTGCCACTCCCGATCAATGCCCCTGGTAACTTTTTCAGAATAGTAGAACCCTATAATCATTTGGTTGATTATCACTAGCTAAGGAAAAACAGGTGATTGCGCGTCTCTGTCAATCCAAAGTCGCAAATCTCACAAAGAAGCCATATGTTCATGGAAAAGGGAAACAAAGAAAAAAAAAAACCACAATGACGCCATAAAGCTCCCTAAACACCGAAAAGGAAAGAGTCTCCATCGCCGATCCAATCACGCAGATTGCCATCTAGTGATATCCGCCGCGGAGATATCCAAGTTCTCACCGGTCAATTGCCGGAGCGTTACCAGCTGTGCGGCACCTTAAATTTTCGGTCAGCAAGCGGTCCAAAACGGCAATTCAAGTGGTTCTTTCACTAGAGGACATTCGGTACCATCGCACCGGGAGAGGGGCAAGGGCAAAGAATTAGGGGACGGAAAAAGACCCACTTGGTCGTTGTGCAGTCGGCGCAGCAGAGTGCACATGAATGACCCCCGAATCGACGAATTCCTTCGTGACGACCCCGTTGACTGAGGCCGCGCTAAGCATCACGCGCAGCCGGTACTTGCCAGGTACAGAGATGGACAGGGTTGGGAATTTGGCATAGCCGCTTGCGGCGGAGCCGGCGCGGCTGGTCACGCTCGCGGTCAGAGAGCCGCTAAGTCCGACAGCTGGGCCGGTGCCAGCTTCGTTGCGCAATGAGGCATTCACCACCAGGTGTTGGGCGTTTGGAGGGGCGCCAACTGGACGGACGGCTACCACTATGGGGATGGTGAATGGTAGAGCTGGACGCACTGCGGTGGGTGGGGTGGTTTCGAATGTGAGACTGAACTCGCGGGCTGCCATTTTTCGTTTTTCTCTTTGATGGTTGATGGTGTAGGAAAGAGGTTGAATATAAGCTCCAAGGTTCTCGAGATCTGCTGGGATCCACTCGGGGAGCAATGGAAAAGTGAGATCGGTGAAGTATATGAAGTGGGACTGGCAATGGAGTTCGTGGCGTAAACGAGTCAGAATACGGACAAAAAGGTTTGTTTCGGTGGTCAATGGGAGACAGTAGGATTATAAATGGTGTGCGTTGCAAAGTTTGGAGATCCGGTTGGCAGAGACCATGTCGAGCCGGTGGCCTGACATAGTCTTCATATACCTGCCGGCAGCAGTCGAGACATGTAAGACGGCCTTAAGATCCCGAATCATATTCTAGATTCCGTGCTGAACATAGAAAGAACTAGTCGATGTCGCCACCGTCAAAAGTATACCGCGATGAATGACTGAACTCATCAATGATCGGTGACCAGGTTCCTGGAATACGGAGCAGGCAGCCGTGATGCTACGCGAATCACAACATTGAAATCACAAATCAAAGAAGGAAAGGGGAGAATCGTCCGGCCAGATCTGGTGTTGCTCAGTAGCTGCAGGAATCCTTGCAGCAGCACGTTCCGGGAGAACGGAACACGGACTGTGGAGACAAAGTTCTGCATTGAACCCCGATCGACGGTGGTGGATGTCGCATGATAGTGCGGCCGGAGAGACAAAAGACCGGAAATGTGCTAGATCTCAACGATCGAGACTACGCTGCAGGGAGATCTGATGCTAGCGTGTGGATCACATCTGGAGCATTTCGGGATTAGGATCCACCGCTATGCAGTCGGCCTCTGATTTGACCCCTTCGCGCCTTGGGCTCGAGTCCCTCCCGGGAACTAACTTGAATGCCATTGACATGCGTCTTTGCACGCACAATTGACGTTCCCGTGCTGAGGGACAGGTTAGCATCAAGCTACATCGATAGGGGCTACCCCTCGAATGGCTGCTTGGGTCAATAGTTCCGCGCACGGATCCACCACATGCTCGGCATCACTCGACCCCTCCTGCTTCTTTGGATGTCTGTTCGGCCCGTGGCAGCTTTCACAAAGAACTCTTTGTCTCCAACGTGGCATGCGGTGAGTATGCAGTCGCCTTCACTAGAATTCTTCTCAGCGGTAGACCCATCACCCAAGGAGGTCAGGGCCCAAACCGGGAAGATCCTGCCAAGGGAGGAAAGCAGCCCAAAAAGGAGTGCAGGATCGGGCTTAGAGCTGCAAGCCACACCAAACGTGAACTGTGGCACAGAAACTCCACCTTGAACTGGGTCATTATGTCATAGTTCGGGCACTCCGAGAGAGCTTGACCTTAAGATCGACCCCGGGACAGTTTTGTGGAATCTATTTTGGCCGTACTATCTAGTCCCGTTTGTGTGTATTGAGCTGCGACAGCATTGGTGTTGCCTAGGGGCTTAATTGTTCGGCGCAAAGATCACCAGCCACTGGAGCTCGGGAGGGGTGCATCGTCAGCCTCACTTTCCGTGCGTCCCTTTTCTGAGTGTCGACACTCAAGGCTATGGCCGCCTCAAAAACGGCCTAGCGAACCACGGATCACGATCACAAGCGCCATGTGGGCACTAGGATGTCAAAAGGAGGTTGGTGCCCATCATGTGCGCCACGAGGAGAAGGAAGCTTCCACCCGGCTAGGTGTTACATGTGGCTCGTTGCACCCACATGAGCTAGAATCGTCGATCATCGCCTTCCCGATCTGGCATGGACCAGTCAATAGTGCCTATCAAGCTGGGTATTTTGTCCATAGCGAAGCTCCACAGCGGAGCTCCATATGAGCTCCTTGGCGGTGCTCTATGGCGGTGATGGCCGAAGACAGGAGGGTGTGCACAGTATTTACATGAGAGCCCCTATGACGGAGGTAGCAAACCGGTTGGACATAAAATCTGGGAATCCAAACGAACAGCACGGACGGGCTGTCGATCCCATGGGGTGCGCCCGTGAGACATCAATCTCAGGATCAGGGTCCGGGAAATTCGTAAATTGGTGCGGTCGCTGCAGGTAGAGAAGTTTAATCGAGAAGTGCAGCATGATACAGCCCCGCCGCCCTGCCCGAGGCGGCGTGTCCGACTTAGAAGAGCAGGATCGTCGCCCTGTAGGGCGACTCAATGAACTTTGAGCTTGGATATCAGAATGATATCAATCTATGTAAGCCCCGAAAGTAGAAAAAGAACCCAACTAAAAGCAAAGGGCGGGGCGAAACAAGTTTTTGGGATTTTCTCGGACGCATGGGTGTGTTAATCGGATGGAATCAATAATGTGGCTGTGCACTGCGGCTGAGAGTGGAGAAGCGACTAGAACAGTGGCTAGTGATGTGGCCAGTAAGGTGGAGGGGTTCGAATCTTGTGGAAAAAAGTAAGGAGTGGCTGAGCAGTGTGGCGTCGATGACCAGATCTGGACCTGATCACGGGGTTCCCGAATACGTCGTCATTTTCTTTCTGATTAATTTGGGTCTATCATGAATTCCACACTTCCAAAAGAGCATGGTGCAGGAATGCACAGGGGTCATGTTGTGTGAAAGTCCATGTTGTTAATCAAGTAAGCACTCGGACGCAATGAATCAGGACGGTCTCCTTGATAAGACAGGTCAATTAGATTTGAATCATGATATTTGGAGCTTACGAATTGCTCAGAACCTATCGAAAGCCGGTGAAGGATCGTGCTGCATTGCAAAATCCTACACGCGGTATGAGGTATACTTGAAGGATATGCAATGACTGATCCAGGATCAATGGTTTGAGGAAATCTTATCCCTGGAAAACTTGAGCCATGCAGGTTGACCCGAAGCTCAGTGAGACCTGTTGATCCAGGAGATCATGTAAACGGATTGAATAGCGTGTCAAGCTGCAATGATGAGTGGATGGGAAGCCCAACAGCTCGCAAGTCTTGCTCTCGGCTCACCGCGCATCCATAATCAACTCAAAGTCGCGTTCTGTGCCCTGTTTAAAGGTTGAATTGCGAGTTTTATCGTTAGTCTGTAGGTGATAGCCGTTTCGAATGATTTGTCGCGGAACGCAGTCGAGAAGCATTTCACAAGGCAATCCAAATCAGTCTTAGGGCTTGCCCGAGCTTTAGAGGAACCTTCTGACATGCCAACGAAATTGCTACACTTAGTGAGATGCTCATAGCAAGTTGCCAAGACTTGGACGCCAAAGCAAGTATTCTCGATAATTTCATCGCATGAGCCTGCTTTTTTGACTGCTGCAGGACCTGTTTCTGTGTGCAAATCAAGGATCTCGCTTGTTCACAAGTTCCGCTAACCTTCAGACGCGAAGAGAGTGACCTACAATATTCGACCTATACACACCGGCCCTGCGCGTAGAGGCGCGATTCGAAGGGAGCCACTTGCAGGCCGGAATGGAAAGTTGAGTATGTTGATTAGTGTGGTTTTTCAAATGTAGGGTGGATACTTAGACAAAGCAAATACCAATGCATGTATTATGCCGTTATGGTAACGGCCATAAGGCTTGAACTGCAGAAAAGCCTCGATAAGATTCTCAGGGGTGGAAGCTGACCAGGCTTCAGATGAGAAAATAGCGACGCTTTATGATACGGTCTCGAGTCTTACCATCCGGTGAGGAAGTCGAATAAACCGCCTGGGGAATGCTTGGTGTACAGACAGTCCAAGCTACAGTCAGACCTTGCGAATCGCCGATGCGCTAAGACCCGACAAAGCGCTTGTTACACTCGGCCTCAACATCCACGCACGGTCCAGTGCGCGAGAATATAGGCCGGTTGTTGATGGCGCATCGTCTCTGGATGCGACATCTGATAGACCGCACTTGGGCACCTTACCTGTATCTCAAAGTAGTCCTAGGGAGATAAGTATTGAAGATGACCTCGTAATTTAAATTAGTCCTGACAGAGAATTAGCATAATTTGGATGGGCGAGCCAAGCCTCGAAGACTCACAATTCATTCCTTTGACAGTTGCTTGATGGAGATCTAGTGAAAGTACGGAGTTGGCCGTAGTGCTCAGTGCAATGGATGCGGCAATGTCGGGGCATGCAGCTTCCCTAAACAGCACTGAAAACCAAATTGGCAAACAGCTCCGTGCGCCCACCTTTCATTTTGAGCTAATTACCTCGTCGATATAATTATAATTGTTTGAGAAAGCTTCTCCAAGCGCCAGGAATGGCGCCTCTGAAGTCTCGACAAAACCATTCGCTTACCCCATCGACTCCTCGGCACCCTAAAGGCCCGTCGGCGAAACCAGTTCCGGTAACTACTTCCATCGACCCAAAAGTATTCGGTGAGCTGTTTGCAGGAGCTGTGACCATATTCTTCTTTGCTGTCATCTTCTGGAAGACAGGCAAGTTCATACGATCATTCAACCGGCACAAGGTGCTAAGAGAAGGAAAAGCCGCTGAGGCTCGTTATGCAAGGACATGGTATGGCTGGGTGTCACTCGAAACGCATGAGAGAAACAAGAATATCTTCACAGGGATCTTTTCACGAGTCCGAGAATGGACCGCTTGGAAATCGACTCGCACAGATTACCGCTGGGTGTGGTGGGACCCTGGTCAGAAGGCGTTGGAAGAACGGCGCCAGAATCGAAAACTACTTGCCTGGCTGCCAGAATGCTTCAAAAGCTATGACTTCATCACAGCAGACGAGATCTGGAATACGGGGCCGCCCACACAGTGTCATGGTGCATTATCCGACGACCATTCTCAGTCTGTTTGGCCCACCAGATCTATGAGACAACGGCGTGATTTAGACGACAGTCCACCCTCACGACAGTATTTCAAGGACAACGAAGTCACTGGAAAGACATTGATCTCTCAACAAATGTCTAAATCTAGAGCGAAATCAGTCCTATCAACTCCTCATGAACTTTTGGCGGAACATCTGTCGGCCAACGCGAAGGACGCAAAGAAGTTATCGAGGATTTCGGTCAAAGTTCAGTCACTACCAATAGTGAGACCAAAATCCCAAGCTCTAACCGCACATCGGTTATCTTCAATCATATGGCTTGACCGGACCACATACCGGGACCCTTCATTTTCGGAATCAAGTAGCTTCATGACGGCCAAATTCACCAATTCCTCTCATTCGCACGGGATGTCCAACACATCAATACGCACTATTGACCCAAAGCCTCATCATCGCCACAACTGGCGTAGACATCAAGTATGGTCAGCTCAGATGCAGCTCAAAGCCCCCAGACTTGTACTTCGTGGCCTTAGAGATTCGTCCGGTCCTCCTGGAACTCCTCGGACTAGTTTCCTGGCCAGCTTCCTCTCCGAACAGAGTGCCTTGAGTCTTGTTCCTGAGCGACTAAAAAAATGTGGACTCCATCTCCTGAGAGGCTCAACTGGGAGATTTTCTGTGGCATTTAGCCCGGGAAATACTGTAAGGAAACTTCACTCGACACGTGCGAAGCTTACAAGTTGGGGAAGAATAAAGTACGACACCGCACCGACAAGGTCTCGGATGTTGATGAATACTTCACCAACAGTCGACAAAAGGTTCTCCCATCCTTGGCACACACTGTGGAAGTTGAAGCAGCCCTTACACTCGCGGAATGCCCTTCACAACCTTTGGCCATCCGCAGAAATCATCGCACAGAGACCCGGCTATAACATCAGTCAACCAAAGCCAGATTTGGAATGCCCCCAGCCTCCTTTCAAAGAACTGAGTGACTGGGAGATGAGGCTAATAGACGGTTTGGATCGGAAACTGGTGTGGAATTTTAACGAATTCACCCCCGGTCAGAAGCCGTATCATTTTGCATGTCTTGCCAATCACTGGCTAAACTGGGAGACCTGGGTTGTAATTGACCCTGTCTCTCGAGTCACTCAAAATGCACGGCGGCAATACGGAGATCCGCGATTCAATGTCCCATATCCAGACCCATGTTTGGATCCTCGGCCGAAGTATCCACTGGCTGTCCACAAGCGAGCAGACACTCGACGTATCGACTCATGGCGTGCTGCGATCAACAGACAGAGAAGAGTATGCGGACTCCAAGATTTCGTCCGCTCGGTCGAGCTTTATGAGGACTCATGCGATGAGCCCCCGGATGGGAAAATCGACCCTGCATGTTGGATCTTGCCAAAGCCTCCCCAGGGGTTTGAGATGAGCACGAGGCAAAAGAATGCATGGTATGAAGGAGGGGCAGGCTGGCAAGAGAAGCTTGAAGACTGGCAGCGAGTTCGCAGGGCTATCGACTACAAAAAGCTTTATGCGAGGGCCGCGTAAATCGGAACTATGTGAAAGGAGTCGCAGCAAATGTTGGTCGATATTGTCGTTCCGTTTCGTCCAAATTGATTCCCCATGTCCAATGGAGACGACGGTCTAGCTAGCCCATTCGCTGAACCAACTCGAACCAATCCTCTTGTTACCTGTGGCGGCTCAATCCACCACTGTCTCTTCGTGGCTTTGAAAAGCCCTTTGAAAAGCCCTTTGATATACGATCACTTGGTTTCTATCCTTACCCGAATCACTGTTCGTCATTCTATCTCTATAAATCAAATCCCGCAAAACCAATGCACTAAAATACAATGTTTTTGAATTTTGACTGAATTGTCTAAGCGCTGAATAATGAACATTGTAAGTCATCGGCTTCCTCTGGAGCGGCCATACGATTTTCTCAAGGCCAAAAAAAACTCCAAAAATCCTTCCTATGTTTCAACTCGGACCAGCCCATTGAATAGAGCAAGCGTAGTCGAGTGTCGCGTGTATAATACAGATGCCGAATCGAAGATCATGCAAGGTATGCATCGGCGAAAGGTGATAGGTGTGCAAAAAGGCGAGATCTTAGAAACCAGGGGGGGTTCACACGCTGGCTGACACGGGTCCACTTGGGCAGCTCTGGAAAGGACAAATTGGTCAGTTTCGACTTGGAGAAGCGATTTAGGCAAGGATTGGCATTTTGCCTCGATGTGAACGTACTGTGAATGCTCTTGCGGTAGGTCTTTTCCTTCTTGTCGAAAAGAGTGTACTTGTCCTTGGGCAGCATCTCCTCCTCACGGGGCATCTCGGCATACCACCGGTTCACAGCCTTTGTGGTGTGACCATTGCGCTCAAGGGCAGCGCTCACGGTGTCGACGACGCGGTCCACGGCACGCAGGCGCTTGCGTTGCCGGGCCTTTTGGGGTGAGGAGAGGCGCCACGGGGTCTTCCTGTGAAACGAGAAGGCACTATATTAGCTCTGCAGGGGGGAAAGATCTATTTCAATATGAGTATTTACCAAAGAAGACCCGAGAATAGGGCGTTGGTGGGCTTGAACATGGCTGGATGTTGAGAGAAGCGGAGCGTTGCGGCGAGGAAAATCGTGCTCGAAGTCGGGATCCCAATTGGTCCGTGCGCAATTTACTCTATACTTTCGTTCTCTGTTGGACACAACAAATATCTTGAGTGACGGAGAAATTGAGTAATACGTGAAGATATTTCACTAAGCACAGTATTTTTCTGTCTATTACATTCTCAATAGCTATCTTCTCAGTTAATCGAAGACGGAGAGGTGCAATATTTACCCCGGTTTAAGTCACATGATCCCGAGAGGATAATTGTGTCCGCCGAGAACTCGCGACTTTCCCCTCTGCGCATTCACTCCTCTGCCTGGAAACGGGTCTTGAGACTCAAGCCTCTGGAATTTTGCCCGTGACCCGGGCCTCATTCATGGACTGTTCTTAGACTCGACTCCACCCAGCAACATGGAATCCGGCGCAACGGCGGACTCTCCGTCATTCGCCTGGCGGGCGATGTCAAACACGACGATGTGGGGAGTAGCCGGACTGTGTCGCGCATTCTTGTCGGCACTTTCAACCGCTGAAGTACACGGGGGCGAAGCTTTCACGGCATTGTTGGACTCTCGGAAAGATCCATCGCAAAGAACGAAGGGATTGATTACAGGTAACCACACCCAGAACACTACTCTGGAAAGACCTCAAATTGGAAGCTGATCAGGTTGGCCGTGATAGTTTCGAATCATATCAGCGTGTACGTACCTTTGTGACTCCCAAGTGGCGAATCATGCTCTGCAGAGAGGACATGAACGACTGACATTTTTCGACATTCAGTATGGACGACCCGTTAATATGGGGCTTGCTTCCCATGCGTTTCTGGAATCAGCGGTGGTCCTTCGGAAGTCATGATATTTGCTTCCAAGGCAGGTACGTGGAGATTGAAGCAACGGGTTGATTGGCCACCTGTACTGACGAAGTACGCGCTCTATAGACCTCTCTCTTTCTTCTTCACCATGGGACAGGTCCTTCCGACACATCGCCTCGCACATTCGCCATTTGGTGGTTTGGGTCAGCCTGCGGTCACTCAGGCCATCCGATTGCTCTCCAAGGGACCCTTCCCCGTTGACCACCACCGCGCTGCACCAGAACTCCAACATTTCAGCCGTCGAAACGTCTGCATTGACCCCTTCTCGGATCTCCCTGTTGCATACTCAACCAACGGCGAGGATGCGCACATGGCGCCCTCCGCATTTGCTTGCAACTCTCACTCTTGGGTTCACATTTTCCCGGAGGGGAAGATTCACCAGGCGCCCCGAAAGACTATGCGTTACTTCAAGTGGGGTGTTGCCCGACTGATTCTTGAATCCAACGAGTGCCCAGATGTCGTCCCAATGTGGATTGAGGGCATTGATCAGGTCATGCACGAGAGTCGCGAGTTCCCGCGATTCCTCCCTCGTCCTGGAAAGAAGATCGATGTTACCTTCGGCGCCAAAGTTGACCCCGAGGCGGAATTTGGGAACTTGAGGTCCCGCTGGCAGAAGCTCCGCGCCAAGGTTGAAAAGGCAGATCCCAAGTCTCGAGACTTGCCTGTCGGCGTCTTGAGTGAGGAGCTCATCAACAACAAAGAGGCAGTTGAACTCCGCAAAGAGGTCACTCGGAGGATCAGGAATCTTGTGTTAGATGTGCGACGCTCGCGCGGTCTTCCAGATGAAGATCCTAAGGAGGGCCTCGTCGAGACCTGGCTTGAAGAGGGCTCTCAGCGGGAAGGCCACATGAAGGACGATTCCTGGGTTCGGGATATTTAAAACCTTAGATTCCAGATATCCAGCCCAGCTTGTAAAATAACAGTGTAAATAGTGTATAGATTCAAGAGCATACAGTTACTTCGTGGAACCTGTCATCTGTGGCGCTTTATCACAGTAGTTTTCTCCGACGTGGGGGCGACAAAGCGATAAGCACTAGATGAGCCGCATCGCCACTCTCCTTCTCCAACTCTCGATCAAACGACCTCTATGCCCAAGAAGCACAGGCAGTCGTTTGCCAAACCAGCTAGCACTCCTCACCACTCACTCACATCTTCGGGCCGTCATAATGACCAAATCCAACGGTCAGCCACTTCGGTCAACGACTTGATCAGCCATCTCCGTCGCACACAAGTGACCAGCTCCGCGGAACACGAAACACAAGCGTCCTCGTCGGTTTCACGGTCTACCGACTCCTTGCGATCCGTACACCCATCCTTACGCGATATTCTCGAACTTCCTGAGACCGCGCCGCCTCGTCCTCGACCGAACACACGGCGTACAGCAATCGGCGGGCGCCGCGTGCGCATTATACCGGGGCCCCCGCCTCCTGAAAGCTGGCTAACCGAAGACAGCAAACGCTCTCAAGAAGAAGACGATAAGCTGTCATTGAAGGAGATTCAAAAACCTATATATCGTCTTGAGAGGCTTCCTGGTGCTAAATTTCCAGGAGAAAGTAGCCTGAGTCATGCAATTCTCAAGTCTATGGCCTCAAACTGGGCCTGGCACCTGGAGTACGATGGATCATTCTTAGCCCAGCTTCCATATCACGTGAAGGATGTCTTGCTCAGCTATATCGCTGTTTATGCAGATACATCTCCGGGGTATCTATGGCGCAAAGATGGACTGATGCGGGGGGTTAAAGCCGCTATTCTCATCCGAGTCTATTGAGGAAGAAGATATAGATGGGGATGAGAACATGATCCACGATGCTGCAGTAACACGTCTTGATTTCAGCCGCGCATTAGGATATTGGATATCGTTCAAGCAAATCGCCCACGAGCTTCGTCCCTCTGCGAAGTCTGCGATCCCTGAGTTTCAGCGTGATGCTGAAGAGATCATACCAGCTTCTTGGGACGAACTAGTAGACTCCAACGAGACAATCTCAACCGCCACTTCCAGCTTCCAGAAACTACCCATTCCCAAAGCTCTTGATCAGCCGCGGTTCCAAAATCTCCGCTATTTATCTTTCGCCCATCCGGAGCCGAGCTCTGCGAAATGGGACTCTCTTATTCACCTTCTTTCGCGGCTACCTACAATCACTCACTTGTCCTTGGCCCACTGGCCTATTCCTTGTCGTTCGTCGACCTTCCCTCGTTCTCGCGAGCCAAATGACTCGTTCCGAGACAATACGGTTCTGGCTGACGCTGCCGCGGTTCTACGTCAACTTGCACGCAGTTCCTACTGTTTGAAATGGCTTGACCTAGAAGGCTGCAGTGAATGGATAGAGGCCCTTACCTATCAAGGATCCGACCCCGACGGACGAGAGTACAGTAGAGAAGTATGCGGTCCAGAGTGGAACGGGCCTTGGAGAGACATTGAGTGGATTGGTCTAGGACCGGGCTTTGAGTGCCCTGAAGACATACCGGAGGGCAAGTCTTCTTCCAGCGGTCCTTCTCAGGACAAGATACAGAAGAACCTTCAAAGAGCACGTGAAAGTTGGAGAACGCGATTTGAACAAGGTCACAAGACTTGGCGCCAGCTGGTGCAGATCAGAAAAGAGAGCCGTGGGAAATGGATGTACACGGATGTTGACGAGAGGGCTTATACTACTTTCATCCGATCCCGGTCCTCCTGATTGAACCACAGAGGTTATCTCACGTCTGCCATCTACAGTCACAAAATGACAATTACATTTACCAGATGAATATAAATGATATACGCCAGAAATTCATTCCTTTTTTAGTTCCTTAACTGCACAATGGTATCATATCTTCCACCTCCAATGTAATTTACTTGCGGCCACGGTTGAACGTTTTCAAGGGATCAACCTTGCTACCCTTCTTCCCTCCCTTTCCACGACCGCGGTTGCGATCCCTAGCCTTGCGAATACGATTCTCATTTGTCTTTGTGAATCCAACGTATCCAACATCCTCCTTCGAGATACCCTTTCGGCCCTTCGCCGGCATCAAGTACTCAGGGACGTGCTTCAGATGAGGCTGCACACGGGCGGCGCGCAGTTCTCCGTCGTGACGCAGCTGGCGCAGCTCCTCGGGATTTTCCTCGAAATGGCGCTTCAATTTCTCACTCTTAATCAGCTCCTGGCGAATCTCACGGGCACGGGCTTCCTGGACGGCAAGACGAGTGACGGCACGCAGAGCATCGGTCATACGGTAACGGAAAGCATCGACCTGGGACATCTCGAAGTGGTAGGGCTTGACCTCGTGGCCGAGCTTGCCCTGGCGCTTGATGATCTTCGTGAGACGGGTCTCGTCGTGCTTGGCGCTGGGGACAGAGGTAGGTTTGTGCTTGCCGTACAGGTCGGCCGGAACAACAAATGAGAGGGCCATACCTGCCTTACCGGCGCGGCCGGTACGTCCGATGCGGTGGGTGTAGGACTTCGATGTTGTAGGAAGGTCAAAGTTGAGGACACAGGCGACGTTCTGGAAGTCGATACCACGGGAGACGCCGTAGTCCTTTTGTTTGCCAGTCATCTTGCGTCGCTTCTCGGGTCGGGCCTTTTGCTTGTCGCTTGACTCCTCAATTTCTTCTTCATCCTCGCTGGAGCCGACCTCCTCCTTATCCTCAGTGTCCTCGTTGGCCTCGCGAACCTTCTTGGATGGCTTGGCCACTCCCATAACTTCTTGATCATCAGCGGCGATGATAATGTCGTAGACGCCCTTATTGAATTCCTCGACGACGTGTAGTCTTGAGTTGATAGGCAATTCTGAGTTCAAAACACAGCTCTTGATACCAAATTGTTCCAGGAAAAGCTTCACACGATAGCAGCGATCAACGTCGCCGACGAAAATGATGACCTTTCCTTTGACCAGCTGCAATTTGAAGATGACATATGTCAGAAGGAACTTCTCGTCTTCCGCACACTTCACCACAAACTGGCTGACACCAGCTCCCTTTTCTTCCTTGTCCTCAAGCTTTAGAATGACCGGGTTACGGCAGAACAGGCTCTTCAAAGTATCGACCTCGGAGGTCAGGGTAGCACTCATCAGGAAGGTCTGAACACCGCGGGGGATAGCCTTCGAGAGAGCATTGATGTCCTCATCGTAACCATAGGACAGGACCAAGTCAGCTTCGTCAATGACCAGGTATGTGAGCTTCTCGAGTGACAGAGCCGAGTTGTTGACATTGGCGAGGACACGAGTAGGGGTAGAAACGATCAAATCCGGGAAATCGGCTAGCATAGTGCGTTGAACGGCGTCGGACACCTTCTGTGTGAGGTTGACGGACCGAACATCCTTTCCGCAAAATTGAGTGAACGAGATGACGACTTTTTGGACCTGCTCCGCGAGCTCGCGAGTCGGGACAAGGATAAGACCAGTGGTAGCTTTCAGCGAAGGGTCGGCCTGTGTAATTCTATCAGCGGATTTTCCGCTGTTAAGGAGGTCCGATCAGACTTACAGATTTTTGTTGAAGGATGGCCTGTAGGACCGGAAGGACGTAGGCGGCGGTCTTTCCAGAGCCAGTCTTCGCACGGGCTATTTCTGTCAGCAAGAGGTAAATTAAACAGCCTTCAGACATAGCGTACCCAGAATATCCTTGCCCTCAAGAGCAAGCGGAATAGCCTTCGCCTGCACGGGAGTAGGCTTGGTGAACTTTTCTTTGATCAGGGCCTGGCGCAGGCGGGGATCGAGGTTAAGAGTCTCAAAATCGGCATCCTGTTCCTCGGCGGACTTGGCCTCCGGGGAAGGAACATCATTGGCATCGAGTTTGCGCTTCATATTTGCTGTACAGTTGTAATTTGGAGGCGAAAGAATCCTTGGATGATTTAGGAAATCTCGGCGGGCGGTCAGGGAGATTTTTTTTGGGCGGTCAAGGAGCCACTCTGCGGTGCTGACACATCACATAGATCACCGATGCGGAAAAACCAAAATAATTGCTCTCGACCTTAATCGTGGAAATACTCACAAGAATGATGGATTTCTAGGCCATTATACTCAGGAATCTCACAGGAGCATTCATTAAGTGAAACAGAATAATGGGGAACTTTCAAAGTAAAGAATGAGGTACGTCAAATCAGGTCGCCTCCAGCAATGCAGAAGTACGCAACTCAGCGAATAAAGTCATGCTTGATATAGGTGTTGATTCGTTCTTTGACTCGACCGAGTGGCGGGAGCTTGATATTGTACTCAGCCGCGCAAGACTTGTTAAGAGTCGGTTGGGACATGGCGTACAATTTCTCCTGTGGACTCTTTGGCTATCCCAATTATAGACACACTGTCTCGGGTACTGTCTACATCGAAACTGCTACGTAACGTATTGCTAAGTGTTTGGAGATCAGCCGACTGTAGTCTACTATCGGGCTTAGTGAAGAGGGTCGTGCTATTCACCAGCGGCGACCTCGCTCTGCGAATATTGATACCCCGGTCTGTTTTGCGAGCCTACAGTGCCCGCTTCACCGAAGGAGGCGGACTTTGTCAATCAGTGGCTTCTTCATCAGCTGCTTTGCCCCAAGATCATTTCAAGATCGAGACTTGGAGTTCAAATCTAGTCTTGAACTCGTTGATCTAGTTGACCAAGTTTGGAGTCGGGATAGAAAGAGCCAGGTGGCATTCATGTTGCGATTCTGGGACATGAAAGGGCAATAAATTTGGCTTGATGGGCCCTTGGGAACGGAAATTGTGTATGAGTATTCGAGTTCTTTGAGACGTCAAACATACAGCATCAAAGATATCCGTAGAAGCCTGAAGGACTTTAGCACATAGTCATGGAAGAGTAGCGCTGCGAATGTATGGTAGGATGCGAGACACTTCTTACCTATATGAAGGCATAGTCGAGTGTTGATTGGTACCGCGAGTGTTTAAAGGCTCCATAGATGTTGCCAACCCCTCAAGTCTCCATATTTTAGAAATGCATTTCTCAGCAAGGGAGTAAATACGCATTTCAGAATACTACAGTGACTTGTGCAACCTCCAATCCTCATTGCCTCTGTGTTCACCATCACAACCCGTGGCCCGAATCCTTGCCTCAAAACATCGCGAGGATACCCGTGGATGTGGGCCGATGATGTCGAGTTCCGATACCCGGACAAATGGACATGTGCTTGTCCGAACCGGCAAGGCTAATAGCCCGTTCGTCTGGGTATTCCTTGTTGATTATCGACTCCAAGCCCCTGGCTATAATTCACCGCCAAAGGTTGAAGATCATTTTACATCCTAAGCCGGAGATCCATCGTTGTACTTTAAGGCACCTCGGCCCCGCACCCCGCAATGGCGTCTCTGAACGAACAACTCGCCACGCTGGTTGAGAATTACACGGCTTGCGATGTAAGAGCTCCGTGAGCGATCTCCATATATTCGGATTTCGAAATCCTACAACTATAGCTGCCTCTATCACAGTCCACTAATATACTCCATCGCACAGGTATCCGACGCTCTCTTAAAGCTACAGAAAGTGCCCGAGGGCATTGCACCACGAGCTGGATATCTCGCTGATTTGAGTAAGACTAGAATCTATTAATTCTCCAAAAGAACATGCCACGCTGCCTTTCGATACCATTACCTTCGAGGCTTGCAATATAGCATCTACTAATCCATGCACGTAGCCCCCTTCTCCCCGATCATCGGAAGAAACGAAGGCGCGCCAAAAGTTGCAGCGCCAGCGACAACATTCAAGTTCATTTCAAAGAGCGCCAGCCCGCCTTCAATTGCAACGGAGAGACCCGAAAAACACGGGTTCCCGCCTGGCAAGCACTGGGTTGACTATGCAGGCGACTTTGCCGCGGAAGATCCGTCCAAGGCGGGCTCAATCATTGTGATTGAGCAGCCGGATGATCAATACTGTGCTGTAACCGGTGGGATTATGGCGACGCGCATGAAAGTACTCGGTATCAAAGCTGCTATTGTGGGTGGTCGCGTGCGTGATTTAAGGGAATTGCAGGCGACAGGGCTCCCGGTGGGTGTTGTCGACTTTGAACTTATGCACTGTGACTGAGTCTTGTGTGTAGATTTGGGCTCGAGGTACATCGACTGTCGGTACTGGCGCCGAGGCCAAAGCGGGCGTACGGAATGTTCCTATTTCTATCGGAGGGGTGACTGTTGATGCAGTAAGTATGGATGGATGGCTGCGTCTGCTCTCAAAACTCATTGACGTTTCTAGGGAGACATTGTTTTCTGTGATCCCATGGAAGGCGTGGTCGTCATTCCTCGTAATCTGCTCGGCCCTGTGCTTGAACTCATGCCGAAGTTGATCAGAATGGACGACCAGGCGAAGGAAGCCGTGGCGCAAGGAATGACCGTCACAGATGCCTTCAAGAAGTTCCGCTAAGGGGCCATCTGCAACAATTTCATGGACCTTTTTGACCAGATTGGATTGGAGCCCAAGGGTCATTTCAGTTGGCAAAGCCTCAAGTAATATAATGGTTTACAGAGCAATAGTTGATTCTGAAGGGCGAAAATGTACATGAATTTCAATCTCGTGGTATCCTCAAAGGTAGTCAATACATCAAAGAATTTGTGGATCTAAAAATCCCGAATCGCTGTGCAATTTACAATGAAAGACGGAGCCGCATTTACTCGGCGACCCAGACGGCGGCCATACCCATACCAGTACCGACGCACATGCTGGTGACACCAATCTTCTTGTTGGTCCGCTTGAGCTCAGTCAGAAGTGTGCTCACCTGGCGAGAGCCAGTGCAACCAAGAGGATGACCGAAGGCGATGGCACCACCCTTGGGGTTAACCTTCTCTTGGGGCAAGCCAAGCTCGTTGATACACCACACACACTGGGAAGCAAAGGCCTCGTTGATCTCGTAGATGTCAACATCATCCTTGGTGATGCCGGCCTTCTCAAGGGCAACGGGGATAGCCTTCCAGGGGCCAATACCCATGAGCAAGGGCTTGACGCCGACAATGCTGGCGGAAACGTACTTTCCGATGATCTTCTGGCCCAGACGCTCGGCAGTAGAGCGCTTCATGAGCAGGACGGCGGCGGCACCGTCGGAAATCTGAGAGGCGTTACCGGCGTGGATAGAACCATCCTTGGCAAAGGCCGGGCGGATCTTGCCGAGGGACTCAGCGGTAATGCCCTCGCGGATACCGTCATCAGCCTTGACGGTAATGGTCTTCTCCTCGCCAGACTTGGGATCGGTCCACTTGACCTCGAGAGGAGCAATCTCCTCGTTGAAGAGGCCAGCCTTCTGGGCCTTGACGGCCTTTTGGTAGGAGGCAGCGGCGAAAGCATCCTGGGAAGCACGGGAGATGCCACGGTCCTTGGCCATATCCTCGGACAGGACACCCATGGGAACCTTGCAGTTGGCGGACTCGGGGTGGCTCTCGAGGAGCTCAGAGAATTCGGTCACAGCACCAGGGCCATACTGGGAAGACATGCTCTCAACACCAGCGCCGATGCCAACCTCGATCATGCCAGACTGCACGGCATTGGCAATATCGACGATGGCTTGCAGACCACTAGAGCACTGACGGTTCAGGGCCTTGACAGCGGTAGACTCGGGGAACCCAGCAACAAGGGCGGCAGCACGGAATTCGGTGGCACCACCGCGGGGGGCAGGACGGAGCCAACAGCGACATCCTCGACGGCGCTGGGGTCGATACCGGACTTCTTGATAACGGCCTTGAAGACACCGGCAAGCAGGTCAGCAGCAGCGGTGTCCTTGAAGCCACCCTTGCCACCCTTGGTCAGGGCGGTTCGCAGAGCACATGTGACGACAATATCATCGGGGTGTTTCTCGGTGATAGAGGCGGCTCCCTTCTTGCCGGCAGAGCCGAAGTGGGAGGAGACCTGGTTTAGGCGTTGTTGAGCTGAAAAATTATGATTAGCTCACAACTTCTAATATGGTGCTGCATGTGGCAGCTTCTATGGCAACGAAGTACTTACCTGAAGACATGACGTCAATGTGGGATGAAGTCCGGGATTTTATAGGGAATATGGGGGTAGAAGCACAGGACGAGATGAAGAACACGGATCACAGTGCAGGGAGAAGACGGTCTTATAAAGCAAAGCCGTGGATCCGGTGGTATTTCCCTTGTCGCAGTGTCGGCCGTCGCTCATGTAGCAATGAAAGTGCCGAGGTCCGTCGCATTATTGTTGATCCGGCCCCAGTCACGGGATCACCGACGCGGTCGCATGTGAACATGTGAAACAGACAGCTGTGATCTTCTTTTATCTCACGTCATACTCATGGTCTTGTGCCGATCGGGTCCTTGCCCGAATTATGATCATCTCGGCAGCTTAGCGTTAAGGTGAATGTGATTGTTCGAGATGCCCCGAGCTACATTCTCCGGGGCGCTGATTGTGGAGACCCCGGTGTCTCAGACGACCCGTGGACCTTTGAACTCCACCGCCACTTATTTTGGCCATCATTGCCTTGTTGTTCGTGACATGTGCAATTCTTATGTTCATAAAATGATAGCTTCCTTAATATGCAACGCTTCTTCTCGGTCTCTTGTACCGTTCCTTAAAATCCACAATGACTAGCGCCGGGCTGAAACAATGTCCTTCTACTTCAGCGCTTCAAGCAAGTCTTACCGCCCACCAACTTGGAATAGCATTGCAGAAATACTGCTCTGAAACCAGAACAGCAAAATTCATTCGACGATGTTGACTGACATGATTCTGCAGGCTACATCACCATATTCAGCGCCTGCTCTCATGCCGCGGAACTTTTTTGTTTCTCCTAGCTGGAAAGCTACATTTAAGAATGGCGCCCTCTTAGCGGTTCTGTACAATAAGCAGCGATTCTATCTTATTTTCCAAACTTTCAAGTGACCATGTCAAACTCAGTTGATGTCCAATTCGACGTCAGTAACCTGACGCTACTGGGCTTGGGTTCATTCACGAATGTACTCAGCGCACTCTCCGCAGACGATGTTCAACCCACTGCCATGATTCAGCTGGAAAAGCTGGGTGGTTCGTTTCCGATCAGTGGTCCCCTCAGATCTCAGATCCCTGATCATCTCCAGCGATGTAGTAGCAAACGTTTGGAACGCCTCGGGGTGACAATAGGGTGGCGGAAGGGTGACGCTGCCTCCTTGATGTCACACTCAGCTGGCGGACAAGCTATTGCGCTCTTAGCAACTTGTCTCGAGAACATATATGGCAATGACGCTGCCGCTACAATCTTCTATAAAATCTCCAAGGCTTTGCTACCGAACTCCGCCCGTCTCAGTAGCCCTAAGCAGCTGCAGCAAGCCAATACAATCCTTTCTCGAAAGCTTGGGGTGATTGGATTTGGAACCATCCTTGCGAAGCAGGTGTGTCGTATACACGAAGCCTATCAGTACCTTCCCCAGAACGTACCGCCGAGCCTTCTTTCAGCCTTAAGCCAGGATGGGATGTGTGACATCTTATGCAAATTTTCGCAAGCCTTGAGAGATGAAAAATGCATTGTACGCGCGCGCGGCTGCGCCAGCATGGGGTACATCACCGCCATTGCTGTGTCGATGTTCTCCGACGATTGTATTGTGACGATCGAAAATCTGATCATCCACCAAGGATGTCGATCGGCCTCGATTGCGATTGAAATCACCGAATCCCTTGGCAACGAATCGCTTCAGATTCAGTCTATGGGAAAGGTTGAATCGCTGCACGATATAGCTTTGAGGTCGGCTCAGAATTCACGTAATATGAAATTCTCCCATGAAGCTTACTTTGCTACATACACGCAACTGCATCTGCTAGAGCTGGGGCTATTATGCTCACCTCCTGTGTTAACAGCGATGGGAGTCTGCATTCTCTCTCTTTCAGATCTGCTCTTCGTATCCCTGGGTGAGCGCTCGGGATCGCGACCAGTCGCTTGCGCCAATTTGTTCCGCCTTCTTTTAGGTAACTTGTACCGATCTGCTCTTCACCAGCGCTGCGAGACTGCACTGGGGGCTTCACTGCCCTTAAGGTGGCCCTCTTTTTCGGAAGCGTTGGGCCAGTTGAGAAATTCACTAGCGAAGTCGAATCGTGCAGATGACTTTGCGTCACTCATTCAAACGAGCTTGCATGGGGACCCGTCAGATGTTCTTCTCCACATAATAGATGAGGGAGTTGCAAGCATGGCAGTACATGTGCATGAGGGAGCAATCTGGCAAGCGGGATCTAATCACAAATCCTGGAGTCCCTCTGATGCTGTTCAAGCCCGGGGTGTCAAGCACGTTACGTTAACTCCAAGCGAGCTTCTAAGCAAATTCTTCTCCTGGAATGATTCGAACATGATCGTCAAGTCGGAAGGCACGGCGACCCTCGTCCCGTCTAGTCTTTTGAATCTCGGGAGCGACCCTAATGACAATCGGGGTCTTGAGCTTTTCGATGGGCTCATCTACCATGAGAATCGTTACCAAAGTCAGGTCTTTGCGGAAGGCAATTGCTACTCTTGGAAACATCAATTATGCCGAACCGGTCACCAAAAAACCGAGATAGATGCTATTTACCCTACCAACAATGGTGTTCACTCTGAGCTATCATTAGCACTTGCAGAACATGTCCAAGGGTTGGCCTTGGAGTGTTCAATTACTGCAGGAGGCCAAAAACAGTCTATTAATCTTCGTGAACGAGTGGATCAACTTTTTGGTCTTCTCGATGCTTATCCCTGCAAGCATTCGAGACAGACCCCGTTGAAGGAAGAGTATGCGAATAAAGTACAGACAAATTCAGTGTTAACGCCCGATGGACGAGCTGGCGATCACATTTCAATTGTACAGACGGCAGGTAATCCGACCGCACAGTTCTTGTCTTTGACGAAATGGGAGCCTGCGATCCTTTGCCGAAAGTGCTGCCTGAACTGTGCATACGAGCAGGCTCGGGAAAAGGAAATTTATAAGATCATTGTCGCATGATGTCCAAAGCCTGCGAATACAGATTTCAACGGTTGTCAAATAACCACGCATGTACTCATCATTGAACGCTACTGTCTCCTTCTATGGCGTCTTTCACTACTCTCGTGTACGTTTATCTTCTTCAATTTGGAACATTTGTCCCACCCTCAGGTGAATGAGAGCCAGATATTTTCGTATCAAAATGCTCTTTTTTCACTTCTCTTTACCTCAATTTACCTCAGGCTTTCATCACATCCACGCGGCGATAAGAATTCAGGTAGGATCCCAGGCTGAATATATTCACGGGCATATTCAAGGATGTTTTGGATAACATATAAGTCTCTGTCCTCTCTCCTGTGTCCCCACCCACGCCATTGAGAAAGGCCACTTGGTGATTGTCAGCATACTTAAAGAACGATGCGCTGATCCCAATCATCTTCACAGAAGGGTGCTCAGATCAAGAATATGAGTGACCCCTCTCGTCTATCCATTGAAAAGCGACTTTCCCGGCATCGTGAAAGTGCTCTTGGAATACGGTGCAAATATAATGTCAATAATTTCAACGGCTTCGGCGTGTGACCATGGGTGGTTTAATTGCGATATATTGGATCTGAAGATGTTGAGGAATGGTACCAAGATGATGCCTCTCGAAATTCCACCTCTGACTATAGCCGTCAAGGCACAGAACTAAACAGCTGTCAAGCTCCTAATGAGTTTATCGCAGATCCAAAACTGAAGGTTGCCCCTTGGGCTCATAAGTATGCCTGACCTCGGGACTGTTATGCGCTATGGTTGCCAAGTGGGCGACCGGGACATCATCGATATGCTGATACATTACAGAGAAAGACGATGATCCGAAAAATTTACTTATTCCAGGAAACAGCAGCGTCTAGTTCATGTACCAGGGTAAAAGACTTAGCTGGAAGGATTGATCCTATCAAATAACAGAACAGATGAAGTGTTGTCATAGAGATCGACGCTTTGCAAGACCCAAGAATTGGTCAGATTAATCTCAAAATGATACTTCACTTAGACTAATTAGAAAACAGAGAATGAATCAAAAAGAGAAGCGCTTACTGGTAAGCTTCCGTGGTACTTTGGCCCCGAGTCAGTAGCCGCTATTCACAGCCATAGCGCGGATGCGGAGGACCTGCGGAGAGCGGCAGATCAAATTATTTCTCGCCCGCGCGACTTCAACCAGTCAACCTCCGCCATCATCCCCAGAACCTGTCCAATATACACATTACGAACACCGCACGAGCCCAGACGGCCACCTTCACATTCCATGATCAGACAACTCTTCACAGCCGCCGCGCCGTCGGCGCGCATCGCATGCCCGCCCCTCAAGACCCAGATCAGACAACCATGGCAGCTCACTGTACGACCACATCCGTGCATCTCCCAGTCTCCAAACTCAACCTCATACCTGTTGACTCCGCAGAAACCCACAACTCTCTGCCTTTCCGCACGCCTCTTCTCTAGTACACCCATTCACCAATCGTCCCCCTTCCGCCTCTCCTCCGATAATCACACGCCCTCTCCGTTCGAAGAAGATCGCTACAGCAAATACAAGCCCAAGCGACAATGGCCCCCAGACATGTCGAAGCTCTCACCAAAACATCAGTTCCGACTGGAACGGAAGTACCGTCGGCGCGCGGCGCTGAAGTATGCTCGGCCCCAATTTGTGAAGGGCGTGCAGTTGGCGCAGTGGGCTATTATTGGATGTGAGTTTCGATCATTGATCATTGGTCAGTGTGAGACTAGGGTCGCTGACGAGGTCTTGCAGTTGTTGTGATCTACGCGGTTCTGTTCATGAATTGGGACACTAAAGATACGCCGTTTGATGGGGTAAGTACTTCTCTGCGTTTTGCTCACTTGATAGGAGTTGGACTGACAAATGTGTGTATAGATTCGCGAGAATGTATTTGCTAGTATCCGTGGCGTGTTCTCTGCGCCGCCGCCTCGTGGTCCGAACCAGGCTGATGAGAAGAACGAGTCATCTTAACGAACGCACCAAAATAATTGTGTTCTTTGTATATTGATGATGCTAGTCCATATTGTACACTACTAGAATAGATTCCCAGATCGCATCTTTCTCCATCTTCATCCCAGTTCTCATCTCCTACTAATTTACAAAATCGGGTACAATCAAAAAGCAAGTGACGAATCATTCAATTCTCATATCTGTCATTGATCAAAAGCCATGAGCAAATCGAGTCAGGACTGCAGGCGTCGCTATCCGTGAGAAGACGAGTGAGTAGATCACATGCATCAGTATCTCTCTCGATCTTCCCCGCCACCTGCACCGTAACTTGACTTCATTACATCATGGCCGCCAGGAAATTCTGGACTGAATATGCAACTCCATAGCAACACCAGTTATGCCAACGCCTGTCAGAAAATAAGACCAAAAGCAACTCCAATAGGGCGATTTCAGACGACCAGGATGAGCTGGCGCTGACCCTTAAGCAGATAACCGAAAAAACTCCGAGTCATGAGGCGTGTAAAAGATAGACAATATGAACGGGAGTGGGTAAAAAAAAAGACAAGAAGAGAAGAAGGTAGGTCTGACGGCTTATTTTGGTAGGACGTCTAAAGCCAACGCGGCATGTCGCTGGATGGGGTACCAGGAATGGAAATTAGACCGGCAAGAGGGACATCGAGGGCAAGGTGTAGCTGAGGTGGCTTTTCATCAAGCAGGCCCTTCTTGGGACTACCAGGAATCTTCTTGGGAGATTTGGAAGGTGAGCCTGGGTCGCCGGCGCGAGGACCCTCACGGACGGAAGTGTAGGCCCATCCATCTTCGGCCGCGGCAGCTACCCAAGTGCGCAGTCCGTCGTGGACGGCGGAGTAGAACTTCTCCTTGCATGTGCGGAGACTGCCTCCCATGACCTTCTCGAAGCCAGAAGTGCGAAGTTCAGATCGGAGCTGGTTTCGTGCTTCCGCCGTTGGCAAGGAGGAGATGATCGCGTTCAAGAGATCCAGATGCGAGGCGAGGTAATTGGTCGCATCCCATTCAACCCCCCCAACGTATGGAGCGGCGGGGACAGGGGGGCGAGGAGGAGGGAAGTGTCGCAGGTAGTAAGAGCGCGCGTCCGCGGGATGCTTCTCGACGAAAGGATCATCGGACTTAGGAGCGGGCTTGGGGAGCGGGATCACATTCAGATGGTGAAGAAAAATCCAGAAGACTTCCTTGGTGACATTGGAGACTTCCTTGGCCCATACGCGATATGGCCTAGACTGGTATATATTGGCGATGAAAGGGACCGGCTGGTTTTCCTCCTCAGGGGATGGGTCACGCAGGTATGATAGAATTCGTTCCGCCCGCTTGCTCGGGTCTTCATCAGGGCTTACTGGGGTCACTTGTGTGAACATCAGGTTCATAATGATGCTTCGTGTCGTGAATTCGCTTGGGCCCTTCTTTCCTCGTCAAACAACATCTTCAGTAACCTCGGGAAGAGGTCCGCCTCAATCGCAGCCAGATGGGCAAGAGCTGCAGATGTGGTGCAAAGCCCCTTGAGGCAAAGCAAAGCTTCGTGAAGGAGGGTGTCCTCGTGGTCCTCCCTGCATAGCTAGTCAGTAAGACATTCAAATAAATGAGACTGGGTATGCATACCTCCACTCCATATGCATGATACGATAGATGAGCTGAACGATCTCGTCCATGCCACCTTCGGCGATGAAGCCATCAACCCAAGCTACTGTCTCGTTCCGAAGTAGGAGACGAAGCTTGTGGATTTTTCCAACTTCGACCATCTCCGGCTTCTGGATCTCTCTCAAGTAGTGCACAAAGTCGGACGGATCAGCAGCGGTGTCGACAGCCGCCGCTTCATGCAGAGACGCCGTTGAGCCCACTGCGCTAAGGGCTGTATAAACGCCGACAGGCTGTGACAGATCGACCGAGCGTGGGCGGCTGAATGTCCCACTTTCGGGTCGTGCCTTCTTACCGGGAGACGATGAGCCTCTACCGAATGCGAAGCCACGGCTTCGAGAGCGCGAGCGTGAGCCCTTGCGGTCGTCAGATCGACGATCGTCCTTGGAATCCTTGCCACGTCCCCGACGGCTCTCTGAAGTTCCAGCACTGTGAGGCGTGCCATTCTCAATTCGGTCCTTCTGGATGAAGTCGGCTTTGATGTTGGTATCAAGGGACCGCATCTTGTCTCTCATGTTATGGGGGATGTTCCTCGCATCCAGCAACTTCTCGAACTCGCTCTCCAGATCCTTGGAGTTCAGGTGTTTCTGAACTTCTGCATCGCGATCCTTTGCGTTGAAGGCCGAGATTGCAGCCTGCACCCGAGACAGTCTCTTAGGAGCCTGCTCGTCTTTACACGGAGATGCTGCAGATGACTCCGGAGCAGATATCTTTCGAGACTTATCAGTTGTCCGGGCCTTAGCTGACGCACTATCATTCCGAGTGCTGTCACTGTCTCCCGAGGTTGAACGTTGCTCAGGCCCAAGATAATCCTTCATCTTTCTACCCCCGGTAAGAATGTCCGATTTTGGTCTTGCCCTGTGTTCGCTTGGTCTGGTAAGTGATGGCGGCTGCTGCTGGTAATCGTAGAAATTTCGTTGTTGGGCTGGACTGTATCCCTTCGGCGTGTAGAGTGACACCTCCTCGGCAACACTACGCCGTCTATCTGCGGTGGAATCATGTCTCGATTGCGGGACCGATTCGGGATAGGCCGGGGTTGCTGCCCAGATTGGCGATGGCGGTGGCATGCTATCGACGAGGTCTGTCGGGCTTCGATTCTCCTTGTCGCGGCTCTGCTTGGGGTTATCGCCTTTGCGTCCCCGCTGAGACCGCTTCAAAAGGGCAGAAAGACTAGTGGATGACTTGGTCTTTTTAGGAGACTTCTCATCCAGGTTTTCCTGGGGTACTTCCTCCGACTTTCGCTCCATGTAACTTCTCAATGATTTGAGAGAGACGGCACTTTTAGTCTTCTTATGCACAACCTTGCCGTTCTTGTTTCCGGTTTTGGGAGTTGGCACGTTATTCTCCCCGGCATCGCGGTTCAGGACGATTTCAGCTAGCGGAAGATGGCCTGAAGCCGGAGCAGGGCCCTCGGCAAAAGGAAAGGGTGCGGTGCCCACAGGTTTGCTCAAATGGAAGGGTGGGGGCAGGGCGTCGTCCGCGGACTGGTTCCTCTTATGAGGCTTGGACAACATGGTCCGGAAGACGGACGATCTGGTTGGAGAACGGTTGGCGTCGTCGAATATCCGTGGACCAGCGGTACTTGGCGCCATCGCTTATCACCTTTGACCAGCAACTGCAGCCTGTCAGTCCAGGTCCGACACGGGTAGAGGCAGGTCACACTCACGGGAGCTTTCAATGCAAGAAACCAGGACCACGAAAAGAAAAGGCAATAAGCAGAACTGGGCGGTTGAGTAACAGCCCCCGATAGAAGAAGAAAATAGCAAGAAACGAAAAGCAATGCAGGCTGAGAGGGGGAATAAGAGTAGGAAAACAATCCGAGCAGCCGGGGGCAATGTGAGGCGTGAGCTAGTGTCTTGCTGCCAACGGCAACATCGAGGATCGAGACTCCACTCAACTTTGGACCGAGAACAAGTCTAGTGAGGCCAAGCTTGGGGTTGGTTGGATCCCAAGGTGGAGGAGTAAACAACGTGCGGATAGACTCGTTGCTCCGGGCAACCGGCACCAGCGGTTCCAACGTGGACTTTTGAAACCTACAGACTAGACATGTCATTCTGCATCATTCTGGTAGCTTTATCCTCTTTTCTGGGGGTCTTGCATCAGTCCTCCTTGTCCTTGCATGTTGTGGTCTCGAATGTTTGTTTTGGAAGAATCCCAATTGAGCGTATTTACTTCTTGCACGCGCTCACATCATCACTCTACACCGTATGATCCTCGTACTTTATTACTTCTTTCAACTTAGCCTTAGTTGACGGGCCATTGCATCTCCGGCTCCAATGACCAACGGTGATCCTGCGTCTGTCTACTTTCCCATGACGAAGCCATTCGGTCTCTCATACCAGGATAGGCCTGTCGGTTTGCTCGTATATGCGCCGTGACGAGTAACCCAAGAGTCCAGGACCCAGGTCTTCTGACCGAGGGGATCTAGAATCCAGGACCTTGGAACCTGCCTTGTCCTACGAACATTCGTGTGCTTGCCAGGTATGACCCATAGGTTGACCGGTTATGGCGGAGGGGAAGATGCTCTCGGATGGTCCACCGCCGTTTGCAATGCCCCGCGATAGGGCGAGAAATGCGGGCGATCTTTAAATGTGCCCAGACCGCGGCCATTGCAGAACCCGGACCTCGAATCCTGGCTTGGGCTCAAAATCCTCAGATTACCGCATGAACTCGTTCAATATTACCAAATGACCATACACGGAATTCGTGTTTGCCCTGGTTCGCGACCTTCGGAAAGTGCGTCCAATGGTTAATAGGTGCTGCGCGACCAGAAAGTAGTCGGGCAGTTCCGGACTTTCTCCACAAGGTACTCGGCTTCCTGTCCTGCTCCAATCAGCGCTCCGACTTGCTCCCGAGCTGCGAAGACTTTAAGACAACAACTTGCACCCACGACAGACGCACCAAGCACACCATGAATTGCCCCTCGCGGAACGACGATACAATCGCCCATCCGGCTTGGAACCAGAGTCCACCCCCTTTCAGTCCGGACACCACCACCCGCAATGACTTCAACGGCCTTGCCAACGCTAGAGTCCACCGCAGACTTGCTGCCGGCAACGGTATAGGCACAGGAGAGGATACATTATCCTTAGACTCACGACCGCACAGTCTCGATGACCCGGACCCAATCAAGGAGAAGACTGCGAACGGTGAAGTGTTCGCCACGACCTCGGGGTGTGAACCACCTTCGAGGAACTGCGGATCACTCCACCGTCCTTTCAAATTCCAATCTTTCTTCTTCTCGTCCACTGCAAGCTGTGCTCGCAAAGTGGTCAAATTCGCCCGGTTTGTCGGGCCCGGCTTCCTCATCGCGGTCGCATACATCGACCCGGGAAACTATGCTACCGACGTTGCAGCCGGTGCGGAGTTCAAGTATGCCTTGCTGTTCATAGTTCTCTTGTCCAACCTCTTCGCAATTCTACTGCAGTCGCTGTGCATTAAGCTGGGATCCGTGACGGGTCTCAACCTGGCTGAAAACTGCCGCGCGCATCTGCCTCGCTGGCTGGTGTATTTCCTATACTTCTTATCGGAAGCGGCCATCATTGCAACGGATATTGCTGAGGTTGTCGGTTCTGCGATCGCACTGAACCTGCTCGGAGGCATACCCTTGGTAGCGGGCTGTGCTATCACGCTGGTGGATGTGTTCTTCTTGCTTCTCTTCTGGCGTCCCAACGGGTCCATGTGGGGGTTGCGCTTGTTTGAATTCTTTGTCATGGGTCTCGTTCTGGCCGTCGTTGTCTGCTTTTGCATTCAGCTGTCTCTCATCGAGAACCAGTCAGTTGGGGAAGTTTTCCGAGGCTATCTCCCTTCATCTGCCATTGTCCAATCCGAAGGGTAAGTCGACAACCCTTCTCACATTTGGGTGAATAACGACTAACCGTACAATATAGTCTCTACCAAAGCTGTGGTATTCTCGGTGCGACTGTCATGCCACATTCCCTCTTTCTTGGCAGTGGAGTCGTTCAGTCCCGTCTGAAAGACTTCGATGTCACCGAGGGCTACGTGCAGTCCACTGTGCCCCTGGGAAGCAATGGCGGTGAGGTTGAATACCGCCCTTCTATTCAGGCTATTCGTGGCTGCATGAAGTACTCGATCATTGAGTTAACACTGTCGCTCTTCACGTTTGCTCTTTTTGTCAATAGCGCTATTCTTATTGTCGCAGGTTCCGCACTATATAACGTTCCTGGCGGCGCTTCTGCTGACCTCTTCGGCATTCATGACTTACTCTCCACGTCAATTTCCAAGGGCGCCGCTCTCGTCTTCGCATTGGCACTTCTGCTGTCCGGCTTATCTGCTGGAATTGTGTGCACGATGGCTGGCCAAATGGTCAGCGAGGGTATGCTGAACTGGAGCATCAAACCCTGGCTTCGGCGACTCATCACTCGCTCCATCAGCATCATTCCTAGCATTATCATTGCCGCGGCGGTGGGCAAGGCAGGACTTGATAAGACCTTGACCGCGAGTCAGGTCGTTCTGAGTGTCATCCTGCCATTCGTTTCCGCTCCTCTAATTTGGTTCACCTGCTTCAACAAATATATGACCGTGCCCACCGTGCCCACCGTGCCCACCGAGCAAACCGGCGAAGGTGACGGACACGTTGAAGTTGAAAGAATCGGGATGCGCAATCACTGGGCCCTCTCCATCATCGCGGTGCTCGTCTGGTTACTCATTGCCGTGATGAATATTGCGCTGCTGGTACTGGTCGGTCTGGGAAAAGCTTGATCCGAAGCATCGCGATTATTACAAACTACACGTATTGTGTATGGCCACCCGCATCGCTACACGGACATCTGCTCTTGGACTTGCATTCGCTGCATTTACTGGCGCTACTGTATCATGGGGCTCCCCAGAGCACTCTGAACTTCACTAGTGACAAAATCACATTGATCAAAACGCTGTACATGAGATTGATGTCGCATTATTGTAACCTCAAAGTCCAAAGTATAAAGTATCCTCAACTCCGCATCCCATGATCGTAGCGCAAATTCATATATTCGCCTTTCTCAACGTTCCCACATCGGATTAACCGAGCCCACCAGCAGCCTCCTTCACCTGCTGATGCTCTGGCGGCTCATCAATAAACTGCGGAGGCGCAACCTCATCCTGCAAGAAACTTGGAACAGCGTCCTCTCCCATTCCCGTCTCAAACATCGATTCTTCGCCTAAGGCTTCCAATTCCGCATCCAGATCCGCCTCATCAACCTCCTCGGGCACATCATACGCCCGCGAGATACTCTCCTGGATCTCATTCCCAACTTCCATCAAATCGGCCATCTCGTCCTGCATCTGCTCGATCTTGTCGATGTCGACCTTACCATACTGCTTCTTCAGCTCTTTCGTCGTCGTCTTCATTGCGTCCACCGTAGTCATCACGTTCTTCAGGTTATCCTGCATCATGCCTGCCTGCTCCATGTTCCATGACTGCTGCGAGAGCTGGTCGCGCTGGCTCTCGTATTGTTTCCGGCGTTGGAGGACCTTGAGGGCTTTCTGGCGCAGAGCGTTCTTGCCCGGTCCATCTCGCATCTTGGCGAGCTTGGCTTGGTATGTTGAGAGTTCGGAGTTGAGCGCGGCGAGCTTGACGTCGATGCTGGAAATGCGGTCGTCGACCTGATGTCTGTAGTTAGTGAGGTGCACGGGTATTGTTCATTTAAAAGCAGTACCTTAGTAATTGCTCCATCTAGAGTCGGCTTGGGAGCCGCACTTTTTGTGCCGAATAGACGATTCATGCTGGCTGATCGGAGGACGAGGGGCAAGATGCAGACGGTGATGGGTGATCGAGGATGTAGGTGCAACTCTCGTAATCGCCGGTGTGACTGGTAGTAGCCTACGCGTAGCTGAGTACGGTGCAACTGAGTAGACGACTTTAGTCGAGGACTATAAGTAACTCGATTGTACACTTCTACAGGCACCGATAAATGCTGAGGGCGACGTCAGTAAAGGCCTCAGGCCGTATGTTCTCACGTGATCTATCTCTATGAACACGGCCGAGTCGATTGTACAGACATTCGTTGATCATAGCTAATACGATATGCCTGATCCGGAAAATGAAGCTGGCCTGCTGGCATGCAACGCCTTCTGATGCACCACAATTGTCATTCGGGACTTCAGATGTTTGGGCATGGATTGGGCACTGGACGGGGCCGGATCGAGTTGCGGGTACATCTCACTCAATGCAATTCGGGCGCGTGAGAAAGTACCCAATACTCGTTTTGCCATGCCCACATCCCACATCATGGCCCAGATGACCAAGGATGAAGACAGGCGGGGAGGTCGTACGTCTTTTGCGTAGCATTGTATTCATTTCATAGTCCATGTGTGATATACATGTTCCAGCCTCCAGAATCGCCCTTAATGAAGTGTCCTCTCCCCTCCCAGCAATCCAAGGATGATACCGAGGCCGATACTCCGTACGCAGGGATGTCCAGCCGCATATGTAGTAGTGATCGCATTGGGCGTAAAATAAAGCTCGCGGCTTTGCTACTTTGATTTGAATACGAATACTTTCAAATTCAATGGACAAAAAGAGAGGACACAAACCCCACAGAATATCCACCATAATGGCTTTGTATGAACCGTGCTTATCTGCGCTGCTCGGGGCTGCGATCCCCCGCTGATTACGATTACTCACGCCTGCTGCTGCTGGCTCGTGGCTTTATCATCTTTCACCTTTCTCGCAACTTCAGCTTGATTCTTGGATGGCCCGGCGTTGAAAGACGGAAAGACCTGCATTCCCGCACTTGGAACGGCCCCTCTTTCTTTTTCCCCTTACAACTTCAAAACCCTCGATTTCTCCTCCCTCTTTTCTGCGTCACTGCCTTAGCCCCGAAAGTACGTCGCTAAATTGTTCTTTGCCCACCTCCCCTCATTTGCTCCTCTGGCTCTGGCTGGGCCGTTCTTGTGAGGTTCCGCACTTTGAGGTGCACCCCATCAGCTCCGTGCTTGATGCAACCAGCCCCATCCGATCGATCGCTGACCCCAGACCCAGCGTCAAATTCGCTTCGACTTGATATCATTCCGCTTCTCCGATCTCTATCATTCGCCACGGCCTGAGTCCGACTCTCCCTTGGGCTTGCGCAACTCCCTGTGTGTGGACACACCGGCGTGTCGCCCTGCCGGCGAAACTCTCTTCCCGCAGTCAACCTGTGTACCATAGAACACTCCGTTACGATATCTCGGAGATCTGCGAAACGACCCGTCCCATGAATAGTGCTTCCTGGCCATATAATCCATCATGTTCTGGCGTTTTGGGGGATATGCAAGTATCTCCACCATCGATACCCTACTCGACAAGCCCGAGGTCACCCTTGAAGACCTGCTGGATGAGCCGGAGATAATCCAGGAGCTGAAACAGCATAATACGAAACTCATAGAATTTCTACGCGAGGATCATGTCTTGAAACGGCTTATGGACTATGTCACTGCACCAAGCTTGGTGAACGACGATGAAGAAAATGACGACGAAGCCCACGAATCGGGCGCTACGAAGGGAAAAGGCGCCGAGTCTGCGTCCAACGAAAAGACTGTCAACGAAGACAATGATGAGAAGGAAGAGAGAAGGAACGGACCCATTGAAGAGTGTGCTGGACCCCGAGGACCTCGAGAGAGTTGAAAAGAGTCGCTTGAAGCATGCGTATGTTGCGTGCGAGGTTCTTTCTTCGGAGACTTGGTCCATCTTGGAGTCTATTATGGCAAACCCCGCTTACCTACGCGACTTCTGGGGCTTTCTGCGACGATCCCCGCCGCTCGACTCCATACAGGCCTCCTATTTTACTAAAGTGAACGAGACCCTGCTCGATAAAAAGACTGAAGAGATGTTGGAATTCCTGAGGTCGTTGGATGGAATTGTTCCTGCACTGCTGCAGCACGTTGATAATCCTATGGTCATGGATTTGCTCCTGAAGATCATCAGCCTGGAAAAAGCTGAGGGCGGACAAGGCACCGTGGATTGGCTGCAGTCTCAGGACCTGATACCGACTCTGCTGTCATTCCTTGCGCCCGACTACCCAGGCTCCGTGCAGACCTCTGCAGGCGATTTCCTCAAAGCTATCATCACTATCTCCGCAAACGCGACTCCCAACGACCAGTCATGCATCGGACCTAACAGCCTGACGCGCCAATTAGTCTCTCCTGAGTGTATCCAGCTGCTGGTCAATGCGATGTTGAAGGGCGGTAACCCGCTAACTGTGGGTGTTGGGATCGTGATTGAGGTCATTCGGAAGAATAACTCGGATTATGATCCGGAGAGTATGGGCGGCCCCGAGTCTATGCCTACGCCTTACGATCCAATCTACCTTGGCCACTTACTTCGAACATTCGCCAAGCACATTCCCGACTTCATGACACTGATCCGGAGCTCAAAGCACACAATTCACGATGGTACCCAGCTGAAGACTGTCGACCGAGGGCGTCTCAGCTCCGCATGGGGCGCAACTATCGAGCCCCTTGGCTTTGATCGTTTCAAGACTTGCGAGTTGATGGCGGAGTTGCTGCACTGTAGTAACATGGGCCTTCTCAATGAGCCAGGCAGTGACGAATATGTCCGGCACCGCAATGAGGAGCGTGAGAGACTGATTCGCAATGGATTCTTCAACCCCAACCGTGAGGAGCATGAGGGTCTGGAATACAACGACACTGCAGACTTCACAAATGGCTCGATCATGGACAGCGGATCGCCTGAGGCTCGCAAGGCTGAATTGCAACATGCTGGCGACGAAGAGGGCTTTGAGGATGTTGGTGCCTCTGGCGATCTGGCTAATGAGAAAGAAGAAGGCAAAGCAGAAGCTTCATCGGAAACTGCTGCTGAGTCTCTCCCCACGGAAAAGACCGAGACCGAGACCGGTGCTCCGGCTCCACCTACTGGTCTCGCAGACCAGGTCGGCGAAATTAAGCTTGAAAATGAAACCCCAGAGAAAGAAGCAATTGTATCAGACCAAAAAGATCAGAACACAGCCTCTGCCCAGCCAGAGGATGTGCCGCCCCTCTTTTCGCCTCGAAGGAACAATCCACGGAAGCTGTATCCGCCCAGGAAACCGGAACAGCCAACGATGGGGGCGCCGAAGATGCCGCGGATCAGTATATCCAATACGACACGGATGGACATCCCGTGGTCGGAGATTATTTAAAGATCCAGTTCGTCGAGAACAAGGTCGTGCCCACAATACTGGTAAGTGCCTTAATACGCCCAAAACACCTAGGCTCTTCCTGACTGTATTACACCAGGGCTTTTTCTTCCGATTCCCGTGGAACAACTTCCTTCATAATGTTGTGTACGACGTGGTCCAGCAGGTTTTCAACGGTCCCATGGAACGCGGGTACAACCGCGCCCTCGCCATCAACGTATTCGAACATGGCCAGATTACGAATGCCATTGTCGAAGGCCAGAAGCGCAGCGACGAGGCCCAAAAGACTAAGCAGATTCGCCTTGGCTACATGGGCCATCTTACCCTGGTTGCAGAGGAAGTCGTTAAATTTAGCGAACGCCACCCGCCTGAGCTGCTTTCACGTTCCGTTATGGAATCAGTACTGAACCCGGACTGGATTGACTACGTCGAGCAGACCCTCTCCGAAACTAGGGAACGGGATAACGCCATTCTAGGCGGCGTGCGTCCAGACATGGCTGTTGGGCCTCGACAGACGGTCATCAGCTCTGGTCAAGGCTTCAACAGCAATTCTTCCAACGCGCTAGCTGAAGCCGGACTCAATGGTGGGATCGGGTCCTCTTCCTTCCAAGGCTTTGATCTTAACCAGGGCAGTGTCTCCGGAGGAGCATTCGGCGGTGCGGGTTCCTCACTATTGAGCGGCTTTGCTAGCTCGAGTGATGATGACGAGGATGAAGAAATGGAGGACCAGGATGAACGAGATGCCGGCATTGTTGAAAGCGAGAATGAGAATGTGAGTAAACGTTTCTCAACGAAACATTGATAGGTGCGAGTCGTGACCGACGTGCGCGTGCGCTGCCCCCGATTTTCAACCTCCCTTGCCCTCAAATCCCCAACAAGATGCGGGCATATTGGCTTGGACGATGCCGACATGGGTTACGAGTGCTTTGGCTCGGGCGAAGATTTGATTTACTTGTCGTCTTGACCCTGGTCTCTCGCTATCTCTTGTTCGGGAAATTGTTTGATTTTCGCCAGGATTGGATTTCTGGGTACCACCTCAGTCTTCAACGCATCGTATCCTTGTCTATTCTGCTTTTGTCGACGTCTTGTCTATCTCGGGCTTCGCGCTTTGAGTTGGTGCTCTTTTCATAAACCTCTTCCCTGCCATCCTTCCTCCAAAATTCGTCATCATCCTTCAAGGCCCGACAATCTTACTGACTTTGACTGTTGCCAGGTGACCTCGAACACTGCGAGCCAGCCCATTCCCATTTTACCACCGCCTCCGGCTCCTTTGAGCCTTGGTCCCTCTCGAGCTCGACGCCAGCTGGCAGCACGCCTTGCCGCCCAGAAGCAGCAAACAAGTGAGAACGCAGACGACGAAGAGGACGATCAAAGAATTGAACAGGACGACCGTCATGAATCCGATTGGCCTAGTAATCCATTCGTCATTGCAGGAGTTGATGATGATGGCGAAGGAGGCTCGGCGTTCCCCAACTCCGACTTTCCGGCCAGCGCAGATATGGCCTCTCCCACGTTTCCCGAGTCGGGTTTCAGCCCACCTGACTCACTGTCCAATTCATCCGATGAGGATGGGGACGGTCGTTCAGAAGCTGTGCGAAGGAACGTCCGCATGCCCCTGGAAGTCGAAGATGAAGACGATGAGATGGGCGAGATGGTCGGACCCAGTGCTACTGGAATGATCGATTCAGATGACGAAGATGAAGCCATCATCAATGAGTCATTGGGCTATTCTAACCTCCCTGGCCAGTCACGCTACAGCGGCTTCCGCCGACAGCGCGCCGTGAGCTCCCATTTCGATGACGACCAAAATGACAGCAGTGACGGCGAGGATGACGGGCTAGTGGAGATCTTAGTCCCAGGCCGCAAATCCTCAACCTCCAACTAGGCCCAGGATGATAGTCTTATCTGTTGCTCATATTTTGCGTCTCGCATTTCTTGCTGCGTCTGCTCACGCCTATAACGTTTTTTTCATCGTGAAGAAGAGTCTTCGGGGATGCTCTTTCTTCCTTTTTTGCTAGTTGGGGGATGTTTACATCCATGCTGTTTTGGGCGGCATGGCATCTGCACATATTTTCCATCTTTGGTTGATCTTTTAGAGAGATCTGCATGATGATGGCCTTTATTTTTTTTTTATCCGCCATGGTGTTTATCTCTTTCGCATCGTGGGAGAGACAAGTGGTCTTTTGGTTAGGGGAGGTGATGACCTTGTACGATAGTTGGCAGTAGACAGAATCGATGCTTTGCAATATTTCACACTAAGAATTGGAAGTTCCTCCATTCTCAATCATCTCACGATGCTTTTCTTTATCTCCATACACTCTGAAGTTGGCTACATTTTCTGACATCGTTGTCTTTTCAGGGTGGACGTTGAGTGCATCTCCCGCGCACACAAAAAAGTGGGTCCCACCCGCGGAATCTTTTGACGAACAGTGATATCACTTACTTCGGCTTCTCACTTGGAGCCTCGCGTCAGACCTGACTGGGACTCTCAATCTTTCCCAGATCGTCATTCTCGAGTCTTTTCTGTACTCACACATTGATCACCCGCGATCTGAAACCTTGATTGCGTCTCTCTGTGAATCTATCTCGCACCTTCGAATATTCTTCGGGACTTCGCGAGAATGCTCTCACTGGAGCTCCACAAAGAGCTTGAGAAGTGGTCAGCAAGTCATGGTGGCTCGATGCATGATGCCGTCGTGATTGCCCACGATGAACAGCGCGGCGTCCACATGCAAGTCAGATCTGACTGGCCCAAAGCCATAGAGCCAGAGACCCGCGCTATCAGTACCCCACTGGGTATTACAATGTCCTACTACAATGCGATTGACTATAGGTCTAACAAAGGGTCATACTTCAGTCACGATGTGAAGCTCCCGCAGGCGTTTATTGAAACCGTGGGCTCAGAAGAAACTTTTGCCTTTTTCCTGATGGGCCAGTACCTCCGAGGAGAAAAGGGCTTCTGGTACCCTTACTTGCGGACCCTTCCTCAGCCTGGTCAACTGAACACGCCGTTGTTCTTTGACCAGGAAGATGCTGACTGGATTGAGGGTACGGGGGTCATCGAGGCTTCCCATTTCAGATACGCAATCTGGGATAAGAAGTACGAGGAATGCATTTCGATGCTTGAGAGACTCGAATTCGAGAAATATGAAGACTACACCTGGTAAGTGACATCCTTGGATCATGAAGAGTACTATCAGATCATTCGATATTAATCGCTAGGCTTTCAGGGATCTCTACCTGTGGGCTTCGACTATCATTACCTCTCGCGCATTCTCAGCAAAGGTCCTGGCTGATGGAGTAGAGGCGTCCGACCTCCCTGAAACCGGAATATCGGTTCTACTTCCGCTGATCGACCTCCCCAATCACCGCCCCCTCGCCAAGGTCGAGTGGCGTGCTGGAACCCAGGACGTTGGATTAATCATCCGGGAAGATATTCGACCAGGAGAAGAGATCTCCAACAATTACGGACCGCGCAACAATGAGCAGTGTGAGTGTGTCAACGAGGTTAACATTATGGATCAAATGCTTACTTAAAATAGTGCTCATGAACTATGGCTTCTGCATCATGGATAACCCAACAGATTACCGTATCATCAAATTGGGCGTAGGGCAAGACAGTCCGTTGGGCAAGGCCAGAGCGCGCCAGATCCAGATGTTCCCAGCTGCTGCCAAGAATCACGATGAGCACTACTACATCTTCAACATCTTTTACCCGCTTCTGTCCCCAAACCGCCCTATGGAACACTCGATCTTCTCTCCAGCACTGTTCGATGCATTGACCATTATGCATGGCAATGAGCGTGAGAATAGGAGCATCGAAATTGACGAAGGATCGATAATTATCCCCCAGACATATGGCAACGGACGCTGTGCACTGGCAGCCTTGGCACAGCTAAGCCACGAGCTGATTGCGCATATCATGCAACTTCAAGATTCTGGGAGAGACCTGCCATCGGAACCAAAGAACGTTAGACAGATGTTTTGCAAGGTCTACCGTGACGGCCTGATCACCATGGACAAGACAGCACTGATCATCGCGACTTGGACGATTGCACGCGCGAGAGCCCTCAACCGTGGCGAAGAATGGGCCGACACTAAGTCCCTACTCGAAGAGCATTTGTCACATATCCCCAAAGGCCACTTCTCAGATCATGTCATGTCTCAACTCCAAGTTCGTATTCTCGAGCGTACCTCTTTGCTTCCAAAGAACGGTCAACTTTTCCGAATCGGAGAACTTTATAGTCTACTGCCAGAGAAGATGCAAGCCCCGGCCCAAGCTTGCTTCAATGCTGTGCTCGGATACATTCAGAATCATGTCCCTGGGCTGGCAGTCGACCCGCAAAGTCTCTTCTCGCTTGTTGTGGGTATCCTGGTGGCAACTTGCCAGTCACCTCAGGCCAAACCCAAGCTTTCACCGCGTCTGACAAAATGGGTTGGTTTCCTTCTCGAGCAATACCCAGCGCCTACAGTACTTGATGTGGAGCATGTGGTGGGAAGAGAAAACATTGATGCAATGGGCCAGGTGGTAAGCAATTCGATGGCTCGAGCATGGCTGGACGAGGCTGGAGTGACCTGGATTGGTCCGGAGTCCACCTGGATGAAGCCCGGCTGGCTCCAGTGGGCATGGAAGGTGGCCAAAGAAGAGATGGTGCTTTTACCTTTGGAGCCATTGCGCGTGCTGGTGACAGAAAACCCCCCCGATGCAGAAGCAGGCGGTTGTGTACGTGCCAAATGAGTGATTCGAAACGAGGTTAGCATGGGACAAGGGATTTATACAAAGACAATTCCAAATGGTATGGTACATATTGACGAATGTCAAGAGAGCATGAACATCAGAAAGATGAGCATGTAAATATGAAAACGACATAGTAGACTAGGAGGGAGATTTCCCAAAACGGAAGGCACGTCATGATCGAACTGGACAAATGCTGAGTAATACAGTCACATGACAGGTAGCCAATCACGGGCCTCGTAAAGACGGATCGTTAATCAGAACGCAGGAATTGCCTCAAGCTCCCCCTTCCCTGCCTCCTCAGGACCGCTCGATCTTCCCCCACGAATCGCCTCAATCCGCCAACATGATATCTCGAGCGGCGGCTCCCACCTCCTCCACCCTCACCAACCTCTCCGCCCGCTCCCTTCGCGCCCAAGGGACGGCCGCCCGCTCCTTCGCAACCGTGCAGGAGGCTCCTCCCGTGCGACACCATGGAGGGCTCAAGGACCAGGACCGCATCTTCACCAACCTGTACAACCACCACGGTACTGACCTCAAGTCGGCTATGAAGTATGGTGGCGATTGGCACCGCACAAAGGACATGGTGCTGAAGGGTCACGACTGGGTGGGTTACATCTCGGATCGACGGATTTTCTGAAATCGACGTTTGCTGATGGTTTTTGGATAGCTCATCTCAGAGATCAAGGCCTCTGGTCTCCGTGGTCGTGGTGGTGCTGGTTTCCCCTCAGGGCTGAAATACGTAAGTGAGAAGTAGCAGTGAGACGCGCTTGGTGATTGATTGCCGGGCTAACCCGGCACGCAATTTAGTCGTTCATGAACTTCAAGGATTGGGACAAGGACCCTCGCCCCGTTACTTGGTCATCAACGCAGATGAGGGTGAGCCCGGTACTTGCAAGGATCGCGAGATCATGCGCAAGGACCCCCAGAAGCTCATTGAGGGCTGCTTGGTGGTCGGCCGTGCTATGAACGCCAACGCCGCCTACATCTACATTCGTGGTGAGTTCTACCACGAGGCGACCGTTCTCCAGCGCGCTATCAACGAGGCCTACGCCGCTGGCCACATCGGCAAGAACGCTTGCGGTACCGGCTACGACTTCGATGTGTACATCCACCGCGGTATGGGTGCCTACGTTTGTGGCGAGGAGACCTCCCTGATTGAGTCTCTTGAGGGCAAGGCTGGAAAGCCCCGTCTCAAGCCCCCGTTCCCCGCTGCTGTCGGTCTTTTCGGTTGCCCCAGTACTGTCACCAACGTCGAGACCGTCGCCGTTGTCCCGACCATCATTCGACGCGGCCCCAGCTGGTTCTCATCCTTCGGTCGTGAGCGTAACGCCGGAACTAAGCTGTTCTGTATCTCCGGACACGTCAACAACCCCGTCACCGTCGAGGAGGAGATGTCCATTTCCTTGCGCGAGCTGATCGAGAAGCACTGCGGTGGCGTCCGTGGTGGCTGGGATAACCTCTACGCCGTTATCCCTGGTGGTTCTTCCACCCCGGTCATCCCCAAGTCCGTTGCCGACGATCAGCTTATGGACTTCGACGCCCTGAAGGACTCCCAGACCGGTCTGGGTACCGCCGCCGTCATCGTCATGGACAAGTCCACCGACATTGTCCGCGCCATCTCCCGCCTGTCCCACTTCTACAAGCACGAGTCTTGCGGCCAGTGCACTCCTTGCCGTGAAGGCAGCACATGGACCATGCAGATGATGCAGCGTCTGGAGACTGGTAACGCCCGTGAGCGTGAGATCGACATGCTCCAGGAGTTGACCAAGCAGGTTGAGGGCCACACCATTTGTGCCCTTGGCGAGGCCTTCGCTTGGCCCATCCAGGGTCTGATCCGTCACTTCCGCCCGGAGCTGGAGAAGCGCATCCGCGAGTACGAGAAGGAGCTCGGTGCGGCCCCCTACGCCGGTGGCTGGCACCCGAACAGCCGTGCTGAGGGCAAGTTGATCTCCCCCGGCATGTAGAATCCTCTTCACCTCTTATCTCCCACTATTACGCCCTCCTTCTCCCCCATGTTGTCACTCAAAAACGATGCAGAAGACGGTTTGGTTTTCTATCTGTTATTAGATCACTCTGGACCTGCCCTTGCCGGCTAATTTGTCAGTCTGGTCGAGGGTGAGGTTGTCTCTATATTTTCCTTACTCTCTCCTATTCGATCCCCTTTCTGTTGCGTCTAGGATCTCCTTTCATGTACAGTCGGTAGCAAATTGATGCATTTTATGTCTTCAGCGATGTCTGCTCGCGTAGTCTACTATGCTTACCAGACTGACAGAGTTGCACTGGCGGCGAAATGACCCGTCAAGTTTGAAATGATGTCCAATTTCTAGCCGCTGTCTGCCTGTCCAGGTGGGTATAATACTTGATTTTGGTGTTTAGTTGAATCTGGTTTGGCCATCGGGTGGCTACAAGACTACAATTGTCCTCCTGCAATACTGACCAAGAAAATTGATTCTTAAGATAAGGGGGAATGTATCAGCGGCATGCTACAACAATTGATCATGATCCAGTCGAGGGCGTGGATTTGACGATCTAGCATATGCCGATTGATGTGTCTGCGTCTATTTGAAAGGTGGTTGATGTGATCAATCAGCAGTGATCACTGTGTACCGGTCTATGTTCAACCACAGATGTCCAAGGCCAATGACTTATAAATCATTTCCATCCGCATCAAACTCTCAACCTCGACCCATTCCTCCTTGCTATGTAATCCCTCGCCAGAAGGCCCAAACACAATTGATGGGACCCCCGCTGCATCTAACAGAGCAGCATCGCACCAGAAAGGTGCACTTTTGACGACAGGGTCGCCTCCGAGAATTCTAGATGCGCTTGCAACAGCCTTTTCCACAAGAGGATGATTTTTTGCAAGTTTCATGGTTGGCCGAGACATGATTATATATGGGTCCTGAAATTTGAAGCGGGGGTTCTCCAAAGACACATTCTTCAGCAACTCATTGACGTCCTCCAGGATTGACTTTTCGGTCTGAACGGGAATGGTACGGAACTCGAGCGTGATCGTGCACATCGCAGGATAAGACGATGGTTCTTCCCCACCACGGATCAGACCGCAATGCACCGAGGCCTGACCTAAGAGGTCATCAACAGGGAGTTGAGCTTGATAGTGTTCAAGGGCTCGAAGGAACCATCCCGCGTTAAGGATAGCGTCTTCTCCAACAGAAGGGTCAGAGCCGTGGGCGGCGACTCCCAAGATATTGACTTCGATCCAAGCAAATCCCTTATGCGCGGTTGCAATGGCCTGCATCGTGGGCTCAGCAACGACTGCGGCGTCCGCGCGCCATCCGGCTGCGATGATATCCTGCGTTCCCTGAGAAGCATCCTCTTCATCGGATACGGCCGCGACAATAACGTCACCGCGAAGAGTATGACCACTTTGCTTAATTGACGCGACAGACGCGAGGATTGCAGCAAGGCCACCCTTCATATCCAAGCTACCTCTACCAAAGATTACTTGCTTGCCATCTTTCATTCCTAAGATGCCAGAGAGAGGATCTTTTTCGTACCCGGACAGGCTGACTGTGTCCATATGGCCATTGAACATGATTGATTTACCTCCTCCGCTTCCTCGGAGCACCCCCCACGATTGACGGGCGTCCAGCGAATGGCTCGATGCGGTGATATTCAATATCCCGATGGGCGAACCACGCAGACAAATAATCGGCAATCTCACTCTCGCCGGCGCCATCGCTCACCGACAAGGTAGGATTGGAAGAGTTGATGCGAGTGAGTACCTGCGTCAAATCAACTGCGTCTTCAATGGAAACGTCGCGAGGGGTCTGGTATTTGCGTGCGCCCTCGGTGGCCAAAAGAACCACAATAGAGTCTTCATTCAGGACCGTAGACCGTTCTTTGTCTGCAGCCAGGCAGCGGAGGGCGGCTAAAGAAGCACCACCGCAAGGCCCAGTATCCACTGCCCTGGAAGTGAGATACTGAACTGCGAGGTGGCTCTCATAGGACGACACTGTGACACATGCATCGACAAGACGTTGCAGGTCAGGCCAAGCGGTTGACGAAACAGTACCACAGTTCATGCCATCCATGATAGTGTCAGAAGTCTGCACCGGGATCAACTTCCCGGCACGCAGACTAGAGAAGAGAGAAGGTGCAGAGTCAGGCTCAACGGCAACCACCGAGACAGGCCTTTCCCTTGACTTGCAATGTTGTGTGACCGCATGCGCAAGGCTGCCGACACCAACAGGAGTAACCACCACACTTGCAGATAGACCTAGCTGAGAGAGCTGCTCTTCAACCTCGATCATCATAGTCGAGTATCCCTCAACGATCCAAGCGGGGATATCCTCGTACCCCTCGAATGCAGTATCCTGAATCAGGAAAGCATTTTCAATATGGCGTGATTGATCAAAGGCTTCTTGAACTGCCATATCATACGAGCCCTGGGAAACAAAAACACGAGCGCCTTCACCAGTAATGAAGCCCTGTGTGGTCTCGTCCATGGATCGGGGAACAAAAATACGCGCTTCGATGCCCATCAAACGGGCCATGAAAGCAACTGCTCTTCCGTGATTCCCTTCTGTCGCTGCAAACAAGACTAACGAATTTGTCTTAGCTTGGATAGAGACGTCGTCTAGAGAGGCAGTTGTTGGAAGTCCAACTTGCCGAGCAATAGCTCGGAAACAGCCCCACGACGCGCCGAGAGCCTTGAAAGCAGGAAGGCCGAATCTGTTACTTTCATCCTTGACGTAGATTGCACGAATACCGAGTTCCGTGGCAAGCTCGTTCAGAGACATAAGCGGGGTTGGGGCATAATTTGGAAGCGATCTGTGAAACTCGGCGAGGCCTGGCACTGGAGACCATTCACAGCGCTCACCTGTCGCGGGGTTCACATAGATGGGCCGCCTTGATGACATTCTGTCGGTTTAGGGCAAGCCGGACGTACGATTGATGTCAAACGGTAATTCTACGATAATTATAGGAAGCGAGACGTCTCGACTTCGCGTCCGGGTGGATCGTGAGCCTTCTGTGTACATGTAGCGCCTTCCAACGACATCGTGTTCGGCTATCTATGGTGGGGACCACGGAAAGTCAATTGAGTATCTAAAATTGCGATCGAATGGTGTAGAAGAAGCTGTTTTGGCTTGTATTGAGAACTTTCTGGTTCCAAGGATCAATCCGTCCTCGGAGATATAAAGTGCCTACCAGTAGCGATCTCACTGAATATGTATCTGGTGAGCTCGGTCCGCATTTTCATGACGTTGATCCTCTGTAAAGTCCGCAAGAGTAAAATTGTCTTTAGTTGATTGCCTTCTAAAAGCTAAGAGCCTATTTGTCGCAGAATCTATACCGCTTGAATCCCACTCCTTTCTTTCGCTTTGCTCTCGTCATAGTGAACAACAGCCTCTAACAAAACTTGAGCACCAAGTGCACTATGAAAAATTAGCATCTTAGACTTTCCAAGGAATCTCAATACGTACCAGTCTTCAGGCGAGCAGTATTCCGTCGGGTGATGGCTGACACCATCTCGACAGGGAACGAAAATCATGGCCGAGGGGCAGTGCTTGCTTGTATAGACGGTGTCATGACCAGCACCGCTAGTTATAAGCATTGACTTTTCCGGCCCGACGAGATGATCTGCAGCTGCCTTGATAGATGTGATACAGCTCTGGTCAAACTTGACGGCGGGGGAGTCTGTGTCGAGAGTCCAGTCGAATGACACGCCTTTTCCATCCTCCAAGGCAATGGTGCCAAACTCCTTGAGGCAAGATTCTTGAACAGCGCACACAACATGGTCATGAGGATGTCGAATGTCCAGAGTGAAGGTAACGTTAGTAGCCACGGTATTGGTGGAGGCGTTTGAAGGCACCTTGATAATACCCGTTGAAGCCAGAGCATCATGTTGCTTGGCAATAGCGTTCGAGGCAGCAATCATCTTCGACGCTGCCAGAAGAGGATCCTGGCGGGCACTGAAGGGGGTTGTGCCGGTGTGAGCATCCTTGCCATGCACAGTAACAGTCAACCATCTGTATCCCTGAGCTCCCTGCACGATGCCAATCGACCGTCCCGTTTCCTGGAGAATGGGCCCTTGTTCAATGTGCAATTCAAAATGGGCACCCAGCGGATACCCAGTTTTCGGATCACTAGAGCATTCAATGTCTCCAAGAAACCCGTGTCTTTCCAGTTCAGAGCGTAAAGTCACACTAGAGTCATGGATATCGCGCAGATTCCATGCTTGTTGAATGGGAATAGCACCCGCCCATACGCCAGATGAGCACATCGACTTAGGAAATCGAGCTCCCTCCTCACTGGCTTTGAGTTAGTCATAGCTTTGGATCCGATGTCTTATTAAATTGGTTTGAACATACTTTGTCCAATTCACAATTCCCACGTCAAAGTTAGTTTTGAAATCGTTCTCCTTCATAGTGCGCAGAACTTCTAACGCAGCCATGACTCCGAGAATACCATCATACCGACCCCCACGCGGCTGGCTGTCGAGATGACTTCCCATGGCGATCATAGGTGCAGTGGATTCCAATCGTCCAGATTGCCGCGCAAACATGTTGCCCATCTGATCCACTGAGAGAGAGCATCCCAATTTCTGGACCTCATCGGCAAACCACCGTCGCACGCGCGCATCGTCATCATTCAAAGTCAAGCGCGCCATGCCGGTATCCTGTGGGTTACTAGAGGTGCAGTTAGACTGATGCTGCTAATCAGAATAAGCAACTGAACTTACTCCCCGTAGGAATGAGCTGCACCCCATTTGCATGTCTCATGCAATGTCTCCCAAAGACGGCCAGAATTGATACGGAGACTTGATGGTGCCGCGATGTGCGAAGACGTGGAAAATGCTCTTGCGTTGAAGCGCAGGGCGCGCGTAGCCCTCTGTGTGCTCTGCATAGTGGCAGCGGAGAAGGCCAATGCAGGATAAAATCAAAGCAGTTTATTTTCTAGCGAAAACAGCGAATATGTGCCCGAGGACCTATTAAGTCATTTCAATCCTGCCAGACTTCACCCGCTTGCAAAACGCCTTCTCTGAACAAGGGTGGAGCACAAGAGCGGAGACGTTCCGGTTCGGGGCGCCTTCTCGCGACATGTACGAAGTTGAATGTTCACCCTCGACGCTAGCCTTTCGTGCCAAGGCTTCTCAAGTGACTCTTACTTGCTGTGAGAAAAAGTATCTCTTCCGTGCTGAGATTCAAATGGATCATTGCATGAGTTGGGCTGTCGCGCGTAATCTCGACATGACTACTTTCCAAATGCCAATATGGGGAGAAAGCCGAGGGAGCATTACTTTACTTTGTGTCTTAACGTTTGGGTCCTTCTATAATGTATGCAATATTTTGAAACCCTATTTCATGAAAGAAAAGAACTTGTGAACATGACAAGGTAGTTTTTGAAAAAGTACAAAAGGCCACTCTTCGCCTTTGCCACTCCTCCTGCGTAGATACGTCACCTTCTTGGTTGAATCATCACTTTCCGCTCCTAGTATATCGAAAGCCGTGGTGATTGGTGACATTCAAATGACTAGCCAGCCAATTTGTCTACGCCTTGTTTCATGATCCTGAAAGCCTTCAAAGTTTTTCAGTTCACGTGCAATGTTCAGAACAACTCTCATAGATAGATGGGTTGTGGCCACAGAAAGGACATATCAGTCACCGGCAATCGAGATGAATGCGATTTCATCGGACAGGAGAGAGTGGCAAGGGAAAAAGAAGCAACGAGCTTCATTCGCGTTAAAGTCATATTATTGCCATTATTCTATATCATTCGAAGCTCCAGAGTATTCTATCCACATCACCAAGAGTCTAAAACTTGATTCTCAAAGACCATCCTCGACAAATACCCCTCGCCAACACGAATGCAATAGCCGCAACAAGATAAAGCACTCCACCGAAAATAATCAGCCCATCATACCCTCCTTGATCCCGTTGCTGGATTGCCCCTGCAATAGGAATCCCTGTGAGGGTTCCAATACTGCTGATTGTAAAAGTGGTCCCCATCCTCTTCCCAATATCACCAGTGGCACAGACCTGAGAAATACATACTGGGGTCAGACTGATGGCAGCTCCACTCCAGAAGCCAAAGAACACCGTATAGCAAATAATTGCGGCCAGATTATCACCAGCCTTAAACCAGAGTGCCAGAGTCAAAATGGCGCAGATGAATGATGTCAATACCATTACGTTGAACCGCCCAATGCTGTCTGCTATCAGACCAGGAAGGAAGCGGCCCGGGATGGCGCCGAGGTTCAGGAATACGATCAATAGATATGAGATTCTATCTCCCACCCCGGCATCAAGAGCGTAAGACGCAATGTAGGTGTAAGGGATGAACACCGCGAATTCGACCAGGAAGACTGCAATCGTTGTGGAAGCGAAATTCGGGTCCTTGAGGGCTCGGAAATCGATAGATGCCCCCGCCTTGATATTACCAGGGAGTCTGGTCTTGAGAAGAATGCAGGCTACCGTACACATCCCTGCTGAGAGGAGTGCAATGATGCGAATTGCCCAAGGGAACCCGATCTTTGGCGCGGCAAAGAGGATAATCAGAGAGAAAACTACTCCTCCGATTCCTCCGGCAGTACAGGCAATGCCCGTAGCATATCCTCGACGGACATTGAACCAGTGACCAACTGCAGAGATTGATGGTGTGAACAATGTGCAGGCGGAAAGACCACCTAGCACACTAAAAGACAAGAAGATCTGGTAGTATTCTGAATTCTTTTAGCAAAGCTCTCTATCATCGCACCCGGGATATCATCCCCAAACAGACCTTCGCTGAAGCTCAAGCAAATCAATGAAGCAACAATTCCAATAGACCCAGGAATGACGACAACATTAGAGCCATAGGTATCGAAGACAGGCCCTGTCCAGAGGGGTTAGTCTCAACACGTCTGAATGATTGGATCTTCCTTTACCAGCTTGAGCCCCTGCCAAGTAGAGAAAAAAGCCATAAGCGCCAAATATCCACCCAACACTCGATTCAGAATAGTGTTGCAATTGATGCGTACTGATCCATGCATGCAAGACACCGAGGGTGTTCAGGAGCCCCATTGCTGGGATCATTGCGCACCATGCTCCCAGAACGACGGACCAGGCCTTCCACCCTCCTTCGGGATGGCCGATATCTCCTTCTTCTTCTTCTTCTTCTTCCTCAGGAGGTGGAGATTGCGGTGATGATAAGACATCACAATCCGAACCCTTTTGTTCGTTCTGTTCATTTGCCAAAGTAATTGGCATTATTGTGAATTTTTGAAGTCAAAGCTGAGCCCCCAAAGCATTCAAGTGTCAAATGTTGCTCTCTTTCGACGTAATAAATGCTTTAAGGGAATAGCCGCGCCCTTTCCCACCAGAGTCCCCGCAGGTGTTTACGGACTCAAATGGAAATTGTGGCGTGAGGTTCGTGGGCTCGAATACATCGCCATGATTGACGGGAAAAGATCCTGAAGATCGTCGATAAGCTCTCATTGGCTTATTGGCCGATTCCACGGATTGCTAATCGTCAATTTGATTTGGAATTCTCTCCCAATGACGCTGATCGTAGAATGTTTTCAAAGACGAGGGCTTGACCCTGAAGATCTTGGAGCCTTGGTCTGGTCTATGTCACTGTGTGGGAGAATCCCGGACCCTCGAAATGGATTGCGGGTCAAGGTCTCCGACCATCGTGCAAATGCCATGGTGATTACAATTTACTCCCTGCCTGACTGGCCTTGTCTCTCGTTGGTGGGGTTCAAAACGCCTTCTGTTGACATGTTCTTGCAAGTTCGCTTGGGGCGCATCGTATTGTTTCCCGAGTCAGGTCACTGGTTCGTCGGATGTTTCCATACGTTGCTCGGGTCATATGAGATGGAAGCGGAGAATCACTTGCTTGCTAGTAAGAAATTTTCAAAGCACTGCTTTTTGTTGTCGCCGGCCGCGGCAATGGCTTTCTACAGCCCGAGTAGACTAAAAATTGAGTGTCGAAGGAATAATCATGAACGCACTGGTTTGAGCAGAGCACATCACACTCAAGTACCACATAAGTGATAAGGCTCAATATCGCAATCTAGTGACGCGGAGGATGGATGGGTGTATATGTTGAAAAGCGATTTATTTCCTTCCAATCTTGGAGTCGAGTGAGCTCGAGCCCGCTCTTCCCAGGTTCAACTGACAAGTCAAGCACCATACTGGAACGCAGAGTAATCGTTGGTGTCTTCGAATTGTTGATTAGTATGACTTTTAAGTAGTGTGCCACGCTTTCGGTAGTCCTGTCAGCGTTGGTGAATAAGGGTCTTGTTATCCGAAATGGGACCCCCATGAGGTCCTTGAACGACCATCGCGAAAGATATCGGCTTCATGACACTCCTAAGCTATTGACTGTGCAATCTCGGACCGAGGGGACCTGAGCAACCTCGGTGTCTGGGATATCGGTAGCAGCAGGCGTGTACGGATATGCGGAATAAAAGCAAGACCAAGTTTGATACCTCGGGGCTCCTTGAATCGGTTGAATGCGCCTCCCGGCACCGGCCATGCGCGGATCATGTTCCCCAACATTTCAAGGCCCTAGAAGTTCCAGAATATGTCATTGACCAATCGGTAGGTATATATATTTAATGTTAAACCAAATCTGAGAGATCTATGATGGAAATCCCGGCGTTCGCCCGGCAATTGCTGGGGATGACCCGCACCGAGTCTCGGGGGAACCCATGGCAACAGCTAGTTCCAAGGTTGAAGGGGCATCGGCCCCCCATTACTGTAAACCATCCCCCCACGCCTCATTGGGTTAGGACCAAGACTCCCACAAAGGCTGCCACACGTAACGAGTCGAGCCGAAAAACGTTACGAGGGGGATACCTCGTAATGATCAAGGCGCTGCATGTTCCGTTGGGACGCGAAGTGGGATGAGTGGGGACCGTGACTGTGCTGGCACCGGCTCGCCGTGAACTTGCATGCTGCAGAATCCCGCTACTGCACGCTTCGTATCCCCTAAATGCTAGCCCGGGTACTAAGGTCTTTTAGTCTGGTAAAGGTGGGCACTAGAGCCTTCTGATCTTCAATTCACATGTTACTTGCGACAATGGCACGGAAGAATGCAACGCGGGAAAATACCCAGTCTGTCCCTACTGAGCACTACATCAACTCGACCTAAGATCGGGTCCATCCGTAATGCAACCGATGATCATCATCTTGGCCCAGGCGTTACCCGACCGGCTGGGTAAATCATAGTCAGGGGCCAAGGTACAGTACACCGGGGAGCCCCCCTCCGTCCCACAGTCATTTTCCCACCCCCCACAATCAATGCCACAAAACATTTGTGCCAGTCCGCGGGCTTCTTACCCAGCTGGACATAGACGGTCCTCAAGACGCGTGGAGCTTGGATCGACCCGTGTGTCAATTTGTGGAGCGAAGGGAGCGTCAAGTTGTATATCTCGGTGAGAGGTACTACTGTAGTGTAGGTTTTGATTCTCGAAATTTTCATTTGGATAAAAAAAAAAATAAGGAAACATCAAAAGACAAAATATGGAAGAGAAAAACACCCAAAGGGAAGAGGCGAGAGGGATCAACGGGAGTCTCGAACCCGACAGGATGAAGTACCAAACCGCGCTTTTCGCTCTCCAACTACCGCTGCGCCAATTAGAATGTGCGTGCGGCAGCGAACGGTGCTGAGTCAGCCACCCCGCAGTGCCCGCACTCGGCGATCTCGATGCAGTCTGTCGGCTGCCTCGTGTGGGTGAAAAGTGGGAGTTCTAACGGATAGGTTTCCCAGTTTAGTTATCTACCAGCCGGAAGGTTTGGTTTTATGTCATCGTGGCGAGCTTGGTCGTGCTCCGGGTCGAAACATCATAGCATCATAGCATCATAACATCATAACATCAAAGCATAGCATCATAGCTCGTATGCTGCCCGCAGTCCGAAACACAACTTAACCTAGGGCCGGGGTTGATCAGGTCGGACGAATGGTTCACGGAGGACGGGAGACTTGACATGGAAGGGAAGCCAAGCCCAGAAGACTAGTGGATTGGGCCCGACTGTAAGCTTCCCCGGAGCAACGGAAGCCCTTGGTCACCCCGCATGGCCGAATGTGGTGTATTCTCTTTTCACCTGAATGGACGAGTCGCGACGAAGGAGCTCGAAGGAATTCGTATTGAGCCGCTTGCACCGTGTAAATTAAGAAAAAAAAAAGGACCAAACATTCCAGAACGCACGGCCCAGGCCGCATCGGCAGTGCACCGAAATGGTGAATGGTGACAAGGCGTACAGTACGGAAAGGTAAGGAATCTCCACCCGGGGAGGTGGATGTGGAAACAGCCATTTGAAAAAGGTTACCTACTAAACCGTCGGCAGACCCTCTTTTTTTTCACATTTCCTCTTCTCTTCGCCCCCTTTCATCGACCGGAGTCCGAGTAGGTCATCCCAAAGCGTGCGCCTGCCCCCTCTCGCTGACTTCCCATGCTTTCTAGAGGTTTGCGCCGAGCTTTTTTCTCAACTTCTGTCTCCTCTGCTCGCAAGCCGGACCTCGCTATAATGTCTGCTCCCAAGACCTCAGTGGTAAGGCTCTCACCCCCGCGACTGCCCGGCCATTCGGAGCGGGACTAATAGTGGATTTGTACAAACTAGGTGCTAGAGGCACACGAGGTCGACACCTTTCACGTTCCCAAGGCTTTCCACGACAAACACCCCGTGGGAACACACTTGAAGGATCTCGATGAGTACAAGACTCTCTACGAGGAATCCATTCGCAGCCCTGACACCTTCTGGGCCCGCCAGGCCCGCGAGCTGCTCACGTTCGAGAAGGACTTCAAGACCACTCACGTTGGCTCGTTCGAGCACGGCGACAATGCCTGGTTCCCCGAGGGTCGTCTGAATGCCTCATACAATTGTGTTGATCGCCATGCGCTCAAGAACCCTAACAAGGTCGCCATCATCTACGAGGGCGACGAGCCTGACGAGGGCCGCACCATCACATACGGCGAGCTCTTGCGCGAGGTGTCTCGTGTCGCCTGGGCTCTGAAGCAGCGCGGTGTGAAGAAGGGCGACACGGTCGCCATCTACATGCCTATGATTCCCGAGGCCGTCATTGCCTTCTTAGCTTGCTCGCGTATTGGTGCCGTGCACTCCGTCGTTTTCGCCGGGTTCTCCTCCGACTCTCTTCGGGATCGTGTGATTGACGCCGACTCCCGCTGTGTCATCACCACTGATGAGGGTAAACGTGGTGGAAAGGTCATTGGTACTAAGCGCATTGTCGATGAGGCTCTTAAGCAGTGCCCCAATGTGAACACCTGCCTGGTTTATAAGCGCACCGGCGCTGAGATTCCTTGGACTCAGGGTCGCGATATTTGGTGGCACGAGGAGGTCGAGAAGTATCCTAATTATATTGCACCGGAATCAATGAGTTCCGAGGATCCTTTGTTCCTACTCTATACCTCTGGTTCCACCGGGAAGCCTAAGGGTGTTATGCATACTACCGCTGGGTACCTTCTCGGTGCGGCTATGACCGGAAAGTACGTCTTCGATATTCACGACGACGACCGCTACTTCTGCGGTGGTGACGTGGGTTGGATTACCGGCCACACCTACGTTGTGTACGCTCCTCTACTCCTTGGCTGTGCGACTGTTGTCTTTGAGAGTACTCCCGCCTACCCCAACTTCTCGCGTTACTGGGACGTTATCGACAAGTACGAAGTTACTCAATTCTACGTTGCCCCCACGGCTCTGCGCCTATTGAAGCGCGCTGGTGGTGATCACATTCACCACAAGATGAAGTCTTTGCGTATTCTGGGCTCAGTCGGTGAGCCTATCGCAGCTGAAGTCTGGAAGTGGTACTTCGAGGCCGTTGGCAAGGGAGAAGCCCATATTTGCGACGTTAGTATTCCCTTTCGTCTCGAAAAAATTGATCTAGTTCTAACAAGTGACTTGCAGACCTACTGGCAAACCGAGACTGGTTCTAACGTGATCACCCCTCTCGGTGGTATTACCCCGACTAAGCCCGGCAGTGCTTCTCTTCCGTTCTTCGGCATTGAGCCTGCCATCATCGACCCCGTTTCCGGCGAGGAGATTACTGGTAACGACGTTGAGGGTGTTTTGGCCTTCAAGCAGCCCTGGCCCAGTATGGCACGCACCGTTTGGGGTGCCCACAAGCGCTACATGGACACCTACTTGAACGTATACAAGGGCTACTACGTGAGTAATCTACATTCCAAAAGCGTGAAAGCGAAAGTCAGAGCTGACCGTTTTTCTAGTTCACGGGTGATGGCGCTGGTCGCGATCACGACGGCTACTACTGGATCCGTGGCCGTGTTGACGACGTTGTTAATGTGTCTGGCCACCGCCTCTCCACCGCTGAGATCGAGGCTGCACTCCTCGAGCACTGTAAGTTCCTATTCCATCGGATTAAAATGACCCCAAGCTAATTTTCTCCAGCCATGGTCGCTGAGGCTGCTGTTGTCGGTATCTCCGATGAGCTGAGCGGTCAGGCTGTCAACGCCTTCGTCTCCCTCAAGGAGGGTAACGAGACCAGCGACCAGGTGCGCAAGGATCTGGTCATGCAGGTTCGCAAGTCAATTGGTCCCTTTGCCGCTCCAAAGGCCGTCTTCGTCGTCGACGACCTCCCCCAAGACCCGCAGTGGAAAGATCATGCGCCGTATCCTGCGCAAGATTCTCAGCGGCGAGGAGGACAGCCTTGGTGACACTTCCACGGTAAGAACGTCATGGTGAACTCGCATTTGGCTTTCAATGATACTAATCCATTCGAATAGCTTTCCGACCCCAGTGTTGTGGACAGGATTATTGATGTTGTCCACGCTGCTCGCCAGAAGTAAAATTTGAATCAATGAATTAATGACATTGATGATTCAGAAGGGTGAGCGGTCTCTCGGTCATTTTGATTGTTCTTCAAGCCTCAAACACTAACCTATCATCTTAGGTGGTGGTGCTTTGGTCCTTCATGGGCGCGATTCAGTTGTTTCCGGTTTTCAGTTTGGCCAATAATTCTTTTGAGATTCCCTGAGTAGTCTATCCAGTAGCCTTGTGAATAGGATTTTGTTTTGGATTTCAACATGTCGTCGTCTCTTTGTAAGCTTACAGCCCGACGAAGAAGATACTGCAAATGAGCTCAAGTTCGTCCCTGTTCTGGCTCGTTTCAATCATCTCCTCGGTCGGAAGTTGGTGTTCAGGTAGGCAACAGATAGCTCGAAGGGTTGTTCTCCGACGTTATTGCCATGTCACGCGGACAAATATCAAGAATTATGCACAGTAAGCGCTCGAATCCTGTATAGGCAGCTCCAGGTCCTTTTTTTTATGCATAATTGTCCTCGAGATATCGTGCATCGCCGCGTGCAGGCGCTTGAGGCCGAGTCAGGCACCACTCACGTGACGGATCACAGTAGGCCGGAGATTAGTCAGCTCACTGCTTAGGCTGGCAAACTTCACCATTCCTGGCGCGTCTCTCCCTCTCTACTCTATCCCACGCGCTCTCTCTCGCCCGCCGCAGCGATCGCACACCCTGACTCGGCTCTCACAACTGCGCGCACCCCACTTCATGCTCCTATAGAATCCTCAGCTCCGACCCGACAACATGTCTTTCGGTTTTGGAGGTGGAGGGTTCGGGCAGAACAACCAGAGCACCGGCTTCGGAACGGGCTCTGGATTCGGAGGCACCAACACTGGCGGAGGTAGGTACTCATCGCGACAGCCATGAGCTGTATTCTCTTGCATGCTTTCACTTCCCCATTGCTTTCTCTGCGTCGTTTCCCTTGATTTTGTCCTCGGCTCCGAAAGAAAAAAACAACCCCCCCCCGGTGCTCCTGATGTCGATCCCGCGACGACAATGACACGCGCAAGGCGACCCATTTCAACCTGACGACCTTCGCCGTGCCACACGAGATCCTCTCCGGATGCTGTTTCGATGCTCAGCGACACCGCGACAAGAGGAGGGATGCAAGGGCCGACTTGAAAAATCAGTCTCTGACCGCGATCCCCTTCCGTCATCTAGGCTTTGGCTCCTCAACCTCTGCGTTTGGTAGTGGAAATACTGGTGGCAGTTTGTTTGGCAGCAATGCCAACACCACCAACAACGCGTCCAGCAGCTTCGGCACCGGCGGAGGTACGTGCTCGAATCGATCAGAGCCTCGATATCCCATGCTCTTCATTCATTCCTTGCGTGTCTTGTTCATCGCGCCGGATCGACAATTCACTTGGCGGCTGTGGAAATGACCTTTTCTTTGCCCGTGGACTCTGTTCACGCGGCAATTTCTTTGACATGTCCTTGGGCCCGGATCTATCTGGATGAGGGGATCCGTCGTCACCAAGGAGCACAAACTGTCTGCGCCAATGTACTCGGTTTCTTTTTTTTTGAGCCACACCCGGACTTTGTTTTTTTTCGTGGCTTGCTTTGACCTTGAACGACAAAATACTAACTCAAATATCGTTCCCAGGATTCGGTGCCAACACACAAAATCAATCTAATAATACTATGTTCGGCGGACAAAATCGCGCCGGTGGGTTCGGGACTGCCCAACCTGCTGGCGGAAGTCTCTTTGGAAGCAGCACAACTACCCCATCTACTGGATTCGGTGGCAACACAGCCACCGGAGGCGGATTCGGCACTGGAGGTGGATTTGGTAGCACCAATACAGCCAACACCAGCGGAGGCCTTTTCGGTGCCAACAAGACTGGAGGGTTTGGAGCCACCAACACCGCTACCAGTGGCTTCGGCGGTGCTGCCACTGGAGGATTCGGAGCCGGAGCAGGAGCCGCCAGCACTGGCTTTGGCGGTGGTGGTACTGCCTTTCAAGGGGCTCTGCCTACCTGTGAAGGTACTGCCGGCACTCCGTTCAACCCTTTTACCGAGAAGGATACCAACACCTCGGCCACAAACCACTACCAGAGTATCAGTTTCATGCAGCCCTACAGCAAGTGGTCTTTTGAAGAACTGAGACTGGCGGATTATCAGCAAGGTCGTCGTCACGGGAACAACACCGGCCAGGCTGGATCTTTTGGTACCTCGACCTTTGGTGGCAACACTGGTGGTGGGTTTGGGACAAACACCGGTACCGGCTTTGGTGGTAGTACTTCTGCGCCATTCGGTGGCGGCACATCGACTGGTTTCGGGAGAAACACACAGACTGCTGGTGGCTTTGGCTCTACCCCTGCCAGTAACACCAACCCGCTGTTTGGCGGCGCCAAGCCTGCCGGAACCTCGTTATTTGGAAATTCTGGAAACACGACCAATACCACGGGAGGCTCCCTCTTCGGTAGTAACACCGGAACGACTGGTGGCTTTGGAGCCAATAACACTGCGGGAACCACCACCGGCGGTGCTTTCGGCAACACCGGTGGTGGTCTGTTCGGCAGTAACAACCAGCAACAGGCCAAGCCATTTGGCGCCACTGGAACTGGAACCGGTTCTACTTTTGGCGGATTCGGTGGCTCTCAGCCCACTACTTCTGCCACACCATTCGGCAGCACCCCGGCTACAGCTACACCCTTCGGCGGCCAGCAGAACCAAACTGGAAGTGCCTTCGGCGGTGGTTTTGGCACTCAGAACCAAACCCAGAACCAGGCGAAGCCCGGTGGATTGTTTGGCAACACTGGCGGTGGTTTTGGTGCCAACAATAACACTCAGCAGCAGACCGGTGGTGGTTTGTTCGGCGGTGGTCAAACCCAGGCTGCTGGCACCGGCGGTGGCCTGTTCGGTAACACGCAAAACCAGCCTGCACAGCAGAGTGGCGGTGGTTTGTTCGGTGGTGGTCAAACCCAGGCTTTGAATTCTGGCGGAGGCTTGTTCGGTGGTTCGCAGAACCAACAACAGCAAAAGCCTGGTGGTCTATTTGGTGGTAGCACTGGTACCACTGGTGGCGCCTTCGGCGGCGGTTTTGGCAATGCGGCAAACCAGCAGACCGCTGGTGCAACCGGTGGTCTGTTCGGCGGCTCTCAGAACAACCAACAACAAAAGCCTGGTGGTCTCTTTGGATCGACTGGTACTGGTGGCGGTCTCTTTGGCAATACCCAGGGTGCAGCTGCCCCGGGCGGAGGGTCCTCGCTCTTCGGCGGTGGTCAGTCTCAGCAGCAGCAGTCCGCCGGTAACAGCTTGTTCGGTGCTTCCCAGCCTCAGCAGCAGTCCCAACCAGTCCCGGGAAGCTTGAACGCATCCCTACTTGAGGGCAATCCGTATGGTAGCCAGTCTATCTTCTCGGGTCTTCCGACCCCGAGTGCGCCGTCCCCTGGTCCCTTGGCCACTCCTCTATCTTCGACCATGAAGCAAAAGCAGCGCACCCCACTGCCTGTATACAAGATTACTCCCCACTGCTGCCAACCGTCTCATCACCCCTCCCAAGCGCCAGGATACGGGTTCTCCTACTCGACCTATGGCTCGCCTTCCAGCACCACCAGCACCCCCTCTGGGCTTAGCAACAGTCTTCTGGGTAGTGGCAGCCTCCGTGGAAGCGTCAATGGCAGCTTTGGCCGTAGTTTCAGCAAAAGTTTCTCAACCAGCAACCTTCGCAAGACATTCGACCCGGATTCGGATAGTATCCTGGCTCCTGGAGCCATGCAGAATGGCAGCGGACGTAGCAATGCTGGTAGCCTGAAGCGCCTTACTATTGATCGCAGCCTTCGCAACGATCTTTTCAGTCGCCCGGCCAGTACATCGCCTGCTAGGATCACTAATGGGGATGATTCTGCCCAAGCCGACAAGCTCAAGAAGAAGGTCAGCTTCGACTCTACCTCCGCTGCCCCGGTCACCTCCAGCAATGAGATTGTTCGTGTTGAATCTAAGAGCCCCGAGCCTACCCCTGAGGAGCTTGGTTTCCTCCGTTCCACTCGTAAGAGTGGCAGCCTCAATGGCATTGATGGCGTGGCCAGTCGGCCAGAAATGGAATCCATTGGCCGTGATCTGGCTGTTGTTCCCGAGAACGGTGTACCCAGTCCTACTAGCTCTAGTCTTGCACGCATTTCGGTCACCTCCGGCGAGGACCCAAAGCCGGGCGACTACTGGATGAAGCCCTCTCTCGATGAGCTTAGCAAGATGACCCGTGAGCAGCTGAAGCGCGTCGTGGACTTTACCGTCGGTCGTCAAAATTGCGGTCAAGTCACTTTTAATGGCGCCGTTGACCTTACTACTGTGGATATTGACAACATCTTTGATGAAATCGTTGATATTGGCTTGAGGCGAATTACAGTGTATCCCGAGGAAAGCGTTAAGCCTCCCGTGGGTAAAGGATTGAACGTTCCTTCTACTCTACGCATCCAGAACTCCTGGCCCCGTGGTAGAAACCACACCGGGCCCATTACCAGTGGTCCGCTATACGAGAAGCACATTCAGCGTCTACAGAAGGTCACTGATACAAAGTTCATTTCTTATGAACGCGAGACTGGCACGTGGGTCTTTGAGGTTCCCCACTTTACCACCTATGGACTTGATTATGATTCCGATGAAGAAGGTGAGAAACTTGACCAGAGCCACCTTGGTGCAGGCCCTGATGATACTCGCACTCCTAAGGCGCAGGCCGATCACCCCGCGAGCTTCGAGCAGTCTGCGACGTTTTCCATTGACGAATCTTTCGTTGGATCTATGATTGGCGTTGAGGACGATACATTTGATTTCAAGAAGCGTAAGCTTGTTCCTGGTTCATTCGGCCAGGCCATGGAGGCGGAGGATGAGGAGATGGGTTCTGAGGGTGAGACCGAGTCTTTTTTAGAGGACGGCTCCACGGGTTCAGCTACTGAGCATGACGACGACGTCACTGAAAGCCAGCGATCTGGCGACTCGGTAGTTGGATCTGATGAGGATGAGGAGATGGACATGGCGGGTTCCTTTCCAAACCTTCATCGCACCGTGGAGCGGGAAGACAGCCAGAGCATCGGCAGTGATATGGATGTTACCCAGCCCATCTCAAGGCCATTTGGCACCCCCGGCAAGCCTCGTCTCAATCTGAGTGGCGATTGGACGGAGCAGCTACAACGCACTATCAGCCCTCGCAAACAGAACCGTGATCGCCTGCGTGAGATCCAGGCGAATGCTTTTACCGACAGGCCTCTTCTGAACGACGGATCGCCCGAAGAAAAGTCGACGAGTTCGCCGAAGAAGTTCTCAACCAGTATCGACTTGATGAACTCTTTATTCCAGCAGCCGCGGAAGCAGACTGCGCCCTCTCCGTTGAAGGCTACAAGATCACAGCCTAAGGGCTTTGAGGTTCGCACCCCCTTCATGCTTTTTACGTGATTACACCCTCGTCTTATATGCCTTGACCCATTGCTTGATCCACTGCACTTTACCTTGTCTCTATTCATCACCATGTACTTAGCGCTCACCCTACAGATAGTTGACACAATTTGAGAACCGTTTGAGCTAAACTTTCTTTTCCATACACAGTGGCCCTACAACAAACAGCCGAAGACCTTCGCCGGAGATGAAGTCCAGATGGACGCAAAAGACGTCGCTTTTCACGATTCCTTCAAGCCTCGCTGGGGTCCCATGGATGCTCTTGTTTGCGCTAAGAGCGATATGGAGCCTTTGCGCGATGCCGATCAGCGGTGGCAGGAACGCTTCTCGGTCTTCAGTGAGGCAAGAGATATCGCTGTGATGGGCTATAACCGGTCTAGCAACGTATGTGCCTCTGCCTTTTTTTTTTTTCTCCTTCTTTCCCTTTCTCTAATATCTCAACAGTCAACAGAGATGCTCGATGTTCAAAGGCAGCAGTCCACCATCCAGCGCGTTGATGGAACTCCATTGGTCCGGATATCCAAGATTGATCTGCAGCAGTTCGCATTTTCCTCTGCTAAAGATGAAGAGCGTTTGGTGTGGCAGCTGACCAACATCCTCTTCAATGATGATATAGAAGATGACATTTCAGCTGGCGTGCCACCGCAATTGCGGTCCAAGTTCGCGCATCGTATCAAGAAGGACCGCCTGACTCGACTATGGGAGGGCATTATTCGTGAGCGACATGCTCATGCCATCGAGCTCATTCGCTCGCCGGAAGAACGCGCCATTCAACTTCTTTGCTCTCACCGAGTTGACGAGGCATGCAAAATTTTGCTCGAAAACCAGGACCTCCATTTGGCTACTGTGGTTGCACAGATCGGTCGTGATGCCACATCACGGGCCGACATGGCGAATCAGATTGATGTCTGGCGCCAGAACAATGTTCTCTCCGAGATGACCGAGACTGTTCGGGCTCTCTATGAGCTAGTCGCTGGCAACAGTCTTCACAGCGAAGGCAAATCTGGCGGTGCTCTTGAAGACAGAGCTTCCAGCTTCACTTTTACTGAGCGGTTCGATTTGGATTGGTTCCAGGCTTTCGGTCTCCGTCTCTGGTATGGCATCACCGAGGATGAGCCGATCGAGGCTGCTGTGTCTAAATTCCTCGCCGACATGGCTTCCGGTCTGGAGCCTGCTTTCCCCCATCCTTCGCACGGCGCGCGTGTGTCTGTCCAGCCTGGTACCGACACTCTTGGGCGTGAGTCTCCGCTATGGGTGCTGCTGAAGGCTTACTCAGCCGCCAATGGTTGCAAGAGCGTTAAATCCGTTGAGCTCCCTGCGGCTCTGCTTCCCGAGTCTGTCTCCGGTGACCGATTGACCAACCGGTTGTCATTCCAGCTTCACTCCGTTCTCTCCGCCCTCTTGGGTCACCACGATGCAATCAAGGTCGACCAGCTGCAAATGGACCGTCTCGTATGGGACTATGCTTCTGAGATCATCGCCGGCGAAGAGCTCGCCCCTGCTCTTTTCGTCCTTCTCCACCTCTCGCACCACGAAGAACGTAAGCGCGCGGTGCAAGAGACCCTGTCTCGCTTCGGCGCCGTTCTTCCCGATCCGGAGTCTTCGTCGGGCACAGAAGCCGCTTGGCTTCAGCTAACTACCGAGCTCCAGCTGCCCGAAGCCTGGATCTGGGTTGCCAAGGCCCTGCACGCCCGTTTCACCGGTGATGCTATCCGGGAAGTGGACTGTCTCATCCGTGGCAAGCATTGGAATGACGCACACTCAACATTCTGTCGCGCCGTCGGACCAAGAGCAATTATCTCTCGCGACTATGCTAACCTCGAGCGCCTGGTCACGGGCTTCGGCGAGAACCCGGAGCGTAAAATGCGCAACTGGGCCTCCGGTGGCGGTATCTACGAAGACTTTTTGCGCCTGGCCACAGCAACCCGCGGCCGCCGGGATCCAATCCGCCTGAGTCGTCTGGTAAATGCCCTCGTGAACATGGGCGACCACGTCCGCAGCGGGAAGGGCATGGATGGGTTAGAGGAGCGCGTAGCGTTCAAGGAAATGAGCCGGGCCGTTGCCGGCTGGATCACACACGAAGATGTTCAGGTTAGTCTGCTCTTCAATTCCCTTCACTGTAATCATACAGTTACTAATTACTTCTCTCAGTCTGTCGAGTCCTCTGCTGTTCTAGGTCTCCCGCTTACTGGCGATGCCCGTGTTTTGCAGACCGTGGAAATGAGTCGCAGATATTATGGAGTCATCATGGCTGGCGGTCACTAAAGATTTGATGGGAAGATGATTGGAAACTTCTTTTCCCGCGTTACGCCTGAGTTTGAGAGTGGTCTTGCTGTTGCTTTTGCCTCTACTTTCAAATTTCCTATGTCCATCCCCTGACCTGAATGTACTGTACGTTGAAATATTACTATGACGTCCCTTCAATGTTGGGCCTTTGTTCAAGTGTAGACAAGTAATTACTGAGGGGTATGAGAACGAGGTATTCGGTTCGAGTCATTGGCTCCAAGCATCCACCACGAGACTTTGCTCCCGTTCAGGCATCATGAACATCGCCCTCGTGAAACATTGGACTCTCTTGGTTCCCGTCCTGGCACATCCTTGAATTCTTTGTACATATACAACCTGCTCATCTTTTTTTTCTTAAACATCCTGGGTAAATGACGTGGACTTCCTCGGCTAGCCGAAAGCGTATAGCGTCAATGGATTGGATAAGATCCTCCCAAATAAAAAGAACCAATTATCTTGGCGGCTAAGGCTTAGCTCCTATTCGGCCGGCAATTATTCCATCGAAAATCACGATCTAGCCGTCTTGAACTCTCCAATCGATGAACTACTTATTATCTGAGACATGTTCGAGTCAGTTCGGCGTTCTAGACGGCAGAGCTTTGGCCTCAGCCCTACCCCGGCAATTCTCTAACATGAGCATGTCTCCATCTCTAGTCCAAGAATAACCAGCGCTTATGCCGGGAGTTTGCTATCTTGCTGATCTGGAGTTGTCGCAGGTTGCTCTTAAGGCCTGGAAGCCCTAGAGTCCCTGGTATCTGCGCCATACGTCAACGAAAGATTTCTCCCATTCATTTGACAAAACAAATTATTGTACTCCGAGAACTACACCCATATGATCACAATTCTGAGACGTGCCGATGAGCTTATCGACCGGTGAAACCTTGGTCGGCTGGGTTTGGGACAGCTCTGGCCGAGGCACAATAAGCTTGATCACAACTTGCCTCGCAACCATTTTTCTCTGTACATGGGTGATCATACACCCCCGAGTCTATAAGCGCGAGTCTTCTGCTACATTTCACAAAGTTGCCCTTTTTTTCAAGGCTGTTTTCGCACCCGAGTTCATCGCCGTCGAAGGTCTCCAAGAATGGGCTCAGTGTCGTCGGATGAAAAGAGAATGCTCGGACTTGACTCGCGGAGAGTTCACACTCATCCACGCTTTCTACATCAGCATGCTCGCTCTAAGATACCGAACACCCAATGGCGACCGTGTTATTTGGCCCAATCAATACACCTGGCTACTCGAACAACGTCTCGTCCGCTGGGACGACCATGCCCATTGGGGTCTTTCGCTCGACGACATATGCGACAAGAGCAAATCAGATAGTGCTGCAAAGCTCCTGGCTTTGATTCAAGTATTCTGGTTCTCGACACAGTGCATATTGCGCATCATTTATCATCTTCCGCTCTCCCAGTTGGAGTCAATGACCCTGGGCTACATTCCCTTGTTTATTGTCACTTACTTCTTCTGGTGGAGCAAGCCGAAAGATATTCGATCCCCTTCACTGGTCGAACTACCATGTATGAGCCTGGAGCAGGTGCAGACGTTTGAGTTCATGGCGGTCAGCAACAAGTTTGATAACGAGGGCTTGGAAGAGCAGGTGTCGCGCTGGAATGTATGGTACCTCACACCTCGTGTCTTTGAGAAAGAAGAGGAAGACAGGATCAGGCAAGAAGCTCATGCAACTATTATTCCAACAATTGCAAAGAGCCCAACACAGCCCCGGAATACGCATCCAGACAGTTCATACCCGATGATCATCCACGAACGAGAGGTTCAAGATGTTGAAGAGCAGACGAAGACATAAAAAAGATATAATTGTGGCACCCTAGGATCCTAGTTTATACACAGAAAAACAGTAGTTTGAAGATTTAAATCAGGAGAGGCTGGAATAATACAAGTACTACTTCAGATTTGACTCTATTCAGGTTCAGTCTGCCATGGAACAGTTCGGGCATAATTCCAGCCGGCAAAGATTGCCGGGTTCGGCAGGCCCCACGTTTCTCGCGGGGGTCTCGTCTGTTGATCCATTTCTGAGTTTCAACGCGAGGCCAATTCCAGGATCCGGAGCTTCTAGTCATTCAATCTCGGACACCATGGAGATAGCAAACCTGAGCACGGTCACTACTGTCAATGAGTTGGCCCAATTCCTCAGTGACGCTCAATTACAAGACTTGTCTGTCTCTCCCCCAGTGGACTGCATCGTCATCTGCGCCTCCGCTGTCCTTTACGGCGCTGAGACACTTTTCAAAACTCTTACTGAGCATCCATCACTCACCAAGTGTGTGGTACTGTGTGGTGGTATTGGCCACTCCACCACATTACTCTATGAGGCTGTCAAGCAACATCCTCGTTACTCCCGGATCGGCGATGAGATTACGAGTAGTCCAGAAGCCCGTGTGCTAGAGCGAATCCTGGAAGAGTATTTCGATCGATCAAAGATCACCAGAGAAGAATGCAGAATCCTCATCGAGGACCAGTCCACCAATTGTGGACAAAATGCCTTGTTCACCCGCAAAGTTCTCGACCAGGCAGGGTTCACAGACTTGAAATCTTGTATCGTGATTCAAGATCCTACGATGATGCTCAGGACAAAGGCATCATTTAAGAAAGTCTATGAAGATTCGTCATCTCCTATTTCATTCATCAGCTGCCCGGGATTTGTTCCACAGATGAAATTGTCGCCCTCTGAGTCGCTGGAATACGACACTGCTTTGGAGGCCTCCACTTTGTGGTCGATACCACGGTTCCTAGACTTGATCATGGGCGGGATCCCAAGGTTGAGAGACGATGAAGAGGGATATGGGCCCAGGGGCAAAGGGTTCATTGCTCATGTTGACATACCGAAAAGCGTTGAGCTCGCCTGGTCAAGATTGGTACATACATTCAAAGACTACAGGCAAATATGAGACCTTGTTCATTCATGCTAGTAAGCTATTGCTTTATTTAATGTTTGCAAATGAGTTGGCTCGAGGGTCGCTCAATAGTCCCAAACTGGGTATGTCGAAGATTTACACACGTATATAGCAATTGGTATCATTTCAGTCAGTGAAAGAATTTGAAGATAGCGTATAAATTCCTTTTTATCCAAGACCAAAAATGTGTTCAGAGCGTAGGGTGTCAAATAGGAATCCCAAGTAATTTTTGACTAAGCCTGTTCGTAGAAGGCGGCGGTGGGGCAGTTCGTCGGATTTGAGTGGGCAATGTGACTCAATGACTTTTGATACAGCGACTTGGACTTCGATTCGACTATTCATCAAATTCAGCTCGGTAAACTTATCCTTCACAATGCAAATGATCATGCTTCAGTGAACACAGCAGCGCATCTGCTGAGATTTTGATCAGCTATGGATCCGCCACCGTTTGGCCCCTCGTCATTTCACCAAATACCTCAGTCACTACCAATCTCGGCGCTTCAGGGTATGCTCGATGCCGAAGGATCGAACAACCAGATATCTGATGATCCAAGTTTTGACTGGGATGCTCTGAATAACTCTTATCCTTGCTCATCGGAGCCGTCCAACCTCGAGTGGCCTCAGTGGGCGGATCTCCGCTCATCCACCACATTAAACGTCGAGAGACAAAGCGATTTAGCATTGCAGACTCTCGAAGTAACAAATAAAGCAATCCCAAGTCCACGAAGTGCCAATTTACTGGACTTTGTTCAACCGCAGAATCTTTCGAATGTCTCTCAATGGCTAGATGGCGCATATCGACCCTCGGTGCCTTGTACTCATTGCCGTAGACACAGGCTACAGTGTCTTATACTTCGCACTACGGATGCGAACCCCAATCCTGTCACATCATGTTCCAGTTGTGTCGCACTTTTCCGCGAGTGCAGTCTCGCCAAGGGAACAAAAAGGCTTCCGTGTGGATTCGAGACATTCTCTCCCGTTCTAGGCAATCTGCATGGCCTTCCTGAGCAAACAGGAGATATCGTGAGTTTTAAATCCCATAATTTATGGCCCATTACTCACAGATAGTGCCAGGAAAATACTATTTTGGCATCTGTAGAGTCACCAGAAGACCGCAAAGAATCCAAGCAGTTTGTCAGAAAAGGCGCCAGGGTTCTCCGAGAATGGTTCGTAAGAAACCAGGAGTATCCCTATCCAACCGAGGACCAAAAAGCCCAGCTATGCCAAGAAACGGGCTTCTCGCATAAGCGCATCTCGACATGGTTTGCAAATGCTCGTCGACGACAGAAGCAAAAGATTCAGACAGCAAATGTCCCGACACCTTCTCATTTCAGATCCGGATCACCACTCGTCACGAGCACAATCACCTCCATGTCTCCCATGGAAAGATGGAAGGCATCGCCTCCGGAAGATGAACCCGTCCCAGAAGCTACCATTCAGGATGCCATTGCCTCGGTCTCTCTTGAGGCAGACATGATAATGGAACCCTTCCAATTCGATCCATTGAGCATTGACTTATTCAATTTCGACGAAACGTCGTCTCATCTTGCATCTTCCGTGTCCAGTTTTGAAAGCAGGACGTCTGAAACGTCTGACAGCGCGTCTTCGGCTTGGAGTTATCGGTACGGGGGAGAAGGAGAGTTACCCTTTCCTCTGCTACCAAAGGCATCCCGCTCTCAACGGCGCCGACGACAACGCCTATCAGCAGGGGAAGGCCAATACCAGTGCACATTCTGCACACAGTCCTTCAGAAAGAGACATGACTGGTCAAGACACGAGAAGAGCGTTCACCTTCAGCTCGATTCCTGGATCTGCACGCCAAATCTCGAGGAGCTACGGCAACAATACGAGTCTCAAGTGACTGAATGCTATTTTTGCGAGACCCCTTTCCCAACGCCGACCCATTGGGAAGAACACGAGTTTCATGTCTGCTCTACTAAGCCCACAGCTGAGCGTTCGTTTAGTCGAAAAGACTATCTCTGGCAGCATTTACGTAAATTCCACGCTTGCACCAAAAGCCTCGTTCACCTCGATGCCTGGCGTGAAACAGGCGCCAATGTCCAAAGCCGTTGCGGCTTTTGCAACCGTTCGCTCTCCACATGGACTGCTCGGGTGGAACACATCGCAGAACACTTCAAACATGGGGCGCGCATGCAGCAATGGGAAGGCGACTGGGGACTCGATTCTTCAGCCATGAGCGTCCTTCGAAACGCAGTCCTCCCCGCACAGCGGTCTCTGGCGAGTCCATCTACATAATACACTTCTATGAATAACGAATAAATGTCTTGAAATGATGATAAGATTCATGCAGCGCTAATCGTAGAATAATGTATTCCATGGCCTTCAGTATTCGATCGTCTGCCATCCACGATGGTACCACGCTCCCAGACCCAGCGCGAAGACAATGAGGCTACCATCACGCACAAAGTCCCTGAAGAGTGAAATGATCAATCCTATGCCACCCTGTTTACCTCCCGAGAATACACGGCCGCCAGCTAAGAGAAGTTCACCCGTGACGAAGATTAAGAAAGGGTTCTGGACCGTAGCAGGCTTGGGCGGGGCACTACCGAACATCGCAACAGATGTGCTGATGAGGAAAAGCAAATACGTGGCCACGCCAAGCGCAAAGAGGATGTGCAGCGTCTTCCAGATCTTGATTGTCTTTTGCTCGGCCTCAGTCGGTTGTTGACCATTGCCCAGCATGTTCGCAAGGAACGGTGGCACACCAAGTGCGCCTGCGATATCCGCTGGTGAGAATCCAGAGGGCGCCTGTCCGGGCGCAGCGCCGGGCGCGCCACCAGGACCACCTGGCATGGGCGCATTGGGGTCGCCCGTCATGGATCCCATCAAAGATTGGAGGAGTTTCATGGTTGGATCCTCCGCCATGTCGTCGGCTTGTTGGCCCTGGCCTTCCTCGGAGGCAGCCTGGCGGAGCATGGCGCGGAAGGCCTCCTGCTGGGCCTGGAAGTCTTGTGAAGACGGCATGTTCGGCTGCATACTCGGCTGCATACTCGGCTGTGGGCTTGGCGACGGACGGGTCTGCGGGATAGGAGAAGGAGATGGAGAAATTGTGGGTTGAGGGGATGGCGAGGCTTCTTCGCGGTCTGTTGTCCTGTCGGGTTAGTCTCGTAACAAAAGTCGCTGGCGCATTATAATTTTGCACCCTAGATAAGCATCTCGTACCAGCTTGAGGTGTGCGGCCGCTGAGACTGGTGATTTTGTCCAAACGCGCAGAGCCTCCCTCCTTGATTTTGGCCTCGCGGCGCTCACGACGCAGGCGTGCTGCCCGCTGGGCTGGAGACTCCTCCGATGTTGACATTGTGGATGAGAGTTAGGATGGCGGAATTGTGATATCGCGTCCGGTGACTCTAATATTGACAATCGGCGTGAAGTTCAGGGCTTTACGCCAGTAGAGAGGGGTGATGTCTGGGATGGAAGGTGTAAGATCAAGTCCCGTGGCGATAAGAACACCAACTTACCCGCATCATCAGCTATCTCTGAACGACTTATAGTGTTGACCTTTCAGCTTCAATAACATGTCAAAGTCTGCGTTAGGTACCAATTGGTTGAAATGCTTCACATGATATTGAATGCAAGTCCGATCGTGGCTTGACTTCTGCAGACACTGGACTTATGATTTCCATTCAGGTATACTCCAGGGCCGGCCTTCCCTGCTTTTGACTAAAAGCTTCACGAAAATAACGCTGCTTACTGAAGACCAGCAATTACACAACGAGCCGCCGATAATCAAGATAGCGCGCAAGTCATCATAAAATCACCATCTCGTTCATACAATCACCATCTCGTCGGCGTCGCGTGGGGAGAATGGAATCGGCAGCCTCCCGCACGCGATCAACATGGAATACTGGCGCAATTACAACTCGCCGCAGACACACTATAGCTCACTAGCCCCCCTAGCCGGTGCACAAGACGTGCTTCGGGGATGATCTGATCGCTAGATTTGCCGATCGACAGGTCCAGTCTCGACATTCCTTCCATGGCCTGGATGGCTGTAAAAACACAACTTGCTGCCGCACACGCTAAGATCAACCAGAGTTTACATGGCTGATACACTCCGGGGAAGGCATTGCTGAGTTTCCGTGGCTGAAATACTCCTTGAACTGCATGGTATTAAAGCGGCAGGGGGACTACTTGGTGACATTATGTCCAGGATCTAGGCAAAAAAGGCGACCAACAGACTGCTCCCATATACATTCAAAGCAGTCAGTCGAAGTACCGGGCCAGCATGATCAATCTTCCATGCTAGTTCCTTGAGTCTGGCTTGGGAGATTACCATAAAAGAGGGACATTTCCAACAGTCTGGTACAAAACAGCTATACCAAGGCGGTGGCGGGCATGAGCGATGCCAAGGCATTCCGCCTAGGATAAAATAGAAATACCAATCGGTGGAGAAGCCGATCGCGTCCTTCCGACATGATTAGAGGCGCAGTGCCCAGTCTCAGATAGATGATGGGCGAATGGGGGTGTGTATCCCGTCGTCATCGCACTTTCCCGGGTTCCGCCTGCCGATGACGTAGGTTCTGGGGAGAGCTGTCTAAGCTGATGACCTCGCGATGCTCTTTTCTGGCACCTCCCACAGCATCGAATCCTGCGTTCCCCGGTAAACGTGGGTTTTCATGCGAGGAATCCCAGCTCCATATTTCTCAGTTACCCCGCTCTCATTAGCTACAGCTACACGCTCAATTTCACTGTACATTCTATCGCGAGACATACATTCACCGCAATGGCTTCTGGGGCACAACACCAACCTGGAGAGCCTACGCGCCACCGCGTTGGAGAGCATTGGAGTGGTGCCAATCCTGTTCCAACCGTCCAGAAATTTATCGAGCGGCTCGACAATGAAAAAAAGGACCGCGACCAGAGAATTGACGAGGCGGACCAGGCCAGGAACCAAGAGGCTGCCGCAAAGAAAGAGAAGGAGAGGAGAGGAGAAGATACCACTGAGGTACAGAACAATGGAGATGTCATGAAACACAAACCACGCGAGGTCTCGCAAGCCAAGATGCACACGGTGACCGATCCCACTACTGGCAAGGATATTGGCGTCGAGGATCAAGATGAGACCTCCATGGAAGCAGCCCAGAATCCTATGGTAAGAGCGTTGAGGACATTATTCACGAACCATTGGTTGACCTGGCTATAGTTGACCGTCCCTAATGCTAATCTCGATCGACCCACCGTGAGTGCTTGTACCATCATCGGTATAATGACTCTACTGACACTTGCATCAGCCTGTACAAACTCGTCACGATCAAGAATTTTCCGAGTACAAGGAAAACCAGGATATGACGGCGCCCCCGGATCCGATTGCGGAGGGAACCACCTCCGATGTTCCCATTCGTGGTGAAAAGACAAATGTGCTTTTTCACCCTACGCCGACTATTTCATATGCGCCAATGTATGAGAGGCTGGAGAAAAGTGCGATGGCACTGTGTATCGCCATTCCATTCGCTATTATCGTTCTAGGGCGGACCTTTGGAGGTTCCCTCTGGGGTCTCATTCCGCTCGCTGGATGCGTTGCAAGCGGCGTGTGGCTATGGATGCACGAAGTTATCCGCAGTGGGAAAGAGATGGAATGGAGCAGTGAGCAGCTCCGTGGGCAGACTGTACGTCACATTCACTGATACTGAGACGCTGAATGTCGCTAATGACCCTCAAGGCAACTGCAAACCTCCTCCCAGAATCAGTGGAATGGATGAACACTTTCCTCAGCGTCGTCTGGGGACTTGTTAACCCCGAGATGCTGCAACCTGCCGCCGACACCATAGAAGACATCATGCAAGCCTCAGCCCCTAGCGTTGTCGAGAACGTCCGGATTGCCGAGATTGATCAGGGTACCAATCCAATCCGCATCCTCAGTATGCGTGCTCTGCCAGACAGTTACGTCCAGAATCTCAAGGACAATATTCGCGAAGAGAATATGAAGAACAAGGATCCCCAGGAAGCTGCTGCCGCGGAAGAGGGTGGTAGCTACTACAATATGGAGGCTTCCTTTGCATATCACGCAAAGCCATCCGGTGGAAGTGCTTCCTCCAAGGCTCGCAATATGCACATGCAGCTGGTGTTTTACTTGGGAATTCGAGGCCTGTTTGGCGTCCCATTCCCGGTCTTTGTTGAATTAACGGAGTTGGTCGGCACAGTCCGTCTGCGCTTGCAATTGACTCCGGAGCCACCCTTTGCGAAGGAAGTCACTTTTACCCTCGTCGGCATTCCTCACGTCAAGGCCGGCTGTATGCCTATGTTGCGCAGAGGAGTCAATGTCCTCAACTTGCCCTTGATCTCCAAATTCGTCAACTATGCCATTGGCGCAGCTTGCGCCATGTTTGCTGCCCCCAAATCGATGACCATGGACCTGAGTATGTTGCTCAAGGGTGATGATATTGAAAAGGACACTCAGGCTCTGGGTGTTTTGTGGATTCGAATCCATCGTGCTATTGGGTTGAGCAAGCAGGATCGCCGTGGTAGCGAGGGTGGTGGTAGTGACCCGTACATCAACCTATCCTTCTCCAAGTATGGAAAGCCTATGTACTGCACGCGTGTTATCACGGATGACCTGAACCCTATCTGGGAAGAGACTGCCGCACTGCTCGTTACTCCCGAACTGATCAAGGCCAATGAGAACTTGAGTATCGAACTTTGGGACTCTGATCGCAATACCGCCGATGACATTGTCGGAAAGGTGGAAATGCCCCTTTATGAGCTACTCCAGCACCCCGGTCAGATGTATCCACAGGTTTCTAAGCTCCAGGGTCTCGAGGTGGAGAGTGAGATGCCTGGCCAACTCCACTGGGAAGTCGGGTACTTTGGCAAGCCTAAGCTTCGGCCAGAGCTGCGCACTGATGGCAAGAAGAAGGACCTTCCCGAGAGCCTGAAAGGTGACCCGACCTTCGAGGAAGAGAAGGGCACAATCAATAGTGAAGAGGAGGATGCGGTTATGCACACTCCACCAGATCCCCTTTGGCCCAGCGGTATCGTGCACATTGTCGTGCACCAGATTGTCAATCTGCAACTTGCCAACATCAAGGGTAGTGATGGAAATCGCAAGGGCAAGGAGTACGAGCCTGCGAAACCATCTGGTGAGAATACTGAAGAAGAGGGAGGTGACTTGCCCACGAGCTACTGCAAAATTATGCTCAACGACCAACTGGTAAGCGGATTCGACCTTTCCTTCGCCGTATGCGCTGGCTCACTTTTTAATAGATTTACCGCACTCGAGCCAAGGCCGTGAGCTCCAAGCCCATTTTCAATGCTGGAACAGAACGCTTCATCCGTGATTGGCGCTCTGGCGTAGTAACCGTCACCGTGCGAGACCAGAGGTACCGCGAGCATGACCCGATCCTTGGTGTCGTCCCTATCAAACTTTCCGAGCTTCTCCAAACCAGCTCGCAGGTCACTCGGTGGTACCCATTGGACGGCGGCGTGGGATTCGGACGCATCCGTATCTCGATCTTGCTCCGTCACGTGGAGACCAAGCTGCCTCCCAACATGCTCGGCTGGGACGTTGGCACATTCGAGTTTGCCTCTGATAAGGTTGTCGCCAAGGACTATGGTCATAATACTAAGATCAAGATGCGCACTGGAGGCAGTGTGGGCAAGCTTTCACGGCGTGTATGCCAAATGGATGGAAATGATGCCACATTCGATACATCGGACGAGAGTTACCGCGACTCTCTGCGTATGCCAGTCAAGTACCGATATCGGTCGCCCATGGTTTTTGAGTTCCATACCAAGGGAAAACGGGGCGCTGCGGCATATGCCGTTCTCTGGTTGCAGCATCTAGTCGACAACGAAGAAACCGATATTGACCTTCCAATTTGGACAACCAAGGCGGGTGCCCGTTTGACGCAGAACTACATCACCGAGGCGAACTGGCGCGCCAAAGAAGTTCCTGGGTTGGAAGATTTGACAGAAGTCGGACGCCTCCAGTTCCGCTGCCGATTCTCCCCCGGCATTGACGAATCCCACGAGGCCTTCGTGGTGGACAACGACTCGCGCGAGACTTTTGAAACATGGGAAGCATGCATGGCTCAGGGAGTCCGATCCCGCAGCGTCTCGATTGAAGTTCCTCAAGAGGTTGAAGAAAAGCACGAACAGTCCCTTGTTGACGGCCGCGATGTCCTCAAGCAGGCTGACCCTGCCGAACGCCGCCGCTGGATTGACCGCTCGGGACAAGATTGGAGCGGCGCCTTCGGCGATGACCCTCGTGCCTACATCGATTCTCATGGCCACAAGGTCGCCGAGCCAGGAAAGGACAAGCCTGCCCATGACCCAGTCACCCCGCCCCCACTTCAGGGACAGCCTTCCCCTCGCCCCTCGCAAGCCGGCGAAGCGGACAGCACCTCAAGCTCCGACGAGTCAGCAAATGAAGAAGATGAAGAGGAGGAACCGTGGAAGGGGCCGTCGATCGTCAGCCCAGTGACGACTGCTCCTTCGTCGCAAATGAGTACCAAGCAGACTGAAAAGGCTAATCGACGCAGTGATCAGCGTCAGCAGCGTGGCTTAATGCAGTGGCGTCCTGCGCGCAATGCGCAGTTTGCAAAGGACGAGGCGAAATTTGCGCTGCGTAAACTTAAGAAGAAGATTGGCGCTGGAGATCTTACTGGCCGTGAGCCTGATGTTGAGACGGAGACTTGATTATACGGAGCAAGTGAGGATTGGAATTTTGAATGGGTTTTTGTATATATTACGATGTGAATGTCTCGATAACCTAGTTTATAATCTACTTTGTGTTACGATTCATAAAGCCTTGAAAATAGCTCAGTGGATGACACAATGAAGCCAGATCAACAATGTTTTGTTCTTTAATTTGATGATGAGAAATGAATGCCCGGGAACCGGGATGAGGATATTCGCTGACAAAATTTGATAAGAGGAAAGAAAAGCCCCCCCAGCGCCTCTATATGACCAAAGACATGAATCATGAAAAATAAATAAATGGTATATGCAAGTACAAGAAAAACCCCCCCGGTCATATGACGATCATCAACTCACAGGCCAGAATGCGGCTCCGCTGTGTCCGTAGGCAACGATGAGTCCTGAACACACTTCTCGTTCGGGCGCAACGGACCAAGAGTCCACTTCCACTCTCGTCTCCTTTTCGCCCGCCCTTGTCTCGGTGTCTGCGGCGTAGAGGAATAATCCGATTCCAACCCATCCAGCAAAGCCACGGCTCGCACCTGACGCTCCACGCCCATGGAGCGACGTTTCTTGCGCTCGATCTTCGACAACGAGGTCCCTGGGACGCCTGTTTCGTCGGCACTGCCTTCGTCCGAGGTACTCGCCTCGGAAAGGGATGCACAGCCCGAATCGGAATCCGAGTCGGTGGGGTCGGAAATAGGTGCGGGTACTGACGCGGGCGCGGGCGCGGGTGCCTGCAGCACAGCCTCCTCGTGGAGGAGATCTAGATGCTGCGCCGTGTATTTTTCAGTGTGAATCTCCTCTTCGAGTGGGCACCGATAGCTGACGGTCTTCTTGGCGGGAAAGAAGATCCGCCGTATGCCTGTGGGCCCGCTGGTGCCTGCGGATATGGAGCCTGAGCGGCGGCGAGAGGGTTCCAGAGGGGAATTGCGGAGGATGCTGCGCACTCCTAGGGGCAGTTGGTAGGGACGGTAGCTGAACGAGTGGTTTGTTGGAGGGTGATGGATATAGGGAGAGATGGGTTTGCCGTTGCTGAAGCGGGTGCTTGGTGTGGACGTAGATGTAGATGTAGATGTGGATGTGGATGTGGATGTGGTTGTGATTATGGATGCGGGTGCAGTTGCCTTGGAGGGAGACACTGAGGCCGAAGATGGAGAAGCGACATCGTAGGCATTCTTAAAGGTGTTGCGTACTGTCGGCGATGCGCCTGCCGCAAAGGAAAGAGAGAGGCCGGTGGTTGAACTGCCAAAGGTGCGCGGTAGAGAAGTGGTTTGCAGCGTGAGTTTCGGTCGCGAGGTCATCCGGTTACCGGGCTGAGAGAGGCAGGACATTGTTGAAGAACATGAGGAACGAGATCGCACCGGCGAAGAGGGATAGAGTGTCATCGAGCATGACGTGGGGGGGGGAATGTTATGCGGGCGGGGTTTGCGCTAAGAATAGTCGGCGCTTGCACAGTCACTGTGTGATGAGCACCGCTGGGCGCCTTCCACGATGAACGATGGAATCTGATCGTGGATGAAGTCCAAGAAGTCGGAACAGTTGTCGTTTATAGATATTCAAAATACAGCTTATAAAGAAGTTGTCACCACGCCTGGCGCCGCAGAATTTTCCCAACTATCGACGCCACCACCAGCCCCGTCGCACATGGGTGATCGACCTCGATCTTGCCCCTCGTTCTAAATTAATCCGGAAAAAGTCCAAGTGTCAGCGAGGACCTAGAATGAGAGGCAAACCAGTCAGCCTTTTCCAAGTCTCATCTTTAAGAACTGGCCGATCACCCCCCCCCCCCAAGAGAGAAGAGAAAAGAGAGTCGAGGTCGTTACTATAAAAAGATCCCGTGTGGGGCTCAGCTCTAGACGCGTCCATTCTGAAGAGTGTCTCGAGTGTCTTGATAATGGTCGAAGATCAATGTCCCAGAATCTTGCCTGTCCTTACTTTTACTTTCACCAACCCCTCCATCTAGTCCATGGATGCCATCTTTTTCGCTACCGTGCCCGCTTTTACGTGATCTCGAAATTCTGCTACATTCCACGTTCAGATCCCGTTCCAGATTAGCCTCCACCACCCGTCGGCTGAGTCTCCCCATCGCAGGTAGGATCCACCTCGTGTTCTAGAAGAGTTCTCTTCATCTTCGTCTTCGGCGAATACAATTCACACCTTTTGTAACAAGTGACCACACGCAAGATCAACCTCGAAAGGAGCCCAAACCTCCCGCTAGCATTTCCACCGTGCTCATGCCCCTGCTGAGTCGGGTGGGCTGCACATAAGAGCCGCTAGGCTGACACTCGGCCTGTCGGAGGTCCATGGATCCCCGACACGAGCTGACCATTCGATCGTGCCAGAGGGACTCCCAACTCCATAATCTAGTAGCTAGTGGCCTCGCTGTACTCTTGTACCCTGTTTGCTCCATCAATAATCGGATGACCTGCGAGCTTAATGTTGAGATCCAAGGGGATGATATCGAGGCAGTGGCTCTGGCGCGAGACTCCTGTTTTTTTGATCCAGTAGTGTCTGGAGCGCAGTGCGATCGCCTATATTCCTAAGAAAGTGGGAACGGACCATGTTCCCACGCTACAGATCGGGAAGTCACCCGTGAGAGTCTTGCAAGAATGAACAATCAGCGCTAAACCGGTCCAGGTCGTTCCGCTTCAGTCTTTTCAGGTTTGTGGTGTCGCTCGTCATAACTATAGGCTGCTTTGAAAGCTCTGGTAGTGGGGTCCACAGGTTTCTCGGACCATCAAAGTCGAGATCACTTCCTTCCAGACGTCCAAGTGTGTCTCGTGTCTAGAACAAGCAACACATTGATCTTGTAGAAATGGTCAAGTGGGTCGAAGATCGATGGTGGGTCCAACGGGTGCTCACGGTCGCCTTTTCATGTCTTTGTTTTTTCTATCCCACTATGACTGGCACCCTGTTTTCATAGTGGCTTGTATGGCGGAAGGATCGTTCAAAATTGTCTACTGGTCAGGTTCGAACGTGAAGAGTAACAGCTGCGCGCTGCCGATGCACTGAGGAGTCTCTTGTTCTATTTTGGAAGTAAAATACGATCGTTATTCGGTGACGGTCAAATTTGGTACATCAATAGATGACTATATTACAGCCCGAGGATGACACGAGAAGACAAAGAGTTGTGAGATGGTGCGAGAAGAAGAAAGTAAAACACACCCGGACTCCGTTAAGACTCTGAGCCTCTTCAGCCCCTCAACGATTCAGTCACTTTTGTTGCTGTCGGAGAAAATCCTCTAACTTGGTCCAGCTCAACTCAGGATATCGATCATTATCCAATGGCTCAAGCTTCCCGTCTCCTGAGAACATATTCGTCATGTATTGCATTTGCTGCCAGACGGGGAAGATCTGATCCTCGCCCCCAAAAAGGCGTAAGCCTCGGATCATCAACTCCATGGCGCCCACAGGGCCCATCCACGAAGGCTTATATCGGGCACCGTCCACTTTCGTCTGTGCGTCTGCAATCTCCTGCGCACTGACGGTGTCTCCAGCAATGCGGAGGAAATTGGGAGTAGGGTTTGGGTCAACAGCCACTGCAGCCGTATATGCAGCTGTGTCCACCATGGTCGTAAAGTCAAGGAGCTGCGTCGGCTGACCAATGTACGGGACCTTGTGGCTCTTGCGATTGATCATCGGCGAGTCGCCCCCCAACAGATCCATAAAGCCGCCATTGAGGATGCTCGTCCATGCAATGCCTGACTTTCTGAGCTGTGCGTGGAACTCGCGGCGTAGATCCAGGTTTCGGTTGGATCCTGGTTGAGTCTTGGTGAAGTCTAGAGAGAAGTCTGAAGGGATAAATCTCGGGATTTTGGCAGCCACGGAAGCCTCGAGGAGATTTCCTTGGGCAGTGTGAATGACTTCTTTCAGGCCTTGGAGCGTGGAAACGACAGAAATCGCTCCGTTTAACTCAGGAGTGAGGCTTGATACCTCCGAAAGGTTAACTGGAGTGATAGTGACGCCCGCGCTCCGAAGCTTCTCTGTTCGAGACGGGTCTGTGTTAGGGCGCACAAGGGCCTTGACGGCTACGCCTCGCTTGACCAGCTGCATTGCAACAAGCTGGCCCAGTCCGCCTGTGGCACCGGCCACTGCAACGAATGGTGAAGCCATGACAGTCGTAATGCCGAGACGGGTATGAGTGATTTAAGGGGATTGCGTCGTGTGCAAAAAGCTGCGAAGGGAAGACCAGATAGAACAGACTCAAGTCTAACACACTTCGAATAAATAGTATTTCGATTCAATGGAGATTCCTGTTTGGCCTCTCAGCTTCATTTACAACGAATTAGTCATGACGTTTGGTTAGCGGTCGCGTCGGGCTTGAGCTCAGCCCGAGGGTGCGGGTCTCTGATAAGCTTGAAACCTAGGACATGGCCCAAGCATTTCTCTACGCCAAGTGTACCTATGTGATATCCCATAATTTCAATGGCTTGATTTCAGTGTATATTATCAATTTCAATTTATTTTGACTGTTGCGTCAATCGAGAGTAGCTACATGTGACTAGATTCAATCCCAAGAGGAAATGTTCTTCTTCACAAACTCCGCCCAGGTAGTAGGCTCAGAATCAAGAAGCTTCAGGCTTGGCTCAAGAGGCTCTCCGAGATAGTAGCCTGGGTCCTCCACGAAAAGCTGATTCTCGAGAAATTCTTGGGCCACAGCAGCGGGCAAGGCGGCCTTGTACTGATCCGGAGTAACCTGGATGAAGGCAGCCTTCTTACCGGTTACCTGAGAGAAGGTATCCACAATCTCGTCAGGGGTGTAGTACTTGGCAGCCGCCAAGATTTGTTTGTTCTTCAGCTGATCCGCATGCTTAATTATGGCCTTCACGAAGAGACCTATAATAGAGGTTCAGTCCCGGTACAGGTAAGAAAGGGGAAGGAAACTGACCTGTATTGTTGGCGGCATCGAAGAGAGGGAACTTGGCTTGGTTGCTAACAGGGAAGAAGAGCTGGTAGGTGCCATCTTCACCCCGTTTGAGCATGGAAGTGAAGTTGCTCATGTAGTATCCTGGGAGAATGAAGCTGCAACCAACCCCTGAAGCGCGGATGTACTTTTCGATGTTGGCCTTGCTGTCGAAATGAGGAACATGGCTCAGGCGTCCCTTGGTCTCCTCCGTCACATGGTGGAGGGAAGAGAATATGAGGTGGGAGACACCAACGGCCTTGGAGACATCGGCCACGTTCTTGCCTTGGGAGTATTCGATGTCGGCACTCATGGTTTCCCAGTAGTTGGTAACCAGAAACACGGTGTGAGACCCCTTTAGAGCTGCGGTAAGAGAGTCGGTTGAGCCCAAATCCGCCTAAATGTGCATTGTCAGTGACTTCGTTCTAGAAGCGGGCGTATTGGAATGGCATCTTACCGAGACGACTTCGACACCACGCTTGGCCAGGTCCTGTGCCGATTTCTTGGTAGTGTCGCGAGTGATACCGCGGACTTTGAATTCCTTTGAAAGCTGGCCATCGGCGAGGATAGCATCAATGACAGAGCCACCTTGGTTGCCCGTGGCGCCGAACACAGTAATCAACTTAGACATTGCGGGGTTGTGAGATGAAATGTATAAAGGTGTAAGCTGGCGTGCGATGGATGATCCAGTGGGATTAACTCTTGAGTTTTGTGCTTGTGGAACTGATTCAGAGATCAAGATCTGAGGGCGACTTTATATCTTCTATCCTCGCCCTGATATTTCGAATATTATATAACAGATCGGACAGTGTAGACCGCATGCCGCCTTAGTGTTGGTCGGCTTGGCAAACCAACACTCGTGGAAATGACTCGTACATTTCCAACTTCGGAAGCCCGAGCGTCCGAGGGGTACCTTGACGAAGACGATGTGTTTCTATCGATCATCAAGTCAAGTTACATCAGCATTGTACAGCTTAAGACATGATCTTGTCGTCCGAAGCCTTGCCTCAGAGTTTCAAGCAGCGGGGTTCGATTGGCCGGTGTCCGTCTTCGGTGGAGATTCCGGCTTCCAAATAATCGCCGACGCCCGAGCTTTCTAATTCGGGGTTTCGCTCTAATTGATGACGTGAGACAACCACCGATCACTTCATCGACCTTTGCGCTTATGGCCGGGAATGACAGCCACCGCAACAAATTGGAAAAACTCGTTGACTTATGCGCGACCGGGTGAGCTCGGTGTTTGTCTCGCTTGCAGCTTCTCACCTAGACAGACAGAGTGAACTCCAGCTGAACCAAGGAGATCAATTTTTTCCTCGCATTGTACAGTGTCATGTCAACTGGACATGCTAGCTTTCTCATCGAGAGAACTAATGAGATAGTTAAATAATAACGATAGAAAATTCAAGCTCGAACCAGAAAGCGTGTCAGTCTCCGTAAGTCAAACTCATCAGCTCCCCGCAGAGTCTAGTCAATGGACTCAGCTGCCAATTATTCCTAGGTTTCAATAACGAATTTTGTGGAAAGGTACTGGGACATATATTACGATGTCTCGTTCTGTGAACAGCCCTCTACCGCGGGGTCAAATTAGGTATTCCATTACAGTTGATTATAGATCGCTTGTCTCTCCTCATTACTGTTATGTATGGGAGAGCTCTCCCACTGTGCATCGTTTTGTAGTAACAGCTCCGGGAAAAGAAGCTACATGTGAGGGGTCACCAGTTCTGGCCAGTTCGTCGCGGATGCACGTAAAAATGGACTGAAATCGGCCATCTCTACCGAGAGAAACGAGGACCACGAGTTCAAAGACCAGGGGATTAACTAATGAACAATGAAGCAATAGTGTATGCTCTAAAGAAGTAAGGCCGATTTCGAAACTTCAAGTTCATGTTCTTATAGTTGTGTATCACAGTCGTGACAGGTGGGCTCGTTGCTTCGGCGTCAAATTTATGTATCTGAAATAATGATCACACTTTCCATGGTTTCTTCACCTTTCAGATCTCTCCGGCTAAAGATCATACTATACGCTGTCTATATCGTGGCGGCACACGCCGGAGAGGCTTGGGTTGGGTCGGGGATTAAGGGCGACAGAAATGCCCCAGATGCGTGACCAAGACTGCCGATAACTCCTTCCAGACTACTGTGCCTCCTCAGGAATCCGTGACCAACTCGCAGGTCTACTTCTACCGCTTTAGGAAACGGTAGATCAATAAGTCGATTTCTCTTACTGGCCGCTTTCATGCCCGAACACATGCACCAAGAATACACTGCAATACGACTATATCCCTTGGCAAACCCGAACAATAATCACATCCATGGGGCCCAGGAAGTCTGAAACATCACTTCACATCACCAAAAAACACCTTCAGATAATTTATTCACTTTCTCTGCATATTGTGGTAGATCAGTCATAGAAAGACAAAAAAGTGCCTGAGGATCAGCCACAGCAGCCACGCGGGGGATGCGCGCCACCGCCCGGGCAGAGATCTGAAGCATAGCAATCTTGACTTGTCAACCACATCCACCACATCTATCTACCCTATGGAGATAATCTCGGGTCAGATCCATGGCTGCAATACCAGCGCGTAACGACCGTCGTATTATCTTACACTTGGTAATTGACTCTTCCACTGCACGGAACCCCTCATTAACGCGTCTAAGGATTATGACTGCTTCTATGCCTCGGTATTCGAGGTAGAGCAACCAGCTCTCAAGTCGTTACCTCTAGCAGTCCAACAAAAACATATTGTCGTGACTTGTAACTATGAGGCGCGACGACGTGGTCTGTACAAACTACAGTTGATCAAAGATGCCAAGCGAATCTGCCCCGACGTCGTGATCGTCCTGGGTGAAGACTTGACCAAATTCCGCAATGCATCCAAGGATCTCTATCTATTTATCCGTAGCTTCATTTGGGGTGGACGAGTGGAGAGGCTTGGCTTTGATGAACTGTCTTTGGATGTGACAGAGATGATCGACTACAACCTGGGACTGCTGAATCCGAATACTCTGACAGATTCCTTCTTCCACTTGGACCAGAAGGATCCCACAATTGGATTCACGTATGATGCAACAAAGCTGGTGGGCTCTACCTTTCCACCAACAATGGAGGCAACCCCGAATCCCCCAGAAATCTCATCTTTGGAGATGAAGTTGCTGATCGCTTCCCACTTGATTGGATACCTGCGAGGCAGAATGGAGCACGACAAAGGCTTTACGGCCACCGGTGGAGTGTCTACCTCCAAGTTGCTGGCAAAGTTAGTCGGCAGTGTTCACAAACCCAACAACCAGACTACTTTGCTTCCCCCATATGAGACATCTCCGGGAGTCGCAAGCAATGTCATGAACTTTATTGATGCGCACGAGATACAGAAGATACCAGGCATCGGATCTAGACTTGCACATAAATTACGAAGCCGAGTCACTGGATCAGAAAGCAGCGACGAGAAATTGACGGTGCGAGATGTGCGACTATTTCCTGGCATGGGTCCAGCGCTCTTGGAAAAGACACTGGGTGGACCCGGGGCGCCTAAAGGGATTGGAATGCGCGTGTGGAGTATTTTGCACGGGGTGGATAATACAGAAGTGCTCGAAGCGCGCGACTTGCCCACGCAGATCAGCATCGAGGACTCGTACGGACGAGGGCGACTAGATAACATCGAAAGCGTTCGACGAGAATTAACGGTTCTCGCAAAGAGCTTGATCCGGCGCATGAGAACCGATTTAGTGGACAAAACGGAAAGTCATCTAGGTCAACTTCGGTGGCTGGCTCATCCACGCACCCTTCGACTATCTACGCGCCCTAGAAATGCACCGGAGACAGATGGAGTGCGCACTTACAATGCCAATCGCATTTCACGGTCGGCACCACTCCCTACCTTCATATTCCACTTGGATGAGAATCTCGATGCGTTGGCAGATCGAATTGTGCGTGAGCATGTTCTGAGCATGTTTCGAAAACTACACCCGGAGAAAACAGGGTGGGATCTGAGCCTGATGAATATCGCAGTGACCAACTTGGTGGAAAGTGCGGGGGACCAGAAGCAGAGCAGCGGGCGCGACATTGGGAAAATGTTCCGTCAACAAGAGACGGTACTGAAGGACTGGACGGTGCAGGAGCCCGCCGACCGGGCGGTTATCATGCAGCCTAATGTACCCAACCCGGTCTCTGAAGCCCCTGGTTGCATCCTGACTGCGTCTCCGGATGAGATGGATGTGTGGGAAGAGGGAGACGAGGAGTCTCTAGGGGATGTAGAGTGTGCAATCTGTGGAGCCGCGATGCCACATTTTGCTCAGCTAGCACATCAGATGTATCATGCGGCGGAGGATTAGGTTGTTCACTGAGTCTCTATAGTTTCTATCGTGTACCTGAATCATGCCAGGAAGAGAGTGGATTCCCTATGGTACCATGGGTACACAACCCAAGAAGGAAACCGCCCAAACACCATGGATCGACATTGGTACAATCAATCTCGAGACACACCGTGGGCAGAGACCAGGTAGGGACAAACCGCCGACCGAGAATAGAAGAAGTGTTTCAGTTCCAGATCCAGATCCAGGTGCCAAGGCCCTCTGCCACTTCGTTCCTCTTGGCAGCTCAGCCCCCAACTTGTCTTCATCAGTCACTTGCTTGGGCTTGGCGATGCGCGTCCTTTTTTAATTTCCCTTCATTCTGGAATCTCGTTGCCTTGAACCGATATTGTGTTGATTGCTCATCACTGACCCGAAGTGGACCCTGGCCCTGCATTCGGACTCCATGCTCGACTTTGGACCCTTGAAACTCTACCCGGAGACCCTGATCTGAGCGATCTCAACGATCTAAGCTAGACGTCTGCTCTCTCCCTCATTCTTCGAGAATGAGGTTTTCACAGACTCTGCTGCCCTTATTAGGCGCAGCTTCCACTCTTTTTTCACAAGTACAAGGTACCTCCCACCCTCCGATCGGTCCCCGGGGGTCTCTGCTAACCCGCGATCAGCGCGATCTCAAGCCTCCGAAGCCATTCGCCAGACCACTTCGATCGATGACCCGATTATTCGCACTCCCTCTCACCAGATCGACCATCTCTCACACTTTGACCTTACTTTCGAATTAAATCGTGACGCCCAACGAATCAAGCTAGAACTCGAACCAAACCACGACATCTTGGCCGAGGATGCTTACGTGCAGTACCTGCGCCCAGATGGCACCCTGAGCGGGGGCGAGTATATCCAGCGACATGAACACAAGGTCTTCCGTGGCCGAGCCCTAGTCGGCTCAGGAAAAGGAAGATGGACACCCACGGGCTGGGCCAGAATCACCATGCGAAGGGATGGCCCAGAGCCGCTATTTGAAGGTGCATTCAGCGTCGGTAATGACAAACACCACATCGAGCTGCAGTCCACATATCTGGGCAAGAAGCGCGACATCGACATCGACATCGAACACCGCGTACGCGATTATATGGTGGTCTATCGAGACTCTGACATGATCCGTTTCCAGCACTCTGAGCTGAAGCGCTCGCTGTCTGATGCATCAGGCTGTTCCGCAGACAAGCTGGACTTCAATGCCGACCTGAGCAACTCAATCTTTCCTTTCGGAATTGACCAACCTGATGCCCGGTGGGGGTCGACCTCATTGAACTCCATGTTTGGGTTGAGCAAACGTCAATCCGATACAGGCGGGTTGTCCGGAAACACGGGCGGCGTGAATCTCAAGTCGACCATTGGCGATTCGTCTGGATGTCCCAAGACGAAAAAGGTCGCTCTTATTGGAGTGGCCACGGACTGTGCGATGACTGACTATTTCAAGTCGACCAACTCTACACCAGAGGCCGCGGCGAAGGACTATATTATCAATATGGTAAACACCGCTTCCAGCCTCTACGAGTCATCTTTCAATGTTTCTATCGGTCTGCGAAATCTCACCGTGAACAGCTACGAGTGCCCGACCACCGCCAATGATGCCACTCCGTGGAATGTCGATTGTACAAGCGGCAACATCACCTGGCGCCTGAACCAATTTTCAAAGTGGCGCGGTGATCACTCGGACAACAACGCCTACTGGACCCTCTTGACCGGCTGCCCTACGGGCTCTGAAGTCGGTGTTGCCTGGCTGGGTCGGCTGTGCACATCCGGTGTTACGAGCGATGGCTCAAACTCCGTATCAGGAGCCAATGTCGTTGTTGGCAACCAGGGGTCAACGTGGCAGATTTTTGCGCATGAGACGGGCCATACGTTCGGTGCGGTGCACGACTGCGACTCCCAAACCTGTGCGCAGGGCTTGGCAGCTTCCTCTCAATGCTGTCCGCTGACTTTATCGACCTGTAACGCCAATGCCAAGTATATTATGAATCCGTACGCAGAGTCCGATATGACCACCTTCTCGCCATGCACAATCGGCAACATCTGCTCCGCCATCGGTCGCAACAGCATCCAGTCATCATGTCTTTCTGATAACAAGGGTGTCGTGACAATCACTGGCAGCCAATGTGGCAATGGTATCGTCGAAGCCGGTGAAGACTGCGACTGTGGTGGAACGGAAGGGGTGCGGCGACAACTCGTGCTGTGACGCCACTACTTGCAAGTTCAAGAACAGCGCCGTTTGCGATGACTCCAATGACAGCTGCTGTACCAGCTGCCAATTTGCTTCCGCAGATACCGTCTGCCGCGCGAGCATTGGCCAATGTGATATCGCAGAGAAGTGTACTGGAAATTCCAGCTCCTGCCCCAATGACCAGTATGAGAAAGACGGCACCTCCTGCGGCTCCTCCAAGGGGCTTGCCTGCGCCAGTGGCCAATGTACCAGCCGAGACTATCAATGCCGCACAGTTTTGGGAAGTCTGCTGAACAGTAACGACACCTGGGCCTGCGAGAACACCATGGAACCATCCTGCACCCTTGTCTGCGGCGCTCCCGAAGTAGCCCAAGAGTATGGCAGTACGACCTGTATTAAGATGAACCAGAACTACCTAGACGGTACACCGTGCGACTCAGGCGGCACGTGCAAAGCAGGCCAGTGCAGGGGCTCATCAGCGCTCGGCTGGATCCGTCAGCACAAGAACATTGTGATTGGCGTCTGCGTTGGCGTCGGCAGCTTAATCATTCTCGCTCTACTGTTCTGTCTGATCAACCGGTGCAAAGCGGCCAGAAACAGGCGCCGTATCGCGAAAGCTCCGCCGTATAATGCTTACCGAGGACCTATGCCCGGCCCTAGGCCTCCTCCTATGCAGCAGTGGCCCGGGTATTCCCATGGCGGATACCCCAATGTACCACCGCCGCAACCACCGCGTTATGCGTGAAGAAGGTCTTCGTTTTGTCATTTCATGTTTCACGTTTGATACCATTACGTCCTTTGCATTGCTGTCTTGGCTTTATGGGCAGGACTGGTCTGGAATGCTTGGGTATACATTCAGCGTCTATAATTTATTCGATCTATGGGAACGTGCATTCTGTTTCTTCGTTATTCCCTTTGCTCTGGAGGGATTGGGGGTTTATCATTCCGAGAGTGTGGGAAGTTTTGTCTAATAATACTTAGAAAGCCGACTTTCCAGCTAAGAATCGACATTCACCATGTGATACTCACATCTCAACTCATCCATCCTTTACAATATGAAGTATTCACATAGCACCCAGTCGAGAGCCCAGAATGATCTACTCACCGAGATGTGATTTGGTTATATGAAGACTTGAGTAAACAGACGAAAGGGGGGGGGGGAGGAAACACCTAAACACACAAATGAACAGTTCCCAACACCAAAAGAAAAGGAGAATCAGATGAGACCAAGCCCAACCATCTACTGCCAACAAATGCCCACAAAGGCCTCCCGAGTAACACCACCCACTCCCTCGAGGTCAAACTCCTCAATCATGGCCCTCAACTCCTCCTCCTCCAACCCGGTCTCCCCCAGCTCACGCGCAACACGCCTCAAATCCTCAAGATCGATAAAGCCCTTCTGGCCCTCATCGAAAAGCTCAAACGCACGAAGGATCTCGTCGCGCGGATCGCGCTCGAGAATCTTCAACGCCGTCACGGCCTGGAACGAGGACAAGGGCATGAGAAGGTTGGAGGGGTGTGTAGGGTTGGCGATGTTGCCCTTTGGCGCCGCGGTGCCTTGTTGTTGTTGGACTTGGGGGCGGGGCACACCGTATGTTGTGAGGAGGGAGATGAGTTCTTGTTTGGCGAGAGTGAAGCCGAGGGCGCGGAAGGCGACGCGTAGTTCATGGTAATCAAGGTGGCGATCCCGGTCAAGGTCGAAGAGGGTGAACTATTCACGTCAGTTTTTCTTCTTCTCGTTCCTTGGGTTATTTGACAAAGGCAGGGCGTTTTAGCCAAGGTGTAGCTCCCAAGAGGGGAAAGTCCTTTGAACATGGCAACACGGGCTGGAAGGACATACCGCTTCGTTGATTTCTTCCCTTTGCTCCTCGGTCAGCCGGCTGAGAGGATTGGAATCCTGTGCGGGAGCATGGGATTGTTGCGCAGGCGCAGCTTGTTGGTTTTGTTTGGGGCCTTCGCCGTTGAATTCTGGGGCGGACGCACCGAGACCGCGATGCCGCGAGAATGAGGTCGCGCTGAATGGCATTGCGTTGGTGTTTGCCGAACGATCGGGAAGCTTTGTACCCGCGTACGAACGCGACGCGAAAGGTTGGCCGGAGGCCATGATGGAAGTGCTGGTGGAGTACACGTCTAGGATTCGAGGAAGATTGGGCTCGAGGTGGAGTGAAGTATTGGCGGTGGGGAAATCTTGAGACGCGCGGAATGCGTCTCCACGACACTTTAATCTCCGATTTACTTTTCTCCTTTTGACTACAAGATCCGACGAAAAAAAACAAATAAGTGGAATATTACCTGTACGAAGGCGAGGAATATCTTGTATAGCCAAGGTGGAAGCAAAACTATCTAACCGATCCGTAAACAAACACAGCAGCATCACTGCGTGCCGAGTATCGTATCGACCGCTGTCTATTCAACGCCAGCTGCCATTCACAAGCAGGTCATGTCAAATGTGTATATTCACACAATAATTGTAAGGATGAAAAGCAAGGGTCAGGCGAATGACAATTCCAATTCCAGAGTAGAAAATGAAATGTTGAAGCGCGTTTCAGCGGACGAAGCTGGGGTTCTCCACCATGACAGTGTCAATCGTTTCCCTCAGCTCCCCTTGTGGAACAGCTGTCAGATCCAATAGGTTGAGGACGGCCGGGTCAATCGATGATGAATCTGGGCTCCCAATCCTGGATATGCTACCAAACATAGAACGCGCCACCCGCGGCTCTGTCGACGACTTCAAGCCGGGTTGAGAGGTCAATGCAATATTTGTAAAGGACGGCTGCGTCCACGAATCCTCAAAAAGCGCCCTGACACCGTGGCTTGCCTCAGAAAATGGATCGTCTCGACTTAGCATCATTTGATGTCCGAACTCATCGTCCCAAGCTTCTATGTTTGTCGAAACAGTCAGGTCGAAATGAGATGCTGATGATAAAATGGGGATGTCTTCTCGGAGGGCCTGTTTCGGTCTTCTCTTGAGATGCCGAGCGCAAGGTGAGAGGTTGACGATAACGCTCCATGTGGTTTTGTGAGCCTCATCCAAGTGTGTTTCCAGTGACTGGAAGATATTGGCGATCGGCGAGTCTGGCTCCAAATCCAATAGGCCGCTAATGACCCGGTAATAGAGCGCGTAAGCAACCCAAAGGGGATGCAACGGGTCATTGATCTGGGGTCGATATTGGCCATCACAGTAATTATCCTGCAAATCTTTACGCCGGAGGGCATCGTGCAGTCCGACGGAGAAGAATTGAGAGATCTCTACCAGGCGCTGAGAGCCGGCGACTAAGACCAGGAGCATTGTCAACCGGGCCACACCCAAATCATCGGATTGTGTGGAAAAGGAAGTTTTGGCGATGCCGGAAATGGCAAGAAATAGCCTTGCCAATTTCAAAGCTTCCTGGACGAGGGGATGGGAGCCAGTAGGCAACTTCGAGCCTCGAAAGTTGGGGACACTGCACACAAATGATTGCTTTCGCCAGAAACTGGTCAATGGCCGCCTGTGTATTAGTTGGCAAAGTCAGGTCGACCCTGGTCAGAGTTATGGTCCACGTATGGAGGATTTCAGCTTGCGGTTCGCGAATGCTCCATATGGCAGTGAATGCTTCCGCTCTCTGAAAGACTGTTGCTCCAAGTTGATTGAGTGCAGCAATTGTCTCATGGGAAGGGAGGCTTTGAGGCACGGCGGAAGTGCCGATTGGGGCCGTCACAATCGGCGCCAGCAAGCTCAATTGCACTGAGTCTCGAATGCATTTGCGATTCCCAGAACGGCATGGGTGACAGACAGCAGAGGCATCACATTTTTTTCTTGCTGCGGTAGCACCAAACGCATGCACCACCGGAGACTTTCAAATCATGAATAGCCTGCTTCTGCTTTGCAAGATCTTCCCTGGATCGAGGCTTTCTCTCCCGGTAAGTGCCTGGATGTGTTGGGTCCTCAATGATGATGAATGGCGTTTCCCGTGATGAAAGGTTGTCGGTGGAAGTTGGTTGGGCGGAAGGGACATTATGAACTCTAAGGTCGCCACTGTGAGGTTTTGGTGCATTTTGAAATTCCAAGGACACCGGAGGCGATCCGTCCTGGGAGTTGGTGGGCCAAATGTTGGAACGGTCCTCTGTATCAGGAGAAGCAGTGGAGCCCTGCGGGTAGCCCATAGTTGTGGGAAGTGCCCACGAGGAAGGATATGCGACCAAAGTATGCTGGTCAAATGGCAATGCGACGTAGTATTGTTGTTGTTGTCGTTGTGACAGACCAAGGTCGGTTAAGAAAATATCGTTAGGCAAGGCCGGGTTGCGGCTTGGACTGGCATGAAAATCAACAGGGTTGACATTGTCTTCCTCGGCAAGAATGGAGGTACACCATCAAATGTACTTGAGCCATTTGAATCTTCCTCGAGGGAAGTAAGACTGGGTACACCGGCATAAATACTTGAGTGTGGATGCTCGAGGACCAATACTGGATCAGTCTGTTGAGAGTATTAGCAGTAAGCCTGTCCGACACTATCTCGGTCCAGCGGGGAGCAGCTTTCAGCTTACAGGGTAGACTGGCCCTGAGAAAACAACGTGTCCGAAGCTTGAATGATCATGACTTGAGGTCAAGGCACGAGAGTGCTGTGAACGGCCCGACAACGCACGTCGAAGCATCATGAGGCCGGACTGAGGTCGCTGAGGCCTCAGGTATCCGTCTGCGGACGAGCGTTGGTGCCGCTTGCAAATGGGGAGCATCCGATATCGAGGATGCCTACTCTAAGAGTTGATTGATAAAGTTTGACTCGCGCAAGCGACTGAAGGAGCCCATGGGCCGGAATCGTCTAATCTCTAGTGAGCGGCCTGCTGGCCCAGTGGGCAAATCGTGATAGCGAGTAAAGTGAGAAAGGGCTCAGGGCAAAACGCTTTTGCCGTGTTCACCCACGTCTGTCGATGAAATGAGCGAGAATGGGATCCGCAAAATCTCGTCAAAAGGTACATCAGATGAAGAAAACTCCCCAGAGGAGCGAGAAAGGGCATTCAAGCAGGAACAATGCTGGAGATCATTATGTAACCAAGTGTGCATCACCGAGGCCTCGCCGCTGCCCAATCGGGGAAGGCGTCGACCATGACCAGTTTGGTTCTTCTCGAACTCTGCTTTGACTGGTTTGTGCGGGGGAAGCAGTTTGGGGACTTCGTGAAGTACCAGGTACTTTGGAGTTATAAGGAACGGGTCGATTCTTCAACATCGGCTCTTAGGACTATACAGATCAGGATCTCGAAGAGAGCCCAAGTCCAGCTCTTCCAGAAATTCTCGACCACGCAGAGGCTCGGGGAGATAGTCTTGCTGTACCTGACCACCAAGATAGTTGGGATTGTACTTGTATTCTTTTCCATAGCCGAGCTCCTTCATCAACTTGGTCGGGGCATTTCGGAGGTGAACAGGAATGGGCAAGCCTGCAACTCCCGGCTCATTCAACGCAGCAAAAACGTTGTTCAGACCGCGGTACGCTCTTGTGCTTTTTTTCGACAATGCCATGGCAACAGTGGCATGGGCCAAATTGATCCGCGCCTCGGGAAGCCCGATCTTCTCGACGGCAGCATGTGTGGAAATGGCGAGGGTAAGCATGCTGTTGTCTGCCAAGCCGATGTCTTCGGAAGCGACGACAATCAACCGCCTTGCAATATACAGAGGATCTTCACCAGACTGAATCATGCGAGCCAGATAGTAGAGCGCCGCATCTGGATCGCTCCCGCGGAGGGACTTGTGGAAGGCCGATATCGTGTCATAGTGTTGATCACCAGCACGATCATAGACCAAGGTTTTGGTCAAACCTCGTTTCAGGTCTTCTTTTGTCATTCCCGGTCGTTTAGACAGATCCATAGCGAGCTCTAATAAGTTGAGGGAGGTCCGGGCATCACCGTCAGCGAACCTGGCGAGATATTGGATGAGTTCATCGTCCACCAATTCCGAAGGTTTGTAGCTTGGTCCCTCAACTTTCAAAGCTCGCTGGAGAATTGACGTAACATCATCATCCGTGAGTTTGGCCAAAGTGAAGGTTCTGCATCGAGAAAGTAGAGCATTTTGGACCTTGAACGATGGATTCTCGGTGGTTGCGCCAATAAGAGTGACCTGACCACTTTCCACAGGGCCCAAAAATACATCCTGTTGGGATTTGGAGAACCTATGAATTTCATCACAGAATATAATCGTCTTCCTTCCCGTGAGACCAAGCTCATTACGAGCTTCGCCGAAAATCTTCTTGCACTCCGCAACACCGGAGCTCGTGCTGTTGATCTCCACGAATCGGCTTCCCACCATGGACGCAATCACTCGAGCAATGGTAGTCTTACCAGTCCCCGCACAACCCCACAGTATCATGCTTGGTACTCTGTCTTCCTCAATAAGGCCACGGAGGACTCCATTGGGACCGACGAGCTCTTGGCCGCAGACATCATCGAGAGTCTTCGGCCGCATGCGCTCAGCCAGCGGGGCGGCCTTATGAAAGGCGTTGATCTTTGGACGCTTCGCTTGTGGCTCTGTCAATTCACCATTCAGCGGCTTTACTCCATTCTGGGGTTCTCGCGATGGCGTGTCCTGGCCGAATGATCTCTTGCCATTGAGGGGACGTTGAGAGGCAGACCCTTGTCTGGATGGTGACTCTTTGGTAAGACTGGGCTGAGCAGAGGCTTTGCGAGCCGACGGAGGTTGGAAAATGCTCGCGACAGGCCCTTTCTGGGAGGATGATAGCTCCGCGGGGAAGAGGACGGCTCTTCGATGAAGCTCTGACAGCCAGAGTCAATATGATCGTTGATTTTTGATTGCGGGACGGCCTTCTCGCATATCGGGCAGGATACCATCGTGACTGAGCTCTGGAATGAGCACAGCTGAATAACCAGCAATTGCAGCTGCGCATCTTCAGCTTTAATTGCGGAGACGCGTTGAGCGCGACTGATAAGCGCTGACTAATCTCGGCCTGGACTCCGAGGCTGGTGCCTTGATGCCTGAGAATATGGTCATAATATCTGCATTTCAGAAATGGTTTATGAAAAATCGTGATTATCAGTATTCATATAGCCTCCGTGCTTGAAATAATGCCCCTATATGAGCTTTAAAATGAATAGAACTCCTTGGGTTGTGCAATCTGGGCTAAACAGCACCCTATAGATGATAGCGTCGCACCGCCCGACCTCGGAGAGCGGAGCACGCCATCTACGGGCATAAATGACTCCTTCCATTGCATTCGCTTGAGATTGTCCACGTCTCAACCCTCATGACAGCTAGTAGCCATCTTCTAACCGTCATCCGATCCTCGCCTTACGCCTCCAGAATCCCTTCGTCCCTTTCATCGGCCCTACCCCGCCTTCCTGGTTACCGCGCAAGAGGAATGTCGGCAACAGCTGCACGGCCCGACCCTTTTAAGCCAGCAAAGAGAGTCGCTGGTCAACGTCAAGATGTTTGGTATGGCGTACAGCCTCGGAGGTTGATAACAGAAACCCGGTACTGATTTTGGGGTTTCAGGTCCATTGTCAATGAAGCGGCCGCTGCGTCGCCGGTCCAGCCGATCGTGAACATGGGTCAAGGATTCTTGTGAGTTAATCAGGGCACAGCTTTCATCAGCTTCAATATATGATGCTAACATATTCTTCGTGCAGTGGCTACAACCCTCCCAAGTTCGCCATTGACGCCGCCAAGGACGCGCTGGACAGGGTGGAGTGCAACCAATACTCACCCACGAAGGTAGAACCCGAGAAGACCTTTGGGAAACAAGGAACGTCTGACTCACGACGTATAGGGCCGTCCCCGCCTCAAGAAGGCTATTGCGGATGCATACTCGCCTTTCTTCGGTCGAACCTTAAACCCAGAGACCGAGGTTGTTATTACCACCGGAGCGAACGAGGGTGAGAGGCAATGATACGCAACCCTGTATGAAAAAAGGCTTATTATATGGGTACAACAATAGGCATGCTGAGTGCTTTTATGGGCTTCATCGAACCTGGCGATGAGGTCATCATTTTTGAACCTTTCTTCGACCAGTAAGTCTATTCTCATTGTCGGTACGTTCACTACTGAGTGGTTTGAATAGGTATATTAGTAACATCGAGATGCCCGGCGGTACTATTCGATACGTTCCTCTGCACCCGCCCAAGGATGGTGCCACACGCACTTCTCCCGCTTCCGAATGGTCTATTGATTTTGAGGAGCTGGAGAACACTATCAACTCCAAAACCAAGATGATCGTTTTGAACTCCCCTCACAACCCGGTTGGCAAGGTCTTTTCGCGGGAAGAGCTTGAGCGCATTGGTGATCTTTGCATCAAACACAACCTTATTATCCTGTCGGATGAAGTCTACGACCGTCTGTTCTATGTCCCATACACTAGGATCGCTACTTTGTCTCCCGAGCTGTACGAACGCACCCTCACTGTTTGTTCTGCTGGTAAAGCCTTCTACGCCACCGGTTGGCGTGTCGGTTACCTTATCGGCCCGGAGCACCTGATCAAATATGTGGCCGGTGCGCATACACGTATTTGCTACAGCAGTGTGTCACCTCTGCAGGAGGCTGCTGCCGTTGCCTTTGAGCAGGCCGACAAGGTTGGATTTTGGGATGAGAGCCGGAACGAGATGAAGCAAAAGATGGAGCGCTTCTGTCAGGTCTTTGATGAGCTTGGAATTCCCGTATGTAAACACATCTGTGGATCTTCATATGTGGGTTGTGCTAATCGTGGCCACAGTACTCTGATCCCGAGGTGGATACTTTGTGCTAGCAAACATGGCCTCCGTAAAATTGCCGTCGGATTACCCATTCCCAGCCCATGTCGCCGGTCGCCCTCGCGACTTTAAGCTCTGTTGGTTCCTCATCCACGAAGTTGGCGTTGCCGCTATTCCGCCGACTGAGTTCTACACGGATGCCAATGCCCACATCGCCGAGAACTATCTTCGCTTCGCTGTTTGCAAGAATGATGATGTTCTTGAAACCGCCAAGGAGAGACTGCGTGGCTTGAAGAAGTACATTTCTCAGTGAAACCTTGCGTTGAGTATCATGTCCTCCAATATACTCTCAACGACTATTCAGAGTTGTAGGTATTTGGTAGATATCTGTTGCTTTAAGATCTATAGCTTTAGCTCAGAAGCCGATGGTATACAAGTAGATAAAAATGAAGCAAAGCTCGGCTTGATCCTCACAATTGATCAAGAATAGAAGCGCAAGTGAGAATTAAGATTGCGCGAAGTGATGCACATATGACGAGGAAAGGCAACGAAGTCATAATTTCCTGCATCAGGACTACATACTCGCTGACTGGTACCAAGTTCCGATAGCTGGAGCTTGTGTCACATCTCACGTCCTATTAGACGGCAAGAAGGAAATGTTGCCGGGGAATTGGATGCCGTAATCAGAATCCGGGCTCAATGACAAAGCTCCTCTTGTCCTGCATGTGCATTTTCGACGAGCCTTCACTTTTGAAGCTTCATCATTACTCAGATGGAAGATGTTGCTTCATCTGCAAACGATTACCACCTATCAAAGGTCTTCGCAATGTAGGGCAGAACGGAAACACGTGATATATGTGTCCCCTCACGTGCCATCCCTGGGATGTTTTGCCCGAAGCGCCTTGGCCACTAGCTAGGTTCGGACATCCCATGGAAGAGATTGTTTTGATATCTCTTCCATCGGTAGGTAACAGCTCGCTTGCAAACACTGACAATCAAAAGTGTAAAGTGCATTACCTGTCAAGCTGGATGGCAACCAAATATAGGTTGTCATGAATAACATGGTCTCTTGCTGACGAGACCTAATTGTCGAGCCCGAAACAAAGGCCGTCCAGCAGTACATCTCGAACAAAACATTTCTTCCTTAACGTAGGGGTCTAGAAACAAAATGCTGTGAAAAGGTCTTTGTTAGAGCTTCATTCCTCGGTCAGTGAACGATTGGCCATGAGTGATGGTCGCTAAGCGCCCATTCGGGCTATATTTGGGCGATGGGCGCCAGTCGCAACAATAAGAGCCACCGACGCGCTTTGGTACGAGATGAAACCGACTCTGGCTCGGATTATCTGTCTGCAGAATTCTTTGTCCCGAATTCTGTGTTTCGACTTGCTCTTGACTCACTCTGAGTGGTTGTTTCATCGTCGCGCGATCGTCAACTGAAGATGAGTCTTTTATTAAAAGCATCAGGCGCCTCGTAGCTGCCATTGCCGCCTCACGTAAATACTCACCTGTTTCCTGCATCTGGCAAATATATTTGTTCTTCAAGGTTGCTTTCGGTCTCTATTATTGTCTTTCCTCACATCGAAACTCAGTGCTGCCTATTGAACACAATTACCACCAGCCCGTGCTCTCGATTCACAATGATTCATCAATAGACATTGACTGGTTTTGACATACCTATTCTTTGTTCTTTGACATTTTCTATTTTCTATTTTTGCCTTGTCTCCTCGCTCCGCGCACCTATCATTAGTACACCTCCTCATCTTCTGCGCTGGCGCACACCTCTATCTACAGTTAACTTGAACACATCAAAATGGTCTTCTCACGATCTGGGCGATCAATATTTCCGCTGCTACCGCCATATGGCACTCATGACCCCAGCAACGGCCGCATCATTCCCTTGCATCCCGATGGTCTCACGCCCTATCTCGGCTTACGGGCTCGACTGTCACAGGTATGGATTAATCGCTGGACGATCTTGCTGCTACTTGTGCTTGTACGCGTCTTGCTAGCCATTGGAAACATACGAAATGATATGGCTTCGGCCAAGCGCGAGGCACTGTCGGCCTGCACATCGGTTGAATCCATGGGAAGCGCCATGGCATCAATGCCGCATTACCTTGCTGATGGTACTAACGATCTGGTAGCCTCTGGGATCGAGGATGCTGTCAAAGCCTTGAAGTCCATGATCACGCTGACCATCACGGGCGTTGAGGAAATCGTTATCTTCATCTTAAAAATAATGTACCAGACCTACCTCTGTCTGATCACCCTGGCGGTTCAAAGCACTGTTTCGGTGGGGGTTGGCCTCATTGAAGATGTTGCAGATGCTGTGAATACCACCCTCCACACCATCAGCTCAGACATCCAGAGCACCGTCACTACTTTTGAGAGCGGATTGGACGATGTTATCAAACTTGTCAATAGCGCCACAAGCCTCCTCGGCGCTAGCATCCCAACATTGAATCTCAACAGTTCCATTTCCGCCCTCGACGACTGGTCGATCTCATCATCGTTCGACAAGAAGCTAGATGAGCTGAACAGCACTATTCCGAGTTTTACCACGGTGGAGAACTATACTGAGAATCTAATCAGACTCCCATTCGAAGAAGTCAAGAAACTGATCAACGAATCTCTCGGGACTTACACCTTTGACCGCTCTGCCCTTTCAGTCCCAGCCAAGAAACAGTTGACCTTTTGCAATGACAATGATGGGATCAACAGCTTCTTCGATGGAGTGACCGAGGTCGCAATCACCGCGCGGAAGATTTTCATCATCGTTATTCTCATCGCAGCGGTTCTTGCTTGCGTGCCCATGGCCTGGCAAGAGATCCGCCGCTGGCGACAGATGAAGGAACGCTCCCAACTCGTCCGAAAAGAGGCCCATGACCCCATGGACGTAGTCTACATTGTCTCGCGCCCATATACCGCAGCCGCCGGAATCAAAGCAGCAAGTCGTTTCAGCAACAGTCGTCGACAGATTCTTGTCCGCTGGGCAATCGCATACGCAACCTCGGTACCAGCACTTTTCATCCTCGCCATCGCCATCGCCGCTCTACTCTCATGTCTCTTCCAATACATCATCCTCCGAATGATTTCCAAGACCGTCCCAGAGCTCAGTTCTGAAGTTGGTGCCTTCGCTGACAAAGTCGTCGATGCGCTCCAAAATGCATCGGCGGAATGGTCGAACAGCGCTAACAGTGCCATCACCAGCTTCGACAACGAACTGAACACCAATGTCTTTGGCTGGGTCAACACGAGCACTTCCGCAATCAACAACACGCTGAACGCTTTCGTCGATAAAACACAAAGTGTGCTCAACGAAACTTTTGGAGGGACCCTCCTTTACGAGCCTGTGGAAGGTGTCTTTGAGTGTCTTATAGGATTGAAGATTATGGGTGTCCAAAAGGGCCTCACCTGGGTCTCTGACCACGCCCACATTGACTTCCCCCTTCTACCAAACAACACTTTCTCTAAGGGCGCCGCAGCGAGCATTAACGATACCTCAAATCCATCAGACAGCTTCCTCGCCGATGCGGGCGACGAAACTTCCAACAAAATCACAGAAGTCGTCCAGGCCGTAATCAAAAAGCTCGAGGAAGCCCTGCGCCAAGAGACTATCATCGCCACCGTCATCCTCTTACTCTGGGTCTTCATCGCTCTGATTGGATTCTCGCGCGCTCTGATTCTCTGTTGGGGCCGCGATAGAAACCGCGGCGAGGGCGGTGGTCATGCTATGGACCCCGTTACAAACCATTCTGGTCCTGGTCCTGGTCCTGACCCAGGATTTGATGACGTCCCTCTGACTGCCATCCCGAAAAATACTCTCGGGTCTGTGCATGCTGTACCTCAATACGAACCTGCCGTGAACATTCCTACTGTTCGGACTGAGACTGTATACCCTGATGAGAAAGTCGGGTTTGCAGGGCAAAGGGATTATGACGCAGCGTTGCAGATTGATGCAGCGCCTGCTTTGAGAAGGAGCAACTATGTTGAGTACAATGATGCGAAGGGGTGACATTTCTAGATTTCCTTGAACTTGAACTACCCTTTTGTTTGTATAATTTTGTGCATGTATCGGAGCGGGTGGATTTGTGTATTTCGGCTTAAGAGCTGTGCCAGCGTAACGAGTTTTACTTGGAAAAAGATGAGAATATATTGGTTAGAACCATAAGGGCTGCTCAACCCCGAGGGTATTTGAATTACATGATCTATGGTATACAGTAATTGAAAAAAAAAATACATTCTGGTATACTAAACACTACTATAAAGAGTGTTTGTCAAAAACACAAGCTGTGAATCTTGAGGGTCTACTTCGCCCCCTAAATAGCGACAAAGAAGCTCTTCTCGCCCTCCTTGGGCTGAACCCTTGCCCGCTCAATAATAGGGTCGGCACAGCTGACCCGGATTCTCTCTGGCGTCGCAGGGCTAACCAAACTCAAAACATCCGTCACACCCCACTGCCTCCGCGCAGCATTGAGCGCATCGCGAATCGCGAAGAAAGCAGCACTTCCCATGAAAAGAGGAGGCTCACCAACACCACGCGACCGCTGAATTGTGCGCAGATCCTCCCACTCGACATCCTTCAGCAAACTTACGTTGAAGATCTGTGGAATATCGCGGAATCCAGGGATCTTATAGTTACCCGGGCCGCGGGTGAAAATCTGTCCTGACGCGCGGTGCCAGAGACTCTCCTCTGTAGTGAAGAGGCCTTGACCTTGGATGTAAGCGCCTTCGATCTGACCATAGTCAATGGCTGGATTGATAGTGCGGCCAACATCCATCTTGATATCGGTGCGAAGTACAGTCCAGTCGCCGGTCAACGTGTCGATCTCGACTTCAGAGGCTGTAACGCCTTGAGTAAAGTAGAAGAACATCTGACCGGTGTTTTCACCCCATTTATACCCGATCTCAGGAGTGCGGTAGTAGCCCTGCGCGGAGAGGTTGACTCGGTCGAAGTAGGCGGCATGTGCGATTTGGCTCATCTTGGCGTCGGGACCAAACTTCTCGCGGTAGGGCTTGAGTCGTTCGTTGATTTGTTCACAGGCATTGAAAATGGCGTAACCGTTAAGATCGGAGCTGGCTGATGCTGCTGTGGCGGAGGTGTTGATGACAGTGTTGGTGGCTGTCTCGGCGATGAACACGCTTTCGTGAGGTACCTGGAGGGCTTCGGCAGCGATCATCGTCATCTTGGTGTGCAAGCCTTGGCCCATTTCAACACCACCATGTGCAACGAGGACACTGCCATCGTGGTAGATGTGAACCAGAGCACCAGCCTGATTCAGGAACAAGGCAGTGAAAGAGATGCCGAATTTGGTGGGTATCAAGGCCATTCCACGCTTCGACCACTTGTGTGTGCGATTATACTCTTCCACCGCCTTGCGTCGCTCGACGAAGTTGCTCTCTTCTTTGACTTGTTGGTACATCAAGGGCACATGCCAGTCCTTCAAGGGCTGGTTGAAATGTGTGGTCTCGAGAGGCTTGTACATGTTGATCTCACGAACATGTTCAGGATTGAGGTTGAGGTGGTCTGCAATCTCGGAGATATAACACTCAGCAAAGAAGAGACCCTGTGGGCCACCGAATCCACGGAAAGCAGTGTTCGAAACCGTGTTTGTCTTGCAGATTTTACCCCGAACAAAGACATTCGGAATCTTGTACACGCCGTCACTGTGTGACAAACTTCGCTCCAGAACAGCACCGGACAAGTCTTGGGTGTGACCACCATTGGAGTAGATATCGGCATCCAGGGCGAGAAGTTTGCCTTCTTTGGTGACTCCAACCTTCCATTTACACATGAATGGGTGACGCTGACCGGATGTCAGGATATCTTCATCACGATTCAGCATGCTTCGAACAGGCCGTCTGGTCTTGTTCGCAGCAACAGCACAGATTCCAGCCAGCTGGATAGAGCGTGACTCCTTGCCGCCAAAACCACCACCCAGTCTCTTCACACGAGACACAATTTTGTTCGCGGCGACTCCAGTCACTTGAGCAATAAATGTTTGTCTATAGTCAAAAGTTAACACAAGCTCCGTAATTCTGGACACTTACTTGAAAACTCACGTCTCAGTTGGGTTTTGTGTACCACTCCAAATTTCCATCTCACCATCCTCCGGTTTGGGAATGGCAAGGCATGCCTGGGTCTCGAGATAGAAATGTTCTTGGCCACCCATGCGCGAGACGCCTTCAAAGACGTGGTCCGCCTGTTTGAAGCCCTCATCGACATCGCCATTCTTGATGAAGGGGTTATGCTTATAGAAAGACTCGGCCTCGATGGCCTCTTCAATGCTGAGAATGGCAGGTAAATCCTCGTACTCAACTTTGACAGCCCGCATACCCTCTTCAGCAATCTTGGCAGAGTGAGCCAAAATCACGCCAATGGGCTGACCAGCAGTGGTGACTTCATCGACGGCGAAGAAAAGTTCATCAGCCACTGGTGCTCCCCACCAGTTTGCTTGGGGAGAGGGCAGATCATTGTGGTCGACATAATCCACAACGCCCGGAATGTCCAATGCCTTTGATGGGTCGACGCTGATGATCTTGGCATGTGCTTTTGTGGAAAGAACCATGCATGCAAAAAGCTCGTTTTGCTGAACAGGAATGTCATCGGTGTATTGAGCCTGACCGGTGGATTGTTTCAGAGCTGCAACATGGGGTGATGCCTTGCCGAGAATCTTCTGTTGATAAGCAACAGAGGCCTCGTGGTCCTTCTCTCCCATGGATATCGCTCGTTCAATCTCAGCGATTCCATCCAGGTCCAAACCCTCAGGCTTAACTTCGAGGTTGGAGAAAACATCATGGTAGAAGCGGTAAAAGAAGCCCATTGATAGCGATTTCCTGTAAGTGGCCATGCCACCGGGCACACCAAATGGAAGATCGAAGTCCTTCTCCAGTCCGGCCATGACGCCCTCCAATGTTTCGGGCTTGGTGAAGTCCTTACCAACCAGGAAGGCTTCAGCGTTCTTCGCGGAAACAGTCATCGGCGCCATACCACCGAACACAAGGTTGACACTGGTGACTTCGTTGGTCTCGGACAAGGAGATGCGAAGGGCAGAGTTGACAATAGCAATATCGTCGTCCTTGCGCTTGGCTTGCTTATAAGCACGAATGTATTCACCCTTCTCCTTTGCGGCCGGAATGCGAAGACTAGCAATGATCGCATCCGGAGCCAAGGCCGTTTTACGGTACCCTTGGAAGAATTCTGTCATCGGAATTTCTTTTTCACCGTTCAAGGATTTGGCGATCAGAACGGTGTTCGTTGCCACAAGGACTGGGTTCAAGTCGGAAATCGGAGAGGCAGTAGCCAAATTACCGGCCGGAGACGCGACGTTTCGGATTTGTCGTCCAGCAAAATAGTGCAGCTGTTTCTTGATAGCTTTGAAAGGCTGTGCACGAGTCACTCCGTACCTCTCGACTGCCTGGTCGCAAATAGCCTCCAAATCAGTCAACGAAACATTGGCTCCAATCTCAAGATGATCGTCATGGAAGGTGAATTGTCGTAGCTCGGGGATATCGCCAACGTAGACCGACGCTTCATAGCGCATCGCCTTGAACTTGATCTCAATCTGCGTCTCCGTGCTTCCACCAATCAACTTGGCCTCGGGATGGATGTTCTTGATCTGCAAGAGCTGCTCCACAGTTACCGGACGATACCACTTCTTCCTCTTGTTGCCAAAGACCAGCGGTTTGAAATCGTGTTTCCTCAAAGCCGCAGGGAAGATTAATTCTGTATCGGGGCTCCATTTCTTGAAGTCGGGAGCGGGAAACTTGGGCTCAATGGCGTTCTTGTCTTCGTCACCCGCTGAGGTATCCTTACAACAACCACCACCCCCATTTTTCTCCATACAACAGCCTGAGCCACCGTTTGATTTGGACATTCCACAGTTATTACGCGAGTTGAAGCTCTGGGCAGCGTCGAGAATGGGGCGGTATCCGGTACAGCGGCACAGGTTGCCATCGAATGCTTCTTCAACATCTTGTTCGGACGGATTGGGATCGTTGCGTATCAAAGCGTATAGACTCTTTCTTAGGTTAGTCTTCAACAAAATTTCCTCTTGTCATGGTAGAGCGTACCATCACAATGCCAGGAGTGCAGAAACCACATTGGCTTCCATTGCCAACCGCAATCCGCTGTTGCACTGCATGAGGATTCTTCACATCTCCGATTCCCTCAACCGTAATGACATGTTTGCCATCAACGCTGACCAAAGGGGCGAGACATGCATTCACAGAGGAATGATATATCTTCTTGGTGGTCTGATTGAGATGTGAAACCACCTGTCCAGCAAGATAATGAGTCAGTTGGATCTAGGGACCTGGTTATTCTTTGATACTTACCACAGTGCACGCACCACAGCCTCCTTCGGCGCATCCAAGCTTGGTTCCAGTCAAGCCAATGCCCCGCAAATACTCCAAGAGTGTGACTTCCGGGTTGACTGTGTCGAGCGCGACTTTGGTGCCGTTGAGATAGAAGCGAATGGTATCATCCCACTTCTCTGTCAACTGGGGAAGACTGGCCGCCATTCTATCGTTCTCCTCCCTGAGCCAGAACCAGAATCCGTATCCGCGACACCTGGCGCCATTTTGAATGTGGGACTGTACAGACACGTAAGGGGTTTCATGAAAATAGATCAGGTCGCCATGGTATATAATGGATGAAGTACCGCAAAGACCTTCCTAATGTTTAAGAGAGCAAGAAACAGACGCCACCGGAGGGGAATGTGCTCTGCGGGTGAGATGCGTTATCAGGGCCGCAAGTAGTACAGTAGCTGGGAACCCCACTTTTGCTCCACCCGCGAATCTACTGCGGGGATCGCCACCGTCCGATCGAGTCGGTCTATCATCGGTGCCCGTAATGCTTCCGCTATTACTAACAACTCTATATGGATCCAATGGTCTATGAGGTCCTTCCAAGGTGTCATTGCGCCTGAAAATGCTCTACAAAGTACATACAGAATCACATAGCAAATTACAAACGTGGAATCTCATGGCTTGGAGCCCGCAAATGACTTCTCCTGCTCCTGCCACTGCTTACGTTCAACCACGCTGCGAGCACTGTAAAAGAAGGCGAGGTCAGCATTGGCAGGGATCAATGGACGATGTGCGATGACGCAATGAAACTCACCGGTACGCTTTCACGAATCGCCAGACTTCGGTATCCGCCATATTCCAGGCTTCGGCGACGTCCTTGATGCCAATCCGGTTGGTATCCTTACTCATAATGATCTCTCGCGCCTTCTTTATGAGCTCATACTCTCGGCCAACTCCCTGCTGGCTGGGGTTGTTGTTCTGCACGCTTTCTTTGTCGCCAGCGGTGTTCGGGTCGATCGCGCCCCCGCGAGGAATCTTGAAACCGAATTGCCACTCGAACTCATCCAGCAGTTCGGGCGGCAAGCTTTGACCCGCCTCCGCAGGCAGAGATTCGACTGTCATCCACAGGGAGTTGGACACAGCTTGGTCTCCCGCCACAACCTGCTTGAAAACAACGCCCCGTACAGAGCCCCCCAATTCTTCACCAAGATGGTCCTTGGTCACATCGCCCAGCCAGGCATCACGGTCTGTGGTACGACGGATGTCGCGCGTACTCACTTCTTCGGAATCTTTTTGCAAGCTGATGAGAGTGTAAGGGTGAGGGAGAGTGCCAATGGTGAAAAGGAAAGATGTGTTCTTGAAGCTGGAGGGCTGGCTGATACGCATAGGCGACTTGGCGGAGCCGCAGGGACGGCATTCTGGATTGTTGGGCGGACAAGAGTCCGCCATGGGAGACTCAGGACACTGGATGAGCGCCTTGGCCAAGCGCAATGCAGGCTCGACCAACGCAGTGGTGTACTTTGGGAAGGGCTTCAGTACTGCCAAACCAGCAGGGTAAGCGTTCTGGAAAGTGTTGTGGAGGTGCGCGTTGATCAGCTGCACCAGCTGAAGTCGACCCTTTGCAGGGTTCTGGCTAGTTTTCTCATGTACGCCTGGGTATTTGGATAAGACGGTGCCAGACTTGTAGTATGCCAAAGAGGTTGGGTTTTCGACCTTGAACATGTCGGAAGGCATCAAATCCGTGAAAGATTTGGTCTGGTCGTCCAAATGTTTGACTGCGCCATCAATGGTGTCCATAATACGTTGCTTCTCAGCTGAGTAGAGACCACCTTGGAAGTTCTCGAAGCGCGTGATGAACTCGGGCTGAGTACCCCGCCTCAGGTACGACAAAAGGTCATCATCATATCGGGCCATGGGGAAGCACGTAAAGTCGGCAAGCAATCCACTTCCCATGTGCCCCCATGCCAACCATCGGAAAACCTCGTTCTCCATTTCAGCACTGAGTTTGAATTTTTGCACCACTTCGTAGTATGGGTTCTCCATAGCATCACCAGGGGTCAAGACTATCGGTCGAAATCCTTGCGCGAACCAAGCTCGGCGCCAGGCGAGAAGGAGCTCCTCGTCCGCATTCTGATCTTCCTTCAAGTCCTTGCCATAATGCTTCTTAGGATTGAACTTGGGGTTATAGTACGTGTATATCGGCCGGCGTTCGGGTAACGGAGGAAGGACGGAGCGGCTCTCGTCAAGTGTAATGGCAGAAGAGAATGGGTTCAGCCATTCCCAATTGCTGAACCATTTAGACTCGCCGCTGGTACTGTTTGTTTGCTCGGGCGGAGCTTCATGTGATGGAGCACGGAATGAGGGCAGGTGCACGTTGCTTGGTAAATGAATGTTGCTCAATGACGGGAGCTTCGGATGAGGGACATAGCTGCCGGTCCTCGAGGCTTCTTCCTCTCCTTCAACGGCTGGATTAGGGATGGGAGAGGACGAGAAGATGAAGAGGAGAAGCGCGACGAAAACAATGATTGCCAATAGACCCGTGGTCCGATGGGGAATCATCTTCTGGCGCGTTCACCACACTTGTGGGAAGCCTGCGCGACGGTGTGTCGAAATGTAAGGGTTGTGCAACCGCACTCGCGATAAGCTGCTTCTCCTAGGGAAGCGGCCTCGAACACACCGGATTCGGCGACTCGCTCCGGTCTTGGCGAGTGTGGTCAAAATCGAGTCTCGGAGGATTATTCCATCGAATGACTGCAATGTGTGAGTTCGTTGAGATACCCCTTCCTCCAATGATGTCAGACGAGAAACATCTCTCCTGACGAAGCACCGGCGGACCCTAAAGGAGCATTTGGAGATCTCTGGCCTGAGGCAGAGATCAGGGTCGCTGAGTCAGCGGTATTGCATCACTGTTGAGCGTCGATTCTCAAGACTTGCCACATTGTCGTAGACTGTCTCCGTAGTCTGCAAATGTTGGGCGCTCTCTAGATCCGCTATGAACTGTGCGGCAAGGAATAGACATACGTAAACTCGAATACATTGTTCATGGATCTACTCCGCCCGTCTACGCGCAAGTACAATAGTGGTAAGCCCCTCTATAGTGTGTGGGGGAGGCTATGGAGCCAATCAGCGACTGTGGAGGACGGCGAAATCGGACTTTTCTGTGCCCCTCCGTAGAATGCCGTGAATTGACTCATACTCTGGTTTGTACCTTCCGCAACAATCTCGAGGCATTTACACGGCAATTATGGCTGTGGGATCTGCTTCGCTCCAGGATCGCCTGGAGAGGTGGGCCCAGCGCCTGGATAACTTGACTGTCTCGCCATTGACTAGAGACTATCCCGACACACAGCAACCTGACATCAAGCGGGCCATCGAGGCCTTCGCGTCTATCAAGCTCCCGAAGGAGACTCAATTGGCTCTGAAGAATCTTTCTGGGCCTTCGTCTTCGGGATTCACCGTCTTTTTGACTGCCTTCGTTGTTCTGGTTGCTCGCCTGACTGGTGACGAAGACATCGCGGTGGGGACAAGCGTAGGAGATGACGGTCGTCCTTTCGTCGTCCGGATCCCCATTGATGCCTCGGAGAGCTTCGCCCAGCTCTATACCAAGGTGGACAAGGTATTTACATGCAATCATAGCATCGGTTATTGCAAGGCTAATTGCTAAACTTCTGTAGGCATTCAACGAGGGTGCATCCGACATCGTTCCTCTGGGCAGCCTTCGTTCATACATCCAAAAAAAGTCCAATGCTGAACGCTCGCCGATCCTCTTCCGATTCGCTGCCTATGATGCTCCGGCTTCCTCGCAAGAATACCCTGCCAACACCTTCGACAGCACAGATCTGGTGATCAACGTCGCTTCTGGCAACAACTCGCCAGAAGTCGAGCTGGGCGCCTATTATAACCAGCGTATTTTCTCCAGTGCACGCATCTCCACTATATTATACCAATTGGCCCAGATTGCTGGAAATGCTGCTGCGAACCCAGAGGAGGCCGTTGGCCGCATTGATATGATGACCGAGAGCCAGCGCGCACTTCTGCCAGACCCCACCAGTGACCTGCACTGGTCCAACTTCCGAGGTGCCATCCATGATATCTTCGCTGAAAATGCTGCGAAGCACCCTGAGAAGCTTTGTGTAGTTGAAACCAAGTCTAGCAACTCACCCTATCGTGAGTTCACCTACCAGCAGATCAACGAGGCCTCAAACATCCTCGGGCACCACTTGGTGCGATCTGGAATCCAGAGAGGAGAGGTCGTTATGGTCTATGCCTACCGCGGTGTGGATTTGGTTGTGGCCGTGATGGGTATCCTGAAGGCCGGTGCTACCTTCTCCGTCATTGACCCCGCATACCCCCCAGAGCGTCAGAACATCTACCTGGATGTTGCCCGTCCCCGTGCCCTTGTTAACATTGCCAAGGCTACCCGGGATGCCGGTGAGCTCTCGGATATTGTCCGAACATTCATCAATGAGAACCTAGAACTACGCACTGAAATTCCCGCGCTTGCCCTTGAGGATGATGGCACCCTTGTTGGTGGTTCCATCAATGGCCAGGATGTTTTCGCCAATGAGATTGAGCTCAAGTCCAAGCCCGTTGGTGTTGTTGTTGGTCCTGACTCTATCCCTACCCTCTCTTTTACTTCCGGTTCCGAGGGTCGGCCCAAGGGTGTTCGTGGCCGTCACTTCTCCCTTGCCTATTACTTCCCTTGGATGTCAGAGACATTCAAGCTTACTGCTAACGAGAAGTTCACCATGCTGAGTGGTATCGCTCACGATCCGATCCAGCGAGACATCTTCACCCCGCTTTTCCTCGGTGCGCAGCTGTTGGTTCCGGCTAAGGAGGATATTCAGAACGAGAAGCTTGCCGAGTGGATGCAGAACTATGGTGCCACCGTTACTCACCTTACCCCGGCTATGGGCCAGATCCTTGTCGGTGGGGCTTCTGCTCAATTCCCTTCTCTGCACCACGCTTTCTTCGTGGGTGACATTCTGATCAAGCGTGACTGCCGCTCTCTCCAGGGTCTGGCGCCCAACGTAAACATTGTCAACATGTACGGCACCACTGAAACCCAGCGTGCGGTCAGTTACTACGAAATTCCTAGCTACTCAAGCCAGGAAGGCTTCCTGGACACCATGAAGGATGTCATTCCCGCCGGTCGTGGTATGTTGGATGTCCAGATGCTTGTTGTCAACCGCTTCGATCCCACGCGTATCTGTGCGATTGGCGAGGTTGGAGAGATCTATGTCCGTGCTGGAGGTCTCGCTGAAGGCTACTTAGGGTCCGCAGACCTGAATGCCAAGAAGTTCCTGACCAACTGGTTCGTCAAGCCCGAGGTCTGGACCGAGAAGGATAAGGCTGCATCCAAGGGTGAGGCTTGGCGTGAGTTCTATGTCGGCCCTGAGGGATCGTCTGTACCGCAGTGGCGACCTTGGCCGCTACACTCCCTCTGGAGATGTGGAGTGCTCTGGCCGTGCCGACGACCAGGTCAAGATCCGTGGTTTCCGTATCGAGTTGGGTGAGATTGACACTCACCTTTCTCGCCACCCTCTGGTCCGTGAAAATGTCACCCTTGTGCGTCGTGACAAGTTCGAGGAGCCGACCCTTGTCAGCTATTTTGTGCCCGACATGAGTAAATGGTCTGAATGGCTGAAGAGCAAGGGCCTGGAGGAAGATGACTCTGCCGATGGTATGGTGGGCATGCTCCGCCGCTTCCGTCCGTTGCGTGATGACGCTCGTGAGCACCTCCGCAGCAAGCTTCCTACCTATGCTGTGCCGACTGTCATCATCCCGCTAAAGCGTATGCCCCTGAACCCTAACGGCAAGATCGATAAGCCTGCTTTGCCCTTCCCAGATACTGCCGAACTTAGTGCGGCCGCTCCCCGTCGTCGCTCATCTGCCATGCAGGCCTTGTCCGAGACTGAGCAAGCGCTGTCTCAGATCTGGGCCAAGCTCATTCCTAATGTGACCGCCCGCATGATCGGTCAGGATGATTCGTTCTTCGACCTCGGTGGCCACAGTATCCTGGCCCAGCAGATGTTCTTTGACCTGCGCCGCAAGTGGCGTGGCATTGACATTAGCATGAACGCTATTTTCCGCAGCCCCACTCTTAAGGGCTTTGCTGGAGAGATTGACCGTCTGCTCGATATTGAGTCCTTTGCCACTAGCGAGGACCCCGATAAGACCGGAGCTGCTCAGGCTAGCAACCAGCCGGATGATGAATATTCTCGAGACGCGCGTCGCCTAGTCAGCGAGTTGCCCGAGACGTTCCCTACTCGTACCGATGCGATGCTCGACAGTGAGCCCACGATCTTCTTGACTGGAGCTACAGGCTTCCTGGGTGCCCACATTCTGCGTGATCTGCTCACCCGCAAGGCTCCCTCGACAAAGGTTGTGGCTCTCGTTCGTGCCAAGAGCGAGGAGCAGGCCCTTGAGCGTATCCGTTCTACCTGCCGTGCATACGGGTTCTGGGACGATTCCTGGACCAACAAGCTGCAAGCCCTGTGTGGTGACCTTGGTAAGCCGCAGTTCGGCCTTTCGCAGGCCGTTTGGGATGGCCTCACCAAGAGCGTTGATGCCGTCATTCACAACGGTGCTCTCGTTCACTGGGTCTACCCCTACAGCACCCTGAAGCCCGCCAATGTCATGGGTACGATTGATGCTCTGAAGTTATGCGGCAGTGGCAAGGCTAAGCAATTTGCCTTTGTCAGCTCTACTAGCGCTCTCGACAAGGACTACTACGTCCAGGAGTCCGAGCGTAGTCTCGCGGCCGGTGGAAACGGTATCAGTGAGGAGGACGATATGGAGGGCAGCGCGGTAGGCCTGGGTACTGGTTATGGTCAGAGCAAGTGGGCTGGTGAGTACCTCGTGAAGGAGGCCGGCCGCCGAGGTTTGCGCGGAACTATCATTCGATCTGGATATGTGTTGGGTGATTCTACCACTGGAACCACCAACACGGATGACTTCCTTATCCGTATGTTGAAGGGATGTATTCAGCTGTCTGCTCGTCCTAACATCAACAACACTGTGAACATGGTCCCTGTTGATCATGTGGCCCGCATCGTCATTGCCTGTGCCTTCCACCCGCCTCGCACCCCTGTCGGTGTTGCTCACGTCACCGGCCACCCGCGTTTGCGCTTCAATCAGTTCCTTGGTGCTCTGCAAACGTACGGATACGATGTTCCTCAGATTGACTATGTCCCCTGGTCTCAGTCCCTGGAGAACTATGTCAACGATGGCGAACATGACGACAAGGACTCTCAGCACGCACTGTAAGTCTCTACGTCGAATTTCAAATATGAAACCAAGCTAACAATACCAAGTATGCCCCTCTATCACTTCGTGACTGCTGATCTTCCTTCCAACACCAAGGCCCCTGAGCTGGATGATACCAACGCGTCTGCGGCGCTGAAGGCCGATGCCTCCTGGTCTGGCATTGATGCCTCTGCTGGCGCAGGTGTCACGGAAGAATTGGTCGGTTTATACTCATCCCTACCTTGTGCAGATTGGATTCCTTCCTGCACCGACTCTTGCGGGAGCTAAGCCTCTGCCTGTGGCCCCTATTACTGAGGAGCAGAAGCAAGCTGTGATGAACGTTGGTGGTCGTGGTGGAGCTGCTTAGGCCATCGTTGTATGTGTTTATGTCCTGTTTATTTTTGCGCACCGCACCAAGCACCAATGGTGAAAAAGAATTGTGTATATGGAAAAGATCGACGCCAATGTATAGAAATACACCGTACCACCCCTTTTCGGTAAGTAAAAGAAAGGCGCAACCGCAGTGTTCCGCGGATCACCCGGTTTCCCCTCGGAACGGGGCGGCCGTCCCAAGTGGCAGGCACGGACTTCTACCATTTAACCCCTTGGACCCAGATAAACTTGTCCACTTCACCTTCCTCTCGTTCCAGCGTTCTTGTTTTCTCTGCAGATCGACTTGACCCTCATGGCCGAAGGTACGTGCGTTGGTGGACACTCTCTTACTTTTGGAGTTCTTGGCGGGGTGTTTTCTTTTTCTGTTTCCAATCTTTTCCCCAACACCTTTGTTTTGAGTCATCTCAACGGATCGTGAACTCGGGGAGAGGAGCAACTGAGTGAGTTATCCTGGTGAATTGCCTCTTCCTTGGCCTGTCCACCTGGTTGCTTTCAATTCCTGTCGTTTACTTTCTCCGAACACCTGTTCCCCCCACCGTTCGTCATGAACGCCGCACGACTGGTCGTGCGACCAGGATTCGTCGTGCGCGCCAAGCTCACGCAAAACGTTCCCGATCGCCTATCGGCAATGCTCTCCTCTTCTCTCATTATTCATCTACGGTTCCTCCTGGACATGGGTTGTGCCCCTTCTCAATCTCTTCCTCCCTCTCCTGCGCGAACCACAAGAACCCCGCCTAAGGCCTCTACTTCTCAGACTGACAGTGATGGCTCGTCAATAGACAAGTACACCGCTGGCCTGCGCCGAAACCAAGAATGGGCCGCGCAGACTGCGCGCGAGCACCCCGACCTTTTCCCTACACTCGCAACCGGCCAGCAGCCCCAGATCCTCTGGCTCGGCTGCTCCGACTCGCGATGCCCTGAGACCTCCATGATGGGCCTCCAGCCTGGCGATGTCTTCGTTCATCGCAATATCGCCAACATCCTCCACCCCGGTGACCTGAGCTCAGGCGCCGTCATCGAATACGCCGTGCAGCATTTGCGTGTCAAGCACGTTGTGGTTTGCGGACACACCTCATGCGGTGGTGTCGCCGCCGCTATGGGCAACAAGCCGCTGGGTATCCTGGATCCTTGGCTCCTACCTTTGCGCCAGGTGCGCGAGCGTAACCTCGATCTGCTGCAGTCCCTCTCTGCCGACGAGGCTGCGCTCAAGCTCGTGGAGTTGAACGTGCGTGAGAGCTTGAACGTGGTGACTCAGAAGAGCGTTGTCCTCAACGCGATTCAGGAGCGTGGCCTCGAGGTCCACGGTCTGATCTACGATGTCGCCTCCGGTGTTCTGCGTGAGTTGGATACCCAGGACTCGCAAGATGCCATTCGTGCCCGCCTGGTGGCCTTCAAGACCGAATACTAAGTCGGTGACCATTTGTCGGTTGGAGAGATTGGAGGGAGAAATGACATAGACATAGACATAGACATTCGTTGGATCTGAAGCGTTTAAAGGTGACGATTTGACGAGACAATTAATACAAGCATTTCTTAGTAATCTCGGTCGTATATTACACGTGACGTTGTTTTCCCCGCATAGAAAAGGAGGCTAGGCAGTTAGCTGGCCGCCCGATCCCGATCCTCATTGGCCCCCAAAAAATCTAAGATCTTGGCCCAGGGCCTAGAGTCTGCAACTGGTCCGTGACTCGGAACCAGACAAACATGGTATCATAGCACCAATAAAGCAACTGTGCTAGCTCCTGGCCCAACCCGCGAAGTCTCGATCGAGAGACAGCTTCGCATTAGTCAAGCCTATGCGGCTCTGCTGACGCGCGGCTGTCTGCAAAACGAGCCAAACAAATAACTGGCAGCAAGTCTCAAAACTCATGTTGGTCATTGTTCGGCTTTAGGCACCAGAAGCCGAGTGTTTCTGCCTTGTGATTTGCTCGGTTTGAGATCTTTGTATCAAACGAAGCCTTTTCACCGGTCTTGTTTGTTTCCGTTACTTCGACCATCATCGTTTCTAGACAGGTATTGTCAGACTTGAACAGAGATCGTACCATCCTAGCATTTCGAACCCTGCGTCTTTCTTTGCTCAAGTTCGCGGTCGATATCGGCCATCATGTTTATCATAGCGCCGGAGCACATGGAAACGGCAGTGCAGAGCACCAGCAGCGATGCGGAAGTCGACGGAAAAGAGACGGACAGTGAGCCGGGAGTCCACCATCGCCAATTGTGGCTTTACAGCTAACCACGAGAAGAGAATGAAGTGAAGTATGCTCCTAAAGAATCCCTTTGCGGTACACCCAACCTCTATTCAACGCAGCCTGACGAGAACGGACGCACTTCTTGGAGCTAGAGTCCTTTCTAAATCGAAGAACCCGCCGAGAATGACGAATCCGCTCAGAATGCACTGATATCACGATACATCAAATGCTATGATGAGCGCCGACCTTTACAGCTTCATTCCGTCGTGATCCAAAGTGAACCTCTGGAAAAGTTCTTAGGCACCGCGCTTGACAAATATCCCGGCGTCACGACAACTCTCGGGCGTCTTGAGTTCTCCAAGCCCTTCAAGCCTCCGGTTCATAGATGGGAAGCCTTCACCAAGGCCCGTGATGAAGAAGAGGATCCGACTAGCAAGGAGCATGTCGATTTGTTCCGCAAGGTTCTTGAAGAAGAGTTGCGGGACACCATTGATCGGAAGCAAGACCTAGTTCGCAACGGAGTCATCTCCCATGACCTCATATGGTGCATCTTCGAACCTGGTGACATGGTGATCAACTCGATAGCTGGTCGTACGCGCGGATACAGTTGTACCGATGCCTGATTGGACTGCCAGACGAGTGCATGGAAGATCACAGCCAAGTACATCGACTTTGACGGTAGCAAATTCGGACGGGATTATGAGCACTTTTCTGTCGGTCTTTTACCGGAACAGTTCCTATCGTCGCGTTGCCAGTGTTACCCCTCGAATACCATGTCAATCAGGCGATTACTCGACTATTCTGGTTGCACAGGGCCAAAACTGGGAGGAGCATAAGGGGTATCACTACAAGCATTACGAGGGTGCTTCAGTCGGATACATTGATGAGGAAGAGCCACGTAAGTACCAGGTGAAGAGCCGCCATCATCGACGCCGAGGCGTTTCAGACATTCCAACTAAATAAAGGCATCTGTATCTCTGGAAAGATACCGGTTGAGCTGGACGATAACCTGAGAATGGTTAAATCTAAAATGGTCTACGGGTATTCCTTGAAAAATAAGGAATGGCTCGAGTTCTTCTTTGATTTGCACATCCGAGATCGTGTGGGACTCGCAGGCATTCGATTCGCTCGTCCTTCCCAAGAAACAAGAGAATCTGAAAGACCTCTTTCTGGCTTTCGCAAAGGCACAGTCAAAGAAGCTCGATGACTTTGACGTTGTCGTGCAAGGCAAGGGCCGCGGAATCATCATGCAGCTTAGTGGTCCTCCCGGAGTAGGTAAGACCCTAACAGCTGAGAGTGTCGCCGAGGTCATGAAAGTCCCTTTGTATGTGATGAGTTCTGGTGATCTTGGTAGTACTGCCAGTTCGGTGGAGGCAAGCCTCAAGGATATTCCGCGAATGATTCCAAAATGGGGTGCTGTCCATCTACTTGACGAAGCGGACGTCTTCATGGAAGCCCGCAGTGCTACTGACTTGGCAAGGAATGAGCTGGTATCAATTTTCCTCCGAATGCTCGAATACTACGAGGTAAGCTATCCAATGAATCTTTCCAGGTTGTAAATCCTTGGTTGACTCTGATCGAAGGGCATGCTCTTCCACACTACAAACCGAGCCGAAAATATCGACCCAGCCTTCGACTCTCGAATTCATGTGTCGCTAGCCTCCCAGAACCTCGACGAAGCTTCCCGGCGCCACGTCTGGACTCAGTTCTTGGCGCCGCACTGCGCACACCGAGAAGTTTTCTGATGAGGACTTGGATGAGCTTGCTCAGGCCGAGCGAAATGGTCGCCAGATCAAGAATATGCTCAAGACGGCTGGCTTGCTAGCATGGTCCCAGGAGACTACTTTGAAGTACGAGCATGTGAAGGTCGTTTTGGGTCTTCGGCAGAGCAATTTGTTAAATCTGCTTAGTTGCGGACTGGTTGCCATGATACACAAGAGATGTTTTTAATCTTCGTTATGGGCAGACTTGCGGCGATAGCAATCGCTGACTTCTCCTTCTTTCTTTCAGAAAAGAGAATCTTAACCTCGGCATTTATGAGGTGTACAATGATTAAGAACCTTGAGTACTAAGCAAGTGCAAACGTCAAATCCCTTCAGCGACTGACGGATGAGCCGGAGATCTATTTTTACCTTTCTCAATAAACGTAATTGGATCCTGTTGCACGTTTCATGTTGCCTCTAGTCGCCACTATTAGCCATCTTTTCCAACTTTCCCTACCAGGCTATCATAGGGAACAAAAGCAAAGAGCTTCCAAGCACAACACCAAGACGCACGGTGTTACATGATCAACACCGAACAAATGTTGCGTCTACGCGAATTGTAGAAGTAGAGAACTTTGCGCAAAGTTCGTCTTCTGGTCAACGTCTACAAATAGCTGCGCATTATGGGCGTGAGTACCTACGTTCTTGACGACTACAGCGCTTCGTCATCATTTGTCAAGTTGAATAGGCTTTTCCACAATCTGAATAGATATACCAAGTATATTTCATAAATGGCTTATACAATATCATCAAAGTCGGCTTCTCTTCTTGTGAAGCTTCATCGCTCCCTCAACCAAATCTCGGACTTTCAAAGCTGCTCCATAACCGTATATATACCCCATACCACCAAATCCATATGCGTGAACAATGGTGCCTTCGGATTCGAGCCGATAACCTCCTCTTCTTCCAGGTCGAAAGGCGACAATATCCTTCGTCGAGGGGCTGTTCAAGTCCACAGACTCGAGCCGATTCTTGGATATATTTTCAACCCGTGCGAGGATGTCCGGTCGCAACTTCTGATCTACCTCGCGATCAAGGTTTTCTTCTTGACTGATTCCGCCGAGAATCACACCACCGGAATGCATTCGCGGAATAATATAGGTGTATTGTGAGCCTTGGAGCATCATCAGCTCGTTGAAGTCTGTTTTCACGAACATCGTTTGTCCACGAGCAGCAACAACATCCTTGTCGCCGGCTAAGTCGTAAGCACCAAGTCCCGTTGCATGGACGACAACTTCGTTTCCGGTGAGGCGCTTCACCTCTTCGATTTCTTGGACTTCTTTTCGAATAAAACACACTCCTTGGGAATCCAGCTGATTTCGAATCCAGGGAAGAAATACGACGGGATTAACTGCCATGGTCTTGAAAGTGAAGCCTACCTTCACCCCATTTGGAAGGTCTTTGGTGGGTATGCGGCGATACTGCGGCATGAGAGACTTGTACCAAATTGTAGAGTCATCGTCTCTATCATCGTAGAAGTCGGTCGCCTTGAGGACCTGTTATTCACAGTTAGCCTTCTTCTCAGAATAATCAACGGAAAGGGAAGTAAGTCTTACCTGAACCCCACTGGTGGGATCCTTATGGGCCAACTCCCAAAAGTACTTGAAGCTCTCTACTTGGAGCGAATGACCTTTCGAATCGGGCGAAGGAAATATGGCTGCCCCAGCCCTGTAAACGTGTTAGATCTCATGTTTGACTTGAATACGCTCTCAGGGTCTGTACCAAGGGCTTGCCCAATCCTGAGACTCATCACCGGGCAAGTCCCGGGCAACAATGGTCACTTCGTAGCCAGCATCAGTCAAAGCTAGGGTTGATAGGAGGCCGATAACGCCAGCGCCGAGGACAGTCACTCCCATCTTGATAGAGAGAAGTCGAAGTCGAATGGGATCAAAGTTCTGGTTGGAGTTGACACATGCACGAAACCCGTGTCGAGAAAAGTTTTGGGAATATTTTAAGCTAAGGGATGGACTCGGAGTTTTATATCTTCACGGTGCGGAATACCTTTCTCGCTATCTCAAACAATAGAACTTTCAATCGGTCATTATTTGTCAAAGTTTGAGCAGAACGATATCTTGTCGGATTCATGGCATTGGTGCGGGGAATGATAGTGTCTTGGACATGTAAATGCGATTGATTGGCACACCCGGAACCACTTACCCCCTCTACTACCAGCGGCAGTCTGAGCTAGGCATCCTTCCCATCACCCTTTTCAAGCGCGACTCAAAGCATCTCAGCGAATATTTGAAGAGCACTATCACTAGATCAATCTGATGATGAGATTCCCAGTTTTTCGACCTTGCTTCTTTTTGACCTCAGCTTGTCCCTGGGCACAAGCGTGGGAAATCTGGGCGAACAAAACTCTTGGTTGATCGGTGTTCTCACGGTTTGATAAGACTCCATAATGTTCCTGTCGGATTGGATCGTTGGGCCGTGCGACTTTGGTCTCTGTTAAAATCGGGTTTAGCCCGCCCGGGGAAGATGACATAAATTTATTGAAGACATATTGGAAATATACAGCTTTGGAAACAGCCTGGCCGGAAGTGTGATAAGGAAGAGTAATTAGAAGGTATAAGCAGATAATTCTACCGAAGAACAAATTGTCCCATGTCATGGAGCCGGGTCTATGCCATGACGAATGTTTTGATACGATACTACAAGTCACACCAATATGTCAAGAATGAGCTCATTTCTGACGGTTGAGGCATCTTTGAATCGTCATCTTTTCGAGTGGACTGTAGTTCTCACAAGTAAAGTTGCAACTGTACCATAGTCTTCTGCTTGGCCTTTTGGCATAGAGCGGGTCGTGATCGCGCTGATCTATCCTGTCCGCCATCTTTAGACGAAGCGATATATCCTAATCACGGTGAATTTCTTAGACACCGCTCTGAACATAGTGTAATGGCTATTGGCAAACTTGAGTGTATAGCTGGTATCACATAATTGAATCGGTGGGTCTCTACACTTGACGCGTCGGCGCTAAGCCCCTTTGGAATCTAATTATCGAGCTTAGGTGCCGAAGAAGGTCTAGCGCGGTACGGTGACCAAGCCTTTACCTTTCCCTCGTATACGAGCTTTAGACTACGCGCTTATATAATTATAGCCTAAAACTATCGATAATGTAACCTTATAGTATAGATATCCCCTAGATATCTAGGAAATATCTAGTATTTCTACCCCTTTAAATCTAGATATAGCCTAGAGACCTAAGAGATATCTAGTACTTCTATTTAAGGTAAATAATATAGTAAGAATATATTATAATATAAAGATAGGAGGTACTACGTAGATATTTCTAAGGAAAAAGGTAATAGAAAAAAACTAGATATCTACTAGATATCTGAAGGATATCTAGGGAATATCTTTAATATAAGGGGGAAAAGACTAATAAGGGGCAGTAAGGGAATAGGGTGTGGAAGGAGGTAAGACTAGAAGCGCGGTGTACGCCAAGGTATTAATGTGGATACCACCAGACTTGGACACTAAGCCTAATATAGAAGACGGTCATCCAAGTCTGGCGTCAGCTTTTCTAATTGTCGTGCTCAACTATATCCTGGGCAAACTTCAATAGTCAAATCACCTTGTGACGTCCGACCCTGTAGTCCCTTCGCCCTCCATTGGTGATACTCACGGATATTGACTAAGCACGGGGTCTCTTGGATCACATAACCAGGGTCAGGTCCAATCCGTAGATGACGATCGCCGCTCCGCCACCCCCTGAGGAAAATTTTAACAGTGACCTGAGTAAGCAAACAGAACGCGAAACCAGCAATCTTTACAGCTTGACGTGATCCAATATGGGCTGAACATAGAGCTAGCGTCGGCAGTCGACATATGTAAGGCTGGCCGGGAGGGAATGTATCCGTGTATTAAGCTAGGGATACAGTCAATCCACTACAATCGGCTCGTTGGTCTTCTTGTTGTCTGGGGGGTCCTTGCATGATAACGTATTGCATAGCCTAGGAGCACAATCAGGGATTCCTCTATTATAGTGATCTACTCTGTAGAATGCGCCGACTCAGGCGTTTCAGGTCAGATGGAGACTGGACCCCACTACTTTGTGAAAGGTCAAAACCTAGACACGAGCGTGCGTCATCAAAGTCCCCAGTTTGCAATGCTTGTTTAGGGCCTCTGTTGGCCCCACCGAGGTCCAGGGAGGCCCATGGCCCCGCTCTTACCGCCTGCTTGAGTCCCTTTGGCATTGACCTTGGATTCTCCTGTACCCGCAGTGGCTTTCTCAACCTTGTCACTCTTTTGAACAATGTTTTGGTACGCGATACTTCTGCTTTATGCGCAGAAGGTGGCGGCAGAGCCGTACACGAATGATGACTTGATGTCCTTTGTGACCGTAAGTGTTCCACTGTCTCCGCATGGGCCGGCGCTAACGTGTCACCCCAGCTGCCCGATGCCAGGGCCGTGAAATTCGACATCGAGACCCTGGATCGCAATCGAACTGCACCAGGCTACTGGTTCGTCTCGCCATATCTGCATATTGAACCGGATGGACAATCGAGCCTATACGAGCAATACCAGACCGGTCCACACATTTACGATGAAGATGGGGTATGTTTGGCTCTTCGAATATGCCTCGCCTAATTGGTAGCTAATCCGGGGATGACTTTGAAATAGACCCTTATCTGGACTGGTACGATGCAATTTGAAAACCGCAATGTCTTCGACTTCAAGGCCATCAACTGCTTCGACAACAAAACCTATATCTCGATGATTCTACAGTATTCTTACGACGGTCGCGAACGTGGTTATGGCATGATTTTAAATGAGAAGTACGAGACGTACCGAAAACTCCCGCTGCGCAAAGACCTCGGCGTGTTCGACATTCACGAGTTCAAGGTTCGAGAGGATGGAAAGTCCGCCCTGGTCACCGTCTACCTGTCCGAGGAGATTAGCCTTGCGGAATTCGGCCGCCCGGACGAGAAAACGTTCCTTGAGACTGGCGGATTCGCTGAAATCGACACCACTACTGCGGAGGTCATCTACGATTGGAGATCTTACGACCAAATTCCACTGTCCGAGACCATTCATTACCACCCAGACTCCAGGCCGGAAGGACCCCCTGGCTGGGATTACGTGCATATCAACTCCGTGGACAAGAATGATGCTGGCGATTACCTGATCTCTATGCGTTTCACCAATACTCTTTATATGGTCTCCGGTCTTGATGGTAAGATCATGTGGCGACTGAACGGCGTGAACGGAGGTGACTTTGATTCGGATTTCATCTTCTCAAAGCAACACGACGCCAAGTTCCAAGAGTCTTCAGGCACTCGCCACGTCATCTCATTCATGAATAATGCGTCAGACGAGGAGTTTCAGGAGGAGACCATCTCGGCAGCCATGATCGTGGAGGTGGAAACTGGCACCACCCCGATGACAGCTCGAGTTGTCAAACGCTACGACCGCCCCGACGGGGACCTCACTCGCCTTCGTGGTAATGCACAGGTTCTTCCTAACAAGAACATGTTCGTATGCTGGAGCCAGGGTGGCTACATCTCCGAACATTCGCCCGAGGGTGACCTTCTGATGAGTGCGAGATTCACATCATCACGCTTCTCCAACTACCGCGCGTACAAGTTCGAATTCACCGGTCGCCCAGCTATCCCTCCGGATCTTGTCTCATCTGTTTGGGGCAGCGACGAGACGAACCTGGTCACCACAATCTGGGTGAGTTGGAATGGAGCTACCGACGTCGCCTCGTATAACTTCTACGCTCAAGCTTCGCAATTCGATGCGCCCGTGTTCATTGGTAACATCTCCAAGACCGGGTTTGAGTCGATGTTCATGGCCTCTGGGTACGTTGATTGGGTTTCGGCTGAAGCTGTGGACCGCGATGGCAACGTCATGAGTACATCGCGCATACAACGCACTCAATTCCCTGAATTGGAAGCAGGTCGGGTGGTCAGGGTACTCTGATCAGCCTCGACCGAAGGATCCATCAAGGGTTCTCGGGGAAAGTGATGCTGTTGGCTTATTGCATGACAAGGCCGACGGCAGCACCTTCTCGACACTAGATGACACCGCCGAAGCTCAGAACCGCAAGGCGACGCAGATTCTTGCAAACACATACGAGGCAATGCGCAGCATTGGTGGAATTTTTGCGCTCATTTTGCTGCTGGCTGTGATGTGTGGCATCATGGCTAGTTATTTGTTGATTCGAGGCTGGCGGGTCCGTCTCTATCAACGCATTACGTCAAAGGAGGAGAGATACACCGAAGAGGAGGAACGTCTCCGATCGGATGACGATTAAAAATCCGAGGAAACGCCTTGAAACTCTGTCTTTTGCATGGTTAGCGGGAGTTTGTGTATCGTCTTACAAGTGATTCACTGGTAGGGCATTTTCCATTTGTACATAACAGCAGTGAATACTACCAGTCATTCTGTTTTCTAGTCTCATACAAGGAGTTCCGCAACTTGATTGTTTCCGAGGTTATCAGACCCTCCTGCGGCACCTAAGCATTAATCACTCCACACCAACCGGTTCTTTGCCCCAGAGCGGGTATTCAGCCGATTGTGCAAACCCGCCAGCTTCGACAGCTCATTGATTGCACACTGGCAAGAATTTCCCGCAAGCACATGGAGTTACGCGGCTCCTATTATTGTTTGTCATTCCTGCGATTCCGTAAGGCTAGCGTCGGCGTGAAGAATCGTCTGGAAGCGCCCGCCGGGTCTCCGATTCACGTTTCACTGCTCCACCTCGTGACCGCAAGACTTCCATACGAGATCAGCAGGCTTGTTATCTTTACGGGAATGCAACATTGCGTCCAGGCCCACGTATTACTTGAGATAAACTCGGTAGAATTTGCAAGGGATTCCCGGTGTCGGAATTCGGGAATGATGGATAGACGCTATTCCCGAGAAAGTTATTCCCGGCGTCTCGGTCTTTCGCTGCCAGATTTTATTTTGACCATGGGTGAGTCAAAAACAGGTCCATTTCTGTCAAATCTAATCTTGAACACTCTTCAACCCCTCCTCATATTATAGATTTTGAATTTCAACATCCAATCAAAACAATTTTGGGGATCGGAAGTCCACTATGCCCGCTACCAGTCTATGCCAAGAGGAGGAATGCCCTCCATATAGCCTCATGGACGATTATAGCGAGGGAGCTCATCCCCAAATCCTCGAGGCTCTTCTCCGCACCAACTCAACACAGCAGGCCTCCTATGGAGGTGATGCTTACTCAAATGAGGCTAGGCAATTGATCAGAAACAAGATCAATTGTACTGCAGACGAGGCAGATATTTTCTTTGTCCCGAGTGGAACCTCAGCCAATCTGATCTCAATTGCCAGCTGCCTTCGCCCTTATGAGGCAGTCATTACTCTGAACACTGGACACATTGCATGCAAAGAAGCTGGTGCAATTGAGGCAACTGGCCACAAGCTCATCCTTGTCCCGGCAGTCGATGGCAAAATGACGACAGCAAACCTTCAAAAGGCCATTCAGCAAAATCAATTCTTCCCACACATGGCCAAGCCGCGGTTGCTGTACATTTCCAATGCTTCGGAGACCGGAACAGTGTACACGAAGCGGGAATTAACCAATCTGTCGGCGCTTTGCAAGCAATTGAACCTTTTAATGCTCATGGATGGAGCTCGAATCGGAACGGCAATGTGCTCCAAGAAGAATGATATGACTTTCCGAGACATCTTCGACCTAACCGATATCTTTTGGATTGGTGGTACGAAAGCCGGTGCCCTGATGGGAGAAGCTATCGTTGTCAAGAAGGCTCTGTCTGAAGGATTTGTCTTCCATCTCAAACAGCACGGTGCCCTTTTGGCGAAAGGGCGGATTATGGGTGTCCAATTCATGGAGCTCTTCCGGTCCGATCTATTCTTCACCTTGGCTACTCATGCCAACACTATGGCCGAGAAAATCTCGGCCAATTTCGAGGCACTTGGCCACCACTTGGTGGCGGAAACGGAGACAAATCAAGTCTTCGTCACAATGCCTCAGCAGCTGGCCTCAAGGCTGCAAACCCGCTTCGGATTCTACATTTGGGATCAACTGGATGATGAACAGGTTGTTGTTAGGATTGTGACTTCCTGGGCTACGGACGAGTTGCAGGTCGACAAGTTCAATGCGTGGGTGGCACAGTGGACGGCGGCGGCGAAGGAATTCGCTACAAATTAAGAAAATTGCATACACATATATACCATAAATCATGATTAGACGCTTAATAAAGACATCAAATTCTAATAATTTACTGAATTTTCCCTCGAAAGGCTATACTATATATCCCATCACATGACCTGGCATGCCGCATCCCATAGGCCGACACCTTAGCTTTCGGGCGTCACCCGCACCTTCCTCTTCTCCAATCTTTCCGATCTCGTGGAGCTTAAAGCCTGAGATGCCTTTTTTCGCTCAATTCTTGATAAACCATTAGTGCATTGAACCATACATACCTATGAAGACTGAATGACAGTCAGATCATCCTTGCTCGGACCTGAGCTCAATCAGCCCGATGCGACTGTCGATATCATGTGATGCTTGCCGGTAAAGTTATACGTCCAACTCTTTTCAAGCTATGTTCTAAATTTCTTTTTTCAGTCGGGCCAAGGTGAAATGCATTCATGATGGAAGGTCACCCTGTCAGCGATGTCAAAAGACAAACAGTGAAGGATGCGCCCTTACAGACCCGCGGGCTTCCAAACTAAGAGCCCGGAGAAATACTGTCGGGTCCGCGGCACCCCAGAAGCGAAGAAAGGCGTCACATCCTGCGCACTCAGCTGAGGATATCAGCACTCTCAGAAGGGCCCCTCAGAATGCCTCGGAAGGCCATGAGAACCCCATCTCGGCCTTGCCGCCATCTACCGTGATCAGTGCAGTAGAAACTTACCGGAAGAAGTTCCCCGTCGCGAACTTTCTTCACTATCCTTCTTTGATATCTGATATCTCCTCTAATTTTGATTCGGTGGATCCAATTTTCATCGCATCCCTTCTTTCCATGTGTGTACGTTTCATGGCCGACGATGAGCTCGAGGGGGAGGAGATCTACGCAGGCTATGCGCGACAACATCTAGCGCAGCGTGCGATGGAGGCTCCTTCTCTTTATCTAGCTCAGTCGCTGGTAATGATTTCTTTCTATGAATGGGGCACTGGGCGACCGTACCAGGCTTGGATGTACAGTGGTATGTATGGTGATAGAAAATTCCAATTCGGGCAATTGTGACAGCAGCTGACATTTGCAGGTATGGCCACCTACATGATCCAATCGCTTCTCAAGATGGCAGATGACAGCATGGAACACAACCCACATGAGTTCCACGCCTCCCAAACTCAGTATGAACAGCTCGTTCGAACCTATTGGTGCTGCTTTGCGCAAGATTGCGAGCTGAGCTCTGGGGCCAGGCAACACTTTGCCTTGTCATTTTCTCAGATTTCAGTCCCGCTTCCTATCAGCGACCGAGACTTTACGTTCAACCATTTACCCGAAAGGAGATTGATGCCCGCTGATATGAACAAGGGGTGTCCCTTGGCAAACAATCTGACTATCGAGCACGGTCTGACAATAGTTACGCGTGGATTTGATATTTTTGTGCGGATCTTGAGATTTGCTAATGAGCATCGACGTAACCTCTCCTCGACAGGCTCAGACGACTCGGCCACACCCCTGCATCAAACTTGGCAGAAGCTTAAAGGGGAATTAGATGAATGGAGATCGCTGCAGGATCAGACCGTGCGATACCCCGATACTAGTGCCCAGGCGCATGTATCTCTGGGCTATGGAGAATTATTTGCCTATGTCAATTTGATCTATTTCATGAGGTTTGTTCTGACGCACCCAGCCTCGATGAGCCAGATCGCAGGGATAGTCGCTGACAGCAGTAAACATAGCATACTTTTCCTCCATCGTGATCGCTTCCTGTCCAATCTGAAGCCTCACTCTGACGTCTTCCACGATATGGACGAAAATGACCAATACGAGCCCCATACAATCAAGCAACTTTTTGAGGCTGCTCAGCACATCAGTGGAGTCTTGTCAGCACTAGAATCCTCAGAAGCGCCGGTAATGACCCCTTATTCCGGATTCAGCGTTTTTGTCGCGGCGCATATCAACATGTACGGGACCATCGCACCAACGAGATACCCGGGCGGATTGGCTCGAGCAGAAGAAGCAAAAAGCAGAAATCTCGTCTATCTTGAAAAATTAAGCCGCTTATGGCCTGTGGGTCGAAGCTGGGTGAGGCCCTTGAATCAAACTATATAAATATTTCACTAACCCGATATGGATAGTGGCGAACGGTTCAAGAGGCCAATCGGTTCTACGAGACCGTGAAATACTCCCAGACACATAGCGACGACGGCATTCACAGTCCAACGCGATTTGCACTAGCCGGAAGATTGGACGAGTACGGCGATATCCGATCTCGGCCCAATCGCGATTCGCAAACCGCGAGGTCGATCAGCACCGAGCCCCGTGACGCGCATCAAACTTTAGTTTCCGGGACGGAGGGAGAAGGGCCCGATTTTGCGCGCGATGCTGCTGCATTTGGAGGTCACGATGTTGAGACAGACATGTTTCAGTGGCCGTTTATTGATGGATCTTGGTCGGCCGGCTTTGACGCGGGACTTGATGGGCTATGGCATCACTCGGGCTTATTTGATCCCAATCCGATCATGAGATAGTCATGTGAGCGATGACTGAGCAAATTAATTGGAAATAGCAAATGCAATTCGTCTATTAGGTATGTAAGATGTATATGAACACATGAAAATAGTGCATGGTGTTGGCGTAGAGAGTATCAACAACTCCCGCTATCATTACTCGCGCTCTCCACTGTTTGTTCGACAGCGGCCGTCTTACGGATGCCTTCGACATTGTGGATCGACTCATTAGTTGCCGGCGTGCCGGCATAAGATACAAGATGGCTCTCGTCACCAAAGTTGGGGGCGTTCTCCCATCGACTCGCGGCTTTGCTGCCCTGAGAACGATCACCGAGATGCATGTCGGAACCATGGGCGTAGTATTTCTGTGATGAGTACTCCTTCTTGTAGTGGGCAAGGAGAACGTTCAAGATGGGAAGACAGGCACAGATCAGACCGACGCCGCCCTCAGCGTTGCTAGAGACAAGTCAGAAAACCCCGAGAAAACATTGTGGTGAGGGAAAACGATTGGTGACATACCCAGAAAGAATGACACACATGAAGACGATGGTCTGATCTTTCGACTGACCGTCTCTCAGCACCAAAACAAGTCGATACAGACTAAAGGCTGTGGCGAGACCACCTGCACTCAGCAGACCAATAACGCGCAGCTTTTTGTTCCGAGACATTTGCAATGACCATGTCAATGGCAACGGCAGAATGAGAATAATGATATCGCTCACAAGACTGATGACTGAATCGGCGATCAAGGCGGCGGCTTGGTCGAGACAGGTACCACCCCCTTGAAGCTTCGGGCCTAACCAGTAATAAGGAATAGGATTGCACATGCGAATCTTGACGATCAGCGCAATGATGTAGTATGTGCAGAGGCAGCCTAGGAAGCCGTAGATGAACCAGACTTTGCCGCGGTAAGGAGCGAAGATGCGTGTGAGAATGGAGAGAAGGGCGATTTTCACGAATAGAGCCATTGGGCAGTAAAGAATGGTGGCGATGTAACAAAACTTCCTAAACAAGACTTGTTCCTCTGGGCTGACGTCCGTGATATGGTATCCTCCTCCATGTTTTCCAACTAGCATCATTAGCAACCCTGTTCGGTCTATCTCCCAGATCAACTTGGGACTTTACCGAGAATACTGATCCCACAGTATCCCATGAAGAGAGCCCACGCTACGAGACATCCCCCTACTCGTCAAGTCAGGTCAGTATCAAAGTCCATGGATGGACGGGGTCTCCAGGGTCCATTAGAACAACTCACAATCCTCCACCCCCAGATTCTGCTTAAAGCGGAACCGCGTGTAGAATCTCAAGGCCACGAACGCCGTGCAGATTGGAATACATAGGACTTGTGTCACTAGGTTCACGGTGCGGTAGACATCATGAGGGTGTTCGACGGTCATGTTGGGCCCTTCACCCGAGCTCAGCTGTCATGTTTCTGCCAGAAAGGGGAGATGGTTGGCACATAAAAGTCATATTGTGTCGGCGTTATATCAATTCCCGAGCCCCAAAAACTCGATAAGAAACAGGACGGGAAATTATATCCTGTGGGGAACGAACACTATTGATCCGCGTTTACCAAATACAAATAGTGGGCTCTGGGAACTCTCAGCCCTCCGATTGACAGCCGCCATTGCCCGATTGCAGCTTTGACTTTGACCCATGTCGGATGTCGGATGTTATTACGCGGCGATGATCTCGATGGTTCGTTAGCGAGTTCGGCCTGGATGGTTCGGATAACCCACTATGTGGTCCACCTCTGCCATTCATGAGACTGGCCTGCAGGCAGCCCGTCATGTCGAAGGCCGACAAAACTATCGTCCCCACGTTCCGATGCACCGTTGTTTCTAGTCCCTCTTAACACGGTACACGGAGTGGAGGGGGGCCCTGCCAACAAACCCTGAGTCTCCATTTAACCGAATGTATATATATTTCTGACAGCAACGGGTTAGGGGGAGTTCCACGACTTTTGTCATTGCAGCCCTGTGCAGACTCTGTGGAAACACCCTTGGAACCCAACAAAAAAGGGAAAAAAAAAACAAAAACAAAGCTATAGTCATGACCATCCATTACGTCAACCGCGAGGAGTCCGCGCTGTTCCGTCCCTTGACCATTTCCAATGGCGCCCTCACTCTCCGCCACCGGGTCGTTCATGCCCCTCTCACCCGTAACCGTGGCGTGCCATTGAACCCTAACAGCACTCCCGAGAATCCCAATCGTATCTGGGTCCCTGGCGATCTGGTGGTGGATTATTACGCCCAGCGCGCCACCGAGGGCGGGTTGATGATCTCTGAGGGTATCCCGCCTTCTCTGGAGGTATGTGGTGTTTCCCGTTGTTCTCCATTCTCCGTTCTCCGTTCTCCGTTCTCCGTTTTCCATTATTCATTTGTTCGGTTTTTCGCCCCCATTTTTTTTATCATTTAATTCTTTTTCTGGCATTTTTCTTGCACTCTTCTTTGCCTATCTGGTGATTCCTGCATATATTCCATGTGCTTCTCCGTGTCTCGGGATAAATTCGGCTAACATGATCTGTAGAGCAATGGCATGCCGGGAGTCCCTGGATTGTTCACGCCCGAACAGGCAGCGGGCTGGAAAAGAGTGGTTGAAGGCGTCCACGCTAAGGGGGGGCATCATCTTCTGTCAGCTCTGGCACGCCGGTCGCGCCACGATCCCCCAGATGACCGGATCGCCCGCCGTGTGTCCCTCGGCAAGCGTGTGGGACTCGCCCACGGAGCGTTACTCGCACCCCCCTGTGGGCTCCACTGAGCCCGTCCCCTACGCCAATCACCCGCCGATCGAGATGTCGGTTGAGCACATCAAACAGACAATCAGGGACTATTGCAATGCCGCTAAGACCGCCATGGAAATTGGTTTCGATGGTGTGGAAATTCACGGGGGCAATGGCTATCTGCCTGAACAATTCCTGAGCTCCAACATCAACAAACGCAATGACAGCTATGGTGGATCCCCAGAGAAGCGCTGCCAATTCGTATTTGAGTTGATGGCTGAGGTGGCTGCAACGATCGGCGAGCAGAATCTGGCCATTCGGCTCTCGCCCTTTGGTCTGTTCAACCAAGCTCGTGGGGAGCAGAGGCTCGAGACCTGGACTCATCTGTGCCAAGGTCTGAAGAAGTCTCTGCCGGCTCTGTCGTATGTTAGTTTCATCGAACCGGTAAGTCTTTCCCCGTTGAGTAAAAAGAAAAAAAGAAAAAAGAAAAAAAAAAAAATCACTATCCAGATCTGAAACAATGCTGATCATAAAAATTAGCGTTATGAGCAAATCTTCGGAGCCGAGGAGAAAGACAAGTTCCTTGAAAGCTGGGGCCTGCTGGACGTGACGCTCGACCGATTCCGGGAGATTTTCGGGTCCACTCCCTTCTTTTCCGCTGGGGGTTGGGACGATAAAAACTCCTGGGGCGTGATCGAATCTAACAAATACGATGCCCTCCTCTACGGTCGATACTTCACCTCCAACCCAGATCTGGTGCACCGGCTGAAGAAAGGCCTGCCTCTGACTGGTTATGATCGTTCCCGCTTCTATGGACCATTCAAAGATAACGCCTTCCACTATACTGACTATACCAATGCCGAGAAGCAATGAATTACCTCGTATATAGAATTATGATAGAGGGCAATAAAAACTTAATCTCATGGGGGTTTCACTCCCGCGTCGGCAGACTCTCCCACGGTAGCCAAAAAGCGTATCCTTGGGTCCATCAATCTCCAAAATCGCTAGGCGCACTGATCGAGTGCTTTCAAGTCTCCACTCGATCGGTTCAAAACCACGGTACCAGATCGTTCGTGGCACATAATCTCGTATTAGGCTACGCGAATGTTCCGAATGGCTTCATAGCGCATCAAAACGGAGTATTTTCTACGACGAAGAAAAAGGCTAGAAGGTGCGGAAAGTGTGATACATGCTTCTCGATGAAGAGACGTCTCAGGGGTGAGCGAGTGCGGCCCTGCACGAATGTGCCCCCCAGGGGCTCTCAACTATCCCCTACGAGTCAATCCTTCCAAGATCGATGAGGCGGGCTTTGGGGGCCAAATCGAGTCAAGATGGAGGGGGGGGGGGGGGTGGACTAAATTAGAACACGACCCCCTTTTCTCAGTAAAATCCCCCAAAGTATTCTTCTTCGGGTGCGTTTGACGAAGGTGACCTACAGTGCCTCGGGTCCACATAGAGTTCTTATTACCCCCTGACCTCGGGCTAAGGTCCCCACGAGATTGCTGTTGACTGTTTAATTCTATGGCTATTGAGTACCTAGTTTTTATGACCTCGGAAAATCCGAATTCTTTTCTTGTATATGCTATGATTCGCCCAATATACAGCTCCTAGTTCTAGCTTTATTGCATTGTCCCCCAAACATAGAACCATGACAAACACAAAATATAACTTTTCATCAAAAAATTGTGGGCAATAGTTTAGAGATCGCAGCGATCTAATCGCCCTTAAGCATCCTCTTGCCACTTCTTCGATTTCTTGACAGCTTTCTTTCAGCTATCGACCCTGTCCTCCATCCGGTATCTTGCCATTCGCATTGTCGCATCTACAACTTTCTCAGTTCACGAGCCATGGCCGCCATTGCTCTCCCTGCACCTCAAAGCTAGTACCTTCATTGATAACTCTTGTAAAACATCTTCAGCGAGCTCGGAACCCCGATCTTATACATATTGACGCATCTTGGATATATTGACGCGGAGAACCCTCATGTCCTGGGAACGCTGTTACCAATCGCGATTTGTCCCCAGGAGTCTGTCGCAAGTTCCTCCTCTCTTGTCCCGGTAAATGAGACCTCCGCCCAGGTTCCGGTTCTCAATGAACCGGGTCATTTGACCCATCTCATTGTCGAAATCTCTTTGACCTCGCATCGGTCTGAGAGGAATTCGCGGAAAGGAGACGAAGCCTGTTCCAGCACCAGACATGACTAATGGCGTGTTTCCCCTGACGATGAGCTTGGACTTGCTTTGCTGGATGCAAACGAAGATTTTACCGTCTTGAAGGGTAGTCGTTGGGTCCATTAAAGTCAAAAGGTGTATTCATGAGCATGTGTTTTGAACTGGAAGTGTTGGGAAATGGCGAGGAGACCTTAGGTACAATGTAAGGTACTTTGGATCCGATGGGATAGATTTCTAGTCTCCCGTCTGATAATGTGCTGGAGATGCTTTGACTGGACCGGCAATCGAGCTGAACCGAGCCTCGTGAAGAAGTGATGAGGTAGAGGCACCAGTGATTGGTATGTCCTAGGTTCTCGTGCCCGACAGTCAACAAGGACGTGAGTTACTGTTGCAGCCAGTATCCTCGCCTTTGGCCTTATGGGTACAAACTGAACTTGCTATAGCTGGCTATGGCCAAATCCGAATGTAAGCATTTAGGAGTAGTTGGCGCGTTGAATCGTTAAGATTAGACTACCTGGTTTGCAAAGTAAGTGACTGTCTCGAGTCCAATCTCATTATCCCAGTCTTCAAGATGTGCCCCACTTCTACATTAAAGGTAAATTCGGTCAAATCGGTCAAATACATTGACAACAGAACTTGCTTTGATCTGTGCCAAAGAATAGTAGGTTCTGTATTCCAATCGACGGAGACGGTTATACTTGGGAATTCTTAAACTCGAGGACGCTATGGGAGAATCGATTCTTCCAATGGAGTTCACGCCAAACAATCTCCATCTTTAGTAATGTGCAATAAAACGGTACCCCAGATTTTCGCATCCGATTTCTGGCCCGACCGGCAGCTTCTGAGAGCCGCGAGTGGTGAGAGGGGAAACTCCCCGGGTAGTGTTCGGCTAATCCGGTTTCGCTTCTTGTTTTCGGCATATCATCGACTTCGGCCCGCTTCACCGAGCCTAGATTATTAATGAGGAATCCACCTTCAGTGATGCTCCAAGTCTTTTCTAAGTTGAAAGTTTCAGGTGACAAAGGTAATCCTACTTCTCTGAATATTTGTCCTACCAAGTCTTGATCCTGTTTGTTCAAGTTTCTGTGAGGTCCCCATAGTGGCTTTTCCCTCCCGAGTCGTCGTGCCTGACGTCAGGGCCTACTATAACCACCCAGCAGGCCTCCCCCCCCACAGCCTGCACGAGTCGAATCGAGCCCGCAGAGAGTCAATCGACTAATTCATTGATGTACTAGAAACAGCCAAATTCTAGTCTACTTGCTATCGTCCAATTCAACGCACAATGTCTACCGAAATGGAGTACACTCGGTATTGACCCAGCACCCCGCAGTCAGGTATCTACTTTCGATAATGTCGCTGATCGCCTCGACTCCACAGCCTCGGAAACTCGGGTTTGAAGATCTCCAAGATCATTCTTGGTACCATGGGCTTTGGCACCAAGGAATGGCAGGATTGGGTCTTGGATGAGGAGGAATCCCTGGCCCTCATCGAACATGCCTACAAGCTGGGTATTAACACCTGGGACACGGTCAGAATCAAACACTACCACTTCTGAACGATATCAAGATCAAGATTCTAACATGCAATGGAACAGGCGGATGTCTACTCTCATGGCCGATCCGAAGCAATTGTTGGCAAAGCCCTGAAGAAGTACAACATCCCACGTAACCGCGTGGTGATCCTCACCAAGTGCTTCTACGGCGTGGACGACGAGGGAAAGTTCCCTCCCATCGCAGCCTCGTCGAAGAATGATGGTGCCTTTGTTAACCGCGCTGGTCTGTCCCGCAAGCACATCTTCGATGCCGTTGACGCCAGTGTCGAGCGCCTGGGCACCTACATCGATGTATTGCAAATCCACCGTCTGGACCGTGGGACTCCTCGTGAGGAGATCATGAAAGCTTTGAACGATATTGTCGACAGTGGCAAAGTGCGCTACATTGGCGCAAGCTCGGTATGAATTCTTTTCTTTCAGGTTTCGAAGAAGGTCAACAAGATACTGATTTCCTCAGATGGCTGCTTGGGAATTCCAGACCCTGCAGAATATTGCTGCCAAGAACGGCTGGCACCAGTTCATCTCGATGCAGAACTACCATAATCTCATTGCACGTGAAGAAGAGCGCGAGATGATCCCCTACTGCCTCGACACTGGCGTAGGCCTCATTCCTTGGTCTCCTATGGCCCGTGGTGCCCTGACGCGGCCCTGGGGCTCTCGCTCCACTGTGCGTGAAAACACTGACGGCCCGCTCAAGGGCATGATCCGCAATCGCGAGAGCGCATCCGACAAGGCGATCATTGACCGCGTCGAAGAACTCGCGGGTAAGAAGGGCGTCAGCATGGCACAGATTGCTATCGCTTGGTCTTTGAGCCAGCCGAAAGAGTGCCCCATTCTTGGACTACACAGTATCCAGCGTATTGATGAGGCTGTGGCTAGTCTGAGTATTAAGCTGAGTCCCGAGGAGATCCAGTATTTGGAGGAACCCTATGTGCCCAAGGCCATTTTCACACCGATGGAGCGGTAAAGGGTCGATGGAGTTTGATGCACGGAATGTCGGTTAAGGTGCCTATGGGTCTATGAGAATCTGTCGTATTATAACCCTGATCCGGCTGTGCTCCGTACCCAAGCCACATTCTACTGGCCATGACAGTCCACCCTTCCACAATGTAATACCTATTCCTCGTAATTATTGACATACTTCGATAGTGGAGGAATCTCTCTTTCACTGTAGCTCGTGCGCGTCCTTCACTAACCAAACCTGTGCAGGTCTTCTCGTGGCTTGACGCATCCACGATCAGTGTCATCCACTCACCGACACTGTTTCAGCCTCAAGCCATAAGTCATGGGGAACAGAGTGTATTACAGGCTCTGAAGAGGAATGAACAGTAGTTGTATACTGCTGCGCTGGCTAGTAGGACTGCTCAGTCTTGAGGGCTGGCTTGAGACGTGGGACTGGTGAGGCTTGTTCCCTTGACTTTTGCCATTTGATGCATCGTTAGACTGGTGTTGAGTGCAACCCGTGGAGATTTTGAGGCGCGTGTTGTGTCTACCGTCTTAGTTTTACTGTTCGCGGGAGTTCTTGCCCATCAATGACCTTAATTTAGTGATCGACCTACGCGGTTATTAAGAGGGATGATGTTGTATTCGAATCGGCCTCGAATTCATTCATGCGCGTCGTCATCATCTGAACGGCGATGTACATGTATGAATATAGAACAGAACCCCAGTCTCATAAGATCCCTCGAGTCCAAATTCAAAAGACGCATAACATCTAACATACATGAAAAAGAAAGTGAGTGAGTGAAGAGACGGCAATGCGCGTACCAGACGACTGTCGATGCCAGGAGAAGCGCCTAAGTGGAATGCAATGGGATGAATGGAAATGCTGATACAACATGCAGATAGGTCGCTGGGAAGATGCAGGGTCATACATGAGAGGGCGATCAGTGAGCGCCGTGCTTTCGGTGGAAGATCGTGAAAATGTTGCTGAGTCGGTGTCGTCGTTTGCCCTTTACATGAGCTTCGGGGTCTTTAGTGTCAGGTTGAGGTGATGCATGGTAAGCCTGATGGTTGACTTGAGGAATGGGAGTGGCCCGATCTGGGTTTAAAGAAAGCTTGCCGTTCTCAGTCAGGGGTTGGGATTTGGATTTGCGTTTGGTGTTCTCAGAAGGGAGAAGGCCCTCTGGTTCAAGGGAGTTCTGTCGTAAAGAAGGCGGCCGAGAAGGAGGCCGAGAAGAAGGTCGAGAAACGACAAATTCGTGACCAGGTTCGCCGGTGCCGGTGAACATACTGTGTCGATTGACACGGATGCTCACGCCGGATGCGCTCCGCCGCTTGGCTCGGTCCATGAAGGTGGCACCGGTCGAATTTGATCGTTTCGAAAGACTGCCAAAGCCACCACCGTCAGTGGGTGCTACGGAGTTGGAACGCCGAACGCTTGGAATAGACATGCAGCGCTTGCCGCCATTCAAGGACTCTTTCATCGGACTCAAGTCATCACGATCAATCGCCGCATCGTTGTCGGTCGGCGCCGGTGAGCCGTATCGTGAGGACGTCGGGGAGACAAGCGATTTGGCGGCGGTAGGCGAGAAAAGCGGATCGCTATAACTGAAATTCTGTGACCAACCCTCGCGAAAAGCGACCCAGATGCCCGTCATGATAATCAATGTGCGCAAGCTGTCTTCGAGAATGATTTGGTTTGCGTCGTTGGGTTCCTCGTCGGACATGTCGCTGATCACGGACCTCGCGGAGCTCGGAGTCGTAGCGCCAGTGCCGGTGCCAGTATTGGATCGAACGACCGCGGCATACTCGTCAAAGACCTCTAGTTGATTTTTTGTCATGGAAGCGATGACGGGGTGTCGACGGGTGGCCGGGTCAATGACACTGAACGTAAATCGCTTGGTATCGTCGCGCACCTGAGCTCCTGAAGGAGCGGACACCCTACGATTCTTCCCTCCTCGCAATGCCCAGCGCATGACCTGGACTCCATTGTCCGTGCGCGCAACGAACTCGTATGAACCGCTAGGAAGAGGCGTCGCCTCCCACGTTGGTCCAAAATTCAAACTAACCTCTGCCTTTCCCTTCGAACGAGCTTCTTCTTGAAGCATCTGGCAGATTGTCGCTAGCACTTCTCGATGATCGTCATCCTCCTCCTCAGAGCTCGTCTGTTTCTCGGGAATGCTTCCCACCTTGCGGTCGTACAATTCGCTCTTCACGATGATCAAGTCGTTGGGCCCGAGTCCGTTCCTGCCTCGGAACATGGCAGGGAACTTTCGAGCTAATCGTGGCAGATATAAGGTGGAAGGTAGGATGTCCAGTATGGGTAGAGGTCGAGGCGTTTGCGACACTTGCTGCAGCTGCAAGAGCAGCTTGGGGCGAAGCTTCAATCGCTTATGGCGGGCATGCGATGCGGGATGGGCGAACTGGTAAATGGTTTTCGACCGCGATGATTTCCGAACGGTATAATTTGAGCTGATCTCTCGGGGTCTGGTAGTCGGAGGAACAGCATCTTTGGAGGACTCCCCTTTGCTCGCGGACGCGTCGGGGCTCATGGCCTCGGATATTGGTCCTGCGGGAAGCGCAAGCCCATCGGCCCGCTTTTGGATAGTATAGAGAGTACCCAAGAATGGTAGCGCAGGCAGGGAGAAGGCGCTCGTGAAAGGACAGTTGGCTGGTGGAGAATCAAGTTGAGGATCGTTTGTATGGGCAGCTGCGACATCCGCTGTGAGGCCAAGATTCAGCAGCATTCTTGGACTCAGCGGAGCCACATCAATCTCCCAGACACCAAATCAACAACTCTAGTTAAAAGAAGACCCGAAATCCACGTATGCATCCAGTCTTGGACCGCGCGTCAGCTGCGGGGAGAGGAACCGCAGCACCAAAGTGTGGAGAGCTGAGGTGTGCAAATCGCAGAAACAGAACCGAAAGACTTTGCAACAGGTCTGGCAGAACGAAGGGAAGGAAAAAAGCTAGGTCTGCAACATGCAAGGGCAAAATAAATAAAAGAGAGTGCGAAGGGCCGTTTTGGAAGGGACCGAGAGGGAATTACACAAAGGGGCGGTCAACCTTATACATCAGATCATAGCTCGGAGCCACCGTGGGCTGCTTCAGCACACGGATCGGTCATTGCGGCCTCCGACAATTCCGGTCCGGGGCGATCAATCAGTGAGGCTCCGAGGCCGAACGTCATTTGAGATGGACATTGTAGTGTCTTCCATGAGTCCCACCTGGGCGGTCCTTGGCATCTAATCATTACTCGTCACTCATGGACGTGGCGTTATTTGATGGCAAACCTCGGGTTCTGCAGCTTGCGCTGGAAGCTTCTCAGGATTGTATTACGAGACGCCTCGTCCAGACTGGCGTTTTGAGTGTGGGGGGGGGGAGGGGGGGAGTCAGGTTCCTCGACAGACTTTTCCTTTCGAGGTGGAGTTCCTCGGCCTAGGAACATCTAGAATGATAACGGGATCCCTTCTTTCCATCTTTTGCGATTATTGATCTGAGGTTCGGCGCGTAGCAAGACTCTCACGCCCCGAAATTCTAATCCGCCTGAAATCGGACGGACTGATGCGCCGATTGTCCCCACTTCGTACAAGAACTTTGTCTACAACTTACACAGCATCTGATCCGCATGGGATGCTCTAAGCTGACAGTGAAGTTGACTGGAGAGCGGACTGGAAAGCTGACAGGGATCCATTCGAGGTGACCTGGGTTCGCCCGATCCCCCTATGTCCAGTTTGGCTCCCAAGAGAGAAGCATCTGAACCGTAGGGCCGAGACTGCACACGGTACGGTGTTTCATCAGAGAATTTGTTGCATGCATGAATACGCCAAGATGATCACCAAATCTGCCTTATGAATAATTTGTGCGCGGTACAATGTGTTGCCACTGTAAAAACCCAGTGGATGGAGCCAGTTTAGCGTCGGACAAAATACCCTAAAAACTCAATAGTGAGTGCAAGACTCCATAGTAGCCTCCACTGGTCATAAGAAAAGGTCTAAGAGGGCCGATCAGGAATCCCGATACAATCCCCCTAAATCCCGCTGACTAATTATGCACATTATTCCATGCATATTCCTCACGTATCCCGCGGAGGGAATTACCTCGGCTTCCACCCTTTCGCGTTTCTACGTCACCACCGTGACGGTCTCACCATGGCTTCAATTGGTCGCTCGCCTATCTCGGCGAGCCTTCTGCGCCTGAGACAATCCTATTCGAAGCTTGACGCTGGCTTTTTGGGTATGGAAAGCTCTGCTGTTCATAGCCGTGGTTGCCTGTCCTGGCCCTGGTTACGATACCTCCACCACTTTACTTTCCTACCAGCATGCAACACCTGATAATCAGACCGAGCCTCTCACATGGTCCTTGAAATTTGCACGATGGGATTCAGTCTATTTTCTGCACATCGCCGAGCAGGGATATGTCTTTGAGCAGGAGTGGGCTTTCGGTTATCCCAGAGTGTTGGGTTGGTTTATTTCAGGTATCTTGAATGTATTATTCGAAACACAGCGCTTGACGATTAATGCTCGCTCACAGGACTTCGCATGTCTGGGGCAGAAGGCGGGCAAATCAACACGGCACTCGTGGGTGTAGTGTTGTCCCACGTTGCGCATTATCTCTCCATTTTGGCTCTGTACCGTCTCTCGGTCAATATATTTGGTCATGCGACAGCGGCCCAGAAACTCATCTGCTTCTTGTCGGCGGCGCTACATATCATCTCCCCGGCTGGAGCATTTCTTTCAGCACCGTATGGTGAATCCTTATTTTCCCTTCTGAACTTTACGGGCTTTTACCTCTACACCTCTTCACTTATCAACGAGCATAACGGTATCACTGTCTTGCGGGATATCCAAGTCCTCACGGCTGCTGTATTGTTCGCTCTTGCCACGATTGTCCGCAGCAATGGTATTCTGAGCGGATTCGTGTTTGCATATGACGCCTGTATGGTGGCCTGGACAACCCTGACCCAGGGTCCATCTCTTCACAAAACCCGTTACTTAACGATCATGATCCTGGGTGGCTGCATTATCGCCTTAGGCATGATGGTGCCCCAGATCTTGGCCTACCGCACGTATTGCATGTCTGAGACGTATCTTCGGCCCTGGTGCAGCTCGCCCTTGCCCAGTATCTACGGCTGGGTTCAGGGACACTATTGGTATGCATTTCCTCTCCGGCACTCTCACCTTTTCATCCAGGTCACTAATGTATTTCCAGGAATGTTGGGCTCTTCCGGTACTGGACGGTATCGAACCTTCCTCTCTTCTTGCTGGCAACACCGGTCCTAGTGATCATGTGTCAGTCATCTCTGTGGGCGATGAAGGCTCCATCTACCCTGCGCTCGGGATCCAGAAATCATTCACCGTCATCGGTCAGCCCCGGGTCAATGCTATTTCGACTGGCCGTGCCCCAGGGCCTCTTAGCAGTCATGGCTTTGACGAGCTATCACGTCCAAATTATCAACCGAATTTCTTCCGGGTACCCAGTCTGGTATTGGTACCTCGTTTCCAGCGCCATGGACAGCTTCCAGGATCACCTGAAGGGCCGTCGCGGTCTCATGAACGCCGCGCAAACCATGGTGGCCTACGTATTGATCCAGGGAGTTCTCTTTGGTTCTTTTTTGCCTCCGGCTTGATACTAGTACCGAAAGTCAAAAATCAGAGAAGTAGAAATTTCAAGTGTAAATTACTAAAGGATTTATGTCAGGTTCTCCGCTTTCCTCAGGGTCCGGCTGTGCCGCATTCGTAACGGTTGTCTGCCTAAGTTGGGCCAGCGCCCAGCCAAGGCGCACCCAGCTGAGCCAGCGTAGCTATAAGTTCAAGGAAATCTCATGAAATCAGGGGACGAAAGATAAAGATCTACAATTTCCCGTAGAGAGCTTAGTTCGAATCTATTTTTGTTATTCTCCCACGCGGGTCTCCATAGAAGCTGCAGGGCTAGAGCTCGTTACGTGGAATTATGTCATCCGGCTTCACTCGAGAACTTCCTTTCGACTCTTGACATCTCGAGCTGTCACTTACCAACACGGACCTTCCTAATCGACGCCCAGGGAGGACAGGATTCCTGTGAATTTATTACAGCTGGCCCGCTATTCCATCTCTGCCAAGCCATCGCTTTGTCCGGTCGCTCTCGACGAGTACGAGAACCTCATGCGAACCCGGCTGTGTGCAACGCACCTGTCTTTCTCACCCTCCGCAGTTTGAGGAGAGAAACCAAAGCTCCGTGGAAGGTGTGCGCTGTTTCTCTTTTGCAATGAACTTGATGAACATGTATGGAACCTTGGAGTTGCTGACGGATCTACTTTAGAGCCCCATCTGACGTGCACGGCAACTTCTCCCCCTCCCCATCCCCATCTTTGTCCCAACTTTTCTTTCTTCGCGGACGACGACGATTATGGACGCCTCGGCTGCCAAGGCGATTCTAACGTCCGATAACTTCGCCCATGCCTCAGAGATCTCACGGGCCACTTCACCCGGTGGTGAGCCCGCTGCGATGAACGGTGGAGGAGAGCCCAAAGCCCGAGTTCGGCCGCGGACTTATCCCTATTTCAAGTACCTTCCATACCAACTAGAGGATGAATCGGAGCGCGATCGCACTCTTCATGAAATCTTGAATCACCTATACATCGCAGTCGAGGCTGGAGACTTTAGCCCTGGAGCTGTTCACTGGACACGCGAGCTTCGAGGATGGCTATCTCTGAAGTTCGATCCGACTCGACAAGAGCGGATTAATCTGGTGAAGCTGTACTACGAGCTTTCTTTAGCTCCTGGCATTGATCCCAGCACCTCTGAGCGATTCGCGAGCATGTTCATGCTTCTTACTAAGTGAGTATAGGCCCAACCGCGCTATTCGCGTCGAATGGCATCAATGCTAACCAGCATACAGGCGTAAGCATTATTTGAAACCAGTTAAAGATTTGGTTTTGGATTGGAGGCCTTTGTACAAGGAATTGAAGGCCTTTGTTCTGCCGACCGAGTCCGGCCTGGTCCACTCGACCAATTTGAAGCGAAACGTGAAGACGTTGACGAAATTGTGCGCCTTCGCTCAGCTGTTTATTGATCCCTGCGAACTACCTGCCATGTTGGAGGAGTTTTTGCCACACTACACAACTTCGTTTTCAGAAGGCGCCTTCGTTGTCGCTGGTCTAATCAATCTGCTGCTTCCTACATCGCCCCCTCCCGCCGAGAGAGACGATCTCCTTCCCCAGAGTCATTTACCGACCCAATTTCATCTCTGGTCCCTCGTAGGTCGCTCCAAAACCTTTGACACAACATACCTCGATTATCTTTCCCGACTTGCCCGAGACTCGCTGCCAGCCGGCCATATCCCATTCTCCGAACATGGTATTTTCGCGAAGGAGCAGTCTTCTCTCATATTTACCGCCATCCTGAGATTGTTAGAGATCCCGGTAGGGCAATCCACTTCGCCGTACAGTGCTCTCGTGGACATCTCTTCTGGCCTTGGGATCATGCTCGACCGCGATACGCGTAAGCATCCAGTTGCCCACCACATTGCGCGTTGGATCGTAATGTCTCTTTCTCCGGCCTGTCTGGAGTCTGAAGATTCGATTCTTTCACAGCTCGAGGGTCTCATCCAAGCCGTTGAGACATTCTTCCACCCTTCAAATTCGGGTAGTTGGACCAAGACTTTGTCGCAGCTTGTTTACTATCTGACAGATTTCTTCGTGATGCGTTGGAATCGTGAGCAAAGTGGTGAAATGGACGTTCCCCCGGAGCGACGACTGAATGAGCCACTGAAGCGTCGCTTTGTGCTGTGCCTGAGGGATGTCATTTTCATGGGAATTTACGCCAAAAGCAGCACTGCCATGACCTTTTCTTTGTCTACCCTCCAAGGCCTCGCTTACTTGGAACCGCATCTCATTCTTCCGGTGCCCTGCAGAGAATCTACCCATCTCTGCAGGGGTTGGTTGAGGTGCATCGGACGACATCTTCTCTTCGCGCCATGCAGGTACTGTCGCGCGTTATCACTCGAACCAAAGGCTATCGCTGCCACATGACCACTCTTCTTGGCCTTGCGCTTCCTGGTATCGATGCAAACGACCTTGAGAAGTCTCTCCATGCTCTTTCATTCATACAATCCGCTTGTTATAATATTCCCATGGTCGACATGACTCAGGGAAGAGAGGATATAAATTGCAACATACTTGCGCTCCAGTGGATTACCGGTGAAATGGAGAGAATGGAAGAGCAAGGAGCCGCGGTACAGTTGAATTACGAGACTGAGCTGGATGACGAGACAGAAGAAATGATTCTGCGCTCCTCGACATGCGGTTTTGGAGATTTTACTCTCTCATTCTTAGGTCGTGTCTTTACCCTATTGGAGAACCTACCTGATGTCACTCGTGTGCGCAACGGCTCCCCGGAAGAGAACATCGTCAACACCCTCCCTGCGACCTTTATGCCGCTTCTTGCTTCGCTGTCCCCTGAATACTACGACATTGCGTTGTCCAAGATTGTCGATTTCGTCTCAAATCACGTCATTCATCAAGCTCGAGACGCAATGGCTTTCATTTGCAATGCCTTGTGCAAGGTCAACCCTAAGAAAGCTCTCAAGCGGTTCATTCCGGTTCTCACCCAAGCTATTCGCACCGAGATTGAGGAGAACGGTGCTGGCTCTACCAGAACTACAGGCACCGATGTCTTGCCGCGAGATCGCGGACTGGTTTGGAACGTGAGCATGTTGAGCATGTGCGTGGTGCATGTCGGCGATGCGGTTCTCGCTCATCGTCAAGAACTGTTTGATATCGCGGTGTACATGCAACAGAAGTGTCGCGGCATTCCCACTGTTCACATCTCCAACTTCATCCATCACCTCTTGCTCAACTTGACCGGTACATACACCAGTGATTACTCGCTCTATGAGAAGCAGGATGTCGAAGGGGGCATCCAACCCGAACACTGGAGTTACACACCTGATGTGAGCAACCTCCACATCAAGTGGCATGTGCCCAAGCGAGAAGAACTGGAGTTCGCTGTGGCTGTCTTCAAGAACCAAGCAGAGGGAGCTCTGAAGCATCTATCTGGGTTGACCCACGAAACATCTAGCATCAAACGAGATGGAAGTGGTAAAGATTGGTCCGATGAAGTCACGCGGAACCTTGTACTCCTGCGACTACTTCTTTCCGGTATCTCCGTGCTGTTTGATCCCAAGGCCGCCTCGCAAAATTCCACTGAAGTTTCAAACGGTGCATCGGCTGCATCAAACGAGGTTGAGATGGTTGATGAGTCGACTCTCTCTAATGGTATAGGCGATGACGAATCGGCTCTTGACAGCTCAGACGAAGGAGCAATCAGAGAAAGCTACTCTTATCCTACTGGCTATCCACTTGAAGAGGGCGATATCCTGTTCAAGGAAATCCACGAGATTCGTGAGCGGGCAGGCTGGGTCTTGCATGAAACCCACCGGTTCTTGACTGATCACCAAGAGGACGATGTGCCATGCTTCGGAGCACTGTACTCGGCTTTCCGATCTTACTTCGTTGATGTTGGTATCGAAAGGTCTGCTCATGTTCTGGATCGCGTTACACGCCTCTTGGCAGCAGACATCCACCCCTACAAGATGAGCGGCATTCGAAAAGACTATCCGAGAGCGCTGCTTGTACGTCGGGCTAATGTCTACCATCTGCAACGTTTGCGACACAATGCAGCACCACGACCTCGGTCCAAACTTGATGAGATCCTTCTCTACGATCTTGCCGAGTCCTGCGTCTCTCTGTATACCGAGACACGTCGCAATGCCCAAAATGCTGGTGAATCTGCACTGAAGTCTGTTTGGGGTGCTCGAACGCTCATCATTCCCCCTCTCCTGAAGGCCTTACAAAAGGGTGTGAAAGAGAACGATCATGCACGAATCAAGGGAGCCTTGTTCTCTTTGCTTCTTAGCAGCGTAGCGAGAACCGTGGGACGGAATTGGAAGTACACACCAACTCTGATTCGAACTTTTATCGACGCTAGTGCCGTGGATAGACCGTCCGTGCAGAAGATTTGCTCTAGCGCCGTCTTCCAAATCATGGACTACGGTCGCGCTATGGAACGCATGGTGATTTTAGACCGTGAGATCGTGGAAGCGATCGCACCCAGTCAAGACGTTAGTGACCAGATCGAGCTGAAGCGCAAGGCGATCAACACCAAGCGTGCGACAATTGAGAAGAAGAAGACTGATCTAGCGGAAGAGCTGGTGAATCTGGCGCGAGTCTCGCATTGGAAGATCGCCAGCCGAGCCGCTACCATCGTCATCACCATGGGTCTTCGCTTCGACTACATTGCTAGTGAGAACTTGATTGAACTTGTAACCTCTGGGTCGATTGATGATCATCCCGGCTTGCGCGGTATGTACTCCCAGGCTCTCATTGCGCTGTTTACTATGATCGATGTCCGAGCCATCTGTGGTCACGAATATAAGAACTACATTCTGGGCCACCAGCGCTTCCCTTCGAAGATAAAGGTGGCCACCCGGCCGTACGAGAAAGATTGGACGCAGGAGTACTTGCGCAGCTTCGCCCAGCCTGAGGCCGAATACTATGTCGATCATGATTTCCCTGGCTGGCTAGTATGGGGCAAGACCATGCCTGCGTACAAATCCAATGTGGACCGAGACATCGAGTATGACGAGATGGAGTGGAATGTTCGTACGCAGATGGGCAAATTGTTCACTCGGGAGTGGTTCTCTACATTCTTCAAGTACCTGAAGCAGGAGCCGAGGGATCCTTCCGCGGATAAGTTCCGCATGTCCTGTGCCATGATGCTTCTCTATGCCTTCGAACTCATGCTCCGGGATGGTTTGACTGTTGCCACTTTCAAGGATATCCAGGAAGAGATTCAGAGCGTTTACGAGGATGGTAGTGATAAACACCAGCATCGTGCTACAGCAGAAATTCTTGGTGCACTGATCAGCTCTGTAACCGATACAAGTGTCGAAAGACGAGCGCTGGTCTGGGAGTATGCATTCCCCATCATCAGGAAGGTCTTCACTGATGGTCTCACTCCTGAAAATTCGGGATACTGGACTACTTTCCTACACATGATTCTGCAGTGTCGCGATCCTCGCCGAGCCTGGCCTTTGGTCGACTGGCTCGCCAGCTTCCGCTTGGACATGTCTACCAATGCAGCTTTTAAGGAGAGCTCCAAGATCAACCTTTTGCATCAGTGCATTATTGATGCCGGTTGGCATTTCCAACTCGAGAAGCCGATTGTAAAGGACTTCCTCGCACATCTGGACCATCCTTACAAGGGAGTGCGTGAAGCCATGGGTCAAACCCTTGCAACAATCTACCGCACACGCTACCACGAGTCTTATCCCGATATCCAACACCTATTGGAGGCCCAAAAGGCTTCTTCATCTGTCGGTGCCTATCCCTACCAGCCTTCCGCCGAGTTCTCGGAAATGGTGCGCGGGGTCTTCGCCCAGATCGAACAGTGGCGGCAGGCTCGAGTCCCAGGCCAGCAGACTCCGTCGCCTTATACTCAAGGGAGTAAAACTGTCCTTCTTTGGTTGGACTCGACCTTGTCCTCTCACGAGTGCACTCAACTCGTTCCCTTCTTCCCCGACGTTTTCACTGCACAGCTTTTGCACATGATGGACGTCAAGGAAGATCCAGAGCTACAGTCGCTCGCATATCATGTTTTCCGTCATCTTCCCAACATCCCCTATCCCGCCGAGAAGAACTCTGAATTCATCCAGTCCCTTATTCGTATTGGACAAACATCGCCGTCATGGCATCAACGACTGCGCGTGATGATCAACATTCAAATCATTTACTTCCGCAGACTCTTCCTTTTGGAGCCCGCCGACCGTGACAAACTCTTTGAATGCATTGCCGCCATGCTCGAGGACTCACAGCACGAGGTCCGCGTCGGAGCATCAGCCACCCTTTCCGGCATGGTCCGCTGCTCGCCCATTCTCCTCCGCGAGAAGATGGTCAAGCGCTTCCAAGAGCGCTTCACCAAGGTTCTGGCAGACAACCCCCTTCCTAAGAAACCCAAAAACTTCCGAGGGGGGGCTCTCTTCCGCCGTGTCATCCGGTACTGGTACCCCGACACCTGAGCACAACCGACTGATCATCGCTCGTCATGGTGCTGTGCTTGGCCTTGGAGCGCTTATCCAAGCTTTCCCTTACAACAGTCCTCCGCCTCAGTGGATGCCCGATGCATTGACTACACTGAGCACCCGCGCCGCAAATGATCCCGGGGTGGTAGGATCGAGCGTCAAGTCTATTATTAGCGAGTTCAAGAAGACAAGACAGGATACCTGGCATATAGATGCGAAGGTGAGTTACACCTGTCAAATTACTGTATGAAATACTTCTAACATATCGTTCTAGGCTTTCACACCGGATCAGCTGGAGGATCTGTCTGGAGTACTTTGGAAGAGCTACTTTGCTTAGAGTCAAGCGACTGACTGCCTCGTAATCGTGCACTACATGTGTCCTGTGAATAGTGTCGTGTATTTTCATGTTGGCAATGCATCCATTTATTCACAGTATATCTGTTCGCCACAGACTCACACTAAATCAGCTGTGATTTCTCCTATTTCCCAATCAAAGTTGGAACTTATAATCCGGCACTGACACTCCGCGTCGCGCGTCCGTTATGACAATCGCCCGGTATTCGAAGCAACTCCTCAGTCTTGTGTACCACGCATAAGCAATACGGGAACATGGTCCGGCGTCAGAGTTGACAGGTGCCTCAGGAGCTTTACACCGAGGCCTCAAGGACGTTGTATGTCCCGCATCCGATCTACGCAGATGTGCCGGTGGACAGTGAACGAACCGGCGCGGATCTATAATCCAGGTTCGCCGGAGAATGTCAATGGTACGCCAGATAGCGCATGGAACCAGGGCCATCTCTATAATCATATCATGTGTCGTCTTTCTTAAATGTCCACGACACAATTCGCCGAGGATCTGCAAGACGGTGGCTGGGTTACCGGACTGCTGAATATGAGGGTGGAAAATGGGCATGTCCTTCTTTTTTCTTTTTTCTTCTCTTTTCGCCTTCTTTCAATGAATCAAATATGATATTTCTGTAGGCAGAAGAACTTCGCTACAGTCGGCATTGCTTCACGTCCGTGTTCTTGCATACAATCAATTAATTTTAATGCTAGATTCGGGTTGGACCTAAGGCAATTCGGATCCTTATGTTCGAAGAAGTTGCGAAGTCTCCTCGTGCTTTCGTGAAATGTATCCTATAAATTTTCTGAGGGACTGGGACTGTTCAATGTTCGTCAATGTTCGCCCGGATATAGCCAGAACTGTTCAATCGCATCCTTTCAATATCCATTGAATCGCGAAGATGTCCAATCAGTCATTTCTGATATATCTACAATTACAAAGATTTATATGTATGTACTTGATTATTTGACCCCAGTGATCCCTGCATCCCAACTCTCCAACTCCTGCTCGAACCCATCATGGGAAAACGAACCCTCGGCTCTTACAGTCACAGCGGTAAATACAAGCAGACCGGTGGGAGCTATAACACTACCACATTCGACCGCAGCGAGTGATCTGCAGTGAAAGATAATATGGCTATCACGAACGTCGAGGGTACGAGAGTCAGGAGAGTATCCTGCGAGACGATCAGCTTCATTAAGATCAGATTAATCTGGATGGAGCATTCCCAATCGGTGCGATTCAGCGCACAAATAATATAAATGTGTAATATGAGGCGCGGTCACTTTTGCGGTCCGCTTTCAAGCACCATCCTGAGACTGGTATTTGGTAGGGGTTACATTCGTTGTGCTGTACGTATGACTTGGGCACCTACAGGGCTGGTTATCCGTATGCCCTTCCTGTTATTTCTGGCTTGAAAGGTCTTTCGAGGTCGGGAGCGCCACATGGCACCATATCCGGGAAACTTGAGAATTATTCCGTGAGAGAAGTTCGATGTGCTAAATCCGTGGTGATGGCTCCGTGTGCTACCATGTTACGTGTGTAGACCGAAGTTTTAGTCATAATCTATTAATATCCGCTGCGTGCGGCAATGTCGAGCCACAGAAACAAAAAGAAAAAATAACACAAACGCAATGTGCAAATAATGTATGTACTGGAGAAAACAACATTGACTTGTAGGGGGAAAAGAAAAAGCGGACCCCTTCGTTTTTTGCTCGGATTGAGAAAATCGGTCCGATTTCATGACATCGTGAAAGGCCAATGAGGCAAGACCTTATCCTCGCCCATTATATTTCTCATTGAAGGCATTGACCGCTGCATTACATGTCAGTTTTTTGTATCCCGTTGAGACGATATGGAGTCAAACTTACCGATAGCAATCTGTCTATACAGCCAGTTTCGGGAACTCTCGTCTTGGACAGGAATGAAAGGACCATTTGCCCCGCCCTTGAGGGTGATGCTCATGCCGGTGCGCTCTTTGGAAATCGTTTGAATATCCGTTAGGCGAATGTCCCACTCAACAGAGAGCTTTTTGGTGCGCACAAGCATGATGCGTGCGTATGTCAACAGAACCAGCATGTCTCGGCCAGGAAGCTCCAGGTGAGCGATATAGTCTTCGTTGAAGTACTTTCCATCCTCGGCGGTCTTTAGCCAGAACTGGCCAAGTGCCTCTCGCTGCGAGTAGGGGCGGACAATGCCGTCAACACCAATGAAGCGAGTCAGACGCACACGGTCAAGGCCTTCTGAGTCAAAGACAGTTGTGGTGTTTCGAACACCCTCTGCAAGGTTGGAAGCAAGATCGAATGCGCCAATGGCGGGCTTAGTAGCAAGACCCAAAACACCCTTTCCCACACCCTTGAAGAAACCTGCCATGCCTTCTTTCTCGGCACCCTGCAGGGGTGGCGAGCTAATCCACCGATACCGCTGGCTAGACTAGTTGCGAAAGCGTTTCCTCCAGCTGTGATACCGTAGAGGGCGTGCTTAGGACGGTTGCGGGACTTAGACATGCGGCGCTGGTCTTGGAACTCCTTGTCCAAAGTGGCAGCGGCGAGACCCTTGGACATACTTCCAGTGAACTTCGCCATACTATCGGAGAATCCGAAGACTGATTTCTTGACGAAGCTTGTGGCACCCTTAGCAATACCCATGCCAAGCTCCTGAGGTCGGTCGGTCATGACGAGACCCTGATAGGGCTCGTAGAACATAGCGGCCACACCGGAGCTGACGTTGTTGAACAGACCAACGGGATTGCCAAGGAAGTCAGCGGAGCCAAGAATAACATGGACTTGACGCAGGAATTCTTGAGTATAGTGGGCGCGAATATTGCCAACTAGGCTTCCAAAGGAGACACGAGCGTTCTCCAGCATTAAAGCATTCAGTCGGACCGGTGCATCGTTGACGTTACCCATTGACATGGTCATGACGTTGACAACAAACATGAGAGGATTGGATGGCTGCATGGTATCCTCTACATTGACACGCTCAGTTCGCATGAAGGAGATGTCCAGCTGCATGGGTTGCAGGTGAAGAAGCTCAAAGTACACATCCTGACCGTTATCATCCTGTTGCGGTTCAGGAATATTGAGGTCCTCATCACACAACTTTCCCTCCTGCTCCTCTGACCACGAGGCACCTGGGATCTTGGCGAAGTCCAAGACGGCGAAGATAAAGTCCTCATCTAGCTCAAGAGTCATTTGCTGCAAAAGCAACGTCGCATATTTAATATAGAGAACACCATAGGTGTCATCCTTCACGCGAGTGACCATTGCATGGAAAATAGGGTGCGCCTCCATCTCCTTTCCAGTCTTGGGAACCACACTCGGGTACAAGAGGATAGGGAAGATACCACCGTACAACTGATTGTCGATTTGTATCCACTTGATGGTTGTGTTGAGGGTCTGGTAGATCCTCGACTCCCGGTACTTGATTTCGATCTCACGGAACGTGAGATAGAGCAGCTCTTTCAATTTCTGATTGATCAAAGAGATTCCGATACCTCCCAGACGAAGCTGGGCCTTGAAGTTCACGTCCGAGTTCATCTCTTTGACCTCGAAACCAGTACTTATGCTTGCTGAAGAGGTCTGAGCCTTCCGCTGCTTGTATATACTCTTTGATGGCTTGAAGTTAGAGAGTACAAGCGTCTGTGTGGGGCCATCGGCAATGATGTTGATGTCGATGATCTTCTGGTATTCCCCGGGGTTCTTGGGTGGAATGCGCATCGGAATCAAATTACCAATCTCGGCGAGCTTGATGTGTCTTTCCTTGCCATTGCAGCTCACAACAAGAGACTTATTCTTCGTTGCCGGGTAGTCCCATGCGTAAGGCATAATACTCCTGGGCGGCAGACGATAACGAATGGGACGCCAAGTGGTTGATTGATCGTCTTCATCATCCTCAACGTTGGGGTTGGCTTGGTAGAAGATGAACTCCGTGTCGCTCTCGTTGCGCATCGAGAATGGCCAGTTGCGAGACTCGAAGCTGAAGTGCAGGAACAGCGTTGCCCCTTCCAAAATAATGTCAACCTTAATCAACTTCTGGCGCTGGTTTGCTTTAGCCAGTTTCACATGGACAGTCCCAACATCTGCGATGTTAAATGGAGAAGACCATTGATTGTTGACACCAGGGAAGCAAAGGCAGAGCTGCTTCTCAACGATTGCGCGCAAAAAATGCAGAGGAACCAGCTCTCCGCTAGTGATCTGGAGCACATTTGATGAACCTGGCTCGCGTACCAGAAGGTCTTCATTGAGCTTGCTCTTCAGAACGAACCTGGGCGAGAGAGTGACCACCTTGGTCAATTTGTACTTGCCCTCACCCTCAGCAACAGAGACACCAGAATGGAATTCAGATCTACCCTGTTGGTCGGGGAATACGACTTCGAAGGTACTTCCAATGGCCTCGAAACTCTGAGGCTTACTCCAGGTAGAATCGCCGACCTTCAAGATGGACCGATTCTTTTGGTCCTCAGCACCGTAGGAGTACATGTAGGGCAGTGCGCGGCCGCCCTCTCTCGGATCGACCCGGAGTCCTTGGCCGGCAGCATTGCGAGCGGACTGAAGGAAGCCCTTGCTTTGGATGTCCATGGGCAATCCAGTCTTGTTCAAAATAAGGTATGGACTGTAGACAGAAACCTTGAAAGCTCCACCGCTGTTCGGGATGTTGAAGTAATGAAGCTTCAACTTCAGCTGAAGACCCCGCTCATCCTTCAGGGACAAACTGTGCTCTCTGCGGTAGTCCTGCGCATTTCCGTTGATAATACCGAACTCGCTTTGCTTGAATACCGTGTCCTCCAAGTCGATGCTAAGCAAGAGCAGATGAGCCAACTCAACAACATGGACTGGACTCACGCCGCCCTTTCTCAAGAAGTTCGTCCAATCCTTCTTGGTGTTCTTGTCGTATATGCGGTACTTGAAGTCATAAGGCAGAAGATTCTGAATCTCAACCGGAGCAAAGATCCGAATCCTCATGTAAGGATACACGCTCGTCAGAGAATCCTTGCTGTCATAGGTTGCATTAACCTGGAAGTAGAATGGCGGCGACTGCTGTCCACTCTCGCTGATACATTTCACAGTGCGTGTAGGTCTTTTTATGAGGTCTTTCCAGATAAGCGCTCGTTCGACCAGTCATAGCCGAAGCCCTGGTCAGGACGAATAACAACGGAGTGGAGGTATGCTGAGCCAACAGGCGCAGGTCGAGCATCGCCCGGAAGAATCTTCTCAATCTTCAAGAGATGACCGTCATCAGGGCTGAACACACCCAGCTCCACAGGGATCTGAGTGTTGTTCTCCACAAGCAGAGGCGAGCGGAACGTGATGTACTTCACGTTGTCGGCTCCGAGATTGACCTCCACAAGGAGACGGTGGAGGACGTTGTCGCGCTTCGGCTTCAGGCCATAAACCTTTTCACCCTCACGAACAACAGGGATACGGCTGATGCTGTCGAATCCACTTCCTTCCAACTTGACTCCAACGACCCCACCATGACCTTCCGGTGTAAGGGTCTCTCGAATAGCTGTAGAGTCTTCAAATCGCCAGGGGTATTCCTCTCCGTCGCTCAATTTAGCAGCAGGGCCATCTTCTCCCGCGTTGACATCGGCCCACACATGGAGATCGAATCCAGTATAATTACGAATTCGGTAGGGAGCATCTGCGCCTCGTGGCTTGGAAAGTACATCCTCGTCATTAGAAAGGAACTGGAGCGATTTGGACGCAAGCGCAATAGTGGCCGACGTGACTGTGAGCTCCATCGTTTTGTGCGAGAAGGCATCAATGGAGAATACGTCTGGGTTGACCTCCTTCGCCATGTGGAATCCAAACTGCCAAGGCTCAATGAGGGGTTCCCAGGCGGATTTGGAGAAGTTGTAGACATTGAGGAAAGTATCGAAGCTGGTATCCATGCTCAAAGTAGATGACCAATCCCGCACATCCACATTGAATTTCTTGACACTCCAGTCCAGTAAGGGCAGGTCGTGCAAGTCACCGATCAGAATCACTCGGACACCATCGATCTTCGCTGACAGCTCTTCGCGCTTGAGAACAGCCGAGCTCTGAGGGATACTTTGGTCAATCGTCTCGACCGCCTGACTCACGACGCGGCGGGTTCTGTGGGCCAAAGTGGAAGAAGTCTTACTTCCAGACTGGGCTCGTATACCCTTCGCATCATTGATATTCTTCACCTCTCCACCCTCTAGCTGCTGTGCATTCTGAGCTCTCATCTCGGCAGCCTTGTTGACAATCTGGATTGCCATCAAAATATCACGCAGAGATAGACGGAGGACAAGAGGCTCAAGGTGTACCTCAATTGAGGTAAGAGCGGAGCCCTTGTCTTGCGGTCGACTGTCAACGGATAACTCAACGGTGAAGTCATCCAGAATGCGAAGTCGACTAGTTTCAAACTTGTCCATGCGACACAAGAACATGCCGACCTTCTGTATTTGCAATGTTGAAACATTCTGGTGGGAGATGAGAATTTCCTTAGTTCCAAGAACAATAGCCTCGGAGTGAGTAATAGTGGGGTTGGCCACCATGATAACCTGAGCATCGACCAGGTTAACCCGGAAAGACACGGTTGTTGTTCCGGCTACGCTATCTCCGGCTGAAGCTTCGGTGATGGCTTTGTCGGTGGAATCCTCCTCCCGAGTCTAATTCGGATTCGTCGACCGAGTCAGACTCTTCTTCCACAACTCCTGCGGGTTCCTCGTTGGTGAACGCAGAGTTACTGAACGACTGCAAAGCAGACAGATAGTCAAGAGCAAACATGATACGAGGACTATCAATGGTCAACATTGCAATAAGATGCTTCTCGGGTCCGGGAGACATGGACAGGCTGGCCATGAATTGCTGTTGAACATCATTGTTGATCAAGGACATGATGTTTCTGAACTTGTTCGAGTCATGTCGGCGACTGTCACGAATAGAGAAAGAGTGTATCAAAAGCTCCGACTCCAGCGAGCCATCTGTCAACATGCGAAGCTTGACTCGGGTGTCGTTGAGAGAGAATTTGGATAGACTGGAGTCCTCTAAACGGCCGACGGGTTGGTTGTCATTGGCCAGGATGAGTTCCAGTCCAACGCTGTCGACCTTGAAGATCATGTCAAGTCGCACCCATGTCTCCTTGCTAGCGCCGTCCGCAGCTGTAGCTGCGTCAGAGTCCTTCTGGGCCTGCACAGCCTTGGAAGTGGCCTCCCGTGTGGGCTCAGTAACGGATGACGGTAAAGATTCCAATGCCTCAAGCTCCTGCTGTTCAGCATCGGTTGCAAAAGCGCCAGGAATTGACTTAGATAGAGCCAGCAGGAATTTCAACTGACTCTGGGAAATCCGAAGGTTGATAGGCGACAAGGAACCTTCGATCTCCATGTCTGGACGGGGATTGTTGGCCTGGTGCTCCAAGTAGCAAATGCTGAAGTCGAGATTGACCTTCTGAATCATCTCTAGCTCTTCCACCAAGCCCTCGTCGAAGTGGAACTTCGATGTTAGACGGATGTTGCGGACACCGGTGGAGATTACATTCACGGCCGGGCTGTCCTTGGACTCGTCCATGGGAACGAACTCATTCTTAGCGTAGATTTCACCAAGGTAGGCGGTTATCGTGTCTCGAGGCCACTCAACCGCCATGGCTCGGGGGAACACCACGATCGGGGTGTTGACCACAATGTCCAGGCGCATGCGCGAGGGGTTTTCTTGGAGCTGGTTGGCTTGAGACGCGGCAGCCTGGCGCGCTGCGTTGAATATCGCTTGCATCTTGCCGAATTTGACAAGAAAATTGATAATCTTCCGGTAAGGTTCCTCCATGAAATTGATCTTGATCGACCCAGATCGTAAATAGACCTCAGAGTCGTATCCAGGGTAGCTGTCACTTTCAGGATCGAAGGTCTCGTACTTGAAGTCCGCGAAGTTATCCCCTTCAATCGTTAGAAGACGGCGTACGTCCGAGTCCTCGGGTGCGCCCAAATTGACATCGTCAACTAGTGTCAGGCTGCCAATTCGAGACTGAATGCTCATCGTGCGGCCCACAAGGAAGATTCCAACATCAGCGGTGTTCAGACTGAGTGTTGCAAGTCGAACTCCATCATTGTTGAGAATGAGCGCAATGCTTTTCAAGTTGGATTTGATGCGGATCTTTCCGGCTTGTTGAGGCGTTTCGTCCACAATGGCTGTTTCTTGAATAGCCTTGTCTGACTGCGAGCTCTCATCAACTGGCTGCTGTGGACTTGTGAAAGTCAGGAGTATGAAGTCAAGCAGGGTCAACAGCGTCTTTCTTGTGACGACAAGATTGATTGTTGAGACCGATATGTCAAGATTCATGGCGACACCTTCATATGTTGTGTCAAACTCAGGAGACTCGGGCTTCACGCGGACCATTTTCAAGTGGAAAAGATCCTTATCCTCGTCTGCATTGAATCCCTTGGACGAAATAATCCTCTTGAACTCGGGCACAGGGTTATCTTCGATATAATCATCGACACTCAAGGATTTCAGGATGACCTCGGCAACCATGTCATAAGGGCGCATGTAGAAGTCAAGCTCAAATCCTTCAGCAACCAGTTCCACCAGCAATTTATCCTTGAGTGGATCTTGCGAGTCAGATCGGAATAGGGAGCCCCGGAGGCGACCAACATTGAACTTGAACTCGAAGTCTCGGCGGTGAATGTTGTTGGAAATGTCCGGGCTCTTCTTGGCATAATCACTTTCTGACTCGGCTTCGTCGTCATCAACAACGGGAAGATCTCGTCGAGCTGCAGGTTGGAACGACGCTGATCTGGGTCTGGTAGCAATTGCTGTTTCCGCTTCTTCGGACGCTTTAGCTAGTGGACCAGCGGAATCTTTGCCTTCATCGAATTGCGGGATTGCGATGTCGATCAACTTCATCAGACCCTTGTACTTTGTGTCTGACATTGACGCATGCAGCTCTGGAAGGTGACCTGAAATTCGAGTCCGAGTGAGTTGCGTCACTTTGGGAACAATGCACATCTCGAGAACAAAGTCCACGTTGATGCGGTCGATGATATGGAAATTCTTGGATTCAACACCAGAGGTAAGCTGCGCTTTAGTTGCCTCCACTCCGGGCCCAATCAGAACCTGAGTCGAATCCAACTTGATGAGGAAACGATCATAGAGCAGGTGTTCGAGCTGCTTGTAATCTTCCTCTTCGTATTGGCGCTTCTGTTTTGATTGTAGATCTCGCATGGCCTGTCGATCGACCAGTTCACTGTTGACACTGGCATGACCCGCATCCAAAATCAAACACAGAGAGCTTTCTTGTGTAATGCTTTCGGGTACGATAATGAAAGGCGCGTGCACGTCAAATTGCGCGTCAACCTTCTTGTGTTCCTGCAAGGCAAACTCCAGGCCTGCTCGGGTCTGCTGCCGCAGGCCCTCGACAGTAGCTCCAGCGGTGTCCAAAAGTGCACCAATCGACTCCATATGCCGCTCAGGAGGCTCGAAAAATTTGACAATGCCCACCATGAACCGAGGGTTGTAGATAATTTCGATACTTTTCAGTTTGACCTTGACTGCTGTATCCGCATCGCTTTCAAGGGGATTCTTCTCCAGTTGCAGATGGAACAGGCTGTCTTCATGTTTAGTATCATCGTCACTGGCCTGAGAGGCTAGATCATCATCATCATCATTATCATCATCCGTAATGGCCTGCCGTTCCTTGACAGGCTCTGGAAGAGAGTCTTTGACCCTGACAATCTTGGGATAAAGAGTGCCAGGGGTAGTACCATCGTACATCTTCAATCCTCCAAGATCAATATCGAGGAGATATGAATCTGGGCGCTGGAGGGCCTTGGCTCGGAAATTATCAAAGACAAGTTTCATGACTTCGGTAGCTGCTCCATGAGGATCCTTCTTCAAAGTGAAACTGCCAGCCCGAAGACTCCAATCGACCTGCAGCTTGACCCATTCTCGAGGTACGTCGACACTATCCGCAAGAGCCTTCTTTTCGTCCCAATCGATGGCGCTGTACAGTTCTTGTCGCTGTTCTTCGGTCATGGCGGGCTCCTCTGATTCCTCCTTCTTGCTGCGCCAGAGCCATTCGCCCCATGACTGTTGCTGGGCGGGCTTTTTGATGCCGACATTTTCTTTGCGCAGCTGATTCCGAGCCAGAGATCGCCAGAACCTAATGTCGTCATAACTGAGCTTCCATTCCAACCTCTCCATCTCCTTAGTTTCTTCAGGTGTGAACGCTTCTTCTCGCTTCCGTTTCTTGAATAGATTGATATACGAAAGGCGATCGTCTCTGCGCTCCTTGATGTAGTCCCAAGTCCATCGTCGGTTCCGATCATGGATCTTCTTGAGGACTGCATTTCCAGCAAACTTCATCCATGCCCGAGGGTCCTCCTGAGGAGACGTTTTGGGTTGGAATCGCTTGTACTCCTGGTGGCGAATGAAGTAGTGGAACAGGTCGACCAGCATCAGGGCATCGCGATACTGGTTGTCGTCCAAAACAAATCCGAGTTCATCGAAGAGTAACCGGGCTTTCATAGCAGGCCGATCATACTTGCCTGACTTGTCCATTTCAAGTCCTGCACGACCACTGACAGGTCGAAGCATGAATTGTTTGCCTTCTTCGCCGTCAATCGCCGAGCGCAATTTTTCCATCAGCTCATCGTGACCAATACCCTGAGCCTCAGCGCCGATGTCAGAGCCTCGTCCAGTACCCAGGAGGGTCGCGTCCGTATTCCAATATACCGAAAGAGCGCCGAGAACTGCGAGTTTGTGCGTAGTGTCAGATGTGGACTGGATGAAAGTAGGTTTCCATTCCGAGTCGGTGCTGACAGCACTGAGCTCCTTTAGCGTCAATCCGACAGCGAAGGGGTGGCCAGGAGAAGCGATGGAGTCTTCATAGCGGAAATGCACGTTCTTGATTGAGATCTGGAGATTGTCTACAACGGCCGTAATCATGCTTTGGGTGAAGCTCTGGTTCCGGCGCTGTTCTTCCTGGCTCATGCCTTCAGCATTACGCTCGCGAAGAATCTCGGCACTCTCAATGCGTTCCATTTTCAAGGTGTGCGCTCTTCGATCCTCCTCTTTGGCGTCATAATCCGCGTCCTCCTTTGGTGCGGCGAGAAGGAAAACATCTTCAATGTCGACCTTGACGGGCTTTCCCCTCAAATTAGACCATGGAATGGACAAAGTGAGTTGGCCCAGGTGGCCCTCAACAACGTTCAAGGGCAGGTGTAGCTGGTCAAGCGCTTCCCGGCGTAGCTCAAGATTGCGCAGCTTGACGTCGCCTGACCAGATGCCGATATTAAGTTGCTTAGCATCGAAATTCTTTACGTAGATGCCCAAAAAGCGGTTGAGCAAGCTAGCAACCAGTCCCTCCAACATAGTTGCGAGATTTGGCCTTGGACCGGACCCGGTGATTGGGCTCTATAGCTGGTGATGTGGCTGAGCAGGGTGGGTCGTCGCGACTGGTAGTCGACCTAGCTCTGAGGTAAGTGGCAGGTCAGTAGCTATCCCCGACCTTGTAATTATGCAGAATGGGGGTGTTCTCACGCAGCATGAGAAAGATTCCTAGGTGCCCTCAAGTCCGAGATTGCTTTAAGCCATCCAAGCAGTGCTGGTGTGCTGCACGCGATACCGAGGCGGAATCTCCACCTTCGAGATGAGCGGCCAGGGTGTTTGGGAGAGAAGTCGAGAGTAAGGAACTGAAAAAGAGCAGACTCGGAAGCGATGAGATCGCAACAAGGAAGTTGGGTTATCGAAAGCCAAGCCAATGGCCGTGGAGAAGAAAGGCCACTATCTGTTACGCAAACTGGGCGAGGCCAAGGTACCGTACCCCGTACAATGCGCCCGCTGGGGACATTCCCCGACCGCCCACATTGGTACTGCACAGGGTACATCGAGGTTAAGCTTCTCTACTACTGTGACTGAAACCTGACTAGAAAGTAATGTAATCAGATTGATTTGATATTTCTCGACCCATCAATAGAAATAGATAGTCATTTCCCCCCGAATGAATGGTACTACACTGTACTGTACTGTACGCTTGTTTACTGCCAACGCAGAGTGACGTCGGTCCCGTGCTGGGCAGTCTCCAAAGCTGGCTAGTCACCTAGGGCTTCGCCTCTCGTACTCACGTGACATCACGAGACTCCCCAGCTTCACATCCGGATGCCTAAGGCAGTTAAATGCCGTTCGGGTCGCTACGGTCCGCCCGACGACCACACCTCATCATTCCGGTCACTTCATTTCTGGAGATTCTTATTTGCTCTATCTCGGAAACCCACGGCCTCCCCGACTTCAATCACGAGTCCCTTTCCGGGTTAATACCCTCATCTCCACTCTTCAAACGCTTCTTCAGCTGTTTTACAGTCCAATTGGGTCGGTTGTCCCCGCGCTTTCGCTGTACCCGAGGCTTTTCGTTCCCGCGACGTGCTAACTCGACTACACACGAAAAGCTCTCCCCGCCATGCTGTACCGCAACACCGCCGCCCGCTCTGTGCTCCGGGCCATCTCGAGCTCCAATGCCTCCGTGGCTCGCTCTTCCATGGGCGCTCCCGTCTTCAAGGCCCAGCTGACCTCGTCCGCCCGTGCCGTCCGCCCGGCCATCAAGCCCAGCTTCGCGCTCGCGGCTCACAAGCCCGTCACCACCGCTCTCGTTCGCTACGCTTCTTCCTCCGCTAAGGTAGGAAATCTGTCAGCTGGTGTGAACTTTATGGAGCATCCAATGGCTAATATGCTTTTGTACAATATAGGATGACGACGACGTCGACATGATGGCCGGCATGAAGTCCGAGGCTGTACGTTGTCCATTATCGTCCATTGAATTTCAATCGTTCAACCCATGTGCTCTATTCTAACGGTTCAATGTGACTATAGCAAGTTATCAAGGACACTTTCAGTTTGAAGGAGGTCCCCAAGGAGGCCTTGGCTCTCGGTATGGCCGGTGTTATCCCCTACCTGGCCACCTCCCTTCAGACTGTCTACCTCGCCTACGAGATTAACCGTGCCGCTGACCTCGGTGATGGTCTGATCTTCTCCGGCCAGAGTGCTGAGCTGATGCTGCACATGCTGGAGCCCATTCAGGTTGGCTACGGTGCCGTCGTAAGTGCCCCCCGACCTGTTTTTATATCGGAGCTGTCCACTGATCATTCTTGGCCTAGATCCTCTCCTTCCTCGGTGCTGTCCACTGGGGCCTTGAGTGGGCTGGCTACGGCGGCAAGTTCGGCTACCGCCGTTACGCTGCCGGTGTCATCGCCCCGGCCGTGGCCTGGCCTACTCTGCTGTTCCCCACCGAGTACGCTCTGATCACCCAGTTCCTTGCCTTCACTTTCTTGTACTACAACGACGCCCGCGCCGCTGCTGTCGGCCGTGCTCCTCACTGGTACGGCATGTACCGCTTTGTCCTGACCTTCGTCGTCGGTGCCTCTATTGTGGCCACCCTGATCGGCCGTGAGCAGATCCAGCAGAACGTCAGCTCGGAGCACACCATTACGGACAAGATCAACGCCCTGATGTTCCTGCAGAAGAAGGAGAAGGAGGAGGTTGAGGCTCGCCGCAAGGCCGAGCTCGGCCAGGATGAGGAGTAAATTCGGAGTCGCACCCGGAACCTGTAACTGTTGGGGATCTTTGAGATTCTCCCGCACTTGTCACTCGATGTTTGCATTCCCGTGATTTCCTGTAGAATATTCGCAGAACGCACGAAGGCCGAAGCCAATTGTTTTTCTTTTGTTTCACTGGCAGTTCTTCAAGCCACCAAGAGAGAGATGACGACCCACTGAGACGTACAGATAAACCTGCCGCATCCGACCAGCGGACCACGTGCATGTTCAATCGTACTAGCACGCCTAGACCGGATCTGGTAGCTAGAAGTGAGGGTCAAAAAAAAATCATCGAAACTGAAAATTCAAAGATCTCGGGGTATGCACTCGGCTAAAGGAAAGCCATTTTAAACAGTTACAGTAGGCACGGGTTGCCGCCCCGATCGGCGAGAGAGGGGCCTTTTGTCACGAAATCCCCTGGTCGAGACACTCAAAGCCCGGGACCACTGGGTCCAGAATAAAATTCGGCGATCTCGCAGATGGAAAAATTAATTAAAAATAAAATAAAAAATAAGCAGCCAAGTCTCATCGAAGCCAGAAGAGATTCTAGCGTGGAATTTCTTGAGGAAGGTAAGGCGAGAGGGTACATAACACGCCCCGGTTGCGACAGCGAACATGCGGGCGTAAGATTCCCAAACCCACAAGATCGTCCTTTTTTACCCTCGCGTGATCTACGCATCTACTCGCACGTCCCTGACTTCTTCTCCCCCTCGCGTCCCTGGCAGGATTGTTCGAGATGCTCCCCCGGGTTGTCCGTGAAATCTTTACCTTAATTTTTTAGTTATTGAAGGTGTCCCAAGATATTCCACTGGATTTTTGTCAATATCTTAGTCAGATGGTAGTTCCGGGGTTGAACCGGGTTCACCCTGTATCTCAACGTCACCACCCGCCGGGGGCAGGTGTCGCGTTCGCCCAGCATAATTGGCGAGGTGAAAGGCATTGGCACGACGGTGCATATACTAATCGTACGGACCATTCATCCAGGGGTATGCCCAGGTGGTATGTATGGGGCACCCGGCTTCGAGGGTTGTTCTTGGCTGCGACTAGATCCCCCAGGAAATGTTTCCCTTGAGCGCCTATAATTCTTCCGGCACAAGCCACTCTGCATTTCTCCATGAATAGGGAGTCAATTAGGCGCTAGTTCAATCGATAGCAGCAAAATAGGGGGGGTCTAGAACACGAGAGGAGACAGGGGAAAAATTGGGGAGTATCATGTGCCCAGATCGACGGGGCCTTGTATAGAGGGGCCTTTTTATAGATGCATGGTCCAGTCCTCGCTGATCCTGGCCCCCCCTCCGACCCTGAAATATTAGGAGGGACAAACCAGAGATAGAGATAGAGAAAAATATATAGAGATATTAGAGATAGACATGGGGGGAGAGAGAGAGAGAGAGAGATAAAAAATAAAACTAAAAGAAGAGGGAGGGTCCAAAAGCTAGAAAAACCCCCCCCCCATCCCCCTTCCCTTCTTTGACGGCGAGTAGACAGGAGAAGCAGAACTGATATGTAACCAGAGTCGAAGTGGGGGGGGGGGAAGAGTGACGAGGTCTTCTGATCAGAAAAAACCCCCGAACCGGATTTGGGCTGCTTCTTGTTCCCCTCTCTCTCTCTCTCTCTCTCTCTCTTTCTCTCCACTCTTTCCCCTTGGACATGCCCAGGTGCGAGATCCACTCTGTTGGATAAAGAGAGTCCCTTCAGCTTGCTTTCGCTGGGTTTTTGCCTTCGAGGTCTTGTCGCCCCTCGTACGTCAACGCTCCACTTTTTTTTCCTACCCTCTTCCCTGGAGCTTCCCGTATCGCCAATCGCCCAGTGCCCGCCACGTAGAATCCCTCTTCTCTTCTCTTCTGGCGTAATTCCCCCACACTTAACTGTTGGCCGTCAAACCCCCTCTCTTCCTCTCTCTCTTCCCCCTCTACATCCATTTCTCGCCACTCTACCCCAACCTCGAATATGCGCAACCCATTTGAATTGGATGGCAGCGTCGATGGTGACTCGGAGCCGCCAAACGACTTTGAGCTCCCCGACCATCCACCCTCCAACCAATTTAACGTGGAGATCCGACCGCGTCAAACCGACGACGGGGACCGCTCCTTGTTGCAGGATGAAGACCGACGAACCGACGACCTCAAGGAGCGATTCATCGGCACGATTGATCAGGGTACAACTAGCACACGCTTCATCATCTTCGATTGTACAGGTGTTCCCATTGCCAAATATCAGACCGAATTCCGGCAAATCCACGAACATCCAGGGTATGTGATCTGTTCGGTCCTGTCCTCCCGTTGCCCCCGCATGACTGGAAGCTCCCTTCCCACGGAACTCGAGAAACTCAATTAATCAAAATCATGCAGATGGCACGAGCAAGACCCCTACGAGTTGGTCGAGTCGGTCTTCATTTGTATCGAGGAGGCGATGAAAACCTTCCTTGCCCTGGGTCACTCCCGTTCTGATATCGAGGCCGTTGGCATCACCAGTCAGCGAGAAACGGCCCTCGTTTGGGACTGGGAGACTGGGGAACCCCTGCACAACGCCATTACCTGGACCGACACACGCACCGCCAATTTGGTGCGTGAATTGAAGAACAAGAAGGGCGCCGAGGACCTAGTCAACATTTGCGGTCTGCCCCTCTCCACATACCCCTCTTCGGTGACATTGCGATGGATGCTCGACAACCTCCCTGACGTCCGATCTGCCTACGATGACGGCCGTGCTGCCTTCGGTACGGTAGACTCCTGGCTCATCTACAACCTCAACGGTGGCCCGCAAAACAAGCGCCTCGTCACC